TATAGTGGATAAACTAGCTAGCCAGCTAGAATTTACTCCTCTTCACGCACCTGATCTTCGCGCTCATGGAGAACCCCGAACTCCATCACCGGAGCCTACAAATTTACTATCATCAAGCGTGGAGAATACCCCTCCGAAGTCAATTGAAGCGCTAGAGAAGAATCAGAAGAAGATATCAAAGAAGGTGGCTACCTTTGACCCGAAGGTTCAGCGAGATATTGCAATGCTTCACAATCACCACAGGATAATCTACGAGCGGCTTATGATGGCGGAAGCGACTGTTTCGCGAATTAGGGCCGCTCAGGAGCCCTTGAGGCGCCCAATTACCAAGCGCCAGGTTAAACCGCTTAGCCAAACTGGTATACTAAGCGTTCGCGATGCGAATCGGTCAATCAAGACTAGAAAGGAGAAAGAGGCTGCTGCGGAGGAGAGGAAGCTTGCGAAGCAGTATAAGCAGGCTACTGGTTTGGATATGCCAAAGAGGCCCCAGGAGGATATTGATAGGTCTACCGAATCGGCTAGAGTAGCCCTGGAGCGAGGAGATCTTTTTTATTTAGGCTAGTTATCTAATTTGATGGTTTTTTTAGACGCATGGTAAAAATGTGACGGGGATTTAGGGGTGACGGGGATTTAGGGCGCACCCATAAGCGGAAGCGGTGGGTGGGCCGCAATATCATGGAGGGCACAGATACCGCTGATAGAGTAGGCCCTTGCGGGTCAAGCCGACATTTGGCTTGCCGACCGTGGTTCGTGAGGATTGCAACTGGTGTGGTTTGACTGGTTTCTGATTAAGTACTGGCAGAGTGGGGGTTTTACTCTCGTTCTCGCTATCTCTTTTTTAATGGCTTTTTTTTTTTTTCTCTTTAGCTGACAATCAAAGCGATTGCGTTGGAATACTCCACATATATCCGGCATTCTATTTTCTAAAATCCGAGACGACCGGGGGCCGGAGCGTAAATAATTTTTGTATCCGATCTTGTGTTTTGAGGCACTTTCGATACGCAATACGCTCCGGATAGGACGGCTTCTTGAATCGTACTTTCACCCAATGAAAGAAACATTTTAAACTACCGCTTGTATACATCCTTCGGCTTATGTATGCATTCTGTTGTGTAGTTCATTACAACAAGTCTATCATTTAGGCGCGACAGTAAGATGATTATCTTAATTGATCATACTGACATCGGTATGCTTCACCCTCGACGAACATCAATATCGTAGCTAGCTAAAATAATTTACATCTCAGGATCATTCTGGTCAAAACTAAACTCCGACTCGTGGTGATCGCCCTAGCGTGGTCCATCTTGGGGAACTTTACAACGATTGCCCAAATTGGATAGTGTAGTGTACTATCAAGGTTACTCTCTGCCGTGCGAGCTGATCACTTTCTGCCCCCATGAACTCTCCAACTCTGTCCCAGTGTCAATCCCGGTGATTATTTACATCTGAATCTACACAATTCAAGACTTTTTTTTTTCTCTCCCCGATAATAATCTCCACCTGTACTACAGTAGGCTGGGGGTTTTTCCGTGGGGGGCCGATGACGTGACCATACATCAATTTGGTCCAGTGCACACGGTGTAATATTGAATTATGGAGAACCCACGATCAACTTTACTTGCGATTTAGTTGCAACCATGTTCTCGTATTGTCACACGGTTCCATTGTAACCCTGGAATTTTCAGCCAAATCAGAATTAAAGATTGCCAAGAGCTGCTTTTGTGAAACGTCGCACGAGCTTATCTCCACTAACATAATTAAGGTGTCCCTGGTCTTCCGGTCGCTCAGAAGAATAGGAAAACAATAATCAGACCAATAATGTTCTAAGGCGTTATTCTAGGGCGCGTTGGACTCTCAAGTTCGACTCTAATTAGTTGCTTACTCTTGGTCCTGGCACCACTATTGATGGTTTCTCTCCGCTCGATAGTTCAAACGCGTATGCTTTTTCAACAGACTTTATCCGAATTTGCCGTAGAATCCTCGCACGAAGTCTGATTCATAATCATTCGTGTAAAACTAACGCCAAGCGCAATTTGACCAGGCTGTGTCGTTTTCTCCCACCAATAGCTCCTCTTGGCCAGAATCATTGATGGCGCGCATCGCATGGCAGCCAGTCAAGGAGTAATATCATCCGTACGACAATTTATGCTGTTGCCTCAGAGCAAACGCAATATCAACAACCCCTCTCCGAAGCCAAGAAGCATTTCATGGCTTATGAATGGTGCCTGGTCTTTGCCAAGGCGATCGGTCCTTGCTAAGTAACGTAGCAGTGGCCCCCCAATTTGCTGGGCACCTAGTTCGGGTTGAAAGTTGGAGCGGTGCTTAGAATGGTGGCAACTGTCATCGGCAAGCCTAAAAAGCCAGTTTGCCAGTTTGACCTTTATGAACCATGGTCACTAGGACGCCTTGCCCAGACCTAAAGTAGGGTAGCCTCGCGAGTTTATGCCCACCACGACTCCATTATTGGTCTTAAAATGGCTTGATGACCCGACTGGTGTGTCTCACTTTTTTCCGTTGGCAAAACATGAATCAGCGCATAAACCATGTGGCGCACGGTATTTTTGAGTTTATGCGTTCGGGGAGTTGACTCATCCGAATACGAATGCGCTGGGCGAATAATTGGGGGCTGGGCTGTGTGGGTATGGTTTTGATTGTAACACATAAAATACAGATGATGAGTTATCCATTTGCCAAGTTTTAATCTGAAAGTCCAGTTTCCATAGCTGGCGTATATAAAAATGCATGGATGAACAGTTGTATTATGCACTACATATGTACGGACGGGGGATAGCGGAGACACAAAATGGGTCATCAATTCGAACGAAGTACTCCGTACTTGAATAAGAACTAGAAAAACTATACCAAATCATAACAAGTAGATGTTGTAAAGCTAACCGACTGTCGGCCGCTAGGATCACAATCCATTTTTATCGAGTGCTTATTATTATGCATAATGAGCTCCCTTCCCATCGATGTGATACGTCAGGCAGGGATGGCCCCCGACCAGAACATGACTCGACCTTCCCTTAGGCGGACACTGACCGAACATCGTCGTGCTTATGCTTAACCCCGGTAAGGTTGGATCCCCTTGACCCGCCGATCCTGGTCTCCTGATTGGCATGGACTCGGCGACTCGCTCTGGTAAAGTCTATTAGATTGAGAATTCCCAGTTTTCTAGAGTTTCTAACGCGGTGCGCGGACCTCCCCTTTTTCCCCCTCCTCCATACTTTATGGGCATTCCATGTCCGATCCTGTGAGGCTGTGGAAATCGATAAAAGTATGTTACTTAATCTCTTTGCCTACATAACATTGCTGACCGGTAAGCATTGGTGGTTTGCTTTGCATGTCTTGATCAGCGACCTAATCGAGTGTGTAAAAGTTACTTCTTCACCTACAATACATGTACGGATTTACTCGTATCTACAATAATAATCCATTGCTCCTGTACTCCGTACAGATCATCTGAAACCAATTACTCTATTATTTGAGCCACCAAAAACCAATAGATCCGCTTACTACTTACATTGACCGACCTCCACTCGCTCACCACGGACCAAATAATAATTGCCTAGAAACGACAAGTCTTCGGCACCCTTAAGCGAGCTCCGCAACCCCGAGTTAAGGTAATTATTCCCAGAGATTTACTCCAGTCTCCGTACAGTACGTTAAAAGATTCCCAAAAGAAAATATTTATTCAATATCCCTCGCAAAATAACTCCGGAAACCCACGGACCACGTTTCCTGCTGACGGAAGGCTCCGCTCATTTGTTCTCAATACTTGCCTGTTCGGGATGGTGGTCTATTGTTCGTACGAACTCAGTCCTTACTAGGCTCTAGTAGTAATCCAACTTTACCCAAATTTGCGCGTTTCGGTCACTCGAAGCATGATTAATAATGCTCACGCCCTTCGAGGTCCCATATTTTTGCGTTTGGCTGCGGGCGCCTCCTCCCACGCTAGAGTGCTTGGCCTTGCTTGGACCGGTGCGAGAGCCGGTGCATAATAATTATTAAGAACGGAATTCGAGTGCGCCGGTGTATCCGGAATCAGATAAAGATATGTACATGTACCTATTCGGTATCACTATCGCCGACGCCGAGAGAACATGAAAGCTAGTGGAGTATCGGCAATACTTAAGGGTAAGGACGGATATACATGGGGCATGATGTAGCCCTATGCTACCAACAGTCTGCTCTTTGCTGTATGTCTATCAACAAGGCTATCGAATGCGAGAGCTTATGATCTTTCAAATCAAATTATATACCTGTGCTCAAAAAAAAGCAGCTAAGTAATCGAGACTCGTAGCTACTGCAAGGCCAGATACACCATTTTCTTTTCAAGCATTTTGGCCCCCATGAGGCGTTTAATGGTTGCGTCGTATGTATGCCCAGGATGGAATACACATCCTAGTAGGTACTTAGTTCTACTGCTACTACAGTCGGTAGTAGGTACAGTAGCAGCTTAATGCATGGCCTAGGGCTTAGGCGTTTGAGATCGCTCCATTTAGCCCCATTCAACCTCGCATTACGGCGTCAATAGTTTCCAACAGTCCCATTCAAACCGAGGCCGAATCATGTTACTCTTTTTGGTTCTCGGCGATGCGCCCGCCCTTTGGATGCATCGCCATCGGAACTAAATCCTTCGTGCGAAGGGCGGGGACGGCCTGGACGTCTGATGAGGCTGAGAATGGGGCAGAAAGCAAACACGAGTCGGTGTAAGAGAGAAGCGAATAATTGTGTTTGAAACGCAGAGTGAGGTCTTCCCTTGCAAAATGATGGGTGCTTTGCTTTGCATTTAGCATTGGTGGCCTAATCAATATGATGGAAATGATCATCAAGGTTACTTCAACTATCTAGTGAGCCAACCTACCAGGCTGACCGGTTGACCCCCAACATTCATAAATAGCAGCAAAGTGTGTTGGGGATGGATACTATACGGTTATTCGATCTATGTTACATGTCTGGTACATTTCAAATATCATACACTGTCTAGCTGCGCTTTCTCAGCAATCAGCCCGACCAAAGTAGCGTGGGAATGATACGACATCCCGGACGCTGGAGACTCCTGACAAATAGCCCAGGAACCGGTCAAACCCAAGTCCAAATCCTCCATGAGGAGCAGAGCCCCAGCGTCGGAGATCGGCATACCATTGGAGATGTCCAAGATCCTCCTCTGCGGTGAGATGAGGATAGCATGGCTCGTTTGAGACCGGTGCATCGGAATCAGTGGCCACGCGGGACTTGATCAGACCGTATTCTCGCATGTTCTGGATGATATTGGGCAAACGGTGTTCACGCAAGGAGCCGCCAGCAACTTCACTTACTTCGGGAAGAAGCAGATCGAAACAGGCAACGGTCTCACCTGGCACGCTACCCTCGCTGCCCTGCGAAGGAGCCATGTAGAACGGTTTGATGGTCTTGGGATAATCCGTGACAAACACCGGATTGTCCTCGTGCAAAACCTCGACAATGTACTTTTCATGCTCGGTCTGCAAGCCACCATCCCAGGTAGGGGGATGCTCGAACACGGCGCCGTTCTCTAAGACTACTTTTTGGAGCATCTCCACGGCCTGCGTATATGTGATGCGGTGCCATCTAGGTCCGTCCATCAGCGCCTTCCACCTCCCCAGTAGATCCAACTTCGAATCCTCGGCGCCGCCTTCTTGTCCCGACTCCCCAGTCCGCTTGGCCGACAAGATTTCTTGGCCGACAGGGGTATTATACAACCGGCGAGTCAGATCTCGAAGTAGATCTTCTACCAAGTTCGTGAGTGAGTCCAAATCGTGCATGAAGTTGGTCTCGGCCTCAAGCATGTAGAACTCGCTGAGGTGACGAGGTGTATCACTCTTCTCCGCCCGAAACACGGGTCCCAATGTCCAAACATTGCCAAGTTCAGCCGCGTATGCCTCGAGATGTAATTGCGACGACACTGTAAGGTACTTGGGTGCCCGGAAGAAGTGCTCGGCCTCGGTACTCGACGGCGCAGCGGCAGCCCGCGGAAGCAATGTAAAGGTTTCACCTGCTCCCTCACAATCTGATGACGTGATGATCGGAGGTTGAACCTGTGTGAAAGGACCTTCAGGTCGCGAGTGGAAGACGTTGCCCAGTTGGAACAGGCATTCGGATCGGAAGCGCGCGAGGAGGGACTGGAAGGGCGTTCGAATGCGGAGATGGGGGATCTGTCGCAAGAAGTCGGGGCTATGGTATTTCTTCTGGATCGGATATGTCTGCAAAAAGGACGCGACGGTTAGATCAACCCATTCGCGGCTTGGTAATGACGGTCAACACAAACCTCTGGATCCGCCCCGCCAACCACGGTTACCTCTGTTGTCTGAAGCTCGTGAGTCTGTTCCTTTCCAGGTGGGCAAGCTTTCCACAAGCCGGATATTTCAACGGCAGTGCCTGTGGACAGACTATGGGGAGAAGCGACCGTATTAGCTCTCCGTGCATGTATATGAAGCTTGGAGTCATAGCTCCGAGGTAAACATACTCAGCTGCCTGCGCAGGCTTCAGGATGGCCTGCAATGGCTCGACAGTAGAACCATCCGAGATTTCTGCAAAGGCAAAGCGCTTTTGCTTCCGAACCGACCGAATGAACCCATTGATCTTGACCTCTTTGTCTTCCAAGGTGCATGATCCATCCACTTTGCTAGCTTGGAGGATCTGCGCACATCGCAGAGCGGCAATTCGAGAATGCGGCGTGGAGTTAGAGCCGAGTCTGGCGACAGACGTGGCGAAGGTCCGCCGCCATGTGTGCATGGCTGAATCTAGGACGTTGCGCTGGGAAAGTGGAATGATCGGAGGTCAACTTTAGCTGGCGGACTGGGAAAACTTCGGAGCATCGACTCCGCAGATCCGATCACCGCTCTACTCAGTACTGGTCTCAATACTATTCGCAACACTGCACGTCTTTAAGAGGCGGAAAATAAGAAATAGCAGGCTTGTGCACAATATTTACTGAATAGGTGGTTTCCTCTATCTTTCTATCCAAAAAAAAAAAAATCCCAACGTATTGAAACTAGTAGGTTTTGGTGCCTTTTTCAGTACATCGCCTACGGCTTTAAGAGGAAATATATATCGGAACCTGGTACATAAAAATGATGGAATTGAGATTGATCAATCTGAGATATCGCTCACAAAGCAAAATTATTCATAAGACATAGAGAATAGAGAATACTGCGGATATGGCTGAAACTTCGACCAAAGGAGCGACCGTTGCGCATCAAGCCAGAATCTAAACAAATCCCACGTTAGTCCATCCCACTAACAGCCCTGGCGGGCATACACCTTTCTCTCTTCCTCAATCATTTCGATCGCGTCGTAGAGGATACCATTTGAAGCCGCAGCATAGACTGCCATCCGAGCCCGCCCGCCATCTTCAACGGTTCCGAAGCCCATATCGACAAGAGACGACACACATCTGTCAATATCGGTCTCTTCAGGTTCAGCGCTAACGTCGAACGGTCTAGGTACCACAGGCTGAAGTGGCTCTTCTAGAGGAAAGCTTCCTGGAATGCTTTGCTGGGACGAACGTCTGGAGCGGCGGCGTTCTCTCCTGTCCAATCGCGCCCAAGTATCTGTTTCGCTGGGGTCTTGGGTATCACGTCGCAAGGAGTGACGCTCACTAGCACGTCGTCTCAATGGACTATTGGCGGAAGGATTGCCCGGAAAGTCTGGATTCGGGTTATCAGAGAATTCCCCTCGGGGCGCAAATGCCACGGTATTTGAGCGACGAAGACCTGGGCCTGAGGGCACGGGCTCGTAGAAGTTCCTTGACAGATCATAGTCAAGTGACCGAGTTGATTCATTTGCTTCTTGGTGAGCCGTTGCATCATAGTCGGTGTTCTGCTGTTGATTGGCAAAGAACTGGGCTTCGAGTTGAGAGACAGGCGGGAATCGAGTCATCTCCGGTAGCTGATCCTGCAGGTCGTTCGACTGGTGGTTAGATGCAGCATCGTCGGCAGTTAGATCAATCAAAGCAGGTGATTGAAGCCGGATTGGAACATCGTTGGTATTGGTGTCTTGGTCCTGAATATCCAAGGAAGATAGATCAGGTTCCTGGAATGTCACGGATTTTCGGCGGCTAGTGCGACGAGGACGCGCTGGCTGACCAGCTGAGATGCCAGAGTCCTGAGATCCAGGATGACCGTGGCTCGCAAAACTCTCGTAAAGAGTTCTCTCCTGACCGGGACGCTCTGGTGGGTGCACAGAGTCAATGATGGTATCATCACTGAACTCGAGGTTGATTGCGTGTCCATCGATGTGTACACCCTGCAAAGCATCCATTGCTGCCATGGCAGGATGAATCGATGGGAACTCTAGATAGCCAAATCCTGCATGCATACCAGTGTCCGAATCGCGAGGCAGGCGTACGGAAACAATGAATCCCTTCGAAGCAAAGACATCCTGGATCATCCTCTCGGTCACATTGAAACCAACATTGCCGATGAACAAGACTTTCTTTTCAGGGATGTCTGATGGCCCATGCAAATTTGTGGAAGGTTCTTTGGGAGGAGGCGCTGGAGGCGCGTTATGAGGGCCGAAAGGTCCGAAAGGATTGAGCCAATGATCCGTAGGATGCCATGGTTGACCTGGGAACATTCTAGAGACGGGCAGAGGAGGAGGTTGTGGAGAGTGCGGTAGGTGGTGCTGGATAGGATGGACTGGGTCCCATGACATCGGGCAGTGAGGCCAATGACTTGGAGGCATAGACGGAGCGGGGGGATGAGGGGGTCGAGGGGGGAACGGAGGGGGGTGAAAGGGACCCGAACCATAGAAGAAATCACTTGGCCCTGTTAGCAGAGGATCCCAACTAGGACTCCTGAGGTCGGATGGCAATGTATGCGGGTTGACCTCGGGGCGCTGAGCAGGAATTGGACCAGAACTGGCTGTCGCCTCCTTTTGAGCACCTGGCTCTGTGGGTTGGGAAGTCGTGTCCTGGAACAAAGGGTTTGACACATGCTCATCACCGGTAACACCAGGCATTGGACTAGACGCGGTGTATAGTCCTTCGGATGTGGCATTCGACCTAGTCGACGCGAAACGGCCAAATTCATTCTCAAAGGCGGCAAACAATGTTCGACTGGCCTCATTGAGCTCGGAAGCCATCATCCGGAAGCCGTCCGCGGCATGCTCAGCGACAGGACGCCCGGCATTGATGGCATCTTCCGCGAATTGTCTTCCATTATCAGGCAGGTTTTGGAAAGCAGTCCGCATATGTGCCTCGATTGTGGCGAGCAGGCTTTGAAGCGATGACCGCACGTTCTCTGGGACTGTCCGCTGAGCATTTCGGAGCTGCTCTTGCAGCTCTGGGAGCCTGCTTCTCAGTTCAGTCTGTACTGAGTTGGCCCCATTGACCAGATGGTAAAGGAATGTCGCGGCAACCACTTCTAATGGATGATGTGTTCTCTGTGAGCCAGTGCCCGACGCGGGTTCGGCTGCAGGTGATGATTCAGGCTGCGTAGCCCTTTGTCCAGTATTTTCTGCAGAGTCAAGCATACTGGCCAACTCAGCCTCAAAGGCTTCCATAAAGGTCTGATTCTCAGCCTGAGGTGGAGATGTAGTGGCGGCATCATGAGAAGCTGGTTCTTCTTTGTGATCATGTTCATCGATTGCAGCCTCTGTCTCGACACCAGTGACGGCGGTCATTTGTGGAGATCTGATGCCGTCGTTGCCTCTTTCAAATCGTCTCCATAACTCGGTCACCGAATTCGATCGACGAATATCAAAGATATGCATAGGGACCGGTTCGGTATCGAGCCGTGCGTCGATGCCCACAGGCTCGTCCAACCGCTGAGATAGCTCGAGAGAAGATCCAACCTGCATATAAGAGTTAGCTGCCTTGACAGTAAATGGAAGCCATCCCAGGAGAATCCTACCATAATTTGATCACCGTCATCCTCATCCAAGTAAGTGAGTCGTGCTCGTGCGTGATTCAGAGCGATGTCATCGTAGTCGGCAGCTGAGACCTGTACAACTCCATGAGGGTTCGAGGTTTGATGTGAAACTTCCTCATGACCTTGAGATGAGTCCCCATGAAGGTCTCTGATCTGGAAAGGCTTCATCATCATGAAAGTGGATGCTGGGAACCCTTGAACTTGGGACGAGCGAGTGGGGACGTTGCACGGGTGAGCTACTGTAGGCGCGAGGAGGCGTAAGCGTGATATCGGGATGTCTCCAGGGCGATCTTAAACCCCACGGAATCCGAGAGGTGCGCCAGATATCATGAGAGATGTATGGCTGTTGCCTGCAAACATCCAGAATTCTCTTTTAGAAAGAAGATACGAAAGCAAGGATTGACTTGATGGATGATCTCACTGTGAACCTTCCAGGCAACAGTGGATAAGATAGCGAGAGCTCTCCCCGCCCGGATCACCTGATAGATGCGGCTGAGTCAGGTCACTTTTGCAGATCCACCGCCCTCAACTTTGTTGATTGTGGTGAAGGGGGGCTTTTCAGGCAAAATTGTTGTTTCAATTGCCTCGATGAGTCTCTGATCACTCGACCGCCTAACAGTTACCCTTCATGTCGGTCCGACTGCCCCTCGGCTCTTTCATCGATCCCACTCGACCCGTTACTTCCTCCCTCGCGGCAATGCCAATGGCTGGTCCACAGGATCTCGCATTCTACACACCAGCCCTCGAAGCCTAGGCGACCCAAACAACAAATATTCTCTTGAACATCGAGAGCGCCCCAATGGCCGCTGGAAAAGCCTCTTCAAGCCTTCAAAGCCCAGGCGATCGCAAGGTGAAGAATGTTGTACTAGGAGATCTGCTCTTCAAGCCGTGGTACCAGTCAATTTACCCAGAGGATCTGGTCGTCAAAGATGCGGACTGCCTCTATGTCTGTCGCTGGTGCTTCCGATACTCCTGCGATGACATTGCATTCGCGGAACATACTCGGGCTTGCGTCCACCGCACAACACCGCCAGGTACCAAAGTGTACGAGCATGGCGGGTATGCTGTATGGGAGGTAGACGGTGAAGAACACAAGCTCTTCGGACAAAACCTGTCCCTTTTCGCCAAACTGTTTCTTGATCATAAAACGGTTTTCTTCGACGTTGCGACCTTCCTCTACTACATACTCACCTTTACCGACCCGGACAACTCTGAAAACTACCATGTTCTGGGCTTCTTCTCGAAAGAAAAGCTCTCCTGGGACTCGAACAACCTTGCATGCATCTGCGTCTTCCCGCCATACCAACACAGGCAACTTGGAAAGCTCCTGATGGGCGTGAGCTACAAATTGAGTGGATGGGAATATCCTGGCGGATACATCGGAGGACCAGAGAAACCTCTCAGTGACTTGGGCCAGAAAAGCTATAATCGCTTCTGGGCCGAGCGTATTGCACGACACTTTCTGTGCGGCAAGCGAGGGGAAGGCAAATCCGAGGCAGAGCACCAAAAGCCAAAAACCTCACCATCGAAAGCTTTCCGGAAAAAGCCTCATCGGGAGTTTATGACCGTCGAGGAGATTGGTCAAGCTACTGGAATGCTGACTGAAGACGTGATCACGGCTGTGAAAAGCATGGGTGTTGTTCGACCTGATACGACTCCCAAAAAGCGCAAATTGACTCGTCTTATGGGCGACGACAAACCGAAGGAGAGCCCGAAGATTGTTATTCACAAGGCCGATATCTGGGAATGGGCCAAGAGTCATCACCTATCACTCGAAGATCCTGTTAGAGACGACGGGTTTGTGGCAGGGTTTCCTTCTGTGGCTGTCTCTGAAGGCAGCGACAATGCCTCGGAGGAGGAGTGACCTTGTCTCAATTTCCCATTCAGAAGACTATGTACGATAGCGAGTGTCCTTTTCCAAGTTACGATAATCATAACGAGCGTTATGTACACCAAGCAAAGTTCTGGTGTGATTTTACTTCTAGATATACATACTTACGCTTCTAAGATTAGCTACTTTAGTGACTCGACATAAGATCTGCCACTATTTGCGGTTACTGTAGCCGTGTTTTCGAACGTAGTCATCTCTAGTGCATAGCTTTTACTTAGTGATTGACAATGTTGTGCAATTATTGTGTGCATTTCTTTTTGAGACTGGACCCTTAAAAGGCATCAAAAGTATCCGGTACCAAGATCATCTAATTGTTTACATGAAACCGCCGTCAACCAAAGGCGCATTACTCTTCCATACCACCGGGACCGCTCGACTTGCTCATCTGCCGAGCCTTCAGCAGCTCGTCGCAGAGAAGGAGGTTAGACGCGATACCAGTGCTGGAGGCAACGCAGTTTCGCAGGACACGGTAGGAGTCGAAAACACCTGCTTGGACGGGGTCCATGGGGAGACCAGTGTTCAAGTCCAAGCCGACGACAGCACCATCCTTGCCCTCATCCTGCATCGCGGCCAGGGAATCCTGAACATCGTGACCAGAGTTGGCGGCGAGGGTCTTGGGAATAACCAAAAGTGCGTCGGCAAAGGCCTCAACACCCCACTTGGCCTTACCCTTCACGGTCTTGGTGAAGCTGTCCGACTTCAAGTGTTGGGCGCAGGCGACCTGGAACGCACCAGCTCCGGGAATCACGCAACCGTCAACAATCGTGTTGTAAACGGAGCGGAGACCATCACGGACGGCGTCCTTGACCTGAGCGATGGTGTGGGCATTGGGGCCCTTGATGAGAATAGTCACGGACTTGGGGTCCTTGACCTCCTCAACGAAGGTGTACTTCTCCTCGCCGAGCTGGTGCTCGTAGACCAGACCAGCCCAGCCAAGAACGTCGGGCGTCATATCCTCAACACTATTCTGGGCGATACCACCGCAAACCAGCTGCAGACGCTCCATGTTTCTCCGCTTAGCTCTCCGCAGAGCCATGATGCCGTTCTTGACGAGGATATCCAAGCTAAGGGGGTCGATACCCTTCTGGTTGATCACAACGAAACCCTTCTTGGGGTCGTTGCCGCAAACCTGCTTCTTAAGATCCACAATCTTCTGCAACTTCGCATCGACGAACTTGCGCTCGCTTTCCACCAACTTGTCTCTCTGCTCGGCACTAGAGTAGTAGAATCCAGAGTTAATCTCGGACTTCTCGTACTCCAGACTGACGTTCAGCGTCAGGATGAAGGCATTCTCCACACGCTTCGGCATATCGGGGTGACGGGCACCGTGGTCCAGAGCCAGACCACGGATCAGCTGGGTATCGGATGATGTGCGGTGCTGCATGGTCATGATCTCAATCATGTGCAGGTCGGGCTTCTCGGGGGCATGGTGGATAGCAAGGACGGCATCGACAATATCGGGGGTGAGCTTCTCAGCGAGGGCGTTGTTCAACTTGGTGGAGAGGGATGTGCGAGCAACGGAGAGGAGGAGCTCTCGGTCAATGGTCCGCTCTAGCTTGAAGTTGTCGAGGAACTGCAGATAGTGTCAGACTAGTCGTCGGCAAGTATTCTTGTGTGCATTTAGTACCTTCAATGCCTCGGTCTTTGCAATCTCATAGCCGTCGGTGATCACACGGGGGTGAAGACCCTCCGAAATGTGACGGTCCGCCTGCTTCAGGAGCTCTCCAACAGAGAGAACGACGGATGTCGTACCATCACCGGTGATGTCGTCCTGGGCAGTTGCCGCACGAGCAATCATAACCTTTCAATATTATCAGTGAGGAACGGAGTCGATATCAGCGGAGGAGTCTTGTCTTACGGCGGTAGGGTTTTGAATTTGCTGTCAAAATGTTAGCACTTGGCTGCTGATATATTGAGACCATTCGGGCTTCAAGACTGACCATCTCACGCAACAAAACATTTCCATCCTTGGTCAATTTGATCTGTCATAACACCACCGCATTAAATGATTTGCTCCGTTGTTTTCCCATGGGTAAAAGGGGCATATTGCATACTCCACCGGCACCGTCCACCAGCCTGAGGTTTTGTCAGCTATGTCACACCCATCGGTGGGTAAAACTCGCAACTCACATCTTCAGGGTTCCCGAGGGACCCAAGTTCGACTTGAGAACATCCTGGAGACCCTCTCCAGCGCTGATGTTGACCTTCAAGGCCTCTCCACGTCGCTAAATGAAATGTTAGTGCGGGCCACGGAGGGGTCGTACAGGGGAGCAGCATTCCATACCCGGGACTCCGCCTTGGGGTTAAGCAGCTGGGTAGCAGACATATCTGCAGTGAAAATGAACGACCGGGAGCTTAGCCCAAGAGAAAAATCGTAATGGGATGGGTAAGGGAGCTAGCAGCGAGCAACACACAGGAGTTTGGATGCCCGCGATGGACGGCAAAGGCGGTGAGATGATTTTGGGCAAAAAGCCCACATTCACGGATTCGCACTAGCGGCGAAAAAAAAGAGCTTTCTCGATTTCTTCGACTTTTTGCCAGTCTCCCGCCCTTTTGAACGTCCGCCTTCAGCAACCCACCGGCTAGTTTGTTGTGTTGTTTCCTGGGTTCCTGCCGCTACAATTATATTTTGGCCATCTTTGCGATTTGATTTGGCCCCCAGATCAGCGCCATGGCCGATTATCTACTTTTTGAGAGCCCTATGGGCTACTCGCTTTTCAAGGTCACTCTCCAGGGTGACGCCGTGGGCAACCGTCTGAAGGAAGTCCAGGCTGGCGTTAACGACCTCGCCAAGTTCGGCAAGATGATTGATCTTGCCAGTTTCCTGCCCTTCGAGTATGTCCAAAGTTCCCGGATGCGAAATTTTTCGTGGTCGTGATCATAGGAGTCCTTGCTAATGTTCCGTAGAAACAACAAGCAGGCCCTCGGTGAAATCAACGACGTTTCGGAAGGTGTCGCGTCCGAGACCCTTATTTCATTCCTTGATCTCAACCTCCCCAAGCCCAGCAAGAAGAAGAAGGTCGTCCTCGGTCTGTGCGACAAGGGTCTCGCTGGTAGCATCAAGTCCGCTTTCTCCTTCGTCGACTGCGAGACTGGCGACACCAGCGAGGTCGTTCAGGACCTTCTCCGTGGTATTCGCCAGCACTTCGCCAAGCTGCTGAGCCAGCTCCGTGAGGGTGATATGGACACCGCTCAGCTCGGTCTCGGTCACGCCTATTCTCGTGCCAAGGTTAAGTTCTCCGTCCAGCGTGACGACAACCACATCATTCAGGCCATTGCCATCTTGGATCAGCTTGACAAGGCTATCAACACCTTCTCCATGCGTGTTCGCGAATGGTACTCCTGGCACTTCCCTGAGCTGTACAAGATCGTCTCCGACAACCAGACCTATGCCCAGATTGCTCTCTTCGTGAAGGATAAGAAGAGCCTGACTGATGACAGCCTGCACGATCTTGCCGCTCTCGTGGAGGATGACAAGGGTGTTGCTCAGAGCATCATTGATGCCGCCAAGCGCAGCATGGGTCAGGATATCGGTGACTCCGACATGGAGAACGTCATTGCTTTCGCCGAGCGTGTTGTTAGCATCGCCAAGTACCGCAAGTCCCTGCACCAGTACCTGGTCTCCAAGATGAGCGTCGTTGCTCCTAACCTTGCTGCGCTGATTGGTGAGATCGTTGGTGCTCGCCTGATCTCCCACGCTGGTAGCTTGACCAACCTGTCCAAGTACCCTGCCTCTACTGTCCAGATTCTCGGTGCTGAGAAGGCTCTGTTCCGTGCCCTGAAGACCAAGGGTAACACCCCCAAGTACGGTCTGCTGTACCACTCTTCCTTCATCGGCCGTGCTGGCCCCAAGAACAAGGGTCGCATTTCTCGCTTCCTTGCCAACAAATGCTCGATCGCTTCCCGTATCGATAACTTCTCCGAGGCCCCCACCACTAAGTTCGGTGAGGTTCTGAAGCAGCAGGTTGAGGAGCGTCTGGAGTTCTACTCCACCGGCGCTGCCCCCACCAAGAACGAGGTTGCCATGGTATGTCGATAAGAGTCTTCCACTTCGAAATGAACATTTCGCTGACAAATTATCTATAGAAATCCGCTATGGATGCCGTTCTGGCTGGTATCGATGTTGACGTTGATGACAGCGATGCGGAGATGGAGGACGTCGATGCCAAGAAGGAGAAGAAGAAGGAGAAGAAAGACAAGAAGGAGAAGAAGGAGAAGAGCGACAAGAAGAAGAAGCGCAAGCACGACACCGACGCTGAGCCTTCGAAGAAGAAGCAAAAGGCATAAAAGCGCTTTGTTTTGGTACTGGGAGTCTTTGTCATGGCGTTGGGTTCGTCTTCTTTTCTATTTCATGTTTCCCAATCTTGTTCACGACTCGATGGGCTCGAGGATCTGTAAATTATTCGATTTAGGCCTTTGTGGCAATAAGATTTTGCTCTATCTCGTCACTCTTCCTCAAACATAACTTCAGTAAATAGCTACTCCCCAGACTGATTGCTGTAGAACTCTTGTTCATATGCCAGCTAAGCTATGTGTAGCCCTCGAAGGAACTAGTGTATACCACTCCCTGGGTTCATTATATACCGTTCTTTCAAGCCTAGAACAGGGAATTTTGTTCACAAAAACACTCAAATACTGCTAAACAAGAAAAGGGACAATCAACAGCTAGTTTAGTCTCACTTTACCTACTTCCTTCCTCCGAGATCGTGATAGGTCGGGTGATTTCTGTCGGGGCATGAGCGAAGGGGTTGACTGTCCAGTATGAAGGCACCAATGCCCCCGGGAAAATCAACTCACACCCGAACGTCCAGTGACTTGCCCCTCACTCTGATCTCCGCACCTGCCGACGGGGATTGCTGCACCATGCCCCCCGTCCTTGCTGAATGGTGAACGGGGTTGGTACTAAACGATACTCTTTTTGAATGCGATCTCTAGGGCTGACCGGCTTCGGCGCCCCAACAACTTCTTCCCACCTCAGCCCCGCGATGATGTCGACAGGCACCCCAAGGTATTTCTCGCCCAAGCGCAGGCGAGAACCTTCCGAGTCGGACTATTATAGCCCATCTGCATCGCCAACATCCACAGTTTCTGTCGTCAGTCTACAAGAGTCCCGGATACGTGACGACACAGAGCCTGGGCAACATAGCCCTCGCGCAGTGGTAGCGGGGCGCTTCAAAGATTTGGCAATCCGGGGAGAGCATTTTCCAGACAGGAGAGGGTCAAATCGTGACCTCCAGCAACCACAAACGCTACAATCGGAGCAGGCGACATGTATCTCCGACAGCCACGACCGGGGTTCCATGAACCTGGCTGAACCCTTGCAAGCTCATAGCGGGGAGCCGAGTGACGCTCAAAACCACCATACGGGTTCCGAGTCGGCAACATATCGTATGCCGGACAATGCCCTGGTCACACATATTTGTACGCCCTCAAAAAAGAGGTCGACTCTATCTCCTTACAAAGGAAGTGATGCATCACCTTCCAAGGGCCGCAAGCGACTATCCCCTCCACCTTCAGATGTTCCTCTGGATGATCCATTCACATGGCATGACCACGAAATCACGGGGCATAACCCTACTGACCCAACCGATGACGGCTACGGAATCAATGGCGTTGGCTTCAAACCAACTGCAGCCATTGCGTGGGCACGCTCTCAGAAGCGACAGCGGCAAGTTGCCGAATGGAAGTCCCGGGAGGCACGAGAAGCCCGTGAGAAGCGACGAGAAAGAAGAAATGAAAGCTCTGGAATGGACAGACTCCGCAGCATACACGAAGGCGCTGTCCAGAAACGAGTCAAGTTCAATGTTCAGGATAGGCCCTGAACAATCACTCTCTACTATCTTACAGCGTTCAATTGGCATTTTCGAGGAGCGTGGAGCAAGATGGGGATTAATTTGAATAATTACATGATCATTTTGGCGCTATGATACACACATATGACTTATGACATGATGCCAATCACCATAGCATATAATTTGGAATATACAACTTGGGATATATCGTACAAACACCGTGACTCCGACCCTTGAAAGAGCAAAACTACCAGAACTTGTAGTTGGAGAGGTTTGTCCAACTCTTTTTTCTCTTCTCCTCCTCTGCGCGACGAGCTGCCTCCTCAGCAGCTCGTTCCTTGTCCCGTTGTTTTTTCTCCTTCAGCTCCTTCATGAGCTCGACAGCTTCCTTCATTCCATGCAATTCTTGAATCCGGCGTCGTCGACAGAACTCGTATGCTCCAAGAGAAGAGACTGCGAACACTCCAACTGCCCAATTTCCGGCGGACCATAATGAGCGCATTCCTATGAAGGTTAGCTATATGTATCCCTTTCTCTGCTTCAATTCATGGTCATACCTCCAAAGACAGCTCGTACACCACCGATTCCAAATCCAGCACCAATTCCGGTCAAGAGCGACTCGCGTGCGCATGGTACTTTGTAGAATGATGAGATCTCGGACATGGATACTGTGCCAACAACATCCGAGTATGACACATCCTTGGGGTCCTTGCCCCGTGGCTTGTAGCTTGCATTGGCGAGGGCGTTCACGGGTTCTTCGGGGTTGCCAAAGGCATCCCATAGCTTGCCGACTTGCGATTGCGGGAAGTCATGCTTTGGCTTTTTGGGGTCGGTATTCGGAGTGCTAGCGGGGAGGTGACTACCAGGCTCCTGTGAGGAGCTGGGCTCTCGAGGGTCCTCGGCCATATTTGTTCAGCTCGCTCTCTTCGATCGGCGAGCAACTCGGCGGGCCAAAATACTGATAACCGGAGCAATACATGCGGATCATATGATGTTCCGCTATAACCCGATATGGATAGTTATTCCGGACAAGGGCTGACTAACCCTTACGCGTGCCTGGGACGTGCAGATACGCGGACGCGTCGAGAAAAGCGATTGCGATCAACGATTAGATCAGGTTGCAGGTCATTGCTAGGTCCCCCGGCAGCCATTGGCCTTGAGTCACTCACTACCTCAGCTTCAAACTGCGTCTTTCTTACTACTAATATTCGCGAATTCTCACCATCCCACCAATTTCATGTTCTGAACACCACCCTCTGCCGCCAACCTTACTTTGAAAAGCCCGGCCGGGCGCCAGTGTCGCGATGCCTTCGCGCAAACCCAGCAAATTTGGGAACAAGTTCCGATCCAGTGCGGCCTCATCACACCCCCGACGAACAAAAACAGTCGAATTCGGATCCCTCCGCTCCAGCGAAGCAACCTCCCAAGATGAGAAATTCGAAGCCATCCGGACGGCCAACAGCATCGATGAAACGCTCGGCTTTCCTCGGTTCGAGTCCGGCGAGACAAGAGCCGGCTGGCTTATCAACATGCACAGCACCACAATAGAGGATCCAAATGTACCGGGCGGTCGTGCAGGTGTCGACTACTACTTCCTCCAAGACGACGGCGGAAGTTTCAAGGCCACTGTGGAATACGATCCTTACTTCCTCATTGCAGTTAAGAAAGGGCATGAGATAGAAGTCGAGGAATGGTGTCGCAGAGCCTTTGAAGGCTTGATCAAGAGTTTCAAGCGCCTGGAAAAAGAGGACCTGAACCTACCGAACCACTTGCTTGGACATCGAAGGACGTTCATCAGATTGAACTTTGCCAATGTGCCCAATCTGCTCGAGGTTCGCCGGACTCTGCTCCCTTTGGCAGAGAAGAACAAGAAAAACGCAAACGTGATGGATGCATACGTCGAAATGTCCAGGTTTGTTTTCGTCTGCGAGTCGTGAGTTTGTGATTATGCTCATGCTGACTGTATACTCTCATAGTGCCACAACTGGCTTCGACCTTTTTGACGACGAAATAATTAATGAGCAACGACCTAATGGCAACATGCAAGCGAGTGATTTTATTGTTGATATTCGAGAGTACGACGTTCCGTACCATGTCCGAGTCTGTATTGACAAGGGTAAGTGACTGTGAGTTGACTCTATACGATGTGCTAGCTCTGCTGACACCCCGTCCCTATAGACATTCGCATCGGAAAATGGTACGATGTGGAGGCGAAACATGGTGTGATCTCTGTGAAATGTCTGGAAGAACGACTCCAGCGTGCCGATCCAGTTGTTCTAGCCTTCGATATCGAAACGACAAAACTACCTCTCAAGTTTCCTGATGCGGTGATTGATCAAATCATGATGATCTCGTATATGATCGATGGGCAAGGTTTCTTGATCACCAACAGAGAGATTGTGTCTGAGGACATCAACGACTTTGAGTACACGCCAAAGCCGGAGTACAATGGACCTTTCATCATTTTCAACGAACCCAACGAGAGAGCTGTCCTGGAACGGTTTTTCGAGCACATCAAGATCGCCAAACCCACCGTCATTGCCACATATAACGGTGACTTCTTCGATTGGCCTTTCGTCGAAGCGAGGGCAAGCGTCCAAGGAATCGACATGTACATGGAGATTGGCTTCCGCAAGAACAGCGAAGACATCTACCAAAGCGACAACTGTGTCCACATGGACTGCTTTGCATGGGTCAGCCGTGACAGTTACCTTCCCCAAGGAAGTCGTGGTTTGAAAGCTGTGACTGTCGCTAAGCTTGGCTACGACCCCGACGAGCTTGACCCTGAACTGATGACACCCTATGCGAGCGAACGCCCTCAGACTTTGGCCGAGTACTCCGTTTCCGACGCCGTGGCTACGTATTACCTGTACATGAAATATGTGCATCCTTTCATCTTCTCTCTGTGCACTATCATTCCGCTTAGCCCTGACGATACCTTGCGAAAGGGAACCGGAACCTTGTGCGAGATGCTGCTCATGGTTGAAGCCTACAAAGGCGAGATTGTCCTTCCCAATAAACACAAGGACCCACCGGAGGCTTTCTACGAAGGTCACCTGCTTGAATCGCAGACCTATGTCGGTGGCCATGTCGAAAGTATTGAAGCTGGTGTCTTCCGAAGTGACATTCCCACCGGTTTCAATGTTGACCCCAGTGCCATCGACGAGCTCATCCGAGATTTGGACCATGCTCTCAAGTTCAGTATTGAGGTTGAGGAGAAGAAGTCCATGGACGATGTCACGAACTTTGATGAAGTGAAGGCTCAGATTGCCGAGAAACTCCTCGACTTGAAAAACAACCCGAGCCGAAACGAGGTCCCGTCCATTTACCATTTGGATGTTGCTTCCATGTACCCGAATATCATGATCACAAATCGTCTCCAGCCTGATTCCATGATTGACGAATCGGACTGTGCCGCTTGCGATTTCAATCGGCCTGGAAAGACCTGTGACAGGCGTATGCCCTGGGCCTGGCGTGGTGAATTCTTGCCCGCAAAGCGCGACGAGTACAACATGATTCGACGGGCAACGACAAATGAACGGTTCCCCAGTCAAAGGAAGAACGGCTTGTTGCGATCATTCGGTGATCTCAGCATCGAGGAACAAGCCGGAGTGGTCAAGAAGCGCCTCCAAGACTACAGCAAGAAGATTTACCACAAGATCCATGACAGCAAAACCATTGTTCGAGAAGCAATTATTTGTCAAAGAGAAAATCCGTTCTATGTCGATACAGTGCGAAGCTTCCGTGACCGACGATACGACTTCAAGGGCAAACAGAAGGTCTGGAAGAACAAGACCGAGTCGCTGCAATCATCCGGGGCTTCTGCAGCTGAGATTGACGAGGCGAAGAAGATGATTGTTCTCTTTGACTCCCTGCAACTTGCTCACAAGGTCATCTTGAACAGTTTCTACGGTTATGTCATGCGAAAAGGTTCTCGATGGTATTCCATGGAAATGGCCGGCGTCACTTGTCTGACGGGAGCCCATATCATTCAAATGGCGCGAGAGCTCGTCGAACGCATTGGTCGTCCGCTGGAGTTGGATACCGATGGTATCTGGTGCATGCTGCCCGGTACCTTCCCTGAAAACTTTACCTTCACTTTGAAGAATGGCAAGAAACTGGGTATCTCGTACCCCTGTGTCATGCTGAACCACCTCGTTCATGCTCGATACACGAACCATCAGTACCAGGCGCTTGTCGACCCGTCCACCCACAAGTACGAGACTAACAGCGAGAACTCCATTTTCTTCGAAGTCGATGGGCCTTACCGGGCAATGATTCTGCCAACATCAAAGGAAGAAGACAAGAACCTGAAAAAGCGATATGCCGTATTCAACCACGATGGATCGCTTGCCGAATTGAAGGGTTTCGAAGTCAAGCGAAGGGGAGAGCTCAAGTTGATCAAGATCTTCCAAACCCAGATCTTCAAGTTCTTCCTTGAAGGCAGCAACCTTGCGGAGACGTATGCCGCCGTGGCTCGAGTCGCCGACCGATGGTTGGATGTGCTCTATGAGCAAGGAGCCACATTGGCCGATGAAGAGCTGATTGACCTGATTTCGGAGAACCGCAGCATGACCAAGACCCTGGAAGAGTATGGAAACCAAAAGTCAACGTCCATCACCACTGCCAGACGTCTTGCAGAGTTCTTGGGTGAGCAGATGGTCAAGGACAAAGGTCTGAACTGCAAGTACATTATCTCTTCAAGGCCAAGAAACACACCTGTCACTGAGAGAGCGATCCCAGTCACCATCTTCTCTGCCGAGGAGAGCGTCAAGCGTTTCTTCCTGCGAAAATGGCTCAAGGATGACCCGGGTGACATGGATCCTCGGTCTATAATTGATTGGGACTACTACCTGGAGCGTCTGGGCTCTGTTGTCCAGAAGCTCATCACCATTCCGGCTGCTCTTCAGAAGCTGAGAAACCCTGTGCCTCGTGTCGCCCATCCAGATTGGTTGCAGCGGCGAATCAACCAGAAGGATGACAAGTTCAAGCAAAAGAAGATGACCGATCTATTTGAGAAGTCTGAAAAGGTGCCGCTTTCCACGATATCTACAAATATCCTGGATCATCGTGTTCAACATGCGGGTGACATGGACGAAGTTATTGCGAGTTCGACACAGAAACTCAAGTCCTCTCCCGATGGCAAGATGGCACAAAAACGAAAGCATCCAGAGTCTACTGCCAAAACGGCTCTTGATCCGTTTGCTAGCCTACCGGCAGTCATGCCTTCTATCACAGAAGACTACCAAGACTTCATCAAGTATCAGAAGCAAAAGTGGAAGATCCAGAAGCAAGCTCGTGTTCGTCGACGCCAACTGTTTGGTGAGCGAACCAATGTCGCAACAGATGGCCTGAGCAGTTTCTTCCGCAATCAAGCCCAGATGCTGTATATCAGTACTTGGCAGGTTCTCCAACTTTGTGAGACAGGTCGGCCAGGCATTGTGCGCGCCTTTGTGCTTATTGACCAGAAGATTCAAGCTCTCAACGTCAAGGTCCCCCGACAATTCTTTGTAAACTTGAAGCGTGATTCCTTGCCGGACATTGAAGTGCCAGATTGCGAGGTCGAGAAGGTGAACCACACCCTGCCCAATGGACATCCATCGGTCCATCTCTTCAAGCTGTCATTGTCCGAAGACAAATTCCTCGATGAATCGGATAAAATGGATGTCTTGTTCCAGCACCCAAGTATCGAAGGTGTCTACGAGCGGAACATCACGCCCAGCCTTCGAGCAGTGCTCAAGTTGGGAAGCCACTGTACCTTTGACGAGGAACAGCGTGGTGTCCTGGGTGATGGTTTGGAAAAAGGATTCGATCTCTCCACGCTGCTCCATACGACTTCCGACCAGCCATATCTGATGGACTCACCTTTGGCGTACCATTATCTCTACCACGTTGCCTCTGGTGATAGACAAATCTTTGCCCTCTTCTCGACAACCAAGAAGGAGGCGCATATTGTCATTCTCAACCGCACGAGAGATGTGCAGGGTTTGCCGAATGTCGACAAAATCTACGGAGAGTTGCTTTCTCGGAAGTTGCAGGATGCATCAGGCGAGGCATCGCAGAGTGCCTTTGAGTACCAGGACAAGATTCATTTCAAGACCATTCAGGTGATGACTCGACGAAAGGCTCACCTCGAAGTTGGCGATCTGGTCCGTAAGCTTCGTAGCGACGAGGCCCAACCTGCCATTCTGGTCATCCAGTCTCAACAAAAGGATCGCTTGTGCCACGACATCCCTATCCTCAAGGAGTATCCGACTTTATCCGTGAAGCCTGAAGTTTCAGACATGGATCTCCCACCGCTTGGGTGGCAGGCGTTCATCGCTCGGCGCATTGTGACACACTATCTGTACCTGGCAGCTTGGGTTCAGCACTTGACCCTGCTTGCGCGATATGGTGATGTTCCGCTTTGTAACTTGGAGACCGACGATCCTCGGTATCTCATCGATGTCGCATATGCCCGACGTCTCCAACAGAGTAACGTTGTCCTCTGGTGGTCGAACGGACCCCGACCAGACCATGCTGGCTTTGAAAAGGATGACATTGTTGGTCCGCTGGAGAAAGTCACCATGCCTGCTGTCAATACGCCGAGTGCTTACTCAACAGTGTGTATTGAGTTGGATGTGCGCAACCTCGCTATCAACACTATTCTTACCTCTTCGATCGTCAATGAGATGGAAGGAAACGATTCTCTGCTAGCGCCATCTGGAAACGGAGGGGATGACTCGGGTGTCTTGTACTCTGAGAAAGCGTTTGCATCTGCTGGCGCCTTGGTACTGCGTGAGATGGTCAAGAATTGGTGGACTGAGGCTTGCGCGGGGAACAGTATGGCCGACATTATGGTCCAGCATTTGATTCGATGGGTGGAGAGCCCTGTTTCCTGCCTCTACGATCGATCTTTGCACAACTATGTCCGGCTCCTTTCGCGCAAATCGTTCCAGCGATTGATGGCTGAGTTCAGACGAGTTGGCTCTAATGTCATCTTTGCTAGCCCGACTCGTCTTCTACTCCAGACAACCAAGACAGAGGTGGGCAATGCCTACGCCTATAGTCAATACGTTCTTAAATCGATCCGAGCCAATCCCTCGTTCCACTTCATTGACCTGGACATCAAGGAGTACTGGGACTACCTCGTCTGGTATGATGAGTACAACTACGGCGGTAAAGGATGTCGGGAGGTGGTCGAGGCCGAGAAGCAAGAGCTGGAGACCGTGATGCACTGGCAACTCAGCCGCTTCTTGCCGACACCAATGCAGACTATCTTCCATGATTGGGTTGTCGAGTATATCGAGCTCATGCACGCCGCGAAGCATCCGGATCTCCAGGAGAATGAAATTTCCTCCACGCCTCGCCTGACACAGATTCCCATTGGGAAACCCAACGATGTCGATGATGAAGGCCTAACTGCTATTCTCGCCGAGCGGTTCTCAAAGCCTTTGAAGAAGCAAATCTCTGGTCTCATCCGCCGTCAACGTGATGAGATGCTTCATCCGGAAATAGCCTCTGACTATGCCTTCCCCGTTCTCCCCGGTGTGCTCGTCGATCCCAAGGGAGACAAGCGAAACCCAGCCCTGGAGCTCGTCAAGCTGCTCATGCAGGTGCTGAGTCTGTCCAAGACCACGACACTCGAGTCTCGACTCCTGCGCCGCGAGCTTCTAGCTCTCTTCGAAGTCCGCGAATTCAGCAAAGAGGGCCGCTTCGAGAACCCTAGTGCCAATCTGAAACTGCCCGAACTCACCTGCAACGCTTGCTGTCTCATCCGTGATCTAGACCTGTGCCGTGACGAGGATGTCCTGCCTGACCCGGGCACGGACAACAACAAAGGTCCCAAACCATGGCGTTGTCCCTTCTGCCAGACAGAATATGATCGACTGGCGCAGGAAGAGATCCTCATTGGCCAGGTGCATGGCCTGGTGGTCGAATGGCAGACCCAGGATCTGAAGTGCTCTAAATGTAGCACGCTCAAGATCAGCGAGTTTATGGAGCATTGCTCCTGCAGTGGCAAATGGGCTACAACGGTTGATCTCAAGGAGACGGAGAAGAAACTGCTCGTGTTGCAGAGCGCAGCCAAATTCCACAGTCTGCAGCTGCTGGAGGGGGTGGTTGAGGAGGTGCTGGCTCGCCTATAGGAGGAATAATGGGTGGTTGACTTTTTTTTTTATCTGATGATTTCATCTTGCATGTTTTGATATGGTTGTTAGATTGTATCTCTATGGAGGTACTCTGGGCGTTTCAAAAGGTCCTTTGTTGCATGGAATTCGCATTTGGAGTTGGGGCCAAAGTTGTAAATAATCGGGACCGTTGGCGATCCTCGTCGATCCCCACGATCAATCCAACTTCTTTCTTTCAATCTTCCCCTTCCTTTGCTTTTTCTCCTATTCTCCTTTAACCCACCCCCGCCTAGCTCGCCTTTGATAATCCTCAGGCTGGAGATTATTGCACCCACTTGATATCCACAACCGAAGGACGGAGGCTGTTATAATTGAGGCGTATTTGGACCTGTGGGTTGAGGATCCCTGCCTGCACCCTGGCGGGGCTGAACCGCTTGGCTTGTTTGGCGGTTGACACCTCGCGACTCGAGACATGAGGCTGACTCTTCCATACCTCGCAGGTACATAATAACATACTCCTCTCCTCCACCTTTAACCTCATAGCTTCTTCGCCTCGTATCCAACCCGTCTTCGTGATCGCACTGGGTGTGTCTCGTCTGCGGCCTCCAATTCCCCCTCCGCATCCTTGTCCGCGGGACCTTCTCTCCACCTCAACTTCCAATGGCGCAACCACAGAGACCTCAGGTCCAGCCGTGTCGCTACAAGACTGGCAAGACGCTCGGCGCGGGCTCATACTCGGTCGTCAAGGAGTGCGTGCATATCGATACCGGTCGTTACTATGCGGCTAAGGTGATCAACAAGCGCCTGATGGCGGGGCGAGAACACATGGTAGGAGGACCTGCATTTGCTTCGCTGGCACTGCGCGCAATACTGACGGTCGCTTTTTGGGGAATTCGTTAGGTCCGGAATGAGATCGCCGTGTTGAAGAAGGTGTCTATGGGCCACCAGAATATCCTTACGTTGGTGGACTATTTTGAGACTATGAATAATTGTGTGTGGCACAAGACCTTGCGAGCTCTCCTTAGGAGAAACCGGTACCCTGAGTATTGACTGACAATACTTCCCTCTAGTATATTTGGTTACCGACCTTGCCCTTGGCGGAGAGCTGTTTGATCGCATCTGTCGTAAGGGCAGCTACTACGAGTCCGATGCCGCAGACCTCATCCGCGCCGTTCTCTCAGCCGTGGCCTATCTCCATGACCACGGAATCGTCCACCGCGACCTGAAGCCCGAGAACTTGCTGTTCCGCACGCCAGAGGACAATGCGGACCTTTTGATCGCCGACTTTGGTTTGTCCAGGATTATGGACGAGGAGCAGTTCCACGTGTTGACCACTACATGCGGTACCCCGGGATACATGGCCCCTGAGATCTTCAAGAAGAGCGGCCACGGCAAGCCAGTGTAAGTTTTGGATATTCCTATCTCCGCCGCTAGAATATGTCTTCTTACAAACATCTCTAGCGATATCTGGGCCATCGGCGTAATCACCTACTTCCTCCTATGTGGCTACACCCCTTTCGACCGGGACTCCAACCTAGAAGAAATGCAAGCCATCCTCGCCGCGGACTACTCCTTCACACCCCTCGAATACTGGCGCGGCGTCTCCCAAGAAGCTCGAAACTTCATCAACCGCTGCCTAACCATCGACCCGTCAAAGCGCATGACCGCCCACGAAGCCCTGCAACACACCTGGGTCAACCCGCCCTACGACCTGGCCAAGCTCGGTTCCGGCGAGGACCTGCTTCCAACCGTCAAGAAGAACTTCAATGCCCGGCGCACCCTGCATCGCGCTATCGATACCGTGCGCGCGATTAACAAGTTGCGTGAGGGTGGCGGGTTTATGATGGATGGGGTGATGAGTATTGACCCGAAGCCGGAGCGTGTGAATGGGCATGAGGTTGTTGAGGAGAGTCGTCATGGTACGCCTACTGCAGGTCATGGGGATGGTAGTCCCATGCAGATTGATAGTCGGGGAAATGCGCGAGGGCAGACTGAGGAGCAGATTCGGGAGCAGGAGCGGAGAGTGAAGGATATGGTCGCTGGATTGTGGAGCCGTGGGCATGGAAAATGAAGGGGATATAGTGGGTGTTGACTTCTTTTGGTACATTTTGCAGCCTTGCTTTGGATGATCTATTTTCCTGATCGTTGTTTTCAGGGGTGTTCGTTGAGGGATTTCTAAATATCATGACCCAAATGCAATGACTGATGAATTATCTGTTACGGGGAAGCTCTTGGTGGAGCGTGTGATACTGGACTCGTAGTCTGAAAGGTTCTGAAGGTGTATGTATTTCACCGAGTCTTGTCAGCTATAGGGCCCATCTATGTGCTTCTAAGATAGCCCGCTATGGACCCTGACACCAAAACACCTGAAGAGTAAGGAGTAGAAAAGTTTCATCATGGTCATTAAGCTGAGTTCTATAGAACACGGCATATGGAGGTTGTAAGAGGTACCAAAGGACCAGCAAACTCAAGCCGTATCCAGAATCTCCCGCCCATCATCCAGCGAAAGCACCCAAGTCCGCCACTCCTGCCACTCCTCATAACTCGCGCTCGCCTTAAGGCCCTGGTAACGGACTGTCCGGAAATCGGAGACTTGATCCCACGGCTTGGTACCGCTAGAACTGGCTCCAGCGCGTAGTAATCGCCGAGCAACGCCGCCTGCACCACCGTCCCAGCCTGCCTTGCGCATCAGACTCTCAACAGTCTCTTCTTTCGACCATCCTTGTTCCACGGCAACGTCGGGTAGGTATGTGGCACCGTATCGACGGCCACGGTGAATGAAGGAGATACGGATGCCATGGGTGCCGAGGGTCCAGTCCATAGCGTTGGTACATGGCTCAAATGTGCCCAGGAGAGTTAGGGAGCATGAGAGCGAGGGCAGGAGGGACTTGGGAATCGGAGAGAAGCGGGTATCGTCAAAGGCCCTATAGAATCACGGGGTGATGGTCAGTTTCGGATCAAAATCGAGGGATAGCCCAGGCTGGTGCATTGCAGTAGAAGGGAGGAGTAGGGGATCACGTACGAAGTCAAAGCGTAGGACTTCAAACCCGCTTCGAGGTCTTGTGCTTCGAATGTGCCTATGCACCCGCGCAACGACTTGTGTCCGCGGGAAACCGTGTTCCAAGTCACGAACAGCGGATATCGCTGGCCGGTAGACTTGGCTCTTGAACTTATACCCTCTGATTGCGCGCTCGGGGTCGTCACAGTCGTGCTACTAGACAAGAGCGAGTTTGACGAAGTATTTGACGCACAAGAAGGCGTCGTAGCTGTGCTGGACGAGTCAGACAATACCTGGCTTTGTAGGCGGTTGATGCTAGGTAGTTTCAAGCCATGAGGCCGGTTGGACGACCTGGTGCCCTCGGCATCGGCGTCCAAATCATTTACGGACTGCGCTATCTCTGCCTCAGCATCCTCTTGCTCCTCGTCTAGATTTTGATCTCCAAGAGACGAAAGCTTCTTAGATTGCTCATGCTGCTCCCAGAGGGTCTCTATATCAGCCAGGGAGGGGGGCTGGCGATCCTCAAAGGAGGCCAACAGGCTTTCAAAGCAATAGAAGCACTGGGCGGTGTTTGCCATAACTGCAAGAGCTTTAACTGGTGGTGTGGTGGATTCCAGTAAGCTTGAGAAATTCAAGACAAGAGACGGTAAACGCACTGCAGCACCGTATCAGATCCCCGGAACAACCACGAGTCTGGTGAAAGGGACCTCCGCAATGGCCCGGGCACCCAGATAAGATGAGGGGGAGGGTCTTATCGCGAAGCAGGTGGGGCGGCGTAACGGACTCGAAAGCAGGACCGAGGTGATCTGAACGGAGGCGATGGAAGCTGTAGCACGAGGACGAGAGAACGAAGTATGAAGGTGGGCAAAACGAAAGCAGCAAAGAAAACAAAGGACCGAGGACGAAGGTCATGAAGTCGGCACAAACCTGGCGGAGGCGTGACTTGGGAGGCTACACGTGACGGGTCGTTCCTGACTGACCGCCCATCCCAGATGGACATGCTAATAATGAGGCAAATAAGTTGAAGACGTACTTGATGAATACCTGGAAAGAAGAAAAATTTGATGGTTCAACCATTTTATGGTTGTATTTGATTTCAAGAGTGGTGATGTACAGCAAAGTAGTACAGCAAAATCAAGAGGCCCACGCGCCGGATTCATGTTGAACTTTTTGTCTCTCCTGAAAACCATGTTCCTCTCGCTGTTGAAGAAGCGCAGAGGTGTGAAGAAATTGCTCGTTTCGCATGCTCATCATTAAACAAAATCAAACAGAAATTACCAAAATCCCAGATGTCCCTAAGGTTGAAAAAGCAGACCTGTATATAATAAAACCCCATGTAACGCACCGTGTGGTATTCACATCTCCCGACGCTTCGCAGATGATGTTGAACTCGCGAGATCTCAAGTTGATTAGATGATCTCTCTTCGTAACTTTCATATTCATATCCAAAAAATCCACCCTCTCCTAGTTAATCATTTTCTGATTAACTTAGACGGGGAGGGGGTAGGTGCTGGCCCAGGCAGCGATCTCCTTGCGGAGCTCAAGGATCTCGGGGACGGTCTCGGAGGCAACCTTGGCCTTGAAGTCCTTGAGCTTGTTGGCCTCCTTGGGGAGCTCGCTCTGGATCTTCTTGCAGAGGTTGATGGACTGATCAATGTAGCCAGCAATGCGCTTGAAGTCGTCCTCACCCATGCCACGGGAGGTCATGGCGGGGGCACCGATACGGATACCGCAGGGGGTGAGAGCGGACTTGTCACCAGGGATGGAGTTCTTGTTGCAGGCAATGTTGATCTGCTCAAGAACAGCCTCAACACGGGCACCATCCAGGCTCTTGGGGCGCAGGTCCACGAGAACCATGTGGCTGTCAGTGCCGTCGGACACGAGCTTGTGGCCGAGGGCCTTGAACTCGTTCTCGAGAGCCTTGGCGTTCTTGATGACGAGCTCCTGGTACTGCTTGAACTCGGGGGTGTCAACCTGCTTGAGGGCAACAGCCAGAGCAGTGATGGTGTGGTTGTGGGGGCCACCCTGGTGGCCGGGGAAGACAGAGAAGTTGATGGGGCCCTCAAGGTCGTACAGAATCTCCTTGCCGGTCTTGTCGGTGCTGCGGACACCCTTGCGGAAGAAGATCATGGCACCACGGGGACCACGGAGGGACTTGTGAGTGGTGGTGGTGACAACGTCGGCGTACTCGAAGGGAGAGGGGATAACGCCAGCGGCGATCAGACCCGAGATGTGGGCCATGTCAACAACAAGGTAGGCACCAACCTTGTCGGCGATCTGGCGCATACGCTTGTAGTCAATCAGACGGCAGTAGGCGGAGGTACCGGCAACCAGGATCTTGGGGCGGTACATCTCGGCATTAGCCTCGAGGGTGTCATAGTCGATGATACCGGTCTCCAAGTTGACACGGTAGGGGAAGGTCTCGAAGTAGGTAGAGACAGCAGAGATCCTGTCAAGCATTGATTAGATCCGTTGACCCCATGAAACTTTTCATCATCAATGTTATGTATGACTCACTTGCGGGAGGGGGTCTGGTAACCGTGGGACAAGTGACCACCGTGGGGGAGATCAAGACCCATGAGACGGTCGTGAGGACGCATCAGAGCCTGGTAGACCTGCAGGTTGGCAGGGCTGCCGGAAAGGCACTGGACGTTGACACCCCACTTGGCGGGGTCCAGGTTGAAGGCCTTGAGAGCACGGTTCTGGCAGGTAATCTCAATGGCATCAATGTGCTGGTTGCCACCGTAGTAACGGGCACCGGGGTAACCCTCGGAGTACTTGTTGCACATGGGGGAGCCAAGAGCATCGAAGACAGCACGGGAAGTGAAGTTCTCCGAGGCAATCAGGACAATGGACTCACGCTGACGCTGAATCTCGTTCGCCTGGATAAGACAAGGACACGGGTCAGTACGAAGGTCGGGATTGGATGTCATCATCTGACACCATTGACCAGCAGGTCAACACAATTGGATGGGTACATACCATGATCTGGGCGACCTCAGGGTCAGACTCCTTGAGGGAGTTGTGCATTTGCTGTTTTGCGGGATGAGTCAATGATGTGATCTGGCTATGGGTGGGGGACCTGATAGAGCACTCACGTCCTTGTGGGACTCGGAGAGAGCGTAGGAAGACATTGTGAATGATGTGATTATCCTTGGGGGAGGACTGATCTGAAAGAAGGAGGAGGGATAGAGGAGATATAAGAAGTCGGGGATGGCGAGAGAAGAAAAAAAGCTGAATGGTGGGGGGAGGGGCGGAGGGATCTGCCGGGTGCCTCAGGCCACGAGAAAAGCACGAAGGTTCGACGATATCGGAGACTTTGGCCGGATCGGGTTGGGGGGTCCTGGTCCGGTAAGCAAAAGGACTCTAATTCCATCGCGTAACCGTTGCAAGGTCGAAAGATGGCAGTTTCTATGTCTATGGCAGGAGATGACAACCGATTCTTTTTCTTGGGTTTCCGATGTGATATGTACAGAGATCTCGTAAATAGATGCTTGCTAATGTCATATTGGGTATTCCTTTCCATAACGCCAAAAAAAAGAAACAAATAGAAAAAAAGAGAGACAGCTGCAGCGAGTATGCACGCTGTTTATTTTATGGCCATTGACGGCTCCTCTCCAGACCCTCTCTCCCCGCAGTTTCAGCTGGCTGTTATCTCGACACGGCCCTTATGAGAATTCTTTGCTCGATTTCTAAAGTCTGAAATCACAGCACGCAGGCGAGCAACACGGTCCTCAAGCTCCGCAATCTCGGTCTTCTGCTCTTCCACGGACCGGTCTACATCTGGAAGGGCTTCCACCACTGCTCGCGCTTTTTGTATGCGAATCCTGACTGAGCTGGTTGCGGTGGGGAGATCTTTCACGTCGAGGGGTGGGACACCATTGGAATCGTGGACAGGGACCTCCGGGATAGCTTGCGATGTTGCAAGATTATTGTTGTCACCTCCGGGGATGCTTGACGGTGCCTGCTGTTGTTGCACCTGTGCGTCCGCCGAGGCCCCCAGAGCTCCTGTGGTCTCTCCAGAGACACCAGTTGGCCCAGTTTGAGCGTTTTTAGGAGATAGCAAGCGAAGAAGAATGCCGTGTAGGGGTGGGACGATCTCAAAGGTCTGGGGTGGAGGGAAGGGAACTGTTTCTGGGGTCTCGGACGCGTCTTTCAAAGGACTCTCGGGCACAGTCGAGGATTTTGGCAGCGGCGTGGCTGCTGTCGGGGATCTCGAAGCCATTGCGGATCTTCAAGCAGATTGGCGCTCGGGAAGGACGTGAAAAAACGATTGGAAGCCGGGACTGGGGTAAAGTGTTTAGGGAAGAGTCGGAACGCAGGGTGACGTCGGGCTGTCGGGGCCAGACAACCAAAAGCGTCACCGGGGAACTGCCCCTCCTTTCACCGGCCAGCCAATTTTCGCTCTGCTCTGCTCCCTCGTTCACCTTTTCTTTCCTCTCCTTATCGTCTGAAAAGTAAGCAACAAAAGACCCAATTCGAACCATTTCTCCTCTTTAGGCCAGCCATTGATTCGTGATCTAGGTGTAATTACACGCATACACCCCCACCATGGCTGCGGTCGACCATAAAGTCGCTTTGAGTATGATCAGCTTGTTCCCCAGGTCCCCAGATTCACCCCGAGCTAATGCGACCTTGTAGTTGTTATCGATGGCTGGGGTATCGCTGGACCCAACTCCCCTCCCGAGGGTGATGCCATCGCTGCCGCCGAGACCCCATACATGTCCGGTTTCGCCGAAGCCAACTCCAAGACTGCCCAGGGCTACACAGCGCTTGATGCCTCGTCGCTTGCCGTCGGCCTTCCCGAGGGCCTCATGGGTAACAGTGAGGTCGGCCACTTGAACATTGGTGCCGGTCGTGTCGTCTGGCAGGACAGCGTCCGCATTGACCTGACTCTCAAGAACGGCGAGCTGAACAAGGTAGGAAACATTGTCAAGGCGTTCACCCGTGCCAAGGAGGGCAATGGCCGTCTGCACCTGTGCGGTCTGGTCTCTGATGGCGGTGTTCACTCGAACATCACCCACCTGTTCGGCCTGCTCGAGGTCGCCAAGGAGATGCAAATCCCCAAAGTGTTCATCCACTTCTATGGTGATGGCCGTGACACCGACCCCAAGAGCGCTGGCATCTACATGGAGCAGCTGCTGAACAAGACCAAGGAGCTTGGTGTTGGTGAGATTGCCACCGTTGTGGGTCGTTACTACATTATGGACCGTGACAAGCGCTGGGAGCGTGTCGAGGTTGGCATGAAGGGTATGATCACTGGCGAGGGCGAGGACAGCTCGGACCCGCTTCAGACCATCAAGGAGCGCTACGAGAAAGGCGAGACCGATGAGTTCTTCCAGCCCATCATTGTTGGCGGCAAGGAGCGCCGGGTGCAGGGTACGATTTCCAAAGTCAACATAACAGGCTCAACTACGATGCAGAAACTAACTTGGCAACAGATGACGATACCCTCTTCTTCTTCAACTACCGTTCGGACCGTGTTCGTGAGATTACCCAGCTCCTGGGTGACTACGACCGCTCCCCTCGCCCGGACTTCCCCTACCCCAAGAACATCTCCCTTACCACCATGACCCAGTACAAGACCGACTATACCTTCCCCGTTGCCTTCCCTCCTCAGCACATGGGTAACGTTCTTGCTGAGTGGCTCGGCAAGAAGAACCTCCAGCAATGCCACGTCGCTGAGACCGAGAAGTACGCCCACGTCACATTCTTCTTCAACGGTGGTATTGAGAAGCAGTTCCCTGGTGAGGTCCGCGACATGATTCCCTCGCCCAGGGTTGCTACCTACGATCTTGATCCCAAGATGAGCGCCGCTGCCGTCGGCACCAAGATGGCCGAGCGCATCAGCGAGAACAAGTTCGACTTCGTTATGAACAACTTTGCTCCTCCCGACATGGTCGGCCACACTGGTGTGTACGAGGCTGCCATTCAGGGTGTTGCCGCCACCGATAAGGCCATCGGTGAGATCTATGAGGCTTGCAAGAAGCACAACTACATTCTCATGATCACCGCCGATCACGGGTAAGTTCACTTGAAATAAACTCGATGACACGGTTGAAGATCTAAATACTAACGAAATTTCACAGTAACGCCGAGGAGATGCTCAACGACAAGGGCACCCCCAAGACCTCTCACACAACCAACTTCGTTCCCTTCGTCATGGCCAATGCCCCCGAGGGCTGGAGTCTCGCCAAGGACGGTGGTGTGCTGGGTGATGTCGCCCCTACTGTTCTTGCTGCCATGGGCATCGAGCAGCCCGCTGAGATGACCGGCAAGAGCTTGCTCGTCAAGGCTTAGAAGGATATCTTTCCTTCTCATATACGAGTCTGGCTACGAAAACGAATCAATGAATGGATATATCGAAATGTTGATACACTGGATGTAGAAAATAGATGGCCTCAGTTTCAAGTTTAGCTAGCTTTCAATCGGATTGAACATGGGATTCAATTAATTTTAATTGATTGGCTCTGCGATCGGCTTCTAGTTTTTTGTTATCAAAGCTCCATGGGTATATCTCTCTCGGCAAGTTCTGCCGTTCTCATCTAGCATGAAGGGACTGGGACTCCCTCTCACGCACTGATACAAGTGGTCATCCTGCATCTTGATCATCTCCTTTGCTCCCCTCGGTTTTCTGCCAGTCTTCACAAGGAATTCATAGGACCGAATTGACAGCTCATCCATCATCGAATGTGGCTGGAATGGTCGTTGGTTGGTTCAAATTCCATGCCAAGATAATATCTCTATCGTATCTCATCGACATCAAGTTTCAAGCTTAAGCGGAGGCCTGCCCAGCTTGCTGCTGGACCTGGCTTTGAAATTGTACAATCTAGACATAGGATATTCAGCATATTGTTATAGCGGGGGAACGTGAAGGGCCTGTTGATACCTCTGTGCGCTTCTTCTCACTAGTCTCCTGCTTCTCTTCGATCTCCTTCTCGATGCGCTTGCTGTAATGACGAGTTAGCAAATGGAAGCCCCGCGAAAGCAGACCGAGACACCCACATCTCCTTCTCGATGAACTCCAATCGGCCGCTGACGGCCATGACGGCCTCCGTCTTATCCTGCTTCAAGAGCACAGGGCCGACGAGCTTGTAGATGTTGGAATCGTCATCGAGCTGGGCGAATTCGCTTTGAACACCCTGGTTCTCTTGCTGCTGCGACTCCAGCTTCTGGCGGGCATCGACCAGACCCTCGAGCTCTGAATGAGCCAAAAAGATTAGCTATCATTGTTGATAAGAGAAAGTACTTCATTCTGGTCACTTACCGGTCTGCAGCTGTTGGAACTCGTCCGAAAGTGCCTGAAGCTTTTTCTGAGCGTCCATGGCGTTGGTTGGCGGGGAGGTGGGAGAAGGGAAAAGCGATCGCCTGTTGCCCGCCCGTCAACACCGATCTCTCTCTCCTCCTCCTCCTCCTCACACAACCCCTCCGATCTCATCATCCACGTCCGCTTCTGCAACACCCTCGCATTTCCTCATTGCTGGAATCTCTGACCTACAATTCGCCTTTGATACGCCACTATCTACCGTTTGAACCGCTGCCTAGACCAAACCGACCACCCCTGCGTCTCCCCTCCTCTCCCCGCTTCACCTCTCCGCGGTTGACTTGCCACTCCACCGAGCCGTGACCAGCCAGGCAGAACTCCACCGACCAGCATGAGTAACACGGACTTTTTGGGGCGGGCGATTGACACGGTCAAGAAGGCCATTGAGAATGACAATGAGGGCGAATACGAGAAGGCTTATCAGCTGTACTACTCCGCATTGGAGCTGTTCATGCTGGCGCTCAAGTGGGAGAAAAACCCGAAGTCCAAGGAGATGATTCGCGCCAAAACGGGCGAATACATGGACCGCGCCGAGAAGCTGAAGAATCATCTGGCTTCAGCAGGAGATAAAAAGAAACCAAGTGCCGTGGGCGCGAATGGAAAGGTCGCGCCAGGTAGTGGGAAAGGGTATGATCTGCCCATTATGGCCTATCCAGCCTGCACTTGGCAGTCGCGTTGAGAAGACATGTCTATCAGTGTCGCCAGCGACGAGTGCTGCTTGTGATTGTTTTGCGCTGACTATGTTTTGGAATAGGAACCAGGAGGACGACAATGGCGAGGATGCGGAGGCCAAGAAGCTCCGCTCGGCCCTCCAGGGTGCCATCCTGTCAGACAAGCCGAATGTTAAGTGGGAAGATGTTGCTGGTCTAGAGAGCGCGAAGGAAGCCTTGAAAGAAGCCGTCATTCTCCCCATCAAGTTCCCGCATCTGTTTACTGGCAAGCGGCAACCTTGGAAGGGCATTCTGCTCTACGGGCCTCCCGGTACTGGAAAATCCTATCTTGCAAAGGCTGTTGCGACCGAAGCGAATAGCACCTTCTTCAGCGTCAGTAGTAGTGACCTAGTATCGAAGTGGATGGGTGAAAGTGAAAGGTAGGGAAACAAGCCCAGATTGGCAGCCCGTTATGACGCATAAGGCTTACAGATTCGTGCAGACTTGTGAAACAACTTTTTAATATGGCCCGCGAGAATAAGCCAGCCATTATTTTCATTGATGAAGTCGATGCGCTGTGTGGGCCACGTGGAGAAGGTGAATCAGAGGCCTCTCGGCGTATCAAAACCGAATTGCTCGTCCAAATGGACGGTGTCGGAAAGGACTCTAAGGGTGTTCTAATCCTGGGCGCGACCAACATTCCCTGGCAGCTGGATGCTGCTATTAGGCGACGATTCCAACGCCGTGTTCACATCAGTCTTCCGGATTTCAATGCGCGGATGAAGATGTTCATGCTGGCCGTGGGCTCGACACCGTGCCACATGACGCAGGCGGATTACCGGACATTGGCCGAATTGAGCGAAGGCTACTCCGGTAGCGATATCAGTATTGCCGTGCAAGATGCGCTGATGCAGCCCATTCGCAAGATCCAAACGGCGACGCATTATAAAAAGGTTCGTTGTCTGTCTGTCTCACCTTTTTGGTCTCGTTGCTTACACTACGTTCTTTTTCTAGGTGACTGTCGAAGGTGTCGAGAAGCTTACTCCATGCTCACCAGGTGATGCCGGCGCCGTTGAGATGACCTGGCTTAGCATTGAAGCAGAGCAACTCTTGGAGCCCCCACTTATGCTGAAGGACTTCATCAAGGCTGTTAAGAACTCCCGGCCCACCGTCAGCCAGGAAGATCTTACAAGGAATTCGGAGTGGACCAAGGAGTTCGGCAGTGAAGGAGCGTGATCTATGTCTGTCATTGTTTCCGTCGTTGATATTCCCATCGTGTTCACTTGCATATGCTTCCTGCCCAGCTCCGCTGTTCATACGTTTGGGGGCTTCCCGGGTACGTCTGCATTCATCTCGAAGGGAGGGCATAACATGGAATAGACCGTGTTTTATCCGAAGTTTCATATTCGTTCGACCTTATTTTGCTTTGGTCGATACCATTGCTTGTTGGTGTTCAGAAGCGGTTTCATTTTGGTCTGCTTTTCAAGTATTTTGGCAATGGCGAGGCGTTGTTTGAGCAAATATTCATGTGTCTATTCTGGCGGGCTTCGGCTCGAGGAAACGGTAAAGCATGGCACACATACTATATCACTTCTACCTTGTAAATCGCCCAGCTATAAATCCAGTATCCTCAATACCTAAAGCTGTATCCATGTGGGCCCGGGCGCACGAAAACTACTCTTTCCCTTCACGCATGTCAAAGGTCTTAGGGGGATATTCTCCAATGATCAATTTTTAACTACAGCCTCATGATATTCGGATCACCCAGTCCATACCAGAGTGAATATGCTCGACCTCAAAACCCAAACTGCAAACACCTTTAACGAAAGCATCATACCAAGTCCCTGGAAAAAGAAAAAAACAACATTTATAGGAAACAGACATGTCGGGGAATCTCTCGTGGCAGTAGGGCAGAAGAAAGACGCTAGAAAATGAGATAAAACAAAGGACTCGGAAAAAACATCAACACGTGAAAAGGAACGCATGCAAACTATTGGCCAAGTAGACTCTTATTGGAGCTCTCGCGGCGCTTGAGCATTTCACTCTTGGCTCGTTTCAAGCCCTCGCCGAGCTTCTTGGTTTGTCTCCATGCCTGGCCCATCCTTTGCATACGGACAGTAGCCTTGACTAGTGAGATGGCAGTTTTGAGCTTGCGGCGAGGTGTTCGGGTAGGATTGCGGTCACGGGCTTGAACACCCATCTCGGAGATCATGCGAAGGTCGGCCTCGTTACTGTGGTAGAGTCAAGTTAGTTGAAAGTTCATGATGCAAAGATGGGAGTAGACAGGCGTTACTAACCATGCAACGCGGACGCGTTCGCCAAGCTCCATCAGGCCCTTGCTCCAGGCCAAGTCACTGCGGAATTTCTCCTCCCGCCGTAGGCGGGCACGGAGCCATATGATTTCCTTGCCTAGACCACGCATCTCTTTCTCATGTTGACCTTTTGTGGAAGCCTTTGAGTTGGACACCTTCTTGAGCGCCTCGTCGTACCGTTGTTGGAGGGTGACCAACTCCTTTGTAGCAGACTCGGCTTTGCGAGCACAGAAGGCTCGCTCCTCACGGATTCGGTGGAGCTGATTCTTGAGCTCATTCAACCGAGAATCTCGTTCGGAGACCTTGAGAGCTAAGGCCTCCGCTTCAAGAGTTGACGACTTGAGAAGCTCATGAAGATCTCTTTGGTCCTCCTCTTTCATCGCGGCACGCTCCAGATCCCGATTCTTGACTTTGATCTCCTTGAGGGATCGATGGGCATCGGAAAGCTGCTTCCGCAGATTTCGCAGCTCCTCATGGAGTTTGTTAGATGGCGAATCTCGCGGCGAGTGAGAATCAAACTTGTTTATCATTGCCTGGTGGAGGTCTCGCTCTAGATCAGCAACTCGCGACTTCAGCGTACGCGCGGAGGCTTTCTGTTCGGCCTCACGCTGCAGAAGAATCTTCTCCCGTTTGCGAGCCTCGTCGAGACTATGCCGGATCAGAGAAAGATCTCCGTGAGTGCCAGACTGCTCAGTCTCAATGGCAGGCTGTTGGTGTTGAAGAAGGGCCTCTAGCTCTTGAATGCGTCGCTCAAGACGCTGGACCTTAGTCTTGGCGGTAGTCAATTCGCGATCTCGGTTGCCTGAGCCTGCAAGGAGCTTATCCTGAAGACGATCAATCTCGGCTGAAAGGCGGCCCTCTTCCGCAGTAGCCCGGTCAATTTCAGCCCCGAGTTGCTTTTCGAGAGTATCTTTGGCTTCCAATAGGGCGGCCCGGTCATCTCGCAAACGCTTCACTTCATTCTCAAGTCGAGTTGCTGTCCTGCGAAGTTCAAGTTTGTCGCGGTCAAAGCGAGTGGTATCATCCGCGTTCTCGGGACGACTAAGCTGAGCTTGGAGTTCGTCACGTTCGGCTTCGACCTCGCCAATAGAAGTTCGCAAGTCATGTAGCTCTACGTGAGCATTCGCAAGCTGATCGCGAAGGGTCTGTCTGTCGGAAATGGCTCTTTGCAGTTGAACCTCCACCTCAGACGACCCCTTCTGCATGCGACCTTTGGCATATTCCTGCTCGTCGGCTAAGCTCGATTGCAGGACAATCACCTCGTCCTCCAGAGCCTGGACCTTCTCCTTGAGTGACTGCTCCTCGCGCCGAGACAAACGCAGCTCTTCTCTGACAGTAAGAAGGTCATTACGCTGTTCATCCAAAATATCTCTCTTCTGAGTAAGCTCATCACCGAGGTCTTTGATTTGGCGGTTGAGCACAGCTTCTTCCTGCAGATGGCGTTGTTTCTCACTGTCGATGGCCCCCTGCAATTTAAACTCCTTTCCGGAAAGGGTGTGCTCTGTCTCCTGGAGCTTTTCGATGGTTCGCTTGAAGCCAGCTGCTTGTTCCTCCGCACGCTCCCTTTGAGATTGTAAGGTCCGCTTGGCGCTTTCCCATCTATCCTGCTCCAAGGCAAAGTGACCTTCCTTGTCTTCGATCTCGTGTTGAAGAGCCTCGATCTCATCTTGAAGTCGATTGATCTCCACCTTGTGTTGCCAGCGCTGGTTCTGATTGTCCTGAGCACGGGTTGTGGCCTCCTCGACTGCCTTTTGGAGTTCACGAATCCGAGATTGTGCTCGAGTTAGCTCAGATTGTAAGCCACCAGACTCGTCGGTCAGTGCATGGTGTCGGGTTTGAAGGAGTTCCTTCTCTTCGGTCCGCCGCTGGACGTTGTCGAGGGCTTCTTGCAGCTGAGCAGAGGTTCTTTCAAGCTCATCGCGGAGTAGGTCTCGCTCACGCCTGGCAGATTCAAGGTCTTCGCCTAATTTCCCAGCGTCGTTCCTGAGGTCTTGTTGAGCGGTCTGATAACGCTCCTCGAGGCGAGTCACAGTTTCCGTCTTGCTATCAACCTCTGCCCTAAGATTGTCGTTGGCCAGCCGTAAGTCTTGGACTTCCTCCTCAAGCTTGTCGGCTCTCTCCTCCAGTTGTCGACTGAGGCCCCTTGTAGTGAAGGATTTATCTGCCATCTCATCTTGGAGCTCGCGAAGATCGTCTTCGGCGCGATTCTTCTCGTCCAGCGCGTTTTTGACAGCAGCATCCGCTTCTTGAGCCTCTGATCTAACCTGCTCAAGTTCGTCCTGTAGTTCTTGGATCTGTTCCTTTGCACGTTCGAGTTCGAGTTGGAGTTCTGCTCCTGCGTCATTCTCTCTGCGATTCTCTCGTAGCTCCTCTAGTTCTTCGTCGCGTTCGTCGATCGCTCGGTCCTTTTCACGTACAGTAGCCTCGAGGTCTTCAACGTCGTCCCGGAGTTTTTCGATCTCTTGAGATTGACTGTCTTTGGCGAGCCTCAACTCTTCCCGAAGTTCCGTCAGCTCGTTGTCTCTTGATTCAATCTCCTCCCGCATGAGGTCCATTTCACGCTGAACTTCCTCATCGGTTTGTCTCCGCCGAGCCTTATCCCTCATTACTATGAGTTGTTGTTGATAGTCCTCCAAGTCGCGCTCTGCTTGTTGCAAACTCTTCTTGTACCGGGAAATATCGCGTTGCATTGTCAATCTCAGGACTTTGAGCTCGGTATTCTCTTTGAGGGCCGCACTGTTGTATTCGGGTCCAGCTTTCTCGAGTTGTTCCTCCAAGTAGTGAATCTTGAGTTTGAGGTTCCAATTGTCTTTATCGAGACGGTCGATGATCTGTAAAGTTTAGTGCAAGTTCTCTGGGTATTTAAAGTGTGCAAGACATACCCGCTCCTGCTCCTTCAAGGTCATGTTCTGTCCATCTCCCAGCACACCTCTCCCGTCGCGCCCCAAAAGAGACGGCATTGGCGTACTTTGAGCGCTGCTGCTGGCAGCCACTGGAAGAGGTGTAGGCTCATCTGCCGTCGCGTCCTCCTCGTAAATATCCGACATGTCGATGGGAGGTAAACCTGGAGTGTGAGCAGCACCTCGGCTACTTTCGCGCAGGTATGCTGGTGTCTTCGGGTCGTCCGCCCCTCGATTCATAGACGCATTTCTTAAGTAATTGTTCTTCGTCGCGCTTCGCATAAGCGGCGTGAACTCGCCCCTAGCAGGTCCACCTGTTGGAAGTTGCCTCAACACGCTTCTCGAGGACTTTGTCGCGGCACTGGCGCGCGGTGTGCCCATATTGGAACCTCCCGAGACGCGTTTTCGCCCGTCTCCAAATCCTTTGATCACATCATTGTCCTTGGAGGGCGTAGCAAACGAATTTTCGACTGAATCGAGCGCTGAAAGGTGTGTTCGCCCCGCGCTGCGGAAGCCGTTGGTGAGGTAAGTCGCGTTTCCGTCGTATTCGGTGCGCGGCGTGTCAATATATGGGAACGCCATTGTGCCAAAGCCGTGTGGCGGATATCCAAAACCATTCAACACGCGATCATCACCGTTAAAACAAGGGAAAATGGTGGGAAGCGCCTGAACTGGCCGTGTTGTGTCGAGACCCAACAAGCAGAGAGTCGGAGACTGTTGATGTCTAACCTGATTAGGACTAGTGCACGAGTCACGAGTGGGTCGCGACTCTCGCCGCTTTTTTCTTTTTTGCGGAATGCCATGAGGTCATGGTTGCTGATGCGCTGTAAATGCAACCTCATCGCAAAATCATGGCGACCGAAGAAGACATCGCGTGGTTTCAATCCACTTTTCGTCCTATTCCGAAACCTGAGCTTCCTGACGATTCGGTCGAATATTTCATTTACCACCTACCCTCCCCCGCCCCCGCCGTTTTCGACGAAGCCGCGGAGGCTCGAGCGCGATTGCTGGAAGTACAGCGCACTGCTGCTGAATTAACGAAGGAGCTTCTGAAAGATTATATCTGGCAGCGTGAGAGCTTTCGCCTGGAGATAAGCAAAGAAAATGGTAAGAGGACCCCTATTCCCCCCAACTCACAGCCTTTTTTGCTTCTCAATTCCCCGCCGCGGCCGCTGATTGCAGAATCAGGCATTACCGCGCTACATGGACGTACCAACTACGGGGACTCTATTGAGGACGAATGGGTAATTGTCTATCTTCTTCGGGAGTTGACAAACCGGCATAAGGATATTTGGGTAAAGGTTGTGGATAGCGATGGCGAATTCTTGCTTGTCGAGGCCGCCGGCACACTTCCTGCATGGCTGGAGCCCGAGGTTGCAGACAATAGGGTGAGTTATTGATTTTGTGGATGCTCTTATTAGGCTTCGGGAACATAATTAACTAACTGGACGTTGATTAGGTCTGGATTCATCAAGGACAGCTCCGGATTATCAAGCCAAAGCAAGACAAGGGTCGAAGAGTCACCGAAAAGCTTACGCTCGCCGACGCAAGGAAGGTTATACAGAATGAGCCAGATCGTTTCATGAAGTCAACAATAATTCAAGAAGAGGCATTTTACCGACTGCGCAATTACCCCAAGCAGATTACCGAGAACCTCCACTCCGCGATCCTCACAATCCCACGCAAGGTCGCCTTCCTCCTCCATCAAAAGCCAGCGTACATATCCCCTGCAGTGGAGGCGTTTTATATCCGAGACCCGATCGCTCTACGACCGCTTCGAACGAAGGATGCCTCCGAACTTACCTTCAGCCCTGATGACTTGGTCACCGTGAGCGTTAGATTCACACGAGTTGGATATGCTCAGTTGAAAAGCCAGGAATTCCCAGTTCCAAGCAGTTGGGCGCCCAAATTGCCGCTGATGGATGATGAAAAAGCATTCGCTCGCGCCGAAGCGGGGATGAAGCTTGCCTGTGGCTTTGAAATGCTGCTCCACGATCCTCACCACCAAGACAAAGCCTCCGTCCGAGAAATGAAGCTACTTCTAGAGGACATCGAGACTGGAGACGAGCAGCTTCCTACCGATGAGGAAATTGAAAAGTCTTGGGACAAACGGGAAGATAGTGAGAAGTGGATGGACATCAACTTTGAGGATCTGGACAGAGAGCTCAAAGGAAGGGGAAAATCCAGCGAGAAGACTGGGGGTGATTTTGGTGATGCAAGCGCGCAAGAAAATCTGCAGCGAATCGTGGCTCGCTTTGAGGAATTCCTAAACGACAACTCGGCAGGCTTCGAAGGAGCAGACTTTATCGACGATTTCGATTCCGACTCAGATGTTGACGAGGACGATGAAGATGATGAGCTCAGTAGCGATGGGGAAGACAAAGATGCCTCTTTTGACGAGGAAGAGTTCTCTCGAATGATGAAAGAAATGATGGGCATGCCGTCTGGGTCTGGCCAGGGTCCGGATATCTCTACGCCTCTGCGTAACCGGATCAAAGAGCTAGACGACCTTGAAGAAGAGGAGGATGATACCGAACAGATCAAGGAGTTGTCACGGCAGATGGAAGCTGAACTTAAAGGAACCGGTGTGCTTGATCTTCACAAACACCAACAGAAACTGGCCACTGGGGCGAGCTCCAAGGGCAAGACGGCAGTGTCATCCAATTCCGAACTTGAGGTGGATGACGAGGATGACGACGTCAATATTAACCTGGCAAAGAATCTGCTTGAAGCTCTTCAGGGTCAGGCAGGTGCAGCTGGTCCAGCCGGAAACATGTTGTCCATGTTGAACCTCCGTATGCCTAAAGACGACCGCCGTTGAAGAACGTTATTGCAAGCAACAACGCCGCTGCTTAAGATTTTAGAACTTCTCTCTTTCCGACTGGGCAAATGTTCTCCAGCCCTGCACCGAAGCCAATTTGCTTGACGATACATCGTACAGTCAACACTTGGCAAGGGGAGGGCCTCACCCTCTGAGAACGGTAGGCTTGGACTTGAATGGCAATCCATTAGGATCGTCTGCGGATCTGCAAATTGATACAGTGCCAGCATTATTGTGTGACGAGTGCCAGTGTCACATTTGCTCAGCGGGTCTTATCTTAGTCCTCGTGATGAAAGTAGCCAACGAAGCCTTTTCACAAGTGGCTGCTCACACATCGCCACGGACCGAAGGCCCAGAAGGCAGGTCTAGACTCGACTTCTCTGAAATGTCTTCAAATCGGACCGGATGAACGATGGCCTCGATTTAGGTCTCTGCAATTATCAATTCACGTCCAGCGAGGTATTTGTTTTTTGCCCGATTTGGGAAAATTAGCTAGTTCAACGGCAGTCTTATGCTAAAGGTAAATCCAACACTCGGTCATCGTTCAAATTTCCTCTTGTAAAGACGAGAACCTACCCTCGAGTTGGGGATTGCCCGGCTAGTAGGTCTAATTCCAGGGTCCAAAATGGTGGACCCTTCCTTCTACCCCGCGTCAAAATATGTTCCTGTCCGCGAAGTATGGAAACTGTATGAGCTTATGGAAGCCTGTCCACATCCGACGCCGAGATCTATCCGACTCCCTTTCGAATGTAAAAAGTTATTAAAGATCATGGAAACCCTAGATGTCTAAAGAGACATCCACAATTGACTTGGAAGTCCCCATCATCATCGGCTGTCAGCATAGGTGGTCCGTGCATATTTGAGTCTGTGAAGCTGACGCCCCTCCAGAAAGATTGAACCACGGTTCTAATCTGGAATCTTGGACATATCTGGGCGATCGACCAATTGCGACGGATTAGATTGTATAAAATTCGAGTTTTGGTTCACGCTGTAACACACACACATACACTCAATTGGCTCCGTCCTTCTACTCCGGTCACACATGCCTCCATCATGCCGCATATCCTACCCGCAAAGTAATTTGTCCCTCCCGTGGAGTTCGTATACCGAAAACGAAAAGCTAACCTTGTTTGCGGTCTAGTTCCAGTCTCGAGGATGAATGCTACAATGCGATTCGCAAGTTCTTCGATGATCTCGAGGCCGACGAAACTGCCTTGTTCGAGGCTACTACCAAATCGCAACAGCTATTAGATGATCTTCAAGATGTTGACAATAAACACAAGGCGTCGATCTCAAGAAAGATCGCTCCGAAGTTGAAAGTCTTCGTTGCTGGTGTTGAACAGTTTGGATCGGCCTTGGATATCGTCGCAGGATCCGTCTCGCTAATGAGCCCTATTTGGGCTTCAATTCGTGTTGTTCTCAAGGTCAGCACTTGCCCAGACTATCCAAATACATGGAAATACATGGGAATATTTTCTAAACAGTGAACTTATTCTTGGTTTTAATACAGCTTGCGGGTGACTATAGCGAGTATTTCGACAAGATTTCAGACATGCTCGAGGAGATTGGCTATATCCTTTCCTGTCTTCGACGATATCCACGCCTGTACCCCGATAATCAGATTATATGCGAGTCAATGGTAGAGATCTTCCAAGCGATTATCCAGTTTTGTACCAGAGCTCGAGATGTTTTCCACCAGGGGAAGAAACACCAGACCGGCATCAGAGCGTTGAATCCAGTCGGCCTTCACGCAGCGTGGAAACTCATCTGGAAGCCCTTCAAGCTTCAATTTGGTGACATCATGGATCAAATCAGATCCTCCCTAACCAGAATTGACCATGAAGTCGACATTGCAGAGAAGGAGCTCGCCAACAAGGAGAGAAGCAAGGCAGAGCAAGAACGCCAGCTGCAAACATCTCGCTGGGATGCACTTCAATCGCACCAAAAGTCAGTCACTGAATTTATCGACCAGCAGCGGATCGATTATGTGAACCAATGGCTGTCACCCGTCAATACCGCTTCAAATCATACCTCAGCTACAAAATTGCGCTACCAGGGAACAGGAAATTGGTTTATCGATGGACAAGAATTCCAGCAGTGGTTAACAACCGAAAACTCCTTCTTGTGGCTACACGCTATTCCTGGAGGTGGCAAAACTATCCTGGCCTCTACTGTGATCGAGTGGCTACGCACTCATGAGAAGAACAGTGAGGTTGCACTGGCATACTTCTACTGTGATTACAAGGACAAACAAAAGCAGTCACCCACCAAGATCGTTAGCACATTATTGTGGATGCTCGCATCTCAGGACAACGATGTGTTTGGAAGGATCCAGGCATTCTTCGAACGACAATGCAAAGAGAATCCGGCATACACCCCAGAGTTCGATGAACTTTTGAACAACTTTAGCCAGTTTGTTGCGAACAGCTTTGAAACTATCTTTGTTGTGGTCGATGCTTTGGATGAAAGTGAAGATAGGGAATGTGTGGCAGAAGCTCTGAAAAGGATATCCGGGACCTGCAAATGCACTAAGGTCTTTGCTACGAGCCGCCATGAGATTGACATTGCCCGGGCCCTCGAAGATCTACCTAGTACCACTATTGCGGCGACAGATGTCGCAGGAGATATCGAGTTATACGTGAAAGCAGAGGTAGCCACCAAAATCAAGATACGGAGACTGAAGCTGAGAGATCCGAATCTTGAGAGTGTCATCTGTGACACTCTAATTGATGGGGCACATGGCATGTTCCAATGGGTGAAATGCCAGCTCGACCAGCTTTGCAAGCTCCGTAACGACAAAGCCGTGCGGAGCGCTCTCAACGATCTCCCCAAGACATTACACGATACCTACATCCGGATTCTGCAAAAGGTGGAGGCCGAGAATGCGGACGATGTGGAGGTTGTGCATCGACTGCTGAAGTGGCTAGTTCGAGGCGTGCGGAACCTCACACTGAGCGAGCTGGCGGAGTGTGTCAGTATCGACCTCAGCAATCCTGAGGAGTCGTTTGACTTCGATGCTGTTTTCACAGATGCGGAAGATGTTGTCGAGCTTTGCGGAAGTCTGATAACTCTCTCGTCTGATGGTCATGTTGCTTTGGCCCACTACACTGTCAAAGAATTTCTGGTGTCTGGATATATCAAGGATGCTATGCCCCAGTTTTGGATTGGCTGTGATGATGTTCATGCGGAGCTTGCGAGCATTTGCCTCACATATTTGACTTATGATGACTTCTCTGGAGGCGACGAGACATCGGGGGAAGCTTTATTGCAAACCTTTCACGAGTACAAATTTCTCCCATATGCTGTGCAGGCATGGGGTTCTCATGCACGCCTCGGCGACATCAACAATACCAATGATGCTGTCTTCGATCTGACCATGAAATTGTTTGATACGGGTCTTGAGGCTGGTAGCAACTACGACACTTGGCACAAGATTTATTTCCATTTACAAAAAGCCGCTGGGCAGCGGCTCAAGGCTTCCAACAACGATCCTGTTTATTTTGCGTCCCTGTTTGGCTTGTCTCGAGCCGTCTCCGAGTTATTGGAAAACAGCCCTGACACTTATATCGAAGAGCCGCTGAAGGCGAGTGCTAGTGCTGGACACGATACGGTAATTGAAGTGTTTCTCCGTCAGCGTGATTCTATCTGTGCAAATGTCCTGGAACAGTGTCTTTATCTGGCTGCAAGTCAAGGACATGATCAAGTGGTACAGCTTCTGCTCAAAAATGGGACTGATGTGAATGCTCGTGGGGGAAGACATGGCACAGCCCTCCAGGTCGCTGCTCTCGATGGGCGGCATTCGGTGGTCTTAACTCTCCTTGGACATGGTGCAGACCTCAACGTGAAATGTCAGAGATATGGCGTACCTCTCGCTGCCGCTGCCGAGAAAGGACACTTGCACACGTTCCAGGTTTTCCTTGACCATGGTGCCAACGTGAACGCTCGTGGTGGTTGGTACGCCTATCCTTTGGTATCTGCAATTGTTGGTCAGAACATGCAGATGGTCGACACTCTTATACAGCGTGGTGCCAATGTCAATGCTCTGGGTGGTCGGCATGGAAGTGCCTTGATGGCCGCATCATCCATGGGGATGTTGGACTTGATTCGCTCGCTGGTCTCCCATGGAGCACGGGTCAATGACGAGAATGATAAAGGCACTGACAGCTTGTATGCGGCATGCATGGCGGGAAATCTGGACTCCGTGAAGCTTTTGTTGGAACTTGGGGCTGATGTTAATGCAAGAGGAGGAAAGCATCGCAACGCACTCAATGCAGCGAGTGCTGGAAACCACCTCGAGATTGTCCGATATCTTCTGGATGCTGGAGCAGATGTGGATTTCTTTGACGACCACTATGGGAACGGTGTTCTGACGGCGGCAGCTGCCGGGTATAACGACGTTATTCGCGTCCTGGCTGAGGCAGGAGTGGATATCAACGCCCCTATGAGTGATCGAGGAAGTACGCTCATTGCAGCCGCTCAAAACGGCCATACGGAGACACTTGAGCTTCTTTTTGAGCTGGGAGTCCCTTCTGGAGATACATACGAGACGAGCAATGCCATCATGGTGGCTGCGAACAGGGGACATCTAGACGCCATCAGAGTCTTGGTAGAGAACGGAGCGGCCATGGATGATTGCAGCACACTCACCACGTATCCCCGCTGCAGCCCACTTGAAGCTGCTGCTGTGAAAGGGGATCTGGAGACCGTGAATCTGTTGCTTGACCTGGGCGCAGATGTAAATTTCGTGAATGAGGAAAACTATGGAAGTGCCCTCATCGCCGCTTGTCTTGGAGATTCCAACATTGCCGTGGTGAAGCGACTACTCGACGCAGGGGCCGATGTCGATGCCACCCCACATACTGAATTAATCTGCTCTGCCCTGGTCGCGGCCTTGTCTCGTGAGGATTATGAAATTTGTGTAACTCTCCTGGACCACGGTGCTGATCCGAACCTGGCCTACGCCTGCTATTTGACACCGCTGATGATGGCAATGAAATGTGCGGACGACAAGTTCATACAGCTACTGATCGATCGTGGTGCCGATATCAATCTGGCTATCGAAGTCCCGGATTCCGATGCTACTAGCAACGAAGATGGATGCGTGACGCCGCTCCAAGCTGCGGTTCACTACGCCTCCAATGAGACGGTTCAAAAATTGGTCGATTTGGGAGCTGATCTTTCTGTGGACCTGGAAGATGTACGGTTCGCCACGGCGCTGCAAGTTGCGTGTCATCAAGGCGACGTGGACAAAATTCGCCTATTGATCGATGCAGGGAGCGATGTCAATGAAGTCGGTGGTGTATACGGCACGGCCCTACAAGTTGCAGCACATCAAGGCCACCTTGAAGCAACACAAGTTATGATTGAAGCCGGAGCCGATATCAATGCTTGTGATGGCGATAGCTGTGCGTTGATGGATGCGACTGAGGAGAGCAACTTGGAGGTCGTCAAGCTACTGGTTGAAAAAGGAGCGGATGTCAACCTCTCCGTGGGAAAGAAACATTCCTACGATTACGCGCTTACCGCAGCTGCCTTTAACGGAGAGGACTCGATCATTGAAGTCTTGATTGAAGCAGGAGCCGACGTGAACAACCGAGGAGGAAAATGGGCCACTGCTCTCCAAGCTGCCGCTGCTGAGGGTAATGAAGATTCTTGCGAACTCTTGCTTAAGAATGGCGCAGACCCGAACATTGTTGGTGGTAAATACGGAACGGCACTCCAGGCAGCTTATACTTCTGGATATTATAACATCATCGGAGATCTCTTCTACCACGGTGCATCAGTGGATCTACAGGGTGGGCAATACGGAACTGCTCTGGGTGCAGCCATGTCAGGTTCTTGTCAAATATTGGTTTCTGCCCTCCTACGACATCACGATGCCAATCCAAATGCTCCAATTCGGAAGTGGGGAACTCCGCTCATACAGGCTTGCTCCGACGTGCGTGGAGATAATGCATATGACATCTTGATTGACGTGGGAGCAGATGTCAATGCTCGAGGTGGCTGGTACGGGGCCGCTCTCATCTGCGCGGCGGTGCATGGAGAGGAGGACCGAATCATGGCGTTGTTAGAAGCTGGGGCGGATGTCAATATTCAAGGGAACCCGAATTATCCAACTGCCATTCATGGAGCAATCAAATCCGGAAACATGTCAATTCTTCGACTGCTGGTGGAGAAAGGTGCAGATATTGGATCCTCCAATGCCTGGCATGTCTCTCCTGTGGAGTCTGCTGCGAAGGAGGGTAATCTGTCCATCTTGCGCTACTTACTCAAGCAAGGCGCCGATGTCAAGCCTACTGGCAAAGGGAAATACCACAACGCTTTACAGGCTGCTTGCGTGAATGGAAATAAAGCCATTGTCAAGACTCTGCTACGGCATGGCATCGACATCAACACCATCGGCGGAAAATTCGGCACGGCGTTGACAGCTGCTGTTTTACGTGATGATGTTGATCTCGCTGAATATCTCTTGAAGAAAGGGATCAACCCAAATGCCCCCGGTGGTATCTATTCCGGTGCTTTACAAGCAGCAGCTGCCTCAGGATCGACGTCTTGCACCCTCCTATTGCTCCGATATGGTGCCGACGTCAATAAGACCGGGGGAAAATTCTTTACGTCCTTGCAGGCGGCTGCCGGGAGTGACAATTATGACCTGGTTCAACTTCTTCTTGAACGAGGCGCCGAGGTGAATGATTTTGGCGGTTATTGCTATTCTGCTCTTCATGCAGCTGCATTATCGGGCTTGGACTATATCTGCGAGCTTCTCATGAAGAACGGAGCACAGTGGAGCCTGCCTGATGCCAAGCTAAACCATCTAGCTTCGTGGCAGATTGAAACTGCAACTGATGTTCTTGAAAGATGTAAGGACCGGCAAGAACGCGGGTGGCCGGAGGAGGATTCAGACGATGAATGGTCAGATGAAGAAGATGATGAAGAAGAGGATGAGAGCGAAGACGAAGACGAGTCAGAAGAAGAGGAGGATTCAGAAGAAGAAGACGATGATGCCATTCTGAAGCTAAATGTCGAGGCAATTCCGTTGTTCGACCTGCCCTACCATCCCTCCAATCCCTCGAAAACCTCTATCACGACAGATGAATCTGAAGACTCGGACATTGATCATTCTAAGTCGAATAGTGCTGAAGTTGGGATCGAGAATGAACTAACAAGCACGGAGGATAAGTTGAAATTCTCCTTGAACAGAACGAATACCACCGGCTGGTCTTCATTGGATTGGGTGAAGATTGAATGTGGACCAGATGGGGATTTGGGCTAAATAGCAAGCGCATGAATATCAAAGGCAGATTACTTGTACAGCACGGAGGTTGCATATCAGCTAGCATACACATATCAATTATACAGACTCAATCATGATTGCATCCCTGTCGTGATATACGGGCTTTTCGACTTCGAGAACTGCCTCTCAGCTGCTCTTAGATAGTACGATCTTATCTGCAATCATCAACGCTAAGGGCCAGGTAGACAGCCACCCACCATGTGGACTATGAGATGTGCTTGAGCCAGAGACACTATATAGGCAGTTCGAAGGTCTGGATCTAGAGACCGGGGCAGAAGTTACATGCCGCATTTGTCATTTGAATGATACTTTCGAACAAGTTCAATTAAAAGATACCCAATCAAGTCCAAGCTCTATTCTTAGGTAAAGACAGTGAATCCCAAATTCATTTCTCTCCAATATACCTTCTAAAGATGATCAAAGCCGACAGCCCATGCAGTCAATTCTTAACAATCGTCCATGAATAAAAGACTGCCCGCATTGTGGGATGCATTACTGGGAAGGCCACTCATCGGCTACTGGCTCTGGAACTCGCGGAGGGTTTTTTTTTAACACAATCAGCACCAAACATGTACGCTATAGGATCTAGGGGATCTTACTCCTTGTCTGCCGCCATTGCAGCGGAGATAATAGCAAAGATAGTGAGAACAAAGTGACCGAACTTCATAATGAGTGAATTGGCGTTTGCGTGTTGGAAGACATAGGAGGTTGAAGCAAGTGGAGTCTGTCCTGTCTGTATAAGTGGTAGTACAGCTGAATTTATAATTCTACTTGTATCTCTAGAAGTGAATGTAACTAGGTCCCCAGGCATTCCATTCCTACCCTGATCCTACCCGATGGTAATTTCTGTGTTACATGATTGCGGTTGGGATTCCATGTTTTATAGTGACGCCCCTTCAAAGGGGACACCAAAAAGTGCGAAGTGTAGCGTTATATCATATACGCTAAGGTAGAAGGTTACTTACTATCCGATGGAAGTAATGAAGTATTAGAGTATATTTTATACGAATTCCTGATTTTTAAGGATCATTGACATTATGTAGCTTGACTATCGGTATCATGTAATAAACCAAGGGTAGGTACTTCCATTACCTACCCAGGGTGATAGAGGCAGTTCCTCTAAATGAAGCCTTCCCAAAGCCTCCCCGATATAGATACCTCCTTCAGCCTAACAACTGTATTCTCTCTCGCAATTCACCAGGAATAGCACCCTGCAGTAACAGACACAAGCAACATTTCTGCGGACCCGTTTTCCAATGCCCACCCCCACCGAAAGTACTGTACAGTAGCCTCGCAATTGCCGGCCTTATCCGAAACATCCTCGACCGCGGATGGATGTCGTACCTCGGGAAGCGGGCAGCGGGCAGACCAGCCTACCCGACGATCACCACACTCTGCTTACCGCGGAACGTGAGGTTGAACGAGGCGTTCTTCAGTTTTCGGGTTTCCTTAATTCCGATCTGCTCTGTGCTATAGATGATTTCGCGCATCTGTGGGACGGAGCAAGTGGAGTTGCTGGAGCATTCATTAAGGAACTCTTTTCCTGGAGTTGTCAGTGGGTGAGGATCCACCGGGAGGCGACAGCACATTTGTTTGTATCCGCTCTATGGAGTAGCATATGTACGAATTGTTTGGAGTTGAGCTGACGGGAATGGATATGGATGAATTTCCCGAGATGAGATGGAGTACTAAGAATGCTGACGGTGTGAGGTGGGAATATGGCAAGACATGATGAGGATGAGTATAAGCAGTAATCTTACTCAATGAGGAAGCTGCCCGTGTTACCCCATTGAGAGGATTGTAGTCCCTACGCATCCCTGTGTATTTAGCACGATATTTTGATATGATGGCAAGAGATAATTACAAACAGTTGGTGATTATGTCCCAAATTGAGTGGTGTACCTACATATATACGATCGCCTTTGAACCGAACTAGGTACTAAAGTGACCAATTTGGTAAACAGTCCCTATTTTCTCCCATTCAAGATTAAAACCATGATCCGCGAGCAATACATATGTACATACAAATCCATCCTCCACTAACTACAAGTCCACTCGGCTGTTCTCACAAGAGCAGGTCAGTCGAAGACTTGCCTCTTAGAGTTTCTCCGGCCCCACCGTGTCCCCGATAATCGCGCAGACGCGCAGGGCTCCAGGCTCCACGCTGAAAATTTTATTTGGGACTGGCTGCGATCAGCAAAGTGATCAGCAGGTGTGGGAGCAGTTAATATTAGATTTAGCAGACCAATTGAATCGTAGGTGATGCATGCAACTGGGCAAGTCTTTACATACAGTAAAGGTGTCACTATGTGCTGCTGTACGCGCTTACGCCGTAACATCAAATTCACCAATGGAATCGCTTTATCGGCTGGATTTAGTGGATCGGAGGGTGAGACAGTGACAACGATTTCCACGTGGAAAATCGACGCTTGGCGATCATGGACGCGGGTTTAGGGTCGAGTTTGGCTAGAATGGTTGTTTGATCTGCTCGGAAGTACGGAGTATTACCCGGTCCAAGTTACATTTTGAGTAGGCACGGGCTAAGTCACGAGAGATGGAAGTATAGAACCTTGGCTTCATTGCTCTGTAGACTACAAAGTGCGGCAATTGTGCAGAATGCCGAGATTCAGCCGAGGTAACTATTTCCGCACATTCTTAGTCGCTATTCCGAATAGTTAGTTAACTTTATTGTAGTCTTCCATACTTACGCAGAGTACTTTTGTTAGATCATTTCCTCTCTGCATGAAGCTCAAAACATTCAGTATTTGCTTAGTCCAACATGGAGAAACATATACCGACCTTCCTAATTGAATGTGATCAAGGAACAGGCCCCATACAAGGATTACATACGCCGTGCAGTAGTGCGCAGAACCTCCATCGAGTAGCCTGGGATTATTAAAATCGGCACGTCCGGGCCCATCACGACTCCATCGTCCCTCGAACCGTTAAGCTGTCGTGTGCCAGTGCCGCTAACTAGTTTCTACCAACGCTTCTTCAGTGGGCCCACTCGTAACTAACTGCAGTAAGTGAACGGCTACACGGAGGACTCAAGTCCTGTCGAAGGATGGAGTTTCTCCATTCAGAGTGGAATTAGGCTCCCTATGATTATGTGAAAGTGTGAAACTCGACAGAGCCTAGCCCCGTCCAATTGGATCCAGGCAAGCGATGAACCAACGAGATCCGCCCAACCGAGCCCAGGGCGTTCCCGACCCGCGCTTCTTCTGCACGATGGCTGGGTCCCATGGATGTGGCGTGCCACTTTACTCTCTAACGACCGTTTGGGTTGACTGTGGATGGATGGTGTGGATGACTTTGGTCAGCAATTCCTCCTTCGGACTTTGATCTGATTTGATTTGGTGTTGGCGTGTAAATCCCTCATTTTAGTGTGCTTCGGTAAAGTAGAGTAGGATATTAGGCCACTCCTAGCTAGTATGAACTGTAGCTATAGGTGCTAATACGGAGACCGGGGTTGAAAGGGAGAATGGTGGCTGACGGACTGTTATTTGTGAATGAATAATAAGAATAGACGTGATTATTATTCATGAGGAGCAACGGCGACTTCGGGGTAACGTAACCAATGGGACCGCCAAAGTTACGGGATTGACCCTCCGGCAGAGCGTTGTTCCCGTTTTTTCCTCGAGACGGGATTTGTGATTTGCTTTTTGACTCGATGGGAATAAGTTCAATATAGGAATACTTGTCAATAGGAAGGGAATTAGTTCATGGGTGATGATTATCTATGATGCCAATACTTCCGGAGGGGTACTGTACTCCGTATAGTTTAGATTGTTTTATTTTTCCAAGATTATGCGAAGGAGGGGAAGATGACAGGGATCGGGGACTGTTAGCCCCATTGTTGAAGTTCGAGGCTCGGCATAGGTCGGTGGAAATAAGCAACCACTTGGCCGTGCGATTAGATGGAACGGATATCTTGGATGATCTGGATGGCAAATTATCATATCTCATCATGATTTAGATTAACCAAATTATGATTCATGGGACATTCATCTGGTAGCCTCGTTCCATCCACTTCATCTCCGATAGATCTACCTCCTACCTACCCTTGCCAGTCATCCTCCCTTCAGTCCGTAACACGAGAAAAAGAACGAGGCGGGTGAACGGGAAACGAATTCAAAAACTAGCCGACCGGCCATCATGATTCAGTGGCTATTAACTCCGGGCCGAATGGACGGCACGCTCCTCGATCCCAACCAATTCAATTAAACCAAAGAAAGTAGATCTGCGCACAAAAAGTGATGACGTTAAGAGGAGCCGACAGCATGGCTCAACGGCGACTGAATACTCCTTCTTGCTGCAGCCTCGGCGGGGGAGGAGATAGTCGAAGCACGACCGGCTATACGAGGAAGACTCCGAGAATAAGCAAAGTCAAGGTTTATTCCATTGTCAAATCCCTGCAAGCGTGGTTCCCAAGTATCGGAAGATGCAAAAAAGAAGCCACGCAACTACCCGAACATGGGAAGGATGCCTTTTGAGTTCGCAATCAATCCGTCGATACATTTTTATTGCTGTAGTTACCAGTGCGTCGACTAAATCGGCAGTTATGCTCCTTCCCTGCCAGGCTGCCAGGCTGCCGGACAATTAAGACGCGCCGCTCTAGGTAGTTGTAGCTAACTCATTGTAGCTAACTGCTCCGTGGCGAGGGAAGCTACGGAGATCCCTGCAGGAGTATGGGGTAATGCGCCGGGTTAATGTACCAGAATGATAATCATGAAAACTAACAATAATAGAGAGTCCACGGAGTATAGTCTGAAGAGACGGAGGATACAACGAAGTACGGAGTTCCCTTCTGTAATTAGGCCGCAAATCCAGTAGATTTGGTTCTGGAAGGAAATGTGGGCGGGTTTCAAGCGAGCGAATCGTCGTTCCGATCGTCCGTGACCGAAGAGCGAACGGCCAGTTCTTGTAGGCGAGTTACTACTGTAGTTTAGTCGTTTAGAATCGTTTAGAGTAATCAGTAGTGTACTTCCGTAGTACATTGCGGAGTTGCGGTAATCATGAATATGGTTATTCGTTGCGAGCCTTGTAGATTATCTGAAGATCAATCTACAGTAGCTCATTGTCTATTCTCAAGTGCATGTGGAGTGCATATATGATACGCAGTATGCAGCCCTCTTCTTAGACTCTGCCCTTAGGGCTTTTGATGTATGAATCGCATTCCTTTTTCTTTTTTTTTCTTCTCAAAGCCCGACTGTGTTTGAATCAGTGGACTCGAGACGGTTCTGTTTTTACCTTTGAGTTTCGAAAGAGCAGATTGATGATGCCTTCCGAGTCCGTAGAATACAACCGGGCGAGCGACAACAAATCGGAGCTGCAGGAATCAGCCTTGTCTTCGCCCAGACTCGGAGTGTGGGACACCCCTTCCAGAATTTAAATTGAGGGTTTAGTGTATTTATGGCGAAAAAGCCGAAGGATTATGTGTTGCGATCTTTATTGTTTTACTCTTTCTCGTCTTGTGCCTGTCGGATTGTTGTGGCTTTCCAGGCGAGGATTTGGCCATCCAGGAAGGATTCCGCATCCGAGTAAATCTGCCGACTCGGGTTGAAACGTTTCAAAACCCATAATTGCGGTGTGATGAGATTTGGGGGCCTTTCAGAAGTGTACATACATAGTAAAAAAAAAGAAAGTGTGGAAAACGATGTCGGGAAGCCATCATAACATCATCGGAATGAAGTTCTTGGGCTGGAATTGGGACAGGGACAGAAAAAAGCAAAATTCTGCCTTCTTACCCAGCACAAAGGACCAGGGAAAAAAAGAAAATATGAGTGTGTGTCAACCATCTTGACCATGTTGGCCAACCCACCCCTGGTCGACAGGTCCAGGTGATAGATCATAGCCGCGATCTCCCAGTCCGAATATTAAAGCCCAACTTGAGTAGTACAATGTGAAGTAAGATTTACTTTTTTAATTTTATTATTGTAGACTCGGTACGTCAACATCTACTCTGGATAATGTAGAATCGAAACCCCACGAGATAGAAGGCCGCATCCACTGCTACCGGGGCTTTATCCGGAACATTATGCTAATTGATCATGATTTCATCATTACCCGTCAGCATCCTGTTTATTTTCTATCGAATGATCTAATAATCTTAGGACCTCCTAAACGTTAATTCTCACCACCATCATCTTACCATCATTCCCGAATCCCATCATCCCAGCGGCGACGGAAGATGACAGAGCCCCGGTAGCTCTCCCGGCATTCTCACCCTGGTCGTTGCCCCCCTGTTTGCAGTCCCCACCACACGACGAGAGCGGTCCCTCGGCTCAGAGCGTACTAGGGTTTGTCCCAGCCACTAAGCAATTCATCTACGGAGTACAGTCGGGCCGATGAAACTGAGACTAAATATTAAAGGAGTGGTTCACATGCAAAAGAACAGGAAAAATAAATTATGATCGCAAGGATAGGGCATAGTCAGGTGGTTGAAGATGGCTGGACTACGAGCCGCACATACATACAGTAGTAGTACATATGTACGGAGCATACATAGTAAAAAGGAGGAAAGGAGTCGACTGTAAGGGGAGAAGCCATTGTCCCAAAGAATGTGAGTTGCCGCCCAATTCCCGGGTTCTTGGGATTCGACCTATAGACATGACTCGATCCGAACTATGTATGTATGATAGAGAGGCTATTTTGCTTTTTAGATGGGTGATTGATTGACGGACCAGACAGAAGTACCCGGACTACTGGTACTACTGTTCGGCTATGACCATCAAGCATGTTCAGATCCCTTTTCCCTTCCCCCTAGCGAGATCGCCCTGCATCCGTCCAGTGGCTGGTCCAGTTAGAACGAGTAGAGGTTATGCTACCACAAAGTGCTACTACTGCTACTACAGCAATTTCTAAAGGTCAATAATATTTCCCTTGAAAAGACTGCCGTCCCAAGTAAGGATGTACAATCGCCAGTTGGGAACGGAGACGTAATCGGAAAAGCTTCGGTGGGCGAGTGGAGTCAGAGTTGTTCTATCGGGCTTCCATTCGTTCCATCTGAGAAAGGGAGGCTGTCGCGCGAGAAGAGAAAGAGGAAATTGACGAACATTTAAAAATGGAAAAAAAGGGTAATTCAGTCAGTCATGAACCAACTGGAACCTCGATCCACTCGGGCTTCGACCGAACCAAATATCTGATGATTATTCGCTGTTAATAATTATTAATGAATTTACGAAGAAAATAGTAATAGAATTAATAGTCATAGAATTATCTTCCAAAAGGGTAATGTAACTTAAGGCCGTGGCAAAAGAACCCCCCTTCCATTCTATCCCTACGGCCCTGCAGTGAAGAAGTAGACCACTGCTACTTACCTTATTACTTACTTCCGCCCTGCACGGAGTTGTCGGTCGGTCAAGAGTCTGTGGTTTCTCCCGTCTGGTTTCCCACCCCATCGGCTCTCGCTGCTCTCCAACTTTCTTTATATGCAAACTTTCCCTCCCTCTCTCCTCCTACCAACCTTCTCTCTCTCTCCTTATCACCCTCCCTTCTCTTCCTCACCCGGGAACCTGGTCTGTGGATCCGGCGCATACCAGTCCATGTCAATCCCACTCTCACTGCCACTTCCACTATGCTCCGCCGCAATGGCCTAATCTACCTGCTGGTTTCCGCGTGATCAGGTCCAGACCATGGATTTTATCGTGAGTTGCGCTTTGCTCGGTCGAACTGGGATATACACCACACGACCTCATCCCGACGAATGCCTCTTTCTAACGAAGATGCCCCCGCGATACAGCTCTCTCTCACGCACTTCTGCGAAGTGCATGGCCCTACCTCTATCATCTGCTCCCAGGTCCTCCCCTTCGCCTGCACACAATGTCACCCCGATACCGAGGCCTCGCCCTCGCCCGACACCACCTCCCACTCCCCGCGAGAGTCTAGGTCGCCCAAATCCCCCGGCGCCACTTTTGAACCCTCCGGATCGCGTTCACCAAAGATCGAAGACCACCCTTACTTCCTCCGCCCTCAACAGTCGGCATCCCCCGAAGAGCGACCAAACCGGGTCGGCCCCACGGACGGTGACACATGCGCCAGCTGTAGCTTGTCTCTCCCCGAAGGTGTGAGCAAGCAGCTACCTTCGGGTGCACCCGGTAGTCGTGATGCCAACGGCAGCAGCAACGGCAGCCCGGTCTTGCGATCGCGCGAAGTCGTCTACTCTTGCGGCAACAATCATTCTGACCTCGATGACGACACTCCGGATTCTCACACCCACGCCTCTCCGCCAGATTCTTTGCGCTCGGCCTCAGTCGCATCCGACGCATCATCATGTCACACTCATATCTTGACCTATCTCTCCCTCCGCGGCCCTCCCAACCCGGCCGACTATGCCCTTCTCCGCCGCTCCTCCATCCGCACCCTGAGCTGTGAGCTCCTGCCCCGCGGCCTGTCCTCCGGCCCTATCTGCTTTGGTGACTCTGTGGCTGGCTACACGATCGCCTACATTTTCCGCCTTCCTGACCCCATGGCACGCGGCAAGCGACGCAGTTACGCATTGGTGGCTCTCGCCGGGAAGGATGCCGGAAGAGCATTCCGAGCCTGTCCCGTCATCTGGCGCGCATTCGGGCGCATCGCCTCTGGCATTGTCAGCGCCGCCGAGCGTTTCCAAGATGAAGAGAAGAAGCGCGAGGAGCAGAATAATGCTACCTCTCAGTCTGGCGACCGCCAGTACACTCCGGTCTCCTCGTTCCTGACCGGTCGGGCTAGGGACCCGGCCGGACAGCCGCGCCGCCTGGGCCAGATTCGCGCACGCAACCTGGCGGAGATTGTGGGCAACGAGTACATTTTCACCGAAATCCACGCACACTTTGTCGCGCTGCTTCAGCAGCTGGGCACGATGTTCGGCGGTGTGCCTATCTCCGAGGACCGCTTTGTTTGCAGCACTGTCGGCGACGAGGAGGGCGCAACGACCACCCAGCCTGTCCTCGTGTCGCATGGCACCGAGCGTTCGAAGAAACGCCAGTCCGTCTCCAAATATGACGGCAATGATCTCGAAATGGCTAAACTTGACATTGCCTCCGGCCCCCAGCCGATTCCCATTACCACCACTCGCCGGTCAGTCGTGGCCTAATTCGAGCTTTAACTGAGCTCTTCCTTCCTGTTCCATCCATATCCGTTTGAGATACCCGCCGGCACTGTTCTTTCCAGCCGGGCACACATGACCTTAATCGTTTCGCACAACCACGATGGTTTTCTGCTTTTCCATTTCATGCCATCTGCCTTTCTAGCGACAGCACCACAACCGTGGGCTAGCTGTTTTTCTGTCGTTTTTGCATTTCGCCTTTGGGCTTGTTTCTCTGGGGTTTCTGTTTTCCCGCGCAAGATGGGTACTGGGCATAGACTATGGCGTCACAGACAGGGATCTGAGTTTTGTTTTCATGGGAGACTCTTTTCGCATTTCGTTGTCTCCTTTCTATCTTCTCCTTGGACAGCCTGGTCTTCTTCATTGAGGCCCTGTCATTTTCCATCAGCGATTTTGTTTTTGTTTCCCCCATCTTGGTTGGCTCTTTTTTGCGCATTCGGATGGTTGAATGGGGATTGATGACAATGATCCCGATGAGGCTTTCAGGAGAACATGTACCATAAACTATGTATTTTTCGAGAAACACGAACGAGGATAGCCTGAATAGGCTGGTATTTTTGATCAACTCTACTCCAATTGGTTAATGATGTAACTGCTTTCCGAGGTTGGTAAGGTTCGGTCGATGTATCCATGGCTGTTTTCTCCAGGCATGAATGTCCAAAGAGCGCTACGATCAGCTAGAAAAGTGTGGTTATGATAGTTGAGAGAGTACATTTAAATGACACCCTCTTAGCTCATTCCAGCTTTGGATGCTACCTTAGTATATCCTGGCGATGCTCTGTTTTGATTGGGGAGGATGAAGAGGGTTTTGATGAAAACGGCATCTGTCTGAATGGGGTCAGATAAAGTTACATGTCAATGTGATCTCATAGTTGAGAATGTCAAATGTGGGTCTCAGAACCATCAGGTTAGACTACGTTTAATTCGATCTCATCAAGGTTGTAAAACACTAAAATCGATGAAAAGTCTCCTAGCATAAATCACCCAAACACCTGGTCAGCCACGAGATATCTCGATATACTTCGGGATGATGGCAGAGCCGGATAAACTGCCCCCTTTCGGTTCTTCCGGTCACACCCGGGCCACAATCAAAAATCCCACCAAAAAGCACCACCTCCAGGAACAAAGCCAGACCTGCACATCACCTACCCTCACATCCCTCCGCCAAGATGGTCGCCTTCGACAAGTGTGAAACCCGGCCGGCTCATATCGATGCCATCCTCAATGGCCTCGATCGGTACAACCCCGAGACCACCACGGTCTTCCAGGACTACGTGGCCCAGCAATGCGAGGACCGGTCATTCGATCTCTATGCCAACCTGGCTCTGCTGAAACTGTGAGTTGGGCCTTTTTTTTTTTTTTCTGGCTGGACAATTTGTGGTGCATGCATGCGAAATATATGGCCTGGTTTTTCCTGTGACGAATGAATTTTAATCTTCATACACGTTTCCTATTACCTGACAACCTGTCGCGTATGGGGTTGTTGAGAGTTTCAATCTTTCTGAAAAAGCCAGCAATGCGTGGACGTTGTCTGGATCATGTTAATCATTTTCTCTTGCGCTTATTTTCACACATGAGATATGGATTATGAGCTTTTGTGCTAATCCCCGCACTTTCTTCTCCAAAACAGTTACCAGTTCAACCCCAACCTCCTCCAGGCCGACACCGTCACCAACGTCCTGGTCAAGGCCCTGACTGTGTTCCCTTCTCCCGCCTTCTCACTCTGCCTCGCTCTTCTCCCCGCCCACACTCAGCCCTTCCCCACCACCTCCGAGGCCCAGGCTGCCTCCCAGACCTCCGACTTTGTCGAGTCCGTCCAGAAGCTCTCCCGCCTTTCTACCCTCCTCGAATCCGCCCAGTACACCCAGTTCTGGTCCACCCTGAACTCGGATGACCTGTACGCTGATCTGACCGCTGACATTGCCGGTTTCGAGGAGCTCATCCGCATTCGCATTGCCGTTGAGGTTGGCAAGGCCTTCCGCACCATTACTGCCGAGTCCCTCGAGCAGTGGCTCGACCTGCGCAGCCGCGACGCCCTGGCCAAGTTCGTTGCCGACGTCTGCAGCTGGAAGGTCGAGGGCGATGTCGTCCGCGTCCCTACCAACAAGGAGAACGAGGCCCGCAGCGAGGTCAAGAGCGAGCGTGTCGGTGTCGACATGTTCGGTCGTGTCATTCGCCGTGGCTTCGAGCAGCCCGCATGAACAACTACATTCCTGCCCTAAATATCCTCTCTGTTTTTCCGCCTCCCGATTTTTCTTATTATTCAACCAAATTTCTTCATTCTCCGTCCCCGTTTCTCTCCATGTGGGAGGGAAGTGCTTTTTTTTCTTTTCCAAAAAAGAGACATGAGTTCATGAATCCCCGATCCGTGACGACGGTGATAGATTTTTTTTCGCATGGAGGAGGCCCCGCGGAGATGAGTCGGGATCTGGCGCAATCCGGCGTTTATTTTCTCGATTGATTGCCCTCCATTGATGTTTTTTTTGTGTATTGGAATCCTGTGTTTTGACTCTTCTGAAATGATGAGCGGTTGAGAGGGATGCAAGAGAGATGCCCATGTTCATACCTAGGTACTGATGCCTTCTATGCCGAGTCGAGACTTTTCCCCTACATTTTGGCTCGCTGCAATAGAAAAGAAAAAATGAAAACATACAGTATTTCCAAGAACAATTAACTATCCTTGCGCACCAAAGTAAGTAATCATTAGACATCAAAATGTGGATCTATGTAAACCCAATGAGATCTATGTTTTGTATCCACCAGGGCGTAAACAATATTCCAACCTCTCTAACCACCGCATGGGTATATCAACTCATGTGGCTCGTAGCCACCTCTCTTTGTCACCATCCTTCTCTATTTCGTCTCCTCCCACTGCACACCAGCCCACTCCTCCCGCCAACCAAGCTGCCCAATCTTCTCCGGTGCACAATCCTGCCCACAGACACCGAAGATGATAGTCCCCCACTCCATCCCCGCATCACCCTCCCCAAGACCAACACCCTCCCGTCCATCTTCAAGCATACTAATAGCATGAGGCACAAGCTGCACCTCAAACACCCGGGGAGCACCACAGTACTCACAAGGCGGCATACTCCCACCTCCAACAGTCGTCACACGACCAGCACTATGCTCGGGGTGAAGACGCTTCCCAACGAGGTCGGTGTAAGACGAAAGCAGCGGCGCACCACGGTACTCATACCGCAGAACTTGCTCGGGATTATGCGCCAGACGCATAGAGAACTTCATAAACGCCTTATCCATCTCGGACTCAAACGTATCTTTCAACTCGACGTTACCCTCACCACCGGCGCTGTCTTCTTCCACGGGCTCCACGGTGACGTTTTCTGGGATCGTGGGCGTAGAAGGCCGCGACATGGTCTCGTATTCGGCGTCGAGGAAGTACTTCTTATATGGGGCCGGGAAAGCGGATTGCGCGGGCCATGGTGTCTGGACACCAGTTGATTCGGGTGTTTGCTTTGTCGCAGTGCCGGAGGCACTGGCTGGCGCGGGGGAGGAAATCCGGACCTTATCGGCGAATGTTTCAGCAAGCGCACTTGTAGATATGGTCGTAGTGGGAGGTTTGGCTGCCGGGGCCTTGGCCTTGGCAGGGACTGTGGGCGTTGCGGGCTTGGGCATCGCGAATGGATTGGCCCCCGCCGCGCTGGAGCCAGGAGTGGCCGAGAAGGGATTGGAGAAGGGATTGGAGTTTGCCGACACGCTGCTTGTCAGCGCGGTCGCGCCGAATAAACTCGCTCCCAGGTCCACCTTGGGCTTTAGCGGCGCGACGGGCTCAACAGGTTTGGACTCGGGCTTGGGCTTGGGCTTCTCCTCCTTCTTCTGCGGCTGTGGCAGTGGTAGGCCGGGAAGACTGACCTTGCGAGTTGCGCGGTATGCCCGGATACTGCCTGGCTTGCGATTGCATGGTTTCCTGGGGCATCCAAATATGTACAGGCGGCGCTCGTTATTGGGAAAATGGTCGGGTAGATCGCCGTGCAATTCGAGAAGGAGTAGCATCGGACTATTGCAGACTTTGCAGTTGGCGAATTCGCCTGGTGGTGGGGTATTCTCATCGATCCATGACTATAGAAACGTAAAGCAAGAGTTGTCAGTGTCTAAGCCCGCGGATAGATCTTGTCTTGACTTGAAGTTGGGAAACGTACTGGCCAACCACCAAGGTGGCTGATGGTGTCTTCTATGACCTCCTCATCGGCATATCCGAGAAGCACGCTGGTCTCGGTGAAATCTTCGTCCACGCTCGAGTCACTGTCGTAGGGATCCATGGTGTGTGAACAATGGAACAAAAGGGGATCTGATAATGACGAGGAATGCAGAAAATGCGAAAAAGTTCCCCCTCACTAAAAAATGTTGCGATAAGCGATACGGCGGCCCCACAACGCCGTAATATTACCGCGTCATGTTTGAGATCCCTTGCAACATCAACTTCACATCAGCTTGCTAACACATTCCCTTTTGCTATCTAAGCTTTGGCTATACGAGTTAGTGGTCTGCAAAAATGGCTGCCATTCTACGACCTTTACGTGGTCTGTGGCTAGTATATACAGCTTTGACGAACCTTTTACCGCTCAGCTATGCTGCCCAGCAGCAGCCGCTACGGACTGATATAGATGTCGCCCCCAAGCGGGTGGCTGTCATAGGTAGGCATTCAAAAGTTTCTTCATGACCTTCAACTGGGTAAGTTGCATGAAATAGTCTTCCCAATACTAATATCCTCTCCAGGAGCCGGTGCTGGCGGCTCCTTTGCTGCATACGAGCTGCGCAAGCTCGCGGATGAGGCTGGGTTTCAGCTGAACGTCACAGTCTACGAGCGGGCCTCGTACATCGGAGGACGCTCAACAACAGTGAATGTATTCGATCACCCAGCATATCCAATCGAACTGGGAGCCTCGATATTCGTCCAGGTCAACGAAAACCTAGTCAATACCTCCCGTGACTTAGGTCTTACTGTTAGCGCTGCTGACCATGCCCGACCCCGGGAATCGGATGAATCTATCGGTATCTGGGATGGAAAGCAGTTTGTGTTTACCATGAAGAATTCCTATAGCTGGTGGAATATTGGTCGGCTTTTTTGGCGATATGGGATGGCTCCGCTGCGTACACAGAACTTGATGAAAGAGATTGTTGGCAAGTTCCTGCGTTTATACGAGGAACCCCTCTTCCCGTTTCAGTCGTTGTCTGAAGCTACCGCTGCGGTTGGCCTGATCAACGCTACTTCGTCAACTGGTGAGGAGTTTCTTGCAAAGAATCAGATTTCCCCGTTGTTCGCTCGCGAGATCATTCAAGCTAGTACTCGGGTCAACTATGGTCAGAATTTGGGACTGATCCACGGCCTGGAGTCAATGGTCTGCATGGCTACGGATGGTGCCGTTTCCATTGACGGTGGAAATTGGCGAATCTTTGACGGCGCTGCCAAGGCTGCAAAGGCCGATATTAGACTTGATACCACCGTTACCGAACTGGTTCGGAATGATGACGGGACTATCCGTATCACATCGCATCCAAGCGATGAGATTGACTCTCCTCAGTCTATCGATGAGACCGAGTTTGATGAAGTCATCATTGCCGGACCGCTGCAGTATTCTGGCATCTCTATATCTCCGCCTCTGGAGCACATCCCAGACGAGATCCCGTATGTGAAGCTGCACGTCACCCTTTTTGCTTCACCTCATCGAATCTCCCCGAAGTATTTCGGGCTCGATGGAAAGAAGGATGAAGTCCCCGAATCAATTCTCACAACACTCCCCGAAGGCCTAGATCTAGGCCAGAACCCCCTCGGCGTTGGACCCGCTGAATTCTTCAGCATCAGTACCCTCCGAACCGTGGATTATTATTATTCAACCATAAAGGATGGAGAGGCACATCATGAGACGCACTACGTGTACAAAATCTTCTCACCCGAGCGGCCTACAGCAGAATTCATCGCCAAAATCTTTGACATTGACTATCAGCAAGACACCTCGGTAGTCACCGCACATGCCAACACTACTATTGGCGATCTGCCCGAAACCGAGATCAGCTGGTTTCACGAGAAGTTTTGGCATCCATATCCTCTCTTGTATCCCAGGGTGACCTTTGAGGAGACTCTCCTGGCTCCTGGTGTCTGGTACACCGGTGGAATTGAGAGCTTCATCTCGACAATGGAGACTAGCGCCTTGATGGGTCGGAATGTTGCTGCACTCATGGCGCAGTCATGGAAGAAGCAAGAGGAGATTAAAAGCAGCCTCTCCTCATCGAGTGTGAAGACGGAGCTCTGAAGCTGAACTAAATCCCTCATCGTTCTGTAAAGTCTGTTCAGCCACAGTGCATAGGTTCTGTATACACCCTCCCTCATTTGAGATGTAAATGAAATTGAACTTGAGTCTCACTCTACAACCATGAATAATAAATGGCATTCGATCAACTTATGTCCTGTGTAGACAGAGACTTCTATTCTAAACCCCTCATGGTACAAGAAGGAGCATGTATATAGCGGACGATGCTTATCTTGATTCTTAGAGCTTAGTCTGACAGACTGGAGTGATTTGAGCTGAAAAGTCTATCACTGGAAAATCCTTTAACTGGATTAAGCTTACCATTCATGGATGTAGTATCCAGAACCGCAAGCCAAGAGAAAAAAGAAAAGGGTATATTCGCAATCAATCACGCTAAGAGTCATACTACTCTATCAAGCTCCAAAGGCAATAATAGGAGTCAACTCAGTTGAGCCTTGTGCTCCGAGCCTCCGAAGCCCTCAAAAGGCCAAGAACGCCCAAACCCGCTAGTGACGCGTAGCTCCACTCGCGGCAGTGCAGATATCAAGAAGAAGAAGAAGAAGAAGAAGAAGAAGAAGAAGAAGGGGGAGGAGGTTGCTAATTACTTCAACGCTTTTGCAGCCAGGGTGGTATATTATGTGAAATTAATATGGTGACACGAAGAGAAAGGGAAGAAGTGGAGGACATCAGAAAAAAAGATTATACCACTGGTCATACACCAAGCCGTCCCCACACATAACATAACACCTAACACTCCGGTGAGTGTAGGTACATAAGAAAATGAAGATAATAAGAGATAGAGAGATTGATCGTTCAGTCAGACGGGAAGATTTAACCGCAGTAGTCCAGGGTAACGGCAAGACGGACCGGACCGGCAACTAGGTTACCACCAATACCGCCCTTATCGGCGAGAGCAGAAGTATAAGCGTTGTCAACGGTACCGGCACCCTTAGTGATGGAAGAGCAAGTACCGTCGGAGAGGGCACTGCAAATTTTCATACCCTGGACGGTGAGATCGGCTTTCTGGGCTTGAATAGCAGAAACGTCAAAACCTGACCAGCCATCGTTGGCGGTTGACCCGAAGTCAAATTCACCCCAGGTGGAAGCGTAGCTACCATAGGCGTTGGTGGGGATGGAGGCCTTGGCAGCAGTCCAGCCGCCCTGGGAGTCGGTGTCGAAGGCGTAGTACTTGGTCGCACCGGCCGCGAGAGTGAAGCTGTGGCAGGCCTTGCCGTACCAGCCGTCCATCTTGCCATCAGGGCCGATCTTGTTCCAGATCACGACCTTCCAGGCCTCGGTGTTGGAGCCCTGGAATTGCACGACGTACTTGTAGCTGCTGGCTTCGGAGGCGGATACCTCCTGGATGTTGGTGCCGTAGGGGCTGCCGACGTTGCCGACGTAAGTATCACCGGAGCCGGAAGATTTGGTGACACCACCGAAGCCGGTGGTGCAGTACTCGCCGCTGGAGGGGACAGAGGTCCAGTCGGCACTGGCGCCGGAGGAAGTGGTGGAAGCAGCAGCGGTAGTGGAGGTCGATGAAGCCACAGTCGAAGTAGAGAGCTCAATCGAGGTTGAAGATGAGATCGAAGTGGAGATCGAGGTCGATGTAGAAGTGGAAGTCGAAGTGGAAGTAGAGGTAGTCAAGACAGCAGTCGAGGTCGAAGTAGTCTCGGGGATCGGCGTGGAGATTGACGCAATACTGGTTGAGGTCGACGAATCACACGGGCAGACATAGACGGTGTTGGTGGTAGTCAGAGTGACTGTGCTGCCGGTATCTCCGCGACGGAGATGGCCTTCATGAAGAGCATTGTGACCGTGGCGAGCAACGGCACTGCTGGTCAGGGCTGCCAGCAGCGTCAGAGACTTGGAGAAGTGCATTTTTTACTGGAAGATGGACTTGATCAAGACCAAAGCCAGCAATAACAGGAAATGAATAGAAGCGTCTGGGTTCTTCAAGTGACGTTTGACGCAGCAGGTCCGAGTTTCAAAGGAGCGACTGTATAAAAGAATGACACAGCGACTTGGCTGGAGGAGAATTGAACGAGCGTGCTGAAGGGACAAGGAGGGCAAGACGCAAGAAGAGGGTTAGTAGGGGGCCAGACCTGAGTTTTAATTAGTGTGGCCCCCCGATGGCGTTGGGATAGCGAGGCGGGGGGGCTATACGTACCACCAGGCGCTAATGAAGGTCTTGGAAGACGCATAGCCAGCCCTAAAATGATTTCTTCTCATAAATCGCATCCTTCTTATTAGTCTGGCCGGAAGTTGACGTATACTCGCCGGCTGGCGGACTATAGCGGGCTTTTTAGCGTGGTTAAGTGGAGATGGCTTTGTATAAAATAGGGAATATAATTGGTGGATAGACACACTCAAGCCTGGACGAGATCCACCCGTTTGTCGACTTAATCTCTGCCGGCTTCCATCCAAGCCTAGAACAGTACGTTTTCAACAGGAGATCGCCCGGAACAGAATGCAAATATTTATCTCTATACGTGTACCTATTCAGCCATGCTTGGCCCTCTATGGACTTAAAAAGTACTATCATATGGCCCCATGTATGGCCCCCATAACCCCATAAACCCCCAGTCCTCGAGGCGCTTTAGCCCGGCAAATCTGATACAATGGCGTGGCCCGCTCGGGCGCGTATCCCGAATTAACTGGACTGATCAGCCCGACTAACAAGACTAGGCGAAATTCGGCTGCATCGAACGGACGCTAAAAATTGTGAGCGCCAACGCAGGTACATACTGTTCAAGAGGAAAGAAGACTGCGACTTCAATGGCCCCTCAAGACTCATTTCCTCCAACTGCAGAAAATTTCCCTGTGGGGGCCTCCCAGCAATTAAAGAATTTATTTTGTTCAAATTACATTGACATGTATAATGCATCTGAAAATTTCCTCCTCATTTAGGCCTGTCAACCTATAGAGTCGCTTTCGTGGGGCCCGATTTAATTACATATGCGATTGTTCCTGGATCGCGTCGCCAATAAGAAGTCGGGGTGAGATTGAGTAACTGGTCAAATGCGGGTCTGCTAATTCCGTGGCCTACAGTTCTTGTTGAATTTTCAACTGTTTTTATACCTATTAGCTTCCATTGTACATACATACATACATACATACAAACATTATGATTTACATACTGTATGTACCTACACATACAGAGTCATAGATATATCAATATCCGTTGATAGAGCTTTTCTATTTCATAACGGCGTTCCAGCTCAGGCTGTCAGTAATTATTAACTCAGTTCCCAGCTGATCGAATCACCCACTAAACCGCTTTTCCAATTACACCCTGGCCCTGGCTCAGTCCACCTGGGTAAGGTTGTCGATTCGTATGAAGGAATGCCGCAGAACGAGCCGTGTTCATGGTGCTACGTGAACTTGCACCGCATGAAGCAGTCGTCGCCTTACTCTATCTTCCAGTCCACGCTGGAGTCTCCATATCTCAAGGCACGACTCGAGTACATTTATAGCACCTCTGGGGTCGAGACTGGCCCCACGGACGTGCAGGATCCGCAATACGTGCCCATCGAGTAGGAGCCTATCCCCTGCTTCACGGACGTCACCTACACCTCCAAGGCCGGCGACACCTGCGACAGTGTGGCACTGACCTACTCGATAGCCTCAGCTGCGCTGCAGAGCGCCAACACTGGCCATATAACCAACTTCTTCTGTGACAACCTCGTCTCCACTGTCTGGATCCACGGCCGCACCCTCTGCCTGTCGCCGTAGGGTGGCGTCTACAACGTCTCCAACCCTATCCCGAGTGTCGTAGTCGCACCTGGTAGTAGCACAGGCTACACAAGTACTGCTATCCTGCCGCCCGCTAACAGCACCGTCGCTAATAGCACTACCCTTTACTGCGGTAGCTAGTACACCACTACGGCGGTTGACGAGACGTGCACGAAGATCTGTACATCGAGCGGTATCACAAGCGACCTGTTCCGCTAGGTCAACCCTAGACTCGCCGGTAGCGCGGCCGGAGACTACACGGGGCTGTTGAAGGTGAATACTACGTATTGTGTTGGGTCGTTCTGGACTTGGGAAGCTCTTGAAGCAGAGGCTAGTAGATAGAATAGGGTAATTTCTAGTTTTCTAAGTGTTGGAATACACTTTATCCTTTTATTCTTGTGCTACAGTCCTGTAATCTCTCTCTCTCTCTCGTTCTGTCGGTGAAGCTTTGTCTATTACTATCTTCTTCGCCATTATTTGGCTCCTATTCGGTTATTAAAAGCTTTCCTTGCGGATACGTTGAGATTCTATGTATGCCGATCTCAAAAGGATCAATTCCTAAATTAACCTTCAAATTTCGAGTCTTCTCGATTATGCTTCATCTTCTTCGCTCTCATACAGCCAAGATAAGTTGTTTCTTTTACTGTGCACTGCCCAGGCCAACAGGTCTCTAATTCTTCTACTGGCCATAATTGGTGAAGTATTCTATGTATAAACAATAGCTGCATATTTCTAATTCTGGATCATAATGATGTGCTTTATTCGTTCCTCTATCTTGTCTATATTTCTACCTTCCCTCCTATTATTTTCGAGGGGCGTTTGCGGGCTTCTGCCCCAAAAAGAGATAGAAGTATGAATAGAGCCGCAGATCCTCTTGTTTTAGTTCCTCCTGCACCCGACTGATAAGGGCATCGGTGTCTTCCTTTGACCAGCCTAATGTCTTAGTAAATAGACGAAGGGTGTATCCCTCCAGTGCGCGCGACATTAGGAACACATAATTCGCCCCGAGGAGTTTCAGATTTGGCTTATCACTCCAGTAACCAAAGGGGACCTAGTTGCAGGCGCTCAAAAGTTAGCTTCGCAGGCTATATGCACAGATTGTCTTCAAATATGCTGACTTACCTTGAATATCCGTTCCTCGACTTGTACAAAGCCAGCTGAGTGCATCAGGCCCTTCTGCTCTGCTACTACGTTAATTCTCTTGCCAAACTTAGCCGCCGCCTGATGCATCAGCATCTCCCATTCCCTAAGCGCCACTAGCCGGGCCTCATTCTGTGGGTTGTCGGTCAAGAAGCGAAAGTCGTTCTCCCACACTTCTAACCACCCGCCCGGGAGAAGATGCCGGAACGCATTAGCGTAGAACCCGTCATAGTCGGCAATTACGCCGCCTAGAGACTGCGCATGGATTAAATGAAATGCCTGTTTTGGAGTAAAAGGCCACTGCCCTTCAATCTCGTGGTTCTCGAAATACCGGAGATCCCCAGACATTTGGGTCACGTCCATGCCCGTGATGTGCGGGGCAGGATGATATTTTTCCACCACCAGAATCGTCCAGGAGCCGCTGCGGGTAGCAAATTCGAGAAATTTGTGTGTTTTCTTGACTGGCCCTATAGGGGCAATAAACGTTTTGCCGTCTAGGAGTTTAAGCCAGATGCCGTTGATCGCGCCGTGTGCTACTGTGGCGGTTCTGTCGTCCGGGAAGGGGAATTCGGACCTGAAGCCGTAGTAGCGGCGGCCATTTTCGTATGTATGGTTATTGCGTGCCCTCAGCCAGTTTTTCTCCATATTTTGTGTCTTTTTCGGGTATCTATGATTTCCGTTCCTTCGTGAGAGTGGAGATCAGGGTTCAGGTGGTGAAAGAGGAAGGGAAGCCAGATAGACGTAATGTGGGGTTGTCTCCCGCGGGCTAGTCTAAATATGGCTAGCGCCAAGCTAAACCAAACCTATTTAGTTTAACCTCGCCGCACATGATGCCAGGGCAAGCAGGACATAGTACAAAGTACTGTACGGTACTTGGCGAACCAATCAATTGCCGGCGTAAATAACGCGCCCGCTCTCCTCGACAGGTTATGATGTGTACGGAGTAGTTAGCTCAAAATAGCTAATTGGCCCTGACGGAACCAACTGAATGAGTTGCTTGAGGTACACTTGCTAAGTAACGTAGTTCCCAGCGGATCGGAACACTTGGTCGTGCGGAACACCCCAAAACACTACACTAAATGCGATTTTTCAAGTCGCAGTATATCAACAACGACATATTTTTTCTGCTTTATTTTTGATACAATAGAGTTTCTTAGCACTAGAAATAATATAGTATAGCTAACTTATATAAAAAGTGACTCTTTACCAGCATTACCAAAAATACGCAGCGAAGAAGCAACAAAGACATATATATCCATATTATCACGACTTAAGAAAACTCGCGTAGATCGCTGTTGAAGTAATCGGCATTGCGCGTTTGTGCGCAACCTGGTAAACAGGCACCACCTATACATACTCAGCAGATAAAAGGTCCGCTATGTTTCGCAACAACCTCCATTCAATCGTAATATAAGATACCATAATACTGAAAATTATCAAACCCAGAATCACCAAGGTCCCATTGATCCTCAGTCCACGGTAACCCGATGCGGGTCAACATAGATTCGCCTACCTACAACGTCACATTCGACACCTCGAACGTCTGCACCGCTCCGGTGGGGAAATATGACCAAAACTTGGTCCCACTCATATAAGTGTCGCTGTAGCTAACATATTGATCACCAGATCCGGTTTGAGTTATCCAGCGCGGGACCAAGGCTCCGCTGGCCCCAGGCTTACTGAACTTGGACAGATCAAAGTTAAGATACTGGGCCGCACCCCAGTTTGCAGCGACGATAACCAGCTTTTTTGCCGAGGAGTCATATGCCGCGACAGTATAATTGCTCCCGCCGTCCAGGATGCGCATACCAGGTCGAATGTGGCGGGCGAACTGTGCCAGAGCATAGTACTTCTGGCTGACCGCGCCGAGTGTCAAGTCGTCGTTGCTTCCATCAATCAGGCCCCATCCGCCGCCATCGATGGCTTGCCAGTATACCCAGGCTGTGGGGTGGAGCCAGCGGAAGTCGAGAAGTAGGTTGGTGACAAGCCTCTGGCCTGTCGCGTCGCTCTCACCGTACTCGCTGTTCCAGAGTCGTTTCCCTGCGCCGGAGGCCAGGCTGTATAGCGTATCTCGTCGTCCCCCGGTGTATTGGTATCCGTGGACGTTGATACGGTTGACATTGCCCGTCGCTGTACTTCCGAGGCTGTTCCACGTGGTGATCGCCAAGTCGTAGGAGGTTTCGTCCGAGGCTGCAATCAAGGTTGAGCCAAGGCCCCGGTTGTTTAATTCAGTACGGAGATATCCAATCACAGTCGCCTGGATGCTGGCATCGAAATGGCAGCCTTCCTGAGTTCCAGTCTGGCCATTCCACCAGGCTGAGGACGGCTCATTGAAGGCTTCCACCGACTGGAAGGATATACCCCAGTTAGCCGCAGCGTATTTTGCAATAGTGGCGAGGTAGATCGCGTGTTGATCATAGTTCCACGATTGCAAGTTGTTGCTGGTGCCGTTGTCCGATCCGGACGGGTTATGGTTCAGACACATCCACCAAGGAGGTGAGTTGGAGAAGAGTTCGAAAGTTGTTGCACCGCGGGCTTTGGCCAGTGACAACATGTTACGCTGGTTGGCGTCGACGCTCCAGCTCCAACTCGACGATGACGGCGAGGTGCTGGCCCAGTCAACCCAGTAACTGTCCATCTGTCGCGAAGCGATCATGTCGGGAGACACCACCATTGTGGAGCCGTTGTACGTGTTCCAACTGCAGGCGCCGGCGTTGTACCGTGCAATGGTGAGCCCAATCCCGGGCACACTCTGTCCATTGTAGGTTGTCGATTTGGTGGAGAAGAAAATATCGGCCAAGTCAGTCCGCGTGCCAAATGCCTTCGCCCACCATGCAAGAGACACGCCGAAACCCTCCCAGGTGCCCCAATTCGTAGTGGAACTGATGGTTGTCGTCAAGTCAGCGGCGACTGTCGGTATCGTGGCGGCAGTCAAGGCCAGCCCGAGGAGCCATTCATGATTCATTATTTGCTTCATGATCATGGTAGTGAAGACAGAAGTCTCAGAAAGGATTCTGATCACAAGAAAATCACCTTCATTAGGTTGCAGCGGTCTTAGCCACGATGGACTTCAGGGAGCTTTATCTCCTCGCACAATTACCCCGGACTCTGAGTTCTGATTAGATGAAACCTTCTCGGGGATATCGGGAACAACGGTGAAGGTGGAGATTCTGCAGAATTGCTCGCCAGGACTTAATCCCTTGCCAAGTTGCTCTTAGAGTAGAGTCAAATTACCTCCACAGGCGCAGTAAATGCGGGGCCTCACGACTAGTGCACGACCCCGCCGGAGGAGATTGATGGAATAAAACGTGATGCGGGGTGGGAGACGGCATGGATGCGACACTCTCCCGCGACCTTTAAGATTGAGCATCCGACTTCCCCGATTGAAACGTTGTGGGGTAGAAATTCCCCGGATTAAGTCCTTGAGAAGAAAGCCAAAGACAGACCAAGGTTAGATGTGCGTATCAAGTTAGTCATTTTCTACTCACCGTTGAGAACAGACATTAGAAGCTAGGTACCGAGTTCCCCGAGTCAGCAATGGACCAGTGGTAGAATACACTACACCACTAGATTCAACGCTAACTATCATTGAACTCGAAAGTGGCCCAGACTCGAGTTTTTGAATAAACCACGGTGATCTGTGCCCTAAGTTCAATCTGGCAGTGCATACAAGCTGCCTATCTTGTGACTTCAGAAATGTAGGCAGGGGTTGATAAAAGAAGATGTCCCTTCAACTTGCGTATTGATAGAAGATAATTACACACCTATTCTCCAACTCCATTCTCATTCCAGGTTATTTTCAACAAAGTCGACACATTCTCGATCAAACCGATGCTTTCTATGACACTAGGCGAGGTTCCACCACCGGGAATATGTGTCCATTGAGTTAACAGCTCATTAAGATGCGGTCCGATATCCAAAACACTAGACGACATGAGTCGCCGTAGGGGACGGACACGAGAAGCGGCTAATGTAATGAGTATCACCGATGCCATGCTATCAGTGATTGCTGAGTTAGCTAACGCTCGGACTAGATTAGATTGGGTTGACGGAACTTACGAGAGGGAGCAAATCCATGTGTCCACCATGATGGTGTGGGGCAAATTGCGTAGATTTTGGGCGTGCATCCAGCACGCCTCAAGGCACAGCTTGGATCCCTCATAGACGATCGAAGGACATTTTTCCACAGCATCACCGTTGGACAGCGCCCAGGTAAGATAGGGACGATAAATAACGCTCTTGCAAGTTAGATATCGTTGGCGAAGAAAAGCGCCTTCCTCTGTGCGTGTGGGCTCTAGATTGACGGAAAACTGAAAGGAAAAGGGTAAGAGATCCTTCCACTCGTCTAGCTGGTACGCGAGCTCCGAAACAACAGATGGAAACTGGTGGTTGTCAAAGCCAACGCCAGCATCGCGAGCGTAGAGAAGATCGTGAACACGGTTGAGAAGCCGTCGCATAGATATACATGCGAGAAAATAAAGTGACGATTGCTCTTGGTCGTTTTCAGATTCTTGCGTGCAGAAGTCACGTGGTAATGGGATGGATGATTCTATTTCTGCAATGCCTGTTTGAGGAAGACCGGCTAGCTCGGCGAGAAAATCGCTAGGTTATCAGGTCAGAAATAGACAGGAAACAAAGAAGAAACAAAAGAGAGGAAGGACAGCAAACCTCTCGAGAATATAACAGGACCAAAAGATTCGACGAAGGCATTCCAATTGTTCAGGCGTCTGCTCTGGTACGTCATAAGACAAAAGAAGTCGACATTTGGTTGCAGCTGCACTTATGAACGACCAGGCTTGAAGTGGCCTTTGCAGAAAAGAAAAATACAACCTGTGATTTCAGTTTAGAGAATCGATCCATCGAATTGGACTGGGTATTGCTCACCCGGTAAAAAACAAGCACTGGACTGCCTCGGCTGTGAACCCAGCCTGGGCCAAGTAAATCTTCTTGAAGGCACTATCAAAATATAACTCCCCCATCAGCCGCTTTTGTCTCTGACTATCCGCCTCGCTTGCGTTTGGTGTTTCCCGACGCGCAAAGAACCCGACCAGCTCGCAGGCGCAGCCCAAAGCCATTATCAATAGAGCAAGGCATGAAGGTAGACTGTCATCGAATGTGCCCGATATTATGAGTGTTTGCAACTCCTGTGTCATGGTTCGAGGCATAGTCGGGTACCAGAAGTTGATACCACGTTCAAAGCTTCTCACTGTGCGCTCCACATCCTGCTTGGGCATATATGGTTGCACCATACAAGGTCGGTGAGCGAGAGGCACACGCGTACTCTCAAGGCGAAAAACTGAAAATCCCCGCTCCTTGATCAAGTTTCCAAATTCGGCGAATTGCGGCCATGAGAGGATTGACTCGGTGGTGGAAGCATGGAAAGGAGATAGTGTGGCATTGGAGATATGGTCAGGGCGACCTTCTCCACGGTAGGCATTGCTCACTGTGCCCGGCGAAATGACTGCATGAGGCGATATCGCAGAGGGGTTTTGACTTGGACTGCGGCGGGCAGCCTATGTTCCTTTGAAAATTTTGCCTAAGTAATCGAAACATGGCATGGATACCAACCCGTGAGATAGCGACGAACCAGCTGTGCGAATAATTCCTGTAATAGATTTTCAGACCGAATGGCGACATCTAGAATTAAGTCGCTCTTGCTCTTACTACATGCGCTTGGTTAGCATTGCGAGGCTCTGGTAAAAGGACTGGACCCCACGAGACGTACTTGATGGCCTCAGACCCATAAACGCAATCCGTCCCTATTTGAGCACATGTTGTGCATGGTCGGCGACCGTCACATCTGGCTAATGTCAACCCGCAGATCTCCACCGAAGAAGTGACTGGTGAGGGACTAACCTGACTTTTCGATTGCGACAAGGGTCACACTGAGAAAAATTGTTAGCAGTTTTCCGTAACAAGTCTGCTGAGTATATACCTACCGCTAAAGAGGTTCGCTTACGCTTATGAGTCTCGTTGCTGTGCCCTGGGGACATCATCGTGGTCGATCGTGGAACCAGAGGTGAAATGTGAGTCGGATGTATCCCATCGGACTTGGCGCGGGGCCCCGCATGTAGGGCCGGCTGTTTTTAACCGAGGCGCAGACTTCAACAATAATAGTTCTGGCTACGTTAGACTCGAGGCCCACTAATGCATGGGTAAGAATTTAAATAAAAATTATCGTTTTTATTGATTAGCCTTTATAGCTCAACGGTAGGGCGGAATACTGTTAATATTTTGATAGACGTTCGATTCATCTTAAGGGAACCTTGATCCTTCTTGCCAGACCATCGCTCAATAACATACCGTCGCAGGATACGGCGAGGAGTTGTCAATTTTGTTTATCGTGGAGAAATACCCGATTATTATACTCGCTTTATGGATTAAATCATTGCCATCTGGCTCTAGAATGTAGCCATTGGGAAAGTCCAATCTGGTGGTCACTAATAAATGATCCGGACCCTTCCAAGCTTATTCCCTGACGCTACATACAGGACCTTCGACCCACCATATCCAATTAAACGACCCCACGCGTAGTCTCAACTTCGGTGACCTCCAGTGTTCTCAGCACGGTGGAAATATCACGCCGCTCCAAACTCTTCTTCACCGGGTTAGGGGCGGAAAAGACCTCTTCCAGCTCTTCAAGGGTCCGCTCTTTGGTCTCCGGGAACCAGAAGTAGATCACAACCATCTCAATCAAGTCCCACCCAATAAACACGGCATAGAAGTAATAGCCCAGCTTCTCAAAGGCGGGCCCCGAGCTGTAAGAGATGACTGCACTGCTGATGTTGGATAACAAGTTGCCCACCGCAGTGCCTTTGGCGCGCGTGTTGGTGCTCAGCGTCTCGGCAATATACATGCTTTGCAGCGGCGTCCAGCCAAAGGAGAAGACGATACCAAAGAGGTAGATAAACGCAATGGAGGTATTCGCAGCGCTGGAGTTGCTAGGATCATCATTCGCCAACTTGGACGTTCCCAGCATGATGGCAAAGGCGACAGAGCAGAAGAGAAGCGAGTAGATCATAAGAGGTCGGCGGCCGATACGATCTGTGAGTCCAGCGCCGGAGACGGATGTAATCAAACAGAGAACGGGATAGATGCCATTGAGCATCAATTGAGTCTTGGGCGAATCAATGCCAGCATTTTTAGCCATCTCGGGGAGATAGTAGCTTGTAAGACTGTTTCCAGAAAGTTGACCAAAACAGGCCATACCGGCCACACAAATGAAACGGCGACGAGCGGAGTGAGTATTGAAGAGCTCCCGGTAATCCCACCATTTCTTGCTAGAGTCCGAAACGCTGATGGCAATCTGATGCTGCATCTCCTTGACCTGAAGTGTGACCATTGGGTGCGAGGCATCGCCTTCTCCGTGATAACGTGCGAGGACTTGGATAGCCTCCTCCGTACGATCTTGCGCCATGAGCCACCGAGGGGATTCAGGTAAGAACCAGATGCCAATTGCAACAATGACGGACGAAATAAGCTGGCACCAGATAGGAATTCGGAAGCCGTACGAGTTGGTGATGCTTTCACAACCATAGCTGACCCAACTGGCAACAATGGAACCGATGTACCAGGTGCAGTTATACAACCCAGTCAAGGTTCCACGCCAGACCGGATGGGCCATTTCTGAAACATAGCAGGGAGCGCTAACACAGCAGAAACTGACTCCAAACCCGAGGATGAATCGACCAGCGAGGAACATTCCATGGGTTGTGGCGGGTGCCTGGATGCAAGTGCCGATAATGATAATGGCGGATCCGACGAACATGCCCTTGCGGCGCCCGAAAATATCGTTGATGGGACCAGAGAGAAGGACCGCTGGGATAGAGCCAATGTTATAGATGGCAAAGACCAGACCGGTGCCTGAAGATGCCGTTTTCCTGCAGCCGACCTCATGGGTTAGAGAAGCGCAACTTCACTCGTCTTGGGTAGACTCACATATGAAAATATTTCAGGTAAGTCGGCATAGCATTCAGTGATCCCATGAGCGAGCCGTCGTAACCATTCAAACATCCACATAGATAAGCGATCAACAGACAGCCGTACAGGCGAAACATGCTGGGAGTCCATGGACTGTAGTTTGTCGATTCAACCGCCTCGGCTAGCTGAATGGCATCGCTAGTTTCCTGCAAGGTTTTTTCTTTACCCTCCATCCCATTGCCCCCCTCGAATTGCTCCAGGGTTGGCTTGGACTCGGTGGTCATTTTGGAGGAGGAATCTCAAAGTGCAAAGCTATGCTCAATTTCAATCAAGGTGATCTCCCAAGCCGCAGGTTGGAATGCGCAGAGCTTGAATGGGTCGGGGATGATCCGCGGTGCATGGTGATATTTATGATTCTTTGGCGACGAGCTGGTCAGCATGTCCATCGCGCGATTCGCAAAATCTGGGGTCGTATGGAGTTTAGCTCTGGCATTGGCTCCAAATCGAGGTTTTTCACGGTGGCACGCGTGTTCGGATTGGGCCCCGGCTTAGGGCCAGTCCAAAGTCGAGCTTGGGGCATTGGCGCTAATTCTGAAGAAGAGTCCCCTCTCATTCTTTCCAACCCATTCGGTTCCGGCATCCCCGAGGTGCTCATGTGTGGGACCATGCTCAAGTTGGCCTAACGCGATTTGGTTTGAGCCCTGCCAGGCGCGAGGGGTTGATTTCTCCGATTCGACAAATTGCAATTCTTGAAGGATATTGCAAGTTGCGAGGGAATCTCAAAATCAGCCCGATATTCATAGGCTGGAATCCTTGAAATCTGTTTCGATAAGCCAGGTTTGATCGGTTTTCTTCACTGATCAACTGGTCACACTTCCCGTCCCAGCCGAGCGCACAGACCATCCCAACACAGTTATCGGCCCCATTACCCCCGGATCCACTTTCTCCAATGATCCCATCAGATCCTCCGATCAATCAGCTTCCTCAATCCTGAGCTCATGAGTCGCTTACTGGACTGGTGGTCTCCCCACTTAAGCAATTCCTTGGTGTTCGTCCCGGGTAGGACTGACTCTATGCAAGTGGACCGATTCATTCACGTCCTCGGGGATACCATACCCGAAAGCTGGGGATCTGGGATCAGCTGAGCTGGTACCTCTTTAGTAGGGGGTCGGCATCTTCAACTAACTTCCTGAACGGAGTACACGCACTCAATCACCTCCAAACGTGTCCGTTTCCAATATGCCCATTGGCAAGTCGCGTATCTCCACCGCGCAGAGGTGGTTGAAGCTCCATAACGCGAAATATTGCTGGAGAGGGGCAGGCACAGGTGTTGCCATCCCCGCTTCGATCCAGTTTTTTTCTTGCTTCCTGTTAACAGATATTAGCATTGCTTGATACATAAGCTGCCACCCACTTTCAGAGTCGGAAAGAATAGAAAATTTCAGATTCTATCAGAAAAGGTTGGCCAACGAAACAATCACGATGTCCACCCTAGAGACCAGCCCAAACGACTGGGAAAATCCGCACGTTGTTCAGCGGAACAAGCTCACTCCTCGCGCCTTCTTTCTGCCGGACACATCTTTGTCCCTAAATGGCCGTTGGGGATTTCACTACGCTCTGTCTCCTCTCCTAGCACCCGAAGTTGACAGCGGTGGGAACAACGAACCTTCTGTTGACCCCAAAGAGTGGACGAGCATCACAGTCCCGGGCCATTGGCAACTCCAAGGCCACGGGCAACCCAATTACACGAATACCATCTTCCCATTCCCTTGTGACCCGCCGCGTGTGCCCAGCCAGAATCCCACGGGTACATATTGCAGATCATTTGCCGTTCCATCAGACTGGGATCCCTCTGCACAACTACGTCTTCGATTTGACGGCGTTGATAGTGCGTATCATGTCTGGGTGAATGGACACGAAGTGGGTTACGCACAGGGGAGTCGCAATCCAGCAGAGTTCGACATCACTAAATCCGTTCACCGTGGTGACAAGAATGATTTGGTCGTGCGCGTGTATCAATGGTCGGATGGTTCTTATATTGAGGACCAGGACCAGTGGTGGCTGTCAGGTAAAATTGATACTCCCACGAGTATACCAGAGCTCTTCTGATGACGGATTTTTCTAGGTATCTTCCGAGACGTCACACTGCTTGCCTTTCCATCGGTAGCTCGGATTGAAGACTTTTTTGTGAAGACCGAGTTTGATCAATCATACACAGATGCCGTGCTGAACGTTACAGTCAGTATGGCTGCCACGGAGTCAGTGCAGTTGGAGGTGGCATTGCGCAATCTGCGGGGCTCCCAAGAAACAATCGGATGTGATAAGTTGTCTGTGATTGAGAATGGAACAGTCACCTTGACGATTCCGGTAAAGAGCCCCAAGAAATGGACCGCAGAAACACCAAATCTTTATGATCTCCAGATCACCTTAAGCTCTTCATCCACCGGAGTTAAACCACTCCAAGAGATCAACCACCGAGTTGGTTTCCGCCAGGTTGAGATTAAAAACGGGAACATTACTGTCAATGGGACTGCCGTGCAATTTCGCGGTGTAAACCGCCATGATCACCATCCCCTCTTTGGTCGGGCTGTGCCTTTGTCCTTCCTCCGAGAAGACCTCCTCATCATGAAACGCCACAACATTAATTCAGTGCGGTGCTGTCACTATCCATCGCACCCCAAATTGTATGAGCTTTGTGATGAGCTTGGCCTATGGGTTATGGATGAAGCGGACCTAGAATGCCACGGATTCTATGACGCAGTGGCACGTCCTCTCGATATCCCAGAGTCGATGGACTATGAGGAACGCAAGAAATTGACCTTTGAAAAGGCTGCCCAATTCACCTCCAACAACCCGGAGTGGAAGGATGCATACGTTGATCGTGCGATCCAAATGGTCCAGCGGGACAAGAATCATGCTTGTATCGTCATCTGGTCCCTTGGAAATGAGGCATTCTATGGTCAAAATCACCAGGCCATGTATGATTATATCAAGGCCACCGATCCCAGCAGACCAGTACACTACGAGGGAGATCCGGAGGCAAAGTCGGCCGACATGTTCTCCTATATGTACCCATCGGTGGATAGAATAAACAAATTGGCTGTTGCGGAAGGCGACAACTTTGAGAAGCCGATCGTGCTTTGCGAGTACGCTCATGCCATGGGCAACGCCCCTGGTGGTTTGGAAGAGTACATGGAGGCATTCCAAAAGCATCGACGCCTGCAAGGCGGGTGGATTTGGGAGTGGGCAAATCATGGTCTGTGGGATGGAGAGCGCAACTTTTACGCTTATGGTGGAGACTTTGATGACTACCCTAACGACGGTACATTCGTTATGGACGGTCTTTGCTTCAGCAACCACACACCTACTCCTGGGTTAGTTGAATTGCGCAAGGTCTATTCACCTGTTCATGCGTGGTACGCCGATGGGATAATCTTCATCGAAAACCGGTATGACTTTGCCGGTATCGAGAATCTCCTTACAATTTACCGTGTAGAGATTTTGGGCTCCGAGTAAGTTGAATGCCAGTGTTTTATGGCACAAGCTAACGAGATTAGGTCCACTGTCATTGCTAGTGGCAGTCTTCGTCTTCCCCCCATCGAGGCCGGGAAGACTGGGCAGCTGAAATTCAGCCCAGATCTACCTGCCACCTCAGAAGGGGAGATTTGGCTGACGGTTAGCTTCCAGAACACGCAGGATACTCCCTGGGCTCCCAGCGGACATGAAGTCGCTTGGTTTCAACACCAGCTGAAAACTCTCTCTGTGGGACCCTGTCATTCTCCTAGCCTTCCAATTCAGGTCGAGTCCAGTAGGGCTGCTCACACTGTGACTGGCTCGGATTTCAGTCTCACTTTCTCGCGTTCCACTGGAGGCTTGATTGACTGGAAGGTGAAGGGCCATCAGCTTCTTGACCCCGACTCTAAAACGGGCATGGCTCTAGTCCCGGGCTTCTGGCGTCCTCCTACCGACAATGATATGTCCTGGGCCCTTGGCGAGCGGCGCCGGTACTCAGTGGATGACATGCGAGTACAGCTACGAAGCATGAATGTTACCCACATCAACGATAGAACCCTCCAGATTACGACAGAGTCATGGTTGGGCCCACCAGTCCTCGCATGGGGCTTTGTGGCTACCACGACCTACACTATCAGTGGTTACGGTAATCTCGTCGTCTCCGTACATCTCAAGCCTCAGGGTCCAATGCCTGCAGATCTTCCTCGTATGGGCCTGGACCTGCGCCTCACTGACGCATTCGACAATGCCAAATGGCTGGGTCTGGGTCCTGGAGAGTCCTATGCAGACAAGAAACGCTCTCAAAAATTGGGAATCTATAAGGCTACCACCGCACAGCTGCATACCCCATACGAAATCCCTCAAGAAGGAGGAAACCGATCTGAAACCCGCTGGCTACAACTCAGCGACAATCGTGGCTGGGGTATCAAAGTCTTCCGGAATTCGGTGGATACGGATAAGGACACCGGTACTTCCTTCCAATGGGTCGCTTCGCGGTACAGCGCTCAGCAGATTGAGACTGCTAAGCATCCTTGTGACCTTGTTCCTGGCAAGACAGTCCATGTCCGGATTGATGCTGAGTGTAGTGGGGTGGGAACCGGTGCTTGTGGCCCGAGGACTTTGGAAAAGTACCTTGTGTCCTGCGAGGAGCGACAATTCCAGTTTGAGTTTGCTCCTACTTTCAAGGAGGGCCATTAATACTGGTTTGTCCTAATCTCATGAGGTTGTCTGAATACAGTGTATTTCATTTAGATTTTTGGCTTGATAGGAAGAAATTGGGGCAATCAGGAGTGGTTTATTCTTAGACATCGATCGAATAGACATAGGAACCTCACAGATTTAAGATCTACTATATGAGCAGCCAGAATCCCCTTTCTAGAATGTTGTTTTCGTGAATCTTCGACATAATATGATTGATGATGTAGCACAGCGTTCATCTTACCACGCATGACGTTCACGGAAGCCCCACATCGATGCCCAAGTCTGATGCATTTCCTGTTCAGCTGCGGATAGAGATGAAGATTGCCCCGGAGCGTTGGATGTGGGCAACGGCCCATTGCCGGCCCCTGAATAGGTCTGTGGCCCGGTCATCGGATAGACCGAATTCGAGGCACCAAATCCCATCGGGACTGGCATGAGCAAGTCGGTGACATCGATATTGGTAAATTGGCCGAATAGCTGCTCCATGTTACTGTTTTCTTCGGTCTGTGCCGTCTCGGCCATTCTCTCTCTCAGATTCACCACGATTCTCGGAGGAACCAATGACTCTCGTCTCGCGGGTTCAAAATCTTTCCAAGCCTTTTCAAGAGCCTCCCAGGCCTGGAGAATAATCTTGGCGAAGGTTTTGAAAATTTTACTGCCGAGAAGACTAGCAGCGGTAAATCGCACCTCGTAATTATCGCTCATAACCTCCCAAGCTTGTTTGGCTTCCGGACGAGTAGGCTGTTTGATCAACTCTTGGACAATGTGAATATAGGCCGGAAGAGGGAAGTACGATAGAAGAAGCCATCGGTAACCTTTGGTTAAAGGCGAACTAATGATTCTCGTATCGCTCTCAAGCACTCTGAACGCGTATAGCATTGCTGTATCATTCTGTCTCTTTGTCTGAGGCCCAGAGCAACACCGTGAATAGTGTTGTAGAAGTCGATATTTTGAGAGAGTGCATCTCATCATCCAGATTGTCATGAAATGAAGTGGATTGTGCGAATCGCAGTGGTCAAGATAGCCTTTCTCGATTATTTTCTCTAAAGCATCAAAGTTCCCTCCGCCAGGAAGCTCTTTGGCAACAGCCTTTAGAGATGGATTGGTAAAGTCCAGATGGAAGGAGCTGTGGCGAACGAACTCCCCTATTTCGCAGCGCAAAAGGGTGAAGATACCCTCGGTGACTTTGCCCTGTACCGGCGGTGGTTCCTTCATCTCTGGGCGAAGGTCATAATCATTCACGTTGAGAGGGATCTTGCAGTCCCAAGTTGGGGCCAGTATGGTGGTTCTATAGTCCGACAGCTCACTGATTCGAGCGTCAAACATTACAAATGACCACCATAATCTTCGGCGCATTTCGGCTTCAAGGACAGGATATTTTGAGTTGGTCGACTCATACTGCATACCCATGCGTTGGGCAATGCGACACGCGATTCCGAGCATAGATGACAGAGAGCGAGGGTCCGTGCTAGGCTGTACCGAAACCTAGACATCATTCTTAGCAGGAACATCAAAGGTCATCAAGTTAAACTTACCAGATAGAGGTATAGTGCGGTTAGACAATCGCGATCGGCGGACCGTAAGAAGCCACAATTCAACAGAGCTTGCTGACAGCCAAACTGAAACTTCCTAAGAAGATCGGCCTTTGGCATCCCAAACAATGCTTCACATTCCTCGCCAAGACTTGATACAGCCATGCTGTAGATGCTAAACATCAAAGCTTCAAGGGCGGGAGTGATATTGGCCGGATCACTCGCAGCTTCAATGATGCGACCCTGGAACGTTGGAGTATGGGTAACTCTTAGCAGTGGGTTGACATTGTCGAGATAGACTTGCCAGAGCCGGAATATATGTACCGTCTCCGGATGGAACGTTGATAATTCAACAGCTCCCTGTCGCGAGCCAAAAAGAAGGTGATCGTCATTATCGAAGAGATTATCCCAGGTCTTGCCGACCATGACCTCCCGAACACCATCATTCAAATCGCCGTCGTTGTTCACACCTCGGAACTGGGTTCGGAAATGTGAGTGAGTCTCATACATAGATGTGGGGGTCACATACGCCTTGACTCATAGCATGCCATATGTTCCTGCAACGGTTCGTTAGTCTCCAAAAAATCACATTAGAGCATAAAGCAGTCTATTGTCGAGCAAATGGGTTGTGTCTCACTTGGCTTCAAGCTCGCTTTTTGGTTTCGAAGGGCCAGCTGCAAATGACCCATCGGCCCTCTCGGATTCTGGCTGTTCAGCGCCCGAATCTTCAGTTTCCTCTTGAAAGTCCTCGCTTCTTGCGCTTGAGGTAGAGTCTTTGTGAAGTGGCTCAAACTTGATCTTGTTCTCACGGAGCAGATCCTCATAGCTCCGAAGGCGATCTAGCAGTTGACGCTCGGGGAATCGCCGTCTTCGCGGACGTGTCTGCGTGGATGGTACGCATTGCATTTGATGCTTAATACAATTAGCGCAAGGGAACTTGCGATCACATTTCACCTTGCGCTGTTGACAAAGGATGCAGGCTAGGACTCGTTGCGACTTGGCGGATGAGTGGTGAAGCGGGGCCTTACAGGCACCTTGATTGCTAGGACCTGGCATCGACATGGCTCTCTTAGTGCACTTGCCCTTCTTGTTTATCCACAGAGAAGGATCAGTTTCTTAGCACTGGAGAGCAGATCAATTATACAGGACTTTTCCAGGAATTTTCGAAGCAAAGTCAGGAATGAGAGAGGATATCCCCTCGGGCCTTAGTAATCCCCGAAATGCGTCACCTTCGGGTTGTAGTAAAGCCCGAGCTGGGAAGACAGAAACCATATCGACCAGTGACAGCGTAGTGTTTGTTGGTGGCTTTGAATATTCACGAAAAGTAGACTATCAACGCCACCTTTGAGAATTCTCGCCGAGATGGCTTTACAATCAGCATTTACAAGAGAGTGACAAGTTGGAATGAAGCATCGAGCGGCGTGCGCCGGTCCCGGGGTCTATGTATATTGCGAGAAGTATGGATGGGATGTTGGTATACAAATACATGCAAAATACACTACCAGTCAGTCTCGCTCTCACTGCCTGGGTTAGCCTTCTTTCTCAACTTCCATAGCGACTTCTCCCGCCGCGCCGCAGCCTCGCGATGGCGGCGGCTGTTGTCCTCCACCACTGTCATCCAGGGCACGTTACTTGCACGACGAATCCTTTTTCGCAGTACTGCGAGTGTCTCCTTCTGTTTGTCCTGTCCAACTGCGGTATCGTTAACCTTCTTTCCTCGGGCAATCGACTTCTGATAGCGCCTCTCGGCAGCCCGCGCTGCATAATATTCCTCGCTCACAGCCCAATTAGGGTTATCCAGCGGGCCACGGACTAGGACAAGCTCATGTCCTTGTTCAATAGCCTCCTGTAGGCGTGACGATGGAATGGGCGTGGAGAGCTCCAGTTGATGCGACTCGACGTTGACAGATCTGATCAGAGCCAGACCAAGGCAGTTTGAGGCACTAGGATTTAGAGGGACGGAGGTTCCAGCACCAACATATAGGTAGGGAAGGTCTTCCTCTGGGGTTCTGAAGACGCTGTCGACCAAGGCCCCAGAGGCTGCGCCATTGACTTGCGGTTCGCTTGAGTCCATTTCAACGTCTTCATCCGCATCAACATCGGGTTCATCATCGTTCTCATCCTCATCCGGCTTATATGCCGATGAGTCGTTGGCGGCACCCATGATTGCGTTTGGGGATTCAACAGCCACAACTCCGACAACGGCTCCTTCAAGGACCTCACGAAGCATACCAGGGTTGATGTGAGATCCCAACACCATGATGCCCAAAATCCCCTGCTTATCACCCGCGTAATTCACGGCAATAGGTCTCGTGCGGGAGAGAGGCGCATCCGACCAAAGTGGATTGCTGAGACCACTAGGGTTGGACAGGTGGAAGTAAGATTGGATCTGCATTGAGCGCAGTTGGGCGCTTGATCGGCTCACAAAGTCCGTAGGCTGCGATGGCAGGATAGTCATGGAGACTCGAGCCTCGTTGGCAGCCGAATTCAAAGGCTCGGCGACTTCCGCAGGACCCTTCTCACTCATGTACACAACATCGGAGAGACCGAGAGTCTTGATCAGCCAAGTCGCCACTTCTAATCCCTGGCCGAAGATCCACCCAGGGTAGTTTATAATTAACGGGCATTGAGGGTACCTTGTTAGCAAGGTTCGATACTGCTCCATCAGGTCCATGGTAGCCAGAGCATAATGGTCCGGGTCTTCTTTAGGGGAGGTTGCCCCGATGTGGTGGGCTCGCAAAATCTGGCCATCGCGAGAGTCATCGAGAGAAGGGTGGGTGAAAGGAGGTCCAAAGAAAGGAGCGCGTAAGTGTGCAAGGTAGACCTGTCCCATGGGGGCGAACTCGGGCTGGCCAGGATCCAAATCGAGGAACGCACAGCCGTCGGTATTAATATAGCCATTCTCCGTTTCTGGAGCTGGGCTGAGGACGTGGTTCAGGAGGTAGCGACTGAAAGTTGATTTTCCCGAGGCCTTGGGACCGCAGACTAGGACTCGTAGTTGACCATGTCTCTGGGAGAGCGCTTTCATTGATGCACTCCACTTTTTGTCAAGATGAAGAGGTCGCAGATGTCTTTTTAGAGAGTCATCCGCGGAGGTATACAACTATCAAAAATTAGTCTCACCATAGGAAAACTGGGCAAGAGATTCAGGATGCACTTACCACCGAGAAAGTTCTGCGCGAATCTTTGAGGGCGCCTTTCAAGGTGATTTTATCTGCAGCGGTATTTTCTCCATTCCAAATCTTCTGATAGAGTGGCGAAAAATCTCGTAGGCGAGCGAGACCACTCTTACAAGACTTGATCTCGACCTCTGCCTCGCCATCTACTCCAGAAACACATTTGATGACCGGCAAGGAGTGAGTTGATGGAGCGTAAACCCTAAATGCCCGGGCTGAAGGGTGCAGCTTAGCACCCATGAGGCTCACAACTCCTCGTTTAACCCAAAGCTCATATTGTCCCAACAACGCCAAATTCTAAAGTCGAGTAAGCGTCATTGAAGTTTTTAGCTGAAAGTGTTTACCATACCGTCTTTTCTTTGATACGAACACACATGGTGTCGTCATCCGCGTATATTATATTGCTCTTGTTCAGCCGTGCTTTAGACAGAGGGAAGTTTTGAAGCTCCGCTGGAGTGTCTGCGGGCGATTCGTATCCATCAGCGTCTCCAATGACAGAAGCAACCTCGTCTTCTGCCATTTCCACCTCATCTTCGACTTTATCCTGCTCGATTTCTTCCTGGTCCGAGTCACCATTCTCCTCGACCACCTCATCGGACTGTGGTTGCAATTGGTTGGATTTCAGTGGTTTCTTTTGCTGTCCAGCCCTTGTCACTGCAGGCGACGAAACCTCTTGCTTCGTTGACGACCTTGTGCGGGGTCCTTTGGCTCCTTCGCCATTTTGGGTGACCTTTTGCGCCTCAAGAGATCGACGAGGTCGTTTCGAAGGTGGCTCGTTCGTAATCTCGACAATGACTTCGGTCTTCGCGGCTTGCGCTTGTTGCTGCCGAGCTTTGCGCGCCGCGACAGCGCTCATGGCGCTGACTGGGGCTGACGAAGGCATTAACGAGGGGCTCGACGTCGTATTCGTAGATATTGGGGTATTACCGGCAGACTGTTGCTTCTCGGCCTTTCGTTTCATCGTTCAATGCTGTGGCAACAGTCCAAAGACCTGATTTTCGGTCGATAATGCGGCGATGAAGCCGATAAGCAAAAAAAGTTGGCATGTGGTCCGTGCTCCCGCGGAGCAGAAAAAAAGATCGGCCGTAACCCTCCCTTCAACGTCGCAGAGACTCGGCAGTTTGCATAGCTACAAGATCACTTTACTTGCAATTGATTATCCATTGCGCACTAGACCCGCTCTTTGGCCTTTTTCTTCGATCCCGAAAGTCGTCCCGACTCGCAACCAGCCCTTCTTATCCGAGTGCAGCGCAGAGCGCCACCAGCCACTATGGCACCCGCTTCCTCTTCCTCGAGCGACAGCAGCTCCAGCAGATCAACCTCACCCGAGCCTGCAAACACACAGAAGAAGGCTATTAAGTCAGCGACCAAGACCAAGGACGAGGTCGAAGATGACTCGTCAGACTCCTCAGACTCGTCCGATTCGGACTCCAGCTCTGATTCGGGTTCAGAGTCCGACAGCGAGTCTGGAAGCTCAAGTGAGATGGACACAAGTGAGGACGCTACGGAGGAGCAGTCACCAGCGAAGAGGTGAGTATATTCATTCCCGTTGCGCTCAATTGTCTCTTGAGTGCATTTGAATTGACCAAAATCATAGGGTTCACATTCCTGGTCCGAATCAGCCGTACAAGCCACCCTTCGGCTTCAAGTCCGCAAAGAAGCAAACTCCACCATCCTCAAGCACCTCCTCCGTACTTTCAAACCTGCGAGGCAAGCAAGTCTTCCACATCACCGCGCCGTCATTCCTCCCGTTGTCCAAGGTCAAAGAGATCACTATGTCCGAGGTTCTGAAGGGCGAGCCGATCCTGACATACGATGGTAAAAACTACGGAATTCCGGCCGATTCCATCACCGATAACGATCCCGAGGGCAAGTCTCTGCTTGTGTACGACGAGAGTACTCAAACGTATAGCAACAAAGCCGACCACATCCAGAGCTTCCACGTACAGGAGTTCGCCGGTCTGCCGCAGAAGGCCGTTCAGTCCACTGCCACCGCAATTGAGATCTTGCGAGATGCTGTCAAGCCCCCGCGCCCGCAACCAAAGGGAATGAAGATGCGCTTCCGCCCCGTCGGCAGCCTCCCCAGCGAGCCAGAGACCCTTGGATTCAGCTCGGAATCCGAGTCTGAGGAGCCTCAATCCAAGGTCCCCGCTGGTGAGAAGGAGAAGGAGCGCAAGAGGAAGCATTCCCACACCGAGGGAGATGCTTCTCAGGCCAGTGCCGAGCCCCGGAAGAAGTCCAAGAAGCACACACAAGAGAACGATCACGACGCAGAGCGGAGTCAGAAGAAGTCGAAGAAGTCTCACAAAGACCGCGAGGAGAAGAAGCGGAAAAGGTCTGAAAAGGCATGATTAGGCGCTTTGGGTTTATTTAGCTAAAAGATATCTTCGTTATATGATCTACGGGGCAATTCCAATGTACAATTTTACCTTCTTGAGGCACGTGCCTATTGCCGCCACAACTGCGCAATCCATTCACCACGAGAAGTCTCTTAGGACCGGTGTTTGAGGTTGGCATGGAAATTCTCATGCACGCTGACGAGTTGCACTTTCTTTCCCTCCGCGTTCAGCACGCCACCCTTCTCACCATCATCAGAGGAGCTACGCTCAGCAGCCTCCCATTCTGTACCGGCAGCAACCTCAAGGTTCTTTCCCCGAGTCTCCTTGACAAAGAACCAGCAGAAGATAGCAGCAACAATGTCAAAGCCCATGAAGATGAGGAAGGTGTTTGCACCAACATTTGCGATCATGTAGGGACTCGCGAAGGAGAAGCAGAATGACGATGCCCAGTGAGCCAACATGCTAACTGCCAGACCCAGGGCGCGAATGCGTGTAGGGAAGATCTCGGGGACGTAAGCCCAGGGCAGAGGGCCCCAAGAGCAGTTGTAGATCTAGTGTTCGCAATATTAGCAATGATTGTATAGATGGCAAGGCAAGAGGAATTGACTAGGGAGACTAACCATAATGTCCAGGTAAATCATCGCTACAGTCGCCCTTCCAGCTGCCGTAACGCTGGTTGCGGATTGGGTTGGGATATAGTCGACAATCAGGGCAGTAATCAACATGCAAGCAGCCATCAAAGCCGAGCCACTCACTAACGTAATACGACGACTGAGCCGTTCCGCCAGGAAGATGATGAAGAACGTGCACGAGATGACCTTGACAGCACCGAACAGACCGGTCAGAAGCATGTTCCGGTCTGTCCCGCTACCTGCAATCAACTTGAAGTACTGCGGCGCGAATACAGCCAGAGCACTGCTACCAGTTGCATTCTGGAATATGAACAGGAGAGGGCCAACGAGGAAACGGAGACGATTTGCAGGTTCAAGAAGTTCACGAAGAGAGAAGCCCTCCCGCTCAGCACGCTCAGCTTGAAGTCCCAGCTGGGTCTCTGCGAACTCATCACGGGTCTTTGGCGTGTCACCACCTCGGATCCAAACGATAGATTTCCAGGCGTCGTCTGTACGGTTTTGCGACAAGAGCCAGCGGAGAGATTCTGGCAGGGTGAAAGTGCCAATGAAGAGAATACCTCCAGATATCAATTGAAGACCGACGGGTATCTGCCATTCACGCGATGTGCCTGCAATCGATGTGCTCTTGGCAACGCCCTGCTCGGTCATTAGTCCATGTCATATCTTATGATTCGTGTTCAAGCATGTTGAATCTCACATAGTCAACCCAGTATGCGGTGAAAACTCCCCATGTATAGAGCCACTGATAGAACGAACCACAGCGACCGCGAATCTCCTTCGGCGTCATCTCTGCCGAGTACATGGGAATCACGACACTCTGTCCACCCATGCCTAGACCAGCAACCACGCGACCAACATACCAAGCTGCCAGCGAGTGAGTGTTGATGACCTGGATCACGACGCCGATAACGAAGAGGGCAGTCGAGCCAATGATGGCGATTTTGCGCCCATATTTGTTGGTCAACGGATAAACGAAGAGAGCTGCAATGAAAGACCCAAGCTGCTCCAAGCCCACCGTAAGCGACGAAACCTTGGACTGGTGCTTGCTGGTATAGCCAAAATCTTTCTGAAAGGACGTGAAGCTCAGGATTCCGCCAGCCACTCCCGAGTCGTAAGCGGAGAGGAAAGATGAGATACTAGATAGGTGTAAGTCAGGCTGTCACGAATTACTTTTCGATAGTATGAGGTAGAAGCTCCCGCCAACTTACAAAACGATGGCTGCCAAATGATAGGCCCGCCAAGTACCCAGACGGGTGTTGAGTTCAGGAACACTGAAGAGCCCCATAGTGATTTGGAGTTGAGAGACTGAATACGAGATTGGGATACGATCAGTGAGAGCCAAGGCGAGGCCAAGACCTGACATATAAAGCTTTTCTTTTGAAGCGCCATAGCATGGTGATCACTGCCAAGGTGAGAACTGTCATGGTGAGTAGATACAGGGATCTTTTTGCGTGCTGTCCGATCTGACGCCAGCCGGGGTTGACTTGGGTTTAGCCTGGTGTTAATTAGATGTTTGTATGTAGTGGTTTGGCAGTGTTCACTGTTCAGTGGTCGTCGTTACGCCCATGTCCAGCCTCGTTGGTGGAGGTAAGCACGCCTTCCTTTGGTGCAATGGTGTTATGGATCTTCGATGCGCTTCAACGCACCTATTCGCGGCGTCCATGGGAATACTACGTTGGTATTCTGGTTGTTAGGATCCAGGACGCGCGTCCTTGGATGGGCTTGGAAAGGCTTCCCGTGTACGAAGTTTTATTTGTGGTGTGCTTATTTTGTGGAAAGGTCGAAGCAAGGGGGCCCATGCATGGTCTATCTCCCGCCCAGGCACAGCGGAAGGTCCATTCCCATATATGGTGATCGGAGAGAATACGAGGGTGCTAAGATCACCCAATATTATTGTCGTTTCCCCTCCGCGGAACGAGATCTCAAATCTAAGAGAGATGAACAGGCACACCTTGTTTTATCTCACTTCCATATATTTACTGTAATCAACACCCCCTATCGAGGGTATCGGGCTTAGTTGGACGTGCTCTTAACAGGTCGGCTCCATATCCGCCACAATTGACTGTAAATCATTGTTTGAAGGTTGAATATCAGCAAGTAATCTGAGACTCGGCATTATCATAGCCAGAAAATGACTGATAATAAGAGGCATGTCTGGAAGAAAGCGTTGTTGAGCCTCCTGACGGGAAACCTATCCATCATCGATTATATAAGCAGTCACCTGACAGCCCGTGATGCCGCCATCACATGCCCTGGCCGTCGTAATAACCAACCATCGATATCATCGAAACCTTGCGAGGCAGCTGATGCGCCTCACTGGACTACTTGGAATACCCTTTTGCCCTCCCACACTCTTTATTAGCGACTGACTCACTGCATGTTACGGACTATCCCTGATCTGTCACTTCCTGGTCTTTGAATGGTTACTTGCGGGGCCGTTTGATTTGCTTATCGATCCCGCAAAGCTCCTTATCGCCCTGTTGGAGCTGTCTGAGCTACCTGACTTGCTTCGCTGGATGGTTCAGTTCCCAGCGTCTGACCATACACATTTCATCTGACATGACCTTGTCAGTTGCATATCTGCTATTTGGCTTGCCGTGATCGAAGCCCGCCTGACGCGGGCCCCGAGGCCAATACCTATCCCTGATCGCCGCCCTATCGGCCCCGAGCTGCCATCCACTCACCCCGGCCTGACTCCTCCGATCGCTACTACACTTCTCCACAGCGGCTTTGAACTTGCTCGGCCTTGACCTTCAACGTTTTCTTCTAGGAACAACGACTTGTGATATCCTAGGATGCGGCCTTTCTTAGATGATGCCAAAAGGCAGTCGGAACGGGCGGATCAGAGGTTGAGTGCAAGCATGAGGCCTTCCTCTGGCCAGCGTTTGCTTTCCGACCGATTGCCGGAGCGATTTAAAGATGGCGATGATGCCCAGATTGATTATACAGCTCCACCACAGAACATGCGTTCTAGAGATGGCCACATGCACTATATGCAACAGTCTCTGTTTTCCGTCCTCGCTGCCGTTGGCTCCAGATCAGATTTTCGTGGTCGCTTCGATGACTCCAGTGATAGCGATGGAGAAGCCGAAGAAGGGCATACAAATACAGGCCTACAATCGGGGTCCAGCCGAGAAGGCTCATCGGACCGACGTCGCACCAGCGGGAAGTCAGACACGACCCCACAAGACGGAGCTGACGAGCGAGGACGTCGTCATCTCAGAACGAAATCAGAGAACAAACTACTGCGAAGGATACCGGGAGTAGGATCCCAGGAAACACAGGATGAGCCGCTAGCAGCCAGCGCAGCGACTCTCAAAATACCGATGAGGCGAACACGTAGTGCCACCCCCCGGGCAGCTCCCATCCTCGCTCGCATGGTACAAGCTCAGAATCGCTTTGACACCGCTGCGAAGCCCGAAAATCCGCCATCCAGACCGGACTCTCCAAGTCAAGATCGCCCAGAGTCATCTTCATCTGCCTTGTCTACACGGCTAATGGAGATGTTTGGCTTTGAAAGTCCTGAAAAGGTATTAGTAGAGTATGCCTGCGCTCTTCTGCAGAGTATGCTCCTTCAGGGATACATGTATGTCACGGAAGGACATATCTGCTTCTATGCCTATCTCCCAAAGAAGTCTACCACAGCCATAAAGTCTGGGTTCCTCTCGAAGCGTGGTCGAAAAAATCCCAAATACAATCGCTACTGGTTTGTTTTGAGGGGTGACGTCTTATCATACTACGCCGATTCTTCGAACCTTTACTTCCCAAGTGGCCATGTAGATCTCCGGTACGGGATCTCTGCGTCTCTCGCCGATACCCAGGCCCAAGGATCCGATGCGAAGGATTTTCAAGTCACGACCGATCAGCGAACCTACCATTTCAGAGCCGATAGTGCCGCAAGTGCCAAGGAGTGGGTGAAATCTCTCCAGCAGGTCATATTCCGCTTCCACAATGAAGGTGATAGTGTCAAGATTGCTTTTCCCATTGAGAGCGTGATTGACTTGGAGGAGAGTCCCATGGCCGAGTTTGCCGAGACCTTCAAAATTCGGGTCCTGGATAACAATGAGACCTATGCCATTGACGAGGTAATTCTTGGTCCTTCACATTTATTTATACAGATCTGACTGTTTGTTAGTATTTCTTCACTTTCTTCAACTCCGGTCAGGATGCTTTTAATTATCTCAAGAGCTTGGTCAATTCCTCCCCCGCAAAGAACCTATCCGATGAGTCCCCTCACAAGGGCGGCACCAAACATTCGAATATACTGGCTGCCAACAGCCGGCGTCTGTCTATCCAGACAGAGAACCAGTCCCCACACGGTCGAAGCATTGAGACCGATCCCCAAGATTCCACAGACTCGTTTGCTCAATCAATAGATCGAGGCACGGAATCATCGCCAATCGTCCAGTCAATCACCGAGACCAATGAATCGGCAAGTCAAATACTTAACCGAAGTGATGTCTTCCAGTCACCTACCATGCGATCGTTACCGAGGCGTCCCTCTGATGTGGTTGAGGCGGGTCGGCGACGCTCCGATGATACTGCCCGATCCGCATCCGCACGACTAGGCGATATGGTGCGGCGAGACAGCTCGGGCTTGTCCAGCCCCAACAGAAATGCAGATGACATTCGCGGCGGTCGCGGGCCTGCGGATCAACGGATTCCCCATTCGTCTCGGCAACCCCCTGGTGTACCCTTGAACGATCTCGTCAAAGCTGGAGCATACCCTCTCCAGCGTGCCGCCGGATTTGCCGAATACCTCAAAAGCAGATCCAAGCAGATGAGTAGCTTACTAGCAACGGAATCAATGGGCTATATCGAGAAGGTCTCTGGCATGTGGGCAGGAGGTCAGAAACATTATGGAGAGAAGGAAGAGGTGCTTCATGATGACCCAACGGTTGATCCAGAGGACAAGGAAGACGGGCTCAAACATGGAGACCGATTCCGAGCCCATTTTGGTCTCCCTGCCACGGAACATCTCCAAGCTACATACTATGCTTACTTGACCCGTGTTCTTCCTTTATACGGAAAGATATATCTCAGCGAGAGGAAGATTTGTTTCCGCAGTTTGCTTCCAGGCACTCGCACAAAGATGATCCTGCCACTCAAGGATGTCGAGAACGTGGAGAAGGAGAAAGGATTCCGGTTCGGCTATCACGGTCTTGTTGTCATAGTTCGTGGTCATGAAGAGCTTTTCTTCGAGTTCAATTCCGCCGATGCACGAGACGACTGTGCTGTAACACTGCATCAAAACTTGGAATCTGTCAAATACCTGGTGGAGTCGGGCCTGCTGGCGGAGGAAGAGCGCGATCGAGTTGAAGCGGCTAAAGCGGAGCATCGTATGCTTCAAGAGGCTAGACTTGACAGCCCCGATGAGCATGACACCCACCCAACGCTCAATGAGAGCTCGGCGGAAATTTCGCCATTCTTTGACGACCCTCGCGCCTCTATCATCAATTTCAAGCCAACCGAGTCGCTGAAGATCACTTGTCTGACAATCGGCTCTCGGGGTGATGTGCAACCCTACATTGCTCTGTGCAAGGGACTTCTCGCCGAAGGCCACAAGCCAAAGATTGCAACTCACGCCGAATTCGAGCCATGGATTCGCAGCCACGGCATTGATTTCGCTCTCGTAGATGGAGATCCTGCCGAGTTGATGCGGATCTGCGTGGAGAACGGGATGTTCACATATTCTTTCCTTCGAGAAGCCACGTCAAAGTTCAGAGGGTGGATCGACGACTTGCTTTCCTCATCGTGGGCCGGTTGCCAAGGTAGTGATGTGCTTATTGAATCGCCAAGTGCAATGGCCGGCATTCATATTGCAGAGGCTCTCCGAATTCCCTATTTCCGTGGCTTCACCATGCCATGGTCAAGGACTCGCGCATACCCACATGCTTTTGCAGTGCCAGAAACTCGCATGGGAGGAGCTTACAACTACATCACGTACGTGATGTTTGACAACATCTTTTGGAAAGCTATCGCAGGGCAGGTGAACCGCTGGCGCAATAACGAGTTGGGTCTCAAAGCCACTACTTTGGACAAGATGCAACAGAACAAGGTTCCATTTTTGTACAATTACTCTCCTTCCGTGGTGCCACCGCCCCTCGATTATCCAGATTGGATTCGCATCACAGGCTACTGGTTCTTGAATGAGGGCTCTGGCTGGACCCCGCCAGCTGAGCTTTCTGCCTTCATCCAACGGGCCCGTGACGATGGGAAGAAGATTGTCTACATTGGTTTTGGGTCTATTGTTGTTTCAGACCCCGCTGCTTTGACACGGACAGTTGTCGAGTCAGTGCGAAAAGCAGATGTTCGATGTATTCTCTCCAAGGGATGGTCAGACCGACTCGGTGATCCGTCTAGCCAGAAGGTTGAAATCCCCCTCCCGCCAGAAATCCACCAAATTCAATCGGCGCCCCACGACTGGCTGTTCTCACAGATTGACGCTGCCGCTCACCATGGAGGAGCTGGTACCACTGGAGCGAGTCTGCGAGCTGGTGTACCCACAATCATCAAACCGTTCTTTGGTGACCAATTCTTCTTTGGGTCTCGTGTCGAGGATTTAGGTGTGGGAATTTGCATGAAGAAACTAAATGTCAGTGTCTTCTCGCGGGCACTTTGGGAGGCCACGCACAGCGAGCGAATGATCGTCAAGGCGCGGAACTTGGGCCTCCAAATCCGTAATGTGAGTACTTCATCAATCGAGACTGTTAGGTTATATGGCTTCTAATCTGCGAAATACAGGAAGACGGTGTTGCTACAGCCATCCAATCTCTCTACAGAGATATGGAATACGCCAAGACACTCGCCCGTCAGCGTTCAATTGCCTCGTCCACGCCTTTCTCGCCTACCCCCTCCGCACAAGCCTCACCAGATCACGCCGATGACGATGTCGACGACATCGAAGAGTGGACTTTCGTCGGTGACGAGGGTGAAGCAGAGCTTTCAAAGCGAATGCGTGACCTCAGCGCATCAGACCGCGAGAAGGTGGCCTCGGCTATGTTTCAATGACCTTGCCTTGGCACTTGATTGATTTTATCATATGTTTTTTTTAACGTTTTTACGGCTGTTTTTCTCTCATTGATTTGAGTGATTTTGATATCTAATGATGTCATGGAAGCGAGCTTCATGATTTACGAATGCATGCGTCTTTAATTATCTGGCGTTTGCGAGTCAGATACTGTGTCAATTTGTTCCTTTGCTTATTTTGGGTTGTCTTTGATTGGGTACACCATGTTTCCTTCTTTTCAATTTTTACTATAACCTCTAATCAGCTAGACTGTTTTCGTTTCGTGGATCAAATGCATTGTGCTTGATTATCAAGAAATCCTTTCCTATGTCTATCTTTAGGCTGGACACAAGATGTAAATGAGCAAGTTATGTAGGCTATCAATTTACATCCAATCTGGTGTCCCAGTATGAGAAAGGTCCCGCCATCATACCTTTGATTAGGAGTAGCTGTAGAATGACTCTTCATTGGATAGGGTTATATTTTACGTGATCTCTTGGTTCAAGGATATCAGGACTCATCATGCACAACCGTTCATGAAACGGTTTCTCCACAGAAGGGATCATTGGTGGGATCCTCGTTCCATTGGTACTCCAAACTCCAAGCAACAGACCGAGCATGTTCCAGAGCTTTCTCCTTGTCAAATCTCAACAAAATAGCCTCCTCCCCATCTGGACGGGATACTTGCTTGACAGAATTGCGACATTCTGGAGCAAGATATGTCTTGGCCAGAAAAGCGAAGCCAGCATCAATACCAGCGGTGATACCAGACGATGTGAGGAACTTGCCATCCTCCACCCAACGAGCTTGTTTCTTCCACTTGACACCGGGATCTAGCACTAGATTCAGTATGATTCCAAAATACCGTAAGTGATGTTTTGTTGGACCTACACTTCGGAGTCATTTCATCAAAGATGCGCTTGTTACAAGTTGCCTCGCGTCCATTCAACCGGCCCGTTGCAGCAAGAATCAATGATCCTGTGCACACAGTGAAGACATTCGGTGCCCGATCCACCAAGTGGCCGATCTTCTTGAGAAGCATTGGATCATCTAGTAGATGTATCATGCTAAGGCCTCCCGGGATGAACAGAGTGTCGAAGTGTTCGGTATCTTTCAGGGCATCCGCGATCAAGAGGTTGGGAATCACTGCGATGCTATTTTTGATAGAGGTTTCGAGACCCTGTGGGGCCGGCAGGTTGTGCACATTGACTAGCTGTAGTGTGTAGTAGTCGCTACGGGGGACGATGGCGCCTAATGGCCCGAAGAGGTCCAAGGCTTCGAAGTCCTGGTAGACTAGGGCGAGGATACGGTGTTCCGGCGGCATCGCTAATGGTTGGGAGATAGAAGGATGGGAGAACTAAAGCATGAAAATGTTGGTTGAATTCAAAAAGAGAAACGCATGAGGGCAGATTTGGGGATTTTATAACACAGTATGTTTGTTTGTTACCTTTCGATGGGAATCTTGGTAGCCTTGCGGAGTTTCAGCTTGGCTCTGCGGAGTTTCGGAGTTACAGGCATCCCAGAAGGACTGATGGCTTTGTTTTGTGAGTGAATGGCAGCTTGCTCTAAGAGATATTTTTCCATCTATCTGGGCCATCAATAATGGTCGTTCAAAAGACGTTTAGAAGATCTTTTGAAAAACAGAACGTTGAAGCATAATTAGGGGTATGGCGTGCTGGACGAGAAGCCTAACCATTATTAACAGTATAGCTCATATCAATCAATACATCAAATCACCTAACAAGTGCCTGCTAAACGACACATGGTAACAGTAGTAATAGGCAAAAGCTCCCTCGCCGTATCATCCCATTCCGCAGCAATCTTCTCATCGAGACCATCCGGTCGTCGGGGCTGTAAGTGAGTAACCTCTTTCTGTACAAAGCCATGGCGTTCATAAAAGGGAACTGCCGGCGGCGCAGCTTCAATCCATATATCCAGACCCTTCTCATCAGCTTTTTCCAGTCCCCACTGCATAAGCAAGTGGCCTATGCCCAGCTTGCGATACTCAGGCAGCGTGAAAAAGCTGCCGAGTGTAGCATATGGACCGCTTCCAGATATCTCTAGTCTGTGTCTTTCTTCGCATTCACGTAGGATACGATATGACTGGGCTGCGAAGAGTCTTGCCCCTCCTTCGGGATGACGTTTGGAAAATGACTCGACATCGGCGTCGAGGGAGCTTGATTTTTCTGAGATGAAGATCCACTGTGCACCGCCGACGAGGGTCTCGGTGGTCTTGGAGTCTTGTGAGGTGACGGCTTTGATCCATATGTTCTCTACATTGGGATCGGGGTTTTTTGCTTGTTCTTGCTCCCTGGCTGCGATGTCAGCAATGGTCTCTTGGGGATCGTTGTTGGTGACTGGGCAGTATAGGCGGAAGATAGGTTGAAGTGGAGTCTCGAAGGCATATCTTTCTGCAGCGATCATCTTATGAAGCTCTTCAACGGGGACTTTCTTCAACTCGAAAGACATGCTTGCAGGATAATCGGCGGTGGAAGATGAAGAAGGGTTAGTTCCAGCCACCCCCGCGCTGGGGAGATATTGTTGATGAGACGAGGCTCGCTCTCACACTAAAGAAGTTAGTCAATCCCCGCGGCTCTCGCGCCTTGGCCTGCTTATCAAAAAACTCTGGAGCAATGAAAGTAGATCTCACTCACCAGGCATCGTCTTCTGAGTACGTTTTAGTTGACGGCTTCTTTGGTTTTATATCAGTCAGGTTCATCTTCAGGCTCCGCACTCACCCTTTCACCACTTGTAGAACTAGATTAACATGTCAAAAGTCGTTTCATTTTAGGTATCCAGTAAATCAACACTTTAACCCCATCAACCAGATCGCCAATTCTCTATTTGGTATCATCCCCCTTGCCCTCAGCCTTCTCTTTACGCCGTTGCACCACGTCCCAGTTATACACCCGCGCCGTCGCAACCTCCAGAGTCTGAGATAAAACAACGATTAGCTTCTGAACAAAGATTTCCCTGTCCACATGACCACCTCTTGTTAGTACGTACCGTAATCTGCTCACGCAAGAACTCCAGGTCCTCCTCACAGTGGGCCAGACTAGACTCCGCCGCCGTCAATTTATCCGCCAGCATCGTCTCGGCCTCGTCCAGCGGGTAGGCGAGCATGACATTCGCGCCGAGCCAGAGGTAGACTTCTTCCATATCGGTGGGGGAAACAGAAGCACGGGCGTAGAGGGTATCATTGAGTTCGAAGTTGGTTTCAAGGTCGGTGTCTGGGTTGGCCTGTACCAAGCAGAGCAAAAAAAACAACGTTAGTCCACGATACTCCCCATATGGCTAGTAGTCTGTCCCAGCTCCAAGCTTGATTGGCGACGTACCTCCTTGCGCAATTTCAAAAACCGCACCATCTCCAATGTCTTCTTGATATCGGGGATCTTCTCGCGCAGTCCCTGCCCGCGACGCTGGGTGTTGACCTCCATGAACTGGTACTTGGAGATCATCTCCTGGAAGGAGCGGAGGGTGGGTTCGACCTCCTCGCGTGAGGAGACATAATCGCTCACATTGTCGATGAAGGGGGCCACGGGAATTCCTCGTGGGTTGGTTTGTGTTGTTACCGGGCTGGAATCATGGAGGGGTTAGTTAGGAGGGCCGAGGAGGGGGACATATCGCGACGGATTGCGGTCGGGACAAGAAGCGAGTTGGGAATAGAAGATTTCTCCTTAAGTTATGAGTTGAATAAGTTCGAATTGAGTACTTACGCCTTTGATTTAGAATCCGCCATGACTGGGCCTTGATGTGAAGAAGCAAAAGTGGGGAGAGGAGCTTGTCCGGACGGAGTTTCTGGGCGGTCCGCTGGTTCCTCCGTAGCTTCGAAGCTGTCCGTCCTTCTTCCTCGACTCTCCACTTACAAGACGCCCAACTCAACCTCCAGAATCCCTCGAGGATGGTTCTCCTGACTGCGACAAATCGCATGGTAACAGCCCTTGAGGCTGTCCCTGAATCACAGCGATCGGAGCTCAATCTCCCCGCGACATTACACCTCCACGAACCCATTACACACGAACAGCTCCTCCGCCTAGCGAAACACCTCCAGAATGACGCCGCATATCAATCATCCACAACCACAGCCGACGAACACAGTCGCACAACAGTGCTAAACACATTACTCCGCGGGACAAAAGTCTACATACCCCCGCCGCCTAAGAAACCAGAACCAGTACCCCCTCCCATCCCGTCCATCATAGCTCTTCGGTCTTGTATTCTAACACCACAACAGAGCCCCGAATACCTCGCCTCAAAAGCGCGTCTCCTCGCCGAAGCCGAAAGAGCAGCCTACCAGCGCCTCCTAAACCCAACATACACTCCGAACCCCGACCACGCCGACCCCCACGCGTCCTCCCCCGACGCAGCGGAAGACACCCTCACACCCAGTCTAGTCTTCAACATATTTCTCTCCGTCGTGATAACGGGGTTCAGCGTGTACTGGGCGCTGACGAAATTCACTATGCCTGCCATATTAGCGAGGACGCTTACCTCGTGGACGGGGCCGGGCGTGGAGGAAGCTGGGAGGGAAGCAACGGGCGGCGCATCGGATGCGGTGCGCGTGCTTATTTCGTTCTTTGCGGCGTTGTCGGTTGCTGTGGCCGAGGCTTTCTTGTATGGGGCTTATCTGGAGAAGGTGTCTAGGGCGCGGGCGAAGGAGAAGAGGGTTAAGGAGCGGAAGACGTTTGTTGGGGTGGTGGAGGGTGAGAAGAAGAAGGCAGACGAGAGTGGGGATGTGAGTGTTGATGCGGAGGCGGATGTGGATCAGAAGGAGGAGATTTGGGGGAAGGGGGTAAATGGGGGAGTGAGAAGGAGAGTTCGAGAGAAGTGGGAGAAGGAGAAAGATGATGAGCTATGATTCATCCTACTTTTCGAGTTTTGTATTATAGATTATAGATAATATACCCAAAGCGATGCAATTTCAAACATGATACTTTTTGATATTCTATACCTAAAGCTACAAACGCGCTGTCATTACTCTAACGGGTATGAATGCTGTTCAGTCATTAGTGCTCGTCGAGAAACGAGATGCAGAAGAGATGAAAAAAGGAAGAGGTCGCATATGGCGCGCTGCCAGAAAGGTCAACTTGTCCCGCAAATCGGTGACAAAGGAGAAGAGAAAGGAAAAAAAGGCGATGATGGGAAGGATAAGGTGAGTTGCTTAAACCCGCTTCTCGAGGAGCAGCTTGCCAGAAGGTTCCTTGTTGTCGAAGCCGGCCTCACGGCTGAAGACACGCTCACCACGCAGCCAGGTCTCGCGAACCATACCGCGAAGGGTGCGGCCCTGGTAGGGAGAGCACTTGTTGCGGAAGAGCATGGTGCTGGGCTCGACGACCCACTCGGCAGAGTCATCGAAGACGCAAATATCGGCATCGAAGCCGACGCGCAGATCACCCTTGCGGGTCTGCAGACCGACCTGGGCAGCGGTGTTGGCGCAGCAGAGACGGACAATATCTTGCAAAGCGTTCTTCGTGTTCTCATCATCAGGGGACGGGGTCAAACCCTTGCGACGGCTGAGCTCGGTCCAGAGGATAGGCAGTCCCATACCAACGGAAGAGATACCGCCCCAAGCAGAGAAGAAGTTGCCAGTATCCTCAACAACCTCGCCGTTGGTGGAGCAGTTTCCGGGCACATGGGCGGGGAGCAGCTTCAGGTTGGGTGTGCAGGGCGAGTGATCCGAGACGACGGTCTGGATGACACCGTCGTTGTTGTGCTTCTCCAGCTCCTCCCAGAGACCGTCCTGGTTCAGCTTGGAGCGGATGGGAGGGCAGCACTTGTGGCGAGTGTCACCATCACGGATCTCCTCGGAAGCCAGGGACAGGTAGTGGAAGCAGGTCTCGGCGGTGATCTTGATGCCCTTAGCGCGGGCTTCCCGCAGGAGGGGGATACCTTCCATAGCGGACAAGTGGACAATGTGCAACTGGAGGTTAGGAGCGAGGTGGGCCATGGACAGGATGCGCTCAATAGCGCAAGTCTCAAAGGCGGAGGGACGAGAAGCCAGGAAAGTCGAGTAGGCCTCGAGAGGGCCAGCTGGGGCCGCTGGGGGCTCGGAAGCCTGAACATCGTCACCCACGGAGGCAGTGATAGGAGGAACCATCTCGGCGTGGAACATGAGGGTGGTAGGCTCATCTGCCAGTTCAGCCATAGTCTTTTGAATGTCCTCTTGGCTCACAGCGGGGAACTCATCAACCTATTGAATTATTAGAATTGTGAGGATCTTGAAAAAGAAGGTCGTGATCACTCACACCACTGTCAATCAAGAAACCCTTGAATCCGCGAACACCCTCCTCGATCAGACCCTTGAGGTCACCCGCATTGCCGGGGATGATACCACCGTAGAAGCCAACATCAACCCAGCACTTGCCCTGTGCAGCAGCAAGCTTCTCCTTGAAGTTGGCCACAGTAGTAGTTGGGGGAATAGCGTTAAGAGGCATATCAATAACGGTAGTCACACCGCCAAAGGCCGCAGCCTGGGTACCGGTGTAGAAACCTTCCCATTCGGTCCGACCAGGCTCATTCAGGTGAACGTGAGCATCGACCAGACCAGGCAGAAGCACATTCGGCGAGTAGTCGGTGTATGGTGTGCCATCGGGGAATTCCGATGCCGGGATGATCGAGTCAAAGACGGCGGTAATCTTGCCCGTGTTGCGGGAGATGACAATTGTAGCAGAGGTCAAACGGCCGGAGATAACGGCGCGCGAAGAAGCCACCACGGCAATGGAGGGGATGTTAGCTGTCGCCATAGTTGCTACTTTTGGTGGGGGCTTGCTCTATCTTGCACGCCTTGTGGTCTGAATATCCCAAGGAGCTCGACGAGTGGTCGGTAGTCGCGGCAAGATGGATAAGATTAGAGTCGACGTAGCGGGTCCACCGATGCAGTTAGGGTTATATAGGAAGAAGCAAGTGGTGAGGTGGCGGCCGAGAAAGTCGAGACGGGATTGGGGGAAGATAAGACGAGGGGTAATCCCAGAAGTATATATAGAAAGACACCAGGCTTATCTGGATTTGACAGTAGCCAGGGGAAATTGAAGAGGGGCAAACGAGAGATAAGGAAGTCCGGGGGAGGGGATATAAATAACAAAGGCACAGACAGCCCTGAAGGATAAAAAAAAGTTTTTTTGACTTTGGGTCCAGTGCCAGTGGTACTTACAGTACATACTGTACGGCCACGGGGAATTGCGGCCCACAGGCAATGACAACGGAGAGAAAAGCATCGAGATACCCACTGGGGGAAGTCCCACCCGGTAGAGTGCCGAGGAGTCTTGTTGCGGGAGAGGCATCCCAATCCAACGCCCCCGATGTCGTTGCCATTACTCGATAATTGGCAAATGGGTGGCTAAAAGTGTATGGCGGGTACTCCGAATCAAAGAGATGAGCCAGTCAGCACAGACCCAGGCAGCTGCAGGCCTCATGATCACCGAATACCCTCACCTTTGCCGTATCGGGAGGAAGTCTGAGCGCGGCCTTCCGAGTGACATTTTGCTGTCCGCGGCGGGCGGCTCCTATAGGCGTAGGATCTGCCAGCACGATGTTGTCCTGGGGGTGGCGCTTGTCGATAGAGCATCGAATTACTGACCATCGACCACAGGGGAGTCCTCCGTACAAAGTATTGGATAGCGGGTTCAATCCATGGTTCGGATGGTCATAAATTTTCAGCGTGGGAGGCGGACGAGAGGATTGGCCGATGGTTGGCCGAATGGAGTCAATGGACCATCGAAGATCCAACGAGATCCAGACGCTCGAGAGACTATCGGGCACCTCCGACACTGGCCAGCATCTGTCCAGACTAGGACACGCTTATCAACAGGGGCCGTCCGATCCGAAATGTTTTCTGTGTTATCAGCAGCCCGTTACTCGATCAAAACTGCCCGTGTCTCCTTCCGTTCCTTTTCCCTTACTCGATGAAAACCGATTGGCGAATCGCAGCGGGCCGTGTGGTCTCCGACCGCGCTGACAGACACTCGACTTAAACGGTGGATTCGGCTTGACTTGGGTCATGAATAATTTGGCATGTTGCATGTGGACTTTTCCCTGCCCCTCTCTGGCGGTGGTTTTTCTGCTGCCGGCGGCCTCCGACAGATGAGGGGGATGAGGGTTGGGTTTTCATCGAGTAAAACATGCCGCCACCATGGTGGGTGATCTTCTCGGTTCATATGGGATTTGCACGATGATGAAAAGTCGACGTTAGAAATCAGAGAGAGTTGTCGATGGTGACATTCTGCGGGGTTCGAGGGAGACCGCCTGTGCTCATCTCTCTGTCCAACTTGGTTGACCTGCTGAACAGCAGAAAAGGAAACAGGGAATAACCTGATTGCGCCATAATTCACGAAACGCTTGGGACCAGCCGATCACCAAACACTCTGCATGGGCAGCGTGCTTAATGAGACGTACCTGGCACCTTTCTACTTGGGCTACTGACTACTGACTCTACAGAGTATATTGCGATATGAAGTACTACAATAATTACAACATGGTTATCTAGAGAGTTCTCGAGAGTTTGAAGCAGAGAAATAATATCTGACTCGCATTCTGATGATCACAAAAGATCACAATTCAATACTGCTCTTCAATCTGTCTATACTTCGAGATCGCCATCGAGTACTACATAGTTAGCACTATCTTCATCCGTCAGAAAATTCCATTATCCGAAGAGACAGCATTTACAATATGACCCATCAAAAATTTACTTCCATGCACCCCCTCAGACATCACCATCACTTCCATACCACCTGCAATACACCCGAGGGAAAGCCGACCCCGCATATACAACACTATTCGTGCACAGAGGCGAATCATCACTCTGCGGGAAATCACCAGTGCAGGGAACCTCACCCATACCCTCACAAGCCAATTTTCCAACCGTATCCTTGTCCCCAGTATACACACAAGGATACTCCTTAGCCTTCCCATCCAGATCTTGGAACTTGATATCAGGAGGATAATAGTATCGAGTGGTATCCCCACTCGCCGACATCGATCCCATCGAGTCATCGCACCAGTTTGGAACGGTGCCTACAGTCGGGATGTAGACATTCCAGGTGAAGGTGTATCCCTCTGTGACGATGCCAATGTACATTTCTCCCGTCGGACTTCCGGTTCCTGTTGCGGAGACGCCGGTGGATGTTGTTGATGAGGAGATCGTCGTGGTTGTTTTGTGAGATGCAGTCGAGATGGTGGATACGCTGCCCAGGCAGTACTTGCTGCTTCCTCCATTCTCGGCCCAATGGGCTGAGGTGCAATAGACGACGTCTCCGTCGGAGAGTGTGCTGGTGATTGGGCCGACGTTGACATCTGTGTAAAGCGGTGGCAGGGTAGTCCATGCACAGGGTTGGTAGTTCGTCATTCCAGAAGTCGAGCTCATGGTCTTATAGAGCCCAGTGTGTCCCTCGCAGTAGCAGTTGTCCTGGTCACTCTGGGAATCATATTGGTGAACGCAGCTAAGAGCAGAGGTGGTTGTGGCCGTGCTGGATCCAGTCTTGGTGCTGGTCTTCGTGGTTTTGGTAGTCATGATGGTCGACGAGGCAGTATGGCTGGTAGTTCTGGTGATGGCACTGCTTCGAGTCTTGCTGGTTGTAGCCAGCGTTGTTGGAGTGGTACTCACTCCAGTCTGTGAGAAAGCCGATGAGAATGCTGCCAGGATTGAATCGTCATCGGACATGATAGACGACGCCAGCTTGTTCACTGCCGCAGTATCTATTGTGATATCAGGATAAACCCATCCAGTTCCATCCGTGAATGTTGGGCAAGCAGAAGCAGTCCCAGTGCCACATGGCTGAGAAGTGATGATAGTGGTTGATGTCGTGCCAGTCTTAGAACATCCCTCTACAGTACTGCATGAAGTAGTGAAGCAAGTGGTAGTCGTGGTAGATTTACCACTCATCACGGTAGGGCTACATTTGATATTGCAATCAGTCACGGTCTGAGTCTTGGTGCAAGTGGAGGTGGTCGTCGTTGGTTTCTGCGAGGTTTTCGAGGTGTGTGTTGAAGTTGGATCCGTTGTAGGATTGTCATCTTTATTCGGATCGTCCTTGGGATTGCTGTTGGGCTTATCATCCGGATCAACATCAGATCCATTGTCCGTAGTGCTTGTATGATCAGATCCACAAAGCCACTTGAGAATAGCAGGACACTTCAACTTTGGGCTCGAGATTGACGGCCGAATGGGATCGGGGATGATGATTCCGCCCCCACCATTGTGGTCATTATCTGTAGATGGAGGCCATGACTGGAGCACGATACCACCCGTTCCCACGTAGATCGGGCCTGTAGTGGTCTTTGTCTTTGACTCGATGTACTGAGTTGTGATGATTGTGGGTGTTGTCAATGTTTCGAAGCCTGGTAGGGTAACGATACCGTAGAGTCCAGTGGTGGACTCATCGGACAGAGTGGTCCATGATTGGGTTGATGAGGTACCCGTGGTTGCAGTGAGAGGGACGGTAGTTCCCCCGATAATGACATCGCCGCCACCTGTTTCAAGGGAGACGGTCTGTGTACCAACCGTAATCATACCACCGGGTGTGAGAGTGGTAGAGCCAATTTGGAAGCCAGTAGGGTCCGCAGTAACTGTGAGACTTCCAATCGTCAAGATCTCATCGGTATGAGATGGCTTGGGGGTAGGCTTGGTAGAGGGGGTGTTAGGCTTAGTGGAACTAGTGGTATGCTTGGTCGAAGTCTTCGTATGCTTGGTAGAAGTATTGCGTGGCCTAGTTGAGGTCTTCGTGGTCCCGGTGGTCGGATGAGTTGATGTGAGCTTCGTACTGGTTCTAGTGCTTGTCTTATGCGTGCTCGTACGAGGTTTAGATGTCAGCGTATGCTTGCTCGTTGGGGTTGTAATAGGGGTCGAGCTTCCTCCGCCATGGTGAGTTGTCGTGGTTGGAGAGTCGATATGAGTAGAGCTCCCATCGATGATCAGGCCACCACTGGGCCCTAACGACAAGGTATGCGTACCGACCGTGACTACACCTTCGGGGGTCAGGGTTTGGCTGCCAACGAAAAAGCCAGTCGGGTTGGGCGTCACGGTCACCGAGCCGATATCAATGACTCCGAGTGTTGTCTTGGTATCTTTGATACACTTTGTTTTCGTGGTCCCTGCCGCCGTAGCAAGAGTGGGATAGCACATATAGATCAGGGCATGGCCAGAAGACGTGGTCGTAAAAGTGGCTGCTTCCACTGCGGTATGGGATGGCTTGATAGTGAAAGCAGTTGCATGATCCGAGATTGTCAAAGTCGTGGTAAGAGTTGACGTAGCCTGTCGGTCGAATGACTTGACCAGAATGGGTTGCCATTTCTTTGGGCTCAGTGTGATATTGAAACCCTCCATTTTGGGTATATTATCGTTGGATTCGGTCTCTCGTGCATGAATCTCCGGGGTGCGAACTCTGCGATTTAGAGCAGCCCGAGGAAATGCAAAGGCAGGCCATATGGCCGCTAGTAGAAGAAGGACTAGATGATGCAGCATGGTGCCCACCTAGTCAAGACTGCGAATCGGGAGAAAACAATGAGATGTATGAGGGTATAACGCTTCGAACAGAGACCTTTGAATGGTCCGACCAGGTCTTTGTTATATCTCCTCCGGTCGTAGCTGACCAAAATTCGTGCTGATATAGTATCGGATGAATATCACACCCAATTCAGCGTTTCCTGTCAGATATCGCCCCTAGAGCAACGTCATGTTGAAAGCCTAGCCCCCACATAAGCATGTTTCCAATTGAGGATACTGATTCAGGATACAAAGTATAGGTGATTCGAAGGATAGTTGAAGTTCTCCTTGAAGTTGAAGAGTATACTTCGTATAGTTCCAGACTTCCGAGCACACGACTCGGCCCCTGCAGCGCCCCCACAAAGTGCACGGGTGATCGGACCAGTGGGGAAGGGGCTGGAAATTCATCCTTCATGATCGATTGGGCGAAGCCTTAGGTGTCTCGGGGATGATCTTGATCAGCTCGGGCTTACGGTGGGTCTTCAAACCGCAAAAATTCCCTGGAGCGTGCGTAATGCGTATGCACGTATACTTTGTATGCTCTTGGCGAGGCTTTTTCGATCCCAAGCTTCGTGTACATTGGTCCACCCCTGCATCTTATACATCCTGGTACATATGCCGCTGGGGGCCAAACAAAGAACTTCGTCATCGATAGCAGGGTATAATCTGACGACAGGATGAAACAGGTACTTCCGTCTGGTCTGACATTTGGTCGATCTCAGTTCCAGGCTCAAGAGAACAAATGGAATCACGCATCGTACCGGAGATCCCTTCTTTTCTTCGATTTGGCCCCTTTAGCCTTGTTTCAGCTCGAAGATCAGAGCAGAAGCTTAGTTCTTGCTCAGGTGTACTATTTGTGTATAGATCTAATTGTTTGAGAGGATGACGACGCCGAAGTCGAAGGATCACCTCATGAGAATATCAAAATAAAACAACGCATGGGGGCGAAGGCGATATTTGGCAAGGTCTTCACCAGGAGGTCAGCAATCTCACTCATGGAATTTGCTTTGGCCTTGGGTAGATCTCGGGGGACTGTCTTTCGACTATCTTTTATAGAGCCTGACGCCCATTCACGTTAGAGCCGAACGATATAGCATACCTCAAATCAGTGTTTATCAAAATTGTTCCTACTTTCTTGGTCACAATATACTTATTCAAAATGCTTCTGTCCTCCGGATGGCCAGCCTTGCTGTGGATGGCCACCGTACTGTTGGGCTTGTTAGCCTCAGCAGCGATGGCAGAAGATATCAATACATCTGATACCTTCAAAGTCCTCACTGCCTCTGACAATATGGGCGGCAACTGCGACTCCAAGAAAGCCGCCGTGGATGCAATGGTTCCTGAGGTTCAGCAGTTGATCAAAGCCGCGACCGACTCTATCGACACCATTCTGACAGATCCGTCGGGCTTAGGATCCTGGACCCCCTCAAAGAGGAATGAAAGGTTGCGTCTTCTTTTGCTAGCAAGGCGATTCTTCGGTACAAAGTTCAGTCCCCTCAACCTGAAAGTCGACTCAAGCACCAAGGGAACATTGAATACTGTCAAAGGTAAGTGAAATCAGAATTGTCAGTGAAACATAACGCTGATGGCCCTACTTCTTTTCAGGGAGGTTCAACCAAATCACGACCCAAATCAATGCCAAGGACAAGAAATGGCGATTCGGTTGCGACGACTCCTGGCTTCAATACATTACAAAGCTGCAATCAGAATACGCCAGCCTTCCAGTCGGCACTCCCGTCAAAGAAGTCCGTAAGTATAGTCACACTCTCTAAATCATCTACAGTCCTTCTAACTTTTTTCATAGCTGGACTTGGAAGTGGTGTCTACGAGTGGGCGTTCTTTGACAGAGGAGGTCCGCAGCTGAGACCTTCAAAGAATGAGGATGACTTTGACACTCAGCAAACTTGGTACATGTCACAAGCAAGAGGCTGGTTTGACACCGGTCCTTGCTCTGGCATCAAGAAGAACACCCCCAATGCAGTCTATCCCGATGCTCAGACCCTCAAAGAGCAGCTCATTATCTACTTCTGCCCTCGTGTCTGGGATGATATTGGCACGCGGCTCAAAGACGATGTCAGGAATTATAAAAGTGCAACTATTGCTACTGATGGCACGCAGTATCTTGATAGCTACATGACCCCTGGGGCTACTCTACTTCATGAGATGACCCATCAGGTATTTGATTCAGGTATGTTCAGATCGCTCGTATCAAACTTGGATTGTGATGCTGATCGTATTCTACCACAGAGGATGGACCGCCAAAGGGTCTTGGATATTTCTTCGTGAATGTCGTCAAAGGGAAGGATAATCCCGATCAGGCAACCATGAACGCAGATAGTTATCCCTACTTTGCCGTGGCGGCTTATCTTTCTCAGGTGGAATGGCACTCTGGCGTCGCTCGTAAGATTGGAGAGAGGGAAAAGGATATTCATACTTAGATGGGAGAGGTTCGACTTATCAGATTGTGAATAATTTGAGTTTACTGTTGTCGGTGCAAAGTATTATCAGGAAGCAGTCAATTGTTTATTTAGAATGGGACACATGGACACAATTCACTGAATCACACATGATCCTCGTTTTCTAGTTTTATCCTTCTCCAAGCCCAAATAAGCCTCATTCACCCAGACTCCGGTCAGAGACTGACGCTGAATATCGGTCGCCCCGGTGCTCTCAAAAAAGACCTGAAGCTCCTCCTCCCACGTCAAGTCCTCTTCTTTCTTGCCCAGTGCTTGAATAACAGGTGCTCTGTGTGCAGCATTAGCGGTCTTCATCTGCTTTCTCAAAGACGGATCCGCATATAAAGCTGCACGATCCTCAAGGCTCTTCCACTCGATGAAGCAAAACAGGATCTTTTCTCCTTTGGGCGACTCCATAGTTTTGGTAGAGAATGATCTCACTGGGACGTGTGCCAGGCCCTCGCATGACCCTCCAGGCCAGTGGGGCTCGAGAAACGGGTACAGCATCATCGGACGCTTGGGGTTGTGAAAGGTCATGAATTCCAGACACTTAGGACCAGAGTCTGCGCCCGGATAAATCAGTCCGATGCCATCAGTGATTCTAAAAATAGATTCTCTCGAGATAGGGGATTCCAATAGTGGCGATAGTAGTCGGTTCAGTGTCGAGGTCTCCGACACACACTCGGCCTGGATGCGCTGGAATTTCACATCCGGACATTGTGCTGATGCGGTCAGAATTGTGGAAATTGAATGAGGGCACTCAGACTCACGGTATAGATAAATGACCTTTCGAGGATTCTCCTGGTCCATGCAGCAGTAGCTGTACTCTGCGATCTTCTGGGTATGATCGCGGGTCGGAGTACCTGGAATGTCCAGGCCCATGTCCCGCAGCTGTGCGAGGGTCTTATACCAGGCACCGTGAGAAGGATGCGATACTTCCTCCAAATCTGTTGCGGAGTTTCGCAAATGAAAATTAATCATGCAAGCCATAGTGGTTGAGTATGGTTTGAGAGTTAGTCGAGCTCATGTTGCGAATCTGAAGGTACTTCTTTCAATTCTCACGACGACGTCAGCTCGAATTGGCCCCAACAAAGATCAGCGGTCAGCATCTAGCCTCGCCACTTGACCGAGATACAAGCTCAGTTGAACTGGTACCCAGTACCGTGAACTGATGGTATGAACTTTTGAAAGGGTGATGAGAGCTGGATGAGTGATGAAGCGGCCGATTGAGGTGAGCTATCGGGCCACTATGACGGACGATAGCGGACCCCTAGTGACCCCTAGAGAACACCCTCATACGAGCTATGGCATAGGCATGCTTCTTGGAAAATTTTTCTAGATATCTTTCCTGGTGTTTTTCCTGATGTCTTTCTTGATGTCTTTCCTGGCATTCTAGTGAGCTGGTAGATCCAGATCTCTCTGTTGCAGCTCTCTCTACAATACTCAATCTCGCTAAACTCTTACTCGATAAGTTTTCTTTTAGCTTACATTGATCTAAACTCATTTTACTGTCACTGTAAACTTGAGGTATCCATCGTAATCAAGTATACGGCTCTACCGCGAGACTAGAGAGCCACTTTGATCATATTTCATTTAGCATTAACCGAGCTCGTTAATCAAATTCCCAGAATCCACCCTCAGTTTCAGAATGAAAACAAAGCTTGAAGGAATCCATTCTGCAGAAGACGATTGCCAGTTGGTGATCAAATCATGGTAACCACCTCAGTCTCATCTTACTTGTCCTCGTTGGCGCCGGGCTTGGGACCTTCGCGCACGCAGCTTTCCGAGGCCTCTTGCTGCTGAGGGTCAGCTTGTTCGGGCATCGGCGGAGTAGCTTCCCCAGTCTGCGCAGCATCCTCAGCCTTGACATCTTCATCGTCTGTGACGGCCATATTCTCCAGCGCCTGGCTAGTTTCCTCATCCATGTCCTCGGCTCTGATCATGACCTGCTCCGCGTAATCTGGATTCTTGTAAAGCATGTCAAGCCAAGCCAGCATATCCGGCCAGGCATGCGCCATGATACACTCGGAGTTGAGTTCCTCCCCAGAGGCGTAGCAGTTGCATCCATGATTGCGATAGCCGGACTGGAACTTGCCAAGATCGTCGGAAGAAACGACGTATGCGCGGCCACGGGAGGAGAGGAATGCTGTGAAGGATTGGGGGTCGGTCAGAGTACTCATGTCCAAGTCTATCGCGGTAGACTGGAGCGGGTTGCCGAAACAGATGCCTGAGATGTATGGCTTCCATATGGCCCCTAGCAGAGAAATCAGTCCCGTGGTTTTTCGTTGGATGATGACTGCACTTGATTACTTACATCGCTTTTGCAGGTACTCGAGAGCGCCCTGTCCACCCTCAGACAAACCAATCACGTCGACGCGGCTCCTCTTGCCCAGCCTCGGCCAGATGACGTGTTCAAAAACGTACTGGATATGTTCATTCAAGTCTTTGTTCCCGGGAATATTGTTACGCCAGGACCTAGTAGCTTGGCCCCAAGGTCCAGCGGGTCGATCCGCAGCCTCCCAGGTTCGATGTGTAACAGCACGAGATGAGGCGCAGTGCCAAAGCAACTGACCAGTATTGGCAATAACTAGAGCTATATCTGTTTTGTCTGTACCCTCACCAAGCACATGCTTGGTGAAGTTGACAGCCGAACCGAAGTTGACTCCGTCCTCTCCAACAGAGCGATAGGCCCAGATACCCAGGTCCTGGACGGGCTCACCGAAAACCACGATAACACGGGCTGCCCCGGAGAGGTTCTTGGATACCAGAATTGGCACATGTGGGTCAGTGGCAGCGGCGTTGGGCTCTTGAGGGCCATCGCCAAAGGGAAGACGCCAAATTTCGAGGCCAGCCTCCTGAAGACGGTTCAAGACAATTTTACGAATGCATTCTACGATGTGAAAACACCAGTCAGCCCAAGGTCAAGCAAGTGGTATTGATCAAAGATACCATCCATGGCTTCACGGTTTTTGACATTGAAGCGCTCATTCCTGTTGATTCTGTACTTGAATTCCGTCTCCGGGTCGGCGATCCCGCGAATCTTGTCGTCCACTGTGATAGTATACCTGTCTGAAATGAGCTGCAACTCAAGGTAATGTATATTAACTCAAGAGTACTCACCCCAGCTTCTCGAGGTCGGCAGAGAATTGAGGATCAGGGGGGAGATCGCTGTTGCGAAAGACATACATCTTGCTGTATGTCTTGAAGTGATGATGAGGTTGGATTGAAAGAAGAAACCAATGGCTGTGAGAGAAAAAGAGTGGAGGAGAATTGCAGTAAGGTAGAAAGAGAAAAAGGGAGAAGATTAAAATAAGTAGCTGTGGAAATCCCCGTCAAACCTGGCTCCGCGCAACACGTACCTTCCAACTGCGCTGCCTGCGCTGCTCTTCTACAGCGGCCTAGGATATCAGTTTCAATTCCTGGTGCTGCCAGACATGGAACAGAAACCGGAGCGGGAGATGTTGAATGAAGAAACAAGAAAATCCGTTCGTGGTATTTGTATACTGTACACGCTTCACAAAGAAGCAAAGAGAACGCCATGTTGCAAACCCTGTCAATCTAACCATCCAGTATCAATCGGCCGGTCCAATACTTTTCATCATCGTCTACCAGCTTGCCTTCTTGACACCTGGAAGCTCACCAGCAAGAGCCTGCATACGGAATTGGAACTAGAAGGGAGAGAGTAGCACGTTAGTGGCTGCTCTTATAGCAAAGTCCCGGCTCGCTCCCCTAAGGCATTCACTCACTCGGTTGAGTCTGAAATTCCGGAACACACTACGGGCAGTGCCCGAAGCTACACAGCGGTTCTTGATTTGTGTTGGGCGGGTGTAGCAGTGCATCTGGGACAGCTGGAGCTGGGCCTGGGCGCGAGTACGCTGAGGAAGGCTGGTGTTGCGGATGATGTAGCGGAGCGCTTGTCTGTTAAATGGCAAGAGTCAGATCTCAATTTCAACTGTAATTCCAAAGCTAGCTCTGCAGAGGCTGTAATTTCAGTCGCTGTTGGCGTAGGTAGGACATACCGCTCGGGCTCCATCTGGGCAAAGGCATTGCGCTTGTTGTGATCCCGGATCAGACGGGTGTTGACGAACCCAGAGAGGTCGAGCCTCTTGGGGTGAAACATTGACGCCACCTTGGACATGTTGACGGGCTTTCGAGGGAAAGATGGGGTGTGTTCAGGGACGTAATGGAGGTTCCTGATGGCACCGGCGGAGTTGGCGAAGGACGAAAAGATGCGGAACCCGTTTGGGTTTAGCGCGTATCCGTCAAGATTTGGCCCGCCAGCATCAATCGATCAATTATGGGGTCTATCAGATTCTCAACAAGCGATTCAATGGCTATGGCATGTATTTAGAAAATCATCAGACCAGATACAGGAATTGACTTCCGACTCGGAAAGTCGACATAAAGTTACTTTACTCGATACCATCCAGTATCATGACCCAGCGAGATTACCAGCCTACAACACTCACCGAGCTACTTCAATGAGTCAACAAGTTACGACAGCGTTCGGACAGACTTCAATGCCGGTGAGAATTTCTTCGCCGTGGAAGAAAGATGTTCTCAAGCAGCAGAATATCCAAAAGGACCCGAGGGTCGAGATTCAGTAGTGGTACAGCTTGTGAATTGTTCCAAGTCACCCCATAAGGTATCTTCTATATGCTTGGACAGTGGGCAAACTGCCCGCGAACGTTAAACACACATGATTTGCGAATCAAAACCGAGGCCCGGGGCCTTTTCCGTTCATATCCCCATCGCAACGGCTTGATCCGCTTCAACCTCGCGCTACCCAAGGTAGCACCAACCTCAACAGTCCATCACGGTCGGGCAAATTTAGTGGGAGTTGCCGGCCTTAGCGTTGGGGTTGCGGGGATCGTTCTTGAACTCGGCGGCTAGAAAGTCGAGCGTTAATTGACGACGTTCAAATAATAAGGAGCAGATGCTCGGGCGATGTCGGAGTATAGTGATGAACTCAAGCGGTCGCAAACAATGCATGCGCTGGCCGAGTCGAGGTTGAAAATGTCATGGGGAGCACTCACTGTTGGACAGAGCGTTCTGCAGAGAGTTGACGCCGTAGAGGACAATGAGACCTGTAGGAGAGACTGGTTAGAGCGGGGGTTTCGGGGCCGGCGTTTTCAATCAGAAAATAATGTTTGAAGTCGACATTCAATTCGAATCGGAATCGCCTGGGCAGAAGGAAAAAGTCGAGTATGCATACCAGCAGCGAAGAAGGGGGTCATGGGGCCAGCTATTGATGCAATGCGTTAGTCAGTCGAATCCATGCGTAGCGCCGCGTAGGCAGGCGTAGGAGGGCTTCTGCGATTCCAGAGCGACATACCGAGAGCGCCGGGGAACTTCTTTCCGAGGAGAGACATTGTGATAGAGTAGTGCGAATGCGAGGTGGATTCGGTGTTCGCGGGGGAGTCGTTGGTGCAGGAGGAAGAGGAGAAGGTGAGGTTTGGAGTTTGCCCGGTCCGAGACGCCATACCGCTTTGGGAAGCGCCGCTGGCCGCTTTAGCCCGATGGTTCCGATGCCCGCAACTGCTTCTACAAAGTAAACAATCATTTAACTCTCCACGGTCGCATCCTCGCAAAGACACAATTTGAACTCGAAAGAAACCATGACTTCCTCATTGGCCTCATCAGTAACATCACTGCAGTCTTCTCTGCAGCTTCTCGACAATTCCATCACGACCCTCGACTCAGGCGTCAACGATTTCCCCCGCCTTTGCAAAGTCCTCCAAACAACACGAGTACGTCACCTCGACTTGAGAACAACCCTGAACCTGCGAGTCTAACCTATAATTATTAGCACTTTGAACTTCTTCCCGAGCCAACTCTGCGCGAAGCCCAACAATCTCTCCTGGATGAAATCACACCCAGCATTGCCCACCTCCTCTCCCTCTCATCCAACCATGTCGAAAGGCTCGCGCGCCGTGAACAAAGCCTGAAGGCAAAGTGCGATCTTCAAGAGGGCCGACTCTCATCCAACCCGGAAAGTAGATCCTCATCTTCTCGCGCTCAAGGTCAGAGCGGTGCCGCGCTGCGGGGTCGTGTGGCCGGCTCGAGTGGTGGCAGCTCCGCCGCGAAGGCGCTTGAATTACGGCGACTGGTGCAGAAGAAGGAGCGTCTCAGGTATGCCGTGGACCGGTTGGAGCTGCAAAGTACCCAGCGGGAGCGTCAGCTGAGGAAGAGCATGGCTGCACAGTGAGCGGGTGCACTTGGAAGGCATAATTGACTTGCCGTCTCATCTTCTTCGGGCTCGAGCCCATCCTCCAGGCGATTCGGCGGGAAAAATCACTTCCCAAGTCCCCTCGCAGTAGGACTATGTCAGCCATCGCTCCGGCTACCGAGCATGAAGAAGCGGCCACTACCTCATGCATGAAACATTCTTCAACGACGATCCAAGTGTCGTTAGGAGCCCTGATAGGGCTTTCTATAACTCGCTACAAGAGCTGCCGCTCGACATTCTGCGGCAATGATTCGAGCATTGCTCAATTCAGCACAAGCAATTAGGGAAGTCTCGCAGGCTTCTGGAGCTTGAGACCCGAGAAATATTGTGAAATATTGTGCCCACATGGATTCACCTCTCCATCTGTGGCCCGCCGTCGCCTCGCAGTGGATATCTAAGACAGAGGTTTTTGCGAAGGTTCACGAAGATTATTCCATTAATAACGATAATAAGATACCCGATGCTACGCTAAGATGGATAATGAATGAAGCCAAAGTCAGAGTGAAGAACATATTATACAGTCGTAGCCTAGTGTGAAGATGGTATCCTATTGTACAAAACCTCTGACCCTGTAACCCTTTCCAATAATACATCTGCTATGACAGGTGAAACTTTGAGATCCAAAAAGCCCAATCATATACGCCGCCGTGCAAAATGCTTAGACGCTATTGTCTTCAAATTCCCATTCTAAAGAGCATCCTCTGCAGCATCTCGTCGCTTCACGGCCTGTCGAAGCTTCTTCTTATCTGCATGCTTCTTCCAGCTCGGGATATTCTGGCCCCTCTTACGAGCAGGGGTCCGAGGGAGACCCGAACGATCATCTCCGTCTTCCATGATCTCATCACCAGCCTCGTCCTCTTCCGGGTCAAGTTCGTCGAAGTCGCCCTCTTCATCAGCCTCACGCGATTCGGCCTTGGCAGCCGCTCGTCGAGCAAGACGTTCTTTCTTGCCCTCGCCGTGCTTATCACCCAGGTTCAGCTTGCGCGGAATTCGGGTCTTCGCGCCCAAAGCCCACAGGTCACCCCAGTTGGACTTGCGCGCATCACGGTAGGCCTGCCGGCTGTAGGAGCGCGGGACGGTCCAGCGCTCGATCTTACCGGCTGGGGTGCAGAGGTCGAAAATAACGTGTCCGCGACGCTTGAGAGGCGGGTAGACGGCACGGGGGAGTGAGAGTGGGTGGGGAGCTGAGCCGTCGGATTCGTCAATGTGCTCGAAACCTTCAAATGCGGCATCTGTTGCTTCGGCACCCTGGCCAATACCCCGTTCCTGACGCATGTCCACGCCGCGCTGTACGGCGAGGTAGCTGTACTTGACATCTTCGTGGTTGCGGTCCTTGGCACCCATGATCCGCTGCAAGAAGGCCGGACGGATGTATCGCTGCTCGAAATGACAGTAGTCCCTGCGGCCCTTGGTCGGGCCTGCTGGGTTGTGCATCGGGCAGGTGGAATGGTTTGTGCAGGGAGCAATGATCATGCCAGGTTCCTTGGGAATCGTCGTGGTTTCACCGCGCGAGTCGAATGTTTTTTCATACTCCGTGGAGCCAGGGCTGGCGATATAGCGCTTCAGAAGCATCTCACGGGCGCCAGCAATGGCCTCGAAACCCTTTTGACGGCCCTTTTCGAGTAGGATAAGAACACCACCATTGGGGTTGAGGAGCGCCCAGAGGTTCTGGACGTGTTCCTTTCGCTGGTATTCTTCTTCGAATCCGAGAAGAGTGTGCGGCGCGATGATAATGTCGTACTGCTTACGCTTCTGCACAACACGCGTGTCGTCTAGCGTTGGCTTCTCTCGCACGTGGATATAATCAGGCAATCGGGGAAGGAAGCTGGTGTTATCAAGCATGGCACTTGCGCGCAGCCGTAGGGTCTCAGAACCCGTCAAGACAGTGGATCTTCCATATGGAATGGGAGCTCCCTCTGGGTGATCCGGGACCATGAGTTCATATTCAGCACGGACAATGTCCCTCCAAGCTAGTATACCAGCACCACCACCACTTGCATCGAGAACATTAGGGCCGCCCTCTTGAGAGATGAGCTGACGGATCCAGTCGGTTCCTAGGCGTTTCCGCACCTCAACCAAAACGCTGAGGGTGGAGGCATAGATTCCGGGGTAAAGCACAGCAATGTAGGCATTGGCTTCCATCTCAGCCATATGATGCTGCCCCGCATGAAGAGGGATTGGCAACTGTGGTAGCTGCGCGCGTGGAGGGGGTGTTGTTGTAGAATGAGGCAATCCTGGACCTCCAAATAACCGACGAGCAGTGTCGGCGATATGCTTGTTGGAGAACTCCGAGAGAATGATCGAGATAGGGCCGGTGACGGTTTTCTTCGGTAGATGGATAGTACTTGGGTCCGTTGTAAATTTGCCTTCCCGAGTTAGGGGATGAGCCCGCGGCGCAGAATCTGGGACGGCTTCATTCTCAAATTGCTCCAGCATGATCTCGCCGCCCAGCTGCTCCGCCACTTCGCGCGTGCGTCGCATCGCAATTGTCTCGACCTCCTCAGCGCCTGCTTCCATGTCGTAGACGACGGGGATATCATCCTCGGCCTCTGCGTTCTGCTCGTACTCGATTTCCTCCCAGCGGCCTTCGTGATCCTCTCGGAGCAAGCGGTCAGGCTCCTTCTCGTCTTCCTCGGCGGGAACTTCTTCAACGATTTCCTGAATAATCGGCTCTCCGTAAAGTCGGGTGAAAAGTTGAAGTTCCTCGTCATTCAGGACACCGTCAGGGATTGCGTCTCCGAATTGTTGTCGCACCATTTCCACCCACGCCTCCGGTGTGTACTCTTGGCCATCGAGGGGATCGGGTAGTTCTTCCAGGACTTCATCGCCTTCTATCAGCTCCAGCTCCTCCATCAGCTTTGCCATATCATCATCGTTTTCGTTGATGCGGTCAATGAGGACGTTGATAGCCTCAATAGAGTCGGTATTCGACGGCGGATCGGAGGGGGCTGCAGCGGTGGATGACTGTCTTGTTCCGAAGAGCCATTGCGATGACACGGTCTTTGGTAGATGTGTGCTGTATCTGGGATGAATTGGGGTAGTTGAAATGGATCGACGAGATGTGTTGCTTCGGTTTCGTCGCGAGGATATCGAGCCCGTAGCTCCGCAAACTGGTCGCAAGCCTCCAGAGCGAGACACTGTCGGCCACAGCAGATGCCGCGCGTGCGGACCACTGGCCCTTGCAGTAGACGGCCCGGAAAGCATTATGGCGCTCCAATTAAGCACCTTGAGTCGAGTGAAAGGATACACGAGCGAAAAAGGTGATAAGACAAAGCTCCGCAAAATTATTGCCAAGCCCGCAGCCGTCACAAACTGCCGCCCACTGATTGGCTGGGCAGAAATCCGACAGCCTCGAGGATCGCCCTCCTGTACTCCGTACTAAAAGGGCTGTTTAAGTCGATTAGGATAGAACAGAACAGACGACTTTCCATCAGGCAACACATATCCAGGTTCTGTAAAGAGATATATAGAGCTTTACACTCAGAGTCGTATCCTTACTAGTTAAAGGGCGTAGGTTAGGTTCTCGATAAAGTACCAACCAGTGTGCAGTGTTTTCCGAACTGTATATGTTCCCAGTCGCCTTGAGCTATGGACAGTTTCTTCTGGCTAAATAAAGATTGCAGACATAAAAATCAGAGTAATTTAGTATTGGTATCTTATATGATGCTATCAAGTGCTTCACTCGCTTTCTGTCTCCTCGTTCCTCATCAGAATTTGAAGTGCCATCACCCAGCGCATCACCTCATGCTCCAATGCTGTCAGTTTGGCCATGACGGCCATCAAGCTAGGGTCCTGGCTTTCAACCCGAACCTTTTCCTTGACGTGGACTTCTTCACCCCGCCAGGTAAAAACATCGCCTACCTCGTCATGAGCCCGTTGTCGGGTTCCAAAGATCCGGTCTCTTAGAGAAAATCCGGTGAGGGAAATGTCCGAGGCAAATGCTGATGGTGCCTGGTGAGGCGTGTTGCTTTCTAGAGTACGGATCAAGAGAACCAGTGCAGAGTCTGCAATAGAAAGATGGAATGAGAGATAAGGTGGAGGCGATGGATCAAACATCTAAAGAGTCAAGTTCATTAGTTGGAGATGCAGTGGGAATTCCATATAATGAGAGTCGGGCCTACATTGTCTGAAGCACTCGTCTCCCACCAGTTACCTCGTTCATTACCATCTCCCTTCAGCATCTGTCGTGCCTCGCCGATAGTCTCTTTTAATAGATGCAGCTGGCTGAAGATAAATCCCGCATTGAGGGGATCGCCCGTGTATGTACTCACATCCACGATGTCCAAGCTTTGATTCACGAGATTCCGGACTGAAACCAGCTGCTGGAGGACCAAAGATGGAGCATCAGGGACTTGAGAGAGAGTTAGCCGGGTGCTAGAGGCACCCCGTGGAGCAGGGAGCGAGGCCAGCCGGAGCTGGATATCCTGCAATTACAAAAGGCACGTGTTAAGTCTGTATTAAAGCCTGGGGAACAAGGGGATATCCCGGGAGCTGGAAACATACTCCTTTGACCACCTTCGTGCCGATTCGGGTGACGAATCCCTTGACACTCTCGGATCGCAATGATGATAGAACCAGAGTTGAGCCTGGTTCTTGAGGGGCCAAGAGGGCGGCGCAGTCTTGCAGGCCTTCCTTTAAGGAGACTAGCGACTCCTGTAGCGACTGCAAGAGCCACTCCAGCTCGTGAGCCTAAAAATTGAGTGTGAGCAAAATCAAGATCCACTATGACCCCAGAAGGCGATCATGTTTTTGCACCGGCCAACCACGGAAGGTCCACCAACTGCATCATAACCCCAAGTCAGGACCACTTCTTTCGACGTACCAAAGCGGTATCGGCCTGATCATTCAGCTGCTCTGTGGGCAGTGGGGGATACGCCCAAGTTGCCATAATCGCTAGCGGTGACTAGTGACTAGTGGAAAGGTGCAGCACGACAACACACCCGAAGTTGCTTGGGCTTGTGGGACTTGGGTTAAAAGTTTGGTAAAGCTTTTTTCGGCAAGGAGAACTCAGGCAGAAGGATTCAGGTTCAATCAAAGTCAATGTAGTCGATCCACGTCACCGCCGACGCCGCCGAGCGGAGTCCAACGAGGAGCTGCAACGTTGATGCTGTTCGTCACTTCGTCATGGACCGCCGCGGCTAAACTTAAAATGGATTAGCGCAGACTTAGAGTGTGCGCTAACCCAAATAAGCTAGCCAACCAGGTGCAACCATGACGTTATGATCCTCGAGATCTATGATTTACGCCGATGATGCTCACACCGCGAAATTATATCAGGATAGGGAGCGCCCGGATAGGGCCGGCCCAACGAAGCTGCTGCGCACGTTGCATTAATCTTCTCAGGTCTTTCATCCAGGCCAAAGGTCCTTTTTCATCCTTTCCTTCTTCAACTTCGACCTCATCGCATCGTACCTACCCATTGGCACTTTGGGCACCAACCAGACTTCGAGTCCACAGGCAGCAATCCCAATCCAGCAGCGGGAGCACACCGAAGATCAAGCTTTTCTCTCTCTCCTCTCCACATCTCCGAAACTCGATATAGTAACCAGTTACTATGCTTCTTAGCAGTAAGTGTAATCGTGCGACAGACTTGAAACTGGGGAAATGGGGAGAAAGATCGCCGAATACTAATTGATATTCCTGCGATAGGAGCGTCGCTTGGCTTCCTTGGCCTGTTCTTCACGGCCGGTGCCATCCTGCTCATCTTCCTCACACTCCTGGGTGGAGCGCGAAACAGCACACCCTTGAATGAGGTGTACTTCCTCCAGGCCGACACGGGCAATATTCCAGGAGCTCCGGCAACCGCTCGTTGGACGTTCTGGAACGTCTGCAATGTGACCTCCAGTGGTCGCAATGACTGTGGTAGCTCGCACCCCGACTTCCCCTTCGACCCCCCAAGCCACCGTAACTTTGGCACCGAGGAGAATGTTCCCAAGGAGTTCATCGGGTAAGTCAACTGATTGGATTGGAGATCGCTAACCTTGCCATACATCGCTAATGGGCCAACTACAGAACCAACCACTACTTCTTGACGTCCCGATTCATGTTCCCCTTCATCATCATTGGCCTCTTCTTCTCAGTGATCTCCCTCTTCACTGGCCTGTTGGCCATGTGCACGCGCATTGGTAGCTACCTGTCCGGCTTCCTCGCGTGGCTGGGACTTACCTTCCAGACCATCACTACTTGCCTCATGACGTAAGTGGAAACTAATCCTTGTCTGCTTTTCCATAGCTCCACGAGCTAACTATTTGATAGCGCCGTCTTTGTTCAGGGTCGGGATGCCTTCAATCGCAACGGTCAAAGCTCCAAGGTCGGTGTCAAGGCCTTTGCTTTCATGTGGACTGCGACAGCCTGCCTGTTCATCTCCTGCCTGCTCTACTGCATTGGCGGCTCGGTCGGTCGCAAGGATACTGGCTATAGCGGGCGCAAGGAGCGTCGCCGTGGATTCTTCTCTTCTAACCGCTCCAACAGCGTGAAGAGCCAGAAGAATGAGCAGCCGACTTCTACCTACGCTTAAACTGGGCCACTTCAGCCCTCCTAGCAAAGAAGGCTGCCGTCTGTGCTGCGCTTGCCAGAAAAGGGCAGACCTTCAGGCAATCTTTGAAAACCCCGTCCTCTCGACATCATGGTCTACTCATATACGATTTTCTCTACAGCGTTGGTTTCTTCGTTGAGAATCCCCGTTTCATTGAGAGTTCCTCTCGCTTTGCTATATCCAATCCTATACCTGGATTGAATTTTCCTCCTTGACGCCCACCCTCAACGCTCATTTAATGTTGTCACGAACTATTCACGATCGTTATCATGCCCCCAAACCGCCTATTTCCCATCTGTGTCCAAGCAATATGATTCACGCCTGCACTGCGTGAGCCAGCTCCGACCTTGGCACAATATCGTCGTGTTCTGCTCTCTGCCACTATGAGGTCGACGATTGTTGACGACTTCACGCTGCAATTGTTCTCCGACTTGGTGTTATCTGATGTCTGTCTTCCGCAGTTTTTTTAATTAATAGTTGTAATATAATTTCTGTTTGATGGATCCTTTTATTGTTCTCATACTGTCGCTCCTGCCACAAAAGTAGAACTTCAGAGGACTATTCGTCGGCTCATAAACCCCGTGGAGATTACGGTCAGGCAACCGCCCCATCATGGAACTAGTAAACGGAAGTAAAATATTTATTGGCCATTTCCAACTGAGAGTCTATATAGATTGGGAGAACTTGAGAGAGGACAGAAAAAGGGCTGACTCTAAGAAGATAATGACGGGAATAAAAGGGAAAAGCACAGCCTCTATCAATCATGCATGCATCATCACGCCATAAGGAGATCGCTTTTTGGGGAGACAAATCTATGCGGAGCCGTTGATGGCACCACGGACAGCGGTGGAGCCACCAACCTCGCGCACAGCGATCTGCAGACCCAAGTCGGGGTTGACGTGGACCATAACCTCGACCTTGGAGCCAGCCTTGACGCCCTTGACGGCGAGCTCGGCAACGGGCTTCTCGGTCTTCCAGACAATCTCGCGGACGTCCTCCTCCTCCTCCTCGTCATCAGAGTCGAAGTCGGAGTCCTCATCGTCAGCGGGCTTCTCCTCCTTGGCCTTAGGCTCGGGCTTGGTGACCTTGATCTTGCGGGCACCCTCGCAAACACGGACCAGAACATCACCACCCTCCTTGGGGGTGGTGTACTGGGCAATGCGGCGAGCGGGAAGAGCAGTGTCGGCGTTCAGGAGAGGCTGGAAGCTGGTCTCGTTGTTGGAAGTGAACTCAACACCGATGGCCTTGCTCAGGTGGGGGGTAACAGTGACCATGGGGTGGATGGACTGCTCGATGTCCTCAGCATCGAACTCCTGGACCAGGGAAGCCTGGAAAGCGGCACCACGGGCCGCCAGCTCAGAGGGGTTGATAGCGGAAGTGGAGGTCGAGGGGGCCAGGATGGTGGTCGTCTCAGGGAAGATGTTGGCGGCCAACTGGGCGATCTTGGGAGTGTGGGAGGCACCACCTGAGAAGATGACCTAATATAGACAGTCAGCACCGAGCAGAAAATACATGAGGAATTAAAAAAAATGGCATACCTCATCGATGTCAAGAACATCGAGCTCAGCCTTCTTGACAACCTGCTCAATCAAACCAGTGAACTGAGCAAAGACCTTGTTGGAGAGCAGCTCAAAGCGAGTGCGGTTGACAGTGGAACCGTAATCAATGCCGTCTACCAGGGACTCAATGCTCAGCTGAGCGTTGGCGCTGAGGCTGAGAGCCTTGCGGGTACCCTCACCCTCAAGCTTCAACTTGGCCAGACCACGGGCATCCTCGCGGGGGTCGGTCTTGTGCTTCTTCATGAACTCCTTGGCGAAGTGATCGATGATGACCTGGTCCAGGGAGGCACCGCCGAGCTCGTAGTCGTGGGCTGTAGCCAGGATGGTGTACATACCACCGCGGCAGGCAATGACAGCCACGTCGGAGCGGGTGCCACCAAAGTCAGCAACGACGACCAGCTTGTCAGTCACGGTAGCCTCAGGACGGGCATCGTAAGCCATGACGGCAGCGACGGGCTCAGCAATCAGCTGGAGAACCTCAACGCCGGCGGCCTTGGAAGCGGCGACAAGAGCCTCACGCTGGGCATCGGTGAAGTTGGTAGGGACGGTGATAACAGCAGCGTTAACCTCCTTTCCAAGGAAGTCGGTGGCGGACTGCTTCAGGCGACGAATGTGACGGGTGGTGATCTCCGAAACGGTGACAGTGTTGGGGGTCTCGCTCTCGGTGTCACGGATGGTGAAAGCAACGGTTGAGTCCTGCTGCTGGGGGTGGGCAGATTGGTGGCATGGGGTAGCGTCGATGGACTTGAAGTCCTTGCCCAGGTAGTCCCGGAAGTATGCGACAGTGTTGGAGGAGTTACGGATGAGCTGGGCCTTGGCCTGGGTACCGTGGTACTCCTCGCCATCAATGTAAGAGAGGATGCTGGGAATTTGACGGTCTAGATAGAAAGATTCAGTTAACTTTAGGCGTGAAAAGGCGGGGCTCTGTAACACATACCTCCCTCCTCGTTGGCAATGACCTCAGCCTTGCCCTCCTATGAAAGGTATTAGTATCTTTATCCTAGATCCTCGTGTATCTTTTTCATGAACTCACGGGCGAGATGCGGGCAATTGAGCTGGAGGTGTTGCCAAAGGAGATACCGATAGCGAAACGCTCCGTCTCGGCGGAGGCGCCGTTGACTGCGTCACCCATTTCGAATGTAAATGTGGGTATTATAGATCACAAATGAAGAGAAGATTCCGCGTCACAGAGTGTGCAGAAAAGAGTCGAGGGGTGACCGATGAAGGGGTAAAGATCTCGATGGAGGGGGGAACCAAATCGAAAATTTTGAAGATTTTCAGACGGCGAGTGGCTAGTGCTTATCGATAGAGATGTGGCGCAGTGGGTATCCTCCCCCCGAACTCTCATTTAGCCCGAATTATGATTCAAGCTGTCCGATTCATTGTCAATGCAAGTATGTAACATTATTCTATACACCCTTATTGTTTCAGATTTGATTTTCTCAATTCGCAGTACCCATGCTCTCTGTGCGCCCTTGCATGTTCCTAATCTTAAGTCTTGGCACCGCCACTGTTCTCCCTCGTCACGTGGTGATAGTCAAGATAAGCCCTGCCGACGTTTTCTTCGCTGCGAAAGCATTCACGCCGCATCCACTCTCTGCAGCACGAATCAATCGCCACATTCGCTTGAAGCTTATCTGTTCAAGGTTTAGAAACCAAGGAAGACTTTGAAAACCCCCGAACTGCGCCATGTCCGCACCCCTCATCCTGCTCCCGGGCGATGAGGTACCGAGAGATCATCTCCCATCCAACAACTCGAATCCCCTCAAATTAGGCCCAGGCCTTCGCCTTCTCTCGCGGCCGTCATCCAAGTCTAAATCCGCGAATCATGTCTTGACGGCGACTCAAGCTGGCCTCGTGACAACCGACGCTAAGCGGAACACCGTCTCACTCCTCTCATTTTCCAATCGCCGATACATCCCCACTGTCAACGACCTAGTCATTGCTCAAATCCACCACTCCAGCATTGACTACTTCCACTGCATGGTGACACCACACACAGCGCACGCGCTTCTGGGACAATTGTCCTTTGAGGGTGCTACAAAGAAGACGAGGCCGATGCTCAAGCAGGGTGAACTTGTCTATGCGCGCGTTCTATCCATTGGTGTCGGCGCAGGCGCTGAGGTCGAGCTTACCTGTGTCAACCCTGCCACTGGAAAGTCGGAGCCTGGTGGTCTGGGGCCTCTTGTCGGAGGCATGGTGTTTGACGTGTCCACCGGTATGGCAGCTCGACTACTTCGAGCTAGCTCATCCTCGTCCGAGCAGAATGATACCATCGACGGACTTACTGTTGTTTCTGAGCTTGGAAAGAAGCTTGAGAGTCTGGGTGGATTCGAGCTTGCAGTTGGTCGTAACGGCAAGGTCTGGGTTGATTGCTCCAATGCCGGTGACAGTGCGGTCAAAGCCACAATCGCAATTGGCCGCTGCCTGCAGACCACCGATGAGAAGAGCTTGAATCCTGCGGATCAGAAGAAGCTTGTCACGAGAATCCTGCGTGAGATGAACCTGGCGTCATAATAAGGTATGCTTCGTCTGCATTTAAGTTCAAGGAGTATGGGTATCCGGGCATTTTGATTTCTTGTATATATACCATCTGCATTTGTAGTTATCTTTCTCAATGGTGCTGTGACGATCACATACTGGATCTTTGAAGTAGACTTTTTCCATAATTACGGGTCACCTGAGCTGCTTGAGACACCTCGACCAAGTTTAAGAAAATACATACTTCATTGTTCGGAGTAAATAATGTAATTATTCTCTAGCGGACGTCTGCAGCAGCTGCATGTGCATGACAGACGGACATGGTGGGCGGTAACAAAGGCGGTCTTTATTCTGCCGAGTATCATCACTTGGCGGCCATAAATTTTGGGAGCTTCACTTCCCCACGAACCACCCCAATTACAATTGACCCCACTGAACACTTCCCGTCTCAGTCCCACACGATGGAGGTTGCCGAGAGCCCAGGTATGCTTTCAAGCTCTGACTTGGTCGTTATTCTCGTGTTCTGACATGTCATAGTCGTTGGGTTTTTGCATCCACCCTCCACCGCCGAAAGCATGAAACCGAAGAAGAAGAACAAGTCCCACAAGGACCAAAAATCCGACGAACCCCTCGAAGCTGCTCACACCAACGGAACCATGTCATCGCCTCCTCCCGAGGATGACGAGTCACGACCCTCAAAGCGCAAGCGCGACTCCGAGTCCGGGCATAAGAAGAATAATAAGAAGAAGCGCCGCGAAGCCGAGGACGACGCGCACGGGGAATTAGACCCTCACGAGCAAAGTCATATGTTCGACCAAGAAGAAAACGGAGAGGATACAGCTGATGTCAACATGGAAGTCGACAACACACCTTCGAAGGATACTCGAGAGCCAGGCCACACTGCATCTGGAGTGGCCCCATTGCATGAAGGCTCCCAAGATCCTGGTACACCTAGTGAGGCCCGACTGAAAAGGACGCGGGGTAGTCGTATCGGCGCCAAGAGTCATCTGAAAGTTGGCTTCTTCGTCGAAGAAGAAGTCAAAGCTCTGGAAGAATTCAAAATCCAGTTCTGCAACACCCATGGTATTGCAGGCCGTACATTTGATGCAATGGTCCAGCACTCCGAGCGTGGCGGCGAAGAATGGCCCGTTCAGACCCACATCTGCAACAAGGGCGAATTCTGGAACGATGTTTATTCATTGATTCCTGACCGAGACCGCCGGTCCGTTTACCGGTTCATGCGTCGACACTTCCAGGATACGACGCAAAAGGCTCACGACTGGACTCTTGAGCAGGATGAGGAGCTCATCAAGCTACATGCGCAACATGGGCCCAAGTACGCGCTCATTGCCAAACTTCTCGGCCGTAGCGATGATGATGTGACCCAGCGATGGAAGAACCGCCTTCAGCATCGAGCCACGAAGAAGACTGGCGCATGGAGTGAAGATGAGCTACGCGCATTCATGAGATCATTGGAAGAGTACCGAAACCTACTGATTACATCTTCGGCGGAACCCCAAAAAGCAGGCAAGGACATTTGGGATATGGATCTTAAATCCATCTCATGGGGCTCAATCAGCAATGGGATGGATAATTCTCGCACTCGTCAGCAATGCGCAGATAAATGGCGAAAGATCCAGAAGAACGTCGCGCACGTGCGTCAGACTCTCGACCCCGACGCTGTCTTTGACCCCGCGGACGCAGTTAAAAGGTATCACCGCTGGAACCGCGGCCCTGCAGGAGAAAAGAGCAAGACATATGTGGAAGACGATGATGATGACGAGGCTGACGAAAGCGACGAGTCCCGCATCCCCAGTACCACACCAGCTATCATCCCCAAGCTCGAGTTCGCCGCCGAGCAGCAGATGGATTTGGCCCGAGTTGCCAAAGAAGGCTCAGTCGATTCCTCGCCCGCACAGAATCGCAACGGTGTCGACAATGAGGACTCTGACGATGGCGAAGACGAGATGCCCTCTTCGCCCCTCTCAGATCATTCTCGCAGTGAAGTGAAGAAATTGCGAGATGAAAAGAAAGAGAGGAGGCGCCGAAGGAAAGAGAAGAAGGAGCGGAGGAGACAAGAGGCTGCTGCCGTTGACGAGTCTGCCGAGGAGGTCGAAGACCCTTCAACCCCGAAGGAGAAAAGGCACAAAGACAAGAAGCATCGCAAGTCCGAGGCTAGTGGGAGTGACATGCACGATGTCGAACCGGTCGAGTCTTCAAAAAGAAGAGTAAGAAGGACAAGAAGAACAAGAAGGCCGCGCAGGAATAAGATGTCGCTGCCGATCGACATGAGCTAGTGAGACTGAGACTTCCATGTCTGTTGAGTCGCATTAATCCCAACGATGATGACTCCAGATGGACGAGGACTTGATGGGAATATCGATCTCGAAAGGAGGAGAATCAATGGAAGCCATATTCTATCTGAATTCAAAATTTATCTTTAGCTAGCGAAACTGTATCTTAGTACTCTACGAATGGAAATGCCAAAAATCATCCACAATGGGAACCTTATAACATTCTTATACAAGGTAATCAATCGATCACAGAATGAACTAAACAGAGAAACACCACGAGTCTACCTATCTATAATTCATCCTTGCGGTCATCCTCTTCCTCCACATTCTCATCAACAGAAACCTCCTTCTGCTCGGCATCCTCCCCAGTCTGCACGAACCCAACCTGCTCGGCAGCAACACGCTTCGCCAGCGCCGCAATCTCATCATCATAAACAGTCCACTCGGGCACCTGTCTCCTCGCGCGAGCCAACTTAGGCTCCTTCGTCTGCGGGTTATTGCACAGATCGATCGTTCTCGCAGTTGCAAGATCTTCATCCGAGCACCACGTCTCGCACCACAACCACTCCTGCGGCAGACTGTGAATCGGAATATGATGCTGCATGTGGTTCGGCAGGTCCTGGTCCAGGTTACTCAAACTATTAGGATCGGCCGAGAGCATCTGGTATTGTCCACGGAGACGGTCACCGGCAGCGAGAGCGCGGAACTGTTTCAGATCGACGACGTACAGCGCCGAGATGTGGTATGGCTTGCCACGCAGGAAGTTGCTCCAATAGCCTTGTTTCCAGAAGCGGAAGCCCTCCATTTCCGTGCGCGAGTCGCCCATCGGGGTGAAACCGTATGGTGCGCCTTCCAAGTCGTGCGTGACGAGATCGTACATATCAGTCCGAACAATTTGGTCGGCGTCGACGAAGATTACTTTGTCCAGAGATAAGGGGAATAATACGTCCAGGAAGAGCATCTTGTATCCCCAGATCTCGCGCTGCTTCTCCTTTTGTGGACGCAGCCAGTGCGGCCACTTGTACGTGACCATCTCGTAGGCGAAGCCGTACTCTTCAGCAAGATGGGGGAGGAATGCGCGGAAGGAGGGCGAGAGGAATTGTTCGATGAACCAGAACTTGACGGTGTGTTTGGTGTGCCGCATGACGGAGACCATCATGATGTTGAGCATACGCTCGTACAAGTGGCCACTGGCCACGGAGAAGATGTTGATATCGGCATGTTGCTCGTCGGGCTTGGAGCCCACGCCAACGCCGGAGAGCACGCCAGAGGCAAAGTTGAAACCCTTGGAGATGTAGTCTCGCGCCGAGCCAGGTTCGGGTCCTTTTTCAAGGACATCCTCGTTCTCGTGACCGGGTTTACGAGAGAGACGGGGGAAAAGGGTGTGGCCCTGGAATGATAGAAGAATGACCTCGGTGTTCTCGTCGCCAGGCTGGGGGCGGTATCCGAGGCCACCAACACTATCGATGTTGAAGAGCTTCTCACTGCGACCAGGCTTGAGGCTGATCTGCCACACACCAGGCTGTGCCTTGAATTGGAAGTAGCCCAGGTTGGCCATGATGATGGTGTCCGCGAAATGAGGGTTATCCTCGGTGCCCAAGACAAGCTGCACTCCACGAGGCGGGGAGTTGGTGGTAACATCCCTAGAGTGGCCTTCGATAAGGATATGCTCCAAAGCATAGATGGCATCGACATTGGCCCCAGCCTTGAGCGCACTCAGCTTGATGTTATCCGGGTCATATACAGACTCCTTGGGCGCCACAAGCCAAGATGAGGGGACATCCATGCCAAGGGTGAGCAATGCCTCGACAGGCACGCCAGTGAACGAAGCTCCAGGACGAGACAGAGACCCATCCGAAGTGAATGATGGCTCTGACTCTAGCACATAGCGATAGAAGCGCTTGACGGGAAGCTCTTTCAGTTCATCCTTGGGGTTCAAGAAGATCTTCAATTGAACACCCGCGAGCTCAGAAAGGACCTTGAGAATTGGCAGCCATCTCTGAGCTGTTTCAGATGCTGGGTCAATCACAGCAGCAACATTGATCGCCGGGTCCTCGGAGTTGGAAACCGTAATGACCGAGTGCTCAGTCTTCCATTTGTCGGCCACATCCAATCGGAAGTCTGGCATCGACTCAAAGATGCCCTCGGGCACGTCCGAGATTGTAGAAAGAGCAACCATCGAGGTCAACTTGGCCAGATCAAGGGGCTTAGTGAGCTTCTTATTCAACCTGAGGGACAGGGAGGCTTTCGCAACAGGCTCAATTCGCTTGGATCGCTCGTAAGTGACAAGTAGATCGAGCTCTTCAACACTCAATAGGTAGTCTTTCGGAATGGGACCAACTGCACGGCCGTTGACAACGAGGCCCTCCACGCCGGCGTCGAATCCCAGAGACTCGGCAAGGCGTCGATGGATGTGACTGGCCTCCTGGCTATCAGATGCCGATGTTTCCAGGGCCTCGGTGGAGGTAACGGCATCCAAGATGCTGTCGATATCTCCTCCCTTAGTAAGTGCGTTTTGAACCGCATCTAGGCGCGTCATACCCCCTTCAGACTCTGTAGCACCGTTGTGCACCAGAACAAGTTCCATCTCGCCATTTTCCTTCCGGAATTGCAAGGCCTGGGTTAGAAGCTTCAATCCAGTCTCCGACTCAAAGTCGCCGACAACGATGATGTGAATGCCACCCAGAACGCCGCTTTCAGGTTCAACCCGGGGAATGTGGTCCAAAACCGTTGAATCATGTCCGAAGATGGTGGAAAGATCCACGATGCGTACGCTCTTAGGATCTTCGGGCATAATGAACGAGTTGCGTCTCTCAAAGGCGCCAGCCAAGAAAAATTCAGGCAACACAGCGTCTTCTTCGAGAACACCCTCGACGATGCCCTGTTGGATCAGCTTCAGATCCCTGCTAATCAACATACTCAATTCCTGCATCCAGTTGGTCGCACTAGAGACGGGGATACCGTTGACTAGGAAATTAGGAGCTCCACCCTGCAAGCCCAGGCGGCGCTGGTAGTCGGCGCTGCGCGTGGCCACAGTTTCATAGTGTTCACTCGTTAGTACCTGGTCAAAAGATAGAACTTCGCTTTCTGTGCGTGGCTCTCGCTCCTTGGTCGCCACCAGAAATGAGGCCTTGTCGGGCTTTCCGGCCTTGTTCTTCGATGTAGATTCTTCCAAATAGTGGAACAATGATTCAAGTCCGTAAGTCTCCTGCAGATAGTGTGCCACCTTGAGCTGGGAAATGGCATCTGGAGATGACGCGGTTGGCACTATACCAAACCGAATAGGGATCTGGCGGTTGATAAAGCTCTGAATCTGGTTGATATGCAAGAGAGCCTCTGGGTTGGACAAATCAACGGGCATGACGACATTGTGCAAGTCGCGACGAACTTGGGGCAATTGTCCCGGGTAGTGGTTTGTGATGTACTGGAATTCTTGTTAGCATTATGCCTGGAAGACACGTAAAGTGGAGTTGAAGGCATACTGTTTCTAGGTTCCTTGGCCAGGCCTCATAGCGCGAGTCCTTTTCCAGGTCATTCATCCAAATAATGACCTGTCCACCTTCCAGGGTATCACGATAATCGTAGCGCTGAGACTCATCTTCGGCCTGGGACTCTGCCAGGGCTGGGTGCGATAGAAGCTTCACGGCCTCCTGGGCAGACAGACTTAGATCACGGAATTTCTGGATGAGCGTTCTCTCTCGACGGAGGAGATCGAGCATAGAGAATGCATCGATTTGTCGCGAATCAATTTGCATGCCGTTGATCCATATGACATTGTAGCCGGCTGGGATCATCCGCGCCCGGTTTTCACGTATTTCCTTCTTCAACTCTGCGGTGGCATTATGAGCAGCGATGGTAGTCGAGTACTTGGGGAAGTTTTGTGACAGCTTGATCAGTGTGTTCAGCGGGTCTTCGCTATCCATAACGTAGCTTGCAGAGTTCACGCCAAGTCTAGACACCTCCGAAGAAGATAGAGGTCGTAGATCATCCGGCGAGTCATCCTTCAATTCCTCAGAGCCAGTTGCAGCGTTGTCTTTGCTGCTAACATCCGCATCTCGGTCATCAATGACAATGTAATCCGTGCGTTTCAACGCTAGTTCCACGCCGTATCCGGAGACGAACAAAGGCCGCGAGGTCCAGTGCTGAGGTGGTCGATAGCGCACGCGGTACGAAATTTCACCCTGCTTCGCCATATCACTCAATCTATCATGGAAGTCCTTGAAAGTCGGAGCCGAGACATCTGCGTAGAGAACAGCTGGAGGAAGCGAGGTATCGCCGAAAACACGATCGAATGGTAGTTCCTTGGGATCTCTAGGATCTCCAAGTCAGCAGCTATCCAATGGGGCGATTGCATCAACGAAGCTAGACTTACGATTCTCCTTCTACGTCCTGCTGTGCTCGCTCCATCAGCGAGGAACAATACTGCTTCCCCTCCAAATGAACCCAGACAGGACAAGCCGCATCCTGCGCCCCCATCAACGACTGCTGCACCGAGGTATTGTAGTATTGATAATGAGCCTGGATTCGAGGCGCCGACGACCGAACCGACAATGAGAGTTTAAATGACGATAGACTTTCGGGAGTCCGTAGATGTCCATCTTCGTGAACGACCTGCAAGAAGCGGTCATACAGCTCCTTCTCCGAGATAGCTTCTTCAAAAGCGCCATCCGCGATACGGTTGAGCAATGGGAAATACGAGGTTGCATTTTCTTCGGCGGCGGTTTCACTAAGTATCAATATGAGTATTGCTGACTTGATTGCTTCAAAATGCGCGCAGGTAAGCAAGGACAGTATCCACGAACAGAAGCTCAACTAGATATGGAGACGAGTCGAATGAGGCCTGAAGTGCCACATTGACTGCCGGGCTCGCAATGGCTAAACAGGCCGGTAGCAGAGCTCCCAAAGCGGCATACCAATGCCATGAGGCTCGAGTTCTCGTGGAGTTCCTCATCTTCGCTGATATGGGGGGTTGTTGGAATCGAGGACTAATTGGTGTTTATAAGGGACACCGCCCGGGGCCAAAGGCGTGGGTGTTGTAATTGGGTATTTTGGAATCTGACAATCTTCGTATTAGACCGAGTGTCAATTTGTAGAACCGACAAGCATCGCGGGCCAAATGAGCCAGCGCTCTTACAAACAAACGCGGAGAAGCTGCGGATCTGGACACTTGGATCATTCTCCTATCGTGCTTATCGCAGCTTGTACGGCGGGCGAAGCGGCAACTTGTGCAAGTCGCGGCTACAGGTATGTACTTGTACTGGTCACGTGGTGTTGTACAGTAGGATTTAATACGTTTGAAACTATGACCAAGGTTCAGAATCATCTTATCAGTCACAAGTTTAATGATGGACTTCATAATGGTACCTAAGCTATCGAGAAAGACGATTGAAATGACCTTTAGATCTAAACACCTTTCAGAAAACAAAAAGTGGAAGCATATCCATTAGGTGGTTTCTCTGGTCTCAAGGCTCAGAATTTTTGAACTACCACTGTATATATGTAGCGCTATACCTGGCTATGTTTGATCTAATCATGTTACAGCCAGATCCTTGTATATCCACGGACATCCAAATTATTTCCATTTCAGCCTTGGACGACTGCAGAGCTTCTAATTGCCTGGGTAACTACGAACCTATCTCCTACAAGAGGAGTCTTTTCTAACTACAAGACATATAAAGTACAAACTACGAAGACAAGGTAGATGTTCTTGAATGATACTTTGATTTTGAGATGAAACATAGTCCGCCGAGTATGATAATCGTAAACACATGATGTCGTTAACACAGTTTGTTCCAGCACTACACGTTTGACTCCGATGATGCACGTAATGTCCCAATGCGCCGAAAGCTCCGAGAAAAATCAATATGGAAAACAGATATCCAGAACGTCCCCCATATGTTCAACCCGCGAGGGTGTCTTTTGTTCTCCGACGCCGAGGGAAATGGAATGTGTGAAAGGGTTTTTGTAGAAAGGGGAAGTTGAGGCCGAGCTCAACGGGAGGAATGGAAGGGTGTGAGAACCAGTAATTGCGTTACTGGCTGTCGGTGGTCGACACCTGGGACTGGGAGTTCTTGCGGGTGTACGCATCGCGGATCAGGCGGTCACGTTTCTCCTCGGAAACTTCGAAGATGGAGGAATTGTGGGTGGAGCTGTGCTGGCTGCCAGGCCGAGCAAGAGCAAGGGCGGTGCTGGACCTCATCTTCCGGAGATTACGAAACTTTCCAGAAGTGCCGCGAGAGAAGATCCCACGGGAGAGACGCTCCAATACCGAGCCCCCACTTGGGGTAATGTCCCCGTCCGCAGGAATGGGGAACTGGGGAAGGGGCTTGTCAATGACACACTCGGCGATGCTCATTTCGGAGCCAGTGCTGCCAGTGGTTCCAAAGCTGCAACCGGAGTCGACCTTGCGGGTCTTGCTGCGGTAAGAGCGGTCGGATTCATCAAAATGAGTGGGCTCATTGACCAAGACACACTCGTCGATCATCTCATTGACCAAGTCGAGATACTTTTCCAGAGTGTTGTAGACCGCAGGCCACGAACCCTCGCCTGCTTCGCCTTCTCCCTGGTGGATCATCTGGTGCACGGGGCCTGTACCGCGAGTGCTGACCTTGTTGATAGTTCTGAAAAAGGCATCGCGGTGCATCTTGAGGATTTGGTAGGTCAACTGAGGAGTAGGAGTCGCGGATCCAGGAGCAACGGGAGGATAAAGAGTGTTCAGCATGGCGATATGGTTATGCTTGTTGTGGGGCTCAAGAAGGATCTCATTGATGATCATCCAGCGACGCAGACCCACATAGAGCTGGGTGTACAACGCCTCGATAGTCCGGGCGGTGGCATTGATCGACTCGAACCAGGTCATGACTCCGGGATACTTGATGGCCAATTCGGAGCGGGTCGGGTCGGCGGCGTCCTCGGGGCCAATATTCAATCGCTGCAGCGCCAGCGACATTTCCTTCTTCCAGCGGTTGTGTAAGTCCTTGGCGTAGTCTAAAGCGGTCAAGCCCTGGGGAAAGTCCACCTGCTCCAGGTCCTTGGGGAAGCAACGGCGGAGGAACGAGGTCAAAAAGCTGGCTGGAAGGGAACATGGCTGAGAGGGCATCCGAGAGATCTGGTGGATCAACTGAGAGCGGAAGTCGGCGGCGGCATCCACGGAGCTCTCCTGTGAAGAATTCGAGGCCTGGGTCGAGGTCGAGTTACGTGGGCTGAAGGCGGTCTCCGGCGAGTTGCTGCCGGGCAGGAAAGACTTGGACGGGTGGCAGTTCAGGGCGTACATGTCCCGCAGGGGAATTTCATAGGCAGCTGGGTCGCGGAGGACTTGGTCAAAAATCCAGGTGAACGAGACGCCATCTGGCTTCTTGGGCGAATAGGGAACCGCAGACATGATGCAAGATAGCGGGTTGTGGTCTGTGCAGGGTGGAGTAGAGAAAGGCGTTTGTGGTGAAGTAGGTACGTTGGAGGGCCTTTTTAAAGACGAAAGGAATCGACAGCAGGTTCGAAAGACCAAGATTGCATAAATAACAATGCTGGACAAGCTTCCGAGGGCTGGGACGATTTCAGAACACGCCGAAGGGGTGAAAGCGTGTGTGGAACTTTTGGCAAAGGAGAGAGTGTATTGGAAAGCAAAAAAAGGTAAAACACCCAAGACGAAGCGGGGATAAGCGTCGAGATCAGAGCGGATCAGATGCACGCAACACTAGCCATACGACGGAGATGCAGCGAGGAGGCCAGCGTGTGCGTGGCCGAAAAAGAGGGAAGGAGGTACCAAAAGTACCAAAAGGGAGATGAGTAGTTTGGCGAGTGTCTGAGGTGTATGAGATGTTTAAGATATTGACGCGAGGGGTGTGTAGTGTTCGGGGCTCTCGTTGGCTGGTCGGACCTCGCGGCTGCAAGATCGGATCTAAGCAAAAAGGCAAAATAACGAGACCACACGGTTTTTCGTTTGTTTGATTGGAGAACTGGCTCTCAAGGATCGTGAAGAGAAGAAATCGCGAGGATGGACTGCAAGACACGTCTCACGTTGGATGGAACGAAGGGAGTGTTGTATTTGGGGTAGGAGGTTGAACGAGAGGGTGGGGATAGCGAAGAAGAGTGCGTGGAAGGAGAGGAGGACTGAGGAATTGATGAGAGGAGATGAGATGGAAAGATGGAAAGGCGTGGAGAGAACGAGATAAACAAAATGGAGATGGAGTGAAAAAGTGGGAGTGGGAGGATTGTTGCTCATAAACAAGTGGAGGAAGTGGAAGTCGAAGCGGAGGAGCCAACCCGTCCGAGTCTCTGAGTCTCTGAAGTCTGGACCGCATCGGGTGGATCCTCCATGGTGTGTACTTTTTTCCAACTTTCCACCCGTTTCTCCTCCTCTGGTTTATTTACAATTTTACACATTTACGCCTTCCGTTTTGACCCATCGATTCGTTAATTTCGCTCATCTCACTCCACTTTCAAAAAATAAGACCTGATTGTATTCTTCTCATTCGACCCTTCCATCCATGACGGGATCCATACCCGTTGTACAGATGTACTGGGACCGTACCTTCGAGGCTCCACCTTCTGTACTCAGCCGCCCCTCCAAAAGTTAAGAGAGCCACCAGCACCGGGAAAAGACAGCCGTTGCATCTTCCGCGATTCCGGCCCACTTGGTTTCCATGCAATCAGCACGCTAACCGATCCTCCTAGGCTCGCGTCCAACGCGGTGCCCGGTGTCTCGCGCTGCCTTCGCCGTCCGGGGCCCGGGGATTTGGTTCAAGACGCCATGGTGCACGCTAGCGTATCCCTGTCCGCGTCCTGGGGAATTTTCGCACTGGTCGATGGAACTCGAGATGAGCCTGTGGCCCTGTGAAGTGGTGTCAGTATTTTGAGGCCGTTATGCTCAGCTACAGTGACTTCTGTCTTTCCTCGGACTGGTCAATCCTCCATGGGACTAACCCCCGTCTCAATGAATATCGCATCCTCCAGGGACCCGCTGTCTACCTTGTCAGCCCACACGCGCCGACATCTTGGTTTTTAAGGAGGATTAGCAGTAGCTACTTCGATTTTGATGCAGGGTTTGCCTTTTTTCCTCTACTATTTCCCACCCCAGAAGGTCGTTATTCCAGCATACTGAATTCGCATCCACGAGTATCAGACAAATATAGATCACTCTATGCTGCGGCGAGGTCATTTTTTGGAGGCATTCGTCACCTGGCTGTGCGGAGGCGAAACTGTGCCACGGGTGCCTCCCTCGATCTTGTGTGGGGTGGACCACGCAATCTGTGCAGCTTGACGGACCCCTGCCCGCATCACCGGGGGTCGCCTTCGCCATTTCTGCCGCACAAAGAAACTCGGAGGAGTCAGATAATCAATCAGAATCAAACCACCACACTCGAGAAATGAGATATCCTCTTTGACTGCTACATGAAAGGTAGTCCCTGGACTTTTGCAAAGCAGATCATACTCCGCGTACTACTGAGTACTGACGTCGATCAATAAACAACCACAACCGGCGCCATCGCCCATGGTTCTCGCCGTGTCACCCCCGCTCGCAACCCACGAAAACTGTACGCCTGCGGCCTTGTCAGGTACAGGTCCTTTCAGACTTTCAGTACTTTCAGGTACTGCCGAGGCCGTACCTGCGTCGTTGACCCGTTTCAGATGTCCGGTTATCCCTGATACATCGTTTTTTCTTTTTCCGTTCGCCCCTTGAATCTTCCTACGTATGACAGTGAGTTCAATTGCACAGCAATCTTTCTCAAAATACGCATTTTTTAGGAAGCCCCTCCCATTTTCGAATGAACTCCAAAATGCCCCTCACAACAAAGAAATGACCAGGCCCGATAAGTGGTTCCCTACAGTGCCCAACCAGAGAAAAAACCACCAGGCAGCCTTTTTTGCGGGTCGGAAAAACCGACCTTCCCAAACTGGGCGAGATCGGTTGCTCTTCGTGGGGCCTCAGGCCGTGCACAAAAACAGTCCAGACACTACGATCGGCATTCCTTCATTTGACATTTGATTCCTTTCATTAACCGGTCGGGACTCGGAACTTGCGCGGATACCTCAGAGCCTGTCTGTCATTGTTGTGGTTATCGGTAACGGCCGTTATCACGAAGGTTTCCGCGGCACAAGCTAGACGGCGATCATGGCATCATGATCGTTGATTGTGCTTCGAGGCGTTGGCGATCCGACCAGATACTCGGGCCCTCCGAGTCCTTTGTGCTACCGTGGCTGACCAGATTCTTGAACTACGGAGGATATCCCAATTCGCAATTTCACCTGTGCCAAGGGGAGATCTCGAGAATGGGTTCGGAAGATATCTAGAAAACCGAGTGACAATGGTCTACGAGTCCATTGTACTACATTAACTCACCCAGCAGGCATTTAGAAGCATTTCTTATCCTGAAACCTGACAGCTAGTCAATTGAAAAAAGTACAATCCTCCAACTACTGCACACACAATTTTAATCTGCCTTTAGCAATTTTCCTCCTAAAAATTGGCTTTATGGTCAGCAATCATGTCTTCTCGTTCCACGATTAGCATTTGCTCATTGAGCGCCGTGCCCGAATCCCAACAAACTTACTTAGACTTTGCGCAAGACTTCAAACCTAAGAAATCGCGCGCTGTAGCCCAGGGGAAAGGGATAAAACCCTTGGGTCGTGAATCGAGATCGGAAGGTCTGTGTGCACCTCTAGACCCTGTTTTTCCGTCTTTTCGTCCTTTTGTCTTTCTTTCTGGCCTGCTTGCAGGTACTTGGTACTACCTCCATTTATGATTTGCAAACTAACCATCTCCTCGGGAGCAAAGATGATCATGTGGCTTTTTTTTTTTACGGTAGGGCAGAGAATTGAGGTTTCATTGACAGGCGAGTTATCCATATTATCGTAACAAAGTACGAAGGGGTTGAAGACCCCGTACTTTGACACTCGTTCTAAATTGGATGTGTTCGGTGCTTGTGGGGATCGGTGTGCCAGATTTAGTCTGATTTTTGGGGGGTGTTTGGTCCTGGAGGATGTCATATTGGATTGTGTATTTCGTATAAAGGATGCTACGATTCCTCAATTTCTAGTCTGATAAGCGATGAGTCTGTTAAGATTGCGCTGAAATAGGCTTCGAGATGTCTTCTGTAGAGCTGCGTTTCTTTGTCCTTTACTACTCTCATGATTGGGTATTTGGGATAAACAAGTCATCTCGAAAGGTGATCTACCACAAGGTTTAATCCCATGTTCAAGGTAAACCCCAGAGTCCGGATCAGACCAAAGTCCCCCGGGAGGGTCTCATCAACATCAAACAAAGCGTCGACCAACATGATACACCTCACTTCATACAGTAGACGCCTCATACATCATCCACCTCCTCAATCGAGTACACCTCCAACTCGGCAATCATCGTATTCGCAGGGATAGTCACACAAATCGGGAAACCCCCATAATCCGGATCCTCATTCGGCATCATAGCACAGATACCACTCCGAGTCTCATCCCCATTCAGAGACCTCAGAGTGTGCAGCTCACCCATCTCCGAATTCACAACCTGCTTCTCCTCGAATCGCAGGAATCCCGTAAACGTGCTGGTCGGTGAGAGGGACCGGGCGCGAACTTGGAAGCCCCATCCGATCAGGAGGAACTTAGGTCCACCTAGGTGGATGACCATTCCCGCGCCAGGCCCGGGCTTGCCAAAGACGAAGCATCGCTCGATGATAATTTCGTACCCGGCCCAGTGCTTGATGACCGGCTTAGACGGATCGGTGCCGTCGGCGGCGAGCTCGTCGAAGTAGAATCCGATCGAGCTGTCGGGCCGCGTCTGGGCATCAAGGATAATCTGGGAGACAGATTTGAGCAGACCGTAGTGCTTGGTGAATGGGTTTGTCGCTGGCTCCAGGGTATCAATGCCAAAGGGTGATACCCCGATGGCCTGGAACGAGCCATAGGCAGTCCAAATGCGCCGCACGCCGTACTCATCACGCCGCTGCTCGGGGATGAAAAGCGGCTGGTTGCGGTGGCGGTATTTTCGACAGGTACTTGTATAGTCATTCAGATAGATATCGGGCGAGATGAAATCCAGCGAGGGAGCAAACTTCTGCCATACGTCGAGGACGGTGCTTGTGCCACCTCCCGACGGGTAGTCGCCCGGGTAGCCGCCTCCGCCAGCAACGACGGGGAATCCATTGTCGCTGTCGTCGCCCGCGGAGTTTTGCCAGACATTGGTGTATAGGGGGAGTGGATATTCTTGTTTTCCTGCAGTCGCAACTTTGTTGAGATATTTGGCGTAGTGGTATGCCATGAACAGTTCATCTGTGTGTGGACCCTTGCCGAAGACTTGCTCCCATGTTCCACAGGGACTAGTCTGAGCTTTGAAGTGCTTCAAATTGACCTTGATATCCGCGTGGAGGTTTTCCCAATCCTGTGACAAGAATTGTACCAGATTCTCGGGGACAGCTTCGTTGAATCGCTTCTCTGCTGCAGCAGAGCCATCTCGCGAGTCACCCAGTAGCCCAGTCTCATTCTCGACTTGCACCATGACCACGGTCGAGTGCTCGCCGTCGACCTCCTTGACATGTTGTAAGAGACGAGAGAAAGCCTTCACGTCAGCCTGACATCCTTCTTCGTGGAAAATAGATAGCACGTCGCCGGTCTGGAGGACACCGCCAGCCTTGCGCAGCTTGGCACGAGGGAATCGTCGCGTGTTTGTCTTGATCCACGATGGGACGTAGGTGGATATACCTTGAGAAGGGTGAGCGATTGTAACAGGGACACTTTTCATTTCATGCGAGAATCAAGACAAGCATACCATTCTTGAAGGAGCCAAACCACAGCAGTACAAGGTGTAGTCCATGTTTTCTCGCCCCCAGAATAACCTTATCCAATTCAGCAAAGTTGAATTGATCCTCAACGGGCTCAATGTCCTCCCAAGTAACACACCCCAAGACGGTATTGATGTTGGTATCAACCAACTTCTGCCAGACAGGCTCCATATACTCCGCCGAAGTCATCGAGGAGTTTTGCAGCTCAGCTGCGAGGGCAAGGAACGGCCGGTCATTGACCACGAGCTGCTGCGTTGTGCCCGCTTTGCGCAAGTGCGGTATCGTCGGAGAGAGAGTCATTGCTGAAATTTGTTTTCAATTCAAAACTGACAAAAGGAGTGAACAGGGAATTGTAGCCGTTTTTACTGCAGCGCAGTCGACCAGGCACCTCTTATACCTGCTAGTTGTCCTGTTGACCCCTCACGAAACCCCCACCATGATGATGCAGGTGACACCATTCTGGAAACACATTTTAGCCGGAAGGGATGCGTGAACATATAAAAAAAGAAATTCTCGCGGGAATGATCACGACTGATTGGCAAATTACCCGCAAACCATTGCTCAACCAAGTCGACCCCCGCGCGGAGAATCAAAAAAGGATAAGCGGGAGTGAACCCCCATCATTGGCTGATAACCCACACTCCTCCACGACTACGGAGTAGATTTGCTAGATCGGGAAGAAACCCGGGGTATTTATGGTTGTAGCCTTGTGAATAGGCTAAGGCTAATCGCACTCCCACTTATGCTTTCGCTCGACAGACTATACATATAGTGGAGAAAAGGTATATCTGGATTCTCGACATCTAGGCTAGAGAAACAGTTTCACTATGTAAATAAGTGTGATGTCACTTTCTCTCTTGTGGTAGATCTCTTTTAATGCCCTTTGAACCGTCTTTTTAGATAGCTAAGGTTTCTTTATAGTCTGCCGTTTGAAGTCCTGACAGATAACACAATTTTAGAACTGTAGAAGGCTTTCTAACTTATAGAATCTTTCGGAATGTATGGCTGATAAAAGGCTGAGTTACGAAAGGAAAGCACAAGTTCGCATGCGATTAGCCTCAGCCTTTTTATATTGCCATCCTCGTGCATGAGTGACTCTATATCTGGTTTCTCTTCGTGGAGACGAAAGGTCCAACGCTGGAGGAGATCGCCGCCTTGCTTGATGGCGACCAAGCCAATGATGCAGAAAACGGCCGTCGGTTCATCAAGAGGCCAAGACTGCGGAGGCATGATGCTAAACTTGGTTGTTTCTGTTTATTACATCTTCCGGCGCAGGATCGATAGGGCATCGCTCGCAACCTTCCCACGTTCCGCGAGGTCAGATGTGGCCGGTATATCTGGCTCTCCGTCGATAGGTAACACGTGCTGGAGACGAAGTTGACTATCCATCTGTCCACGTAAAAGTTTTGTCCATTGAGCGCAAGTAGACTTTTTGAAATGTAAATAGTCTGTCCATCTGAGATAATTAGCCTTAATATCGGATCAGCCTGTCACATTCCATGCTAATCTCCGAACAGCAATGTATGAAGAAGGGCCGCAGATGACACTACAGTCATGTGTGCCACAATGAGATATACCGCCTCACAATCCGGGGTTTCGTGAGAAGTCCTCAGCAGATCACTAGACATTGTGGCATGATGCTTGCAGCGGGACACGAACAAGGCTCGACTGCGTGTTTGAGAGAGCTGAATGTCGAAGAAAGGGAAATATAACAAAGTGGCATAGTGATGATGCCCCAGATGAAGTGCCACAAAGACCTGTCCCAGGCCTACTCTGGCATGCTTCTTCAAGTTGTGCACGGTAAAATGAAGGTCAGGCGGAAGACCTTGTTCAAAGGTTTCAAGCTCTTGTGCTAGGTCTTGTGTAATCAGTTCTGCATGGTGCTCATCCAGGACTCCATTTGAGAGCTTCTGGTGGAGGTCTTGAATTTTACCGAATATTCTGGCTAGAATGACCATGTAACCCCAGAGACCTAGAGTAGGCTGGTCATCCTGACCAATTGCTTGCCCTGGTTTCAGAGACCAGAATAAGGTCCCGAGTATGGGCAAGCGATGATGATCATCCTGCATTTGTTTGTTCAAGTCCAGCCGGCAGAAGACCATTCGACCACCAAGTTCTCACCTTGATCTCCTGGGTGATAGCGTCTTCACTGGCATCTGAAGATGGTAAGTGGAGGATATTTGCCATTCGGAACGCAATACCTTCGATGAATCAGACACATCTTTTTCTAAGGATGTCTCTTGTAAAAGAGCACTTACCAAAGAATAGACCCTCCGAGACAGATTCTCCCTCTGCACCGCACAAATTACCCACCAAAATACTGGCGTGGATATTATTGAGACACACATTATCAATATCCATTTTAACCGGCTTTTGACAGCTGAGAAGAATGCTTTTGCCTTCTGACGAATCTCCTCCTCGTCAGAGAACTTCCAAGATAGAAGAATGAGCGATGATTCCAACAACGCAATCCTGCTTGTCTTTCCTTGAACTCACCGAGCTGCTATTGCCATGATGCCGAACAACATTGCCTTCGGCAGAGACCCAGTTTTCACTTGCTCCCTCAGCAAACCCGGATGAAACAACGTATGTGGTTTATCGTGGATGTAGCGTAGGTAGAGTTCCACCAGGTGGTCTCGAATATCAACAGTCACCTCTTGCAAGACGTCATCCGAACATGATGTCTGAACTACTGTTCTTGTTGTCTTGGTTGAATGCTCCTTCCTTGCAAGTTTCGGGTGTTAGTGGAGAAGGGGCACTGTTTCCCATGTTTGGTGCATTGCTGGCAGGACCATCCACCATCCCACCCTCTCTGTCGTACACTTGCGCTTGCTGATATTGCATTGGGTGCAGGACTTGGATATTTTCATCTCGCGTTCATTGTCTGCCAAGTGTCACCGGGGCTAAACGAATCTTCGGGTAACTCCATGTGTTTCTACTCTGGCAAGCTCTAGTGAAGTGGAACAGGGACTATATATTTAGCCGCAGATTGCAGTCATCAGGTAGCTACCTGATTTTGGCGACTTCAATGAATCATCTCAGCAGTAATCAAGATGAATAGAGTCCAATGTCCAATTATGGTACATCTACCTAATAAATGACTCTCCACTAAATCACAGCCCTGGTGTATACAGTATCTCATCACTTGATCTGCGGACTTCGCAGCTTCATCGGATCACATACATCTACACCGCCCGGCAGAAAAGATATGACGATAAGCGACTTTCGCGACTTCCTCCGCGACAGCTCCAGAGTAACGAAGCGAGAAACAACAAAGATCTTGCCATGGGAAACGGACCTTTGGAGCGAAAGCTCCAATTCGAGAAGAAGAACCAAAATCTTGTCAAGCTTCCAAAATGTGCGTTTTGCGCCCCGATTCCCACCTTGCAGATCACCGCCGAGATGCTCGACGATGAACACGCGCAAAAAGTCTAACAACTGGAATTCACAGATGCAAAGGTTGAAAAGCGACCCATTCCTCATGCGCCAGTTGCCTCACCCTACGCCGGTGCCTCGGTGCCCAAGGTCGTCTACGTATCCAGCGGCACACCCTTCATGAGTGCCGTGAAGCGCGTCCAGAAATTACTCCGCCAAGCCGAGAAGCGCGCTACGGCCAAAATCAGCCTCGAGGACAGCCGGAAGACGGAACAGCAGAAGCTTGCCGAGCTTGCCAAGGTTGCTGAGAAGCGGGAGGAGGTGTTTGTGAAGGCTACCGGGCGTGCTATCGAGAAGGCACTGAACGTAGGCAAGTGGTTCGAAGAGAAAGAGGCCGAGTACACTGTCCGGGTTAAGACTGGGAGTGTTCTTGTCGTTGATGATGTGGTTGAAGATGAGGAGAAGAAGGAGCGGGAATTGCAGAAACAGCAACGCGAGGAGGGAGCGCAACAAAACGGGCAGCAGGATGCCCAGAAGAACACTGAAGAGAAGGCCGATTCGCAAAACGCTGAATCAAAAAGTGTCGCGAAGAAAAAGAAGAAGCGTCCAGCCTCCACAATCTCTGAAGAAACCGAGCTCCCGGAGTCCCGAACTCGATGGGTCAAGATGGTCGAGGTGGCTGTAAGCCTCAAGTGAAACATCTGGCGGACCGAAAGAACATTCTATGCATACTACCGTGCCCATGAAGGGATACGCTTCTTGAAGCAGTGCAATTGCCTCCAGAGACACTATGACAGAGCCGTTATGATGTCCTCATCGACGCTAGACCCCACATACGACCAGCAACCACAGCTCCGGAATTATCAGCAAAGGACACAGTGGGCACCAAGATTACAGTGATACCGCAAAAAAGCGTCACCACTGGAGGGCTCAAGGAGCCCAGTTGATGTCCTGGATGGATCATGGAGTACCTTGAGCTGATGCTCTTGTCATACCTGAGACTGCTTCACAACCGTCTCCAGTTTCACGATATCCGAGCACCTCTTCTCAAGAGAGAGCCAGCAATGCTCGTATTGCTGTGGTGTGGCCTCAGAACAAGGGACTCCTTACAGACCGAATACCATTCGAACCTACAATTGATACCACAGCTAGTCACACTATCGATAACTGTTCAGGCCAAGCCTTGAAAAATCGAAAATAATGAACATCCATAACCATTTGTCCACAGTGGCTGTAAGCTCTAACAAGCTATTATAACACCGAAATCTAATAAATACAAGAAAGCAATATAAAAGGCCATATCTCCCCAAAAACCCCAACACAAAAACTATTCTACAAACTGCCCACCAGGCACACAAGCCCAGCTACAGCCAACCCGCTTAAAAGGCAGCGGTCTAAGCATCTCCCCCGAACCCCTCGGCCTCTTCATACCATTCTCATGAGGAGTACAGTCCCACCACTCCGTCCACCTAGCACGAGGAACGATAAATTCTCGCTGACAGATTGAGCAATGTTGAGCGCCATCTTGCCGGGCTTGTCGAGCCAGCGAGATCAAGGGGATGACGAGCGCGGGAAACTCGTCTAGTTCGAGATCGGTGAGTTGGTCGATACCTGGGAGTTTGGAGATTGCGCGGAGAGAGACTTCGCGGAGGGAGGGAGCTCGGGATGCGGGTTGGGATGATGTGGAGGGTGTGTTGAATGGGGTATTTGGCTCGAGGGGTCGGCCTTCCATGTCTAGGCGGGTCACTGGGCCTGTTGCGACGTGGATGGGTGTCCATGCATCATTGGGAGGTGTGCCTTCATAGTCGCTGAATATGGGGACGGGAGTGACTTCTGGAGCGTCTGCTTCATCTATTTCTCCATCTTTATCTTCGTCGTTGGACTTGTCAAATTGACAGTGCCATTCGACCGGTCCGGATTCATCGATTGAAGGGAACGGGTTCGGATGGGCGGTAAAGTGTTTCAACTCTCCTTGCTGCAACAACCATAGGAGATCCCATGGGAGTTCATGGAGTCGATTCATAGAAACATTGAGAACTTGCAGCGCGGTTAGTTTGCGGATAGCCTCCGGGATCCGTGTAAGCTTGTTGTTCCGCAAGCTGAGAACCTTGAGATCTTTCAGATCGAAGATCTCGCTAGTATAAAGTGTAGTGAGGGAGTTGTTGGAGAGATAGATTCGAAGGAATGGTTGGAGCGAGAAATAAGCGTTTTCAGATACAGGCGCCTCGTGCAAAGAAGGTAGCTTGGTAAGATGCTGTAAAGGTCGCAATAGCCCTAGAGGGATAACCCTCATATTAATGTTCCTATAATAATGATGATTAGAAACCTGATCCCCGTGTATCATCCGGTTCACGACGGAGAAGCTCTTACCCAAGATCAACGCTATCATCGCCCTTCTCCAGACACTCATTGATAACAGCTTTCGCATACTTATGTTCCTCCGTCTCGACCGGACCCTGCAAAACAACAGGCCGAGGCTGCACAGGAACCGACGCAATATCAGACGGTTTAACAAGCGAAGGCGCATTCGCGACTTTACTCGGCGCCCTCGGATCCAGCACCGTCTTCAGAAGATCCTCACCCCAATTCGACGCATCTTCCGACGGCAGCGAACTCTCCGCGATAGATTCATCACTCCCCATCCAAACACCACTATCAACATGCCTCTTCTCCTTAAAATCAGCCCTCTTCCGCTTCGGATCCGCAACCTGTTCTCCCCACCAGGTCCCGCGGTATCGACGCTTGCGCCCAGCGCCCGCTACCGGCGCATGGTAATTCTCCAGTCCGGACGCGGGAATGTCATCGCTCGAGAACAGCGCCGGGTCACTTGATGGCTGGCTGGAGCGATCGTCAAAGCGCGATAGTCGGCGCGACTTGCGGAAGGACGATGCGACAGAGCCCGCGGGGGAGAGGCGGGATGGCGAACGGTGTCGAATCCGCCGTGGTGGGGGGAGGGGGACCTCGTTGTCCATTTGCGAAGAATGGGTGTTGCAAGGGGGCGACGAGTTATTCTTTCCTCGTTTGTCCCTTTGAGTTCATCCGAAGACGCAATTGAGGGTGTGTTTGGCCTAGGACCAGAAGGGGTCGCGACGCGTTGTGGAGCCCGCGGGGTGACAATAGTGTCAACACCACACGCGACGAGGGCGCTCTGGAGGGAGACAGATCTCGGGTACATCAATTGGAAACAATTGAGTCCCTCCACACAAAGCGGGGAAAAAGGAGAAATAGAAAAGAAGAAAATGTGAAGATTACTCAGATGAAATGTCAGATACCAAGAGATAAGATCCGATCAAACGACAGACTGCCCAAAGTGGCGGGCGCGTGGGCGCACGGCCATTTCAAGCGGGAGAAGCGGATGGATCATGGATCATGGTGATTGATCCACATTCCACGGGAATGTTCGATCGACATGATCTTCGCTACATTTGAACTCTACAATCTGGCTATTTTTTACTATTGATCGTTTTCTGGACCGAAAGAGAAAGGTGTCAATTGATGCACGGTGGATTACTGTCGAGTGTAGCTCTTCAGCAAATGGATTCAAATTTGACATTCGCATCCGGACTAGACCAACCCAGACAGTAGTAGGTATAGCCAGTCCTTCTTTGCTGTAGACTCCCGAAAAAGAACCTCCACAGAAACACTATATGAACAGAAGAAGTGAAGTAGGTTAAAAAACGGGGGTTGTAGAAGAAGAAAGGGTAAATTCAACATCAACTCGTGTCCACAGAAATCATAAAGGGGGTATTTGGAAGTGTGAAATGCGTTAAAAAGAAAAAAAAAGGGCCGTCAATCCTCTCCGAAAAAGGGTTCTCCAGCTAACCACGAGGAATCATAAAAATGGAAAGAAGAGAAGAGAAATTAATCAGTTCAGAATAAAACGGTAAACCCCGGCTCTGCTGGAGATGAACGGCAGGAACTGAAGGTAGACTTGAGAGTTTCCAGGCAGACATAGTGAGCATTGGCGAGCTGCGGTGTTTGGTTTGCAAGGCAGCAGTCCACCTGTGACTTTTGGCTGTTGAGGATCTGCCTGGTCTCAATGGCTACCTCAATTGATCGCGTCCGCGATTACAGGGCGGCGCCCATAATCAGCGCGAAGGATCCAGCAACCAGGGCCGCGGGCATACCAGCGCCGAGAGCGACAGCTCCGCCAGTCTTGGTGGGGGAGGCAGCAGCCGGGGTCGAGGCGGAAGAGGAAGAGACCAGAGGAGTAGAAGTCGCGGATGCAGACACAGACACCAGAGTCGCGCTGGAGCTGGGGGTGGCAGTGACCGAGTTGACGCGAATCAGGGTCTTGGTAATGGTCGTAGTCGAGACAGAGGTGACATCTTCCGAGGCCATGACCGGGGCGACGGCGATGCAGAGAAGAGAGACAATGGCGCCGAACTTCATTTTGTCGGTTGTTGGTTTAGTTGAATGAAGAATGAGATCAATGAGATATCAGGGTCGTATGGTGACGAGGGTGAGTTGGTGCAAGGATATCTTGAAGTATCGATGACAGGTGCAGAAGTCTGGCGATGAGCTGAGTCACTGCGAGATTAAGGCGCAAAGGCGTAGAGAAAGTAGACGGCGATGCAATCGTCGTAGAAGAGTCGATTCGAGAGTAGGTGAGGCTTTGAGCACAAATGAGTGAGACTCAAAGACCAAGATTGATGAGGGTAAAGAGCGTAGGGAGCGTAGAAGGAGTGTGGGCTTCAAACTGAGGGAGGATGAAGGAGGTATAAACGAGTGACAGGGTCCAGGTACAAGAAGTACTGTACGTCCGAATGAGTGACTGGGGTGAAGAAGAGTTTTCGTAAAAGCCTAACAGGGACAGGGAAGGTCAAGGAAGAAGTATGACAGGGCGAGTGGTATGCGCCCAGTCTAAACAAAATCTCAGGCACACGAGATTGGCCGCCAACCTGGGGAAAGGGACATCCCATCCATTCAGGGTCCCCCAATTGAGCCCTAGTCCGGTGGATATGCGACTTTCTCGTTCGTTTTTGCCTTTATTGATTTTTGGCTTTTTTAATTAAAATTATTAGGATTATTAAAATCATTGCCGCTAGTCGAGTTGGGCGTCAAATGGGCCTCCTATTGGACCGATGGGGCGAGCGTTCCTGGGACTATCCGAAATAGGGCCGGGCCAAAAAATCGAACTATGGAGACTGGAGGAGCAATCACAACCCTAACGATGGAGTAGTCAACTTGTCAACAACCAACTGCTGCCAAGAACCCTCCGAAATACCGCCAGGGCCTGGCTGACTCGCACAGACTTTCTCCCTCCTGTTCGTCTGCTCCCCGGAGAAGTTGGAATCCATAACAACTCGTTATGCGAGGGGAGCGGAAGGGGGCTTCCGCAACATAATAATCTCTCAATGCTGTATGATAGTCACATATCACCCAACCATTGGAGACGATCCTAGGGCCATCTGCAGATCAGGGTACTTTGTCTTGAACGGAGTACTTGCACACGAAATACCCGCAAGCAGTCGAAAAACTCGATGTGTAGTCATTTGTGACAGCGCTTTGTTTTTCCAGACGCAATACGAGATTCTTTCGCCACCCCTGGAAGATGCCATCGGGGGCCATCGAGGGGTGTCGCCAGTCGCCAGTAACTTTACCTACCTAAAGTAGACTAGAGAGGCGGAAATGGGGGCGACTTGGATCAAACGGTTGAACGGGGAAGCCACCTGGCCTGGCCCCCGCTGAAACCATCCAGGTATCGGGTCGTGTTTCCATACGCGCTCGCGGTTTCTCATTAATGACGATGCTCGCGGAACAGCAGATATGCAGCAGCGTCTCCATAGCAGCATTCTGATGGGTTTGGTGTTGATGTTCTGGTGTATTTTTCTCTCCCGACAGCTGTGTGACCCCTGGCGTCATGAATGCAGGAACGGACAGCACGGATCTCTCAGAGCTGGTTGGTTATGATTCGCCCTTGAGTGGTGTCAGCAGTGTTGGCAATTTTTCCAGGATGGACTCATGAAGCGTGTGGCCAGTGGCCACACTCGTCACTGGGGACTTGACCGGGGGCGATGGGATTGGCTGACGGGGTGAAGTAACCGAGATTGCATCGAAATTTGGGTTCTCTTTTTGCCTCATTCGGCGGCTGCCCGACATGTCCATCCAGTCACTCACCCACCCAAGCCCACATTGTCGCCCTTCCTGTCGGCTCTTGTCCAGTGTCCACCGAACACGAGAATAAGAATTTGCACGAGGGGGCCACTCCATGGCGGAATTTGACTGTCCAGAAACCCCGGCTTGGCGGACAAATCCACCCGAGTTCAAGCGACTCATGTGCCTGTGCCTGACAAGACCCATGGGAACCATTAATGGCCGATCCACTATAACACTTCACGATCGACCCTCTCGCTTTCTCTTTACGAATCATTAGCGCTCTGTTGTGAGTCTGCGAGGTTCGAGAACTTGACTGATCGTCCCGGGCCCTATGGTTCTCCTTGCGGAAACTTCAATGGTAAGCAACGCGAAATGAACACGAACGAAAATTCGAGAGGTGACGGCTCCGACCGCGTAGAGTTCTCATCGCAAAGTCAGTTTGCAGTACCAGCAGACATGCATACTATCAGATTCGAAAACTTAAAGGTCCATTTGTGAAGCGAGCCCCCCCCGTCATCGTTCTTGCACCCTGCCACCCGAGGTCCGACGGGGCGAAACGTTTGCTCCGTTGGGTCGGAAAGGGACTGGCGATCGCTGGCCGATGATTATTGGTGTCACATCACGCCGGTCACCGCCGGTTCCCCCAAGCCCGACTCCGTTGAACAAGTAGAGGTATTCCTGGCCGGGTCAAGGTGGTTGAATCTACTGATGCATTGACAACAAATGCGCCGGTTACACAAGCAGCTGGCAAAGGCGGTCATTGTCCTAACCTCAGGAATCGGAATGACAGGGCGATGACAGTAGCACAATGGACAGGTAGAGGTCAGCGCAAACCGCCTTCGATTTATGACCCGAGGATCTACAGTATGAGCTAGCTAGCTACATACATGCTATCCCTTTTTATGCGCTAATTGCATGGTGATCGAGATTGCATCACCTGTCTATATACATAGGCAAGATCGTCGCTGCGTTATATAAGCTGACTGAAGCGGGAACATCCAGCGCGTCTTCTGCGGATGCTTCCCTGAATGGTGAAACTTTTTTGCTTAGTGGTGGCTCGAACAACAATCACTATGACGTGACTGGCAACAGTTACCATACTGAGCTATAAAGCCTCAGAGTCTACTGAAACAACCTATCGGCGCCAAGTTTGAGATTCCTGGTGTCTCCATTAAGATCAAACAAACTACTTAGATATGAGGACTATATCTCTGGCTCTGGTGTCAAATCTATCTGAACTTTAGAGCAAATCCAACCTTGATTGATGTTTCACCTTTGCTACACCATTCCTTCACGATGTTTAGTGAGAACTGGAATGTTTCTATACCTCGAAGGTTACAGATATGAAAGCATGAGGCAAGAGAGACCACTAGAACACAGGTCCCATGATCACAAGCAGCTCGACAGGTCAATTTTTCGAATCTGAGATTTCAGAGCCTGAAAGGACTAAAAGTAGGCAATGTCTTGTTTTGGTCTAGCCTTGATTATCTCTGACTGTTCGTTAATCTCGCTGCGTTTGGCACCGAGACACATCAGAGGTGCTGGATACTTAACTCTCTTGTTCGATTCATATTCCTGATAGAGCAAATAAGGTAAGAAAGAACGATGTGTAACTTGACATACATTTTTAGAAGCTATACTCTTTAATGTTGACCCGATCTTACTGTGTATTTCGTACATCTCATTCGTAATACCACTCACTATCTTGAATCATCATTGTATAATCCCTGTCGCCATGGCCATCCCACGGTGGCATTTGAGCGTGCTTTGGTTTTCATTACAAGTCTAGCTGGCTCTTAGGAGCTCCTAGGAGGTTCTCTGTGCATGATCAGGCTTTTCATTCAATGTCGTCTACTGAAGACTGATCCGCCAAACCTCACATGGTCTTTTCTATCGCTATACACCATGAGACAAGCAAGTGCCCAAATTATAGATGATGCTCTAGGACAAACCAGCGGCATAATAAATATACAGAACCTTGCGGTGGAAATGAAACAGGGCATATGTACATAGAGTCCATTGATCTGGCTCGACAACTCCAGGCAGGATACTTCTTCACCTCCTCCCCAAAGAGCACGTTCATACAGGGTCTCCTGCCAGACGGATCTTCATATGGCTACCAGAATGAATACCCGGGTTGCCAAAAGATTATTGTAAAAAATGTTCATACCTTTGCTGATCTCGCCAATTCGGGAGGGCTGACAGGTTCCAAAGCCTCCCCGCTGCAATAGCTTGTCAAGCTTTTGAGCAATTCCAAGACTGAAAATGGCGGTGCATTCCTTCACCACCGTGGATTGAAGTCGGACTGGTTGAGCTCGTCAAGATACCAACAGTGGATTTTGATCAGAAGGAGCTTTTGATAATATATTCCGTGCTCATAGCAGGACGACTAGCCTTAGGCCGCCCCGGTTGAACGGAGACTGGATTGTCTTGACGGAGAACGTCGATTTCTACAAGGGATATGGCTTTATTAGCGATAATTAACAATGATATTCAGTTGGTAGTTATACACGCCCAGGCCAAAGTCTAGCACATCTTCTGTGCGTCCTGGCTAATGGGCCACTTCACTTCTACTGATGAGCAAAACAAAGGCAGCCTGAGGATCATGATATCGCTGATGGACAGATGCAAGTGTATCGTCGACAGCACCTGGGGCAGAAGAATTAGCACCCACAAACCCCAGAAGGTGACTGGCATATATACATTGTAGGACTGAGAAGTGTTGGACCTTCCATCCCAACTGCAGAACCGCCTCCTTGTAGCCTTTCAACCATACGATTCCTCAGCCTCAGGTCTGTCAAGAACGCTCAAAAGAGAATTGATTATCGTACAAGGACCGTCCCCTTCGATTTGGCCATGTCGCATATCTTCTCGAACGACCCTTCAGAGATAAAGAGATACCGGAGAGTGACGAGTTTATTGGCGCATCTGGCGCAAAGGGGTCTGGCGAGGGAGCATGATAGGCGGGCCTCGAGCGCGGAGCCAGGCATCATTGTGGGGTCCCTCAGTACGGATAACGCTGCCGATGGACATGAAGAGTCTAGACGTCGAGAGAAAGCTTTGTTTAGCTTGGTATGTTCGGCTACAAGGTTTCTGATGGAGAAGAAGATGGAAATACCCGAAAGTGGCACCAGAGCCAAGCATGTACTTGCCCAGAGTACGCATAACACCGTTGGGGCCTGCGCCGTACTGGAAGATAGTCACCGTGCCTGCGTTTGATTAGCTGATAAGGCTCAAAGCTTCACAAGCTTCTGGCTTTATATGCGACATACCGATAATGAAGCCCATGATTCCACCGACAGCTATTTGTTGGGTGTCGCATTAGCAGCAGCTTTGTAGTAGTCTTTGAAGTTTCAAGTTGGACTAGGCCGTCCACCGGTCACGTACTGGATCCCATCATAGCACCCATTTTCACTAATCCATTGGTTAGCACATTCGGTCTCTCAGATCCAAATTTGAGCGGCCCCAGGCGCTCATTCAGCTGACAACGTACTCTTGTCGAAGGTCGAGGGACCGACAGGGCCCCCTGCGGGAGGAGCTGCAACAACGGGCATTTTGGATGGATGATTGAAGCTCTGTATCAGAATTCCAAAGTCAATATCTTTGATAACAAGGTAGAGCAGAACATATCCAACCTATTTGCTTCGATGATGCTCTCGATCGACAACAGGTGCTTTTTCGCTCGAGCGCATCACAGAACCTCCTCTCCGCTGGGGTCTCACCGCCTTTACACGTGACCCTAACGGCGCACTGGCACGTGCTGATAATGCACGTGACCAGGATTGACTGGAGGCGTCAAGGGAGCAGGGACCAGACCACACTCCTCTCCTTGGGCGATTTCCTCTATGGCCGACCATCCCGGACCTTTGATTCTACCCTCGTTACATCGCTGTTAGGGTGGCCTTGAGCCTGTGGCAAGGCCGCAGTCCGTCTCGTGCTTCATTCATTGCCCTGGGACGGTGTGAGACATCGGTCGCTGCTCACGTTTCGGCAAGACCTCACACGCCTCCCTGGTCTGGAGCACTGACTTTCGGCCCCAGACTGCGACTGGATCTCCTTGAATCTACGATTTACGGTAAGCTTGGCATCTATCAACATATTTCCAACAGTCTGATGGCTCTCATCCAGGCCTGCGGGCCTGGGGTCTGGATAAATTGTTTGGCTACCGACCGAACAGCGCTAACGCGACCGTTCTGAATTAGCCGGCCGTCCACCAACAACAACTGCCCTCCTACGCGCATCCCAGCCCTTCCCGTTCATAAATTGCCATCGAACTTCGACGAACATACTGCATCAACTTTTGTCTCGGCTCATCTGGAGAGCCTGGTATCAAGGCTCTCCCAATTAGTGACCGTTGATCACTGCTCAGATATTCCATTGTGCTCTATCAATCCCGGGCAACCTTCTCCATGACTGCTGTGGCATCTCCGCCTAGTGTGCAATCGGGGTCTCGCTTGGGATGGTATAGCACCGGCAACGGAGGACAAGGAGCCCTCTCTTCAGTTAATGCGGAAGAAGTGTCACGGATGTTCATGCCTCCTAAACACGTTCAACGTTCCAACTCTTCGTCCTCATTGAGCTCAAACTCCTCGACCTCTACGGTCGTGGCTACGAGTGGCTCACAAGATACCCAAGCTGGACAGACTTTCAATCCCGAAACTGGTACCTGGTCGTCAAAGAAGAAGCCTATTCGTAATCCTTGGCCAAGCTCGAAGGCTGAGCCTGTCGCTGGAGTGACGAACACCCGGTCCCAGGCTGTTCCTGCTTTCTCATCTGGACCTACGGCATCGTCAACTATGTCCGCCATGCATCAGCCTTCGAATATTGTGCCCTCGCAGCACATGCTGCAATCTGGTCAACAGAATGGTGTTAGACAGACGAACGGGCAGTCTGCAGAACCACCTGCGATTTTGGCCCTTACACCCATGAATGGTACCTTTGAAAAGAAACAGATTAACGTACCATTCTACCCGGAAGTGCTGCGAATTGGCCGTCAAACCAATGCAAAGACAGTACCTACCCCAGTGAATGGGTTCTTTGATTCCAAGGTTCTCTCTCGCCAGCACGCTGAGATCTGGGCCGACAAGACCGGCAAGATTTGGATTCGTGATGTGAAGTCATCAAACGGTACATTTGTCAATGGTCACCGGTTGTCGCTTGAAAACCGAGAGTCTGAACCACATGAGCTGCGGGAGAATGATACTCTAGAACTGGGGATTGATATCGTCAGTGAAGATCAAAACACCATCGTTCATCACAAAGTTTCAGCAAAGGTTGAGCACGCGGGTCTATATGGAACAACACCTAATATCCTGGACCTCAACTTCGGAGACTTGGATCCTGCCTCAGGTGGGGGCCTGCTTCCCTCACCTCTAAGCCAGCCACTCTCTCACCTACGAGGACGCTCCGGTAGCAACGCAAGCAATCGCAGCGCCCAAAGCAACGCTACTAATCACATCAACGCTTTGGCCCAGCAACGCCAAATGAACTACTGGAACTCCCCCATCTCTGTCGAACAGGTCGTCAAGAGGGTCACTGTGAGTTCCGCTGGTTGCGCACTCGTACGGCTCCTATATGCTAACTGAGACCCCACAGAGCGAGTTGAAACAAGCCAAGCAACAGTCCCTCGACCTTCGTCAAACTGATGAATTCCTGAGCGCGATCATTAAGCCTGGTTATGCTGAGAAGGAAAAGGCTAGCAAGCCTTCTCCTCTTGAGAGCAGTGGCCCTCGTCAGTTAAACGGTCGCCCAAAAATGCCTCGCGTCGATTCCTTCTCCAGATTCTCTGAACCACCTGCTCCTCCTCCCCAGCAACCTCTTCCAGAGAAACCAGATGCGCCACCACGCGGTGGGCCAGACGGCTTTTCACCCCTGAAGCGCAGCGACACTGATAAGCCTAAATCGGCCTCATCAAACTCCCCTATCTCTCGTGACTCCAGTCAGATTCTTGCTCTCATCGAGAGTCTGACCACAACCAAGCGGGAACTTGAGACACAGGGAACTCGGATTAAGGAACTTGAAGACCTCCTTCGCCAGGAGAAGGCTGCACGCGAATCTGCGGAAGAGAAGGTCAAGAAGTTGGAGATGACATCTCTGTCAGAGAAGATGGAGCCTGCGATCGTCCCGGCAGAGCATGACACTGCTGCCTCTTCGACCCAGGAATCCTTGGTTGACCAAGAGCATGAGGTGCCAGAGACATCTGTGCAGACGAACGGATCCATCCTGCCCTCGGAAGTTCCCACGGCCTCGGATTCTGAAAAGGCAGAGCTTTCCACCGAGGCGCAACTCCAGCGTCGACTCGAGTCAGTGATGGAGCAGATGGACGAGATGAGCAAGCAGATGGCTGCTTTCAAGGAGCGTGCAGAGAAAGCCGATAATGAGAATGGCGAGTTGCGCCAGTCGCTGGCGGAGATGATTGAGACCATTCGCAAGGAACGTGCTGAGAAGGCCTCATCGGCTGTCACCGATAGCAAATCCCACACCCAGGCCCATGATTCCAGCAAGGTCATCTCTGGCCAAGCAGGCTTGGTTGAGAATGGTGCAGCGGGGTCCAAGACGGGCGACTCGTCCGTGGAATGCTTTGAGTCTGCCTCCAAGAGACCCGAGATAGATGTGGCAAGCACAGCGATTGCACAATGGCAACGACGTCACTACCTAGAAGAGGCAAGCCCTTATGCATCCATGCTTGGGGTAGTCCTTCTTGGCGTTGGTTTGATGGCCTATCTCAACGGCTGGCAAAAGATGGACAAGTGAATGTGTCCTAGCAACATGTTTGCGCTCCTCTTCTTGTACCCCAATTAACGACCCATTTTCTTCCCAAAAGTTGGCGCCTTGGTCAAGGTAGCTCCAGCATGACCTTCCTCCTCCGATGATTCTCCTTTTCTCCTCATGACGACCTGATTCCTTCCTTGTACTCTGGGCCTCATCTGCTATTCGAGGCGCCCCCGACCGCGGGATCTACCCGTGTTTCCCGGCGTTGGGTTCAGAGCCACCACATCTATTGCATACCTTGCATACTCCGACTTTCTCTCTTGTCCTTTTCTCGTCATGTTCTCATTCCTAGTTCGCACCAGTCATGATCTTGGCGCCGAATATCCTGATCGTTACTACCCGGTTTTCTCTCATCCGTTCTTGTTTTTCGATGCCCCCTGTCACCATATTCAATGCCCCATCAGCTAAGCCTACACAGTCCCTTGTCTCCTCTACCTTTTTTTCCTGTCATTATTAGCCTCTGTGTTCGCACATGGGCATTTATTTCTTTCCCTGTACATGATGGAAACGGGCAAGGCTGTGTTCATGGCTCGAGGTCCTTCGTTGATACACCTTTGACTAGGGCTCTTCCTTTTCAAAGCTCCTGTTTTCATGTCATACCAGCGCTTTCTTTCTGAATTTATTCAAGGGATTTGTTTTCGAGTCTGCTTCATTTTAACGTTTAATGATTCATTTGGTCGGTGATACAACCGATCGCTTGTGAAGTATCTTCTTTCCTTGCTAAGAGGCTGTATAACCATGCAGCCCATAATACCTGCAATCGTACACTATCATCATCTGATAAAGAGTAGTACTACAGATGAGTTCTGAATCCTCACTGACCGGGCGTCCCTGGTGAGCTATGAAAGAAGCTCGCTGCCTCCGCCGGAAGAGGGGATCAAGGAACAGGTTGAGTCATTAGATCGCCCACTCTACCTGAGTCATTTGATTCGACTCATTGCATTGACTTGCTGTCACATAGCCTATTTCTGTTTCATGTTGGGGCGGATTTAAGGGCAAGGCAGTTTCGGGCTGCGGGGCAGAAGGCTGTGCCTGTCCCGGGCCTCAAGCAACATGGGCTTCATCCTTCAAGTCCTTACAAAATTGTCTATCTCTTGGCAACACACCATTTCAATGACATGCTCGTGGAATTTCTCCGGGTATTCCCCCTTTCATATCGACCGTCTAGCTCATATCTAGTCGGTGTAGGCATGCATAATCGGTAAAGGCTCAAATCCCAATTGCTTCGAGCTTGCGGCTCAACAAGGCTGGCGCACTGACATCTCTCCCAAGGCCCATTTGTTAGTGCATCGCGCCAGCAAAAAAATGATGTAGAGATCATCATAGTCATTGGATATCGTTCTTTGTTCCTAGAAGGATCAACAAATAAGACTGCCTTCTCAGGTAACCCGAAACCCACTCCCTGCACCTAACGGCCCCATTTGGCCCCAAGCACTACAAAAACGGGGGCTGCTAATATTAGGGCTGTGCCTGCAAGCTTGCTCTTTCCACCGACTAGGAATTGCCCTCAGCTAACGGGCAGAAATAAAAAAGCTGTTAGTCCTCTTTTCTTCTTCCTGTCTTGTTTTCTTTGGAATAACTCTCCTTGAACCTATTGCAACCAAATAAGTAAATTCCTTCCTCAGAGCATCCAAAATGCAGATCATCTCTGGTATTGCACGCTTTTTACAGGTAGGAATCTATTCAATAAAGTTCTTCTTTATAATCTTGGCGCGCAACTAATCAATCATTTACTAGATTCTCTTCAGCATTGTTGTGCTGGGTCTCTCTATCAGTCTGGCAAGACAACAGAAGTATGGAAAAGTCCCATCTCAAACAAGCTACGCTGCTTTTACTGGGGCTCTCGGTATCATCGCCTCGGTGATTGGTATTGCCTCCCTCTTCGTTGATAAGCTAAGAGGTGTCTTCACCTGGGTCCTTGATGGTGTCACCAGCATTGCTCTCTTGGCTGCAGGCGTCGTAAGTCAACCTACTCTCACAAACTTTAGCATGTGAAGATCGCTGACAGGTTTTTAGGCCTTCTCTGTGGCCCTTAAAGGTGTCGACTGCAATAACACTTCGACTGACGGACCTACTTGGGATAACCCTCTCATCAGTGGAGGCTGCTGGGAAGACAAGGATAATAAGTGGTGCGCTGACAAGGGCGTGGTGCATACCCGTTGCGTTCGCGCCGAGGCTGATGCTGCATTCATGTTCCTTGCCTTCCTTGCTTGCATCGGTGTGCTTATCGTTTCTTTCCTTACTCGTCGTAACTAGAGAGACACTCTGCGCACTACTTTGATAATGGTTTGATTGATTTACCAATTGATGTGGCATTTCAAACCCCGAGACCCTGGAAATGACTTGGCCTTCGTCCTTGATATGGCTCTCCCTTGCGGCGAGACTTCTTTACGATCGTTTGATATTCTCTTGCTCTATACCCAGGCTAGCTTTTACAATAATCAAGCTAGCAACCATACTATAATATCGAATATAACTCGAACGAGAATGATTTCAATTCAATTTCATGTTCATGAATGACAACTAACATGAAGAGTACAAGATACGTGGTATTCATCTCACAAAGTCAAGCATCCACAACAGTCTAGTTTCCGCGTTGATTATTAGCAGCGACGTTTTCATAATCCGAGCTGTGCACCCGGGGGTCCAGCTTGTTGAGAAAGTTGGAGCTGTGTGGGCCTGAGCTTCTTCTCCTGCTGGTGGGCTTGGGTGCGTTATAGCTGCTGCCGCCGGCTGCAGCACCAGTAAAGCCTGGCTGGCCAGAGAGGTTTCCCATCTCTTCCTGGGCCCTATTCTCCATTTGGTTGGCCCTGTTGGAAGAACCCATGTTGTAGGTGTTGGCTCCACTTTCCATGGTGTTCCCAGCTTGGCCCATCGGGGTGGTCGTCGAGGCCATGTTGCCTCCATAGGTCTCGCGGTCCCCTGAAACAGGTCATGTCAGTCCAAATATTCTAGAGTGTGATCTGAAAATTATATAATACCAAGACTGGTGTTGAAAGGAGGATTCATTTCGTTGGCCATCCTGGACTCATTGAGACGAGAGCCTGTATTCACCTCTCCGGACCCATAACCCCCGGTAGAGCTGTAGGTCGTAGGATTCATACCAGCGCCAGTCGAGCCATAACTAGGATTGGTATCTAATAGGAGTTAGAAAATGTTTGCCAGTCTTGTGGTCGAATTCCGTACCTGTCATGCCGCTAGCCATCTTGGAGGAGTCGAGTTGTCCTCCAGTACCATAAGTGCCAGAACCGCCCATCCCTGCTGTGGTAGAGCCGTAGTTGTCGCTGGTTCTCATTGTATCTCCCATGTTGGTGTCAGGAGCGGTTGAGTCGTAACTGGTAGTGCCGGTATTGGTTGCGCCCATAGTGTTGCCAGGGCCTAACCCATTAGTACAGACAACGTAGGCGTGGGAGCTGACCATGCTCTTACCTTCCATCTTGTCGCCCATCTTGGGAGCGTTACTGGCATCTACAAGTCACATAAGACATGAGTGTTCAATCCGTTCATCACCGAGCACAGATAAGCTGACCGTTGACCGGGCCCTCCATCCTGGACGAGTCATTGTTAGATCCTTTGTTCATGTGAAGATGGCTGGTGACAGCATCCTTCATTTTGTGCATAAAGTTAGACATGATGAGGAAGACTAGAGTTCAAAGAATATAAGTCTGTCGATTGGGATTGAATCTGGGGTTTAATTTGCAGATCTGGCGTTAGCTGTAGTAAACTGTGGTATGCGTGGTTTATAAGTTCACCAGCCCTCCTTCTTCCGACCCATGCCTAACTGTTATCAGAGCTCTGTGACGACATACCGCGGGGTGGAAAAGTGGAGGATAACCACTAAGATATTGAGAAAGTCGGATCAATTGTCATGACGTGCTACTAGAACTCTTTGGAACGTGGGATATGCATCTATCTAGGGACATGTCAAGCCTCCCGTGTCATGGGTCGTCCTATTGCGGATCGACCCAACTCATGCTGGCCACTACTAGGACAAAAATGTTCGCAGATAACCGCTTCAAGAAGTCAAATGTGGAGTGGAAGAGTCTAGCCATCAACCAGGGACAGGTCTTAGCTTGCTCCCATGGGTGCTTCATGATGCTAGAGAGCTAGGTTATTTTGGGTGATACGGTGCCGTTACCAATGGTATTGTTGCTCACTATCACGGAGTGCTCTACGTATTTTCATCTTCCACTGAAAGATAACACTTATATCTACAGATTAATCATGCCTAATTTCTATTAATTGCTTTTTGTGGGCCATGATATCGTAGTTGGCCTTGGTGTACCATGTAGGGATTGAGACGAAGTTGTGCAAGCCCCGCGTAAATACCGTATGGACTCGCGGCCCCGTCCGGGGAAAGTGGATCAAAAGCCTAGACTATGGATCTCCAACATCGTGCAGTATATCTCGAATCAGTGGATATAAATCGACTGGATTTAGTATAATAATCTTACTCAAATCAGACTATTCTCTTCTGAAAGGAGGATCCTGCCATACCAACTTCGTGCACTGAAGTCAGCCCCTATACAGCTCGCCATAGTGTAAATAAGTCCCCAACAACGAGGCTGGTTTTCTTCTATCCATGAATGCGCTCTATTAGATCCAAATTAACCTAGTAATCTGGAAAGAAAATGATATCCAGCCGAATGAGCGAGAGACACTTAGACAATCTACAAGAACATACCATTTTACAGTTCTCGGTCGCTTCTAAACCCTTCTTTTTAGGCAAGTTTCGATGTTCATATAGCAATTTGAGTGACCAATCGTTCGAGAATAATCCTGGTGAGCATTTTAGTCCAATCTGAGCATTTCTCAATCAAAACTATGAACGACCCGTGTAATATCGCTCAAGATTCATAGGTATAGTCGATTAGATATGAACCAAAGTTCATACCTCACCCTTACTGTGTAAAAGGCTTTTCAGAAATATCTCATTAAAAATTTAGAGCTAGAGTTAACATTCATGTACAAGTGTTTTCCTATGGGAATATATACTACGGTGGGGGTGATACCATCATCGTTTGAGCTTATCAATACCCTACTCAGCCCACCGTAACAGAATGATGACATGATCGGCGGAGGATGTGGGCAGTGGGCACGAGCAGATGGGGCCATTAGTGACCCAAACTTGGTACTGGAGGGGCTTGATACTCCTGTGCTAATTAAGCCCCCATCGCCTAAGCTTAATCACGTGTTATCCTCAAGAGAATCAGAACGGATAAACTGTTAGATGATTGAGAGCCATCTATCGAATATTCTACATCGTACAAGTGAGTGTTCTACAGTCCTTCGTATAGATCATGCGACTAGTGTGCGTTATTGCCTAAGGCATCATACACATGACCAGAGCGCCATGCCGTCAAAGGGTTACATAATCCATCAGTTCATCTCTCCTTCTCCACCCCGACTGACTTCACCATCCCCTGCCACCGTACCCTATATTCCCCGTCTTTTGGCATCTGCGTGCATTTCCCGCGCGTGTCGGTTTGTTTTGACCAGCGGTGCTGCTCGTTGTCCTCGATGAGTGGCCCCTCGCCTCTTTGCCGCCAACCGAGGGATTGGTACCTAAAGAACTTGGTGTGTCAGCGTTGTCATACAACGGAGATCTAGGCATCCTCAATCGTGCCACTTGAGCATCTCTTATTCCCCGGTCCATTCTCCCTTTTTATCTATTCATCAAATCCAGCCTGAACAACAGGCTTATCTACCCAAAATGCGACCTCCGCGTCTCCTTCTGATTCTCTTCTGCCTAATCTTCCTCCCGATATTCCTGACCCTCTTTTCCGCACTGTCTTCGCCTACTGTAGCGACCCCTAATACGCTCGCCGGTCGGACGTCCGGGCTGCATGCCCTATTTTCTTTCAACATCCCGTCGTCACTCTTCCCTCCGTCCGCCATTATCAGCCTCACCGATGACAACTCGACCTTCTTCCTGGCCCGCCCTGCGGCATTTGGCCCGCTTCTACCCGGCAAAGGCCTAAGCGGCCAACTCTGGGTTGGAAGTGGCTTTGGGGAAGGTGGTTTGACCACTGGGGCAGAAGGGGAGTTGGGCTGCTCTGATATCCCCGGCTGGGACGAAGGCAACGGTGCCAAGAACCCAGACTCGGCAGCCAGGGGCAGCGAGCCGAAACCTGGGAAATCTGGAAGTGGTACAATGAACGATACGCCAGTCTCACAGAACCGTGCCCGGCTACCAGCACAGGCCGAGGCCGCCAGACAAAATGATCGAGGCGACGTCCCGGCTCCTCCCTCGTTGAACGACGGAACCGACGATCATTTACATCATCCGCTGACTGACTCCGGTGTTTCGGATGCTGGGGCAGCTCAGAAGTACGGAGACTACGTCCAAGTCAAGCAGTCTACGCACGCCGATATTCAGTCATTACAAGAGACTGCCGAGATTCAGGGCAATGTTGTGTTGCTCAGTCGCGGTGGCTGTGGCTTCCTTGAGAAGGTCAAGTGGGCCCAACGCCGCGGAGCGATTGCAGTGATTGTTGGCGATGACACTCGAGGCGGTAATTTGGTTACCATGTATGCTCGGGGCGATACTTCGAATGTTACCATCCCAGCCCTGTTCACTTCCTATACAACTGCGCACCTTCTGTCGTCCTTGATTCCCGCGCATTCTGGTGGTACTACTGGCCTGGGTGAAGCTTTGAAATCATTAAATGCCAAGATCGCCGGTCAGGCCAACGCGGATGCACAGAAACCGGCAGCAGTCACGACTACCAAGGCTACGAGCGCTCCTTCGCCGACTTCTACTTCTGTTTCCAAGGACCAGTCTGCTGTTCTTTCGCATTCGAGTGGTGGATTCTTCCGTACACTCGGTTCAATTCTTGGCCTCTGCAGCAAGCATGGAGGCTCAGGACCCCAGGAGGATAGCCGCCGACCACCAAGCAGCGGCAACATTGATTGGCTCACGCCGGGTTCGTGGGCCAAGTCTGAATCTCTATCAGGCTCCTCCAAAAGTCCGATGGATTCGAACCGTCGCAGCCGTGGCAAAGATGATGATAATTCCAGTTACAAGAAACTCGAGCTTTCACCTGAGGATGACATTGGTGGGGATGATTTCGTCATCGGGGTTCAGGACTGGAGAGACCCTGACTTGATGTTACCAAAGAGCAGCACACCTCCCACGCCCAGTACCTCAGTGAGTGGTAAAGATAGCACAAAGACATCTGCGCCGGACGCAGACCCAGCCTCGCCGTCCAACCTGCTTCGTGGTGGTAGCATAACCCCGGGGAGTGGTGAATACCAGAGCATTGATAAGTCCACTGGAAATGTTCGGGATGCGGGCATGAAGGATACCGAGAAGGACCCCCATGCTGCAGACACAGGATCCAGTTCCTCTGGGAAGGGCTGGTTCTCAAGCCACTTTGGATGGGGCGATGAGCCAAAGCAACCTGCTCAGCCTTCTTTAGCCGCTACTCAGAGCGCTGCAACAACGGATGAGAAGAGCCAACACGCAGTTTCTTCGTCAAATCCCCCAACTATTATGTTCTCAGAGCATGAAGGTCTTTGGGTTACCTTGACCCCCACCAGCATGTCGACAAGCCCATTCTTCGACACCCTTTTGGTTCTGGTCATTAGTCCGTTGTTGACACTAACCGTGGTCTACGCGTTGCTGTTACTTCGATCTCGGATTCGACGTCGCCGCTGGCGCGCACCCAAGTCGGTCGTTGAGCGTCTTCCTGTCCGAACCTACCACACAATTACTCGCACGTCATCCTCATCCAGCTCCAGCTCTCCACGGCCCTCTAGCCCCGGAGCTGTCTCGCCAACATCCCCACTTCTTGGTCATGAAAGTCGCTCGACTCATTCTCGACCGGTCCGATCTCGCTCTCAAACAGTTGCTGGTGTTCTGACAGACTCGTCTTCGCTGCCCAAGGAAGAAAAGTCGTCAAGTGTGCAGTCGGGCTCAATATTATGGAGACGTAAGTACACTGGGAGACAAGTGGAATGTGTCGTTTGTCTCGAGGAATACGTGGATGGACAAAGCCGGGTAATGAGCTTGCCGTGTGGTCATGAATTCCATGCGGAGTGCATGTAAGTACAATCATCCGATTTTTTCGGTCTCTTGACGCGTCGTATATTGACCTTTGTACAGTACACCATGGCTTACCACCCGCCGACGAACCTGTCCGATCTGCAAGGGCGACGTCGTTCGCTCCATGTCTCATTCTCAACCTGATCTCCATGACCAGAACGATTCTTCCTCCAACCTTCAGTCCCAGGACGCAGAGCACCGATCAGACCCAAGTGCTGCACCCGTTCTCATTGCCGGAGTCGACGAAGAGGATGCTTCCGACGACGAACAGAACGTAGGTCTTCTTTCTGGTCACTCGAGCTCCGCCCCACAGTCTAGCTGGCGAAACCTCGCCTCGCTCAGCTTCTCCGCCCTTAGTGGTGATACTATCTGGCACCAAGCCCGTGCGGACCGGAACCGCTAGCCATACTCTTGATTTCTTTGTCTATCCTTTTCCTTTCTCTCTACTTATCTCGCCGAGCTGTCGACAGGCTAGGCATCGCTCTGTTTCCTTCACCCATGCTGTATTAGCGATCCTTTGATTCCCTTATGACTTGAACTGCGAGGCGTTTAGTGGGTACATCTCGGAGTGCTGGACGGTTGCCAGGCACTTGCGAACATTGTTGCAGCGGCTAGGATATACCGCGGGTCAATCGTTTCACCCAATTTCTTTGATTACTAGATAGTTCAATTGATACCATTGCTGCTTCAGTGGTTCCTTTGTGTTTTCCTGCCTTTGAGTGGCTAAATGTAGTAACGTGAGGGCTATGTGCTATCTAGGTAATGTCACTCCGGGTGTCTTGCAGCCCATGCTTGCCTCGTAGCTACTAGTTGGATGTACTTTCGCTGGACTCTAAGAATTTGAGAGTATACCATGGTGACGTCCTTGGAGTTTGAAATGCCTCATTCTAGTAGTTCCAAAGTCTGAATCTAGAAACTAGAGAACAGGATTCACTGGACATGTTTTGATCACTCTTTTTGAAAGGTCTTCCTAGAGGTCTTTCGAATTATCTTTTGTCATGGCACAGATACCGTTCAACTGGTGAGTACTAAGATGATTTTGAAAACTTTTCGGGGTTTCAAGTTTATGGATGGAACACTGCAGTAAAAAAGAGTAACACTATTACTACACTAAACCAGAATAAAGCGCTGGGTTGAACTTCCGGCTGCTGTAATACATATCGTCATCCTCATGGAACCGACTTCAAATTTCAATTTGGAGATCCGGGCGATTAGGCGCGTTCAAAATGGTGAGTGACATTCAATCCTGGTTTGAGGCAGCTCTGGAGCTAAAAAGCCTTCGAACATGTTTTGCAGCCCGAGATTGGGGATTGCTAAAACGACGATACACTCTTAGCAGGCGTAACCTGGCTGTTGCGTCTGTCCAGGAAGGACTGACGGTTCGAAACTTCAACCCTTCCGGGCCTTCCTGGATAGAGCTCCGATGCCTTGACCGTCTTAAGCCCTAGGTCCTTCTTATCGAGGAGGTCGGCATGGTAGGGAAAGTCGGCACAAACACCAGCCGACGAGCGGAGATAGTCTTCACACACTTCGTCAAGTGCGGTAGTCCGTAGACTTTGCAAGCGACCCTCCTCGACGATAGCCTGAAGGCAATATTACCCTTAGTATCCTTAGTTTCCTTAGCCTCGGCAGCATCCACACTATCGGTAACCTCCTATTAGTGTTCAAGGGACGAAACCTTCACCTCAGACAGATGACGATCATCAGTAAACGGCTTAGAGACTTGAGCCGTGAGCTGAGGCGACATCTTCTGGAAATTGTTTCCAGAAATGTAACGGTTGATCGTGTGGTCCTGGAATAACCGGTATGCCTTCTGAGGACATGACTGACCGATCCGGTGAGAATTTGAGAGAACCTCATCAGCATCACCAAAGATGTGGGCAACCTCACACGCCTGAAGGGTTTTAGGCACAATGTGAGCTGCCTTAACAGCTGTGGCCGCTGTCCAATCCACGAGAGCTTCTTGTCGGGACGTTGAGTAGTGATTCCGTAGTAGTCGTTCTCGGCGGCCTTGAACCCCTTCTTGTTAAAAGGTTTGGTGGACTGCTTAGCAGTCACGTCATCACGCGCGAGAGGATTGTATCAGCGTAGGCGCGCTCAAGAGGGCCTTGGTCGGATGGCCCGGTAAGCCGCCGCCGCCGAGATGCGACCTGCTCTTCGAATTCATCCGTAACAGCCTTTCTTTGACGCTTGAGGACTTGGAGGGTTTGGTTTGCCACTGTCAGTCTTCCCAAGACGGGGCTGATAATTTCCTGAAATTTGCTTGGAGGAAGAGGCTACTGGCTGTTGGCCTCAAGGATGCCGTCCTTCACATTCTCGGCGTAGGCTGTATATTTCAGAGATCGGGAAGGGAGGAGCTGGGTTTGAGGTCGTGGGAGGGGTAGACATCGTGTAGGACTTTATATGATAGAAATGGACGGAACGTGGCAAATCACTGTAGTATTGGGAGAGAAATGCTGGTGGATTTTCTTTCAGAAACAAATATTGTGCTTTGGGACATCCAATACAAAAGCTGAGCTTGATCGCACGACAGAACATACCATTTTTGAGTATGATGGTTAGCAGGCACACTAGGCCTCGGTTACCACAGATAAATCTAGTCTATGAGCTGAACCCCTAGGTAGTATGTTTCCAATATCGTCTTAAAAGTCAGGACTTTGAATTAATGGAAAGACGGTTGGAAAGATCTTTCAGAAAAGAGAAAGTTAAAGCATATGTATCTACATGGTAAAAACATTTCTCTAGTCTGGATCTCGAGGATCCAGGTGTACCTATTCACCCACTATATCCAAAAGAGGTATCATGTATCGTGCGAAGACATAAGGTGTCGTTCGATTAGCCTCAGACTTTAAAAAAGTATAGTTGAATTTGAAGTCTTTGTTCGACTACGAAATTTGCCTAACTGCCGCCAAATCCCCGTTTGTTAAACGTAGTTCACATTCTTGGTCCGCCGGCATGTCTCCTTATGGTACCTTCCACCGTACGACATGGTGTAAAGTGACAGCAGGGGAGGGTGATCCAGGTCCCCCACAACGCTCTATTTTCCTTGCTCAGCATATACATTCCCAGCGATATCCGCGAACACATCCAATGCATGCGCACACTGGTCACGAACGAGGCTAACTCGAGGGATCATGTCTCGACCCATTGGCAAGAATCGTTCATCCCCATGACCAGCACCAGCGCCCTCGCCAACTGTGACGTCAAAGATCGCCCTGGCCGCCTTGCCTGTGTCACCATCTCCCACAAATTTTCCACTCTTCATGACATCCATCATCTGCTCGGCAACCGATCCTTTGTAATCCGCCGGTAAGGGGGCTTGCGCGATCAGAGAGGCATTATCTATGTTGGTATTGAAAGTACCCAGCCAGACTGTCAGCAGACGAATATTGAATGGGGCAACCTCTTTAGCGAGCACACGTGTCGAGGCTATTCAATCGCTCCTGGTCAGTATTTAGTCATTACCTCGGTCACTAACAGTCGAACGTACCATCCAACGCAGCTTTTGCAGCCGCATATCCTCCCATACTATCCCGACCATCTAAGGCCGCTCCGGAACTAATGTTCACGATCATTCCGAAACGCCGCTCCCGCATGCGGGGCACAAGCGCTTGGATCAGGCGGCTCGGTCCGAAGTAAATAGTCTCCATCAGTTGGCGGCGCTCTTCATCCGAAATTTGCTCCACGGCCCCGAACAGAATGTATCCCGCATTGTTAACCAAGATATCAATGTTGTGTCCGCATGCCTCTAGTTTATCAACCAGGGTCCCCGCCGCGGAAAGGTCATCCACATCAAGCGCATGCCACTCCCCGCCGTTTGCCTCCACTTCCGCGACCAAATTTGAGGTTCGGGATGGCTGTCGCGATGTTGCAATGACAGTATGTCCGTGTCGCTGGACTTCGCGAGTCAGTGCGAGACCAAGTCCGGAGGAGCAACCGGTTATAAGCCACGTGAGCGGGCGGGATGGCTTGATGAACTTAGGAATGGACATGACGAAGTTTTCCAGATCTCAGTAGAAGAAAAGAGAATAAAGACACCTTCGGTAATAGTTATTCGAAATCTTGATCTTCCAAACGGGCCCGACAAGCACCCTTTTATATGCGTCTCTGATCCCTAGCCATCTCCCCTGTTCCTTGGGGTCACAGTGGACTTATGGCTATTTACGGAGTTTATTGTGGGGCCGACCGCCGATTTGGAGTAAGCCACAGGTAAGCTTAACTTTGCTCCAACATCCTGCCCCGGAGATAATAATCATAGCATCGTTCAGTGGCAGACTAATTAGCTCCGCAATCCAGTATTACCCAAGGAGATGCTTTTTTCTGCTAGGTCATTGTCTTGGAAGCTTTCTTGTTGCATTACTTGATCCACTCAAATGTGTAGCGTCTGCTGCACAAATATCCGTAGCCACGGCGATATCCAGAAAATTCAACAAGCTTATTATCACACGATGGCCGTGTTGATCGAGATCTAGTGAGCCATTGACACGCTACAGGAATCCCTCTTCTTGTATTCCTTTAGTAGACAAGTGACTATGTGAAATCATTTTGCTCGTCAAGGGCAACGAAACCGTCTATTGTCGTAGCTCAATCTACATCCAGATTATCTCGCCCATCAATTGCCCATACAGGGGCCTAGTAACGGGATGGCTCTCTCGAGATCCGCAATTATAGGCATGGTCAGATCTTGGAAGATTGTGGATAGTTCCAGTACGGCGGAGACTCGATGCTGGGCCTGAGTAGTTGCCTCTCTAGGCTTCAACTTGATACTGGCCGTCCCGTCGCGCAGATCGTAATCCCATAGAAGTCTTATAGAGCTTATACGCCGTCGCGACAGGCGAGTCCGCCGTATCTTTGGTATAAAAGACTACTCTCGAGCTCCATGGAACTCTCCTTCGACATTTTTCTTCCCATACTCATAAACCCCCTCCCACCATGGCGGAAGACACGCCCATCAACCCAACACCCGCCATGATGAACCCAGTGGCGGACAAGAAGAAGAAGAAGAAGAAGAAGAAGAAGAGTAAGAGGCAGACCCTGGTACCAGGCCTCCACAGCTCATTGTTCATCCATTCGTCTGATGTGACCTGGGTACTTGTATCCGGCTGACCGCCTCCAGAGAGAAGGGGAAGAAGAAGAAGAAGAAGCGTGGAAAGCGGCTTGCTGAGTGCATGCAAGCTTTAGTTCAGGTACGTGGTTGCGCATCTCATTTAATCAATCGCTTTGCTTGATTGCCAATATGTGTATCATATCCCGCGAGATATTCAAGGGGATGTGACTGTTGATCCCGATGAGCGCACACTCATCCACCATCTGACCGCTTGGGTGTTTGGATTCCTGGCATGACCTGGTGGTGTTATTCAAAGAGATACATGACCAGATCACGGGCTGCATGTATGAACAGATGTTGACCTTTTTTTTAAACACAGGCGGAACAGGGTATGATGGCTACCCAGCCAGTGCCCGAGTCCGAGGGGTCTGCAGTCCAGGTTAGTATACATTGCCCCTTATGCCCAAGTTGGATAAACATTAACGTTACTTGTGTCATGCATAGACCATTTGTCTGGTATGTTGTTACCACTTTATGTGATATCAGACTATGGGTTTGATAGAGCAAGCCCTAAGACATTGTATTTGTTGTTGTGCTTGTTGATGAACTGTGCTGATGGAGTCCTGCTGCAGCCTGTCGAGGGCGCCTCTCGCTCGGATATGACAGCGGTCCGAAGCGAGGAGGAGGCTGCAGAGCAGCATTCAGAGTCTGTCCCGACGTTGGCAACACTGGAGAGAGAAAATCAGCAGACGCCCTCGTTAGAGGAGCACGATACTTCGCAGTCTCCCGCCGAAGGTGTTGGCCAGCAGCGCAAACAAGCCCCAGCTCGCCGATATCCACTTCGACCAGAGGCCCCCGTCTTCATTCCCTCTGCGAGCAGACTCTCTGGCTTCCCTGGCTCTTATAGCTCGGCCTTGAATCCTGCTGCTGCTTCTTACGTGCCCTCCTCTAGACTATCTACTGCTGCTCCTCGCCCCGACAACCCTCGCGTTGCTGGGATTCGTGGCGTCGCCAACTCTTCTCCTCCTGCGCAGCACTCCCGAGCCTCACCTAATGGTTTTCAACCTTCTCAACGCTCTGCCACCCTTCTTCCATCCAAAATCTCTCTTTCCAAGCTTTCTCTCGCTTCGCACTCTTCCCCCCTCTCCCCACCGCGGTCTGTAGGCCCTCTGCTGGAGCACTGTCTTCGATACTCGTTTGTGCATAGGAGCATCCCATCGCTAGGGAGCACTGTCTACTATTCGCTACCTACTTCGTTAATATCGACTCCTGCTTCGCGCTTTCAGAATCCTCCTTGACCTCCCTCTTCTCCCTCTTCATCCTCCTGAGTATACGAGCTTCAGGGTGAGAGTTTTGATAGGCACATTATTCTGGTATTGAATGATTTACTTGGCAGGAAATAAATAATCATTAAGATCACGGAGACCATACGGGAAGCACCATCTACACTAAGCCAGTTGCGACGATTACAGCGCAGATGCCATCCCAAGTCCTACCTTCCACCTGGAAAATCATTCTAAGGCAGTTCAAAACGATACCGGGATATTCGAAGCTTGAATAAAGAGGACTAGAAGGAGAATGGAGAATGCAATCTCAGAAGCAGTGCTTCATTTCATAGGAGAGAGCAAATATTAAAGGAGAAGAGGGACAAAATCAACATGATCATAGATCCGGGGGATAAGAATAGTCGAAGCTTGAAAAACAAAACGCGGTCCACCAGGGGAATGAAGGGGGAACAGAATCGCGGATCCCATGAAAAAGACTCGCCGAAACGCCGTGTAGATTGTGCGGGATATGTAGAGCCATATTACAGGGGCTGAGGCATTGGGGAAAGGTAGGGAGGTGGAAAAGAAGATCGTACAGCGAAGAAGAATGGGAAGAAGGCCTGGCTGAGTCTAGCAAGACACGAGGTTAATATGGTGGTCGTTCAGGGCCGCGCATGCAAGCATGGTGCGGTGCGGGTGGAAAGCCGTGCCGGCGATGGGGGAAGAGCGGTTGTGGTGGAGGAAGCTCGAGTAGGGCTCGAAGGTGGAGAGGTATGTGCCGTCAACATTGTAAGTCTTGACTTCGTGACGGTTGGTTCCCCTATTCAAAAGAGGTTTAGTCAACAAAAACAGTCAGTTCACTGAGTAACGAAATACATACATGCTGAAGACAGGGGCGTGTTCGTGGACGCTCAGGGTGCGAAGAGTGTCCTTGGTAGCAGAGATGGTAGAAAGCGCGCCATTCATGCGGAGATCCCAGAGTCGGATCTCGCCGTTACGGCTGCCTGAAATGAGCTCTCGCAAGCCGCCCCGTTGCATGTGGACATTGGTGATCCACTGCTTATGCTCACGCCAAACCTTGACCATGGATGTAGTTGGCTTGAGACGCTGGTCGAAGACGCGGACGGCGCCATCACCGAAGCCCGCGACGAAGATATTGCCAGCAACTTGGTCGGATGTCAAAGATGTGATGCAGGAGCCGGAGCGCGCGGGGATATCCTGTGATCAAAGAGTCGGGGGTTAACACATTCTTTCGAAGCTTGCCGGGAAGGGCATCCAGAACTTACATTGGTGCACACTTCGGTAGCTGCGTTCCACACCCGAATCACCTTCACGTCTCCTGCAACCAAAGCTTTTCCTTGTCCCTGTTGCCAGTCAAGCACGAGGCCTGCATTACGATTGCTTGGGATGAGTTCAGGAAGAGCGCGGAAAGCTGTCACAATCTCAATGTTCCTCGCCGACTCGTAGTGTCGGAACAGCTTGAGCACACCATCAGACGAACCAGTCAAGAGAAGGGCTTGATCATCCTCGTTGATGTAGCGGACTTCATTGATCTTCGATCCCACAGGGTTGCCATTCGAGAACTGGTTGAGCCGTTTGTGGTTCTGCCAATCCCAGATTCTGTGCGAGAAAGAGTTAATGACAAATAGAAAGAGAAGTATCTCTTGCTAGACTTACGCAACAGTATCCCGGTCATCTGCAACAGCAAGATGATCCTCGAATTGATGGAAGCACATCTTCAATGGCTGACTGCTGTTCGAGAGGAGAGTGATCGAATTATCCCACCGGCTTGTGCCGGCCTTACCCTTGAGCGGCTGTGTCTCGGAGATGATCTTCTCGTTGCGGCCGCGTCGCCAAAGTCTCTCATTGTAATCGGAACTACCGGGCTCATCGGGCTCGTTGGGTTTCATCTGGGGCTCGCGGAAATACTTTTCGAGGGTAAGCACAGAGTCGGGTTTAAGTTTCAGGGCCTCCTCATGGGTAATGGATGGGTAAATAAAAGATGGGATTACCTCTGTCGACCAGGATAGGAAATGGCTCTTCAACGGAATAAATGGTGCCTCCTCTGGGTTCCTAGGAATGAATCCCCGAGACGTGGGAGTAGGAGCTTGGTGATAAGCTGTTGCCGGAGCGACGTGGTCGTTGACTTCTGGGGGACGTGTCCATTCGGGGGGTGCACGACCGCGGGGTGTCATGGGCATTCGACTCTTAGAGGTGGGTGAGGGAGGAGTTGAATTCTCTGATGAATCAGTTGTGGAGCCGCCGAAGGCTAGGTTCTTTAGAGAAGCGGCAACACTGGCGGTACGCCTAAACCCTAACGAAAGGTATCCTTCTTGTTTGGAGGGCACTGTTGTTAATGACGGGGGCGTTGAGGGCGGTGCTGACTTCTCCGATCGTTCCTGTATCTGGATCCGTTGTGACATACGGCTTGTGAGATCGAGGATCTCGATTCTGATTCTGTCAGCAAGAGTCGACATGGGTGACTCCAAAAGGGCCAGGTGAATGTAGTCAACGATGATACCGGCATCCTGGGCAATGTCAGGATGCGGATCAACGGACAAGATGAGAACCTGCTTCCAGATTGTCCCAAATGTTGTGTTCCGAGACAATTGGGTTTGCTTGGCGTCCGTGATAATCTCGCCGTCCTGAGCCTCGATGCGGCTGGTGTTTGAGCCTTCCTTTCGAAGACGGTGCATCAGGGATCGTTTCTCATCTTGCAATTCTTCATAAGCAGCCACCACAAACTTATTCTGATGGCGCTTGACGAATGTTGAGAAAAATACGGCGAGTTCCTTGCGGACAAGCACGCTCCCGTCGGCCGCCATGGGCAAGACCGACAAAGCCAATGCCTCCTCGATCTGGGCAACTTGGTCGGTCAAGTCGGGAATGCCAATGAATGTTGTCACTGCATGAAGCATAGCAGCGCGAACTTCCGGAACTGGATCAAAGTTCAATTCACAAAGTCGGGTGGGAGCTGCACATCGAATTCCCATCCACTTTGCTTCCGGAAAGTCACGCCAAAGCATGCTCAGGCACAGGCATGACCACTGACGAAGCAAGGGATTTTCAACGTCGCCGAGATGGCTTAAGCACGAGTCGAATAAATCAGCGGAGAGGCACACGTTCTGGCCTTGAGGATAGTTTCTGCAAAATATGGAAACAATAAAGGCACACATGGCGCGGTGCTCGCTGGCATTTCCAACGGGAATGGGAGAAGAGGGGTTAAGAATCGAGATGAAATAGTGAATCCCATTGTCCTTTAGCAGATCCACCTGGACCCCATTATCCACGGCCATTATGCGGGCCCAAATGAAAACCATGACGGGTTTCAATTCTTGAGCAGCCGACTGCAACAGCTTGACGACGTATGGGAAGATTCCTATGCTTAAAGCCAGGTGGACAGCCCATGGGCCCAAATCCAGGAATTTGCTCAGCAAGATCAGTGCACGCAGTCGATGAGCCTGACTAAGAAGGACCTGCAAGACAATAGGCAGTTGATCCGGTGGGTTCTTCTCTGTAGGACCAGACGAGAGGTAAACCTCGAACGCAGTGAGTTGCTCGGCGAAGAATGTGGAATGCTGATACTCGTACTGTCGGCGGCCCTCTTCATGATCAATAAGAGCAGGCAGCTGCGAGAGCACCATCTCCACGGCGAGATCCCAGCTCTTCCAGAGCGGATGCTGGTGAGTCCCGGGGAGCTCTGGTGAGGAGATGGGATGACATTTGTACGTGCGCATGATACGCTCACTAAGTAGGAAATTGCGGAACAGTGCAGCAACCATCAGATCCTGTCGGAAAAGCTTCTTGAACAGAGCGCGGGGCAGCGTGTTCCAAGCAATTGTATCGGTGATCGCTGTGAAGATCCAATTGAGCTCTCCCAGTGGGCTGCGGCGATCCTGGAGGCGACCTGGGACTCGGAAATCGTCGATGGAGATATTAGTCCGCAGCGGATTCTGCAGAACGAAGAAACGCAGAGCGATCTCAATCGGAGTGGTGAGACAACATGTGAAGAGATCGGCAGGTAGGTCGGGGTTCGTTGGAAGAGACTCGTTCTTTTGGCAAGCTGCGAGAAGAATGCAATCGCCATAGTTTTGTACAATGGCATTGGGGTCACGTTTCTTTGCCTCCGCATTCTCTTTCTCGTGCTTCTCCACAAACGTATGGAAGTTCTGAACAATATTTCCTGCGTGTGATACGTCGAAAACGAAAAGACTGGGGCCAGCCAGCCATGACTGCAGGTCATAGAGGGGCACGGGGATGTACTGGGTGTAGTTCTTGTTGAAAACCCAGATTTCACCGGACTGGGTAGGCAACGGCACTCCGTGACCATTGTAATGTAGCAGGACTCGTTCATCCTTGGCGTTCCGTCGCAAAGACATACAGAACTTCTTGGTCTCATCCACCGATGGATCCAGATATTGCTTATATCTCGTGCGAAGACTCAACGTCTCGTATTGCTCCTGCAACTTCTTGCCGATCTGTTCCATGATCTTGTTCTGGCCGCCACCCGTGGTCGAGGTGGGATCGACCCAACATTCGAGCTTTGAACTCGGATTGGTTTTGACCACATCTGGGGGGTCAACACCGATGTTCAGACAAATTGCAAGAGCTGCAGAGACTGTCTTAAGCCTGTCTTTCATACGCCATTCCTGAGTTGGCCAGCTTCCGTCCGGGTTGCGCGCGATACCGTTGGTCTCGTGACGTTTCTCGGTGAAATACATATAGAAGTTCTTGTTGAGATATCTGCCGTCAGCTTTGGACTTGCGCCACAGATCAATCACCCTCATAGGCTTACCGAGTGTAGAATCTTGAGATATTCGCTGGAGGTGTATTCCTCCTGCCAACCATGGCGCATGGCGAAGTCTTCCTCATCCTCGCCTGGCGATTTGTCGAATGTAACACGCTGAGGGCCATAGTCACTCCTTGCTCGTTTCAGCATGGCTGGTCGGCTGCTCTCCGATCTGCGAGGAGAAGGGCGCCGAGGTGGCTCGTCCGGTGATATCACTGCATTCTCTCCCCCGGAGCTCGTGGGACGAGCAGGCGGGGCCAACGACGAGGACATCTGCTCCACCGTAGTGAATGAACGATGGTGACTGCTCAATGGAGCGGGCGAGCGTTCGCGTGTGGGAATGGTTGTTTCTAGCTCGGGTCCAAACGCGACTCGAACGGACTTGGTAGGGCGGCGGGGTTCGGGCGCCCCGTTGGTCGCCGGGTGTTGGGAGGTTTCTTCCATATCTGCAGTTGGGTCCCTCATGTTGTATGTTCGGTCATGGTGTTACTCGAAAGGTGGGGCTTCGAAAGCCGCGGGGGTTGGGAGTAGGCAGCTCAAAAGTGCGAGCAACCTCCAACCTTTGTATCTCTCGGGACTGATTAGGCTCAACCTGGCACAGATAGGTCTCGCAGAGCAGGTACCTGGGTGATGGATCGGGTATGAGTTGGGCAGAAGATACCCGATATAGATCTCAGATATGGTTAAACGAATGAGGTGACGGGTTGTCGAGAGCAACCCAGAACCATGAAGGTCTGGAACCGCAAGCGACGCAACGGTGAGGCTCCGATGCCGAGCGAGCGATCCCGGATTATAGATTCCCCGGTCCGTCCTCTTTGCTGAGTCATACGGGAGCTTCCTGCCTGATTTGGACGGATTTGTTACTGGACCACAACATCATAGAGAGCGGAATTCTATTCCAAAGGCCTTTACAGATATTAATATACTCGATGCATTTCTAATCAATGATGGGATGATATTCTGAATCATGATGTGTATCCAGATGTAGTCCAGGACGTCCATGGTTGCTCTGCTGTTTTTGCATTCCATAGATTCCTGATAGGCGATAAGCGCGCTATAAGTAGATAACCCATGTTTCTGGGGTCTAATAATCTTGGCAGGGAAGGTGTTCATGGACACCAGTTATCACTTGACAATAGTTGCCAAGCTCATCAAGGGACGATTAGTCTAGTATTGGACTCTAGAACTATCACACCTCATATATACCCATGGGGATTTTATTGTGAGGTAAAATCGCGTTTTTCCTTGCCTCTGGCCACACATCAATGTCGTTGGCAATGAACACACGGTCTGAGACAGCGGCACGGCGGGGAGTCAGGGTGAACTCCCGAAATTAAAAGGTTTCACTGCCTGGAGGTAGCGAATGTATGGACAGTTTGGAGCTAGGGAAACCGTAAAATCTCGTCTGAGTCCTGACCAGTCTTCAAATACTTGTGTTTTATGTTGCTCAAATTATGTTTCCTTTGTGGATAGTAGATGGCGAGTTCCAGCCTCCATGACAATATATAGTTTCACCCTCATATAGCGGGGAACGACACATTACGTTTATTCGTAGAACAGTGTTGTTTGGCTGCATGTGTGGGATTTCTAGAATTCTCGGGTGTGGCATATGATGACCGTCATCCCTAGTGAGCCAAGCGTAACCGAGAACCGGGCAGGCGGGCGCTCAGGGACGGAAGTACAGGGAAGTCGGTCACTGGTGTACTCCGTAGTGATCATCGCAATCCCAAATTCCTCTCCTAGGCAAGGAACAGGAAAATCCAATGCTCAATGCCCCAGCGCCCCAGCGCCCCCTTTTTTCGATGGATTCATGGGAAATCCATTATTATGACGCTGTCCTTGGTGGACTACAGTAACTATGGGATTATTGATGCTGATAGTAGATTGATCTTCTGCGACCGTAATGAAAAACTCCGTACGGAGTACAGGTACAGGGTATATCTCCACCCATCGAGGGACCAAGTGCCGCTGACGAGCGAACGTCGGCAGCCACGGTGAGCCACCCCTGATTCTTTCTCCGAACTACAGCACCATGGGAACAGTTCGAAGGCGATAGGTTCCCTACACGTTGTGGAGAGTGGATCGTCGTGTGGAATCGGGCCATCCTGAACGGCCATTGGGTGGCTTGTTCTGACGCTGGCTTGGGACCGCCCCGCGGTTGGCCCTAATGGCCGTGATGCAATTATAATTAGAATTGTTACGGAGGACTCTAATGACTGTAGTTGAAGGGCAAGGAGGAGATCAAGCATTATTATCAGGGTATCAGTGACATACCACGGAGTATATATGTATGCTCCACGTAGGGCTCGAAGTAGTAGCGGTCAATATTGATGGCTTCTCTTTGATAGAACAGTCGAGGGGTTGGAAAGCGATAGAACTGAAGATTCTGGACAAGGGCTATGCCTTTTACAATTCCCTGGTGACCATTGATTACTTGATTGGTGATAGAACAATGTGTCAAAATGTTTGTGTAGAATTGTTTGGCATGGAAGAGATCTATGCGCATGGATCTTGAATTTGATGCGAGTGCAATCTCCCTGAGGAGGAGTCTTCGTATAGGGTAATAGCAAGGCACGAGGCACAGTAGAATAAAAATGTCTGATCGCAAGATTGGGAAATTCCCCCCAGACACCTCGAGGAAGTCGCATGAGAGGACCATAATAACAATTGTAGGCTGGGAGACCAGAAAAGTAGAGCCCAAGAATGAGGGCGCATAGTTTAAGCAGCAGTAACACGTTGAAAGCCCCCAAGTTCTGGCCGTTGGAGCCGATGCCCCTGAGTTATGCAAGCCTCTTTGGCTTTCCCTCCCCCCCATACCAAGTCCTCCTCAAGTGGATTGCTACCGGGCCACTCACACTGGTTGGACTTAGTTGGACTAGACCAACCTCCGAGAAATTGAAACCACCTTCGCTTCCTCTCCTTCTAGGATCTACACTTCTTTCTCTTCTCCCTTCCTTCTAACCACCTCCCCCATCCCCTCTGTTTTCACCTCGTTCTCCCCCAAGCCCTGTGGGCATCTGTTCGACTATTACTCTCCTTTCTATGCCCTGAGGGCTTCGACCACTGGGGTGTTGTGTTCAGTCCACGTCTTAACTCCACCCACCACCGCATCCCCCTGGACACATAATTTTTTCCCCGAACGCTGAGCGGCCTGTGAATGGGACTCTTTCAACGGTTCCCAGTGCGGTTCCTGGTTCCCAACTCCACATCCAACTGAAAACACACCACCGCAACTTTCCCCTGGCTCCGCCCCGGTCGCAGTGCCAGTCCTACAAAACCTCATCCAACTTCCCCCCGAACACTTGTCTTTGATACCGCTGGGGGCCGGATTTCCAGGATCGAGTCAATCGCACCACCGTCTGCGCAATTTGACCGGTGGGCGTCGATTCTTCTCATTGCGCCGTTGAACGACCGATTACGACACATTCACGATGGCTTTTTTGTTCAAATCTAAGAAAAATCAACAAGGGACCACGCTCCCTCCAGCGACAAGGAACCTCCATACCTCCGAAGGCGCCCCATCCGCTGGTGGTCCTCCTCCGATGACCAACGGGATCAAAGAAGGCAATGCCTTTGCGCAGCACACACCCACGTCGAGCAGTAGCTACAACAACTCGCTCAGTTCGGCCACTAGTCCAACAAGCCCGGACCCCGTCAAAGTGCGACAGCGGGCCGAATCAGAGTCGCAGGTAAGTGGAATCTTGGCTCCCGTCCGCCGTAATCGAGTTGTGCATCCCTGACTCTGGTGGTTTGGGTTTTCCCTTTAGGTTCAGCGACCACAGCAGCCTCTTAATGGCGTGTCTCCGACAAGTCCGAACTCCTCCCTCTACCCGTGGTCGCAACGACGCCTCAACTTTTCCTCTCCGCAAACGAATCCGTTCCCGCGATATGGAGCCGCGATCAATGCCGTGGCATCGAAGGAAGGCGACATCTACATGATGGGCGGTTTGATCGATGGTTCAACGGTCAAGGGCGATTTGTGGATGATTGAGAGCAGCGGCGGCAGTCTGTCCTGTTTCCAAATTGCGACGGTCTCGGAGGGCCCAGGGCCTCGAGTTGGCCACGCCAGCTTGCTAGTTGGCAATGCGTTCATTGTATTTGGTGGTGACACTAAGATCAACGAGACGGATGCCTTGGACGACACACTTTACCTTTTGAATACCTGTATGTTGTCTGATACGAGCCTTTTGGGGGGTTTCAATTTCTAACTAGGCACGTTTTTAGCTTCTCGCCAATGGTCCCGCGCAATTCCTCCTAGTCCCCGTCCTTCTGGCCGGTATGGTCACACACTCAACATTCTCGGCTCCAAGCTCTACGTTTTTGGCGGTCAAGTGGAGGGTTTCTTTTTCAATGACTTGGTTGCATTCGATCTGAACCAGCTGCAGAACCCCACTAACAAGTGGGAGCTGCTTGTTCAAAACAGTCACGAAGGCGGACCTCCAGAGGGTGATATTCCCCCTGCTCGTACCAACCACACCCTTGTCAGCCACAACGAGAAACTATACCTGTAAGTTTATAACCTTCTGGATGGAACAGAAAAGGAGCATCGGAGCTGACTCGAAGCAGCTTTGGAGGAACGAATGGTGTGAAATGGTTCAACGATGTTTGGACTTTTGACCCTCGTACCAATACCTGGACCGAACAAGACTGTGTTGGATTCATTCCGACTCCCAGAGAGGGTCATGCGGCTGCCCTTGTGAACGACGTGATGTATGTCTTCGGAGGCCGTACTGACGAAGGAATGGACCTGGGGGATCTATCTGCATTCCGTATCACCACTCGCCGCTGGTACTCGTTCCAGAACATGGGCCCCGCGCCATCTCCTCGGTCTGGACATAGTATGACAGCCTTTGGCAAGCAGATCATTGTGATGGCTGGAGAGCCGAGCTCAGCCCCGAGGGACCCCGCAGAACTCAGCATGGCGTATATTCTCGACACTGGCAAGATCCGATATCCCAACGATTCGCAGTCAAGCGATCGTGCCCCAGTCCCGGCCGGCAGGAAAATAAGCACCGACAAGCAAGCACCCTCATCGGGACGCACATCTCGCGAGGCTCAGAATGCAACCCCAGACCAACTGCGCCGTGGCCCGACACCTTCTCGCGAGAGCATTATACAAGCCGCAGGTGCGAAGCCTGGAGAGTTCGGGTCGAACCCGAATCTAGGCCCTGGATCCCGACTCCCAAGAGCCTCGATTGCACAGGCGCCGGCTGGCCCACCACCCCCTGGACAGGCCCCATCCCCCGGCCCCCGTACGAATGGACCTTCACCCGGACCGAACACTCGCAGCAAGACCCCCACCAAGAATGATCGTGGATTTACGCCAACAGTGGATGTCCGTGCAGCAAATGCCGACCGTAATGTCGAATCTCCCGTAGCCAAGGATATGCACGAGAGCTCAGGCTCTTCCGGGCAACGGACTCCAACCCAGCAACCGCAAAAAATTACCGCAAAAGCAATGGAGGCTGGCGAGGCCGCTCCAATGATGACACCTGCCCGCCAACGGTCTCTGCGTCAACACCGGCAGCGGGGTTCTATGGATAGCGCAGAGGAGTCTGTGCTTGGCCGACAAGCTCCTAGCATCGATGGCTCTATCGAGTCTCGCAGCTTCCGCAACTCTCGGACTCTTGTCGATGAGCCCCGCTCGCCCAGGCTGACTCCTCACCAAGAGGCCTTGATCAAGGAGCTGGAGGCAGCCAAGGCTCGCAATGCCTGGTACGCATCCGAGCTGTCTTTGGCCAAAAAGGCTGGCTACGTCCCCAGTGCGGCCAGCAGCCCTGCAATCGACGAGCGTATCAACGAGTCCCTCAATGATGAAGATCGCCCTCTCGTCGAAGCATTCCTTGCCATGCGGGCCGAGCTGGCGAAAATGCAGGTTACTGTGGATCGTCAAGCGGCAATCGCCTCCAAACGGATCGCGGAAGTTGAGCATCAGCGTGACGTGGCAGTCAGCGAGGCCGCATACTCGCGAACTAGACTTGCCGCCCACGGTGGTAGCCAGCGAGGTACTCCTCAGCCCGAAGGTCCTCGTGATGGAGAGGACGAACGCCCTACCGACATGGGTCGCCGACTTGCACTGGCCTTGGCCTCTCAGTCCGAGTTGAAGGCTAAGCTGGAAGCGCTGACCACCGACCTCCAGCAAGAAAAGCAAGCCAAGGAGCTGGCTGAGGATACGATCGAAGCCACTCGCAAGCGTCTTGCAGAGCTGGAAATGTCGAATAGCGCATTGGAGGCTGAGAATCTGCGGGCCGAGCTGCACAAAGCTGAAGCAACCGCGAGAGAAGAGGCTTTGCTGCGCTCAGAAGCCGAGGCTTCCTTGAAACAGCTCATCATCGACAAAGAGGAGCTCCTCAAACACGCCGAAGATTCTTCAGGGCGTCTCAAAGACTTTAACAGCAACTTCGATGGCTTGCGGGAGGCTGTTGCAGCATCTGCCGCAAAGACTGCCATTGTTGAGAAGCAGCTGCATGAGGAGCGAGAACGCCGTGAAGGCCTGGAGCGGAAGCTCTTGCAACTCCGCTCTGAACATGAAGAGCGAACCACCGAGTTGGAGAACACTACTCGCCGCCTACGGGATGCTGAGGAACTGGCTGACATCCATGCCAAGGAGGCTGAGACGCATAAGCTGGCTTTCGTGTCTGGCCTCGAGCGTGCCACATCGGTTGATCTGGAGGCCTCGATCAAATCTCGTGCTGATCAACGTGTTGCAGCCCTGGAGGCCCAGGTCGAGCGATCTACCACTCTGGCCAAGGCCAACCAGGCTGCTGCTGATTCTGCTGCCGACAAGTTGCGCCGGGCTGAAGAGAGGATTGCTGGACTCGAGGCGTATCAGGAGCAAGCCAGTCGTGAGGGACTCCAACTCCGGAGACAGCTCCAGAATGCTATGAAGGAGAGCCAGGCAGCGACTGCGGAAAGCCGGGACCTGAAGTCTCAGCTTGAATCCCACCAGCGCGATGCGAATGCCTTGAATATTCAGCACGCCGCTCTTAAGGACCTCCTCGGCGAACGTGGCGTGAGCACTGACAGCCGGCGATCCCCTCGTCTCGAGTCACCGGGCTCTCGCTTCGGCACCCCGGAGCAGAGCCGGCTGCGAGAGCTTGAGCAGCAGTTGTCCAACAGCTTGAAGGCTCACGATGATCTCAAGAACTCGTTTGAAGTGCGGGAGCAAGAGGCTGACCGCGCGTTCCGGGAGAAGCTGGAACAGCTGGAAAATGACTATCAGTCGGCGGTGCACTACGTGAAGGGTACTGAGAAGATGCTGAAGCGCATGAAGGATGAGCTTAGCCGCTACAAGGCCCAGAATGCCAAGTTGCAGTCTGAGCTTGAGGCTTCTCAGAAGAGTCTGGAGAATGGTGGCACTCAGTCGGAGGCCGCTGCTGCTGACTGGGAGGTTGAGCGTGCTCGACTCCAGAAATCCATCTCCGACCTGGAATCTAATACCTCCTCCTCGCTTGAGAGCTTAGAGACCCAGATTTCGGAAATGAAGAAGCAGCTTGCCGCCGCCGAAGCTGAGAAAGAAAAGGCGCAGGCTGAGCATGAGCGCTCTCAGCGAGAGCTTCTTGCTGCTGCCGACCGTAGCCGCGCTGAATTGGAGCAGCTCAAGCAGGAGAACATTCACCTCGAGAGCCGTGCTACGGATGCGGAGCAGAAGGTGAACATGCTCTTGGAGCAAGTTGAGACTTCCGTTGGCCACTATCGGCGTCAGTCCCAGCACGGTGGCCAGGGACCTAACGGCATCTCTCGCACTCACAGCAATGCGTCCAGCAACACTATTAGCGGCCGAGCTCGTGCCGATAGCAGTGTGTCCCAAGACTCGACTGCTTTCCCCGACAACCGTGGCTCTATGGCCTTGGACTCCCTTGCTAATGAGCTGGAGGCCCTACGCACCCACTGGGAGAGCACCAACCGCAACTATCGCTTGAGCAGCCAGCTGGATCTGGAGCGAACTCCAACCAAGGAGAACAGCGATGGTCCTGCTTTGATGAGCGATAGCTTGGCGGAATGGCGGAGGCGATTGGAGGAGGAAGAACGGGCTGGAGGTAACAAGAGCAAGCCAGAGATTGCTTCCAATGTGATCTAAGCCCTGTATTCGCGCATCTCTTCCCCATTCTATGACCATGTGCACTGAGATATGTCGATTCGCAACTCCTCTTCTTTTGAGCGCTTTACAGGTGTATTCATTTCGCGTTCTTTCCCTTTTCTTTTCGTCTACTCTATCTTTTTTCCTTGCAGTCGCTTTTGTATTTCGCGATGCATGATCATTATATGATGGAAGGTTCTTTGTTTTCCGTCTTGATCGTCGCTTCGAGGGACGGGATTCCCTTCGTTACTCTAACCCCTTTGTGCTTTTTTCTAGTTCAATCTTCTCGACCGCCCTCTCTGCCCCCACTGTCTCTTTTCTTTTTTTCATCCCCTTTTCCGTTTCTTATACCCCGGTTTTCCGATGTTTTATTGGACCCTGGCTGTACCATTAGCACACCCTACACGAACCTGCCGTCTACTTTATAGTCAGAGAAATCACTATCGTTGCCTCTCCGAAACATCAATTCCTGCTACTGCAATTCTCTCCCTATAGATTCTATAGAAGTAAGATCTACCTCCAATATGATTCGACCACGGCTTTATCGCAGGTACTTTTACATCTGGACGCACGTCACTGCTAGTTTGCCCACCTTGCCACTGCCACTGCCACCCCGGGCTGCACGATAGGCATCGTGCAGAGATGCGGGTGTAGGGTACCACGGGTGTTGGACAACCTGGGGCAAGTTGGCAAACATGGCACTGCATGATAGGTATTTCAGCTCGGTCTCGGGCAGATGAGACATTTCCTGTTTAGGTATTTGCCCATACAGCCCTGCGATTGTTTTTCAGCTTTGCGGCTCTATAGAAAATTTGAACTTGAAGATACTCATACAAGAAAGAGGAGATATAATTTCCATGTTATAATAGTTCTATAAAGACTCTGGATATAGTTAAGGGTCCCGCTCTGGGGTTTTCCTCCACAGCGGCTACATGGAGTTATTTTTGGGATCCGCCGAGACACGCCCTTTGACAATCAATCAAATTCAGCGGGCCAAAATAGCGGCGCCCTGCGGGATTTCCGAACCCTTTTCAGAGGCGGACCCAACCATGTGTTTTTGGTGTTAGGCGCTGATAGCATCATTGACTGTAGATGGGTACAGGATGGGTAATTAATCAGGCATTTATTTAGTAAAAATCAAATGGCTGCTATACAATTTATTTGGTTGTCAACACTGTTTCATATCGTAAGGAAAACAGACCAAACCTGCTAAATGACCATGTTGCAGCCCAACATTTGGAGAAGGGACCGTGTAAGGGTGTTACCATACCAGCCCAAATTCGCGCAAAAAAGGTGCACCTCGGGCGTGCCACCGGTCTCTACTGGCCATTACAGCAACGGGTATGGCGGTTACGGCAATACGGCAGTAACGGTGGTTGTCAGCCACTCCTTTCGCTAATAAAAATTACACCTCACCGACTCCTCCAACGCCCCCCTCTCCTTTCTCTTCTCTCCCAACCCTCCAACTCACCCCCCTCAGGCCCGGTTATCAAGGCTTTGTCCTTGGTATTTCTTCGGTTTTCCTGATCCTTTTAACTTTTCCTCTTTCCTGCACTGATTTTCGGCCCTGTCCGATCGTTCTACAATTCAACCTTCATCCCTCGAATTATCCGCTCTACGGTCGGCATTGGACATTCCGTCCCTCCTCCACACTCTATCGTCTGCTTTCCAGGTATGTGGCCTTTATGTTGTTGGTCGTGTCTCGCGTCTTGGTTGTGCTATTATCTGTCCTTGCTATGTCTTTTTTCGTTTGTCTTCGCAAATATCTTGCTCCTTCCATGTCTACCAAGGAGGCAACAGCGGGTGGCCAAATGTGATAGATGATAACCTGAAGGGGCCCAGCCTCGCCGATGGCCTGAGGCTCAGCTGTCACCCCCTCCTTCAACCCTTCGTTCCTTTTGCTTGCCTGTCCACCTTTTCTCCGGCTATTTCTCTTTCTCTTCACCGTCTCCACACCCTATGTTCTTTCACTTCAACAACCTGACCAACTTTTTCTGACACTCAAGATTCCAGTTCTCTAGGCTTTTGCACGGCTAGCTGCTGTGCACTCATAATCCAGCCAACATGACTACCATGGTCAGTCTCCATCCTCCTCGAGTCCCTCTGTCGACCCCCGCTCGGATGCTCTCTCCGTGACGTGACGAGATTTGGATTGGGGGTCGTCTGCTTATTGATTCGGATCTCCCCTCGTTACCGTATCCGAGATCCCCGATTTGCTGACATCATACACAGGATTTGCGTGTCGGTAACAAGTACCGCATCGGCCGTAAGATCGGAAGCGGTTCTTTCGGTGATATCTACCTCGGTAGGTGAATTGACAATTCCATCGTCTTTGTTCTAGAGCTGACAAGAATACAGGCACCAACATCATTTCCGGTGAAGAGATCGCCATCAAGCTTGAGAGCGTCAAGGCCAAGCACCCTCAGCTCGAATATGAGGCTCGCGTCTACAAGTCTCTCGCCGGTGGTGTCGGTATCCCCTTCGTCCGCTGGTTCGGTACTGAGTGCGACTACAACGCCATGGTTATCGACCTCCTGGGTCCCAGTCTCGAGGACCTGTTCAACTTCTGCAACCGCAAGTTCTCCCTGAAGACCGTTCTTCTCCTCGCCGATCAGCTCATCTCCCGCATCGAATACATCCACGCCAAGTCCTTCATTCACCGTGATATCAAGCCCGACAACTTCCTCATGGGTATTGGCAAGCGTGGTAACCAGGTCAACGTGATCGATTTCGGTTTGGCCAAGAAGTACCGCGACCCCAAGACCCACTTCCACATCCCTTACCGCGAGAACAAGAACCTTACTGGTACTGCCCGTTATGCCAGTATCAACACTCACTTGGGTGTCGAGCAGTCTCGCCGTGATGATATGGAGTCTCTGGGTTACGTGATGCTCTACTTCTGCCGTGGCTCTCTCCCCTGGCAGGGCCTAAAGGCTGCCACCAAAAAGCAGAAGTACGACCGTATCATGGAGAAGAAGATGACCACCCCTACTGAGGTACTCTGCCGTGGTTTCCCCAACGAGTTTGCCATCTACTTGAACTACACTCGCTCGCTCCGCTTCGATGACAAGCCGGACTACTCCTACCTGCGCAAGATCTTCCGTGACCTCTTCGTCCGTGAGTCCTTCCAGTACGACTACGTGTTCGACTGGACTGTCTACAAGTACCAGAAGAACGCTGCCATGATCGTCGACGCCACCAAGAAGGACAAGGATGAGGAGGCGCGCCGCCAGGGTGCCGCTGCCCCCATCGGCGCCAGCGCTGCAGCCGCTAAGCCCGGTGCTATTTCGGGCCAGCGCCGCAAGGTCATTGACCGTGGCGCCCTCGACAACACTCCGGACACCAACCGTGCCGTGGGAGGAAGTGACAGGATGTGAGTACTTTGAAACCTGGTTCCGAGTAGGGAACCCCTTTTTCTCTTTACTCTTTCGCGTTTGGTGTTTTCTTGTGACGCTGGCGTGGAGGACCCTTCAGTTCCGAATCTGACTAATCGCATAGTCTTCGGCGTTAGGCTGCGTTCTGCCTCGAAAGGAGCTGCTTTAGGTTATGGACCTTCTGGTGGCCGTTCGAAGCTGGACGATGGATCAGGGGCTCAGTACTACTAATCCTGCAGCACTGGCAGCGAGACCGGTGATTAGGTGGATTTGATTTTGCTTGATTTCTTTCCCCTTTGCTTGTCTCCTGCCTTGCTCCACGTCCTTCTTTCTCGACCCATGAAACTCCGAGATATTCTCATTGTCACCATCGCTGTGGACACGACCATTCTGCACACGACTTTCTCGGATTTCATTTTTTTCTCTCCTTGGATCTCCCCGTTCATTCTGCGATCATCTCTGACAGCACTTCCACCTCGTCCTCGATTTTATTTCGACCATTGCCGTTTCGATCGGTCAATCGTTTTTCGTTTGCTCATCAATTTGTCCCGCAAAAACTGGAATTACGATCTGTGATTCATATTTTGTGGGCCGAGCTGCCGATGACCTTTGACCACTGTTTTTTTCTTTCCCCCTTTCGGACTCTCGCGCCTGTCTCTTCCGGGATACGACCGATGAATTCAGTTTCGAAACGCTATGATATGGTGGCTATTCGTATGTCTTGACCTTTTCGACCCTTTGCGATTCTGGTACACTGCCAACTCTCCTGAACCGCGCAACTGGAAAGGCAAGACCGAAGGAGAGATGCAAATGACGGCGGCAATTTGGACACACGAACTTCCCCTCTGATTGCTGGTACTGGACGTCCTGGAGCCCGCATGATCGCATGCGTTATCCCATCATTGTTTACCCTTTTACCCATGACTGTTTTGATCCCCTCTGCATTTGAAATTGTTTTTCCTTTTTTTTGTTTTGCTGCATATCGACGCCGTATGGGGACGAGGGGACGACCGGCTCTGGCCGATCGTGATTTGAGGTTGTGGAGAATGCTCGTCGGGGGTGGTTTTCTTCGGGTTCTTTGTTTGTAGGGCACGGGTTCTTGACTTGCTTATCTTTCATGAATCTGGCCCACGAATAGATGTTCTGCCCGCTCGGAGAGGGCTGGTTCTCGACTGGTGATTGGCGACGGAAATGACTAGGGTCGCTTCCGGGGTGGTATTGCGTCGATTTGCATCATGTTTTTTCTGTCATATTCGCTAGCCCATTGCTCTTCCCAACTGCATGTTTAAGCCGTCTTTTGCTTCATATTCCTTTCCCCTAGTGGCAGACGTCTCTCGAGAGGCCTCGGAGGGAGACACGACCGGATCTCGTCCAAGCTTACTATCCGGCAGTTTCCACCTAGACCCCCGACAGATACACTGACCATTTCAACATCTAATATGAATTCTTCCTCTCGCACTTTTGGTATTTCGAATGATACTTGGTAGTTGTAGCTAGTGACTAGTCCAGCCAGTCTTTTGGTGAGATAATCGAGTCCCTCTTTCACGTTCTGGCCCTTGGCTGTACACGGGTCGATCTCCACTCCAGCGGATTACATGGATTGCCCCCATCGGCTACCGTAAGCACATATGTATTGTCATCCACTGATCTGGTATGGCAAATCATCTTAAAAAATCACGATATAAGTATTATATTCCTTTCCGGCGCCATACAGACTTAAGATCAGCCGTAAAAGCATCCGCAACAACGAACCCCCTCAACGAAATCTCTCCAAGCATCCCACAAATTGACTCCGTCTCTCGAGCGGTCGTTACTCTTGCACCTGCTACTCTCAAGGGAAAAAAGAACAGCACAGCCGCCAAATTTGCGGTCTTCAAAGAGATCTCAGTCATTCGTAGAATATTATCAACGTGGTTCTGAACGACAGCCTGCGAGATTGTGGGCGTGGGTATTTTGTTGAATTGAGTGCGGTAGTCGAAGATACCGGATAGGTAGATGGAGATGCCGTGAAAATAGATTGTTGCGAGAACGGAATCGGGATTATATTCGGGGGTCCCAGTATCGGTTGACCATTTTTGGAAGTTCGTATACCAGTCAGCAAGAGCTGATCGGATAACGAAACCTTCAGCGGCGAGCTCGAGGAGGGCTCTGTGAAGGGATATGTTTGGACAGTTGGAGGAGTCTGGTTTGATAAGAGCCCATACCCTGCGCCCAGTCAATCATACAACAATAGGATAGATATAGAGTGCCTGCTAGTGTATACTCACCGGTGACTTATCGAAGAACATGCGATCATCAGATCGAATAATGATTCCTTTGGATGCCAGTGGCAATTATCATCCCCGTTCCAGATCTTAGTCGGGAGTGACGTCCATTCCGGCTGGCAGAGAAAAGTAGGTTCCGAGTATATAAGTGCGCGACAAATCTCAAAGACCCGTACTGTGAGGAAAAATGACCGTCCAGAGCCTGCTACATGAGCTTCCGGACCGCGAAGCTGAAGCATTTTGGACGTGCCGAACAGAAAATGCTTCACCCAGCCTTCTCCAGTCACATCATGCATCAGCTAATTGAAAATGTCAACATCCAGTTTCTGATATATAGGTATTTCCACCCACGATAATATCGGTTACCTACTTCGAACAGCCCCAAGAAGAATGGGGTCCATAGATTGACATCTCGAGGGGTATTGTTGCTTAAAATCTCGGCTTTCAATTTAGCGATGGAGGTGTGGTAGGCCGTGAATGCTCCCACGGCCGCATCTTTCCTTTCCGGAGGTAGAGTCGTCGACACCGACCTCCTGCTCAGATCAAGTGCACCCAGGGCAATGGATGCGTGATACATACTGGGAGATCTCTGAAATTCCGATATGACAGTGGCGAGGTCCAAGTGGCCTCCAAAGTCATTCCTGGCCAGAAATCCGGAGAAAAAGTGCTTTGCAAAGAGAGCTGAGCTTCCTTCTGAAACCTTGGGGCAGAGCCTCAACAAAGGTTGCTGAGAGGCGAGCGGGAGAGAGTCTGACCCTTTGGATGCCCGTGCCGAGGCATTGATAAAGACTATACTAGTCTGTGGCTGGACTGCTTGAGGGATGCATGGCTGGTTTCTTTTTATGCAATACTGACAGGGAGGACCGCCTTTGCACTACTGGGGTGTTAAAATAGGGCAGCTGTTCACTGGGAAGGACCTGCTGACCTTGATTTTGTGTCGTGCGCAGGCTGTGCATCTGGTGCGAGCGGTCCGCCGATCTAGTGGTCCCAGGACAGCCATTTCTCGCGATTAGATGTGGGCAAGTTTCCGGGGTATTATGTGCAGGAAGTTGGTCTGGAAATGCCTCATGACTCCTACTCGAACGGAGCAGCAACTGGATATACAAGCTGGAGGCTACAAGATACCAGAGTGGGTCTAAATTAATCAACCTTTCCTAAAGGGGCAGCATTCGAACGCAGGTCTTGGCACCGGAACCTCAGCCTCCACAGGCATCAGTCTAAATCATACAAGGAAGACGGCAATATTATCACACTTCTGTGGAAAGCATCCATAAATGCGCTGAATCATTGCCTTATTAGGTAGTGGAGACGTCAAGATGTCCCAGCTAACATCGGACCAAACGGAAACCAGAGTCCACGGGATTGACTCGAGAATCCTACATAAGACGGAGAAGTTCCTTCTATTTTCTATCTAAAATCAAATTCTTCCTGCCTTTACGATTCAATATTTTGCTATGATGTTCAAGCCCTCTGAAAAACGCCTGCTGCTTGCCGGTCTCTTCACCCAGCTTCTCCCAAGCATCGGCGCGGTGTCCTTCCCGGCCGGGGTAGGCTCGTTCAACACCAGCATTGCAACAACCCAGCTCGTTGATCATAATCGTTTGGATCCATACGCTCCAACGCCACAACCACGTACTTTGATGATATCTCTCTTTCATCCTGTCCCTCCAGCAACATGTTGCCCCTCCCTGACGTCCTATATGGACCCTATCAGCGCGACCTTCGAGGATGAGGAGTATGCACCGGTTGGTATCCCAGCCGGCGCCTTCGGTTCACTTACCCTTCAAACCTGCAAGCCTTGTCCGGCTTCAAATCCCAATCGCCGAGTCAAAGAGTCTAAGTATCCGCTGGTTCTCTTCTCATCTGGTCTGGGGAATTCTCGACTCTTGTACAGCGCTATGGCCCAGCAGTAGGTATTCTCTATCTTCTGTTCAATCGACAAGTGTCGCTGACTTCAAAACCGACAGACTATCCAGCACTGGCTATATTGTCGTAACCATCGACCATACCTACGACGCAGGCATCGTGACATTCCCAGACAATTCCACAATCCTCGCTGCAAATATTACAACCGATACCCAAATTGTAGATGACCTGAACATCCGGGTGAAAGACGTATCCTTCGTCCTCGACCAACTCCACCGTCCATCCGTCATCTCCAGACTCGTCCCAGGCCGAACTTGCGGGATGGATACCTCTAAAGTGGGAATCTACGGTCACTCCCTCGGCGGTGCCACCGCAGCTGAGGCTCTGCTTTCCGATCCCCGTCTCATGGGGGGGGATCAATCTAGACGGTACATTTTTCGGCTCCGTTATCGACCGGGGCTTGAATAAGCCCTTCATGATCATGGCGCACGAAGGAAAGAATTTGACAACCGATGCGAGTTGGGCTGCGCTGTGGCCGAAGTTGAAGGAGTTTAGGAGAGGGTTTATGCTTAGTGGTAGTACGCATGGTACGTTTACGGATTTGGCCGAGGCCGCTAATTTGATTGGTCTGAGAGAGCGCTTTCCGACAGAGGTCGCCGCATTATTGGGGAGTATTGAGGGCGAAAGAGCCCTTCAAGTGATAGGTGCTTATACTAGCAGATTTTTTGACTTTGTTTTGAAGGGGAAGAAGAGTGAGTTGTTGGATAGGTCCAGTATGGAGTTTCCTGAGGTGACTACTATTGGAGTAAATTAGCCTCGTCCATTGAAAGTGGAGAGTTCATGATGGGCCCTCTCATTAGTTGTTCCCTCAACCGTCGTCTCTTTGGTGTTGTTATGTAGGATCTGGGATGCATCTCAGGCCGTTTATTATTATTCGAGTACTTTGCCATAATTCCGCTCTTTTCGTCCGATTTTCGGAAGAGACAGATGTTTATTTAGCATGTTCGCTGTTTACCACCGCCTTTTCTTGAATATCTTTCTTTATGCTTGTGAGAGTATATATTGGTGATGCGACATCGTATGAAAAGTAAGCACGTTTTTGGCACAACAGTTGCGAGACAGAAAAGGAGGAAACTAGATATCCATAAAATGGGTTGTATTTTCTTCGGTTGCTCTCTTGAACTTTCGCATCCGCCTCCGCTTCTGGGCCTATGGGATTGTACCAGCTATAACTAGCTCTGTAAACGACCGTTTGAATGCGGTATCGAATGGGGAATATTATTGCAAAGAAAGATGGCTCTAGATTATCTGATTATGTGATGATTTCTTGGCGGCTTGAGTCTGGCCCCCACCGAGTTGACTCAGTATTCAGAGAGCGCTAAGACGTTCAAAGCTGCAAGGTATATAATAGACGAGTGCTGGATGATGAGAATATATTGCAAAATACCACAAATAGTACGATGACGATGGTTGCGGATACAATTGAGCTCACATCAATCGAAGGACCCTCGGCACGGAACGAGGATGTCTCAAAGATGATAGCGGAGACCATGGACGCTTCGGAACCCTTGAATGATCCGGTGACACCACAAAAGAGGGTGCAGGTTATCGCTATCATGGTCGCTCTCTGCGTTTGTGCTTCTATGCTTATCTTCTTGATATTCATATAATGCAGGTACTAATTCCTTACCGTTGCAGCTGTCCCTCTTCATTGCCGCTCTCGATCAGACAATCGTCGCTACCTCGTTGCCTACAATCTCTTCCCATCTTCATTCGGCTGATGGATACATATGGGTGGGAGGAGCCTACCTGCTAGCGAATGCGGCCGCCGCCCCGATATGGGCGAAATTATCCGATATCTGGGGTCGAAAACCGATGTTACTGATTACGGTCCTTTGGTTTCTACTCAGCTCCATTATCTGCGCCGCAGCGGCCAATATGACTATGCTTATTGTCGGTAGAGCCCTTCAAGGCACTGCAGGTGGTGGATTAATGCAACTTGTTATGATCGTCGTATCTGATTTATTCAGTGTAAGGTTAGTGACTGTGAATTCCTTTTTGTTGATTTGTCCATTTTCTTGTTCTTCATGTCTCACAACTATGGGAGTAGCTAATAGATACCATCATCCTAGGGATCGGAGTCTCTACTTAGGGATTCTAGAATTTATGTGGACTATCTCCGGGGGTCTTGGGCCAGTTTTGGGTGGTGTTTTCTCGGAATACGTGTCCTGGCGATGGAATTTCTGGATCAACCTGCCGACCTGCGGACTGGCATTTGTCTTGCTCTTCTTCTTCCTGGATGTCCACAATCCTCGCACCAAGGTGGTAGATGGGATCAAAGCGATCGACTGGGCGGGAAGCGTCTCCCTCCTCGGCGTGACGTTGATGTTACTTCTAGGGCTAAACTTTGCAGGAGAAACATTCGCCTGGGATTCACCTCAGGTGATCTGCCTGATCGTATTTGGGTCTTTGTGCCTGGTCATCTTCTTCTACGCGGAGAAGTACCTTGCCAAATATCCACTTCTGCCTCTCCAAATTCTCAAACACCGATCAAATGTTTCCGTCTCTCTGGTCACATTCTTGCATGGATTCGTAAGTATCTTCCTAGCCTCCTCAACACTTAGTTGGTGAACTTGATTCCTGACGGAAAAGTTGTACTGATCAATCCTAATGACTACAGGTGTTCATTGGCTGCGAGTACTATCTCCCTCTCTATTTCCAGACAGTCAAGCAAGCAAGTCCGATGCGGTCTGGACTCCTAGTTCTGCCTCTTGTGGTGGCTGAAGGACTCGTCAGCGGAGCATCTGGTTGGGTCATTCACCGGACCGGCCGATACTTAGAGCAGATCTGGGTAGGAACCCTCCTACTCACCCTCGGAACTGGGCTTTTCATCCGGCTCGACTCAGAATCAACACTAGCTGAGATTATCATGTTCCAAATCATCGGTGGGGCAGGATCGGCGTTGCTCTTCGAGCCACCATTGATTGCTTTGCAGTCCCTGATCAAGCAAGAGGATACAGCAAGCGGTACGGCCATGCTGGGCTTTATACGAACGATGGCTATGTCCGTTTCGATCGTCGTCGGCGGAGTGGTGTTTCAGAACAGCATGAAGGGCAAGAAATATCTTTTGCAGCACGCTGGGCTAATGGAGAGTCAGGTGGATCGATTGACCGGCGCTTCCGCTGCAGCGAGTACGGAAATCATCCAAAGCCTTTCTGATCCGGAGAAAGTCAGAGTAGTGGCCGATGCCTTCTCCACGAGTTTCCAAAATCTATGGATTATGTACAGTTGTGTAGCAGGGGTGGCTATCATTGTGAGTGCCTTCATCACCAAACAGCATTTGAGTGATGAGCACACCGAGACCAGGACAGGGTTGAAGGAGGAATAAGCTACAGGGTTAACGTATGTGATAGAACTAACATATTGTTCAAAGGGTGATGTTGAAAACCGGCTTGTATCTATATGAGAAAACGTATGAACTTCTCGTCAATTCAGCTACTTTCAGGTAGTCTGGCCAATCCAATGAATGGTACAAATCTCAACGGAAAAAAAGTGGTATTCCAACGTACAGCGTTCAACATAGGTCTATATCGGTATTAGTAGATTTAGTAACGACGAAAGTTTCTCTTATTGGTTATTAACGGCAAGACTAACCGGATGTAGTAATACACAAGTCCCAATAGTTATCGAGAAGTATCTTGGGATGTTTGCATAGGTAGTTTCCATCTCCACTATGTGGCAAATTGTCGGGCTTCTCCTGGATATCTTTATGACTTGCAAAAATAATTCTTTTAGGGGGAAGTAGATCTTGCGTCCCAGTGTTATAGTGACTCTGCACTCAGGGGATCTTTGGATGTGAAAGAGTATAACCACGTTGACTTTGTAGTCAGAATTTGAGAACCACCAATATACGTCGGCTCGTAGTTGTGCTTCTGATTCAGAAAGACCCGTCTCAATAACAAGCGAAGGCCACTCCTTATCGGAAAAAGTATCCCGCGACGGATTGAGAGACTGGTCGGCTTCTTTAGTGAATGCTCTTCCGTGGTACCGGGTATCCGCGTTTAAGCTGTAAGCTCTTAGAGTAACTTTCGATAAGTTCACCTGTAAATGATTGGGTTAGTCGCTCATAAGCCCCTGAGGGCATTATTCGAATAACCGCTTGCTGGCGCTGTGCGTCGAGTGTCAATCTATAGGGAAGCTCAAGAGGATTTCGGTCTCCACTTAATTGCTCCTGCAGAGGCTGGGATATATTGGACACGATGATAAACTGGTTCGAGTAAGACGTGTCGGAGTTGATTCGATTAAAGACATCGTTCGCAGCTTGTCGAAGGACAGAAATAGAGGTGGCAGTCAACAACACAGCACCCGGGATTTCGAAAGGCATGTACGAATCACAGTCCCTCGCTGCCTCGTCGGGTGACAGTGACTCGGACTACCGATAGTCTTCGCCAACTCCGCATCCTTTGTATTTAGAAAGGAGGAGGATAGTGTTGATGGGGACAGAGACAGAATGTTGGCTGAATGGGGGCGTGTGAGGAAAGGGGGAGGAGACAGAACTGGAGAAGCAAGATGACGATTGATGGAGGACTAAGGAGTGATATCGATAATTAATAGTCCAAAGCTTACATGTGCGACAGGAGCATGAGCACTTTCATGTGACGTAAGTCTGAGGCAGGCGGCCAGGTAGGCGGTTGTCCCACATTGTTGTTGTGTAGAATACTTAACGAGTTGTGACAGTGATCACTGAGGACATTCACCCTCATTAAAGCGTCGGCAGCCCAGACAGGAAAGCCCCTCCCCCCCTCCCCCCCGGCGGCGGATACTATCCTTTGTATATAGCTGCATATTCTCTTTAACTCCTTGCCGACCCGTCCTAGGTGTCTGCCTAAGGCATCTACTACAAATGAGAAAGAATAAATAGAAAACGACAGTCACCATTCCGGCCATTAGCTTGTTTCTCTGTAGTTTGTCCTATCAGCGTGACTCTGTTTGCCTTATCCAGGCAATCGTAATGACACTGACCAATAGGGTGGCTTCAGGAATTAAGGTCAGAAGTTGTGCTCTAGGACGCCCATGTTCTGTCCATCAAAGATGCTCCCACGAGACTTTGACAAGCACGTGAAAAAGTGTCGGTTCGTAGGCAGCACGGCTAAATAACTCTTACCTTCGCGGAATGAGAAAGAGGATGTACAGACGATGGATGCTTTTCGAGTATGATAACCTCGATGGAAATGGTATATTCCATATTAGGATTAGCCCCGTTAATTAGTCTACGCTAGCATCCACACAAACTTTCGTGTCACAGTAGATGTCTTGGCATTTCCCAAATCTCTTGCTCTTGATCTTGGTGTTATCTAAACATTTTTGAAATGACCAGGGCGAGCAGAGAGGGATACTGTATATTCTTCGTCGACAGACCCATCCAGCCAGCCATGATGGGGCACCTCATTAACGGGAGAGCAAACCGAGTGATGACGATAGAACCTCTTCATGCCTCGAGGAACTCCGTCATCAGTCATTTGCCCCGCCAACGGGTAACGGGCCTCGATTGATAACTGCTCCTGCAGCTGACAAGATATTTCAACTTCGCAAGAATGAGTTCATGAATATTGACTGCATAAGCGTTACCGCAGCCAACTCTTTTTTTTGCTGCACCGACATTCACATGTACGCACAATGCAGTCATACTTTCAATATTGTCGGATCTTAAGACAACTCGAGAAACAAATTGTTGTGAAACACGACAAGCCTGATGATGTCTGGACCCGGGAGCGACGCTACTCTTACTATGAAGGAGAGATCAGATCAGAACCACGAGAGCTAGACGAGAGTGAACCGGCAAGACGAAGACGAGAGCATGGTCAGCGCACTCTCATTTCGGGCCCAGCCCTTCATCCTCGCCATACGACTCGGACACACCTGGAACGCGATGGGGACGTGGAGCGCGCGGATTATGAACCGGAAATCCAAGGTGAACCACACACCATCAACTCGCTAGAGACTCTGGGAGGCACGCTCGATATGATGTTGACAGGCGTGGAAAGACGAAGACCGGGCAGCGCCGAGCCCAATGATACGCCCGACGGGGCCGCTGGTGGGACAATGAACGGCGAATCAGTCCCTAAGGATCGGCTCATCGTTGTCACTTTCGAGGGCGACTGCGACCCAATCGATCCGCATAACTGGCCTGTCCCGCACCGGCTGGCATGTACAGCTCTGGTGTCACTGACAGCAGCCACCATGCTATGGGCGACTACAATTGATGCCGTTGTTTTCACCCCCGCCACTCGGAAACTTTATGGAACTGATAACTTTGCGATCGAGACGGTCCCGACTGGTATGTAATAGGGTCGCTATGAATGCTACACCTAAAACTAACCGGCCCTTTCACTAGCCCTTTACCTAGTCGGCCTCGGGATAGGTGGGCTGTTCATAGCGCCTATCTCCGAAGTCATTGGACGCAATCCCGTGTACATTCCTTCGCTCGTGCTCTTTATATTATTTGAAATGGGCGCGGGGCTCGCTAGGACCCCGGCACAGCGAATGGTCTTAAAAGGCCTCTCTGGATTCTTCGGGTCTGCTCCCTTGGTGTGCACCGCGGGATCCATCGTTGACCTTTGGTCACGGGTTGAGCGAGTCTATACCTTCCCCCTGTACGCCATTTTGTCCTTCATAGGACCCCTAGTGGCACCCACACCCGGTTCTTTCGTCGCCGTAGCCCGTTCAGTGAGCTGGCGCTTCGTAGACTGGATGACTATAATCTTGGCGGGGATTGCTCTAGGTTTATTCGTGCTGTGCATGCCGGAGACATACAGTCCTATTTTGTTGCATTGGAAAGCGAAGCAGCTCCGCCGCCTCACCAGAGACCCTCGGTACCGAGCGCCACTAGAGTTCAAAAGGGTCTCGTTCTTGCGCCGCCTCGCCCACGCAATGTATCGACCGTTCGTTTTATTCGCGACAGAGCCAATCATCATGGTTTTCGCAGTCTACCTCTCGGCCATATTCATCATCCTCTACACCTTCATCGCAGGCTACGTGTCTATCTACGAGAAGGTACATAAATTCCACTCCACCCAAACAAGTCTTGCCTTCCTCGGTGTCTTAGTAGGGGTGTTTCTCGCCGCCCCGTTTGTCCCGCTGGCTATGAAGCTCGTGCGCAAAGACATCCTCCGCAGCCGTTCCCAAGGGCGTTACTACGTGGGCCCAGAAATCAGTCTCTATATGTCCATGTTCGGGGCCCCCGCTATCCCCATCGCACTGTTCTGGATGGGCTGGACAGCGCGGCCGTCTATCTCATTCTGGAGTCCGATCGGCTCATCTGTGCTGTTGGGCTACGGGGTGCTGTGCGTCTTTGTCTCCTCGTACCAATACGTCGCCGAGGCCTTCGAGTACCACGCTGCTAGTGCCCTGGCTGCCGTCCAGATGTTGCGGCTTATTTCTTCTGGTGTCATGGTCTACGTTTCAGAGCCAATGTACAGAAAACTGGGCATTGCCTGGACCTTGACCCTGCTAGGTGCGATTGCCACTGTGTTTCTACCCGTGCCATATTTACTACATCGGTGGGGGCCGATAGTGCGGCGGTGGAGCCAGCATGCGCAGAGCGAGCAAGAGTGAATCGCTTGTAGCAGCAGGCAGCATCTACAGATTTTAATGTGTCATTACAGATTGTTAACAAAATCCTCGCCTTCAATAATGTTCTTTCCTTGCTGTTCTAGAGGTAAAGAATATAGGGCTGCTTCTTGCGGGTGAAAATTTTCAATTCCCGTTGCGCAGACCGCGATCTAATAGGGGCTACTTATACAATATCTGACAGCGCCCACGGCACTGTTGGCACAGGAAGCGGAGAGAGAGAGAGAGTGAGACTGAGTCAAATTGGTCTATCTAGGAACATGAAGACGAAGACGACTAGGAGAAGAAGAAGAAGAAGAAGAAGAAGAAGGGAACAGAACAGGGTCTATAAGGCCCTGAAGCACAAAGGAAAGGAAGGGAAAACCCCGGCCTGCTTCATGCAGGGCCAAAGAAGACGACATACCCTGCAAACCCTATCGAGGTCAAAGGGATCGAGTCATCAATATCCTTATACGATGAAACAAAGTACCTTGTCATGCAGTCCTCTGTGCTCTGGATCGATGGCTAGACTAGTGGCCTAACCAAATACGTTTCAGCACATTGTGCCCCGTGGGGGCACGAATGGGACTTACTCGGATCGAGAATATTACCGTAATTATCCAAAGGATCATACGGGAGGTCATCTTGCCCAATACTTCATTTGGAGCATGTAATATTAGTTGGTTGATGAGCCTCTGGAACAAGGACATAGTAGTCTCCACTGTGAAGGTAATGAAGGATATGGCCAAAAATATCCTCAACATCATCCTCAACGACACTGGAGGCGTTAGATTATCCCGCTAGGCGTAGTGAAATTTTTCCCGTTCGGGCCAACCTCTAGGTATGCGAGGTAGGTCACTCAACCAAGTGTTTTTCCTCAACGGTCAGAGATACGACTGTGTCGTGAATTGAATGGTTAGGGATGCGACTTTGCCGTGAATGGAATGGTTAGAGATGCGACTGTGCCGTGAATGGAATGCCCTGTTCAACCTGCAGGAACGGCAACCAATCATGCAGGCCACAGTCAACAGAAACTAACGACTAATAATTTTTGAGAACCGCCACGAAAATATCAACACCTAGGCTTCTTGATCCTAGTCTTGGCGTACCTTGCCTTATTTACAAGTTTATATATACGTAATGAAACCAGCTGAGCGATGAGCATCCTGTTTAGCGGCAACCCTAGTCAATCCGACTTCCGCAAGACTAATTCGACGGATCCGCTTCCATCTGGGTATGGCAGTGACCTGTTGTTGACATTGTACCCTTGCTGTACTAATTTATGGCGGCGACTCGCGCACATGACTATCAGCCATTCCGTGCAGCAACACCATCCAAACTCAGTTTCGTCAAATGTGGCGTCTTCCGACCTGGACATCACATTCTTATTTGCATTCCAGACACGGTAAAGATAGTCCAGTTATAGGGCACCGCCCACGACATGGACACATGGTTTTAATCAACATAGATTCATTCAACATAAAAACCACTGTTTTGTTCAGCCCATTGCTCTTCTGCTGTCACTTTCCATTGTGTGCCAAACGGCGACGTACACTATACTTATCACGCAACCTGGTTTACTGAGCTACATATCCAATGGCCCAACTCCTATTCGCCCTTGTCATCCTGACTTCCTTCGGTAGGCCGTCGTCCGCAATATCAACTTAAGCCCATGCTGATGGCTCCTACACGTAGTTGCTACCATCTGGGCTCATGGCAACAACAATAACAACCTTGCTTGTATTGAGTGGTGTACAGAGAATTTCTTATTCTCAGGCATCTCATGTATAGCGCTTGCAGCAACTCGGAAGGGACCTTGTTATACCTGTGGACCTCTTAAAACTAGTGCGAGTGAACGACTCTGTTCTGGCACTTGCAAAGAAACCAACACTGACAGCAGTAATTGCGGTCGATGCGGCACCGTTGTAAGTTCGGACGATGTTGTTATTAGTTCCAAACTAACCGAGACTTGCACTATCATAGTGCCCTACCGGATCGACTTGCTCATTAGGTGCCTGCATATGCACGAATTCTGGCCTATCTCCTTGTAATGGTTCTTGTTCCGCTCTAACCTCGGACAGCAATAACTGCGGGAGATGTGGCAATGTTGTAAGTTGGGGCGGGATTCTGATTGCCAAGGCGAGCAATGCTCACACTTATAGTGTCCCGCCGGATCCACTTGCTCATCAGGCGCCTGCGTACCATGCTCACAGGTGTCGACCACATTCGCTGTGGGGTCTAGACCGTTCAGTGTCACGGTGGGCGATTTCAATGGAGACGGTTATCTCGATATCGTCAATACGAATTTTCACGACAATACAGTGAGCGTTTTACTTGGGAAGGGAGATGGAAGCTTCCAGGCGCAGGTTGCATTCGCTGTAGGGTCCGGGCCATACGGTGTTGCAGTGGGCGATTTCAACGGAGATGGCCACCTCGATATTGTGGCTACGAGTTATGCTAGTAATACAGTGAGCGTCTTACTTGGGAACGGGGATGGAAGCTTCCAAGCTCAGACCGCATTCGCCGTGGGGTCTGGTCCGTATCTTGTCGCAGTTGGTGATTTCAACGGAGATGGCCATCTCGATATCGTGGCTGCGAGTTATGCTAGTAATACAGTAAGCGTCTTACTTGGGAACGGAGATGGGAGCTTCCAAGCTCAGACCACATTCGCCGTGGGGTCTGGCCCGGTGGGTATTGCAGTGGGCGACCTGAATGGAGATGGTCACCTCGATATCGTGGCTGCGAATCACATTAGCAATACTGTGAGCGTCTTGCTCGGGAACGGAGATGGAAGCTTCCAGGCGCAGACCGCATTTGCCGTGGGGTCTGGTCCGTTCACTGTCGCAGTGAGCGACTTCAACGGGGATGGCTACCTCGATATCGTGGCTGGAATTCAGTCGGGCAATACAGTGAGCGTCTTACTTGGGAAAGGAGATGGGAGCTTCCAAGCTCAGAACACATTCGCCGTGGGGTCTAGCCCGGTGGGTATTGCAGTGGGCGACCTGAATGGAGATGGTCACCTCGATATCGTGGCTGCGAATCACATTAGCAATACTGTGAGCGTCTTGCTTGGGAACGGAAATGGGAGCTTCCAAGCTCAGACCACATTCGCCGTGGGGTCTGGCCCGGATGGTGTTGCAGTGGGGAACTTCAACGGAGATGGTGTTCTCGATATCGTGGCTGCGAATGAGTTGGGCAATACAGTGAGCGTCTTGCTCAGCCAGCATTGCAACGCCTAGGACGATGTTGAGGTGAGGCGAAGAGCCTCCCCTGGCCACTGTTGCTCACCCGATTAGCTGGCCAGATGTCTGCGTCCTACAACGATAGCATAGTCCCGTTGCCTACCCACCTGAGACAACGGCGCAGTTCTCCGTCACATAGCCGTTTGGCTGTGTGGACGAACAGCCTTGTTGCTGCAATTTGGTAGCTGGGCCATTCATTACGTTGACTTGGGATTGGTCGATTCTTTTCCCAGATCGGAACAGCCATTGTACTGCCAAGGAATAGCTCAACCTCCTGCTTGTTATACGTAATTTTTTTCTTTCCTTAATGGTCAGTTCAATCAATCCTTGCATCTGATTCCGTCAACTCCTTCCTGTCCTTAGGCGGACAATCTCATACCATAATTCATAGACTTGACAGTAGTCTTTGGGCTCAGCATGTTGTCTTTGCCTTTCTCTGGTCTTTGGAGTGTGCGGTCTCAGGGATAGAGTATCGCCCATCTCTGTCTAATACAGGAATTTAAGGGCAGGTAACCTTAACTTTATTTTATATTTCTTATCCACTTTTAGCATACTTTAGGGGTAGTAAAATAGCTCGAGATCCTAGGAACCTAGACACCTATACGTAACTAAACCAAAGATAGCTTATAGCGTAGCAGAATAGGGTAGGGCCTTCTAGGTTCCTAGGAGTAAATTAGTTAAAAAAATAATACTTAGCCCAAAGGAGACTGCCAGAACGGGGTTCTAATACGTACGCTTAAAGGTAAGAAAATAGACTGAGCACTTAGGTATCAGACAGGCCTTCTCCAGCGGACGATTACTCAGGGTAAGCTATTCTAGTTTAGGCAGAGACGTGCTCAGATCTACTCAGTGAGCAAAAGCGGCGAGGTCTGAGCGCCAATTCGGAAGAGGACAGCCAAGACGTGGCATAGGAAATCCGGTACATAGGAGATAAAATGACTAGATTTTTCAGACGACGCCTTCAGAGGAAAGAAAGGGTAGTTACTCTAGCCGTATTTGAATCATAATGAAATGTTTCGATAGTGTTATTAGTTAAAGTCGAGGTATCATTGTATCTAGGAGCATTAGAAGAAGTGAGCAACATAAATTTAAATAGTTAGTTAGAAGCTAACAAGAGATCACCGTCTTAGCGCTATTTCAATGTGATTAGTCTAGAAGGCTGACTTGGCATACTAGAGCAATCTCTCTGAACTTGATATCTGTGTCCTTCGTGGTCCTTGAACGTCCAGCTCCGATGTCATCATCATTCCGCTAGCGGGCAAAGGGGTATCTAGGATACATCCGATCTATTTCGGTATACGAGGCTCATATTACCTTCTAATATTATCGCGTAGACGACCTTTAAGCCCGCTTCAAACGAGCCTTTAAGAGCGCCCTAGGGACGTGTACCAAGAGGTTAAGGTATAGATCACCTCCTCTGTGCTTGTACATATGGGTGGTTGGGGGTGGGGGGTGCGCGCGCGGCGGAGGAGCAGCCCTATATGAAGGACTCTGTATATGCCCAACGTTGAGGCTTTAGTCTGGGTACCTCGGGCCTCCATAGATTTAGAAAGAGCGTTTTCTGGCCTGTGGAGTCTCGGGGCCGAAATAGACACATATCCAGTGCCTTAAGGCCAGTCATGTAATAGATCCGTGGAACCGTGTCCAGGCGGGCTTCGGGTCTGGAGATGTGGGTCCTTGGTTTGGAAGCTGTGGTGGAAATGGCTTAGGCTTTGGGTCCCATAATCTAGAACAGTTGATTCGAGGCTACAGTCTGGAGGCTGCGGACGTGGATCCACTTTGGACCAGCTCTAGGTCTGGCATGGCCATCAATCTATCAACAGGCGGCCAGTTTGGCTGAGTAACCACGAGGGCCACAGGTATGCTGACTACAGTCTATATGTGACGCAAATCTTCGGATATAAATCTCATGATCTCATGATGCATACATTGCTCAAGTCTGCTGCTTGCGTTTGGCCTGCCGATCATCGTCGCTGTCGGCTTGGAGTGCCCGTGTGATCGAATCCACCATCTCCTCACTTACAGCCAGATTGTGGCTGAATGTCATAAAATCCGTGTTCGTGCCATCCTGAATCGCTGCATCGAAGCACTGTCCCGGGGAAACTTGCCGTAGGTTCTGGTCATAAAAGGCTGCCTGGTGGCCAACGAGGGGTTCGGTCGCAAGGTGCACTTGGTGACAGGGGCTTGGGCTGGGCTGATCTCCAGATGCGATCAACCTCGCAACAGACTGGTGTATTGTAACTTGAGGGAAATACTGTAACCGTTCCAGCGGACTAACGGCATTGCCTTTCGACTTGTCAGCATCAACATGACGAGGCTGAAGACCTACTGGCTCCTGGCTCACACCTCACCCGTCACGTTGGGCTCTACATGAATCTATCGACAGAGTATACACTTAAATAGCGTGGCGAGACGAGCTGCCACGGACCCACCCATTGATCTCTCAGATTATCACATACAGCTCGCGTTGCTCTAGGGCTGTGATAAAAGTAACACGATAAGGAAGCTGACTAGATGCATGCCTTGGCGGTCCATGATTGCCAAAACGCCATGCAGAACCACGCAGTGACTCTCCATCTAGATTAACTGATGGCAAGCAGCATGGCGTTATTCATCCCCTGGCTTCGCATCTGGTTCTGCATCGACAGTGGGTTTACATCAGTATAACGACGGCACGTCTACTCGAATTAAGACCGGCCGGAAAAGGCACAGGCGACGTATGATGGAGCATCGGAAGGATACGAGAAGGTTTTAGGGGCGACCTTAATTTTAACCTATACTCCTGCCTTGAACATGCTTGGGACTCTTGGCCTGCTAGGGAGAGGCAGGGAAATGTTGTGAACGCTCTAATGTATTATCGGCGGGCTCTGGATAGCACTGAGACTGCCTTTAGGTGGCAAAGCCAATGGTATGCAAGGCCGTCCAGCCAAATTGGTTCTTTACAGTGTGACGTGTGTGAATTCCCCGAGAACCAAGCGTCCATTAAAAAGAGGATAAGAAAGCCGGGGAAACTTTGGATTCTCTGAAGCCGGGTTGCTACAATTGGAGGGAGGCGAGGTGGCGGCGATCCAGACAATCTCAAACGAGGCCACGCTTTGTCCTGGAAAGGATTCCACGACCGGAAAGATTTCAGGCGAAAACTAGCGCTTAACATATTAAGTGCGTAAAGGCAGTTGAACAGGCTCACTGAGTATAGTGATTTAAGCCATTCGTGAAATATGGGAACTGGCAGAAGAATTGGAATTTGGGATATGGGGCAGAACAGAGTAGGAAGTGAAGAGGGAAGGGGACATTAGAAGGAGGGGTCCACATCCACTTTTGTCACTTGGGTGAAATCAGTCTCTTTTATAGACTGTGAGGCGGGATCCGCTTTCTAAACAGTGCAGAAACCCCAGTCATTTTCTATCGCCCATGCCACTGCATCCAAACTGGGAGACGACGGCAAGCAACCGCAAACTGCAGATTACTGGCAACAATTCCTACCGCCCTCGCTGATGGAACCCAGTATTGACAATAAATAACACAATGCAGCTGCAGGAATCTCAGTAATTCTGCTCCTGGCGACTACCATTCCAGCCTAAGGAGCGAGAACGAGCTGGGTGTCGGATCGAGCGGCATCTCCGGTAAAATGAAAGGGGCACTGCGTCGGGCTGAAAGCCAGCAAGGCGTAGCTGTCGGCGGGGCCCAGAGTGGAATAAAGGGGGAGATGATGAGTGCAAGATAGAGTAGTCAAAGGAAGGGGACGAGGCAGAAAAGAGGTCAAAAGGGCGAGGGCAGGTCTTTTATATTAGGGCGATATGAAGGAGAGGTTACGTGACGGTGTATTGGGGCGCTAACCCGGAAACGGCAAAACTAGCCACATGCGCAAGCAGTCCACGACTATGGGCGAATATACTCCGGAGTTCTCTGGAAATGTACAGTATACCTCGAATAGAGTAAAATAGTTGTAATACTACAGGATGGGACGTGGTTTCCATTCTTCCTCGTCATACAGCCAAGTCGTGGGTAATCGGTCCAGACCCTCCGTCAAAAAGAACTTTGGGGAACGGCCCTCAAGACGGGGAATCCTCCCGCCTAGTCATCCAAACTCCAAACTTCGCTCCTCCTGCCCATCCAACACTCCCGAACAGTCTCCCTATCCCTTGAGTCACTGATCAGCGCGATGGACTACTCCAACTACGCCCCTCACGCATCCCAGCCCTACTCAACGCTATACGGGCTGCCTACTCCCGACCAGCCGCCACAGGCGCCCTCCGAAGATGTCCTCCACGACCCATTTGCACTGGTACGAACCCCTCCCCCTGACTGCCAATGGGGTATTCTTGAGATATTATTAACCAGCGGCTTCAGAATGGCGCTTACAATCAGTATTATCCGGGGTTCGACCCCTCTTTCCGCCTTGACCCCTCCTCGACCTTCGGTCCGCCGCCCCATTCGCCCCCGGACTCGTTCACGAAGCACTCGGTATCGAGCAATGATGTGCATAATAGCACCAAGCCAGAGCCTACATCCATTGATGGGGATGATAGCCAATACCGTGATCCGGCCGGGCGCAGTAGCAGCGAGGAAAAGGACTCGGCGATGCCAGCGCAAAGTAAGCGCAAGGCTCAAAATCGGGCAGCGTATGTGATATTTTCCCCCTCATGGTGTCCAGTTTGCAGCGAGAAATGCTAATACGGGTACACATATAGTCAGCGAGCCTTCCGCGAGCGAAAAGAGCGCCATGTCAGGGACCTTGAAGACAAAGTGAACAATCTCGAACAGTCATCTTCGACCCTCCAAGCCGACAACGAGCGCTTGAAGCGTGAACTCGCCAAATACGCAACCGAAAATGAGATCCTCCGTGCGACCTCACACTCTCTGCATGGCAATAGCGGTGCCAAAGAAGCCCCTGCACCAACCGTCACAGGGCCAATGACATACTCTCCAACAGACTTCTACTCGACCTTAATGCCCGAGGCTGCCGGTCCTACTGGCCCGACTCCAACGGGCCAACACCGCGTTACAGTGTGCGCGATTACCGGCGAGAGACTCCTTGACGCTAGCGCGACGTGGGACCTGATTCAAAGCCACGAGTTGTTCAAACGAGGACAGGTCAATATCGGCGATGTCGCTGAGCGGCTGAAGGGCTCGGCCCAGTGCAATGGGCAAGGCCCTGCTTTCAAGGAAAGTCAGATTCTGAAGGCTATCGAGGAGAGTGTTGCTGATCGCGATGAGCTGATCTAAGACGTTTTTACTCGATGACAAAACCTTTATGCCCTCTGATTTGATGATACAATGCTTCTATGTTTATACCTTTTGTTTCTATTTTGTTCTTTGTTTTTCGGTCCCTCATTTTCGGAGGAGTCAGTTGTGATGACAAATTTGGAGTACTTTGGCGCTGGAGCTGGAAATAGTGAAATGGCAATGGGCAGATCCAAACCGTGGTCTGTAGGACATATCTACCTTTATGATTTTTCCTGAAATTGAATCTTCGAGATTTTACATTTACCAAGAGGCTCAAAGTGAATATACGTTGTTTTCTACTGTGTTGTAGATTGATTCATAAACATCATGAATTTACTGTACGGGCAATCACTAACATATGTACTTGCTCATAACAACATATCGCAGCTGTCAGCTTCAGTGCCGATCTGGATTGAGGGTACCAGAAAAACGATCCACGTCTTTTCACGTCTTTTTGCGTTTGTGCCTCCTGCTTTTCCATTCCCAGTGGAGTATCATATGGGCAAATCATAATATACACAGCCTGCTGAAATCAATAGAGGTTTTCGGTCGTAGTCATGCAATAGCGCAAAGCAATCAATCCCAGTCGTCATCATAATCTTCAATATTGAGCTCATCATCCTTGCCGCGGTCATCGTCCGAATCAGATCGCTTCTTGAGACGGACATCACTCTCCTTGACGGCTCCGATCTCAACGAGCAGTCGCTCTAGGTCTTCCACCTTGGTACGAGGACCATTAAGCTCTCGCAGTGTAACGAGCTGTCTCTTAATTTCGGTGTCCTTGTAGACGAGAATAGTAGGTGTGTTTCGCTCCGGGTATCCCTCAATGCACATGTCGGCACGGATCTCGCAGAACTTGACATCACCAAACTTGGTTGCCAATTGGCGCCAGAGCTCGGTCAGCACGCGCGATTCGACGTTGCCGCCCTGGGAAGTCAGGTTGACGAGGACGTAGGCGCTGTTGGAAGCTTCGGTTACTTCCCGGGCGTAATCGACTTTCTGGAGGGGGTAGACTTGGTTGAAGAGGCTGGTTTGTTGGAGGGTGGAGAGCTCGGCAAGGCGCTTTTGGCTGTTGGTTTTGGAGTTTAGCATTGGTTCTGTATGCTTGATGGTGCTCTGTGAGTCACGAGACTCACCGATATTGCTGGATGAAGTCTTCATCCTCTTCATCCTCGAGCGCATCCAGCTCGTCGAGGTCCTTGTCCTCCAATCGGTTCTCGTATGCTCGGCGCTCGGCCGCGATCAGGGCCTCCTGAATCAAGGGTTCCGGATCTTTTGGTTTCTCAGGAATGATTCCATGTTGACGAAGGATATCGTTCCTAAACCAATCGGTGTGTTAGAACGAAGGTACCTATGAGGTATCTTCAGGCGGGGAAGCATGGATATATATGTGTCCGCCGCAAGCTAGCAGCAATATACATACCACTCGGTATCCTCGTTGGGGTTGACTTCGACCTCCATTATGTCTGAAATGTAATTTGAATCAACCAATCCTCAATAATATTTGAGCAGTGGAAGGGTGTTTATCGAGGTAGAGTGGGGAGAGAAGGCAGCGCCGCAATGCATGATGCCACTTGTTTGCAGTGTTTGGTCCCGGGCGCCACAAGTGGCTGCCAAACACACGGAAGGCCACCTTCAACTTAACTCCATAAACAGTGCCGTGGAGCTCGAGGTCGAGATTCATCACCACTTCTTCTCGGGTTCTTTTTACTCCTCTCTTCACTCTCCCTGTTTTGTCTGGGGGTTGACTATGCGAATGCAGTAGCTGCCTACACCGCCCTCGACTGCTACTACTGTGTCCTCCCTCCCTCCTCCCCCCGAATTGCAACACCCAACACAACGAACCGAAGGAGATCGTGAGCACAATCGCTGGTGCAATCCCAGCACCTGGGCAACATGAGTTACATGAAGAAAGACGAAGATGCGGATCAGGTCATGATCAAGCTTGACCGGACCTCCGTGTTCCAAGATGGTAGGCTACCCGCAATGCCCCTGGCCATGCGGCTTACTCGCGCAACGGTCCATTGCACGCTACTAACAAGACAATTTGTCTAGCTCGACTGTTCAATTCCTCCCCGATCTCGCCGCGAACATGCCGTACCCTCCTGACCAAGATTGCGGTCCTCATGTTCACCGGGGAGCAGTTTCCCACGAATGAAGCCACCACCCTCTTCTTCGGCATCTCGAAGTTGTTCCAGAACAAGGACCCCTCGTTGCGACAGATGGTGTATCTCATCCTGAAGGAGCTGGCCAACACTGCGGAAGATGTGATTATGTCGACTAGTATCATCATGAAGGACACTGCGGTCGGCAGCGACGTACTTTACCGGGCGAATGCTATTCGTGCTTTGTGCCGCATCATTGATGGCTCGACCGTCCAGGGTATCGAGCGATTGATCAAGACTGCCATCGTGGACAAGACTCCCTCGGTTTCCTCCGCTGCTTTGGTCTCTTCTTATCACCTTCTCCCTATCGCGCGCGACGTGGTGCGGAGGTGGCAGAGCGAGACCCAGGAGGCGGCCTCGGGATCAAAGCAATCGTCTGGTTTCCTGGGCTTCTCATCTAGCTCCCAGGCTCACGCTATTTCCCAGTCGAACTTCATGACCCAATATCATGCGATTGGTCTCCTGTACCAGATGCGCTCGCATGATCGCATGGCATTGGTCAAGATGGTGCAACAATACGGTGCTGCCGGCGTGGTGAAGAGCCCGGCGGCTTTGCTGCTCCTGGTTCGCTTGGCGGCCAAGTTGGCGGAGGAAGATGCTGGTCTCCGGAAACCCATGATGCAGATGCTGGATGGCTGGCTCCGTCACAAGCACGAAATGGTCAACTTCGAGGCTGCCAAGGCCATTTGCGATATGCGGGATGTCACTGATGCCGAGGCCTCGCAAGCCGTTCACGTCCTCCAGCTGTTCCTGTCCTCCCCCCGATCCATCACCAAGTTCGCAGCCATTCGCATTCTCCACAACTTCGCTTCCTTCAAACCCCATGTCGTTAACGTGTGCAACCCCGATATCGAGTCGCTTATCTCCAACTCTAACCGCTCCATTGCCACTTTCGCTATCACTACGCTGCTGAAGACCGGAAACGAGGCCAGTGTCGACCGCCTGATGAAGCAGATTTCGGGCTTCATGGCCGATATCACCGACGAGTTCAAGATCACCATTGTCGAGGCTATTCGCACATTGTGCCTCAAGTTCCCCAGCAAGCAAGCCGGTATGCTGACCTTCCTGAGCGGCATTCTGCGCGACGAGGGTGGTTACGAATTCAAGCGCACGGTTGTTGAGAGCATGTTCGACCTGATCAAGTTCGTTCCTGAAAGCAAGGAGGAGGCCCTCGCCCACCTCTGTGAGTTCATCGAGGACTGCGAGTTCACCAAGCTCTCCGTCCGCGTCCTTCACCTGCTCGGTGTTGAGGGCCCAAAGACCTCCCACCCCACCAAGTACATCCGCTATATCTACAACCGTGTCGTTCTGGAGAACGCCATTGTCCGTGCTGCCGCCGTCACTGCGCTGGCCAAGTTTGGTGTTGGCCAGAAGGACCCCGAAGTCAAGTCCAGTGTCCAGGTTTTGCTCACTCGCTGTGTTGATGACACTGACGATGAGGTTCGGGACCGTGCTGCCCTGAACCTGCGTCTGATGAGCGCCGAGGACGAGACTGCCTCGGCTTTCATTAAAAACGGTGAGCCTTAATCATTATCCATAAATACGTACTGTGTTACTGACAAGCACAGACTCGATGTACTCCCTTTCCACCTTTGAGCACCAGCTCGTCATGTACGTCACCTCGAACGACAAGCAGACCTTCGCCGCTGCCTTCGATGTTTCGACTGTCCCCGTTGTGTCCCATGAGCAGGCCTTGGCTGAGGAGCGCACCAAGAAGCTCACCACTGCCACACCTACCCTCAAGGCCCCATCAGTGGGTCCTCCCAAGGGCAAGGCCAATGGTGTTGCCGAAGCCGCCAGTGCCGCCGCTACTCAGAAGTATGCCGAGCAGCTTTTGCAACATCCCGATATCAAGGAGTACGGTGCCTTGCTCAAGTCCTCCGTGCCTGTTGAGCTCACTGAGAGCGAGACTGAGTACGTCGTCACTGCCGTCAAGCACGTCTTCAAGGAGAACATCGTCGTGCAATATGATATCAAGAACACCTTGCCCGATACTGTCCTCGAGAACGTGACCGTGATCGCCTCGCCGTCAGAGGATGATGTGTTGGAGGACGATTTCATTATCCCTGCCCCCAAACTCTCTCCCAACGAGCCCGGCGTTGTTTACGTCGCCTTCAAGAAATTAGGTGGCGAGCACAGCGTTCCCATCGCCTCCTTTACCAACATCCTCAAGTTTACCAGCAAAGAGATCGAGCCTACAACTGGCGAGCCAGAAGAGAGTGGCTACGATGATGAGTACCAGGTGGAGGACCTCGAGCTTACCGGTAGCGATTACGTTATTCCCACTTTCGCTGGTAGCTTTGACCACGTCTGGGAGCAGACCGGTGCGAACGGCGAGGAAGAGAGCGAGACTCTACAACTAAGCAACATGAAGGGCATTGCTGGTATGTTTCCTCATCCTTTCGTTAACAAGCTATCACTCGATTACGATACTAATGACTCTCAGATGCCACCGAGCAACTCATCTCAGCCCTGTCTCTTCAACCACTGGAGGGTACCGACGTTGCCCTTAACAACAGTACCCACACGCTCAAGCTCTTCGGCAAGACCGTGTCCGGTGGCCGCGTCGCCTCTCTTATCAAGATGGCCTACTCCAGCAAGAGCGGCGTCACAACCAAGATCACTGTGCGGGCAGAAGAGGAGGGCGTTGCTGCTGCGGTGATTGCATCTGTCACTTAATGTCTTCTTTTAACCTATTTCCCTTTTCTTTTTTTCTTGCCCAGCTTTTTATATCAAATTGTAGTAGACATGAGGATCTTCTTTTCGGTCCTACTCTCCCGCACACAAATCTTCCACTCCTACCTACCCCCTGTTGATGTTTTCACTGGTGCCTGTTGTTGATTAAGCTTCCAAGGCGATCTCTTTTTTCTGTTTTCTTTGCTGGTTGTGACGAGTCCCATGATGACTGCTACAAAACTTGGAGGACTTGGTCTGTCTGCTGTCGAGCCAGTTTCGTTTTGGACTTTACTTTTTTGCCGTGTTTTAGGTGTCAAATAGATCGATCGGTGCGGAAAAGCACTATGGTCATATTCTCAATAGTGCTGTTGTCTTCTTGGAATTCCCGTAGCTGATAACTGCGTCAGGGTGCTCTCGTTTGGTTTGAGATAAGGATCTGGAATGGATTGTTTGCGGTTGAGACTCATATTGTGAAGAATGCCTGTGGTATACACAAGACAGCCAACTACTAACTCATGTTGTACATGATTTGCTGTCTCAAGCAGTGGAGCAGTCATTGACTTTAATTGAGAAGGTGAAGCTCATTTTCTCGAACAAACAGACATACTTTACGCGATAGAATAGTGCTCATAATTTGGCTCCAGACCTTCCATGCTAGACAGCAAAGGGCGCGTGCAGGAGCTCTATAGACGGGGAGTATCTGGATAGCCCTTGAAATGACACACCTGAGTATTCTAGGCGCATGACATCCATTGATTCGAACAGAGGAAACTTCAAGTGAAATTCTGGGTTAATATGGAACTTTCCCTTAATTTTCTAAGACTGAGCAGAAGAGGGACAACCTTGCGATTGGAAACTTTCCCTATCATCACCAGTTGACTGGATTTCCTTATGTACCTCTCGTTTGAGCGCTATGAGGAGTCTATTTAAATGGCTTGCAGTTTTTCCATCAAACATTCTCTTGGACTTATATATACTCTTCTTAGCAGGGCTATAGTCAAGAAACTGGCCCAAATATTCCAACTATAATGTGGAAACTGTGTGTATGTGGTACGGCTAAGGCTGCTTCAATATACTCAATAAATTCTCAACTAGGATGACCTACTTACTATATTTGAAATAGCTAAAAAGTGGCGACGATGACAATGGCAGAGGACGTGGCGAGCAAGCGGACGGACCAGCCGACGCAACCGACGAGCCCCTCCAGGGTGTGGGAGTTTCGGCAGATGCCGAGCTACTCGTAGATGCCCAGGCCCGCGCCGGTGTTGAGGAGAAGGAGGACGAAGGAGAAGATCCGGACCAGAAGACCAACTAGGGCAATTCGGGCAAGAACGGGCAAGAAGGTGAAGTCGCTCAAGCGGTACCGATCAACCTGCTTATATATCTAGGAACACAAGATACTCGACGAGTGTCAGCATGTGAAGAGCATCCGGACTCGCCAGCACTTGATAGGCCAAGAGCTCTTATAATATCCTCACCGACCAGACTCTTTCCTCGACACTCTCCCATCACTTGTCGTCACTCCTCTTCCTATTCTCACCTCCTTTCTCCAAGAATTCACTTGAATCAAAACTATGATGTCCACCATACTATCTAGGTGGGGTGCCTACCTAGCAAGCTCAAACGCTGAATGCGCTTGTCCTCCGAAGTCCCCTCCACAATCGCCCTAACGACATGATAACCAATGACGACCGGCTGGACAATCTGGCTGTGGTGACCCTTGGCGGTGTCTTACATCCGGAAGCTATAATGCGATTTGAGTGGCCTCGGAACACGGATACTATGACAATTTCCCACTGCGAGAACCTGAATACTCAAGTCGTGGAAGGAATCCTCAAAAAACCCAGCCTTCAAATCCAGCTGAGAAGCTTGACGGTCACCACCTCTAATGACCATATCTTTTTGAAGATCGCCAGGGAGTCACCGAAGCCCTATTCTCAACAATGGAGACTTTTCTCTATTTCAAAGTATCCGTAGATCTTCTGATCTACTTTGAAATCCTCGCTCCGTCAGGAAGGCACCTGCGCCTAAAAATCTTGGAGCTTGATGAGCCTTACTTTGAAGATTTCGACGAAAACTTTGCTGATAACTTCAGGAGTGAAGTGAAAGACGGCATCCTCGCGGGTCTCTGGAGTATTGGTATTTCCAGATCTGCCTCTCTCTGGATGGCACGAGAAGATATTCATGTCTTTCTCGTTATTCATATTTATCAAATAGGGCAAAATTCTGGACTGTTCCCCGAAATAAAGTACGTGGATGACTTTTATGAACACAGGGGTTTACCAGCCCTTAACCGATATCTCTCACCCAAGCTCTGTCTGGAACTACTCTAGTCGAAACAGCCCGCTATATTATTGGTAGTTGTATGCATCACCATTCCATGATATTCTAATGGCTCATTACTCTCATGACTAGCATACTGAGTTAATTTAGCCTGTATTCATGTTTTTGAACAATCTCTTCAAACCGGATATAATATATGCACCAAGGCTATAGTCATAAACCCGGCTAAGCTATGCTGATTATATCAACAAACGTGGAAGTTGTGGGTGTGTGGAATAATCAAGGCCAAGTCAACATAGCAAACATTTTTTCTGGTGTTAATTGCCTGACAGCTCATGAGCTCTTCTATCCTCACCAGTCACCGAGTTCCCCACACATCCTCTCATCACTCGTCACCACCCATCTTCCCATCTCCACCACTCTTCGCCCTCGAATCTCACTGACATTCACACAAAACCTTCCTCACCATGACTTCCGGTATACGCTCGCACCTACCCACAGAGGTATTGATTATCATCATCGGGTTCCTTTTCGAAGACTTGTCCACAAACCTCGGGACTTCTCAGACCTCTCTTCAGCAACGCGACATCTACAACTTTTGCCTGGTTTCTTGCCACTGGTACTCGGTGGGGATTTCGTACCTGCACGACAGCCCTTACATCTACCTGAATGGGCATTCCAATGAGCTCGTACTGACAATCTGCCAAGATGATATGGGTGTCACGTCGGTCTTTGGATGAATGGTGAAACAGCTGGACTTGGGTATTATGGACCTGGAAGGATATGGTAGCTAGCTGGCCGAACTGCTCTAACGTTTGCCAACTCTTGAGTTTTTCACTGCGCCACATATTTCTCTCAAGTAAGTTCCTCTACCATTCCTGAGACTTCTCTGGAGACTAACATCCATATCTTCGCAGCCCATTCCAGATGCTGGAATTTCACGCTGTCGCGCCCTGGAAGATCTTGACCTCGGAGGTATCTGCGGTACCGGTGTCGACCTCAGACTCATCAAGCGCGTTGTGAGCAATCTCGTGCAGTTGCATTCGCTTATTCTCCCATACTCCCTCGAAATCCGCCATGTCGATGTTATCACTGGTTACGACTGGCCAAGCAACTTGGCCAGTATGACTTATGGCGACCTTCTGGACCCAGAGGCTATGTTGTATTTTGATTGGTCTACTAGATTGCAAAACCTATCAATCTCTCACTGTGTCAACTTGGAAACCAGAGTCCTTGAGAGTGTTCTCGGGCACCCGCTTCAACGATTACAACTCAAGGGCCTGAAAATTAGTGCAGCCAACGATAGGCTATACACAGCTTCCTATGAAGAGACAGAGGTCCTTCGCTCTATGTAGTTTGGTTTGTCTGAGCATCCCAGTTGATCTTACGACTTACCTCGGACTTTTTGCCATGTCTGTTGGTTGCCTGCGCTTGAGGGCTCTGGAACTTTGTGACCCTTACTGTGGGTATCAGGATCACAATTTGGCTGTCAGATTGATGGAAGAAGTCGAGGACGGGAATCTCATGAGTCTATGGAGCCTCAGTGTTTCCGGAGAGGCGGTTGGCTGGGTACAAAGTCAAGAAGGCATGCTTGACATGGTCCTGAATCGCCGATATCAGGAGAACCAGCCACAGGCTGAGCTGGCGGAGGAGATTTCGGACATGATGGCTTCGAATAAGCCAGGGTTTCATCATCTTAAGTAAGAGGCGTCTTTCGGCAAGTCCAGTGGCGAGACTCCTTCCATTTGGATGGTAAATGGAATGATACATCAGGACCTGAGTCAACTCACATGAAAATAAATTTGCTTAATACTTTCGAAACGCCTTTAGGGGCCTCTTGCTGATGCAAATTCCATGTATCTTTCCAAAAGGCTTCCGGATGATGCATTAGCATCTTTGCCAGAGTATTTGGATGATCCTGTCTAAGCTTTTCTATTTCTAAGGATTTGAGATACCACGGGCTCTATTGCTATATCTTCAAGGCTGCATGCTGTAGGCATGGCGAAGCCAACAGGCCCGGCAGATTTTCAAGTTTGCCCACCTCAAAAGTTGGTAATTTACCTTCTTGGGATAGTTTGTAGTTCTTTTTGACAGGGAGAACTTTGCTCAGACATCCAAAGGATTCTTTTATTCACTTGCAAGGCCGAAATGACGCTAAAAGGGTATCTTGCTATTGAAATTGACTCGAAAAACCATCACTCATAAAATCGTCTCGGATCACTTAGACTATGGGATCATCATCGATAGTGTAAATCCCCAAATCTTCGATCGTCAGCTTGTCAAGTTCGTCATCCGAGCACTCCTCCACATGTTTCCATATCTCATCATCGATTCGTTTGTAGGCGTCTTGAATGTGCGGTAGGGAGCTCTCCCCGATCCCCAGAGCCCAGAGATTGCAGAGATTGTGATTCAACGCTTTTTCAAGCTCTCCTGAGAAGTCAGAGGCCAATTCATCGTCAAAATATGGCTGTGTCAACTCCAGGATTCGGAGAGGCAGTGGTTGCATGCCATCGGGAACAGGGACTATGCATAGATATTCCATAAAGTCCAGAGGCATTTTGAGGTAGGTCAACTTCCCAAGGATGTATAGAACGGTCGATTCCAATTCTGAGAACATGTTTGCGTTCTCGTTGTGCAGGTGGAGGATTTCGAGTTTCTCACGAAGCTCCTCGTTGCAAAGTATGCTCTCAAGGATTGGTGTATCCAAGTTCTTGCAGCGTTTTAACTCTAGTCTGTAAAGACCGGAAGGCCAGTCGAACGTTGACATGATCTGAGGATCAAGGGATCCTCCAATAGTCATATTAAAAAGCTTTGGTGGCCAAATTCCTGCCGAGCTATCTGTACGAGTGATCTCCATGCTAGACGGCAATTGAAGCTCTCGCAGCTCTGGAAGATTGCTGACAGCCTTCTTCAGGCGCGGAAATTCGATTGCCCCACCTCGAACTAGACTCAGATCGAGATGTGTTAGGTTTCGGCATTTTGAGATTGATGCAAGACTATTGACACTATTCAACGAGTGAGTTTGTGCCCTGAATTCAGGTGTTCGCGGGATTACTTACCCAATACCAGTTTGCGGGGCGATGAATGTGGTCAAGCGTGCCTTAACACGGCTTATTAACCGTGACGTCTGACTGTTCGAGCTCTGATGAACTAGAGAGCCTAGGTGCAAAACTTTCACCAAAGATCCGAGGTCGACTTTGCTTCTTTTGACACCAAGAGGAGGGCTCACAGTATTGGTGAACTGTGCGAATTTGTTGCCTTGCCAGAGTTGGGGGAAGTCGTAGAGGTATGAGATGCCAACCGAGTACCACTGCCGAGAGACCAGGCAAAAACTGTGAAGGGTCTTTTGCCTTTCTACTAGCATCATACCACCAGGGTCATACCTCCGATCATAGAATATCATTTTGGCGATGATAATGAGAATCTCCGTAGGGAGATGAGGGCTTTGTGTTGTCTGCATGATAGTCGAGTCCGGGCTGGGTCACTCTCATATCGCTGGTGTGCTCGTGCTTTCAAGACGTGTGGTTCTGGGAATGAGAGGATAAGAAGCAGAGATGTTCACAGTGGAAACCGAGGAGCTTGGAAGTAAGACATTGTCTTTTTCCGATCTGGGATCTTGCCTCGGAGAGCAGGATAAGCGCGATACCCGTTGTGTGGATTGACTTTGGATGTTGCAGCATGGCAATTCGGAGAAAGTGAGGAGGAGAGTGGGGCGGAAGCGGAAGTGAGTCGGAGATGATATCACCTCGACCATGTTGCCCCTTTCAAGCCTTCAAACCTTCCCGTTTTTGCGCGACGAGACAGAATGCGCTCTACTACAGTGTGGCGATCATGGAGCCTCCTCCAGAGAGCATCCGTCAGGTGCACCGCGAGTCGCCGAGCCATTCAGACTGCAAGCAAACCCCGCATCCCCAACTTCGCTTTTGCCTTCGAGTGAGTGACAGCAATGTATGCTCGCGCCCAGCCCCTTGAGTTACAGGTCTAACACGGGTATGATAGCATTGATGGCGTCCTCCTCCGAGCCTCGAAACCTATTCCCGGTGCAGCCGAGTCATTAGGCCTCTTGAAAGAACAAGGCATTCCCTTCATCCTCCTCACCAACGGCGGTGGTAAGCACGAGACGGAACGCGTCGCAGAGATTAGCGAGAAGTTGAACGTACCACTGGACCCGACACACATCATCCAGAGCCACTCCCCTTTTGCAGAACTGGTCAAAGGTACGGACGAGGCTAGTGCGTTGGAACACAAGTGCGTGTTGGTAGTGGGAGGTGATGGCGATCGCTGTCGTCGCGTCGCGGAACAGTATGTGGGCACTTTTGCAACTCACATATGTCCATTGGTTACTGATGCGTATCTACAGATATGGGTTTAAGAATGTCGTGACGCCAGCAGATATATTCATGGCCGATCCATCCATTTGGCCCTTTTCGAAGAACTTTACAGATTATTACAAGACCTTCGCGCGGCCTCTTCCTAAGCCAATGGACCCCACTGACCCGTCAAAGGGCCTCAAGATTGATGCCATCTTTGTGTACAATGATCCTCGGGACTGGGCTCTGGACACCCAGGTGATCATGGATATTTTGCTTTCCTCAAACGGGCTCATGGGTACTTTGTCGGAGAAGAACGGCAGGACCGACCTTCCCAACCACGGGTATCAACAAGATGGACAACCACACCTTTACTTCTCTAATCCCGATCTTTGGTGGGCAGCCGCCTATCACCTGCCTCGTCTTGGCCAAGGAGGCTTCCGAGAGGCACTCGAAGGTGTCTGGGCTGCGACGACAGGTGGCCCCAGCAAAGGTATTGAGCTGAAGAAGACCGTGATCGGCAAGCCTCACCAGCCAACCTATGAGTTTGCCGAGCGGCAGCTACTTCGGAACCGTGCCACAACTTTCAGTGGCGCAACAGACCTTCCGCCTCTGCAACGAGTCTACATGGTCGGAGATAACCCCGAGTCAGATATTCGGGGTGCAAACTCCTACCGCAGTGAGGTTGGTAGCAGCTGGCAGTCCATCTTGGTGCGTACTGGTGTCTATAGTGGCGGCGAGCCCGCCTGGACTCCGCAACTCATTGCGGATGATGTTCAGAAGGCAGTGCGGTGGGCGCTCAAGGCTTCCAAGTGGACTTAGTTCATAGATCATCCAGAGCAGCGCTTTGGCAAGTACGTATGCACGGTGCTGGTGCTGTATATACATGTGCTGCAGCCCGAACTGATACGGTGATTATTCTTGAAGCGAATTCATTAGCATTGTCATATCAGTTGTACAGTTATGTTGTATCTTGTAAATGTTGTTCTGTATACTTCCTAAAGAGCCCAGATACTCAGGCAACAATTTCGAGATAAGGCTGTGTCACATGACCTTACCCCCCTCTTAGGGCTTAGGGCAGTTTTGCACGGCGGGGTGACTCAAGACAAAGTTGTCGACCGTCGAGCTTCCTGTTTCAGACCTCATCAATAAGGTAAGATACATTGGGTCCAGTTCTTGATTGGAAATCTTGTCTAACACCTTGCCTACTAGAATTATGGCGGACTCCGAATTGCCTACCCGTCCCAAACCCGAGGAGACTAAAGAGGCCGCGCCCGCGGAAGGCGGCGACTCCAAGAACGCCAGCAAGAATGCGCTGAAGAAGGCGGCCAAGGAGAAGGCGAAGGCTGAGAAGGCTGCTGCCCGTGCAGCTCAAGAGAAGGCTCAGGCTGCCGCTGCCGAGGCCAATGATACCGCCAAGGGCCTCTACGGCCCGATCCCCGAGACCGCGGACGTCATCTCTACCACCCGTTTCAGCGAGCTCTCCGAGGAGTACTACGAGAAGGAGGTTACTGTGGTGGCTCGTGTCGATAATGCGCGTGTGCAGAGTGCCAAGCTGGCCTTCCTTATGCTGCGCCAGCAGGGACAGAAGGTTCAGGCCGTCATTGCTGCCGCTGAGCCCATCTCGCGCCAGATGATCAAGTTCACCGGTGGATTGAACGTCAACTCTATTGTGCAAGTTACCGGTATCGTGAAGAAGCCCGAGATCCCCATCTCTTCTGCGACCATCAGCCACCTCGAGCTACACATCCGCAAGGTGTACATGATCTCCGAGGCCGCGCAGATGCTTCCCATGCAGGTCAAGGATGCTGAGCGTCCTCCTCCCACCGAAGCCGAGGAAGGACAAGTTGATGCTGAGGGTGCTCCTATCGTTACCCTGAAGACCCGTCTTGACAACCGTGTCCTGGATCTGCAGACGGAAACCAGCCAGGCTATCACCTGGATCTCCAGCGGTGTTGCACAGCTGTTCTCCGAATACATGATCAAGAGCGGTTCTCGATGGATCTTCACCCCAAAGTTAGTCGGTGCCGCCACCGAGGGTGGTAGCAACGTCTTCGAGGTCAAGTACTTCAAGCGCAACGCTTTTCTCGCCCAGAGCCCTCAGCTGTACAAGCAGATGTGTATTGCTGGTGACATGGAGAACGTCTTCGAGATTGCTCCTGTTTTCCGTGCGGAGGACAGCAACACCCACCGCCACTTGACTGAGGTATGACAATCAAGCCAAGACATGAGAAGAGTGTAACGATCTAACCCAATTTGCAGTTCGCCGGTCTTGATTTCGAGAAGACCTTCCAGAACCACTACCACGAGGTTCTGGAATTTGCCGAGGACCTCCTGGTCTTCATCCTTACCCAACTCAAGGAGCGCTATGCTCCCCAAATCGCTACCATCCAGAAGTCATATCCCAAGGCGGGTGACTTCAAGCTCCCCAAGGATGGCAAGGCCCTGCGCCTGAACTACATGGATGGTGTTGCTCTCCTGAAGGAGGCTGGCGTCGATATGTCCGAACAGGAGCGCTTCGAGAACGATTTCACCACCGCGATGGAGAAGCAGCTCGGCCACATCATCCGCGACAAGTACGACACTGACTTCTACGTGCTCGATAAGTTCCCCATGGCCGTGCGTCCCTTCTACACCAAGGCCGACCCCAAGGACAGCCGTTTCTCCAACTCTTATGACTTCTTCATGCGTGGTGAGGAGATCATGTCCGGTGCCCAGCGTATCAACGATATTAAGGAACTGGAAGAGTCTATGCGCTCCAAGGGTCTCGACCCGACCCAGGAGGGCTTCGAGGACTACCTGAACGCCTTCCGTCAAGGCTGCCCGCCTCACGCTGGTGGTGGTCTGGGTATGAACCGTATTGTGATGTTCTTCCTGGGCTTGCCTAACGTCCGTCTGGCTTCGCTCTTCCCTCGTGACCCGCAGCGCCTGCGGCCATGATCGGCTAGTTGTGTAGATAGCTATAAAAAAGAATACATTGATTGCATGACCTTCACCTCCAGCTCTTTGTATTCAATTACTTGGCACGACACATAGCACGACTGGAAGAGAAGAGAAATTTCTTGTTTTATAGATGCAGTACATGGATGGTCTCGTACATTTCCCTATCCCAAAGCCTCGACCCTCCTACTCCAGCTTCTTGCTCATGACAGCGCCGTACCAGACGGTCGCAATCAAGCTAACCAAGTTCACCAAGCTAGAGAGGCCATGAATCCGGCCAAACTTCTTGTTGAGGGCCACCATCTCCTTGGAATGAGGTGGAGCATCATAGCTCTTCTTTCCATCGCGGGTTTCTAGACAACCAGTCAGTTCAAGAGCTATAGAGCTAGATATCAAGTAATCCAATGACTCGCCTTGATGCTTGCGCTCGCGCATAGTCTTCGTCGTCAACGGACGCAGGACAAACATGTTGATAAGCCCTGTGATAGCAACGGTGGCCATGGGCAGCAGAGTATTGTAGCGGTTCTCGGGAGCAGCCAGGCCCGAGAGACCGAGAGCCTGTCCACCCCTGCTGGCAGTCAGAGCGACGACTATCGGCAGGGCAGTCTGCATCGAGAAGTAGACTGGGAAGATGGCGGTTTGCAAGGTAGCAAACTGCGGCCGCGGCAGAGCGCGGAAAGCCACAATACCACCCACGAAGGACTATCAAGAAGTTAGATCGACTGGCTTTGGGTTTTTGAATGGCTGCTTGTTATCAAATTACCTGGAAGACCTGCGATCCCAGAAGGGTGCCGTAGCTAGGAGGGTGTTAGATGATATTTTGATTCGGACCATGGTCAAAGCTCTGCTTATCTCCCAGATCTTCGGAGTACATGCCTTAGAATATGGTAAGGGCGAGGGTCAGTCATGATTGCGATATTGCTGCTTGCTGGAGACAATACTGTGTAGTTCTGAGTCGAGTTGAGCGTGGGGAAGCTCGCGGCATGGACGAGGTGGTATGAGCTGTCTAAAGCCACGGCCAGATGTGCTGCAAAGTGGTTACTGCCACTAGATAGTGACGTGGTAAACCTTCTGCACACGCACCATCTTATAACCACGCAGATCAAGTGATGTCATGTGCGCGCGTCTAGAGCTAAACCAAAAAGGAAATATCACGCGTCTGCCTACATCGCGGCTCTTTGAGACTCCGACTTCTTGACTTTCTCCAATTTTTATTTATCACAGCCCAAAAAATTTCAACCATGGCAGATAAGGAGGCTACAGTCTACATTGTCGATGTGGGCAAATCCATGGGGGAGCGTCGACATGGTCGTTCCGTCACGGATCTTGAGTGGGCCATGAAGTACGTCTGGGACAGAATCACGGCTACAGTAAGCAATTGGCACGTTTTTTGACCTTTCAAGGGCTTTGATTGATTCTTCAACTAGGTTGCAACTGGTCGTAAAACTGCTACGATCGGGGTGGTCGCATTGCGGTCAGACGGTACGCAACTCGCTCTCACTTCTTAACCCGTCTAATTATTTCGAATTCCAGAGACCTCGAATGAGCTCCGAGAGGATACCAGCTTTTCAAAAATTTCTGTTCTCCGAAATCTCGGGCAGTATGTTGGTGATATTCGTTCTTGTTGAACCTCGGGCTAACTGCCTAGATTCCTCATGGCTGACATCCGACAACTGCGAGAAGCAATCAAACCAAGTCAAACGAACAAAGGCGATGGTAGGTGGCCATTGAAATTCTTCTTGACTATGCATAATCTTACTTGGTTCTAGCTGTCTCTTCCGTTGTCGTTGCCATTCAAATGATCAACACCTATACCAAAAAGCTCAAGTACAAGCGAAGGATTGTCCTGGTTACTAATGGCACTGGACACATGAACAACGAGGGACTGGACGAGATCCAGAGGAAGATACAAGATGATGGCATTGAGCTTGTTGTTCTGTATGCGCTTCCTCTAATCTTTGTCCTGCTTTTATCTTGCTAACGAGTTCCAGTGGTGCTGATTTCGACGACCCGGAGTTTGGCGTGAAGGAAGAGGATAAAGACCTCCATAAGGTGACATGAACTGGATGGAACCTTTACGAATCCCCATTCTAATCCAAGTTGATAGGCTGAGAACGAGACGCTACTCCAGGTTCTCGCTGAAGGCTGCGGAGGTGTTTTCGGCACACTTGAGCAAGCTATCTCCGAGTTGGAAATTCCCCGTATCAAGATCACGAAGAGCATGCCTTCCTTCAAAGGTTTTCTCTCTCTCGGTGATGCATCCAAGTATGAGACTGCTCTTCGCATTCCCGTCGAGCGTTACTTCCGAACCTACGTTGCCAAACCACCTTCAGCAAGCTCCTTTGCCCTGCGTTCTGGTGGACAGGAAGAAAACGAAGCAGGCGCAGGCCAGTCAACAAGTGGTGGTGAAGCTCTTACTACTATCCGCACGTCCCGGACATATCAAATCAACGATGAGTCCGCGCCCGGAGGCAAAGTCGACGTTGAGCGCGATGATCTTGCAAAGGGATACGAGTACGGACGAACGGCTGTGCACATCAGCCAAACGGATGAGAATATCACCACTCTGGAGACTTTTGCGGGCATGGAAATTATTGGATTCGTTCAAATGAACAAGGTACGTTCCACAGATGCCAAATTGCTTCCGAGATGAGACTAACATTGCTATGCAGTATGATCGATACCTACACATGTCCAATACCAATGTCATCATCCCACAGAAGGCCAACGACAAAGCATCGCTTGCATTGTCATCTCTTATCCACGCACTCTGGGAACAAGAAACCTATGCTGTTGCCCGGCTGGTGGCCAAAGAGGCTAAGCCTCCAATAATCGTGCTCCTCGCTCCATCTATCGAGCCAGATTACGAGTGTCTCATTGAGATCGCCCTTCCATTTGCCGAAGATGTCCGCTCATACCGGTTTCCACCTCTGGACAAAGTTGTGACCGTCTCAGGAAAGATTGTCACTGAGCACCGCAATCTACCAACTGAAGACTTGCAGCAGGCGATGAATGATTATGTCGACAGCATGGAACTGGACGGAGAAGAGTATGCAATCCGGTCCTCGGACATTCATGCACTACAATCGCTAATCAACTCTATGTAGGCTGCCCATTGACGATTCGTATTCTCCGCTGCTTCATCGAATTGATACGGCAGTGCGGTACCGCGCTGTCTATCCCAATGAGCCGATCCTTGAACCTTCGGAACAACTCACCAAGTTCGCGCACCCGGACAAGGAATTGGTGCGGGAAGCGAAAGATTCCCTAGAGAAACTCATGTCCACAGCAAACGTCAAGAAAGGTAAACCAAGTCACAAATCTCATCAAATCCAACAATACAAGCTAACTCTACCCCTTTAGTCCCACCCAAGACCAAAGGCCGCAAGCGCCTGCGTGAGACCGAAAAACCCCTCTCCGGCCTCGACGTGGACGCCCTCCTCAAACAAGAACCCAAGCGCACCAAGATCTCCGCGGAGAACGCCATTCCTGAGTTCAAACAGATGCTCTCGCGTGCCGACAGCATTGAGATCATCCATGACGCTGTCAAGCAAATGACCAGCATTATCGAGACCCAGATCAAGCACAGCCTTGGTGACGCGAACTATGATCGTGTTGTCGAGGGGCTGGGAACTATGCGTGAGGAGCTCGTGGACTTTGAAGAACCAACGCTTTACAATGACTATTTGGCCGCGTTGAAGGGGAAGATTCTCGGTGACGAGCTGGGTGGTGATCGAAATGAGCTGTGGTGGCTGATCAGGAAGAGTAAGCTGGGACTTATTGATCAGGCTACGTCCGAGGTGTCGAAGGTTACGGAGGACGAGGCAAAAGAGGTAAGCTCAAATGCAAGCGTTGGGTTTTGAGAGCGACTGCTAATCTTGTGTATAGTTCTTCTCAGCCTCCTGAACCGTCAGGCGTGATTCATCGCTTTCGACTTGAAGTTTGCCGCATTTTTAGCTAGAAGAACCATCAGATGAGAATTACACACGTTATGACACAACAAGTCTTCCAATTAACCTTTGTAGACAATGTTACAAAGTATCCAAATGTTCTAAATTCGCCCTCGCTAAGAATCAAAAAGGTAACAAGAAAATGCCAAATGGAACTGGTATAGAATGGCGCGCGCTGTATAGAATGCTCAGCAGAAAAGACGAATGATTGTATGCGATCCCCTCCACCTCGCTGCTTTACGAAATCTTGTCGATTCGCTTTTTGCTTACGTTGAGCTTGGCATTCAATCTATGCCACACAGTCAGTAAAACATCTCCAGAGAGTCAAGGGGCCACGAAACGCACCTGTCGGTATCCTCGTCCGCCAACTTCAACAGCTCGTTCTGTATTTCCAACTCTTCATGTATAGCGGTTCCCAGCTCCCTCTGCCGTATAATAATCTTCATCAACTCCTCCACACTCTGATCCTGATCCCTGATCGTCTGCTGCTGCAACTGCAGCACACCTTCGTTGTCCAGCTCGCGTGTACGCTCAGTTTCTTTGCCGAGGACTCTTCCGGATCGCGCAGGATTCCGACGCCCGCCGTTCGCTGCATCCGCTTCGCTGGCCCTTAGGAGCGCCTCCTTATCCTGAACCGAGGCCACAGTCTGGTCGAGCCGGCTCTTGGCGGCCATGGCGTGTAATAGATCTTCCAATCCGTCCCTTTCCTTGCGTGCATTTATGAGCAGATCCTTGCGGCGGCGAAGCTCACCCTCTCCCAAGGTGGACGATTTGGAGGATTCTTGGGTGCCCCGGCCACCGAGGTTCTTCAAGCCTTCCTCTAATGTGGTGATCATCGACCCTGCGCGAACGAGACTAGTTTTTGCTTGTGCTGAGCTTTCGTGCTGTTTCTGGGGTGTTGTCTCCTGGTCGCGGCGGGAGAGCTGGAGCCGTGCATCGTGAAGATGGGATTTCATGTCGCGGTAGTAATCAAGCCAGAGCGTTGGGTCGGAAATTGAGGTGTTGGCGGCTGAACCGGGGTCTGTGATGGCGGCATGGAGTCGGGAGGATGTATTTGACGTTCCAATCGACGTAGAGATCGCTGCTGCGGTCGGGAGGTTCAGGAAAGCTCGCCATGCAGACGAAGTGCGCCATCGTCCATCGGACGCCTCGTTGATGGCGCGGAGATATGTCTCGAGGCCGCGACGGCGTTCTTCACGGAAGCGTTCATTGGAGACAGTGTTGGAGAACCATGATTTAGATGGGAGAGGTACAGGAGGCTCGGCGTTGGTTTGGCTGACCAGATTGCTGTGGAAAGCTGCAAAGTCGGAGTAGCGCTTGGAAACGGTAAAGGAGCGGAGTGGGAGGCGGAGGGTGATATGGTAGAGAGTGTGTGGGGGAGAGGTATGCGAGAGGGTTGTTGTTGGGATGGAGATCTCGATGGTCGGTGCCATGATTAATTTAATCTGGCAGCAGGGGCATCAGAGGAGGAGCGTGTGGTAGTTGGAAGTTAAAGGAAGATAAGAAGAGATTCAGTTGTTGCGGTATGAAGCTGAGCCCATGACGCAACATCCCAAAGTAGTTTAGCCCGATCTGTCAGGCACCCACACAATATCAATCACCTGCAATGAGCATGCGACAGTAGAGTTCCATAATATTGAATCAATTATGGGTTGGAAACTAATCTCAGAAACGATTTCTTAGCTATAGAGGAAAGACCATTCAAGGTGTACTTGGAAAGACCCTTCGAAAGACCTTTTAAACGTATCTGGTCAGACCGTTTTTGGTCTCGATATTCAGACTTGTAAGCACTACACGATGTAAACGTAGCACCACTGATCAACAGAACTTTCAAGATGAGAGAGAATAAAAAATTTTGCAATTTGACAATTAACAGTCAGGGTATCTTCAAATATTTCACATCTCATCCACAGCTTCGTCTCGGATCCAGACCTCGCGTGCATCTAGCAGATCCCGCTGGCCAAAGAACTCGCCCACGATTGTGATGATCATGTCGAGCAGGACCCGCGCTTGTTGAACCGAGTCCCCGGGTTCCGCTTGATCTCTCTCATCAGTAACTTCTGGGGCGGCGTCACTCTGCAACTTGGCTTGTAATCGTAACTTGGCTGCCTCCAGCGCCGCGGACAAATCGGCATCGGGCATGTCCGCATCCTGGGCCTCCAGGCCCTCCTCTCCCTGACCTTCGCCTTGAGCCTCCTTCTCTCGCTGAGCCTCCTCGCCATCTCCATCATCTGAATCAGACGCCTCGCTATCCTCAGCAGCTCGCTTGAACTCCGTCTCCTGCATCCTAAGCAGAATCTTCGCGGCGCGTTTGCCTAGACCGCGTAGCTCTCCTACTTGATCCGTTGCCAGCTCTCCGACCTCGCGACACCTTCCCAATAAGCCCCAGGCCCATGCGCCAACCCGTCGAACCAGATCGGGGTCTCCGCCTCGTATATTCTCACTCAACCCTCTGGCCAGGATGCTCAGCACTCTTAGCACACTTTCCGAGTCCAAACAAGCTAACTGTACCATCTGTGGGTCAACATCCATCAGCAACCGCCGCCATTCCCTACGCGCCGCTGGATTTCGGGCTGGGAGACTGATGGGATGGGCGTCGTCAAGAGCGGCGATGGCGGTCGCTGGAGGGGTACAGCGCAGGGTTGATCGGAGGAGAAGAAATCGGTGTCGGAGGAGGTTGTAGTATGATATTTGCGCCTCGGGAAATCGTTCATCTGGGGCGCTGACCGGCTGCTTATCAGCCTCCACAGGTGCGATGTAGGCCTCGTCCTCATAGAACCCAGCCGGGAACCGGTGTAGGCGTGACGCATCTGCTTCTGGCTGTGTAGTGGATTCTGGGTTTTCAATTATTCTTACAGCGACCGGTGCGGTAAAAAGTGAGGGCAATGAATTGGCTTCAGATCTAGAGATTCAAGCATGGCAAAAGTCAGATCCAGTGTCGCAACACGAGGGGTGGGGAGAGAGGGGCTAGGGAGCACGCAGTAATGTTCAGCAGACGAGAGATATCATCCAGGAAGGAGAAACTCACCGGACCATGCGCAGATACTCCATTCCATCGTCTGCAGACCCGTAGAACAGCTCATCACCGCCGTCGTCCAGCCCGGGGAATGCGCTCTTCTGCCCAAAGACAGGGTTGTTACGAGGTCGCTCATGGGTCTGGGTTGATGTGGAGGAGGCAGTGTCACTTGCATCTTCATTCGAGATGCGAAGTCGCTTGTTCGAGGGCTCAGACATGGATGCTTTGCGTTTGTCGGGCATCATGGGCAGAGGTGTTGGAGGTGGAAAAGTCGGGGACTCTGGGAGCTCCGGCCTGAGGCTCCGATAGCAAACATGATCAGCGATAAGAGGCGATAAGAGGCTTATCAATATATTCGACGCCGCCAAAAGTCCGCCCGAAAAATATTGATATTGAAGGCATAAAAGGAGGGCACTTGAGCAGTAGAATCGGGGTTTTTGTCAGTGTAACACAAAATGACCGTTTTCTAGCATATTATGGGGGGGAATTCCCTAAGAATGGGTGGTTTGCATGTCAGTAGGGAAGGAGCTAGATGGGGTTCAACCCCTCCCCCCTCCTCTTTGGACCATTCGAATTGGAACAATTGAGAATAGAGACACTCGGGAAACAGTGAGGATGTGACCTCAATAAGTTCATATAAGTATCACATGTCTGAAATCCACTTCAAGAAGAGAAAGCTCAACATGTAAAGCTCGATAGGGACAGTAGATGGGTACACCCACACCATGATGATGAGACCAATTTTACGAGAGATCTTCATAATTCAAGTGGCTGTAGATTTAATTGCAGAAAAGGACCCTTGTAGAATTAATTAATTTGGTTGTAGATGACAATGTTGTTGTGTAGATGGAATGTTGTAAACTGTTTATCCGAAATAAACGAAGATATATTTTGATGAGAATGCTGCATCACCACCACCAAATTATTTGGAAGTTTTTGCGCTGGTCGGAACACAATTTAGATTATGTGAATAACCTCACCACTTGATTGCATCGCCAAAATTCACAGAATGGTGGGTGGAAGAGGACGGGAATAGCTTCTGGACGCAGTTGCCGTGTAGTTGAGATTGCCTGTGGAGTGAGTGGGACAGCCCTACAGCGGCCCACTATTAAGGCGGGCAGCCACCCAATTATGGCCCCGCCCACCCCCTGTCAGGGCGGATAAGCTACCCGCTCCACATACTGTCTACATACTGTAAACATGAGAAATCGTCCGATTTCTCCCTAAATCAACCCCTCCAGCCTAACCAACGGGTGAGTGGCGTAGTGGTAAAGTACCTTACCCCTATTCTCAGCCTCATTGAACAACCCGGAACACCCGTCGCACACAGCGATGGTTCTCATCCGGAAAAGGAGCCTACCGCGCCGCTGCTGGTCTTGCAGCCGATGCACCACGATGATCAATCATCACGATAGCCGTGGTCCCCCTATCTCTCACTTTGCTCAGTTGCATTCCATCCACGGACTCGAGCCACACAATATTAATGCGAGAGCGTACCTTCATGCATACCTGCACAACTGCTGCCGAAAATGCCCTTTACAATCTCCACCCCCGTGGCGTCTGAATTGGTGCTTGTGAGAGCGACCCGATCCGTCACCTCGTCGGCTCCACTGGAGAGAAAGGTGGAGGCTTTTGCTCCTGTTCCCAAGTTTTTGGTTGGACCCTGGCCGAAGGTTCCTCGTTTTCCTTGTCAGTACGAGTTCTGACCATCTTTTCCATGTGTGGCCTCTCACAATAATGGTGAACCGTTGAAGCAAGGACAGTTCCTAGTGGCAAGAAATCACAGTGCACTCAACAAATTTAAAGCCTCAGAAATCTGCGAAAGGCCCTATTGTACAACTTTTCGAATTATTTCAAGAGTGGTAACAAGAAAGGAAGAAAAGGTAGGGTGGTGAACAGCAAGCAGAAATAGGCCCTTTCGAAGCCTCAGCCACGAGGTCCTTGTTTCCTTCTGAAAGAACTATCAGGCAATTGACTATACCTCTGGCAAGTGGAATACAGGGTTTACATACAGTCTGGATGACTCTGACATGGTTGTTTCCAATCCCGAGGCTGGCACGCATGATGACATTCAATAATACCTCGAACAAGCAACTAAAATTAGCACGCTTGATGCAGAAATACGCTTTGATAGGGCCAACAAATAGATGTCTTTCTTTGATACACACTGACTGTCACCTGAAAGCCTACAACATGTGTTAATACTAAATATTGGGGAGCATACTAACATAAGATGTTGCAGTACTCGACTGTTAAGGCTCAGGAACCGTGCAAGATGCTATATCCATCCATAAGAACTTCAGTAGGAATTGGTAGCCTTGGGACCGTGAAATCGAGGACATGCGATAAGACGCGAAAAGAAATGCAAAATATACCTATCGCCAAATTACATATCCACTCGATCCAAGTAGAATAAACCCCTCGACGATTGAGGCGGTTTATTGTAACACATTTGTCGATGAAGAGTGATTACCCTGTTTCCGTGTATTTGGAGAGCACTCTACTTCCTTTTTGGATGAGACATTGATAATCTAGAAATTGTGCATTTAGCCTGAGATTTGTACCGAGTACAATGTCAAAATGACTAATATCACCGCTCTGTGGTGTTTAGAACAATATCAATGGTATGATACGCGATGCGCACGTCTTCTAGTCAACAGACTTTGCAAGCTGTCATACTACAATTGTGTGACATTTACCCTGACCTGTCACCGGAGGTTATGCCTAGGAAGCTGGCGGCAGCCGAATAAGCAGGCACTACTATATTAATATGTCACGTAACCTGGGGTCCAAATTCAGTCAGGATTTAGGGTCCATGACACATATACACACAGACAACACACATAATACATTGCTTGATTGGTATGAATGCTGGAATTAAAGAGCACTAGTCGCGTGGTTGCTCATGCGCACGGCGTTTGCTTTTAAATCCAGGCTAATTGCTGCTTAGTACAACTTTACCTTCCTTGAAACCAGCTTCATGGTTTCTACGATCAGAAGACCTTTTGGTGCTCACAACACAGCCCGGACTAATGTCATGAGTCGACTGGTAGCTAGAACGATGAGACACCCCCACGTGATAATGGGTAGAAAATCATTTTAAAACGTTATATCTTGCTTTCTGGAACTTGACCTGGATAACAATCACAGCCTGACAGTCCAATATGACATGACCGTCAGGCTTCAACGCAGGCATCTTAGTTTTCCTAACGATACTAGTGAATTATTCAGCCATCATATGTGTGTATGTCATTTTTTATGTCGATCCGTACTTCATTTACCACTAGCTATGAGTAAGTCTCATCAATTTCGACATAATTATCTTCAAAACTCGCTCCGTATGGAATCGAGAGGCTGCAGTTATAGGGCCCATAATTCAACCATTTGGCCTCACATGTGGGGCTCAGCGATGGCAAGAACTCGAGGACGCAGCACCGAAGAAGCCCCTATTACAATGGTTGGCCTCTATTCAAACAGAGCAGGATAATCTTCTTGCATCTGCTCCCTTAATCACCTGGTAAATTCACCTTACGGTAGGTGGGACCTTTGTGGATGGCAATCTGAATTACAGAGTAGTACTATATGTTTTGATTCGGTATCAGAGACGCAGCTGATTCACACTCTCTTCCCCATACAAACAAGAATTTCAACTGCAAATATGAATAAGGTACTTTTCTCATTGAAATTCAAAATCTAACTTTCGGCTCTCTACCTCCGTCTATTACATATTAGATCCGATGGTGATTCAACTCCTAGAGAGGCTGTTACTGCGGCAAACCTGAAGAAAAGGGTCGAATGACTTCCATAACGGATGAGCATTGTGACCCTTACTTTAACAGTTTTTGAATGGCGACAAATAAAATGCTGCAAACCAAAGGCATAGTGATGATCCACATATAGGGAACGCCAAATGCGCTCTTTATATAGAGCTCATTTAAGGGAAGGCCCAAGTCGTCGTAGAATCTTCGACAGATACGATCTCCATATTTGCGATCGGGCATTGTATATACAGGCTCACCGTCTTCTGTACTGATTTTACATGCCACTACTAACCTAGTGTTACCTTTAGGTGTGGATGCAAGAGAATTTTTGGCGAGGACCCTTGTAGGGAAGTGTCCATCGCGCACTGGAGTATGTGGCACAGAACATGACCCTGTTGATAATGATAATAGAATTCTACAAAGCCGTGCCCGATGTGGCTCAGTGATATATAATACATACCAAATCTGTGAGCGCTGCACAAGTTGGTTGAATCGAATTTTTCGACAGCTGCGTCCTATGACCGAATTATGGGTTTGAAGCTCATTTCAAATTCTGCCCATCAGGTCTACAGCTCTTTGACACGTGGAGTACAAAATATGAAAATTTGCGTCATGTATAAGTCATTTCTATGTTCTAGGTCCTTCCAGTGGCCAGTTGGCGGTTCAAAACGTCTGATCGTGCGCATGCTTTGCAACGCATCGAGTTCACTTGAGATGTTGCCTTGATTGGCAAGTCAGGATGTTGGTCTGGACGTCACTTGATAAACTAAAAGCTACTGTAATATGGGCAAACAGTCCTGCTAGAACAACGTATTATGGACGCAAGAGATTTGGCATGATATATACTAATGTGGAAGCCCAATTGTTCCCTGTGAAATTTGTAGCAATCCCAGTCGACGACGCCTGACCGCCCGCCTTCATCGACCAAGGCGACGCATCTAAAGTAGTACAATGCTATATCGACGTTTAACTTCTATCAAAGGCTGATGCGTGGGCTCGATCCTACCTGTATCCGTGTACTTCTAAGTATAATCCGAGGGATCATTAAGACAAAGGCTGTATTTGGTCAAGGATTTTCTGCCCAGTACATTTTCCTAACCCAATAATTGAGCTGCACGACACTGGGTAACTACGTGTGGGACCTTTGCTGCGTTGTGGGCGAGACATTTGAAAGGACGTAATATAAACTCAAGGGATAGTTCCCCCCTGATGAAAAATGTCATACTACCAAACACATCCAGCTACTGCTTTAACAACAGTCAAGAGTGTAATTGCAAGAGAGACAAGAAATACAAAAAATAAAAGATAAGCAGATAAAACCAACCAGAACACCTCACGACCGACCTGCCTTTGAAGTCCTCCAAATCCTCCCCGAAACAAGCCCCTGCTTCAACAGCGCTAACTCGTGCTGCACCGCAAGATTCTCCTTCTGTATGCGCTCAATGTACATCAACGCATTACTCAGAATCTCGGATTTCTTGAGACTGAATATATCAGATAATCGATTTGCAGTGTTTAAACCCAGTATTTTCGTAGGTAATATAAGTAGGGGCCAAATTGAAACACGGATACCTGAGCAAGATGAAGCAGCGCACCTGAAAGGATGACTCCAGCGCTGAATACTGAATCTGGCGTTGCCTCTTTGGGGTTTCCGGTATCTAAACTTGAACGCTGACACTAAATTTAAAGAATTACGTCATGTCAGGCTTTTCGATGTTCTGGCCAGGCTGTTCACGAGTCACTAATCTTCTGATTATGCACGTGATTTTCGAAACGTATTCACAGACCACTTGGGTCATGAGGCCACCAGCGCTCATGCGAAGATCGCTCAGCTAGGCCTTTTCTGATAATCAAAGCCAGATTACCCACAAACCAGGTTACTTCATCGATACTCGGGTCCGCATGTTGGTCGTTACGCCTGTATAAATTAAGCGATGACTGAAGAAGGATTACAGCATGAGAGTGACACAAGTGAGACTCTGTTCGGTCGTCTGAACTATTAGCTCTCCCAACGGTATTATTCACCTCAGGGTTCAATTGTCGAAATAGTGTTGGCAATCCTACGCTAAGATATAATACTTTCTCCATCAACTTGAGGAGTCTGTTCACAAATTCGTGGACCGCGAACCTGCGGAATCGCCTTATCAAATAGTTAAGGCGTGGGTTTGATTCTATATGTATTTGTATACTGATCATGCTACAGACTTGAGTCCGGGAGCAGCCTCATCATTACGGTCGAGACAACTGAGTACGTAATTAATCAAAGACTTCTTGCCCAATAGAAGTCAACAAACTTTAATATTTTGATGTACAACACTAGGGAACCACGGTTGGGATCTTGGGTCGGTTACGGCCGAGACCTTGGAGGGACCAAGAATATTCCCAATATAACCCCAAGCAATGGTGTCTCGTGAGAAAATACTACCAAACTAATCTGACTGTACTTCTTTGTCTACTTATAATTGAATAGATATGCCTTCCTATACTCAACACTCTCCCAAGGCTTGGTTGATAGGAAGTGGAATTGAGCCTTTGGCGTCTGCTTTCTATCTCATCCAGCAAGGCAAGATACCGGGGCAGCAAATTTGTGTCCTTGACACAAGTTCACAAGGACAGGCCGAGGGCAAAGAATGCAACGACCTGGTGGGCGACAAACTCTTCAATGAAGAATCCCCTTCTCTTTGTCAGGATTGGTGTCTGCGAGAACTTTTTTCGGAACTAAGAGGCAATTGGTGGAATGATGTTCACCACGCATCCAAGCACCACCAAGATCATCATGTACACTTACCGCATACACCAACATACCCGACAGAAATTTTTCTCAATGGTAATTCTCGCTTAAGAGTTCAGAGCCAGAATCGTCGTTTGAGACCAAGAAATCAGAAGAAGATCATCGACTTCATGCTGCAAAACGAGAGAAATTTTGCAGGAAAAACTATTGATAATGTATTTGATGACTGCTTCTTTGGCTCAGACATATGGGAGCTGTTTTCATCAAAGTGAGTCAGCTTGGGTTTGATAAGCTCATATAGGAGATTTATAACATGGTTTCTAATGAAAACACAGCTTCGGCCTCCGACCGGTGCATAGTGCAATGGAATTTCACCGACATCTTTGCGAATACTCTGACTACGTACAAAAAAGTAACATTCAAACAGCCTGTCCGCTGCAATCGATAGCTGAGGCCCCTATTATCCCTAATCTTCGAGTATTTTTGAAGGCTCAAGGGGTCGACTTTCTCAGTGGCATATTAGTGCTTGATATCAATTTCTTCCCAGACACGGAGCCACGAACCATTTGTGGAATCCAAGCCTTACATAATGGCAACTCTACCATACTCCCTGTCGCAAAACAAGATATCGTCATTATCAAGATTGGGTCACCGATTTCGGGGTTAATATCGGGAGGAAGTGAAAATCCGCTCTCAAGAATACCGGTGGAGGCTGAAAATCTTCTGAACTGCGACTGGTCTCTCTGGTTCCGATTAGCAAAGGCATCTTCCAAATTTGGCAACCCATCGGCTTTTTGCACTCATATTTCCGAGTCATTACTCCAAACATTCACGGCGCTGATGCCGCTAACAGACTATAAAATGATCTACGAGCAAATGAACCATACTCAGATCCACGACGGGCATTTGATATCGATCGCTCACAGTAACTGGTCACTAAAGATCGTTTTCCCGCAGTCTCAAATTGTCAAGTCTCATCAAAAACAGGCTTGTGTTTTGATCGGCTACGCTCTTACACCCAAAGAGCTTGGAAATTTTGTCAAGAAGCCTATGTGCGTCTGCAGCGGTGATGAAATTCTTGCAGAGCTACTATGGCAATTCAACATGCCCTTCGATGACATCTTGGAAAGGATTACGGTGAATTATTATCTGCTGCCTTTAGGCTTATCTCCCCTCCTGCCACGCGGCCATGAGGATCGGCCAATCTGCGTTCCATCTAATACGACTAACATCGCTCTTGTCGGTCAGTTTGTTGAAATTGTGGGCGAGTCAACCCTTAGCTTGGAATACGGAGTGCGGAGTGCCGAGTCAGCAGTCAATCAGCTTTTGGATTTGGGTATCGACCTTCCCAAAGTGAAAAGATCAATTGCAGTAACGAGATACGGTAGTCTCTGAGTGATCTATGCTAATAATATCGCTGTCTGACAATTTAAGGGTAGCTGAATCAGCACAATGCCCATTGCTGTCTTTAAACAAACCAACTTTCTTGGATTCATTGAGATTTATAGTTTTGTAGAGTTTCTCTGAGACGTGCCAAGTGATGCACCCTAATACATGTTATTACTTACGAAAAATATAAAGCCGTGGACATCGTAGACTTACATACAGCAAAGGCAAATTTCAAGCTCTTTTATAGGACAATGTTACTATGACAGCTTATAGCAAGACTCGAGGCCTATGACTCACGCTCGTCCAAGCTGCTGCTATTTAAGAACGACTGACGAATAAACTGCTATCAAATTTTATAGTGAGGTTTGTGGACATCAAAGTAACATTTTCCAGGTGAACTGACGCGGTAGCTCGTTCTATAGCTAGCTCCATTTTATCGTCTTGTTCCACTAGTTTCGCGGCAACTGAAGGGATTTCGTGACTTGATCGGTGAGTGATTACAACTACTAATCCCCTCCAAGGAGAAGCGATCAAAGCGAGTAAACCAGGTCGGTTACATAATGATCTGCCAGCGTGTATAGTGGGCGTATATCGACGGCCTGGACACCTACATGATTGACGGGTTAATATTTCTAAACAAAGCCGAAATATAGCCCATGGTGCATTTTGGGCCTAACAGGGACTAGGCCCACTTTTTTTGACGACATGATCAGTGAGCAGGACTCCCCACGTAATACGCGTGGGCAGTAGGGGAGCAAGGTTTGCTACTAAAAACACACCTGGGCGGCCGAAACGGTATGTCAGTAGATCATCCGAAGATGGGTTTTAGGGAAGCCGATATCCTGTCCAGGCCCGTTGATCTCGGCCGGTCGGATCAATGTAGAGTGAGCGGGTCACGCGGACTCTAGGCGTGACGATATCGTACGCTCGGTATTTCAGTGAAATCTGCTAACCTCATAGGCAGCCTCTTTTGTCGGCCGAACGACAGATGCAAGATACTGTCTCTTCCACTAGCGAGAGCCAAATCCTCTCGGAGATGTAATACATGGTCAGTCCAGAACGGTCGAGATATGCTAGGTGGGAAAATTGGAGCTGGTATTGACAGCCACATTCTTCAGGCGTCATAGCCGCAAAGAGATCCTGTGGGGGGATGCTTCACGGCAGAGACCGCCTCGTTGACCAAGGTTGAAATAAACCTAAACCGGCCAACCCTACTGCTCCTACTCGCTCCTCTACTCTGGGCGCGTATGTCACGACTTTCGCCTTAAGCGGGGTCGAGGAATCGTGTATAATTGGCCAGAATTCATTTCTTTCAAACGGAAAACACGTATCAAATTAATCCAATTCAAGCATTAAAATTTTCTCCTGCTATAACCCTCTCGCTTTAATGATAAATTTCGGGAAAGCACTTGGATAGATTACTTCTCCTCTCTTCAACACGCCAAAAGACAAAGACACAAACAGTAAGGAACGACTCACCGCTGAGATCACGTCGGCGGAAACAAACAGCGCATCATCAAAAGCAAACTCAGCAAAGGGAAGATATTACTGTTTAATTTGCCAGAATTCACGGCTGGCAAATTCATGGTGAAGCAGGAACACAAGTCCTTGCCTGCAGTAAATCATGAAAGCCTCAAATTGAGGATTACGCTATTGGGATAGCTCCCCATCATGATCACGCGTATGCGTTCAAGACCCTTGAGCAGGGCGTCATTTATTTCTTCTATCGATCCTGGGTTGACGTCGGTAGTACTGGCACATGTGGAATTCATGACGTTGCAAGAACCTTTGTTGTACTCCGTCGTAGTCTGTGCAGTGAAGTCTTAGATCAACAAGATGGTTCGCACAGATTTGGTGACAGCTTCCGACTAATAGTTGTCCCAAAAAGGTCCTTCCACAAACTCCTTGTGTGAGAGAGATGGGTTTTGTGGAGAAGGCTGGGATAACGCTGGAAGAACTCCAGGAGACGTTTATCAATGGTATGAATTATGAGACCCAGACTCGCGGCCCGAGGACCATACCCGATGCCAGACTATACTCGAGGGGCATTTATTCCATCACGTCAGCGCAACATGGCTCCCATCTGAATTACTTCCTCACGGACCCCAGGCATATCGGTCCTGTTCAGATGGACCTTGGGCTTCAAAAGCAAGGAAGGTGGCTCGTGCAGTCAAAGAATCCAAATTCCACCAGTCCTCTGTCCGTCAATCTTCCTCACAACCCAAGCTATCCTAAAAGGTACAGTATTGGTCTTCCACGCCGGCATTATCACTCTCCATAACTCAGCAATGTTCTTCCACTGACTCCCAGAATAGTTTTGATATAATATTCGGCAACTACCGCTTGGGTAGCGTTGCAACCTAGATTGATTGATTGATTATCCCAGAGCTCAAATTCTCCTTATCGGGCAGAATTTTCAACAAGTCTTCTTTGATACACCTGGGATCAAGCATGAATTCACGGAGACCCCAGATAAGGAGCTGGAGGAACTGGTCAAGTGGAGCGATGATATAGAGAGAGCACAACTAAGTAACTACTCCCCAAAAATTGTGGATCTATGGTCGTTTTTTGTTATTAGTTTTGCTAATCGCTCTCAAACAGGTTATGACTCAATTTACGGATATCTGGGCTTGGAGGTTGATCATCTCTCAAAATCTCCATGGTGTGGGATCAACAGTAGTCCTATGATAGTAATAGTCTCCACGTGCTTTTTAAGTTTTTGGGCACTACGGACTTCTCCACGTTTGGTGTATGGCAACCAAGCCAAACGGAAGGCATGTATGGAAATCGCTTTCGAATTCGTGTCTTGACCATGCCGTTGACTAATGTGATCAACAAACCAGGTATTTCTCTATTGAAATTGTACAAGTCTACACAACGGGGCTACCACTAGTGCGACATGTTTATTCTCTACACGGAATTGAATTCCAAAGTGCATAGGCTTATTTCACGAACGATCCTGTATCGTTGATTTCACAAAACGTAGAGTAGTATGAATCATACCAGATATACAAGTACAAAATATAACAGACAGTGGTGTTCTGGAAGAGGTGCATGCCCATCATGCAATAATACCACCGACAAACTGCAATTCTAAGAGGTGACAGCCGACAGCGGCAATGCCGCTCGGGCGTAGTCAGGTTGTACGTCGCAACTCCAATCTAAGCCACAGGCTGTGACTACCTTCTGCATATGATATCTCGCACCTGGATGTGAAATCAAAGAGGAAATAGCCGAGCCTCCGCCCTGACAAATGATCAACGGGGAATTGATATCCCTTATACCATGTCACTCGACCCTGTGGCTCCCTGTCGGGCCCAGTCGCCCGAGAACCAATCCCCAGGTGTTCATTCGGGCGAAACGGACCAGCAAAGGATAACGATTACACCTCATTCTTTGCCACTCATTTCTGACTGTTCAGGCCTGCGATCTGGAACAATTCAGCGAGTTTTTGCCTTGAAAATCATTCCTTTCGGGTGTTTATTTACCGACGAGACTTATCCGAAGTTCAAAACGACCTCACTCGCTGATAATATTTCTGCATTGGTTCACCATGCTATGCTCATGGTCTCCCCGCCTAGGGCCTGAAGAGCACAGATTGAAAAGGTCCGCGTCCTAGGTACCTACACTTCTTTTAGAAAAGCCAAAGATTCTGCCCATCATGTCCTCATAGGAGGAATCGTCACCTACGGAGTCCATCACTTAACTATAGCTATTATCGGGCTAATAGTGGAGATTTTTTAACAAGCCGGGTATTATTCTCAGTTCGTGATATTTCACGTTCCTAACCGCGTAGGCTATTATCCGTTAGTTAGCTTAACTAATTAGTTAGTCAGTAGATTACCTAAAGATCAGTCATTAACTAAGCCTAACTTATAGTTATTAACTAAACTAGTGGTATTCTACTAAGCGCTTAGATTATTAGAATATTAGCCGAATAGAGGTAGATTAACCGATTGATGTGTTGTCCGTTGCTTTAGACGGAGGTTTTAAATTGTTCCTTGAAGGTGGATTAAGATGCAGTGTCCTATCTAGGAAATAGGGTTGAAATCGCTTGATTTGGTCCGCAGTGATTACAATCTCTTTTGATCTAATGCAGAACTGGTTCTAATGAATTGTTTACCATCTCCAGGAGAATTCAACCCATTCCCCCGGCGAGTCAATAGAGAGCAAAAAGCTACCTGTTGAAGTGGTGGAACCGCTGACAGATATGTGAGAAAGGAATTGATGGAGAAAGAGGTCGGTTTGATCGCATATTTGCTTGATTGGTTGTTCGATCATGTACGCTTAGCGGTTCCACTACCTACGCTAGTGAGGCAGGCCTGAAGCACTCCTGTATTCTAGAAGTGCTTGCCCTCGATCATCCGTGGCGGTGGTGTTGGTTCCGTTTACGGGCCAATTTCCCATCTCATCTTCTGTTGAGGACATATTCTATTCGTGCCTCGACCTGTCTGTTCCGATCAGACTGCCATTAACGCATACCCCCGTTCACTGTTTAGCAGGTATGGCATCTAATCAAATCAATTGATTAGACTACTGAGTAGCTCCGAGTGAAGAAAATCCTCTCAGATATCATTGAATACAAAGAAAACACAAAATAATACAGTGATGCTACGCCAAAATACTGAATCCAACCCATATTCTGACATTGGCGGAACTGCTATGCATAACCGCTCAGACAATGCCCAAAGACGATTTGATCTCCCGCGACACATGCTCGCCTTCGGGGAATTTCGCTATTGCGCGATCCAAAGGTTTCGATGGCCGTATTTTTGTGAGGATCTGACGAGTCGGTGGCTCATTTTTTGGGCTTTCACCCCTAAATGAAGTTTTGTCGCTCCGCGACTTTGTCTTCTTTTCGTCGATAGTTCGTTCTGCCTCTAGGGTTGAATCGACTTTCTTGATATTTTCTTCACCTAAATCACACTTGTATATTGATTCCCCGCATGCCGGGGTGACATCGCCCGGGGACCGACTCGGGGTGGTTGTGTACGAGGACTGCTCGATAATTCTGCGTGAGGCGAGAGCGCCCGCAGACATATATGTGAACCGATTGTCTGACATGTCCACCATAGACGGGTAATAATAATGAATTGGCAATTCAAGTCTGTCGCATTAGATCTGCTCGGGTGGACACTCCAACAGATATACTTGGGATCGAGGCCTTTACCATAAAAAGAATGGAGAGCGCTAATACCTAGCGAGCTACAAAAATTTCAACGCAATCAGATACAAAAATATCACTTAAGGTTGTATTTCGGGGTCTCTGACCCGTGGGAGGAGTGCTTGTAAGTCTGGTCCGGTATGAGGCCCCGAAGGTCGAGGGTCTAGGCCGTGCGCTGACCAGTCTCCCGACCGGCAAGCACGATCATATGGCGACTACTTTTAAACCCCAGCCAGACCCCTGTGATGAAGCTAGTTTCCTATCCAGTCATTAGACTGGGCTAGAATTAAGCGGTCCCACAGTAAAAAAAAGTGGTCTAATCCAATTAGAAAGATGATGCGAGAAAGGTCGAACCGCCGAAAGAGCGGGTTGCGCCACCCCAAGTCGTGATATTTGACTCCCAGCAGGATCGGGAATCTTATCCTTGAAACTGTTCAACAAAGCGAAAACCTTCCACCCAATCAAATGCTCCGTTACAGAAGCGTTGGGTTGATTATCGAACTATAATAGGCCAGCATGCACAATTACTCTGTCAGGATTAACATCGCGTATTCTCACTGCCACAATCTGATCGCCTCTACCATCTTGTTGCCTTCGTGACTTCGACTCAGCCTTATCAGCCTCACACATGTTCTGAACGATTCGACTAGGATTTCTTTCTGCCCATAGTTAAACAAGCCTATGGTGTTCCTAATTAGTCTGATGGATCAATGGCCCTTGGGCCCTTGGTTAGTCGCGGACATCATAGCTCAACAGTTCTGGTAGGACCAAACAGATAGTCGCTATTAGCCAAGCAATTATCCGTATATGTTTCTGGAATTTTACCGGCCGAACTTTATCAGCGCGCCCATAAGATCTCCTCTATATTTTACGTGCCCAGTCTACGAACCATGGTTTCAGATGATCGCTATTGATGACGTTTTGACTCCAGTTGAAAATCCAGTATATCTCCTATGCCCCGGTCACTAAATGTCACGGGAGTTGAGCAATTAAATACAGATACATTTCCGGAGGGAGAATACCACACATGCGTCACAGGCAGTACGGAAGGCCATTGGGGCTAGCAGCCTAACGACTAAGAAAATGCAGCATCTTAATCACCACCTTCTTCTGAGGCCAGGGTTGGTCGAAGAACAAAGCTCATTTATTGAATCAGATTACCTTGGCACTTGTGGCTCTTATGAAAGCATGCCATACGACAACCAAGGTCTTTTGAGTGACGAGCTGCAAACTTGTGTGCCTGGATTGAACTTATTGAATGAGGTTTTTCCTTGCCTTTGGAACCAAGTGAGTTTTATTTTTATTTTTATTTTTTGCCGGAAATCAATATATTGTCAATTCATGAGCTGACAACCAATATCAAGGATATGACACATGATGAAGGTGCAGTTATATCAAAGCACGAATTATATTCTTCAACTTCTCTGCCAAACATTGAAGCGCCGGAGTTGTCTGATCGCTCTATCAGTATCTCAGCTCCTCCTTCGGAAGAGCAGCGCAATCTGGATACAGAGCCCAAGTCGGACATCAATCACAAGCAAATTACTCCGAGACAGAAGATTGCGCATAGTCAGAGCGAAAGGCGGTACCGTCAAAACCTGGATGCCAAGTTCTTGCAACTGGAAGACGTAGTGAATCAATCCCATAACGAGAAAACCAAGCCTGGATCTAGGACGTCCAAAAGGTCACAGCGGGTACAGTTACTAGAAATGGCTCGTCTGCACATTCTGGAACTTCAAAAAGAAGTCACATCTTTGAAAAGGAAGCTTCATGTTCTACGTGAGGCTACTATGCCTGAAACCTGTAGGTTCACGATTGAAGATGAGCTTATTGGAGTTCAGGGGTTCTGATTTGTTTGTTGTGTTCTTAACGCCATCAAAGTTTTTGTAGCACGAAATCGGGCTACAGTAATGTAATATTTTCTGACACAGGCAAGAAGATTAAGATAAAGCGCCTATTCCACAAAGATTGCATTTGCCACTAGAGATAAACGACTCTGAAATAAATCAATGATCAAGTTGAATTTCTCAAGCTAATCCAGTATATTTAAGGTATCTTTTGATGGAGACGAAGAGCTCCTTTTCTAGGCTGTGACTAACCATCTTTGTCTAACATTTCCTATCAGAAGTAGTTCGGGTTCAAACTGACTATAGAGAATCCGCTATTACAAACCTTGCGCGTAACTTTTCAGTCTCTTATAGACAGATAAATGGTAATGTGAACTTTTCATTAAACCTATTTTTTTAAGTAGCTAGCCTACCATATTGCGGAAGCTATATATGGTAAGCCCACGTATAAAGTATGTTTTGGTAAGTCCGTAAGAAGTTAGTTAAATTCGTAGGTTATAGGAATATATTTAATTTGGTCGTCATTTACCACGTGTTGATTATTGATGTTTGCTCTCTCTCGCTCTCTCAATATACTAATGTTTCTGTTCTTTCACTTCTTTGATGCTCTAGTATATTTCCTACTCTATGATATCGTAAGCCTGGTTGTCTTCTAGCTTCTATCACTACCTCCGAATCAGCTTTAGCTGCTATGATGAGCCTTGCGTTGGCCATTTCACTAGGTTCCCTTAAGTATGCCAACGCTCGGTTACACTAGGTTTGGGTACTGGTTTAATAATACTTATTCTATACGTATTCCATCAAATCTTCTGATTGTAGTAACTTAGTTACACCAAAAGGCTGTTCTTTCAGGAGCTAATACCACACTAACTACAAAGAAAGCATATGCTAGCTTTATTTAGCAGTTAATCAACAATATTCACTTTCTTCTTAGTCTGCATCCTGACCGATTTAGGAACCTCTAGCGATAGAACGCCGTTTTTCCGGTAGGCATAAGTGTAATCTTAATCGATAGCAGTTGGGAAGTTGAATGTTCTCTAGAAATCCCTAACTACTTTCTCGGATGCTAACTATGAATCTTTCTCGGTCGTGGACTCGCGCTCACTATACGCCTTGATTTTCAGGCAATACTCATCTGTTAGTTAACGTTAGTCGGAAATGCTGCTTAGTAAAACATGGTGCGCACCAATTGGATATCAACAAGTCTGAATTGCTATAAAAATTTATATTTCATTTTGCAATTCTTAGAATTAATTCGCTATACCTTATTATGCTACAGATTGAGGGCCTCTACGAATGCAGCCTGTATGTACTAGTAATCAGACAATGGAGATCATCCTGTGGAGCTGGACGGGGACTGGAGCCGATGGCTGCATGAATGGGATCCAGGTAGTACTAAAATGGAGGCAGCAAAAATAATTTCTACCCAGATGATTTTGTATAACCCAAGGCAGAGCCACATTGGAAGGCTTTTTTTCATAGCTAAGCATGAGATGCCTGAACTCTTGATGATGATATTCAATAGGCTGCAAATTTTATTATCAGCAAGTTTGCCTGAGCCTGCAGGCAGCCTTCCCAAGTCAACGCCAACAGTCAACCGATGCATCTGATCAATGAACTCTGGACCATCTTGATTGCAGATCTCAGGCAGACAGCCCGGAGGCTGCCTCCGCTGCCTACTTCGTTGACTAGACCGGGCAGATGGAGGGGGCCAGGCAATTATTTAAACACTTCTGATCAATTCAAACTTGGCCATCTTCACATTTCAACATCGACATCAACATCATCATCGTTATCAACATCTCTCCAAATTCTACCATCATGCACTTCATCATCCCCATCATCGTTTTCGTCACCGCCAACATCTGGGGGCTGTACAGCAGCATCCCATTCACCAACATCGACCCTGCCCGCTCGATCTGGGACCGCGCCTTGGGAGGAGTGCAGCTGGCCAGCACCGTCTATACGCTGGACCAGATTCCCCGCCTCCTCGACGAAGAAGCCATCACACACCACCTCTTCAAAGAGTATCTGGATGGCTGGAATGCCACCGTGGTGTCCGAAACGGAGTCAGCAATGACGCTCAGTGCTGGTCACCCACCATTGACAGTTCCGTTGACCGTTCCTCCCGGCTTTCTTCCCTTGCCAACTTTGTCGACAGACGTGCCGGTCGGCCTGCCCGGGCCAGATTCAACACAACACCTACCTGTCGACAGCCTGTTCCAGATCCTGCTGTTCGTGATCTTCGCCCTGGTCGTCGGGCTGATGGTCAAGCAAAACGACCGAAACAGACGACTGACAAGCATCCTCGAAGAGATCGGCCGGGTCCAACAGTACCAGGAGACCGCCTGGAAGGGGATCTACGAAAACCACTCCAGCCTCGCCTTCTTGGTGTCGGTTGCGCAGGATTTGCGCACCGCTCCGGCAGCACATCATGCGCCGGCCGAGGTGGACACCCAAGAAAACTCCCACGACAGTGAAGGGAGCACTTCGTCCTCCGATGCAAGCAGCGCGGTCGTCATTCAGACCCTGCAAGATGTGTTGGCCAGCCTGGACACGCTGCGCCGCAACGTCGACCGGAGCACGGATGTGTGGGAGGGGCTGTCCGAGAGGTTGGAGGTTTTCCAATCGGATTCGCAAGATACACGGCCGACTGATTCCAGCGGCGATGACCCGAGTGGATCCCCGGATGGTGGTCTGGTGCAGGACGGGCGAAGCAGATGCGCGCGGTGAGCGAAGTGGTGTTTGGGGTTCGGTGTTTGGGGTTTGGTTTTCGTTGCTCGGTGTTCGAGCTGAGATGTGGTGTTGTGTTGGGATGAAGCAAGCTGCTGGTCCTGCTAATTCGGGGTTCCCAGTTTCCGCTTTTTTTTGTTTTTTTTTTTGTTTCTCGCGACGTTACGAGTGGTAGTTCTGAGAGAATCATACCATCATTTTTTATTCCAAAGTGAACCAGAAGAAAGAGCTAAAATCAATTGGGTATCATAAGTAGAATGATCAATAATCAAGACGCTGGTTGCTCGTTAAGGTACTTTCGACATGCTGCTTTCAACATCTCGATACGCCGTTGAGTATGAATAAAGACTTCCCGGTACATGTCAAGACTTTGCTGTACTACCTCCTGACGAGTCTTAGAGCCTGCACATATCTCGAGCATTCGCAATTCCATTTCTTTACGAAGGAACGGCTTGCTTAGGGAGATGCTGTTTGGAAGACCCGCAACAACATTATCGTACCCCTCCACAAGTGCAATGCCCAGCCGGGTGGGAATCAGCTCCTCGACTTTGCTCCTGCCACTGCCGCGGGTGTTGACCACAACGTATTCACGTTCCTTGATTTTGGCAATATGCTCGGCCATTGTCGCGTCGGTACCAATGCCATTGGCATCCATGAGACCGATGAGCTCGGGTTCTGTCAAGTAACTCGGAGCCGTAGTTTTCCCCTCGTAGATATTGGCCTCGGTAGGCTCAAACACCTCTCCTCTCTCAAAATTTGGAAGCTGCTGACTGCTTTCCCATTTGTCGTAGACATAGACATCGAGATAATTCCTCTCCAAAACGATCAGGCCACTGGCGTGGAAGAACTCTTCCCCGTATTGGATTTCAATGTCAGTCCCTTGGCCTTTGGCATCCTCCGAGCAGCAAGCTAGGAACCGTCGGACTACAAATTCGTAGACCTTCTTTTCATTGGCGTTCAATTGGCTAGGTGATACCCAGCAGACCGGATGAATGGGCGGGTGGGCTTTGTCATTGTGACGACCAGGTCTAGGGGTCCGAAATTTGCCATCAATGAGGCTAGGATAAGGTATTAGCGACAGTGCCGTGGATGAGATTAAGACCGAATGACTTACTCTTTGGCGTATTGACCCCATTGATTGTCCGGGAATTGTTTCTCAACCAGCTTCTTCAGATCAATGGCCTTGTCGAACTGATCTGTCTCGGTACGGGGATAGCTGATAAATCCCTTTGTATAAAGCGCCTCGGCGACCTTCATGATGGTTTGACTGTCTATGCGAAGAAAGCGACTGCCCATCATCTGGAGATCCACCGTTGTCAAAGGAAGAGGTCGCCATTTGCTTTTTGATTTCTGGTTCACTTTTGTCACTTTCGCCTGCTTCGCCATGAGGCACCGTTCCAGCATCATTGTGACGGCTGCACGATCAAAGAGGTGAACACGTCTCCAGAGGAAATTGACCTTTTTGCCTTCCCGCTGAAGCATGACTTTGATGCTCCAGAAGGTCTCGGGTTTGAAGTTTTGAACTCTGAGGTATCGATCAACCACAAATCCCAGTGTGGGGAACTGGCATGAGCCTAAAATAGGATTAGAAAAATTCGTTTAGGAAATCCGAAGCACGTACCATAGCTAATGACCTTTTCCTTCAAGATGGCAGACACAGCCTGAAGCTGGAGAGTCTGCAAACGAGTAAAAGCCGCGCCAATCCGTAAATCAAGCTCTATTCTAGCAGCAACTGCGTTTGCCTGGAACTCATCCAGTTCAACTGGCTCTCGAGCTGCTTGGAGAACATGGCTGTCAATCGAAAAGAAACCGAGTCAGTGATTTTCACCTCCATTCATCCTTGAATGCGACTTACGCTCTTTCCGTGTTGCTGAACCTGGCTCGCTTGACCTCAATTCTAGCGTTGCCAGCCTTTGCTTGGTTGCGAACTTCAGAGCCGATATGCTCGCCTTCTCGATCACAATCGGTCCAGATGAACAGTGCTTTGCTGTACCTGGCCTGATTCCGAATATTATCCGCAATGGGTTTTTTGTCCTGTTTCGAGTCAGAAGATCGACAAAACATCCATCGAAGTAACTCCATACCTTATCCACATCCTCTTGTACCGGAGCCTCGAACAAAGCTCCGGGTGGACAGGACATCCAGCCCTTGTATTGACGATCAAAATCCAGACCAGTGAGGTGACCGATCACACTGGTCATCGTCACCGAGCAGTTCCCCCATGGAGGACCAAAATTGAAGTCGAACTCATAATTTTTGACATATTGATTTCCTCTGATTGCATGCTACGCCCTTGTTCAGCCAATACTCGACCATGGGACATGTCTCAGCTACTTACAGTCTGGAAAGAGCCGCCTGACATATGCGTGGCCACGGCGCGAGCGATTGCAGGCTTCTCTGCCACGCAGAGAATCTTGCGAGTCATGGTGATCGCACCGTACTGCGATCAGACGGGGTCCCAGCGGCGAAGGGGAGATATTCTTCCCAAACGGGGAAATAGTGAAATACTTTGGGACGCGAGTTGATGCCTCAGGTGTCCTAAGTGCCTGAGAATGACGCGCTTTGTCGGAACAACAAGAAGCCCGTATGACTAAAAATGTTGCCTAACTAACTAACTTAAGTTAATTAACTAGTTAAGTTGTGGCACATTTTTGGTCTAGCGGTTTTATGCCCCATCTGTGTTTCGACACGCTTTCTTTCCTGAGGCAGAAAGGATCGTGAGCGCCTTACCCGATGAGGTAATACAAACATCTACCCCGGCAACTCGACGGACTGGAGCTCCCGCAACACTCCAGCTCTCTCTCCCCGTTTGCGTATATACCCTCGCTCTTTGTCTCAAGTCCGGGAAATATGGCATCTCTTCCGCTTCCCCGCGTTGAGTCCCTGGTGGAATACACCTCCTTCAAGCTGACAGTTCTTCCCTACCTAGCCCAGCTCCAATGGCTCCCCGCCAGCTTGCAAGAAGCTGGTCGGAATCTCGATAGCTTAAAGGAGGTTTACGTGGCCACCAACCCCATGGTTTCCGCACTCGCGCTGTGCTCGGTTTTGGCTGGAGTCTTCTTCTTGGCTGCGGAAATCAACCGCAATTTTTCGCAAGTGGATCGCTTTTGGAGCATCCTGCCCGCTGTTTATAATGTGCATTTCGCCCTTTGGGCGCGTTTGGCTGGAATTCGCACCCAGACTTTGGATACTATCGCTGTGATTAGCGTGATTTGGAGCGTAAGCGTGTTCTCTCCAAACTGCTACGATGACGTCCAAATGACTGACAGATGCTGCGAACAGGTTCGCTTGACCTTCAACTATTGGCGCAAGGGAGGCTACTCGATTGGTTCCGAGGACTACCGCTGGGCGATCGTGCGCTCAAAGGTTAACAACACCTTCCTTTTCACCATCTTCAACTTCGTTTTCATCGCTGCGACCCAATCTCTTTTGCTCCTGCTCATCACGGCCCCTACCTACACTTTCGTGATCGCCGCATACAACCAGGGTAGCGAGGTCTTCGGTCTTCCCGACCTCGCCTTCTCCCGCTTTGCGCTCTTCTTGATCGTCATCGAGTACTTCGCCGATCAGCAGCAGTGGAACTTCCAGACCGCGAAGCATGAGTACCAGACTAAGGCGCGCATTCCCGAGCCCTACCGGGACCACTACACCCCCGAGGATCTCGAGCGTGGCTTTGTGGTCAGCGGTCTCTGGTCTTGGTCGCGCCACCCCAACTTTGTCGCCGAGCAGGCTGTGTGGCTGACCATGTACGTCTGGGCTGCCTACCGCACCGAGACCTATGCCTCATGGATTGGTCTTGGTGTTGTGGGTTACCTGCTTATCTTCCAGGGTAGCACTCGCTTGACTGAAGCGATTAGCGCGAAAAAATACCCCGAGTACAGTGAGTACCAGGCTCGCGTTGGCAGATTCATCCCCCGTCTGTCTGTGGAGGCCAAGAAGTCCAAGCCTGCTGCCAAGAAGCCTGCTGCCAAGAAGCCTGCTGCCAATATTGAGGGAGCTGAGGAGGAGACCGAGGTCAAGAAGACCAAATAGGAGGGAGATGGAACTATTTCGGGGCTAATATCATGGAGTTTCTAAGGGCTGTTTTTGAAATTGCGCGCATTTTACGCAGACTTGCTATATCGCAGAGACGTGTTCGATTTTCTGATGTAATGTTTCTTGTCGTATCGCAATTTGATTCCCAGTTTTCAATGCCCATACACACTCACCAGATGACACTGTCTATGGCCCTTCTCCATGACCAAGCCAGCGGCTTTTCCTTCCCTTCTTTGGCCCTGGGAGCGAGCAGGCCTCGTGCTGCCTGGGCGGATACTTGCATTGCAGTGCCACGCCTGCCATGTCTGTCCAAGGTAGCACAAGCTTTGGTATGTGTCACACACCCATATGATACGGACGGGGCTTTGAGAGAGATATCACGTCGTATTTACGCAGACACATCGATAACCTGACCATCCTGCAGGGAATTGCTAGAACGACGATGGACCCCTTTACTCTGGTTGAATGTTGTAATAGGATTACTGTCCTTTGCAGTAGGCTTCCATAAGTTGGAAACCTTGACGATTGTCAAAATCATCTTAGCACTCACCACTTAAACGGTATCTGTGCTATCAAGAAAGATGATTTGAAAGACATCTAGAAAACCCTTTCAAGAAAGAGTGACTGAAGCATGTCTAATTGGTCCGTTTCTCTGGTTTCTAGTCTCAGACTTTTGAAGTACTAGAATGATCTTCAAAGTAGGAGACAGTAATACCATTAGCTCGCTCAACCAGACTAAGAGGTGTATGTATCGTCGAATTGGCAATCGTGTATCGTCGTGTTAGCAATTCCCATCCTGCACTCTAATGGCCTCGCGTGTTTGTCGAATCCGATCGCTGGGTACCGGACTTCGGTGACGTAGTTATATATGACAACTCTATCTGCCATTCCTGCACTCTAGTATCTAAACCTTGTTTCCCTTTCCCCATTTCGTCCGATCTCTGTTGGCTAGCCGCATCACGGCCAAGCCACTATTTCCACATGTCGCTCCACTCCCATCAATATTCATACTGTACTGTGAGTGATCCATGTGTTTGTCCTAGGAAAAAGATCGGAGAAAATCCCGGGAAGGAATCACAGCTTTCAAACCCGACATATTTGCCTCTATAGCAGATTCTCCCCTCTATAACAGAACCCTTGTGATTTTCCGACAAGATGCCTCCGACCAAAGATCTCAATCTCCCTTTCAGTGACAATATCAAGTACACTGCTTCGGAGGTAGACAGGATGGAAGGCAACTGTGGCCTTTTGGATGGAGCACTTAATCTCCAAAAGGTGAAAGTCCTACACGATCTGAACGGGGATCCGGCTAATTCCAGGGCCCAGGCGTTGATCGACGGATAGTTTTCATTCAGGACATCTGACTACGGTTGGACCGCGCCAGAATCGGGCAGCATGGAAGGGATGAATTGCCCCTGGGGTGGGCGGACATTTATAACCATCACACTATAGCAGAACAAGGATACGGTAAATAATAGTGATGCCTACCCTAACTCTCCTCAAATACGCCATTATATTTTCAGCCAAAAACGCCCTGCTTATGCCTGGCCACACAAGCACCCTTTTCAATTGGAAGTGCAGTACAGCCCCGTAAGCACAGCTTTGAAAAGCCACCATGTGGACCTAACTCTCCGCAAGGCTTCTCACATCGACCGAGATAACTCCGAGAACACCCTCATCCGGAGGAATCGAGGCTGTCACCGTATAATGCTCATGATCGGTACTCGAGACATGAAACTGATTATCAATCCGATTGCAGGGTCCATTCCAGTAGAGCGAGGTAATGCGGTCCTCATGCTCAAAGTGGAGGTCAAGCATGCCCTCAATTCCTACTCCTAATGTCGCGCTTCCGCAGAAGGATATCAATTTGCTGTCGCCAGGTTGGATTCTGATTTTTTCTACGTCTTCTGTGGATAGGAGGCGTAGGTTTTCGCACTTTTCATATGGCTGGCCACTGATTTCTTTGTTAGAGAAGGGTTGGATTCCAATGATTGGATGATTATCACTTACCTGATACTTATTAAATTCTTGAAAGTGATATCACCCTTATCGAGATTATTGTATATCGTGAGGCATAGGCGCTGTGTAGTCTCAGGACCCATGACTGAGTCTGAATTTTGATCAATTTTCTAGCCGTGGGTAAAAGCCTGTTTTCTGTATTTCTGTAGATGAGGAAAACCAAGGGACATGATGGCTTAAAGTACTAAACTTCTAAGATCAGGAGATCGATGAATTACGCCGAATCTTCCGACCTTCCTGGTCCAAAGCTACATTACGTGGCCTAGAGATCCCAAGGGTCAGATTTAGCCTTAGAAGGAAGGATAGCCAGTGACCAGCAGTGTAGGGTCCGGGGTCTGCGCCACCCGGATGGTTCTACCACAAGAAGGCAGTTGCTTATCCTGCGGCTTCAGTGTTGTAAATGCCTCGTGCTAGCAACCACAAAGTATTGAATTGACTCTGATAATAGGGCTCGTGAGCTGGTTGAGACCCAGGGAGCACAAGCTTTTACAGTTCCATATATGCAAAGATCTAAGTTGCTTCAAATCTATTGGTACTTTAAAAAAGCAAAGACCAAATGCCAAATCGGCAAAAGCTTGAAAGCAGTCGTCGTCATCCTTCATGAATCATGTCATGCATATAAGCAGTTTTGGCGGTTAATACAGTGGCAGTGCTAGGTTGCCATGTTTTTTGTTCATTAACGCTGCATGACAGGAAAGAGAGAAAAGTGTCGAGTTTCTATATCGAGCGAAACCCGTGCAAATTAAGGTTTAAGGGGTCCCCGGCCACCAATCACCGGGCCAAAGTATGTCACCCTCCCACAGTGCTTGTTTGGGGAAAGGCAAATGTACGGTGATAAGTCATTGGCGGGGAACTCGGCGAGGGCTCAAAATAAATAAAATCAGGGGCTCTGGCCAGCTATCATAATAGAAACGGGTCTGCTAAGAACAGTTGGGGCGCCGTTTTTTTCTTTCTTTCTTTTCTTCATACAAACTTTCATAACTGCCGATTCAGATGGTGTCCTTTACGGGAAGTGGAGTCGTCCCTTTTGGTCTGGCAGGTCAATCAGTCCCCTTTCCCGATGCTTGGCTCACTTGGCATTGGATCACGATCCCTGCTGAGCCACTCGGCATAATTGAAGTTCTCAGTTGTTGATCTCAATTCCTTTTGGCAGGGCTTTTCTCTTATCTTACGTCGACTGTCTCGGCTGCATCTACTACTAATGCAGCCAGTATTTACAACTTGCCGCTTGGATCGAATTCAAATTACACTTTTGCATTGAATATTCCCGATGACTCGACGGATTTGTACTTCCATTTGTCGGGACCGGCTAGTTATAGCTGGCTCGCCGTTGGAACGGGGAGTGAGATGAAAGACTCGTTGATGATCGTTCTCTATGCTAATGCTAATGGAAAGAGTATTTCACCCTTGCCTTTCTTGATAAAACTACATTATAGAAGTGGTGTGTGCTAAACTGCAATTTTGAATTTAGATGTCACCGTTAGCCCGCGAATCTCATCTGGTGAACAGGAACCAGAGTACTCATCATCGATTGCGGTGACGCTTCTCGAAGGCACGGGTATCGCCAATAACACGATGACGGTGAATGGCCGATGCTCGAACTGTACAACCTGGAAATCCGGAAAGTTGGATCTCAAGTCCTCATCTCAGCCATGGATCTTTGGACTTGGTCCGAGTGGTGGTAGTGCTGCGATGTTGCGCAGTGACTCCAAGACAGCCAGTATTGAGAGACACTCGAAATACGGTATGTGGGCCCATTGCTAGCCTCTTTACGAGTGTCGTCTTTTCCTAATCTTTGCTTCTTTCTTCTAGGTGTCTTTAACATGGATATGGTTCACGCCACTGGCGGATCAGGTGAACTTCCTACATCATACACCACCTCCCAGGGCTCATCCTCCGAAGGCGAGGAAGTCAAGAGTGACAGCAACTGGCCCAGCATCATCCACGCTATCTGCCTCTGCGGCGCCCTCATCCTCCTCTTCCCATTCGGAGCTATCCTCCTCCGCGTCTTCCCCAAGAGCGTGCGCTGGCACTGGGTTAATCAAACCATCTCAACCTGCCTGGCCTTCATCGGTATGGTAATCGGCTTCTACCTCAGCACCCAGTTCACCAAGTCCCAATCATTCGGTTCCACGCACCAGATCCTCGGAATCGTGATCTTGCTAGCCATCATTGCCCAGTGGGGAATGGGATTCTGGCACCACCGTCTGCACAAGAAGACGCAGACCGGGTCTATGTTTGGTGTTGTGCACCGCTATTTTGGATTCATCGTGATCCTTCTCGCCATTATCAATGGTGGCATCGGACTTAGTTGGTCGTATGCATCTAATGGTGTCCTTGTGGGATACTCTATTACCGTTGTCATTGTCAGCGTTGCAATCATTGGTCTTCTTGGCTGGGCACGATTCAAGTCGAACCATGGTGGGAAAGGCTTCGTTCGACAGCAGGAGGAGTTGGATGAGTTCCAGAGCAGTGATTATTCGGATGGTTATCTAAACCGTGATTCGAACAGGCCGCATGGTTATAATCGTTATGGTTAATTTGTGGATAGCGGGGGTTGGGCTTTTTTTTCTGGCATTTACTAGAGCATTGCTTTTGTCTGGGTTTTCTATATTAGAAGGCATGATGATACATGATATGGTTTACTTTGGTAAATGGAGCATGGAAATTTAGTAGAGCCTTATCGGATTAATTGTGAGGCTGGTGGCTTTGGTATCTGTGGATTTGCTCCCAGGTACTAAATCTTTGTAAACAATATGCTAGGAGGATGAAACCGAGTCCCGAGTAGTTGTGGCATGGATATGGTTTCCACTCAGGACTACGGACCTGAAACAATTTTGAGTTCAAGAAGCGAGTTGTGAATTTGAAAAGCGTTTATTTGCAGCGTGACTTCCACTGGCCCTCACATTCTATAAGTGAGATGATATCGATAGCTTTTGAAGAAAAAAACCCCGTGAGAAACACAATGATAATGCAAACCCAACTCCAGGAATCGTATCGTAGCGGTCCAAGCACAAAATGGGTAACAGTAAGAAAGAGAAAAATCCAAAGCCCGACGAGATGAACCGATTCCTTAGTCCATGTCCATCGCCTCCTCCTCCTCGACACCACCATCCACCAACACCTTGGCCTTCTTCTTCTGCACGAACAGATCTCCACCGTGCACCCGGTTGGCAACCTTGCTCTGCTCGGCCACCATGGGACGGCCCTCCTCGCGCTCGCGCAGCTCCTTGCGGATAAGGTGCTCGCCGGTGGCGACGACCTTGCGGTCGGACTCGCGCTGGCGGTCGCGAGCCAACTTGCCGGCCAGACGGCGCTTGGTGAAGACACGCTCGCGGCGCTGGCGAATCTCCTCGACGCGCTGCATGGCGTTGACGGTGGCGGCAACCAGGTTGCGGTCGTACTTGACGGGGACGTTGCGCTTCTTGGCGAACTGGGACAGAACTAGCGACGAGTCCACGATCATCTCCTTGCCTCGGGCAGCACGGTGACTCTTGGTCCACTTCAGCTTGCGGGGCTGACGCTTCATCTTGAAGTTCTTGTGGCACTTGGACCGACAGAAACGGAATTGGCGGGCGTCATTGCGAACGAATGTGATGCCCTTCCCGGGGAAGGCCGGGCGGGAACAGAAGTGACAGGTTTCCACACTATTAAAGAGAAGAAGAGGGTTAGTTGAGGATCATTTTAAATGTTGAGACTGAAGAGCTTACCGCATGGTTGCTGGTGTGGGTTGGATCTGGACTTTCGTTGTTATCTCGCAAACTTTTTTTTGAAAGAGATGGTCGGCGTGGAGGAGGTCGCGCTAAACCCGATTGGGGCTCGCGCGCTGACTTTTATCCCGCGAATCCTCCAGGTCCATAACTCATCCGCAATTCTCTCCGATTTTGGCCACCCGATCTCTCTCTGTATTCACGTCATGGCTTCAATTCTTTCTATCGGTCTTGGTGTTGGTGTGGCTGCCTTCTTGGTATGTGATGGGGTTTCTGGCAGATGTGTGTCTGTATGATTGAACTGACTGTTGTTCTCCAGGGCCGTGCCGGTCTGGTCGCCTACCGCCGTTCTCAGGGCGGCGTCAACGCTGCTGGAAAGGCTTTCTACAAAGGGTTGGTGAAATCTTGCAGACAGAATTTGTGACGGTTACTAACAGTACGATAGTGGATTTGAACCGCGCATGACCCGCCGTGAAGCCTCCCTGATTCTCGAGCTCTCGTATGTTCCCCGGATTGGACCTCGGCGTACCTTTTGAAGGATACTAACCCGGTATTCGCCAACAGTGAGCGCAAATTGAGCAAGGACAAGGTGCGCAAGAATCACCGTCAGCTCATGCTGCTCAACCACCCCGATCGTGGCGGCAGCCCGTACCTGGCGACCAAGATCAACGAGGCCAAAGAATTCCTCGACAAACATACTTGAGATATTGAACTGGGATGGTGCGGCTCTCGAAGATGACCTAGGATCATCGAGAAGCCAAACCATCAGTGTATACTCTTCTCCGACGGCCAGATACTGCAGAACCCTGGTGAATTCTTCCCGGGTCCAGACTGGTCATACTTTGGGTGCATAGCGTGGCGTTGTTTGTTTGACATTTTTCAAGATTGGGATGTACCGAGTCGTTCCATCGCTCGATCTTCCATCGATCTTCATGTACTTTATGCGCTCTTCTTTGTCATATATCCTCCCGAGATCGCCACTCATCGAATTGTACTACTATGATCATGTTCTACAAAGCCCAAGCTTTCCCCTAGTCCAGTAATTGAGCAAGAACTTGCACTAGTAAGGAACCCCGGCCCTGCCCGATACTACCTGGTTGCACCTAAACGCTCATCGGACTGCCGATCTCTGCTCGTTGCAGAAGAAGGCACGCGGTCACGGAAGATGCAGCACAAGGTTTTAAGAGTCATATACTATCGTACTACTGCGTCATCAGGGTACTCGGAAAGCGACCCTTTTTTTCATCCGATAGCAAGTTTATTAGAGTCTCCAGTCCGGACAGTCAACGGAAGACGGATGAGTTCTCCTTTAACCATGAATCCGTGAATCCCTGTTCGGGCCCGACGGACGAAACAGTCGGAAGTTCCCCCCAATTGCGGGCGCCACAGGCCACTTTTTCTGCAGTCTTGGCTCGGGATCGGGGTTAAGCACCTCCGTTCCTCCAGTGCTCAAGGCAGCAACAGGCAGGGCTCCCGTATTTCGTATTCTGCTCTCTTTCACTCACTCACCCCGGCCCTGATATTAGATCCGTGCTGAACAGTAATCCCAAAAACCCAGGTCCGCTGCTGATGTCAATTGCGTTGAGTCAGCGGAACTTGGGACTTTGGGTTATCCATCAACGGCCCCTCGTCCTCTTTTTCCATCCACCGTCGTAGCGCCAAATCAGCAGCTCTACTAGGGTATTAGCCTCGATCTGGCTTTTTTAACCTTCTCTCCAGTCAATCTCACCTTGGATGCGTCATCCACTGCCCGATCCACCCTGCCCTCACGTTCCGATCTTCAACTTCAGGGGAAAAGCTTCGGGGAAAGCACGTCTCCGACTTGCATGATAGTCAGCCCCGCAGTCTTTACTTAACACCGCCCTCCCTCCTCCAGCTCCACTTCCGCGGAGTTTCCACGCGCCACCTAAAAAAAAGTCACCATCATGGACGGCCTCGGGGATGACGGCATGGGTTTCGACATGAACCAGATGATGATGAACCACCAACAACAGCAGCAGCAGCAGCTTTATGGCGGCTACTCGCAGGATGGCTCCCAGATGGGTGGTCTCGCGGGGTCGATGTATGCCGATGATTCGGCATTGGCCGCGGGGGATGACGCCAACGATGCAAAGCGGCGGAGGATCGCAAGAGTGCGCATTATCGATCTATAAATTATTCATGGACACTGGCTGATTGGTGGATTTGATAATAGGCTTGCGATATGTGCCGGAAGAAAAAGATCAAGTGCGACGGCAAGATGCCCAAGTGCTCGCACTGTATCAACTATAAGACGGATTGTGTCTTTACCCAAGTCGAGAAGAAACGAAATCCCCCGAAAGGGTGAGTGGTTGTTATGACGGACTTGCGCACTTGATTGGATCTGACTTGGACAATGCAGGGCGAAATACATCGAGGGCTTGGAAAACCGCCTGGGCCGCATGGAATCGCTCCTCCGACTCTCTGGCCTCCTCTCCGAAGATGATAATGGAAAGACAGATCTAGGAACGTTGGAAAAACGACTCGCCGATCGAACGAATGCTCTCAACGCGGCGAGAAATACGAACACGTTTAACATCCCGAGTGCAACCCAGCAACAATCGGCCACTTCTCACAGTACCACACCCCACGTGGAATCTCAATCCAGTCCGCATACCGCCGCGACTTCGCCCGATTCACAAAAAGAGTCTGAGACAGAGGTTGAAGCGTTGTCAGATATGATGTGCTCGCTGGTTACCAACAATTGCGGCGAGACCCGGTATATAGGTAGGTTTATCATACATTGAGAAGGGTCTTAAGTTATTAACCGTTTTGTTACAGGTTCCTCGTCAGGGTTCTCTATATTCTCTCCTAAAGGTATTCAATGGGTCAATGAAAAAACGGGTGACACATCCTTCCAAGATATGATTGCCTCAGCGTACGTCGATGACAACAAGTGGATGTACTGGAAACCAGAGATTTTCAGCGACATCTTTGCGCGACGGGTGTTCAAGCCACTTCCACCCAAAGAAGAAGCTCTATCCCTATTCAAGGACTTCTTCGAAAATTTCAACTGCATGTTCCCGCTTTTCCACGAAGCGACCTTTATGCACTTGGTAGAGCGACAGTACTCACGAGACCCATATGAGGGCTCGGGTTGGTGGGCCAGTATCAATGTTGTTCTGGCGATTTCCCACCGCCTGCGTGTGATGAGCAATTTGGTGCCCCACGAGGAAGATAAGAAGGCTTGGTTGTATCTGAAAAATGCGATGGGGGTCTTGACTGAATTGACAATGCGGAACACTGATCTCCTCAGTGTTCAAGCGCTGCTGGGCATGGTAAGTACCTGAATTCAAATTTCCAAATTCCAGCGCCACTAACACACTCATAGTCCCTCTTCCTACAGGGCACTCCTAACCCTCAACCAGCATTCTTTTTGGTTGCTGCAGCTATCCGCCTTTCCCATAGCATTGGCTTGCACAAGCGAGGCTCCGGCTTCGGTCTGAATCCGGTAGAGGTGGAACAGCGGAAGCGAGTCTTCTGGGTTGCCTACTGCCTTGACAAAGAGTTCGTCTTCACTCCTCCTCTCTCAACGAATTTCAGGCTGACCATCTCAAAGCATTTGTCTACGTTCAGGAAGGCCACCAGTACAGGACGATGATGACATGAATGTCGAACTTCCAAGCGAAGACCCCCCAGATAATGTCGGACACGTGCCGCTCGCCGATGGCAGAGGGAAATTCAACCTCTTCCGGTCTCTCTGCGAATTCGCTACCATCGAGAGCAGAGTTTACAAGAGGCTGTATTCTGCCAAGGCTTCAAAACAGTCCGACGGCGAATTGCTCAACACCATTGGCGAGCTGGACAAGGAACTAGAAGACTGGAAGGACAATATTCCCATCGACTACCGACCTGAATACGAAATTCAAGCCACACATGGACCTCTCCTCATTCACGTCGTGGTTCTCCACTTCGCCTACTACAACTGCTTGACTACCATTCATCGCATGTCCGTGCACCATGGCTATTGGACGAGTCGGTTGTCCAATTATGCTATCCAAGGCTTGAATGCCCGGCCGTTGAATCCCAGAGTCTTCCTGTCCGCTGTCTTGTGCGTGACTGCTGCACGGGCTTCGATCAACCTCATCAAGTACATCCCACAGGGAGACTTCGCTTGCGTTTGGTAAGATCATCTCATTGGTGTTTTTCTCATTTTCAAATACTAATTCAACATTGGCAGGTTGATTCTTTACTATCCAGTGTCCGCTCTTGTTACCCTATTTGCTAATATTCTTCAAAATCCGAATGATGCTCGTGCTCGGTCGGATGTCAAATTGATGAATGTGGTGGTCAACTTCCTCTCCACCTTGGTCTCTGATGAGTCCAATGGCAGCATCAAACGCATGCTTGGGCTGTGCGGTGAATTCGAGAGAATCGCCAAGGTCGTTCTCGACAAAGCTGAAAAGGAGTCTCATGCGCGGAAGAAGCGCAAGGCCGCGCCAGATGACTCTGCTACGCAAGATTCGAATGAACAACAACCCCAAACCTCTCCCTCGGCTAAACACGCAAAAGCTCCTCATAATACTCCCTTCTCACCTTCGATGTTCGCCAACCATCCCTCTGCTGGAGCTGCTTCGCCTAGTAATGCGAAAGCTTTCAGCAATGACCCTACCATGCCACCTGGCTCCGGTATTTCCGGTGACTTCCCGAGCAACGTTCATGCCATGTCTGGTCTGGGACAAGATTTCCAAGATATACTGAGCCCTGAACAGTTGGCCGGTGTTGGATTCCCCGACCAATCCTTCCGACCTACCAGCCCCAATACGGGACCGTTCCAGCAGCCGTTTGTTCCACAAGATCTTTGGCAGATGCCTATGACTATCGAATGGGACTGGGCAGACATGTCGACTAATTTCCCTGTTTTTGAAGGCGTTGGTGCCAATGGCCAGCCTCAGTGAAATCATGGCCAAATGGCTCGGATATGAGGCAGAAAGCTATGGGGGTTGTATCTTTTATTACTTAGATTTATGGCGCTTGGTAGCGGTTTCACGGGCTGGGTCATTATTTGGGCTGTTTTCTGTTGGATTGAGCGTTGCTTCTCCCCTCTATTATTACTACTACACACCTTCCTCTCTCCCTACTTTCATGTACATTGATGCGCTCGTCTACTCTTGATCAAAGAGCAAAGGGCGCTCTGGAGTAAAGACTCCAAAAGTTCCACTCAGCGAAGATATCTCCAATCTTAAATAATACATTGAAGATCACACAATGTCCAAATAGTGAAGTAGAAAAGCAGATTTTTTTTCCTAGTCATCATAGTCTAGAAGTCTTCTAGATGGAATGTTAACCCCGTTTAAGTCCATCTCCTTCGACCCGATTCCGATGGCCGATGACTCAGCGAGCACCGGAATTCAGAAAAACCCGGTGCCGAACTTGGCCGCAGCTTGAGAGCTTTCTACCATAACCTCAGGTCCCTCTATGGATTGCGCAGAGTTGTCCATCGCCCCCGAATCCGATTGATCACCCCCTTTCTTCACCCTCTCAGCCCTGTGGGCTTCTCTTCCCCTCGACCATGGCCTCCATACTCCGGCGGCCAGGCAACATTGCCCGATTCTCGAGGAGAGCCACAGAATGCGTCGGCCGCGCTGGAACAACCTCTCTACGAACGCACCCGTCACGACTGTCCTCCCTAATCACATCCTCTCGCATCCGGACATACGCTACAAATGGCCCTACTCCTCCGAATGACAACTCCGGTAACTCCCCGCCGAAGGGGAGCGAGCCGGAGAAGGGTCACAAAGAGGATGAGGCGGAGTCCGTCCTCAGCACGGAGGATCAGACGAAATTGGATGCATTCACCAAGCATTTGAAGACTCGAATGCCGGACTCGCAGCATGAGGCGATTGATACGTTGCGGAAGCATTTGATGAAGAATGGCATGCCGGATGAAGTCAAGCAGTTTATCGAGAAGCACGCAAATGCGTCTTTGATGGATCACATTCGCATGATGCGTTGGCTATTCAAGTATACTAGCGAGCAAGCCAAGGAGGATGTGGAGGAGTATAAGAAGAACAAAGATGGAGAGAACGATCAGGTGAACAAGAACACCGAGGAGAAGAAGGAGGGACAGGAAGAGTCCGAGCAGAAGAGCAAGGAGAAGGAAGGAAAGGGAAACGAGAAGGAGACTAAAGATCAGAAGAAGAAAAAGCAGGATCAGGGAGCCGCTGCACCTCGAGTGTTTGAATTCCGATTCGATCCCGCCTCCTTCCTGGTCACCGCATTCGTCACATACTACGTCTACCGCAGTTTCTTCCCCGGCGAGAGTGGTGGTGGCCGAGAGATCACCTGGCAGGAGTTCCGCTCGAACTATCTCGACAAGGGTCTCGTGGAGAAGTTGACCGTCGCTAACGGTCACCGCGTCCGTGTCGACCTGAACCGCGAGGTTGTGAACCAGGCTTATCCCGATTCTGCTGGACAACCGGTGACCCACGTCTACTTCAGCATTGGATCTGTTGACAGCTTCGAGAGGAAGCTGGAGCAGGCTCAATACGAACTCGGTATCCCCAACCACGAGCGAATCCCAGTTGCCTATGTCGACGAAGTCCCCTGGGGTAGTGCCCTTCTGTCCTTCGCCCCGACTCTGCTGTTGATCGGTGGTATCTACTGGTTCTCCCGCCGTGGTGGTGCCGGTGGTGGTCAGAGCGGTATCTTTGGCATTGGCAAGAGCCGTGCCAAGCGCTTCAACCACGAGACCGATATCAAGATCAAGTTCTCCGATGTCGCCGGCATGGATGAGGCTAAGGTCGAGATTATGGAATTCGTCAGCTTCCTCCAACAGCCCGAGCGCTTCCAAAGGCTTGGTGCGAAGATCCCCCGCGGTGCTATTCTCTCTGGTCCCCCTGGTACTGGTAAGACCCTGCTTGCCAAGGCTACTGCCGGTGAATCCGGTGTGCCCTTCTATAGTGTCAGCGGTTCCGAGTTTGTGGAGATGTTCGTCGGTGTCGGTCCATCCCGTGTCCGTGATCTGTTCGCCAACGCCCGGAAGAACACCCCCTGCATTATCTTCATTGATGAAATCGATGCTATCGGCAAGTCCCGTTCAAAGTCGAACTTCGGCGGTGGCAATGACGAGCGTGAGAGTACTCTCAACCAGATCCTGACGGAGATGGACGGTTTCAACACTTCCGAGCAGGTTGTCGTTCTGGCCGGTACCAACCGACCTGATGTCCTCGACAAGGCTCTCATGCGTCCCGGTCGTTTCGATCGTCACATCACGATCGACCGTCCCACCATGGATGGCCGTAAGCAGATCTTCCGTGTTCACCTGAAGAAGATCGTTACGAATGAGAACATGGAATTCCTGGAAGGCCGGCTTGCTGCTCTGACTCCAGGATTCGCTGGTGCTGATATTGCCAACTGTGTCAACGAGGCCGCCCTTGTTGGTAAGTTTATACTGTAACCCTTTCTCCTTGGAGTTTACTAATATTCTATCTACAGCTGCCCGTGAAAATGCCGACACCGTCGTTATGCGCCACTTCGAGCAGGCCATTGAACGTGTTATCGGTGGTCTGGAGAAGAAGTCTCTTGTTCTTTCGCCCGAGGAGAAGCGCACCGTTGCCTACCACGAGGCTGGCCACGCTATCTGTGGCTGGTACTTCCGGTGGGCCGATCCGCTGCTCAAGGTGTCTATCATTCCCCGTGGACAGGGCGCTTTGGGTTACGCCCAGTACCTCCCCGCTAATGGTGACACCTACCTGATGAACGTCAACCAGCTCATGGACCGTATGGCCATGACCCTGGGTGGCCGTGTCAGTGAGGAGCTGCACTTCGACACTGTTACCAGCGGTGCCAGCGACGACTTCAACAAGGTCACCCGCATGGCCACCGCCATGGTCACCAAGTTCGGTATGTCCAAGAAGCTCGGCTACATCCACTACGAGGACGACTCTGGCCAGCAGTTCCAGAAGCCCTTCTCCGAGGATACTGCCCGCACTATTGACGCTGAGGTGCGCCGCATCGTCGAGGAGGCCTACAAACAGTGCTACGAGCTGCTCAGCTCACGGAAGAAGGAGGTCGGCATCGTTGCGGAGGAGCTTCTATCCAAGGAGGTCCTCGGCCGTGATGATCTGATCCGCCTCCTCGGTCCTCGCGAGTGGCCCGAGCACGCTGAGTTCGCCAAGTACTTCGACGGCAAGGGTGGTGAGACCATTGCTCCTCCCGAGCCCAAGGTAGACCCCGAGGAGACGACCGGCAAGGATGGCCGCGACGAGACCCCCCTCCCTCCCTCATAGACGGCCCGAATTGATGTTTTTGTTTTTGTGTACGCAATTTGGATCTGCATATTTTGGCTGTTTAAAGCAGGGAGTGTGTGATATCACCGTGTTTTTGTGCTCTGGGTTTATTCCACTTTTTCCCCCTTTCTCTTTTCCTTTACTGTACTTATGGACCTGCATTACCCTTTTCTTCCCTCTCTCTTCTTCTTTTGTTTTGTCTACTCCCCTCTCAATCCTCTCTACTACTCATCACCTCATAAAACTCCTTTTTTCGTTCGATCATGTCGCGATTAAATATGAAGACCTTTCTACTCATTTCGTTTGTGCTTGCTCGAGCCTTCGGCTAGAGGCTCATATCTCCGAGTGTGGAGTGTGTATTATATGGAATCGTAACCTCTCATCTATTCTCGATTAAGCTCATCTTAGCTCCAGGCACCCACTCCCACGTATCATTATCACTATCTCCTTAGGTCTCACAACTTCATTTCACCTTGCACCTTCCTTTTATTCTTCCAACTTTATCTCATCATTCGAACTTTCTTTTCTCTTTCTCCTACATCTTACCATATTCTTCTAAGACGACCCCAGACAACCTCACTACCTTCATGTTCTCATCTCACCTCACTACCCAGATAACCTTCAAGATCTTGACCCTGGACTGTCCTCCTTTCCCTCACTTCCACCAAACTCCAAAAAGGCAGCTCAACCTCTCGAGATGCCAGCGCTACCTTCCGACGAATACGACGCGGACCCCTCCACCCCCGAGTCGCAGCGAGCCGAGGAGCTCCAGCTTGGCCAGCTCCTTAGACGTCAAAGCCCCGAGGACCTAAGCCACTACGAAAATGCCCTCGTCGAGGCTAAGCCCGAGGTCGGGGGAATCCTCGAATCAATCCAGGTCTCCGATTCAGCTTTCCCTGCCAAAATCGACTCAAAGCTGTACCCCCCGATTTTCAAAAACTCCACTGTCTCCAAAAGCGCCGTGAAGGAGTTTCGACAAATGCTAGCCCGCTACAATTCACGCCGCAGAGCGTACACGGCACTGCGACCCCGCGTCAAGAAGCTACAGCCTACATCCAGAAAGTTCATGGTCGAGCGCCTCCAACCGCTGCACCAGGAGATCGAAACCCTGTATTCGATGCTAATCCCCCTTTTCGGCGACAACATTAATGAACCCAAGCCACAGATGAAGATCTCAGCAGCGGCGATGAGGGTAAGGCCCTCGCTCGAGAGTTCAGGAATGAGCGCAAGGCCTGATTTCGGTTCGTCCCATTCGTTTCATTTAATGCCATTGTCGTACCCCCAAGCGGGATTTTGTTTCGTCCAAGCCCCATTCCTGAACCCCCCTACTAACCCCAAGCTCTGGTTTGTTTTTAGGAAGTTGAACGCATCGGGACAATGCTTTTTCGCGGAGGTGACTCCCTTGTCGCCTTTGAGCTATCATTCCTCTTAGTCATAAGTGACGTGAGAGATTCTTCCATTTCTTAGCCAGAAAGTAGTCTATGAATAAAAATCAGCCTTTACATCTGGGCTTCAATCAGTCGCAGTAGTACAGGATTATTAGGTCAACGATGTGTCTGCGTAAATACGGCGTGATATCTGTGATTCAAAGCCCCATCCGTGTCCTGCTCATTTCTCAAGGCGAACCCTTTTCAAAAGTGTGTCTCATTTCAACCACAAAGACTAACCTCACGATTGGCCCAGGACACACTAAAGCCTAGCTATCAGGGCCAGGAACCACTATATCCTCCTGAGAGGCGCTCATGCTACGAGCATATTCAGTAGTCTGCGGCAATGTAACAGGCAAAGATTCTCCTGTAGAATTAAGAGAAGAAAGTACTCCGTTCATGGCGCTGGACAGAGAAGATGGCCTGTGGTGAAGTTTGCCTCTTGAAAAATCGCGTATTGCTTTGAACTCGATTGCACCGGCGAGAGCAGGCGAAGGCACAACGAGGGAGAACAGTTTAGTGGCATCTGGATAGGCCTGATCGTATCCATGCTTCGAAGAAAGGGCAGATGATTTGAGATGCCTTCAAACCTCAGGAGCCTCTTTCTGCGCGGCCGGGTCGTTCTTTGTGACTTTGCAGCGTGCTTCCTCAATATACTCTGTCACAGCTATTGCTCCAACTGCTTAATATGAACTGGATAGGACAGATAGGCCATAATGTCCAGCTCGCCATAGTGCGGAGTAAGTAGAGGAGATATTGGCCGCGGAGAAGAATTAGCCGTAGGCGCGAGTATAGCTTGAAGGTGTATCAAATGCCCTTGCTCAAGAAAGGCTATTCTTGTTCAATAACCTTTGGCTAGATTATCGAGAGAGGCATATCGATGGTACGGGTCTGGCTGTAGGATTAGAAGGTGACATATTATATTCGATGGCGCAATCGGCGGGATAATAAAGACAACGCGATTATATCGCGGCATAGTGAGCCTAGGGAAAATAGGTGCGCTTGCATTATTTGGCATTGATCGGTTTGTAATTTCCGGAGTGCTGTACATAGTCTGTACAGTACATACATAGTGAGAGGCTATAGTATCTTTACGCTACACAATAATAATATTTCTGGTCCTCTATTCCTTGTCTTCGTGCCCTTCGTCATAGTGGAGATAGCCGTGGAAAGGCCGGATTGGGGGGAAATAACCATGGACTGCAGCCTGCGAAACATTTTTTTTTTCTTGAATCGAAATACTTGCTTTTTTTGGATATTCAGCTGGGCATTTGTGGGAGAGATTTTGTGTACCTCCGTACTTGTTCAGCAGAATGATTGGCTTATGAATGAGATTGTGCCCGAAAATTACCCTACGAATAGGATTGTTGTGTCTGAGTGGCTTGTTAGAGGCGATGATTTGTTGAGCTGAAGCATGATCTGCATAGCCACCCACACCCCCGTCAGCCGCAGGAACCCATGTTTCTGCGAAGAGTGTTTTGAAATCCTGTCTGAGATAAGCACTGTGGCACTGGGACAGGAATTGTGCCAGGCTGTCTTGTTTTGGGCTTTGCCAGGCAGAGAAAGATAGACGTGATCATTAGGTATTATCATTACCTATGACCGCCACCGGGACCCGACCTTATGATTGCTTATCTCATGGTCCCATATGACTAAGGACGGTAGTATTGTTTTACGATATCAAAAGATGGAGTACAGAGCACAGCTCGTGACTCCAACTTGGGAATGGTGGTACCTGGGTGCTGCCAGCTAGCACTAGCTATTTCTTCCGTGGGTGCTGCCAGTAGCGCTGGAACATGGACTGGAACGGTCGGTGCAAGAGCAGCTCCAGAAGCACCTGAGGGGCTTAGGACTACGCGGAGTAATGATCCTCTCCGGCTAGCGTTAGCGCGCGGGCTGGCGCGACCAGAGGAGATCTGATCGTCCAACTGGGCCTGGGCGCTCCGAGGTAGGACAATTAGAGGAGTTTCAAAATTTCAAGACACGCCAGAATTGGGTGCGACTGGTTTGATGCTGTCCTGAACGGGAGCAATTATTAGTCAGTCATCAAGAAGTAGTTAACTTACGGAGTACGGAGTAACTAGTTAGTTAATTGTACGGAGTTACATCTTGGATACCGGGTCAAGTAACGTGATTCCTTGACGGAGTACTGACGGGAGTAACGTGACGTGGAACCCCGGTCAGACCATGAGTCACCTGATCCCGTGACTTCTCCTATCGCCTTCCACTTCCACTCGGTCTTCCCTCTTTGACTCCACTTCACACTGAAAGCCCACTGGATGTCCAATTGGATCCTCAAATAGGACGTCTGCCCGGTTGTTGGCTGGTTGGCCCATGACATCACTGGACCCACCGGGGCGAGGTCTTAGACCGGTCGATACCATGCAGGTGATCGGGACACGAGCACCTCTTTCTTACAGGATATCGCTAGTGGTGGGTTAGCACTACCAAGTTACCCCCTCTTGTCGTCCTAGAGGAAGGTACCTGAGCGCCTGCTGGTTTCTCCCTGGCTGGGAAACCATTTCCCCTGCTCTCGCCCCCCCGGCATTAGCATACTGACAGACTTCCCTAGACCGAGTTACCGATTACCCAGAATATACACTCCCCTTGTGATCCTGGCGGGTGATCGTCAGGCAACAGATGCTCCCTCCGAGTCACCCTTCTTAGAATATTTGTCCTTCCCAACCATGAACTCCGAGACCAGACGGCCAGATATACCATTTGGCAGAATCATTGACAGATGCAGCAGTGTTGCGCATGCCTTCTTTCCCAGATCCATAGGTACCTGAACATTTCCCAATATCCGGGAGACCCTGAACTCTGCCCTGCACAGAACGCCCTGTCTGAGATTGGAGGAGGGGAAGTGCGCACCACCCCCATCGGTCCTTGAACCGGCCATGACCCTACCTTGGGGCTTCGAATCCCCTTCGATGCATGGGGATGGCCTTTTAAATCAGTCAAACGGCTGATGTCAGTCCCAAATTCCCAACGGACGGGCGGCGCTCACAGTTCAGGTTCCCAGTTCTTGACTGTCCCGGAATACCAGAAGCGAAGTGGAGCCATGGTTATCGCATCATCCAGCCTGTGGCCTTGCGAGACGCACACACACCCCCAAATGGCCCACGGCGGCGACAAGTAGTTCTTGAGTTGACATCCAAAAAAAAGGATCACCTCAAATCCAAGGATATCGCTAGAGAAGACAATTCAGGGTCCTTTGTACAACCTGATAAAAATAAATACTGTAGAATACCAAATTCGTATGATTACGGAGATCCCCCCCCGCATGCTCAAAGGGAAAAGCCCCCGCAAAGACAATGAGCGATTTCTGGTGGGCCACCACCATACCAGATGGCTTGTACTCTTTCTGTACCCAGCTCCTCCTCCTTTCTCCTCTTTCTCCTCCTCCCCTGCTTTTTTTTGGTTCCTAAACTTTTTTTTCTCTCCTCCTTCTACCTTTCCCTTGATTCTTCACTTCTTCCTGTCGTTCGATTTTCCCTCTCTATTCTCTCTCATCTACTCCCTCCTCACCACCTCCATACGCTCGGTTCGTCCGTATCCCGCCAACTAGCCGCCCCCGATCCCCCGACCCTCTGTATACTTCCACCAGCTTCCACCCGGAATTGAGCGTGCCTCGTCACTCTAAGGGCTTTCGAAAAAACGTGCCAGAAAGTCCTTTACCATGGCTTCTTTCAAGGTATGTGGCTTCAATGTCGAATGCCAATTCACTGGTTTTGGCCTTGAGTCCTCTTTTCCCCCCTCCTTCAATCGGTCGCCGGTGTTCACCAGTACTGATGATGTGGCCGCCCACCTCTCCAGGAATTGTCCCTCTCTCGTCCTCTCCCCAACACCACCCCGCGACAACACGCTCACTCGATATCGCTGGGAGCCGTCAATGCCAACCACCGTATAACCCGCCGCAAGAGTGTGACCACTGCCGCCGCCAATGCCGCGGCTGCGGTCGCCGCGTCGATGAAAGAAGGCGGCGAGGCCGCTTCGCTCCCCATGGGTGCCGCGCATCGTCGGAGCCTGGGGGCCCGCAAGGGACTGGAATCCACCTCGGTCGGAGGTGCCTCTGGGTTTAGTTCATACCTGTCCCGAAGTATGAACAGCCCCAGCCAGGAACCTCCAGTAATTCGCAAGCCTTCTCCAAGCAACTCCGACGAGGACGGCAAGCCTTCCCTCAAGGGCCGCAACCGCCGAGCCAGCGAAGGTGCTCACATGAAGCTCGATGGAAAGCGTACCCCCGCGGACCTCCGCTGCGACCGCTGCGGGAAAGGATATAAGCATGGCAGCTGCTTATCCAAGCATATGTGTGTATCCCCCATGTCGCCCGGCTGTCTTCTTCTCGTTCGATCGGGAGCATGCGCCACGTCGGCTCTGTGCAGGTCGCCCTCGTGGTCATTCAAATCCCTTCCGTCATTATTCCCTTACTCTGCCCCCTCTACTTGACCATTCCTACCTTGTTCACCTCCCCTAATTTCGCTGGTGGCATCCGGTTGACGTGTAATTTTTTGTGGCGACTTAGGTGGGAACATGACCCTGCATGGTCGATTACTTCGAAACTCCTCATCTCCAAGCACCAGCAGGTGCAGCTTCTGGAGGCTGCCACGGTGCTGGTCAACATGAACATGGACGACGACATCCCCGAACACTCCCCCGATGCGGAGTCGGAACTCTCCTCCGCCTCCCCAGATGCCTCTTCGGTCGTGCGTGATGGGATCAGCTCCGCCGAGACTACGCCACCTCCGATAGATGAGCAGGAGGAAGACGACGATTTCGAGATGTCTGGCATGCCGGCCAACTGGACCAAGCGCCCCAGCATCAGCAACGCTTTCTCTCGCTCCTACCAGTCGATCCCCTCTAGCTCGTACAACGGAAGCGCCCCGCTCCACTCCCCTGCCTTCTCCCACTTCCGCAAGTCGAGCATCGACACCCGTCCGTCCACCGCAGACACCCGACTCCACGAGGATGACGAGGCGGATTTGGCTGCCGCCATCGGGTTGTGCAACTTTGGCACTCCCCGCACAGGACCAGTGGCCATGGCTCCGGATGTGCCTCCCGTCCCTCCTTTGCCGGCTCGTTACCTTGACTCGGGCAGCCACCCTGGAAACCTCAGCCCTGGCTTGGGACACTCCGGACCCGGCCCCATGAACGAGGCCTACCGCCGCAACTCCAATGCGGATGCCTTCCTCTCGGCGTCGCTCAACCCATCCCTTTCATACAAGGTGTCGGATGAGCGTGGCGCACGAAACAGCCACAGCGAGGCTACTGCACAGGAATCCCGTCAACGACGCAACGCAGATGTAGACTTTGGCAGCCGCCGAGCCCCTGCAGATGATGACGACGATGGTGTCTTTGGTCGCATGGAGGAGTAGATTACTCCGTATCTGCTTCCTCCCATGTTACCTGCTTCGAGCCAGACAGCGGGCCGCCACTGTGGCCTTTTTTATTGTGCCACTCGACGCACCCTTTCACGACGAAATGTACGAGCTTGAGCGTTTTTTTTCACATGAGAATTATTCTTGTTTACATGTTTTGACATGCACGTTTCATAATGAAGGAAAGCTACTCTGGGAACTCGATCGGATGGTCACTTTCATTTCATGATGGGAGTAGCCAATCGCCCCGGGGAACAGAACAGAGTTAGTTTCTTCTTCGCACAATGCGTGTCTTATATTCCGGGAGCCCTTTTTGACCTATGGGATTCCCATGTATCATGTCTCTTTGGCCCGATTGTTTTCTGTCTCTCTTTTAAGTTTTCTTCGTCTGCTTCTGCTAGTTGATTGTTCCTTTGCCTTGTCTTTTTTTCCTGGAAACCTCATAAATGGCCTTTTTTGCAATGGCCGGCGCATATTCATCATCATCAATATCCCAAACCACACAATACCTACGAGCTTGTCATGTCGCCCTTGTTTTCTTATTTTTTTTTTGCCTCTTGCCGTGGACTTTTCCACTACTCATTCTCCAGCTCGCACAGATACACCCCCGTGTTTTCTTTTTATTGTGCCCAGCATTGAAACCAACACTCATATGCCACGCGTGATCTCGTCCTCTCTCTCCCCTATCCGTCGCTAACCTTTTCCTCCTCGATCACATATCCCGCTACACGCACATTCTCTCTCCTCCCATATGTACTCAATGAAACCCGCGGACGGGGTACGCAATGAATATAACTCATGAACCAAGATTCAAGTCTAACCAATTGTAATCTTACCAAGTAGCATTCGTGATTGACCGTACAGCCCTGCGACAGCTAGCCATGCAGTGCTATTTTCCCTCTCCGGTGAAGCTTGGACCCGCCAAACGGGGATAAAGCGTCCAATTGGGATCAGACAACGCACAAAGAAAGCACAGCACTGTGTTGTTTCATATTACGTGCTAAATGCAATTTTCTTTGACCGTGTATCGGAATTGAGTTTCAGCCATCTCTGTTCATTCGAGATGGAGTTATCGGGACGCAGTGTCCCGGTCTCATTCTTTTTCTTTGTTGGCCGTACCTGAACGGATTCAGAGCTGGGTATAGCTGGTGCCTGAGTTTCTTTCCTTTCGGATTACGTGCCTTGAGAATGGGTTAGTTAGATTGGCTGGGACTAGTAGGTCGTGTGGAATGCGGGGTGGAAACGGAACTACCGTCGGGGGTTGGGTACCGATGTTCTAGGCCTGACTAGCGGGGCTGTTTGATGGACTGGTCAGGGTTCTTCGAAGAAATCGATATTGAGATGATCAATGGGTATTTTATACTATAGCTTTGGCAAAATTGGGCTTATTGATTTTGATTCAGGACCTTGGCGTGGTCCCTGGAGTAATCACTCATGGCAAGATCACACTACGTAGTTCATTCAATCGCGTGCACAAACTCCATAATCAAATTTAACTCTCGATCCGTCTGATCTTGGATCTTGGTGTATGCGTACGTCACTGGAACAAATTCTTGATCCGTTGAAGGAGTATCTTCCTAATGTGAGCCTCTAAACCAATCATATATCGAGTTGCTGTGTCTCAGTCTCGGGCTATGAGGTACACTAGTGTATCATCGTTCGATCCCTGATCAACGATCTGGTGAACTTTGGGATCTGTGGTTCCAAGATCAGTGAATCTGGGAACAAGATTGATGAGAAAGCTTATATCCATGTGGTTTAGCTTTCGAGTTGGTGGTCTGCGTGCTTTGCTTACCTCCGGGCTGTTAGCAGGGGATCCATTACCGTCCATCGGGCTGTTGATTATTTCTTTGGATGATCATCGAGTTATGGTGGTGGTCCAAAAGTCTGGGTCTAGAAACCATAGTAACGAACCAATTCAGTCAGTCTAATTTGAGAGATCTTTCTAGACGTCTTTCGAATCGTCTTTCTCGATGTCCCAGGTATCACTTTAGGGCCTTCCAACGCGTCACTGCTAAGATGTTCTTGAAAATCTGTCGGGGCTCAAACTTGGAACCGTCCTGTATATCGGACCATGGCCTTCTCATGCGAGAGAAAAAAATGTCTTTCTCAAGTCTCTGGCTTATGCATCTAGAAGACAAATGGCAGACTGGTCATATGGTAGATCATAAAGACAGACCTCTCAAGTCTAGTTTATATACTCATCTCGAAAACAAATGGACTTAACTCCCCAAATCCACTCTATCAAACCTCCCCAACCCGCTGAAAACAAACCGTACACACTCCCTGCCCTTCCTGCCCTCCAAACCTAAACCGCGGATACTCAACACGCCCCCAAACAACCAACGCATCCTTCTTCTCCCCATCCTCCTTCCCAGCAACAAACCACTTCACAAGCTCATCCTCCGTCCAATTACAACTAGTCACGATCAAAAATCCACCTCTCCGCACCAACCGCCGCGCGATATCAGGATACCGTTCACAAACGCGCGTCGCCTTGGCATCGTCCGCCAGCGAGATCGCATCGAACGTCCCCTTGTCCAAGACAATATCGAAACCACCTTCTTCGTAGGGGAACCAGGGTAGTGTTACGTCGTCGCTGGTGGGAGAGGTTTTCACGCCGGACTCGGAGAGGACAGCCTTGGAGCCAAGGATATCCCATTCCTCGAATTGGATGGGTGCAGGTTCGGGGGTATCTGCGTCCGCATTGTCTCCCTCTCCCTCATCCTCATCTTCTTCTTCATCATCATCATCATCATCCTCATTATCCGTCCGATACGCAGAATGCCCCCTAACCCTCTGCAACTCCCTCGCCAACTCCACACTCCTCGCCGAATAATCCACCCCAACCATCCTCCCGCTAAACCGGCCCTTCTTCCTCAAAAGCGCAAGCATACTACCATTGCCAGTTCCGAGATCCAGAACAGACGGCTGCGCCTGTCCTTCCGCGCGGGTATTCCGCGGCGCGAGCGGGAATGTTCGCCTCGTTAGGAAGTGGAGGACTTTCTCGGGCGCGTTGTGCTCGGAGAACCATGATGTGCCGGGGTCATCTTCGTCGTTGACGTCTGAGTCTGCGTCTGAGTCTGCATCGGCATTTTCGCCGGCCTCAGCCTTGGTGTCTGGGTTGGTTTCGGCGTGCGAGATGTGTGCGAGGGTGCGGGCGTAGTATGTTTCCCAGCTATTTGGCGGGGTGGGGTTGTTAGTACGAGATTCAGATAGGTGGGTGCAGGTTAACCAGGAGTTATGAGGGTATCTTAATTGGGACACTTTAGGGTAGATGTGTATCGTAGACGCAGTGCATTTAAGACTTCTCAATTGCGCTAGTCGTGCATACCCTCCTTCTACTCGAGGAGGGGCGCAACGCGGGGCTTCGGAGTCGAGCTTTTGTCTCTACCTCCGAGGCTTGCATGGGCTGGTTCGGGCTCAATTGTACTTACTAGTCCTTTGTGCCCAGCTCGCTGGGCGAGAGATAGGCTGGGTGAGTATCTTCTGCCATTATTTGTGGGTGTTTGAGGGTCTGTGTTTGTCGCAAGGGAAAATTTTGGGTGAGAAGTGCGGAGGATGTTTCCTTATCGGTTATCAATTTCCACCTGAGATTGATACGCAGTATAACCCCGCGATTATATAAGGTAACGACCTTTGTCTGATTCCATTCGCGGTTATTTACGGACTATTCTACAAAAAGCAATTACAAAGAATATTTTCAAGCTGGAAGCTGTTTCATTTCTATAGTCGAACTGCGCACAAGGGGTATTTGTCATTCCTTTCCCTCGATCCAACTCTCCACCCAGATCCAATCTGGATACTGAATGCGGTCCAGGTGTCCATCCTTTCGCCTGGACCTGGGCAGAGGGATCGAGGGAACAAAAAGCACAGGGAATCAAAGAAAGAGTATATAGAAAAGGTTGAAGAACGAAGGCCATGCCATGTGGGACAGGATGATCAGATAAGAAAAGAGGAAAATGGGGTAGAAAATAGAGGGCAAAGGTAAAAAGCGATGGTTGTGATGTGATGGACTGTATAGTCCAATCGATGCATGAGAGAAACAGAGCCAAGTCATCTTCTCCGTAAAATAATATTACAGTTACCGGGCTTGCAGAAGATAGACAAGGTCTTCCGCAAAATACCCACGGCATGAGATTGTGTTCATACCAGTGACACCGGAAATGAATCGACGATGGTCAAAAGAAAGATAGAAGCGATAGAAGGGGGTTTTGGGCGAGGGAGGCTATATGCACCGCTCACTCATGCAGTTCAGTTTGGTAGAAAGGAGGTCAATATGCGACATGCGAGTCGGAAGGTGATGAACGACAGCAAAGCCTGCTTTGGTCATGGATATCATCAACCCAATCAGGAGAGGGGTATATGACTGGGGAACAGAAGTGAAAGAACTTGGAGTGGCCGAGAGAAATGAAAATAGAGAATAAAAGGCCGGAAATGAAGTGAAACATGCGATCTTTATGTCGGAGATCAAGAAGACATGCAAAAATGTCGGGGTCGTGGAAATCATCATTTCAAAGCCTGGCTTGTTGCGCACAGGCGAGAGAATTATAGGAACTCATCAATGTTCCTCAGGATCATCCGCTCTCCCCCTGGGGGAGGAGAACGGGGATCGGCAGTATCTTCGGCATATTGTACCGAGCTGGAACTTTCAGCCATTGTACTGTCGAGTCCTCGGGAAGGTAATGATGGCAGAGGTATAGGTGGTGCCAGGAAGCCAGTGGTTCTCGGGGAGAAGAAGCCAGCGCCTAGATCGGGGGATCCTGGTCCATCACGAACAAAGACGTGAGTCTGGACAAGTGGGTCGCAGCTGCTCACACTGCGTGGTAACCCGCGTGGGCGACCAGATGCAGGCTCCACGGACTGGAACTTCTGTCGGAAGGGCAGTGGGCGCGGAGACAAACTGCGCTTGGGAGATCTATTCCCATGGTTACTACTGGTCTTGGGGCGCAATGAATGAGTCGGTGGGGTGGGAAGTAGTCCCATCATTGGCACTGCCGTTCGCTGCTGCGCCTCAACTCGCTCAGCACGAGTGACTTGAGGCTCCGAGCTCCTGCGACCGGTTTGAACAAACCACTCGCGAGGAGCCGGCCGCGATGAAGGAGATCCTCGCAGCAAGCGAGAGCGATAGTCGGTGAGTTGGTAGATGAGACTCATGTTTGGTCCCACCCACTGGCTGCGTGCCTTGACCAGGTCATACATCGAATTGAAATCCAAATTTCGATTCTTGTACAACCCATACGCGATCACCAAAGACGCAGAGCGGCTCGCGCCCAACTGGCAATGAATCAGGACTTTTTTACCCTGAGCTATCCGGTCATCAACCAGTTCACACAGAGGAAGTAGATCATCAAGGATCTCCGAGTTGTGATCCCAGCCAACGTGGATGTACTCGGGGGTGGTAGATTTAGGTGTGGGGGTAGTCGGGGTCGCGGACCCAGATTCTGAAGGCTGGTATTCAAACGCCGACTTGAAGGAGATTTCGGAAATGGCTGTTTGGGGATCACCGCCAGAAAACCGCTTCGAGGCCATCGAGGCATTGCGCCACGTGCTCATGACCGTATTGTTGCGAGCATCGTTATCCGTGTTGAAGGGATTCTTGACTTCCTTGGCGACATTAATAACCACGTCGAATTGTGCAGCTTCCTCTGCTGTGGGCTCCAAGTACAGAAACACGCCGGTGTCGTAGATCCGAATAGGTCCATTGGGATAACCGCGGTCGGTACCACGCGTCGACTCTCGTGAATGCATCGGCTCATCCTCTTCCTCTTCAGGAATCACGCGTTGAGAGAAGGCGGAGCCATCGTCGGGCATGGATGTCAACGGAGAAGTATCTTCAGATGATGTACCCGATAGACGCCTGGCGCCGTGATGCGACGTTGGTCGAGGGAGCTGCATGCCACCGCGCGGGGCGAAACCAGGAGACGTGATCGAAGCGAGAGAAGGTGATGACTCTGCATGGCGCAGGGACTGACGTCCCATAGGTGTGGGAGGAACCAAGTCGGGAACATTAGTGGTGAATGATTTGTCAAAGCCCGGAGTCCGGATGGTGAGGTTTGCAGGGCGGCGCCGGCTGCTCTTCGGAGGAATCGGGATGGGAGAGGGTGGGGCAGAGAGGTAATGTTTCGATGAAGTCTCGAGCATCGATGCAGTCGCAATGGGGGGTCGGGACTGCGAAGGCAGGGGCATGCGTAATGAGAGATTCTTCAGGTTGCGTGCTCTGCGTCCGGGCGAGTCCGGTCGCGGAGGATTTGGAGCCAGCGATAACCTGGAGCTGTCGGAAGTCATGGTGGACAGTGGGGCAACCTCCACCGGGCGGATGATTGGTGTAAATTTAGGGTAGGATAATGGCATTGCCGAAGGGGTTTCTGGAGAAGAGCTTGGAGAGATGTCGCCTGTGGAAGGAGAGTCGAATGGCGAGATAGTGGTCGTGGGCGAGGACTCTGTTGAGCCGGAGGTCATTGACGAGACACTTTCGCGATGCACGGAAGGAAAGAGACGGCGCGAGTTTGTATTGACTGGGACATGGGCTGGAACTTGGAGGGGTGGATCGAATGCTCGTCCTCTTTGTAGCGCGCAGGGAATCCACCATATACCGACATAAACGATGGGAACGAGTCCGGGAAGGACGGTGGACTTGTTTGTACCGGCATGATTTAGGCCACTTCGCGAGAGGCGTAGGGAAAGGGTCGTGTTCCTTTCCACTAATGCTCAAGGAGAGAGGGAGCGAGGAGAAAGTCGTGTTCCACCAAACTAGAGGAGCATTCGGATCGAAAGACAGAATAGATTTTGCTGCCTGCGCAAATAGAAAAGGAGTGGGATTGTTCGTTCTTTGTACAAGGGTATCACGTCAGTTTTGAGGCTTGAGGAGAGTTCGGGAATTAGAGAGCAAGCGGGCGCAAGCTGCAAGGGCTGAAACTAATGATCGACGCCCATGCAAAACAGAGGAGAGCAGGGAGAAGAAAGACAACCGCAGGCACGAGTCCCTTATGTTCCAGGAGGAGTTGAAATAATTCACGATGGAGAAGAGCAGAAGGCGATCGTAGATTCGGACTTCAGGTGGCTCACATACCAGATTCTCAAGCCACAGCCGATCTGTCGAGTTGAATGCGTTGAAATTGAAGTGAAAGGGTTCGAAGAGTTGGAAGGTTATAAAAGGTCAAGGAGCGACAAGGAAAATCGGAGGAGTAAAGAAACAAAGGCGAGGATTGAATCTCGTCCGAGAAGAATGGGATTTGGTGGTGGGCGGGGAGAAGAGAGCCCCAGGGAATAGTTGGGGGAGTAGGGTCGTTCCTCCGGGGAATGACGGGAATGTAAAGGAGAGTATTGTAAGAGAAACTGGATATAATGGTGAAGAAAGCCCCGGTCGAAAGAAGAGGATTGAGGATGAGGAAGATTTGAAAGGGGAGGAGGTTCAAGAAGAAAGGGAGGGGAGGAGAGAAGAAAGAGAAGGCTGAAGATGGGTGATGAGAGAGGGTGAGGCGACTTGTGAAAGCCGCGAAAGAATAATGGAAATAATGGACCCTTACTGTTTTGATTATTTTATTATTTATTTTATTATTTACATCCTAACATACTGACATACATCCATACTCCTACTTCTCTATTTTGATGATTGTTATTCAGTCTTGATTCCTGGCTAGGAATAGTACCAGAAGATTACTTTACAATATTATTCCGATCATCATCGTGGTTATTATCAGGATCGAGAGTGAGGATGCTTCATAAACAACAAACACAAACTCGGTATTCTGGTCAAAAATACAGGATCGGGGTATGGTGATGTTTTATAGTTCACAGGACGAAGGACTGCGCTTGGAGAGGGAGAGGCTGGTAGTTGGTACACTGATTAGTTAGTCCAACTCCTGGGCTCCATCCAGTTTACTCCGTAGAGATCTCCGATTTCAGGCCCACTGTAATTTGGTTGTTCGGGGGGGGGGAAAATCGTGTGTTTCGGGTGAGTTTCTGTCAAGTACCAAGCATACAGCCACTAGAAGACGGTTCGATCGAAGTATATTGCCCAGGACTGCTTGTACACAATACCTCCTCCAAGGCTGTGCATCGCTGTCCCCTTTCAAGTATTGAGTACCACTGTTAGACAGCCGTTTACCCTCATCGAGGCGGACGGGGTGGCTTCCCTGTAGCTCTAATTTTAGCCGCCGGGGGCGTTGTGAGTTGACTCGGCGCCAAACGCACGCAGGTGAGAGGCCAATGCTGAGTGAACCCTCGCTTTCACACCTGTCACGACTATCCAAGCATGACAGAGGATGCAGGATCTGATCAAGGCATCTTCTATCGATCTGTCTAGACTATGAGATGGTCTACCCTAACATTTCTCGTCACTGAATAGAGACTCACATGGTCTCAATATTCTTGATGGCGTGCGAGATGGCTCGGATGCCTTCCCTTCCCCCAAAACCCTAGGATCCACCTGGAGCCTGGAGGTCCCACCAACAGCTGCGCCTTGGGGGATGCTGAGAGAGGAGGATTATTGACTGGCGGGACATCACCGTACGTACCTACGGTCCATAGCAACTACAGATTATCCCCTGCGACATCAAGCACTCCATTATGCAGCTCTTACTGTATTCCTTCCAAGGGTGGAGGTCGGTGTACTTACAGATTATCTAGACCACAGAGTACATACAAGATGTATTCAAGACAATGGCTTGTCGAGGTGTATCATTATCTGGTAGACAAAGAATTCAAGTATCGGAGGAAACATACACTTGTTGAGAAACCAATAACAGTGGCAAGTCTTCAACGAAAGATCCGCGCTCATTATACCCAGAATATACCCAGCAAGCCCGGGTTGATTACGAGCACTGATTCGAGAAATTCCAAATTCGGTCCTATCCGACCCGTCCCAGACAGTGCACGGTGCCCTGTTCACGGGCTGGAGTGAACCTGCGGCAGGGATGATTCAATAGTATCGATGAGCAGGAGCTTAGGGCACACGGTGTCCCTGCACAGTGAGTCCTCCTCTGTTCCTCTATGGAGGGAATACTCCGTATAGTAATATGTAATTAATCATGTTATTCGAGTACTACATTCAGTATGAAATATCCGTATTTCTGCTGTACGGCACACACGGCTCATCGGGTGAACGGTGGGCGGGCTGATCCATGGACCATGGGATGGTCCGCGGGACCAGCAAACTGCTGAAATGATAGGAAAAGTCTCCGACCCGCTAGTACTCCGACGTACTATTCCTAACTATCAGGTAGTATATTACACTCATATATCTAGTATGTTGAGTTTAGAGGCCTCTATACATCGTACTGCACAACATTCAACCGAGAATACGCATGAATACACAATTTTATTTCAAGAGGGGAATAAAAAACACGGTCGCCTGGGGCCCAACATCTGAAACCCCGGAAGGTCGATGGATCTGAGGAGGCGATCCTGAAACACGCCAGCTCGGCACTAGTCAACACTAGTGGCCCTTGGCAAAAACAGCAATCAGCCTATCGCCGTTGATTATCGCTGTAGTCCAGCTGCCGTCAGTCGATACTTACTGATTCTGGCGATTATCGTAGACTTGGTGTTGTGCATGGAAAACTGGTGTGCTGATTATCGATGTAGTGCCGTAGGGTGAACGCCTTGGAGATGTCATTCCAACGCTTATATATCATACTCCCCTTTCTATTTGCGCTAGACGTGTTGTATCTCGACATACAACCCTTGCTTCGTATACTCAATTTACTCAACATCAACATGCCTTGCTGAGCCCCAATTTTCGCACTCTGTGGGATCTCCCAGCGGAGCCAGGAATGATCGGATCGGCCTTCCACGTGGGAGTCCTGAAACCTGGTCCGTTTCTCTCGCGGTGGAGAGGTGGTGGGCGTGGCGTTCACAGCCCTCGATAGACTACTCCATACTCGTACTGTACGTCGTAGACAGTAATCTCCAAGCAGTCTTAGCGAGTCCTTCCAAACGCCATCGAGGTAATCATGGCAGGGATAAGTAGTCGTCATAACTTGACCGCTCCTACATAGCTGACAGTGCCAACCTTCTCGAAGCAGTCTATGATCGACATCCCTCGTAAAACCAATCCTGCCAGTCGCCTGCTATACTTCCCAGTCCGGAGCTCATCTCCAGACAGCGGAACCCAAACAGATTGCAGTTCCTAGCCGCGGATCCTTCGTGAACGCGAAGCGTTTCACGATGAACCCAATTAATATGATTCTAAAAATATCATCCCCAGCTCCCATTTACAGTACTGGCCCGCCCCTCCCCCTGAAGGAAGTTAATGAACTGAGGAGCTGGCTGGCACAAGACCTTAGCTGACGTTGGTTCGTGTTTCGCTTGTGTTTCGGGCCCGTTTGCCACTTGCTCCTGAGCGTTGAGCGTTGTTTCGGCTACAAGAGAAGGGGCTGCGGGCGCCTGTTTTGAATCAAGTTTCATTCCGGAGTATTCTCTTTGCCATGATGATTGGTGGAGTGATGGGTTGATGGAACAAGGTCGGTTACCCAGTTAATGCCTGTTCTCGGTAGGATATAGTTGTAAGCAGAGGTTCACCGGCCAACCAGCGCTATGGCCAGGCTCGATATTAATTCTGGAGGCAGTGCTTGAGCCAATGGATCGTGGTTGTATCAAATATATTCTTGAGCTATACTAAAATACTACTAGGTATGGGGGCCAAAACAGGTATGTATGTTTCCTGGTCTTGGACTCTGTAACACAAGCTGCATTGCGGTCTTGACTAGAGTCCCGTTGAAGTGTGTACTTGGATACGAGACGAGGGCTGCTCGTTTACGCGATAGCTGAGTGCTTCAGCTAGAGTGCTGTGCATAGCTGACGAGAAACAATCGAGGGGTCCTTGGTGTGTTGCCGATATCATGCTTATCGATAGCCGAATACTACCTACCTCAAAGAAATATATTGTTTGAACCGCCCCCTCGTTGACTATGGGATAGATGTGGATTGTATCACACCGATATTTCGCCAGACATCCGAAAAAAGACTCGGCATTATATGCTCTCATCAAGTACAAAGCATCCACGTAACATAATCCAAGTTGGAATAGAATACTACCAAACCTAATCTAGCTACTCTACTTTGGGTACCTCTCCACTGGGAATGAACTGCGAGATTCGATAGAACTAAGGTCAACATCTTTGAGTAAGCATGTACTTCATAGGCAGATAGCCGATGGGAAGGACACTTAATCTGTCGCGTGATGTCTGATCCAGTCAGGCCGAGATTGTTTTCTTCCATCTTCAGTCTTTATACTGGCTGGACTCCATACTACGGCCCTGGCTACTCCAACACCGGTCTCACTTTCGACTAATTTGACGTGAGCCACGTGGAGATTATATCCACAAGGCAGGAGAAATAGAATGAATTGAATTGGATTTAGTTGAATTCACCTCCTTCACCAGTGACAATTATTCTCAATTCCAGAGTAAATATCGACTGTACTTCAGAATCACGGAAGATCCGGCTGTGTGGATGTCGGCCCCGAGTCCGTGGCTCCTCCTATAGGCGAACCATGGTTTGGGCTCTTTGTTTGTTGCTGCGAGACTCTGGAAACGGTGGGCATGAAACAATGCTCGACATGAAGACCTATTCTTGTACGTATGGATTTTGTTGAGGAAAAATTTTGGTCATGCTCCAATAGCATTAATTCTGTGGAATTTGAGAGAAGATTGCCGTTGGTTGAAAAAGTGACGGCTTTGACAGGATTGACAGACCCTGGGTCCAGTTGACGGGAGCAGGGCAAGCTTCTCATTGGACTAGACATTTCAACATAGAGAGCTTTAAATTCGCTAGTCTTCGTTCTTCATCTTCGTCTCGACGAGTAGTCCCAGCTCAAAGCACAGTCTAACAACACTTCAAAGTATATCCTCTTCTACATGTTAAAGTTGAACCAAAAGACAATGGGTAGGCCAGTAGCAAAGTTGATAGACTGAGAACTTATCTAAGAAGAGCTTTCAAAAGAAATAAGTCAAAAAGTATCTCAGCCAGACTTTCAGATGTGTGAAACAGTAGTACGGCAGCATCAAATTCGAGCTTTTCTTCCCAGAAAGCCACAACAATAGCGGGCCTCACCCACATCCACATCCTAATCTCCCAGCCACATGGATATCTTTGCTCGGTAAACAATAAGCAAAAAAAATCTCCAAATCTCCAAATTGGACGCATCAGAAGAGTTTCTTTATCACACACTTGTGCCTCTTGACTGGTTGTGTCACCCGGGATCTCTTGTTTGCATCTGCAGTTAATGTGCCGGGTGATTCACGATGCATACTCCCCAGTAGCTTTCCCCAGACAATCTCGTGAAAGCAGTGGTGACCCGCGTCATTTTCTTCCCAAGCGCACTCACACTTGCAGACGAGCTTTTCCCAGACAAGAGTTTTTCACGTTCATCTTCACCAGCGTTGGGATCCTTCGATCCAATTAATCATGGCGACCTTGGCCAGCACCCGGATGGCCAACGACCACCCGTCGCTTCATCACACTCGGTCCAGCTACGGCCCATGGACGGGCCCCACTGGCACCAGGGCCACTGCCACTGGTGAAACGCCTGTTCCCGACACCCTCGACTCTCTGACCCCCAAGCGCTCCTCCTTATTGCACCGGTCGCACCAGTCCCGACGATCCGTTCCAAGCTTTCACATCCCCAGCCTCCAGAATCTCACAGCTGCGGCTTCAGCTTCGACCCCGGCTTCAACTTCGAAAACATCCGCAAACCGCAATTCGGCACCAGAAGTCGCATTCTCGCCCAACGTCTCATCGGGTCCCAATGCCGGGAAACCTCAGCAATACCCTCTCTCCCCTGTACTTCGCCCTGATGTGAAAAGCACCATGCCATCGAGCGTGGCATATTCCGAAACGAGAACCCTGGCGAGCGATCATGGTCGCGCCGTAAACGGTGCTTATCGATTGGGGTCCCACACCAACAACACCCCGGAGATGGACGATGGGCGCCCCAAGAACGAAGATGTCTTCTTGAACATTGCAAGGACGGATTCAGGTCGCCGCGACTCCCTTGGTCGTTCGGATTTTAGACGGGTGAGTAGCCTTTCTAGGCGCAGAGGGGGATATGCTTCATCCTCCATGGATCATCGCACCGTTGCAACTCCTTCTCTCGCGGCTCGGAAGATAACTGACACAAGAGGGGAGAGTAATCAGTCGCGACTTGGATATTCTACACAAAGCCTTCGGTCGCCAACCACGCGTGCCGAGCCAGAACAAACCCCTTCCCCCGACCAGCGCTTTAGCAATGTCGACAGCCCCTTGCTTTCACAGAAGGGTTCACCCACCACCCACACCGGCTCAGTCAACCACTCCCCATCCGCTTCTGCCCACCCTCTCGACGACCCAGCTCGCTTCCGCTACTCGAGTCTAACCAGCGGCTCACGATCGGTCATTGGCGCCCCGCGGAGCAGACTTAGTCGAACGAGTCCAGAGACCTCCCCACGTTCACCCCCAGTCAGCGGCGAGCGACGGTCATCTATCCACGAGCCGCGCCTACGACAATCCACTCTATCTACGATTCGCAGTAGCCGCCAACCGTCCTCTTCCGAGGTAACAGAGCGTGCACGAGGAGATACGGACAAGGCGCGCGACGGGACTGAATCCACTCTGTCAACCAACGCCCCTTCTACTGTCTGGGACGAACTAGACGACCTCAAGTCTCGAATCCGCAAGCTGGAGCTAACCGGCAAACTGCCGCCATCCTCCCAAGAAGCGATTTCCGGCGCAGCTCAGGAACGACCACGAACTGCCGCAACTACCGTGACTGCATTGTCGACTTCGCCGAGGCACCACCGCAAAGTCAGCACGCCCTCGGCAGATGCTGACTATGCGGCACAGAGCCAAGTTCACCCTCTGTTGCAGTCGGCATTGGCGAAGGCCAAAGATGTTCTGACGAGTGACGTGTACACGGCGCTAGAAGCGACGATCAAAGATGCCTTGACGCTCTCCACCATGTTGGGCGTCAATACAGCTCCGTCGGGCTCAGTCTCCGTCGTGAATGGAGGGTACAGTTCGTCCGAGAGACACGCCCGCCGCAAAGCGGACAGCGTGTGTCGCAGCCTAACTGAGCTGTGTCTGGCTCTTACAGATAAGCAGCTGCAGAGAAATCGATCGGCTTCGACGAACCACGCTCCGGGGGCACAACCTCCGCGGGCGAATGGCGTTGAGAGTGAGTCCTTGGTGCCGGGACCATCCTATCAACGGGCTTCCAGTCACGAACCGGAGGGTCTGGAGCGGCGTCCAAGCACAAGCAGCCGCATGTCCAGTCGCCTAGAATCACGCAGACTGTCGTTGATTAACCCCACAACAGCAACTACTGCAGATACGAAACTATCTCAATCGCCGAGCGTGGCTCCTCCACCAAGTCGTCTGCATCGCATGTCGGCTTCTCTCCGCAGTCGCCGGCCACCAACCGATGAAGAGACTCCGGAGACAGCGACCCCGCTAAATCGGTCCCTGTCCAGGGCCATGACAGAAGTGGGGACACCGAGCCCAGCGCAGAGTGTATCACCGCGACAGCGTCTCTCTCATGATCGCTCAGTATCTCGCTCAATCCCGAGCGTTCAGCAGCAGGAACAACATGATCAGGGGTTGGGTGTCTCTCCCCGTACCTCACAGTATCAGCAGCTCCCCGCCCCCTCGCAAACACCACAAGCTCAACCTCGAACCCCGACCTCCTTATCTCAATCAAGTATCCCATTCCGCCGCAGTTACATGGCACCGGCTGTCTACCCCCCTGCAACATCCCGCTCCAACATTCAGGCTGGATCTCGCCGATATGGCCTCTCGCCCAGTTTCTCTAGCACCACACCGGGCTCTGTGGCCGAAGAAAGCCCTCGACCCTCTCAGCTAGATGCGCCCCAAACCCGCATCAGCGTGCCCTCAGGCAAATCCGCTACCAGCTACACCCCTATTCAGCAACCTCGTCTCCGGACCAACAGCTTAGGCACACGGAGATTCGGCCTAAGACGCCGCTCCGCCGCCGCACCTGACGACACCTTCAACTTTGACGACAGCATCGACTAAACAATTTTCTCCCGTCTCTTGCCTCATATCGTGTCCCTTTATCTTTTTTCCCCTGCTCTGCATCCTGTTGAAACGCCATCATGCATACCTATCAGCTTGTTAGGAATTCGGTTACGCCTCCTTGATATCATATGTTCACGCAGCGTCCTCGCATTGATCTTATTTATGGAGACTTTTCTTCTGCTCGGCGTTCCTCTATCGTGTCTTTAGACGCTTGTGCATGCATCCTCCCTGAGACTGGAGTTGTCGTCTATCTGTCGCATTGCTCAGTACAGCTCATTCCATCCGTACCATTCTCAAACGATCGCATGGCACTGCGATCAACACCTTCGACATCGATTCATTGTCCAGATCTCTTCTTTGCATTTCATCCGAAGCCTATTCTCGGGGAACTATGGCACTTTCTGGACAAACTCATGCCTTCCTTGTTTCTATCAACTTCATTTTCCTTTCGCCACCTGCCTTTTCCGAACATATTTGACCACCGTGCCTAGGACATCAGATTCCGGCTTACCGGTCCATTGATTGTACAAACACAAGCATCATCACCTTCAATCATCACAACCGGCGTCGGTGTTTCCAATCCTGTTCAACTTCTCTGTACATCTTGCCCTGGACTATTTTTCCTTCCATTCTCACCGTGCTGCACAGCCACACCGTTATATTCACGTCACTCGTGCTTCTTTTGACTTTGATCCCGCGCGGGTTGTTTCTTCACGTTTATGTGGAACGGATTTGATTTACGAATTGAACGAGACTTTTTCAACACTTCTTGCTTTTCCTAGTCCTCTACTTTAGACCATGATGTGAATCATCCTTGCCGTAGACTAAATACTTCACAGTTTGCTCTGAAGCCTAGCTCCACACTTCCAAGCAACCCCGTAAGAATCCGTCGAAAAAGTAATCGTACTTCCACGAGGAAAGAAGAATGTATCCTCTGCCTTTACAATCGCTGTCTGTTCAGTCGCATCTTTGAAAGTTATCTTGCCCTCAATGACCACGCCGACTTCGTCGTAATCGTATTTCGGGGGAGTCGACGGAGGGCCTTTTTCGATGCGGAACCATGAGCCGGTGATTGGGCTTGAGTATCTTGTTGCGTTCCTAGGTAGTCCGCTGAAGGGGTTATTTGTTAGAGAACGTCTCTGGAAGGCGTTTTCGGTGCGAGATCTTACCGAAATAGATGTTGGGGATGCCGCCGAAGTTGGGGATTTTGAATATCTCTGCTTTGGTTTTGATTTGGAAGACCATTTTGGAGGTTGAAGGTTGGATTGGTATGTAAAGAAAGTAAGCTCGGCAAATCTTATACTTTCGCTTTTCACATATAGGACTGGTATGTTGTATCTGTAGGGCTATAGAGAGGTCCTGCGTGCTCGGCCAATCGCATCCCTGTTTCGCACTACTTTTCCGAATTGGGAAAAAACCCCATCATCCTCGTCAGATACGTGGGAACTGCTTAAACGATGATAAACATTCTTGTTTAGTGTTATGATAGTATTAATATCTTCTACAAAAAGGTTCCACAAGTTTGAATCCTCGACAAATTTTGAGAATCATCTTCGCACTCACCAGTTAAACGGTATCTGTGCTATCAAGAAACATGATTCGAAAGACATTTAGAAAGACATTTCAAAAAAGAGTGATTGAAGTAAGCCTAGTTGGTCCGTTTTCTGGTTTCTAGACTCAGGATTTGGAACCACTAATGATATCCTAAGTAGAAGACAGTAATATCATTATTACGCTAAGCATACTAAGAGGTGTGTTGTCGAATTAGCAGTCGTGTCGTCGTTTTAGCAATTCTAAGATGTGGAGCTAGCTATACAATGAGTGATATCCACTAGGGAATGATATCGTGCAAATTTAATTGAAGAGATTGACACTGTGCAAACTTGCACCTTACCCAAAGATGGTTTCCAACCGTCCATCGGTCATCACATCAGTCCAAAGGATAAACTCCCCTATCGAGTCTGACTCGTTCGCAAAGACTTGGATATCAGCACTTAACCAAGTCTTCTCGATAACCTCCGATGCTCGAGTCACACCACTCAAGCCAACATGATTGTGGATAGAATTCATTCGCTCTTGCACGAACTCCCGCCAGTGGGCGTGGCCATCGTCCTGAATGAAGATTGCCATGAGATCATTACACAGACTACCCCTGCTTGACCCGTGCGAGAAGTCTGTTTGTTGCGAGTCTGTGAGTTGCAATGCACTGCCAGCTGCAATCATAGGAAGACAGAATAAAACGTTTACTCCCGAGCTCGCTGGAATGGTTGATATGATAGTGAGAATGCCAATTGCAATAGCGAGGATTCTCGATTTGAAAGATTTGAAATCAGAGATACTGACCTCCCCGGAAGATTTCTCATGAAAAAGCTCTGGGAACACCCGGTATAGTTCAAGTAGAGCCGTCAGCCTGTATACTTGCGCCATCTTTTGCAAATGGCTCACGGGGGTAAGTCCATCCCCCGTTTCTTCGACCCTATCCGCTAAAGGGATCTTATAATCGAGAAGGACATCCTCAACGCCACGCGCCTGCACGAGAAGCTCTTCCAGAAAATTTTCATGAATTACCGTGGTGGAAGTTGGCACCGTCAATTTTCTGATAATCGACCGCTGTCTTCCAAGTGCACCTGCTTGGGCGAGATAGACAAAAAGAAGGGTCGATATGCCCGTCCAAGGGTTGGACAGAGTTTTCTCAGTTCCAGTCTGATCACAGATTTGTAGGAGGTAAGAAATCGACTGTATGGGCTGGTCCATAACAAATGATGCCATCGCCTCCCAATAAGCCATAATGCCGACTAAAAAACTTCTAACGGAAGATAGTTTTTGTTGGTCAAGAAGCGCTCCATCCGAGCAGAAGAATGCTCAGGTCCTTGTCCATCAAATCCATGAGGCAGTGATAACACGATGCCAGATCGCATTAGCCACTTGTTTTCAGCAGATGAGATGAACTGGTCAATGATACACTGGGCATTGTTGGCAAAGTCTCCAAATTGGGCCTCCCACACCACCAAGGGGTTTGGGTACATGCAAGAATAACCGTAGTCAGTTCCCACGACACCATATTCACTCAATGAAGAATTACCAATTGTGAACTCAGCCTGTTCGGGACTTAGGTCATTCAATGGCATGTAAGTAGAGCGGGTGCGTTGATCATGAAGGTTGGCATGGCGCTGGGAGAAAGTCCCGCGTGCCACATCCTGTCCAGAAACGCGAACATGATGTCCTTCTAAGCACAGACTTCCCATTGCCAAAGCTTCAGCGGTGGCCCAGTCAATATCCTTGCCTTCTAAAGGCTCTGTCGACGCTTTTGAAGGATTCGTTTGAGGTTCTTGTGTACCTGGAAAGGCTCCCCAGGAACTCCCAGTTTCCCGGCCACTGCATTGACAACGTCCTGAGTGATTGCTGTGGGCTTTGCAGGAAGAAGATCTTGGGCCAGCTCAGCTGGTGTTTTCATATCATTCCATTGTGCGGTCAGGTATTCGCGGTCCAGTGCCTGTGGGTTTTTGCTGTTTTCCAAGCTCTTGGTCATCTCTCCCCACACCCTCACCTCCACTTCGTTGACCTCTTCACGAGTCACAACCCCTTCCTGAAGCAATTTGTTGACATAAAGCTCCAAATGAGGAACTTTTTTCTCGATCTGCTCATACAATTTCGGTTGAGTGAAGAAAGGCTGGTCCATTTCGTTGACCGTGCTTTCGGTAACAGATCATGTCCACCCAGCAGTCTTTGCCAAACTTGGCACGATAATCAGCAGCAAGCTTGCCGGAAACACCACTGCTTCAACATCGTCGGCATTGACATGAAAAATCGGGGCATTGATGGTCTTCGCGATGTCCGTGGCATACAGGGATGCTCGAGCCGATTCTGGATTGGTGGTAAATCCGACCTGGTTATTGATGATCAAATGTACCGTTCCACCTGTCTCATACGACTTCAGCCCCGAAAGGCCCAATGTCTCATATATCACACCTTGCCCCGAGAATGAGGCGTCTGTATGACTGTTGAGGACCATGGTAGATTTTCGGTCACCCCCGTTTTGGTGCTGCACAGCCCGAGCCATACCTTGTCCGAGTGTGTTCTGAGACTCCAGATGAGATGGATTGGGCAGAATAGAAACGTGAATTTTCTTGCCAGTTGGTGTTTTACGTTCGTAGTTCATTCCTAGGTGGTCCTTGACATCACCAGAGATCTGGTGGCGAGATTTTGAGTCTGCCGAAAACTCGCTGAAGATCAATTGGTTTGGTTTCCGAGCGACGTTGCTGAGTACATTCAACTTTCCGCGATGGCAGCAAGGAAAGATGATTTCTCGGACACCATTCTCAGCACTGGCATCGATGATGGCTTTCAACGCTGGGACTTGACTCTCAACTCCCTCGATGCTGAACCGTTTAGCATTAGGAAATTTGGCCGACATGAACCTCTCAAAAGTCGTGGTCCACATGAGTCGGTCAAGAATTCGTTTCTTCTCTTCTGGGCCGAACCGATAGAGGACATGAGTCTCTAGATGTTTTCGAATCTATTCGCGTTCCTCACGGGTAGCCACATGAAGGTATTCTGCACCGATTGATCCGCAGTAAAGTCTCTCGCAGGCCGTGATTATTTCACGGAGAGTCATTGTAGATACATTGTCTGAGACGAAGTGCGGAAGAAGCTCTGGACCAAGGGTGATCTCTGTATCCAGGTCGGCATCTGTCAAACCATAGACCTCGGGTCTCAGCTCATCGGGAGGCAAATCTCGCTTGCTTGGTAGGTCAAGAGGGTTGGCTTTAGCTTTCTTGTGTCCAAGCTCCTGATATGCTCGAACCAGGCGCTCAGCCTTGAATTGACGAGGTGCCTGGGATGGGACTTTGAGCTGTGTCGAGCTCAAAGGTAGCGGAGTCTCTAATGTGATAGCCATTTGATTCTGTTCAACGACTCGCTCTCGAGTTGGTAAGCCACACTCAACGGCGTGAAAATAATCTTGCTATGAGCTATGAACAGAGGCTGGATCGTGACGCCATACGATATACAGATGGTTGAGATAGTCTGACGAGGTAGCAAAAGAACCAGCAGCATAGCACTAAATAATACATCAATTTCATTTCTGCTGAAAACAGGCCGTACTGATCTTACCCGTTCATGTCGAAGCTGTTGAGACCATGCTGCCAAATTATGACTTGCATATCGCCTTGTGAGATTTCCAGCGAGGCCACATGCACGCTGCAGATGATAAAGCCTTGGAGGAAAGCATGTTCCAGTCGGTGCAGAGGGTTTGCACCGTTTAACTTGAACTGCCCGTCTTCTGCTTCAAGATATACACTGAGGAGCGGTGATCGGTGATACGACACCGCGGCTAAACTTAGCCAAATTCTGAATCAAGTCTAATCTGCCAGAAACACAAGACGATAATAAGTTATCAATTATCGGCGTCGCTCAAAAATGCCATATAACCGTGAAGTACCCGATGTGTGAGGGGCGTCGGGTTGCCCATTCGATTGTGCACTCGCAAAAGTCGCCACAATCGAAGCCTTTTGTCCTGAAAATCCTAGGGGATTGGAGAATTACAACGTAGCAGTATTGAGAATAATGAGCTGTTGGTTCAAGAGGTTTCCATTCAGTGTAGTTAAGATCTCTTGTAGATAAATGGCAATAGTATCATCTGAGGGGTTATCGGTGTGGCCCTCCGCGCTTCGGCATCCTGACAAGATGCCGTTCGTCGTAGAGAATTCCGATATTTCTCCGATACTTGCTTCTTACAGACATGATCGCGCGCTTCCCTTGGAGATTTGAATTGACTAAAGATAGCTAGACGCTCTCATTCTAAGCAAGTTGACAAAGTAAGCTCTGCAATCTCGAGATGACCATTTTTCACGGCGGCCACTTAAGCAGTCTGACCCGACTGTTCTTGGTAATCAACATTTCGCTCCATATTGAAAAAGGGACCGAGTACTCTGCTCGTTAGCACACGCTGCAGCTATAATCGAGCTATAATCGAAGCTAATTGAAAAACAGTCTTGAGTCTTGGCACACGGTCAACTATTATCCCCGTCTCTAGACGTTTGCGTGTGCAATCAAGTTCTACTAGACTTCTACTAGAATACCAGGACTATGCCTGATGAACTTGTGTTCTCAATGCAATTCCAGTGTCCTTGAGATTCTGACCAGAGCTATAGCTACAGTACAATACGGAACGGTCGCATGTCATACCATAACCTATCTGCTACAGATAGGAATCTTCTTTTGGTATTTAGTGTACTCGGGAAACGCCGTGAAGATGTCATGGACATCGAGATAACTAAGATATCCGTCAGGAAAACAAAGGGATGGCACACAGAGATAAGATAGAGAGACGGTTCGAAGACGAGAGTTAGGAGAGCAGAGAAGATAGAAGACGGAAATTTTTTTCGAGGTTTGAAGGGTACACATTCGGGGGTAAAGATCAGGGGTAGACGCAGGGTGAAAGAGGTAAAAGGGTAGAGGTTCGGGACATTGCAATTAGAGCATGGCAAATGGAAAGGCGAAGCCGGAGAGTGAGCATCAAGCGCAGTATGAACCGCACCTGGAGACAGGTAGTTGGCGGCGAAAGGAGACAGGAAGGGTTTTGAAAGGTGAATGTGGAGAAAGAGGTAGAGACAGGGGAAGGGTGATGACTCGCGGGAGAAACGATGTGCAGCGGCAAAACATCCGGATAGAACACAATCTGGATTTCGGGACAAAGAGAGTGCTGATGAGCGATTTGAACCCGGAATCACGAAGATCAAGCCATGGAGTCGGTCGTCCAGCTTACGGTTCGGGCCCTCATATCATGAATGATGGGCCAACCGAACGCCGCCGGGACTGATTCCTGAGTGGCATGAACTCGTCCATTGAAGCAAGCTTTTGCACCTTGGAGAATCGAAGCAACGCATCAGGTGAATGGAGTACATCGAAGGTTAAAACGGAACGTAGAGGTAGGGAAAGGGGGAAAGCAGGGAATAAGAAAAAAGAAGAACGGGAAAAATGGAGAAAAAATAAAGTAAAATAAGGGAAGCTCGCTTGCACATGACCGCCGCAGATCATGACCGACAGTCTGAAGTCGTAAGGGTTCAAAGGAAAAACACAAAAGAAACCGTGCAAGCGGTCCCAGTCCGACTCCCTACCAGCATCCCGAAGAAAGCAAAGGGCTCATTTACTCCTGGGGCAGCTGGCTGCGGCGAGTCTTCTCGGCCTCGAGGTTCTCATAAAGCAGATACAAAGCCTTCTCGTTAGCGGTGGCACTGCCCATGATTGTGAACATGCGCTCGCCAGTCTCATCGTGAGGGGCCTTGGCAATCGAAATGCGGGCTCCAGAGCTCCGGCGGATCTCGGTGATCTTGCTGCCAGCGCGACCGATGATGCAGCCAACCATGTCGGCGGGAATGCTGATGTTCTGAGTCTGGATTTCGTCGCCATCCTCGGTGACCAGAGGGTATCCACGACCACCAGCACCAGCATCGGAGTTGGAACGGCGGCTGTTGTAACCACTGTTGTCACTGAAGTCGGCTCCGTTGCCGGTACGGTTGTACTGGCGGCTGCTGTTGTAACCGTTGCCAGTGCCGGCCGAGTTGTTGTTGTTCTGCTGAACAGGCTGGGAACCGCCGACAGAAGCACGAACAGCAGGGTTGTAGAGAACGGTGCCCGTGCCACGCTGCCAGTCATCGATCAGGCACTTACCGATCTCCCAGACAGCCTTCTCGATGCCCTCGGGGGTGCCCTGCACCTCAACGATGCGCTCGGTGGACTGAGGAAGCATTTCCTTCTGAGCAACCATGCGGACGCCGGACGCATCCTGGATGTGCTTGATCTTCAGGCCCTGTCGGCCGATGATGGTGCCCATCTGGTTGTGAGAGATAAGGAGCCGGACGGCTGAAGGAAAGTTAGCACGTGATGTGGGCTTCATGCGGGCTCCGCGATTGGGGAATGACTGATTCAACTGGGTGGAAACATGGGCCGACGACGCCTTCTTGGGGAGGGATGCGCTGGATTCCTTGGGAACAGTAGAGGGAACATTTGAGGACTTACGGTGGGTCCCATTGTTGGAGACGACGCCACCCATACCCATTTGCGGAGCACCCTCCAGGAGTCCCTTCGCAACGATCGCGTAGGCACGAGCAGTGCCTTGGAGGGGACCGGTCACGGTCAGGACTCGGTCATGGACGCCGGGGACGACCTTGCTCACTCCGGCCTTGACGCCAGTCTCATCGCGCAGGTCTGCGACATTCTTACCAGCCTTGCCAATGATGACACCAGCCTCCTTGGACGAGACAATCGCACGCAGAGTCAGCATCGAGGCCGCGTACTCTTCCTCGGTCTTGGGAGTGGCATCCATGGGCTCCTGCTCGCCGATGGTATCGACGTAGGCATCGGTCATGGGCTCATCGGCCGCAACGGTGGTTTGGTGAACCTCAGTAGCCTCCATGTTTTTGGTTGGTTGAGAATCTGAGAAAAACGGTTCGGGGTTGTGGAATGGATTGTGGGAGAGGAGGGAGGGGAATGGTCGTCGAAAGTCACACGGTCGCGGCGGAGTGAATAGCGGGGAGATTCACTGGGGTAAAATCAGAATCAGTCTTTGGAATCAAGGTGAGGAGAGTGCTGCGCTGAAACTGATCTTGCGATCGTAAAAGGCACGTCCACCAAGCTTTTAAAAACGCCCGAGGGAAGGGGACATGGATGGATGGTGACCTACCGATGAGGGTCCGACAGAAGTGGAGAAATTAACGTTGGTGGGAGGAGAGGGGAAGGTGACGGGGTATGCAGGAAGGAGGAGATCGAAGAAGGAGGGAGGAAGAGAAAAGGAGGAGGAGAAAGGAGATGAAGGGAGAGAGACGGGGGGAGAAACGAGGTGGATGAGGAGACGAGGGAGAGGGGGAGTGAGATGGTGAAGGCGATGGAGACGTCGTGAAAGAGTTGGAAGAGGAAATGTTGTGAGTTAAGCGGAGAGGAGTTGACCCGCCCGCTATGCACCACGAGCAGTCCTGACGTCGACTTTGGGTGCTAAGAAAAGGACTATACTCGGGAAATTCTGTCAAACAAACTAACGTATAGTCATCTATTCATTGTGGACTACAGATATCAGATTCTCTTCATTTTCACGTCACTCTTGCTATGTCAAGACTCAAGGTGTTCTTGAGGTTTTAGTGGGCGTACAGAGTTCTTAGTCATTCTGCCAAGCATCCCGCCGTCCTTAATGGCACAGACATGGTGGGATGGTTCGAGTTGCAGGAATTTGAACCCTGCGAGTATGCTGCAAGTGATTGATCTATAACCAGATGGGATGGATCACTCTATTGATCCGCCACAAATACTACCTTTTGTACCTTCATGGCGTTGAACAACTCATAAGCCTCTACCGCTTGGGAGAGAGGCATGATCTTCTCTGTCATGAAACTGGAAATATGAACAATACTAAGTTAGCAACTGAAAGGGTACCCAGTCTCGAGATGACAGTTTAAGAGAGCACTCACCCAAGTTTGTGCTGGTTCTTCTTCAGCACCTCCAAGGCCTTGTCAGAGACGGACCGGACGGGGCAACGGCCCATCTGGACAGTGAGGTTCTTGTTGTAGGCATCATTGCCATCCCAAGGGATCTAGCAGATAGTTTCGATGGTCAGTGACACCTCATCTTCTGAATCAAAGACTTGAGACTCACCTCAGCATTGTGGACTCCAACACTGCTAATAGTTCCCCAAGGCCGCAGCAACTCATACGCAGTACGCAGAGCAGGACTCAGGCCAACAACCTCAATCACAGCATCAGCGCCCCGCCCCTCGGTCAATTCAAGCACACGCTTGTCTAGACCAGCGCGATCAGTCATGAAGTTCCAGGGCTCGGCACCAAGAGACTTGGCCAGCTCCAGTCTCGAGGGGACGGAGTCGACAGCCAGAAGATGCTTGGGATTGTACTCCAGCGCATTGATCAGCGCACAGAGACCGACGGGTCCACAACCGATCAGGACGACAGTCTGGTCAGCGATTTGCTCTGGGGTGGAGTTCTTGAAAGCATTGTAGGCAGCAAAGTATCCCGTGGGGAAGATATCACCCATCAGCACGAGGTACTTGTCCTCGACGCCCTCGGGGGCTTTCATAACGGTGCCCTCGGCATTGGGGACGCGGACCTGGATAATTATTCGTCAGTCTATCTTTTAGTGTTCATCTTAAAGGATGTATATCTTGAAATCAACACACATATTGGGCTTGGCCACCGTCCAGACGCTCGCATCCAAAGAGAGTGTTCTTCTCGCAGCGTGACGAGAACCCTTGCTTGCAGTAGAAACACTTGCCACTGCCGATATGTTAATATCCTTCCATGATCGATAGAGGTTGAAGTTTTACTATTATTTAACAGCAAGATACATACCAAGAAGTAGTAAAAGCGCTGACCACACGGTCGCCCTTCTGCAAAGTCGTCACCGCATTACCAACCTCAACAATTTCACCCATGAACTCATGGCCCATGATAGGTCCAGGAGGACTAGGCTCAATACCACGGTAGACATGTAGATCACTATCCTCACGCATTAACAATTGGTGTTCGTCAAAGGGATCTATAGTTCCAGAATTACTCACCTGCCACAAAGAGCCGTGTATGCCACCTTCACCACAATATCCTCTGGATCCTGAACAGTGGGGATAGGCCGCTGCTCAACTGCCACCTTGAATGGCTCCTTAAAGACCACTGCCTGCATAGTACCGGTGCTCGCCATTTTTTCCGTTTTTGAGATGGTTCCGCGGGGCAATATCTTAGCACTGAATCGAGGCGTCGCACTTGCAGAATGCGGGACGGAGAGCGCACTGGAGGGGTACGACTGGATCCAACCGAGCCTAGCGAAAAGTCAAATTCCAAAGAATGTTCGAGGAATCGAATGACCAGAGTCCAGAGGTGCCGAGTCGCCTTTGAAAAGGATTGAATTGAGGAATTTGCGGGTCCCGCCATTGAAGTCTGTGTGGTTGGTGGGTCTGATAATCTACGGGTGCGGTTAACCGGGTCCTTGTGAGAGAAGAACTGCCCGATTGTCGGAGTAGGTTAATTGTATAGTTGATTCTACATGTATTCGGATGACTTGTGTGAAAATGTGTATGGAAAGGCCTCGAGACATCACGGCTGGTATAGCAAAGAGTGTGTGAAGGGAGGTGAATCTAACAATGGAGTATGAGCTTCTTTCTTATGAAGCTCAGTGGGATGACAGGCACAATTATAAACTAAGTCTCGAAACATGCACATCGATCGCTGCTTAACAGTGGGCCACTGAACGGCAAGCGTGAACTATCTTAGCAGCCCATAGGTGCGGTTCTTATACCATATCTTGCTCCTACCAAAGCATGCGAAAGAACATGAATTCATACCATGAGGTCAAAGAAAGAAGCTCAGTGCTGAGACGAGAAAATGATATCCATATTGTAAATTCTTGAAACAGAGCCCCCCATAGCGCCAAAAGCCCTGTCGTACAAATGGCTACTCTCGATGTTCGAAGAAAAAGAACCCCAAAAGTAACCAGAAAGAGATCCATGGGGTTGCCGAACGCCTGTCAAAAACACCGGAGCTAGTAACAAGAGCTACAAGAACAATCTGGTCGCAAGAAATGCATAGGGGAAAAAAGGGACATCGCGCCGCTGGAGTAGGACAAGATCATGAGCGCGGTCGAGAGTGGAGATCGAGGCGTGTGCAAGCTCAAGTGGACAGACACGCTTAGCACACTATGCAGAGCAGTTCCTCCTCCAGAATGAACTTCCCCTCCTTGTATTTCTCGCTGCTCTCATAGGCCTTGTCGTACTTCCAACCCACAGTCTCCTTGCACTGTCGGCAGGCGATGTCGCGGACGATGTGGCGACCGGTCGTCATACTGCGCTCGACGGCATCGGACTGGGTGATGTTCACGACAGTGTTGAAGAGGTAAGCCTTGCCATGCTGGCCACGGAAGTTCTAGTATCAAGCAAATATTACGTCAGTAACTTCAAGGTAAAAAGAGCAGGGCAGGGACAAAGTGCTTAATGGCTCGACAAAAGAATGCTCACTCGACTGATGATATCATTGTAGTCGGCCAGGTGCGTCTTGCACTGCTTGCAGCCAAAGATCTTGTTGGAGGTCAGATAGACGTTGTACGAGAGACCCATGGTGACTGATTTGAGGTGTTGTCGGTGGTGATCAAGTGAGTAGGTAGCTTTCCGGTGTGGGGTAAGCAGCAGTAGGTCTAGAGGAAGGCAATCAGGAAAGGCAGATATAGAAGAAGAGGCTGATGCTGGTGTAGAACAGCAGTTTAAATAAGCGAGTCCAGCGCCTAAATAGCTATTGGAAGTGAACCGGAGCTCTTCTTCCTAGACTCCTCCCGAAGGCAGGCGTCTGCGTCTCGATCGGGGTATGGCCTCAACAGAAAGGACCTTGTTCTCCGGTAGGTAGTGTTTTGCAAGAACCAGAGCGTCTCAGATTCAACTATGCCTGGCTTGGGCTAAGGAATTTCTCGTCTCAACACCGACCGGGGCGTTGGAAACTCCCAGGAAGTCTGGGAGGATCGAGCACGTCGAGCTTGGGGAAGCCTGACGAGTTGCTGACGATAAGATCTCCGCACGATAAGAAGTCGGGACAGTCAGGATTCACGAGGAAAGGGGCAGGAGCCAGCAGCCCCTTTGGTCTCGTCCCGAAGTTTCCGAGTCTGCACTCGGGAAATTTATAGAACGAGTCAACAAGGACAACAAGTTTAAGGTTGTGGGGAGGTTTGAAGTGTGAAGTGTGAGAGACTCGGAGACTTAAAGCCCCCAGCCTGGGATGCCTCAGGCGCGACGCCCCGCATTAGGAGTGATCAGGTGTTGTCCTCATCTTTGCAGTTCCATCGGACTGAGTCAGAGACCTAGTCGATAAGAAATCAAGAAATATACGAGACTGAAGGCGTGATGAACATCAAATAGTGTGTCTATTTTGCGAAAATTCAATTATATCCCTGTACAAAGCGCCAGTAAAATGTGCTCCTACATGCTCGATGCCCATATTACAAAACGATCTAGACACAGCTGCACTGCCTCATTCACCATAAAAATAACTCGCAAGAGCAGATAGCTCTACAAGCTTACTCATAATCCCTCAAGTAGCGACCAGGCAGCTCGACATCCCACATCGGTCGCTCCACCACAGCCACTTCCAGGATTCCGGACGGGCTCTGGTCCTCCTCCAAATCGTCGCCCGAGAGGGGGACGATTCCAAGAATGTCACGGTACTTGTATGTGTGCCACCAGCGGCGTGGAGGCTGGGAGGTAGTGCCGTTGGCCGCCACAAGCTGCTTCTTGGGAGTGTCGGCAACCCCATTGACCTTGCCCTTGGAGCTCTTCTGAGGAGTTCCAAGTTCCACAGCAGTGCCGTCCTCACGTCGGAGACGGGCCAGGGCGGCTTGATTGGTTGCAGCGAATGTTTCGTCGTACTCGTAAGCCTCGTCATCCTCGGGATTACGCGAGCGTTCTTGGTCAAGCGAGATCCACTCACCCTGAGACTCATCATTGCCAGTGATCTTGCGCACCTTGGTTCCAAGGTGAGTTTCCATCTGAGCACGAGAGATCTTGTCACCAGCACCGCTGTTAGGCTTCTTGCGGTCCTTCTCGTCCTCCTCAAACGGATCACGCTTGCGCTTCGAGGCCTTGACAAGTTGCTGGGAGGCCTCATCATCCGCGGCCTTGAATTCCTCCGGGGAGGGGAAATCTTGCAGCATGTCAAACATCCACAGCCACGAAGTTCCATAGAGCCAGACACGCTCCCGGCCCTCGGAAAGGTCCCACAAGCAGCCCATAGCACGGTCCTTAACACCCCGGAACTCTGCTGGAAGATAAGCCTTAGGATTGCGTCGAGACCAGTCGGACAGCTTGCCGCTGCGAGCCTCAAATTCAATGAGTTGGTGCTCGCTAGTAACAACCATCAAGCGGTCCTCTCCTGTTGAGGAGCTCGTCGGGCTGTTACCGTTGGTCAGTGACTTGGGAGAAGACTGTTGAGGACGGAAAGACAAGAAGGTGACGCCAGCCTTCATTCGGGGTATCGGGGATTCCGAAGCTGCGATTTGCCACCGTTCGCCCTCGAAGATAACATCTTCCTCTTCATCCTCGTCATCAGATGAATCATCACCGGACTTGGAGATACCATTAGCCTTGGCGTGGCCGTTGGCAGCCGAATCCACAACAGGATACAGAACCCAGGTATCAACACATCCTGAAAGATCAGCAACAGCCAAGATCTTGCTGTCGTCCGAGAACACGGCGGACCGGACCACTCTTTCGTAATCACCCAAGGTACCATGGGAAGCCTTCTCGTGTCGCGTGTGACGCTTGACACGCTTGAGAAGGGCAAGCTGCGGTGTGACTTCGGGCTTGTCAGCCGTTGAAGAGGCCGATGTAATGCGAGCCATATAGACACCGCTGTTAGGACGAACGATGCAAATCCATCGGCTATCAGCGGAGATGGTCACTAGACGGGCGCCATCTCCAGAAAGAGACTTGGGAACTTCGATCTTCTGGATGCGCAAAGCACCCTTCTCATCGCCCTTGCGTCGGCGAACAGTGAACAGCTTAACGTCGGAAATCGTAGCGACGACAAGCAGCTTGCCATCTGGTGACAGCATAGCAGAAGTAATATTTTCTTCACCCTATAAAGAATAGAAAAGAACTTGTCAGCGTCGGTCCAGAGAAAACCACGACACGACAGAATGATAGTCTTACCTGGATCATCACCTTCGCAACAAGCCTATGCCTCTGGCCATCAATATTCTCATTCAAAGAGGCAGGGCCTCGAGAGACCCGCCAGAGGCTGACCTCTCGGTCCCAGAAGCTCATCACTAGGCGAGAAGAAGATGCGGAAGTAAGCTGAGGGATCTGCGGCAGACTGGAGAGCTTGCGGTGGTGTTCTTTGCCGAATTCACGGAGGGGAAGAACAACCGGTGTCGCATCGGGGCCTATAGGCAATTAGTTAGCACTGAATGACTCCTTCGAAGATCGAACTGGTTTATCACATACCTCCAGACACGGCAATGCTGATCTCTTTCGTCTCGTAAACGGCGAATGTCTTCACATCGTGGGAGTGGTATCGACGATGCATAACCTCTGCCCAGCGGCTCTTCTTATCACCCTTCTCAACGTCCTTCTTGCGGTAAACCACTGTTCTCTGATCTGCGCCACCACTGATGACAGTGTCGCCATTCGCGCTCACAGCCACATCAAGAACATCGGCGAGATGGCTCTGAATCCGCTGAATAAGGGAGTAGTTCTTGGCATCCCAGAACCGAATCTCACCCGCAGAATCTCCAGAGACAATCGTGCCGTCGGGCAGGCACTTGACAGACCAAACCAGCAACTCCTTCGGGCCACCGGTCGGTCCCTTTCCAAGCGAGATTGTCCGCAGTTGTTGGCCGTTCCGGATATCGAATATACGAATAGAGCTATCAGCATAGCCCGCGACGATGGTGTTTCGGTTCTGGAAGGTAACGCTGAGAACTCGGGCTCTCTTTGTGGATGGGCGCATCAAACGAAGGAATCTCAGGTCGTTGTCTTCCGTTGACAGGATCACAATTGATCCATCTGCACAGCCGGCCGCCAAATGCTGGCCGAGATACTCACCCTCAGCGGGAGGGAGGAATTTTCCATTTGCGCCTCTCTTGGTAGGCTGCCACTGCGGCTGAGCAGCAAGGCACCAAATTTCACCGTAGTTTCCACTCGAGTGGCGCAGCGGGCGTCCCTGCTCAAGATCCCACTCCGTAACGGCCGCAGAGTAGCCAATGCTGAACAGGCGCAGTTTGCCCGGCAGCTTGGAACCCGAAGGACCATCCTCATGAGGATCTTGAGTCCAAGTCAAGCCTTCGATACTTCGGTCCTTTCCTCCACGTAGCACGGTCTCCTGGAACCAGGCTCCTCGCAACGGGTTCCATATTTCGATGTCGCCGTTCGCACGACCGATTGCGAGTCGAAGGGTAGGGACACCTCGTCCGGCAAGATCTGCGGAGGGGGGATGCGAGAAGGCAAGCGAGTTAATCGCCTGGGGGTTGTAGGAAACGAATCGACAGCGGTGAATATCCATGGCTGCGGGATTGGGTTTTCTCTGAAGCGGATGCGCTCTCTCGGTATGATACAGATGTTCGGATGCAAGTTTCGAGGATTGAGGCGCGGAAGATTCAATTCAGACGGATACCGATACGGGCTGCAATGCACACCCTTATGCACTCATCTCGTAGTCTGAAAATGGGGGATGAATGCGGCGTCGTAGCTGTCTGGCCGTTGCGCGATCTCTTTTTTTTCTGTAGATAAATTTTAGCGGGCCGGATTATCTTGGCGGAAGGCGGTGGATCACGTGATAAAGTACCATCTTGGGTGCCTGGCAGATCAGGCAGGAACAGCAACAAGGCTGCCATTATTGAAGGACGCAGATTCAGTTTTTGGTTTGCAAATTTTTTTGGTGGGAATTAGATCATAATAGTCAAAATGAGATATGAGACATTGTTCATCTTGAATGTAGCGCGTCGTGTAAGTCTTGCTTGTACGATATGCTAGGGAAAGACACGGATGCCACGACATAGATCGACAAAGCTACCTATCGGTACCGAATAATTTACAATAGGTTTCAGGAACAATAGATTTCAAAACGACTCCAAGAAAGCCATGGTATTAAGTTTTTGATATGAACACACAGAAGGCAAGGCGTTCATGCAACGTGACAAAACAAGACCTCTTGGATCTACCTGCCGCCGGACAGGTCGCCATTTCAGAATCTCATGTCCATCAACTGATAAGAAGCGGTCAGCATTCCCTGTCAAACACTCCATATATAGACAAAACCAGCGGCTGCTAATCGCAACCCTGAACTGGGCAAGCTGAGATGACAACTGAGGAGGCAGAGGCGCCGGCATCATGGACCTGAGCGCTGCTCTGCGTCTCAAGCGACCAAGTTAAGAAATAAGCCTAAGGTTTGACTTCACTTGAAGCCTCCAGATAATGGTGATAGGCTCACATTTTGAACGTAAGGAGATGTCACAGTGAGCATCAAGCAATGCAAAGATCGAAAAGCAACCTTCCACACGAGCTTTTGTGAGAGGCGCAGCTGAACAGACACCCATTATAGTGTGGTCGTCTGCCATGACGCAGGACACTAGCGACCGGCTTGAAGATTCCATATTAGGGTTGCTTTCATTGTATGCAGGCCCAGGCCATCGGGGGGCTGCCACGTCAGAAGCAGCGCCATTCTCTCTGAAGCTGAGAGGCTGTGACTGGCCCCTGGAAGTTCTCACTGAATCATGCAGTTCTATGTATCAGATTCCAGAAAGCCCGGTTGGTGGAGCTCTCCTGATAGGGCGACATCCTGCTTGACTTGCCAATCCGATCATTGAGCTACCCACAATCAGCAGGTAACGCACAGAGAAGACCCAGCATCAAGCTGGAGGAGGGGAATGCAGGACACTTGATCAGTGTTTTATTGGTCAGTTCCACGGCAGAGCTGTCAGTGGCGGGCGGGGGCAAAGACGAGCTCGCGATATCGTGGTCCACTCACGATTGCGTTGCCTTCAAAGATATTTGACTGACAGCACTGCGATCAATTCAGCAAGGCCAATCGCACTGAAAAAGGGAAGATGGTTTGGCGCTCACAGTGCGGCTCGCTTGACCCCGTCAGCAGCGCCGAGAGGACTCGGGAACACCGATTCGACAGTTCATGCCCAGCCGCTGATGAACAGAGATAAGCACTAGGATTTGATGGCGGTGCTCTGGTCAACTTTGGATATGGTGCGATCGTATCTGTTTTCCAGGTTTGATATGCTGAATGGCCACGGTCGCGCGGCACGTCGAACCCAAAGTCAATTCAGGTAGGAACTCTTCCATGCTGCCTTGATCTGAGTGAACGAGGTAAATTGCTTGATCCACACTGTCGGGTTGTCCAGTTGGCTCGCGATCTTGTTGGACCTGGCCCCCCTCCCTCCCCCGCTTCGAACAACTGGATTTCCTCCTGAACTAGTGAGTAGTGAACTGGTTAACTCGGCGATCGATTCGCAGACCAGCCCCGAATCAACTCTGGGTACACTTGAGGTGCAATCTGTTATAAGGGGACAGAACAGGGGAGATGATTGCACCATTTGGCATTTCGATCGTCGAGTCTTTCGCCATGCAGTGCGTCGCATTCGTCTGATCGCAGGCTTTTTCTGGTTCGGAGCTGGGAAGCCGCTGGGCTCAGACGCGATTTAGTGAACTTTGAAGCCAGCCGCGATCCCGGCTAGACTCTGCCATCCCGCGGCTTGAGTACTTTGGCTCTAGCCAGAAGGAGATAAAGTACGAGAGATGGTGGCTGTGAGACCAGGGTATCCCCATTGCGAACCAAAGCCCCGGATGCTGATGATTAGCTCGTCAATATCGGAGCAAGTAATGAGCTTCCGGATCGGCAGTGAACATTGAAGATGCAATGACAATCGGGCGCGACGACCGAATAATCAACGTGTCATGGCACGAAAGGTGAATTTGACTGGGATTCGCGCCAAGATGACAATTAACATCTGGTTCCCAACCTCCCCCGTATAGACGGGCGCTGGCCGAGCCGCTGATGCATGTGGTTGTCTGGGACTTTAGGCAATAGTCAGCAACATTGATCTTTCATTCTCTGCTTCGATTGTATTTCAGCTTCGGATCTCTGGCGTTTGTGGATCTATTTTGAAGCTTGAAGCTCTGCCTGTTGTCTATTAATATTGCTCGAAGAGCTGCAAATATGTAGCTCCCAAATTAAGCCGAAGTGTGGGACGCGAGCCTGGTGATGACGGCATAGCTTCGATTGTAGCCGAGGCCAATACGCCTAAGTCGTATCCTGATGGGGCTCAAGACCCAGATTGGTATGTATCCTTGCACCTACAGGGGAGGTTGCAAGCTACGAGGAACTAAGGTTGGCATGGGTTTGTTCGCTGGAGGACTCGCCAACGCCACGATGATGGCATACACTACTTCTGACCGGGCAGCCAATATATCCTTTTTGGGACCTGGGCTTGGGCTTCAACAGTGTATGTAATCGTGTACTCCGTACGGCGTACCTATACAGAAAGCTCCGATATGGACCTTTTTCTGTTCGTTACGCGACGGGTATTCCCCACCTGTTTTGCACTCTAAACCACGTCAGGCTTAGCGGCGTATCGAATCGCCCTACTGCTCCGATCAACCTTTCGGCTTCCATCGAACAGGTCTTGCTGGGAAGCAGGGATGAGAGAGAGCACAGCCAGGTTAGGGAGCTGCACTACATAGAGCACCTCGAATTCATGAGCAATGATTCTAGTAGGATGATGCAAAAGGCCTTGTCTTTTTTTCAACAGAAGTTAGCCTCAAAAACGAAAAAGGGGCGGGGAAAGAGGAGGTAAAAACCAGCCAAAACCCATGGTTGAGCCTCCACACGCCCCAGTCTCACTTTACCGAAATAGGGTATATTGTCTTGACCATTGGATACGCGTTGCTAATTAGCACCACTTTAATTCGTTGTGGGGGCCACGCGAAGATTTCTGCTCATAGCTGATGAAAATCACCAGCAAGAGGAAATTCGAGTTCAATCTTAGTATGACGGTTCTTAAATGGAGAAAATCCATCTGCGATTTCATCCGAAGTCGATTTGATCTAGACCAGCTGGTATATGGACTTTTGCTTCACAGAGAACCATTCAAAGACACGGTCAAGGACCGGAGCTAGTAAAAGTGTGTGATGCAAGCTTGACGCACCTTGTCCACGACCCAAGAAGGTTCGCCGACTTAAGGAACCACCGGGAAGGAAATATCTGACATTGTGGAGTTAAGTCCACTACGCCTCTGCAGAAAGGAAAAACCTTCACGATAATATACAGTAGATTTCTCCGCAGAGGGGCAATAGAACAGGAAAATTTCTTTTCACCGGTCAAGTACACTGTACGTTAATTCCGTTCCGTACTCGGGTCCGACATGTACAGAATAGTATTGTTAGTTGTATGGAGTAGTTAATCAGGATCTGAAGTACTAAGTAGATCGATAAAGAAGATCTACAATTGTGTGAGAATTCAATCACTTGCGAAGAGATCAGGACTTCAAAGTTCAGTACCACCCTTGATAGAGGACAGCCATTATGAAGGCAAAAACGCCGATTAGTGTAATCTAGACCTACCTAAAATGATACCTATGGAACATCTGCAGAGCTCTCACACTATACATTCTACACTCCGATAACTGTAGATGCAGTCGAATTTCAATCTTCCGCCGAGCAGTGTTTGTGCGTACGGTATCCGCTACATCCGACCATCGCCACTGACACCAATTTTCGTTTTTCGCGTCAAAACCATAGTGGATCGAAAATCTGTCAAGGAGCGGGGCGAAGACCACCATACAGTGCCGGGAAAGACAACAAATCAGTCATGATTCGAGTCTGCCCGCTTCTTACCATGGTTTCTTGAGGCCGGAACGGCCCTGCTGGAAAACCGTTGTTGATAATGTGGAGCCTTGATTACACATGTACTTAACGACTCGGGGAGAGATGAGATGCTTTCCATGGTTGAGGTGTTCCGAAGTGTCACAGACAGAATGAATAAACAGAATGAATAAACAGAGGTGGGACGTATTTGATTTCGAGGAAGAAAACAGTCTTTCTTCAGTACAATACTTTATGCGCCCTGGCCGTTGAGGTGATATATCTTTGGACTGATTGTGACGTACAAATGTGGGTTTCCCTTTCCGTATGTACATCTACTGCAAGGCCACTCGGGGGACTGGCACCGTTTGTAATCGAATTGTTTGAATGTTCGATTACAGTGACTGGGAACATACAAACAGCCACAATCGACCTTAGGTCGATTGTGGCTATTTACTTATGTGCAAGTAATGGTCATGTTGACGTCTATCACTTTCAAACTCTGCGTGAGTCAACCCATCGGCAGCATCTCATTGATAGCTCAGATCTGAGTTACGGTCAAGGTAAAGGGAACCTACATGCCGTGGATCAGATAGACATAGACAATCCGATATTAGCGAATATAGCGCCTGCGGACAGATCACTTGAACTCATCGAATGGCAAGCATCTGGAATTTTTATCCCCTTGCGACGGGAAATTAGAAGAACCTGTAGACATGCCGACCTTGCAGGTCAAATGAGCAACGTGGGAGGATCTACCTACAACATCTAAACCTTCCGATGTCCCTGAGCCGCCACTGCGCAAGGAGTGCTTATATCTACAACACCGCCCTTTAATGAGGATGTGATCGTGCAGAATCGGAGATTCAAGGGGACTTGATACGAATCACATGTCTTGACCAGAAAATATGGTCATACCTAGGTGCAACTCAGATCTTGAAGAAGAAATACGTTTCATGGCTTGCTCAAAGTTGAACCTCTATCCTATGCTGTGGCTGATATCATTAACTCGGGTTCCAGCCTCATGATGCCTCTTCTTAGCCGTGGTTATTTTGGTTAAATTAACAAAGCGCTTAAAGGTTGATAAGCAGAATTAGCCTGACTGGACAGATGATTGAGACAAATTCTTCGTACATGATAAGGTTGTCACGCCTTCTGAGATACACAACTTTGCTTTCAGTGAGTCCGCCGTGGTTAACCTGTACTGGTGCAACGGGTACAAAAGACCCGGGGCGCCAAACAGGGGGTGACAGCCACTGAATACCGCCCAGCATCGCATGCGGGCGCCTTGAGCCGAGCCTCCTGGCATATACAGTATGTACTTCAAAACCAAACCTGTCGGCAGTTGAAACCCGTGCCAAACACGATGGTCAGTTCTAAAAAAAGGGAGGGAAAGACAATTACAGTTGTATCCGATGCGACCGACCCAGTCCCCTCAACCAGTAGGTTCCTTCTCCCCTTCAAATGTGAAATGAGAGATGCCTTTGCTATCTGGGCGGGCGCATGGATCGGACACACCTGTGTCAGTGTGCTACTAGTTTCCAAGCCATCCGGGCAGGTCGCCATGGGTACATCCGGGTTTTTCTGAGTCCGGCAAGCTCCATGGGCGTAATGCATGCTTGCATTACGGTGTGCTCCATAATTGACGTCTATGTATCACATCCTTCGACAATGTTGCCCCTTTTCCGTGGCCTGATAGCTGAATAAAGCTGCCCCTATCATCCAGTGACTAGTTCTTGACAGTGTCGCGTGTAGGTTCTTTCAGAATTGATCCAGACATATGAAGCCACTGGCTACGACAATGCGGAACGTGTGTCCAGACTGGGTGTAGTACAGGATCCAGATAGAAGTCCCTTGATATTTAAATGAGTGGTCAAACCAAGGTCCTGCCAGGCTTCATTTTTGCGCGTGGGTTTCAAGTCTTGCGTCAACCCCGTGTTGGTGACACTTTTGGGTTTCTCCGGGTCTAATTTGGTTAATTAGCAGCCCCACTGTTCGTTGCTAGGTAGCCATCAATACTTCAATATTGAATGCGTAAAGAGGCGTCGTTATTGCCCTTTCTACCAGTCGAACGAAAGGTCTAGCCCATGATAGCAACACGTAGCTCCTGTTAAGTCGTGATCGGCGACGTGGTATATGAATACCTGTCTGTCCGAAGCTCCTGCATGTCCGCGTTTGAGGGCAACCGCTATGTAGGTACAGAACAACTTATGCACAATTAAGCGGAGACGCATTCCTGCAGGATATCGAGGCATTTCAACTACTCCAAAGGCGATATTTAGTGAAGCGTTCAAGAAGAAAGGGCGATTAATCTCGGAGTAAAAGTCCCTGGAATGCCTAGGGATGCAAGTTCCGACCACTGAACACTCAGAGGGTACGGCTCGAAATTGATGATAAGGTATGGCTGTGATCTTCTGCTGCAAATTAGCCGTGTCTATCATTCAATTGCCCAATTTGGAAATCCCTTACGTGGTTTCGTCGTACCGACCCGATGCCGCAACCTCCAGATGGCGCTGGATGTCTCGTTTCTTCTTCCGGCCCTGTTGCCCATGAGACAGCAAACACCCTACCGTTGACGGTCGCGGTCGCTTAGTGTTGTCTCTCGGTCTACAGGACGATTGTTTCATAATTTGACGGATAATTTGACGGTAAAGACAAACGCTGTGAACGAGGGGTGCGCGTTCTTGAGACGGGACTATGACTTTCGGAAACGAGTTACATGGCATGGCTCATCAGGCTCTATCCATGGCACATTTGTAGATCACATCCAGTCTATGATGGATCCATCGTGCCTAGCCCGGGTGGTGGCAACGACATTGATCATTGCGAAACGGCCGAGTCGCATAAACGCGCATCAATATTTCCCTACCGTGAGTGTGTGGAGATCAAGGTATTGTACGAGTGGCTAAAGTTAAAGCCTCTCTCAACCTTACAGCGCGTCTGGTAAGGGACCAAAGCAAGGAGATCCCGCGTAAACTCCGAGTCGCACCATATTATGGATTAGGGTGGAGCGCGTTTATGGACCCATTGGTCAAGATTAACTCGATTAAGAGAGTCTACTTCGCGGAGGATGGAGAATTTGAGTGTGTCGCTTGCGCCCATGGCTGGAGTGGATGATGTTTACAACTTTACATAGTATACGAACTCACGGAGTACATACTTGAGTGGAAGTGGGGTGAGTAGGTCAGTCCAAGACTTGACGTGCATGGTTTGTATTGACTATGAGACCCTTTTCTGGAAGGGCAAAGGAGAATTGGTAGACACATCTCTCCTGTGCAAACCTTATCTGGGCTTAGGAAAAGCCGGGGACAAATCACCATCATCGCCTAGGTCTCACAGGCGGCAGGCAAGTGCCAATAGTGCCTAAAATGCCACCTGCAGCAGGGGCGAAAAAAGTGGTTGCGTGTGCGACTCTACCACAGAGAAGGAGGAGGTCGAGGCCGAAGCCAACTCACGCAATCAAAGTTAAGAGGTCGTGTAAGACAGGATCAACGGACCGACGCGTTTGACAAAAAAGACCGTCCCTAGTCAAATCAAGTTCCATGGAAAAAGATCGGGGAACGTGGGCCTGTAGATTCCTTGGAGGCTTGCGGACGAAGTACATAGTTAAGTTAGAGAACCTGCTTTTGCGACCGAATCCTCCCCCACATGGGGACGCAGGCGAGATGAGATCCCTGCAAGTAAAAGGAGGCTCGGGCCTGAAAGAAGAAGGGGAAAGGGGGACGCGCAAGATTAGGCCTCCATGGGCCATTATGTATAATTGGTTTCTTAGTGAAATATTAGCTAACTTGTTAGTTTAGTTAAGGAGTTACAGCCAAGGTATATCCATATCCACAACCCAGCTAAGAGAGGGACGCGAATGGGCGGCTGGTGGAGGTAGGAGTCGCAATGAAGTCAATGCCAGGGCAATCCTGGGCGCTGGGCCAGTCAGGAAGCGTAGGCCGCAGGAGACCCTGGAACGCGACCGTATCGGAAGGCTAGAGGGTGAACCATTTACGCCAGTGCAGGGCTAGCTGGGCCAGGGGATGGGCTCTCTGACGAACCAACAGCAGGAGAGGAATAGTATGGCCGACGATACACGGTTACACCTTACGAGGCGATCTTTGGGGCCGAAAGAGCTCGCGCGTCTTGGGTAACTTGTTTTGGGAAGTACGGGGTCCAGATTACTTCGTATACATTATTGTGGCGAGGAAGCGAGTACTCCGTCCCGTAGTAGCTTTAATCCTGCCTCTGATTACGGTATAAAGTACTCCATCGTCAGCTGGAGCTGCATATGGTGGAAATTAGGATCGTAGTAAGATCGTGAGACTACAGTTTGTAAGTATGTACTTTGCTGTCAGGGAGATTTACCTTGCGGCAGTACTTTGTAGCTTTGATCTTCAATGCGAAACATCAGTCGATTTAACATATCTCTTCAATGCAATTACTGCTTCACCGTCTGCAGGTCAGGACCTTCATTGACTTGGTATCCCCTTCTATCGGAGTCGCAAGTTGAAATCAAGGGGAAGGGTAAGAGGTGACCAAATGGTACATTGACTCCTGGAACAGACGGGCTGAACTGTCTCGCCGGTCGCGACGGAGATCTCTCCACTCAAAGCCAGCCAAGGAGTGAGTGCCTGTATTAGGTGATTTTCGAGAACCTTTCTGTCTGCTGTTTTAGTGGCTCCGGATGATCGAAATAACTCTCACATCGATTACTCTATTACTGGAGTTTTGTATCAACTAATGTATGCGGAGCAAAATGACTGGGTCGCGGCTTACAGTTGGCAACGCGATCATGTACTTCCCGTCTGGGCCAACTATTCCGTCTTCCCCAATGGATTGGGAATTTCTATGCTGTGAACCCCCACCTCCTCTAGTGATAAGAAACAGGGCTGGCCTGAGATCCTATGTACATCCGATGGAGTGGTTGCTAGTTACTCCTTGAAGCCGATAGTAGATCTGTTTTACCCAGTGGTCGATGCATCTCACCCAGTTGAAGGAACAGCGTAATGGACCCGTTTTCCCACGCGAGCAAGGGCCACTCAGGGCTCAGACCTCAACTCCTGGGAAGGGGATTTCCTTGTGCTTTGCAGCAGTAGGCAGTATTCGGGAAAGGGGATGGGGAAAGTGTAGGTGTCATTGAACTCAAAAGAATTTGATGATGAATTGTCTATCATTTGTAGTTTGTACTTTGGTTTTGGGGAGGTTCGTGGTTCTTAATGAATTTCTCCAATTACTCACGCGAGTATCGGGTTTAATGCTCCATCCATGGCAAGGTTGGAAGTGGAGGTCGGTGTAAACCGTCGTTCGATACCGACCACTCATTACCTGCCAGGGCAGGTTAACAAAGTGCTCCGCAGTACGGAAAGGTACTGTTGTTCGTTGTCGACCATTCGAGTCGGCCATAGTGAAGGTCAAATGGCAAATGAACTATCTAGGGAGTTGCGACAATGATTCATAATGGTTTCCAACCTCTCTCAACTCCTGATAATGTATCGTACCCAGGCTGGAATTGTCCTTGCAGGGGCTGTAGTTCCAGGACATTGGAAGTCCCCGCCTCCTTACCATCGAATTACCCAAATCCACGGTAATCTGGTATAATACACCAGCCAAGTCCAGTAGTCTAGCCTACAGAAATAATCAAATATAGATCCATTACGGTATCTGCTTTACGGCGATACAGTACAGTATACAGTACAGCTTCAGCCTCCACCCGGAAACTCGTTATGACGGTACCGCACAGCTAAGCTGGGCCCAGTGTATCTCCGTGTCTTTTGTCTCAGCTCTCTTCTTCTTTTCTTTCCCACCATCCGCCTGGAGAGAGAATCTAAATTCCTCCTCCTTGTACCTCTCCCCCCTCCTCCTCCTCCTCTTCTCTCCCTCCCCTTCTCTTCTTCTATACCTTCGTCTTCCTTTCATCCTCCCTCCCCTTGCCAATTTGTGGAGAGCCCGGAGTCTAGTCGACCAGCCGAGAAAACGAGCGTGCCCGCTTCACCGTTCTCAGTCTGCTCCCACTAGACCTCCTGTCGAGTCGAATCCCCTCCTCGGTCTTGACGATCCTCCCAATTCTCGACGTTTGTTAGCTCAAACGGCGGAACCCTCCTCCCCCCTCCTTCGTCCTTGTCCGCCGGTGCCCTCCTGATCCCCGGACCTCCTCCCGACGAACTCCCTGATCCCGCTCCTGCCGGTTAGACGAGCGATAGTGTGGGGAAATCATCTTGAAGAATCTTCTTCGGATGATCTGAAAACTGCTTGTTTTCAAATACTTAATTGATTTGGAGATTGTTTGCTTGGGTGAGTGAAACTGTTGAATTTGCGTTAGGGTTGCCTACATGTGTTGGAATCTCCGAAACCCCCCCCCCCCCCCCCCGGTACCGTCGATATCATAAACTTGTCAAGAGAGACCGCAGTGAGAGACAAGTGTCTGGAATGTGAACAGTTTTTGGGCAAGAGATTTTGGTGGTGTCGGGGGAGAAAATTGAAAAGGAGTCATGCTGGTCGGCGATGATCGGTTGGAAGTGGACTTGATATCCCGAAGCCTTAAACGCTCTCCGATCATTGCACGCCCAGCCGCTGTCACTTTATTCTTTGCCTCCATTGAATCAACCTCAAGGCCTCTCAGCCAGATTTTTTGTTGCAGATTTCCTCAGTTGGATGAGACCGGTACTCCTGAAGAGCCATTGGGAAGGCATCAGGGGCCCGAAGTTATATGCGAATGGAACATAGGCACACTGGTCCTAGTCATGGTTCCAGGAGTGTAGTCCTTCAGGGACCGGCCTTGTTTTTCAATGGGAAATCTCCCTTCCCTTGTCAACTGGGGATTGAATTAAGGGGCCCTTGAAAATCTTATACCAGGGCTGGACATTGGATCTTCAAACATACCGGGGGGTCATCGATGATCAACTGGGCAACACAACACATACCTCGTTGACAACCAACCTATCTGCCACGCGTTGCTTTGCATTATCAGCATTAACCTGATTGACTAACATATTCTCTGCCTCGTAACAGAATTTGTGGTCTTTCCCTGTGACTTTGGCTGTCGTCCACTCTCTTTGTGTGGATGTACCCTCAGTCATTGACAGACCTCTATCTCCCATCATTCAGCCTCTTTCCCATCTCCCTGGAGGTTCTTTTGGAACACGTTAACTCGTGAAGTGTATGTGCCTATGACCATTCCTGTTGCCCTGTTCTTCCCCATCCCCTGACGATCGTGGTGCCCCCTACATAGGGTTGGCCTGTGCCTATACTCCACATTCCGCAAAATACCCGGCCTAGGGGTGAAGACTTTTACTCGTGCTTCATCTCTCGGACTGGCATCCTACAGAATCCTAATTCAACGGATCATTCCTGTGTTGCTTGGCCTAGCCTAGATGCCAGACTCGCCATCACGGTAAGGGTTGCATTGTGCCCTGTGCCTGAAGGCTCGTTAGCCGGGGGTTAGTATTCACTTCCACTGCTGTTACCCCGGCGCCCTTCTTGGGGAATTGGTCGTTGATATCAAAACGTTTCCTCGCCCGTCATTCTCGTCGTCGACCCTACGGGCATTACACTTCTTTCCTTTCCTTCTTTTCCACCCACACTCGTTGCCTACCATCCACGCTGCCTTAATCTAATTTCTAATCACGATCCCTCTTGTTCAATCGCTAATCCTCGACTTATCCCAACAGCTTTCGGTCTTGAAAGACTTCCTCCACTGCGATTCCGGCCTTGTCTTCTTGTTTCCGCTGCTCGCCTTCCCAGCTTACCAGGCTTCGGTCTTCCCGCTGGACCACACTCCTTCATTTGATTCAACGTTCTTCCAGTCCTTCATTTCAACTACCTAATTCGACGACTGTCACTCTCTTACTTCCGTCGTGACCTGCTCGACCATTCGTCCTTCAGGTTTCTTCTTTGGTCTTTGCAAAGCTAATCAACCTACCGCCTTTCCACTTCACCCACCGCCATCATGGATTACATTCGTCCTCGCTCTGGCTACCAGCCGTGTGACACCTTCTTTATTGAAGATGACTACCGGATGCAGGCCGAAAAGCAGGCCAAGCAGGAGCACGACAAGCTCATGAATCGTGAGCGGCAGCATGCTATGGCCACCCAGATTTCTCGGATCACCAGCGTCGAGTTCCGCGACGATGTCCTGCAGCAGATGCTGGAGATGGATGTGAGTTATACTAACCTCCTCATTTGATGAATGATTCCACGTGACAAGATCTTGTTTACTGACATACTGTGTCTCTCACTTAGGCTCAAACTCTTCCTGATGTGGAATCCATCGACATTCAGACCGAAATCCAGTGGTTTATGCGTCCTTACCTTCTGGACTTCCTGATTGAGGCCCACACTGCCTTTCAACTCCTGCCTTCGACCTTGTTCCTAGCGATCAACTTGTTGGACCGCTACTGCTCCAAGCGTGTGGTCTACAAGCGTCACTACCAATTGGTGGGCTGCGCAGCTCTCCTCATCGCCGCTAAGTACAACGATCGGAAGGACCGCGTCCCCACCGTGAAGGAATTGAAATCAATGTGCTGCTCGCTCTATGATGATGACATGTTCATCCAGATGGAATGGCACGTTCTGCAGACTCTGGGATGGTCCGTTGGTCACCCCACTGTGGATGAGTTCCTGTCAATTGCTCTTCTGGACGAGCCCTACGACGCCGAGGTGGAGCACATGGCTCTCTACATTCTCGAGATTGCCCTTTTCCACCGTGACTTCGTCTCCAAGCCGTCGTCCGAGCTCGCCCGTGCTGCATTGGCCCTGTCTCGTTGCATCCTCAACCGACCCCAACCACGCCACACTGACTGGGCTGCTCAGTATGACTCGACAACTCTTGTCGGTCTCTCTCAGCAGCTTCACCAGCCGTCGACCGTGGTTTCTCGGAAGTATGCCTCGTCTCACTTCTCTCGGGTGTCCAAGGTTCTGGAGCACTTCCTCGCCCGCCAGGCTTCTATGGTCAACTACCCCCGTTGCACCCCTCCGGTGGAGACTCCCGTGGAGTCGAAGCCCTACACTGGGGAGATGGGGCTTGCGACCCCTCAGAAGTCTCAGCAGCTGACTGCGGTTCCTCACGGCTACATGACACCTCCCATCACTCCTGAGAACGGCCCGTTCGCCGCACAGGCTCAAATGGCCGCCAACCAGGAGATGGCTCGTGGTGCCCCTGCCTGCTCGCCGTCGCCTGCCCCCGAAGCTGAGATGCAGTACATGCACACCGACGCCTACCAACAACAGGAGGCCATGTACCTCTCTCAGCAGTCGCAGCAACTCCCGCCGTTCCCACCCCAATCCCAGATGGCACTCGACCCAACCTATCAGGCTGTGATGTAAGAGAGGATATGAAGTGGACAACCGAAGACAGCTCTAGCCATCTTTCTAAACAAAAGTATCGGTGTCATGCACATATTCGAGTCCACCTCGTTTCTCTCTGTCTCGACTGCAGAAAACTAATGAAAGGAGCGTCATGCTTTTTTGCGTTGGTTTCGACTCGACGCTAATCCTAATAATCTCGACATGCCGCCTCCCCCTTTCGTGCCTGTCGAACTCTGTGCCATCCTCATCTTCGAACTCATCCACGCTCGCCATTCAACCTCCTCTTTCCCCCACGCTTTGCATACGGCTTCGGTCTGCAGAACCGGAGTCGAAGACCAGCCTTTTCGTTTCATCTTCCCATTCTTGTTCCAAAAATTGCATACCCATACCTCTCCTTCCTTTCATTTTCCATTGTTCCTGGGTCACCATTTGCATTTATCCTCATTCCACATAGCATTGCAAGAGCGAGCCATATTGTGTTTTTATTTGAATCTTTCCCATTGCATCGTTGTCATTTCCCACCCCCCCTTACCACAACATCTTCACTTCGCATGTCTTGTCGAGTCTCGTGTTTCTGCACTCTTCTCGACAATCTTATCTTGCTGCGCGCCCGCGAGCGCTGCGCCTTTGCATCCATACCTCCAACTCCTGACGATCGTTACACAGCAACCAAGCTGATTTTACTCACCCCCAAGCACCATCATCCCCCCTCTACCTCGCCAGAAAAAAGCCTTTAATGTGTCTGGACCGTCGGACTTCTCTGACACAAAAGTCAGTCAGTGGCCACGGCCGCACACAAAAAAAGCAAAAAAATCAACCAAAACCGACAAAAAGAACTTGTTCAAGTCTCCTGGGGAAGATTTCTTCCACCGTGGGCAATGGAGACCCAAGATTGACATCCCCCAATCCTCTTGCCACTCCCCCTTGTTTACCTATCCCCAACACCTTATCTTTGTGTACCTAGCTTTAAACATGGCCCTGATCTTGTCTGCCACAGTGTGGATGGTGAAGGAGCCTTTTGTTGATTTTCTGTGTGGATTCGAGATTGCCACATGGCCCACGAATAATACACATTTCTGTGGTTACTTTTTTTTCTACTGCCGTAGTTATCTTAAGGACGCTATAGACGTATGATGAGTACTCTTTTTTTCTTAGTCGTGGAAGACTTCCTAGAGACTTTCACTGAAGTTGTACGTCTTCGCGTATTGCCGATTCGAGGAGCAATGTCGATTCCGTGAGTTCATTTCCAACCTCCGAATATACAGACCATGTCTATGCTGTCAAAATAATTCCTGACTATATGCCATTGAAATGCATGTCGCTTCCATTCAGTCAATCCTTCACCCCGTTGTTACATTAGCCAGTCCCTGGCCTTACTTTTGCGGGTAGCTGGTTATGGGTGGGACGGATGGCCCGACCTCGCGAGGATATATCTTCCCGTTCATCTGGAGACATACTAATTTCCGTCGGGGCCGGCACCCCCACTACTACTTGGTAGGCGACAGCCTTGAACAGGCCTAACTCCTCTCGATTCAAGTCCAGTCTAACTAAGCTTTCAGATTGATAGCTCAGGAGGTAGATATAGTCTTTTATCTACAGAACACTCAATGGAGTTGTCCATAATGCCTGGGCTCGGGCAATCCATGCTCAGCTCAGAGCTTCCCCATATTTCGGAAGATAGGTAAACAATCTAAGTGGGTCCAAGAGCTCTCAACCATGGAATCACTCAATCAACCACCAATCAAATCCCTGTACTTAGCGTAGTTTCCATTACTCAAATGGAGCCAACCGTGGATCAAATCGCATCTTGGTGTCTATAGAAAGAGGAGATAGCCAAATAGTAAGAGGGTCCATCTCCGACCGTATTGATTCAATTCAATTCAATGGTCTCAATATTCGAGACAAGATATCCATATCCATATCCAATATTCCAGTATTCAAATTGTGTGTCGCAGTAGCACAGACATTCCAGTAACAAATTTCGCTCATTCGCAAAAAGAAAAAAAAAACAGCCCAGTAAAGTAGAGAATTAACCCATTGCCCACGCTATGCATCGCAATCAAAGAACAAGAACAAAATAAAGCCACATAATAGTAGTGTTAGCAAAAACAGACAGGGCTGGGGGATGGATGGTCCCGCCAGCATGTATACCTGCAGTAACCCTGCGAGGTATGTGCGTAAAAGTAATATGACACGTGTAACGCTCCCTGAGGCCGATAAGGTCAAGCCAGGGGATGCATGAGGATGGTGAGTGGAATTGAGGGAGGAGGTAGGAGACCGAGGGGGGAGAGTGATCAGTCGGAAAGAGAGATAGAGTTGGGAAGAGGAGGTGTAGAGAAAGGGAAAGGAATCAAACAAAAACACCAAAGCCAAACATATCAGAGTCGAGAGTGTAAGTTGAAAGCAAAAGACGCCTCCGAAAAAAAAAAAAAAAAAGAAAGAAAGAAAAAGAAAAGCACAATACGGGCTGGAGAGACACCGAAAAAATCCGAAGAACTCCAGATAATCATACAAGGGGAAACGGAAAGCACCAAGTAGGGGGGAGGGAAGAGGATAGGGAAGGAAGGGGGATCCACATCTTCCCCGGCGTGAAGTAATCCGGGGCAGAATAGGCAAAGAGAGAAAGAGTAAAGGGATCGTAGCAAGCAAAGCAGGCCAGTTGGCAATTGGTAACTGGGCAACCTTCCAAGCCAGAAGGGAAAGTGACAGTGGCCCAGACCAACTGGAGATTGTTGGGTCAGGGGGAGGAAAGGAGATGATCGCGGGTAAAGCGGTATGGCGAGATGGGCATAGCGGCATAACGGCATAGCGAGAGCATAGCGGTGACGATAGGCACGGCTGGCGCCCACTCTCATCCCTTCTTTTTCGGAGCCGAATACTTGGGAACACTAAAACCGTTCAAGTAGTGTTCCCAAAGCAAACCGATCACAGAAAAAAAAAAGGGGGAAAGTTGTCCGGGACCAAGGCCTTGAGCTGATTTGCCAACTGCCGTCCAAAGGAAATGCAAGTTCCACCGCTATGCTGGTCCCCATTAGAGGCTCATCTCTGGCGAGGTCCAGTTGTCCGCTCCCTTAGTTCCTTTTTCTTCGTAGCTGTCATTTCTGGGCGTACAGCACAGTGACCGTCACGGAGAAAGTAGTCCGCAAAGCCGCGCGGATAAATCGAGGTGGACTGGACTGGATTGGAGGGTCCTTTCCCCAACCTGCTTGCTTGCTTTTTTTTTTCTTGCTCCCTTGGAGCTCTGTCTGCCTGTGAGATCCCCATCACGCTACCAACCCCCAGATTTGGGGCTGGCCGTGATGTTACTTCCAGCGTTGTTTGTCCCAGTCGGACGGCCTGGTCTCGTCGTAGATTTGGCCACCTTTATTATGGACGATAACGGGAGGTTTGCGGACGGGATTGGCGGCTGACCGGGGTACGCGTCTGCATTAGCCGGGCCGAATCTAGAGATTGAGTGGACTGCTGGATCGACATACCTCGGACTTCTGTGGCAATGACTTGGTCGCTGGTGCTACTATCTCCGCTGGCCAGAGTAGAATTGGAGTCGTTGGTGACTTTATGTGGCATGGTGTGGTATAGATGGAGTAGAAGGGGGAGAGCCGAGATGGTCCTGAATGGGCGGAGCTGGGAGTTGACAATTGATGAGGCCACGAAGATTGGATGGTCGTATGGGCTGATGTAGTCTCGAAGGGCAGGCAGTGTTGAACTGTGCGCTACGGAGATCTATGAGGATGAGATGAAGAAACAAAGTCGAAACGGTGTAGGGAGGAATTATATAGAGAATACAAGGTATAGATGAATGGGGGTTTTAAATAGTACAAGTATAGATGAAGCTGGAAGAAGAGAGAGACAGCAGACGGGCTTCTTTTTGTATACCCCAGGCCATTCCTAATTGAGCGCTGCATCTGATCTACAACTCCGGGGAACCGTGAACCGCATCGTCGCCAGGGAGCTCTCTGCGGCGTTCGAAAAGGGAATGGGAATGGATCAGCCCCCTGACGTATCAAGAGGATCGAAGGGAACAATATGAAGGTACTCCGTCCCCAAAGTAATGAAGGTACTGAGGTACATGAACGGGTATTCGGTGCCTGGTATTACTGCCAGTTTTGCCGATTGATTGGCCATGATGCCAGGTCTAAAGCAGGGCAGCCAGTCAGAAGTGATACTGCGATACGAAGTGGGCCAGTCGTACACAGTGGGCCCAATAATGATGAGTCAGCCATTCCTCCCAAGAATAGCTGTGGCCGAGCTGTTCCCGAGTTGCTGTTGCTTTGGTTTAACTTGCTGTTGATTGATGCTGTGGTGGATGCTGTTGGCTGGCTGGCTGGCTGGCTGGTGGTACAATAAGTGCCAATTATCCAAGCCGCCATTATTGAGCCTGGACATCTTGCTAGCCAGTAGCTACCCCATAGTAGCAACAGCAGCAGAAAAGAGAATCGAGAATTCCTCAGCCTCACCGCTGGCCTCATACCACCAATTACCAGTCTCCTCTGCTCTTCACGGCAGGGATGCCTGACTGGCGTAACCGGCATAAAAGGTGATGTCAATAAAATGATCCAGGGGCCAGGGGGGAAAGCTTCACCGACTGACGCCCTCTGACCCTCCACACACACCCCGGTCCACTCTGGTCCAGATGCCTTCTGTCCTGGCCCGAGACCATTCAGGGCCCCCGTTTACTGGTGATCATTGCGATTAGAGCGCGAATTCAAGCCAATTGCAGCCGCTCTGGAGTCCTGGACCCGGAAGATCGCCGATCGTTTAGTCCCGTGCTTTTGGATTTCCCTAAGACACTGGCGTCTGGCGAAATGAACGTTGGGTGGTGGTACAAGGTCATCTGACCTGCTGCAAAGCGTTGTTGCTTGGGTTGCTTTTTTGTACGTTTTCTAACTATATCGGTGATCGTGCATTCAGACCCCATACCACCAAGAGAGACCGCGGGATGTACGTCACTCCCCCAGATCCAAATTCCCTTGCGGAGTCCATTGGGTCATATGGAGCCATTGGACTATTGCGTGGGCTTATCATCTGTTGGTGGATGAAGCAATTGCAATCTCCTATCATTTCCGTTCCCTCCCCATTGGTCCACCCAGGTAGGACACTCCTTCGGTCAACGGGCAGCCGAAATGCGCGCAATGAAGCTGCGAGACGTGTATCATATCCTTCACAGACTACTCCTAGAATTCTAGACCCGCTCCCACATCCTCGTCCTCTTAGCGCATCTGATCGCCACTGCCACCGCTTCTCTCCCGCTTCATCCGCTCCTCCCATCCATTCATACTGCGTCGAATGCCCAGCGTCCGCCGCCCTGTCGCCGCTGGGGCTTGCTGGCGGACCTTGTCCATCGTAGTGGTATAAAACGACACGGACCGGAACGCACTGGTGGATCTCTCCTGTTTCACGTCGCTTGCCCCAGTCCCAGTCCCTGAATCCGCCGTCCTGCTGTCATTTCCTTGCGGTGGTTGCGATGTCAGCATTCGAGCGGGTTTCATGGTCTCAGGCCGGGACGGGGCTGCCATCCACATGTAATTGCTGGGCTCAGCAGGTTCAAGGACCGGCCGTGATGGATGAAGTGGTCGTGGCTGGAGCCGGTGGGAAGAAAGCGACGGTGGCACAAAGCTGGCGCTTGGCCGAGAGTTCATCTGGGGAGTCAGGTGGTTTCTTGGAGCCGGCTGAGCTGGCGGATGGACGGCCGGGATGGACTCTGGCTTCCGGGCAGAGGAACCTGGTCCGCCGAAAAAGTTGGAGATGCTGGCTTGGCTGAGGCCGTCTTTCCGGCTGACGTTGCCAGGCGTCTTTACTTTGTCTTTTGGCCCAGCTGCAGTTGTAGGTGAGGATGTAGTAGGCGGCATTTTTGTGTCCTGCTCAGTTGCCGGGTTCACCGCGATGTAGTTGCGAGCTGACGTAAAGCCTCCTGTAGACATTGTTGTAGCAACCGTGAAGTTGGACGAATTGCCTCTGCTGTAACTGCCCGTCGTCATGTAATTGGTAGATGCCGGCCCATTGTTGTCGGGTCGCCTTCGTTTTGGGTATGGCTCTTGAATCGAATCACTTGGACCCTGCTTGCCATTCCATTCACTGTTTTCGTCGCGTACTTCCTCACCCTCAGAAGTCCACTTGTCATCCAACAAAGAAGGGAGAGACACAAGGTCTTTACACATATCCTCAGGAGACGGTCGTGGCCGGTGCAGAATATCAGAGATGCCATAGACGACCTTCTCGTGGAATTGAGGGCCCTTTGGTCGAAATCTTGTCTTGACCAGCTTGGGCGGAAGGAACGGCGTCAAAGTCGTAGACCCATCTTCTCCTTCGCCTATTCGAGGCTGTTTCAAAGGGAGACTCAAGTACAGAAGCGCTTGAGCCCGAGTCATTGCAACGTACAATAGACGTCTCTCTTCATCAACTACTTCCGCTCGCGAGTGTGGGATGCTTCCGTTGTAAACAGCGGGGATGAAGACAACGGGCCATTCCAAACCTTTGGCAGCGTGAATTGTCGATATTGTGACACTCCCGGAGCCTTCCTCGCCCTCATCTTGTTTCTGCGCCTCGGTAGCTAAGGCGACATTGGCCAGAAACCGGGACAGAGCTTCTTCTCCCGGATGAGATTGCTGCTGCTCAACGCCTTCAATCTCTGGCAAGTCTTCTTCGAGATTGGCCTCGGCCTCGGAGGCTGCAGCATCGTTAGCCTGGCCCATCAACTCTTTGACGTTCGCCCAGCGACCATCTTCGTCCAGCGGGTAGGTCTTGAGCAGATATTCTTGAAATGATAGGCTGTCGGTGATGTACTCTAGAAGCACACAAGGGGCGGATGCATCTTGGCATTCCTGCAATTTTTGCTTGGATGCCTCGATCAACTTCACTAGTGAGCAGAGCCCGAGCTCCGCCGCTTTCTGCAATTTTTTCTCGGTTGATCGACGGCCCTGTATCACATCTTTGATGAATGCCCAAAGAGTGACTTGAGCCTTCTCTGCACCACTGGTCAACTGCTTGATAGTCTCGTCACCGATTCGCCGCGGGGGAATATTGATGATACCAAGCAGGGCGTCTGAATGATCTGTATGGCAGACAACACGGAGATAATTCAGGAGAGTCTTAACCTCTGTGCGATCAAAAAACTTGCGCCCTCCTACCATCTTGTATGGAATTCCTGCTCGGCCAAACGCTGTCTCGATACGGGTCGATAACGAAGCGGATCGAAGAAGGACCGCAAAGTCAGACATGCGTAGCAGACCACCGGTCATCGCCACGCTTCGTTTGATCTCGAGAACCATCCAAAGTGCTTCTGCATTGGGATTGGGGAGTTTCCTCAGCACAGGGAGGGTTCCGAACGTATGGGTGGCCTCGAGTTTTTTTGGAGGTCGCGTGGTGTCTTGTTCAATCACTTCTTGTGCAGAGTTTAAAATTGACCCTGAAGAACGATAGTTGGATTCTAAAAGAACGACTGATGTGTTTGAATATCGCTTTTGCATCCGCCTGAGGTTCTGGATTTCTGCAGACCGGAACCCGTAGATGCTTTGATCGGGGTCACCGACGATGGTGATGCGCCGATTCTTGGAGGCAAACAGATTCATCAGGTCGTATTGGATGATATTGGTGTCCTGGAACTCATCCACTAGGACTGTTTGCACATTCGAAACACACTCTGGATGCTCTCTGAGCAGATCGCCACAACGCAGCAGTAGGTCGTCATAGTCAAGAAGATTTGCGGCTGCAAGTGCCTCATCGTATGCGCGATATATGTCGACAAGCTCCAGTTCCTCTGCCTTGACTCGCTCAGCCAGAGCGTTCGGAGAGAGGCCATGGGCCTTGTGTTTGGAGATCCGTCCTTGAGCCGCTCTGATATCCATGCTGGAATTTAGGCGCTTGATAATTCTCTGGCCGAATATTAGCGAATGATTAAAGTTCGAGATATCGCCCGTATCAAACTTACCCGAAGGATAGCTCGAGTATCGTCAGAGTCTGCAATCCCGAACCCTTTGCGCAGCCCAATCAAATATCCATACTTGACCAGATACCGCCGACAAATGGAATGGAAAGTACCTAGAACCAACCGCGACTGCAATTGCTCTCCGATAAGCTTGCTGAGGCGCTCACGCATCTCCCGACTAGCTTTGATCGTGAACGTGCAGCATATGACATCTTGTGGTTGATAGCCATGGTGAGAAAGCAGGTACGCGACGCGTGCAGTGAGCGTTTTGGTTTTGCCCGAACCTGGAGGCGCAAGAACCTGGAGGATCGGGGCGGAGGAGGTAACCGCCTCGCGTTGAGCGTGATTCAGACCATCAAGGATGGGATCCATGACATGACGTTTGTTTTGGGGATCAAAACCTCGGAGGGACTCGATCAATCCGGGCCGGTGGTTGGATCGCCCAGAGCGGCAAGTGAGACGCGCTGTGAACGCGGTGTCATGTGACATCAACTGCCAGGGCCCAAAGTATGCTCATGAGAAAATTAAGTACCCACATGATCTTATGAGGAATTATGGCTTAAGAATATATTTGTGAAATTGTGAATAGATAGAATTACGCGAGATCGAGAGGTTGCTGAGGGGTGTGTGGTTAGTTCCGAGTAGTGGGGTTAAGGCCTGCGTATACAAGTCTATGTTTCTTGAACAGTGTTTGAGCTACCAAGTAGTTTACAGGACGGTGTATTTTAAACAAACCAATCAAGTCTGACATATGTGTCAATAATGCACATTAGAAGTGACAACAATAGTGTGGGAATGGCGGGAAAATTCGCACTTCTGACCAAAAAGCGGCCCTTCATACGGCATTTTTGACGACGACGACGACTAGAAGTCTGAACCCGCAATGCAGTACGAGGAATGTCAGACAAATGACCCTTCTATAGCTACTAATTTTAGAGCTGACAGTATTATCGTCGGCAAATCCTAGGAAGCTAGTCCTCGGGATTTCTTGCGCGATTTGGTTTCTAGTTAAACATGGGGTCTTGGGGGCCAGTATCATACCCTTGTAAAGCCAATTGTATGCACCTAGTGGCCGAAAATGGCCGAAAATGGCCTCAATCAACTTATGGTAACGTCAATTAGAATATGCTCTAATGATCTAGCCGCGCAAACATTTCATGATGGTAAACCTCTATTGTCCGCGGAGGCCATTTGATAGCGACCAGTTTTCTGCTCAAAAAGCCGCTAAACTTGGTGTAGAAGTCAAGGAAGGCTCAGAGAAAGATGGAGAATCCACTTTGCATATGGATATCATCAATGCCGACATTAATATTGGGCCGGACGAGATGTTCTTGGGGCATACACCCGATGTCAGTCATCCAGGGTAGGACAAATACAGTCCGCCCAGACCAGACATTCTTCTGGTCCTGACCGAGATGACTTTCCCAAGCTACCAATAAATGATGTGAATCCACCAGAAGTACCCCGTAGTCTCTGCCTTTCCATACCGGAGAGGATTTGTCCGATATGAGGACATGTGCTTGCTAGAAAAGTAGCTAAGTATCTGTCTGGACTCTGACCATGTAAAGAATGGGGCCGCGGAGAAGGATCATATTACTGGAAATAAGGATGTCAAGCCTATTGGGCAGGACTAGATCTTCTCTTTCCTGATTCCACTCTCATCCTCTTCGACCCATGCTCAGTACTCTTTATGAGCGCTACTACAACTTTGCCCTGTTGCCTAGTTGCATCTGGCCTGTAACGGCAGTCATTAGTGGCAAGGCTAAGCCATTGGGCTTCGTAGCCAACTTTCTCTCTTTTAATTAGAACTAATGGCTTATCGGTTAGGAAAATCGACGAGCCCAATGCCCGGCTTTAGGGAGTTCATTCGGTAGGTACCCCGGCCGATATCGGATGTCGAGACAACACGGACCTTACTTACGCAGCCTTGATGGCAGAAAATCGAGGGACCGATATCGAGCAATAAGTCTGCTAATTATTCTTGCTTAGAATAGTTGTTTCTGAATGAATATACATGTTGATGGGAACAGTATCCATTCAATAGATTCCATCGAAGCATCGACAGTGGCATCCGCGGAACTCTTTGAGATGACCTTTAGATAGATGTTTGGAAGAATACTTGTATCATACGTATTAAATGGAATTTGAGGCGCAGTTAGCGGTCAACTATTTCCCATAATGCCTTTTTCGGTGCCCGCCGTCGCCTATCATCCCCAAAGAAAGCCTTCGTCATTGCACTATGACTCAGTAACGTGTGAGCTTGGCTCGCAGGTCCAGGCAGAAACTTGAACGTCGAAATCACGCCACGGGTATCATCAGAATGCAATTCAGCTGCAAATAAAGAGAATACCTGTTTCTAGGGAATCGGCGGGGTGTCACTTCACAAGTAGAATGGTCTGATGCTTTACTCTACTAAGGAAGAGAACTATTAGTTGGAACAATCGAAATGAATACATTCGTGTGTAAATTGAAAATTCGCTCAGCCCATGTCAAGTAGATACATGTGGCTCTCATGCAGAAAAAAAACTTAAGAAAAACAAGGCTAAATCGCATCCGGGTATGTACAATACAATTTAATAAGGGAAGCACTATCATCCAGTACCCCTGGGTATCACATCTCACAAGCACCCCGCAAACGTCTCGAAGTATAAGATGATCGCGATCATAAGAGTGTCAACCCGAACTGAAGATGCCCAGGGGAACACTCATAGACACCTCGTAGTTAGGCACATTGACAATCTCAGCGATTTGCAAGTCCCCAGCAACACTGGCCAGGATGTACGCCTCGCTCTTGGTAAGACCCTTGGTAAGGACGAGCCACTGGATGAGGTTGCGAGTGGCACTCTTTGCAGCCTCAAAGAGATCTGGAGAAACGCCGAGAGCACCGTAGGTGCCAAGGTCGGGAAGGGGGTTGGGTATTTGAGCTCGCGGCGGGGTCTGATACTGAGGAGAGGTAACCCAACGCTGGTTCTTGATGAGCTCGAGGCGGAGGGTTGCTTTGATAGGGGTTTCGATAGCCGTGCCGCAGACTTCGCCCATGCCCTGAGCGGCGTGTCCGTCACCGCAGCTGAAAAGGGCACCGGCGGTCTGTACGGGGAGGTAGACGGTCGAACCGACACTGAGCTCGCGGCAGTCCATGTTGCCACCGGCGTGAGTTGGTGGGACGGTAGAGAGTTCGTCGTCGGTGGCCGGGGCAAGGCCCATGCAGCCTAGGAATGGTCGGAGAGGGATACGCATATCCTTGAACTGAGCGTAACCTTTCTCGCGGTCGAGAGACCAGATCTTAATCTCAGGTTCGAGAAAATCCTCAGCCAACAGGCCGAAGCCAGGGATGATGGCAGACCAACCCCAGTCTGCGACTTCGAGGGCTAGGACCTCGACCTTGAGAACGTCGCCAGGCTGTGCATCTTGCACGTAAATTGGACCGAAAACGGGATTGGCGATGCCGAGATCTAATTCCTTGATAGCCGATGCGTCCGAAGTGGTGTCGAGCTGGCCGTTGCTGCTGTCGATGGCATCAAAAGTCACCGTCTGGCCCGAGGAGACGGTCAATTTAGGCGCGATCTTTCGAGACCATTTCACATGGCCGCAGTCTCGTCCGACGTGAAAGTTGTTCCAACTTGCTGGTACCATGCTGGGAGGGGTTGATTTAGTATGAGTCAGTGTGGCAGCACTCATCGGGAGCGACGGCGGAAGCAAGTTTGATGGATTTTGGGGATGCTAAAGCGATATCGGCCTGGAGAAGAGGAGCAAGCGACGGAAGGGCGTATTTAAAGAGATTGGAACAGGAGGCCCGATCCAGGCACCACGAGACGAGATCCTCTTCAAGGTGGACTGTTGGGGAAGGTGGATAGAGACGGATCTCACAGCTTGAATGCTTGTTCTTGAAGGGATCTCCACTGCGGGAGCCGATTTCGTCGCCTGCCTAAAATGGTTTGACATAATCCCAGGGGACTGGGACATCAAGAGCCCTTCGTTGGAGCCTCTGGGGTTCATCCAGGGTTGGCCTCCAAGGGAATGCAGAGACGTTCTGCACGCGCTGGTTGGCGGATGGGACTCATGGGAGGGGGCGGTCCACTCCGACGGAATGAAGCGACCTTCTTATCCGCCTGCTACATTTGGTTCATCTGGTTTGGATGTTCCTCAGAATCGTCATCATGTCACCGGGGAGATAACCTTGTTGAGCGGGGGGTGGAAACAGAGTTCTCGAAGAAGGAAGAGGGGCGAACCGGGCGGACTTGAGTGTTACCAGAATCTTTTTGGTACGGCAGAACGTTTACCACTGGGAATCGAGAAGTATCAGTATTTGTAAAGCTATAATAATAATATCTAACTGAAATATCTATGAAGGACGGAAAAGCCGAAGCCTGGTCATGGAGACAAGGCATGAACGAATAAGAATCCAACTTTATAGGGTGCAAGAGAAGATCCAAGGTTAATGGGGTTATAATACGAAACGCAACGCCACCGGAGGCTTCCATGAAAGGCAGGCCGTTTGGCCTTTTGGTTCCGCCTGGTGGGGTTGGAGCGCCGAAGTTGCAAACCCTTTTTTTTTTCTTTTGGTAGCATTGGACTACAATAATTGGGGTATTTGAATTTGCATTATTATTGGCACTTTGTTTAGGTGGTTTGCATTATTTGCCGAACATGATATTCAGTTATCAGATAAAGTTACTGAAGCTAACCTAACTATAGACGAAAGAAGATGGAAGCTTGCTGATACTATTAAACTCTTTAATTTTCACCAGAAGATTCGTCCTAAAAATATTGGAAACAAGGTGACTCCGTATGGACCTTCACACTCCAAAATTGCACACAACCACCTTCTTGTTCGGGGCAAGGCAGACCCTTTCCAGTGGGACTGGGTGGACTTGGCTGATATGCAAAACACAACGTAGGTGGGCCGATAGCCGTTCGGAGAGGCTAGACTTAGTGTACAAACTATTGTACTCTACCTACACTGAGTTTATACTGTCGATACTTTGGTGCATAGTACTACTACATAACTACTATCTATATATATATTTAATACTCCGTACTTTAACCCGCATCACAATAGAATGCAATCTTACAACCCTGTCTAGCGCGGTCAGGAGTAGCTACTATTGTACACAGCCCAATGATATTTTCTTCTTTTTAGTTAAGTCCATTCCACCCTATTGTCTATCTGTTTGATCATCACCAAGTTTAGTACAAACTCCGTAGTTCCCGCCTGTTACAATTCCCAATCGCATCACGGGTCCCTCTTTCTTCTCTCCGAATCTCCACTTCCCGCCCGGCATACTACATCACGAATACTGCCCGTCTAACATCGCAACCACACACGTAGCATTATCACTCTTAGGACGACTCGCCGTGCTACTGACCACCTCCTGTGCAATATCATTGGCTCGCATTCCCCGCATCGACAGCTTCATCACGTGCTGGATCAAGGCCGTATCATCAGTGAGGTCGCTCACCCCATCCGATACGATAACGAGCAGGTACCGTCGATTGGACTGCAGGATACGTCGCGAGGTGAAGGGATCGTTGGATAAGAAATTCCCACACACCGACGCCGATGACGACGAGGCGCGCCGTGCTCGAGTCGTCAAATTCTGGTCTTCCACGGCGTTCACCGGGTTCTTGTACTGCAGGTCGCCCAGCGCGCGGGACATGTTCAGGGATCCTACTCCATCGGTTTCCTCCGTGAGTATCATTCCACTTCAATGACTTGTGCTCAGGGTTCACCGGGGTGCCGCTGCCCCCTCCCCCGCAGGCACTCGGGCCCTCCCCTTTTAGGTCTGGTCTAGCTAGGGTTAAGCTGCAACTCACCGAGCCGAGTGATTCCGTTCCGTTTTTCCACGGTACCTCCAGCCTCTCTGATACGAGCTTCCTCGCTAGGCACTTCGGGCTTGTGTGCTTGTGTGAGGCGACGCTATGGTTGGGTGGTCAGTCACTGTTTTGGTTTGCTCAGCAGTGTGACAAGGCCATACAATGTGATAGGGATACTCCGTCTTGGGATCCCGTTCGGCAAGAATAACATGCGAGTCGCCTAGATTGGAGACCACCAGCTCCCCCGTGGTCAAATTGATCAAACACACCGCCACTGTTGATCCGGACACAGCGGGCTCGACGGATTCGCGCATGAAATTTTCCAGCAGCACGCCATCTTCATCGGCCAGTGCGGCCTTCATTGCGGCATCATAGTCCCCTCGCTGGAGCTCAGGTCGTTGGGCAAGTAGATTATGCAAGTTCTTACTTGCATGGTCCGCAACGAGGCTAGAGCCACTATTCAGGGATCAGCAAGCCTCCTCTCGGCTTTTGATGAAGGCAACTACTTACTGTCCGTCGTATATTGCAAAGAATGCAAGATTGCCATCTGTTTTTGTGGGGAAGTGCTCCGGCAAGATTATCGTATAACGGTCTTCCTGGGACTTCCTACTTCCTTGAACCTATGCCCCATGGTCAGCCTGGTATCTCTCGGACGGGCACGAGGGGGCTGCTACTTGACCTGCTCCAACATCAAAGAGCACGAGCGCGTCAGATGTAGACATGAGAGTGTTGCGGAGCATCTGGTCTCTCAGAGCTCTATGTGCGAGGACCATATTGGAGTCTAATCAAGCACCTTTCGAGCCAAATCGCAGATTTGCCCCGGATTCTAACTCCGCGAGCTGGTGATGATGTACTGACATCATCTGTGAACCCTTTGGTTAGGAAGTGCCTATGCTTATGAGAATAGCTGGAATGGGAGTTCGTGCGCATTGTAAGTGGCTCTATGAGGCTCAATATGTTTTGAGATGATCCGGTGCCCGAGATATATATGCCGGACACTAACCAGTAACTACCTCGACAACGAAAGATACCTAACTTGTGGGATCTTTGAAATTGGTACCCGCTGAACTATGACTTTTAAACTCGTAGCTTGAATTTACCCTTCAGATCTAGTATGCCGGATTCAACCGCAACATTTACTAGTCCAACTACTGTACGGAGTGGTATAGATGTCAACCTCAAGCCTGCCCCGCACGGACCACCTCTACCTCTCCAGGCGGGTTTGTCAGTTGCGGCACGACCATCTTTCGCTGCTCACTACTGTTCTCAACGCTTCAACATATCGAATCTCTACGAAATGGGCTGGCCTGGCGTGGGGAGTCTCGCCGCAACTGCGGGATACTTCTTCTCTCGCAGCCAACCTAACACTGACAGCAAGACCCCGGATTCAATCTCCACCCGGCCGGACTCCAGATCCGAGCCGCGTGCTTCTCCGACTGAAGAACACAAGCCGGAGGGACATGACGCAGGCATCTCGACATCTCCGTCCCCAGACGACGAAGAGGATGGTGCTCAGAACACACCTAAGGCGTCCGCATCAAGCGCGCCACCACCTGTCCTTGCCGTCCCCACGCTGAGTCTGAACGGTGACTCAAGCGACAACGATAATGCCCCCAGCGTCGCGAGAGGCTCATCAGCCCAGACGAGGGTGAACGGCCCAGGAAAAAATGAAACCTTGACAACACCCAACGATGCGCCCGCTCAGACGAGGATGCAACCGCCATCTCTCGCGGTGACTTCATCGCCACAACAGCCACAGCCTACACCCTCTCTAATGCCCCCACCCCCAATCCCACGCCCCCGACAAACACCCCAACCAAACAGAGCACCTCCAACCCTCCAACCACCCCGATCAAGCGCCAGCTCCCTCCGCACACCCCCGTCTGCCGCCGCAGGCCTCCGCGTTCCCCCATCCGCAAGCACCAGTGGCGGCAGTGGCCTGAGCACCAGCACCCTCGCCCCAACTACAGTCAAAAAACAAGCCTCCCGCAAGGTAGTCCTCGAACCAGGCTACTCACCACTAGACTGGGCCGTGCGCGCCGCAAACCCAAACAATCAACTCCGCGGCGCGGGTCTACCCTCGGGTCTGCTGCGGGTGACGCCTTCCATGCTGAAGACGCAGAATGGGCGCAAGGGCCGCGATGCGTGGACGTCATATCAGGGCAAGGTTTATAATATCTCGCCGTATGCGCCGTATCATCCCGGTGGGAAGGGTGAGTTGCTGCGGGGTGCGGGGAAGGACTCGGCGCAGTTGTTTGCGGAGATTCATCCGTGGGTGAACTGGGATGGGATTTTGGGAGAGTGTTTGGTTGGGATTTTGGTTTCGGAGAATGATGTTCAGGTGGAGAATGGGTTGGATGCGATGGATTGAGAGTTGTCATGCGAGATGCGTGCCTGCCTGGCTGGATATGGCTTGCTTCGCATTCTTCTGGCTGACGGTCCTGGACATGTTGGTCCTGTGTATATGGCGACTGAGGCGGAGCGGGGGATTGTAAGATACATTTCTACATATACTAGACGAGAGATACCCCAATACAATAGATGCGCGGCGCAGCCCAATTAAGCGCTGCGAATTCCAAGAAAGATTCCGAATTGCATCATTCCAATGATTTTGGGGTATATCATTCGAGAATAAGTGGTAACGAAGGCCATTTTCACCTAAAGCAAAGATCTGACCAGATCATCACATCATAACGTAGTATATACTTCGAATCTAGAGCTCGTCCTTGTCAACACCCTCGATAGCAACAAGCTCAGTCTCAAAGACCAGAGTTGCGCCACCGGGGATGGGGCCAACGCCGCGGTCGCCGTAGCCGTACTCGGGGGGAATAGTCAGCGTGCGCTTCTCGCCGATGCACATGTCGAGGAGACCCTGGTCCCATCTGTAGGAAGAAAAGGATTAGTCAATTGTCCAAAGAGGATCCGCTGCGAAAGCTGCGAAACCCGCAAGCGGGAACGAACGGAACAGGAACGAAAACAATGCACAAGCGATACTTGAACATTGTATCCATTCCCATTCCCAATTCCATTCAGACTCCACGAGAAGAAAGAAGCCCTAACTCACCCCTTAATAACTCGACCAGTTCCCAACTTAAAAGTCAAGGGGACATTGCGCTTAAAGCTAGAGTCGAACTCCTTCCCATCAGACTGGAGGGTACCACGGTAGTGCATGGAGACGTTATCGCCGTTCTGGGTCTTGCGCGTGCACTCGACCTTGTGGGTGACTTCGATGCCCAGCTCGGCGGCGCAGGCGAGGGAGGCGAGGCTCAGAAAGAGGGTGGTGAGACGCATTGTGGGTGGTTATGGATGAGGGTGTTGCGTGGATATCTGGAGAGGATGAGGGAGAGGGTGGCGGTTGTATGAGGTCAATTGAGAGGGTGGAGGTGAGATTGGTGAAGAGGAGACGTGGAGGATGATGAGGGAATGGGGGGGGGGGGGAAGAAGGCAACGTGGTGGAGTGCGGAGGCGCGAGTTTGGCTTGGGGAGATCCGCTTTAGTGGGTCTTTGGTCTTTGGCTACGGTACAACTTTACTGTACTTTAGGCTGTAGAACGGTCGTGCAGATAGAGAGAGGACTGAATTCTGTTTCTTTTGCAACGTGGGTTGTATTACCTTATTTTTTTTTGGTCTTCAGACGATTACTTATTAAACTAGCGGTTGTCATCCAGCCAGTCAATGCCAACGACCAAGATTATGCCTCCATCTCCCGTCATCTTCAATGCTACCATCATCTCCAGATTTAACCTTCCTTTGCGGCAGTAGCAGCAGCCTTAGTATCCGCTGGGATTCCCTCGTCCGCAAGAGCCTGGAGATCACCCCTCCCATAGCTCCATCCCACCCATTGGCCACAAGGTAAGCCCGGAACTTCTCATCGCGCAGACGCAGATCCTCCCCAGAAAGATCTGGCACGAAGAACCAAGTCACTAAGACACCAACCACACCACAGATCGCAGCAATGATAAAAGTCCACTTCTTCCCAATATTGTTGGCAATTGGCTGAAACGCCTGAGTCCCAATGGCGGCCCCAGCTTTCCCAACCGCAGCGGAGATACCATAGCATGTTCCACGCACGCCGGTAGCATAGGACTCCGAGGATAGTAGACCAAGCATATTCCCGGGACCAAAGTTGCCAGAGCTTTGCATGAGTCCATAGAAGACGATGAAGAGAGGAATAATCTTTGTGATACGATCGAAGGCACATCCAATGATTAGGCCGAAGACGAGGTATCCGCTGAATCCGATCATCATGATGTTCTTGCGGCCAACGCGGTCACAGAGGATCGCGCCGAGGAAGACACCCGGCAGGGCGATTGCTCCAAGGAGGAGTTGCCACTCTCCTGTTTGAAGGATTGTGCCATTGTGGACCACGTTTGAAATAATGGTGCCAGAGAAGACACCGTTGGGGAAGGTGACGAAGTCTATAGACAAGCCATTAGCGACGAGTCAAATGCCAAAAGTATTTGCCAGGTATAGGGACTTACCGTAGAGGAACCAAGCACCACAGGTCCCGATCAGTGTCTTCCAGTAATACCGTATGACAAGCTTGTACGGGACATGCCGTTTGATGGCACCACGGCGATAAAGCGCTGAGTTGAGCATGCGGATTCTGAAGTAGAACACAGAGAGTGGCCAAATACATCCAATGCCGAAGCATACTCGCCATACAGTGCTGTAGTGCGACTGGCCACAAGCCGAAAGCACGATCAAAAAGATGGACACTGCGAACGGTCCGCCAAAGGACAGGGGAAAGTTGGTCACCATGATGAAGGCTGGACCACGATACTTAGGTGTCAAGTCGTTGGCGGACTCGGAGGCAGATGTCGATGATGCAGGATACTCGCCGCCAGCGCCTGGCAATACGGTCAGTAAATGCAAAAAATGTTGGTGACAGAATACGAAGCAAGCCATACCAAAGCCGACGATACCACGAGCAACGGTCATCATCCAGAACATACCGTCAATGGTAACACCGTGCGAGGCAGTGGCCAAGATACCTCCAATGACAATCATGAGGGTGGTGAAAACAATGGCCATTTTCCGGCCAAAGTAGTCGCAGGTCAGACTAAACTCAATGGTGAGCAATGTGCGACTATTCAAGCATTTAGGAAACTCGTAGGCTTGCACTTACCCAACAACCACCTGGCCGATGACTTCTCCCACCAGTAGCGCATTAGATACGCGCGTGCTGACGGTCGTAGTATACTCCTTGGGGTACTGCTTCTTGAGAAGGACGTTGGTCATCGTCCTGTAGCGCTTAAGTATGAGTGGGGGCGTCGAAGCGAAAAAGAGGGGGCCGGCGCACTCACATGAGGTTGTTTTGATATCCATCACTGATCAGAGCGAAGCCGCTGGCAAACTATAGCTCCCTCGGTGGCCCATTGATTAGTAGAGATTTCCCATGGCCCATCTTCGAAAGAGTAGACAAGGATTCACTCACGATTGTAAACAGGTCCGACAGGCTCTGTCGCTTCTTGGAGACCTCGCGTGAGGGGTCATCCCCAAGATCGACATTGTCGTGAACCTCGGCCTTGGAGGCAGCCTCTTCAGGGGTCGTTGGGGCGTTTTCGATAGCCATATCGAAGTCAGAGGCGTGCTCTTAACCGGAAGCGTCTCTGTCAAGAGGAAAACAAGAGAAAAAAGAGAGAAAGAAGAAAGAGCAGAACAACAAACTTCCTACTTGTACTGAGGAGCGATGCAACGGTGTGCACGGCACCTCCCCGAGCATCCCCGGGTAATCAGCCCTACAGACGGAATTTGGTTAAGCGCCGCCATGGCGTTCCCTTAAAATCTTGGCTTTTTGGTCTTTTGGCAAACTGAATCGCCGATTTTGTACTCTCGCATGCAAGGGTCAACCACATGGTATGCCACATGGTTGACAGGTTCGTCGTGAGTGGCTTCCGGTGATGTTCCAGAATCAGTATCCACCGAGTAGTTTAGACCAGGCAGCTGGGAAGCTTGTCGTAGATTTTGGTGAGCACGTGAGCAGGATTTGATCTTTCGAGAAAGTTGTTTAGATCTGATTGGAAGCTAAATACATCGATCCAAGACATGAGGTAGAGGCTTGACCCCATTGATAAGAGCAGAAAAAACATAACACCAGGAACTCCTCCCAAAACAAAAACTAACGCCGAATATGTGTGCGCCTGCGCTGGACGCTGGAAGCCAGGTTGCCCCAAGGGTATCAAATGCATGTACAGATGACCAGGGATAACTTCAGACAGTAGAAGTTGAGAATCCCGCACTTTTTGGACTTTGAAAAAAAATGAAAATAGTGAAATGAAGAGAGATCATCACGGATGAGCCGAAATAATAACAAGAAGAGAAAAGTTGTCGTTAAGCTAGGCCCATTTGCCAAGCAGAGCCATCAGGGCAGCACCCATGCACAGCAGGATGAAAGCAGCCAGCACCTCGCGGATCGGGGCCTTGCGCATAGAGCTGCTGAACATAAACTCGTGCGCCATCAACTCCACCAGTGCAGTGTAGATGAGGATGCCGGCGGAGATTGAGTCGAACACGCCGTTGACAATGAGGGTAGTCCGTCCTGATGGTGGGTAGCTGTTTCGGACACCAAGACCGATAGCAATAGCAATGGGTGTCGAGATACCAAAGGCCAATCCCAGGAAGTAAGGTGTGAGGCGTTTGGATTTGGGCCAGGGAATGAGAGCCAAACGGGAGCCTAGACCCAGGCCCTCGAAGGTCTGGTGGAAGACCAGAACGATGTACAAAGTTGTGAATTCGGCACCGGACACAGCGAGTGTGAGACCAATGAAGACGGAATGGAAGATAATGCCAAACTCCAGGATGAAGATGGAGGTGAGCTGGGCCGCATAATCTTCGCTCACTCCGGCATCTTTCTCCGAGTCATCGGAATCATGGTGCTCACGGGAGTGGCCCAGGTGGTCTTCACCGGGCATGTGGTGACTCTTGCTGGGGTGGAGTTCCTCGACGATGGGATCGGCCTGGCCAATATGAGAGTGGGCGTGTCCTTCCTCGTCATGAGAATGGCCGTGACCAGAGCCAAAGTGGGAGAATCGCATGACCATCAACTCGACAAAGAACAGGACAATAATGGTCATCAAGATGATGCCCTCAACCCAGCTGTATTCAGTGATGGGACCAGTCAAGCAAGAATTGGTGAGAGCCTCCTCCGCGGGAGCAAGAAGGTGAATGAAGGCAGTTGCGACGATGACGCCTGATCCAAAGTACTTTGCGATGAAGAATGCCCATCCAGGCACTCCACCTTTCCCACTAAACTGTCGAGCAAAGACGGGGAAGATAGCACCGAACATGGATCCAACCATAATGACGAAGATGGAGGAGATGCGCAGGCCCATGCGGCCATCAAACTCATTACCGGAATCACAAGGGTCGGCAGCGCGCTTCAGGAGCGCATTCACAGGGTCCATCTCCATGGTGAAAGTGAGGACCGGGGTATCTGTGTATCAAAATCGAAAAGGTGGAATGGCTTTGGTGGATAGACAGATTCAAAGATCAACGGTAACCGCTCTTTCGATTACCGGGCGGCAATGGATCGAATCAGGCGAAGAAGTTGTAAACACTTGGGGTGAACAAGAGAGACGAAAATAAGGTCTGAAAAGTTGACGGTGGAGGGGTTTTCCAAGACAGGCTGTCAATCTTGTGTGGGTGCTTCGCAGCAATGGCCGACACCCCCAAGGTCCTCGAGAGTTGGCGAAACGGTCCAATAACCAGCGTCGAGACAACCAGGTTGGCCTGTCAAGATCAAGCCCTAACGCAGCACGACACCTCTGTCAATTACGCGCGATAGGCACGGAAAAACTCGATCTGACTCTCTTGGCAATGTATTCTGTACGTCTCTAGCCTCCAGCCACCAGCATGAGCAGGTGAAGCAGTGACTTTGTCCGTTATCTGAGTCGGAGGGGGCGGGATGGTGGATATGGCTGGTTTCCCGAAAGCGTCTAGTACCAGGAATCACTACCGGGGTAGGAAGGTGTGCAGACACTGAACCGCCGTCCTTTTCGAAGACAAAAAGATCAATATGGAAATCTGAGTGTCACGATTGACAGAAGAGGGATTGGAATTGTATTGAACCCGCCATCAAACTCTGCGGAAATCGTAACCGCCCGCCGGACTTCCCAGCGGCGGGGGGACCCATGGGGACCTTGTTGGCCTCGAAGACGTCAAAAGATGGAAGTTTGCTGAAAGTACCCAGTACTTTCATTCACGCATGAACTAAAGTGAGAACTGAGGTACTGGGTACTTCCGGTGTGTTCCAGCCCGGACGGCTAGTGAGGACCTTGGGGACGGTCAGAATCTTTTCCGCTCGCAGTGGTTGGCCCCCGGTCACGTGGCAATCGAGCACTTACGATAGAGCTAAGGCCATAGCGGGTTATTAAGATAGGGCTCCAGATGGTTGTCGGAGATGATGATTATCGACATTGATGAGAAAGAAGAATTGTTGATTCAGAGAAGAATTCTTTGACCTGGAGTACAGGGGTGGTGATGACAGAGGCGTGACTCTTCGCCAATCACAGGATCTGCTGCCGGGCGGGAAGCTTCCAGGCACAGACTCAATGAGCTCTCAGCTTCTCCAGATCGCTCCAAGTGAATCTTTTACCTACGATCCACACATACAACATGGCTCCCATCCGTCGTTATCTACGCATCAGCAAATACTCAGTGCTAGAGTGTCGCATTTATCTGGACAACCCATCTGACTCGCGTTGGCTCTTGAATCCACGCGATCCGGTCCTCCCTCGCATCTTTGCTGCAATCCAACCGCTAGTCCTGCCCAAGTTGCGGGAAGAGAATGAACGGCTATGGTCGCGCAAGAAGGGAAAGCCCGTGAAGGATGTCATTGCTGAAGGTAGGGAAACACTCGTTGCAGGTATCGAGAACGCCGTGACTGACGTCATTTTCCACTACTCTTGCAGATGAATTCGAAGTCGCCATCTTCCTCCGCGAGTCGCGTACTCGTCATGCCCTGTTGACCCGCAACAAGACCTTCCACCAACCGGACAGCAAGAAGAACAAGAAGCTGAAACCAGAGCCTGCAGAGGACTTGACGGAGGACTCGGCTGGCCCGGCCAAGTCTGCCAGGGCAGAGGTCATTCTGGACAGTGACGACAGCGAGGCCGAAGTCGATTTGAGCAATATTCCTGAAGCCGCTGGATATGGCAACGGTCCAGAGGCGATCGCACTATCAGAGATTGGAACTGAGCCCCAAACTGGAGAGGAGCCGACAGGAGATGAGAAAAAGCTGCGTTTTAGCACCCATTACGAAAGCTTCAACATCACAGGATGGGTACTCTGCTTGCTCATTACCCGCAAAGGAGACCGGGCGCAGGGACGTACAGCTACATCGGAACCGAAACAACCTCTGATGGAGGAATGGATCTCCAGCCAGGCCCAGACAGGTCTCGGCGAAGACTGAGGGGTAGAGCCATGGCCTTGCCTGTTCTGTTGTTGGACAGCAGACCTTAAACACTTATCCTACAGTACAACCTGCTACTGCCCCTCTCGTATGTGGCTGAGGATAAGCTGCAAGGTTTAAGCCTCGCCTCTGCCTTGGATGGTGGGTAGCCGTCGTGGCGTGACCTGTCGCAGAGGCGCAGGGTGCTCCCTGTGATACATACCTAAATTGCAGAGTTGCAGAGATGCCGACATGCCAGCCTTCTTGGATACGCGAACCACCTGGGTAATTGCATGGTATTTTCTAAATGTACCAGCACGAAAGGGGTTGCTCGTGGCCGGATCCGACGCTGTACCCATGTTACGAGTATATCTCTGCATACAAGGCCTTTGTTGCCTATTCCTGCTTCCCGCCTCGGGTACCTTTGGGATCATCTAATGAGGAGATCGGATGGCCGCGGCTTCCATGATCGAAACCCCAGAGATTCGCTACGCAGGTGGCGGTCAACCCCAGTTAAGAGCCTAGCCAGGTCTAAGCACTGCCAGCTTTCTGGAACCGTCAAGATTAGAATTTCGGCAAGACATGGCGAGGTATTTGAGTTGCCTACGCCATGGCTGATCTCAGATCGCGTGTTGGTCATCGGGAGACGCCAGTTTCGAATCATGCCTGATAATTCCATGTCTCGGTTGTTTTCATGATAAACATCCATGGATGAAGGAGACCATGACTACCACCCTGGCACAGCGGCAAAAGATGGAAATCATCAAGCTCCTCCTGGCTTCATAGACCATCGCGATGACCTTGCTGGCCATTTCCCAAGAACATTGCAGTCCCACCCAGCCTCAGCTCTTCAGCGCACAACTGGACTCTCGCACCGAAGATCATGTGGCTTCGCTCTAGCGGGGCCTCGGTTCGCCGTTTGTTTCCAGTTTGTTTCCAGAAAATCGCGTCGAACTCCGATGATTATTGTCAAGGTGGATCCCCGACGTGAAACAGCCCGTCTCCTCCACCACTTCCCGTGACCTTCCCCATAACCCCATTGGCGGTCAACCGGTTCTCGTGCAGGACTGAAATTTTTTGGTTGATCTAGGGTTAAACTAGGGAATTGATTAGGTTCTTTTGGAATTAGATGAGCAGATTTATTGGCTTGATTTTCTCCGTTACTCCCGTCTCCGTACTTGCCGACCCAATCTGTTGGGAAACGGGAAATCATCCTAGCCAGTCGGATAGAGATTAAGATAGTAACGTGAGCTAGCGAATAGACTATCTCTTGGAAATTGCGTAATATCTCTAGTCCTGGGTTCAGTACCATAGAGGAAGGAGTCGAACGGAGCCAACTTAGCTGTATGGAATTGGATATACCACATAGAGTGTAGTATACTATTCGGAATGTATGTTGGCGTACAGCAACCTATCTACCTGGATCACTAATTAAACTGTCAAACGGTCGTCAAACCGCATCTATAGATTCCTATATATATCCCGAACAACCATGAATTCAAGGGTGACCATGTACCTTGGAACCAACTCAACGAACCTCCATATCAAGCAAAGTCAACCCAAACAAACCCCTTTTGCCACGTGCTGGCGGGGCCGGGCCCAAACAGGCAACTCACTGTTGATCCTCGTTCCTGAATTCTAAAAGTGAGCTAAATCCTTCAATATCATCGTTTACGCTTGACAGAGCATAGATTAGAACAGCCTTTTCGTATAGCAGAAGCAAAATAGATAATAAATCTCGAAAACACCAACCACGACTGCTCTCCGGTGAAAAATGTCCGATTCCCTACCTCTCCTTTTCCCGAGCCCGGGCTCGGAGAGACCTCCACTAAGCTATCCCACACCAATTCCAACGGCGCGGAACGGCGGCCGGTGCACCCCCATTCTTCAGTGGAGATTTTTGCACCGCCCTAATCCCCATCGAAACTCGTTTATTGAAGTTTGTGGCCTCTTTAGTCTTTTAGTCTTAGCGTAGCTGGAATTTCGTTGGCCTTTGTTGAGATTCGGGGAGGAAACCTTCCTTCTTTGTTTCTCTTTTCCCCTTTTCGCATTTGCTGTAGCCTGTAGCCTGTAGCCTGTCCCACATAGACGGGGTATTTTGCCACTCGTTTGTTTCCAGGACCTTTTTAGGCTCCACAACTCCTCTCGCTGCTTTGTCCAGTGGTAGTACAGTGATTTTTGGACTGTGGGAACCGCTAGAGCCGCGAACTTTATCCGGATGCCAGGTACAGGCACACACTGCCACAGGCAGCCAAGTGTATCCACCAGAACCAGGAACAGGAATAGTAGGCTACTAGGCACAGACGTTATGGAGATACTGTAATGAAGTATGGAGTCACTACGGAGTAGACTTGGCAACTTTGACGAATCCCGCCACTCTGATCTCTCTGATCTGCTCTTTTTAAATTTCCCAAATCCCGGTCGCACGGACAAGGGCGATGCTCATTGCCCACCAACTTACCGTATAGGGCTGTGGTCATGCGCACATTGCGGTTTGGGCCCGTCGACCCCATTGACCTGGGTTGTTTGCCTTTTTGCCTTGCTTTGTTAAAGATTACGTGGTATTGGAGGGCTCAGGGCCAGATAGGGTAGTATTAGAGGTCCAAGTACGCCCGTACGAAGGAGACTAAGCAACTCAACTTGAACCTGCTCCAAAAAACAGGGCAAACGTATGCTTAATTCCGGAGTTGCGGAGGTCTCACTTCCGGGGCATGCCGGAGAATTAAAATGATTTGGAGAGATGGGCTCTCCAATTTGGGGATTCTTGCAGTAGTGTCTGCTACTGCATACGGAGCGTATACTCCGACTACTACACCTTGCAAGATGCATACGCATCAATATCCGTTTGTATGCGTTGCTGTAGTAGATAATTAGGATAGTACTACGGAGTACCGGACTACGGAGTCGATATCCATCGCTTCAATCAGCGATCGGATGCCGAGCACGCAATTGACGCCACATGGGCAGCGCAGCGTAGTCTCAGGATCGTGCAGTATATACGCTCACTACTCCGTAGAAAGTATGGCGTAGTTAGGGTAGATCTTTCTTGAAACAACACCTCCCCGGCCCAGTGATGTGCGGGATCAACCCTGGGGAGCAGGGGGGGGTTTTAGGGCGATGAACGAGTGGCATTGCATGCCTGTACACCTGCATGCTGCATGCTGCATGTCCATTTGATGAAGAAGAGGGGCAAGGGCAATCCATGCACATGCAAGCTTGTTGTACCCGCTGCAGTGTTAAAATGAGGATGTGCAATGGACGGAGTAGTTTATCCGCGACTACCTTTGTTTGGCCGAGTACATTAGCGATTTGTATTTGCATTTTTGTACTCTGTAAGCGAGGACAAGAGATAGACAACGGAGTACTCTATGCTATTATCGGTTTCATGGATAGTGCCATGATATTATCATCTTGATATCTGCAGGTGTGGGATGACTGTCAGCTTAGAAACCGTGGCATCATCAGCGACAGGCCGACAGCCCTGGACGGAGGTGACTCGGCTGTGTTCTCCGCTAGCGGGCAACGACTTAAAATTGGGTTCCCGCATGAGTTTAGGGCTTTCTTGACACTGGCACTAAAGCACAAACTACTGCACAAAGCTGTATGTAATAATCATTCTTATTAGTGATTCAAATCTATCATTACTTGGACTAGAGATAACATTTCTCTTTTCTATTCGTAACCTACCGATAAGCAACTGCGAAATTCCCCGAAAGAAACGGGAGAGACACCCTTCGCTTCGGCCAGGTATCAAGAATAGCCTCACCATTAGATCTTGGCTGTTCTTTGAACACATAATCGTCCACATTCTATTTGCTGGTTATGTTGAATAAACACCACGGGTATCAACCACGGTCGGTGATGGGTCCGGTGGTGTCGAGGGTGAGACTGTCAACCCTGGCCCTATTTAGAAAATTTTTATTTTAGCCTCTTTCATTGGAGTTGTCTTTGCCTTTGAAGTGGTAAGGAGGGCAAGAAATTCGCCTCCCCCTGAGACAAAGTCAGTCTCCCCCACCATCCCCGGACGCAGACCGCTATCTGAGCCACGGGGACCAAGAAAAAAAAGGGAGAAAAATAAAAGAAAGAAAGAAAGACATAACGTTTACAACGTTTACAAATACTTATGATGTTGACGTGTCAGATAAAAATCCGAGGAAAATCACCATGAATTTCTTTTTTTCTATTTGTTCTTGCTGGCTCACCCATCTGCCCGAGAGTCAAACCTGAGTAAAACAGACGAATCATCGTTGTAAGCCGAGTCCCTGCGCCACAGACAGCTTATCCTGATCCTCAAATCGTGACGGATGCCTGATCTTTCAACCTTGGGTGGCCTGGCACAAACCCGGCAGGATGGGCCATACGAATCGGCGAAAACCCGGGTCTAACTCGAACTTGTTGGAGATGATTCCATCTCCAGTCCCTCCGTTAGTCTGGAAATAGGAATTTTTGGTGCTTTGATTCTTTCTTTGCTTCTTTTCTTCCCTTGCGATCGACACGCTAGCACGTGTCGCTTATCCTGACTGGTTGGACCCTATCTTTTTTTTTTTTTTTTCTTTAATTTCCGGCCCCGTACTCTGTACACTCGGTGGTGGTTGAGTCATCGATTTTATTGGAGACATGGGAATTTGTGTACAAAGTACATACTTTGTAGGCTTCGTGGACAAACGCTTAGACCTGTTCTTAGAGGAGTTTCCTTCCTGCTCTTGACAGGCTATTCAAATACTCTCTTGACAAGGATGTCCAGGGCTCAGACAAAAAAAAAATAAAGCAGTAAAGAAAGACCAAAAAAACTCGAATTCGTTCCTCCGCTCACCGCATCGAGGAACCGTCCTGATGGAGCCTTGGTGGGGCCACGGGAGATTGCCCATTCCCAGTTGTCACCTCGCGTGGTTTCATGATAATTTGGCTGGCGAACACCGTCGTGACACTGCAGAGGTAAATTATTGGTAAACAGAGATGAGTGTGCTATGGGCAGAATGTAGTATTGGGCTATTCAAACTGCAAAGGAACATTTAGCTTCCGAGGGTGTGTAATGTCATCTTAGGGTTAGTTTTTGGTTTCTCCAGTACGGAGAACATATTGATGATTATTACACATTCGGCGGAGTAATTAAGAATCAATGATCAAATTATGACCCAGTGATGATCCAATATACATACGTATATATGATACGTAGTTAAAATTTCCTTTCTTCTTCTTTCCTTCCTCCCCCCTTTCCTGCGCTCCCGTCCCTATCCACTAGTGGTTCACCAGAGACAGAAAACGCCACGCGGGAATTCGGGGTGGAGAGCTTCTAGAAAAACTAGGGAATTTCCATTGGATTTCCCCTTAGGGGTGCATTATTCATCGGCCTACACGCTTGGTCAAATCGTAATAATTCCTACGTCAGATCAGGTGGATACTCAGCCTCCTGTTCATGGCAGGGATGTTCGATGGGGGGTGGGAAAGTGGAAAGTCAGTGTGTAGCAGGCTGCACTAATGTAATTTAGTCCTACTATAGTTTACTCCGTACACCGTAAAATAAAAATAATAATCCTAAAAATAATAATAATCATAAATCATAAATCATAATGATGGTATCCATAATCCCAGCCTGGGAAAGATCATTTCTGGCTATAAGAACACTCGTGCTCCTCGGCCGACACTTTTTTCTCTTTCCTCACTCCATCATCCGTGATTTACGTGAACCACTCAAAGTTTCGACGCTTTACAATATTGTCTACTACTATCTACCCTGCTATACTACTAGCAACCTACGATATTCTTCTACCTTCCCACCAACCACACCACCACCACACCAATCAATATGCCTTCCGTCGGAAACTCCTTCCCTCCATGCCCTGGTCCTCCTCCCAAGGGCCCTCTGCCTCCTTTGCCAAAATAAATCCGCCCATCTCCAATGACCGTGACGACACTGGTGTATATCCCGGCCTAGCCGGGATTGCACCCACGACATCTGGGAGGGCTTTCCCTTCGGCATGGATATGAAATGACTTCGCGCAATCGATCTGGTTCCGGCTACTTGATGAATTTCCCTCTCGAATTCGGCCTCTTGTCAAAATATCGACCCTTCTAATACTCCAACCTTCTTCAACCAACCCGGTTCACCCGACTCCTCCGTCCGCCCGGTCTATCCGCTCATGGCAACAATAACCACCCGAGTAGAATCTTCCTCGCCGCGCATCCTCTCGGCCACGCCTACAGCAGTTCTGGCTATGCGTGCAGAGGAGGGGGAAAACGACCCGCTCGTTTCACCTTCCGGGCTGACGGAGGGACAAAGCAAGCATTCTTGCTTTTCCTACATTATCTTCTCTCTCACCATTCAATCTCACCCGGTCATTCCAATCAGGAGGGGGACCCGGCGCTGGCGCTACAGGGCCCTCCCCGCTCTTCGACTTCTGCATTATCAGCCACTTTTTTGATACAATATTCTTTTTTATTTACTACAATTTCATCTTTTCTTGATCCACTGTTTCGGGATTTGGATTCCCTCCATCCGGACGTGCGGGGGGTTGCAATCTACCGAATCTTGGTTGAAGATTGCAGCTCTGACGCGCAGATGCGGAGATCGACATTTTCTCCTCACCGGCCGCGGCTCCAACAATTGGCTGGCAGTGCTTCGCGCCGTTCCTGTGCCCTGTTGACGACGCTCAGATCATCTCAGATCACTTGCAACGCTCCCGATCGGCCAGTCGTCAATTTGACGCTGGCGGGTCATTATCTCTCTTGACTTTCTTTGACTTCCCTTTTTTTCTGTCTGATTCGCGGGTCGAACTGATAGGTCATTTCGACCGATTCTCTCTATCTTTTTTGTAATCAGCCTCTGATTTTCTTTTCTTTCTACCGGCTTTTCCTATTGTTTTTCATCTGTCGTTTTTAGCCGCTTGCATTGTTGGGCCGATTCTGAATCAACGGCATGTATCATAGACTTTTTTATTTTAATATACCCCCGCAGAAGCATTTTGTCTTTTTATCATGAATTTATCATCCATCACACGATGTCGTGCATAATCTTCTCCCGCTTTAAAAACTTGATTAGCCCCGAAATAGATTAAACATACCTGGTTGAAAAAGAAACATGATGCATGCATGCAATAATCAGAATGATGTCTATCTGAATCATATCCGCTGTCGCAGCAGCTTGAAACACCATCGCCCCGCCCGCTCGTTTCACCACCACCCAGCCGCCATCCAAGTCCATGCGCCCGGCATAGCAGGGATAGTGACAAGCGAGGCGCAATGCGCAATGCGGCGGTCGTCAGACGACTGACGCAGCACGGGACACGAGGGGGTCTTTGTTCACAGCAGGTAGGCTGTACAGAGTACATGATTACCTCAGAGTATCGTCCTGGCTAGTTAGTACATCAATTCGTCTAATCTAATGTAGCTATTCCTTTGGTATGTGTATACAAATCGGATACATCACTATGCATCTAAAGGTCCACTCTCTATCCGCCAGCCCATCGGGAGTGCCACCGATCTGGCGCGACTCTTATCGACAGGCGATGAGCATGCGCGATACAGACATGCATGGCGTTATTTTAGTCTGACGCATATCGCGCTGCAACAATGGATATGACGCTAGGCTACAGAGTACAGGATAGGGTGAAGCATAGCTATAGGCAGAGAGATACTGTAAATACAGAGTCTCAGAGAGTGTGCATCTAGCTCCCGTGTTTCCGTATAATCCTCCTCCCTACTCTGGCCGCTATTGTTCCTCTTACATCGTCGTGCATGGGCCAGCTCATACGATTATGTCGCCAGCCCCACGTGGAGAGCACGACAGGGGCCTTGGAAAGGAGGAAATCAGGAAAGAATTCCGACTTTGTCCACGTTGGCGGGATTGACCTTGGACCGTTGAAATCAGGGATACGTATCCAGGTGACTGGTATGCTTGGTGATTGGGGGAGAGGCCAAATGGTCATGGGTGCCTGGGCTTATTCGGATACGATGGGGCTGAGGTGGATTGTTCTTCCAAGGACGTTGGAGTAAGTATTACAACCTCGTTCACGAGCTTCGATGACTCGTTGATCAGTGACTATTGATTCATTTCTTGGGATTGGCGGCGGGCTCGTGCGGGAGTCCCGCACAGCCGTTGGTCCGTTCTCTTTCAACGTCGTCATCAACAAGGCGAAAGGAGCCGGAGATCTCCCGGGCTGACCGAGACCTGAGGCTGCTATTCCACGGGATCCGAGGCATCCCCGCTTTAGGGAAATGGGCTTTGAAAAGATGCATGATATGATAATAATAATCATGACCCGCCTGATTTCTTGGGATTTGTGGTTGAGCCCCCTGCCCCTCTTCTTCCCCCGCAAGAGACTCAGAAACAGGGCTCTAGCCGTGGGGCCATTTGTCCCGACTTCTTGTGAGGTGCTTTGACAAACCATTGTCTGACTGTTTTCTTACTAAAATGAAATGCCAATGCTCTAGACATGTTCCCAGGCTGTGGCGCAACCACGTGTTGTCGTGAAGTCATAGCGAGCCACGATAAGAGCGGCTGGTGTGAGACGCAGGGGTGCTGACATGTAAAATCAAGTTACTAGCAAAGTAGGGATGTGTCTGCCCTCGAGGAAAATCCAATGTTGTACTTGGCAGGATATCCATTTTAACCTCCTGCCTTGTATGAAACGGAAGATGGTGATGACGGGCGGGATGTCTGAATATACGAAGAGGTAACGTGATGTCCTGCAACTAACCTTAAGTGTCTCAGGTAGAATACGAGGGTGCAAGGGCACTTCTGAAACATGCTATGGCCGTCAACACCTGGGACGATGATGTTACGGGAATATTCTCCTCGCAAATGATTTCAACCGTTTTGATCTCAACTCCTCATTCATCGCTTGAATTCGATTGGCTGGGTAAAATCGCCAGCATGACAATCTTCTGCACTGACCGCATGGAGTACTATTAGTTTCGATAGTACCGCCTTTATCAACCGTGCTCACGCCACTTGAATCTTAAAACAAGAATCAAAAAGACTGCCCTGGATATCTATCTAAATCTGGAACAGACAACTGGATTAACTTCCCGGAAACTATCCACGAATCAAAACCTCGTTCTTGAAGGTTGATTCATGTCCCTGCGTGAAAGTTAATATTCGTCCCATGTACTCCGAAGTCATCTCCGCCATATAGTTACAGTGGCGATTTATATGACAGGAACCCTAACAAAGTATTTTGAAATCGTCTCTACAGTAAGGCCTTACAGATAACGAAGAGATGGTGCCAAAGACAACTTAGAAGATTAGTGATGAAAGATCTTCTAAAAGATATCAATTTGACATGTATCTAGCTGGACCGATCCGCTCTCACGTCCAGTCTCAAAATCCAGACTTGTGACTGGGTGCTTGTTCAGAAGGAAAGAAAGCAAAATGACCACAACTAGCAGCTGAACCCAATAGGAGCATTCACATTAGAACAAGAAAATTGAGTTGCGTTGACCGGCGGATCAACTGCAATATTCTCAAGCTGAATATCAAATATTGGACGCATAATTGCGGCTAATTAGATCACAGGGGGTGGTGTATGTATAAAATCCTTTCCTAATATAATGTGATGCGCTAATCTAAGATACATAGCCGGTCATCCTCTGCTAGGTCGAAAATGAACTACAAGAGACTAGCCACAATCCTAATAATACTCTTATTCTTTACATAAAGCAACTTGAAAGTGTACTCAAGGATATAGGGGTATCAGTTCCTACGCCTCATAATGAAAAGGGGATAAGGTCGCAGTCCTAGTCAAGAGACTACCAAAATATCGGAGTGGCCGTGGACATTTATAGCTTAGACAGCTACCATGGCGGGTTTCTCTCTAGAAACAACTACAATAGCGCCACTGGATTTAACGTTGTTCAGACGTACTATCAGTGGTTTATGAACTACTTATGGGCTAGGCCTATCTACCTCGCCGAGTTTAAAGGCGGACGTACTCTAACTTACGGTGCGCCCCAGAACTATAACGATATGAGCGAATCATTTTTCAACTGCGAGAAAATGGATCTCTTATTAGTGAACTACAGACCTAACCATATAATAGTACCGGAGCGAACACAGCACTAATTTTGCGGACATATACTACAAGAATAACATCGGTCAACGTGTGACACTCCGGAGTATTTATGAAGGCCATAAGGGGAACTAATTAGGGCTACTGTAAGGAAGTCCTCCTATCGCAAATAACCTCCCTAGAAATATCACTGACAACGCCTATAGCCGCTTGTCCGGTCGCCTACTCGAGCAATAACTATAAGTAAGACCACGCCTCGCTTAACTAATGCTTTGATCCGTAACTCACTAAATGAGCAGGACTCCACTCCGAGAAACTCGAGAAAAATAGGCTAAGCTTTAGCAAACAAAGCTAGTGCAGCTCTTCTCAGGATCCACACCTAATTTGCTCAAGATCTATATGCTTGGAAACGGGTCAGGCTATAGTGTCAGTTTCTAGCTAAGGCTCTCCAGGCGCGTGACTAACCTTTAAACAGCTTTCATCGATTAGTGCTTTTAGTTGGGTCTTGAAGAATCCAGATACGGGGGTAACTTTTACTGTGTTGTAGCAGGACAAAACCTCATTAACCTCGACTATCACGTTTTCGGCCTACTTGAACACCAGCCTCGGCAACATTACTGTTCTAGATATTCAGCTTGCGGGACGACAAAGCAAGATCCTGGTTACTGACTATAAGTTCGGTAACCGGAATCTTCCCTATTCGTCTGTAGATGTGCTAATAAATAGTGTATTCCCCGGCCATGATAATCTGGCGCTGTATCTGTGGGAAGGCTAGACCGGGGAATTTGCCTTCAAGACGTTGAAGAACTTGACATTTGAGATATACGGCGCGTCTTCCGTGAATTTAACACTCAATTCTGGCTACTAGAAAATCAAGTATACACAGGCTAAAGGCTCTACAATCCTTCGGTTCTTAAATGGGGTTATTGTACTGCTGCTTGATCAACCTATAGCCTAGTACTTCTGGGCTCCGTTAATATCGATATATCTATCTCTAAAGCCCGATCAAAGATATTCATCCTCGGCCCGTATCTGGTTCGCTCAGCGCCGATTGGTCATCAAGTTCTTTAAGTATCTGGAGACAATAATAGAACTACGACTTTGGAGGCTTTTGTCGGTGATGTGCCTATCAAGACAACCCAGTGGAATACCCAACGCCTTGGGGCAACAAACACTCTCTACGGCTCTTATACGGCTCAGATTCCCGGTACAGAGTATAGATCAGTATCGCTTCTATCCCTGAACAAATAGTGCTCTGTAGACTATCTTTCAGAAGCTTAGCCTGGGTACAATAATTCAAGGTGGATTGTTGCGAACGAAACCAGCTCGCTTAGCACTTATACTCCCCTGACCTTACCAGTCCTTTTCAGCTCTGATTATAGCTACTATACCGGAGCCAAAATTTATCGTGGCTACTTTGACGGCAACAATCAGACCACTGTTAATATCACTGCCTCTGGTGGTCTTGCGTTTAGGTGGAATGTGTGGCTTAACGGACAACTTATCGGGGGCTATCCAGGCGACCCTAACCTAACCACTTTAAATATAACCCTGAAGCTTCTAATATCACTTCTAAAGTCGAAAGATAATGTTCTCACAGTCTTAGTGGACTACTATAGTTATGATGAGACCTCAACCGCTTAAGGCGTTAAGAATCCTAGAGGAATCCTCGGCGTATATCTCCTTTTAGATGGCACATAGACAGCAGCAGGGTTTAAGCTGTAGAGAATCTAAGGTAATGCTAGTGGCTCGAAGAACATCGACCGAGTTCGCGGGCCTATAAACGAAGGTGGACTCTATGCCGAACGACTAGGCTGGTTTCTCCTAGACTTTAATGTACCGGGGAGGAAATCCAACACTTCTAGCCAGTTGGATGGTATATCAGAGTCTGGTGTACGATTCTATACTACAACTTTCTATCTTAATATCGACAATGACCTAGATGCCCCTATTAGAGTGTCCTTGTCTTCGCTAAACGGCACGGTAGCGCATGTTATGCTTTAGGTTAATAGGGTACATCCTTTACGGTCTTGAATATTACTGAGAACTGACTCCTTACTAGAGTATCAATATGGAAATATGTACCTCACATAGGTTCCCAGACGAAATTCCCTAACCCTCCGGGCATAATTAATAACCATGGGCAGAACACGTTAGCTCTGAGTTTATGGGCGCAAACCGATGAAGTTGTACAGTTTGATGGTGTTGAGCTATTCACGTATGGGCTTTATCAAACGGATTTTGAATTTAACCGTGATTGGAGTTATTGACAGCCTGAGTGGAAAGACAGAAGCAGATACATGTGAGGTGGTTTTATCAAAATTGGTATCGCAACTGGGCACATATGTTCCACTCAATTGCTAATGCTAGAAGAGTACATGCAAAAAATGAGCACTATTGTTTAATTTGGATCGCAGAATATGTGTTCTCAATTTTCACCGACAACGGTAGCTTGAATAGACCTAACTTCCTAGGGAAAATGGGTATGCCGACAATTTCCTAGCCTTTATCTGGCCAGGCGTGGGATTCAACACGCGATATTTAAGTTTCCTTTTCTAGGGGAGCCTACCTTGAAGAGAGCCTCGAAATAGTAATTTCAGCGTGGATAAGCATGACGGCCCTAGCATGCTCTTATCCTTGCATGATGGCGGCATGACCCCTCTCAAAATAACGAAAAGGTGGGGGACGCCGAGAAAATATCGATCGAAGAGGATTCCACCAATAGGTCATCTTTAATAAACAAGGACAAATGGCTTAATGGAATGCAGAACATGCCCTAGACCGGACGACCGGAATGATGCAAGGCAGATGTACAGGCGGGAGATGGAATTTTGTGCGTGTTTTTCTTCATAGTCCAAGGCTAGTCCGGGATTCTTCCCTCTCTCCTCACAAATTGATCTGTGAGCTGCCCTTGGATTTTTCTTCCCCACGAAGCTCAAGTATTCTCCACATTCAATATGAAGTCTATTTCGGTGGCCTTTTTGGCCTTGGTTTGTTTCAGGGCCTGCCCAACCCGAGCTGTTAATACAACAAAATTCAAACCATTCTCGTCCGTGGTGATCTTCGGTGATAGTTATACCGACCAAGGAGTGTCTCAGTATAGACCCGGGTCTAACGGAGCGGTTGGACAACCGGTGTGTATTTCATATATTTACTCTCCCCTGCATAATCGGTGGACTATAGCTAACGTTGGCAAACTAGGGAACCGTCTTGTCAACCGGAGGTCGTGTTTGGCCTGAGTATGTGAATCAATACTCTGGAGTGAAAGTCTACGACTACGCGCGATCTGGATCAGTATGCGACTCAGCCTTCTCTTCAAAGGCACGGCGTGGAGTAAAACAGGATCAAATCCCGACTTTTCTTGCCGATAATGAATATGTCAACAACAGCACAGGTCAAAGGGTACTTGATAACCCTAGCGCTGAGACTGTTTATGCAATCTGGATAGGCACAAATGATCTTGGAAACGGCATCTTTCTCACCGAGGAACAGCCAAAGGGAATGCCCCTCACTAATTATACCGATTGTGTTTTCGAGCAACTCGATCGCCTATATGACATTGGCGCACGGAGATTTGTCATTATGAACATTGCACCCTTGGATTTGAGCCCCCAATACGCTCTTCCGGAGAACGCTGGAGTGACTGCTTCTAGATATTGGAAAGACAAAACACAGTACAATTCAAACCTTACGCAAATCAGTGAGAAAATGCGGCAATACAGCACATTGGTCAACTCAATATACGAGTTTCAAGTCCCTTATCAGGTCAAAATTACAAGACGGTATTCGAAGAGCCAATTCGCTCTCTTTGACGTCCATTCACTGGTAAGACTACATCATCAACGAACACTACCTTCATCAAGTCTCACATTCCTGCGTCATAGATGTCCGATATCTGGAATCGTCCGTCTGTTTATCTAAACGGGACTGTGCCGCTCAACGTTACCAGCTACGCCGCCGAGTGTCCGACGTCCATTTGTACCTCGAAGTCGGCGTGGGATAGTTACATGTGGTATGATGAACTACATCCTTCTGAACAAACAGATCGTATTATTGCAAGGGAGTTTCTGGGAGTTCTCAAGGGAGGAAGTAAGTGGGCGACATATTGGCAAGGCTCCTAGGCGTTTACGATTACTACTTCCTGCTCTCATTGATATCAGATACGGAATGGGCTCACTTTCAAGCAAAGTAATGAGATCTTAGTAAATCCGATGATGTAAAAACTTAAGCCCTTCCGCCCTTACGAAAAAGCTTAGTCCTGTGATGTAGCTTGACGAAGAACACGGTCAATATCTATGCGCCGCTGAACTCCATCGGTCTCCTTCACAGGTGAAATCAGTGTGGCATGACTACCACCAAAGCTGCAAAAAACCCTCCAAAAAAAACCCTGCTGGCATGAGTCCCACAGACCCTTATGCCACGAGAAAGGAGGCTGGAAAATCATTGAATTGACGATAGACGGAAAATATTTTCGGACATCAATAGCCCGATCACCGCTGCCATCCCCGCAATCTTACCCCGCTGAATCATCTCGTTCGATATAAGCTTTCCCCTTAGTAGTAGTGGCTAGTTATGTCTTTTTAGTTTACCCCTCTCCGTTGAGCACTCTGCAGGGTCACAGCACAGGAAGTGTTAACGAGCTCTTAGGGAACTTAGCAGTGGAGTAGTTATAATGGGATCTCGTGCCAGCTGTTACATTCAAATGTCCTCATAAGGAAGCTCTATTCCCTAATATCCATGTCCGAATTATCGTGACCTCACAAACTGGGTTCTTTGCGAAGGCCCTGTGGGACCGTACCTTCGAGCATACCCAGAAAGGGGCTCCGAATATCTAAGGGATCGTCAAAGTAGAACCTCTCCTACGGCCAGATGGAAGATGTGAGCATGGCTATTGGTGGATAATGTCTTCCTTGTCTTCCTAGTTGTAATAACCCTCTTTTCCGGAGAAACGCAACACAGCAAGATGTATAGCAGCCAAATATAGCACGAGGGGAATTGAAGTGTCTTGCCTGGGAAGGAACGATGGAGTATATCTGTCCTGGAATTGACTATTTATTTCGTTCGCTCCAAGTTCGCCGCCTGACCAAGACAAACCCCAAGCTTTTCTTCTCGGATTTTCAGTCAATATGATTTTCAGTATTATCCTACTCTGGGGTGCAATGGCAAATGCCATACCAACTCGAAAGTCCGGAACTCACTTGACGGTTCCAGAGTTTACCAATATATTTGCTTTGTAGGTACCCGAATACAGTAGTTTGATGGCCATGAATCTCATGAATTATTCTAGTGGTGATAGCTACACCACAGTCGGCTTCCAGTACGGCGGCTCACAGCCAAATGCCTCGAACCCGATCGGTAATCCCGCGCTTCCTGGGAAGACAACCTCTGGCGGATACAACTGGGTCGAAAACCTGGTTGCCAAGTACAACAAATCAGTCGTTCTTGCCTACGACTTCGCGATAGCGGGAGCTACCGTAGACAGCAATCTCATTCCCCCCTATCAACCCGCCGTCAAGTCCTTTGTCCAACAGGTCCAGATCTTCCAAGAGCATTACTCGAATACTTCTGGCACTTGGAATTCAAACGACTCCCTCTTTACAGCGTGGTTTGGGATGAACGACATTCCGAGAGGCGAGAACCTGAGCGACTGGACAACTATATCTGGCGAAACCGTCCAGCAATACCTCGCACAAGCTCAAATCCTCTATGATATTGGCTCCCGGTATTTCGTCTTCTTGGAAGTTCCGCCACTCCAGCGCACACCTCTGTTACTTGGAGAGTCGGCATCGGCGCAGGAGGCCATGGCTTCTGATGTTGATAAGTTCAATAAAGCAATCCGCAAAGGAATCAGGGACTTTGCGCACCACAATAGAGAGGCTACAGTGTGGATGCTCAACACAACCAATGTCTTCAACAAAGCCCTCGATAATCCGACTGCCTACGGAGCTCCAAATGCGGTCTGCTACAGCTCCAATGGAGTCAGTTGCCTCTGGTGGAATGATTACCACCCCGGTCAGGCAATTCAAGACCTTGTCGCCCAGAGTATTTCAGGTTTGATCAAGAGTAGGGCACATGCGATATGATGTTAAGATGATATGCAAGGTGGAATGTAGACAAAAATAAGTTCGAAGCATGACATGGAACAACGTAAAGATGGAGTAGGAGATGGAGAAGGAGGTTCAATTCCTCACAATGAAGCCGGATACAGCTCAGACGACCTTTCTCCTAATCTTGGGTACTGAGGGACAGGCCTCAAATAAGACCGTTGAGCTGCTTCAAGATAGACATACTTCACAGTGACAATGTTTCTTCATCTACAGCCACCCTAAAAGTATGGAGGATGATGATCTCAAAACATGCCAGTAGGCTGTAAACCCACGTGATTCGCCCGCCGCCAACGCAGTCGAGGTCAGTCCGCAACTCCGCGGGCCGCCCTTCTCTCTCCAGCCAAAACCAACATGGTGTTGCAACTGCATGTGTGGGGGCCAGCCTTTACTCTGCCCTCAATTGAGGCGCAATGCCTTGCAGCTATTGCCTACTGCTCGGTAGCTCTGCCTAAAGGCTCCTGGGAGCTTGTGGCGACTAGCGATCCCTCGGTGTCTCCTACTGGTGAGTGACGTGATGTTTCGGCAAAGCCGACCGGAGCAAGGATGAACATGCGAAATACAACCCGCGGTGAGCTGACTGAAGCCTTGTTCTAATTGTATAGGTGAGCTGCCCGCCCTGCAAGATGGGTCAACGTGGGTGAGCCGCTTCCGCAACATCGTGGACTATTTGCGCCAATACTCGAACGGAGAATGGGATCTGGACCGCCGACTTGACGAAACAGCTCGTGCGGACAGTATCGCGTACGTGTCAAACCAAGAGTTATTTGAGTTGGAGCAATGGTTACCAACCGAGCGGAATCCGCTAACATCTGCGCCTGCGTGCACTGCGTTCTAGCTTCTCCTCCTTCGTCGAATCCCGCGGTCAAATCCTCATCGATCTCTCCCTGTACGTGAGCAGCCAGAACTACTACGGCAACACATCACCCGCCTACGGCAACCTTCTTCAATGGCCAAACCAATGGATCCTACCGCCAAAGCTCCACGGCGCTGCCAAAACCCGCACCGAGCACCTAGGTCTGTCGTCGCTGGACCTACAGGCGATGGAAGAGCAGCGCCAACGTGAACACTCGGCCGCGGTTGCAGCCGGCCGAGTGCCGAAGAATCTCATTGCACGCCCACGCGACACGGTATCGAAACTGCTCGGCCGGACGGCACAGCATAATCATTTCCGCCTGGAGGCCCTGACGGGCGAGTTCTTCGAGCCACTGGAGGCCATGCTAGGTCAGAAGGCGTATTTCTTGGCCGCGAAGGAGGATGATACACCTTCCAGTCTGGACTGCATTGCGCTAGGATATCTTTCGTTGGCGCTGGTGCCCGAACTCACCTTCCCATGGCTGCGAGACGCTATGCGGAACAAGAGTCCGCGACTTGCGGCGTATACGGAGCACGTGCGACGACGATGCTTTGGCCAGGCACCCGTAGAGGTTGCGCATGCCTTTTCACCAGAGTCTGCGCCCTCATCGCCGCTGCCATGGCGGACTCCTAGCCGTATCTCCGTTGCGGCTGTGGGCAGCACCCTACTTGATTCACTAGCTGAATCTACGCCACTCCTCCGCAGACTTCGCAGGTATAACGGACTGAAGGCAGGTGCCCAGTCCCCGGATGCAGATCTCTCAGGACTCGAACGGAACGTTGTTTCCCAGGCTGCCGACGCCGGTAAAAATGACCTATACGCGTCCGTCGCGGCTGTCGTGGGCGGTGTTGCTCTGCTGGTTGGCTACATGTTCCACATTGGCATGATTTCCACAGTGGCAGCTGGTCAAAAAGAGTATGAGGAGGAGCAAGAAGAAGAGGAAGACGAGGAAGAGGGCATCGTCGATGCAGGCACTGCGGCGGACTTCCTGAATATGGGCGGTCTTGGCGATTTGGGTATCCCCGGTTCATCATAACGGGATCAAAATACACCCTCACACGGTGACATTCTCATCCATTGACCGCAGTTGTGGACTCGGACACTTGTTCTACTATTTCCAGCGAAAAGTCGAGAGAACCAACAATGTACTGTACAATAGACTTACAATTCCTTTCTACATCGAGCATCGTATGTACGTCCCCAAGGCAATATTTACAAACAACCCTCCACCCCTCACTCTCCCTTCCCTATAAGGGCGATTAACTGGGTATTAAACACCCAGCAACCTCCTACGACTGCCTATCCTCATCCGAAAGACTCCACGTATTAGTCCCCTTCTTCGAGAAAAACGGCGCAGCAACCCACTGCACCCCAGGCCCATTCCTAAACGCCTCCTCCATCTCAACGCCCCATCTCAACCTCCCATCCTCATCCATAAACCAACCTAGCCGCGTCCGCAAATGTTCATAATCTTCCGGGGAAAGTCGACCGGCCTGTATTTCCTGGACAACATCCAGCAGATTCGCGCTGCCAGCAATGAGAACTAGCACGTCGCCCAGGCACTCGACGTTGCGAACCAGTCGGCCAAAGTATCGTCTTTGTAGGATGGCGACGATAAATGTTGTCAGGATGAGCCAGCCCATTATTCCAACGCTGAGCCAGACCGCGAGGGCGTTCATTTGCAGGAGTTCCACTCTTTGAGAGACATGCGCTGCGACTGTTCTGTTCGCGTGCGAGATGGGACGCATATCATCCTGATAGGTCGTCGCTATGGTTCCCGGGAGCCAATTGTGGACTACCTCGACGATAGGACCTAGTGTATCGGGTAGACTGGCGTTGATTGTCTGATAGCCCCAGCCACCGGTTTCCATGGAGATATTGTTGCTGACGAAGTGTTGGAAGAAGGTGGTGAATGTCTTTTGTGCTAGGGTAAGGTATCGGTCTGGGTTGAGGAGGGCTTTTGGATCTTTGTTGGCCATTGAGTACATGGCGTAGCTCATAAAGTCCATGTTGAGCCCGTTGAGCTCGTCGCGGATGTTGTATGTGTTGTCGTTCAGGTCTTCTTGGTGATAGCCCCCGACGTGCTCGGCGCCGCCAATGTGAAGGGTGTCGGCGGCAGTGAGCATTGATGCCATGAAGAGACGGCCAAGACTAGTTATTGTTAGTTGGTTTTTCGTTTTCTGTGTCTTATTAGGTGTTTTTTCTGTGATTTCTGACTTACCTGACTGTCACATTATAGAATGCCATGCCTCTCTCCCGAGTGAGATCGGTTCCATTGTGAGGAAGAAAGTTATCCGCAAAAGCCTCTACCAATTCTGTGGGGTGACCAGTAATGTTGTAGGTCTGGATCTCTCCATTCGCCGGGTTAACAGTGACATCTGCGTTGGCCGACTCAACTAACGGTCTGCAGTTCATCAATGTCATTGACGGTGGCGAGGGGAACAACAACGGAATGTTATAAGTGATGTTCTCCGTTGTAGGGTTGGCATTGATGCCCGTGACAGCATTTCCGTAGATCCATTTGAGCGTGAAATTCTGGTGCCAGTATTTAGTTGACCATTGTGACAGGTTGGCATTTGGAGACCAGTACCCAACAGCTACACTGGGATCCCAGGCGCTGCTGCTGGAATTTCCACAGCAGGTGATTGAGCTAGGGTTGACGAAGACGGTAGTGCACCCGTCACAGGTTTTTATAGTCTCGTTTCCTGATAAAGGTAGAATGACGCTGGGACTCTTTTGATAGATCCAGCTTGTACCTAGTTCAAAGCCTTCTTGGAGATCATGAGGAATGGTGCTCCGGTTCCACGTCGTGGAGTTGCTCAGATCCGTGGGTGTGAGCCAATGGGATACGTTCATAAAAGCTTCAACTGGGTATGTTGAGCACTCAATGCGGGCGCGCATGGCGGGCGTTGTGAAAGTGACGTTTGATGGAGCCCCCGAGGCAGCCCTGTCGGATTCATCGAGATCGTTAGGTAGCTCGACATTGCTAACCGTGTGCGTATCAACTGGGACAAAGCTCCAACCTTCCTTGCTCCATGCGGGCTCGGATCCGTTGAGAGCTAGCTGAATCGTGGCGGTATACATCCAATGAGTGGAGATGTTTTTGTAGAGATCAGCGAGAATGTAGGCAGCGTAGTCGTTATTTGTGTCCGGGTAGACAGCCTGTTTTGTCTCAAAAACAAATGGAATTTGACGGATTTCAAGGCTACGATCAAGAGTGATTGGCTGGGTGACCACGCCTGGTCCGCGGTCAAATAAGGCTGACATGGTGGTTGTAACTGGATGGCAAGTTAGCATGAGGCGTTGTAACCAGAAAAACCGAGTGACCAACTCACAAACAGGTGAAAGAGTGCTACCCAATGTCAACAGCGAAAGAAGCCAATGCCTGTTCATAGCGGCCTTGAAACATGCCCACAACCAGAATGATGACTGGTATGACAGGCCAGCACCTCGCGAGATCGGAGGATCTCCATCAGCCATGGCTAAAAAAGGTTGAAGGCGACGGAAGGTATCATCGATGGCGCTCCACCACAATCCAATGATTGTGGCTATCAAAGTAGGAATCATTGATACGGGTGCGACCGAGGAAATACTGTTGCTCAGGAAAGAAATGTTCACATGATAAACAAAGGCTTTCTCATACAAGCCCACACTGACGGCAAAGTGCCACAAAACACACACGCCAACAAAGACCGCAATTAAAACCACGATCAGAGCAATGAGGGCAGGGAGACGAAGCAGCCCTGGGGTCCCATTTTTAGATTGATCGACATCATGATTCAATGTATCTGACGGGTTCAGGCGAGACAGCCCATGAGAGTCGGTATAGAATCTCTGTCCGTTTAATCTTTCATTGAGATCTTTCGCCGACGGCTGCCTGAAATTCTGAAATCCTGAGTTCACTCGACCATTGTGCGCTATTAGAGCGGCCACGCCGAGAGTTGACGCTGGATCTTCCTTCAAGTGCAACGGTCTACGCCGAGATTGAGAGCACCACCAGACAGCAAGCAAGAGGAAGAATGAAACTGCAAATAGGACTCCCAAGGCCACTGCGGGGCCGGTTTGCACCACGACTCGTGTTTCAATATCATGCAATGTGCCTTGCATAGGGACTCTTTGAGAGGCACCCTGATGGGTCAGCGCTGCCTGTAGCACTTCACCAAAGTAGCGTTGATTCGCAGTCGCAGCGGATATCACCCAATTCGGGTCCCTGGCCATAGTCGTCATGTTATAGTCGTAAAGTGCGCCTAGTAGAACCGATGGACCTCCTAGCGTGGCAGTTCCTGACCACAAGATAGATATCATATATGTGGGCCAATTCTCATTGAGGGTCATATTCCGCATGGCAGTAGTGTTGAGCACACTCTCCGGGATTACGACTTTCTTCTGCTCAAACTCATTCGCATCAAACGAAATGTCGGGCACATCACCGGTCAAAGCAACAGATGCCGTGATATTGGCCATGTAGTAGGTTGTATCGCAGACTTGTGCCGAAAAGGCCGCGTTCTGGATTTCCGACGATTCCGTAATGATGATAATTTGCCGCCCATTGCATTCCGAGGTATGATTAGAGCTTGACACTCTGCCTCCACCCATGCCCAGTGAAGATTCGGCGTAGTAGAAATCAGACGCGTCAGACCAACTGCCACCCCCAGTGCTCCAGAAGTGTGTGGATGCCGACATTCCATATCTGCACCCATCGGGGGACGACCAGATTGTAGAGGTCGAATCCGTCGGCGAGTAGCCTTCATCATAAATGATAGGCCCGCTGGCTTTCTTTTCCAATTTCATCGGTGTGCAGGTCAAATCGCTCTTGAACATCATAGTCTCTGCCGTCCATTTTTGAGTCGAACTGGTCGGCAGGGAAGTCACGGGCGCGGTATCCAATCCAGCGGGCCAAAAGGGTAGAATTGTATAATGATCGGTGATCCATGGCGAAGTCGAGACATTTTGTAAGAGATTCGCAATCGTTCGAAAATGTGTTGTCCGGTCTGCATCAAGAGGCAAAGTCGAGCCTGCCGCCGGCGCCAGACTAAAAAAATCCATCGATTTCGGGACGACAACCTCCTCGGAGAAGAGGAAAGCAGACGAAAGGGTAGAAATGGCCAAGAATCCGATGATATTGACCAGCGATGCGCAGATCAAGATGGCACTGCGACCACCGTTCTTCTTCTTCGCGAACCCATCGTATAGTGCAGTCCACCAAGCACCCGGCGCCTTGAGAATGCTGCACGACGCATCTGCACCACCTGGCCGTGCCAAACGGGCGTAGGGCTCTGTACGCTTGACATCTTGCAAGAGAACTGTGGTCATTTGAACATATATTACGGCGATCAAAGTCGGACTATACCGCCATCCGAACAAAAGCGAAGAAGAGCCATCATCAGGCCCCAAACCATAATTTGTCGAAGACGTCCACCATAGCAAGAAGCAAACTAAGCACAGTGCAAGCGCGACCAAAGTCGTTACTCCAAGAAACCAATGTGTGAATGTATAAGGGAACCAATCCTTCGACCAGACTCCTGATCCCTTTTCACTAGGTTCTGCGCGTGCCCTCTGGTCGGCTCCTGGAGTCGGCGCATTGTTGCTGGAATCGTCTCGCTCAGAGGACCCCTCTCGAGAAGAAGAGCGACTAGGACGAACAATATGAGAAAAATAGGACTTGGTGTTTCCTAGAAGATTGCGATCCTCATTCGCATTATATTGGCGGGAGGTCATGATCGAGCACGTTGGCACACCACCATATGTAGTATGTACTGTGCTATACACCGAATAAACCTCGCATATGGCGACGCAGCAAGCGCCTAAAAGTCGAAGATAATAACAAGACAAAAATAGAGAAATGGAGCCGGGGACAGAAAATAGACTTACAAAAGGGTCCAGCACGTTGTTATATGTTTATAATCCATGCAAAGGGGGGGAGTAACACCATCGCCACAAGCGCAACAGGGTTCAGAGACTAAAGACCGTAGCCCATGCAGGGTGCAGCGAGTGTCTACGCCAAAAAGTCCCACTCCGGGACGAAGATGCATGAAATGCCCAATAGGAGGCACTCTGTTGTCTCGATGCAGGCCAGGCGCGGGATCGTCGAGAGACGATGTACCCTAGCCTGCATTATGGCCCCCATTTTACGGAAATGAGGAAGGATATCATTTGCTCGTAGCGTAACGGCCCCAACTGATCTTCTTCACTGTTAATTTGATCAGCGGGAAGAAAGGCAGTGCTACAACTAACGGAAAGCACGGTCGCTTTTGGCAGTGCTATTTCGAATGCTTAAGCAAGCGGCGATTGTTTCGAGACCCGATTTTATTTTCTGAGAAGCTTTTCTCTCCTGCTGATCGTCTGCCTTGGGCGGGACAAGACAAGACAAGCGATCCGCCTCGTTGCGGGACTGCCCGTCGTAGCGCGATGCTTCGGCCTCTCACGGACCAGCTTTTAGCGCCCGCATATCAAGTTGCTGGTGGGATGTTGGAGGTGTCTGCAGGGCTCAAAGAAATAGACCACATAAAATGCAGCTAGTTAAACGGCCAGTGTTTCATCTAAGCGCTGCAAGGATGCGACAGCGCGGATTTCGGCCGGATGTGCCTGGCCCGAAGCTGTCAATTTTGGCCCCGGGGGCCGTCGGAATGAATTTATAAGAAGATTGAGTTTCCTGGTTTTGGATGTGGGAGTTCCAAGCTTCTCATGCCTATTCGAGGTTCTCTTTTTCTGGTACATTCAACTTCATGGGATTGAGTCCTTTCTTGCTCATACCATGCTGACAGCCTGATGTTCTAGTACACTTGTGTCTTGTTTCCCTCTTGTCACACATTGCTACACATGTTGTGAGACTCTTGAGTCTATCATTACTCAGTTTGATCTTACCGTGACTAGCATTGGATAACCTTGGTCAAGTTATACTCCCTCGAAAGTGACACCATTCTATCTGAAGTACTCATCGCTGAGTGCCTTGTTGTTTGCTTCATCAGAAGTCTTGCTCATACCCGGCCCTGACAAAGAATGCCAAGGAACAAAGAGAATGCTTCACCCAACAAGCATACTATAAAAAAGGCTCCTGCTCCCAGATCCTGGAACTGACATATTCTCCCTGTGCCCACCATGGCCTGATGAACCACACTACTGTGCAACAATCATCACAATACTCGAGGCTTACTAACAATACTGACCACGATTACATGTACAAGGTGGATGATCCTAGTCTCATACCCTGGGAATCCATGACAACACCAGACCCGAATCACGAAGAAAGAAAAAAAAAGCTGATATGAACTAGAAACTCAGATGGTATATGTACAGAGAATCATAATCAAGGATCACCGCAGTCATGATCACCTAGGTATGTATGCACTTCCTCCAAGCAGATTGAGAAGAGAAATGAAGAATAGGGCATCTGCGGAAGCGCGGCCGGACAATATGAAAGGATATCTTCGTGACCAGGGCTGACTCGAGAACAGGGAGGTCACCTGCGGACGCACGAAGAGGTGGGGGGGGAATAAGGCGAAAAAAAAGCCCGGCCGAAATCATTTGCGCACGGAAGTGAAGGTCGGGACGAGCATTATCAAGAGACAAGAAGTGGGCGAAACGCTTAAGCGTAGTCAAGCTGGACGACCAGACGGACGGGGCCGGAGGCCTGGGCGACAGCCAAGTGGTTGTTACCCTGGTCGTTCTTGGTGTAGGCATTGAGCAGGGAGGAGAGACCCTTGCCGATGGCGGAGCAGTCCTGGCCAAGGTGGTTGCAAATGCGCATACCCTGGATCTCGAGGTCGTTGAGCTCGGCAATGATGCAGGAAACGTCCCAGCCGGAGAAGCCGTCGTTCTTCTCGCTGCTCATGTCGAACTCACCCCAGGTGGCGGCGTACTGACCAAAGTTGGTGGTGGGGACCGAGCCGGGAGCGGCAGCCCAGCCACCCTGAGAGTTGTCGTCAATGGCAACGTACTTGACCTCACCGGGGGCCAGGGTGAAGTGAAGAGCCTTGTTGGGGGCCCAGAATCCGGTCATCTTGTTGTCGGGGCCGTAGGTGTTCCAGAAGACGACGTTCCAGGGCTCGGAATGGCTACCCTCGAAACGCAGAACGTGCTTGTACTGGCTGGCGGCGCTCTCCGCAACCTCGATGATGTTGCTACCCCAGGGGAGACCGACGTTGCCGATGTAGTCCCAGTCAAGGACACCGACCTTCTGGGCCTTGGAAACACCACCGAAGCCGTCACGGGAGTACTGGCCATTGGCGGGGGACTCGGACCAGGCACCACCGGAGCTGGCAGCGGGAGTCGGGACGACGGTGGACTCGACGTTGGAGGGTGAGGCAGTGAACTCGGGAACGGCGGGAGCAACGGTGGTGGTAGGAACCTGAACGACAGTGGTGGAGGTGGAAGAAGAGGTAGGAGCAGCGATCACACCAGACCACTCGTTGATCCAGGTCTCGAGAACACCGTCAATGGTGGCAGTCACGACCTCACCAACGCGCTTCTCGAGCTCAACCTCAGCAGGCTTGGGGTGAGCGTGACGGCGCTCATGACCGTGAAGACGGGCAACAGCAGAGCCAGCGGTCAAGGCCGCGGCCAGGAGAAGAGAGTTCTTGACGAACATTTTTGATGGGTTGGGGAGGGGGGTGTGTCTAAAGGATTGGAAGAGAACGACAAAAAGGACTTTGAATGAGTGACTGAGCGAAGAGACGCTCGAAGCAAGAAGTCAGAAAAATGAATGTGGGTGGGAGACTGTGAAGGGAGAGAAGGAGGAAGGGGAGGGAAAGGGAGGATGAAGATTGGGGGCGTCAGACTGGTAATAACCCTTGGCCAAGTGTGAGTGTGGTTTGTGGTAATTACGGGGGGAAGTATGGTAGACCCTGCAGTTTAGGGGACTTCAGGGACTTCAGGGACTGCGAGTACGAGAGTTGCCCCAGTTCCTTCTACTTTCCTGGTGGCTTTCAGGGTTGCCTCCACGCACTAACAGGCAGGGACGAGAATCGCCTCCATCGACACGCTAAGACCGCCAGAAAACCGCCGAACAGTCAGAACAGCAAACTGTAAAAATCGGGCATCAGGGGCTGGAGACTGATGATTGGTCGGTGCCTGGTGGTTCCTGGTGGTTCCAGGGCCTCATGGCTGTTAACAAGGACGCTGATTGGGTGACGCTGGGCTGGGCCGAGACCCTCGACAAGTAGAAAAAAAAAACAAGGGGAAAAAAGGGTCGAATGGTGGGTAATTGAGACTTGAGATGATTATGGGGGATGCATATCAGGTGGAAGTACAAGATACAACAGACTTGATCCCATCTCACCTCATTTCTGCTTTTTGCCAGTGCCGAGTTGGCCCCCCTTTCCTGCCTTACCGTGTCGTATCTTTGGTATGGGGCAGTACACGAGATGACTGACTGACTGAACTGCACCTGCAGAATATCGCTGATGTTAATCCTCCGACCGTAGAACTCGTCATACTTCAAATTATTATACTTTAGACAGCAGACACTATCGACATTCTTCGTGTCAAACACGTGTTTCCATCGGATTCCTTATCTATTGGAATGCCGGACTATACTATCTTCTTACCACTTCTAACTTCACTCTGTATGAACCGGATTGCAATCCAAACATGATTTCCTAGACCCTCCAAGATCGTCCAAGACCGCCATGTCGAGCCCTTCCCCACACAAGCCAATCGGTGCAGCCTTCCTGGTCTGGAGCCTTCTCGAGCTGACGTGGCGGTCGAGACATTCTCTTGTCCTCCGTATGATAACTTCGTATCTGTATTGAATATTCTATGACAACCTCGCTGTCTTTTCTTCTGTTGACATGTGTACAGCGTCTATCCTCGACACGTTTCACACTCCCAATAGACCTATCCGTTGTCACTGGACAACTCATCAACTCTCCTACGCGCCCGACCAGAAACCTGCCTGATCAGTCACTCTTCACAACAACCACTGTCCATTATTCTAATTTCTCGATGTATGTATGTATTCTGTCCTGTACTGACCAGATCCGAATCTTCCACCGTATCCCAGTCTAGCCTGTCTGGCCCACCAGACGATCGCCCAACGGCAACGATGTGTGTGTCGGTGGGCTCCATCCCTGACTCGGCAAATGGGTCCGGGTGCCTTTGCCCTGGGTCTTTTGCAGGGTCTGGCTGGATGTGGGATCCATTATGAAACGATGTGCAAAAGGACCAGCCTATGGTTCCTTTTTTTTTGCCTCTCAAATTCAATTGCCCACCTGGCAGGAGTCTAACGGTGTGTCGTTGATTGTGTACTCCGCCGGTCTGCAGATAGACTTCACACAGACAGAATTAGAGAATCGGCCGGACGCCTCCGGCTACGTCGGTTGGGCCGGAAAGATGGGATCCATCAAGGGCTCCGGAATGGTGAGTTTCTTTTTGCAAGTCCGTTGGCATTTGTGTGACTGATTCGGGGCTGGGAATCTGGAAGCGTCTAGAGGTGAAGTTGTAGTTGGTGAGCTATCGTGGCAGCCTAGGAACTCTACACAGTATGTGATAATGTCGCAGAAGGACTACATACATGGTGCTATTGTTGTGAGCGATTACGACGACAGGTGAATCGATAAGGGGTAGAATCATGTATCTTACCTAACGATTCAGTAATTGATGACTTCTTTATGCAGTTGATCAAGTACCAAGTACGTGATACCCTCATTCCACTTAACTACTGCATGGTACTTTCTAATTCAAAGGTTCGGTGCAAGGGTCGAGTCTCCCTCGCATCGAATGAACCTCTCTCTGCTCTCCACCCCAGAGACAAGCACATTATTCTTTTCCATTTCATCCGACGAAAAGAGTATGTACAGTATTGTAATCCATCTTGACTTGGTCGACATCCACGGCACCACACGGGAGACGACCCTTGGTTGGCTCTGCGATCGGCGGCAGTCTGAAACAATCGGAGACTTTCTGCGTCTACACTCACATCAGTGCTTACTGTTTATTTTTATACGACCAAATTAGGACATGACTAGTTTCATACCCCAGAGACAGAATATTTAAAAGCACAATACGGAGTACAATATATTGCAACAAGAATAGAATTCATTAACTGTGGGGACGTTACTATTTACAGCCTCATGGCTTCCGCCGATCAATATCAACCCGAGTCTGGCATCCACTCCAACAAGCCACCAAGTCTCAAGAAACGAAGTGATCATGCCTTCAGAGCTCACAGCCTCACAGGCAGACACTCTCTCACCCAATCCCCCTTTCAACTCCCTTGGAGGGAGGAAACGATAGGGAAAGAAATCAAGAAATCACTTCTTCTTCTTCTCCTCCAAATCTACACCCCCCTCAAACGCCGCACCCCCAGCCTCCGCATCCAATTTCATCTTCTCATCCAACCCACAAACCCGGAACAACATCTGCGGCGTCAACTCGGGATCCAGCCCCGGCAACCCCAACCTCTTCAACTTCTCCAACCCCTCCCGCATAGCCGTCAACGCGGGCCCAATCGTCGCAAACGGAAAGATAATCATCCGGAACCCAATCTCCTTCGCCTCCTGCGCCGAAATCGCCGGCGTAGATCCATGCTCAACCATATTCAACAGTAACGGCCACGGAGCAAGGTCACGAACCGCCTGCACGGCCATCTCCCGCGAGGAAATTCCTTCGAGAAAGCCCACGTCTGCGCCGGCGTCCCGCGCGGCGCGGAGTCGTGCTAGACTCTCGTCGTATCCGAAGGATTGGAGGGCGTCGGTGCGTGCTATCACTACGATGTCGCTGCCGAGTCGGTGGCGTGCTTGCACGGCGGCCCGGATGCGGGTTGTGTAGGTTGCTGTGTCGACGAGTTGTTTGCCGCCCAGGTGGCCGCAGCGTTTGGTTTGGACTTGGTCTTCGATGTGGAAGGCTGCGACGCCTGAGCGGGCGTATTGCTCCGTTGTGCGGGCGACCATGATCGGGCCGCCGTAGCCGGTATCTGCGTCGGCGATGACGGGCGTGCTGGGGGATAGGTTTGCGATCATCTCGGCGTTGGCGCGCATGTCGTTGAGGGTGCAGATGCCCAGGTCTGCTTGGCCGTGGACGGAGGCGGCGGTTCCTGCGCCCGTCTGGGGAAGCAGAAGCATGCTGTTAGCTTGCTGCAGCAACGGTGAGATTATTTTGCTACTTACCATGTACAGAGCATCGAAGCCAGCTCCAAGGGCCATCCGCGCTGACAAGCCATCGTATACACCGGGAGCTGTCACGAAGCCGTTGGGGTCTGCAAGGATCTTGCGTAGATTGGATGCGCCTGAGCCCAAGGACATGATGACGTCTTTGAAGATCGAGCTAACAAAATGATGAAAAGTACTAATGAAAGACTCGAGTATAGGTCCGATGCGACAGATCAAATGTGTAGTAGTTGGATAGATTTCTCTTATTCTATCAGCAATTCAAAATACACCGAGACCCGGCACTCCGTCATATTTTATACCTATCCCACGTGTGTTACCCGGTAGACCACTACTTTTTTTTTTCTGCACAACCCCACCAATGGAATCCTCCCCATCGATGGTGATGCGCACTCTCTCCATCTTGTGCTGCCGGTGTGGATACCGGGAGTCAATTATGTCATCGGGTTACCCTCGGTGATTTCTCGCTGTCGCCGAATTCGTGGCGATGTATTGGATTTTTTCATGTACTTCATATTTTGGCGAGGTAGAAGTGGTTTGTGAGGGCCGACACCGCTCTTCGGTAGATAGCAGTTGAAGTGCCGAGTATTCCTGCAGAGGTTTTTATGCAGATGCAGGCGTAAATCTCGGGGGTGAGTAGCTCCCGCGGCAAAGTAAGAGTGGGGTAATTGATATGACTTAAAGACTTCACTAGAGCAAATTGAAATAAACATGATTCAGTCAATTCAAATCTCGAGTAAATATTCTAGAAACAAGGCCGCACAACCAGAACGAATCAGTCTCCCGTGTCCCCAGACTCCCCACTACACTATGTACGCAGACTGGTGATACAACAAAATAAGCTCAAGTGTCAAAGAGTGTATTTTCTCAACCTCAACCTATACTGTCCGGCGGCCGATCTGGTTGGCCGCCATCTTCCTATAACTTGCTGCAGTGGCAATTCTCGCCTTCTTACCCCACAAAAGGAGAGGCACCGGGATTAAATAAATGACAAAGGCAATGGCAGCAGCGAGGATATGGAGATTCTGCATACCCATACCATATACCCAAGGCGTGATAATGAAGAGGACAACGACAGAAATAATGTTTCGCGTGAAAGATAACTCCAACCAAGACATCACCAATGATCTGAATAGCCAAATATTATCAGCGATTTCAAGGCAAGGCACAATCAATAAGAAACGGCAGAAATACTCACATCCTGATAACAATCCATTAGGAATGAGAGCGAAATACCGCTGATGGATGATAGAGTAAATCCAAAGATACCGAAGCCCACGGCAAGACATGACCAATGTACATCATTACCCTATACCACGACTTGCAATTTAGGCGTCCCAAAAAACATGCATGGCCCTGGGTGTCTTGATAGCTAGACTATTCCTCCTCCCAACCATTATCCTTTCTTCAATCTCTCCTCTCAAATCACTGTGGAAAGGGCCTAGGTCACCCGTAGTGTATAACTTTGCAAATTACCCCTAAGAGTTTGTAAGCTCTTCTACAAACTTTCCAGAATAAACCATGGGGCCAGCGGCCAAAGTAACAAGGACATTGAGCACTGCTAGTACCACAACCACATTCGTCAAGTTTTGCCCGTGCCGGCACAGTTCTAGAAGGGTTTTCAGCAAAAAAGAATGCACGGTAGCAGTAGACCTACGGCGTGTGGGGATCTGATACAAACCTACTCCAAAGCTAACTGCGCACCCAAGTATATTATTGACAACTACCATGCCCATATACCCGAGAATCTCCTCCGGATATACCTACTGCATGTAGGATAGACTAATGTTGCGTGATCAGCAGCAGGTAAATCTAATGCAGGCCAAGCCAAAGGAAGCACCAATTACGTTTGTTTACGACAGCCACTATTAACTAGGACGCTTAAACCGTAGCCTTATAGCGTCCTAGATTATACTGATAAAAACCAGCGCTATTTCTAGGGTCTTTGCTTCGCGCGCGATACACGTAACACGAATAGGAAACCTAGACTCGAACTTTCATTCCATCCTATTACCCGTAATCCCTATATAGATACCTATACACAAGAAATTATCCGAGTGACTATGCTAGCAACGGGTAGTAAGGGTGACGGTCTAGCTAAACAAACCTTTTAAGTCGGACATTATTAGACACTATAAGCCCTCCGAGTATGTCCCTAAATTTCTGCCGGGAGGAACTCGCAAGGACCTTAAGCCTTTGAATGCGGTACAACCTAAAGGGCCGTTATTCTGCGTACCGAATAAGTCTTTAGTGACAAGGAAGAAATCGCGCTTCCGTATTGCCTTCAATCCTCGCGAAGGCGCAACAATTCATGATGCCTGGTGTGATGGCTGCAGTGTGATGCATCGACTGGCAGTTAGTGAAATGGTGTGTGATTCTTCTTCTATCGCCTTCGGTGCCTTGGCCAATCATAAACTAATTTTCTTCGTCTTTTGTCCATATAGACTGTCCCATACGCCGATCCTCGACCGATATGTATATAAAGTTCTATACATTCTTTTGATGTGAGCGAAACGGCTAGCTCGGGGTCCGCGGGTTCTGTGGCCCCTTCTGTAGAATTGGATCCAGTATAAGGTATCGCATCAATCGCATGTATTTACCTTCGTTGAAAGGTGGGGCCAGGTAAGCCAGGAAAGAACACAGGTAAAACGTGGCTCTGAACTAAAGCCAACGTAAAATTAAAGTCCACAAGGTCATTCTCACACGGTATGAGCCCCTCAAAAAATTTGAATCATTTTGACTAGCAAGTTACCAGTTTGAATTTAATAGGATGATATTTCTGAAATAAGATGCGCGATTTTTCTTTTCCTCTTCATCCTTCAGCTCTAGGTCTAGTATCTGCTACAGTATGATCAACTTACCGGCGGCAATGCCAGTAGCCCCCCGGTAAGTCATAACGATGACCGTTTGCACTAATGCTGGACTCGTCCAACGAGCCCAAGCAGATTCTCGATCAGATAATGAACGGGTTAGGTTAATACCCCACTTCTGGCCATCAATAGTGACACTTTGAGCTTCACCATCAATGTAGCAAGTCAAATTCTTTGCGGTTGGGATCCCTGTAGGATCCGTCACGACACCCTCGACCCGAAGATGAACTGTAGACCCATCGATTCTCTTATGTTTTGCAATCAACTTGATACGAGGCAGTGCCCTTACTGTCGCGCGCTGAATATCGCTAGGTCCAGTGACGATGATCTTGTTACTGACCATATCCGAATCGAGAGCCGGCACGAGCGGTGGCATCTGACGGTGCTGAGTGGCTGCCTCAAACGCATACCCAAACTCTAGAAGACGGTTATCATCATACGCTCTCCCAGCAAAGGTGATATTTACTGGCATCTTGGTGTCCTCCATGGTGCCCATTGGGACCGATATGGTAGGAACGCCGAGATGACGGATGGCGAGGTTGCCATTGGAATACAAGACCCCATTCCGCCACGCAAGCCGAGATGCTTCGTTGTTGATATCGGCATCTGATGGCCCTACATCGCCATTTGCTGGGAAAACCACCGCGTCCAACCCCAAACTGTTCATCCAATTTTCCAGAGTGTGTCTTCTTGCTTCCTCCAAAGACTTCAGGCCTTTCTTCATTCCGGGGAGCTGAAACATAGACGAAGATTTGTTCTTCGGATAGTTAACCAGCCCTGTCCAATCTAACTGGTTGTCCGCTTCTGATTCGCCTGGCAGTGACCCAGGTGCGAGAGGAAAGATAGAATCAGGCTTGACACAGCTCAAAGAGTTGCAGTCGGCTTGTCCATTTGTGGCCAGGAAATCATCCCACGCATGAGCGATGAGCTCATGCCGTTCCGTGTGAAGCCAACCTTTGGGCATGTTGTCAATCCTTGCCCACTGGTCGGTAGATGCATCGCAGTCTTCGTAGTGCGTGACCAGTGGGAAGTCAACCTCCACTACAACTGCGCCGCATGATTCTAATGCCTGTCTGGATTCACGCCACAGCTTCAGAACTGAAGGTCTCGTGCTTATAGGCACTGGACTTGCTCCTCCGATGTACATAGAGGGGATACCGAGACGCTTTCCTTGAAGACTGTGTTCGTTCTTTAGCTCTTGGAACGATGGCGGCCGGATTTGGCTAACTGTCGGCAGTGGAATAAAGGGCTGCTGCCTCCAAAAATCCCCCAGAACGTCATTCCCAGCTCCAACAAGAACTTCGAGGATAAGTAACATATCTCTCATTGTTCTGGTATAAGGAACGAGAACATCACACGTCGGGTAGAGCGGCCACACGCCAGTCAGAGGAAGAAGGCCCCGCGAGGGTGTATAAGCCACAAGGGCATTGTTCGACGCAGGGGATCGTCCCGAAGAGACCGTCTCCGTGCCTAAACTGAAGGCTGCAAAGTTGGCAGCAATCGCAGTTGCAGACCCATTGGAGGAGCCGGATCCATAGGCAGCGGTCAAAAAATCGGAATTGTATGGGCTTTCCGCACGCCCATATATACCGCGCTGCATGCCACCATTTGCCATCGCTGGCATATTCGTTCTGCCTAAGACAATAGCACCAGCAGATTTCAATGCCTTCACGCAAGCGGCATCATCTGTGGCAATCAGATGCTCAAAGGCCGGAGAACCAGCAGCGACGGTCATTCCTTGGACCTTGATGTTATCCTTGACGAGAAACGGAATGCCTTCAAGAGCCCTTGGTGGCAATCCAGTGGCTCTTCTGGAATCCGAGATGGCGGCATCTTCCATTACGGATGAGTTGAGAATCGGGACAGCACTTAGTTTAGGCCCAGAAGCGTCATATGTGCCGAGACGACGGAGATAGCGGGCTACCAACTCAACACTAGTTAAGCACCCTTTGGAAAGTGCGTCTAAGAGTTCGTCGATGCTTGCATCCAGGATACACCAATCCTGCTGCTGTTCTCTGGCCCCGGACTGAGATATTGGTTAGCCAAACAGTCAGCAAGGAAGTGAGATGAATACTTACAATTTCCATTTTCGACAGCAATTCAATAGTAGAGGCCAACGAGCATTCAGATGTAGAGATCTTCGGTAAATTGCGAATTACTCTGTTGATACTAAATATTCTTTGATCAGGAACCCCAATCTGTCAGTAGTATACAAGTCGGTCGATCCTGTTGTCCCCCGCTCTCTGGAGCCCGCGGGAGCCGACAGATTTCTACCATGACACACTGGAGATACCTGTAGCATCAACTTTCCTAGTATAGTCTAGTGCCGTAGAATTTGAGTTTTAGCCACTTCCTCCGCGTCTGAACCCCAGATCGTATCCTCCTGTCGAACCCGAGTGTCAATACAGTACACTCTTTAGGTTATGCGCAATAACCATGTCGCGTCACCTCTGCCTTGCGCCCATCCCCAGCAACATGTCCTTATATATCTCTTGTCTTACGCTGGACACTCTTCCAAACCATTCCCTTTAAATAAACTGATTCCTAAAACAACCATTCACCTGAATCCTCTCTGAGTGTTTCTCTGGCATTGTTCGCCCACAAAGAAATGAATTTTGATAACATTGAGCTAGCTGTCACAAAATCTGTGGACCAAGATGCCCTGGATCTGGTTGCCTTGGGCCATGATCAAGTGTTTTCACGCAAATTTAGCCTCTGGAGCATGTTGGCTCTTGCTTTTTGCGTCCTAGGGTCCTGGGGGGCAATATCCAGCGATCTTGCGATCGGATTTAGCAGCGGGGGTCCTGTCATTATTCTGTGGGGTCTCGTGTTGGTGGCGCTTTGCAATCTTTGCGTGGTCCTTTCTCTAGGAGAACTCTGCAGCAGCATGCCGACGGCCCTGGGCCAGGCGTACTATGTGTTTCGTCTTTGTGGCAGCCCGACAGGGCGATTCCTTTCATATATGTGCGCTTGGATTAATGTCTTTGGCTGGTGGACTGCAACCGCGACGCTAGTTGCTTTCAACACCGATTTCCTCCTAGGGATGAAACTGATGTTCGACTCGGAGTGGGATGGAATCAATCAAGGCTGGATTAGCTTTGTCATCTATCTCGGCTTGTCACTTTTGGTGACCGTCGTTAATGTCGTCGGTTGCCGCAAAGACCCTATTCTTCCATGGTTGAATAATGTGATGGGAGTTGGATTTGCTGCTCTCTTTGTCGTCTTCTCTCTCGCATTTCTGATCTCTGTCGCCACAAACACTCACCTATCCTTCCAAAATCCAACCTTCGTGTTCGGGACATGGACGAACCAAACAGGATGGAATGATGCGGTCACCTGGTTTTTGGGCCTTTTGCAGTCAGCTTATGGCCTAACGGCATTCGATTCAGTGATTCATATGGCCGAGGAGATCCCCGACCCGCGTCGGAATGTTCCTAAAGCTATGTACCTCTCGATCCTCTCCGGAGCAGGAACGAGTTTCGTCTTTATGGTGATTTGTCTCTTTTGTCTTCAGGATGAGACGACCATCGCAGATCATCCATCCGGCCTACCTTTCATTGGACTGGCTCAACAGATTCTCGGCCTGCAAGGAGCGGCGGCTCTCGTTGCATTATTCACTATTATCTCTATTGGCCAAAACGTCAGTGTTGCGACAACCGCCTCCCGCATGACATGGGGCTTTGCACGAGATGGCGGTATTCCCTGGAGCAGGTATTTCTCCCACGTGGATCCTGGCTGGAAAGCTCCAGTGCGAGCGATATGGGCCCAGGGTATTATCACTGCCCTTATCGGCGTGTTATACCTCTTCTCTACCACCGTCCTCCAGGCAATCGTGAGCGTTAGTAGCATCGCCTTAATGATCTCTTACGGCATGCCAATTGCCACCCTTCTCATTGTCGGACGAGATAAACTAAATCCTGGACCATTTAGACTGGGCAAATGGGGGACGACACTTAACACTGTTAGCGTTATAACGTGCACAGTAATCGCGGTCTTTTTCTTTTTCCCGGGCACACCAAAGCCCAGCGGGAGTGATATGAATTATGCTATTGGTGTCTTCGGCGCAATGATGCTTGTGTCACAGTTGTTCTGGTTAATAAAGGGCCGTCACAGTTATTTTAGGATTGAATGAACCCGCCCTCGACACCTTTGTCCGATTTTTGCCTTTTTCTTGAATTTTTTTACGAGTACTTCATTTAGTTACTTTTACTTAGCTTTACTGAAGGGTTGTGCATCTGTTGAGTTGGCACTTATCTTCAACTGGATGATCTACCAGTTTCATTATGAGTTGCGCTCATAGATGGCTGAATGCTCCCATGCCAGTTCATGCTGCCCGAGGCCTATCGCACTAACGATGGGCCGAAGTGAGATACCAACAGTTGAGAATGGAGAGTGGAGAATGGAGATCGCAATATGGGGCCACATCAGACTCCGGGTGTGTTTTTTTAAGGAACGGCTGGGCACAATGAATCCGGTGACTAATGGCCCTAGGGACGTGCCTCCCGAGATAAGCTAATCTTTGATGACCCAAACGGCTAATCTTCAATTCGATCTCCTATTGGTGGATGGTAGCCCCACTTTGGTCGGCCGAATGCTGATGTCAATTGTATACTGTGAATGTTTACCGCAGGGAAGAGATGACAGAACACTCTTCGGACAATGAGAATATAGGGCCGAATTAATAATGGATAGATAGCTTTAGAGCAGAAGAGAATCTTACTGTGATTTATTCTCCCCATTATAAGATGCCCCAGTGCCCATGTTGGAATCTACAATTCAACCAACCTTCCTTCCCCATCAAGCCCTATATCAAACATACTCAAACCACAAGTCCCTCTCCAAGATGCCATTCCTCCAACCCAAAGTCACCCCCTTACCACCAGGCATCGACCTCACCGGCAAATCCGCCGTCGTAACCGGCGCCAGTGCAGGTCTCGGCCTCGAAACAGCCCGCCAACTCCTCACCCTAAACCTCACCACGCTCATCCTCGCCGTCCGCAACGAATCGAAAGGCGCAACCTGCATCAAAAACCTCCTCCAAGACCCGGCCATAAAATCCAAAAAGCCAACTATCAAAGTCCTCAAACTCGACGTCAACGATAACAACTGTATCACAACCTTCAGCAAAACCCTGCCACAAACCCTCCCAACTCTGGATATCCTCATCCTCAATGCTGGGATCAGCCGCTTGAAACACAACCCCAGTCCAAGTGGCCACGAGGAATCAGTTCAAGTGAATTACCTCTCCAACGCACTCCTCCTCGCCGAACTCCTACCCTACTTGAACGCCAGCGCTGAAAAAACCGGCTCGCCAACCCGAATCACCTGGCTGGGTAGTCGCATGCACCAAACAATGACTAGTTTCCCGAAAAAATCACCCCTCGACACCTGCGACTCTGTCCTTGAGTACATGGATGGCGGGGATACCGTCTCTCCTTTATACCGGTACGCGGATAGTAAGGTCCTCTGCGCAATGTTCATGTACAGTCTTGCGCCGCGTCTGGATGCAAGCAAGATCATGTTGAACATGGTTTGTCCGGGGATGGTGGATACGGCGATTAGTGACTTTTTGCCTATCTATTGGAGACTGCCTGTTAATCTTGTTAAGGCTGTGAGGGCGAGGAGTGTTGAGGCTGGGGGGTGGTTGATTGTGAATGCGGCTGTTGTTGCTGGGCCGGAGTCGCATGGCAGGTTCTTGGAGGATAAGGAGGTTCTTGAGTAAGTTCCCTTTTTTTTGGTTCTTGTTTTAGAGGAAGACTAGGAGAGTCAGAAGGCATGTTACTAATTCTGTTGTCTTAAATAGGGTATCGAAGTATATCCGGTCTGAGGCTGGGAAGAATGTGCAGGAGAAGTTGTGGGAGGAGACTATGGATGAGTTGAAGAAGTTGACTACTTTGCCGCGAGAATTTGAATGAGGCTGGGCTGCAATGGTTTATCGAGATGAAGGTGGCCTGTGAGATGATTCGTGGTAATTTGTTTTTAGTTTAGTTGCTTGGAAGAGGCCCAGGTGAGACTGTCGTCATGCCAGAGTGGACTCGAATAATTGATTTACAATGCTAGAAAGTGTGATTTGAGACATATCCTGCAATACAACAGAATCGTGATTTAGTTTTTGCTGGTCGCAAAGAGTTAACATGCCCATTATTGCCGTACTGTTGTGCTTCTTTGTCAAGGTTCATGAGGTATACAACTGGAAATGCACCTCAGTCCGTCATGTTTGGTTCCATCGAAAGTCTTACGCCGTCAATGACATTGATCAGCATTAGATAGTACACTACGTCAATGCTAGATTTGGGCATTATCGAGCTTTTGAAGACTGGATTGCTTGAATGTCTCGACGCCGATTATCATTTCTCATCTGCTTGTTATCCGTTTGCTTGTGAAAGGACCAAAGCCGCCCCAACGCCTTGACCTTGCATACCCCTTAAACCTTGATAACTTCCTGGATAAATTGAATTTCGCCTTGAAACCGTGGCTCTCCCGTGACCTTCGGCTCTTCACTAGGCCTCGGCTTCTCCTTGGGTTTGGGCACCTGAGGTGGCTGGGGAGTCTCAGTTGATTTCATTACCTCATTTGAGTTGGACACCACAGTCTTCTCTGGTGTTTCCTTAGGCTTAGACTCCTCAAGCATCTGCCCCACATCAAATACCTTCTCCTGGTGCTCTGTAGAAAGCTCAAAGGACAACATTTCATCTCGCAGAGATCGACATGGAACAGGACAAAGTTCATCCGTCCTATTATTCCAATTATTCCAGAACAACTCGCTCAAACGACGAGAAGAGCTTAGGCCACGGTTCGAGATCAAACGAAGGGCATGTTGACACCAGAGGAACTTGTCCCGATTTCCGAGGCCGATGTAGACCTTGATAGCCCCACTCATTGGGAACATCAACATGCGGATCCCGGAGAGTGTTTTTGTATCATTTGCGTAGTATGGGATTGTGCGGCAAATCTCGTCCGCGTAGAACTCTGACAATTTATAATCCTCATCGTCGGCTGGCGCTTTGCCAGAGCCGCTCTCAGGAGTGAGCGGGTAAGATCGAACGAGAGATCTGGCTTTGTAGATCATTGGTTGGATTGTGGCCAGCGCGTTCCAGTACCAATGGTGCATTCTGGCATTATCGAGTGAGGAGAACCGGTAACCAGCACCGAATAAGCCCTCTGTTGGGGGCAGCTCGTCGGTCTTGCATTCATCTGGGCCGCACACGAAGAGGCCTCTGGCGTAGCCATATTGAGAATACCACGACGTGATTCTGTCTTTTTGTTTCAGGCAGTTTTGGAGTAGGGTCTCGCATCCTTCGTGGTCATTGGGGGAAATCGAATTGAGGACAGCGGAAAGCGGTCCAAATTCTGCGTAGACTGCGAGTAATTCAGATAGTGGAGTCGAAATCCCATCGCTTGAATGTTTCAGATATTGATATTCGTCTTCTGTGATGTTGAGTCCAGCGGTAGCAATAATCTGGAGAGAATCAGTACAGCCCTATGGCCAGTCAATTCACGAAGATTCGTGATTAACATACCAGTCGCATTTTCTGGTGTTGGTTATAGATGGCGTCAAGAAGAGGATTTCGAGGCAAAATATCACGATAATACCGAAGAAGGGTACTTGTTCCCTGAGTATGGGCCAACCATGCTCGGAGATCGAAAGCGCAGCAGTATCCCTAAACCGGAATCATGTTAGATAAGTCATCCAATCCTTCTGGAAACTCTCTCCTTACCTCCAATTCCTGGAAAATGACTGCAGTATACACAATTTCCGCGTTCCATGCGTTTCGATAAATGTTGTTCTTCACACTCCGGATCGCAGTTCCATACAAGTCCAGACCATAGTTGTACATATGATCATCGTTGTTCATCTTGCCCATGTAAAGACAAGACACCGCAGAAATGGCTCTCTCAAGCATATTCGTCTTATTCGGAAGGGTCGCAAAATTGTAGATGAGATATTGCCACAGATTTAGCGTGGAAACCTCCTCCGTATGGCTGAAGAAGACATTGGTAAAGGACGAGAAAACCTGTTCGCGCGCTACCGGTCCAGAGGTCACATTGCTGGGCATCATCATTGCTCGAACGGGATCTTGGAATTGGACCGGATGTTGAGATTGGATCTGGGCCTGATATGGACTTTGATATTCAATCTGATACTGAGACTCGGTGATCGGGACCGATTCCTTCGCTTTCTCTCGTCTCGCCAATGGGTGGTGGATGAAGATGCGGGTCTTTTCGTATCCAGGACACTTGACACCGCGCTTGATGCAACGGGCGCATTCTGGCTCTTGTTCGTCGCACTGTGTGGTCAAAGTGTCAGGAGTAATGCGTATCAACAGAGCTCCAGAGGGCCAACCGGACCTTGACTTTGCGTTTCCGGCATGTCATGCACCCTTTCGAGTGCCAGGGGATACCGCCCATTGTTGCGAGAGCTGACTTGCTTGTATCAAGTCACAGCCAGTCTTCTGATCTCAACTCGAGTCATGTAATACTTGCTGTACGTGTGCAGGAGACAAGATTGGTGGTGGCTTGAAGGGACTGGGGAGGGAATTAGCCAAAGGTAGGCTTGCAGAAACGCTTTGCCTGAAGTTGAGGGGCTGCGGAATTGCGGCCCCCAATGTTGCGTGGTCATGTAACATGGTCTACGCCCTTTGAGGTTAGTACCTGTGACAGCCCCCGCAGATCAAGACTTGCGGGAGGGAAAAGTGGTCTCGAAGTGAGATGGGCACGCAAAGTGCATTCCCAAAGGCCTTTTCAGTTAGTAGAGAAGCGGAAAATTGTTTAGGTCCATCGCATCAAAGACCGGCCCTCAAAGAGACGTAAATATGGCTGGCAGGCCATGTCGTTGATCAAAACACAACAAGGATACCGCCTTAGCGTCGTTAAGCGGGCGGGCCACTATATGGCCCCCTGCATAAGTGAAAGTCATGAAGGGGGCTGTAACGTGGCAAGCGACCGATCAGAGATCACTCTGCGCATGATGCTTGAGGAAAATATAATTGAAGAAAGAGAATCCCCAGGGGATGAGCACCGGCATTTATCTGGACGAGATAGTCTTTGAGGGTCGGCCCGTGAGCCTACCTAAAAGGAAAGAAGTTGCGAAGTGGGCCCAAGAACCCAGAGGCAACAAATCCATCGCCCCCACCCATGAATCCTTCTCTTGCATGTTCATTGTTCAGTAAGCCAGTTCCAGCTGAGCTTCAAGTGACCGGGGTCGAGGAGCTCTATCATCTATTGGTGCTCTTCTAGATCAAAGAAGCGAGCAAGAGAGGCGCCGAAAATCCTGGGTACGGTCTAATTATGAACCACGATGAACTGTGTCGGTTGATAAGAATCCCTTGGGATGACAGCAGACGCGAGGGAATGTCAGCTGACTGTTTCTGAGGGAGCAGGAAGCACAGGAATAGATTCCTAGTACAAATTAGAAGAATATTTGCATTGCCTTGATAGGAGAGACTTTCTCAACGAATGGCATCTCGAATGCTCCGAGGTCTTCGTATGGGTACAAATGAATGCTGGTGAAGGAAAGCCAATGCAAAGTCGAGATCTGATCACCCTGGCTGGAAGTGAACGCAACAGCCTATATTAAGCCGGGCTAAGCTCCGTTGCTTACACCTGTTCTACACATGGAATCTTGCTTCCTTTTTGAGAGCAGTTCCTTTCCCCATCAAGTACCAGTATAGAGATCTGCGCTGCATTCATGCCATGTTCATCTGGAATTAGGCCACCCAAAAAGGGGGTCAATTGTAGCTTGTTTCCGCCCGTGCGTATCATTTGTGCTCCTTTTTCGTATCCTGACTCGCAAGTACCAGGGGCCATAGACGTATATGATCAGACAGGTTATAAATGAAGATCTGCGCCATGCAAGCCACATTCGGAGTCACTCGTGACAGAATCCCACAAATCTGTATCTTGCAACTCGCGGAAGTCACTCCTGTATTGAGGTTCGACAGGGTTATCTTCAAAATAAGACATCCGAGTGCCCGCCTGTCTGCAGAGGTCACGAATAACATTCACTGCCATCTGAGTTTGTGGCTTCTTATTTGGGATGGCTGGATCTCTCCCACTCATAAATTCTAAGTAGCTACCCACGTAGTAGCGGGCTCTCGGCTCATCCTCAACTCCCTGATGATGAATCAAATAGACCAAGATCAACAGAGCACACTGCTGGGGACCATAGTACTCTGCGAGAAACCAAGCATAGGGCTCGAAAGCTGACGCTTTCCAAAGACTCAGGTATGTCCGGAGGTAGAGTAGTGATAACTGAAAGATCCTGTCCGTGAAATTGTTAGGCACCTCCACAATCATTTCGAATACGGACAGCCGGATGTGAGAAAGAGCATACCGATTCCAAGGCCCATGAGAAGACACCGAATCTGGAGGGCCAAGCAGCAACTTCCTCAACATGATGGCCACCTCGAATTTGACGAGCCACAAACTTGTTTTTGCCCACGCGCCAATTAAAGTAGGTGCTTTGCCTTTGTCTTGATAAAGAGCCAGGTGCGTCTTCAGGGAAGCTTCCCTCAAATACCCGGGAAGTATGTCCTCGGCATCTTCGAAGATAGGTATCTTGACAATGAGGATATCGATGAGGTGACTAAGGGACTTGGCTGCCCCTAAAAGCTCAATCAATTTCTCTTGGGACATTTGATCTGCATTACAGGAGGCGTCGGTTTGAAGCAGAGACATCAGCTTGTTCAGTACCCGTGCGGCTTCATACCGACCAATCGCAAGATTCTTAACGGCACAGTCTTCTGGCGCGGAAATCATGTGTACTCCATCTAGAGCACTATTTCCAAGACATGTTGGCAAGCCACTGGCAAGACTCGATTGGACATCCAACCAAACTATGTGCCACCATATCTGCCGTCGTTGCTCTCTCGTGGGAGCGAGATCGGGAACATCATTTTCTCGATGGAGCCCCATGCTCTGAGCTAGACGGATGGTCGATGCGATGAAGAGTGCATCTTCATTTAATGATCTCTTTTTGGAAAATTCATGAACCAGAATTGATGCAACCAGGGTGTTGAGTGTTGGATGTTCGGAGTGTCGACATGCAGACAACGTATCAGAGCAGGCTGCCTTGAGCTGGTTGATTGTTGCCTCACGATCCAAATCTTTCAACGCAGATGAATCATCTGTCCATGTTGATGATGATATGACGGAAGCTCCTGCATAAAAAACCGCAAAGAAGAGGCAAGTGAATGTAGGATCCGAAACTAATCTCGCGGGTGGTTGGAGACTTCCAGCTCGAGCCCATGCCCAGAAAACCTCGTACTCGATTTGGAAGGTTGAAGTGTCGACCAAAGGATGGATTGGATACACACTGAAGAAGAATGATTGAACGAGTGCATCAGCGGCTGGTTTCGCGGGCAAGAAAAAGAGAACCCTTGCGAGAGAGACGGCTGAGATATGTGGCGGAGGCAAGTCATCTAGAATTGGTTTCTCATAGTAGAAGAACGCATCATTCAGCCTTTCCTTCACGAAAGTTAGAGCAAAATTAGGTGCATACAGGACAGTGTTTACTTACCTGGCCATTCACAAACCCCCAGAAAGTCCTACTGACATGTCGGACACGAGCCCCTCGCTGTAGAGTCAGATAATCCGGGGCGAGGTAAATAGGCTTTCCGCGATTAGAAGTCGGCTGAGCTGGTGACTTCTCATGGCCCTTGAAAGTTGGTTCACCTGAAGCTGCCACTGAGGGTGGATGGTTCTCTCTCGTTTCTTCAACTCGCAGGACTCGACCAGTATCTGTATCACGAACACCTGCGTCATATCCACATATCTCTCCCAGTCGCTCACAGTTGCGGCATTGGGGCTGTTCTTTTCCACATTTCACCTTTCGGCGACGGCATACTACACAGCTTAGGGCCAAGCGAGGCCTTTTAACCGCGTAGGACATTCAGCCAGCCATACACCGAAGGAACCAGCAAAGTCAGAATGATCATAAAGAGCTGGATGGAATAAGGACATGTGTTAAAATGATGTTCAAGACATCAATCTGAGAGGTATGTCTAAAAAGGAAGGGCCCGCACGAGTGGCTGGATCCATCCACAAATCGGCCCGAGCGCCTATGCGGGCAGACGCAAGATCGCCTTAGTCATCTCCATCGTTTCTGGAACCCACCCAGTGGAACTCAACTCTTCACATTTCCCTTCCATCTTGAATCCCATTTGTCTTGAAATGAGCTCGACACCTCTTGGCTAGTGCGCCCTCCTCCTCCTATATCCTCGAAACCACCTCTATCCTTCGAATCCCCACCGATGGCGCGTTCCTCCGTCGTCCAAGAGTATGACGCGCCGTCTACAACCCTGAGTCTGGACCAGAAAGTCACCAACGAGCGCCAGCTCTACCAAGTACCTCGCCCAAAGGGCTACCGCGTGTCATGGCACGCCAATCCAGCCGTCGAGGCGCACCATTTCGGTCAATCACATCCCATGAAACCATGGCGACTCACTTTGACCAAGCAGCTCGTCATGGCGTACGGGATGCACCATGCGATGGACTTGTACCTCGCGCGGGCGGCGACATATGAGGAAATGGCTGAGTTTCACGAAGCAGACTACCTTGATTTCTTGCGGCAGGTAATGCCGGGCGATATGGACCGCGCAGAACAAAGCGACAACGTGGTGCGATTCAACTTTGGCGACGATTGCCCGATCTTCGATGGGCTGTACAATTACTGTTCGCTGTATGCGGGCGGCACGGTCGACGCAGCGCGCAAGCTATGCAATGATCAGGCAGAGATTGCGATCAACTGGTCTGGCGGTCTGCATCACGCGAAAAAGGCCGAGGCTAGTGGGTTCTGCTACGTCAATGACATCGTCCTCGGGATTCTACAGCTTTTGCGCCATCACCCGCGGGTCATGTATATTGACATCGACGTGCACCATGGTGACGGTGTCGAGCAGGCGTTCTGGTCTACAGACCGCGTGCTTACTGTTTCCTTTCACAAATACGATAAAGACAACTTCTTCCCCGGAACTGGAGCCCTCGACGACACCGGACCCACACATCCCCTCAACCCTGGCGCACACCACTCCATCAACGTCCCGCTCAACGACGGCATCGACGACAATTCCTACGAAGCGCTCTACAATGAGGTAATCGGTGCCTGCGTTGAGACTTACCGCCCCGGCGCAATTGTCCTACAATGTGGAGCCGACAGTCTTGGTTGCGACCGCCTGGGCTGCTTTAACCTCAACGTTCAAGCGCATGGTAAGTGTGTCGCATTTACCAAGACCTTCGGCCTGCCCCTTCTCGTCGTCGGCGGTGGTGGATATACCCCTCGCAATGTGTCCCGGGCCTGGGCCCACGAGACATCCATCCTCCTGGAGGCCGATCAAATAATCGGCAGGGACATTCCCGACTCGGTCGCTTTCCGCACACATTTCGGCCCGGACTACTCACTATTCCCGCCACTGTCGGAGCTCCGTAAGCTGGAGAATAAGAATCCCCGGTCTTACCTTGCTGGGCTAGTCGAGTCGGTGCATGAACAGTTGAGGTACATCAAGGGCGCCCCGAGTGTACAGATGAGCTTCATTCCTCCGGATATCCTAGGCCTCCGCGAGGAAACGGAAAAAGAAATTGAAGAAGAGACCGCTATGCTGGAGGAAGAGCGCGAAGAGCATTACGGTGGTGGCTCTGCTGCTGTAGCCGCTGAAGCTGCCGCGGCCTTTACAGGCGTCCCTGGCTCGGCAGGTGCTATTCCCCGTGGGAATCGCCGGCGGGAGTTGGAGCGGGGAGCTGGATATAAGGGCGAACTATATTCATGATGGATCGCTCTTCTGTTGCTTACGCACGGTGTTAGGATTGGGGGTTCCGGCGCTCCAGGTTGGTTTTTTCTTTCCTTTCGTTCTATCTCTCGCATTTGGAGTATCTATGTCAAGGGAGTTGAAGGTTATTCGTTTTTAGGTTCTTGTGATATCCCCGGACAGAGACCTGTACAGTAATAAAAAGCAATCAAGAAAGAAATGCATAAAATCAATCATTTGAAAGAACATATGGTGACTCAACGAACTGAATACCCCCCAGGTATGTACTTCTGTGTCCATGTATCCTGGTTGAATACGGAATTTTCAAAATTAGATATACTGCTATAAGCTATCAAGCTGACCGCAGCCAATCCGTGTGGCCGGTCTGTCGTGAAAACGACAAACTACACTGCTGTAAACATAGCGGACATTCGTTAATGATTATTATCTAAAGATGCTATCTGACTAGAGTGCCTTCTTAATTTAGAAGGTACGCTTGCAGAAAACACAAGATCAGCTCATCCCAATTTGAATATCTTCTTCCTAGATATCCCCTCCTCCCAAACTCTCGCTCCTCACACCTCTCAGCTCAAATTTCATCTCGAATCACCTCCAGCCCATCTATCCCAAACATGCCGACCATATTAGCCTTGACCGCGCGCGATGCTCTCCAAGAGCCCTTGCCTGACCTCCTCGTCGCTCCCAAGTGCACCGACTTCAGTTCCACCCCAAGGTGCAATTAAGGTGGCGGAAGGCTTGCGCCCTTGGCCTAACTTCGAGGCCGAGGTCATCAACACATTCAACACTCAAACCTGGAGCCAGCAAATCATAGACATCAAGCTTACAGGGCCAGATGCGCCTCACACCACCTCTGAAGAGCATGTGCCTGTTTTTCTACGAGATGGACGTCAAACAAAGAGTGCTAGGACGCGCTGGCCAAGTTCTGGGTGCTGCATTCAAAGCCCAGGGGCAGGATCTCGTGCTTGGCAGCTATACAGGCGCCGAGCTGAGCTTGCCGCATGATAGATCCCGCAAAGCCCCCGATTTCATAGCCACCTATCAAAAATCTGGCTCTGGCATAGTCACGGGCGTGGGAGAAGCTCGACTACCAGCAATACGACCGCATCCACCCCATCCACTCGGCTCTGCACTTGATAAGCTTGAAAAGGGTTATGAAGGGTCCCTGCGACGCTTGCTAGGTAAGGTGATATCTTACGTCAACCATCAATTAGGACCTATACTAACATATGGATATACGTAGGCCTGGTTCCAACATACCTGCTTGAGACGCATATCAAATACGGCTTTGTGACGTCTTACGATGAAACGATCTTTCTCCGCAAGGTGGAGAGGAATGGAGTGGTGGGTCTACAGTATTCTCCTGTGATCTTCCACAATGATCGAGGAAGTATGAGAAAGAGTGTCTCTTTGCCAGAGTTTCTATCACGTTGCACTGTTCAGCAAAGGAGATGCTGATTCTGAGGTGGATACAGGAAGCACCCAGAACTAGAAGTGGACAGAATAACGGTAGTCGACAGCTATCTCTCAACAAGATGATATCTGAAAGATGAGTCTTCTTACATGTGTTTTAAAGCTAAACGAATGCTGTTGCACCCCATAGGTTCGAGCTTATACTCGTGCCCTGTAAGATAGCTTGGTCAACAAATATTGAAGAGAGTATGGTCACTCAACCAAGTTCATGCCTCTCAGTCTGTATACTCGTCTGTGCCTATGCATGCCGGACATAAATTAAGGTGAACCCCTCACAAATTATCAATGTCATTTTATCAATCACACAAGTTAAACACCAGACCAAGAAGAACTCCACTCAAAGCCCGTCAGGGAAAATAATTCAAAAGATTTCTAAAAAGATCTTTCAGAAAAGAGATAATCAAAGCATATCTAATCAGATCTAGTCCCTAGATTCAGACCTTTGGACTTGTCCTGTATCATCAACTCATTCTGATCTTAATAACACCGTACTTTACGAGTGAGAACCAAGTAAATCAGACCATAAGAATGAAACCTGCATCTTTGACTTTTCAATCCTTCAATAAAAGACAATGAATCCAGGTCCAAGCCATGGTATGGTATCTCTATCTTGTACGACACCCCATATTAAACATTACTTCGACGCTAATACCTCCAACGAACCCCCAATCCACTCCCAACCAATCTTGATTCCAGAAGAAGCGCGATGCGATGCAATGCGAAGATGGATGTGTTTGAAGCATGCATTTATTTTCATTTGTTTATTTGACGAATTTCGAAGATTATTAATGTGTTTTCTTTTCTTTGTTTTTTGGAGGGATCGCAAAATCCAGAATCAAATCGGGTATCCAGCAATGTGGTGCGGTTTTTTAAGACCGGGAAACGCTTGTGTTGAACATAATGGGTGGTCATGGGAAGTAGAAAGGGTGTGTGTGGTTGTCATTTTCCAGCCGCTCGAGTACTGCTTGCTAGATAGCTTGTGCAGACTGATTGCTTAGCTTGATAGAGTAGCAGTGGGTGGTGGACTCTGAGCGAGGCGTGTGGCTGGAAAGGACCTCGGCGCGAGTTGGTGGTGAATGGGCTAGGCCGGAGTATATGTTATGTTGTGGTTGTTTTGTTTCCAGATTTCACTGCTTTTCCTCCGCATCCACAAACTCCTCCACTTCTTGTGTTTCGGTGTCTTTCCGCTCCACGATACTGGCTGCGGCTGTGTTGTTTCCTGTGGATGAGGCTGCGCTCGCGGTATTAGCTGTCGTGTCTTGCTCGGGGAGCGCCGGTGTCGCAGAGTTGGATGGCTTGGAAGCATGCGGCGGGATCTGGAATTGGCTGGAGTCTTTCTGACCTTCGAGGATGGGTGCGATGGCTAGGATTTGCTTGATGGCGGTCTCGGGATCGTGTGAATCGCTGTAGGTTTCAAACATTAGCCACCACTCGATCTTACTCGGATACGCCTTTCGGAACATACACTTCGGCATTGATGATCCAATCTAGGTCTTCCTCGCCCTCGTCTTGACCACCATGGCCGCCGTGTACAGCCCGGAACAATCGGGGCCGCCACTCAACACCTTCGTCGACACGCTTGGCGGCCTCGTCTCGTTGGCGATCTTCAATCTTAGTCTTCTCGTCCGTCGCGGCCGCGTGGTTTTGCGCGAGGATCGCCTTGACCGTGGGTTCCCATAGTCGTTGCGATTCGCGCTCTGCTTGCTCACTGATGGGGCGTGCAAGGGGCTTCGTGTGCTTTGCGTGTGTGGCATCGAATAAAACCTCCTTTTGGTGAGTCTGTCTTATTGATTAGCATCTGACATTTGGGAAAAGGAATAGCAGTGAACGAACATGGACATCCTTGATGTGCATCTCGCCGTTCCACAAGCCTGACAATTCATATAAAACTTCACCAGTCTTTTCGTTCTTGATCGTGCCTCCAATGGCATTATATGTTCCCGAGAAATAACCCTTGGTCTTGAACTCGATATCGGCCACGAGGTTGTTTTCCGGGCACCGCACATAACTGTGGTCACCAAGCTCATACTTCATCTTTCCGAACAGGATACCGCGCGCGTACATGTTGGGTTGGGTGAGGATGCTAGACAATCGGTTAGTATGATGTTGGCGCAAGCAGCAAGAAAGTGCCACAATAAAACAAGTCAAGCATTGAAACGTACTATCGTTCACCCTTCTCCTTATCCTGGCCCCGGTTCAACAGCCGCAAAATCGCAATACCTTCCATCATACTCGCTGCAGAGTTGCCCAAGAACTTGCTGCGCGGCTTGAGGGTGCCATCAATCCGAATGTGGTGCTCGGGAGCCATGAAGAAGTAGCTGGACTTGGGTGGGTGGTGGGAAGTCTGCTCCGAAACATAGTATCCGCGTGTTCCATCAGGGTAGTCCCAGTAGCAGGTGAAAGTCTCTCCGAGAATGGGGTTCAAGGGCTTCTTGACGCCTCTGGAGGTATGGCGGAGAGAAAATCAGTATGTCGTCACCGCGGGAGGCAGGAGAAAAAGAGGAACAACAAAAGCGCGAGGAACGTACGGGGGCTTGATGTGCCATCCACTCAAATAGAATTTGATCACCGAAACAAAGCGCTCAACAGGGTCATCGATCGTGGGCATAGGAAGAAGCGTTTCGGGGTGTGCCATGAAGCTATGCAGAGAATCCTGTTAGTTCCGTCTCAACTACTCGTTGGGCCCGCGCCACACAAGCTTCGGAAAGGTCGCACATACTTGGTAATGCGCTCGAGCATAGACCTCGGCTCCAGAATGAAGGTGGGCAGAACGACCCGACTCAAGTCGGCGCCCGGTCGGAGCTGCGAAATGATATGCGAGAGGACTGTACTTCCCACGTTAGTGGGGGGACATCGCGGGGGAAGCGGTTGGTCTTTTTCCAACGGATGGCGGGGACAATACCATTTCCCTGCTCGGGCTCGACAATCTCATCTTCCCCGCTGCCGGGGGAGTCGTCCACGGATGACCGGCCTAGAGTTGCGTGAGCGTCCGACATGATGTGAGTTGATGGGTGAGTGAGGAAGAGGGAAAAGAAACCCACTGGTTAAGGAAGCGCGGCGGAGGTGCGGGACCGGCATGGTTGCAAGCGGAAGAGACAGAAACAGTAGGATGTTATTGTGGGGGAGAGGGGAGAGTTAAGGGTTCAGCACAACGGCATCTAGCGTGAGTCAAATATGGAGTCGGTTTGGGAGGAATAGGAAGATCCAGGGTCTTGGAGAGTTCTAAAAGGAGGGGTTGAAAAAAAGAAAGAAGAAAAAGAAGAAGGGTTTAAAAGAGGCTGTGGAGTCTGTCTCAAGGAAAAAAGATGGTTGACTATACGCCGTTTACGGGCGCGCAGGGCTTAGCCAGTTCGCTCGTCATCGTAGGGAAATACGAGTACTTAAAAACTTGGTGGGACCTGTTCATAGTATATCTACTTATTAAATGCCAATACTACTTGGAAAATACAATCTGACACTCGCCAAGTTTCCTCTCGAACTGACCAAAAAAACACTAAATCATCGACTTGGGTCAGTCGGGCAGTGACGTCGAGCCTCACGCCTCCACTTTGGGCTTAACCCACGCCTGGGATAGGCTGGGATAGATTGGCCCAACAAGGCTAACATTGGGTAGGGTTTGGTTCCATCTTGGCCTCTTTCCGTCTATTATCTATTAGGCTGTTATCCTCTAGAGTTGTTAAGTATTACTGAAAAATGTCCTTCTATCCCAAGACCATAAGAAAACCTTCCAAGAAGTTTCCCCTCTTTTTTCCTTCAACACCCTCTATGATCGTCACCATGAGGGGGGCACGGCCTTGGCAGAGTGGGGGAGATTCGATGTATCGACGATTCAACAACACACGCAGGTCGGGGAGTATCGTTGCAGAGTGCAGTTGCCTGCAGGGTGGTCCACTTGGTCGATTTGGTTCAAGACTTGTTCAAGCTTGTCTGTTCATAACTGCCGGAGTCGGGACCATCCAGTTGAGAACTTGAGATGACCAAATACCACTTTAGCCTAGGCACCAAGGTATCCAGTATCCAGCATCCAGCATCCAGCATCCAAGATCCAGGTAGGAAGTACCGAATACCAAAATCACTCTCATATCCGTTCGATCAGCGGTACATCTCCATTCGTGATCTCCCGCACAAATGCCCTATCCGGTCGATGGAGCATGACGTGGAAGTGTTCAAGGGCATGGACCGACTTGAGAGACTTCCAGTTCCTGAACCAGACGACCTGCTCAGGCGCCACTCGCGAACAAAAAGTGGCCTGCACGTATCGTTCGATCGCCTCTCGCGCCTCTGCTGTCAGATCGCCCGTGGCGGGGTCATCGGGAAGCTCAAATTTGGTCCAGACCACCAAGTGGATGATATCCGTATCGATCCCGTATGGCCAGTCATTGTATAGAATCCGAATGTCTTCTATATACGTCGTATCCTCGTATACGTTAGCCAGCGACCCTTCAAACAACATTAATAAAGCCGGCATGATCTCGGGGCACTTAATCTTGGCGCCTAAAAAACAAGAACAAATATTTCCTTACCGGCGTATTCAAATGGACCTCCTCGGGGCCGCAAGCCGTCGGGACTTCCATCACCCCAACACAACCTCTCCTTCACAACGAACCGCATCACCGATCCGTACTCGGTTTTGATCTGGGCCATATATTCCAAATATTTCCGCAGTTCGCTCGGAACACGTTGAAATCGATCAATTCGGTTCGTTCCTGTAGAATGCCAACCTGTCAGCACAGCCTGTACTATGACCTGTAACCTTGGCCCCATCGCCAATACACGACAGGTGAAACGAGCTCCACTCAACTGGTGATCTCCTGCACTTCCTCCCAGCTCTGTCGCCGATAGTGGCTATCGGGCGTGGCGAGGCATTGCACGTTCTTGGGCGGTTGGTCTCGTAGAAAGGCCGGACACTCGCTCGTCCATTGCGACCGGGGTACATTCACTAGCCAAAAAGGGAGAGTCTCCGCGGTGATGCCGTGGTCGTGCAGGAAGCGCGCGGGCGTATCGGCGTCGGCATCGGTCAGTTTCTCATCCAGCAAGGTAATTGTGGCTGCAGGTATCGACAAAGTCGTTGAATGAGGCATTGTATGTGCTGTGCTATCTGGTAAGGAGACTGGGTATGAACGGGTTGCTTGTTCTTGTGTGACCGGATTCGTAGGACGGGTATGGTCGACCATTCAAGGAGCGACGTCACCCTGCAGTAGTGCTGGAGAGGATCGAAAGGCCAAGGAGGACAAGGGGGAGAGTGTTCCTGAAATAAATCCCCGGACCGTTTTATTTTGATGTCGATCATCGGGGCCAATTTCATCCACCGGAATCCACCCGGTGGCGAAGACACGAACGCATACTCCGCATGGAGAAGGTGCTTCGCGCTGGAATGGAGCCTATGACCAATCCAGATATAAGATGAAAAAGGGAATCAATTGCTAAAGGCTACTCTGAGAGAACAATAAACACTATCGTGGGATCTATGCCACTGCTACCGCCAGCTTCTTCACAATGGGATCGTCAGCATGAATGACCGAGACTCCCGCAACTCGAAGCTCCTCTTTGGCCTTCCCCCAATTATCAGGCATCACACACTTAGTCCCCTCTTCAATAAGCCAGCTTCGGAATCCAGCCTTGAACGCATCGATAGCAGTACATTTCACGCAGTAATCCCCAGCCAACCCGACAACAAACACATCCGTGACCCCTTTCTTCTCGAGCACCGATGCAATATCCACATTAACCGATTGCGACGTCACCGCAGGGTCCAGATTCCCAAAGGCATCCGCAAAAGCAGAATACATCTCGACCTGCGAGTGCTTCCCCTTCTGAACGAACAGATCAATGCGACCGGCATCAATCTCCGGAATCATCTCAGCGCCAGGACTCCCGGCCACGCAATGTACCGGCCAGAGCTGCTGCGGCTTGGATTCCGTCTTCCTATCAGGCGCGGGGTTCTTCATTTCGATGAATGATTCAAAGGGACGGTTATTCGGCGGGGGATGGTTGCTGGCGAAGGAAATGTGGTCTGCGGGGTGGTAATCTTGAGTTGCGATACGCGTCACGAAGCCAGGCTGGGAGAGGAGATCGTTGATCAGTGGGGCAAGGGTTCGGCCATCTTGAACGGCGAGAGATCCATTCTGTTTGGTCCGCGAAGCATCGTAGCCAGTTGCACATCAGCATGTCCGAGCTTTCGAGAGAGCTATATGGTCAGTTATCTCCGTAGACTCACGGGTGGACAGAAGTCTTCCTGCATATCCACTATGATCAGAGCGGGCACAAATGGGCCCCTGTCACTGCCTTTGAATTCCATGACGAAAGTAGTTAGGGAAACTTGGATACTGTTGAGGTGACCAGTATTGAATGTTGGAGAGACAAGAGAGCTTGAGAGCTGAGGATGAGCCAAGAGCCAAGCAATTTAAAGCTGGGCTGGATGCCCTGGAGCTCCGTCCGGCTGAGTCAGCAGTCACGCTAAAACCCACGGGAACCTGCCTTCTTTCTTCTTTCTCTTCTCTTCCTTTCAAGGGCTACGGCCCCAATGAAAACATCGACTCAATTGATCTCTGGATAATGAACGGTAGTTGCAAGGTACGTGATGTAGTAACTCATACTTTCTTATTCCCATTTACACCCTACATGATGAATCTTATTTATTGGAGCTGTCTGAGCCTTTGGCTATGCGGACAAACTCTTTATACGCTTTTTTTCTGAACCTCATTTCTCTCCCATTCACCTCTCATGCCGTCTCGATTCAATTCGACATTCTAGGACCCAATGCTAATACTCATTGCCCTTTTAGTCAATACCAGGAACTCGTAAACTCATCTTCAAACCTCCCTGATTATCCCCTTCGCCTACGGAGCTCCTACTAGCTACCAGGCTCAACCCCCATCCCCCCTCCTCTTAGTACTACTCTACCATTTTTTCTTCTCTCTCTACATTTCTCTCCCTCTTTCTCCATATAATCTCCCCGCCCACCATGGCGGCCTACGACCCTCGTGTAAACACCGGAACCACCACTCCTCAAAATCTTCCTCCCCCTCCTCCCCCACCACCCGAGTCCACATTATCAGAGATGACTTCCACCACTGAAGCCGTGGACACGGCCACGGCCGTCGCCACTGGAGACAACCCCGACACACCCGCCGACTCATGGAAGCTAAAGTTCTGCACGGTCTGTGCATCCAACAACAACCGCTCCATGGAAGCGCATCTCCGCCTGTCCACCGCACCAACCGCGTTTCCCGTGATCTCCTTCGGCACGGGCTCGCTGGTCCGTCTGCCCGGTCCATCCATCACGCAGCCAAACGTGTACAGCTTCAACACGACCTCCTACAACCAGATGTACGAGGAACTGGAAGAAAAAGATCCCCGACTGTACCGCAACAACGGCATCCTGAACATGCTGGACCGCAACCGCAATTTGAAATGGGGTCCTGAGCGGTTCCAGGATTGGGTGCCTGGTTTGCCTCGTCTCGATCACATCTCCAAGGGTGATAAGGGTGCGTTGGGGACTGAGGGTGGTGTCGTCGATGTGATTATCACTTGTGAAGAGCGCTGTTGGGATGCTGTCGTGGACGACCTGATGAATAAGGGCAACACGCTCAATCGCCCCGTTCATGTGTTCAATGTCGATATCAAGGATAACCACGAGGAAGCGCTGGTCGGTGGAAACGCGATTCTGGATCTGGCGAATCGTCTGAATGAGTCTGCCATGAAGCAGCGGAAGGTGCATGGGGCTGCGGGATGGGAGAATGGGAGTGGTGCCGCGCGCTTGAGCTTTGATGAGAGTGTTCCGGAGATTCTGGCGGAGTGGCAAGAGAAACATCCTAATCTGCCGGCGTTGTGGACTCTGGCTTGGTTGTAGCCTTGAGCAGCCTCGCGGTCTTTTTTCTGATACCCCCCTTTCACTGTTTGCGGATGCTCGGGTTTTGTGTGTTGTGGTTTGAGATCGAGCACGCCTGTTGTGTCTGAAATGCTATACTAGATATTGATACTGAACTATGAATCGAAGAACGGCGTTACGTAATGCTCCTTGTCTAGCCATTCTGCCCGAGTTGATTGATAGTAGGTTGTATTTGTCTGTACAAGGCATTCCGAGTGAATCATAAAGCAAATCCGTATGGGGTATCATCCTTCCAACGCCAGCCATGGAGCTCTCCATCGAGAGAGCCATAAAAATAGAAAACAAAATGCACAAGAAACAACAGATCGAGAATTGAAGCAACCTCATTTCTCACCCTTGATTAGTACCTTCTCCTCCTGGGAAAGCACCACATTCCTCCGCTCCTGATACCACTTATCAAGATACTCTCTCCGTTGAGCCTGCGTCATATTCTCCACCACAAGCGCAAACTCAGTTGCGTCTGCATACCCAAACCGCCGCGCCATGCTACAGAACTGCCGACGCTTCACATCCTCAGGAGGGTTATACTTGAACCGAACGATTTGCCCCTCCGGACCCCGGAATACAGACGGTGGCGCAGGTTGATGTCGCGGTTCCGCAAAGGGGTCCTCGCCGCCATCAGCGTTCTGAGAAGCCTCGAAGATCTGGAAATCTGCGTTGGGATCATTGGTGACTTGCTCTGCGCGTCGGCTGAGTCGTTCTTCGACGCGGGATGAGCCGATGACTTCGTTGTTGAGATGAGTGTATTCCACGCCGGCCCCGGCGAGAATGGCTTGAATCGGGTCATGGCTGGGCGTGGTTTCAGGCTTGGGTCTTTCGGCGTCGGTCTCGCCGCGGACCATGGCTGCTATTTGACTCATTGCTTCGTCCTCGGCTTTGACACTTCTCTCGCCGGTGAAGTCTGTGTCGTCATCTTCTTTAACCTCAAAGTCCATGACTTGGACGCCGGCCCGGCTTTCGGCAACGTTGGTCTTGTTGACGATGTCGCGAAGTACGACGTTGTCATGCTGATAGGCGAAGAGATTCTGCATACCAAAGATCTCGCCCTTTTGGTCGGACTTTTCTTGGACACCCTTGAAGTAGCGGCGCTCGGAACTGGCGGTGTAGCCGATCTCGGCTTGCTGCTGTTTGTAGATTTGTCGGGCGTACACAATCTCCTCGATAGTACCGACAGAGACAAGTCGGAAGACCTCCACGTCACGAACCTGTCCGATGCGATAGGCTCGGTCTTGTGCTTGTAGATCATATGCCGGATTCCAGTTCGGATCGACGACGACAACCTTGTTGGCCGATGTAATGTTCAATCCAACGCCGCCAGCCTTGGTGGAGATGAGGAAGACAAATTGATTAGGGTCGGAGTTGAACTCGTCCACGGCCTTTGCACGGTCTTCGTACTTCATGGATCCATCCAGGTAGCTCACGTTGTAGCTGGTGTGGTTGAACAACATTTGCAGCATTTTCAACAGGCGCACACTATGTGAGAAAACAAGGACCTTATCGCCGTTCGCATGCCACCACCTAAGCAGCTTGCGCAAGACTTTCCACTTTCCGCAGAACTCGGGGTTTGCGTAGTTGACGATCGAGTCTCGGGAACGGTATAGGTCTTCCCATTGATCGGGCAATGCTATTTGCAGCATCTCTTTCTCCTTTTCCTGTTTCTCAATCGAATCGTTTCCTTGAGGAATCAAGATAGCTAGATGGTTGCTGAGCTTCTGAAGGACCGCGATAGCAGGGAAGACGTATGATTGCCATGTCTTGTCCGTGCCAGGGACCAGCTTGTGGCAACACCATCCTCTTTTCTTTCCTGAGCCACAATCACAAGGTTCAGTGGAATACCTGATCGTAGTCACTATATCGCTGTCCAAAAAGTTCTCGTAGGCTTCTGCTTGTGTCCATGTCAGAGGACAAAAGACTACCCTATCACTCTTTTTGGGTAGCTGATCCGCGATCAAAGTCTTCATGCGACGTAGGAAGAATTGCGGAAGTAGGTTTTCCACGAGCTTTTTGGCTGTTCTTCGAGCCTTGCTAAGTTGGTTTAAGGTGGCATCGTGTGATTGTCCAATCTTCAACGGCTCTGCGATTTGCGCTTTCCAGGTTGTCACTGGCCCAACAACGCCGGGGTTTGTCCAATTCAAAAGAGTCCACAGCTCCTCATAGCGATTCTGAATAGCCGTGCCAGTAAGGCCGATTCGGCAGAGTGCATTGATCTCGTTCATGCCTTGCGTTGTTTCGGACTTTCGCTCCTTGATCTTGTGGCATTCGTCTGCGATTACACAGTCCCATTCGACCATGTTCACAGAACCCTTGTTGTTCACATACGTGGTGTAAGTAGTGATCAAAATCTCCACGCGGCCTGATTTGGCAGCATGGAGGGCAATATCCTTGTTGCTGCCATGGTAAACGTCTACATGCCACCAACCCCAGCGCTGAAGCTCAGACATCCAGTTTGAGATCAGCGTTCCAGGGCAGATAATCAGCGTGCGAGGATACCATGTCCTGTCGCCTGATCTCCGCATTTTTCGCATCCGTTTCGAATCTCGCTCATCGCCAGTCTTGCCGTAGGCGGCAGTCAGAAAAGCAATCACTTGGATGGTCTTTCCCAGACCCATGTCATCGCCGAGAATACCGCCCTTCTGATAGACGAACAGTTCGTGCATGAAAGCGACTCCTTCAACTTGATATGAGCGCAACCACTGTGCAATCGGAGCGGGAATCAGACCCAGAGAATACGGCAGTGTAATATCCTTATATTCTCTGGCGGGCTTTCTGTCTGGGAAGGATGGCCTTTCTTGCAGATGTTCAAGGCGCTCATCATCGGAGAAGTCGACATCGTCGTAAGAAGGCGGCAGCCTAAGACCGTACTCGTTGAGGTCACCATGCTCGCGATCGAAATGAGCCCTCCGCTTTTTCAGATAGCTTGGAAGAGTGTATTCCATCAACTCATCCTCGGATGAGACCTCGCCGTAGTCTCTCAAGGGCCTCTTTGGCCGTGCTGGTGTGCGTTCTTGCTTGACGAGACCGACCATTTTCTGGTCCCGGTGTTCTTTCTTTGGCATCTTTGCTCTCCGAGTGGCAGCCGCACTCTGCCGGCGCTTGAGCGACTTGCGCTCTTTGAACTTTTTATATGCTGCCTCGCCATCATTGAAGTCATCGTCGCTCTCTTCTTGGATCTTGACCGGTGTGCTCGATAATATGCGAGACGGTGTGTCGAAAGCTTCTGGTTTTGTAGCGGTAGGAACTAGTGCACGGCTGGGGGTATTCGTACGTTCTTCGTGTTTCAAAGTGGTCGAGTTCCTATCTATTGATGTCGTTGTGAGCTGCATGTCGCGCGCGCATTCTTCGCATAGCACGTACTGTAGTTGGTGCTTGCGCCCAGATAGGCTGTCACTTCCAGGTCATCATCATCTGATACGATGTTGATGACCTCGATCTCAGCATTAATCTCCCCCATATCCACTGCATAGCCGATCGTTGTCGCTCAAGAGTTGTGAAAGCGCGCAAGTTATTGAAGGTCCAGGCCGCAAAGGCGGAGAAAGGTGGGCGATGTCATTCCCGATCGCCGAGAAAAAAAGCTGTCCGATCAATTCCTCTCCGCAGACCAAACTACTCCTCTACACACCCCCAAAGCTCTTTCAATTGAGTCTTATTTTACTCCTAGTCTACTGGGATAATTTAAGCGACGTGAGTTTCCCGGGAACGTTGGCCCCCGATCTCAGACTTGACCATTGTGGACTAATTTGCATCCCACCATTAGACCTGCGGACAGAGCACCTGACGAGCTTGCTCTTTGAGGCATACCCTCGCTTTCTAATACCTCTTACATCTCTACCCGATCTAACCCGACAAAATGCCTCTCGATACATCCACAACGTATCCTTTGACCAAGCTGCGCCTTGATGGTCGCCGCTGGAATGAGTTGCGCCTCATCCAAGCGCAGATCTCGACCAACCCCGCCAGCTCCGGCTCTTCATACTTGTCCATGGGTAATACATCGATTATGTGTTCCGTTCATGGTCCGGCCGAAGGTCGTCGTGGTGATGCCAGTGGTGCTGCAGGCGGCGCGGGTGCCATCGTCGAGGTGGACGTGAACGTCGCTGGGTTTGCTGGCGTGGATCGCAAGCGGAGGGCTGGAGGAAGTGACAAGTAAGATCAGAACCTTGAATGGGGAGCCTTTTGCTATATTTATGCTCGCCATGGATTTATTGGAGCCATTGAGTGCTAATCCACCGGTTGGCAGACAATCTTCGAGAATCGCAACAACCCTACGCTCAGCCTTCCAATCGCACCTGCACACCTACCTCTACCCGCACAGCACGATAAGCATTCATGTCTCTGTTCTCTCTGCCGATGGATCTCTACTCGCTGCGGCGATCAACGCCTGCACCCTGGCCCTCGTGGACGCCGGTATTCCCATGCCCGGTCTTCTCACCAGCTGCACAGCTGGCATGAGTGGCAGCGCATCCACACCGCGGGACCCTCGAAATGATGAGCTCGACCCGTTGCTCGATTTGTCGCTTCCCGAAGAGCAGGAACTACCTGTATTGACCGTGGGTACTACGACCTGTGTACCTGTGGGGGAGAACAACATGGACGAGGAGGAGGGAGAAATGAAGGTGGCTGTATTGACTATGGACTCGAAGCTGCACTGTACCTATATCGACACGATGTTGGCCGTGGGTATTGACGGGTGCAACCAGATCCGAGAACTGTTGGAGGGAGTGATCAAAGGGTCAAGTCGGGCCTGAATACGATAAGAACCTGATACCCATGCACTTTTTGGCGTTCATTTGGTGTTGAGGAGATTTCCCAATGTTGAGTTCCTGCATGTTGAATACTGAATATTGAATATTGGATATTTTGGATTGCAAAAAATAGGAGTTTGTTTAGTTCCACATTGGGCAAAGTGTAGGAATTTGCTCAATTGTGCTCGTTTCCCAATCCATCGGCGGTTTCCATCGGAAGGTTGGAAATGTGCTCACTCGCCCAGAAAGGGCAATCGAGCTTGTGAACGCCTGATTTTTGTTTCTCCAAATTTCTTCTCGTCCTACCTCTTCCCTTCTTCTCTCCTCCCCTCGTCTTCGTCTTTCTGCTTCTTTGTACAACCGCGACACGATCAGCGAAAACTGGAGACATCGTCGTCCCTTGCACAACCCTCCGCTTTCATCCTTCGGCTTCTCCAAATATCAATTTGACCTCTCAAGTCGCTTCGATGGAGTCCATGACGATGACCACAATTCCCAGTGCTTTGGGAGCCATGAATACCGGCTCTATGAGTATGCCAACCATGGCATCAAACGCGTCAAGCGCGAGCCCGATGCCGACCATGCCCAGCATGGAGGGTATGGACATGAGCTGCCGAATCTCGGTTTGTATACTATCATGCCATTCATTAGATCTGTCTTGGGACGAGACTAATGGAAAACTGGCAGATGCTCTGGAACTGGTACACTATTGATGCCTGTAAGATGTTGTCTTCTCCTTCGTCCCAGTCAACGCTGCAGCTTGATACTAACTAGTCTTGGGTGTATAGGCTTCCTGTCCAGCACCTGGCATATCCGTTCTCGTGGCATGTTCGCAGGCTCCTGCATCGGCACCATCCTTCTCGTTCTTTGCTTGGAGTTCCTCCGTCGCATGGGCCGTGAGTATGATGCGTTTATCCTGCGCCGAGCTCGCCTGCAACAGAAGTACTCCATGACCCTGGCCAAGCAAGCACAGAAAAAAGGAACGGCTTCCAACGACAACAACCGAGATTGCCCTTGCAATTGTCCACAAAATGACGACCCGATCACTACTGGGCCTGGTATGGAGTCCTCGAATGCAAAGTTCGTCGGTTCAAACGATGTTACGTCTGTGGCTCCGGAAGGTGTGAACTCGGTTGATGGCGATGTGGCCGGTCACAAGAACTATGATACTCTTCCACCATATCGTCCTTCTCCATTTGAGCAAGTGATTCGCGCGCTATTCCACATGGTTCAGTTTGCCGTGGCGTACTTCATCATGCTCTTGGCGATGTATTACAATGGCTACATCATCATCTGCATCTTCATCGGAGCGTTCCTGGGTGCTCTCATCTTCTCGTGGGAGCCTCTGTCTCTGTCCAAGGAGTAAGTTGTCTTCGTCTCTCTCCTGCTGCCGTCCTTTACAACCGAAGGCTTCCAGATGGAAATCTGCTAATCAAGGTTTCACACTCTTACAGAAACGATGCATGCCAAGTCACCAAGTGCTGTGGCTGAACTTGACCAACTCCACGCTTCGGTCATCCTGATGGCACACCGACGGAAAGACAACTTGCTGAAGAAATGAATCAGGAAAGGGCTTCATAATATGGAAGTATTGAACATTCGATATTTGTTTGGGCATCATTTAGGTACACATCAGCCTTATCTTCTTCGCTCTCAACACTTCTGGCCAGGTATACATGTTGCTATTCAGGCCAGTTTCCTGTCTCTTAGCCCATATCGTCTCAATGATGGATTTAGCCACAGACGCATTCACAAGTCCAGTTGCTGTAAAACAAGTATCGAACCACCGCGAGAAAAATGCTTGAGAGTTCAAGTCCACCGCTTCGCATGCAGCGATAAATGCAGGCCATATCAGTGTAGCCATACTTTCGCCGCTCTGGCCAGCTTCGTCCTGCTGAATGCTCGTGAGGAATGAGCACACAGAATTGACTTCTCGCTGGAGCATAGTAGCATCAAGGTCGTATATTCGCCGGTGGAAGAAAATAAGAAGGGCAGTGTACATCGCTTGAGCTCTCGGATTATCTGCTTCCCTCTCAGAGTCATAGTCGTATGTAAATCCTGACGTGCACGATGATGAAAGGATGTTGATTCCCTTCTCCAGCGTCTTAGCCCGCAACCAGAAGTCTCTGAGGTTAAGGCCGCCACTCGTACTCTGATATAGCATGGAAAAGTCCCGCTCGTTGGCAAGTCGGATCACCTGCGACAGGAGCATAAGAAAACTCTCTGCGACACCGTACATCTCCGGAAAAAGTGTTAAGCTCCAACGGCCAGGAATAGCCAGATGAAGGTCCCGTTGTGCCACACTGGGATCCTTCTCCTCGGCCAGAATATTATCGGAGAAAATGATATCGGAACTGATTCGGAATTCTGCGCTGGGTGCATCCTCTTCTGTAGATATACTGGTATTGGCAAGCCTTTCGCTTAACCCGTCGGCGATGCATGTAGTTTCGGCCATGATGCGCATGTATGCGTAGCAATGATGAAGGGATCTTCGTTTCTGGGAGATTGTTGACTTTCCGAACCCGTGGATTGAGATGAATTTCTCTGCTTGCACTAGGCATGATCGACGCTTGTCTGAATCTCCATTTAACATCTGCAGTTCGAGATTCTTATCAGTTTCGACTTCCCATCGGTATCAATGTAGGAAAGGGTGAATAACATACATAAGCAGAGGAAAGACTCAGTATCGCCATAAGAATCTCCTTATACTTGTTCTTCTTGACGCCTGGAATGCGATTCTCTTCCACGCATTTCATGAAATGACTCTCAGCTTTCTGCAAATATGAATTTCCCATCTTGATCCAGTGGTCAATACGCATAACTGAGTTTTGACCTAAATGAAAAGCACTTGTACTGAGTAGTGCATTCAATAAAGCCAGCCGAGCATGATTTGCGCTCCCACTCATCGTAAGCTCGCCCAGTGTATTGACTGCGTACGGCATCATCAAGCTTAGCCAAGCGCCTTCTTGGCCATGGCCTAAGGGGGAGATTAAATGTACTATCCTGTCTTTGTAGTATGACAGAATAGACCATGCTTCATGATTGTCATTGAAGAGGGAAGGATGGGAAACAATTTGTGACCGGGGGCTATCGCTGACTACTTCGATTGGTTCTGTGACTGGTGAAATCAATTCGAGTAGCCATGACTCGTCGACTGGTAGATCGTTGGAGACGTCGAGAAGACTAGAAAATAGATCGATCTCCTCTTCTTGTCCAAGTATCTCATCGAGTTCGGCCAGCCAATCTCTGGGTGAAGGAGTGGTTTCGTCGGTATCCAGATCTGGAACATCCGTTTCGATGACTCGGGATAGCCTCGAGACACCAAAGGGTCCATGGAAAAATGAGAATGGCGTTGTCACATCCGAACAATGATCGAATCTTTCAAGGTCAAGGAGCGCTTGCGTAGGATTGTGATCGGGGACTGATTCGATAACTTCGTTGCTCATGCGTTGACGTTCTGTGTCTGTGTATAGTCGTGTTAGGTGTACTATTTAAGGATGAAGAGGATATTCACCTGTGAAGATCGCTTGCCGATGCTTTGCTGCGTTTTCGGCACTTAGTCTGCGAACACCTTGCTTACTGTCGATAAATGTTAATGTGAACTGTTGGTCCAAGCACTTTGGGCCCGAATCTGACGGCTGTGCTAGTCGAATTGACTGATCATGTAATGTGGATGGTGAAAACATAGTAGAGAGATCGATGTGGCTATAGATGCATACAGGTTGAGCTCTTGAAATTGGTAAAAGATTCCTTGTCATTCAGAGAAAGAGAGAAAGTCGAGTAGCTGCTTCTCTTGTTGAGGGGGTTGCTCGCTCGTAATGCAGTTGTTATCACTCCCAAAAAGGGATGCGATTCCGAGCCGGATATAATTGGTCAGATCATATTTCAACCAACCCAGTCCTTTGAGTTAGCAACGCATAGACATGCTCCTACGGGCTAAGTTTTATGGCACTGCGAGATTTGGTATTCTTGGTACGTCTACCGGATGTCGAGGAAAAGAATCATTGTTCACCGAATCGAGTGCAGATTTGAGGAAGCAGACAATGACTTTATACCACGGATTATTACTGAAATTATGAAAGTAAGAGGATGACGCAAGGTGCCCGGAGATGTAGAAAGAGGTTTCGAAAGACGTGTCAAAACAGGTTAACCTCGATTGAAGCTTGAATAAGTATTCGTGTTGATACCCATCGGCGGGGTCGTCGGAAAGACCTACTATTTTTGCGGGTTGGCTTTCCACGTCCCGTTTGGGTATGTGCTCTAAATTAATTGCTTTTGTAACACCTTATCAGGCTTTCTAGAGTAGCCGAGGTAACTTGATCCGATGTATAATATATTGATTCATGATTGTGAAGAGCTCGGTTAGTAGGTGCTGTCGATCTCAACCGAGTCGCAGTTTCCCATCGAGCTCTATTTCCTCAAGTCCCGTCCCAGAGAAAGTGAAACAGAAGGCTGCAGCGGGTTGTTCCTATCATTGACGACTATACGCAGCCAGCCTGGAATGATTGAACGCTCATCGCGCTAAAAACTTCCTGGAGATCAATTGGTTCCGGCTGTTTGAGGTTACAAGCATGGCCTTCGTTCTCAACCGCCGCAGAGATCTGTTGCACCAACCACAAAACTGACCAACGAGAAGACTTTGCGTTGCCCTGAGATGATGTGATACTTTGCGGTCATCAATTTGACAGTTATCCATCTTTCTTGCACAGGAAGAGACCTTCTCCAATTAAGTGTTTGATTCTCTCATATAGAAGACAGCGATCGCCCACCAACTACAACAGGCTCGATTTAGACCACTTCGGGGGTTGTAATTGTTATAGCAAACGAAAAGCATCATCTTCTCATCACTATTCAAAAGATTCTAGATCGGCAAGCATCGGACAAGCAAGGTACCAGAATTATCAAATGTAGCCTGTAGGAGACGTCCATGCCTTGGCCCAAGGAGCGAAATGACGAGTACCCGGAAGAGCGAGGTATTCTCAAACTCTGGCTGTTCGAGGCGGCAGTAGAGGGCGTTTGCAATAGGGACTAACTCGCCATGGAGTAGCTCATTTTCGTTAGTCGTTACACCCTTAAGAGATGTAAGTTTGATATGAGAACGAGTAGTCTACGGATCCTCAAAATCGTCAAGCCATTGATGAGTGGAATCAGTGTGCCATGTCGGAAGATCCTGGGGCTTTGAATGCCCAACTGTAATACCGGATAGCATTCCTGTTGGAGTGTCGCAGAAAGAGTCCTCGGCCCTGCTAGCAATTAGCGACTGATAATTAATCAAGCATAGAACACGGCAAAACTCACTTGATATTATCCCAATGTGAACGGTCTGTTATTGAGAATCTCGATCTCGATCTCGATCTCCCGATCTTCCTCTCGGAGTTTGACACGAAGATGTCAAGATAGTCTACAATTTGACCAGCTCTCAGCCACGACTTGACACTCTCCGGGACATCCTGTGGGATGTCATAAAAAGTGTTTTGAACTGAGTCATGCAGCGAAGTTCATCCTAATTAAGGTAATTTTTTGTCGAGTTTGTATGTGTTAAGCTCTTTCTCTGGGAGTGGTTGGAAGAGACAGGCTTCGGAATCGGTGAAGTTGTGATCCTCTGGATCGATGGGTTGGATGGATACTCGGAATTGGGCAAGCCCAGTGTGAGTATACGCGGGTTTGGACCGAGAATGGAGCTAGTGATCGAGGGATCGTACTGCTTGCTTGTACATCTCTCTCAGTCGAGCGCGTTCCTGTGAGTCAACCGGGGAATAAGCCATGGTGAAGGACGACGATATTGTTGAGATTTAAAGAAGGTAGAGACAGAGATAGGATGTTGGGCTTAAAAGCTGGAAGTGAATATGTGTGGGTAAGACTGATGAAAGAGGGAGGCATAAAGTATAACTTTGTAGTACAGATGGAAGGAAGCCTGGGACCCCGTTGATGGTCACGTCATTCGCAGAATACTGACCGAAATGCATCGCAAACCCAAAAAGACACAAGATATTTACTAGTTGAAGGATTGTCTTCCTCCTTTATAGCATCAAGAATTGATGATCTACTCCGTACAATGTCTGCTAAAAGTGCCCCACTTTTTTCCAAACTTGAATCCGACGTTACCCCTCCTCCTCGATCCGAGTCTTACAATTGAAGGGAGCTTCAACGAATAGACCAACACAATCGAATACTCTACGAGAGCTACAAGGAATAAAAATAGTTGGGATTCCCTACATTGGGGAGCATGCATGACTAGCTTGGTAGACTGTCTAGATCACACCGCGCAAAAAGGGAAAGCCACCAAGAACGGCCAATCCAGCCCGCCCCCACTATTTTTCGTTGAGGGAGACCCCACGCTGAAAGAAGGGACTCTGCCACCAAAACTCAACTCAAATCATGAAAGATCGAGTAGTTTAAGCCTCACCGCAGTTGACGATGGTGGGCTTGGTAGCGGAGCGGACAGAGCCGGAGGAGGAGCCGAGGGCCTCGAGCTCCTTCACGACCTGCATGGAAGCGTCATCGGCGACCTCGCCGAAGACGACGTGCTTGCCATCGAGCCAAGAGGTGACAACGGTGGTGATGAAGAACTGGGAGCCGTTGCTGTAGAAGAGAAAAAAGACCCACCGTTAGTAACAATCCAGGTGAAAACTTAAAGGCCAGTAGAGACTTACGTGTTGGGGCCAGCGTTGGCCATGGACAGGAGGCCGGGGCGGCTGTGCTTGAACTTGAAGTTCTCATCGGGGAACTTCTCGCCGTAGATGGAGCGACCACCGGTGCCCTATTCCGGAAGATGGGAGTTAGTGAGGAGTCCATGGAACAAGGTCATTTCCCTCAAGGGAAAGCTGACGAGGTAGCAACAGCAACACAGGACCCTAGGGAACTCACGTTGTGGCGGGTGAAGTCACCACCCTGCAGCATGAACTGGGGGATGATACGGTGGAAGCCGGAGCCCTTGTAGCCCTGACCCTCGGGGAGCTTGCAGAGCTCACGGAAGTTCTTGGCGGTCTTGGGGACATCAGCCTCGTAGAGGGTGAAGTTGATGCGGCCAACCTTGGCTAGAAGAGGAAGTCAGCATCAGGGTCAATGGCAAGGCTGGTCATCGTAATAGAGACTCTCATGGAGATGAAATGGGATGAACGGGCTCAATTGAAGGCTGGAGGGGATGGTTGTGTAGGGATATGGAGGGGTCAAAGAGTTGGTACCCCTCCATCAACCCGGCCATCTCTCAAACCGCGAGGAACAGGTATGGCATTGAAGGGAGGGAAAAGAATGAAACTTACGGGTGCTGGAGCCCACAGGGGCGTACTGGACCTCGAAGAAAGCCTTGGTGTTTCCGGACATGATTGCGGATGATGTGAATGATCGGTAGGCAAAAGGATGGAAGGAGCAAGAAGAAGAAAAGAGGGAGAGTGGGGTTGACTTGAGGCGGCAAAACATGGTGAGGGGCAGAGGGCGGAGCGGGACAACTCGGGTGCCGGGCTGCAAGCGGATTAGTTACTGCTGCGAGGAGCCACTTAGACCAGAGACGCAAGAAAGAAGAAGAAACTAAATGCGGAAATGGGACGCCGAGGGGTAACATTTGGTGGCCTCGTAGCCTTGTGGCCTGACAGCCTGAGGTGTCATCCCCATCTTGAAGTCATCGCAAGGGAGGACCAGGACAAACATCCATGACCTCCGGGCGACAGAAGCCCTGGAGAAAAAGACCCAGAGAGACCCAAAGAGGACCTCAATGGTCTCCCTTAACTGTATAAAAGAGATTCACGTACCAATTTAATGTACAGATGATAAAGGTCGCAAAGACTCGAAGCTTTAGGGGGAAAAATTGGAAGCTCGTCGTGAAAAAGCTCCCAAAGCTTCACGATTACATAATCCCGGGAACGCCCTTCCGCCACGGCCGGAACTGGAGAATAATGGAGAATGGAGAGAATGGAGAGAATGGAGATGGTCCTTGCGGAGTGCTCCGTACAATCTAGGGAGTGCTAGGTTTTAGTACTGTACGGAGTAGATCAACAGCCATTACTTGATTGATAGACCATGGGTGCTAAAATATTGTATTTTTCGTCCTGATTGCGATTGATTTCTCTCTAGACCAGTATGACTAGTCCCTTGCCTCGTTCCCATTTAGAACCTTGAGTAAACATTCAATTACGGTTAAGGTAAATACAGCAGAAACCGCTCTCTTCTTATCATCTACAACATGTAACATCTTTGCCGAGACTGCAGTATGTATTGATAGTGGAATTTCTGGGAGTTTTCATCTAATATCACGAGATAGCGTAGCTTTGGTGGTCACCATATGAGCTGCAACCTTGGTTCGGTCCGGGGATCAGCAAAGATACCTAGGAGCGGTCAGTGACTAGCTAGTTTTCTCCATTAGAACCGAGAGTCTTTGATAATGTAGACACCCGCGGTAAAAAAAAGTCCAGATCGTAAAGACTCATGAAGAACCATGTAATCTTGCTTACTCCTAAAGGGTCTACGATGATGAAAGTGGCTCACCGCAATCACGAACACGTTCTACCGCCTTCCCACCGATCCGATCCCAATCCCGATGTGGGCAGGCTGAAGGTTCCGGAGGGGCCACGGTGCCCCTCCAAATTTACAATCAACATTGCAACTCAATCAGTTCCTTGAGTAAACACAAATCCTGTCTTCGTCAGCAAGTCTGAGTGTTACGTGACCGACCAATTGAAGTGACCAACCCACCATCAGACAGACACAACCTCACCGCGACACTCACAATCATGGCGGACCAAGCTCAACCACTCGGTGGTCCAAAAGGTATGCATCACTCCCCCAGAAATCAACAACTAGCTAAACCACTAACAAACATCCCCAGTCTGGACCACCCTCATCACCAACACAGACTATCTATCCGGCCTCTTAACCCTAGACTACTCTCTCAAAAAGGTCAACTCCAAGTATCCCCTCATAGCCCTCTACACAGACTCCTTCCCAGCAGAGGGCCACGCCGCCCTCGATGCGAGGGGAATCCTAAAACGACACGTGCCCTACTTGCTCCCGTCAGTCTCAAAGGATTACGCCAATGACGTGCGTTTCTACGACTGCTGGAGCAAATTGACCCCGTTCTCGCTCGTCGAGTATGACCGCGTCGTCCAGCTGGATAGCGACATGGTCGCGCTCCAGAATATGGATGAACTGATGGATCTCGAACTGGATGCGCCTGAGTTGGCGGGGACGGGAGATCGGGTTTTTGCCGCGAGTCATGCTTGTGTTTGTAATCCGTTGCAGAAGGCCCATTATCCCAAGGATTGGTATGATGAACTAGCTTCCAGATTCTGATGTGTTGAATGAATGGTATACTAACGCTGTGACAGGATCCCGGCCAATTGCGCCTTTACCAGCCAGCACGATGACCCCGTCACCGCGCAGACGGTCGGTGCTCCGTCAACCGCGGGCTTGGGTATTCCCAACGGTGGTCTGCAGGTAGTGAATCCCTCCCAAGGAACCTATGACAAGATCAGTGCGCAGCTCGCTTCTTCCACGGCGTCGAGCTATGATTTCGCCGATCAATCGCTCCTGGGCGATGTCTTTCACGGTCGATGGGTTGCTATCCCGTATATTTACAATGCGCTGAAGACTCTGCGGTGGAAGGGTGTTCATGATGCGATTTGGCGGGATGAGAATGTTAAGAATGTGCATTATATTCTTAGTCCGAAGCCGTGGGATGAATGGGCGGCTAAGCAGAAGGGCGAGGATGATTCTCAGAAGAGCCAGGATCCGTCCCATGCTTGGTGGATTGATTTGAATGAAGAGCGGTTGAAGGTGGAAGAGGGGAAAGGTCTGAAGGATCAGTTCTAGGTTGAGGGAGTTGAGGGCTCTGGACAGAGGGCTGTGACCAATGGTGGTATTTAGACTTGTCAAACGTTATTGTATCCTGTTTAACGAATGTAATTACCTTTTTCAGAAGCTTCACTAATATGTCTTGTCTACTATGTCTTCTCTAGGAAGTAGCAGCTTCATGTTGTCGATCTCCTTCCTTCTGAGGGCAGGAGAAAACGACTGGTAAAGTCTCTCGATACATGACACCTGGCATAGCCACATTCAACGAGATCCTCCGCAAAGGCAACAATATACTCTACACATCTCATTCCACTCCCAACATCAAAAACCCAAAAAATCTAAAAATGATATAAATCATGATGATAAGATTACAGTACTATCTCCCATAACCAAAGACCAGGAAAATAAAAGGAAAAAAGTCACATAACCGCCACAAATCCAGGTTGACGACTATGCCACACATATCAGGACATCATTTCGACATTGTCGGCTTGTTGCCACAGATGATAGTCGCTTAAAAGCAAGAGACAGAAATAAAAACGAAGAAAAGAGGAAGAAGTTGAATAAAGTGTGCCAAATGATATGTTTGAGAAAGAGAAGTGGCAAGGTAGATGCAAAGGGGCTGTGCGATTAGCACGGCGCTCGTTTATGAGAGAGAGAATTGAAAAAAAAGACGAGAGGTGTCAAATGCTGAAGGTTTTGTAGAAGGGAAGTGAATCATCACCGGAAGTCGTCATCGTGGTCTCCTTGTGCTAACAATTCCAGACGCTGGACGAGGTCCTGGGCATGACGGGCTGTTTCGAAGGCAATAGGTGGTAGCTGGTTGGTGATCTCGCGTAGGTGCTCGGGGCTGGTTACATCATGTCCCTCGGCGGCGATACGCATCAAGCGGTCGCGGCATTGATCCAGGTTATGGATCACTTGCTCGGATGCCTCGCGCAAGGCAGCATCGCCGCTACGGTCGTGGATCATGTTCTCTGTGGAAGAGACCACGTTTGCGACGATGTCTCCGATGGCAGAAACGTATGTCTGGACCGTGTCCATGCCGTGCTCGGCGCGGATGCTAGCTACCAGAGCCTGGATGGATTGGACCATGCTATCAGTCTGGTCCTCAACGTATAACTGTAAGATAGAACGAGTCAGTAATTATCCAGATGAGAGTTAAATCGGCGAACGGAATTTTACCTTTAGCTCCTGGAGCTCGTGGTCCCCTTGAGGAGCCCCGTAGTTATATCCATTGCCATTCGTCAGGCCACTCTGCATCGCAGGGTGTGACTGATCAGGAGGACTCAAAACGCTATACTCGGAATTGTTGCTCTGCCGCCTCTGGCTAGCCGTGGTGCTGAAGTAGTCCGGGAACTTCTCCTGCGAGAGATCCTCGTCATCCTCCTCCAGTCCATCAGCAGGTGATGCCTGGATCTTAACAGCGCGAATCAATTCAACGACAGCAGTACAAAGATGCGAGGCAGCTGCATCCAACAGAGAAACTGGCGACAAACCGCTGGAGGTAGCAAAGTTACGAGCGGCAGTAATCATGTTGTTGGCAGTGGCAGCCACGCGACCCTTGGCCTTGATGCGAAGAGTAGCCGTGCCATCAATCGGAGGGGGAGCGAGGTCCACATCTTGAATCATATGACGAACAGCCACAATTACAGACTTGACTTGGTGTGACACCTGCTGGGGATCCTCGAAGCGAGCGATGCGGAGCAACTCGTCAATCGACATCTGGAACTTGGTAACATGGATGTCCTTGACCACGCCATCAGGCTGCACAAGTTCGTGCTCCTGCGCCATGATGTTCCTAGCATCAGGTCGATGATCAGCAAAGCCGCCAGACGATGTGCGAAGCTGACGCAACTGGGATTTCGCCTTGGCATAACGGTTCTTCCACTCGTTCAGCTCAGATTCGAGCCTATGAACATCCGTGGACAACTGCTCTTCACGCTCCCAATTCGAATGGCTCTGGGCAGTGAGGGTCTTCATCTCCATGAGGAACGCAGAGGCCTCGCGACGGACCTCTGCAGTGACTTGCTGCTGCTGCAGCAGCTCCACTTGCAGGCTCTGATGCTTGGTCTCCAATTCAGAATAGCGAGCTTCCAGGGCAGAATCTGTTGCACTCTGACTAGCTTCTTCAAGCTGATTGCGAAGCTCGCGTTCCATGTTGTCGTGGTCCGCCCGTACCCTATCAAGCTCCAGCTGGAGCGAGCTGTTCAAATCCTCTGCCTTGGAAACCTTGCTTTCCAGATCCTGTCGCAAATCTTCCCATTCCTGACGTTCGCTGTGGCTGATCGCAGATTGGTCTGCGTCTGACGATCGAGCAATCTCCTCGTCCTTCGCGCGAAGCTGTTCCTCCAATTTTTCAACCTTGTCTTGCAGTGCCGAGACTTGCGACTGGCTCTCCAGTAGCAGTCTTCGCTCACTGTCCCCGAGGGTCGTCGTAGTACCCCGTCTGCTCAGGACAGCATCCAGAGCAAAAGCATCACTTCGAGCGTCATCGTCGTCGTCCCCTCCCATATCATCACTATCCTCCACCATCGTACTCTTATTAGGGACCATGGTGTTACTCTGGAAAGCTCGCGGGAACGGCCCATCTCCATTCATCCCTGCTGGTGGACCCCCGAGAGAACCCTGTCGCGGCGGGAATGGGCTGCCAGGAGGACCACCAGAAGGATAGCCCCGGCCCATCTGAGGAGGACCCCGCGACTGGGACCTTCTGGCACCAGGAGGGGGTGGCCGCCCGCGGCCAGTAAAGTGCGGGAACCGACGCTCCAACTCGCAAAACACGTCGGTCGCTAGGTCTCGGAAACGTAGATGTTGAAGGGAGGCGAGCTTCTGCCGGGCGTGGTTGCGCTTCTCGTGAAAGTCTTTGCGGGGAGGAAGGAAGGAAGGCACGTCGGGACGGGGAGGTCGACCTGGCGGAGGCATAGCCTGCTGGCGACGAACCAATTCATCGTAGACGTCGGTACTCAATTCATGGAACTGGGTAGCGGAAAGTCGGAGAAGCTTGTCACGGGCTTTGTTCGATCGGCCGTTCAACCGGTCCTCGCGCATCGAGGCATCGAGAAACCGTCTCAAAGTCACATAGTGTTGGTGCAGAATCTCCTCCATCTGTCGGCCTCGTCGGCCACCATCGCGCTGGCCATCGCCGCCGAGTGTACCGACGCTGGATCGTGCGGCTACCGAACTGGGTGGTGAAGGATTGCCGCTGCCGGGAGGTCCAATGCTGCTGGGACTCAAAGGAGCGCTGGGACCGCCGGAGGTTGGAGGCGTGGCTAGATTGCCTCGTGAGGAAACTGTCGGCGAGAAGGGCGGGTCCGACTTTTGATACTGGTTGAGGCCGGACCAGTCGCTGCCATCAACGGAGACAGGCGACATGGCTCCGGAATGGCCATTCATATCAGGGCCGCAGGGAATGCAAGTTGGCTCCTCCGGCCGAGGTGAGGATTATTCGATGATCGCGAAAGGAGAATGTCGGATCCTTTCTCCGGGTTCTTGCAAGGAGGTTGGGTCACACAACCGTTGAACGCCTCTACCGTCGTCACTGCACACGGTCGTGGTCCACAGTAGTTGTCTCTCCTCCACACTGCGATCTGAAACCTGAGGAGCCGCCGAGGAAGGGGGGTGGGGGGAGGATCCGACCGAATGAGGAGAGAATCGAAGGATAAAGAAAAATAAAGACTCGATCCCGTCGAGAGAGGGGGTCCTGGTCCGAAGGAGTGAAGGACTGGACGGAAGGGGTTGTGCCAAAATAAATCAAGGAGACAAGGATAAGTCGTAAGGAGGAGGAAAAGAGAGCCAAAGTGTGCCTAGTTCATGTCCGTTGACTCCGGAGTTTCCTTTTTACCTGGGAACTAACCACAGTTCGCAGCTCCCCTTACGGGCTGTACCTTATTACATTACAGTCGTAGTCTTCCTTACTCCGTCCACTACTGGTGCAGAATTGCCCCGTCAATGGTCGATACCGAGGACGGATTCCTTCTCCTTGAATATTTCATACATACTGTACCACCAATTGCATACAGTGACAAGTGAGCCTTCAGGAACCATTGGGAAACACTTTAGTGGAACGAATTGGTGATATCACATCATCGGGATGATATCAATTTTTCCAATCTTCGAACCTTCAGGACATTCTAGCTTCGATAGATCTATAAACTTTTCCCTCCCGCTCTCGCTCGTGCCGTTTCGCCTTCTTCACTCGATCCGTCACAAACTAAAGAAGAGAAGAGAATGGCACAAGGAAACAAAAAGAAGGAAAAAGCAAGTTACGGCATTCTGTAAATACAATACCGACTCTGTATGTACCGAACCCTCCGGTGCCAAGACTCGAGTACTCAAGCCACACAGGGGCTGAAATCCCAATCACTGACTGCGCCTTCCTTCAGCCTGCAGCCTGCAGAATCCCGGCCAGTAGTTTACTCCAAACATACGAGGATTTCTCATGCCGTGTTTCTCATTATCATAAGCTATTCTACCAGAAATTACACGTTGTTCATGAGAAGCTAAGCTAAGTGGCCACTAGGTCAAGGGGAAGCCCTAACTGACGGTCAATTCAGGAGTCGTCAGTCTAGACCTTTTTGGCCCCCCAGAACGAACCCACCCAGTTGAAGAACACACTAACGCCGTCCGGGCGCGGTATTGCTGGTGTATTGTTCGGTAAATTTTATGCTCATTGTATCATTCACACTATTCCCCATCAGTCACAGTCAAACCCAACATCCATGCCTCCTGGGTGCTGTACAAGGTCCTCAAGGCTCAGGGCCGCCCTGAATAATGACTAGTACACACAGTCTACTCTCCCCAGTCTACCTACTCCTCTAGAAATCATCATCACGGTTCACACAAAAGATTGATTAAAAGGAATATTGATTTGAACCCAAAATACACGTTTCATAGGCCATGATCGGCCGACATATCTATCCGGAAACACTAAGTACAAAATGTAGAACAGGAGCGTAGCTCATATCCGCTGAGTAGCGGTTTTACCCAAGGGTTACCCTCCAAGGGGAAGGTCCCGTGAAAAGGAGCCGAGGATCAATTGATCCATTGGCAGAGGTACCATCACAGGTAAATTTCCTCGCACGTCCCTCGTATAATAGGTCCCGAGAGGGACCAGTCACCGGGGATGAGGAATTTGATGCAATGCTTTAAAGATGTGAGGGAAAAAAGAAAGGCAAGACGATGTGCTTGCCTGACAGTCTACATCAGGATGGTATCATGAGGGTGTCATGGGTCGCGGGACGATATACAGAGACTCATTACCGCAGGCCAGATGGGAGTGGTCGCGGTCTCTTTATTTAGAGGTCATGGACAGGCCACGGGTAGCGCCCACGGCAGCGGACACGGGGGTCGAGGACCGGGTAGGCGCCGCACTGCGGTTGTGCGCCATGTGGGCCCTGACAAGGTGGCCGGCGGCGAGCGCAGCGCACAGGCTGAGCTCACCAGCCAGGACGGAGGCCGCGATAATGCGGGACAGCTGGCGGGCGTTCTCACCAGGGGTGGTGGGGTGAGCACCACGGACACCGAGCATCTCAAGCATGGCCGATTGCGCCTCAAGGATGGTACCACCACCGATGGTGCCGACCTCAATAGAGGGCATGGAGACGGCAATCTGGAGATCACCATTGCGGCTGTTGTAATATGGTTAGAATTGCCAGTCAAAGGTAGTTGTGAGGGATAAAGGGGTGAAAACTTACTTCTTCATGGTCGTGATACAACTGCTGCTTTCCACGTTCTGGGCGGGATCTTGACCAGTAGCCAGGAAGATAGCAGAGACGATGTTGGAAGCGTGAGCGTTGAAGCCACCCAAGCTGCCAGCCATGGCGGAACCGATCAGGTTCTTGCTGATGTTCAGCTCCACCAGGGCTTCGACATCACTCTTGAGGACGCTCTTGACAACGTCACCAGGGATGATAGCCTCGGCAACCACGGACTTGCCACGACCATCGGTCCAGTTGATAGCAGCCGACTTCTTGTCGGTACAGAAGTTACCGGAGAGCGAGATAATTGACATATCATCGAAACCACATTCCTTGGACATGACATCAAGAGCCTTCTCACAGCCCTTGGAGATCATGTTCATACCCATGGCGTCACCAGTGGTGGTCTTGAAACGGATGTAGAGGTAGGTACCAGCAAGAGCAGTCTTCAGACTCTGGAGACGAGCAAAACGACTCGTAGAGTTGAAAGCAGCAGTGATGATGCTCTTACCCTCTTCCGAGTCGATCCAGACCTTGGCGGCGGCGGCCCGAGCCAGGGTAGGGAAAGTAACACAAGGACCACGAGTCATGCCATCGCCGGTCAGAACAGTGACAGCACCACCGCCAGCGTTGATAGCCTTGGAACCACGGCTAGTACTGGCAACCAGGACACCTTCGGTGGTAGCCATGGGGATGAAGTAGTTCTGACCATCAATGTTGATGGGACCGGCAACACCAAGAGGGAGAGGCAAGTAACCGATAACGTTCTCACAGCAAGCGCCATGGACCAGACCGTAGTTGTAGTGCTCGAAGGGAAGCTTGGAGGTCTCCAGGGAGCTAGTGGTAGCGGAGGTGGCAGGGGTACGGGCGACAACAGCTCGGCGAATCTTGACCGCACGAGTGAAGGCATCCACGCGGCTCATCAACTCCTCGTTTTCCATAGTCTTTTCCAAAGCATAACCAGGGAGCTTGCCCTTGAGAGACAGAGCAATGAGCTCCTCATCCTTCAAGAAGGGGGCACGCTTCTGCTTGAGCATAACTTCACATTCCTCCATTGTCCGGGTGGACTCTTCCTCGTTGGGCTCGAACTTGGGGTAGACCTTAGGGGCCACAGGCTCCTTGGGGGCATCGATGACGGGCTCGGGCTCCTTGATGCTCCAGCGAGCAGCGTTAAAGAGATAACCGTTGAGAATGATGCTGAGAGTCAGGGCAGCGATGATCCACTTGCTGATGATGGGATCCTCCACACTCTTGAGCAGGCTCTCGAGGACCTTGCCACCAACTGCATCCAGGAACTGATCGGAGTATTCAATATCGAAGGAGCCAGAATCCTCGTTAGGCGCGTAGTGGACAGAGGGGTACTCCAGCTTGTACTTGACGGGCGGGATGATAGTAACCATAGTCTCCTGCTTCTGGCTCTTGGCGGCCACGTAAACAGCGTCGAGACCGTTCTCAGCAACCTTGAAGGGATCAATGGGGGCGGGAGCCATGACGTTGGACAAGCGGGAGATCAGGGCGCCATTTCCAGTGTTACGGAAGGGAATGGCGGACAGGTTCACGACATTGATCAGAATCAAACCACCAACCATGAGGATCTTGAAACGGCGCACATTGCTGGACTTGATCTTACGACCGAAGATGCTGGTGTCACCCTCGCTGCCGTCCGAACCAGCGGTGGGCCAGTCGTTGCTAGAGGCGACGTTCTCAGCGACACTGTGAGTGATACCATCCTCCTCCAGGGCCTTGCGCAGTGCAACATGGCGCTTGATGCGAGTAATCTCCAACTTGATGCACAGGATAGTGGTGTAGAAGGTGAAGAGCAGAACACAGTCGAAGAACAGGATCCAGGCCGCGAGGAAGCAGAACTGCTGGAGACCGCCCTGGACACCAGAGGCGGCACCCATAGCCAACAGACCGATCTCAATGCAGTAGTGCTGAATAATCTCGAAGCCCTGAGCCTTGATAGCCGTAGCAATTGAGTCCTGAATGGAACCAGGGGTGCTTGAGGTCAGGGGACGGGGGGCAGCACCGGGGCGGGGACGACGGTTGTCAACGGAAGCTTTCAGAACAGCGCGAGTAAACATGATAGGCTTCTCAAAGCCAATGGTCACAACCAGGAATGGGAGACCCTCGGAAAGCAGGAGAAGGTTGATCTGGACACCAAGCTTGGTAGTAACCAAAAGACCAAACAGGAAAGCAAAAGATCCAGAGAAGAGCACAGTAGCGGCCAGCCAGAAGTTAGATCCCAGACGACGCATAGAGAAGAAGAGAGACACGAAGCTCAAGTGCATCGAGAGGTAACCAAGAGCCATGATGACAATGTCAATGGTCTCGGCATGCTTGATAATATCCACAAACGAGCTCCACGCATCAGTAATCCAGAGCTTGAGGGCAGTTCGGGATCCGGTGGCACCGCGAGCGGCCTTCATAATCCATTTCTTTGACTCCTCTTCCTCCTCCTCGGCGGATGGGTTAGGGATCTCCTGTACGGCTCTCAAGAAGTCGGGGACTTGTTCAAACGGCACGGTATACGCGAGAGAGGAATCGTGGGAGAAGGGCGAGAACAAGTTGGGGGTATGCGGGACAGGGTGGGCGGAAACATTGGCAGGGACTGGAACGTCCTCAACCGCTGGAGCGGTAGACGCCGACTTGAAGTTGGAATCGGGGAAAATGAAGGTTGTCAGGGCGAGGTGACGAGCCGCAGGCTGCTCAATCTGCTGGTATGAAGAAGAGTCATTGTTAGAATGGACGTTCTCTCGAAACGGGGGGGGGGGGGGGGAATGTGCTTACAGTCGAGTCGACCCAAGAATCCTCGGCCTGCCACTTCCACGCAGTTGATTCGCCGAGGCGCAGATTACGACTGCCTTGGAGGAGCGTATCGACATCGACTTGTCCCGCAACATTGCGAGGATTACGCGCAGTGTCCAGCAGGCTGCCCTCGAGCAGACCGACGTAGGTAGTGCTGGCGAGCAGCGCAATCACCACAATGGTGTGGATAGGGTGCACACAGGCACGGCGAGATATGCATTGGAGACCGGAAGTGACCTGACGGCGAATCCAGCTTGGTTCCGCATCCTGATCAGCCTCGGTGGCGCGCAATCTCTTGGAGATAAATGAGGTAGCCATTATGGCAGGGGAGAGTCGGTGAAGCGGTGTAAGACGACCTGTTGAAGGCGTTGAGAGGGTTGAGACGGTCCGCAGGGGCCAAGGCCTGCGAGAATTACCGCCGTAGTGCTCTTTGTTTCGACCAAAACCGACGCGCTGGACAGGTAGAGGATCTCAAAAGGGTTGAAGTCCTAGATCGAGGGCCGCATGTGGCTCACGAGGCGGTGTTCTTCAGGCACTAAGAGATTCCCACTTGGGGACTTTTTTTGCACTTCAAGTCAGCGAACCACACCGGGGTCGATATGAGGGTGAATCGTATGTACCAGAGAAACAAGAGAGTAAAAAAGAGGACGAGAACACTCCGTCCAAGCAATTGGATTGTCACGGTGGGTAAGAAGAGTACGGGGACCCCCTGAAGGCTGCAAAATACTCGAGCTCCGGGCCCGCGCCGATGGAATTAAGTATCGCCGACAACGGGTCTCGCCAAGCCACGCCAGTTAGTGTTAGTATAGTGGGGAAAAAAAAAAAAAAAAAGAGAGAAAAGTTAGGGAGGCAAAGAAGAACCCGAACAGGGGAAAAAGGAGTTAGAGGAAGCACTATGAACACAGTACTGAAAGTGCTGACGATGTTCCGAGAAAGAGGAGGGGGATACTCGCTAATATTTAGTTCAACGTCTAGCAAAGAAAGTAGAGAACAATCGAACAGAACAATGAGTCCCAAAGTTTCCCAATCGAGGCAGACCAACCCTAAACCCGGGGGAAAAGGAGCACTGAACTACGCCCCCATAGACGGGACTTTGGACTCTATTACTGGGTTATGAGCTCATCAATTAGCTCTACTGAATTATTTAGTGCCTGCCACTTCTGTTGAAATTACAGTTCTTAAATGATTCTATTTCATCGAGGGAGTTTGTATAGAAAAGAAAAGTGGTTGCAACGTGATCGCAACGTGATCAGTTCTGAAATCCGGTTAACGTGCAACAAGCAACTTGGAAACGGCACTTTACCAACGTGCATCTGGCAGCGATCCTCCCGATCAGTCACCGAATCACCAATGACAAGAATTGCCGACCCCTGCTGCTGATGCTGCACAGACACGGATGGATCTTAGCTTGGGTGATCGGATGACGGAACATATACCCGTACAGTACTCCGTAGTAGCAGCACACCCTACAGCCCCAACCCACTGACAAGTTGGCTTAGCTACAGATTCCCGATACTACTTTACTGCCTATACAGCATACATTCGAGGATTGTGGCTGCCTATAAGCAACTACACAGCCACTCTTACGGTTTTACCCAATTTTTCCCCGAAGCCCGGTTATCGCGGATTTCGGGGTTGAAGGTGTTGTCTACACTACGTCCATCATACCAGCAGCCCTTCGTTATTCCCGTACCAACGTCTCTGCCAGAGACATGCAATATTACCGAAATCCAAGATTTGTGGGTGCGACTCGGGTTTTCGATGGTCGATCAGCGCAGTCTCCACTTGGCCCTGGTGCTTCCAGGGTTTACCTAGTCCCCTTGCAATCAAAGCGTTCGCGGGAATCGCCTCACGATCAGTCCACGTCAGCGAGGTTCCCGTTTCCATACCGCTGACCCTCCCAATGAAGAAAAAGCCCTCATCAAAATGTCCGAGAATCACCATTCCGACAACCGGACGTGTGGCAGTCGACATGCTCTTTTCTCGTTGGACAGACCTAAATGGAAACCCACCCGGTGGAGCTGACGGAGAAATCAGATAAAAATCAGATAACTCAAGTCAAATCATTCTTCGTCTTGTCGCCGGCGGCCCCGCGACTTCTATCCACTATGAGATTCGGTTACCGAGCTTGCCAAGCGTCGAGAGGGATGAAAAATCCGAGATAAGATGTATTTCCGACTACGGAAACATCCGAGCATGGTCTGTCTTCCGGTCTGTTTGTCATAATGCCTCAATAATGGGCATGCTGCGCGTTGTTCCACTGGTATCCACTGGACTCGGAGATGGTTTAGTATGATCCTGCATGGATAAGGCTGCAGAAGATCTAGTCCAGCGTTGTGGACTATGATGTTCTGTCGGGCATCCATTGGTGTTGGCTCGGGAAGCGGTGTACTAAGAATTCCCAAGTTGCTGTGCATCGAGCAATCATAATAGTAGTATAATAATGGTACGTAGGGTCGTTAGGTAGGTAGGTGTGGATATATACTGGATGTCTATCGACTGTTCTACTTACAAGTATAGGTGTTTACCCAGTGTGATCATGTTCTTACCGCTACGGTTGTTTGGCCCCAGTATATACTCCGTACTTCCATCAAAACTGTACAAATCTAGCGGCCGGTTAAATCAGGGATTGCAGAAAATGCGCATGTCACCTCAGACCCAAGCACTGCTAAAAGACAAAGCCAATTTCTGTGAAATTAGTCAAGCCTAATTTTACCTACAATGCAGGACATCCGCTGCTGCAGAAACAGCAGGATCCCGCCTCCCTGAGAGGGCGAGGCGCTAAGAGAGCCTCTTCACTGGGCCAATGAACGTAGCCGCCGCGCTCGTTTCCCTGCAGACTTGCAACACCTGCAGAAGGATTCTCGACGCGATATCCCATACTCCCATTGCAGCTACGGATATAGTACAGCTAGATAACTATCTTAGCGCCAGGAGGTTCCGAGATCGTCTCAGGGTCTGAAGAATATCTCCGCTGCCTCCCCATCGTGAGGCAGCCTCCGTCGCCTTTGCAACCATCTCGTCCAATCATCCCCCCTCTTGGCTCCGATCCTTTGGCACTTGAGCAAAAATTAGGCTCGCATGACAGTCCGTGGCTAAAGATCGATCGTTTCAACTGTGGCGTCGAGTCCTGCTTCAGGCTTGAGCTTGCTTTGTTTGTCTCCCCTAATTAGGCGCGACGATGGCTCTCGCCAAAGCCGGTCCTCCTATATTTGTCACAATGACCGTCCCTGTTATATCTGGCCCTCGCCCGCTGGATGGTCAAGTCAGGCTGCCATTGTCGCCTTCTTTGTGTTTAACCCCGCGTAGCCTGGTGCCTTGAGACAAGTCTACCTTGGAACAGGTCCTTTGATCTGGCGACTTCCATTGTCTTCCCTTGTTGCCCAAGTCCAGTATGGGTTGGTGTGAATGCCTAGACTATCCCTTTCATCAGATCCTATTCTTCTCCCGTTTTGCGATCCCCCTGTTCTATAAGAGCATTCATCCACCTCTCCGGGACACAAAGTAACAGTCCAATCCTCCCATCCAAGACAACAGTCTAAGAACACTGTCTTGATATCCCATTCATTCTTCTTTGATACTCAACACTTTGACTTTATCCTCTGAGAACACATTCTTGCTCAAAGAGCATCATCCCCGGGACTACACACTCTCTACCAACCAACTCATACCTTGACAAATTTGGCAAGATGCGACCAATACCGCTTCAAGTGTACTTCTTTCTTCTCTTCTCCGCAAAAAACATCAACGCCCATAGCTGGGTGGAACAACTATCCGTCATCGCCCCAAATGGGACATTCGTGGGTGCTCCAGGGTATCCACGAGGGAATGTCCTTCGCACCGCCTCCGACTTCAGCGATACCAAAATGACCTACCTGATCCCCCCATCCAGTCGAGCCAACGTAACCCTGGTCTTACCCACCGACAAACTGTGCAAAGACACCCAACAAGAGCAAACTCAGACTGCCGGAAGCGCCCGACTGCAGGCCAGTGCGGGCGATGCAGTTGCACTTCGTTATCAGGAAAACGGTCACGTCACACTCCCCTGGAACCAACCTGGAAAGCCCGCCAATCGTGGAAGTGTCTACGTGTACGGAACAACACAACCCAAAGTGGGCGAGAAAATCCTTGACGTCCACGGAGTCTGGACCAGCGATGGCACTGGTGGTGATGGACGAGGCGTGCTGCTGTCCAAACAAAATTTCGATGATGGTCGTTGCTACCAGGTCAACAGCGGCAATATCTCGCAGGCTCGTCAGAAGGAGTATGTGCACCAGGCTAATCAACTCATGGGTGCGGATATGTGGTGCCAGCAGGATATCAAGCTACCCTCGACTGCCCCGTCAGGCAAGCTGTATACACTCTACTGGGTGTGGGACTGGCCCACCCTCCCTGGCGTCGATCCAACTTACCCAAATGGTAAAACAGAGATCTACACCACTTGTATGGATGTGGATGTAGTGGCATCTACATCGCAGAAGAATGGGAATACTCAGGAGGAGTATGCCACCGGTCAGGATCTCAACAAGGCTGCTATTCCGTCCGAGTTTGACAATCTTGACGATGTCCCCGAGGCGACTGCAACAACTGCTCATCCATCTTCAATTACATCTTCGTCAATCTCAGATATGCCCGAATCTACATCCACCTTGTATCTCACGACGACAGAGGTGGTTCGAATCTTCACTGTGACCGCTTGGAGAACCACTGAGAAGACCGTCACTGTGGGTGGGTGTGAGGCGACTCCCACCTGGACTCCACGCCGCAAAAGATTGATGAGAAAGGATTGGTTGGCATAAATTGTTACAAACAAGAGAAAAAAAGAAAAAGAGCAACTCGATGCAATGTCAGTGTATACTTAGTTAGATCTACTTTGATACCCAGATGGCAATTTCATTATCTTTCCGTCTAGACAATTGACTCCATAATTTATCTATGACTGTCACTGTCCATTACATGCCAGTATACAAACATAAATATTCGAGTTCTATTCTAGTTCATTTATCCACCCTATATGGTAGTAGATACTGTGTAATTTCCCAAAACGGCCAAGCCCGCGATCTGAAACACACTAGCACGTGACGCTGACCTAAGCCCCTCGAAGCTTCAATTCCACCGGCGGGTCGTCGAACGAATGCGAGCGGGAATCTTTAGTCTCTTTACTCTGTTCTGCGTCAAACTTGTCTGCTGCTTGGGAGACCTGGTTGTGGTTGAATTGCTGCTCATCCTACTACTACTGTTGCCTCTGCCAAAAACCACCTCAGTCGGCCTGTGCTGATCATTGATCCTCAAGGATACACTACTGTACAGAAGGTATGCCCCCAATGCCCCATCTCCGGCCCTCCAAGAAACCACAGAGGATCCGAAGCCCCCTGGCCCATATCCAATACCCCGTGGATGCGACCAGAACCAGCGAATTTCAGTATAACTTCGTCGAGACGATCGAGTCCTTCATTTTCCTTCCTCTCTCGCATAAGCGCTGGGCCCGGGTTGCATTTATATCTGACACTTGCCGTGCAGTTTCTGCTATATTTAGCATTTGCCGTCCACTGCGGGACAACGCCTGGAACCACCACCACTCACTCCCCGTTTCCAAAAGCGCCCTGCAACTTTGACACACACCCTCCGTCCGCGCCTCTGACGAACCCTCCCGTCACTTTCTCGATTCTCTCGATTGACCCTCTTCGTGGGGTCCCTTTCGTTACTTTTTTCCCCCTGGACCCGTGCACCACTCGGCGTCCGCAGGCCGGCCCTCCTCTAGACGCCCTGTCCTTCCCCTCCTCGCTTTTGCCGATTCCCGATCTCTCCACTTCGGAGCTTTCCTCGTCCACCACGGTTTGGTCCTGGGTGATATAGACGAGTCTGGTTCATTTGGGATTGCGATCGGAAAGTGGTTTTGGGAATCGCTGCCCCCTGGTTGTGTACACGAGACCCCCACCTAGCCTATCGTCCGACCCGTTGGACGGATTCGCGACACTCAAAATCGCAAGTCGGATCTCGTTGGCGCGCGTTTCAATCATCATGCAAAATTAGATCTCAGGCAACGCGACCGATGAATACCTCCCAATTATCTTGCCGATAACCTGAGCGACACTTGATTTCTTTCCTACCGTCATAAGCCCCCCCCACCCCCTCGTCTGCGCTTTCTCCGATCAGCCCAAGATGACATCCCCGGCATCGCCAAACACCCTCTCGGCGAGCAACCTGCAGGTTCTCCCTCCTATTTTGACCGATAACTCAGTCAAGCCATCTCAGAGCGCAAGGGATCGGCTATCCACATACTCGAATATCTCCTTCGTCTCTCAGCAGAACCGGTCACGGCCTGGCTCCCACGTGTTCCCCATCTTCCATTCCAGCCTCCCGTACGCCCTGGTTCGGGACTTCGCTTACCCATCAATCCATCCGTTGCACTATGGGCCCCCTCCATCACATGCCTCGGGCGTGTCGACCCCCGCTAGCGAATACCGTCGCTTGTCCGATCCGCCGACTTCTTGGGACACCTCGAAGGGGCCATGGGCTACTACGGGTGGATGGAACGCGGAGAGCACTCAAGGCCACCAACAATTACCGGCCATGTCGTTCGGTGATGGACCTCCATACAGTGAAGATGAAGACCTGCACAGTCCCGTGGTGACCTCATCGCGCCAGCGCAAGAAGTCTACTGGAAACGATCTGAACGGCATGGTCGATGAGCACGGCATGTTGGTCGCTGGAAATGCAACCCGCGGTACATTTGTTGGTCTGAATCCTGATGGGAGCGAGACCTACTATGTCAATGGTGGAGATGGAGTGGGAGATGGTCCTGGTGGGGAATACGTGACATACCCTGCAAATGAAGGACAATACTCGGTAGCGTACGGCGGCCAGCCAGGCTATGCGCAGGAACCTGGCTTCGAGTCAGAAGACGACTACGCCCGCGGAGATCGATACTCGAACGATTATCAATTTGCTGTTGGCTGTCCGGACGAGGAAATGCATGGAAAGGCCGTCGCACTCTTCGACTTTGTGCGCGAGCACGAAAACGAGCTCCCTCTCACCGAGGGCCAGGTGATCTATGTTTCATATCGGCATGGTGAAGGCTGGCTAGTCGCTGAAGACCCGAAGACAGGAGAAAATGGCCTGGTTCCAGAACAGTTTGTTCGACTTCTGCGAGACATTGAAGGTGGCCTGACCTCGTTGAACGGGGAGCCCAACCTGGATGTCACTGAAGTCAGCTTGTCAACCAGCATGGATATGACCGAGGATGAACATGTTTCAACACCCACCCAAGACAATCATAGAGGCACGAATGGCGATACCCCGGTGTCAGTTTCTGTTTCAAATACAGATCAATCTCAATCTACATCAGAGACTGGGAAGACTGTTGGATCTGGCAACCGATCCAGCATGATGACAAAGACTTGACGACCCCTGCAAGATGCATAAGTGGCTTCACTCAACAAAAGCCCCAAGTCTCCGAGTTTACGAGGCGTTCCCGGCGCCGAACCAGCTCTTGGATTGTTAAAGCCAATGAACGAGCTCATTCTCGCTCTTTCACCAGATAGGAGTTCGAAGAATTTGAACACCCCATCTCACACCGTCGCCACCGCCATGCCCCGTTTTCATTGATGGAGACTGCCATCTAGCCTGGCCTTGGCGGCCAAATACATCCAGCAGAGATTCAAGAACACAGGCCTTGCGCCCGCTTGTCTAGAATCAACCGTAGCCCACAATAAGCAGGCTTAGGACCTCGAACGGTTCTATTCCCGCTACAACAACGGCCTCCACCACGAATCGTCTGCCAATTCTGCACTTCATCCATCCACCTTCGATATCCCAGCCACTTCTCCCACAAATACCGCCCACCTCTCTCTCCATATCCCACAATAAATCAGGATAATAAGAGAAAGACAAGAGAATCTAGATGGAACAAAGAAATAGTTCCCAATCTTCTCTGAAATATGCACGCACAACTGTTCTTACATATTCCCCCTTGTTCTGTGTTCTGTCAAACCTACCTACCTACCTATGATTGTCTCTCGTCCCGCATCCCTCGTCATATGTTCAACTCTTATCTCCCCCTTCTCGCACTTGTATCTAGCTTCCTTCAGCGCAGGCGTTGTCCTAGCATCAATTAGCATTAGCGTAATGCCTACTTACCTTCTATTTGACCTGTCTTTCATGAACTGTGTAATGGTACTCGAAACTGGTAGGTATATCCATGCTTTTGCCATGAAGCTATCAATCCTGCATATGAGATGCCTTCATTCTGTATGTCAGGACATGCTCAATAAGTACTAGCTAGCAATTTACCTTATCAATGAAGTCAGATCATTTGCATAACTGTAGAGCGGATTTTTGTTTCCCGACGTCACAAGGGAGGATTCTATAAACAAAGAAGGTGCAAGGGCATTTTACTAGCATAAAATCTCATAGGATTTAAGAAAAGAAGAAAAAGAAAGGAAATTTTCAAAACTGCTTTGCTAAAGCGTGAGAATCCCAACAAACCAACGAAAATTGAAAAAAGAAAACATAAGAAGATTGGGGTGTGAAAAAAAGTCGAAGAATCAAATCAAATCTTGACATTATGGATGAAACTGAATGCAAAAGTTTGACCTGCTGCTGTTCGAGACAAATATCGATGAGATCTGTATCATAAATAGTGAGGCAAGACCAAATTAACCGAGCAGGTCATCGAATGCAGAGCCACCACCCTGCTTCTGCTGGGGCTTGTATTGGGCCGGCGAAGCTGAGGCAGCTGGGGCACCCCAGATGCCAGCGCTGGCCTTTTCCTTGGCCATGCTGGCCAAGTTAGGGCCCTTGTTGGCATTGGCATTGGACTTGGAGATACCAGCACTAGCACTAGCAGTGGACCAGAGGGAGCCGAAAGCATCGCCAGAGGACTTGCTGGCAGTGCTCGTAGCGGGCTTGCTCGCGGCGGTAGAGGCAGCCGGGGAAGAGAGGGAGGGCTTAGCGGCGTGAGAGGAGAATGGCTGAGCAGCGCCCATTGAAACGGAGGTGAAGTAGTTTGGTGTGGCGGCCTGGTAGCCGGATGGCTTTGGAGCCATGGGTTGCTGCATAGGCGCGGTCTGCGACACTGGGGAGGTAAGCGAGCTGGTAGAGGGGGTTGGCGTGGCAGATGTGAAGCCAACGATGCCGTTGATGTTGGCGCCCTGCGAGGCAGAGACGGGTACCGGCGCAGCAAATTGGGTGTTCGCGGTGGTGCTGTGAGTGGAGGCAGGGGGTTGAATGGAGTAGTTGGAGGCAGCAGGCGCTGAGGGTTGGACTGCCGGGGTGGCAGACTGGAAGTCATCGAAATCGTCATCATCTGCCGTCGAGTCCAGCACGTTCAACGTGTTGCTGGCGGGCTGCTTGCCTGCAGCGGTGGAAGATGCCGTTGTGGTGACAGGCTCGTCATCACCAAAATCAAAGAGGTCGACCACAGGTGCAGGCTCCGGCTTCTTCGGTTCTGGCTTGGCCTTGGGCGCTGGCGCGACAGACTCACGCCGTGGGGCGCCGGTCTCTCCCTCGTCGTACTCGTCATATTCCTCGAACCGGTTACCGCGACGGCTGGTGTCCCGACTGCTATCTTGGAAATCACTCGTAGCTCCACCAAAGCCTCCGCCATCGCCATACACTCCACCGCTGTATCCGCCGTATCCCATGCTGTCACTTCCAAAGCCACCGTAGCGGCTAGAGCCAGAAGACATGCCACCACCAACGCCCATGCCACCTTCGAAACCACCGAACTTGTTGCGGTTGGCGCGAGCCTTCTTGCGCTCAGAGCGAATCTGGTCCACATCGCCCAGCAACTTGACCAATTCTGAGGACCGATTGCGCACATTGATACCCTGGTCCTTCCCATTCACGTCAATGTAGTGGAATTGCCGCAACATCCGCAACAGCGACATGTGAGATCGTGCATCGTCGACCACCCGCTCCGAACCATTCTTAACGAGGAATTCGAGAAGTTGAAGACTCTAGAGTTGGCGAGAAAAGACGATGTTAGTATGGCCACTTCATGAACCTGTGTCGCGATACTGCGCACCTTGTAGATCTGCCTCCATTCCTCGGCGCTCTTATCGGTGAATCGCTTGTAAATCAAGGGCATAATTTCGTTAAGCAATTGGCTGCATGGCATCATAAGCATATAGACCACTTGGTTTGGCTTCGAAACTCGAGGGCAACACTGACTAGCTGTGTGTTCCATTGGCGATCTCCTGCATCAATGTAGTCGAGGCACCCCAGGGCTCATTGTTTGTGGCTTCTCGGACCTAGTGCTTGGGTAAGCCAATTTGTCCCATTATGTATCGCGCAATCGCATTATTCTCGGGTTGTGCAGCTCGAAAGACTGTTGCATGGTGGGACTCTGGTTGGTATACGGACCTTGGACTCCATCTCGGTATAGTTCATGACGGCTATGACGAAGCGGTCAGCTCGGTATCCCGGGATTGCAAGACAATGCTCAGGCGCTTTCATATACAATGAAAGCAACATCGAAGCGGTGCAACCTACCATTCTGTACTTTGCGGACACCGGCCTTGAGGTCATACAAGGTCAGGTTGCTGACCTTGTCTTGGAGGTTTGAGAAGTCCATGGCGAAGGGGGACTGTTGTCACTCTGAAAAGGGCGCAGGGGGAGTAAATAAACGTCGCGAAGCAAGGCCAGGTAAAACGGTCGAGCGATTGATGTCAACAGAGAAGGAAATGATCCAGGCCCGCCGGCAATGGGGTGTAAGGGGAGGTAGTTGGAGGGGAAGTCGGCCTGTATCCAGCTGGCCGATTCCACCCCAATGCGCCACGCGGTCACGTGGCAACCCCTGACCCCCGGTCGGGCAACAATTATGTACTCCACACAGAGTGACGTGTATACTAAGGTTATCCTTCACGGCTTACCGGGAGTAGTCTACGGAAGAATCGGACGAAAGCTTAGATGACTGACTGCAGTCTCCGAGGTATTATGCAATTGTGTACATGTCATTCGGGTGCCCGTATAAACTGAGGCGCTATCGCTATCAAAGTCCAAACACAGTAAGAAAATACCCAAGGTATCTAAACAAAGAAGGAAAACATGAAAACGTTGAAAAGATATGAATAAGAATGCTCCGCCCGAAAACATCATCCCTCATCAGGTCCATCAACATAAGCTTTACTCGTTGTAGAACTTCTTCATGATCAAGTGCAGGAAGAGGTTGACGTTAACTCGCATCTGCCCGTCAAAGAAGTCCATAAATTGTGTATTGTTGAACTGGGCTTGCAGCAGGTCATCAAGTGGCACCTGGGCATTAGCTCCAGGAACCATCATGTTGCCGCTGCTTCCGTCAATGGTGAAAACTCCAACTTCGTTACTGGAGATGGTTAGATCCACGCGATCCCACTGTCGCTCGCTATATCCCTTCCAGGCGACAAGGACACCTCGGTCGGCCAATGTGCGAGCGGAGTACTTGAATGAACCAAACTTGAACACCTTGCCCGTCTTCTGGAGTTCACGCTGGTGATCCCACTGTTTGGTAAATGGCATCAGGAATCGCTTCTTGCCCTTCTTGTTCTGCAGCGTGATCATGGCCTGCTCAATGTAGTCGTTATAGGTCTTGAGCTGTTGGTCCAGATAAATGGCCTGGTCGCTGAGGCGAGCCGAGGTCATTCGCGCACCATCCAACTCACGCTCTCGCTGGATTCGGCGGCGATGCTTGGTGCGGATGTCGCTCGCAATGGCGTTCAATAGGTCCTGGTAGTGGTTGTGCCGGCTGATCTTGCCGGCTTGCTCAAGGCGAAGGATGTTCTCCAAAGCAATACCCTTGAGCTCCAAGTAGTCCATAGACCCAATGTCAATCAAGGTGCTTGCTTCCGAGTAGGCGCCCCGACGAGAGCTATTTGAGCTCAGCTCCTCTCGCACCAAGGTATGCCACCGTTGTTGATCTTCTTCACTCGGGGGCTTGAGCATGATATCCATCAGGTTTGCTCCGGTCTGGACGCGGATAATATAGAGAATACATCGCTTTGTCTCCATGAACAAGGTCTTGATATCAGCTTCCGGGTCTAGGAGGTAAATTGGTCAGCTAGGGTTTTCGATGGTGGGTATCTCTCCGCAAGCACACATACCTTCGGTTTGAGCAAGCTTTGGGTTGAGTGTCAAGTTGATTTCCGTAGAGCTCACACCCATCAACTCGTTCTCGTTGCTCTTGACGTTTCCAAGATCCCGCACAAGCTGTTTGAGGAAGTCATCGGGATGCGGGCACATGAACTCAATCTCCGAAGCCACAAGCTGGTGAATTGAAAAGATGTCGGACATCTTGATGTACAGAGTGGGCTTGGCCTTGGCGTAGAGATCATTGAATTCGTCAATATCAAAGTAGGCTTCGGCATCTTGCACGGAGATCACTATTTTGGATGTTAGATCGTTGAAGGTAGAACGGAAGGAATGGATGATATCAACTTACTCTGTCCCCAGATTTGGCCAAGCCTTTGTATTGACTCGCCGATGTAAGAATTGAGGGGCTGGAGGTACACGTTCTCGGCGCCAAACAGTCTGCCAGAAGCTACCTGAGCCACCACCTTGGCTATCTCACCCAGATTTCTCTTCTGCTCCTGGGTTAGACCGCGGTCCACAACACCGTACTTCTCGGGCTCGAGTAGTGCGGGTTGGAAATAATTCTTCCACACCCAGTGGCCAACTGTTTGAAGAACAAACCCGGGGTCTTCATTTGGGAACCGCGCGAGTAGATTTTCATACATTTGTTGGGCAAGGTATCGGGTACCGAATGGCATGCGGTACAGGAAATCTTCGAAAGCAGCAAAGAATTGATCAGCAATGTCTCGCAAATCTTGCAAGTGCTGAATGAACGTCTCTCGAGTCTCTGGATCTCTGATGGCTTCCTCTCGCGGGAGGTCCGGTCGCCGACGGCTGCGTTGACCTGTGCGAAGCTCCTCGTTGTTGATGGACGAGCGGTAAATTTGAATTGGATCACTTTCAAGGTCGAGTTCAGGATTGTCAATGACGGACTCCTTCACTACAGTGCCCCAAACGTCGCGCATGAATTTGCGGTCGCGAGGTGATTTGGCGTAGGAGCCAAAGAGCTTGTTCCAGAAGGCGTGGGATCGTAGGTATTCAGGGAGCGCGGTGAAGGTTTCGATATCTTCCTTGACAGAGCGAGCAAGAAGCTTGACCAGGTAGTATTCCTCGCGTCTCTTCTGTGAGTATCCAAAGAGACCCATCATCAAGTGCCTAATCCGCTCATACTCCTTGTCCGACGTGTTGAGCTCACGAAGGCGACGGAACAGTCTGGCAAGGTACTGGGACTGGGTTTGTAGGAGGAAAAAGAACACCTGATACTGGTCCAACTTCTTTCGTGACGTCTTGTTCAAGGCCTTGAGATCATAGGGGTCTTTAGAGGAGATGTCGGTGTTGGACAATAGGTTGCCGATATGACCACCAAAGTGTTTTTGGTGCTTGACAACTTCATCCAGTGTGATCTTGTTCTTGACCAACAAGGCAATCTTGATGTCGAGCTGGCTGATATACTGCTCTGCGAGTTCATTTTGTCGGACCTGCTGGACGACCACCTTGCGCAACCGCTCAAATTCAATTTCCTCATCGAAATCAAAGTCGCTGTCGTTGAGAAGATGAACGAAGCCCTTCACTGTGCCGACAGGAGGGTTCTTGCCACTCGTCAAGCTCTTGTATGCCTGGCCTTGGATGCGGCCTCTAATGACACTTTGGGCCTTGATTACCTTCTCCATGTTCTCGTTGTAGTGACGGCGTCTCTCCTCGAAGCGGTTGCGGATCAGGCTACCTCTGATGCGGGCCTGGAGATCAATGATGAATTCTTCCTCGTCTTCCAGATCAGCCAACGCCTGGCCAACATGCATCCGTACGAGTAAAGCCCTTGACAGTGCTTGAAGTTGAACGATGTCTTCTTCGCAATCTTCAAGTCGTGTGAGAATTCCCCCAACCTCGATGCGGAGCAATGCGGCACGTGCAAGTGACTGAAGGTTCACTATCAAGAGCTCATGATTCTCGAGCTCTTTCCGCTCTGCGGCCAGGTGTTTTCGTTGTAGGAGACCTCTGACCTTGGATTGCAAGTCCAGAATAACCTGCTCTTCCTGTTTCAACGAACCCTGCTGATCCTCCAAGAATTCTCTGCAAGCCTTGCCTCTGAGGATGCCCTGAAGGCTAGTGACAACAGATTGATGCTCGGCCAACTCAGAGCGAAGAACTGAATTGCTCTGGCGCACAGCGGCACCACGTACCATTGCCTGCAATGCAGTGCATTCTTTATCGGTCTTTGAAAGAGCCTCCAGGAGCTGAACATGGCGTTTTTTCGATGCCAGTGCACGCACGGTGGATTGAATGAACGTGATGGCAGGTATTTCATGTTGAAGGGAGGTCTTTACTTGCGACATTTGTTGACGGGCGAGATCTCCTCTAATCACTGCCTGCAGTGATTTGACCGGGCTGCTAGCTTGCTTAACTTTCTGGGACTGGACACTCATTTGCTGTCGTTGTAAAGCACCTCGGATTACTGCTTGAAGGGTCGTAACATCATGCTCGGAAGAGCGTGTTTGTTCGTATTGGTCGGAGACATTCTTGCGTTGCAGCGCACCTCGAATGGCAGCTTGGAATTGCTTGATACCAGATTCCTCCTTTCGAGCGCGTGTTTGCAAAAGTTGAGCTTCTGCTCGCACTTTCGAGGCACGGATCCGGCTCTGCAGTTGAAGGACATCGGTCTCTTGTGCCTCCCGCCATTGCTTCTCTCCGTTCTGGCGGCGGCGCACAATGAATCCGCGGCTGATGGCTTGGAGCTGGACGGCGAATTGACGCATACTCAGCCGGTACTGACTGATTTGCCGAGCCCAGTCTCCACGCAGGCGTGATTGCAATTCAATCAATAAAGGCTCGAAATCCCAGAGGCCATTCATCATGCTGCCGAGCTTCAACCGCAGCATAGCGCCCTTGATCTGGGCCTGGAAGTCAATGATCGAAGATTCGCTTTCGTGTAGCTCGCGGTCGATTCGCTCTTCCTCGGATTCGACGGGCTCCGGTTCAGGTTCGGGTTCTGGCTCTGCACCAAAGTTTGCGGCCATGCCCGCAAAGCTAGGCATGCTGACTCCTGCCTTGTCGAGGCCCTTTTGGGTCTGCTCAAGCTCGTGGTGCTCAAACTCCAGCTGACCAACCAGGTTGCCCATACGGAAGTCCAACATACCATTCTTGAACAGCAACCAGGACAAGGCGTGAATGCAGTGGATTACCTTTGGGATGTTTTTCTTTTCGTAAAGATCGATGAGCTCGAAACGGAACAACTCGGGCAGCTCCACGTCATCAAGGAATCGGAAAAACAAGGCGATGTTGTCGGAATGGCGATACTGCAGCTTTGCGTGTCGAAAGATTCGCAAGACTCGATCAGGGTACATAGCCTGCACCACCTCGGCGAGCGTTACGCCATCTCGCAAAGCTTCCTCCAGTCCCACAATGGGCGGAATCTCTTTCTGGATCACACTTTCGATCCATTCTTTGGCTTCTCCAATGTGGCAGAGATATTCGTAGGCCTGCAGGAATTGCCGCTGTTGATCCATCCAGTTTCCAGCAGCCCAGGATGACACCTTTGGCTTCTCTGGGGACACCGCGCCGCTGCGTCCACCAGCAACTGAATCCGCACGCTTCAATCGTCGTCGCCCTTGCATTCCCACCACGGATTGTGTTGCTGCGCCGAATTTAAACTCATCATTGTCGCCGGACTGTGCAATCTTGGACAGAGTCCTGAGATGACGCGTTGATGACTTCTGGAAGGTCTCGAGCTCTGGAGCAGACAAGGCGGTTGTGAGTTGTGGAGGGTGTGGACTATTTGAGAGCGTTTTCTGAGGCGACGAGGGTCGCGATGATCCCGGCGTAGGGGTGGGAGACAGATGTTGAGGCGTCATTCCCATTGGGGGTGTTTGTGGCTCGAGTGTACTTGGTCTGTGACGAGGTGATTCGTTCTCTTTGAAGTGGACTCTCGGCGACTCTGGAGTACTAGGCCGGTACTCCTTTCCAATTCGTGGCTCATCGATCGTGTAGCTACGCGACTGTCGATACGCAATTGGTTTGGTGGCCGAGGGTGTGATATTGGGCGCCTGTTGGAGAGGTCGCAAGGACCGGCGAATATTCTCATATGTCGTCCCGGCATTCGACCAGCTTCCCATTTCGCTGGCACCCATTGTCGCCGAACTCGTTTCACTTTTTCCTCGGTGGTGGCCTAGACTGCTTTGGATGGACGCATTTGAGGAAATGGTGCTTGTTCGACTGGGAGCAAACGAGCTTGAACCCACTGAGTAGGCCGATGAGTTGGTTGACGCGGTTGAGTCGTGGCGCAGTGGGCTGGTTTGTTGCGCCGGAATATCCGTCTGGGCGCGCTTGAGCGATGAGAAATGACTCGACATCGCTTTTACCGTTGCGACAAGAATGCAAAGAGCGGTGCGAAGAAGTTATCGTTCTCGATTGACCGCATCCCTGCTCCAAAAGCAGAAGCGGGGGCGTTGTTTAGTCCAATCCAGGCTCTCGAAGCCCGGTGTTCTTTGTTGATAGTGAATCCTCGGAATGTGAGCTCAAGCCCGTAGTCGCATCCGTTTGGCGATTAGGCGAGAGGGTATTTTCCGGATGGGTGAGGGGGAATCGAGGAGTGAAGAATCGACTAAGACACAAGTTTCAAGATTGAAGGGACCCGATGATGGAATTCTTGTTGACGGTGGTCGGACGGTGGGGGGTTCAACTGGGCAGGTGCGACCGGGATTCTTCCCCAACCCCCAAACGGGACAGTCCCAAAACAAATCTCCCAATCAGGTCTAGCGTCGATCAGGTGATCGCCGTCGATCCTCAGCCACTTTCCCTCTTTCCCTTGGGCTCTCTTCCAGACTATCGCAACAAGCTGGTGCGACTGTTGCTCGAGTAGAAAGCACACGAAAGCTTTTCGCCCGTGGGTTGGCCACCATAATTCTCAATTCCTTGTTTATCCCATGTTGGACGTGTCAGACCAGGGCAGGATAGTTGCGGTCTTGGCGTGGCCAAGTTCGATTTTGACAAGTTGAGAGGGTCTCGTAGTCCCGTGCGACCATCGCCTTTTGCCTGCCGCAGTCCACCATCCCCCCTCTCACTAACACAGTAGTCGATCAGTCAAGCTCGGTTTGACTTGATTATACTCCTACGCCATCGGGCTCTATTCCCTCTTGATTATTCTCCACGGCCCAATGCTAGAAATCGGAGCATCTATTGTAAAGATAAGGTGCTTCCCAAGTTCCCGCACCTCTACAGAGTAGAGAGTGGAGGCACTCCCGTAAGGGCAATATAGATAGATAGAGGTGGACGCAGCGGGATGTTGTTCAACAAATTCATCTAGCCCCAAGAAGTCCCCACTTACATCTCGAGAGCAATCATTGAAAAAACCCCATATCCATCACAATAGCCCACACGCTACTCGAGCATTGTGACTCTCAGGTGCGCAGGCTAAGCGTGTCAGTTGAACCATTTATAACCCCACCAACCCGGGGAGGGGAATAACGCAAGAATCATGACATAGGCCTAACCGTAAAACCTTCCCGCGGTAACCACCACTTCCTCATAATCCTCCCACTCTTCGCTCACCTTCTACCAGTCAACAAGCACTCGACAGCTGCTCTGTCGCATAACTACCATGGCTGCACTCCTTGAATCTCAGCCCAGATATATATACAAGATCATCCCCTCCACAGCACCAGTGCGGGAGCCGCTTCCCGAGCGACTGCCTGTCAGCGAACTGGACCAGAACTCGGGATTTGTCCACCTCTCACAGGCATCTCAGGTGCCTAATACCTTGAACTTTTTCTTTAGCGAGGAACCGCTGGTGTATATCCTCCGTATCAAATATGCGGATGTGATTCAGGATATTCGTTGGGAGTCCCCAGACGGAAAGGTGTGCGGTCCGCGGCCAGGGGAGGGACTATTCCCGGTGAGCCGAAATCATCGTGGGCTTTGCCAACAAAATACTATTTTACTAATGTGAAGTTTATTAAAAGCATCTGTATAATGGACTCAAACTAGGCAAAGACGAGGTGGAGAGCATCGCAATCTGGCAAAATGATGGAGGATGGGACAAGGCCCTGGATGGAGCGAAACCTTGGCTTGTGTCCTGAGAGCAATGCCTTGATGTTTTGACTTATTACAATGACTATGGCCCCAGATATTTTGACTCAATCAAAATGCAAATTAAAGTAGATCTATGATTCAACACATGGCTACTATCGAGCAGAATACCGAGCATGCCGGTGAGACCTTTAGTCCCCCAGTGGATAACAATGCAGTACCTGCCCGTCTATACATCAGGGTTCAAGTTAGCTACCGATGAAGAGAAAATTCATCTCGCGTTGCATATACTTACAATACAGGGAAGCATCCACACTGGCCAAGAAGACGAAGCTCGTTGCAACCTCACTGGGCTCACCAGGTCGACCCAGACCTGCCTTCGAGCCCCAACCTTCCATTTGTTTAGCCTCTCTAGTGTCAACTTGGATAGGCGTGTATATAGCACCGGGTCTAGAAAGATTATGAGGTTAGCCCCGCGAGCTTGATAATTAACAAAGTCAGTAATTGCTTACGCCACGGCGTTAACTCGAATGCCTTTTGGGATCAAATGGGCTCCCAGAGATTTGGTAAAGCCGACGATGGCACCTTTTGTTGCAGCATAATCGACCATGGTACCCGATCCTCTGAAAGTCACCACAGATGAAGTATTGATAATGCTGTATTGAGGGTATGAGCATTTCTACTACGGCAGGGCTGGAATGGGATAGGACTCACGAGTCGCCTCGACCCATGTGCGGGAGAGCAAACTTCGCCATAGCGATCATCTGGATGATATTGGTCTTGAAGATATCCTGTGTTTTCTCAAGATCAATCTCTGCAAATTCCTTGCATATATATTGCTTCGACGCGTTATTGACGAGTACATTGACTTTGCCCGAGCTATATGATCACAAGAGTCAGTATATCGTTACCAGAGATGAGAAGAAGTACTGCCTCATACTTTGCTACATGTTTCTCCACTGCCTCACGGCAAAAGTTCAGATCTCTCAAATCACCCTGAATAAGAAGGCACTGGACACCCTCCTTCTCAACCAATCTTTTGGTGGTCTCCGCGTCCACTTGCTCTTCTGGGAGGAAGACAATGCTGATATCAGCTCCCTCTCTTGCCATGAGAATAGCCACCGAGCGGCCAATTCCAGAGCTGAAATCATGTCAATAATTGTAAGTTGTCCCCATAAATCTCCAGGGCTATCATACTCCCCGCCAGTGATGAGAACCTTTTTGCCTTTGAGTTTCCCTGAGCCCACGTATTCAACAAAATCCCCTTCACCCTCCAACTTGCTCGATTCGCTCGGGAATGCCAATTTGCTCTCCAGACTGAGTTGATTCAGGTTAACCAACCCAATTTCATAACAAGGCACTAATCATATCTTACCCAGGTTTCAATTGGCTCTGTGCTAATGGCGACGCCTTGAACATACCATGTTCACCCATTGGAGATGACATCCTGCGAGGATAAAATGCCGCTACTGCTCGTGTGAGAGTCAAGTAAGAGTAAAATGAGATTATATGACTGTGAAAGAAGCAGACTTATGTCCAGAAAGGACTTCTAGAGAATTACAACCATATGTTTTTAATCATGTTGTCGTCATTATGCTGTAGCAATCTTCCGGGAGCGATGACCTATTGTTGAATCTTTATAGCACCTAGGATATTGACACGCTCACTCATGGATCAAGTTCTATAAAATCAATGTGGATATTATCAACTCCAGCGAGTCCGGTTAATTGGTGCTTGTCTCAGATGTGCCTGAGCTACCTAAGATCAAAGATGGCTCAATGGCTCCTTCATAGGACGGACATATCTAGCAGGAAGTAATGACCTTCAGTCCTATATTCAAGTTGAATTAGTGAGAATATACATTTCTAATCATCAAACCCCACTTGCCATCTGCCAAAGTCTTCGCTAGTTAGCAACGGCTCCCGCAAACTGACCAATGTCCATAATGAGCCTCGTCATCATTCCTAAGCAGCGAAGCCTCACCGCCTGACAGAAACTCGGTAACCAGCCAATGATCACCATGAGGGGTTAAAAAGCTTGAGCGCTAATCCCAAAATAGTAAGGGGCCGCTGCTCGCAGAAAAAAAGAAAAGGAAGAAACTGCCCGCTCGAACCTTTTCTTCTTCTTTCTTTTCTTTGGGAAAGCTGGTCTCTCTCCATCAACAGATTGTTATTCTTCTGTTGATCAACGTCTCTTTTTTTGGATACCCCTTTTAGTCTCTGATTTCAGAGGCACATTCTTTTCAATAATGCCCATTACCAATAAGGAGGCCACGCCTGGTGCCGCCATGAAGGCCGAGATCGAGGACTACACCACGGCCCTCGAGGTCGTAAAGACCTACAGCACCCAGGATGGTCTCGATGTGGACACTCTCCTGGACTCTGACAAGCACGGAGCTCTGACCTACAACGATTTCCTGCTCCTGCCTGGTTATATCGGTAAGCCAGACACAATCGAGGGTTTGGCGAGGCCTATGTGTTAATCATGCCGATCAATAGGCTTCCCTGCCTCCGATGTCAGCCTGGACACCCCTGTTACCAAGCGCATCACCCTGAAGGCTCCCCTCCTGTCCTCGCCCATGGACACTGTCACCGAGCACAACATGGCTATCCACATGGCCCTGCTCGGTGGACTGGGTGTTATCCACCACAACTGTGCCCCTGAGGACCAGGCCGAGATGGTCCGCAAGGTGAAGAGGTACGAGAACGGTTTCATCCTGGATCCCGTCGTTCTCTCTCCCAAGGCCACCGTTGGTGAGGCCAAGGATCTGAAGGCCAAGTGGGGTTTCGGTGGTTTCCCTGTCACTGGTAAGTTTGATTTGAAAAAAATTTCCTCCTACCCAACATTGCCCCACATTTGCATGATGAACAAACCTTTTCATTATAACTTTCGTTCCACTGGCAGCAACGAGAGTTGCACTGTAGAGAAAAATTATTATCTGATCTTGTCTCCAACAACACGAAATTGTTTCACTCACAATGCTCATATGGCCTGAATGCTAACGATGTATTTGTGACAGAGGACGGAACCCTTCGCTCCAAGCTGGTTGGCATGGTTACTTCCCGTGACATCCAGTTCCACAAGGACCTTTCGGAGCCTGTCACCGCCATCATGGCCACTGACCTGGTCACTGCCCCTGCTGGCACTACCCTTGCTGAGGCCAACGAGGTCCTCCGCCAGTCCAAGAAGGGCAAGCTGCCCATCGTTGATACCTCCGGCAACCTCGTTTCTCTCCTCTCCCGCTCCGATCTGATGAAGAACCTCCACTACCCTCTTGCCTCCAAGCTCCCCGATTCCAAGCAGCTGATCTGCGCTGCTGCTATTGGTACTCGTGAGGAGGACAAGTACCGCCTCAGGCTGCTTGTCGAGGCCGGTCTTGATATCGTTATCCTGGACTCCAGCAACGGCAGCAGCATGTACCAGATTGACATGCTCAAGTACATCAAGAAGGAGTTCCCCCAGATTGATGTCATTGCCGGTAACGTTGTTACCAAGGAGCAGGCTGCTATGCTTATCGCCGCCGGTGCCGATGGCCTGAGAATTGGCATGGGTGCCGGTAGTGCTTGCATTACCCAGGAGGTGATGGCCGTCGGCCGTCCTCAGGCTGCTGCCGTCCGCAGCGTCTCCGCTTTCGCTGCTCGCTTCGGTGTTCCTTGCATTGCTGATGGTGGTGTCCAGAACATTGGCCACATCGTCAAGGGTCTTGCTCTTGGCGCCAGCACCGTCATGATGGGTGGTCTCCTTGCCGGTACCACCGAGTCTCCCGGCGAGTACTTCGTTAGCAATGAGGGTCAGCTCGTTAAGTCTTACCGTGGTATGGGCTCCATCGCCGCCATGGAGGACAAGAAGGCCGGCGGTAACAGCAAGGACAGCAAGGCCAGCAAGGCCAGCAACGCTGGTACTGCCCGCTACTTCTCTGAGAACTCCCGCGTCCTGGTCGCCCAGGGTGTCGCTGGCTCCGTCCTGGACCGCGGTTCCGTCACCAAGTTCGTCCCCTACCTTGTCGCCGGTGTTCAGCACTCCCTGCAGGACATGGGTGTCAAGTCTCTTGATGACCTGCACGACGGTGTCAACAAGGGCCTTGTCCGCTTCGAGATGCGCAGCGCCAGCGCCCAGGTCGAGGGTAACGTCCACGGCCTGCACAGCTACGACAAGAAGCTTTACGCGTAAATGCAAAGTTTTCTTGAATGATGGATGGTTTTTCCCGCTGTGAATATGATTTAAAATGGGATTTTCCGCACGATGCTACGGGTTTGAAAATAAAAAATGGAATGGGGTATGACAAGGGCTGGAGTTAGATTCGAGGAGTTCACACTTTCTATTTAATGAGCATATATTGTTCCGACGAGATTCTCGTTTTATCTGTTCAAAATCTTGTTCGTAATTGTAGTCTTCCCATGTATTAATCTTAAAGAAGTAGCCGAAGCCGAAGCACATGGTGAGGCATGTCGGCTAGCCCCGATGTGGCCAAGGCGGGCGCGGGGTACAGGGATGAGCCTAGGCTCTCGGGTCAATAGCCATTTGACTATAAACACCACCGCGGGCGAAGCTACAGTGGCGCTGGGAGATGTCTAACATACTCCCTAAATCCATCTGCAGCCGCTGGTTAGCACCTGTCATTGCGCAGCCATTCCGAATACCACAATCTCAATCATTATTCCGCATCCCGCGGGCCTATCTAGGATTACCGATCGGAAGCCGAGATTCTGCTAGAGGTTACTCAACAAGTTCAATCCCTTCCACATCTTCATCACAAATACAGAGAATGCCGCGCGCAAAAGCAGATGGTGAGGGCAAGAAACAGCCTGCCTTGCCTCGGCCAAGTTCTAGGTGAGCCTTTGCCCGGCGGGCAACATGCTCGCACCGCGCATTTCAAACCCCGGTTGAGCGGAACATAAGGTCGCCATTGGAGAAACTGCGCCCTTGGAAAGTCCAAACTAATAATGTATTAGTGTGATTCTGGTCTCGCCCAAGAATGAGATTCTGCTTCTCCACCGGGTCAAGACATCGACTTCCTTTGCGTCTGCCCATGTCTTTCCCGGTGGAAACCTATCCAGCCAGGATGGCCCATGTCCGCCCCCAGAAGACCTTTCAAGACATGAGGATGGCCCTCATTACCGGCGAGCAGCCATTCGAGAGCTCTTCGAGGAGAGTGGGATTCTCCTTGCCAAAGACGGGCGCTCTGGCAAGATGCTCGTTTTTGACGAAGCAACGCGCGACCAAGGACGAAAGCTCATTCATCAGAACAAAATGACGTTCGAAGAGTGGCTAAAGCAGCAACATGCTAATGCTGAACCTGATACAGGTTTGTGGTTGCTCTTACCTAGTTAAAGATTCGATACCTGACTGACATGTGAAAGACCAATTGATTCCCTTCAGCCGTTGGGTTACCCCTACCACGAACCCCAGGCGTTATACAACTCAGATGTATATCTACTTCATGCCATTGCCCGTGAATGCGGACAAGAAACTGCTCGACGGGCTGCCGAAGGAAGGCGAGCGCGAGGAAATCCAAGTCCCCTCCAGCGACGGTGGAATCGAAGTCACAGAGGCACAGTTTCTGCCAGCTTCGGAGTGGCTTCGTCGCGCACAGAGAGGAGAGATCATCCTCTTCCCGCCCCAGTTCCTTCTACTGCACTTGGTATCTGGATTCCTTGACAAGGATCCTCGATCCGGTATTTCCGTGGAGGAAATGGAAAAACGCCGGGCAGGGCTCACCGAGTTCGTGCACTCGGGCTCACCCCCTTGGACAGATAAGTGCATTTCACCCAAGATGATGAAAGTGATGGAGGACGGTCGCGCAGTCTTAGCCCTACATGATCCTGGTCTTGAGCTGAAGGGATCTGGTAGACAAGGCGAGTCAGAGTATGTCGTTCTTGTGCGGTTCACTAAGGGAACTGCCAGGGAAGTGACCGTGGCCTGGAAGAAGGATATTTTCAAAGAGGGAAGAGGAGAGCGGAGTAATCTCTAGACTATACATTGGCCAGGCTTTGCTCCGTAAAGCCATCTATCGTGAATATCTACAAAGTGTAAATCAGAAGAACCGTACCGTACATACTAACAAGATCTGATCTTGAGAATCTGAAATTATGGGTCCCAAATATTGCCACGGCCGTAGATAAGGGTACAAACTAAGGGTACAGTACTAAATCTACGCCCCACCGCCTTCCGGCCACGCCAGCCCTCGACAAATGGTCACATGACCCACACAAATCATTTGAGTCTTTGATTTTATGGGCCATCAAAAAACCCACCACCTCCAACCTCACCGTCGCCCGTCGAAACCCCCCATACACAATCAGCCAAAATGGAGAACGAGAAGGGAGAGATCGTCGATCTGTACGTGCTTATATCCTCGAATTCGCTTCCGCCATCATACACTCGGTGTCCTGTGTCTGTTTGTCCGCATCTACGAACTCTCGCTCCGGATTCGCTGCGCAAAGCGATGGGACTTCGAGAGACCTGTTGGAATGTCACCCAGCAAGGTCACAATCTAGCGAAACCCGTGCGACTTCTCTGCGAGCAGCCAGGACCAGGACACCGATTGGATCATGGAGGGGACAATATTCGATATTGAACATTTGAACCAGCATCAACTAACACATCCCTCCTCGCTCAACAGCTACGTGCCCCGCAAGTGCAGCGCCACCAACCGCATCATCAAGGCCAACGACCACGCCTCCGTCCAGATCTCCGTCGGCAAGGTTGACGAGAACGGCCGCTACACTGGCGAGAACCAGACCTACGCCATGTGCGGTTTCATCCGCGCCCGCGGTGAGAGCGACGACTCCCTCAACCGCCTGGCCCAGCGTGACGGTTACCTCAAGAGCGTGTGGACCGCCTCCCGCCAGCGCTAAATTTAGCCGCTGAGGTGTGGTGTGGTTTGCATTGGAGGGTGTTGACGGGTTGATATGATGTGAGTAAAAACGTCATTCCAGTCGCATACCCCTGTGGGTTTTGCATATAGATGGGATGGGATGATATGATGCTGACTATTCATTGCAAATAGACGAACTGTGGCTTATACCGGTCCAGTTCGAGGATTGGTTATGAGAAACAAAGGGAAGAGGGAGTACTGATTATGTCTCCTTCGGTTTGAAATTTTTTTCTTCCTTCGGGGGGAGCCCTGTTTTTTCCTACTGTCCTATCTATCGAAATGAAAAATGGAATCGACGACTTTCTTCATGGGTCCGGTTTTCTTTTAACGATTGCCACCCGTTCAAATATTCTCCTCGCGTTGCACTTCCTTCCGATAGATTATCACTCGGGAAGCGACGTCTCGTCTTTCTCGGGTCCTCATCCCGCCAGCACTTATCCAGACGAAAGAAAAAGGGCACAAAAATGAATTCAAAAAGCTTAAAACCCACAATTCCTCCTCTCCCTCTCCCTTCTATTTCTTGACTTGCAACATACCGGCACATCAAGGCTTCCTCATCCCTGTGGACTTGGAAACCGGATTGCATACGCGATCTGTGATTCTGATGTCTGCTTTGCCATGGGCGAGGAAGTAGAAATAGCACAGCCGAAAATTATTTCTCCAAAACCCGCCTTCTGAAGAGCCACCGTTGCAGAGATCCATGCACTGGGGCACAGATACGGGTGGGACATTCCTTAGATTCTGTAGACAATATGATTAAATTCAGTCTATCTGTTCCTCGGTAAACCAAATCAGCCTGACTATAGCCTTGCTATCAGGGGCGGTCTAGGGAATGAGGCTGGCTGGTAGTCCATTTCATGCGTCCTCGATGGAGTGGCAAGAGAGTAGCTAGTTGTCAGGAAAATGGCAACTACTATACTACTTTCCTTTCCAGTCTCTGCATCTTCCTCTCCCGTCGTGTCTACACGATATCTACTTTATTCAATAGGTACTCTGTTAAGAATTTTGATTCATATCTCCTCATCCATCATTGACATGCAATACATTGCCTTCCACATGAACTCGTGATTTCAAGTAGACTCCTTGAAACTCATAATCCCAAGGCTTCCACAGACAAGACACAACTGATAAAGAAAAAAAAACAAGGTTTTTTAAATCTATAGACAAGCAAACCACCCATGTCTCGCTAGAATAGATCTGGGTTTCTTTTTACTCCTTCTCCAGACGCACAGCCGGGTTGGTCTCGATGAAGTTCAGATCGACCTTGTGGCCAAGCAGTTCACGGATGTTGCTGACACCGTACCTGGAAAAGATATTAGAAACTTGACTCGCAATCGCAGAAATGAAAGCAGTTGTGGTGGGTACTTACTTGATCATGGTAGGCCGCTCCAGACTCAATCCCCAACCGTAGACTCTCATGTCCTTGGGGATACCCATGGACTCCAGCATCTCCGGCCGGAACATACCACTGTTACCAATCTCAACCCACTTACCCAGACCCTCGTGGTAACCGAAGATCTCCATACTAGGCTCGGTGTAGGGGTTGTAGGCGGGCTTGAAGCGGAGCTGGTGAATACCCATCTTGGCGAAGAAGACCTCCATGAAGCCAATCAGACCACCCAGAGTAAGGCCAAAGTCGGCAATAACACCCTCAATCTGGTGGAACTCTGCCAAGTGAGTGGCATCGACGGCCTCGTTTCGGAAGACACGGTCGATACTGAAGAAGCGGGCCGGCCGCGGGTTGGCGGCGAGCTTGTGCAGGACATACGCCGAGATGGAGGTGGTGTGGGTGCGGAGCACGAGACGGAGAGACTCGTCCGCGTTCCAAGGGTAGCGGTAGCCGATGGAGCCGAACTTGCCGTGCTCGTGGACCTCGTGCACGTTATCCCAGTACTGCTGGTAGTCCACGGGCTTGTCCTTGGTTGCTTGCGAGGCAGGCTGGGCGGCCTTGGGGCGGTGCGGGTCGTTGAGGGGATCCTCACGAGGGGGGTCGGCCTTGAGAGGGTCGGCGATGTAGAAGGTATCTTGGAGGTCACGGGCAGGGTGTTGCTGGGGCACGAAGAGGGCGTCGAAGTTCCAGAAGCCGGTCTCGACGTAGCGGTTGGTCGGCATCTCCTCGAAACCCATCTCGAAGAAGATGTTGCGGAACTCCTGGCGCACCTTGTTCAGCGGGTGCAGGGTACCGGCCGGGGTGATGGCACCCTTGGCGTTGAAGTTGTAGGGCTTCAGGTGGACGGTCTTCCAGGAGCCGTCGGCGAGCATCTCGGGGGTGACGTCGGTCTCCTCCTTGACGAACTCACGGGCATACTTGGGGCCCTTGGAGATCTTGTAGGCAATATCCTTGGAGACGGAGACCAGTTTCCTCCGCTTGAGGTCCGCGAGGGCCTTTGCATCGCTCAGGCTCTTGGTCTTTTGCACGGTGAGCAGTTGCTCACGGGTCTCGTCGACGATAGTCTCCTTGACCGCGCGCAGCTTATCATTGTCCTTCTTGATCCAACCACGCTTGAAGGCATTGCCCTGGCCAACCTTGGCATTATCCTTCCCCACCAAGCCGGGCAAGTCGCTAATCTTCAGGCCGTCGAGAGCGGCGACAACAGCTGCAAAGACCTTGGCCTCGTGACTGCCATTGGTGGCAATCTCTTCACCCTCGGAGGTGAGCACAATAACTTCCTTCTCCAGAGTCTCATATTCAATCATCTGTCGCGACCCCAGGCGGTCCAGCGCACTTTTGACATTCGATGAGGGGTGGGAGGGGAAGGCTTCGTTGGAAAAGATGGGAGAATCGGACGCGGACAGGGCGTCCAGAACGGGCTTTGTGAGGTCGGACGCCATGACTGCAGCCGTTTCCTGCAGAAAGATTTTTGGCGGAAGCGGTTGGGAGGAGAGAAATCGGTCTTTGCGGTGTCGGCCAAAATTCACGATGACTCTTTTCCCAGCGTTGGTTTCCGGCGGGGCACAGTGACCACTTCTGCCGTTTCACCCCGCCATCGTCTCAGGCCGACAGGCCGCAATCGCAGTCCACAGTACTCCGTAGTGTATATTCGTTAGTAGTGGAGAAGTCAGTCGGTCGCGGTCCTCAAGCTTTGGCATCTAGGAGACCTTGAAACTATGAAGTATCCTAGCTAGTACATAAAATGTCTATCAGTAGGAATAAAGTTTAACCAAGGTCTTGTCCTTGTAGGCTAAGGACATACGACTATCTGTCTCGGCATACACTTGTCCCTCATGGTTCTTGTAGGTACAGTAGTGCTTATGTGCTCTACTGCTCGGTCTCGGTTGATTACCTGGATTCAAATTGGCGTGATCTTTCTCTGGTAGTCTACTACTACTGCCCAGATTAGCTAATTTGTACACGGTATATAGGGATGGATACCGATAGACATAGATAGGTAGAGTGTGGCTGCTCGAGGTGATCTATCGATCTGTCAGACAGGTAGGGATTGAGCCCCTCCACCTAGCCTTATCATCGCCTATTTCTCCCTGTTTTCCCTTCATACACCGTGTTGGACTTCTCAACTGGTTTCTTGTTGACCGCTGGATGCATGCCTTTCATTTATCTCCGAGTTTATCCCTGCGGTCAGTGTGCTTGCCCTCATATTTGGTCGGGGCCCATTCGCCAGGGCGATGCGTTGTCACGTCAATGCTGCAAAAGTACCAACGTCAGTCAGCAGTATGTACTCCCCATGATTCCAAAATGAGATCATCCACAGTCTTGACTACTTGATTCCGAGAGTGAGATCAGCCGATTCATGATTGCCGCGACCGGGGAACCATCTTCTCGGATCTCGGCGGTCAAGGATGAAGGATCCCCAGGCGTATGGGCTTCAAGAGAGACAGCCACGGGCATCTCAGGTACGAGTACCGTTGGAAGTTAGAACCTTAGTTTGTTCCCCCAGGCCAATTTATGTTCCTTCCTTTTTTTCCATAGAACGATGGAGTCTGGCACAACCAATCGCTTGTGACCATGAGAGGCTCGAAAAACGGCTCAGCTACAGGGGTGCTCGTTACCAAAGTGGTGGCATCAAACTATGGAGACTTGGAGTACCAAGAACTGTAACCTCACTACTCCGTACTCACTAACCAGTCGGTACAGAGTACGGAGACACTGTACCAGAACTACCACCAGTTTGTAGTTCAGTAAGCAATTATCAGCATGGGGCTGTGGCAGAACCTCCCCGAGACAACGAACCTCCCGAGTCCACTTCTCACTGGCTCCGACTAAGGTTCGGCGACTGGATCGCCTCCACTTGGTACACTGGGAGGACCACTGGGCGCTCCTCCTTCTCCTCTCGGACTCGTTTGTCAGTGTGTGTGTCTCTTTCTCTTGCTCACACACACACATGCTCTGGCTGACTGGTCTACCCAGCATTCTCTTGGTGATTCACCCTGAGTGATCGTGATGGTTGATGAACAATATAGTATTCGGCAGTGTTCGATGTGGTTGATCGAAAGCCGACTGAAACTGGGGTCATGAAAGATGAAGCCCTGCGATCGCCACTAGGTGACCTAGTTTCAGCGGTGATCCTCACGCTTTTCAGCCCGATCATTTGCAGGTCATTTACAGAGCGGGCCCCAGGAGAGGACGGGGCAGAGGCTCTCGGGAAGACTGAAGCAGATTGTATCTCGGAGGTATTCCTAGTGTGCTCCGTATACTCCATAGAGTCTCGAGTACGGAGTACGACTCGTAGTCAACATATCACTAAGAGATTTATAGACTGTATATAGTAGAGAATATGAGTTGTGGTATCGAACTTAGAGGACCCCCGATAATACCCTGGTTCTGCGGGTGAACTCTATCGTAGTGCACCTGTCCGTGCGTTGGCATCACTTGTTGTAGTCGGCATCGGAGCCACTTGAACATGATCATTTGGAGGCCGTGATTGTAAAATGTTCTGGTTTTTTTTTTTCTTTTCCAGCGGCAAGTGTGGATGTGAAAAATAGTGGATGAGACTCTTCCTAAGAGAGGACAAGCACGTTCGGATGAAAGACAAAAGAAAAGAAAAACCAACGAGCAAAGCCTCAAGAGTAGAGAGACATTTAGTTAGTTAGTAGTACTACTAATTTATGCTAATTATGCTGTAGTACTATTAGACAGACACCGTTCCAAAAAATCTCTCTCTCTCTCGTTCTCTCCACCATCTCCCAAGTCCCCAAAATTCCCAAGTGACCATCGGCATCGCCGCCCCTTCTTGAAATCTTTTTTCTCTCTCACCTCCGAATTTCGATCGGCTCTTCCTCCACTTGCTGACTTTGGAACCCTTTCTTCTCTGCCCCCCTGAGAACCCTAATTTGCCTTATCTCCAACCTACCGTTCCGCCCTTTTTCCTTTCCCAATACTTTATTTCATTCTTTCTGGCCTTCCCCCGCAAAGAACGCGTCGCTTACATAACCGCCTTACTGGGCGGCTGTTCTCCCCTCCCCCTTCATCCTGAACATCCTGATCTTCCTGAACTCCCTCGCTCAGGGTTCCCTTTCGATATCCCCGAGTCCCCCGAGTCACTCGGGACATCTCTGACACTAGGCCCTCACTTTCACCCTGAGAAAGAAAGTCCTTGTGGAATCGCCCCATGTCGCTATAACCAGCTCGATAGATCTGTCGTGTCAGGAACCCGTCCCAGTAAGTTGTGCTTGTCCTGACTCCGCTTCGGCGTTCGACCGTCCCGAATTCCCTTTTTTTGAGGGGATGGATCCCATCCTCGCCCACGAACGCCTCAAGGTGTCAGGGGAGAGATTTCACTCTGGATCTCTCTACTTTGCTGGGACTTTTGGACAGACGACACGAGAACTCGGAGTTCAATATCATCACGGCCCTGGATGATCGAACTAACAAGGTCCTAGGGCACAATGGCTGGCGCGGACGAGACTCTCGTGGCCGCGACGGCGGTGCTGCAGTCTCTCGCGAGAGACGAGCCCACCACGGGCTCTGCGTCCCCTCCCTTTGATTTCGAATTTCCCTCCACCAACGGTGCCAAATCATCCAAACTGCCCGGAGAACCCAGCCCAGCAAAGGTCGCCTTCGAAGCCGAGTTGGAGGCCTTGGTGCGCCGCGTGCACCACCTGGAATTCCAAGCTGTCAGTCATCACAAACTCCCCGACAATCCCCAGCAGACCACCCCGTCTGCTATCGGATCCAACGAGAAGGACCCTGATTTTTTGTGGACCTTCGGGCTCGATCGCTTGTCGTCCGGTCAAGGTTCTGACTCTTCTTATTGCCTCACACAGCAGCAAAAACTGAATCAACCCGGTCGGCGACAGCGGACCCCATCGGCCCCCGAAGAAAAATCCCCTCGTCCACCCCAACAACCCGCCCCGATAGGAGACCTTGACGAAGACGATACCGACGAGGAGGATGAGACCGGCGCAACACGGCTGGTGCGCGAAGAAGATATCAGCATTCTCCGCAACCATGTGCAAAAGCAAGCCGAGGAGATTAGCTTCCAGAAGGATATGTTAGCGCAGGTTCGCGACGAGTTGCAGAAGCAGGAAGAGCACACCCGCCGGGCGCTCACCAAGGTCGAAAACGAGGATGTTGTGCTGCTCGAACGCGAGCTCCGGAAGCACCAGCAGGCCAACGAGGCTTTCCAGAAAGCCTTGCGAGAAATCGGTGGCATCATCACCCAAGTCGCCAATGGTGACCTCTCGATGAAGGTCCAAATCCACCCCCTGGAGATGGACCCGGAAATTGCCACATTCAAACGTACGATCAACACCATGATGGACCAACTGCAAGTCTTTGGTAGTGAAGTGTCTCGAGTCGCCCGTGAAGTCGGAACGGAGGGTATACTCGGTGGTCAAGCTCAAATCACCGGTGTCCACGGTATCTGGAAGGAACTCACGGAGAATGTCAACATCATGGCCAAGAACCTGACGGATCAGGTGCGAGAAATCGCGGCTGTCACCACAGCTGTCGCCCACGGTGATCTGAGTCAGAAGATCGAAAGCCGCGCTCAGGGTGAAATCTTGGAACTGCAACAGACGATTAATACCATGGTGGATCAACTTCGGACGTTTGCCACGGAAGTTACGCGAGTCGCCCGCGATGTCGGTACGGAAGGTGTACTAGGAGGTCAAGCCCAAATCGAAGGTGTCCAGGGAATGTGGAACGAACTCACTGTCAATGTCAACGCCATGGCCAATAATCTTACCACGCAAGTGCGTGATATCGCCACTGTCACCAAGGCCGTCGCCAAGGGTGACCTAACCCAGAAGGTGCAAGCCAACTGCCGAGGAGAAATCGCTGAGCTGAAGAACATTATCAATTCCATGGTGGACCAACTGCGACAGTTCGCCCAGGAAGTCACCAAGATCGCCAAGGAGGTCGGTACCGATGGTGTACTAGGTGGCCAGGCCACTGTGAATGATGTAGAAGGCACATGGAAAGACCTTACCGAGAATGTCAACCGCATGGCCAACAACCTGACCACTCAGGTGCGTGAGATTGCCGATGTCACCACGGCTGTCGCCAAGGGTGATTTGACCAAGAAGGTCACTGCCAACGTGCAGGGTGAAATACTTGATCTGAAGAGTACTATCAACGGCATGGTGGACCGTCTCAACACCTTTGCCTTTGAGGTCAGTAAGGTCGCTCGTGAGGTCGGTACCGATGGTACCCTAGGTGGTCAAGCCAAGGTAGACAATGTGGAAGGAAAGTGGAAGGATCTCACCGATAACGTCAACACCATGGCGCAAAATTTGACGTCGCAGGTGCGAAGTATCTCAGATGTGACGCAAGCTATTGCCAAGGGTGATCTTAGCAAGAAGATTGAGGTGCACGCTCAGGGAGAGATTTTGACCCTCAAGGTGACCATCAATCACATGGTGGGGCGTTTGGCCAAGTTCGCGACAGAACTGAAGAAGGTCGCCCGTGATGTGGGTGTCGATGGAAAGATGGGTGGTCAAGCAAACGTCGAAGGGATCGCAGGGACTTGGAAGGAAATCACAGAGGATGTGAATACCATGGCCGAGAACTTAACATCCCAAGTGCGTGCATTCGGCGAAATTACCGACGCCGCCACGGACGGTGATTTCACCAAGCTCATCACCGTCAACGCTTCCGGAGAAATGGACGAACTGAAGCGCAAGATCAATAAGATGGTTTCCAACCTAAGAGACAGTATTCAGCGAAACACTGCCGCCAGGGAGGCTGCCGAGCTTGCCAATCGCACCAAGTCCGAATTCCTTGCCAACATGTCCCACGAGATCCGAACTCCCATGAACGGTATCATTGGTATGACCCAGCTTACACTGGATACCGATGATCTGAAGCCGTACACCCGCGAGATGTTGAACGTGGTGCACAACCTGGCAAACAGTTTGCTCACAATCATTGATGATATACTCGATATCTCTAAGATTGAAGCCAACCGGATGGTCATTGAAAGCATTCCATTCACCGTCCGCGGCACCGTGTTCAACGCGCTCAAGACTTTGGCTGTGAAGGCGAATGAGAAGTTTTTGAGCCTCACTTACCAGGTCGACAACACGGTTCCCGACTATGTCATTGGTGATCCGTTCCGTCTGCGCCAGATCATCCTCAACTTGGTTGGTAATGCCATCAAATTTACCGAGCATGGTGAGGTCAAGCTCACGATCCGCAAGTCCGATCGTGAGCAATGCACCACCAACGAATACGCCTTTGAGTTCTCCGTCTCCGACACCGGTATCGGTATCGAGGAGGACAAATTGGACCTGATCTTCGATACCTTCCAGCAAGCCGATGGCTCAACCACCCGCAGGTTCGGTGGTACCGGTCTCGGTCTGTCGATCTCCAAACGTCTTGTGAACCTCATGGGTGGTGACGTCTGGGTCACATCGGAGTACGGACATGGCAGTACCTTCCACTTCACTTGTGTCGTGAAGCTTGCCGACCAGTCTTTGAACGTCATTGCTTCTCAGCTTCTGCCCTACCGGAACCACCGGGTTCTGTTCATCGATAAAGGTCAGAACGGCGCTCAAGCCACCAATGTCATGAAGATGCTTAAGCAGATCGAACTGGAGCCTTTGGTGGTGCGCAACGAAGAGCATGTTCCGCCGCCTGAAATTCAAGACCCTTCTGGAAAGGAGTCTGGTCATGCATACGATGTCATTATTGTGGACTCTGTGGACACTGCTCGCATCTTGCGAACATTCGACGAGTTCAAGTACATCCCCATTGTTCTGGTTTGTCCTTTGGTCTGTGTCAGCTTGAAGTCTGCCTTGGATCTGGGTATCAGCTCGTACATGACAACGCCTTGCCAGCCTATTGATATGGGCAACGGTATGCTTCCTGCCTTGGAAGGTCGGTCAACCCCGATCACCACCGACAACTCTCGCTCGTTCGACATTCTGCTGGCTGAGGACAACGATGTCAACCAGCAACTTGCTATGAAAATACTCCAACGGCACAATCACAACGTCTTTGTTGTTGGTAACGGTCTAGAGGCGGTGGAGGCTGTCAAGAAGCGCCGCTATGATGTGATTCTGATGGATGTCCAGATGCCCGTCATGGGTGGTTTTGAGGCCACTGGCAAGATCCGCGAGTACGAACGGGAGAGTGGCCTCCAACGAACTCCGATCATCGCGCTCACTGCACACGCCATGCTGGGAGATCGTGAGAAGTGTATCCAGGCTCAAATGGATGAGTACCTGTCCAAGCCGCTCAAACAAAACCAGATGATGCAGACCATCCTCAAGTGCGCAACGCTTGGTGGCTCGCTGCTGGAGAAGAGCAAGGAGTCTCGAATTTCCAGCAGTGGAGAAATGCATCCCATCCACTCATCGGTTCCCGACAACCAAAATCAGCAGCAGCGGTCACAAAAGCAACAAGGGTTGCCTTCGCCACCGCGGCCTAACATGGAGACCCGTGCAATCTCCACCACCGGCCCAATAGGCCGTGGCAGTGTCGCCGAGCCTGAAGACAAGGATGAAGAGATGATCGATGATCGGGTACGTTAGCATGTATGTTGTTGAAGGACAGCGTTCCGGATCAAACCCAGCTAACCGTTTCTTCTTTCATCACAGACCCTGCTGCGATCCAACAGTACCTGAGCTCCTCCGCTTGCATACCCTGAACATTAACTCCCCTGCCTTGCAGATTGGCCAGATGGTTTTGGTGTGGCCCATTGATACCCTGTCCATATGAGTCGTTTTTGAGTGCTTCATTTTTTATCTTCTTTCTCCATGTGGTGAACCCAAAACAGAAGTCTCATGAATTTTTCTGCTTTATTCCCCACTTCCCTTATATCTGCTCATACCCGCGTACTTCATTATCATCCTTCCTCCATTATGTCTATGACGGGTACCTGTGGTGTACCCGCCCGTCATCTTCAATCATCGCATTCGTTTGATCCTTTATCAGGTGGTGTTTGGCGCATATCTATTGATAGGAACCTGGGTCGGTTCGGCAGTCAAGTGGGTGACTGAAAGGGGGAGTTTGCAATCAAGAGGGAGGGGGTGTGGCTTCGTTTTTTTTTTTTGGCTGGTTTCTCTGTCACCCCCCAAGGATTCATTTCCATTACCTGCCATCTATTCTCTCGTTTACAATTTCGCCTCGGAGCCTTCTTTTTTTTGTCTTTCTTCTTTTGATATTCTTATATCTGTATTGTATCTAGTTGCTTTCTATTTTCTGGTCGAACTTCTCAAGTTAGATCAGAAAGCATGATAAAGGCTCCGTTGTCATTTTCTCCTTTCTCTCTTTCCATCTTTCCATCTTTCCATCTTTCTATTTTCTATCATCCTTGGGATGGTGTGTCAGTCGTTAGTTTTTATCATGACGGTGGAGTGGTTATAGCTTTGTTTGAGGAACGAATTTAAAGACTTCCTTTAACTATCTTGAGGCCTGCAAAGTCTGGTAAAGCGACTTGAAATGTCACTATCATATTCCAGCACTGTAACTTGGGTGGCAGTTGGTGAAGCCTCGTATTCTGCTGTCTTACAGTGGATATGGCTCATCCTGGGCGCCCCACGCTGGCCAGTTTACTGGTCAGTTTAACGCCTGTAGAGGGGCCAAGGATCGCAACCCTGGGAAACGGAGGAACAGATAAAAATCACGTGTATAAACAAGCCGGTTGCCTGAGACGATTGTTTATGCCTACAGCGATCCATCCCGAAACACCTGGAATCCTACCACAGTCAATATTTCCCTACCGAGATGCAACCATTCAGAGTATTCGCTCGGTGGAGGAGTCTCAGCGCAGATGAGTCCGGGCACGGGGAGATCCAGCGCGAAACAACACCAAATGGCTCGACACTCTCATCCATATCTATTGCCATGCCATCACAGTCCAAGTCGCTTTCGAATCGGGATCAATCATGGAAGAGCCAGCCATCCATGACAGCAATCTTTGAAGTCAAAGACAACAACCAAACCGTCTTTAATGAAGTGGTAGCCCCAATTCTCCCACGGGTCCTGCAGGGCAAATCAAGCAATTTCTTTGCCTACGGCCATTCAGGAAGCGGCAAAACTCACACGATCATCGGATATGACTACGAGAATACCGCAGAGCTCGGCCTTTGTCTAGCTTCTGCCCGCCACTTAATGCAAGAGCTTTCTCGCCTAAACACAGACGATACCAGCGACCAAGTAGGCATCGGAATCCGCATGTACGAGCTCAGAAAGAACAGCGCCTTCGATCTCCTGAACGATCGCTGTGAATGCTTTGTCCGCGAGGGGTCAGATGGACAAGTCTACATCCGTGGAAAAACGGAGATGCTCGAGGACGGTAAAGTCCGAGTGCGACCGATTGCAACCAAGGCATGCTGGAGCTTTGAGGATCTCTCGCGCGAGCTGCAAGTTGGACTTAAGCTTCGCGCGACGGGGACGTCGACGGTGCATGACCAAAGTTCGCGGACTCATGCGGTGATCGAGTTGGAGATTGTTACTAAGGAGATACTTAAGGCGCGGGATGCAGTTGTTGAGCGACAGTCTGAGCTCGTGCCTGTGGGTAAATATGCGACGGATGTTTATTTGGAAGAGCAGATTCGGGCTGTTATACAGGATAAGCAAGGGAAATATATCCCCAATCCTGATTATCAAGTCGATCAAGCACGCATCGATGCTGCAGAGGGTCGAAAAGCCGAATTTGAAGCGCGGGTCAAGTCTGCTGAGGAGTATGAGTCGAGTCTCTTCCAGAGTATATCGGGACGTCATACCTGTCTTGGAGGAAAGCTTGTATTCGTGGATCTCGCTGGTTCAGAGTACTATGATGCAAAGAACGGACTAAGGCCAAATCAGACGGCACAGGAGAAGCAAGAGGGGAGGCAGATTAATACTGATCTTCTGGCTCTGAAGGAGGTAATCCGTGCTCGGGCTCAGAATCTGGCTCGAGTCCCCTTTCGATCATCGCCGCTCACGATGGTCTTGCGTCAGCATTTCCAGGCTTCGTCTGATACGGACTCTGCGATGATTTTGACAATTTCACCTTCGGCTGGGCAGTTTGCTGCTACGATGAATACATTGAAGTATGGCAATCTGGTGGGGGTTGCAGGAGATAAGAAATAGACAAAGAAAGCATTTGTGTGATGATGTATATAGAACCCACGTACTCAGATAAATTACAGTTCAGATCAGAAGTCAGTTTACCTCCATACCTCCCTCATGCCCATGTGTATTAGGTAGGTACTCGGTTGCACATCTCTATATGCATGCAAAGCTGTTGGAAAGCTTCTCTTGGAGCGTCTAAAGCAGTCCCTTGACTGATTCCAGCAAGGATGGCCCGTATTTGAAAGCCCCCCAGCCAATGACCGCCAGAGTTGGCAAAGCAACGGCACTCAGGTTGATCATTGCGGCCCTCATCCTCGGCTTCATGAATCCATCCACGATTTTCTTGAAGTTCTCTGGGTCATTCGGGATCGGGTACTTTTCGTCAGGAATTGGCAGGCCCAGGAACGGGCAAATATCCTCCCAATCGACACCGTTCTCGAGAGTGATAAGGTGGAGGCGGTCCGCTGGGATGGTATCCTTGGCTAGCTTGATGCTGCAAATAACCGTTAGTCTGGTTTGATTCCCTTTTCTGCTTGACTTTGATCCACGTACTAGTCATTGTAACTTCTGATCAGCTCAAACTCGTTGTCTGCGTCACCGGGCCTCGTGCAGGCGGAAAGGGCATCGTATACAAGGACATTGGATCTCATGAATTCGCAGAGGGTAGCATCAAAGCGCTTAATGATGTTCATGGGGAAGCTCTCTGCCATGGCGACCACACCACCGGCCGAGTTGTTGACGGATTTCGCCCACTTCTGGGGATTGCGTTCAGTGAGGATGAACTTCACATCTGGGTCTTCTGCGTACGCTTCGAGGAGGTCTTTGCCCATGTAACTAGGGATCTCGATCAGGCACTAGACATGTTCAGTCATATGACCACTTTGTTTCAAGCTCGATCGAAGCTGGGCGGATCTACTCACGTCGTACTCGGCCATCCACTTGTCAAAATCAGCCTTTGTGTATCGCTTGAGACCAGACATACGGTTATACTGCGAAATGAGTCCCTCGTTGAAGATTCTCAGATGAGGGAATCCTTTTACGACAACAGCCTCGGCGAAATGGTATGTCTTGAAGCCGAGTATGTTCATTGCGGCATACATGCTCAGGGTTCCCGATCTAGACGCGCCAGTATGAATTAGCATGATTCCTTTCTTTTTCATATTGAAAGTCGATTTGCAGCAATTCCACTATCTTACCGACTAGGACTGGCCACGACGACCTTCACGGTCCGGGCTTTGGCCGGAGTTGGACATTGATCAATGTATCGCGACATCTTGTTGGAAAATGCGATTGTTGAATGAAATGGACTGAAACCAGGGGAGAGAAGCTCTGATTATATGAACTTATAAGAAAGTTAGAATTTGGGGGCGGTAACTTATTATTCTATTGATTCAGGCTTGGACTGTTGCCAACTCACCGACGTACCATAGCGCGGCCAACAGGGGGCCTAACAGCAGCCGCTCAGCCTCCATGGTTTACTCCAGTTTTCTGAACTAGTTTCCTAATACGGTTAATCGCTGCGTTTAACTTGTGCTGATCAATGATTATTATTGTCTTCTCTCTGCAAGAGTTAGTCTTACTTATTTGTCGATGGGCTACGTGGTCTACTCGTTCCCTAGCAAGGCTGGCACCACTCAAGTGGCTAGGCCACAAGGGCATGATTAGAACACTGTAGAAGGCAAATACTGACCATATTTAAGCGAGTTATTGAGGGGTTTTCAAAATATTTGGGGAAAGAGAGCTTTGATTATTGGGATAACTATTTTCGTATCCTTTCCTATCTCGCGGTAGTCGCCCCAAAAGGGACGAGCATGGACCCACAACCAGTCAGCAGCTGAATCTGTTCTCCAGCCTTGAGTGGAGCGACCTGGAGCTTGAGTGTTATTCATATGCCTTGATAGGGCAGAGCAAACTCAACCTGAATAAGCTGACATTATTGAGTTTCCTTCTTTCGTTGATGTCCGGTTCATTGAGTAAGACAGGGGCGAGCGTCTTTCCATGGAATCGCACTAGGTCAGAAAAGGCAAATGCATCGGACACTGATTGATCATCATGGAAGTGGTTTGTAATTTTTACTTAGCTGGCTTTCGCCCTATCGCACTTCCGGGGCATCGATTTCAGATTATTTGATTAATTGTACCCTCGACGCTTCTTGAATTCGCCGCGTAAGTTCTGCGTGAGTTGTACTATTATTGTGAGTCTGGCTGCCCGGGCGTGGCACTCGGGGTGCCCTGTCCTTCGGTCGGCATTTGGTTTCGTATTTGACCAGGGCCTCGGACCATTTTTTTCGTTATCAAATTTGAGCGTGTTTAATCCTTTAGATTTTAATCTTTGGGAAACTCATGGGTTGTTTTAGAGGCAGATATAGATCGGATCACGCCATCTGCCCCCAGAATGCAGCCACCTTGAGACACGCTTATTGCTCTACCTCAGCTTAAGCTTATTTGCCACGAGGCTCAAGGATCACGCGCATTTTCTAAACCAACATCTATGTACTTAAGTCCGTCGGATCATTTTTTATAAAAATGGACCGTGTTTAATTTCCTTCTCAACATTGTCATTCCTGCCGACATGTTGAATTCCCCTCCCTGACGGTAGAATGAAGTATAAGAGGGCTGTAGAACGAAAGCAAGCGATTTTTATTATCTATCCGCTTCTAGAAATTCCCAGCAAATATTATTATGATATGAAAAAAGCAAGAGGGAAAAAAGAAAGAGAAAGAGAAAGAGAAAGAGAAAGAGAAAGAGAAAGAGAAAACGACAGCCAAATTCCAAACTATAAATCACCAGTGATCAATATTCGAGTTGATTCGCAACAAACACTCGGGTGGTCCCGACGGATGTTTTATTTCGGCCTAGTACCGTAGCCTAGCGCGGTGGAATCGGGGCAAGAAGACCCCGGTAGTATTTGTGGTTATGTTCACGGTTGTTTCCGTTAGATTAAGTGGAGGATCCGTCGTCGCATTCGAGAAAGTCCTAGTCATGTTAGTGACTATTGCGGTGATGTTCCCCATCATCTCGCGTCGGACTATACCGGGAGGACCGCGCCGTGTAGTGGACGGGCCGCCACCCTCGCCCTCATGCGTCGTTCTGGCGGTACTTGCTGTTGTAGATGTGGGTTGGGTTGATAAAGTGGGGCTAGTAGTGCGAGGAGGAATAGTGCTGCTGAATCCTGGGCCCATTGGAGTCGAGCTGCGTGTGGTCGAGGTGCTGTTGCCGGTGCCGGTGCTAGGTCGAACGCTGGAACTCGAAGGAATGACTGAGCTCGAGGATGGTATGATGGATGGAGAACTACTAGGTCGAATACTGGAGCTAGGTGTGGGTGTCGCAGTGGCTGAGCTCGAGGCTGGCCTAGTCGAGGAAGTAGATGTGCTAGTAGTGGTACTGAAACATTCGGTGACGGTTTTCGTGACAGTGTCGAATGGACAGCTGGTTACGGTGACTGTTGCCAGAGGAATAGGACAGGCGCTGACTGTGACCACAGTTGGAGGACAGGCAGCACAGAGAGCAGTAGCAAGTTCACAGATGGCGGTCGAAGCAGGTTGCGTGCGCGTTATGGTAATTGTTGGGGGTGGAATGGGGGGGGGAGGGCCATGAGAAGATTGATCAGGGACGTCTCTCCGTTCCACAAGCATGGTGGCAGTCTCTATGGGATTGGTGGTGACGATTGTGGTGGTGTGAGGGCCACGAGAAGTATGATCGGTGCCATCGTTGTCGGATCCTCGAGCGATGAGCATGGCACCCCTCAGGTCGGGATCAACCAGTTGTTCCAGTCCGGCATTTGCATCTCGTTCAACAATAGCAAGGTCCTGGCCATGAACTGGAAAGCTAGCAAACAGGACACAAGAAACGGCCAGCAAGGCCCAGTAGCCCGTAGAAAACATGGTGAAAGCCAGCTAGATCAGTGGACGATGCCCAAAGGAAAGGATGCAGTCGGGACCAAGCGTCGTTCGAATTGCAAGGTTTGTATATAATGCTCAAGCCAATTGCTGATCAAACGAGCTCGACGGAGGCGAGATCCAGATAGAAACTTCGTTGGAAGTGGAAGGAAACAAAGCAACAGAAGCAAGATCAAAAGCAAGCTGCAAAGCAAAGCAGTATCGTAGTGTTGACAATGATTGGGAGGAGGTAAAGCCTGGACTGGAGCAATAACCTCATAATATGCAGCGCACCGGGATTTCTCCTCATAGTGATCAGTACTCGATGTCATGACACTACCTTTAGGAGTCGGGACTTATGAAAGCATTGCATGTTTGAGTTTGGCAGTTGGCTAGCCCTTTGGCCCTGTGCCTGGGGTGCCGTGGTACTTGGAACGAGTTGGGTCGTCCTATTGGAAGGAAGGTTGATGCCACGGTTAAGCTTCCCGGTTACTTTCATGGTGACTTTCCGGTTACATAGAGATCGCGATAAGGTCCAGGTTCCTGGCGGAAATCTTATGCGAGAGAGTGTTGGTGGCTGGATGCAAGCTGGGAATTGCTAGCGATGAAATAGGCTACTTCGAAGGATAATAAACACAACTATTAACGGAAGCACTCCTGTCAAGCATGGCTAGCGGGTGTTTAGTTGCTCGACTCTTGTTGAGATCTTCCTGGGCTTGATTTTGTTCATGCACTTTCTTACTTCCGGAGTTTGATTCCGACAGTTGTCCGGTCAGGGCTCTGGAGGTGGTCCGATAGAGCCGGATGATCTCATCACACCGTTAGTATTTAATGACTGGAGAGAGACAATTTGGGTTTGGAATAAATTATGAATATTAGAAGAGACTATACACCCGAAATCGAAAGGCAATTGTACTCTAAACAAATGCATATTGGTATCGTCAACTCGATGCACTTGATGATCACTTGAAAACTTGAAACACTGACGCTAAAGCCCAGTCTGGAGATTCCACAATAAAAAATTAAGCAATAGAAGAAATGTAGGTTTTCGCTGTCTAGTCACTTTTTGTTTATGAATCGTGAAGTCGTGTGAAGGTGAGGAATGATAAGCCGAGCCATTGAGGATGGACAATGGTCTAGTAGATGGCCAGGGGACGACGCCAGCCAACTTCGATGACCTTCACAGCAGTGCAGCATACCAGACCGACTGCGTAGCAGACTGTGGTGAATGCAATGAGGCCCCAGTATTCTCCGTTGCAACGGGTCAGAATTTCACCAGCAATCGGTATGCCGGTGAGAGTGCTGGAGAGAAAGGGTGTGTTAGTCCGAAGTGTGAATGTCATCACAAGAGACAGGGAAAGACTCACCCAAAGCTCACGATGGTGTAAGCAGTAGCATAATAGCGACCATAATTCTCAGTCTTGCATAGCTGTCCAACGCAGACAGGTGTCAAACTGATGTTGCTGCCGCTAGAGAACCCAAAAAGCAAAGCATAAATGACTAGCAAAGCCAAGCTATCACCGGAAGGGAGCCAAAGGCACGCATTGCAAAGCAAGCACAGAGCCACGGTGGCGATCAGGGTATTAAAGCGGCCCAGGAAATCTGCAAAGAATCCCGGGAGCCATCGGCCGAAGAACGAACCGACGTTCAAGATGGCCAGGATTTGGTAAGAAAACTGGGTGGAAAAGCCATGGTCCAGAGCATACGAGGAGATAAAACTGATCGGGATGAAGAGACCCCATTCAATGAAGAAGACGCTCGCGGTAGTCAAAGTGAATCGTATGTCACGGAAGATGCGGAAATCAGGCAAGACATTCTCCTTCGAGAATGGCTTCTGGGGCAATCGAGATCTGATGAGGAGGTTTGCAACCCCCAAGGCGATCAAACAGATCAATGCTACCACTCGAGTGGCCCAACCCCATCCTATCTTTGGGAACAGGGCTTCCAAGATCAAAGGAAATGCTATGCCGCCAATGGAGCCACCAGTAGCGGCAATTCCGGTTGCAACTCCTCGTCGGGCATAGAAGTAATGCCCAATCGCCGAAATGGCTGGCGTGAAGATGAGGGAGGCACCGACTCCGCCAAGGACACCAATCACCAGCATGAAGTGCCAGTACTTGGTGCAGAAACCAAGGAGAATGATCATGGCCATTTCACAGATCGATCCAGCGAAGACAAGGAGGCGCGGCCCCCGTGCATCGAAAATAGGGCCGATCTGCACACCGCAGAAGAAGGTCAAAAAAGGATACATGCCGAAGATCCATCCAATGCTACCGGAGCTGTAGTCTTTCAACTGGTGGTTCTCGATGTATGCCTGGAATGTGCCAATGGTGTTGATAAGGCCTAGCGATCCGAAAAGACCGAGGAAGCTGCCAAGCACCACAAGCCATGCTTCCAGCCCTCCCTCCGGGTAAGTGTTTCCTTCCGCATCTGTAGTCACTCGACTCATGGGATCTCTATGCACAGACCTATGCGACGGGGCAATGGTAGATGCAGCCCGGTAGAGATCGTCATCCTCTTTTGTAGTAGTTTGCTCCTGTTCGTGTACCTGGTTGGTTGAAGATGTCGGGACTTGCTTCTCAAAGTCGGTCACCTCCGTTGTGGTCTTCTCCGATTCAACTTGCCCAGTCTTCTCGTGATTGTGGGTGGATATCTGCTTCTCAGTAGCCGCCGCTACGATGCTCTCGTCGGCATGATTGTTGTGTAGGTGGCCATAGTCATTGTCACCAGCTGCATCTGGTATGTTGCTGGTAAGCCGGGCCTCGGTGGACATTCTACGCGGAGTCTGCCGCTATGTTCTCCGTGACAAAGATTGCCGTGTTTATGAGGTGTTGTCAAGTATAAAGCTTTGGGTCGATGGTCTTTGAGTCAGAGATAATGTAGGTTTGGGAAGTTGAATCGTTTTGACAAGAAAGCGCAAAGGAAGAGGGGTCGCCATTAGCAATCAAAAAAGTCGGAGTCATGAACCAGACCCCGGGTACCTAAGAGGTAGCGCATGGAGCGGAATACTCCCTATTGGCCTTGAACATGTTTTAGAGGGGTTTCTATGCCTTTTTCAGTTCAGGCAAAAAATTTCGAATCCATGATCTGGAAGGCTATTGGTAGGTGGGGCCTTGGTGGAGCGGATGAGTGGCCTCCACTGGCGCACTCCTGCCCCGTAATGGTAAACACCATAGCCGGGAAGTCATGTTATTGTAGATGATCTCGTATCTAGTTGCTAATCTGATCTCCAGGAGACTTCCTCTCACTTTAATGTCCGTTCGACGAACGCTGTTGTATAGGGTAGGCCATCCGACATGCATCATGCAAACTCTCGGAGAAATGAGCGAATCACATCATCACTACACCGCTGATTTCTCCGAACACTAGGCGGGAGGTCCCGACAAATATATTTCGGCCAGTTACACTATCATGTCATCAACGATTATTGAATCTACCGTCAAAGGCATAATATGGTCACCAGGGCACCTAGATCAATGCCAACATTGATTTGCAATTACGGGCGATACTTCTCCACAGCTATCATGATCTTGGATAATGCCGCTCAGAAGACATAGGGTGGTGTTTTCCGTTCAGTTCCTGCAGCATACAAGACGCGAGATATGTACGGAGTAATTAGTCCCAACTGGAGTCTATACAAATAATTCACTTGATAATTTCCAAGCCACCCACTGCTAAGATGCTTGCAAACTATATACTCTTTCTTTCTGTTCGCTCCAAAGCCAAGTCGACGCATCACCTTGCATGTTCATGACATTATGCAAGTTTCACGCAAACTTCAACATCTGTAAACGTGATTCTTGTTCATGAATCATAACTCTCAGCCGCCTAATATACAACTGGGCTTGTGGTTTAGTGGTATAATACTCCCTTAGCATGGGAGTGGTCCGGGGTTCGATTCCCCGCGAGTCCAGCTTTCTTTTTGTCTTTTTCCGGCCCTTCTCCGGGCCGGGCCGCTCTCTTTTTACATGACGAAGAGATTGGGCAAGTCTAGCATGAACAACAGGGTGCAAATTTCCATCATCGGTGAATCGATGGATTGCCTGGTGAATGCACTTGATCAATCAACTTCCTCACTTCTATATCACCCCAGATCAACATTTTACTTGGCCCAGGCCTCTACAATTTATGTGGTCTTGAAGAGACCAGAGACTGTCTAGTTCAATCCTCGAGTCAAGAGCCAAGGAAATTTCAAAATAAATTCCCAGTGTGATTTAGTTTCAGACTATTTCTTTGATTGAATCACTTAATCATGGGAAACAGCATGACTGGGCTGACACTATGTGTCAAGTCAATATTTGGACTGAATTTCGTTCTTATCAAAGAGTTGCAATGGTTGCTGTCGGCTATGCCGGTAGTAGTAAGCTCGTTCAAAGCGATCGCGAGCACGGTCCAGTTGATAAGAGACACGGCACGAGATGACGAGTGAGGGCTCTTATCGCTCGTAATTTGGCACTTTAGCCACCGGTTAAGCCGAGGTTCTTCTGCCCAGTGCCCAAGAGTAGCCTCCAAACATGCAGGTCATGATCAACAATCGGCCCCCGAATTAAAGATCAAAAAGCTTAGCAATATCTTTAGCAAGAGACATGCCGCTTTCGAAACGCTAGGAAAATTCTTCGAACGTTCTACGACCAGGTACCGTTGTAGCTCTGAGCTCGTGGGAACGCCATCCTCCCCGCATAACCCCGACAAGCTTTGCCTCATCGGGTACGATTGTCAGGGGGGAATTAGCAGTTACATACAGTACATATGTAGCTCACCTGAGATAGTCCCGACCAATCCAGTACATCACCACAGAGGCTGATTCATTTATGATTTGAGTGACCGACCATCGACCAAGTTTCTGTGATCTATGCGATGATAGTATCCTGTAGTGTAGTCATTTCCTCACGCCACCGTGCGCGAATTATTAACCGAGCGGGGAACACTGCGAAGTACGGTAGATAGAAAGACCATATTCTCTGCAAAAGAGAGGGGAAGCAGATAACCCAGGCCAATCGAATTACGTTTCTCCTTTGCCCCCTATACGAGCTTCATCATCAAGATAGATCCAATCCCCGGAATCCGACGCTGGCCCGGCAAGCCCTAATTTACTACATTCCGCGTTGAAGCGCCCGAAAGCCACGACTCCAAGTGAAATGCTTCATCTATGAGCATATTGGAAGCAACAAATTAATTATGGAACTGCAATCGGGTTGAATCTAGCAGAGATGATGAGGAAGACAACTAATGCTGATCGCAACAACAAAGGAGCCAGAGAGATACCTGATGACCTGCCATTTCAGGTTAGACGGGACGGTCGACCCCGCCTGCACAGAGCTTCTGGCTGATATCAGTGGCTTATTTGCCGGGACCGGGGTTGCATTCAGACTCGGAGGCGTAGAAGAAGCATTAGCCTAGCCGGATGTTAAGTGGCTTGGTGGGCCAACGGCAGACCATACTGCGTAGAGAGCCCCAATCATTGTGCCGAAGGAAATGAAAGATACTCGACCTGCCTTGTTATCTCTTTGTTGATCGCATGTTTCCCCATGCTATTTAAATACGCTCCATTGCTCCACTCGTGGGATGATCGGTGTGCAGGGGATCTCCTTTTCCATTTCTCTCGATTTCTGGGTTCTTCGGATCCCTTTCTCCTTTAAGGATGCTGTTTAAATCAGTCCTGACCTCGGCTGTACTGGCCCTTTCCGTGGGCGTGGATAGCGTTTTGGCATCTAAACATGGACGCCTTGGACAGCTTGCTCGTGATCCTTTGGAGAGAGCCAAGCGGGTCGTCGCGGATGGCCATGTCAAGCCAGTCCGCTCCACAAAGGACTACCGATTCTTGAACGAGAAGACAAAGGGTAAGCAATGCAAATGAGAACAACAGAAGTGGGATGATGATGAAAACTTGAGACTAACCTCGGCCTGTTATAGCAAACCTCGTTCACCACCTCCCCGATGTCCCATACGATATCGGCGAGATGTACTCGGGCCTCATGCCCATTGACATGCACAACGAGTCGCGGGCACTGTTTTACATTTTCCAGCCTACCATTGGGAAGCCTGTTGACGAAGTTACTATCTGGATGAATGGCGGACCTGGCTGCAGTTCCATGGAAAGCTTTCTCCAAGAGACTGGTCGCTTCCTTTGGCAGCCAGGTACTTATGCGCCCGTGGAGAACCCGTACTCCTGGGTTAACTTGACCAACGTGCTGTGGTACGTACTCTGCAGAAGAATTAGGAATTTAGAACTTTGAGAAACATTGTACTGACATTTTTGCCTTGCAGGGTCGATCAGCCAGTTGGCACTGGCTACTCAATTGGAACACCGACTGCCACCAGCCAGGAGGAGACCGCACAGGACTTTGTCAAGTTCTTCAAGAACTTCCAGAAGACCTATGGCATCAAGAACTTCAAGATCTATGTGACGGGTGAGAGCTATGCTGGCCGCTACGTTCCATATATCTCGGCCGCTATGCTCGACGAGAAGGACAAGACGTACTTCGACCTGCAGGGTGCATTGGCATATGACCCCTGCATTGGTCAGTTTGATTACGTTCAAGAGGAAATTCCCGTCGTGCCCTTTGTGAAGGAGAATGCAAACCTGTTCAACTTCAACGAAACCTTCATGGCTGAACTGGAGCACCTCCACAAGTCGTGTGGCTATGCCGATTTCATCGACAAGTACCTGACCTTCCCGCCGCCGAAGAAGCAGCCACCTCTCTTCTTCAACTATACCAGTATGGCCAACTGTGATGTCTTCGACATGGTCTATAATGAAGTCTTCAGCATTAACCCATGCTTCGATCTGTACGAGGTGAACCTGATGTGCCCACTGCAATGGGATGTGCTGGCTTTCCCGACTAGCTTGGTGTATCAACCCGCTGGCGCGACAGTGTACTTTGACCGAGCGGATGTCAAGAAGGCCCTCCACGCACCCAATGTGACCTGGGCTGAGTGCTCAAACAACCCCGTCTTCGTCGGCGGTAGCTCAGGCCCCGAGCAAGAGGGTGATACCTCAGCGAACCCAATCGAGCACGTCCTGCCACAGGTTATTGAGGCTACCAACCGTGTGCTCATCTCTAACGGAGATTTCGACATGGTTATCTTGACCAATGGCACTCTGCTGGCCATCCAGAACATGACCTGGAACGGCCATCTCGGCTTCCAGAAGAAGCCCTCGACCCCAATTGACATCAAGATTCCCGATCTCCAGTACAAGGATGTCTTTGCGGAGAACGGTGCTTCCTCTCTGGATGGTGCTCAGGGTATTATGGGTGTTCAGCACTATGAGCGCGGTCTCATGTGGGCGCAGACATACCAGTCGGGACACATGCAGCCGCAATACCAGCCTCGCGTGGCCTACCGTCACCTGGAATGGCTGCTGAAGCGTACCGATGAGCTTTGAAAGTGTCAATAGTTCTAGTCCATGATGCATTGCATTGAAGTGGCTAGCATCGAGCAAGGCACGCGGATGAATCCTCCGTCCTGTATATAGGTAGTGACGAAGCACATAATGATATGTATTCTCCAATAAGAGTGTCCCGATTATATCATAGCCAGTCCAATGGCATTATTCTGACTGTAAGTGCGTGTTGACCGCAACTTGACTAGTATCGGTAGCCCATCCACATTACGCACTGTCCATACAGACATGGAGTAAGTGTATTTCGATGCCGAGCTTACGGGCATACCCCAGAAAATACGAAACCGGGCCGTGAGCATCGTCTTTCATTCGATTGAGGTATGTAGATCCCGAATTTACCTTATCACGTCGGGTATGCATGAGTAAAGACTGCCGAGTATACAATTAGGCTTTCCGCGGGAAACTCATGGTGTGTGGCCTGTAATGTCAATTGCCGGGACTGGCCTACCTATTTGAGTATCCGTTTTCTTCGCCAAGATTGGGGCTGAAGGTGCCTAGAGGCAGCTTTTCGATGAATTGGTCATTATCAATGAACTGGTCTTGCGTCGATTCTTGTGATTCTCGACATGAGCCGTTATGCAGACCGAGAACTGGGGGATTTAACGCCCATGGCCGAGTGATATACTGTGCTGTGGTCTATTTGGGATCCTCCCCGGATCATGCCTGCAGATCTGCTCGGGTAAAATAATCCACAGATAAATGTTACACGTGGAATGAAAAAATTATCAGCACTAGGATATATACACGCTTGGATGGTTCTATGGCGGCCAATAAAGGGATTCAATGTTTTGTATTGAAAAGGTTACCCCTCCGTCTATCGCGAATGATTGGGCGATGATTCGGTTTCTTTAAATTGTCCATTCAGAGACAGAACGATCAGAGGAGTGATCGTCCTCACAATGAAATATCGTTCTCACAATAAAATGCAATGTTGAGTGTTGACAATAATACTACTGTAGCTCGAGTGCTTTTTACAGTAGTGCTAGACCATTCCGGTTGCGCAGTCTGTTGATACCCACATGTTTCATACTACTGTAGCCATGCAAAATCGGGTTTAGCGTAATGACACTTAGACGAAGCAGCGCTTTTGTTTTACCATGCCTAGAAGGTATCCCGAGAGGAAGTGTTGTTATTGTGATTGTATGATTATTTCTCCAAAGCACCGCTATGCAAGCAGTTCTGTAATGGGAGACGGACCATGTACTGCCATGTTGATCTACAAATCCCCAGTACGCGAACCAGCCATTATGATTGCTAGTCAGGAAGAACTGAAACGATTGATCGGATCCCTGTAGCACCACAGCCACTCAGCGCCAAGGGTCTAAGGATAATCACGTAACGAATAGGATCTTGAGAATACTCGCGATCATTGCATAGGCTTCAAAGAGATGTGAAAATTTTTGTATGCCTCGGGTAGCGTGGAGTGAGAATTTTCAGAAATCCTGTTTCTCTCTTGCAATGCTGTAATGTATTTACATTTTCTGGCGCAATCACATCGCACATCTTACGCTATCCCCAGACGGTCGGTCCCGTTCTGAATCCACCGAGAATAATGAGGAGGCCATCCCGCATTTTGCTCGCATGCTCAACCACTCATTATGTATTATTGCCGACTCCCGAGGAACTCTGTTCGGTTCTCTCCTCTTCGGTTCACGCGAACTCAATTAGAGCCGAGTTTCACATTGATGCCGGAAAAACATAAGATGAACCCTCTGGCTGTAACTCCAGACTGAGCCGTTACGACAAGCAGTGGTGCAGGCGTTGCGGCGGGCGGCGCCTCCCAGCGCCATCGGCTACATGGAGACCCTGGGACATGAATTGGTAATTTACGAGCCAACGAAAGCCCCAATTTCCATGACTTTAAAGCTTTTGATTGGTTGTGGCAAAACGAAATTACGGCACCAGCATATGGGACTCACTCGATTCCCCGGAAGCGGCAAGATTCGCGACTCCGCCAAGAGGTTGACGACAAAGTAGATTGGATGCTGCACCCCTTGCTGAGAGGCACAACGTTGATGTTGTGGCACAATTGGGTATCACAAGGGCTGTTAGGGGTTAATTGAATGTAGTCATTATGCATCAGAACCATATGCAAGATCAATGATTGACTGATTATTAACTTGTTCTCGGAGAATGGAACAGAAACACGAGAGTGACAGGGACGACGAAGTGGATCTGGATGACGTCGGTGCCGCAGAGCGTGGAGATGAGAACTGCTTCCGGCCCGTGTTTTGTCCGGTTTATGTATTACCACGGTATTTTGCTCCGTTCACTGGATAGAGAAAGGCATTGTAGAGCCTTGGAATTGGGGGTAGGTGGTACGTATAGGCGTCAGAATAGTCGATCAGCATGGTTGAATACCTTCTATGGCGGTATATAGTATTTTGAATAAACCAGCAGACTTAAAGGCATGGGCTACAATATCTATGCCTTATATATCATGACTAGGCTGCTGTCCTCCGCCCTGCCCGGCCCGTGTTATTATCCTACGGTTCAAAACGGCCCCCGGCATCCCCCAATCGCCCACTCCGGCCGAACTACAATTGGGTCCCGCTATGCCCTGAGCGGCAAGGTTTGTGCTCATTGGCAGACGACATCCTACAAAAATTTTCATCCCTTTGCTTCTTTCGTAGTCGGGCAAACCCGATCGCCAAGAACCCTGTTTGAATAGCCTGATTTCCTTTGCCTCTGGATATCTTGAACTTGGTTGAGGATGTGGCGGATCTCGGTCTTCATGGCATCGTCTCCGGGTGGATGTATGATATGTATTCATGTTACATACAGACTCTCTAAGCCCATCCCCAAAAAGACTTAGCGTGGTACGCCCTTTACAAGTTCACGCTAGACCCTCAATAGGCCCGCTTTCCCTGGCTCTTTAGCCAATACTGGCCTTGCCGCATTTTGTACCGCAGAACGGTCAACCCATAATTTAGTCCATTGCGAGGAAAAAAAGATAGGAAAGGGAAGGAGGGATGCTGCACTCTGTGATACTGTGGATGCTATATAGTGCTTCATCTATCCCACCCATTTCGCCCTCTTTTTTCTTCTTCTTCCGTCTGTCCTAAGTTTCTCGTCTTTACCTTTCCCCCCATCTCTCCACCTTTCCTCTCGTCTGGGTCTGGGGTATAGCTTCATATAGCTTTCCTCGTTCACTTTCTTCCGTAGAAACATCTCGTTTCTTGGTCACACTCTAGGCTGGGCCATCCACCGATTTTGTCAAAAGTCAAAAGAAGCAAAAAAACAACAACATAAAGATTTGGTCTTTACTTCGCAGACGACTACTCTCAAGTAGCAGCTCAGCATTTCCGGCTTCAAATTTGCGCCCAACCGACAATTACGACAAATTTCCATTGCAGCATCTTCCAACTCTCCCATTGCGAGCTTGCCCACGACTTTACGACCCTGTCTTGCCCGTTTTACGATTTAGGACTCGACTGCATCTCTGCTTCCACTGCGCCAATTTTGTAGTCTTGCCACAACGGGCAGCTTACAATCGATTATATTCCAAACGAAGCCCCCGATTTTTAAACCAGAGCGACATTTCCGCAAGCCCACGTTATTTCTAACGCTTTCCAAAGCGCCTTGCCTATAGCCTGCCAATATGGGTCTCGCGAATTTCACTCCTTTTAAGAAGGATCGCCAGAACTTTCCCGGAGTCGTGATTCCGCTGGCTGATGCCCCTGCTCACCATTCCGCAGACTCAGATGAGAAAGCAAAGAAGTCTCTGGATCGTGCGCCCTCCTCGGAGAATGGCTCTGCTGGATCACTGGGTGAATCGAGCCATTTGACTCTTGAAGCTCTCCGTGCGGAGGTAGAGTCTGATATCTCCACTTCGGGCCATGATTCGGCATATGATCGTATGTGCCATTTCCCCTGTTCATTCATTTGTCAAACTGCCTTACCCTCGCTGCTTTCTGCGAATTACCCGTTTGTGAGAAAAATCTGCCCGTTCAATTCTAATATTCGAGATTCTGCAGGCAAAGCAAAGGTGATCAACCGAGCTCTCCAGGATATCGGTATGGGCCGATACCAGTGGGAGCTGTTCTTCCTGTGTGGTTTCGGCTGGACTGCTGACAAGTAAGTCGCACTAATCAACATTCGAACCCAAGAAACACACTGACATTCTTTCTTTTCTAGTCTCTGGCTTCAGGTGAGAATCACTGGATAGTTCGTAGCCACGTGTGTTGAAGCTAATCATCTGTAGGGAGTTGCTCTGACCTTGACACCTCTCTCTTATGAGTTTGGTATTTCTGAGTCGCATGTTCGATTCACGACTTGTGCTCTGTTCTTGGGTCTCTGCATCGGTGCCTCTTTCTGGGGTATCGCATCCGATATCATTGGTCGTCGCTGGGCGTTCAACACGACCTTGTTCCTTGCTGGTGCCTTTGGACTTGCTGCTGGTGGCGGCCCCACCTGGATTGGGTACGTTTTTGAAATCGAGTGCCAACTTGGTTAAAATATGGCTAACAAATTGGATAGTGTCTGTGCTTTGTACTCTTGCCTTGGTCTTGGTGTTGGTGGTAAGTCGGCATCCATGGACGTTGGTATCTGATCTTCGATCTCCTAACTTTCATTTAGGTAACCTACCTGTTGACGGTGCTCTGTTTCTCGAATTCCTCCCCTTCGCCTCTGGCAACATGTTGACCATGTTGAGTATCTGGTGGCCCATTGGTCAATTGATTGGCAGTCTTTTCGCCTGGGCATACATTCCCACTTTCAGCTGCTCCTCCATGGAAGGCTGCACCAAGGGTCAGAACTGGGGCTGGCGCTATCTGGTCCTCACCCTGGGTGCCATCACCTTCTGCATGTTCGTTGCGCGGTTCTTCTTCTTCCACCTGTATGAGTCTCCTAAGTTCTTGCTCTCTCGTGGTCGACAAGAGGAGGCCGTTGCATCAGTTCATGGAATCGCATACAAGAACAAGACCAAGACCTGGTTGACGAACGAGATCCTCAACGAAATTGGTGGACATGCCGAGAACAAGGAGGTAGAAAAGCTCACCTACACCCAGATCGTGAAGCGCTTCTTCTCCAAGTTCTCGATGGAGCGAATTGGTCCCCTCTTCGCTACGAAGCGCCTGGGCTTCAGCACCGTCCTTCTCTGGTTCTGCTGGGCTACTATTGGTATGGGATACCCGCTGTTCAACGCCTTCCTGCCTCAGTACCTCTCCAAGTCTGGCGGCACCACCAACTCAAACTATATCACCTACCGCAATTACGCTATCACCTCGATCGTCGGTGTTCCCGGCTCTATCTTAGCCTGCTACACCGTTGAAATCAAGTATATCGGCCGCAAGGGAACAATGGCCATCGCCACTATGATCACCGGCGTGTTACTGTTCTGCTTCACCGCATCCTCCAACCCCAGTGTTCAGTTGGCCTGCAGCTGTCTGGAGGCTTTCTTCCAAAATATTATGTACGGCGTTCTGTACGCTTACACCCCCCGAGGTGTTCCCAGCTCCAGTTCGTGGTACTGCCACTGGTATCTGCAGCTGTCTGAACCGCATTGCTGGTCTTTGTGCCCCACTCGTGGCCATCTATGCCGGTGGTAGTAGCCCAGATGCGCCAATCTACGCCTCCGGTGGATTGATTCTTGCTGCTTTTGTTGCGATGACTTTGCTGCCCATTGAGACTCGGGGCAGGCAGACTTTGTAAAGTGCATCAAGGGGTGAATAGGGAGTTGGGTGTTCCTATTATATACATTTTATGATTTTTGGGTTCATACTTTGTTTTATGGAGTGACGTAAAGGTCCTCCGATTTGGATATATTCGCATGCTAGATACCATCCTGATTTTCAATTTGATTAAAAGCATCTATTTCACCTCTCAGAAGCAGGGACTTGTGTCACAATTAATGTGAGGGAGTGATGAGAAAAGACAGTCTCCACGAAGTTGGTCAGTAAAAAGGCTTCTCAAAATCTATAAACTAAGGGTAACTACTAGGACCGATAGGGAGAGCAATACCAAGCATAGACGTGTACCAAGCCTCTACCAAAAAATCTACGAAAGCAAAATAGTACAAAATCAATGCGCTAAATCATCATGGTGAAGAGCAAAGATCAAAAAAAGACCCAGTCGCCATACAGACAAGCTGAAGACTAGCCAGAAATGCCATTCGGGAGATCTTCAATGAGGTCACACAAGAGGAAAAAAAATGGTTAAAATGGAAGAAACCGAGACATAGACACGAGATAAAAACAAAGCCAAGCGTGAGATCCCTATGAAAACAAGACGAACTCCATCCGAGTAAAGCCAGTAGCTCCGCGAAGCACGAACGATGAGGAAACGGAAATCAAGAGCAAAAAGGATGCAATGTATCATTAGACAGTCGCAGCCAGTATCTTCTGCTCCCAGTCAAAAAATCTTGAAATATGTATGCTCTTCTTCACGGGGTAGATCCGATGGCTCGTGCAGACAGGTAGAAGAATGGAGAAGAAGGTAGATGGGTAATAGAGGATAAGAGTGAGAGGTATCGGCCATGATGAGTCGAGGTAGAGTGGTGTTAAATCAAGAGGTGGAAAATGAAGAAATGAGACGTGGGATCCATGCATCATATCACTCGTCAAAGCTCATAATCTGGAAAGGTATCACCAACGAAGGAGAGAGAGCAGGAAAATCGAGTGTTTCGGGCATGCGAAAACCCTATTCCATGTTTAAGCAACCGGCTGTTGCTGATTGCGACGACCACGCTTCTCCAAAAGGGTAGCGCCATCCAGGCTGAGCTCGAATGGCTCATGTCCTCTGCGGCCGATAGCACTCTTGGCTGCTGCGGCGACTTTAGCGTCATGCTGTCCGTAGCCCTGCTGTTTGGGTTGACGATGGGCCTGTCGGGCCTGAGCAGCACTGCTTTGGGCGCCGAGATTCGTGGACCGCAGTTTTGCCTCCATTCCTGCGACGTCACCTGCGTGGGTGTTGGACTTGGCAACCTTGAGGGGAGGCTGCTCAGTGTTTTCTTCACGGGGGCGGTCTTCCGGTTCGTCATCGTAGTCTTCGTTAAGAGATCCAAGCGCAGATTGGAAGCCAGCCAGCGGATGGCCACTTCGGGCCGCGTTCTGACGGTTCCGCTGGCGCTTGCCTTCTTCTTCTTGTCGGTGAACTGCGTAACCAACATCGAAAACTTCACGCAAGTTGAAGGCGCCGGGCGAGCGGAAGTCCATTCGGCGTTCCGACGCTACGGACGGCGCATCCATGAAGCGGGAACTGGCGGGCTGGTAAGGCGCTTGCTCAGCACCAACGAGGTTGAGTTCTGGGCCATCCTGGCGAGCCTGGCCAAAGGGCGTGGCCAGAGGCGGGGCGTCAGCAGCCGCGGTAGTCTCCTCGCCGCTTTGGCGGATCCAGGGGTGTGCGAGGAATTCCTTGATAGTGTAGCGCTTCTCGGGGTCAACAGTCAAGAGATGCGAGATCAAATCTTGAGCCGATTTGGAGATGTCGTCCCACCACGGCGAGAGGAACGTGTATTGGCCGCGAGCGACCTTCTCCGTAAGGACTTGAATGCTTTCGTCATAGAATGGAGGGAAACCGCACAGCAGAGTGTAGAGAACGCAGCCCATAGCCCACATATCTACACTCTTCGAGTACCGCTCATCCTTCACAATTTCCGGTGCTGTGTAACCGACTGTTCCGCACGGGGTCATGGTCTGGCTATCCCAGATCACCTTAGACAGACCGAAATCGGCAATCTTGATCGTACCGATACCACCAGAGCCGACACCCGGAATGAACTCTCCTTCATCTTCCTTGTCTTCATCGCCCGGCTGCTTAGGTTTCGGATGCTTGCTCGGAACGAAGGGAGTAGGATAAAATAGCAAATTCTCAGGTTTGATATCACTGTATTGCTTGTCAGTATTGATCTAATCGATTCCAGATGGCTCATAGTCGCTACGCACCGATGAACAACGCCGGATGTCTCATGCAAGTATTCAATGGCCTCTGCGACCTGGACAATCACGTGTCGGCTCAGGTCTTCGCTAAAGTATGTCAATCGCACGATTTGGTGGAACAACTCTCCACCAGGACAAAGCTCGAGAATGATGTAGTAATATTGTCGCGATTCGGAAAAGTCAACCAACTTGACGATGTTGGGGTGGTCGAGGTTGCGCATAATCTGGACTTCCTTGAGGATATTCGCTCGCTGTAAAAAATGATGTTAGCAACAGCCTCGCCTCATGAGACAATCAAGAAAAACTAAGTATGCAAGAACACAGAGACGGTAAAAAGACGGAGGCATGCGAGTCGCCACTACCGATCGAGGCGGGGCGTGGTTTAGGAGATAGGCGCACCTCTACAGTCCGTGGGACATTTTTGACGCTGGGATGAAGGTGATCGGACTACAAGAAAGAAAAATATTGGCGATGTTTTCTCCCCCGACGTGGAGAGCACCACTCGAGCCATGCATCCACTCCCCGACACGCCAAACAAAAAGGAAACAGAAGAAAGAACATAACCAAGGAAATAGGAAAGCAAGACCCTTTGGTCGACCTACCTGATTGCTGTTCATTTCAAACTTGCGCACGACCTTGATAGCCACTTCACCGATCTCTCCAGTAGAATCTTTTGCGCGGTAAACATTGCTGAATGCGCCATCGCCCATCTTCTCCACCAGAATCCAACGGTCAAGACCGGGATACTGAGGCATCTTTGACCGGCTTGTTCTCTCTTCCTGAACGAGGCGTTCGATTTCCACAGACCGATCGCGCTTCACCTGAGTGTCTGTTTTTTGCTGGGTGGCCTGACCAGTCCCTCGCATGTCACCCTTGTCAAAGGCTCCGAGGGCCGGAGAGAATTGGCCGTGGGGTTGTGGCTGCTGTTCGGCGTGGACGGTGGACACGTCGGTGGTGGGCTCGGAATGGGGCGTCACGAGGCGAGCTTGTTTCCCATGCCGGATGAAATTCTTGATGTTCTGTATCGTACTCATGATGAGAGGATTGAAGCAGGAAAGAGGCAAAAAATCTATTGAGTCGTGGACCGGTGTGTGCTAGAGAGAGGAAGAAAAACTGGCAGGGCGTCGGACGTGGGGTGGTTAGGCAGTCAGCGGAGTGAGAGGAGTTGGAAGTTGTGTTGCCCCGCCACAGATAAGGTTAAGAGATGTAGAAGAGAAAGAGGCTCTGAGAGAGAAAGGAGAACCAGGAAAGAAAAGGGGCAGATGATGGAGGAAAAGGAAAAAGGAAAAACAGATGAGGTCAGAATTCCCAAGATTAGTGGCCGAGGGAGGTGGAAGGGAAGGTTGGAATTGGGGGGGAAATGGGGGAAACCGAGAAAAAACGCCTATGACGACGTGGGATCTTCGGCCGATGTCATCGGTTTTTTGGGCGGGCAGTCTTAGGGGAGTTTTGTCTTTTTGCGGGATGGCCAGTCACTGCGATGATGACTATGATGCCCCATCCTTTCTTATGATCTCGATTCCTGAACTTTTCAATTAGGGTTTGCCTTGGTTACCTACTGGCGTAATGATATCAATCTATTTATTTTCAATCCTCAGCATTCTTCGAGTATTTCGAGCACGTAGAGCCCTCAACCACTGTACTATAGTCATGGCGTATATACAGATCTCTTGGTTTGAATACTGGCTGACTGTCGTCATCGCCGCCACTGACGGTCCACCGGTCAAACAGTTATATTGATGAATTGTTTGATGATGAACCCCTAGCTGAATTGATTATCCCCGCATCATCCCTAGTATCTGTGTGTAATACCTGCGCTAGGATCCCCGCGCTCCCAGACCAAGCCAGAGCCATGCTTGGTTCTAGGGTGCAAGATGATATATCAACGACGTCTTCCTCGTCTCCATATTATTCTTTCCTTGGCCGGAGAGCGCTGCCGTGTCTCTTGGATCGGCTATAGTGACTGATCTGACGGTTCTTGCCCCGCTAAACCATTCTCCATTGCTCGCCTATCGTAGCCTCCTGTCCACCCCCTCCCCCCCCGTTTCCACATTATTCATTCGATATCGAACTCTTCCCGGTCCTGACTCTTGCGCCTCTGGATGTTGTCCCAATTCTTGGGTCACACAGACCCGTTGTCGCAAAACCAGAATCCTCATGTTCCCCCCGGGGATATGATATCAAGGTCGGGCCCAACCTTGGCCAGCCAAGCTGTGGAGTTTGATATCGTCATCTTCGCCACATCCCTAACCCTTAGCCCGGATGCGATTATCAGCTCTTAATATTGTTCCTGCTTGATTGCTCATTATCATTCTTATAGGTGGATTCACGTAGTCCAAATTCAGCTGTTAGCCCATTACCTCACGATAGATAGTCCAAGGCCTAGACCTGCATCCTTTCTGATTCGTGCGGCTTGACTCCCGAGGCTAAGTAGCTCTGAGACGCGCATTGAGCTCTCCTGTGCAGGATTGGAATGTGTGAGGTGAGGCGTGTGGCTTTGTGCATTGGAAAGAGGCCTAATCCGACCTGCATGATGAGGACCGAAGCATTAAACATGTCTGATGCAAGGAGCGTCGGACATAAAAGATCTAGGAAGCCCTGAAACACATCGTGCCCACATATCATTGAGCTCGCATACTTGGGGACCACACCCAAGAATTAAGAGAAAAAAGAGTTTGAGGATCTAGGTACGCGTGCCAGTGTGATCCTCGATCCCCACATGGCTCAGCGTGGAGGATGTACAGACAGTAACGACATATGGTACTCGAGTATTGTAGGTAGTCTTCGAGCAAGCAGTGCTTCGAGTAATACGAGACTGTAGTTCTCGTTGCTGGCTCGTAGCTTGCCCATGGCCTGCTTGCATTTTGTTGATGAGTGTTGCAGTGTCAGTCATACTTTAGCGACGATAGCCTGATATTTCAAGTCTGGGTTAGCATGTATAGTCTTTAGTGTTGTCTTCAAGCCCAAGAATAATACTCACGGGCGTACGCGGAGTACGAAATTGGGGAATCTAAAGCGACCTGCAGGGGCCAGGGGGTGCATCTGGCCAACGGTCATTTGCTTCTTACGATCGTATTAGTTCCCTTTCTATCATACGAATCACAAAAACAAAGTTGAAACGTCGGCCCCCGATCCTTTCAATAGGGTTACGTGTGCATCAACCTATTCTTGGTGATTCTTTCTTCTTTCTTGCGGTCTACAATCTTCGATTTGCCTTCTTTTGCTCTCACCTCGACCTCTTTATACCGCCTATGTACTTCACCTTCGATCTCTCCGATCGTTCACTCATCCCCGGGCGCCTACAGGTACCGTAAACATACATCATACCTGACAACTCTCTCTTTCTCCTCCGTACTCCGTACGGAAGACCGAGTTGCCCAGTTGCCTGCCGAGTCTTTTCCCCCTCCCAGCCACCACGCTACTTCCACCCAATCCCACCACATAATCCAACCCCAAAACTCATCACCCTTATTGTGCGTTCTGTCCGTACAGACCGGCCGCCTCATTCCCGCACTCCAGTGGATGCACCGGCTGCAACTCTGGCCTGTTGACTCGGAACTGCCCCTCGAACCGGGTGATCGACTCCCTTGCATTGAACAAAGACCCATCTGGCTCGACTCATCTACTACTCGCTCATTCTTATCTATCCAGCCAGAAACCCCCGAGTCTCGGTCGGCTTCTCCCGCGATGCGATCCTTGCGACCGTCGCTTCAAATACTCTGAGTAGTCCTGCGATGCTATTATACTACTCTTTCCACCTTGACCCAGTCATTCAAGAGTCGCATTTGCTCATCGATCGCACGAACTTGATTTGGTGTATCCTGGGCCCAGCAAAATGCCTGGCGTGGGAGTGATGAGCGCATCGGAGGACACACCAGAGCGACCGCTTCTCAGGTCCCACAAGGCGCTCCCGCGGAGGGGCATCGTGGTCCCTCAGATCGAGCTGGCCCAACCGGCCTCCCCGGAGTCAAATGGTACAGTCATTGCGGCGCCGGCTCCTCCGCTGACTCCACCCAGCGCAAACCAAGAAGACAGCATGGGAGAGGAACAGACGCCACGGAAGATCAACTCATCGCGCTCTGAGGACCAGTCCACAGGCATTCTGACGCCGCGCCGGCCCTCCAAGCCTCCTACCCCCGATGTGACACCACCGCGTACAACTTCCATCAAGCGACCGACCCTCAGCCATACCGTGCATCTGTCGTCGTCATCACGAGCCGACTCCTTTCAGACTGCCCGTGAGAGCATCTCCTCTGATGGCGATATGGAAACGCCCGTTCGATCCAGATCCCAGTCTGCGTCGCAGAAAGCCAAGAAACGCGTACCTTCGACCAGCAGAAAGAATGCGCCGAATGGTGTTCGCGAGAAGCTTACATATTCCAAATATACCCCACCTTCTGCTTCGCAGCCCCTCAGCGAGACAGAATATGAAACCGGGTTCGAGTCGTTCGATGGAGAGTGGGCATCTATCCAGACCGACGTGTCTCCAACACCACTGGTTGAGAAGCGAAAGCCTTCAAAATCCCGTAGTGTATCAAACCACAAACCCAAGGCAGATAAAGACACGCTGGACGTGCTGCATCTCGACGAGTCTCTGATGAGGGAAAAGAATCTGCGGGATAGGGTTCAGAAAACGCATCAAGTGGCTGAGAGTCCGTCAATGGAACGATTCCGTGAAGACATTGGCTGGCCATCCCACCACGATGGACCATCCAACACAGAGGAAGCGGAATCGCGTCGTTTATCAGGTGTCTCGTCGACGTCCACTGTCGAGGCGATGATCATTGATTCTCCAAAGCGGGCCCCTCGATCGCTGCGACACACTGAGAAGAGAACTTCACTCCGGTCTGCAAGCTCCCCCATCACCAGATCCGAGCGCGCATCCACGGCCTCCAATGCAGATTCGCAACATCGCCTAGTCCACAAGGCGGCTCGCATCTCGGAACAGGATCGTCGGAGCATTTCATCAGACATCTCCTTCTCCACCAAGACGACCACGAGTGTATCTCACACTCCAGGTGATATTATCCCCGTAGTGGTCATCCCTGAGAGACGTTCTTCCCTCAAGTCTGGTCCCAACAGTCACATTTCGTCCAAACCCGGCTCCCAGCGATCCAGCCAACGGCCTCCACCGGTATCATCGGATGGTTCTGTGAATGTCCCGCGCCAAAGACAGCGGACCATGTCTGACTCTGTATCTGCAAAGTCCCGAGACAAGGACTCAAGAGGACGTCTCGTTGGTCGACCTGTTATTCCACCGCGGAGTTCCTCGCTCTCTGCGCCGACAAGTCGGAACAACTCCCGCGCCACATCCCTCACCTCGGAAAGCCTGCGGAGTCATACCCTGGCCATGGACTTAGAGATGCAAAAGCGCCGTGATCAGCAGCCTGTTTCGCCGCCTCGTCATAACATCCTTGGTCCCAATGGCTATGGCAAGAAACTGTTGGAACCTCCCAATCTACCGGAGATCTTGGTTAGCTCAACGGACGATATGGCAACCCTGCGACCACCGTCATTACCATATACACAATGGTCGATCCCATCATCTTCACCCGGTCCGATTGAAATTCGAGAAGCTACCGCTGTCAGCCTTTTCGCGCACAACAATCGGTCATTACTGTTAGTTGATCAACGGGTACCGCCAGACCAACGGGTATTTGCAGCGTTGGCGCAGGGGTTCTCCGCTCGCGAGCCCATCCCTCAGACACCAGACAATCCTATTCAAGCTGGAGAAATATTTGTGGAGTCCCCATTGAAGAACCCCCGTCCACCACCTAAGCCTCCGGTCTCCAAACCTCTTCCGCCGATCCCAACTGAGGAGGACGCCACAAAAGAAGGGCCGGGTGGCCTCGTTCGTCGATGGAGCTCGGTTCGACGCACTTTGAGTACCCGCTCTCGGTCGGATTCCTTCAATACCATCACCCGATCACTCTCCATGCGGTCGGCGAAGAACCGCAAGGCCGGAATAGAAATGGACAGCCGCCTGCACCCTTTCTGGCGCCCGCGTGGATTCTGGGAAGACGTCCCCGGATCCCCCCCAAAAGCGAGATCTGCCGTCCAGACTCCCGCAGAGCTTGGCTTTGTCAGTAACTCGCTGGGCCTTCCACAACAACGACTCATCTTCGAGGGTCCTCCGGCCATGAACCGCCGCAACCCCGAGATGAAACGCTTCTTCAACGGACTTTCTTCCTCGGCCCGCTACAATACCAGCCACGGCAGTCTTGTCGAACCTGGTGGTATCCTCCGTACTGGATCACCGCTATATCAGGATCGGTACCGCACCTTGTCTCGCTGGGGCATGCGCTGGCGATCATTGTCGCTCCGCAACGTGCGCGCCCGGATTCGACGAGTCCGTCAGCGTCGCGAGGAGCGAAAACGAGCTGCACGTCGGGAAACACTCAAGCAGAGTATCGGCGGCCCCGTGTATGTGGTGTCCAGTGCGACCAATGGGGTCGTGCGGTGAGATTCGTCTTTTTGTTTTTTCCATGCGCTTACGACCCTACCTACCACTCCTTCGAGTGGATATGTTTCAGCTGATGAAGATTACGATGCATTTGGGAGTTGCAATTGCCCATATTTCCCGCCTGATTTTGAGACCAGGCTTCCCCCATTCTGTCTGCCCTTGCTTGAATTTTGTTTTCTGCGTGGATGGCTCGATTTTGATTACATGTTCTTTTCCCCCCTGTTCCCCTTGCCGTTACGAGATCTACGAACCGATACGAAGCACGATGATGACTCGATGACTTATGCTTATGCTCATGTTCATGCTCAATCAGCACCATGTGCCTGGGCCATCTTTTGGTGGCCATGATGTCAAGATGTACCATAAGACAAGCCTCTCTGCGTTGCGGTGGAAATACACTCTGTCTTTTAGCCTGGGTTGAATTGATAGTTGGCTTTTTGTTTTTATTTCTACTGCCAGATGTCTGCATTTTAGATTGTTCAATTCGTAGTTCTATGTCATGCTGCATAGACCAGAACTCACGCCATCCCGTCTGGTATTCGCTCCAAATCACCGAAAACGCCGAGAGATCATAAATCGAAAGTCGAATCAGAATTGTCCACCCCAGTATCCCCTCCCACTCGCCCTAGTGCGCCTCCCTCGCCCACTAACACTAGACCTACCCCGAATAGCCATCGACCCATACTCAGCCTCTCGCTCACGCCTAATACGCTGATGATCAGGCGTTTCAGTTCCCACGGACTCCGAATTCGAGTTCTCCCCTCTTCGATGAACACTATTCGATGGCCTTGCACTCGCACTCTCACGCGCGGATGCGGACGCGGACGCAGCTGCAGTGCGGGCTCGCTTCAGCATTGCTTCCCAGGTCGGCGGGTCCAGGAAGGGCTGTGGAGCCGAGGCGAATGAGAATTCAATTCGAGCTGATTTGTCCTTGGCGGGTTCATTTATTGAATTTTCTTCGTTGTCGTTGATGTCGAGGGGTGGTTTCATGTGCGTGGTTGCTGGGCTTGTGCTGGGGTTGAGCACTTTGTATACATTTTTTTGGTTGGAGGTTGTGTGTGTTGTTGGTGTATGTAAGGGGCGTTTATGTGGGATTAATAGTGGGCGTTTTGAAGTCATCTTATGAGTCGTTGAGATAATGTGAGAAGAAGGAGGTGATGACGATGTTGATGTGGAGACCTTCCCCAAGGCTCTTATCGCTTATCAGTTGCCCTACACATTCAAACACCCAACATCCAACATGGATGGACTTTCACGAGTTCCTCTATAATGCGCTCCATTCGCAGACTCTACTTCATATAGGTTATGATCTACTCGACTTTATCATACGCAAGCGAATCTCCAACCCGAAATTAGGCACATAAAACTCCTCAAGAGACAATGACCCAGTCAACGACATCCCTCGCTCACCTTGCACCAAACCAGGCAAGACATCAAAACGCATCAGCAGATGCGCCAAAACCAATTTCATAAGAGCACTCGCCATCCAGCGGCCGGGATTGCAATGACAAACACGAGCAAAGCACTGTCAGCCGATAAGAGCCCGGAAAGCAGTTAGAATTGAAAGACCAAACGAAAAACAATAGGAAACGCAATGAAAAGTCGGCAACCATCCGGAATTCAAGTAATTAGAGATCGAAAAAGACTCACCAGGCATACACGCCCATTCAAAAAAAGAGATAATCTGGGCTGAGATCGACAAGCCTTGTGTTGCTGGCTCCGCCTGCGGCGCGTTTTGCGAATCGAAACTCGTCGAAGATTTCAGGGTTGGGGTAGGCGGGGCTTGAATGTTGGATTGCGCTGCTTGGGACGCCGACGTGGGTTCCGGGTTTGAGAGTTATACCTGAGATGATTGGTTTGAGGGTCAATACCGTCGGCCTCATCAAGCTATGCTCGAAGGCTTGACTGGCCAATGACGAGAACTAATCGTTTGAAAGCTCTAATGCAGTAATGCAGACTCGGTGAGCAGAAACTGCAGAATCATCAGCTAACTAGTCATCTTACATAGACGAAATCCAAGGCGCTGATCAGATGGAAAAACCGGCTGCAGGAGGATGCACTCGCTGGCACTCTTTCAGGAAACTATCCAGCAGAATCATTTGATCACAGCTTGCACCTGTCGCTTCTCCATTGGCTAGAATGGCCTCGATTTCTTCGCGCAGAGGGCTGATATACTCTGAGCGCTGCGCAAGCTCGGACAATGCCCCGTAGAGTCCCTGCATAGATCGATGTTAGTATTGCGTGCACTTCTCCCCTAGCATTTCCCAACACTCTCGGGTAACTCAGTACGTACATAGGCAGTTGTGTATATGAATGCAAATTGCAAGAGCAGCATCTCACCCATGACCTCAGAGTAGCCCCTTTCTGACGCAAGATGGAGCTTTCGTATAGCCATTGGAAGATCTCAACCTGGACAAAGGTTCAGTAAGCACTTCAACAACATTGTAGACCTAGTTAAACCACCAATTTAAAAAGGGGAAAACAATGCTTACTGGCTTTCCCACTTGCCCCGACTCAATCTCGTGATCATCGGCGAGAGCGCCCCCATTCATTTCGTTCCGATATTCAGCCGCCAGCGCATCGAAATGCTTCAATAGGACCTTACGAGAGGCATGCATATCCCATCGAGTACCGAGAGTAGTCAATCGGCCGATGAAGCCACCAAAATACCTATTCCGTCGAATCACCGTTAGTTGCATGTTAACATGTTGGCAAACTTTCAGTCCCCACTTTTTGAGGCAATCTGCCACCAAGAAATTAAACACGAGTGGTCATGATCATCCTCAAGATATGATCCTTGACAGCCTGTATATACTCCTCGTTTTGAGACAGTCGAGAACCCACCATGGCAAAGCTACCACTTTGAGCAACGATCGAGTGGGCAAAGTCGAAGCAGCCTATCGCGCATTCTTTGAAATAGATATTAGCAGGTTTTCGACCCACTCGGCCTGTAGCTTTAAAAGGTGTCTGGAATTTACCCCCATCTCTATCTAAATTCAAGGCCCCTAGCTGAGAGAGGATTGACTCGGTTATGTGCGGGATATACCGATCCAGCTGCTTATGTGCCGTTCCCCGGATGAGACCTGAGGTAGTCTTAGCAATAGCTGGCCATCCTCCTCCCCTGGGAAAGTATCCCGGCATGAGATGAGATATCTGAAGTAACTATTGACATGATTGCCAGTTTAGTCTTAAATATTGGGACTAGTCAGATACAAGGATGATATCTTACCTGATCAATCCAAGGCTCAGGTGATGCTACCACACTCCGTGTATTTTGCAGCTCTTCAATTAGTTCCGGTTTACACAGGATGACCTGGCCGAAGTGGAAAGCGCGTGGGATTTCAAAGAGACCATCGGAGAACCGATCGTAACCGGCTTGAATAAGAGCTGGCCCGTTCACCACGAACCGGCAGTGTTGGTACAAGACTGATAGTGGGCTTTTCCCTGCTACAAAGGGAACGCCATTCTAGAAAATAAAGTGAGCCAAGCACCGAAACAATGATTCATCAATGAATGTAAAGTTTGTATCTTGGCGAGTGGATGGAAGGGATCGAACAAACTTACATTGGCGAGGTACCTGGATCTAGCAATCAGCGCAACCGCAATCACCAGAGCAAGAGTACCTGGTAAAATCAGGACTACTGCGGTAGCCGTCAACTTAAAATCAAGGCTACTTAGCCAATTGAAGTGCATGAGGGTCTTTTTGTTGTTTGGAAATTCTGGACCAAGGGATACAAAGTAAATTCAAAAATTTACTACAAATTTAAGAAAATACCAAGTGCATTTATGCCCGCCAAGATACGGCATCAAGTTTGAGTTAGCTGAGGGAGAAAATGTGAAGTTGTTATAAGTGGAGTGGGACTACTGCATGGGAGATCTAGCGGATGTAGTTACTGACACCGGTTTGGGCACACTGCATGAGCTACGAGGACAGCATATTCGAGACCCAGTATCGACAGGAGGAAGTTTTGAAGCGCCTAATGGTCGCCTGGTAACCAATCAGATTATGGGCGAACCGGAAATGTGATATCAAGTGCAGGGCGCAGATGGCAGACTATATTTTGGGGCTCCTACTCCGCACTTTGAGTGGGACTCGAAAATTGAAACAAAGGGAGGCTCATGTATAAAGCACGCAGCCATCACACATCAAAAGTAAAGTGTCGTACAAAGAAACTCGTAAGAAGGAAAACCAATGTGGGCTGGACACAGACAGATCAAGATAAGTGACAAATAGGTTTAAAACTCCCAAAAAAGGTATCAGAGATTGGATCCGTGTGGTATAATGATACAAACAGAGGCGTCCAGGATATACGCCTGCAGATAATCAACAGAAAAACGCCAAAAAGAAGGCAAGCAGACAGTGGAGACTGTGTCTATGCAATGCCTTGGGACTCAATGCCGCCCATTGTCGAGTATGAGTACGGCAAGTCTACCAGGCCGTCAAGCAGCCAGTTCAGTGGGTCGAAGACCTCGTAGTTTGGTTCCATGAACCCGCTCGGGAGCCCAACGCTACTGCCTGGTGCTTGGACACCAAGGCTGGGCTGCGTTAGCATTGGCGCCGGTGCAAGGCTTGGATCACCACCAGAAATTCCAGGTGTGGACGACTGCGTGCGTGGCAGGCCAACGGAGGATGCGGCGGACGAATCAGCTGCGGAATCAGGGTTCGTCGGATTTTTGAGATATGCTGGAGACAGAAGTTAGTATGCACAGTGTCAAAAACGGCATAATGATGAACTGACCTTCAATATTACGGCCTTTAGTCCGCGTGTCTTCTCGCCATCGCCATACCGAGTCGAAAAGCAGAGACATGCTCATCCGGCACCGAACCTTCAGTCTCAAGGAATCATCCACATCGGTATTATTTCCAGCGGATCTCTGTGTTCCGCCTCCAAGTCTCCACATTTGGGCAAGCACTTCAGCCAGACGTTCAGGCAAATCATTGCTGGAAACCGACACGCCACGGACAGCCCAGATGGTGCGGTTGAATAGATTTTTTGTGTACTCCATATCAATATGAGACGAGAAAAAGCTTTTGCTCAGCTTGAGAAGAGTGCAGCCAGCTGCGACCATCATCTGGTATATGTAATAGGGTGTATATGAGAGCACCGGCCCAACTTCAGTTTCAAGATTCATGACAACCTCGAGGAACGATGTCGTTACGACATAAAGTGAAAGAAGGCGCTCGCGATAGTCTTTCTCTGAAGGCTCGTCGAAGAATGCAGACAGGTGCAAGTGAAGGTTTGAGGCACGCAAATACAGATTAGTTATCGCTAAATTCACTGTTAGTATAGAACCAAAGCAGTGGAGAAGGGGGTGGCCATACGATCGTTTTGCGCCTTCAGTTGTTCCTCAAGCTCATCAAAGTCACGCGAAAGGAAAGAAATCATCGTATGTCTTTCCTGGTCCGTAGTAAGCCCAACGGGGTCTCGCCGGTTGCTGTAAAGAGCTTTGGTGATTTTGTCACAGAACTTCTCAACCTCCAGCCTAGGCCTGATGTCTGCAGATAACTTAAAGTTGGGGTCCAATGAATCACTCGACAATGTCCAGTCATAGAGTGTAGAGGGGGGCTGGCCGTAACCGGTTGATACGCTAATGAAAAGATTAGAATGACGCTCGAGCCTAGATAGACCATGGACGAACCATACCGCTGCGCAACAATATTGCAAATAGCCCAGGTTTGCACCTTGTCCCTCAACTCCTCTTCAATAAGCTCCACTCGGAATTTACTAAAGTCTTGACTGTGCGAAGGGCGATGAAGACCAAGCTGCATGGCGACCTGGATCATCATTCCACAGAGCATGAATGTCGGGTCTGTAGAGGTACTGCTTGTCGGGAACGGCCATGAGCAGAGCAGACAGAGGGCCTTCACGACATGATAACTTTGGGGGATATCTGCCAATGTGCTCCACACAAGTCGCGTGACAGGCCCAGCAAGGGACGTCAACAGACCGGAATCACTTTGGTACCGTCTAGCCCCGACGCTGATGATTGTCCAGAAAAGAAGAGGCGAGGCGGTATAGTAGTCGTCGGGCGTCTGTGTCCGGTTAAGGAATGGAAGGAACGGATGGTAATAAGTGAAAAACCTATTGCTGTTAACAGCCCTATTTTTCGGGAAGCCTTCTCAGTATGCTGGAACCTACAGATTGAAAAGTTCTGTGACTTTCTCTGGCACAACCATCACATCTTCAATTCGCTTGAATTGATGATTGCCATTCCGCATATAGTTTGAGCCATCGAATCCCGAACGCAAATCAAGCAGCGACGCGACCGCTTCCTGCGAGCCCATGTACTGATCTGTCGACAAAGCTGAAGGTGTTTGGTAGACACCCGCAGGGCTGACTTGATTCGACTCTTGCTTCGGCGTCACTTGGCCTGCGGCTAGTTGTGGTTGTTGCGGGTAGGTGCCTGGGCCGGAATTTGCTGTAGCAATTTGCTTCCTGAGCTCAATGATCTCTCGTTCCATTTCCGCGTTGCGACTGCGCTTCCCAACTCGCTTAAAGTTGGACTCGATCTTGCAGTCAAGTTTTAGTCGACGACATCTGGAACAATCGGTCCAAGGGTCTTGAATGACATCGCATCGAAGCTATACGAAATGAACCGAACTTAGCACATGCATCGTTTGCGCGACCGGACCTAAACGAACGCCGCCACCTAGCTGCGTCGCATAGGGCGCATCAACTGCACGTACCTTTTGCTGACGACATTCGTTACAGGCGCGCTTTACAGGTTGGCGCCTCTTGTCATCGCCATTATCCTCCCCGTCGTCGATACTGCCCGGTGAACTATCCATCCCCGCAATAGTGACATTGCGCTTGCGACCGGGCACACTATCAGTAGCGCCCATAGAGGCAGAGGTATGATTGACACCCGCCATTACGGGACTTGTGGCCGCTGAATCATTATCAATTTTCGCGATGGAATCCGGGTCCTGGGTCTGCGACCCTCCGATTCCGTTCGATCGCCCAAAAGACGCCAGGCTGATGACGTTGCTGCACGCGGGACCAAGATGCCGAGGGACTGCGGGGAGAATTGCTTGTCGAAGGATGTACCGACAGCACGGTGAGATCTTTCCAATAGCGATTCTAATGCGTAATCACTTTTTTCAGCCCGAGTTGATCTTTTCGTTCTCCGCACAGGCCGTAGGATGCAGACTTCCGTTGCACCAGTGAGAATGACTCAGCGCGGGGGTCCTCACGTGACCGTCCCTTGAGGTTAGACCAGACCTCCTCTGATGTAATTATTAGTGTTTCAGGCAAGAATCAGGCACCAACACAGCCGGACTTGGCCTTAAGCTCCCCGGTGGACTCTCAAAGGCTGCACGTGACGTTTCCGCAACTTTCGCCAAGCCGGAAGGTACAAACGGCCGATAAGCGCCACCTCTGGCAAATGGTTATTCTAATGCCACATACTAAATCATACATCAAAACACCCGGATAGGTATTTCAGTCTGCTTTTCAATACACCTAAATCCCTCCTTGTCTCTTTCTATACCTCTCTCTACTCCTCTTTCTATACCTCTTTCTATACCTCTTTCTATACCTCTTTCTATACCTCTTTCTATACCTGTCTCTATACCTCTCTCTATACCTCTGTCAAGGGTGTTCCCTGCAGGACTTCGTACACGTACTGATGCCGAAGCCCCAGCGAACCTCCACCGAAAGCCTGAGGCACCAACACTTGGGAATAACCTCATGCCAGGGTATATCATAACACTATACCTCTTTCTATACCTCTTTCTATACCTCTTTCTATACCTCTTTCTATACCTCTCTCTATACCTCTCTCTATACCTCTCTCTATCCCCGCAAGCTGGCGAACACTATCTTCACAGATATTATCAACAATGTGACAGCTACGGAGTACTTGGAAATGGGCCAATCAGGGCAACGGAATCAAAAAGGGGAAATTGATATTGAATTGATTGATTGAGGAACATGAAATGAGGGTGCTCATGGGGGTTGAAATACCCATAAGCTTACACGATAACGGGGATCCTCGGATGTTACAAATCCGGAATGCCCAGTTGCAACATATTTGTGTTGGGCAGACATACTTTAGTGTTATCTTATGCATGCAGGTAGATGTCACTCTGCATGTTGCATGTTGTGATAAGAGCGCCGATCCATTCGGGTTGACAGATATTGTTCAGCAGGTCCGCCCGCTTGTGGTCCCTAAGTTTCCCCTTGCGCTTGGCCTCGAGTTCGGCAACCCTGGCCTGTAGTTCCTGGTCAAAGAGATCAGGATACTGGGCCGCGAGTTGCAGCAACATCTTCCGGAAGTTATTGCTTGTGATCGCACGATTAATCATGTGATCTTGGAGAATCCGGTAGGCCTTCTGTGGACGGGTTTGGCCAATCCGGTGGACTCGGCCAATTGCCTGCGTCTCGAGGTTGAAGTTAGGGGCCGGCTCCAAGAGAATAACAATGCTACAGCAGCCATAGAGATTCAGACCAGTTCCACCACAGTTGTAAGTCGTGTTCATTACCTGACATAGATTGTCAGGAGTAGTGAACTCTAGGACGGCGTCATTTCGCTCATCCTGGGACTTGGCAGCCGTGATAGAGACTGATCGAATCCCCAGGCGCCGAAGGACCATCTCAACCATCCAGCAGATAATCGGCTAGTGGGATATTATAAGGAAGCGAGGACGGGGACCCTTCTCAGGAGGTTCAAAGGCACCCTCAAGATCGAGGATCCGTAGGAGCTCTTTTAACCGAGGAGATTCAGTGATTAGGTAGTAGACCTGTTGGATAGAATCGAGTGGCCGAGGATTTAATCGACTCTTATATATCACACTCCAAAAGGCAGTAAAACCATAATCCGGGGCACCGATGAGCTTTGCGATGGCCTCACTAACGGTGTCTTTGCCGTCCACTCCTCGGAGAAAGTCATCTAGGAGTAGGTTAAACCCCAATAAAGCCAGTTGCCGCGTCACGTCGATGTTCTGGCGTCCTGCCGTCTGGTCCAGGTCATTGGCCCCATCATCCACTTCGCCGCTCGACGAAAGTGCTTGGATCAACGCGCGATAACGGGCGTTATGCTCAAGCTGATTCATGAGCCCGTATCGAACCTCCACGGTCATCACCTTGATGGGTGGAATCTCGGCACCGATAACAATCTCCTTCCTATCGAGCCCAATGATCTGATCTCCCATGCTCCGCATCATAATGCAGGCACGGAACAGGAAAGGGAAACAATCATGGCTGAGCGAGGGTGTGATGTTGCCATTGGGAACGAGCTTAACCAGCATAGCTGGGTTCACTAAGGCATAAGGGACCTTAGTGAATTCCCAAGGAAGAACCCGCTCTTCCGACCATGCCTTGTAAAGGCGCGCAAAGTCCCACATTTCATCTCCATCGAGGTCTGCCCGATGTGACGGGTCGGGCGTGGGAGAGAAGGGGCTCCGTCCTCCTTGTCAGGCTCGAGATAGCCGCCGAGAAGATTGAAATAGCCGTATAGATCGAGGATCCGATTCCACATGGGAGTGCCGGTCAGACCAATCACCGAGTTCCGCTGGAGCAGTGCCACAGATTGGTGTTGCCGAGTACGAATCGACTTTGCGTGCTGGCACAATCTCATAGAAATCAGGAGAAATATAGAGTGTTGAAGCTTTTTCGTCATGTGTGCAATCTGTTGATGTCAATCGTTGAATATCGTCGTCACGTGTACGTTCCGTCGCATTCTATCAAATCAGATAGCTCTCATGGGCTTATGCACCCACTTATGTTGACAGAGAGGTATAGAGAGGGGTATAGAGAGGGGTATAGAGAGGGGTATAGAGAGGGGTATAGAGAGGGGTATAGAGAGGGGTATAGAGAGAGGTATAGAAAGAGGTATAGAAAGAGGTATAGAAAGAGGTATAGAAAGAGATATAGAAAGAGGTATAGAAAGAGGTAAAGAAAGAGGTAAAGAAAGAGGTATAGAGAGGGGTATAGAGAGAGTGTCGGATTTACAGGGCCGGCATAAATCCTTCTGCGTGCACAAGCAAGCGAGTGTGCACGGTTGGTCAAATCAGTATACGATTAGCGAATAATCGTATAGGTCAGGTCGAAAGGTCGTACGATTCGGCTTAGAATCGGAAGTTAACTTATGATAGAAGAATGCTCCAACTTCATCACAATCATTAAACTTGATTCAACTAGCTATGGAAAACAGGCAATATTTATAACTTCATGAAATCGAGGCAATACGTCAGACTAGCACTCGTCAAGAATAACGTTCCAAACCAGTAGTCATAAGTGGTGCAGTATAATTGTGCTGACTGGAGGAACGTTGGCCACCCTCTTGCAAGTGGCGTTTTGTTAAATTTCGGCAGTAAAGTGAGATATAGGTATGTATAACAGGCTGAAATATTAGGCTACTACCAGGCGTTATACCAATACAGGGAGAGATATAGAAAGACATCTAGACATGATGGCGCGAGAAAAGGAAGCAGATAACAAATGTTAACGAATCTGCCTGGTTCAGTCATCAAGGAAAGCAGAGAACTGTCTAGAGAATAGGGAAGGACGGGCCTTTAAGGGCCTAAGCAATCAATCCGCGAGCTGGGTCTGGAACCTGCCATCGGGGAAATCCCAAATGGCTATTTCCTCCGCGGGGGGGGGGGGGAGATCTCCATCAAGAAAGAGATATAGAAAGAGGTCAGCAGACTAAATTACCTATTTCGAGAATGTTAATGCATGATCCAGAGGGTATTAGGCAGGTAGTCTTAAAGGCGGTAAGCCAAATGCCAGAGGTAGCGCTTATTGGCCACCGTGATCTAGTATAAAAATGAAGCTAACTCTCCGTAAGTTCTGATCCATGAAAGCTTCAACGAGCATTATAGGTCATACTGTTCAATTCAAATTCATTAACTTAATGTCTCTCACAGCTACACAGCTAAATTAAGTAAAGCAACAAGCAAAGTATATACGAGATCGGCCAACAACTAAGTAAGAAGCAAAGAGGACAGTGATCAAGGGTATTCATCATCATAGAAACATCCATCATAGCAACTCTCAAGTTTAACCTCCACCACCACCGCCGCAGCCTCCTCCTGATCCACCACCACCGCCGCAGCCTCCTCCCGATCCACCTCCACAGGCAGATCCAGATCCTGAACCAGCGCATCCAACGGCACCAGCGCCACCACAAGAGCCAGCCGCCACGGCGCCTCCACATGTTCCTGAGCAGCAGTTGCCCACCATACCGGCGCTGACATTCATGCAGCTCGGGTTGCAAGCATAAGAGTCCGAACTGATACCAGGGTCACACATATATGGACCGTAGTAAGGCACAATGATGGGATAGCCCCAAACATACGGGGCGTAGTAATATGGCTCGTAACCGCCATCCTTGCTCCTCTTCGCATCAGACCGGACGACACCGCGCTTCTCAGCGCGTCGAACGGCTTTCTCGTAGTTTCGGTGTAGCCGAATGCGCTGGAGCTGGCCGATACGGGGATCCTGGGCGGCAAGGGTCGCTGGTCGCACGGCGTTGTGAGCAGAAATATGTGGGTTCTTGTCCGGGTCGGAGGAGATATCTTGGCGATCGTGAAGGGTATCTGCATTCTCGCGGGCTCGTGAGGCGGAGCCAACGTTAAAGACGCGGTCGTATAGATCTGGGGCGCGAGTGGCCTCGCAGTACCAGCAGGTGCATTCGCTGTAGATGGCGCCGTCTGTGGCTCGGCGGTACATCTTGCTTGTCCATTCGAATGCTTCGGAGAGCTTGTTCTCGTCGACTTTGTCGTCGTGGTCAATGAATACACGGATCGAATAGGTCTTTACCCGGGTGCTATATTTGTAGTATCTTCTTGGTTGGAGCTGGTGCGTGTGCCAGGCGAGATCGACGTCTAAGGTGGGCACGGCCATTTTCGACGGGTTATCAAACATAATCTTGAAGAAGACTTCATACTTTTTGATCAGTCGGTCTGCAGTTTCCATGACCGTGGGCGAGTGCAGCCAGTCGATGTTGTCCATCTTCTGAACAAAGGTTCCCTGACGGATCACCGCACCGACGAGATCGAGTGCGAAGGGGCTGAAATTCTCCCAATAGTGCGACATCATGCGTCGGAAGTGCACTTTCTCGCCGGGCCGGACGGTGGAACCGTTGAGGAATCCACGGGCGTGCGCTCTTTTTATCACATTTCGATCGCGCAGCTTCGTTTCAAGCTCTTTGCGGAGGGCATCGATGTCCCTGCACCGATCTAGTCGAGGGTCGGTGAAAGCGAGCAGGTCCCTCCCCAATGTCTCCATCAGCAAACTTGGGAACAGCATCAATTGGTTGAGTAGCTTGGGCCTTCCTTTGAGAGGGCCTTCGGGGACGCCATTTATATTGTAGATACTCCCTGGCATTGGCCACTTATTCTCAAGTAGCTCGATCAGGTCGCTGCGGAACTTAGCGACTCTGAGGCGGTCATGATTGATGAAGCACTTGCAGTGCTTGCAGGTGGTCTCAAAGGACCGATCTGCAAAACCAGTGCTATCCTTGAAGGCTTCTTTCACTGACTCGCCAATGCCGCCTTCAGTCCAAAGGATAGTGTTGACTTGCGCGCAGCGTGGACATTTGAGATCCTTGCCTGGAGGATCATGGAGGTTATCCCACTTCATTCTGAGCTGTTTCTCAAACAGCTGTTTCGTTTTCTCGGGTACGGTGTACTCCAAGGTACGATCGTCGATGCAGGCATTTACGGCAGCAAAGGGAAATCCAGTTTTCCAAGTACTCATCTTGCCATACCGAATGCAATCTTCCATGAAGTTTCTCGGATTCAGCATGTGAGAGTGCCATACCATTAAAATATCTAGACTCTACTTGTTAGTTAATGTGACCACAAATAGGGAATCGCCTACTCACCAAGCGGGGGCATGGTTTCTACGCTCCATAGAACTTTGGTTTCGCACCTGAGGACATCTTCATAATTGTCCGCGGTCAAGTCCTGCATGGTTACATGCGATCGGGACACTGGGAGGCAAGCCGACCACCATTTCTGATACCGATCGGCTGCACGAGCCGTGTAGACAGCCCAACGCTTCTCGCGGATACGAACACGAGCCTCGTCGAGCGAATCGGGATACTTGTCGGCCTGAGAGTCAAAGAGACCAAAGAGACCGTCATTGTTCGAAACAAAGTCTCGCAGATCCGCAAGAACGGCAATGAACTTGAGATGCGCGACAACCTGGTCGGGACTCACGGTCTGAGTAGTCTCACTGACTGGCCCGTTTTTGAGGTCGAGCTGAGGCAGTTGGATTGGGACCTCTGGCTGGTTGTATGAAGGTGGCCGCTCCGGGCTCTCCTTAGAGTCCTTGTTGGAGCCCTCGATGCCATTCTCGGCATCCTTGAGGGGTGCGTTCTTGGACTTTTCCTCCGCGATCGACCCCATAGTTGTGATTTATAGAAGATTTACCTCTATTGAAGGAGATTATTGAAGCGAGGTAATTTGTGGTATGCCTGAAAACTGTGGACCGATATGATCGAATTAGATGATCTTGGAGAGGTGAAGAAGGGGTTTTATAAGTCAATGATCGAGGGGGCTGACGTCGGATCGGTGAGATAGAGAGAAATAGCCCCAACGCCCGAAGAAACTAACAACCCTGGCTCTACGAGATCAGCAGATCCTCGTACCAGTGGTTGTGGACTCGGAGATGATGAGACGACGTAAATGCAAAAGCAGCGCCCTGCATGGAGACCTGGGGCCAATAAACTATTCGCAATGTCGCCTCAGGCAGTGCAGCATCAGCAGAACAGTGACGCTAGAAGCCCACTAGAAATCTGCCTAGCTAAGCCTTGCGGGACAAAAGGTCAAGCTTCGCGAAAACGAATAGTCAATCCGCACTTGTCATTTGCCAATTGCGGGGGACTGTAGGTATGGTTGTACTGCCCGGTGCCCGAGGAGACCCCGCAGTCGACAACAAACCGTGGATCCAAGCGCGACCGCAGCAGTCATCTGAAAAAGGCATCACGTAGCGGCGGTGGATTCCGGATCGAATCAAGCTCAGTCGAACCGAGTGAGCTCTTGACGAAATGGACACGGTATCAACTTATCAAGACGTCGGGCGCAACGTGGCCCACCCTGTTGTGTTTGTTTGGCTGTTTCCCTCCGGTTGGCGGCAGCACTGCCTCGGTTTAGAGCAGCTTAGCTATGATCTGTATATCCCCGATTAGGAGCTGGTCATGATTGGTCAGGTTGCCAAGATGACCCCACAGTGTTGCCCCAAAGAACGTGGCGGTGGTTGTTGTACTGTTACTATACTTGGTAAGTGAACAATGAGGGATATCAATATTGTGTTCGTTGACAGGAAATCATTGTGAAAACTTCAGGAGACTCTCAAAAACAGACAAAAAAAATGTCGCAGTATGGCACTTTCCACATGCCGTTTTAGGTTGAGACTTCAAAGAATCTATATCGAGCTCTTTGCATTATACATTCTAGACTCTTTTTATGAGCATGAGACACGGGCAGCTTTTCAAAAAAATCTTCCGTGATGAGATTGAATGATAGACTAAAGAAGAAACCTAGGCCATCAAGATAAGCAGTTCAAAAGACATTTAGGAAGACCTCTCAAAGAACAGAAAGTTGAAGCATATTTGGGGGTATGGCGTATCATGCGAGAAACCCCGACTTTGATTTATTGTGCTGGGCCGAGAAAGTAGTCGTTTGCAAGTTTGATCGAGATATCGAGTATAATGTCATTGTCAGACTCGGATGAACGGGGCTTTGTTCTCAAATTAGAGCATGAGCTTTCATAGAAGCCCATCGATTTAATTACTTGACCCTTCACCTTCGAGAATAGGCTCCTCCCTTTGTGATAGGCTCCTCCCTTCGTAACTGGAAATTTCATTTTAAAAGAGCGAAGAAAATGTGAAAGTCCAGCCCGGATTGATAGACAAATTGTGTCGCTTCGGCGGAAAATTATCTGAAGAGGTTAAATAGGCCTTGATCTCCGCTGTTGTTGGTTGTTCAAATCCACTGGATAACACAAGCTACTTCATTCACACTGGAACTCCATCTAACATTGACTTCCTCTACCACTGACCAAGTTTTCTGACCTTAGCAATTCTCAATATGTCAGACAATCACGAGCCAATCCATACCGATTTTCAGGAGCATCTTGCCTGGGAGAAGATCGGGGCGGGAATTATCGACGGAGAGGAGAACGCGGTATTGAATATCATTTACGAGGTCTTCGCCCTGGTTGTGAGCCACATCCAGAAGATTGGCAAGACCCAAGATATCAGCGTCGATGGTGCTGTACAATTCATGCTCAAATCTAAGACGCAGCGCGACAGTTTGCGGACTGCTTTTGTTGCTCCCAAGTTCTTCAGCCGTTTACCTGCAAAAGTGCAGGTGTCTAAGAAACTCGTGCTCAAACAGGAGATGTATCGGCTCTTGGAGCGATATCAGAAACTTTTCAAGAAAACATACCTAGAATATGGATTGAGTCAACCGCAAGCACCTTCGAACGCTGGATTCGACTATCATCGAGCCACTGTCATTCCTAACGCTGATGTTCAGGTAATTCGAGCAGATCTAACCAAGTCGCCGCTTCCATTTAGACTCAGTGACCTCTACCCGATCAGGCGAACATTATAGATCGATCCCCTGAAGGAGATTGGATCAATGGGCCATCCATCTCACCCGCTCAATTTACCGTTCTACAGCAGCACCTACACGATGAAGGGGTCTTGGAGGATGGCGATAGCATGTGGTTGTGTCCCATGCCAATGCAGGAACTCAATGTCAAAAAAATTGAAAGCCCTCAACCCGGTGAGTCTCGCCTGATAAATTTTAACATTGCCCCTGTCGTTGACCGAATTATGTCTAAACACTACCCCAAACTTCGGTGTAGCTCTCCTGAATTCCTAAAGGGTGAAATGCCGCTGGCACGACCTAGTCTCACAATCATCATCCGATCCGACTCGGGCACTAGGGGCAACCTGCTTCCCACCAGCAGACAGCCAGATCTGTTACATCCTGGGGCTCCTGTCTACGTTCCTGAGGAGGGGCCCGAAGTTCTGTCTAGAAGAGGGCCGGCGTACCGGTTTTGTAGACGCAGAAGCCAGCTTGCCTGGTCGATTCAATATCTGGGTCAATCTACGGATGAGACAAGCAAAACATCAGGTCCTGGAGGAAGCCAAGTCGGGGAACTAGGTGGTCCCTGGACCTCAACGAATAGTTCTTGTCAACGTTCGCCATCATCCATACGGGCGTCCGGCTTCCGTCACTCGTGTTTATAACCCATTCTCTCCAGACGGGCATCGACAGAAGAGACTCAGGGTTGCGATGGAAAGTCCAATGCCACGATCCGATTCCGATTCCGATATTAGTCTTGGTGATGTCAGCATGGAGAGTTAGGTCTCGAAGAGTACAGCTACTAATCGTACAATTCAACAAGGCAATTAAGAGGAATGTCTTCAGCGTTTCCGAAAGACTGGAAATCTTTCTTTCCCAAGGTAAGATACTTGATTGCTTTTCTCTTGCAATACTTTTGTTCTCTCAAATAAGTTACCCTTGCTCAATGCTCACATGTTATAGATCTATTCTTTTAGATTAGATGCTTCAAGCCTGTATCATTAGTAGCACTGCATAGCACAAAGACAGCGGTCATTAACTTTCTTTACCTGAGACCTACTCCTTCAATCATGTCATTCCTCGTAAACCAGCTTTGGAGCAAGTAAGAGGTCTCGAAGCTCAAGAACGATGATTAGAAGTCGTCAACAGCAAAAGCCGCATTCCATTATTGTGGGTCACCGGCAATGTTCCGAATGATGACACATGTATACATAGCCCCCGTCTTTTGAAGCACTGCCATGGTGAGAGGTAAGTTGATGGAGATTCCCCCGGAGACCTCCATCGTATCTCCCTCTGGAATTTCCCAAATGGCCGATTTCAGGCCCAGCGCGCGGATTGATTGCTTGATCTCTGCGGCCTTTATAAGCCCTGCCCTTCCTTGTCTCATTTCCGGCTCTCTAGATAGTCCTCCTCAATAGTCGAGCCAGATTAACTCATTCTTCTTGTTCTTTGTTTCCTGTTTCCTTGCGTACTGGCGTACCGTGGCTGGAGAGTGATGTTGTGTTAAGGTCATCATCATCCAACGGCTTCAGGGTGGGCTATCCGTCGATCAAGAAAATTCCGGCATAGGAACATGGTTCCTCGACTAGCATCGAGTGTTCCGAGACCTGGTTGGCTTTCATCGCTTGTGCGTGCTTCGCCCATGCCTCGTTCTCCCCGATTAGCACATTCATTTCACCACGAATACCTTTTTTGGTTTGGGCCAAGGGATGATCCATTTGCTCGGTTTCAGCCTCCCTGAAGTAGCAATGTTTTCACCCGCAGCAAGAACCTCGGTAGCCATAAGATCCTTATCCGAGATATCGGGCGTCAGGATTATATCGGTCAGTTCGTACACAAGGTTTCTGTGAGGAACTCCTCTCTAACACTACGTTCTAATAAGGTCTTCTGCCCTGTTAGGCATCTATAGGGGTAGGTGGCTTAAGAGCGTAAGGGTCGATGCTCGCTCGACCTATATGCTCTGTGAGTATACGGACTGCCTCCTTACTGGCAAAAGTCCCTTGCGGGTTGTTCAGCGTGAACATAATCAAGTCCCGCTACTGCTCTCGTAGAGCGCCAAAGTAGTATTCGTCCAAGTCGGCAGCCCGATCTGTGGAAAAGCTAGCTTAAGCCAAGTCCCAATAGCCTCTCTTGCTATACAGGCCATATTAAGGAGAAATGGCTTCGGAAGACTGCAGATTATTGGGAAGCTTTCCTTTGCCAGAGTTAAGTTTCTTATGAAATAGAACCAACAGGCAAACTCCATGCAAACTGTCGTATAGATCGATATAGAGCGGCTCTTCAGTGACCTTCGACGAAGGGAATAACGACGGCACTACCTTCATAAATTAACAGGCGTACCAGAGCGTGTAGATGTTTCCCCTTTCGCCCGCAGTGAACTTGGTTTCTGCGTAGGGCTCTGACCGAGTTTCCTTGGCCGCGACTGAAGAATCCTCCGCAGCCAACTGAACGGCCGGAGAAGCCTTAGAAGTCAAAGGCTAGTCCGCGGAAACGAAAGACGCCAACAAAGGAGAGATCTAGAACGAGGTCAGCATAAACTAGTACAGTATTAGCCTTAGCCTATCAAAAATCCCAACTCGCCCTTGCCATTATTTTCAATGCATGCCAGATTATATTCAAGTATCTAGTGTAGATATCTAACGAGGGTATCACGGTCTTTCAAGTCAGACACATGCAAAACAAAAACTACATGACAATACACTTATTTCGACGCTTCCGGCTCCGTTCCCGGATAGTATGTTCGTTCCAATCCTCAATACGCCTCCGCCACTCCTCATTCGCAGGTGGCGGCAAGCTATTAGGCTCCGTCGATACCCGCCGGCGGAATGATCTCTGTCTTGCAGGGATCTGCGCCTCTTCATCTTCCTCTGTCAGATCCAAGGCATTGCCCGACGGTTGGGGTATATGCAGCAAATTGGGGGAAGACACGGAGTAAGAGAGGTAGTCTTCGCCTAGTAGGGTTGCTCCCAGAGTGGCTTGGCTTTGCCGGGTGGGTTGTTCGGCTGGGTGGAGGGTTAAAGTTGGGAGGGGTTGAAGAGAGCGGAGGTGGTTGGTAGCGACCGGGAGATTGGGCATGGTTGCGTTTCTTATATCGGACCGAGCGGGCCAGGCATGATTATTCTGGGCTGTTATGTCGTGGTTGGTGAGATCGTGGTTGGTGAGATGTCGATGTGGTATGTGAGGTACTTGCGGTATATCTGGATGGGCTCGCTCCAAGCCAGGGGCTTCTCCAGCAGCGGTGGAGGAGTCTCTTCTACCCCTGCCAGAGCGTCTATTGGTCGTAATTGAACCGAGTCTTTGGAGGAAAGCAGATTGCGGACGAGGACGATCTGATGGGGTTGGCCTCGCCACGCGAGCCGTTTGTGCTCGCTGGACTGGTTGAGCGGTTCCATTCGCGTGATTCTGAGCATTTGCAGACCTGCTCGGAAGAAGTGTATTCTGCAGATCTTCGGGCAGAGGTTGGTCGGCATCGCGAGTGTAAGGCGGTGGCGGTGGCATCCAGTTATCTGCGTCGCTCTCATGTGGAATTTGACGACGACCAGAAGTATCCCGATATCGTGGATCATAACGTCCTCGTGTAGATGCCGCGGCTGTAGCAGCCCGGTGAAGGGTGTCCTGGGAACGAGGTAGTGTATTATCATATGGGATTTCGACCACCTCGCCCCGAGCCGGCCCCTCTGGAGACGTTGCAAGAGATAGACTATTTCGACGAAGAAGTGAGAGTCCATGCTGACTTGCAGTGCGACGAGTTTCTCGAGTGGGTGCCCGTGATGGCCGGTGGACAAGGCCCGTCAGGGACGTCGGATCAGTATCTCCACGCTGCAAGCGGGTGCGTCGCCTTTCCAACTCGACTTCAGTGTCTAATGAAGAGTCCGGCTCCATGAGCGTCATGGGCACGGCCTCTCCTACTTCAATGTCTAACTCGGTCTCCTCGCCGTTCGTAGTTGATCTTTCAAAATCCAAAACGAGGATCCTTCCGCCGTCCACAGGGATATCTTCTTCACCCAGTACTTGTGGGCGCACACCACCAGGCGCCACAGTGACGAGTCGACGTCTTGGTTGGCTTGAAGCAGTACTTCGTACCCAGCGAGCGGATGTGATTCCATTCATATCAGTGATCCGCCGGCCACGAATCAGAGCTTTCTTGGGCTGCTGAATGACCTTCTCTAGCTGAGCCCGATTATCGCGAGGCACCAACTGTCCCTCACTATGATGATTCCCACAGAAATGAGAGTCATTGGCATCTTGTCCCTCAGGAATCGGCGGAGTCACGTCAAGACTCGCAGGAATTCCATACACCCATACCTCAGAGTCTTGAAATCCTAAAGCAACGAGTTCTCCGGCAGTATCTGTAGACGGGAGCATCATGGGCAGTGTTTCTCGCAATTCATCGGCCAAGAATGGGCTAGCAAAGTATACACCGCCGGTATTAACGGCATTGACTTTGATTGCTCGGAAGGCTGCCAGGGCGCTGTCGTAACCAATTATCCAGCTATCATCTGCTTCCTCGTGACCATTTATGAGGCAGGCGTGAGTAAATTCGGGTGTGGTTTCCGGGAACAGAATTTGTGTTGTCCACATGCGCATTTGAAGCTCCTGTGGCGATACATCGATGCCAATGTCCGTGTAGAAGGGAGCTGTTATGGTGACAATGCCACCTTGATCATTGTCAACGGGCGATCCAAGCAACATGGTACCATCTCTGGAGAAAGATAGTGCATCAACACGGGGACAACGCGCAGCACGGCGTTCTGTCGACATAACCTCTTCCCCAACAGCATAGACCTCAATGCAGTCCTCAAATGATAACGCTAGGACACTCCCCATAGGCGAGAAAATCAAATCCCTGGGGGCATCATTCAGGGTAATCGTTTGGAAATGCTTGACCTCATTGTTCGACAGTTGGTAAATCTGGACCCTGTGCGTCGAGGACAGAACGGCGAGAAGGGAGCCATCGTCCTGAATTGTCGCCCCCAAAGGCCGCCGGCGAGTCTGTAATTCGTATTTTACAGCAACTGGTTCGGAGGCCACATCTAGCACAACAATTCGAGACGAGCTGATACAGAGAACCATGTGACCATATGCCGAGAACGAGAAACGGAACACCTCGCCTTGGGGAAACGCGGTGGATGAGCTCATCGAACTTGATATTAATCGAACCAGAGTGCGACAAGGCCGCAGAAAAACATCAAAGGCATTGCGCCTTATTTCCTCTAAGAATTGGTGTTTGAGGTCTTGCAGACTGTCGGTCTCGCTCGGCGCGGGGGTTGCCCCTCTCGTCCATGTGAAAGACGGACATTGCGATAAATGGTAAGCATACAGAGCCGGAGACTCTGATACTTTCCTCCATTGTCGATTTAGTAGAGCCAGCGATGCAAAGACGTTGGCATCGGCGGCATAAAGAATGCTACGCGGGGCCGTGTTAGGCGCGTTGAATGCCACATGGCCTTGGGGAAATTCGGGAGGGAAAGAGTGTAGAATCCAACAAGGAACAGCCCACTTACCGTTCAATTACATTGGGAGGCAGCCGATCAAAGGCGCCAGTCTCTCGATGTATGGAGGCCTCCTCCTCCATGATCACCAACGGTTCCCGACATGCGGAATTGGCGCTGGCAGCCAAGTTGGAGATGCCTCTTTGGAGAAAGAGTGGCTGTGCTCCGCCCCCCCTAACCTCCTCCTCCTTCCACTTGATGCGATCCGCCCGACTGTACCATAAATAGCGCCAGGGCACGTGGTGATGAGTCAGCATTCCCCGCATTCAGCTTAGTCTCGTTTCTTTTTTCTCTGTGGATTCTGCCCTTTTTGACCAAGTTCAATCGGAGGGTCGGAGGGTGCAATATTGGTTCCCGTCTTCTCCAACACCTTCATTCTCTACCCCCGCCAAACACTCAATTAGTACCACACTGGTAGCGTGAGAATGTGGTATCTACAGAGCGCACCATGAAGTGTAATGCGCCCTGACCCACGGTTGTGCTAACGTCCCTCGATTGTGCTCTATGCTCGTCGCATTCGGCCGGGTTGTACCCCTCACTTTACTCAACTGAGATCGGCCGACTCCGAAAAGTCCCCGGGATCTTTTCCCCAGACCGTTTTCCACGCGCACCCCTCCCCAATTCCACCCCCATATCCTGTCGGCACCTCGTTCTCGGGTTTGCGCATCATGTCGCCTGCAACCCTTCAGGTCAATCCTTCTTCGAAGCTGCCATCGCCCGGGTTCAACGCCGGTGCGCGACCATACCGATCGCACAAGGTCCGCGCCTGTGACCTGTGTCGCAAGCGCAAGTCCCGATGCACGGTCGATATCCCGGGCCAATCCTGCCTCCTATGTCGCGTACAGGGGGCAGACTGTCACTACCAAGAGGAGCCCAATCCGGACTCCTCGGTGTTGAGCACAACGGAAACCAAGCCGTGGTCGGGAGGGCCGCCGGCCGAACCCGTGTCGGGGCAGAAGCGCAAGCGCAGCCCTGATCGGATTGACCGGATGCCCGTTTCGCGTCAGTCAACCAATGGACCAAGTCCGCAAGGGACAACTTCCTCTGGTCGCCGTGGAAGTGATGCGCGGCGGAAAGATGACGACCCGCACAATGAGTCAGTCCTGATTGTCGGGCCTATGGTTGCGGAGGATGCGCAAGTCATTGAGCAGCATATGCCCCCTGAGCGGTCCTTGTCTGAGGAACCGAATAGCCACCCATACAATATCTACTCGAGTGATCCCCGGAAGCCTGTTCTCTATACCACTATCTCGCGGCGGAGGAAGGGAATGCGCCGGGGAGTTCCGCCTGGTGAAAATCAGAGGGAGATTCTGGAGCAGATCCTAGGACCTTTCAAACACGACCTTGTCAGACTGTAAGGACTTTGACGACAGACAAATTGATGTTTCTCTGCTAATTGCGTTGCCTCCCACAGCTTCATCGACCGATTCAACGTCGCATTCCCGATTTTTGACGGCGAACAGTTCTGGGAGTCTTATATCACAGAAGGATTAGAGGATCCCCCGGCCTCGTTGATCTGTCAAGTATATTCAATGTCTCTCGTATATTGGAAACACACCCAGAAGCTATCATGCCATCCGAAGCCCGACGTTCGATACGCGGTCAACATGACAGTGGCTGCTTTGCACGAGGAGTTTTCTGCGCCTGGACTTTCCACAATTAGCGCGGCGTTGATTGACTTGACGGGAAGGCCTATCTTCTCCATGACCGGAAATGCCATCAGTTGTGGACGGATGTGCTCTTTGGCCAACTGTCTCGGTCTCAACCGTGATCCGAGCCATTGGAAGCTTTCGCAACAGGAGAAAGATCAGCGCGTACGACTCTGGTGGGGTGTCGTAATTCATGATCGCTGGTAAGCCACATTCCTCAACCATCTACCGCCAATGATGATATTATGCTCACACGTTCCACAGGGGAAGCTTTGGTCACGGTGTACCGCCACAGATCGCCAAAACACAATACGATGTACCCTTGCCAACTGTTGATAGCCTGGTTCCTCCAAATCTTCGCACCACCGAACGTGTGAGGGCCGCCCACTGCCATATCTTCTTGTGCAAGTTGACCGAGATTCTTGGAGAGCTGTTGCCTTTGGTCTACGGCTTGCAGGCCAAACCGGCACGCGAAAGCTCCAAGAAGATTCGACAAATTCGGACGGATCTGGATATGTGGGAAGACTCTCTTCCCGAGTGGTTGAGATCACCAGTGAATAACCGCGGCGAGCAATTGTCTGCTTCCAGCAGCTTGCAGCTTGCGTTTTTGGCAGTCAAGATGCTGGTTAGCAGAGTGGAATTGAATGTATGATTCTTTCCATAAAAGATACCCCGTGAACCGTTTACTGACTCGTGAACTATAGGAGGTCAACAACGCAGAGACCGACAACCCCGAGGCTCGTCGCTACTTCCAAACCGAATGCCGCAGGTCCGCAGAAGAGATCGTGCGCTTCATCACCTCCCTACGAAAAGACAACTTCAAAGAATTCTGGCTTCCTTGTATGTACTCATGACTTCGCGTCTTTTTATCCCGTGTGACCAACTCTAACAATTCCCAAAGACAGCGCCTTCCATCTCACCTCCACAGCCACCCTCTTGGTCCGCTGCGCCCTCGAAACAAATGACGCCGAAGTAGCACGCTCCTGTCTCACAAATGTCGAAACCCTGCGCAACGTGCTCCGCCGCGTTCGAGAAGAAGAAGACTGGGATGTAGCAGATATGTGCCTAGATCACTGCGAACGAATCATGCACCGACTGCCCGGTACAGGTGCTACCATCGACCAACCGCTTACTGCGGCGGCAATGGTTGATAATGGGCTGGTCAACCCAGCTGCGATTTCGCTGCCTGAGACACAAACCAACAATGATATTGTGGATGACATGATGTCGATTTCGAATACTTTTGGTACCATGGATGGTTTCCCCTTCGATATGACGGGTATCTGGGATGTTTCCGTCTTCCAAGATGTAAATCTGCATGATGGATGAGAGAACATACATGTACATGAAGGTGTCCTTTCTTTTTCTTGGCTTGTTCATACTGCTGGTCCGTTTGTAGTTTTTTTTTTTTTTTTCTGGTTTACAAGGGCAGGTAGGGCGTGTACTTTTTTTAGATGGGCACATTTTCGCACAGTGTATATACCCAAATGGTCCACATTCAACTCGGGCCGTGCAAATAAAGAATAATATCAGTCTATCAGACTCAAGTTTCTTTTCATATTAAAGCATCTGACCAAATTTTTGTACATAGAAACAAGAGAAATCGAGACACCAAAAGCGCTATTTTACAATCGTTCCAAAGATAAAGGAATGCTCAGAACGAACCCCAAAAAAACCATCTAATGACCTGCCCCTTGCCCGCAAATGACAAAAACAAACCCCAGAGATGATGAGTTGGGAATAAGAAGGAGACGGAAGATCCGGGAAAAGAGATGTCTGCCGCGGTATAGAAGAAGCCGATTACTGCTTGCCGGAACCCATACCGAACATACCGGTGAAAGAGCCCTTCATGCTGTTCATCTGCTCCTGGCGAGCCTTCTCTTCTTCGGCGGCCATCTCGGCCAGCCACTTCTCGCCGTTCTCGCGGATCTCCTTGTCAATCATCTCGTAGTTCTTCTGACCGCGCTCACGGATCTGATCCCACAGCATCTTGCCCTGGGCGAGACCCTCCGAGGGCGACACCTCGCCGTCCAAAGTGCGGCTGGACTTCAGACCGAGAGCAGAGGCAAGGCTGCCCATACCAATAGAGGGCTTCTTCTTCTGCTCTTCGGCGAGCTCCTTCTCGAAGCGCTCACGCATAGCCTTCTCACGCTTGGTGAACTCAACGGGGATGCTGGTGCCCTCGAACGACTTGAGCACGGGACGAACATCCTCCACACCCATACCGGCAAGGTACTCCAGGAAGGGAATAAGGGCAACGAGGGTCTTGTCCTTGGAGTCACCGGTCCACTTGTCCAAAATGATCGCGTTCTCGGGCTGCAGGCGGGCGTGCTCCTCCTTGGTGTCGATCAGGATGACCTTGGACAGGTCACGGTTCAGATAAGACAGATCCTAATTAGGTAATATAAGTCAGACGAAAGCAATTGAGATGATTATCCGGCAGATGGACATACCTTGATATACTCGCCATCCTTGTAGCGTGTAGCCTCACGGAAGAGGGGCCAGCGGATGATACGGTAAGGGTCGAGTTTCCGGAGAACCTGGTCGGCCATCATACTGGGGACACTGGTGAACAGAACGAGCTCGTAGTACTGGTTGAGGTAGCGGAGGAAGTAATCGACACCAGGGCGCTTCGCAACACGCCACCCGTGCTCACGGCTCCACTCGCTGTGAACAAGGAGATCCTCCAAAGACAGAACCAGGGTGTAGGGCTGACGCTGGGTAGGGTCCTCATCGGGGAGTAGCTTAGGGAATGCGGGATCCTTGTAGTAGCTGGTGACCTCACCGGTACGGGCCTTAATACGACCCCACCAAAGACCAGGGCTCCAGCCGGATGGTGTCTCTGTGTGAGCACGTTCCTCCTCCTCGGTCTCCCAGTTGCGGCCCAGGTAACCCATACCAGCAATACCCGCGGCCAGCATCACAGCGTACATGATGTTGGCCATGCGGGCCTTGCGGCGGTCGAGAGAGGTTTCGTATCCGCTCTTGGGAATATCACCACCACTACGGCCGCTGCCATCCTCGCTATAATCTTCCGTTCGGGTGTGATCCTCTGTGATGTTCAGAGATCCCTTCCTCTGGCGTGCTTCTAGCTCTGCGGCCAATGTCGACGGGATACCCTGGGTGAGATCGGGGAGGGGTTGTTGGGGAATCTGCTCTGCTTCGGGCTATACGAATGAATCAATCAGAATGATGTGTTCTTCCGGTTCATGGTGGGTGATTGAGATAGATAGCTTACAGCGACTGGAGACTCGGACGCTTCGGTCTCCGACTTGGCCTGTGTATCAGACTCGGGCTGCTCAGCAGGAGTCTGTTTCTTTGCCGCCTTGGGCTTCTTGACTTGGGGCTCCTTGCCTTGCAACGACTCCGGGAGGGTATACGGAGCACTGTCCTTGCCCTTTGCGTACCACCGGGGTCGCTGAGCAGACAGAGCGGACACCCGGACGGTCGAGGCGAGGACGTTGCGCCTGGCAAGAGGCAGCACGGCACGGCTCAGCATGACTGGGATTGGCAAATATGAAATTATTAAAGATAGACAAGAAACAGTGCACTCATGCCCTTGCACTTTCAGCTTGGAAGAATCACGTCCTCGGCTTCGGGACGAGTTTCCCGCAGAAAAGTCGGCGCGCGGTGAATCGGGTGGACGAGAGGAGCCAACTACGCAGTTCCTATTTATTTTGCCCAAGTCTCACCCTGACAACTTTCCCTCTTTTTCTTCTCCATGAAAGTTGTACCCAGACATTAATTTGACCCTGCACGCGCTTCTTTTTACGCATGTCGGGTTGTATTAGCTGGGGAGACCAAATGAAGATTCTCTTCTGAATTCCCACTTCCAAGAGCCGCAGCGAAGGCATCCTCTGATGCTGTAGCTCCGTACGTGGGTTACATTCCTTTTTCGTCTTATTGATTCTTGATTTTGTTTGAGGTCTCATCTGCCTAGAGACGGAAAGATAATCTCCAGACTCTACCAGAAAAACCAAGAGATCAAAATACAAGTCATGCCGGCCCTCAGTTAAAACCGAACATCCAATCTACTTGAACTATGAACCCCGAGTCCAGTCCCTAGTCCCGTGCCGCGTACAATTGTTTTATAGACTTTCCCCCTCGCCACCTCAACCTTGGAACCTTCCCTTCCTCACCATGCGGCTCAAAAAATCACAAAGGGCCGAGTTCTTCGAGGAAGAAGAAATCATCCCCGAAAAGCCCGCGCCACGACGACGCATTCCATCCAAACCCTTCCGTCTTCTGGATTTACCGTCCGAGATCCGCGAGCGCATCTACCATTTCGCCCTGTTCACTCCGGCGCGGAAGAGCGCTCTGAAGAAGAATGGCACCGTGGGCGCATCCGCAAAGAAAAGCAAAGCTTTCTCCCCAACGTCACAGCGCATCGCGTTGTTCTTGACCTCGCGCCGTATTCACGATGAGGCCAGTTATTATTTCTACTCGACGCAAATTTTCCGGCTCTTCCCCGTGCAGGATTTCGCGAAAATGCCGACCGTCCGCCAACTACCCCGTCGCCACCGCGGTTCCGTGACCACGATCGAGTTGATTCTCGGGAATAGCTGGACTGCTCCGCCGCGAACATGGACTGTCAATCAGGGCTTGGGTCTGCACGATATGGTCCTCACGCGCACGTTGAAGGTCTTTCTCGAATGCGATCCCTCGCAGCCGATCTTTGAGGGTTTCCGGGTCTCCAAGGAATATTACACCGAGTTTGCGGGGCGACTTATGCGACAGGTTCTGGAACGACTGCCGGGTCTGGTCCAGGTCGAATTCGATGCGTATCCGTCGGTCCACAAGAACGGGTCTTTGATGACCCGGTTGCTGCAGGAGACTCGAGACTTTAACAAGAAAGTTCTATGGGGCCCAGAGAGAGGCTGGGTAGACGACGAAGACGATTATGATGATCCGGAAAAGGATCCGGCAGATGCGGCCATCGATGGCCTGCGTGCCTCTCATCCGGGGGTTGATTTTCTGGCAGACTCACTGCAGCTCGTGAGTTTAGAAACGGAGACGGTGGCCGCATAGACCACTTCGAAGTGATAGATGTGATAGACGTGATCATGATTTGGGATATAGTACATCGCGCGGCGTTATAGACTTGCTTTGGTGTTTTGATTACACATAGAAATATACAGATTTCGGTTCTACCGCCAAACTCCGTCGTCTGTAGGCTCTCGCGTCCCTGCCAGTCACTTGAGACTACTCAAGTACTCTAATGTCTAGGCTCTGAACAAGACCTCATGTTTGCCTAATGACTAGCCCAAGCGCACTACGTGCAGATGCCGTTTGATAGGATGAAATGAGAATCAAAGACAATGGTTCATAATTAGAGCGTTTTCATAGGTTTCATGCGCCTTCTAACCCTCTAAAGTTCCTCATCCACCTCCATGGAGGCATCGTTACCACCGTCCTTGGCTGCTGACTGCCGAGCAACAGATGCTTCCTTGTCAATCATCTGCCTCGACACGGCAACGATGTTATCCTCAATCAATTGCTGGCTGACGTCTTCGATGTCTGTTGAGGACAATTAGTAAATGTTACTGCATAGTAGCCAATATCAGGTTTAAACATACGCTTCTTCGGATCAACCTTGCCGACATATCTCGTCTTCAGCTGCTCTTTGGTCAACTCGGTCTCTTCCTTCACCCGCTTCTCGTAGCCCTCGGCAAGGCTGACGAGCTGTTTCATCTGATCCACGTTGTGCTTGCCCTCCTCATGGAAGTCGTTCATCTGCAAAGCCTCGGTCCACACATGCTTGTGCAGGCTCATCAGCATGTTCTCCTCCAGCCCTGTCTTCCGGTAGTTGATAGCAATGCTGTAGTAGTGGCGGTTGAGACCGTGAATGAGGGCCTGGATCGAGGGCTTGTTCAAGTGACCCAAGTTTGACGTTGTTTGGCGGGGCTCCTGGCCCATGACGACAGTCTGGGGTTGAATGAGACGGAAAGCATCGATGACAACCTTGCCCTTCACCGACTGGATGGGATCCACGACAACAGCGACGGCGCGGGGAGTGAGCTGCTCGAAGGATTGTTGGGTGTTGATATCGACGGAGGACAGCCAGCAGCCGAAACCGGGGTGGGAGTGATACCAGCCAACGACAGTCTCTGGCCTGTTCGAGCAAGAATAAAGAAAGTATGTTAGTGAAACTCCTCAATAATCTTATGGCAGCTACGGCCATAAACGTACCGTCCGGTTTGTCGGAGCATCTCCATCATCTTGGTCTGGAACACAGGGTCCACGGCCTCGACACTGACACCGGTACCACTTTGAGGCATAGCGAAAACATCCACCACTCGAACTGTATATTCATCGACAAACTCTCCCAGCATCAGGCCCATGACTTCCATCGGCACACCAGCACGGCCGTGTCGCAACATCTTCAACAAGGCAAGGGACGAGATATGGACGGTTTCGGAGTTATCAATGAGGTTTGGAGTATCCTGTATCATAATACAATTAGATTCCGACATGATATTCAAGATCATCTTTGGGATGTAGCTTATAAATGCAAGCGTAGGAGCTCAAATGCAGAGGGACACATGGCGACACCGAGGCCGCCACCATCATGACTTACACCACCGGGAGCACCACCACCCATGCCGATGCCTTGAGCGGCCTGTAGCATTCGGTTGATGCGGTCCATGATGACTGGAAGCAACTAAGCGAGTTGCAAGGAGAGAGAGATATGAGTGATTGATAGCTTCCCAACCGGAAGCTTCTGCGAAGTCGGAGAACTCAAACGACTCGAAGGAATATAACGCGGTGGATAGCGTTGCGCAGCAGTATTTAAGAGCAGTGCTATGGAAAGATGAATAGAGGCTTAAGCAACCGTTTGAATGAGAAGGGAAGTGTTCGCGAGGTGTTTGGTTGATGATCCAGGCGGCTCCAGGAGCTTGACTGACGAAGGCGGTCTGGACTTCTGCCGGCTATGGTGCCTTTCCCACGCGGCGATTGATTCTCTCAAGCCTCCCGTCTTTCCTTCAGCGCCATGAGCATGACAATTCTAGCCTGCCGTTGATCTAGCGTTGCCTAAATCCTTAGGCAGTCTCTGGTAACCTGGCTTGTCTGCGTTCCTGTGCTCCCCAGCTATAAAACCACCCCCATCCCCCTCATTGCTGCTTCCTTTACTCCGCATACTTCCTCTCTACCTTCTTGATTGAGATCTTCCCATACCTGCCGGCACATCCGACCAGTCTTTCGCCTACCAACGCGCAAAATGGCGGCTGAACCTGTTGCCAATGGCTCCGGTGCCAACAACAAGAAGGTGGCTTACTTCTACGACTCTGATGTGGGCAACTACGCCTACGTTTCGGGCCACCCTATGAAGCCTCATCGGATTCGCATGACCCACAGCTTGGTCATGAACTACGGGCTGTACAAGAAGATGGAGATCTATGTATGGCTTCCCTTGCTCTGTTAACTGTTTCTGGATAAAACCCTCCATTACTTACGCGCAAACTACTATAGCGTGCGAAGCCGGCTTCAAAGTATGAAATGACCCAGTTCCACACCGATGAATACATCGATTTCCTGTCGAAAGTGACGCCAGACAACATGGATCAGTTCTCAAAGGAACAAAGTCGGTACAATGTCGGTGATGACTGCCCAGTATTCGATGGTCTCTTCGAATTCTGCGGTATCAGTGCTGGTGGCAGCATGGAGGGTGCCGCCCGGTTGAACCGCGGAAAGTGCGACGTTGCTGTCAATTGGGCCGGTGGTCTTCATCACGCAAAGAAGAGTGAAGCCAGCGGTTTCTGCTACGTTAATGGTGAGAGATGATTACCTCTCCAAAAAAAAAATCGGCGCGCCTTAGCTAACCTTTCGTCTCATCAGATATCGTACTCGGTATCCTCGAGCTGCTCCGATTCAAGCAGCGCGTTCTCTACGTTGATATCGATGTTCACCATGGTGACGGTGTGGAAGAAGCGTTCTACACCACGGACCGCGTCATGACCGTCTCCTTCCACAAGTACGGCGAGTACTTCCCCGGCACCGGTGAGCTTCGCGACATCGGTGTCGGCTCGGGCAAATACTATGCCGTTAACTTCCCCCTGCGCGACGGTATCAACGATGCGTCCTACAAGAGCATCTTCGAGCCCGTGATCAAGAGCGTCATGGAGTGGTACCGTCCGGAGGCGGTCGTCCTCCAGTGTGGTGGTGACAGTTTGTCCGGCGACCGTCTCGGTTGCTTCAACCTCAGTATGCGCGGGCATGCCAACTGCGTCAACTTCATCAAGAGTTTCGACTTGCCGACTCTGATTCTCGGAGGTGGTGGTTACACCATGCGCAACGTCGCACGCACTTGGGCCTACGAAACCGGCATCCTGGTTGGAGATAACCTTGAATCCGAGCTGCCCTACAATGACTACTATGAGGTGAGACCTTTATGAGCTAGTGGTAAATCATCCGAAACTCAGCATACTGATAAAATTCACCAGTACTTCGCCCCTGATTACGAGCTTGATGTCCGTCCCTCGAACATGGACAATGCCAACACCAAGGATTATCTGGACAAGATTCGCAACCAGGTTGTGGAGAATCTCAAGCGCACAGCCTTTGCGCCGTCTGTTCAGATGACGGATGTTCCTCGCAATCCGATCCTTGACGGTATGGATGACGAGGCAGACGACGTTCTCGACGACCTTGATGAAGACGAGAACAAGGACAAGCGATTCACCCAACGTCGCTTCGACCAGTACGTTGAGAAGCCCGGTGAACTCAGCGATAGCGAGGATGAAGAGGTAAATGCCGCCAATGGTGTTCGCCGTCAGCCCGGTACTATTCGTCGCCGAAATCAAACCAATTACAGGAACATTGATGCTGCGGACTCTGGCCTTGATAGCGGTATGGCTACTCCGTTGGACGCATCCTCGATTGCCGACAACGAGATGGATTCTGCCCTGGACGCAAAGATGACAGACGTCCCAATGACCGAGTCTGGTGCCGTTACTGGTGCCGAAGGCCAGGATACTCCCATGGCTGATTCCGAGCGCATGGCTGTGGAAGGCGAGGATAATGGTACCTCGGCTGCTGTGTCTCAGCAACCTTCCCCTCCCGCACTCGATGAAGATACCGCCATGGAAGACGCCGTTGCGGTTGCCGAAGAGGCTGAGTTGCCAGGAGCTCTCGACACACAAGATGAAAAGAAACGTGAAGTTTCATCTGCCGCTGATGAGACAATCAAGGCGCCGCTATCTCCCTCCGGCGCTCAACCGGTGTCAAAGGAGTCTTCCGTGCCCGCCGCAGACGCCTCTGCAACAGAGCCTGCACCAGCGACTGGCGATTCGGAGTCAAAGCCAGCATCTGGAGTGACTACGGAGGAGCCGACAAAGAAGGAGGAATAAACCTCCTGTGATACAAGACATCAATATCGGGTCTAGGCGCAACGGACAATTGGGCAGAAAGGTGTTATCGGTTTGTCGGCATGCACGTATTCTGTTCGGCCATGGAGGCATGATCGTGTCTCTCGTCATACAAATTGCGGGGAAACGTTGTTTCGGACGTCGAGGGTCAGACGATTCTTGTCTATTTGGTCGGATGTGATCAGACAGATTTATCAAGGTTCATATCCAACATCATCCTGGAGTACGTCGTTCTAAATGGCTGGAAAGGGATCGGTTTTTGTCTCTTCGATCGAGTCTGCTCTATTTTTCTTTTCCTTTTTTCAATCGATTTGACTTATGATTCCATCTGTACAAGCGCGTCAATGAAAGCTTTTAATCCTACCTACAATACATGCAACGAGGAGACTACTCGATTCGTTCATTCATGTTCAGATAGCTTGGGCAATTTGTCGAAGCTCCTATGATTCCTTCTTACAGAGTAGCTCTAATATCCATGCACGGTATTTGTATCGAATTTAGCACATCTCGTCCATTCGTTATCTCTATTGATTGTCCCAACCTTGTACCTCGTATGAAGTATACAGTGCTCTCCAGCACGTGACCTTAAGGAGCTCCCGATGACCTAATCCATTTGCGGCCCTTCTCCTAAAGCGGCCTAGCGCTAGGGCAACCCCGTCCCACCAATCGGGGCGGCGCCAAGATTTTCCTCACCCACCAGCGCACTAAGCGAGACGAGAAAGCACTGTGGACGTTTCTTCGACTCCCGACCTGACCTTCCGTCGCCAACCCTTTTCGCCCATCTCGACAACCCCGATACTCAGCCATCATGTCTAAGAGAGGGTAAGTCTGACTGCCCTGCATTCGAATCAAACGCACCAAAAAAAACCACCCGGGAGAGTTTTCGCGGAGGATTTCGACGACCGGATACGCAACATCTTCAACATCGAATATCTCGACCTGGGAAGGGACTCTTTGGACGCGGCCGACTCGAATGCTACACACCGGAGAGAATGAACGGAATGACTGACTTGAATTGATGTATAGTCGTGGCGGTGCCGCCGGCAACAAGCTGAAGATGACCCTCGGTCTGCCTGTGTACGTTTCACCTTGAAGATTTCTCCTACGCCGTGTCCCTCGTCCAGTAAAGCTTCGACAACCCGCCAATTGCCAATCGCCATGGTCGAACCGATTTGCGCCTGCTCGCCAATACTCGCCAAATTTTCGATATCAAATTTCCGACAAGACCAAACTACGACGAATCGGCATTGGCGGGGAAAATATCGAAATCATCGGAAGAGGCGACACGGCCTGGGAGAATCAAAAATCAGCAACGCAACTGAAAACTAACGGTCTCGTTTCTCTCGAATAGCGGCGCCGTGATGAACTGCTGCGACAACTCCGGTGCTCGCAACCTGTACATCATTGCCGTCTGCGGTATTGGTGCCCGCCTGAACCGCCTCCCCGCTGCCGGTGTCGGTGACATGGTCATGGCCACCGTCAAGAAGGGAAAGCCCGAGCTCCGCAAGAAGGTCATGCCCGCCGTTGTCGTCCGCCAGAGCAAGCCCTGGCGCCGGGCTGACGGTATCTACCTGTACTTCGAGGACAACGCTGGTGTTGTAAGTGGACGATCCTTCTTTTCCAGTCGGGGGAAAGGGTGTGGAAGTGTATGAGACGAGTGCATGATTCAAGATCAATCTTCAGGGTTGTTTGGGATTATTTCTCGTCGCATACACTCTACCCCAGTCTTCCTCCCCGCATTTTATTTCTCTGCGTCAGCATACTCATTCTATTTTTCTACAGATCGTCAACGCCAAGGGTGAGATGAAGGGATCCGCCATCACCGGTCCTGTCGGTAAGGAGGCTGCTGAGCTTTGGCCCCGTATTGCCTCCAACTCCGGTGTCGTCATGTAAAGAGAGCAGTGAAAACGGAATAAAACAACAAAATTTCAACGATACCAAAACCTGACTCCTTGGGACCTGGGAATAACGGGGTGCATTTTATGGCATTATTGTGTGGAGAGAGAGAGAATAGCCAAAAAAGGCAAGAGGAATCTTAACGTGACGAATTCCACCGATGTTATTTCGAGCCGGTTTTATTTCCCTCCCTCCATTCGTGTTTTTTCTTCTCTTTGAACACTGGCGACTCGAGGAAGTATACTGAAAAAATACTACCTTTTTCATGACAACTTCTGGTGCTTTTGTATGATGCTGCTCTTGCTGTACGTTCATGGTTATGGGTTGATTTATGAATTCTCATGGCTTATGGCTCGGGATGTCATCTTGGGTGGACGTAGTTGTAGTTCTGCTTCCACGTAGAGAGAGGGAGGCTGTACAGCGTCACGGTAGTTTACCCAAACTCGGTGCTATCTCGATCTACCATGCGGAGCATAGCTTGAGTGTTCATACTAAGAATCTACATGACTATGTTCTGCTTATACTTTACGGAATGCATCTCCTGTCATGAAATCTCAAGCATCCTTATACGGTACTATACATAACTGCGAATATACATATCGATCGTGACAGGCAGTCAATCTATCTATTACCTCTTCGAGTCATCGTCACCACGAGCCTTACCCGGCGTCTGTCCTCTAGACACCTTCTCAACAGGCTTCTCATCCTTCGATCTCGACGCATCCCAATACGTCATCTTACTCGTCTCAAGCTCACCAGTCTCAGTGTCCAACACTCTCGTAACCAATACAAGTAATCCAACAATCACGGTGACCAAAATCAGCACATGCACCGTCCACCAAATATGCTGTACACCAGCCGGACACATCGTAATCTCGTAATCCCATTCACCAATGCTGGCATCAAACCAAGCCGAGAGAAGGCCCGCATTCCCTCCAAACTCGCCCATCATAGCGCGCAGGGTCACCTCGCGGATTGACGGGGTAGTCAGCTTCTCCGGTCTGTACTTGTTGAAGCGCTTGGCAGCCCACTTCCAGCTCTGAGTCTCAGAAGAGCCTTCGGGTTCGCCGGTTCTCTCGGCGGTCCGGTTGATATAGTGGATAACGTCGCAGCCGGTATGATCGTGGCCGGTTAGGATAAGTCCCTTCCGGCCATAGCCACCGTGAGCGGCATTCTCGTCACCATTCAAGCCGAAGATACCCTGCAAGATACCGCTAGCACTAATGTGATCACTGAGGTGGTTCTGTTCTCTCAGACCGCCGGACTTCCACCGCGGAACGCCATCCAGTCCATCGCTGTCATCTTCATCATGGAAAGTGAAATAGGGCCCATCGGTACAGATCCCATCTCCCTTGTGCATGGGCAAGTGTGTAAGAAGCAGGGTGAACGTTGAGCGGTCTTCAACCGGGTACAGGCGCTCGCTGATCAGGTCATTCAGGTACGAGTAGCTGCGAGTCTGAAGATCCTCCACCAAAGCAGGCGTATCAAAAAGAAGCGTGTTCAGATTGATAAGGTGCAACGTCGGCGTAATGACCGACCCATCAGAGTCGTTACCTCCACGCGAAACGGGAGGATGCTGGAAGCGAATATCCCAATCGGCGCGGCCAAACTCGCGCTCAAAGCGCTCCATCCGCGCCTTGCTCACGTCCCCTGCGTATCCGATATCGTGATTCCCCGCGATATTGATGATGCGCCTCGGCCAGGCTGGATCTGCCTCTGGTCCCAGGGGTTCCAATTGCTGCTTAGCATGGCCTTGACCACCAGCCAGCGCCCCCGTCGAGGTAAGATTATCATCCACGCGCTCTGCTCCACGGAAAACCCGTGTCCAGTATCGCGTACTGCGCCACGAGAATTCCTCATCATCAATCCATTGGCTCCCCAGAAGATCGCCCAGCACTGTTGTATGCGTTGGCCGAGTCCACCAGAACAGGGTACGATAGATATGCGCAAGATAGTAGTCGTTTCCGAACAGGTCTACCTGCTTCAGGGTCGCACGAACAGACCGGGCTACATCCTCGGTAACGAACGTCTTCAACCCAGTCGTAATATTATCGAGAACATTCTGGTCGAGGAGGGCCTTTGGGAGGGGCATCGTCGCAGAGGCTTCGACGACTGCTTCCTGAATAGCAGCCCAATGTTTGCGCATGCGCGGAACAAGCTTCCAATCAGGCAATGGCAGAGACGAGTCGCCTTCAAGCTGCGGGTCCGCGAGGACTAGCAGCCGAAAAATGGCGGGTTGGTTGTCCGACGTCGCGTCCGGGGTGCGGAGGTGTTGGAGGAAGGTATTGACAGCGACATTTTGCTGCAGCCTGCTGACAATCGAAGCGTTATCGCCAGTTGCGGATTGAACTCGAGGCAGAGGGAACCCACAGCCATTGAAGACGGGGTAGAGGTAGAGGTAGACGGAGGCTGCGAGGGTGACCGGGAGAAGGAGCGTAAACACGCGGCCGAGGAGCGCGCGGAGGAACATGAGGGTCGTGGGTCGTGGGTATTAAAAATGCTTATGAATGAATAATATACAGCATAATGAATATAAGGGTCAAAGGAGGGGAACTGCGAAAGGGAGGGAATGGCGCGGATTGTGGGTTAAGGGTGATAAAATAGCGGAGGCTACTCTGAACTGTAGCCCGCTCCACAAGTGGCTCCGCCTCAGCTACTGTAGTAGCAACTCGGCCTGCTCTGGAGTAAAATGCTTAAACATGAAATTGGCACTCTTTGATTGTATTGAAGAGTTCAATCTCTCTCCAGTGCTGTAGTATCCAATCTCGCATTATTGGTCATATTTAGGTGCTTGGTCAGCTACCTAAATTGCTGTACATATTTTCTATCAGGCATTCACAATGGGTGCCGTTTCCCGACAATATATAGTTCCAAACCCCTTCACACCTGCTACCCACAAGAATACATTCATGTAAGAAAACCTACAGCCCAGATTTACCAAATCTACATGGAGTGACACCAACAGAGAATAAAGCCAAGAAATTAAGATTATCTACAAACCCACGAATATTCGTATATAGGAAAAGATAATCCAAGATTGAGCCACAAATCACATCCACATCATTCCACCATATCAATCATCCTCCACATAAGCCAGAAATCATTCAACCTAGATCATCATACAGACAAAGTCTGCCCACATCAACCTTTCATATCCACGTCATTGTAGAAGAAAAGAAAAGAAAAGAAAAGATTGGCCGTAGCCAAAAAAAGAATGGAACGGAAAGTCGAGTTCGGAGATCGAGGGGGTATATCACATCAAACGCCAAAAGGGTAGGGGGTGCAAAGGGGGTAGTGTAGTGGGGAAGAGATAGATAGCAAAGGAAATAATAAAAGATCAGAGGGAAATATAGATAAACAGATAGAATGGGATGCAAAGGGGGAATGGGGGATTTCACGTAAATCCGGGGTAGATGGCAACAATAGATAGCAACTCGTTGAGATGGGGCTAGGAGCCCCTCGTGTGCCAGTAATGTAGCAAGATCTTCGGTGTCCGACAAGAAGGGTTTACTTCGATTCGGACTTGGCCAGCGGATCGGGGAGGAGAGGTGAGTTTCCAACCTCGATTTCACCGAGTGGATTTGGCTGGTGATCATTTGTGCCCTCAGTCTCGTTCTCCAATTGTTCATTTCCCGTGTCGGTGTACGAATTGGCAGCCGAGGAGGGCAATTTAGCCAGGTTCAGACCATCAATCCGAAGGCCCTTGTCATCTTCATCTTCCTCCAGCAATTGACCCGGTTGCTCCGAGCCGGTTGGAAGACTCATCAGCGCCGGCGGGCGTGTTTGCATCAGGCGAGCCTGTTTGAGACTGATGGTCTTTTGCTTGTTTGAAGTTTCCACCTTTCCAGACAGGTCACGTTCGATGGTCGCTTTCATTAAGGCGGCCATCCAAAGACGGCCTTCCTGAACGCTGTCGACCTGGAAGTAGTGGGTGGTCGGCTTGGTGAACTGCACGGTACGCGAGTTGTTCGATTTCGGAGGCACCAGTTTGAAGAAGAATGGACCGTTGCCTTCCTTGCTCGCGAGCGAAGCAAGGACGGCGGGCGTGGTGAGCTTGTCGGTAGCACTGGCGTTGGCGTTGGCGGGCTGTGCGGTGGAGCCAGTGACTGTTGCGTGCAGAGCGATGATGGGGTCATTGTCGGCCCGCAGCACACGATGAGCGGTAATATCGATCAGACCTCTCTCTTCCGTGTCTTCTTCGGAGTAGTAGTAGGACAGACGGCGACCGCGTAGGACAAACAGCCGGGGCTTCCATGTGGTCATCAAATTGGACGACCGTTTCTTCATCCAACCACTATAGTCGCAGCCGTCTATCTGCTCTCTGGGAGACTTCTTCTCCAAACCACGAGTGTAGGCGCTAGTGTCCTTCTTGGACTTGACAGTCCGCGGCCGAACGACAAACCCGGCACCATCAACGGCCTTGCCAGAGCCATCTGTACTGTGGCGTTCAGAGCTCTTGGACGTGGCAGATGGAGTAGTAGATCCAGTACGACCAGACATGGGATCGTAATCGCGAGGCGAGACCGGAGCGGAATTGTCACTACCACCTTTGGCAACAACATCAGAGATGGTACGTAGGCCGACTGCTTTTCGAATCTTGGGTCCGGCACCGCCCATCTTTGGCAGCTGGAAGGGCATAGTTGAAGAGCGAACATTGCCCTCTGCCTTGGTATCCGCCTTGATATCCCTCACGTCGGCCTTGTTGTCGGCCTTGGAGTCGTTCTTGGTTCTGATCAAAGGCCCAAAGCTCGAGAAGAATCCAGACTTGCCTTCGGGGTTAGAAGACTGCGACTCGTTCCCGCTTCGAGTGGAGACCCGAGTACTCATGCTCCTGAATCGACTCTTAGGTGGGGTTCCATGATAAGCCTGGGCAGCAGGCGAGACATGGGGGGCTGCATCGCGCATAGAATCGATACTGGCAATCCGAGATTGGCGCTGGCCTGCACTTCTGATTCGGTAGGGGTCTTCCGCGTAGCTTGACTTTCGAGAATGGCTGATGCTACCCCCGGTGGAGGTTCGCTTCTGCAAAAGGCGTCGAGACCGGCGCGAGTCCACCTCGGTTCCAGAAAAGTACCCTCGCTCAAGATCGTCGTACTGCTCTGGAGTGTTAGGTTCCGACCCGGTGACTTGCGGTCCGCGGTAAGCTGAATTCCCAATGGATGTTCCCGGGCGAGCAGGCAACGGTTGAGGTCCACTGTTGAGCGTCCACGATCGATCGAAAGAAGGCTTTTTCTGGTGGCTGCCATTTGTAGCAAAATCAGGCATACCACGGGTGGTGGCATCGATAGAAGAGTGTCGCCGATTGTAGTCACGGATCGAAGCTGCTGACACTCTTCTTGGAGAGTCATTGCCGAATTGAGGCGTCATGGGGGTCATGGGAGAGCTGCCGTTGCTAGCTAGCCTTGGATGTTGTCCAGGAAGGGTGGAAATCCGAGGCACATAGCCTGAGCCAGTTCTTTCAGAGACAGATGGGATTCTGGGCAGGAATGGACCAGTATGACCTGCGCGAGACAGTGAGCGCTCTTCGGGGACTGCAGGACCCGCATAGCTAGAAATTGAGCCCCTCGCAGGTTGTTGTGTCTGGGGCTTGATGCCCTTCACTTCCTCTTGGAATGCCTTGATCTTGTGCCAGGTCTTGAGTCGCTTGCCCATGACACCAAGATCAAAGTGTTTCATGAAAATGGTATCCTGATCCATCTCAAGAATCACATCACCAGTAATTTCCTCCCTTTCGAAAATATCGCAATGGCTGGGATCTACCCCAAGTTCACGCAGATGCTTTGATGTCTCGGCGGGGGTCCAACAGCGAACTTCATCAACTGTTGGCTGTGTGTTTTCTTCTTCGTCTGTCTCGTTGCCATTGATGTAGGAAATACGATGGCTCAGGTGACTGCTGTATTCGCTTCCCGAATCATTGATCGTCTTTGCCTCTTGCGTGGACACACTATGACGAGGGGTGTTCATGTCCGTGATGTGCTCGTCGATAACACTCAATGTCTCATTCATCACAGGGCTATCCTCACCATTCGTATGGCTATCAATGGACCTGCGAAAAGCATCTTGAATGTTTGCGGCTAGGCTTGGGCGCGGTAGCGGAGACGAAGCAGAGCGTTGTTGCTGGGGAGAGCCCAGAACCTCGGAGGTGCTGGCGTGTCGCGATGCCTGAGGTGTTGTTTGCTCGCTTCCAATAGAATTGAAAGACGTATCAACGGGAGTGGATGGCTCCATCTCCGTGGGTGACTCCGTGTGTTCGGATGCAATTACCCCTGGGGGTGCGGGGTCGGTCTGGATGTGCTCCAGCGAGCTGGGAAGTCTATAGCTAGTCGGAACCTCGTGGGCATGCGCCTTTCTAGTGAAGCCTACATCAGGGTGTTAGTGGTGGCTTGTTTTTACCCCTCTTCTTCTCCGTTCTAGAACCCCATGTGTGGGCATCGGAGGCGCATACCTGCTGGGAAGAGGCCCTTTTGGCCGGTTCCGGGGTGTTCGCCCAGCCACCATCCATCCTGAAATTCTTCATCCATCTCCTCTAGCAAAATCACATCGCCACGCTTCATTCGCAACTCATCATCTCCACGCGGGGTGTGTTCATCTGTGACCTGTTAGGCGCATTGGTCTTGGGCGAGCGATTGCGGAGGGGGTGCGCAAGAGACCTCGCGCGAGCCGATCGATGGTCGCAAGCTTGGGCGGGACTTACGGAGAACCCAGAGATAATTCCCGCGCTGGACATTCAGAGGCGGCGCAGGGGTTGCGTGCGCATTGGCGGCCATTTTGTCGAGGATTGATCGCAAGACTCGTTTCCGTCCGGTCTTCCAGGATGGGAGCCGAGGCCGAAGAGCGAATGGTTCGGGATGGACAAGTTAAGCGTAGGACATGGGGGCCGTCGTAGCCCTTCCGGGGGAAGTAGACAAACAAGCAATCGAGTTATTGACTGTCGGTCGGGAATCTTGCGATGGTTGAGATATGTGAACTCGGGGAAAAGGGGAGGGAATGCAACAGGAGCAGGAGGAATCTAGCGCGTGAAAGGCGAGAGCACACGGTCAGGGCTTTAGGTCATTAGCTCGCGGGGTTCGGGAGGGTAGACTAACCTCAAAAAGTGGACCGGAAGCTTCGCTCTCGAAGCGCGCGCAGGGTTCAGGTGCTCAGTGCACAGATGAAACAGCCGTTGAGCGGGTTGATGGAGGGGGAGATCTTTAGGGCGTGGCAGGTTCGATCTACCAATCCAGTGGGCCGGACGGATGGATCCTGGCGTAGATTCTTTGGATCTGAAGAATGAGACCTCCAGTGGATGTTTGTTGGGATTGTTGAGTAGGAAAGTCGAACGAGTACGAAGTACGGAGTAGTCCAAGTCTTGGAAGTACAGTAGTCGAAAGGACCAGTGTGTGGTGGTTCCACCACAAAACCCACTAGAGGCGATATCGTCACTAAGGGAGGCAAGCGAAAAAAAAGAGGCGTGGGCTAGCGAAGCGACCACCAGACAAGAAAAAAAAAAAAGAGCCACCAGATATTTCCTCCCAGGCGATTTAGAACAACCCAAATGGGGCCCGAAGTGACGTGTGCGGCCGTCAAAGGGTTTTCGAGGGTTCTGGATGCTGGTTAATCCACAATTCCACGGTTCGATGGTTGAATGAGAGGGGACCCGCACTGGAGGTCTTGTAGGTCTTGTACTTTAGAGTCTTAGCAGTCCACCAAGTAGTCCGGCTTGGCCTTGGCCAGCTTAGGCACTGACACTGACAGTAGCTGGTTATAAAGGCCTGCGAGTCTACGACAAGGTGGATTGGAAAGACGAGCGGCTGAGTGGGTTGCACGGCAGTTGGCTGAGGGGCGCAATTGGGGAAGAACCGGGGAACTGTCAAGATTGGTGGATTATTGGAGGACTGAAGAAGGAGGGTAATTTTTGAAGAGGAGATAAAGGAATAGAAGAGTAGAAAAGATAAGATGGATCTCTAGTCAACAATAATCAGTTCGCTAAGAGCTTTTATTGACGAGTCAATAGACGAGTGTGGATAGGTCGACCGTTCTCTGTAGAGTCGTACTCTGTTTCGAGGACTCGGGACTGATGGATGCATCCAGAGGAATGTGGTCATGCTTGCAGCCCAACAGCACCAAAAGTACTGGTAGTGCCTGCTAGGACTGTGTAGCAGAGTAGTATTAGACAGTCTGGTGTGAATATTGGTCCCAAACAATCCGATTATTAGGCAATAGTTACTCTGTACTGGACCAACTTCCACTTAGGAAAGTCCGATGATCAGCGCCGATCTATACAACTCCGGAGCTTCGACTAAGATTGATCGTACCATCACAATTGTCTTGATTACAATTCAAATCGTCGGCACTATAACCTGTGTATCTATGAGGAAGAGTAGGCTAATATACTAGTAATGTGATGATATCTGCATAGTTAATGCCTGAGAAAGTATCACAGACTCGTCCATGGCGAATCCTCAAACTTATACTGTAGTTCCCAGCCAGTAGATCGGCAGAGATATGCCTAGGCGTCCGATCCAAGCACCACACTCAATTAGTCTCGTAGGGTACTCCGTACATGATAACAAACATGCAAATTCGGTACATTGTCTGTACTTTGTGCTTCCTGGTATACCCTGTCATCCTTGTCTAAACAGGTCCTTGGTACTTCATCCGCCGCGAAATCTAGGCAAAAGAACACTAGGGCATTTCATGAGAAATGAACGTTGGTCTTCTATAGAAGCTGAATAGTTTGGATGAATGGGTCTAATTATCTAATATTCGTAATCTAACTACCATCTAATGTATACTGTTAGTCCGACCAAATCATCGGTGTACTCCCGCATCTTCAGAAGCCTTTCCCCCTCCGTTCCACCCAATCACCAGAAAAGAGTGCAATAAAGCAAACTGGTAACCAGTTGATCAGAGTTACCCCATTAAATAGCTGGAAAGGGCTGGTGTGATGGGACGAATTAAGCCCTTCTCTGTACATAAGAGTTGGTGGAAGGCTGTGGCGTCTAGTCGGTGACCCATTGGTACTTTCTTTGTTCTTTGTCCAAACCACTTCAGAGCAAACACTCTGTTGCTCTTAACCAGATCCCTTTTCCTTCCCAGGGTCCTGACGATGACCTTCCCTTCGCCATGGTATCTCCCACGCTCCAGCGATCACGTCGCCCTGTCGATCATCATCTTGAAGAGTCCAACTCCACTGCAAGCTTGTTCCTGGGCGGAGTGCGGAGGGATTGGATGGCTTCGGCGGGGACCAGCCCACGCGAGGCGAGACCGGCCGCCATGTCTCCTCCGAAACCTCTGAATTCTCATACAGTGGCTGCTCCGTCCAAGGTCTCTCAAGGGATTGATCCCCCTGGACCTGCAGAGCTTTCCTTGATGTCACCTGTGACACCAGATGCCAATCTGCAACCCTCCGTCCCCTCCCATCCACCCGCCCGCAAACCCGACCCTCCGACGGCTGCACTTCCCTCGCCTGTCCCAAGCCCTGGCGCTCATCCGAGCCCGAGTCTTTCTCCCCGTCCCACAATTCCCTTGAACGGTTGTCCCGTCGTGGCCGTGGCGGTTCCACCAGCGTCTGACAAGCCGCCAGCGGTGACGGCGGTGACAGCTCAGCCGCGTCGCGACGAGAACGCGAGCCCCCGCCAACCATCCTCGAATCAACCATCTCCTTCAGTACACCATTCGACCCCGAGACAGAGCCTGGCGGAGGTAGCAGAGCCATCCGAAATCTCGTGGTCTAATGCACCACCCACCACCGCTCCTAGCCCACGACCGCTACAAGTGATCACTGATGGCCTTCAAGCTCATTCTCTACAGACTCCAAACGGCCCGAACCAGAGCCCTTCGGTGGGACCTAACGCGGGTTCTCACACGTCGGGGAGCCACGCGATAGGGTCGCCATTGCCACAAGCGACCCCAATCCCGCATGTTTCTTCTCAAGACCTGAATTGGCCATCCTCAACCGACTGGATCCAGTGGAACCTTCGTGCGAATGCACTGCTGAACGAAGCGAGAGCATGCTCGCCGCAGCTGGGTGGACCCAGGGCTCTGCTCCTGCTGAATAGCTTTGTTGACAGTGACAAAGACATCTTCTACTTGGTGCTGCACCAGATCTTTTGTGAGATGTCCAGGGATGCTCATGGATTACTTGCAAAACTTCCGGTCCTCCGCCACAGTCGTTGCCAAGTTGGCTTAACCAGACTCGCGGAGCTCCTAGAGGACAATTCCAGACTGCCCCCTTCTTTGTTGGAAGCATTTTGCGCATTTCCTGTCCGCCTAGACGAGTATATGAACGCTCCATGGTACAAACTGATTCTCGAACAAGTGGTAGGCTGCCTCTCATGCCTAGTAACTCAATTATCACTTTTAAAGACCGAGACTCAACAAAAGATTTATGAGCGTGGTTATCCACCACTGGTGAAGGAGCTGAGGCAGGATTATGGTGTCAAATCACCAGTCCTACTGGGCGTGATCTTTATGTCTATATGTCGGCATGTCTATGAGCCAGCGAAAATCGATTCTCTGCAACTCAAGTTCAAGAAAGACTTGTTCCTTGTTTCGCACCACGCGGGTCAAGATGCCTATTTTGCCCTGATCGAAGAATATCGACAGATTCCGATGAAACCGAGGCATATGGCTCCCGGGCCACGAATGCCGGCCCCTCAGAATCAGCACCAACCCCAGGCTCAAGGTGCAACAGCGCCTGTTGGACATTCTCGTCCTTCTGTCTCGTCTCCCGTGGCCAGCTCCCCAGCTGCTGTCAGTTCCACAATGCAAGCCAACGGACAGCCTCGCCCCGCTTATCGTTCGCCTCATACACAGTCCCCAAATATGCCTAATGTTCCCCCGACCTTTCAAAATGTCCAGTACATGAACCAATGCGGTCGTCAAATTTCAGCCGAGCAAGCGTGGCAGATGCATCAAAGGGCACAAGCGCAAATAGCGCAGGCTCAGGGCCGTCCGGCACAGCCTGTAATGCTCCAACCAGTCGACCCAGGACAAGGCCAGGGACAAAATGCTCAGATGGGACCGATGGGACCGCTTTACATGATCGCTGCAGATCAGTCGCCTCAAGTCCTTGTTCCGGTCACTGCCATTCCCTCCCAACTCGTCACCTCGCCGTCGCCGTCTCAATACTCCATGCCTGGCTTGCCTGGCCATGTGATTCAGCAACAACAGCCCCAGTCTCCGCACCAGGTTCAGTATCAGCAGCAGCAGCAGCAACCGCAGTACCCACCGACAACCACACAATTCTCTGCTGCATCCCACGCAGTTCATACGGAGGTAATGAGTCGAGCCAGTCACTCGAGGGCATGGCAACCTTCATCAGTACGGCCTGTCCCCGTCTCGTCGCCAGTGGTGCAGGTTCCCCAAACCCAGACCGGCCAACCTCGTGCGCCTGTTGCGTCGCCTCTACTCCCAGCCGCAGGTTATAGAGCGCCGCAGACAGTGCAACCCAACCCGATGCGACTGGGTCTGCACCAAGCGGACCTTCGGGAACCGTTTAAGCAATTAGTGCGACAGACGCCGGGCGGCTACAAAGAAACTGCCTTGTACCAATACCTGAGTGGATTCTTGCTGAGCCCAACACGGATCGATCCAAACGTCTTTAATTATCGCTGGAATTTCTCCATCTCGGCCGAAGACTACCAGCGCTTCCCCCGCTATGCCGACAGAGGACAAGGTCAACGATCGATTCGAACATACCAGCCGGGTTGTCGGACTTACCGCCTGCGTGCCATTGCCCTGCCTGACTCTCACAAGGAAAAGATGCAATCATTCTGGCCAACAGCAAACACTACCTGGCCCAGTGTGTTGTACATCTTTGTGAACAACAAAGAAATGTACGTCCGGCGGAAAGTACATAACGGAAAGGACCTTCCTTTGGACATCACCAGACATCTACGCGAAGGCGAAAACGAAGTCAACGTCCACCTACTCCTAGGCCCTGGCGAGTGTCAGAAATTCCAGTACGCGATGGCTATCGAAACCATGGAGGTTTCTGAGTACAACGAGGTTCTCGCCCGGACACGCCATATCCTAGCGAGTGAGACCCGTGCCAACATCAAGAAGCGACTGAAATCGACCACCGATGACGACGAGCTGGCCGTCGTCACCGACAGTTTGACCATCCCACTCATCGACCCCTTCATGGCGCAAGTCTTCAACACCCCCGCTCGTTCCACCCACTGCAACCATATCGAGTGTTTCGACCTGGAAACCTTCGTCACAACCCGCAAGTCCCAGTCCGGCCCCACGGCAATGAACGACAACTGGCGTTGTCCAATCTGCAATGCAGATGCTCGACCGCAGTTCCTAGTTGTGGACCATTTCTTCGTTGATGTCCGTGAGGAGCTCAAGAAAGACGGTCGTCTGGAGACTGCCCAGTCGATTGAGGTCCGGGCCGACGGGAAGTGGTCTGTCAAAGTCGTCACCGAAAATGGTTCTCCCTCCAGCCCAAAACAACGTCAACTTTCCCAGACGTCTTCGTCTGCCAAGCGCAAGGCGGACAGTATGACTGGCGCAGCGGAGCAGCCTTCTCGTACTAAGCATGAAAGCCCTCCAGATGTCCCCGCCCAGGAACCCACCATCATTGAAATAGATTAATGATGCTCACTGATTCTCGACTTCATTCCACTTTTTTCATTCGACAGAAAAAAGCCGGCTATCCGTCAAGAGTGTTGAGCTTTTTTCTAGTCTTTCTCCTATTCCTATCCCCCAAAATGTTTTTCTTTGGCCCATGGCCACCCTCGCGTGCATTACACAGCGATATACCCCCCTCGTTTCCATTGTTAAAAGCAGATTGTCATGACTGATACGGATTTTGCTGGCGTTGATTTGAGTTCTTTTTTCTGCTCTAGGTTTAGATCTCTGGGCTCTGTCTTCCTTTTTATCTTCTACGGCAAGATTATCTCTGAATACAATGCTTGCCTGACCTCTGAATGAGGACTTGATTTTTCCAATGTTGTTTCCTATTTACTTGGCATTTGATGAGTTATGGGCGTGATATTTAAGGACCAGGCGCTTTCATTCCTCGAATTTGTGAGGATTATACTTACAGTATCTTCATATTCGAAATCTACAGATCAAGTACAGTTCAGCAACATAAGAAAATCACGCTCAATAGGGTGAAAATTTTAGCCAAGCGGGGACCTAACGTCCCAAACGCAGATCATGCTCATTCAGTGGATGTTCTTTCCCACCTTCGACATTAAATTATACAGAGATATAGGTATACGGAATATTTGGATCATGCCGCTAATCATAAAGAGAGAAACAAAACATATTCTCTCTCACTTCCTGACTCGCCGGACATGACTGACGAGGTTCTCAATGACACCCTCAAATGCCTCCTTCTCGCTGACTAGGCCATCCCGGCGCTTCAACCAGTACTCTAATACCGCACTGGCGCGCAGGGTGACCTGCTCCAACTCCGAGACGTGCAGTGTTAACTCTGAGTCTGTCAGGCCGTTGAGCGCGGCGTCCGTGGTCGCGCACAGCCGGCGGACTGAGGGGAGGTCTAGTTCGGGAGCCGGGGCCGCGCCGCGGCGGGTGGTTTTCGAGCGAGTAGGGGCCTGCCCTGTTGTAGCCGAGTCGTCATCCTCTTTGCGAGATTGGTTGTGAAATGGGGTCGTGGTCCCTGAGTTGTCGAGGTCGATAGAGGGGAGAACGAGCTTCTTTTGTTTGGATGCAGGTAGGATCTCGTCTAGATCGACTGGGACGCCGAGAGAGACGAGGAAGAGTCGGCGGATGCGGGATTTGACCCAGTTTTGTGGTTGGAGGGGTGGTGGTGCTACGAGCTGCGACCATAGAGAGAGACTGCGCTCTGTACTGAAGATGGCTGAAGCGTCGGGGATGGGTTCGACGGGTGGAAGGGAGCTGAGGTCTTGGGCGGCGGGGAGAAGGCTGTCGAGGGTGCCTTGAAGGGCTGTGAGAAGTTCGGAGGTGGAATTGAAGTTGTCAAAGTCGATGAGAGGGGGCTGATGGAGGTGTACAATTAGTAACCAGTCTGTAAATCTAGTTTATCAACAACTTACAACTGATATGGATACTGGAGGTTGTTGAGGGATAGTGCTGCCAGCTGTAGCGGCGTCCTCAATCACCTCGGGCTCTTGGAAGCCATCGTCAAAGTCGTCAAAATCACCAAAATCGTCGTCGCCCATGCCACCCTGCTCCTCCACGAATTCGTCGAAATCGTCTCCAAAATCGTCCTCGTCATCTGCCCCTTCAAAGTTATGCTCTTCTCCGTGATCTGGCGGAGGACTATCAGATATGTTCTCCACTGTGTCAGGCACTGCATCGCTTGGCGATCTTTGATGAGCACGTGGTGGTGATGGTAGCTCATCTTCGGCGGGTATAGTGTCCACTCGAGAAAGCCGCGTCTCAGGAATGGATTGATTGGATGAATTGGAGGCGCTGGAGTCTGGAGACTCCCGATCCGCCACTGGTGGTGGGAGAACGCTGTCCAAGTCGTCGGAGGCCTTAGTCACAACGTCGGGCACGGCATCTGCCTGGCGCTTTTCATATGCTTCCGTGCCTGGGACCTCGCCATGGCTCGGCGATTCTGGATCTACTTTTTCCACGACTGTTCGCGGGATTGGGGAGCCGCCTGGGGCCAAGGGTCGGTCCTGCGACCCCGCTGGGGAGGGATCCCTGCTGGGTGAAACTTCTGGGACCACTTCAATCTCGTCGGGCACTGCATCTTGTCCCCGTTTCTCGTATGCTTCTGTGCCGGGCACTTCGCCGTGTTGGGCGCTGTCGTCGACTCGCTGTACTCGAGTTCGTGGGACAGGGGAAGCACGACCAGACTGTGGGCTTTTTGTTTGTAGATTTGAGTGGCCTTCGCTGGCATCTGAAAAGTGTTCCTCGTCGCTGTCTGAAGCTACTATAGTTAAAATCGGTCTTAGCTTCCCTCCAATTCAAGTGACGTAGGGGGAGTTTTGGAGAAAATAACATACTATGGTCCTCAGCTCCAGGGTCCTCCTTCTCAATGGTCTTGCTTGGGGGTTGAAGATGTGTGGAAGGATCGGGCAGCGCATCCGACATGATTGCTGGGTATAATTTAAAGCTGGGACATGGGATGAAGTTAGGGAAGAGGTGGAAAACGGGAGAATGACATGCAAAGTAGCAAGTTAGTGTGTGTAGCGCGAGAGTGACGACGTTGGTACCCTGCGATCGACTCGAGTCCAGAACACGCAGGCCTCAGGCACACATGGAGGCTGTTGCTATGCCTGAGGAAGAAGGCAGCCGCGAGCGCGTAACTTCAAACTCCTGCCCGATTTATTATTGCCCAGCATCAGTCCTGTCCCGAAGCTCATCCTCACCACTCACACTCTGGGTTCCAATTCTTTTATTCAAGCGCGAGAATTGCATCGCCTCTCTTGGACCATTGACCTCTTTTGCAGGTTCCTCCTGCTCTCTGCGCTGGTCGACGGCCCCGTTCCCTCTGTTGCTTTTTCACCCAAGCCCAACCTTGCCGGTTCCCTCTGATCGTCACAACACATCACCATGTCCTTCACCTTCGGCGGTTCAGCTCCCGGTGGAGCTTCCGGCACCAATATGTTCGGCGCAGCTGGCAATACCTTCGGTTCCAACAATCAGACTAGCTCAAACACCGGATCAGGTGGTGGTGGACTTTTCGGAAATGTAGGAGCCACTGCCAGCAGTGGAAGCGCTTCCCCTTCGTTGTTCGGCACAACTTCTTCAGGAGCACAGACTCCCTCAATGTTTGGAACTGCTGGTGGCGCTACTGCTGGAACTCCTGGAGCATCCTCGGGCTTCTCTTTCGGCTCGAATCAGACCACTGGCTCGACTACTCCCGGACAGACAGCTAGCAGCGGAATGTTTGGCGGCGCTGGAGCTGCAAAGCCCTCAGGTAGCTTGTTCGGTGCCGGCGCTTCGTCATCTACACCTGCCCCGGCCAGCGGTTCTCTGTTCGGTAATACCTCAACTACTCCCGCTGGTCCTCCGCCGGGATCAAAGCCAGCTTCGCTCTTTGGAGGACAGAATGCCGGCTCTTCTACTACTCCGTCGTCCACCACTGCTCTCTCTTCTACCACACCAACCACCTCGCAAACACAGCCATCCGGCGGCTTCTTCGGAGCTGGCGCTACACCCGCGGCCTCAAAGCCTCTGGGCTTCGCCCCGGCTCCGTCGGGCGGTAATCTGTTTGGCAATGCCAGTAAGCCAGCCGAGTCCAGCACTCCCAGTGCCACCGCGGCACCGGCTTCCAAGCCGCTGTTTGGACTTGGAGCCGCAGCGCCCTCCACCGGCGGTGACACAACTCCCAAGCCTGCGTTCTCTCTAGGTGGAACACCCTCTACTAGCGGTGGCGCTCCCAAGTCTGCATTCTCCCTGGGTGGAACTCCCGCTACCAGCGGCGAGGCACCCAAGTCTACATTCTCCCTTGGCGGAGCTCCCGCTCCCAGCGGCGAGGCACCCAAGTCTACATTCTCCCTTGGTGGAGCTCCTGCGGCGACCCCGTCCACTGCTACTCCACAAAAATCTCTCTTCCCCAGTCTTGGAGGGACCACATCTTCGGCCACTCCGTCATCTACAGCAGCCGCGCCTGCCGGAGGCTCTCTCTTCCCTAGCTTGGGCGGGGCTAAACCTACCGCTGCTGCTACGCCGGGCACTCCGGCTATTACTACTGCCGCCGCTGCTACCCCTACTACCACGCCTGCCGCTGCCCCAAGCCTGTTCCCTAAGCTCGGTGGTGATAAGCCTTCCACCCAACCCGCTACTACCACTGCCTCGACGGCAGCGCCTGCTGCGCCGGCCTTGGGCGCAAATACTACCACGGCAGCTACCACAGCAGCCGGTACTGGCGCGGCTGCTCTCGGTCAGTCCACCACTGGCCCTGCTCCCCCGGCTCAGTCTCGCCTAAAGAACAAGACCATGGACGAGATCATCACTCGATGGGCGACGGATCTCACCAAGTACCAGAAGGACTTCCGTGAGCAAGCTGAGAAGGTTGCCGACTGGGACCGTATGCTGGTGGAGAATGGTACCAAGGTTCAGAAGCTGTATGGTAACACAGTCGATGCTGAGCGCGCTACCCAGGAGGTTGAGCGTCAATTGGCATCAGTGGAAGGCCAGCAAGACGAGTTGAGCTCATGGCTTGATCGATACGAACGCGAAGTCGATGAGATGGTGTCCAAGCAAGTGACCCCTGGTGAACAGGGTCCCGATCAAGAGCGAGAGAAAACGTGAGTGATAGCTTTCCTTGGATTGTATGTTGTCTCACGAATCGGCTAACTTTATTTTTGAAATTAGATACAAACTCGCCGAGAAGCTCTCCGAGCGTCTGGATGAGATGGGCAAGGATCTCACCAGCATGATCGATGAAGTCAACGGGGCCTCTGCAACTATCAGCAAGACCAACCGGGCCGATGAGCCAGTAAGTTATTTGCCGCCACATCATTACCATGACCCTCATGCTGACGCTTACAACAGATCTCTCAAATCGTCCGTATCCTCAACTCGCATCTGTCCCAGCTGCAGGTCATCGACCAGGGAACCTCAGAGCTGCAGGCCAAGGTTGCTGCTGCCCAAAAGGCTGGACAGTCCATCTCCTCGCGCCTGGGTTACGGCTATGCCAGCCCTATGGGCGGTGGCAATGCTGCCGATGATTTCTACCGCTCCTACATGGGCAGACGGTAGAGGAACGATGTCATGGGTGTCTTAATGATTGTTTGATTACGGGGTACCAAGACCAATTTAGCAACGGGAAAGGATTGTTTTGAGTTGGTTATTCCAATCGTGCACTTTGCCTTGGGATGTCCGAGGCTGAGCTGGTATCCTGGGGGGTGCTTTGTGTTTGTTGTATATCTTTGGACTGGGTTAGGTCCTTTGGTTTCTAGTCAGGCAGATGGGGCGTAATTCAAAATATTCGGCACGCTCTATCCATGATCGGCCAGTCTTTCTGAGTTCTAGTTCTCCTTTTTAGGCAAACATAATTTCTAAGCTGTTTCGTAGGAATTTGAGGGCTGAGATATGATGATGTGGAAATCGGCAAGTATCCAACTTCAACACCTGTAGTGTGTTTTGACCTTTTGGTGGCTTGTAGTTTGCACCTCGCTAGCCAGTATGACAGATATGGGAGGATCAAGATCATCCCTAGTGTCTGATCCTCTTCATGGTCTCCTTGACTTGATAGCACATGCTTGTTTCATCGCCCCTTCATCACTAGCAACTCGGTTTTTCCGCCACGCCTTATAGATGACCCGATACCAGCTTTTGTTCTTGGCGGCCACAGCCTCTACCCGCTCCTTGATTGGCTCCCAGGATGTAGGGAACTTGAAAAGGGCAAGTGTGAGATACTGGATTGGCTTGGGCTGCAAGCCGTAGTCTCGATGAAGTTATCTATTTTCTCCTCTGTTTAAGTCTCTCTCTTGATGATGCCCCTAAGTAGGAAATGTGCAAGGTTAGGCTCGAGTCGGGCCCCTAAGCCCCGTCGTGTCTGATATCCCAGGGGATGTTTTGTGTTTGTTATATATCTTCAGACTAGGTCTGGTCCATTGGTCTAGTTACGAAAGCAGAGGATGGGACAATTCCAAATCTTCGGTCTGTTCGTTATCAGTGCCAGTCTTCCTGAGTTTTTCTTTTCCTTTCCAGGCGATCCTAATCTCTAAGCTCTTCCCTGCGGCTTTCTGGGCTAATATGACAATGTGAACATTGACAAGGACCCAACTTCAACACGAGTGCCGGCGGACTTTGAGGTCGAGGTTTCTTGCACGATACATACCCCCAAATAAGCTTCGATTTTCTGTGTCTCAAAGTACCTTTTTTTTTTTTTTTTTTTGTAAACGTCTTTTGAACCACATTCTTGATGACCGCCGGGCCTTGGATATAAATCGGGAGCTCAAGCAATCTGGTGTTAGTTAAAAATGGTCCAATATAGCCGCAGGCATAGTTACTTTGTTACAAAGTACATGCCAGAATACTTCACAGCGTTTGTATGAGGAATCCCAGTTCCACAGCAGTTTCATAGTGACTATCATGTCAAGATCCTTGTAAAATGGGGCACTATAGGATTATGCCAATTCTCAGGACACAAGGCATACCCTAGTATGCCCTAATCCCACAAGTTTGTGTATCCCAATGTCAAAATTCCCGATTAGGAAGGGCCTGAGGCGCTGCTTGGGGCTAGTATGAGTTACGGGATTCTCGCTGGCGGTGGAGGGCAAACGGATATCCCGTTTAGGCAGGCACGATAATCGCTATGGAGGCAAGGACGACCAGACAACGCCCTGTTTGGGAATAAGGGCTTTCCTTCGCCTTGCCCCGGAGGGTATAAATACTTATTCCCCTCCTCCCAAACTTCTTCTTCTTCTTTCCTCCCCATCTCTCCACTCCCCCAAGGTCTTGGCCTTCGTCCTCCACTTGTCCCGCCTGCCACTCAACCTTATTTGGACTTCAACTGAATATGTCCCTTCCATCAAAGCCTCTCTTCTCTTCAAGGCTTACACCTTTTCACAACATCCTCGGGTCTCTCGTCCTTTCTCACGGCCTGCCATCTATCTGAAGGTCTTCCTCATCACCATTGCCGTGCCTCAACATGTTACCTCAACCCTTTGACGCTGTCCTTCCATCTGTTGTTCATGTCTTCACGGCACGTCAACACCGTGACACGTCTACATGGTCTCATATCTCCATGGCATATCAACACAACATAACATGTCCACACGGTCTCATATCTCTATGGCATCTCAACACAACATGGCGTGTCTACGGACTCATACCTTCATGGCCCTCCATCATATCATTTGATGACTTGAAGATTTAAGCGCCGCAGGTAAGAACCTTATTCAAGCTATTCCCCGTTGACTCATTCGGATTGCTAACGATCTTCAATATAGGAGCCTACACTAGCGTTCTTGAGTGAATCTTGACGACCATGAACTTGGTGTCGAGCCTGTGTAGGGCATGGATGACCACATGTCTCCATTGCCACACATCTCAGCCTCCTCATTTGCAATCTTCTGACAGATCAGCTGACTCTCTTAGGACTCCACGTTTTCACCTTCACATATCGATCTTCAATCACTGTCTCAATTTTTGAGACCTGCATCAAACCTTCTGGCCTTGGCTTGAATCCTCTCTTGAACAGGCGTCACGTAGCTGTGAACTCAGTTTGCGTGTCAGGACAAATTCAAGGGAGCTTTGAACCAACCCAGTGCACAATAAATCTACCACGCCAATGACACCTCAACACATCCCGCTTCTTTATCGATCGCCTTTGAACTCCCACTTCCGCTTCGACCTCGATACCTTCTCGCTGGCTTGACTCGATTTCCTCTTGAACAGGCGTCACGTAGCTGTCAACCCAGTTTGCGTGTCAGGACAAATTCAAGAGGGGGTCGGATCAAGTCTGCACAACAACAAACCTACCACACCAATGACAACACGACACATTGATCTTAAATCACTGTCTTCATTCTCACCTCATCATCTTGGCTCGACTTCCTCTTGGACAGGCGTCATGTAGCTGTCAACTCAGTTTGCATGTCAGGACAAATTCAAGAGGTGATCGACCAAGCCAAACACCTCTCGCCCACCACAACAATATCAACTTTACCCTTGGCCACTGCAACAACGCTGCTGGTCCTATGAATCCATCTGGTCTATCATTCATTCAAAACGTACACGGCCTGGCTTATGAAAAGAATTTCCATATCAAATCAAACCAATAAACAGCCATGATACTCCCTGCCACTGTATTCTCCCACATCCAGTAGTTCTATCTTCGTATGAATGAGTACGTACTAGCCTGTACTTGCTGGTGTTCAACGCCAACGTTTTCCGCATCCTCTAAGCCGCAAGCGAATAGGTTCCTAGTCCGAGCGCATTTTCTAGCGCTTTGTCTTCAAGCAAAAATCCCTTACAGCGGGCATCACACGACGACCATGTGGCGCACACTGGCCAGCTCACAGCGACTCGTGATGTCCTTTGGAGATTTGCCAGAAACCCTCTCTCTCTTGGGGGCTTAAAAGATCCATTTGCGAACCAATGAAGCCCGCCTCTAATAGTATGAGGTCCAATCTTGCATCCCCACTAGGCTGGGGGTGGGGCCCCTCCGAAGGTGACTAAGCCCTGCCAGGATGGATGTCCAGGGCGCAACCGTCATCCCCATTTTCCCCGCATCGAAACTGCCCTGAGCCCATTTTGTCGTTCCTTACGTTGTGCTCGTTGTGGTGTTCGCATTATTTTTATAGAGGAGGGGTGTGCGCTGAGTTGTGTGGCAGGCATTTCACCCTCTCTACACACAAGATGGTCCGCTTGTCCATGTCCCACGCCCCAGCCGGGCTATCGTGGCCCTCGCTTTATATCATTGTGTCACTGTTCCTTCTCTCCTTGGTGACCGTGGCCAATGCGCTGGCGTATGAACCACAGAAACCTCTCGCCGGGACTGGGATACCACCGGAGGGTTCTTCTTCCACCTTTGACAATTTGTCTGCCGAGGCCGATCTCGGAGATGGCGATGCGACAGGACCGTTGAGCTGGGCGCGTCCCGCTGAGACGCTGCAGTATCTTCTTGACGCGTTGAATGTCATGCAGGATGAATACTTTGTGCTATGGCTAGGCACGTGGCCATCTAGCATCGATTGGACCGCTGCTGTTTTGGGGACACATGTCGCAGCCACGCTATCTTCATTCTCGTCCAGTGGATTGGACGTTGTTGAGGACGAGAAATCGCACGAGGCTTCCTTCCTTGCATTTGAAAACACCATTAATTACTTCTTCAGCCAGACAAGTACATTCTACTTCGGCGAGAATGCTTTCAGTCTGCGGAACCAGGCCTACGACGACATGCTCTGGGTGGTGCTGGACTGGCTGGAGAATATCAAGTTCCAGGACTTGCATTCGAACCTCTACTATTCCACATCCAACGCCTCTTCGGCAAATGCCTCGTCGCAGGGCTGGTATGGCACGCAATTCCGTGATGCGGCAGCACACCGAGCGCGGATCTTTTACGAGCTTGCCTCGGCTGGGTGGGACAAGACTCTCTGTAACGGTGGGATGATTTGGAATCCCACTCTGATACCTTACAAGAACGCCATCACCAATGAGCTGTATATCTCTGCCAGCATTGCGATGTATCTCTATTTCCCCGGCGATCCTATCGACGCGCCATTCCTCGCCAATTCTCAGAACAAAGCACCCACGCAGCGATACCCTCACAATCCTGTTCATCTCAACGCTGCCATTGATGCCTATAAATGGCTCAAGAACTCCAACATGTCTGGTCCCGGTGGCCTCTATGCCGATGGCTTCCACATCAGCGGCTGGCGTAGCGCAGCGCAGCCGGGATCACGCAAATGCGACGTCCTCAACACGATGGTGTACACTTACAACCAAGGTGTCGTTCTCAGCGGGCTGAGAGGTCTCTGGCTAGCCACCGGCGACCAGGACTACCTACGCGATGGCCATGAGCTGATTCACAAGGTGCTGCGCGCTACTGGATGGCCGAATACATCCTCTGTGAGATGGGCCGGTCTTGGCCGAGGCGGCGTACTGGAAGATACATGCGACTCCCATGCAAGTTGCTCGCAGGACGGGCAGACCTTCAAGAGCATCTTCTTCCACCACCTGGCGGAGTTCTGCCGGCCTCTGCGGCAACAGGAGGTATGGTTCTTGGAGAACGAGAAACGGCAGCCCGTTGCCGAAGAGGGATGGGATGAGGTGTTTGATCGGCACCTACAGCGTTGTCGTGCTTACGGGCCTTGGGTAGAGCATAACGCGCGGGCTGCGCTGGTGACTGTCGACGATGATGGTAAATTCGGTCAGTGGTGGGGTCTACCGTTCCAGCAGTTCGTGGTCTCGAGTAATATCGTGAATAGTAGCACTCTCCCTCCTGGCGCGGTAGACTACCGTAACGACGGGTTCGATGCAGATGCTGCGACTGGTGGTGTACCGCGAGACTTCAACGACCGGGGTCGTGGTCGCACGGTCGAGACGCAAGCCGGTGGTGTGGCTGTCCTGAGAGCCTTGTTGCAATGGCAGACCAGTGATGCTCTTTTATGATTACAATGACTTTCTCTGGGTTGGGCGGTTTTGGTGACTGTATATCCTTCTCAATGCGTGTCTGGGGCGCTTTGGGCGTTTTGTATTATAGCATTCATTATCATTCTTCGTCTGGACATTCGTTCAATCATGGCCGTAACGCTTTTCTCTCCAGTACCTTGCACAGAAGCCACAGTTTCACGATCTACAGCTCGCCACACGATAGATGTACACGTAAAGAGTTGCCATATCCATATGCGTGCCATATGTATGAACTATCCTGACATGCACGGGTTACCTCTCACCAGCCTCCCTTCTCCCCACATGCAATCCAATCAACCCCTGGCCAAATCGCGGTCCAACCAAGCGTAAACCTGCACCAAACTCGTTCATATCAAGTTTCCCATCCACTCACAATCACCCCTGACAAGGAACATGTCTCCATCTCCCCAACAATCAATCTTACCTTAATCTGCCCTAGTCATGTAAACCAAAGACATTCCCAACTCTCCAGACAAAACCATTCCAATAGATCGCCCACAGCGGAGCCAAGCTACCACATTCCACGCCTCCCGCAAGCTCCACAGAAGCTACGGAACACTACATTACCCCCGGGGACGCTCCTCCCAAGAAGTCCAAAACAAGGATTCAGATCTAACAACAGGATTGTTCGACCGATGGATCTGCATTGGTGGGACATGGATTTTCGCTTGTTTGGGGCATTCTGGGTGACGTCTTGAGCCTCTTGATTAGGTAGGGTATGGCCGGCCGGGATGGTACATAGGGGGTGTTTTGTAATTGGACTGGATAAACGTGTTTGATTTGAATTTTGATTGTTTACTGGTGGTTGCTGGATATCTATGCATCATTGCATTAGACATAGTTCTACTGTAGGTAGATAATTATTCTGCCTTGGGATGGTTATCGATGTTGAAGGAATTTGTACCTAGTGATTTATGGGGATGATTTTTACAGCTACTGTAGTAGTATGTTGGAACTACTGATCTTGGAAAGATCCACTCAGATAGGTGACAATAGTATTTGACAGCTTGGCTGGCTGAAACAGAGCAACAAAGGGGCTCTTTACGGAAAACGGGAACTCGATAACATTCCAGAGGGCTGATGCAGTTACAGTTAGTATATTAATCATGTTCCGCAAGCGGCGGAGTTTTGATGGACTCCCGCTGACATACTATGCGATCATAGGGGGGACCTGTAGCTGCAATTAGCTTCTCCGACATCTAAATTTTTTTTTTTAAAATAGATGACACTATTTATACAGGCTATATAATTACCACATGATCAAGTGATACTGTATGTTGCTTGACTCGCATCATGATACGTAGAAAGAAGAAACTCAAAGAAAAAGAAAAGTACCCCCCACTTTCAGGCACACATCCACGCCAAGAAAACCAACCTTCCGATACGGAACTACAACGGTCAACTCTAGTATGTACTGTAAGTCTGTAACACCCAAACTGAATCTCGGACAACGTCCATAGAGCATACAGTATGTACACTACATACGGAGGTACTGTACTATTGTAAGCCTGTACCAGTTACAAAGAACAAAACCCGCAATACCTCACTAAATCGTCCCACTCTTCGAGCACCATTCGCAAGCCCAATTCCCACACATCTCATTGGATAGGAAAGAGAGCCAAATATCCCGCGGCAAAGTGAAAAATAGTCAACCAGTCAGATAACACCAACAAGAGGAAATGAACCCACCGCCACTCTTTCATCGCGCGCCATCCGGGCTTAGCGTGACTTTTAAGGCCCTCTTCTTCTTTTTGCCCTGCTGGGCACTGTGGGCAGTGCCCCTCCCCCTTCTTCTCTTCCATCGAGGGTGTGCAATATTTGTCTAGGGGTGGAGTGGGCCAAGAGGCGAATCATTGGTGGTGGGCGACATGCAGATCGACAGGGTTGGTGCTCATCAGTACTCGACTTTGAGAGTCAGAGATGATAATTATGGGAGACCTTAGTTTATCGTGATGAAGAGCGATCGGGCAAGGATGAGGAATATGGATACGAGAGAGAGATGCCAGGAGAGTGAGAAAGTAAGCTTAGTAGTACCAGGATGCGACTGTGACTACTGTTAGCCTACTAGGGACAGCAACTACAATGGAGCTAGCAAGCGACAGTGACAGGCGTTGGCGCGTTACGTGGATGTCTCATCGTCAATAATAAGCAAGCGCCTCACGATTTGGTTTCAGTTGCCCCCGAACATTAAAGTCAACGTACTCACTATGGAGTAGACGTCAACGAGTCAATGACTGATCGCAAACTGCAAAGTACTGTAGTATACTTTTTACAACATACAGAGTATGTAGAGTAATCTTCTCATCGACTTCATGCAGGGCGTCCTCGAGCCCAGCGCACTGGACAATAGAAACTAGGCAGTCGGGGTACAGGACACTACCATTGCCCGCTCATGGCTTGTGGCTTTTCGTCAGCGCCGTCCTTGGGTGTGTACACGGAAGAATTCTCCATCGTGGGATGGAGGTGAAGTAAGCGCATCGTTGGTCCTCGTTTGGTGGAACCACCACAACCCGCATCAACGCAGTCACACGCCCCTCTCCTTTGAATTGTCACTGTCGGGCCTGAGCGTTCTCCCATTACAGTACGGAGGAAGAGTAGTCTCTTACACCTTGTCGCCTCTTAGTTAGGCTGTTAGGAGGTTAGGCCTTCTGACTACTCGGTTGCGGGGATTCAGGAACGACTGCCACTGGCTGTTTTTGGGGCGTTGAGCTCCGGTGGTCGAGAGGAGGAATAAAGTAGTAGAAGGAGGGGTGCTCGATAAGCTGGACTTGCTAGTGTTAAGTTGACACTGGACACCATTTTAGCTACTTAGTTAGTCAGTTGTACTATTGTCTCATAGAATCGGGCATAAATAAGACAGGATAGAAGAGTAATCCAGTGGATAACGACCGCCTACCTGCTAGAGGAGAGCCGATCGAGCATATTTACTGTAGCAATGATATTAATTCTCTGTATGAACGAACCGAAGCTACAACACATTTCTTCTTCGCACAAACACCAATAATGATGACCCGATGGGTCTATTTCTAATTCCTCTCCTTCCCCTGACCAGCACCAGCTGAATTTCCAAAAGTCTGGTTAACTCTTCAGCGCTTGAGTCTGAGGGTTCTGGTTGGAGTGAGAATTTTCCGATCGGTCACAATTAATTACACCATCGGGCGTCCCACTCGTCACGATTCTGATTCTGACTCTGATTCTGATTGCTCCATCTAGGGGCGCTTCACGATGATGGTGACTTTTTCTCCCTCGAAAAATTGAAATAGGGTTGGGACACCGACCGAAGCAAAGAAGTAAAGCGGTAAGTAAAACCTACTGGAAAAGCAAGCACTTCTCGTCGCGTGGTGCTCGCTAGATCGGGGGATATCCCGAGATATACTTACCTACTATTAACAATTTAACTGCAAACCGTACTCCCGATGCCGGCATCGGCAGGGACTGTCCTTCGCGCTTGTCCCTTCTTTTCTTTTCTTTTTCTCTCCTTAATTTTCTCATGGCTGTCCTCGTGCGGCGGAACAGTCTCCCTAGAAAAACTAATACGAAACTCGTGTGCAGCGATGATGGAGTGGCGTCGGCAGTTTTGATTCGAAATGCTGCAGCCACCGACAAGCCACTGCCGGCGATTGGGACCCATGAGTGTGGACGGTGGACTGTGCAGTGCTTTTGAAAGGTTGGGTCCTTGGTATGGAAACAATTTATATCAAGTCATCAATTCAAATTTAGAGTGGAGGGATGGGAGGGAAATGTTTGGGTGCCCAAACCAAATATTCAAAAGATATGGGTTGATACCGACCAGAGTTGGGTTTGGTGGGTTTGGATTCGCTAATTGCCGATGCGAATTCATGGAAAGTGAACGACCCCGTGACCAGTTTCCCATCCGATGCGTTTATACTCCAGTTCATACAGTTTGACGGTGTGATCTGTAGTCTTTAATTGGATATAGGAAGTATATACTCGATCCAACAAAATAAAGCATACTGAATGCTCGAGTCATCGTTCCATTGATTACGTTCAATATGCTCCGTACAGTACCATCATGTCCCCCATTACTATGATTCTCTCTACTAAATCCATCCCAGTCCTAGTCCCCCCTTCAAAGTGGGACACCCTCAGCCGTAACGGCGTTGAAACCTTTCTTCAACCCAGGTTCTGCTTAGCACTCTCATCCTCCTCCATAGTGGAGCGATGAGAAATTCTGGGGATCGGCACACACGATAACCCCTGCCTAGTTTCACTTCTAGAAATGGTAATCCAACCACCGATCTGATCATCTGTCAAATAATAATCACAAATTTTAATGATAATCATCATAATCCATCACCATCAGAGTTAGTCGCCCCCGCCTCTTGGTCGAACCTACAGGAATGGATCGTCCGGACCCTTCGCCCAAGCGCCCGTCTGTTGTTCGCTGGCTGGAAATCTCGGGCGCGTTATTGGTGCGAACTTCTCCGCTGGGGTCACTGAACGCGGGATATGAGTCTATCGGACGGCAAGATGGGATTTGTTGTTTCGTTGTTGGGGGTGTTCAGCTGGGATGGTGCAGAGATTGGGAGTATGGATGAAGAATGATAGGGAGGAAGGATAGATTATGGGAGAGTATTGTATGTCATATTTGGAGTAGTCTTGTCTGCTTTACTTGAGCAGTATTCCATACTACTATTTCTGTATACGCTTTGTCCTATCAATCAGATCAACATCAGCACAATACCTTCGTTATCAGACTGAGCCCTTGACCAGCAGGCTTGAGGATTTCTAACGAAGTCCATCTCCGTGACCTGCCCTATCTGATGTATATTTCTTGTTTTGATCATGATTATGATGTATTCAGCGTCCATGTACTTGTTTATTATCATTACGGTATCCGACGCACAGAATGTGATCCCGGAAATGGTTCCTTGGGTCCACGGGCGTCAGGATCGTCCTCCGTCGAAATTGTGGTCCTGGGAAGGAACCAAAGAAAGAAAGTTCCCTTCTCCGTTCACCGCAAAGGAAAATATAATATGACTCGGTATTGTAATGATCAACGTCAAAATTCGATATTTTGGTCTTTTGAAATGTCTATCTTTTTCCGAAAGGTGAAGAGAGAAAAAATTCGTCTATGATCCATCGGCTTCTGATTCCGCGTATCCCTTGCCCCAAGTTTTGATCTGCCGAGTCACAGATCATGTCTAATGGCTTACTTAGTACTCTCCTGCAGATGTGTCTAACGTACAGTAAAGTATACAATACGGAGTACTGATCTGGGGTTGCCACCATACCACAGCAACGATGTCATCAAGCGACGTTTTTTCTTCCCGTGTGTGGCGCGGTTCAGCGGTAACCAGCCGGGGAGGGGGGCTGGTTGTCTCCGTATAAACTCCCGAGATGATCGGAGCCAGTCAAATGGCGTCATGCCCACTTGTTGCGGCTCGATCGACATTGCATAGCGCCCCCCCCTCTCTCTTCGTGGGACCCCCCTGTAGTTCTGAACGCTGAGAGGTGGAGGAGTTGCTCATGATGATGCTCCAATTCGTGTTGTCCGAGGATGCAAGCTATTCGCTCTTCTCCCATAATCATATGTACCCATACATACACAGGCTTTTCTTTCTTTCTCTTTGCTGCAAAAGAGCTACCAATTATGATGCCTCACTTGTGTTTCAGGACGTAGTGGTCAAAAGTACCTTTTTTGCTTTTCTCCCTAGTTTCCGTGATCCCCGATGCCCACCAGCGCGTCAGAGCCATTCCCGGTTTCGATTTTGGGGGGAAGGAAGGGAGAGGATTGGTATGTCCGAATAATGAGCTGTATAGTTAGAGTACGTATTCGGCAGAGCATGGACTGACTCTGTAGTTACGGAGTCCTCCGTGCAATGATGCTCATCTCTGTAATGATGAATGTCAATCTTGCAATGTACGGAGAGTTACCGGTTTGGTCCGTACTCCGAATGGATGTACGGTCGGCACGATATCCCCGGATCCAGGACGGAGGCAAGCGAGACACGGGGCGGCTGAGATGCGCGGCTCTTCCGAGAGCTAAGAAGGAAGAAGATAAGTCTGTCAAATCAATATCTGCCTGGGAGGCAATATTGATGATGAATCACCAACTACTGAGGAGGCGCGGTTGTCGTCTGAACTTTGACAGTACCTAGTTTGGGTGGCTCACGGAGCTCAGCAGAGCGCCTCCGTAGGGCATGTTTAGCCTAACAGCTTCCAGTTTGTTAGCTTATTTTCGCCTGTTTAGCGGAACAGACTTGCCAGGCTTGGGTAAGGGGGGTGGACCAGGAAGGAATACGTGTTCATCAAGGTTCGGTAAAAACTCACGCTACCCAATTTCTGCCACTCTGGCGGTGGAGTTGTTGCGATCAGTCACGCTCGTTGGTTGGTGAAGTTGTTGTACACTCAAGGGGTGGGGACCCGTTTCGAGTAATGGATGAGCAGTCAGTTCCTGGCAGGTTGGCAGCAGCGGCAGAACCAGTAGAGGCAGTACTGTAGATACTATGGATTTTCGACGAACCCTGCAGGGTAGCCGGTGGAGGACAACCTGACAAGAGGGGGAGATGGATGGCAGCAACAGAGCAGCGGTGAATGCGGCGCGGTAAGATACCGTGACCAACTACAGTATGAAGGACATATTATTGAGTACTCCGGTTGAAGTACTTGATTCGACTATCAAATTCTCCAGTACGCAGTACTCCGTAGTCATACTTACCTTGTGCTTTCTTAACCTTCCTAATTGTTCCTCATCTTCACGAGTTCAATCATCAACTCACCACTACTCCTCCGTCCTCTCCGTGCCCACTGCCAAACTACCCTAAGTAACACTACTCGAGTCCCCAGTAACCAGTCATATCCATACAACCTCCTCTTGCTTCAAACCCTCGGGGCTAAACCCGTTCGTTGGTTAGTTCGGAAGGTTCCTGGCTGCTTATAGGTAGACCCGCGGATACCTTTCCCCGCTCAGCACCCTGTTCGACCCTCTTTTCGGTGTCGCTTCCATGGAACTCGTAGGTTCTTCTGCTAGTCCTAAATGGGCCCTATGGTGATTGTTTGGTGCCTTTTCTATGGAGTACATATCCACCCGAGTGGAGTTTGATTAGTGCCTTTTTTTCCCGACTGCTGGTTCTGCTGGTTTTCTTCCTTTCTTTGCCCCTTAGCCACCGTGTAAGTGGTTTAGTTCTCCATAGTGGACGATGGGACTATCGAATTTCATGGTTAAATGGTAAAGGATCATGACTGACTGCTTAGGATACTCTCCGTAACTTTTCCCAGGTTAATCTAATAATCTGGATAATATTAATTGACCTTTGTTTTGTATATTAGCGTTTACAGAGCTTCGTCGAGTATGTCACTCATACTTAAGGCCCCACCCGACCGATATGAAAAAAAGGATCCCCGTATTATTACTTCCAATTGATTATTGATGTTAATTTGATTCAGATTATATCTTTACTCCATACTCCGGCACTCTGTAATTAAAATCATCATGCCCCATCGCATTAATATGACCGTACCAAACTAAAAGAGACCCAAAGTATGTGGCTGCCACGCGCCTCACGGGTTCATTTCGGAGGGGAGAGGGGGGGGGGACGATCAGCTAAAGGGACCTTCTCCTCCCCCCCCTCTCCACCAGTAGTCCACCTCCTGAAAAGGTGCTAAGATAGTCATGACCGCGCCAATCATTACAAGGTGCAGGTCACCATACAGGTACATCCGTAGCAGGGCTCCAAATGACAGTGAAGGAATGAGTGGAGTCCCGTACTTTTCGTACTTTCGTTCCCAGCAGGATGCACGACTGCAGGGCTTATGGAGTGCAGTAAAATATAGTAAAATAGAGGAGAAATAATACAGACATTTAGCACATTAGTGACTGTGCTCCGAATTGGGTGTATCTGCCGTGTCACCAGATTACCGTCCCAAATCAACTGCTCCTCCCCTTTAGTCTTTCGTTATTATCCACACTTCGGTAGCCGCCCTCCCAACCTTCCCAGGTCCAAGTCACGCGGTAATTTGGTAATGGCAATACCAACTCTCCCGTATTGGCAATAAACTCTCCAGTCGTGAGTTCCTCACTCTACTCTACTCTACTCTCTGCTCGTCAATCTGCTGTTCTTTTTTCCCTTCTCCCCTTCTTCTCTCCCCCAACGCCTTAATCGCCAAACCTCGATTTCCTTACCTTATTTCGACTCTCTCGACTCTCCCTCCTCTCGACTCGTCTGGAATTGTTCCTTCCCTACCGACTTCACTACCTGTTCCCATCACCCGAACGCTAAAAACACCCCGATACACCGCAAACGTTACAACTATCTCCACCAAACCATCACCCCCCCTCAAACATTCGCCTCTCCACCATTAAAGCACGACACCCTCCTGTCAACTTTTGCTCCAAACGCTGAGAACGCTTTCCATCTCGACTTGTCCTTCCACCAACTCTGCGCGCCCAAACAACCACCCGTTCAATCTGGCTCGTGGTTCGATTCCCACGCCCATCCTCCTTCGTTCCGATCCCCCCACCGACCCCGGTAGCTACCTCAAGCGTAACACAGATTTCTCGTCTGGGGTACATCGCTAGGGGTAGACCGTGGTCGTTCACAGTTCTCTCCGACCCGTGAAAAAAAAGAAAGAAGAAAAGGGAATCAGGACTCCTGTGTTGAACTCCTTTCTTCAATCTTCCACTCCTGTTTTTTCTCACCCCAAAACGATCGCTTGATCTCCCGGCTGCAACACCTAACCCCCGAGTTCTCAAAGAACAAATCGCCACGCTGGACCTCGCCAACTCCATCCTGTTCGACTGTGTCTGTTGCGAGCAACCACCTCTATGGCCACTGACATAGATATGCATGACGCCTCACCTGTGCCTACTCTGCCGCATCCTCACGACGGTGGCCGTATGCATATGTCCTCCCTGTCCTCATCTTCATCCATATCTGACGCCGAAACTGATCGCCGAGGCCGCTCTGAACGTCCGCGCATGGCGAGTCGCAAGCCATCTGCTTCCATTCTGGTTCCCCGAGATCACCCCGAAATTGAAATTGAAGAGGAAGAATTTCCTCCTGACGACGCTCGCGCTATGAGTCCCCGCCGTAATTCTGCTGATCTGGAGCGATTGGGCAAGGAGGCCCGCCAGACGCTTCAAGAGTGAGTGACCGTCAATTTTGAGCTGGACCCAAATCTGTCCGCCTTGACCAACCTGAAGCTAACTTTGATAACTACAGGCAAGCAAAGGCTCTCCAGTCCTCTCTCCAGGCCCTCGCCGAACGCATTGACGCAGTCAAGTCCGACCACGATAAGTTGGAAAACGAGAACAAGATCCTCCAGGACTACATCGGTGGTCTTACCCGCAATATGACCAAGAGCGAAATGACTCGCAGTACAAAGGCTCGAAAAGCCCAGAAATAAATCCCCTCGACCGATAGGTGTCGCAGGGGTTGGAGGAGTCGCAGGATGAATTGGAACACTCACTACGATTCTACGACTCGGATTTGATGACTACGTTCTCTCTTCGACTTCGACACGGGACTGATCTTGGGAGCCGCCATATTTTGTGATCTTCCACACCAATAACTACTTCAATACATTTCCGCCTAGCCCATTCACGACAACCATCAACTCTCCTCGAAAATTACGTGCTCGATTCCACGATGCTGAACTCGGAAGTCCTGGTCACCGGACTCCGAACTGCATAGCAGTCTCGCCTACTCGCCCCCACGGGACAACAAGGCGTACGAGGCTTTTCCCTGACATTACGGGTTGCCTGTATGGTACCAGGGGGCGTGTGTACATCTCTCCCTGATGGTTGTCGCCACTCGCTCACTTCTCCCGATGATGATTTTCGGCCACCCGACTGGATCGACTGGCTACCTACACAACATTTACATCTCCACATACAACATTCTCATGATCAATCTCGCCACAGAAGTTCGTCACCGATATCCACCGCCCTTTTGAGGTGGGACCGACCGTTGAAACCTGTCAGGTCGTCCCAGCACAAGTGCTTATTTACCCAAGGGGGCAACGGATGTTCGGTGACATCATAGCATATTTGGGGCTCGTCAAGTGGTCCGCCACTTGATTCTTGGCAACCTTGTTGTTCAAGGATCTTCCACCAAAACCCGGGGTCAGCCTTCGGTCGTATGTGCGACACGAATCTCACCCTGACACGATGTGATCTTCATTTTGGCTGGCAGATCGTCCCTCCAATCTTACCATTGTCAATACCTGTTCCACCTGGGCACTCACCCTTTTCAACCCCCAACCTCCTATCCCTACCTCCACCATACTCCCATCATTGTGACCTTACTCTTCCTCTCTCTCTTCGCGTTATATCATTCGGCGTTGTTTTTTTTCATTTCTCATTCTCACTTTTCTTTGATCTCACACTCACGGCGGCTCTCTGTGAACATTGGTTTCACTTGTACTTTTTTTTTTTATTATCGGATGCATAGCACCTTGGGCGTTTCGGGGACTGACTAGACTCGATTTGATTGAATGACTCTTTACCGGAGCCTGCACCTGATTATGTTTTCGTCGTCATATGGCATGGCATTGCATGGTCAGCAGCAGGACGGCGCGGAAAGTGGAAAGCATCTTTACCTGGGAGGGATGTTCTCTTTTCGGAGCAGTCCAGTGTTTCTTTTCTTGATTTTGAAATGTTTCTTTTACCTTTTCCTTCATTTCATTTCACCAATTTTGTCTTTTTCTCCTCATCTTGAATCACGTTTGTGTTCTCCTGAAAAGGAGTACAACACAAACGGGGTTTGAGTGAAAGGAGAAATGGCAATCCCATGTACATCTTCCAGCCACTTTTTGCAACTTGCAACTTGCATTCTTCTATTAAGCAATGGACTGCTTCCCCAAGAGAAACATTTCATACCAAAGAAGCCTACCATGCTATCCTCCAATAATTTGTTTCGCGTCTCCATTTGCAACTTTTTCTACTTACCCGGCTCTGACAAAGTACAGTCTTCATCAGCCTGCTTTGTCACCCGTCTATTTTTATCATTTTTTATCATTGCGGCTCTGTGACTATTACTGCTTCGCCTTGCCGTACCCAGGATTCCTGCGCATGTCTCTCAAGTCCCCATCCTTATGTTTTTCTTTTCTTTTTACTCTTGATCTCTGATGCACCGCACATCATACCCACGCTTCCTTGTCTGGTCTTGTTTTGCATGGGCTGGTTGCATGGTGGTTTTTATTCAGAGCAAATCCATAGCAATGGGAAATCAATACAAATAAAACAAATTACTTTTCTCCGTACATGTAGGGGCTTTATCGTTGTGTATGTAGTACAGGGTAGATGATGCGAACACAAAGCAAACAAAGGTAATCCCTTCAGAAACCCGTATGGGTTGTATTTGAATCATGTCTTAACCATTCGTTCTTTATGAGTCGGAAGCTCGGAGATATTGTACTATTGCGAATCCGACACGCCCTGTTCGTCAGCAGCTGCGTATGGAAGTAGGGATTCGAGATAAGGTTAGACAAAGAACTATGTAATGGATGGATGCACACTAGCTCAGCCTACCATATGGCATTGTGGGATCTGCTTGATTGTTATCTACGTCATCAGCGTCATGTGGAACCTTGGATCGTCTCTCGGCAATCGCCTTTCTTCATCTTTGTTGTTTGGGTGGATTGTCTTAGCCACTTGCGGATCTAAGGCTAGACATGGATCGATTTGTGCTACTGTCAAGTTAAAAGTAGATATCTAAAATTATGTATGAGTTAGTGTAGCGTGGTCGAAGCATGGAAGCAACACGGAACAATAGGAATGTCACCCGAAATGGATGCTGGCTGCAGGTAATGCATTTCTTGCTAGGCTTGAGGAATATGTATTTTTAGCATTATTTTGAATAAATGGCTCAAGTATGACCGGGAGATAGGCTTTAGGAGTACCGGAGGACTCCGACTAGTGAATTTGTATCCCATTTTGACCAGATAAGAACGAGTTCTATACATACTGCATCAGACACTGCATGTTACAAGGACAAATTATCTGAGATCTACGTACAAACAGAGAAGCTCAGATAGCCACATAATATCAAAACAGCCTTCTAAACATACCTGTTTTATGCGTCTTTTCAGTAACAGCTGGAAAGCTCGACACAGGTATCACCACGAATGACTTATTAGCAGCCTGAAACAAGCAATAGAAAATTGGAAGCGTAGGAGTCAAAGTCTTCGGGTCTCTGTCAAGATTGACCGAATAGCAGTTTCCTGATAGCTGGTTTTAGGCCTGGGACAATCTTAGTTTCCATGTAGTCTAGACAAAATAGTCCTACTGTATCCTGATAGAAAGGGACGGAGAACCAGGAAGACTCTATGCCACGAGATACTTCTAGCAATCAATAATTGGGAGAAACTTGAGCTTTGGACTAGATGCCAGGAACACAAGCTTGAAGACCATCGTAATGTGAATAGCCAGACAGATGAGGATCTTCGATTTCAATACACAATAGATTGAAATTCTTCCGGCAATACCACCAGCTATTGGTGCTTCAACCTTTGCGTTTAGGATGAAAACACACGGTCTAAAATATGTGACCTCCCTTGATCTCTAAAACGCTGTAAAAATGTAAGAAGCATATTTTCTGACGACCCCAAGAAAGTCTGCTCTATACTTATGCGTCTATATTGATAGAGATGATTGATTAAGTGGTTCACGTATTGAGCACACAGAGATCTATTTGCCCTGGTAAAGGAGTCATTTTTAAAGCGTTGACGGCCTTCTACGGGTTGATTGTCGGTCTGAGTAGGGTAAGTAGGTTGGTAAGATGGATCTTTATTGAAAGAGAGAAGCCCCAGCCTAATGTCCAGATCTTGAGAGATGACCGAGGACACACTATCTGGATCCTCATAACTAGTTACATGATAGGATCCTTGAGACAGACGCACCTTCCCGGGTGGGAGACGCGAGCTTTCTTAATTAAGATGCTAGCTTAGCACTCGTAATGCCTACTTCAAAGTTCATATGAATTTCAAGATGCATATCAACGACCCAGAATATGATCTCAAGTAGATCTTCTAACCATCCACTGGCACTATGCTCGTCTCCTGTTATCTATTATCCACGCTACGTTCGAGGTGTAGGTCGAAGTTGATCAAGTTCGTTTTGCACAGAAAATTCCCCATCTCCAATCCTACTCGGTACAAACTTATCAATCTCCTTCTGATAGGAGACTACTGCATCCGTGTTTCTGGGCTTGTTTGAGTTAGATACACACCACAATCAGGTGGTCTGGGAACATGGTATGGAGATTGTTGAGATAGAAGATCTTCCCTTTACATCCAGTCAGTTCGCTGTATGGAACAACGCCTCGACAGCACAGCCATAAAAAGTGTTATCCTGAGGCAATGGAACATAGTGAGCACTATTCTATCAGGATTGTCAGGGAAACTTTGTACTGTTAGGAGACAGACACATAGTGCCTATTTGATTGAAAGTGCTGTGACCGGTTCGACATCCATTACATTGGCCAAACATTGATGGACTCGGGCCTACTCAGACCCAGGTGAGAAAGACATGCAATATGGTAAGGTTATTGTGGTACCTCGCTCAAGGACAAGTCTACAAAGCTCGACCCAAGTTGAGCCCTAATTTTCGAGATACGAACTATCACCAAGAAGACTGACTGCATCAAAGCGATAACATAGATACCATACCTTTTTACCAACATATCGATGTACTGAGGGTAGTTGATCTTTATAAAAAAAACCACATCTAGCGAGTATAAAAAGCCACATGGCACAAATACGGAGGAGAGATATAGAGGTCAGGTCATAAAGAAGAAGGAAAAAAAGGAAGCATGGAAGAAAAGGCCCGGAGAAGAAAAAAAGCCAGATCGGGATCAGTACGAGGCCCTCATTGAAGTTCCTGATAAGAAAGCTGATTTAAAAAAGAGATTCTCTGTCCGTGTGTATGTGGTTGTGGGTTGGGGGATTTGGAGAGTGCGCGCAAAGGGGACTCTTTAAAGGGGAAGTTAAGAGGCAGGTAGACAAAATAACAAGGAGAATGAAAGAGAAAAACAAAGAGAAGGGAGATTTGACCAATCAAGTCTCGTCCCGGAGCAGCAGGTGAAGCGATAAGCACCGTATAGGGTGCCTGCAAAAGCCCAAGCAAGTGATGGCTCGAAGTAAGAGGAAGTTCTCTCCAAGAAGGAAACATCGACGACACAAGAAAAGACAGTTCCTTTGCTATCCTTAAGCTGCGAGGCCCCCAGACAGTGGAACGGAAAGAAATCTTGTTCACATCGATGCAACGCGTCTCATAGTCCTTACTCATGTCCTTCGGCAATCACTCGCTCAAACTCTCCTTTTGCTGTAGGAGGACCAGTCGTGCAAATTTCCCTCGATTGTCCCATCCGTCTCCCGAGGACGTGAGTCCATCATCAAGATCTTTTTAAATTTCGTTCTTTACTCGGCCTGCTTCTCCTCAGCAGCCGGGGCCTCCTCCTTCTTCTCGGGGGCAGCCTCAACGGAGGTCTCGGCCTCGGAAGAGGTCCAGAGAGTCTGTAAATTGAGGAAAACGTGATTAGAATGTGGGAACTTGGATATATGGAGACTTCATGAGTGGTTTCAAGACGTACCAGGTTGTCACGGAGGAGCTGCATGATGAGGGTGGAGTCCTTGTAGCTCTCCTCGCTGAGGGTGTCGAGCTCTGCAGATTATGTTAGCGCCAAATTCGCAAAATTGAAACACCGAGCTAAAAAAGCAGTCCGCAAGAAGAAACTAACCGGCAATGGCGTCATCAAAGGCGAGCTTGGCCAGGTGGCAGGCCTGGTCGGGGGAGTTCAGGATCTCGTAGTAGAAGACGGAGAAGTTGAGGGCCAGGCCGAGGCGGATGGGGTGAGTAGGGGCGAGGTCAGTCTGGGCGATCTCGGTGGCGGCCTTGTAGGCCTCCAGGGAGTTGTCGGCAGCACCCTTGCGACGGTCGCCAATGGCGAACTCGGCCAGGTAACGGTGGTAGTCACCCTTCATCTTGTGGTAGAAGACCTTGGACTCGCCGGACTGAGCGGACTTGATGAGGTGGTTGTCCAGAACCTCCAGGATGTCGTCGCAGATCTTGGCCAGCTCAGCCTCGATCTTCTGGCGGTACTCCTTGATCAGAGTAACCTGGCCCTCGTTGCCCTTGGACTCCTCCTTCTGCTCGATAGAGGTAACAATGCGCCACGAGGCACGGCGGGCACCAATGACGTTCTTGTAGGCAACGGACAGGAGATTCCGCTCCTCAACGGTGAGCTCAACATCGGCCGAGGCAACGACCTTCATGTTCTCGACCATCTCTGCGGGCGCATGTTAATACTTAAAATTCGCGATTGATGCTTCCAATCAAAGATTTTGACAGAAGTGATTTTGATTTTGAGAGGGGGGATATAAAGCGAACCTTCATAGCGCTCAGCCTGCTCAGCGAGCTTGGCGAGGTAAACAGCGTCTTCGTGACCCATTGTGAATGTTCTACAGAAATCAAAAAATGCACGTTAGTTCATGTCACATAGCAAATCGAGTTTGTATGGCCATGGAATATGGAGAATGCGAGTGGGAATCACGCCATCGACATCAGTGCCAGCGACCGGGAGGGGTAGTGGTTGGGTGAGTGTGGCCCATTTCATGTGAACGACAAGCACTCCATTCGACATCACGAGTTTTTTTTTTCTTTCCCAATACAGCGATCGCCTAGACGTGGGGACGACTGGCGATCATTAATATCGATGGTGCCGAGTTGTCGACCCTCCCGGCCGAGCGTGTTTTGAAGGGGGTCGATCACAGCGAAGCGGTCGCGGCAACGGCCCCGCCAGTAAACAAGGCAGTGAGAGACGATGAGGTTCACGTTGGCAGATGTGCGATCTCGATGAGTAGGCGGTATGAGACGTAACGTGATAATTTGGGGAAGGATGAAGAAGGGAGAGATCTCCTCCAAATTTCCCCATATTCAATGATCCCCGGTCGAACCGTGTATGATGGTTGTGTGTGGAATGGTAGGAGGGCGCGAGCAAGGCAGGCCAAGGGGAAATTGGATGAAACGATAGCGAACTCACCTGGAAATTGAAGAGGAGGGGGAAAGAGGTCGAAAAGGGGGAATTCAAATGGATGGAGAGTGAATAGCGAGAGGGGGGAGATAGAAGGATGAAGTTGAAGGAGGAGAGGAGAAGGAGGGGGAAAGGAGGGAAACAGAGAAGGCGGTGTTGTTGGGATTTACGGAGCAGACGGGCAACTCACAAACTGGCAACACTTGAAGGGGGCGCCAGCAGGTGATCTACAAGAAATAATACTAACTACTGGACTGACGAAGGACTATTGGACTGGACGATAAAATGAGTATCATTTCGCTTCCCATGTGCCATTTGGCTACACCTGAGTATACCTCTTCGATCGAAGGATGTCCAATGTCCATCCTCCCCCCTCTTCCTCTCTCTTACTGTGCTCAACTCGGTCTTCTGTGTGTGGTTCGGTGGGCCTGCCCAGCGTCATCCCCTATCCCGCGCCCACCAATCGCCCTGGAACGTTTCCCCTTCTTTGCGCCTCACTGTGGAAAGGGCTCTTGACGCCGGTTCGAAGGCAGAACTACTACTACAGTGCCCAGCTGGCTTATTTCTTTGAAACACTCTCATATCCACAGAGTCTCTGTTAGCTGGTTAATAACCCCCTCTTTGACCAGTCTAGCCCACTATTTATTATTGCAGTATATACTGTAGGGACTGTGTAGTACTAAGTACTTGGATAGGCTGCTATCCCATGATGACGCAGAGCTGTCCGAGCACAGTCACATCAAATTCTCGTAATCAGCACCAGGGAACTAATAACGACTACTGTGCCAAATGATCCCCGAGCCCCTCCTCATGATCTCCATCCAAAGTCGAATGAGAACGCGTCGACTTATCGCAGAGATTTCGACCTTGCTGACATAATACTCCTTACCTAATCACCGAAGCACCTGACCTAGAACAGGATCCTGTTCATCTTCATCCCCGGACCCGACGTAGATCACATGATGTGGTCTTGGCGCCTGTCGTCATGCCATACTCCCTCGTCAGCTTCCCCTCGCATTCGATCTGTCCTTTGTACCTCTTAAGCTTTAAACCTCCCTTCTCCCCAATCTCAAATCATCTCTCTAAACTACCACGCACAATGCTCCGCCAAACTATCATCCGACCTGCCGTCGCTGCCAACCGGGCTTTGCTGACTCGGTCCTTCTCTGTTGCTGCGCCCCGAATGGGCGAAGGTGACACTGGCGCCCCTCGCTCTGGAGGCTCTGCTGCGAGGTTCGTCATCTCCCCCTCTCGTGTACCTATCATCTACCATGCTGCTGTCAGCTGTACCTGTGCCCTAAAGCCTTGAATGGGAACTGTGCACAGCGTGTCTGCCTTGCCTTGCTCTATGACATCATCAATTGCTGACATGGTTCGAATAGTGACTCCTTCACCAAGCGTGAGGCCGCCCAGGAGGCTCTCTACATCCGTGAGAAGGAGCTCGAGAAGTAGGTTTACCCACCTAGTTCCCATCCTTGGACCATCACTAACCATAATCGGTAATAGGCTGGCCCAGCTGCGCAAGAAGATCAACGATCAGCGCGCCCACCTCGACGAGCTCGAGGGTCACATGTATGTTTCCCTCTTTATCTTCCCAACACAATCTCTCTGCTTGAGAATCTCCAGCACTAACTCCCATCTAGTAACAAGTTGACAAAGGACCAATCCGGCGGCAAGAACTAGATATACTACATGCAAATTGCTTCTGCCCTTCCCCATTCCCAGCGAAGAGTGCCCACCCTCCAATTGCCGTGTACCATACCATTATGATCTCCCCTCTGCTTGATACGCCATGGATATGTGATTCGAGGATTGGGATTCGTCCGTGGACGGTGCAACCGGCATGTTGTTAGATATGACAGGCAGCCATAGCATTACATACATACCTGGAGTTCCTCGATTCAATCTTTTTCTTTCAATATTTGATGATGGTCGGAGTAAAGGGTTGCAGCATCATGGAGTTATGCCAGATTGGTTTCCGCTTTAGTGGATGCTGGTGCTCTAGCCACCGGGTGAAATCTCGAAGTAGACGTATCATCGGCATGCAGGATGTATTTCAGTAATGCCTTGAATCTATGTAACCGACAGAAATCACCGAGTCCACTATGACTCGAAACGTCTGCAAATACGGTGTGCTTAACGCAGATCTGCAAAGGTCTAGATCACGCACTAATAATGTCACGAGGTGTTGCAGTCATTACCCGATACAAGAGAACTACATGAATTCACTATCTGGGCTGTCATCACCTCCCACAATCCAGGAATTTGCCTTGTGCCTTTGCACTCTTGCACCATCGACTCCTACAAAGCTCATTCCGACGATAGCCAAGACGCTGGAAGGGATGTCATCTTAGCCCTCACGCTTGACGGACTGTTCAAATTGCAATTATAGCTTTATATTATCAAAGGAAAATCCCCATGCCAAGAAGGAGATCATAATGACTTTTTCAAAGTCACCATAAAGTGTAGAGAGCATTCTTTAGTTCTAAAGAACCAGTCAGCGCGCGCCAGGCATAAGCTATAGAAGATCAAGACATCCATACCCAAGAGAACAATGTATCATGACGCCGGCGCATATCTCCCGGCGAATGTACTGCATTTCATTCATAGAAAGCTGGATTTTAACTGGCACGAGGGAAAGATACAGCCGGCGAGAACGAGAAACATCCGTGGGATTTCGTGATCCGTCAAAAGAACTCGGAGGTGTGTGCGGAAGATTGGCGGTAGAAATCGGTTTGCCGCGGAAGAAGATGACCAAAATAAACAGTCCAGGTATCGAGGAACAACAGACAGGTCGAGTATCCTGTCAAAAGTGTGTTGTGTGCAGGAATCAATCGACAAATTTAGTCTCGGTCGCCTACGGGGCTGCGACTGCGCTCTGGACTGCGACTGCGACCGCGGGCGGCGGCGCCACGGATGTTTTTCTGGCCTTGGTTCTTGCCCTTGCTCGATGGAGGGGGCGAACGAAAGCGTAGTCAACGCTGAGTGTCTGGTCAAGGAGCTTGGAGCCGTTCAGGTTCTTGATGGCCTCAGAGGCTTCGGGGAGGGTTGAGAACTCGATCAAGGCGTATCCCTAGCATGGAAAATTGTTAGAGAGAGGTTCTTTGGAACCAATCAAAAATCCGGCGACCAGATCCAGCGATACAGGTCAAAAGCCTGCCGCTGAAACTGCCCTCGAGGAAGCACGAGCACGACATACCTTGACATAGCCTGTCCGCCGGTCCAAGTTCAAACTGAAGTTCTTGATCTCGCCATACTCCGCAAAGATATCGGTAATATCCTCTTCTGAGGCTTCCTCATGAATATTCGACACCATCACAATCCACCCTTCAATACTGCGCACGGCGACAGCGCCAGTCTGAGTTCGAGGTTCGACACCACGGCCATCCTGCGCGGGGCTATCGTCCTGGGCGACGGGCAGGTCAACCTCCATTTCGTTGGACATTTTGGCTGGATATGGAGAAGATGTAGAGAATCGCTGGTTTTCAAATCGAGTTGGCACGTTGGTGGGGAGGAATGGAGGAGAGTGCGGACTGACGTCTGTGCAGGTGAGCGCATATTGGGAAAAGCTTTGGCTTTGGAGAGCCCCTTTCGGTTAGCGTTCCTCCGCTCCTCCGCCTTTTACGATGAGTGGGTTCTGGCCATCTTCTACAAAGTATAAAAAATGATAGGCTTGGGGTTTTATGCTTGAATTTTGGAGGGTCTTTGTCTTCTCTATTTGGATTAGTATGTTGTGAAATTAGACAGGTGGGTGTTACAGTTCTTGCAAACTTGTGCGGACGAACAAACCAAAAGGGATAGAGCTGGCCTTCCTTACAACAGACCATCTATTTGGAGGCCCATGGCAGGAGCGAGAGGATCTTACTCACTGGAAATAAATGGAAATCTCCGTTTGATGATAAAGTTAGAATTGAATGAGCTTATTCATTTTTTTTTTTTTTTAAAAAAAAAATACCAAGTAGTGGGTTTGCACGTTGTTCTAATTAGGAACAAAAAACTGTGGAGTGGAGATTTATTCCCCGGATATTGTAGGTGAGAGACAAAACTATCTGAATTGCCACCTCGTGTTCAGAAGCATGAGGATTTGGAATCAAAAGGAAAGAAAAGGCAGAAGGGTCGTTAAGTGTACAGGATTTCGAGTGAATCAAAGGAAAGAGAGGAGATCAAACATGTTCCCCTCTATAGGAAATAAAAGATTTACTTCCGGTTGTTGCTCCGCATGCCGAGGATCTGGACCATGCGGATGAAGATGTTGATGAAGTCGAGCTCGAGGCTGACACTCTCGTTGACAACGTCACGCTTCATATATCCACGCTCAGCGAGGCGGGCGTGGTGCAGAATCTTCTGGACATCATAGAGGGTGAAGCCACCGAAGACAGCGAGTCCACCGTATAGCCAGATGCGCTCAGACCACATCAGAGTGCGGGCAGCAGTGGCAGGAAGGACCATGGGAGCAAGACCAGAGAGAGCGACGATGGCAACACCAGCGAGGAGGGGACCGCCGAGGTACAGGTACTTCTCCTGCTTAGCGGTAGCACCAACGAAAGCAATGGAACCCATCATGCCGACGGTGTAAAGACCAGCGCGAGCGAGGATAGCGGGGTGCATGAACATCAGTGGGGAGAGGAGCGCAGCCTGGGTCAGGTTGAACAAAGTCCAGCAGCCATACTTCAAGACGTAGCTATCAAAATGGTTAGCATTGCCATTTTTGAACGATGAAGAGCGAAAGAGAGTGGTCTAAATACTTACTTATCCGGGGGAGTAGCAAAGGTGGCGTACATCGAGCCAATGCTGCCAACGAGACCAACACCCATGACCAGCCATGGGTTCATAGCCATAAGACGGTAAGACCAGCCGCTGGTATGCAGAGCGCGGGCAGCAATAGCGATAATACCAATACCAAGTCCAGTGTGCATGAAAGTCTCGTTCAGGAAGCTCCGCTCGTAAGCGGGCATGCCGCCATCCTCGCGGGTCTCACGGTTGAAGATGAAGTTGGTGGCCAGGATGGTACCACCGACGATGGCACCTCCGTACAGCAGCTTCTGGGTGAAGTTGCCACCCTGAGCGTTGTAGGTCTGTTGCATGTAGCTGCGGCGAAAGGCATTGTGGAAGGTCTGATGAGACTTGGTGAAGAACGAAGGCTGGGCACCGAACGGCTTAGCAGCTTGAGAAGGCTTGAATGGAGAGTTGTGAATGAAGCGGGCAGTATTCGAGAGTTTTGGAGCTTGAGTGAGGGCCGACGATACGGCGAACGGGCGCCGAAGGAAGAAAGCCATGACGACGATGATGTCGAGGGAAGGAAAGAGATGGCGATGAAACGTTTATATGCGAACGGCTGGACCGGTGATATCAGGGCGCTTACTCACGCCGGGAGTCGGCAGCTCTTAAGTCCGAATGTTCCAGAACAGCACGTGACTGGCGGGGTGAGAGGCACAGAGACAAGACGGCGGCACTTTTGAGATACGTCATGCTCTGATCGTGGACCTGATTTTATTTTTGAAGATGGCGCTGAAGCTAGAGACGATCAATATCCCCCACCTGCCAGCCTCACTGCCAGTCCATGTGGCGCTGTACCGCAATGTCCAGAACTCGGCCTTTCTGCGGCAACAATTGCTAGCCGGTAACGCAGAGTTTGAATATGCCTTCATCGATGCGAGCTTGGTAAGAGCCTACAATTTATATTTTACGTTACGTGATAATAGAGTGCTGATCAAGAAATACAGGTGCTATCTAGGGCGCATGCATTGGCAGCCATCTTTCGTGCAATGAATGACTACATGAATGATCGACTTAAATCCCACAATGTGCACTCGGAGATTGTGTTTTCCTTCAACCCGACCAACAATGTATGGTGACTCACTCTTATAACTGCATCTGCGCCACAATCTACCGAAGCTAACTAGCTTAGATCGCTGAGTCTTTCCGCAAGCTCGGCATTGCCGACTCCACTAAGGACTTATTGATTGTCAAAGTCTCCGTGAGTCCGGAGATAACCCATGACTCCGTTGCCGCGCAGCTGGAAAGTTCCGTCGAAGGAACATCCGTGCCTTTTGATGACATGACTTTGTCAGAGATCTCCGACATCACCAAGATCAAGAAACTATACAAGCTTGGTGCTTTGCCTTCTCCTGCAGCCAAGCCAGATGCTAGCCAGCCCCACCAGGATGAGGCTAGAAGACGGCTGGAGCTTTCAATGCTGGGAGCCATTGCCCTTCGTGGATCATGATGGAGCCAATCAAAGATGATTTAACGATATCAACCTGATACTGGCTACCTTGGTATGAAGCTGAAGGTATCTGCGGCGGTCGTGAATTGACGTTGCGTCTTTGACTTATACAAGGGTGTGAGTCCCGTCGTATATTGCTCCATCGTCCACAAATGTCGTATCTCATGGCCAAACACTGGTACGCTGGTATTGCCAAACCTCGTGGATGTCCTTTCCAACACCGCGATACCCTCATGAAAGCACACCGTACAATAACCTGATGGTATCATGTGATTTGACTGGGTCCATGGAAGAACATGAGCATGGATGGAATGCACTTAAAGGAGCTCGACCTTACTACTTGGATCAGCTCTATGATAGTCCAATGACAAAATCATAATGAGATGATGAAATTTACTCGAGAGAGCCCACGATAATATATTTTTTTAACCAAGAGTAGTGACCATACATATACTACAAAGGCAAAGATGAGGCTATATCCAAAAGTCCACGAAGCCAGGGGCATTGAAAAAGGCTCAAACTCATAGTGCAGATTCAAACGATAGGCTCTCAATGCCTAGTCATTGATCCTATTGTTCTGTAGAGGATGTTTTCTTAGAATTTATTGTGATCTTAAAAACTGCAAGTGGTATGCGTTGCTGGGCCAGACTGTTTTCCTCGGCCCAAAACGGCAATCCTGCAACTTTGCCAAGCCCTGATCGTCATCTTTCCAACGGACCTTGTCGCGACCTCCAGAAACTACTCGACACCCACTTTGCGGGTTCTCCGTCGTTAAATATTGATTCGAGGAGATGGAATTCTTCCAATACGACATACTATGAGAAAATCTAGCGTGAAACGCCATAAACACAACCAGTCGGCTGCAAAACGCGCCGCTTGCCACAATGACGAGCACCGCGGACGTGATTATCTTGTCCTCGTCTCCGAGTGCTTCGCCGCATATCCTCACGAGACTCGCCAAAAACGTGCAGAGACAGTCTGAGTTATGTCCAGAAGTTGCGACAACCGAGCCTCTCCCATCGCCATCCGAGCTGTTCCTCCCTCCCTCCCGCTCTCGATTCTTCGACGTGCCCGCAAGGAAGGACGACGCGTCCAAGAAGAAACGCTCCACAACCAAAAAGACAGCCCCTTCGGATGACAAAGAGAAGGATGCTCCAAGTAAAACGCGACAGAAGGCGAAGAAGGTTACCAAGGAGCCAACGCAGAACGGCCTGGACGACCTAGAACCCCAAACCCTTGATCCCAAGAAGAACGATGTGAAGAAGACTGCGGGGTCCCAGAAAAGTCGCGCGAAGCCGAAAGCGAAAAAAGAGACGGGAAATCTGAAACTAGCTGGCAAGGTAACCAAGGCGAGCAAGAGCAACGATACCCAAGCGAAGACTGCCAAGACTACGAAGGCCGGACAGAAGACAGCAGCGGTACAAGATCCTCCTGTCGAGTCAACAGAACCTTCTGAGTCAACGAAACCATCTAAGACATCTAATGCTCTGGGAAAAGATGAGGTTCTGCAACTGGGTGAGGCCACGAGAAGACGCAGGGACTGGACACCACCGAAAGAGACACCTCCGCAGCTGATCACCACAATGGATAATGGGACCACTTCTGATGAAACCCATGAACCGAGCGCAAAGAGTAGATTCGGTGGTATTCTCACGGACTACAACTACTCCGGGTCGAGTTCGGATTCCCGAGAAGTTAGTGCAAATGAGGGCGGACCAACAAAACGAAGAAGGATCGACCTCGTGGACCCTCAATGCAACCCATTGCATGGCCGAAATTCGAAAGAAGACTCTGTTGTTCAAGGAGATACACCATCGTCAATCTCATCATCGGGCCGGCAAGCGAAGCGGAAACCAAAAACTCAGAAGCGCTTCACAACTCTGACGGCTCGCATGACAGCCCAGTATACATCGAATGATGTAGAGGAAGATACCCAAGCAGACGATATCACGCAATACATCACCAAACCAAAGCCTCGGGGGAACAAGAGCAGATCAAACGATAAGGATCCGGAATTGATTGTACTTTCTCCAGAGGCAGCTTTCAAGGTGTTGGATCAACAAGATGTTGTCTTTGGTACTTGCAGCCAGCTCGAAAGAGACGACTCTCCGGAGACCTTACGAGAAATGCAGCGGGCCATTCGTGCGTCAGAGAGCCTGGCATTTGGGGAACGAGGAACCGGTTATACTTCGGGCGTTGAACAAACTGCAAGGAGCGAGTCCACATCAAGTTCCATGTCTCGATTCACAGGCGTAAGAAATCTATGGAGCGTTGCAGGTCGAGACACGGCAGGGTCTTTGGTTCAGGCGGGAAGTGTGGAGAAGGTTGATCTAACAGATGCGCCCCATGTCAGCAAGCCGAAAGATGCGCCTACAAGACACCCAAGACTAGATGTCTCCGACGATGAGTGGTTGGATCTTGAGTATGGAAAGCCTGGTGATTCACGGGACGAGACTTCATCTTCCACAAAAGCTTTGCAACAACCAGCCGAGCCCAACCCTCCAACTCCCGCCGTACTTGCACCGCCTGTACCTGATACCCAGCCGGCAGCGAATAAAAGCCATCACACGGCTGAGGTTTCGCAGCCGGCCCCAATGCCACAGTACAATGGATTCACAGACGCGGAGCTCTCAAGGCAAGTTGCTTCATATGGGTTTAAGTCTGTTAAAGGACGCAAGAAGATGATCGACTTGCTTCAAAAGTGCTGGGAATCGAAGCATGGCAAGGCTGACCAACGTGTTGGTGTCTCCTCCCAGCCCCCTTCAGCAGCACAGGCCGATAATATAACCACTGCTCCTGCTACAAAACCTCCGAGCCCCAATCCCAAGACCAAGGGAAAGACGAAACCTAAAAAGACTGCATCAATGGCCACGCCAACGGAGCCTGCTACGCGGACGGAGACTGTGGCAAAGACCACTCCCAAAAAGAACCAGCAACGATCCTCCAAGGTTGGACACCCTCCGCCATCCTCATACATACATATCGAAGAGATCCAAGATTCGGAGGAAGAGGTCTTTCTCTCGCCGAGCCAGGTACAAAAGCGGTATACCGAGATCTTTTCCAACACCGCTACATCAGTCCGAGCCCCTGTTTTGCAAATCCTGACCAAGGATCGGCCACAAACACCCACCAAGCGCAAGGCAACTGCCTTCAAGACTTCACGCAGTACAAAGTCAACGTCATCCACAACTGCCACCAAGGTGGATAAAACACCATCCGTCGAGCGTGGTAGCCAGCTAGACATATCCATCCAGATCACCAAGGCCGTTCGTGCGCAGCCCCAGCTTTCGATGTCCACCAGCCGAAGTCGGCCAAGCTGGCATGAGAAGATCCTCATGTACGACCCCATCGTCCTCGAGGACTTCACATCATGGTTGAATGTCGAAGGACTTGGCCTTATTGGCGAGGACCGGGAGGTTGGTACCGCGGCTGTGCGGGAATGGTGCGAGGGCAAGGGGATTTGTTGCTGTTGGAAGAAGAATGCAAGTTGGTGATGTACATTATTATTCTGTTCATTTTCATTTTCGGGATCAGATGGTGTATTCTATGGTTTCGGTTAGGAAATACCCATTGTCTACGAAATTTCGGATTTACTGCATAGAAAATTACTCTACTCCAGTAATATTATCCAAAGAAATAGCTGCGGAACCTAAGGATCTTTACGGCTCAGTGTCTCCTCAAATAGTGGAAGAGTACTTTAAGAATGCTATAGTGCATTGGATATACGGGACAATTACAGATTAAGTCCCCGGCACTTCCAAAGTGCGAGGAGAAGGTAACAAAATAACTGGGCGAGGCAACCTTCTCCTCTTTTTCTACCAACAGAGTGCGCCTAGGGGAAAGCAAAGGAGACCCGAGTCATCCCATACTCGTCTACCATGTCAAAAAATACGACTACTTAGCCGGAGGGGGGGAGGATACAATGATGGCGAAGAAAGTGATATACCATTGTGATTTGTCATGAAGATGGAAAAGAAAGCTAGGCAGGTATTCTCTCGAAGAGTCGAGTCTGGAGAAGCGTATTAAAAATGATGACAATGTGAAACCCCGCTCAAACATGTTTGGATCTGCGTTCAAGTGCCATTTCAGATGCTTCTCTCCATTTTCCGCGGTCCCAAAGTCCCTCAAGACCGTTTGAGTCTGAATCTGGCTGTCATTGAATAAAGAATCTGAAAATGTTCGTCAGAATGGAGGACCTGAGAGGAAATGAGACCAGAGGGAAGATCGAAAAATGAAGTTCACAGGAAACAACCGGAGGTGGGGACCCGAGGGAAGGACTGGAGAAAGGACCAGAAAGAAGACCAGCGAGGAGGTCTAGAAACGTTTGAGGACTGAAGAGAATGTCGAAAGCGAGGTTCAGAGGGGATGAGAGAGGGGATGAGAGGGAAGTCTTGAGAGAAAGACTAGAAAGGAGCGCTTAACAGAAGGTCTGAAGCGAGGTCCAGAGATGGAGGGACCTGAGAGAAGGTTTTCAGAGGAAGACCAGCGAGGAAAACCAAGAAGAGCCGGAGAAGGACCAGAGAAGAAGGGCCAAAGAGATGATCAAGGATGAAAGAGATTATCAGGAACGAAGAGATCAGAGATGGTGGCGACGCAGAGAGAGATGGCGATGCAGAGAGAGACGGTGTAGAAAAAGAGGACAATGGAGAGATGGAGTAGTTGACAAAGTGGCACAAGGTGGGAGGCCAGGTGGGTGGGAAGTTGGGAGGAGGAGAGGAGTTGAAGGAGGAAGAAAAATCCTGGGGTGGGAGGGACGGAGGAGGTATTTATACCTGAGGAGGGGGAGGGGGGAAAGCGTGCCTTCCTAATCGGGTCGGAATAGCTTCACTTCTTAATCGGGGGTCCTATAGGACTGCTGCCTCCCAAGACAGCACCACGCGATTGTGAGTCATCGGGATAGCAAACAAAAATCATAAACAAGGCATGAGCGCGTCGTGTATGGACCGCATTGGATTAAGTTGGTATGGAGACGAGAGTATACAATCACGCAGGCGTACAGACCATAAGTACCGTACAAGGGATATTGATATCGAATGATACGATGTGGCAATCAGTTGGCACCTGGAGTTCTAGGAGCTGCGCACTTTGTCATTATAAGCAAACAACTTGAGCGACATGTGATAGAACACGATAGACGCCGTAGAATAACACGGCAACAGAACATTGTCATAAATTGGTCAGTGTTAACGTAGAAGGACTCGGGATACCACTACGACCCATGTCTCGGCATGATTGTTAAGAGGATTTGCTCATTTTTATAGCTAGAAGACCGATTTAATGCGCCAGTGCATGGCACTGATGGACTACTAGCGGTGTTCTGGTTCACGTTGTAAGAAGCTCAAACGCATTTGATATTGTGTATATTCACATTAGGATATTATTGAGCAGCTTCTCCTGCTGCTGAGCCTCACGTGGCATGCCTTTTGCATTTCGAAAGCTAAGATATGTACGCTCATCTATTCATGGCTGTATAGGTGTAGGAGAGAAAAGATTGTTAGCGATACTGCTGGATTGGTGAAAGAGTTAAAGACACAGGGGCTCAGGGGCTCAGGGAGCTAACAAAGCAACGCATACCTTGAAGCAGCCAGAGACCTTCCCACATTCTCTTAAGTTCATCATGGCATGACACTTGTTAGAATAGTCGCCCAGGACTGCTAGATCCGGCACCTCTTCTTGTGTAGCGCTTAGGCACCATCATCACCGTTGACACTCCCTGGTACTGATGTCGACCATAGTCGTCGGTGGTCAAGGCCGGAAAACCTATTTTACACCCGGGTCGACTGAATTGCGCGTTTGTTGAAACGGTTTAGACGAAGGATCTGTCTCCGATGCAGCTTGAAGTCAACAAAGGACCATTCTCTAGACTCGCACTCGAACACTGGGCGGCTGATGAACCACCTCGCTGAAGGATCTGCTCTCATGGGGTTGTTGATATTCCTTGTTGCCATTTGATGGGCCTGTGAGAGAACTCGGTTCGCTATTGGTACGGGGCTGCTCAAAAGATGCCAACGCAACAATGGTTAGGTAGAAATCATCAAAACCAAAACTGATGGAAGACAGGAAGACCTCCATATTGTCGACTCTGACCTAGGCTGAGCTGGGCTGAGTCGAGAAGGGAAGGTGGTTTCCCTACCTAAAATGCCCAATTGTACTTTCTGGTTAATAATGTCATATTCTATCAGGTTCTGTGAGTATATTATTCGTGAAAGTCTGGGATGTTGGACTTACGCCAGTTAGGCGAAGTATCGCTTCTTGATTCTCAACTCGCTTCCATAGGATCTGATGGTTGTCTCGGAGAACAGTATCTTGCTGGCTTATCTGTTCTTCGCTCCAGGGCAATAATTTGACCGAGTGGTAGTCAACCCCAAAGAAAATCACACTAGAGGTGGTTGTTAGCAGAGTAATCAACAACTCGTACTGCGATGACGCTCTAAACTTGGTATCCTCGGCCGGTTTTGAGATGGAGAATTCTGCCAATAAGGGAGATGCGGATGAGGATTATGGTGCTTTGGCACCAAGAGCACTCGTATTAGGAGGAAGGTTTTAGTTACTCACTGTAAATATAGCTCAGAAAACGACCAAGGTATGGAGGGTGCTTGCTTGACCCAGAGAGAAAGTCCAGAAGCGAGGAAGCGCGAGATAGCAGAAGGGTTAGGAAATGAGAAATGTCAAGTGGAGGAGACAAGAGAGTGGCTGAGAGCAGCGAGAGAGTACGCGGAGGAAAAAGGAGATGCTGCAGGCCTAAAAGCCACAAGAGAACCGTTTGGCATTTGATGTGTGGTTAGCCAGATTTTAAAACTCCCACGGTTCGTGGTTGACCCCGATATAGTGGAGAAGGGATAGAACGCCAGAATATCGTAAGATAGTAACACTAAGAGAAGTAAAACCAATTGCTATAGTTAGCCAGTATCAACTCTAAATTCGATGATGGTGTCCACTACACACAACGCAGAATAAAGTGTAAGACTGCAGCCACCTCTCTAGATCGCAATGGTCAATTTTTTCGGAAGAACATGAAGTCGGAAAAGATGGAGAGAAAAAGAAGACGAGGAGAAGAAGCATAAAAGTGACAGTTGATCATAAGCTTGAGATAGCCAGTAAACGGAGTGAAAGGTTACCTCTATAACGTTAATGGCTATAGTGGGCTCACAGGAAGTAAAAGAGTGGTAAGACCTTTAGGGGCCGGAGGAATTATATCAGTATTCCCGGGCCACTTCTTTGATTTACACAAGTCGTTGACCATCCATTAAAATGCTGGAAAATCTCGTCTAACGAGAACATTAACCGGGAGATTCAGATTGTTGGAGCTCCCTGGCCTCAAAGTAGCCAAGTTCTCACATAACTTGCCAAGACGGTCAATAGATTGATGCTGTGAAGATGAGAAGGAAAGAAGGGGGTATCCATCAATTAGAATCAGAGCAAAACAAGGATATTACAACAAGCATGGAGCTATGATGGGGATATCATCAAGAATCTCTACCATAGAATGGCTCCCTTACATAGAAGACGGGTTCTCGTAGAAACTACTGGAGATAGCATCGAACCTGGAACAGACTAAGAGAGTGCCCAAATATCCAGGTGTCCAACTACCTAATATCCCCTACTGAAGTGCTATGAACAGTATTTTAATAAGGAAGTTCGATTGTTGTCTAAAACTAGGCTTAGCCTCAAGAGGGCCTCCAACGGCTAATAAAACCAGGTAAAGATCCACCTTGCTCCCCAAGCCTAGTCCGCAAAGAACAAGGGAGGCTTTGGTCATCGCAAGCAGTACCAAAGCTTCGAAACATCGCTAAGAGTAGAAGCCACCCACGATAACACCTGCAAAAAGATCCTTTGATCCTTGTCCCGGGCTACCGCAAGTACTGGCTTGCTCAAAAGGTCATAAAGAAACAGTGGTTGAATAGAAGGCATGGTATCTCAACAGGATGGGGGAAGGGAACGCCGATCAACTGTAGACTCCAGTCTGGGCCGGACTGTGTTCAAGATGGAGGGTGATGATGCATCTACCTAGAGCGGCCAGTTGTACTTGGTATTGAAGAGGGTCATATCCTATAAAGTTCTGTTAGTCCATTCTTCAAGAAACAGATAAAGGGTAGATAGGACGTACATCGTTCATGGAGATCATGGAATCTTGCTCCTCGACCTTCTTGAGTAGTGTCTGATTGTTCTCGCGGAGCACGGCCGTCTGCTGTCGGAGCTTGTTGTTCTCTTGCTGCAGAAGGAAAATCCTCTGCTCCCAAGTGACAGGTGTGTGATTCTGGGCACGCATCGCTATGGAAGACGGGAATCCTGGGCTAGTGTGCTCGAAGCTGAATCGAGGCTTGGTGTTGCGTTGGAGCTCCTCGTTCTCTCGCTCCAGGTCCGCAACTCGAGCTTTCAGCCCTTCGATCTCGGCCGCCATTCGGCCAGCAGCGCCACGGACGTAAGTTTCCCCAGTGACGCAGTCGGTCACTTTGCACACCATGCCAGCGGCTCCGCAATTGAAACAGCCCCTGCGGTTTGGGTCGCACTTGTATCTTCGCACCTGTAAGAATCCAGAGTAGTAGTTAGCGGGATGGAGAATGAACAAATCGCTAGGTAGATCAACGTACCCGGCACCGGTCACAAGCTTGTCCCGTGCGTTTGCGCTTCTTGTTGAGCTCCAGGATGATCTGGGAGTAGTCCGGCTCCGGTGAGTTGCGACTCCGGCGTCTCTTCGTAACGCGCTGTGATTTCTCCCCATCCTCTTGTTTAATGATTCCTGAAGCTGGTGTAGACTCGGCATCATCGTTTACCAGGGTTGCACTACTGGTGGTTTGGGTAGGCTCGGTGTTTTCGACAGTGCTAGGAGTCGCGGTAGGCGTGGGGGAATTGGGAGACAAGACAACTTGATGGGTATTTGGCTCGACGGAGTCGATAATGTCTTCGAAGAATCTTGGGCCAAGCTCTGCAGAGTCGTTGGGAGGGTAGCTCTCGGTTTCGAAATGCATGACCCAGGGTGCGGTTTCTTTCTCGTCTTCATGGGCAGGATTATGATCACTCATTTTTCGTAGCAGGGAAGTGGATAAGGACTAAATGTGAGAGGCGTTGATGTTAGCTCGAAGAAAGTTGATAGATAATATGGGAAGACGACCTCTCAGAAGGCACTAGTATCTGCTGAGATATCAGACGTGGAAGGCCTCATACTTACCTGGAGGTTGGATGTTATTGAAAGTGGATGAGAAATGTAACTTTCTTTGAGAGGTGGGAAGGTTTGATGAGGATGAGGATGGAAGGTGGGAAAATGAGAGTTGAGAGCTGAGAAGAGACAAGGGACAAGGGTGGAAGAGGGATTTTATAAGTCGGAAGCAAACCAGACTTGGTGAAGGTAGCGCAAGCAGTTAATCCGATATTTCTCTGATGATGACCCATTCAAGAGAATTCGCTGTATCGATCTTCATCTAGGTCATCTAGGGCGTTTCTCGACATACCAATGCATAATAGTCAGGCGTCTTTCGAGCTCTTTTGTTCTCCCTGATTGTAAATTGTCAGACCACCTACGAAGGCAAGACAATGATATTACAAGGACTGTAGGACTATAACATGGAATAATCGAGCGCTACTACCATAGAAAGGCTTCTCTATTGCTCAAACTCTCAAAGCCTAGGCCAAAAGAATGCCTCTATGTGATATTGCATGTCTCATGAGGGTTCTGTACACAAAGCCTTTCAATGGCCACAATGAAACTGGCATTGATAAGAAGTGTCTTGTCCCAGGTCCGAACAAAGGCAATAATGGTCAAGCCCAAAAGAAGGGCATGTAAGGGAAGCTGAATAGATTATACCCCAATCCTTTCAGCAAAAATCAAGCGGACAAGCTTCCCATCAGAGTCAAATCAAGTATTCGAAGACATGGACATTGAGTAGATAGTATCAAGATAGGTAAAGTACAGTGACATGACGAGCCCAGCCAGAAACCAAAGAAACCATGGACGAGGGTAAAACATTATCACGTAAGTAAATGGCAACCAAAAAGACAGAATAGCAGTCAAAGACCATCAAACATTATTCAATATCAAAGCCTCACCACGCGAAAGGATGCTGTCAGTCTTAGAAACTCCTGCCATGCTCGACCAACCCGAGAACCAGAGAAATCTGTGACCCAAATCCCAAATCCTGAAACGCGTCAACCCGCACCTCGAAAGCCCATTCTATACGGGGCCAAAAAAAAAACAACGAAATAATGACATTTCCCGAAAAGCCCCTGAACTCCCACAGTTATAAGAAGCTGTTGTTGGTGGTTTGAAGGTTGTGAAAACAGAATGCTGGAGACTGATGCGAGTAAGCTCACGCGGAAACCATAACGAAGCTGAAAGGTGCATACAAGCCGTAGTATATCATCATGATATCGAACGTCAAGTTGTGGTAGAGAGCTTGGGCCAAGGGGGCCCACGGTGGAGACGCCGATTGAGATCAGCAGTTCTCATCTCAGCGACGGCCAAAGCTCAGATCACCTGAAATTCCGTCCATTTGAAGCCACAGTCTCAAAGTCGATCCGTGGTTGGTACCGCATGGGCCCGTTGTCTTCGAACCATGGCATAAGATTTTTGCACTGGCTTACGTCAAAAGACTGTAGCTGGTGGCAACCCTCGGCGACAGCCTCTACTCCCACTCCAGTGACACGGACACAACCGCGCACTGATAGGTGTTTGAGAGATAGGAGGTGAAGACCGATGCTGCGTAGAGACGGATCGGAGATGGCCGAGCCACAGAATGACATGTTGAGGTATAGTAATTGGGAGCATTGAAGAGCAAGGACTTCGGTTGCCGTATCAGAGAGCGCGCAGCAGAAAGACTGGGAAGTATTGATCAGTAATTGAAGACGATAGTGCAGGGAGAACGGGATGAGCCTACCAGATCCAACTCTTGCAGCTGCTTGGCGGCATTTGTTAGATGAACGATGGCATTGTCCGTCAGGTACGTGCAATCTGCCAAACAGAGTCTGCGCAAGTTGGTGAATCGTGCATTGCCCCAATACTGAAACCCTTGATCGGTGATGGTAGTGCAACGTGTCAAGTCCATTTCTTCAATGCGAGAGGCAGCATGGGAGGCAATGTGGTGCATTGACCGATCCGTGACATGTTTGCAGTAGGACAGGGTGAGCTTTTTCAGCTTAGGACAGCCGTACACTGTGCTGTCGGCCGTTTGGATTGTTGGTTTGATGGAGGATGTTTTACCTTCGCCGGGCTTCTGGTTCCCAGAAACAACCCACCCAATTATTCGCGCCATAAGCGTGTCTCCCACTTTTCGGCAATTGCTCAGTTCCACTTCTTCGAGGCCGACAGCTTTACTGGACATCTCAAGGATAGCAGATGCTGTTACATCCCAGACACTCTTCATTCTCCACGTGGTCGACGTGGGCGCGCATGTTTTTACTAGCGCATTGAACCCCTCATCGGTAACATGGAAGCAATTGTTGATGTTGACAGACCGGGGTCGATTACCGACAAATGGGCATATCACTTTGACAAGCACATCATCCGTTACGCAGCGATTGTATATGCTGAGGTCCAAATCGCGAACGATCTGATCCGATGTGTTCAAGATCTCGGACCAGTGGGAGGAAACTCCACGAAGCCGAAGAAGTTCGTGGAGCTCCATGAATTGAAAGATATTCAACAGCACGCTGTCAGGGAAGATACCGTGTTGAGCGTCACCGAGTGGACGCACTTTTTGGTGAGGTTTCGAAAGACTAACGGTCTCGGGTAGAGCAAGGTCTGATGACGAGCCAACAGAACGAGATTCGGTAGGAGATGGACGCTGTTGCTCGCCTGTGATTTCTTCCGGAGTTAATGGCGCCAACGAGCCACGTCGACTTCGAAGCCGAACCTTGTCTAACCCAAGGCTGAGGTAGGGGTCGGGGTCCGAAGGCCTCAAGACGGCTTCCTCCTGATCCTCGACTGGTGACGATTGAGGTGGCCCGTCTAGCTCGGTCTCGGTCAAGGTCAGCAAGGGCATTGAACGCCTTCGAGCAGCTGTGATCTTGACACGCTCATCGAGATCAAGATCACCCATGGGAGACTGCTCATCCGTTGCATCGGTCATAACCACGTCGCCATCTGCAGCGGCTTGAAGTCTCTCTTGTGCTGTGCGCTCAACTTGCTCGCGGATATCATGCGGACACATTTCCCAGAACTTCGACAGAACGTCTCCGCTCAGCATGAGGCACTCCACCGACGTAACGGATCGAACGGTAGCTGTTCTACGTGGAGCGAGCGACAAGCTGACCACTTCTCCGAAATATTGGCCTTGCCTCAGCCTAGCCTTGATTTCGACCTCCGGACGACTATGGCCATTTGGTTGGCCATTATGCGCGTGGCTCTGCCCATGTCTTTCCGTGACAACTTCAACTTCACCACGTACAATGAAATACAGCTCTCGGCCTTGAGAATGTTGTTTGATAATGTCGGTGAATGGTGGGAAGGAGCTTGGTTGGGCATTGAGTCCCAAAAAGTGGAGGATATCGGCCGGCAACCCGTTGAATAGTGGAAGCTCTTTGAGCAGCAAACGAACATTGACCAACCCATTGGCCAGCGCACTGGAGGAATCCCGACGACCCGGGCTGGGTGACTTTCGCTTCTTATGGATCGAGTTGACAGTAAAGTCTTCCTCAGCAACAGCCAAGTCTTTCGAAAAACTTTCTCTCAAACGCTTGGAACCCCGCCGCACTGGGCTGGGGCTCGGCTCGTCCAGAACAGGCGCCGATGTTTCTTTTTTCTTCTTCTCCAAAATCATTAAGCGCTCTTGCGCTTCGTCTCTAATTGCACGCTCCACTTCCGGGAAGCGCGGCAAAATGTTGCGAAAATCTTCTTTTGTGAGCACGACCAGCATGCATCGTGTACGAGCGATGATCGTCGCCGTGCGTGGCCGGTCCATGAGCACACCGATTTCTCCGAAGAACGCCCCCGGATTGAGCTCGGCATAAATGCTCTCGCCATCGCGTGATGTGACCGAGACGGCACCCCGCACCAACCAGTATATCGCCCTTGCATCGTCGCCTTCGGTCAAGATGTAGTCGTTAGGGGCATGGAGCTGAGGTCGCAAGTGCTGACCGACCTCGATCAAGAAGGCTTCGGGCGTGGCCTGGAACAGGGGAAACGAGCGCAGGCGATCGATCAGTTCAAGCGGCAATGCCTTGATATGGGAGGAAGCTAAGGGCGAAGGTCGCGCGGGTCGGTTGGGGTTGAGGACCGAATCGAAGGAGTGGATGAGCGACACGGTATCGGACATGGGCGAGACGGCCTTGGTCGGGCCTCCGCTGGCCCTGCCATGGCGACGCATGATCTCAAGTAGGATATAGCACGATCAGATGGAAAATTTTGTCGAAGAGAGACCCGGTATATAGGCCTAGTAGCATCAATAGAACGATGACGTCGACGAAAGCAGCACCAGAGACGAGCTTCCCGTGGGCATTCTTCCACACCCAATGGGTAGATTCGCAACGCTAGCAGAGCGACATCTGCAGAGGACGAAGATGAAGTGGGAGCTGGAGGGGTCCAAGGATGTGAAGGATGTCAAAGCTCACGGGGGAGAGAGTTCCTTCAGGCGTGAAGGTGGGGTGGAAGGAGTCGACTCAGCGACGTCAAATGCGGTTGAGCTCCACCGATCTTCTGGCAACCTTCGGAAACTCTATGGGAGAACCCGCCAAAGCTCCTTAGACTGAGCTCCACTTTCTGCTATTTCACCTCCCAAAGCTTCAATTTTCTTCATCAAGAAAGTCCGGGCTGCCAACCAAAAACCCCCCTTCGTCTGGATGTTCGCATTGCTGGTGGGGGCGGCACAAAGCGGTCAAATCATCAATCGGATCGTCGCATTTTTTCTTTCTTTTTTGGTGGCTGCAGAAGCCGATGATCTATTGGTCCGGGAGTCGATTCTGGAAGAGAATTTTTCACGAAAGAAGGGCGACTAGGGTTGGGAGATAAAGAGCCGGTCATAATCATTGAATAGTTTTCGATGGGTAATGTTGATCTCTCATTGCAGGTTACAAGGGTTTCAGGACTTTCGCAGTCATACACCTGCAGATCCCAATGCGGGTTTCTCGATGGGAGTGTAGTGGCCAAATCAGCCCACAGACTCTATCCACAATTCTCCTCGAATTGTAGTAGTTTAATGGTCGCGATATTCTACTGACTCGTCCGGCATGGCCACTTCCTTTTTTTATTGCAAATGCAAGATTGGGCGCATATCATCACGTGCCTGGGAAAGTTACAGCAACGAGGGTCATGTGAGAAGTCATGATCAATGGCAAGTGGACCAGATAGTAAATTGGAAGAGAATAGAGAGCTTTCATATACAATAGTAAAACAGGGTATCAAAATGTAAGTCAAACATCAAACAGTACAAAGCGAGGTGCTAGACTAGCTCCCGTAAAACTGATCTCCCGAATGGGAGCCAGTGCCAACCAAAGCAAGAGTTTTATCGGTTACTTCCCGAAGCTCCAGTGCTTAATATTTTTATCCGTGCCATCCGGTGGCTCCAGAATGCCCGTATGTCCATGTGAGACTTGGTTGGGGATGCCTTGTCCTAGTTCGGCAGTCTGGGCCGTCGGGAAGACACTGAAAGTGGGCAGGTGCACACCGCTCATACGACAGATGCCTACTTGATATGGGTGACAGTCCATCACACTTCAATTCGATGCCGAAGAACGGTGGGGACACCTCCGAAATGACGGACTCTTGAAGCCTTCTCTTCTGGAGGATCTCGGAGACGATAACCGACAAAGCCAGCCGGCCCAAATCCGGATATCGGAAGCAAATGAATCCAAACGTGATTAGGATCTAATCACATCAGATTGAGCCCTCGTTTGTACGCTTGGACCGACGATTGCCCATGAGGAAATCGATATAGGCCGGGCGATTGCCCTTCATGGTTTCCAGGCCATCTTGCAAGAGCCCGTAGACCAAGCTCATTTTCAACCCAAGCTTGGCAGTTCGCGCGGCAGTATAGACGTCGTGGCGGGCTAAATCAAATATTGTCTAGTTAGTGTCTTGCCTTCGTAATTGAGCTTCAAGAAATGATTCCTCCGTTCGGCTCTTACCCAGTAAACTGTAGATTCCCGAGCAGGACAATCCGGCTGTAACAGTCGACAAAAAGTCCCGCTCATAATGTCGCGCATAGTCCACCGTCTCTTCAAACAGACAGAATGCAAGTGCGCCTGCTCCCAGCTTCGATCCCAACTTGAACCCATCCTTCACCCCGCCCACCACTGAGATGTAGTTCTTGGTCTTGTGGTACTGGAACCATCCGGACGAGGTCGTAGGGAACCGATGGGCGTTTTCGGCACGGAATACAAGACCGGCCTTCTTGCTTCCATTGAGATATCCCAGTGCCATGCCAGATGTGAATGCTGACATGAGAGCGTAGGGTATGCGTCGGTCGACATCGATTCCCAGTCGCGGAGGAGTGTCGGATTCGAAGAGCTTGTGCCAGTGGAGGAGCTTCAGCAGGAGGGAAGATTCCCTGGCGGAATCGGACTTTGATTGCTGAGAATCCATCCTGGAGGGATGCGTGCCAGAGCAGAAGCACTTTGAACGTGGAGTATGATCTCAATGATTGAGGTGAACCCCAGTGCCAGAAAATCGGAGCGCGGCCTGGTCCCGCCCCGACTCTCCGCCTTGGTCACTTCCATCATTGGGATCTCCGTCTAGACAAGCAACCTCACCACGTCACACCCACAGCTTGCAAAATGGTATGTCAAATCCCTTGAATTACTTGAATGGCCTTGTTTCTGATTAATACTTAACAACCAGCCGCCAAAACAAGCAAAGGCCGACTCGCGGGCCACGACCCTCCTCTTGAAGAAGCATAAAACCACCATCCTCCTCTCCCTCCAACCACACGAACCTCTCACGGCCGTCAAAGAAAAGCTCCTCGAAGCTTTCAAGTCGCGCAATATGACTGAGGTTAATGGAGAGCCTGTTCCTTCTGACCCGACGCTTATCGAGTTTGGTGTACCCGTGGACCGAAGTGATCTCGAGAAAGGGTGGAACCTACTACAGTCCGACGGAGCGAAGGGAACCGCGGGAAAGAAAGCGTCCTCGGGCACCATACTAGCTGCAGGACTTGCCAGCGGCCATCTGGTTGCATTCCGTTTCCGCCAAGCACGCGATGTGCCAGCAAGCGACGACGTTGACGGAGACATCGAGCTGAATGATCCTGGCTGGGATGTGGTGACTCCAAGCTTCGACGATGAGGAGGAATAAATTGCTTCGGCCTAGGGACTTTACGAATGATGGGCTGCATACTACGACTGAAAATGCTGGGTATCGCGAGCCCAGCTTCCGGCGCATATGGATAAGGGTGGCTTCTTGCTTCATAATCTTTTCTCGCGACACGGAGTTTACTGGCGGCTTTGGATTCAACACGGACAATAAAAGCAAGAGATTACTTTCGACCTCTAAACCATAGATTGTACAATACGATTGTATCCCAATCTCATGCAGCTGCGGAGAGAATTTATATCGATGGTTTCTGAAACTGTAGCTATCCGATTCACGGCAGGCTGCGAGATACAGTGGCAGTTCCAAAGTCGGAGTCTAGACTGTAGAGAAACGGACAAACTAGATATGGTTCAGCCACACTTATTTGAAATATATTTCTGAATGCCTTTCGACTCATCTTCTTGATGACACAGATACCATCTCTCTAGTCTACGGTTCCTCTCGACTATCAACATGTTCTTGTGAATTTGTCGGAATCTAAAACTCATGGAATTCTACTGCACTGAGTAGGCAATACCCAGACAAGAGCAGAGTGATAAGTCACGCTCTCCGTCATAGAGTAATCCCTTACCGTCATCCGTAGGTGATCGGCTGAGAGTCTCCACCACTGGCACACTAATGAGACACGGTGGTGCGTGGTAACAGATAATCGGGTGTGGCAGACAGCTGAAACACACTTAATGAGCGGCAGATCGCTAGGGCTCGTGTGGTGGCTGATTGGCTGCCACGGCATCTGCAAACTAATCACCACTCTGTAACCGTTGCTCAGAGCAACCATGAGGGGACAACACGCGACCCCATCAACAAATGAAATCGCATCCAGGAGACTCTCGGAGAATACTGCATCCCGTACCCCATACACCTTTAGCTCCACACATTCTTCATTCCTCATCGTTACTTTCGACATATTCGACACACGCCAATTTTACCTGCCCTTGCCGACCGCAGGGTGTCGCAGACAGCTTCGACCACGGCCCCGCAAAACCACGACTTGGCGGGAATAAACACGCCCCAAATTCCATCATGGCCTCCTCCGATGGCGCCTCTTCGATCACGGTCGCGGTCCGCGTGAGGCCCTTTACTATCCGTGAGGCGGCCCAACTCTCTAGAACTGATGATGGTCCTCTGTTCCTCGGTGATGGCTCGCTGGCGGGTGTCCCAACTCCCAAGCTGAACCAGAAGGGACTTCGGTCCATTGTCAAGGTCATTGACGACCGATGCCTGTGAGTACAAGCTTGCTCAATCGAGCAATCCATCAAGCAAAATATAGAATATACTGACCATCTCTAAGGGTGTTCGATCCTCCCGAGGACAACCCCGTCCAAAAGTTCTCCAGGAGCGTCGTCCCCCACGGCAAACGCGTCAAGGATCAAACATTCGCCTTCGATCGTATCTTCGACCAGAATGCCTCTCAGGGAGAGGTCTACGAAAACACAACCCGCAATCTTCTTGACAGTGTCCTCGACGGTTACAATGCAACGGTCTTCGCCTACGGTGCTACGGGCTGCGGAAAGACACACACCATCACAGGAACAGCGCAACAACCAGGCATCATTTTCATGACAATGCAGGAACTCTTCGAGAGGATCGATGAGAGATCCGGTGAAAAATCAACTGAAGTCTCGCTTTCCTACCTGGAAATCTACAACGAAACCATTCGCGACTTGCTCGTTCCAGGCACCCCTAAGGGCGGTCTCATGCTCCGAGAGGATGTCAACCAGTCTGTTTCGGTGGCAGGTTTGTCAAGCCACCATCCTCAGAATGTGGAGCAGGTTATGGATATGATCGTACGAGGTAACGAATGCCGCACCATGTCACCCACCGAGGCCAATGCCACTTCCTCTCGATCGCACGCCGTCCTCCAAATCAACATCGCCCAAAAGGACCGAAATGCGGGACAGAACGAACCTCACACAATGGCGACCCTCAGTATTATTGACTTGGCTGGAAGTGAACGAGCCAGTGCTACCAAAAACCGTGGCGATCGACTGTTCGAGGGTGCCAACATCAACAAGTCCTTGCTGGCACTTGGAAGCTGTATCAACGCCCTTTGCGACCCCCGAAAGCGCAATCACATCCCCTACCGAAACTCGAAGCTCACTCGACTCCTGAAGTTTGCTCTGGGCGGAAACTGCAAGACGGTCATGATTGTCTGTGTCAGCCCCTCGAGCCAACACTTTGACGAAACGCAGAATACTTTGCGCTATGCCAACCGAGCCAAGAACATCCAAACCAAGGTTACCCGGAACGTGTTCAATGTCAATCGTCACGTCAAGGACTTCTTGGTCAAGATCGATGAGCAGATGAACTTGATCAACGAGCTCAAGGCACAGGCAAAGGATTCCGAGAACGTCGCCTTTGCCAAATTCAAGAAGCAGACTGAAAAGAAGGACCTTGTTGTCCGCGAGGGTGTCGCCCGAATTCGCAGTGCCTACGAACACAGTCTTCCTGAACGACAAGAGAAGGCCAATAACATGCTCAAGCTGAGACAGATTAGCCGCCGCATTGGTATCCTTTCATCTTGGATTGGCGCCTTTGACACTGTCTGCGAGTCCCATGAGAACAAGGAAGGTTTATCCAACCTCCACGGCGTCCGCAAAACCGCTCAGGGCATTCTCCTCGAGCTTGAGGGGAGTCGACACCACTACAACCAACGATTGTCGAAGAACACATGGGATCGGGCCATGGTCTCGGCAGTTGAGAATGCGACTCAGCAACTGCGGGAGTTTGACATCAGTGATCCCAGCGATTACGCAAACCTAGACAGAGAAGCTGAGCTTCTGCGGTCCAATGCTGAATGCGAGGCCCTGTCTGCAGTGGTCGAACAGGACAAGGCGGGTGAAGCAGCTGCAGTACAATTGCTGCTCCAGGCACAATTTGAGATGATGGCCTCCATTGAGGACATCATGCAGATGAATGCTACCGAGGCTCTTCAGAAGGGACGTCTCATTCTAATGAAAATGTTGGAAGGCTGCACCGATGCAGTCACCAATCTTGTCAAGCCCGACGGCAATCTGCCTGCAGTCCCAAGCTTCAACCTCCAGAGCCCTGCCAAATCCGCCAGTCCTCCAAAGCCGAGAAAGCGGTTCAGCTTGGTCGGCATGCCGGCTCCAAGACTTTCGCTCACTCCTTCTGTTCAGCTCGCCCCGGCGGCTCCTACTTCTCCAGTGAAGAGCTCCCCTCGACGTCGCAAGGTTGCTGCTGGCCGTAAGGCGGTCAACTTTACACCAAAAAAGACGCAGGCCAAGGCCTCCAAGCGATCTGTCCGCTGGAAGGACGACGACGAGGATGGGCCCCTCGCTGAGTTCCAGAAGACCCCCAGAAACCTGCTGCCGAATCCTCAGACGATGCCGGTTCCGAAGCCGAAGCTGAAGCTGAACCCTCTGAACCTACTCTCCCCAGAGGTGCATCTCCTATTCCACGAAACATTCCCCGAAAAGTCAGCCCGTCTTATTCGATCTCCCCTGCTTCAGGCCCGGCTGAGCCAACCCTGAACATTCAAAAGAACGGCAACCGATTCAAGGCCGGATTCCTATCTAAGAAGGCCGGCAGCTCTCCTCTCGGCCCACCTCCATCTACCAGTCTTCCCATCTCCGACAATGAGAAATCCCCCCTTCGTGACATTGACGGAAGCAGCTTCTTGAATCGGGCTTCGTCAGAGAAGCCGTCTCGCATTGCCGTCCGTTCTCCGAGTGGAAACTTCTCGGGCAGCCCAGTGTCCGACAGCAAGGACAACTGGAAGACTGACAAAGAAGAGGCTATGAAAATCAATTCCGCCATGCGTCGTATCTCCAGCAGCCACGTTGGTGCCATCTCCGGTACCAACTCGTTGCGGGTCCACCGCCGTCGCAGCCCGACGTCTGCAACATACAGCAGCTCACCAATCGATGGCAATATGTTCACGGCATCTCAGGCCCGCCGTATGGTCAAGAGCGAGCGTGAAGGGGAGGCCAAGCCCAGTGTTCTCAGCCCTCACACCCTGCCTGTGATGAAGAACACCGCGCGACGGACTACTCTGGGAGGCGAAATTCGACCTCGACACGCTAGCCTGTCTAGCCGAGATGCAGTTCGCCTCGGCACGATCGCGGCACCCACCGTCAACCACTCACCAGACTTCACATCCAGTGGACTACGGTAGACGACCATCTGATTTAATGTTACCTTTGTGCTTTGTATGGATTATCGGAGCTCGGCATCCGGCGTTGGCGTACTAGATACCACACTTTTTTCCTCTTTATGACTTGTCCTCTACTCTGCGTCCTCCAAGGATCTTCCGGTGTTTATATTTCCTCGGGTCATTTTCTCTCCTGTCGTTTTTTTACATTACTCGGTTCGGGTGTTAACTTACAGTCTTGTGGCGATGTTTCTTTTGTGTATCTTCTCTTTTCGCTCGACATATTCTTCTTGATGTGTACATTAATGACATTGATCTGGATCATTCCAATACATTTTTCTCCTTATAATGGTGTCCTTCTGTAATCTAATTCTTCAGGGTTACAGTTAGGGCTTAGCCTTTGGAGAATTTTGGAGAATGCGGGGAGCTTCGATTTGTCAGAAAGTTGGATGACGCCACTCTTCGACAGCTGCGCCATCAAGGGCAGCCAGATCGGGACTCGATCTCCTTATGCTTACTCTCTCCATTTCAGCCCAGAAGAACTCGGGTTCCTTCTTAAAACTACATTCAAGTCGTAGATTTCACAATCCTCCGCTTAGGTTGTGTTCAAAACCGATCGCGCCAGCTTGTCCCATCCGCCCCTCCCCACTTCCCATCCACGTCCCCACTCGAATTTAGAAATTATTGTGGCAGATGTCTTTCGCCGCGCCGATTGCCTCAACCTTCTTCTCCCGCATCTTCCGCCCCTTCTCTACCAGCGCGCCCATCCTGTCCGTGACCCCTGAGTCGCAAGCCCGCAATATGTCCACCACCACTGAGAAGGCCACCGTCGCCGCGGGTTGCTTCTGGGGCGTTGAGCACCTGTTCCGGAAGCACTTTGGCAACGGGAAGGGTCTTTTGGACGCCAAGGTTGGTTACAGTGGTGGCCAGGCTTCGTCGCCTTCTTACCGTGCTGTGTGCAGTGGTGATACTGGCCGTAAGTAGCTACTCCCAAGTTCTCCGGTCCCTGGGGGTGTTGGAATAGTCACCGGTGTGCGAATACTTAACTCACTCTTTTCGTTCTTTCCACAGACGCCGAGGCTCTCCAGATTTCCTTTGATCCCTCCGTCGTGAGCTACCGCCAGCTCCTCGAGTTCTTCTATCGCATGCACGATGCGACGACGCTGAACCGCCAGGGTGGGGATATCGGCACTCAGTACCGTAGTGTGATCTTCACGCATGGTGAGGAGCAGCAGAAGATTGCGGAGGAAATTACGGATAAGGTTAGCAAAGAGTGGTACAAGAAGCCTGTTTCTACTCAGGTTGTCCCTGCTGGTCAGTGGTGGGATGCCGAGGAGTATCACCAGCTGTACCTGAACAAGAACCCGGCTGGATACGAGTGCCCTGCTCAGTATGTGAAACCTGTGGCTGTCACTTTTGACTGCTTTCTTCATCCGTGTGTACTCGGCAATGCTGACTATTGACCCTCTTAGCTTCGTGCGACCTTTCCCCCCTCTTTCAGAGTGACTTGGATCCAAAATTTAGGAGGCAGATGTTTTTTGATCTGCTGGGGAGTGGCTGGACACCATGATATAAAGAGCATGGCATGTGAAATGACATATTTGGGCCTGTGGGAAAAAGGGCCAACTTTCTTTACTTATACATAATTCTCTTCTGTATTCCAGTTTTTGTTGTGAATTGAGTTTTCTTCGTTCCACGTCGGTAGCCTGGAATCTTGGCTACAAGGAGCACGGTGGATGGTTGTTAGATACAAAAGTATTATCAAGGCTGTCGATACTCTATCTGATAATGTTTCGCCTGAAGGAACTATACAGTCATGATGACATTTAGGCTGCTTTTCCGGTGTTGGTACGGAGATATAGGTACACTGGCGAGCCGTGACCTCTTGCCCCTCAGATAACATCCATCCGTGCAGACAGTCAGTCTATCAAGCCCCTGATCATAACCTTCCAACGCTGAAATCCCCAAATTTTGATATTTCTTGGCGATCTAAGAGACATTACTGGGTGCCATGGAATGCCGTGAAAACTGGGCTAACTATTCGTGGTTAGCTCCGTATCACACCTCAACTCATCTACACAAACCCTCAAGATGTCACAAACGGGTGTCATGTCGCCCTCACTAAGAGTGTGGTTGGTGCCAATCTTCATTGCGTTGCTGGGCTGGTTCCTGATCCCTCGATATAACGACCACAAAGCCATCGAATTGCTTCTGGCAAATAACAGAAGCGCTCTCCTCTTGGCGAGCACTCCGCAAGGGCTTCTAGACATCGACGATGCCCTTGTATCAGAATCAAATCCAGCACGAACAGATGGCACATTTGATCACGAGCGTTGTGCAAGACTGCATAACTATCTCGTCGCGTATGGATGGATGACCGCCCACGAACGAGAATTTGACGATCTTCATGAACTGTTAAGCCGGCCCTCCTTTCTTGAACTCGAGCGCGGACAGCTCCCCATGCACCGTTTTAATCCAGAATTGATCTCTTTCATGCAATCTATTATCGACCCAGATTATAAAGACGGCCTATTCTACTGGGTAAGCGACGTGGACATGAGCCTAGCCGACTGGATTTTCTTCCAAGAAGAGGAAAACTTCATGGCCAACAAGGAGCGGTTTGTCATCTTGCATGCCTCGTGGGTTGAAATCGGCTCACATAATGTCGGCCTTGTATTTGATCAAAAGCGGAATCAGGCAGCGATGCCCATCGTGATGGAGAATCTCGATAGTATTTTGCCTGTCAAGGACCATTTGGATATGTGGTTCCCGCTCGAGACGATGCTGACCAATTGGATTCACATGCTTCGCATTGGAAAGGTCACTGCCAGTCCCGCTGAGAAGGAATATCCAACGGCAGTTGAACGGCTTGGATCATGGACATGGCATTCCTACAGTGCTACTCAGGTTGACAGCGCTGTGGTAGCTATGGATCGACTCTCGGCTGCAATTGAGGCCAGGATGTCTTCTAAGTCCCTTCTTACCGTCTCACGAGAGTCCCCTCTTCTGTCCGACGCAGAGCTCGATGCCGCATCTGTTGCCGAGGAGTGTTTCATTCGCTCGGTTCTAACTAGAGTGAAAACACCGCGCTTCAAATTCATCGCACCGGGTCTGGAAGTACCGCACGATGCCTCGGCGTTTGCAGCGCGCCAGAAGTTCACCGACGTTCCTCGCTATCTTGATCCTGACTGGGGCCGGATCGCACCACCAGTGTTGATTTTCGCGAATACCAAGCGCACGATACACTTCAACGAAGAGATCAGATGGTTATTCTTCAAACATCACGATCCTATCCCCTATACCGACCGTGATCGCATTCCTGTGGGTCTATACTCCGAGTTCACACATCGAGGCGAGTACGATGTTGCAGAGGAAGGGTTCCGCCTTTTGCTGCCTTTCACATTTCGCCCCGATTGGAATAAAGAAGGTGCCAGAAAAAGCGATGGGTCTTTGGTGTCTCGGGCCTCAGTGTCTGAGCTCTTCCAGTTTGGTTACCACCCTTTTGGGGGTGAGTGGCGGCCCCAGAGATTTGAGAAGCTGATGGATCGGTGGCGGGAATTGGTGGAGAGTGGTGTTTGGAGGGTTGGGAAGAATGGTGTCAAGGGAGGGATCGATAAGTTTCAAGATGCAGACTATGGCCATTGGAGAGATTATTGGATTCCTCCTGATTGGTGAAGTGAAAATAGGAGTAGGCCATCTATGATCGATGTATCACCATTTAGAGAGCATTTCCCCCTTATTCCCCAGCTCTCTACGTTCGGAATTATATCAAAGATAAAAAGCACAGGGCTCTTGCCTTCCATTCGATCGCCATTTTGGGATGATGGCTGTTGATTAATGTACCAAGTGTCTGGCAACAACAGATGAGTCAGTCATCACTCTAGATCGTTTTTGGACATGACGGTAGTGAGATTATGTACTCTGAGTAGAAGCGTGTATATAAGTCTAAATTTCGTCCTCCTCAATTATTCACGGATCACCAATCCGTAAAACGACACCGCCGATGGGACAATCACTCCCAGCACAATGGCCTGGTGAATACTAGTATCATCCCACCCAGCCATATTGGCGAACATTCTCGCCAAAGTGCCTCCAACAATTCCCATCCACACAACAAAGAATCCCAGATCATTCCAGCGCTTCCACGCCTGTCCTCTCTTGGACAGCTCGCTAGTTGATCGCATAGATGTACCCCATCCATCCTGGAACACTGTGATCAAGCTCCAAAGATGAATCATGGGCAGAGGGATATTGTAGAACAAAAGACCTGGGCCAATCCAGAGCCAATAGTTCGTTGGACCTCTGTCCGGATTGCGGAAGAAGTTGTACAGTAATGTATAGGCAACACGGATACCGACGTCGTACCAGTTGAAATAAGCAAAGCAGCGACCAGTGATGAGGTAGTAGAGGATATACCCAAATCCAAGCAGAGGTCCGGCCTCTCGCTTGATAGCAGCCCAGAAGAAGAGTGGGTTGTTGAGGACGTAGATTTGGGGCTGTTGGAAGGACTCGATGTGACCAGCTCGGCTCCAGCGGACTTGTTGCATGATCCAGCGGCTCAGAGTTGTCGGCGTGTCAGTTGCAGTCAATGTGTCAGACACATATGTCACGGTCCATCCGCGCATGAGCAGGTTTGTAGTGAGATGGCGATCCTCGTTGACAATCATCCGATGTCCCAGGACGGTCTGAGTATACCAAGGATACAAGACGGCTGGGAGCGCAGTTATCCGGAATGCTGTACTAGGTCCCGACTGACAGTCGCTAGTTCCAGAGGCAGTCGAAGTTGAGCGAGTCATATAAAGCTCAGACCAGTAGACGACACTACCAAGTTTGGTCGTGACAGAGTCATTCTCGTTGTGGATAATCAAGCCCGAGCTACCACCACCGACATGGGGGTCACCAGCAATGGTTTCGATGGTGCTCCGCAAGGAGTCAGTCATAATGATGGTGTCAGAGTCGGAGGACCACAAGTACTCGATACCGAGCATCTCGGAGATCACGATGGAGAAAATGAAAGCGGAAAACATAATGCCCTTCTTGTGCAGATGGGGTTGGAAAAGACACAGTCTTGTGATACCACCGGCCTCACCGAGATCAAGGTCATGCTCAGCGAGAATCTCGCGTGCAAGTTGACAACAGTGGGCAATGGTAGCTTCCATGTAAACTTTGGGAGCCTGGGCGTTGCCATCGACCTTGGAAAGCTTCTCAAAGGTCTTCATGGCGACTTCGCCTAGGGGCTCATCAATTTGAATGACGGCTGATTTTTCAGGGAAAACCTGGATCACTTGTTAGCGCAATCCTAACAGATGATCATTGGACTGCCTACTTCTTGGAAAACGCGAACCATCTCCATGTCCGGAGTATCGTCGCCATCAACGCCTACCAGGACGAACCGACATTCAGCTGCAGTTTTGTAGCTGTCCAGAGCACGAGCAAACAGCTTTGGATCTTCACGATAGCCGACAATCGCAGCCATGCATTCTATAGCTCTCTCGGTGCCGGTGAGTAGATAGCTAGCTTTTTCCACGTCTTGAACAGCCTGTGTCGAGGCCTTCAATCGTCGCCGTCGGTTCTCATTTGAAAAGCGATTGTATTCCGCCGCGAAAATCGTCAGCAAAATATCCAACGTCAATGGGTGTCGTGTATATCCAGTGATGTAGGAATAAATAGGGATCACAATAATGCATCCCAAAAGGTTAAGAAATTGGCGAAAGCGAGAGACATCGGGACCCCTTTGTTGGAACATGGAGAACCCGGTATACAAATTTTTTTCGTTAAATGAGTCCATGATAATGGTACTCACTCAGAGCGAGTAGTAACGAGTGACGAATGAAGATTAGGATTTAGTATAATAATAGTCGAAAAAACGAGGGACCTGGGGAAGAAATCTTCAGAAAGAGGATCAGATAAATAAGAACGAACGTGAATAATTTAATTTTTTTGGACTCGTCCGCCAACTCGGCCGTTTAACTTTTTTTTTCTCAGTCCAAGACTCCAAAAATAATACCGCAACATTGAGGCTCCATGACCTTGGAGCCTGATTCGAGTCATTCTACTACTTGCCGTGCCGTGCTCGGAGCCTTGTTCAAGACTGCTCGCACTCACTCAGGGGTTTTTTCCGTGCATACCGACGTGGACTTGAGACCGCTCTCGTATACTATTCGCGGTAGCGAATGAAAAGTTCGTTCTCCGAGCCGCATACTGAATTCTAGTCAGCGCTATCACCAAAGCGGCTTAGAGACCACGCTAGCTGAGAAACAACTCCAAGACAACAGAGAGTCAAGTGGAGTAGCATCACATGGATCCTGCAGAAGAAAGCCCGGTGGGGCCTTGGCAGGATGACTATCAAGAATTAGTTTGGGTCTGTCGAAGGTTTGCGGATTTTAGTTGCTCTAATTTTTTTTGGTTAAAAAGGAGAGATGCCGGCATTCCGAGTTGGACATTGCGACTATGAGTCGGTGATGGCGGAGCGTCTTCTTCGTCTACAACGATGCGCCAGTTTTACAAGGACAACCGCATAGTCCCCTTGGGGATTATGCTGTTGACATTTTTTATCTTTGTCTATCATTTTGAATTGGGTCGTCAGGTCCCATTGGGCGAGATCCCCGCAGCATCCGCTCCAAATACATTCGTTGTTGAATCTACCGATCCCAAAGCTGCCGCCAAATATGCAGACGAAACTGTTGACCAGCCCGTTCACCATACTATTCCCTCTCCCGTTCCTTCCGCTAAACCGCCAATTTCAACTTCTACTTCAAGTCATTCGCTTCACCAAGCGAAAGGCCTCGCTACCGACGATGTGATCCTCATGTTTAAGACTGGCGCTACCGTTTTGTGGAAGCGCGTACCCATCCATATGGCGACCACTTTCTCGCCTAATCGCATCGATTCCAAAAACATCATTATTTATTCCGACTATCACGAGACCATCGGACAATGGGACATCATCGACGTTCTTTCCAACTCCTCCGATAAAGTACGCAAGTCAGAGACCTTCCAGCCATACCTTCAACAGCAGGACTACGAAGACCGTCAGAATTACGCCGAGATGTCCAACGTGCCTGGTGATGCTGCTGGACCGTCTGGAGGATGGAAACTCGATAAATATAAATTCCTGCCTATCATTGAGCATGCGGGGCGCAACAAGCCCAGTGCCAAATGGTATATCTTCATGGAAGACGATTCCTACATCTTCCTCCCCAATCTCCTTCGCCATTTGGACCAATTCGACCATAAAGACCCCTGGTACCTGGGCAGCCTGGCTTGGATCCATGGTGACTACTTCGCTCACGGTGGTTCCGGCTTTGCGCTGTCTCGGGGCGCCTGGGAGAAGAGTTTCGGAAAAGATCCGAAGATCGTGGAGAAGTTCGAAAAGTTCACCGAGGAGCACGGCTGTGGAGATCACATCCTGGGCCATGTGCTGCATGAATACGGTGTGCAGTTCGGCGAGACCACTGATGACAATCGATTCCGATATGGATTCAACCCGGAATCTCACTGGTCGACGTGGTATGAGCCCGCCAACTGGTGCAAGCCGGTGTATAGCTGGCATCACACACACAGCAAAGACGTTGCCAGATTCTACAACCTCGAGCAGTCTTGGGACTTTGAAAAGGTCAGCATTATTGGTCTCTATTTTAATTATTCGCAGGATCACAAAGCTAATTTTTCAATAGGGTCCTTTAAGATATCGAGACATCTACGAGGCGCTGGTCGCCCCGTATCTCCGCCCTCGTGCCGAGTGGTGGGATAATTGGTCTGGCAAGTACGAGATCAAATCCAGCATGGCTGCAAGTGCCGAGCCGCCAAGCACGGTCAAATCTACTGAGACATGGCGTAGCGCCTGGACGTCGGTGGACGCCTGCGAGGCCGCCTGCATATCGTGGGCTGACTGTGTGCAGTGGTCCTTCTACGAAGACCGCTGTAAGATGGATAGCATGGTGCTATTGGGCAACGGCATTCCGGAGGGTGACTCCAGGCGACAGACTAGCCTGCCTTGGGTCAGCGGATGGTTGCCACGTCGGATTGAAAACTGGGCATGCCAAGAATAATCAAGAGAGTCAGAGACAAAGTTGAAGGTGATACTGTACATAGAAATGAGACGATCGTCACAATAATAAGCAGCCGCAAGCCACAATCTACTCCGCCCCTCAGTATGTCTTAGAGGTTAATTTGTGATGACTCGTCAGTCTCGAGGCAAGCATCTGCAGAGTGAAAAATTGTGTTCAGATGCCTGACTAGGATCATGGATGTGACTCTGTACCACTTTTCCATAACTAAAGGGTCTAGGCAGTGGCCTAGTAGTGGGGTCGACTCTCTGGAATCTGGACGGAAATAGGGTCCTGTTTGAGAAAAATCGGGCCCGCTAAGACAACGCTAACTCAATAGTTGACGGCCCCCAAAATACATTCCAGTGGGCCATCGGATATTGTTACATTGGACTCCGCTACTAAAATTCAAAATCTATCGAGGAATCCATTATTGGAGATGCCGATGCCCTCTTCTTCATCTCTCCAAGGACCATGGACCGCACCACCTGGCTGGATGGCCTTCGAGGCATCGCAGCGGCCATCGTCGCGACAGATCACTATTTCATGGGCGGCGTTTTGGATAATGCCTTCCTCTCGTTCTGGGCAGATCCACCCGAAAAAAACCGGAGGCTTATCCAACTACCTCCGATCCGCCTCCTTTTCGCCGCACATGCGATGGTCCCGTTGTTTCTCGTGATCTCGGGCTATGCGATCTCTATTAACCTTCTACGAATTCGAAATAACAGCGACGAAGGCGATTTCGTGCGTCGTCTGTCTTCTGCAGTCAGCAGGCGAATTTTCCGCATCTATTTACCGGTTTTTGTGATCGCCGTTATCTCTCAGATTCTTTACTTTTGTAACATCTACCAGTGGAATTTTGGTGATGAAGTTGTTTGGGGCAGGAAGCCTTGGACGGCACCATGGTTGCATATCACCTACGTTTTTCGATACATGCTCGACATTACAAATATTATCAATTTTCAGGGGAATCCTGGCTTCAATGGCCAACTTTGGACAATGCCTATGGAGTTCCGAGGGTCCTGCATTGTCTACATTACAGTCCTGGGACTGGCATTCTGGAGGCCACAGCTCAGACGCATAGCGCTTGGATGCTTGATGAGCTATTGGTTCTACTTTGGTCTCTGGGATGTCTTTGGCTTCCTAGCTGGTCTGTACCTGGCTGAGATGCGACTTCTAGGGGTCAACTCGGCATATGAGGAGTTCAAACTGCCCTATCACTCGCTGAACCTGAGTCGTTGGACATCAAATATGAAGTCGATCAACTTCTCGGCAATCTGGAACTATTCCTGCTTCATATTCGGAATCTACCTACTCTGTCTTAGCGACGATGGACAACTCCCACCTGGCTATCTATTCCTCGAAACTGTCGAATCATCACGCTGGGAGAACGACTGGGCAGTTCTCAGCAAATGCTGGAAGAGCGCAGGCTCAGTGCTTGTGGTATATGCCATCAGTCAGCTGCCTCGTCTGCAAAGGCCGTTGAGTTCAAGACCAATGCAGTACCTGGGCAAGATCTCGTTCTCGCTCTACCTCGTGCATCAGTCTGCTTACCACCTTGTGCGTGACCCTGTGAGGAACCTTTTGTGGTACATTGCAACGAGAGAGCCGTATCCTGGAACAGAGAACGCCAGTCAATTCACAGTACCTTTTGCATTTACATGGCTGGTGGGCTACGTGATCATGTCTGTGATCAATTTATACGCAGCACACCTATACACCAAGTATATCGACGAACGCTGTGTGGAGATGGCAAAAAGGCTTGATAAGTGGCTAACCCGGCAATGATTGTCTATATTCCTGCATAATAAAAATCATGGATTCGGCGTTACGTTATCTTCTAAAGCGATATCTTCTCCTAATAATGGCATATTTTTCCATAATATTCCATTCTACTGTAGGTAACATGTGCATAGCGAGATATTCCCAAGATATTTCAAATACCTCCAACTTTTTTCTACCGAATGATGGGCTCCAGAGAATAAACTAACCTCCGCTATCCTTTTATTTCTTATCTTAATTCCGTGTCTCCTATTTTCCTCTGTATATCTCATGGTTGTCATGTCATGGCTTGTATACTCCTGCTGTCACGTGATACAAGACTGAATGGGAGGAGTCTCCACCAATCATCGCACGATTTTCCATGCGTAATCGCTAGCGTCGCCCCCAACATCAACCTAAGATGAAACCATTTTCCATCCCCTATCAGCACTGCTTGCATCCGTTCCTTATGATATGCAATTTCTTCCTTTCCGCCTAGCATACCGGCCTATTTTTGCCTTGCCTCGGGGCTCGATTCATCCCACTGATCTTGTTATACTGCTTCATGGCCGCAACCGCGTCCTGAAGCCCCACCAGCATTGAATCTGACAAAATGCCGGGCCGCTCATCAGCTCTCAATGACACTACAATCGGGCTTCTGCGATCCAAGTCAGGATGTAAAACCTGCAAGTACGTCAAATCTCTCCTCTACAAATTCGATCATACTAATTACGCGCTCCAGAATCCGAAGAGTGAAATGCGGTGAGGAAAAGCCCCACTGTGTGCGATGCACCAGCACAGGTCGTAAATGCGAGTACGATGGTAGAAAGCCGAGCAGATTCTCTATTGTCTCTACACAGCCCGTTCTGGCCAATTCACTGTCACTATCTCCAAACACGATGTGGCGAGAACGGCGCGCTTTTGCCTACTATTTCCAGAATGCCGCCTCGGCTGTTGGCGGTGGGTTAGACGTCGACTTCTGGCGCACTATTGTTCCACAGGTGTGTCGAAGTGAACCTGCTGTGTGGGATGCTATTATATCTGTCAGTGCGCTATTTGAGAGCCCCGAGCCGATCTCGGATCCAGATCTTACTCAAAATCACCGAGACGCGCTAGGCTGGTACTCGCGCTCGGTTTCGGCCGTTCGCCAGCAGATTGAGCGTGGTAGTGTTGATACGTTTGTCGGTCTGATCAGCTGTGTCCTGTTCATCTGCATTGAGGCCCTTCAAGGTGGCGTGGACGAAGCTATACAACTCTATTGTCAGGGCGTCCATTTGATAATGGCCTTGCGAACTCAGATAGCGAGTGGCCTAGTGACAGCGGCTAAGGCTGCCTTGCTAGAGGACACGATTGTTCCTATATTTATTCGCCTTGGTCTGATTGGATTTACTTTTTCTCGGCCACAGATCGGTCTGCTCTTGCGGGGCGTCAAACGCAAGCCTAGGCAAATATTCAGCTTCGTTTCTCTGAGGTCTGCTCGGGAGGATATCACCCGCCTAGGCACAGAGATCCAGTTCTTCCAACACTCCTGTGGAGAATATCTCCTCAATCCCGATGACTCTCGTATACCTCAGGATCTGCTAGATCTACAGGCAGATTTATCAGTCCAGTTGCGAGACTGGCACTCTGCCTTTATGAATCTGGTGGACTCATTATCATTACATGGCACGGTAGCCATGACATCGGAGGACACTGGTACTATCGCACTCTTCTCTGCGATTTACGAATCGCTCTTTATCATGCTTGAGGTTTCCGCATCTTCATCAGAGGTTATCACTGACGCGTTCCTACCAAATTTCCAACGGATTGTGGAACAATCTCGCATCGCCCTTGATGCGTCAATGCGATCAGATGGAACACAGCCACCATTCACATTTGACATCAATCCCGGTGTCGCATTATGGTTTACCTGTCTCAGATGCCGAGATCCTACAATTCGACGCGAGTCATTAGCCCTCATGCTCCGGTCTCCACGGGTACAAGGGTTCTATAGTTGCATGTCCGCGGTCTACTTTGGAGAAAGGATTATGTTACTGGAAGAGATGAACGGAGAGGTGATGCGCGCCAACCCAGAAACCGAGCATTTCTCGACCACCGAGTCGCTTATCGGGTATCAATACAGCCCAAGCCCGAGTCCAAGCCTATCTCCCAGGTCTGCGGACTATGTTGACACACCGTCGACATATTCGATCCCAGAGGAGGCACGCATTGGACATTTTGATGTTTTCCAACCAAAGAGAGGGCTACCCCCTGATATTACCGAAGAAGTCATGACGAAATGGAACCTCCGTCGTGATCGGACCTTTTTGGGGTTCTGGCGAAATGAGCGCGATGAAGGCAGTGACACCTGGCGGATGGTTCGCGAATACATTCCCATGGATATGAAATATTGATCATGTTGTCTTGCCATCTGCTGTGGAAAGGCTCCATCTATAATCAGTCAAGATATATAATGAACAAGATATACACATGCATGATTACTCGCGGTTCAGGGTTCCATTTTGAAATTGAAATGAACTTTGCCTCCTGCTCGTCAACTACTTGAACCACTCAAGTATTCTCATAACTATTTCTGTTTCTCTGTTGCACGTACCTCTTGACGGTCCCAACATAGCAAGTAAGACTCGGGTCCTAGGGCCGAAAGGGCCATGCACAACCAACAGGCGAAGTCTAGTACTACATAAGGGACGTATCACATAGCCATATTAACTGGATCAATCCAACCCCAGCATCTCAGCCTCCACCTAATCATCATCGCGGCGTATCCGCGAAATGAAAAACCCCACCCGGAGCCTCGTTCAGGACGGGGATCGGTGTTCGGCCCTTAAGATAAAGGGGAAGAAGCTCGCATCGCCGCCGACTCGCTGCTAGTAAAAATAGTGTACCGCGAATTTGAGATCGATACGGATACTTTCAGCCTATACTACCCTGTAGTATTAGCTTATGGACCCCTGCTTAGTTTTCTACTAAGCAGCAAACCCAAGCTTTGAATAAAAGAGACAGAGTAAGATTTGAACCCAAAAATGGACGTTCATCTCCACGAACTCGCGTAGAGTAATTTAAATCTCCCGACTGACTCGCCAACCCGCGTGGTGGCGGGCTTATTGCTTTGTTCGCTAGGCTAGAAGTGGGAATCGGGCACCGCCTAAAGGCTAACGGGGGAGACGGACAAAGAACGGGGATGGGGAACCATGTGATGTACTGATACTTGATCCTGTACGGGATACAGTCAGTACACAGCATCGAGTCCGCATCGCGCGTGGGACGCCACGCTGGAGTTGGGCGCGATCTGGAATAAAAAAGGGCTGGGCATTTTGAAAATATCAGTGGGAGGTTGAGCAACCTGCGGATTTTCTCGACTGGTGAGGTCACACTTGCCTTTTCTTCAAAACGACATTGGTTTATCTCTGGGCATCCCCCTTGCCGATGGATGGATGACACATTCCAGGGCTTCAACGGAGGTAAACAAGCCACCCCTATAAGGGTAAATAGACGATCTCTATAGCATATCCTGACATTCCTTCTAGAAACATAGCGACGGTTGCTGGCCAAAAGTACGGTTGTTTACCATATCATTAAAAGTTGATCTCGCCCTTGTAGATAGCCAGAGAATTGATTCCACGCTGTATCAAATATTTCTTCTCTCCCCCTGACTGCGTGCTCAGACGATCACCAAGAGAGTTTTACTCCACGGCCGCTCATTCGTTCGCTCATTAGCTCCCTTAGCTCCCTTGGCTTCAAAGTGGATACGCCTCCCTCTCCGCAGCGGGCACCGAGTCGCCGACTGGTCAGGGCTACGAGAACGGAGTACGGCAGGTACGACAGCACTGGCTGGAGAAGGTTCCGGTTGTACGATACTGTCCTGGATCGACGGATGTTCGTTCCTGAATTATGAGTGACATTGCTGTTTTTCTTGGGCCGGGACGATCTGGCGGGTGGGATGCACGTTGATGTGCACGTAATAATAATAATAATTTGGAGTACATGATTATCATTATCATTACGGAGTACACTTTTTAGGTTACTGTTGGACTCGGCATCCCCTGTCTATCCATGCCAGGAACGTCACTACGTATGCTTCTGGGCGGTTGCTTGGCAGGTACCGCTGCGGCATCTTGGAAGATTCTTGGGAGATTTCTGGTGCCGGGCAGTTGTGTTCGTACCGTCACTAGCTTAGGGGCCACTTGTAACCGCTTTCCAGCTGGGCAAATCGGGGCTGCGAGTTTGGCGCCGAGAGGCCCGAGACTAACTATTGGGCTTGGGGGTGTGTTCCAAGGGTTTTTAGGCCTTTGGGGGGGAGAGGATGGGATTTTTTTGGCACACTACTGCAGCCTGGGGGTCGGGGTTAGCCGGTTGTGCGCGCTCCTGATCCAGAGAGGGTTAGCTAACTCATTAGTTAGCTGGTGTCTGTGGTGGCGAGGTTGGACCGAGTAGTATACAGGGTACACTCGAATACCTGTCACGAGTGGGAGAAAACGGGGGTATAAATTAGGTAGGTTCAAGGTTGACATGTACGCACTTGAAGCGACCGATTAAACACGTTGAACTCAAGAGGCTGTTTGACGTGGGGAAAATATCAATGAGATATGGTTTTCTTTCTCTAATCTCCCCTGTTCCACTTTTAAGGAGGACTTTTAACATATTCGGGTGTATAGTGTATTGTACCTGTGTATTCTGATTACCATCATACGAGACTCTTATCGAGAGACAAACGCCTGGGGCAGAAAATGTCTCACTTGGTCCAACGGCCTCACTGGCTGGGAGCCACTCATTTAATCTCACCCAGTCAAATGAACTCATCAAACCTTCCTAATCTCTGGCAAATGAGACCTCATGACGAGGCTTGGGATGCATCAGGCAGGCGAGTGTCTCATTATTTGTAGTGCACTATACTTATGACAATACTACAGTACACAGTACGCTGCGATAGTATTGTATTAACGGGTTGGTCCAGCCAATTTCTCAATGCCACGAGTCACAGTTCGTTCCAAAATAGTAATTGAAAGCATGGACTTTTGTGACTTGCAGTAGCAGCTTGCAGTAGTGGGTGCTCTCTCCAGAAAATACACCATCTTGGTATCTGAAAATTACCAGAGTTTGTAAAGAGAAAAAGAGCACAGACAGAGACCGGCTCCGCCCATGGACTATGGGACTTTTGGACTTTTTCCAAGGACCCAGTTATCTCCACGGGACTCCATAAAAGTGGAGAAACAACCAAGTCCCTGAGCCTGCCAGTTGAATATCAGTGTAACGTACCATACCGAGCCATATTCTTGTCTGTAATTTATCCAGCCGATCAAAAGTCATCTGTAGCGTGACTCCCGCCCTACTAATTCCCAAAAGGGTTAGTTGTTGCCTTGATTCCCTGGTTGTTTACCTCTAGCCGTTCTTTATGACGCCGCATTACAACCAAAGTAGACAGACCCTTGGAAGTCAATCACCCTACCACGCTGTCTGTCAATTGATCGAGGGTTCATTGACTGTTGTACTCCCGTAAGGCCCGTGAAATACTCCATACATCCCCCCGTCGTCCTCCTCCTCCTTCCTCCTCTTTCTTTCCTTCTCCCCCGACAACCTCCAAAAGCAGTGAATTTGGTTTGCTCTTTCACCTTCACTTGCTGCCTCTCGTTCCATCTATTCTATTTTTCTAATCCTCCCACAGTTCGCTCGTTTGTCTGTGGTCCTTCTCTCCATCCCTTTTACTTTTCTTGTATATTCTGGTTTCGCACATACCCACCTTCCAAACCCCCCTCCCCCCTTAACTACCCGTACATAATCTCACACAATGGTCCGTTTCGTGACTCCGCTCCTGGCCCTGTCGGCCCTTTCGGCTACCGCTCTTGCGGCTACCACCACTACTTGCAGCACCAGCAGCCAGTGCCCTGAGGACAAGCCTTGCTGCTCTCGTGAGTCTTCTCTTTTGCTTCCCAATTGTGTCGCAATACTCCCACGCGACCGAGTCAATGGCTAACCCTTTTCGTGTCGCGCAACAGAGTATGGCGAGTGTGGTACCGGCGCATACTGCCTCGGTGGTTGCGACCCTCAATCCTCTTTCTCGATCGGTTCTTGCGCCCCCATGCCTGTCTGTGAGAACAAGAGCTACAAGTGGGACAACCTCGACAACACCGTCCTGAACACGAAGTACCTGGGCAATGCCAGCGCCGCCGATTGGACCTACAGTGGTTTCCCCAAGACCGAAGATGGCAACCTCCTGATGACCATGCCCAAGAACTCCGTCGGTACTCTCTTCGCCAACAACCACTACATCTGGTACGGAAAGATCAGCGGCAAGATCAAGTCCTCCCGCGGCAAGGGTGTCGTCACTGCTTTCATCCTGCTCTCCGACGTCAAGGATGAGATCGACTACGAGTGGGTCGGTGCCGATTTGACTGCCGTTCAGACCAACTACTACTGGCAGGGTGTTCTGGACTGGCACAACAGCGGCAACGCCTCCGTCAACGACCAGGACACCTTTGACAACTGGCACACCTACGAGATCGACTGGCAGCCCGACCAAACCCAGTGGATCGTTGATGGCGAAGTCAAGCGTACCCTGAAGAAGTCTGACACCTGGAACTCCACTGCCAACCGCTTCCAGTACCCCCAGACCCCCTCCCGCCTGCAGATGTCGCTCTGGCCCGCCGGCCAGGCTAGCAACGCCAAGGGTACTATCGACTGGGCTGGTGGTGAGATTGACTGGAACAGCCAGGATATCAAGGAGAAGGGTTACTACTACGCTACCATCGGTCAGGTCGATGTTACTTGCTACGATCCCCCCTCCGAGGCTGTCAAGTCTGGCAGCAATGCTTACATCTACACCTCCAATGCTGCCATGGAGGCCAACATCGCTATCACCAACAACTCCACCGTCCTTGGCTCTCTTGGCGCTACCGGTCTGGACATGACCCTCGGCGCTAACAGCAGCAGCAGCGCCTCCTCCACCGCCAGTGACAGCGTTCCCACCAACCACGGTGGTGCCGGTGGCATGGCCATCAACAGCACTACCAGCACTGGCACTGGCACTGGCAGCTCCAGCGGCAGCGGCACCAGCTCTGGCTCTTCCTCTTCTGCTACTGGCACTGGCTTCAGCCAGGGTACCGACACTACCACCACCAAGGGTAACGGTGCCCCTGCTCAGGGTGAGCGCGTCCTGCGTGGCTCGCTGTTTGCAGTCCTCGTGGCTGTCGTTGTTCTGGTGACGCTGTAAATGTAACTTGATATGGGATCTTTTTTTTTGTGTGTCTTTGTGTCTGTTTGAATAACTACCATACACCTCCAGAATATCTTGATTATTGAGATTTTCTATTCTTTTCCACCCTATTTCTACTACTCTTTCACGAGTAAACCCCCTTTTTTATGGATATTTGATCCTATCTTCGCTTCTCGACTGTCTCTGACTGATTCCTTGATCCCCACAATGAAGAAAACACATCTTGGTATCTCTTTGTACGGTTTCTTGTTCTATGCTCTATGTTGTCATCCCTCGTGGATCTCTACCCTATTTGATTCCCTTTAATGCCGTCCACGTGTCTGAACCACTATGCTTCTGCGTCTGCTTCTTGAGTACTTCCTGCTCAGCGTTTCCTTTTCATCATTACATGGATGATTACGCTGTTTGAATTACACTATTCCATCTTTTTACTTAGTCCGGCTTTGTTAATGTCCTTTTCTGTATGCCCTGTTTGTCACTGCGACGGAACACATTATTTCATGCATATGTTTGGAAATCACCTACTTCTGCCCTGGGTCTTAGTTCCTTTTAGGGACTTGTGTAATAATGGGTGGTCTGCAATCTCTTAATCAATCTCTCTAGTCTATTTTCTAGTCTCGAACTCGGAAAACTATGCAGTAGTATCCATCTTATCACTATGATAATCAGATCTAGCTTTAAATCAACCCCTCCATTAATATACTCACCTTCTTGGCAAGACGTCCACCCAAGCTCTCGTATTCATGCAGGGGTTCACTCCCGTTGATGAATTCGGTTGGTGGATTCTGCAACGGACGGCCCGTAACAGATCAAAACGCCCCTGCAGGAACCCAACGAACCGAACCATCCATGTTCTCCACTAATACTGTTTCACTGTTTCAGAGGGTATTCATGTTTCCACGTGGAAAATGGGGCTGGTTATAGAGGGGGCTTTAGAATGTGGTGAAGGGAGTTCGGAGTGGAGGTTTTGTGGGGAATGGCGGATGGCGGAGATCGTGCATCTCGATCTGGACGCCACTGCCGTGGTATGCGTATATTTGTTCTAATGTCCGGGGAATTCATATTATGTTATATATGTTCTGCAGGAAAAGAGATCGTTTGTATCTAGTCAATAAGAATAAGATCGAATGATGTCTTTGTGGTACTAGGTTTGCGTGGAGAAGTACCTGGTTGCAATGCGGATGTGGTGAAGGGTACTTGAGTATCGACTGTGAATAGCTTCAAATCTGCCGGATCTAATAGGGCGGTCAGTAGGAATTTAGCCATTATGAAGGAAAGAAACTCCCAGGCAGGCACCGGTATCTGGCGCAGAAGTAAACAAGCAAGGCCTTCTTCTCTTTTCACTCTACCATCTCCACTACCATCATTTCCCATCATCAAGCCTCCCATCCAAAATCATCAAAAACCTCATCCATATCACTGTAAGTCACTTCTCGAGTCCTTCTCCATCCCTCCTTCCCCTCATATATCACTTTCCTCCAGTCGCCTCAGGCGGGTCCGATAACATAATCGACGCCAAACGACAAACGAACCTCACCACCCCCAGCCCAGCCCAGCCCATCAGACCAGACATCCATGAAGACCAGCCATGAAGACAAGCTAACATACCCCTCTTATAAGCAGACCATCATCAAGCACACTCACAATGTGCTTCTTCGTCGGCTACTTCTACGACGAATGCCGCCACGTGCGGTTCGCACTCCACCTCTTCTGCGACGCGCTGTTCGCCCAACTACAGCGCATCAACGACGCCGAACAGCGCGAGCTGTTCTGGCTGCCGTTCGACCCCGACCTCCCGGACTGCGAGCCATACTGCCTCTTCAACGAGGATGGCTTCCCGTTTTCCTCCGACGAGCCCGGCACGGGCAATGCCCTCTGGTGGGTTTTCAACCTGTCCGAGGCGTGCCCGGAGTGTGAGAGGATTCGGGAGATGTGGGGTCTGTGAGATGTTCCTGCTGTTGTTGTGTTCTTCTTGGGGGAAGATGTGAGGCGTTTGGGGGTGTTGCGATTTTTTCGATTTTTTTCCGTTTTTTTCGATTTCTTGTGTTTGGTTCTTTTTCCCTGTGTTCTCGCGTGGCGTTTCTGGGGGTTCTGGGGTGGCTGTCTGGTTCTTTTTCCTCTGCGGGTGTTTCTGTTTCTGTTTGTTTTTTTGGTTTGGCTTTTTCTAGCATGCTTTAGCATGCTTGGTAGTGAGCAACCGTTGGCCATTTGGCCCATTTCGTCTTCTGATGCCTTTTAGTCTTGGAGCATGTATATAAGTCTAGACTTAGGCTTGGGCTTTGGTGGCATATCTCGGTTTTTGGGCATACTTTGGTCGTTAGATACACTCTGGTATTCTGATGCATTTTGGTCAGTTAGAACATTTTGGCTGTTTGGCATACTTTGGTCGTATTGGAGTCTTTGGTCATGTAGCGAGATCTGGTTTTTTTTGATGTACTTTGGTCTTTTGTGGCACTTTAGTTGTTTAGCAAGCCTGAGTTTGTTGACAGACTTTAGTTATTGGGTAGACTTTGGTCGTGTAGCAGGATTTGGTTTTTTGATGTACTTTGGTCTTTTCTCGCACTTTGGTCGTTTGGAACAATTCGGTCTTTCGGTAGGCTTTAGGTTTTAGCACAGCAGTAGATCATCAAGGGAATATCGTTCGTAGTTCATAGGTATGGTATCGATTGCTTTCAAAGACTATCTGGATGGTATACCGATGCTATAATCTTTAACAAGTCCAATGAATATAATATGAGTAGATGAAGTTAATGCGAGACCACGCCAAATCAGCCGTTACACCAGAATGATACAAAATCGAGAATAAAACGAAACGAAAACCCCCGAAATTCGGCACAAAGAAACATACATGCTATGCTTGAGAGAGATCAATCGATTTAGTGGACTGCACCACAGCCACAATCATCGAGGGATCGTTTCTTGAAATCACCATGGTACGTGTCAAGACCCTCGGTCCGAACGGTTGAGCCGAGCGGATTGCCCATCCAGTTGTACTTGGCTTGTGTGGTGGACTCCTCGCCGGAGACGGTCCAGTAGGCGGCTGATTGGAGGCGCTTGGTGACGGCGTCGACGTCGAGGTCGAGGTAGTTGGCTAGGAAGGCACCGACGTCGGTGTTCTCATTGTTGCCAACCAAGGGCCAGGCATCCTTGCTGGATGATGCGTAGATGTTGACGTCGGCAGCTAAATGGAGAATGTTAGTGTGACTTCATAGTATATGGTATTTTTGGGAGGGAATAAACTGACCAGAGTGTCCGTGAGTGGACCAGCCAATCTGCGCACGGCGGCTGATCATGTCTGCGAAGAAGTACTGGGGAGACACGCCGGCCTCGGGGTGAAGCAAGGAATTGACCTCCTCATCGGTAGCATCGGTGATGCCAAGGTCCTTCTCCAGCAGGGTCTTGCGTATGTACGCCTTGTTCTTCGAGTCATCATCATGCTTGCCAGCTTCCGCGAGGTGACTGCTCAGCTTGGCAGCGACATACTCGCTGGAGTGTTCGGCATTGGCCAAGACACGGGGCAACCAGAGATACTCGGGGTAGCTAGTGTGAAGCTGGCGAGCAGCAGCCAGACCACCGGTCTCATGGTCAGACGTGCTAACAAGCACACCAGGCGTCTCATCCTTCTCAAGGAACTCAAGCACGGCAGCAAAAGCCTTGTCGAAGGCGATGACCTCGTGAACCTGCGCAGCAGGGTCATTGCCATGGCCAGCATGGTCAATACGAGAACCCTCGATCATGAGGAAAAAGCCTTGCTCACTATCCCGAGTGGCCTCGCTAAGCGTAGTCAAAGCAGTGCGAGCCATCTCCTCCAAAGAAGGATAAACATCATTCTGCGAGCGGCGATCGATTTCAAAAGGAATGTCCTTCTCGGCGAAAAGACCCATCAGAGGAAGCTTGGCTTCGGTACCACCGTTGAGAGCATCAAAAGCAGCGCGGTCCTGCAAGTAATGGAATCCATTTTGGGACGCAATTTCAACAATGTCTCGGTCATCGCCACGGCAGCTACCCTCTGTGGAATTGGGCAGGAAATGGCATCGTCCACCACCCAGAATCAAGTCAACAACCCGACCCAGCGGGTGCTCACCAGCTTCCTGCTCCGCAATGCTATCCTCGTATTGACGCAGATTGGCATGCGAGGCAAAGCACGCCGGAGTCGCATCCGTGATACGGGTCGTGACAACCAGGCCCGTGTGATAGCCCGCCAGCTTAGCGGCCTCAAGCACAGTACCGCAGGGAGAGTGATCGGGGAGCACTGAGATGGCTCCGTTGTAGCTCTTATGCGCGCAGGAGAATGCCGTTGCACCGGCCGCTGAGTCTGTCACCAGGCTGTTGCTAGACCGTGTCCGGGACTGGCCAATGTGGTGCTTGTCCAAGACCAAGATATCGTCGATAGGTAGACCCTCTGTCAACTGGCGGAAGCTTCTTGTCATCGATAGACTGGTAGGTCCCATGCCGTCGGATACCATGAAGATCAGATTGCGCTTGCCAGTCGGCTTGCCGCCAGGGCCCCAGACATCCTTCGAAGGAGCACGTCGGTTCTGAGCAGTTTCATGTTGGTAGACCACGGCCAGAACGATCACCAAGATTGTTGCGATAATAGCCCAGGCAAATGTCCCGACTTGTCCCCAGAAACCCCATCCCCGGCTTGGTTGGCGAGCCGTTCGCTCTCCAGTCAGGAGGGCATCTTCTTCTTCGGCGTTTCGGATGGAGGAGCGGTCGGAGGAAGGGCGGCGTGGAGCCAGTAAGGGCTCGTCTCCCGCCATGGCTGTATTGATGCGAATCGAGTCGAGTTGAGCTCAGTTAGGTACCTGAGCTTTCCCCGAGCGGTTGGTGGAGTCGGAACCGGAAGAGGGGACGGGGCTGGGCTGAGGTAAGATAAGATAGGGCCCTCACATGACCAGAACCAGGACCCTTAGAGATGTCCCAAAACAGTAATCGTACTTTTGAGTGAGATGATATTATTAGATGATAATGTACATAAAAAGAGCCTCAATTTTCCGATTCTTCACACATCTTCCTAGTTCCGCCGCTAGTAGCACAGCACTGCCACTTAAAACTATGACCGACCCTTCCACCCGATGGGAATCAAAGCTGCCGCAATCTCAGAGACTCCGCGCTCGGTGGCCAACAGGTTAAACTGCGCCGCCGCATTCCGCGTATCCTGAATCTCCACACGAATGCCCAGCGCATTGATATGACGCTTCGTCTCTGGTGAGAGAGGGTACATACCGCCACCCAGACCGAGAATGAGCATATCTATCCGAGACAACCATCAGCAAACTGACTCAACCCAAATTTGCCTCCCAAAACAAGTAGTTCAAGCGTAGCACAAGAGGGGACCATATGACCCGTTGCCCCATTCCACGAGGGCCCATGACCACGGCACAAAAAAGAAAGGCAAACAAGCAAAAAGAGGGGATGAAAGCAGAAACAAATTACGTACCAGGACGTGGCCACACCACACTCAGCAACCCCCAAGCCTGCTCATCCAGTTCAAACTGACCCTTGGCGTTAATCATAGACGCCTTGGCCGCGCGGTCATTCTCCGCACCCTCAAAAGCCTTCCAAGGCCGCCAGGAGAACGCTTCTCCACCGACGAGAAGCAGCGCATCGCCACCGGTAATTTTAACACCGCTGTTCAGATGGAACCCAGAGTCCAGGCAGGCGTCAATAGCCGTGCTAGGTACGGGGGTATTTCCCAGGACATCCAGCGCGCCAAAGTCCGTCTGAGTGTCTTCCTTGGACTCCGGGCCACGGTCATGGCTGGTAGGCTTGTGCGTGTGGGAGCGAGGGATCATGCGCGTAGGGCGGATTGGAGAACTGTAATTACGCTTTTGAGATGGCATGTCGATGGCTGTGAGGGCGCGCGGGAAGCTGGTGGCGCTGCGCAGAGGGCGGGAGGTCGGGGCAGTTAGGAGGGAGGAGCGCATGGCACGGAGGAGTTGGGGTGATGGTGAATGCATTGTAGAGGGAGATATTGACTTTGATCGGAAGAGTGGTGAGTTGAGGCGATTGAGGAGGCGATGGAAGCAGGATTCGAGTGAAGATGCAGATGTCGATGTCAATAATGTCCGATAAGCTTGCCGCGGTCTTGGCATGCCGAGCTACATCAAAGTACTCCCCAAAGTACGAATACCGGGCAACTAGATCAGGTATTATTTAGTTTATCTCAGCTTTGAGAGATACGGTATTTTCAGTCCGAAGGTTTCAAAAGCAAGTATATGCTCTTGCGACAATTATCGTGGCGACCGTTTCCGCCTTCCATGTGAGAGAACACAGACACTCCTTCAAACCATAATCACATAATGAACTAAACCAACTATGAAATGATGATAAATTACCGGTTTCGTACGTACGAGGTGATAATACAAATGCCATATTCCGGTATGAAAGGTATAATCGTCTGCAAGTAGATGCCCTGATGACTAGAAGTCTAGAGGTTCTATACAAACAGAGCAAAGTAGGCCACTGTTGACAAAATGGCAACTTCGGTTTTCCATCTCACAATTCCTTCACTGCAGAGGGCCTGACGCTTGCGCTAGTGTCCATTTAGACGCAAGTTGATAGGCATGGCTCAACAGTAAGATCTGGTCGTGATCTCCACCATCGCCTATCTCATCGGTCCATTGTGTTAGTTGCCTGCTAAGGTGGGTCATTGTTGAGTGATATGATGCCAATCCCGCAGCGGCCTCCTGTTTAGTGGTGCTTGGTGGTAAGATGGCCTGAGGGCGACATAGCATGCACTGATACGGCTATTTGACCATGGTGAGCCAATTCAATTGATCTAATATTGGTTGATTGAGAAAAAGATCAAAAGTATGTGTAAAATAGCCGGCATATTAAATATCTATTTGTGGCTTCCGGCTGCTGGAAGAGAGGAGCAGGGGAATGCTGCGACGCTCGGACCAAAATAGTCGGAGTTACTGCACATTCCAAAGGTTACATACAAAAATCAACGAATTGTAGAGCATAAGAACAACAAATAATGGTAGATTGTAAGTAGCTCCCTACTTTCGACGATAACATACAAAAACAAACGGAGTTGGATCGGTTGCTAGCGGTAAGATAACCGCTGTTCAGTTCCACACCTTCCACTTTTCATACCCCAATTCCATTCACTCTTAAAGCTAACGGGATATATTGTCGCTATATGCTGTTAACGGCGGATTCTCGATGACATAAAAGAGCTAATAGCCCTAGCTGGAGTAGGCGGCTATAGCAGAGGTGAAGCCTTGGGCAATCTGAGTCTGGACTGACGTAGCCGAGGGAACTAGATCACTTGGTGTGGCGTCTATTAAAGCGCTGGTAAGGTCGATGAAGGACCCATTGAGATTCTGGAGGTCGTTCAAAACTAGAGCTTGTCCCCCGGAAAACCTTCCCAAGCAGCTGCTTGATTCGTAATAGCAGACAATGTACCCAAAAATATAGAGATTAGGTTACTGGCGGCCTGAAGAACAGAGGTTCCATCTGACTCGCTAAAGGAGCCGGCGTTGTGGATATCGCTAGTCGCATCATTTACAACAGTAACGAGAGCGTTGCAATCGTTATCAATTGCAAGTACTCCTGTTAAACCACTAGCGGGGAAACCTTTAACGTCGTTGTCAAGGGCTTGGACTTGCGGGCCGATTTTTTGCGTTATATCGTTCTCAACCGTAACAGCATCGCGGCGAAGGATAGGCGTGGCAGCAGCAGTTAATGCCAAAACGAAAAGTTTAGCAATAAACACCATGTTGTTTGTTTTGGTAAGAGTAACTAGAGTATAATAATATAGTTGTGAGAGCCTAGGGGCGAGCTCCTTGCGCTCTATATATAGTGCGGTAGGTCGAATAAAGCTAACACTAGGATATAAGGCAGATAATCGTAACACACAACGCGTAGCTAGGCTCATTCTGCATATGCAAAATTGCGTAATATATCACGCATTATGTATCACTATTTTCACTAGTGAGCTGCACCTTTTCTCTAGTGAGCTGCACCTTTTCTCAAATAAGGAGGGGGAATGTAAAATGGCATTCTCCACCAGATTCCGCGAGATACTAACCTAAGCTCAGAACTAGCACAACGCCCTACCGCATTAGTCAAGCCTCTACAGGCGGATACCGGGAGTATACGCTAGCGAAGCTAAATACCAGTAGTCTTAGACGATCCTACCTAAGGCTACTAGAATTTAGCTTCGCTAGGACAATAGGTAGGTCATTCTATCAACGTGCTGTACCCGTGCACTTAAGTCGGACAATCCCCCCAGGGGAGATAATTTAATAAGCGCGCTTCTGTGCCTAGTGAACAGAAACACGAATCTCGGCAATATACAGGTAGGGTCTCGGGCACTCTTAGTCGTCTAAAAGAGAATGAATCTCGTAAGCCCTGAGTGAAGTGTTAAGCGGACCCTTTAGTTCCTTCCTCGGTTTCTCGATTTTCGCCCTATCGTATTAGAGTTTTTCGGCTAGATCGATATACAGGACGATCACAGATCGCCCCACTCTTCCTCAGGCAACATCCACCTTTCCCAAGACAAATTCGCTACAGCCAGACCGCTACTTACGGTAGGACAAAATAATCAAAAGAGACTATTCCTATTGTAAATATTAAAACCTAGATAATCTTTCATCTATATCTAAGCTATAGGCTTAACTCGATATATAAGAATAGAACTAAACAAGATAGATCTATACAGGTCTTTTCACGATTGCAAATTGTTAGTAGCAAGGTTGCTTTAAGAAATATAGCGCATCCTCTGTAGTGCTACGGAGATTTCTAATATAAAGCAATTCCAATATTCCGAAAGTGATGGAGTTCGGCGGTGTATTAGCAGTAGGTGTGTGGGTCACCTGAAGAGTGACACCATATAACCTCGCTCCCTTGTTATACTGCTTTCCCACCCTGCGAGTATATTTCCCGTACTATATGTGCACAGTACTAAATAATAATTGACATGACTAAGCTATGAGTTTTTGAGATATACAGCATTTCCAATTTGGAAGAACAGGACGAAATACCTAGTATATATAGTATTGCGTTCGCCACCCTGGATTCCTCAACCACCTTCCTATACACTTTCATCACTGGTGGAAATATTTAGTTTTCATTTTCATTCAGGCAAATATGCTGGTATGTGTCCCTTTACTCGCGGTAAGCTGCCCACCCGTGGTTATTGCCGATGATTCGTGGTTATTTTGTGAAGTCTATTTGAATATTCTTGTCAAGAACCGGACCCAATTTGGCGAATAGGCCAGCCTGGGAAATCCACAAATTGGCAAGCGAGGTTATTACGCCCTCCTCGACCTCGTTGCAACCAGGGCTCGTGAGACATATGTAGGGACACCAGTGGGCCCGTGGGGGAAGGTGGGAGGCGTGATTATTTTCGGACCTGTAATTATATTGCTATCCAGCTTACGCATGTTTACACGGTTTGCGTTATTACCATCAAAACAGAGAACAAATACATACGTGCGCACTTATCCATATTGGGATTAGCGTATCATGTGATTAGGGTTTGAAAGAGTATCTCTGTTTCCCGACATGGAAGGCAATAACGGTCGCCACTGTACATTCAAAGAACACATAAGATCCTCGACAGTTTAAGCAACTCTACGAAAACACTCTAAGCTCATCTACCAATACACAATGCTCAATTGAAAGTCCTTTTATATTAAGTATAATCCGTCTCGGCGGCCCTAGTGATTAATCTAGTTTTTTATTTCCGGCAAAACCCAAACCGCGACCAATTGCACCTCGGGTTCGATATGAAACAAGGACAAGGCAAAATGACTGAAATCATGCGCATCGAATCATGAATTCCCAAACGCCTGTGAACGCAATGAAAAGAATGCGACAGAGAACAACAGGAAAGAAAAGAAAAGAAAGCAGACCCTGGACCAGTAAGAAGTAAAAGAAAGCAGAAGAAGGACCCGAAAAGATGGAAAGAGAGAGGGAGGACAAGAGGAAAAAAAAAAAAGAAGAACGCAAAGGCAAAAAACCCACATCTCATGGCGTCCCTGCTTGTTCTCCGGTCACATTACTCCCTCCCCATTTGCTTTTGGCGTCGGTGTTGAAGAAGAAAAGAAAAAGATATGAGATGAGAGCTTATGCACACGTCGAGAGATGAAAAATTGGGTTGAGAATCATGCTTGCTGGCGGGAATTAGAGCTGCCTGTACAGGGCGGGTTTAGTGAGCGGGATGATGGCTGCCCTTGCGGTCCTCGTCGGATTGACTGGAGCTGTCATCGCTGTGCGTGGCATTGCGGATACGCTCGGCGCGGTCTTGCAAAACTTGAGCTTCGGCAGCTGCCTTCTGGGCTCGGATCTGCTTGCGCCACATGCTGGCATAGCGGCCTCTCAGAGCCAATAGTTCCTCGTGAGTGCCACTCTCGGCCACCTGACCGTCTGCCAGGACCAGAATACGGTCAGCAGTGGTGATGGTGCTGAGACGATGAGCAATCACGAGCATAGTACGGCCGTGCGAGAGAGTCGAGAGAGCCCGCTGAATGTGCTCTTCCGTGTCAGTATCCAGAGCAGCGGTAGCTTCGTCCAGAAGTATGATTCGAGGGTTCTTCAGGATGGTGCGTGCAATTGCAACACGCTGTTTCTCGCCACCACTCAAACGTAAGCCACGCTCACCAACCTTCGTATTGTAACCATCGGGGAAAGCCAGAATCTTGTCGTGAATGCTGGCGGCCCGGCAGGCCTCGTAGACGTCTTCGTCGGTAGCTGTTTGGTTGGCGTACTTCAGGTTGTACATCAAGGTCTCGTTGAAGAGGACCGTATCCTGAGGAACCACACCAATATGCCTTCGAAGAGAGTCAATTGTGAGGTCTTGAACATCATGGCCATCAACGCTAAGGCATCCCTTCTCAGCATTGTAGAATCGGAAGAGCAGTCGGAATACGGTCGATTTGCCACCGCCGGACTCGCCAACCAAGGCAGTCGTGGTGCCGGGTTCACAGCGGAATGTTAGCCCATTCAAAGCTGGTTTCCGCTTATCATACGAGAAATCCACGCCGGAGAACTTGATGTCACCATTGCATATTGCCAAAGGTTTGGCGTAAGGGCTGTCAACCACCGTAGGCTGCTCCCGGAACAATTCGAGCATACGCTCGGCATTGATCAGGGCAGATTGAATAGAACGGTAGAATGTGCCGAAGAAGTTCAATGGACCCTGGAGCTGGGCCATATAAGTCAACAGAGTAACAAACTGACCGACTCGGCGCTGGCCGGTGGAAACTTGGTATGCGGCGATGAAGCAGGTGAGTAGCAGGCCCATCATAAATACTGTATTCTGGCAGGTGTTGAGAAGCGTCAAGGAGAAGAGAACATGGTACTCGGCCTTCTGGAACTCGCCCACGGCGTCGCGGTAGCGTTGGAACTCGTATTGCTCGGCGTTGAAGTACTTGACTGTCTCATAAGAGACCATCGAGTCGTTCCTAAAAGTTACTGGTTAATCATTGCTCACAGTTTTCGGTGGGGATTTTAATTGAGTCCACTTACTTCACGGCATCTTCCTGGCGCGATGCGTTGACCATCTGTCTTCTAATCTCCGCCCTCCACTGAGCCATACGAATAGTAACGTAAAGATAGCCGAAAGTCGAGATACCCACAACAAGTGCGTAGTAGGCATCAAACTCAACAAGGAAGTACCCGAATGCAATGACCAAGTCTATCAACATTGGCACCACCTGGAAGGTCACCTGCTCGAGGAAGGTGTTGATCGAGCTGCCCTTGCTCAGAGCAGAGAGCACTTCACCAGTCTTTTTCCCGAGATGGAAATCCAAGCTGAGACCATGCACATGCTCAAAGGCAGCATTGGAAAGCTCCATGTAAGAATACTGACTGACAGGGATCCACAGGCTGGATCGCATGGAGCTCAGCAGACCCTGCCCGCCCTGCAGCCACCGGAGGATCACATACATCATGATTTCAAGCCAGGGGACGCGGAAATCCTTTCCTTCCTCGTTGGCCAATTTGGTGATAATATCTCCGACTTTGTTGGGCACCATGACATTCACAATTCGCTGGAGAACGAGCAGAATGAAGCAAAGGACTACGATAATTTGCAGACGGCGGGACTTGGACGGCCACAGGTATGGGAAAAAGAGCGAGTAGCCGCTGAGATACTCCCACCAGCTTGTAGCAGGCATGGTCGTCGGGCGAACCCAAGGATCTGGCTGCGGCTTGGCCGTCTCAGCACCCGCAGTACCATTGGTAGCACCGTAGGCATGGCCGTTTCCATTGCCGTTCTCTGCAGCTGCGGGATCCAGGAGTCCAGTGGACTCGGTGATGCCACCATTTGCATGATGTCCCTTCTTCTCCTGACTCTTCCACGTGATTGACTTGCTGGCGTACAAAACAACGAGAGCCAACAAAATCAGCACTCGGAGACTGTTCGAGGCCACTTCAAAGTATTCCCAAGGAGTAATAGTTTGGCGAAGTTTGCCGCCTTCGGGATCGCCGACGACAGGCTCATTGTGAGGAGAGGTGTAAAGCGAGAGACTGGTGCTAAGAATAACAAGTTCGAGAGGAATGGCAGCAAGCCAACACACGAATTGAGCCGCTGTCGGGGATGGGCTTGTGTCGAGCAGTGTCATCAACAAGACGGCGTAGAAGAAGAAGGAGCCGACAATATAGATCTATAAGAGATCCGCTGGTTAGCTTGTTTTTACTTTGAGTCTTGTAATAGCCATTACTTGGCGGGTCAAACATCACGGTTTGTCTAGGAATACATACAACTGAAGACTGACCTCGCCACCAATTCTCAGATCGGGCCAGCAGGACATGGAGAATGTAGATTGTTGCATCAGCCAGGTATGTGACGAGCACGGCTACCGAGAACCAATTGAAAAAGCGTTTGACGGTAGGAGAAAACTCCTTGGGCTTCCGGGCGGGAGCTGCACTACGGCATCGCTTGGGAAGTGGTCGTCCACCCGGGCCCATGCGAACAGTTTCATTGTTGCTGGCCTTGCTTGCAGTGACCATCGTGTTGACTACGAAGGCCACAGCAAAGAGGAACAGCAGAAAGATTGGGTAACATGTGCGCAGGTACTCCAGCAGCTCGCGAGCTGCATGGGGATCCATGATGAACCGAATCCTCCCACGAATATCCGACCAGAGGAGAGAAATCAATCAATTTCCATGACACAGCGGTGTGTCCCCGACGATCCAAAAAAAAAGAAGGGAGGGAGGGAAAAGCGAGGGCGGAGGGGGGGGGGGAGGTTTGGAAAGGCGGAGGTTGTTGAGGGTTGAGAGATCGAGAGGAGAGAGACCAAGACCGAGACCGAACGAGAAGTTTGGAGAGCGGAAACGACAGTCGACGGGTGTGGCCAAAGATCGACGACCTCAGGAATGAATCGCGGCCGGACGCGGGGGAGGCGAAATCCAGTTGCTGTGTCCACGAGGATCGGAGCTTTAGTACAATTGCTCTAGGGGGAATGAAAGAGAAATATCGAAACTTTGACAAATCAACATTCAAAAAGGTAATTTGCTTTTTTCTTCTCTCTTTGCCCTCTTTTTGAGAAGTGCTTGGGGATCGAGAGGCAATCGGGAATTCGAACTGGGAGGCAAACCCAACACAGCGGAGAAGGTTTTTGGGTTCATTTCACAGCCCCCGACTGACCTCCCCGTGGCAAAATCATGCGCCTAAATAAAAACACACACACAATCAGGATAGGGCATGACCTACGAGCAGGATTCGGGTACTCCGAAGGATTTCAGCTGCCTCGGGAACTGGCAATGGATGAATAGAACGGACGAAGCAGGAAGTGCTGGATTGCAGGGAAGTGATAGTGAATGGAATGACGGTGTAGTGGATGCAGAGTGCTGCAGCTAAACGGGATCCACACTACTCGGAGCTTGCGAGAACCATTCGGATGCTCACCAAGAGTAGTCGATCACTAGTGTGCAGGTTTGAGTCGACTAGGTATGAGACCAAAGTCAGGACCAGAGCCTCTTATATCGAAACTCCGTTTCTCCCTTGGTCAGAGAGAAAATTTGCTAAGATGAAGATGGGACCGGGAGATATCTAAATATGCCGATATGATTGGGATGTTTGCCCGGTGCAGAAGAAGCAGAAGTCCCGGAATAAACAATGGTTCGTGCCCGACCAGGGGGGTCGGTTGTGTAGATTGTAAGGGGGCCAAAGCAGCAGGGGTCAGGCCTAGACGAGAGTTTTAGAAATAAATTGCATCAATGATTCTGACCTCCCTGGACTTCTAGTTATATACTGTAGACACAGATGGGATATACATATGGGCATACTTCGTTAGGCTGGTCCCACCCAGCGAGCATACTTTAGCCAAGGTGATCAGACTGACTTACAGATCGAAAAAAAAAGTACCTTCTGTGGTCCAGAATCGAATGACAGGTATCATCAGCTATGAGGCCATCATCTCTACAGCAAAGGAGTGGTTGCACTGGAGGGGGACTATACTCCACAATATATATAGAACGCTAACACTACAGACGAATAAGATCGAGGATGAAAGATGGAATGATGTTATATTCTACTCTATAAATATAGTCGCATTGCTACTTGGGATATAATTGACAGAAGCTGATAGGACAGGTATCAGATATTGTATGTAAATCATTATAGCGCATCACCTATGATGATTGTCATTGTCAGCCGCCCGGGCGGTTCAAGACAAAAGTGAATGACAACTACCACAACACAATCAAGCAATAAGAGTTTACCGAGTGACAAGAATGGTATTTGTATAGGCTATTCTATACATTATGTTATATATCGACAGCGTACCGACTGAGAATTTTTCTTTGCTCTAATATTCCCAAGGCAAACCCTCTGACGATCACCTGGGCAGATGGTTCTTTTGTGCCCGGACCCTTCTCAGCTAATGATCTAGATTCCCATCGATTGCTTTAGATTGCCCTAAGACGCTAAAGACGTCAAGGATGTGCGACCATCCCCCTCCCTCTTTTTAGCGACCACCGTGGAGCTGCGATTAGATAACCTGATTAGTTGCACCTGCCCCCGAGCTACTCTTTTAGCTTCCACGCTTGTGAGCTCCAGGGAACGACTCAGCGCGATCGCTTTGACCGGTTCAAAACTTGAGTTTCGAGGAGTCGAGGCCTTTTTCCAGCTTTCATGTTCTGGTCCCTCCCCCCCCACGCCGTTCCAGACTTTCACAACTTCTAGGTCAGTTTCTAGTTCTCTATTTGGTAGTCAACTGAGCTGTAGGCAGCGTCAGAATAATTCGATTGGACTCCCGTCTTTCCGGCCAGAGGTGTGAGACATGGCTTCTTTTTTTGTTTTCTCTTTGTGGAGGGGTGGGCCACTTTCGTCTTCTCCTTTATGCCTCACTATAAACCGGCCTGTGTCGCTTGCCTGCTCCTATCTCTCAGCGACCGGTGAGGATGGGAGGAGTTCCATTCGGAGAGCCAGGAAACCAATCTGCAGTGGACTGTACACTTTTGAAATCTGATCTCTCATGGTGTGTTGGCGTCTAGACCGCTCTTGACATGTGGACAAGTCGGGTTCTTTCAAGAGGTTCAAGATGGAGGAGACAGGTCTTCGGGACAAAGTACATAGTTGGGCGGTGGAAGGTGGGAGGAGGGAGCAGGTTATCTACCTTGCAGTAGTTACACCTTGCATACATCCGAGCCCCATAACCTTGGTTGACCGATCGGTATGCCTAGACTGCCACTCCTACATAGTCCCGCATCTACGGAGATGTATATCCTTGGAAGTGGAGGAGAGATAGGGACTTGAGATGGAAAGACGGGACAACATGGACTGGACTCGCTTATCAGTCGATACTATCTAGCAAACTTCGTTTTAGGTAAATGGTTTCAATCTGAATCATTATCACCATGTCTATATTTCCTATACTCTTATCTACTTTTGGTCTACTGCTTAATATCTTCATACGACTACATGGCTAGACTCTGTATACTTCGTATACAGTGATCCAACGTGTGGCTGCCTCAGGAATCCAAACCTCCACATTCGGGAGCTCCAGCCCTTCACCGCTTGGACGACTGCCCAACCTTACCTCCGAACCTAAGAAGCACCTCACGAAAGTAACCCACCAGCCCCGGACACGCGCACTTTCCCCCACCACCTTTTACCATTCGGTCAACTGATCGTGTGCTCGCAATGGAGTGAGAACCATGTCGGACCTCTCTGGGTCACGCTCTCCTATCCCTCCTCCCCCGCCACCGCCCACCAAGTACTCGCATCGGGCAGCCAACGCGTTCGCCCGTTTCGCCCAGCCTTTCTTCTCTGGTTCAAGACCCCCCAGTCCGCAAAGTAGCCGGGCTGATGGTCCCCGGCCGATCAGGTCCAAATCACTGTACGTACTGCATATCCCCTCACACCGCTTCACTTCAACATAGTCAAAAGACTTCTCGAAGCTACAAAAAAAAGGAAAAGGAAAACATGGCCATTTGGAATTATATTCTACTTGGTCACGACTCCCAATTCTGCCCTACACCTTAACTCTCCACCCCACACCTTGCCCATTACCCCAGATCGGTCATTCATCCCAGATCGGGCCCCAAATAATGGCACACCTCCCTCTAACGTCACCAGGCCTGGTGAACCGCAGACCGTCACCCATCGGACCGGCATCCCTATCACCGCTCTAGATATCTCGCCGCAGAGAACGCACGCGGTCATCGGAGGCAAGGAGATCCTCAAAACCATCCGAGTCTCACCAGATCATTCCTCGGAGGAATTCAATATTCGCAATGCGGTCATCAGCTATGCGTCCACTCATCATGAGTCCGGCGCATCGATGCCACACAAGGACCAGTTGAACGTGAGGGATGTCAAGTGGTCACATGGCAATTATGACCGGATAATCGCAACGGCGGTCGCCAATGGTCGGATTGTCGTCTACGACCTGCAGCGGCCCGGCCTCCAATTATGTCGCTTCCAGGGCCACAACCGCCAGGTTCACAGACTGGCTTTCAACCCCCATCTCGCATCATGGTTGTTGTCCGGCAGTCAAGATGGTTCGATACGAATGTGGGATCTGCGTTTGGCTTCTGCGAATCGGAGCCCTTCCACGTGCAGCCCCAAGCATGTATACCAGGGCAACAGCGATGCGATCCGAGACGTCCGGTGGTCTCCCACCGACGGGGTCGTGTTTGCGACCGCCTCGGACAGCGGCGCCATTCAGATGTGGGATGCGCGCAAGACCACCGCCCCCTTGTTACGTCTTGCGGCTCATGAGCGGCCTTGTTTCGCAGTCGACTGGCACCCGGACGGGAAACACATTGTAAGCGGAGGCACGGACCGGCTAGTCAAGGTCTGGGACTTTTCGCCTTCTGCAGACCGACGACAGAAACCTGCGTTCCAGTTCCGAACCCCCCAGTCTATTACCAATGTTCGATGGCGGCCACCGTCATGGGTGGGTGACTCCCCCAGTTCGGGTTTGTGGCAGTCGTCCCAGGTCGTGACCACCTATGACAAGGAGGATCCTCGGATTCACCTCTGGGACCTTCGACGGCCTCATGTCCCCTTCCGTGAGTTTGATCGGTACGATGTGCCGGCATCCGATCTGCTCTGGCATTCCAAGGATTTGCTGTGGACGGTTGGCGAGGCCGGGGCTTTCACGCAGACCGACGTCCGCTATGCTCCAGCTGTGATTAACCGTCGGCCGATGTGCTCGGCCGCCTGGAGCCCTAATGGAGAATTCGTAGCATTCTCTCAGCCGCGACCTAGACGACGTGCTCTGGGGCCTCATGCATCCGAGTTCCTGCGCACCGACGAGGAAGAGAGTGTTAATGGCGAAAAGTCGCTTAGCCAAAGCCCAGCCGAGGATATCATCGATGAAGTGGTCCTAGCCTCATCGTTCCGGCCGCAACAGAATAAGTCTACAACCATTCGACCCTCAAAGTCTCTGGGCAGCACTCCGCCCGGTGCAATCGATATTATTCCTGTCTTACCCCTGGACGAGGCCCTTGCCAAGATCGCCCTCCCTGCTCCTAATCAGTTGGGAGCAATTGGGACTATACCCGGTGCCACCAACGATGCATCCGTATTTCGGTTCTTAGCCTGCCATTACTCACCATTGATGAATGAAAATTCTCAAACGCAAAACCATGCCCAAGTTTTGAATTCGTTATTGGACTCGTTCGACCAGAATGCCGAAAGTGCAGATAATTTGTCCTTGGCCAAGTTGGCACAGACCTGGCGGATCGTGAAATTCGCTATTCTCCAAGAACTGCAACGAAGGTCGAGGGAGCATCTATCGGGCAAAGATGGGGTGAAAGGCAAGACATCCAAGGATGGCCTGTTGGCCGATAAATCGCGCGCAGCGGATGAGAGTCGCCCGGGCAAGATGAAAAGCCGGCTGTTCAAAGGAGTCATGGAGGCCGAGGGTCCAAAAGGTCTTCTCCATGAAGCCGAAAGCACGTCGAATATGACCACGCCACTTGCGCAGCCAATCCCTGATTCCCCGCAGCAGTCCTGGGGAAGTAGCACGGACTCGCAGATCCCCTCAGTTAATGAGAATGCGATTGACCTTGATCCCCTTCCGCCCTCGGTTTTGAGTCCACAGAATGGCTGGAGTATGTCCGATACCGATGTTCGTTCCATTCACCATCCCCTGCGCTTGACCCAGGAGCAATCGGTATCGAGCAATGAGACCCATCTTTCCACGGCTGTTCTACCCCAACGTCTGCGGGATCCATTGCAGCCTGATCTTGACGATGAGCAAAGGTCAGCACCGCGAGCAATTGCGGGCCGATCTGACTGGCGCACTCGGAGTCACCCCGACTTCCCTCCAGAGGCAGCTGAGGATGATTACGACCAGAAGCTGGAAGAAAAGCGGGCTGCCATTAGCAATTACAAGCAGAACCCAAGAAAGGTGTTGACATTGGAGTCTCCGATGGAGTCTAATCGTCCCCCCATTGACCGCTTCAATCGGCACGACTCTAGCGAAAGCTTTCCCATGTTCTCTGCCTCCACCGACAGTTCACACCCCTCTAAGTCAATCGCCGCTTCCTACTCATCAAATAGACGGGTTTCAGATGCTCTGATGTCGGATGGTGGCCAGGCTGGCTCATACCCTGCAGGGCGGCCTGCCATGGCCGCGCGGCGGGAATCTAATCTGGAACCATCACCAGAGGAACCCGAGGAAGATTTTGATCCTGAAGAGTCGATCCTTGAGTCTGATCAACACGTCCATCTCGAGCGACCCTCAACACCACCGCCATTGGTGACCGAATCAACTCCGCTTGAGCAGCCAGGCTCGGGAAATGGTTTGAACTCGTCTGCTAACGGGGTTGCCTGTCTTTCAGCCTACCCAGGGATAGCAGGCATTTATGAAGATCTATCTCAAGTTATGATTCCTCTGTTGCCAGATGCAGATGATCTCACACCATGGAGCATCGAGGCTCTCATGAAAGAGGCTGTTCGATACTACCACAGTACTAGCAGCTCTGTCGATATTCAGACAGCTGCACACCTGCTACGGAAACTGCATGTCCTATTTGAAGACTGCGAGGATATCCTCCCATACGAGGAGTGTGAACTAGTTTTCAAAGCCTACAACGAACATCTCATTAGACACTCGATGGACCTGGAAGCTGCAGAGCTCCGTCTATCTTGCGTTCCGACCTATCCCGGCGTCTACGATTACGCTCAAGCAGACACCTTCATCAATGTCTATTGCTACACATGCCAACGACCCTTTGAAAACCCTCGCCGCGACAACACCCGCTGCCACCGCTGCAACACACCCCAAGCACCCTGCTCGATATGCATGAGCCTTGACCCGCCCCCAGAATGGGTCTCTGCACACCGTGACACTCCCTCCAACCCGGGCCACACAAGTCCGGATCCAGAGGCCGAAACAGTATCCCACCTCTCAGACCAATCCGCCGCAACCGAGCCCGCCCCAACATCCGAGTTCGATGGCTTCACAGCACCCAGGCCTAAAGGCTCCTCGCTATGGAGCTGGTGCCAAAGCTGCGGCCACGGCGGCCATGTAGCCTGCATGACAACATGGCTGGGCGATCTGTCCATGAGCGAAGGCGGCTGTGCCACACCAGGCTGCACGCACGACTGTGGTCCCGGCCCGCGCCGCGAACTCAACCGGCAGATGCTCGTGGCGGAGACTAAGCGTCGCGATTCCGCGAGTCGTTCTGCGGGTGTGGGTGTCGTTAAGCACGATCCCTGGACTAAAGGCGAGAGTAAAGCCGTGCAGACGGTCCGCGGGATGCTTGGCGCTGCCGGCGTTGCGGCTGCGACGGGTCGTGGCGCGGCTGGTGCTGGACAGGGAGGTCAGGCATCTGGTGCGGTGTCGCCGAAGAAGGTCCGCCTTGTTACTCCTGTTGAGCAGAGTAGGCGGAAAGGTGCGGCTGGTCGGTCTGGTACTGCGCCAGAATAGACGTTTGATCGTCATCATTACATACCAGTAGCGGTTCGTTAAGGACGGTCCTCACTCAACCATGTACAATTTTTTCTAATTTCTAGTAGACGGCACTCGGTTTTTTTTGATACCCTAATACATGATTCACCAATGATGAATCCATCCACTCAATTTCATAACTCATGATAGTATGACTAGAGCACGTAATCCAACAAGTATGCAGTAGACGGGTAGATTCTCAAAACCTCCGTTTCTTCTTCGCGGGCGCTTTACTCTTCGCTTCTAATTGCCGCTTCAGCTCCTCCCGCTTACGATCAGCTCGTTGGGCCTCAGTCTCTTCCGGAGCTGGTACTGCACTGGGTGCTTTCGCTGGCAAAGAAGGCTCCAGAGATTCCCTTTTCGGTGAGACCCGGTCATGTTTGGGTGCTGGGGGCTTTTCACGGGTCTTTTGATTAGGCGAGGATGGCAGAGGCTCCTCCTGTTGGACCGAGGGAGTCTCTGGCAGAGGTGCTTGTTTGGTTTTTGCTTTGCCGCCTATCATGCCCAGTCTTGTGGGCTTTTTAGCTTTGGTAGCTGGTGCGGTAGATTGTGCATGGTCCTCGATTTGCACACGAGTCGGTTCTGGTGGTGGCAAGGGTGCACGCTCTGGCTCGGGCTCTGGGATTTTCTTCTTGCCTCCGATCATGCCGAGGCCCTTTTTAGGCTTATTTGGGATCTCTGTGGGCGGCGTGTCTTGTGCGACGGGTGCTGCGGAGGGTGGAGGCGTCGATGTACGTTTTCGTCGAGGTGGAGGTGAAAGTTCGGGCTCAGGTTCAGGTTCATGCTCGGATTCAGTGGCCGAGGCTTCGTTTGTGTGTACTGCCTTGGGCGATGGTGATGGAGTCTTCTTCCTGGCTTTTGGTTTAGACGGTGATATCACCGGTTGAGTTTCTTGTGGCTTCTGTCGAGGGACGACTTCTTGTTGCTGGAATTCAGTGAGATTGGGTACTCTTATGCTAGAGATGGAAGGGCATTGTTTTGGACAAACCTCAAACTCATCGACATCACTTTCTGACGCTGTCTCCTCACCTGGGTCCACATCACCTTTTGATTCAATAGGCTTAGTCCTGCTCTGAGAAAGCTTCTTGGGTTCCTCCTCTTGAAAAGAAACGGCCTCGGTGCGTCTTTGGAGACCGCTCCACCATTTCTCTTGTGACGGGTGGAGCTTGTCAAGATCAAGACCGTTGCCAGATCCCGCAAGCTCATGGATCAGATTCGAAACTATTGCGGAGCTGGATGAGATGCTTTCAGATTCGGCAAGCCAGCTCTGCTCATCAAACGGTGCGACACCTTTGATGAATTTGGCGGCCTCGGATCTCGAGCTGCCTTTCCGAGCTGTACGTAGACCAGCTACACCAGGAAACACAGTTCCAAGGTCTGCCCCCAGGGCTTCAAATCTGTCGAATAGCTTGCTAAGCACCCAGTCCTTTTGCTTGAGCTGATCTAACAGGTTTCGCTGACGGGACTCCAAGGATGCCTCGCCTCGTAATAGTGGCAGAATCAGATGGCTGGTCGTGGAGAAAGCAGGCTCCCTTGAAAGCAGTATAGACCATTTAAGCGGCCTCAAGGGAGCGGGCAATTCCGTGCTTGTGTTGAGTTGAAGAGAATCTGATGATGCACCACTGTTTAGTGTTGTATTAGAGCCCCCATCACCACGGAGAGCTTCTCCGATCTTGGTGAGTAAAAGGTCAAGCTGGTCCAAATCTTCGCTGGGATCAATCGTCGTGGCGCTATCATCCGCTCGTTTTAAAATCTCTTTACGAGATAATCGTTCAGACCAGATCGTGGTGAGGTCTGTCAGGTACAGCTCGTAACCTTGACGGGTCCAAGTGTACTGACACAGCAGCGGGGGCAGATTTTCTTGCGACAGACACAGTCTGCGCCATTCTGAAGACATGGTTGAGAGATTTGTTCTCTTTTGTTGGAGCTGACTTCAGTATTACTTCGTGTTGTTATGGGGAGGAGCTCGTGCGGATGCGGAGAGCTGCCTGGTTGAATACTGAGGGAAAGTTAGCCGCACGTTTGACATTCCGCCGTTCCTCCGAATCACTTTTCCTCCACGCGACATCAACCCAACCACCGCCGTATTCCACACGCCAATACTGCCTACCGTGGGGTCCTCTCTCTTTAAAAAGATCGCTATCTGAGCAAAGATAGAATGTCCTCACGGATTCCGGACCTCTCAGGTCCACGGCGCAGCCGATCGCGATCCCCGTCGTCCTGGCGTCAACCCCAGAATCGCCCCCGCAATGAACGAGACTATCGCGACCGACAAGATTCAAATCGGAAATGGGATAATGGAAACTCTCGCGGCGCAGGTCCATCCAGGGATATGCGCGATCAAGTTCGCCTCAACCAGCTTCAAGAGGACGAGCAAGCGCGTGAGTGGGTTGCGCAGGAGGATATCTTTGTTCTCAAGCAGGCCAAGAAAAAGGCAGAGATTCGAGTCAAGGAGGGACGTGCAAAGCCCATCGACTGGCTGACGGTCACACTGCGTGTCATCGACCCGACACGAGACCCTTTGGACGACGAGATTGCGGATTCCGAGCTCGATGTGGTGGACCCCGATGGTATTTTTGAGGGACTGTCGCAGTCACAGTTGGAGGATTTGGAGCATGATATTGAAACCTTCCTGAAGCTGGAGTCCAACCCACAGAATCGGGACTTTTGGCAGGTACGAGCTTCCCATTGCATGGAAATTTGGAAATCTAAATATTGCACATTACTGACAGGGATTCCATTCGTAAGACCATGAAGATTATCTGCCGTGATCGCCAGAAAACCACCGCACCTCAAGGGCGAGCTCTTAGCTCCGTGGCCGCCGATATCAACCGACTGCTCAGCCCGAAGACTTACGAACAACTTCAGACGCTAGAGGTTCAAGTCAAGAGAAAATTGAATTCCAACGAACCTATCGATACAGACTACTGGGAAGAGCTTCTACGCAGCTTGACGGTGTGGAAGGCTCGGGCAAGACTGAGAAATCTATATCAAGATGTGATCGGCGAACGTGTTCGCGATCTAAGAAAACAACAGAAGGCGGAGGCGGACTCTATTCGTGAGAAGCTTGCTCCTCTCGCGCCAGTTGTGACTGGAGGCGACCAGCTCCAAGCATCTGTGGATTCCGCCGAACTCAAGGGCTTGGATCCCGATCCATTGTTGCATGTGCGTCAGGAAGACAAGGGACTGGAGATTATGGACGAGACCGCATTTCTTCGTCAAGTGGTGAGTTTCATCCCATGGCAGATCTGACGGAAATCCTAGGACTAACCCAGTATATAGGCTCGAGAACGTCAAAAGATCCTTCGCATGGGATACGTCCCCCTCCGACAACGAGGTGCCGAAAGGTCAACTGCTGTCGCTACTAGCACAGTGTCTACCAGCACGGCTACGTCAGGGGCGCCTGGTCGCTTCTCTGCGATCCCTAATGATGATTTCTCACAGGCTACCAAGGCCCTGTACGAAAGGGAATTGGCCAAGGGCATCAGTGAGAACGAAGAGATCTTTACGAGCGAAGAGGCTGTGACTACTGCCTCACAGTCCCAATGGGCTGGTAAGCACCGTCCCCGAAAGCCACGGTACTTCAACCGCGTTCAAATGGGCTACGAGTGGAACAAGTACAATCAGACCCATTACGACCATGACAACCCGCCCCCGAAGGTTGTGCAGGGTTACAAGTTCAACATATTCTACCCCGACCTCATTGATAAAACCAAGGCCCCCACGTACCGCATTGAGCGTGAGGATGGTCGGAAGCGAGGGCAATCCTTTGCAGAGGCTGGAGAAGAGGACACTTGCTTGATCCGATTTGTGGCTGGAGCCCCTTATGAAGATATCGCCTTTCGCATTGTCGATAAGGAATGGGACTATAGTGCGAAGCGCGAACGAGGGTTCAAGAGTACATTTGACAAGGTGAGTGTTCTGTCTCCCAATACTCCAGGCTCGAAAGTGTCATTTCTGACCTCTTTTTCTCTTTGTCATACAGGGCATTCTTCAACTCCATTTCCAGTTCAAGAGGGTAAGTGGCTTCGATTCCTAAGACATCTCGGAGGCTTGAAGAATTTCCATCCGCAAGAATATCACTAACATTGTCTTAGATCTATTACCGGAAGTAACACGGGAACAGTCATGGCCACATGGTCATTATATCGGGAAGAGGGCAAGTGGATACTGGGTTGTTGTGGTGTATGCAAGATGAAGATTCGGGGCGTATTTTCCAGAGCGCTGACTCCCTATGAATCCAGCTCCCCAACGACTGATTGGGCTGGAAACAATTTCCTTCCTCCTTTTTCCCTTCAAACATTCCATAAGCTTGCGATCTCTCCGCACTGTCCACATGTGGATCCCTATATCAAATGCTTAATGCGACCACCTATTGACCTTCCGAAGCTCCCGTTGTTTCTGCAACCTTGAAAATCTCTTTGATGTTCTCCCCCGAGGAGGGAAAGGGGAGTACCCAGCAACCCCCCGCTCACAACCAGTACTTCGCCTCTCCGTCCCTCATGTGTGCCCCCTAGTGACGAGGATCAGCACTGTTTCTGCTTTGCGGAACGGCGGACGTTGAAAACTGTTCTGGTGACACCTTACTGGCCTGCAGCGTGCATGTCAATTCATGACATCCGGGTGGCTAGAAGCAGGCCAACCAGAAACACCCGCATTCCTGGACAAGACAGCAATTCCAGCGAAAAGGGTGCTTTTGTGCTGCTATCTTGGTTTTTTTTTCACTTCAATTTCTTGAACAGGCCTTTTCCAGAACGAGCCTCTGGTCTCGGTCTCAACTTCCAGAAAACCCGCGCCCGGGCCTCAAGACTGGGGCCGATGAATGGCGATAGCTTCTGCAAGTGCCCGCCACCAGCAGACCATCCCCCCCCCCCTCTTCTCTGCTCGACGCCGTCGGCCCCTTAAGCCCATTTGATGTCCCTCAAGCCTATCTACTACCCATTCAAGGCCTACCTGTACGCCTGCTGTAGCACTTGGTTGACCCGCCTTGACCGTCTATGAGATCATTGGCCAACGTCTGTACTATGGAATTGCTGTTCCACAGCTGGGGGCATGTGGAAGAAGATATTCTCGTAATGCAAAAGACTGCAGTATGCAGTAGATTGAGGCTAGCTATCTGTAGCATTCTACTATTGTCCTCTTTCTTTCTCTCGTTCCCACTTCTTTTTTTTTTTCTTCTCTGCCCTCTTCAATCACTGGTCCCTCTTTCCTATTACTGCCTTGGTACTTCTTAAATCCTCCTAAAAAATCTACAGAGAAAAAAATTCCCTAGTCCTTGGCTTCAACGGTCTCTTGTTTGCTCTGCATGACAATCTGGCTATGTGCATCGAAAAGAGGCATGTGCCAAATGTGCTGGCCAAAAAATAATTCTACAGCTCCAATTTACTTGTCGTGTCTGGCGATGGGACATGAAAGTCACCCTGGTTACTTGTATGCTGGCACTTCCTCTATCATTCTCCACTTGAGATCGAACTCGTGAAGTCCCAACCCACCAACCCCCCAAATCTCAAACCCGGTTTCTCTTTCCATCAAAGTGCATGTTTCAAGCTTCTCACGCTTGCCTCATTCTGCCTCCTTCTCAAGTCTGAACATACCCCTCTCAGCACCTTATCTTACCCAGTCTCAGGGTCCCTTCCCATCCTTCCCTCGACACCATGGACCACTCCTTCACATACCCATACCACCATCCTCTGGCTCAGATGCCAACTGACCAGCGAGAGCACGAGCACCAACAACCTCGTGTCTCGGTACAAACGGGACTTTACCAGATGGTTCCCAGTGACAACAACCCCCACCCTTACCACCCCGGCCCCTCAGTCGAGAACTGGTCGGCATTCAGATCCAACCTGGCACCCGAAGCTTTGATCTCACTTCATCAGACAGGATTTAGTACCCCGTGGGGCGCCACGCCTCAGCAATATGATTTTGGTACTTCTTCTCTCACTGGCGTTACGGTGTCTGACACTTCTTATCTCGCGTCCTTCTATTCTTCCCCCCACGCCAACATGCACCCACTAAACAACTCCCACGCGCCGAGACGCAGTGAACATGATAATTCCACGAATTGGCAAACCGCACCTACCACTACCTCTCTTTTAAGTCAGCGACACATTGACAATTCCCTTTCATGCCCCGACACTCCTGAACAATCCAGCCGTTCAATGCGCGCAACACCTGCTTCACCACCTATCTCGATCTCCTCAAGTCAATCCCCAAGTCACTCTCGTGACAGTGGCAGCATGAGTCCTGCTCTTACTGTGCCCGAGGTTGATACCAGCTCGCCGCGTATTAGCCTCGGAGACTCCAGTGATCAAGATCAGAATGGTGGACCGCCATACTCCCGTCTTATCTGGGAAGCTCTCATGTCCACCGAGGAGAAGATGTTGCCTCTTCAAGGCATTTACCAGTGGTTCGAGAAGAACACGAACAAGGGCGGCAACGAGGAATCGAAGGGATGGCAGAATAGCATTCGACACAACCTTTCAATGAACGCAGTATGTGTGCCCTCCACTTCTCCACCATTGCCCGGCAACCAAGCTAATACTACACAGGGATTCGAAGCCATCAAGGTCGAGACCCCAGGCAAGAAGCCAGCAAATTACTGGCGCCTAACCAAGGAAGCTATTCAAAACGGTGGTGTTCAATCCACAACCCGGTATCGCAAAATGAGCGCCAAGAAGGCTCTAAGCTCAGATCCCGACCCTCGTCGTCAGCGACCAGGGTCTCGGGGTGGAAAGAAGATTCCTGGTGTTATGCGCCACGCTATCGAAGACCAGAAGGAGTCCTCTTACCCTTACCCTCGATTGATGTTACATCAACGAAATGTCCGACAGAACAGATCTCCTCCCCTCCAGGCCCGATCTCAGCCTCAACATCTCCCTCAACCTCAGCCTCCCACCGATATCCAGCACTTCCAAAACTACAACAACCCATCCATGCCTACGCCATCTGTTGGACTGCCGCAATACGCGGAATTAAACATGCCGAATGGGCTATCAAATGGTGCATCCAATGACCTACCCAATGGTCAAGTACCAAATGGCCTACCGAATGACCTGCCTGAGATGACCTACCACTGGCGACGTTTCGACCTCAGCAGCGTTATTGGCACCACAACCCCTCCACCCAACAACATGGTGTTCTGTGATACAGCGGAAGGAGGCCCGGCAGTGCTGCATTCGTCGGGCCCTGGGTTGGTATAACTCAGACTCAGGGGTCCAATCATGATGGACTGATGACAGGTCCTCCCCGAAAGTACATTTGATCATCAGCAGCTTGAAAAGCAAGTCACCCATCGGAGCTTGTTCTTATTCTGAAAGGCGGGGATAGAACGCAACCTCGCAGGACCGAAAAACAGAAGTGGGAGGTTGGTGTGGGTTGATGGCCATAGTTCGAGTTGGTGGCGGAGAAGTGGGTGGGCTGTCGCTGACTGCATAATGGTTTTTCCCCCTTTAATGATCTGTTCTACCCTTCTTATTTTGTGAAATATTTTCTTTGATTTTTCTTGGGATTTTTTTTTTGATCTTGTTCTCTTTGGGCGGGGCTTTCACGATCTAGCCCTATGGAGCTGGAATTTAACTAGAGGAAATTGGTTGCATTTGTTGCATCACTCGTGCATTTGATAGTCGGGGATTATTGTTGGGGCATTGGGAGGACTTTTGGTGTTCAAAAGGAGCAGTGTCATCTTGCAGAGCGGACTTTTGCTGGCTGTCTAGGCCCACGAGGCTAAGATTGCGCCACATTGGGATTTCTTTGCTTTTTTTTCGTTTTCTTGCTGGGTTGGATGCAGGCAGGTTGAAGTGTACCATAGGCCGATGGTTCGCCGGGCCAGGCGGACTGGAAAATTTAGGCTGGAGAACCGAGATCCATCTATTCGTGCCCTTTCCTCGATTCCCGAGTATCAAGATCTGTCATGGCAGCATGGCTACGAGCTATAGATAGTTTTCTTAGTTTCCAAGTACGGGGCGGCCCGCCGCAAAGCCCAAACTCTCGGTCTCGGATCCACTCCGTTAAGCATATCGAAATTGAGTACAGTATACTACCGACCATGTCGCGTTATCATGACCTTCATAAGCGACAAGGCTCCTCGTAGCATGTCCAGACTAGCGGTAACAGTCCCTGCTCCATTGTCCCGTGCGTGTTAGGGCCCATTCCATATTATTCCTAGTTTCTATATTTTACCTGCATTCAAGCCTTGCTAGCAGCCTACATAAGAAATAGAAGCCATCAGCGTCTTTTCGCCCAAATTATTCCACTACAGGTAAGTGCAAATCCGTTAGCTACTGACCGTAGCGTTGGGGGGCCTGCCAACCCCCACCATCTTTTAGTCTTTCCCCCCAATGAGGAACCACCGCCGATACACCTCCTCCTTTCTTTCTCGTTCTTAAGCTCAGTCTTATTGACAAGCCTGCAGCTTCCCTTCCTTCGGGTGACGCGGACAGGGTCTTGGCACCGTCCGGATTTACTAACCTATTTCACTTGATTAGTGCGATACTGCCAGATTGCAGACATCTGACTCTTGCTTTTCTTAGCTCTTTTCCCCGCTTAATATCCTTAGCTCATCGGGGTTGAGATCTCTATAGATCTAGTGGATGGACTAGATCTATACTTGGGGCATGTTTGAAGCAGACTATGATGTCCTCGATAAGGAATGCTATTCCATACTCGGTTGCTTGACGCAGCGTGCAGTATGATAGTGGAGCAGAGATTGACCGGATCATATGGAAAAGTATGGCGATCGCAGCCAAAAGTACTTTGGATCTGTCATGACGATCTATAACTCCCACCGTCGATAATGACGCAGGTTCGAGCTCATCGTCCTACCGTTTAGCGTCACGAATGGCTCGTGTGATCAGATTGGCGGTGGCAATGGCGACTGGATGGGATGGCGTTACCTATTGTAGACCTAGATTGGAATACGAGATGTTCATGAACGGTAGTGTCAAGCCATCCATGACGTGAAGCAGATCAAGAGTCGCTGACAGGGGCTAGGAGGGACAGGAGGTGGAGATGGAAGCAGGGATTGTATGACAATATTGGCCCAGGATCAAGTTGAATTGGTCTCCGGCTAAATTACCATTTACAGTGGTTTCTCAGGTGATAGAGTTGTCTTCCATTCCTCCCTCGGTTATTGTAGAAGCTCTTTCTATCTGCTAATAATACCTCCATAAACCTACCCAGGGATGTGCTACCTCTAGTATTTTCCGGAGACGTTGGGTGCGTCGGGAGACTATCTGTGCCACCATGTATACTCCGTTATTTCGTCGCAGGTGACAGCCGCATGTTCCTCTCCGGTTCCTCAAGCACCCGAGCGCGGCCTTCCTGGTACATTCCCGTTTATTCACTTGTCACGGGTCGTGTCCGTCCCATTGAGCTTGTAACCTATCAAGGACCCAACCAGGGAATTCCAAGGACACCTGCAGGTCGCTGTTAATCAACCCAAATTTTCTTTTTAATGTCCTTCTTATCATAATCTCGTACTAAAGAGAATTCATATTGCTCTGGGGACAAAAATCCATTCCCCTTCGTTTTCAGCTTCGTATCCTATCATTCTCGGGATTTGATAAACCGTAAATTTGAAGAGCTTTGAATCTCTACTACAGCACGTAATCATACTGTATGTACTTGCTCCTGTGGAGAGATCGCCAAAGACTTGCGGTGGCTCCACGGATGTACATCCGTAGTGTATCGGAGAGTGGGGGCAAAATCTGGCGTTTAGAGGCTGTGAGCGTTTCCCGGGGATTAAGGATCCTATTTTTTTTTTTTTTTTTTTTTTTTTTTTTGGAATACATCGTCAATGGGATTTGATCAGTGTCATAGCTTGTCCTTAAATCTGGGATCGCCCAAGCTCGAGCCGGTTTCTTATTAATGGGACATGTCTGGGACCAATGATGATATTTACCTGGGGAATAGTATGAGAACATGACCGGGATCAAAACAGCTGTAAGTGGAATCTCGTTCTCGTACATATGTAGGTGGAAGCCAGCATCAATAGCCTAGCGGTCGGTGTTATTAACCCCCGCCACTGGCGCCCAAACGATCACAGTGTAGTTGTCGGAATAGCATCCACCTCCCCAGCCGGATCTAGTCCACTCTAAGAAAATCATCTCGATATGTGATCTATCAGATCCTACGCCGGTTTATAGAGGCGAGAAATAGCATGAACTCCTCAGGATCATCGGTTCTCCAATTCAATGCCAAACGATGAAAATGGTTCGCCGCAATATCTATCCAGCTGTTGAGTGGCTAGTGGGGATAATTTTACTTTCAAGCTGAAGGACTGTGCGACCTATCACCATGCAAGACTTTGAAGGCGCAGAGCTTTAGACACACCTGAGGCTTCATTTGTGCGGAAAAGATTTTTCAAAGAATTGGAGATGGGGCTTTCCTTCTCTCCTCTTTCCCTTTGTGGAGTATAGTAGGGCAAATTTACTTCCTTTTGGTTCTCGATCAGCTCATAGTGTAGCACGAGCCTCGTCTGTTGGACGCTTGCGGGATGGAACATGGAAGTCAGGAGGACAATAATGACACTGGCACTGTTTCAGCCGGCCGACAGATGCTAAAATTCCATTGTGGAGCCCCAGCCAGGTCACTGGAACGATGTGCCGCAGCTCCGAGACCTAGGAATAACTAAGTAGTTAGAACCGACTGACCGCTCCTCGGTATGGTTCATCTGAAGATTTTGCATAATTTAAACTATGCTGGTGTTAAAATGACAGCTGTAACGGAGTATGGAGAGCAAATCATAGAGCGGGAAGCCATTGCCGATCTGGGTCGGCAGTCATTTTTAATCGATTTATTGGCCAGTCGTTAAAGGGTTCAGGGGATTGGGAGAGAAATACGAAGGTTCATCGGCTGCCACGTCGAGGACATGTGCACTTGCATTAGCTGCGGGGGATGGAAGTGAAGGGATCACTGTCCATTGGTGGCCTAGAGCAAGGATCTTTCTTGACTACGACGGAGATACAATATAGTAGGCCACACTAGGTGACACGCACTGAAGTCCTGCTTCTACTGATTTATGTCTTACGTAGACAATGATCTTTCTCTCTGTGTGTACTGTATCTGCTGTAGGGTCCATCTCTGTGCGCCTTCTTCAAAACAACTTTGAGTTTGGATCTCGTGCTTGATACTTCCGGCCGGCCATATAACCTTAAAGTGAAAAGTTAGACTTTGATAGTTACATAATCTCGTGACAGCCAGAATCTCCTCTTCTGAAAAGCTGGTCGCCTTCCTGCCTTTGTTTTGGACCTTTTGTTATCGTCTGTTTCTTTTTCTTTTCTATGCTGCAAGCCCCCTCAAACTCTACTGACTGGTATCTGCAGCCTTAGCAGGCTCGCATGGCAAAGGTACGTAGTTCAGTACTATAACCCGGGTGAACTCTTACCTAGACTAGCCCTTGGGGGACTCGGATCACCAAGCTACCCTAAAGAAGCTCAGGCTATCAGGCCTGTGAGTGGTGCTGCACAGCGAAGGGTCGGGAGTTCATGGAGAATCAATAGGTCCACGATAAAGTTGTGGCGTCGTAGTGCACTTTCCCAGTCCGCTCCCGATATATAGTCGAGGACACGTTAGGCTGGATGGCCTTAGATAGGCAAGTTCTTTCCAAAAGTACAAAGTACCACGAGATGCATCAAGATTGGGAATGGACTATCGGAAGTGGCACCAACTCATGCCAGATCAGATCCCGATCTCTTGAGTCAGGACACGAGTGCCACACATAGGTGGCGGATACCGTAGCTCGGAGATCTGGAGATGGGGAGGAATTCCAGGACCCCTCTTCATCCCCACGAGGAGAAAACCTTGCCTGGCTTAAACGGAGTCATTGATTATCAAGTTATTCCTTCACCGTCAAAGTCACTTCCCAAGGAACAGCCCGTTGGAATGGTCGCTTCTATGACATCGACAATATGACAGCTGCACAACCACGTCAGGCATCCCTTGGACATTGTACCTACATCCGGTGCTACTATAGTAGGTCGGCTGAACCCTTGAAGAATCGAATATCTACGGATAATAGAGCCTAGGGCAATGAAGCGGTCACCAGGGGCCCAGGATCGATCCCGGAAAAGATTTTCTCAGGCCCACTATCCGGGTATAGTTCGCTGCACTTCCTCGTCCGGATTCAAATTCACGGCCGACGTCGGAATCGTGGAGGTCGCCAACTCGATAGATTGGATCAATCCATAGCCCTGACAGCCTGACGGGCCCAGTTCAGTCCTGGCCTATACCTCCGAGTTCCATATACACTCCCTTTGTTCGCTTCGCCTTTCCAGCCCGGTGGAATCATCCGTACCTTTGACATACTCTGCAACTCGGGGTGAATTCGACGTTGCTACTACGCTGGCTGATTCTCGGTCAACTGCGTAGACAAGGGTGTCGATTTTACATTACGGGTTGCGGTGTGATGGTGACGGTTACTAGGGACCATTGTGCCTTCCTCGACCAGGAATTGGCGTCTGATTGACGTGGTGATGGTGTAGACCGCTAGAATGAGCGCTGGACTGTGAGGCTGGTGTGCAAGGGAACATATGCAAATATCGAGGAAGAGCTGCAGTAAGATCGTGTCGGGCCTTGAGGATGTCATGATCAAGCAGGGCAATTAGGAAAGAAGCCATTGGCGTTGGCGATTGAGATGGGTGGAATTGGTGAAGACGTAGGTTGCTCAAAATGCCTCTACGGGAGGGCTTCATCTACATTCTATAGGCGTGAAGGAGGAGTCAAATGGGTGAGAAAACCGGGATAAGCAGTATCTCGGAAGACAACCTTCGTAGAACCAACGACACACAATTGAGAAACAATCGCAGTGCCAGAATACACCAACAACAGAATCAAGTTGAACACATTTCGTAGGAATCTCATGAAGGTAATAAGGTTGGGTTTCATTTGCTTAGCCACGGCCCAGATATGGCTGGACTCGCGTGCTAGCGGTTCCTGTTCATCCTTTTTTAGATTCTAAGAGAACCGTTCCCGTTTTTCCATAACGTTCGCTCCCCAAAAGACCAACACCGACGAAAACAGACGTTGCTTAGCGCTTGCCAGCAGCCTTCTCCTGGGACTCCTTGAGGACCTTCTTGACGATCTTCTGCTCCTCAATCAGGAAAGCGCGGACGATGCGGTCCTTGACGCAGCCGGCGCAGCGGGAACCACCGTAGGCACGGCTGACGTTCTTCTTGGGGCGGGAGATCTGAGCATACTCGCGGGGGCGGAGAGCGGGGACCTAGAGGCGAAAATGGTCAATTCATACGGTTCTGTGCAAGAACGAGGCGAAATGCGGCATTGAGTAAGGTTGTAGTGGTTTGGTCGACTTTCGGACACACGCCAATCCATCCGGGAAAGAGTTTTTTCAGTGCCCTTCACCCGGTTCCTCGACGGTCGCTTTCCACACACACAACCCCACACAAAACCACACCACGTCGATAAAAAATTCGTTCAGGAAGCACTCACACCGGGGAGCTTGATGCCACAGTCACCGCACTTGGGAGCGGTACCCTTCTTCTTCAGGTGAAGGTACCGGAGCTCACCACCAGGGGTCTTGATGATGCGAACCTTGTTGGACCGCGTGTTGTACCTGTAAAGCGAGAGAATTCGTCAGAATGCCGTTCGAAAACCATCCAGTTATGCCACTAGTCAATCCTGATCGTAGCGAATATCGATTCAAGCGTAGAGAAGGCATTGTGCGAGGCAAGGGAATTTTTTCATCGAACGTACGGGTTCCGGCGGCGCTGCAGGACGGGGATCACAGTCAGTATTTTCGATCGAGTTCGTTTCATCGCAGACGAAGCAACTCACGTATTGCAGTCTGTTGTTAGGCATTTTGGCGTGCTTGAACCTCTGCTATGGTCAAGAGCGGCGGTTGTCGTTCGTCGGGTTGTAGACGGTAAAATGTCCAGAGCGGACGGATTTGTGTGGGTTTCGCTCTAGCGCACTTTTGGCGAGTCCACGCTAACCCAGATTGAGACTAGCGCCATCCAGACAGCCGCCACCTCAAACTTCGAGCGAAAGGAGCAAGTTTCATCCAGCAGAGGATCACCGGTTGTTGGTGTTCTTTTCCATCGATCTGCTTGATTTTACCTATTCTACGAGCTTGCGACAAGCGTCCTTTACCCCATACACCAACAATCGCGCCCCGAGTCGATGATTCTTGACGTGATCTGGACGCGACTCTGAGCCCAACTCACGTCTAAGGGAGGGTGGGTGTACTCCCCCCATCAACAACCACCATCATGGCATCTTTGCCTCCTCCCCCTCCTCCAGGATGGGGCGCAGCTCCTCCATCCATGACGATGGCACCGCCGCCTCCTGGTTACCAGCCGCCGGCCGATCCGAACGTCGCAAAATTTGCGCAGAAGAAGCATGAGTGGTTGCGCACGCAACGCAGTCGCTTCGGCGAGAAGCGAAAGGCTGGATTTGTCGAGACACAGAAGGCGGACATGCCGCCAGAGCATCTGCGGAAGATTGTTAAGGATATTGGCGATGTTTCGCAACGGAAGTTCACCAACGAGAAGCGCAGCTATCTCGGCGCGTTGAAGTTCATGCCTCATGCTGTCCTGAAGCTGCTAGAGAACATGCCGATGCCTTGGGAGTCAGCTCGTGAAGTGAAGGTCCTGTACCATGTCAACGGCTGCTTGACCATCGTGAACGAGACCCCGCGCGTCATCGAGCCGGTTTTCCATGCCCAGTGGGCTACCATGTGGATGTGCATGCGCCGCGAGAAAAGTGATCGACGCCACTTCAAGCGAATGCGCTTCCCTCCATTCGATGACGAAGAGCCTCCCCTTTCCTGGTCAGAGAACATTGAGGATGTCGAGCCTTTGGAACCCATTCAAATGGAGCTCGATGAGGACGAAGACGGAGCCGTTTCCGAGTGGTTCTACGACCACCGACCCCTTCTTGATACCCCCCACGTAAATGGTCCTAGTTACAAGACATGGAATTTGTCGCTGCCGCAGATGGCTACTCTTCATCGTCTGAGCCACCAGCTGCTCAGTGATGTCGTGGACGAAAACTACTTCCACATGTTCGATCTCAACAGCTTCTTCACAGCAAAGGCCCTGAACGTTGCCATCCCCGGTGGTCCCCGCTTCGAGCCCTTGTACAAGGACATTGACCCTAACGACGAGGATTTCAGCGAATTCAACGCAATCGACCGCATTATTTTCCGTGCCCCGATCCGAACCGAATATCGCGTGACCTTCCCTTTCTTGTATAATACCCTTCCCCGCAGCGTCAAGGTTGCCTGGTACTCTCACCCCCAGGTGGTCTACGTTCGCACCGAGGATCACAATCTTCCCGCGTTCTATTTCGACCCTGTCATTAATCCTATTTCCTCCCGCTCCGTCGCTCCGAAGAACATTACCGTTAGTCACGAGGATGAGATCTTTGGTCCTGGCAACGACGAAGATGAATTCGAACTTCCTAGAGAGGTCGAGCCGTTCTTTGACGATGAGGAGCTGTACACACCTGATACTTCGTCTGCGATTGCTCTGTGGTGGGCCCCTCATCCCTTCGATAAGCGGTCCGGAAAGATGGTTCGTGCTCAGGATGTGCCGCTGGTCAAACAGTGGTATCTGGAGCACTGCCCTCAGGGTCAACCTGTCAAGGTTCGCGTCTCGTACCAGAAGCTGCTCAAGACCTACGTGCTTAATGAGCTGCACAAGAGCAAGCCGAAGGCTCAGAGCAAGCAGAACTTGCTGAAGACCTTGAAGACGACGAAGTTCTTCCAGCAGACCACTATTGACTGGGTTGAGGCCGGTTTGCAAGTCTGCCGCCAAGGTTTCAACATGCTGAACTTGTTGATTCACCGGAAGAACTTGACCTACCTGCACCTTGACTACAATTTCAACTTGAAGCCAGTTAAGACTTTGACTACCAAGGAGCGAAAGAAGTCTCGCTTTGGAAATGCTTTCCATCTGATGCGTGAAATTCTCCGCTTGACCAAGTTGATCGTCGATGCCCAGGTCCAATACCGCCTCGGCAACATTGATGCCTTCCAGCTGGCTGATGGTATCCTGTATGCTTTCAACCACGTCGGTCAGCTCACCGGTATGTATCGGTACAAGTACAAGTTGATGCATCAGATTCGTTCTTGCAAGGATTTGAAGCACTTGATTTACTACCGCTTCAACTCTGGTCCTGTCGGCAAGGGTCCTGGTTGCGGTTTCTGGGCTCCCGCCTGGCGCGTTTGGCTGTTTTTCATGCGTGGTATCATCCCTCTGCTCGAGAGATGGCTTGGAAACCTGCTCTCTCGTCAGTTCGAGGGTCGTCACAGCAAGGGTGTGGCCAAGACTGTTACTAAGCAGCGTGTGGAGTCCCACTTCGATCTGGAACTGCGTGCCTCCGTCATGGCGGATCTTATGGATATGATGCCCGAGGGTATCAAGCAGAACAAGGTTAATGTCGTGCTGCAACATCTGTCCGAAGCTTGGAGATGCTGGAAGAGTAACATTCCTTGGAAGGTTCCTGGCCTGCCCGCGCCCATCGAGAACATCATTCTTCGATACGTGAAGAGCAAGGCTGACTGGTGGATTTCTGTCGCGCACTACAACCGTGAGCGAATTCGCCGTGGTGCTACCGTCGATAAGACCGTAGCAAAGAAGAACCTGGGTCGTCTCACTCGACTCTGGCTCAAGTCCGAACAAGAGCGCCAGCACAACTATCTGAAGGACGGTCCCTATGTGTCGTCCGAGGAAGCTGTGGCTATCTACACCACGATGGTCCACTGGCTTGAGTCTCGCAAGTTTTCGCCCATTCCTTTCCCCAGTGTCTCATATAAGCATGACACCAAGATTCTCATCCTGGCCCTGGAGCGCCTTCGCGAGTCTTACTCTGTGAAGGGCCGTCTCAACCAGAGCCAACGTGAGGAGCTTGCCTTGATCGAGCAGGCCTATGACTCCCCTGGTACTACCCTTGCCAGAATCAAGCGCTTCCTCCTGACCCAACGTGCTTTTAAGGAGGTTGGCATTGACATGAACGACAACTATAACAACATCAACCCTGTCTACGACATTGAGCCTATCGAGAAGATCACCGATGCCTACCTGGACCAATACCTGTGGTACCAGGCTGAGCAGCGCCACCTCTTCCCTGCATGGATCAAGCCCTCCGACTCTGAGGTGCCTCCGCTCTTGACCTACAAGTGGACCCAGGGTATCAACAATTTGTCGAATGTCTGGGAGACCGCTGATGGTGAGACTAACGTCATGATCGAGACCGAGCTTTCCAAGGTCTACGAAAAGATTGATCTCACTCTGTTGAACCGCATGCTCCGTCTCATCATGGACCACAACTTGGCGGACTACATTACCTCGAAGAACAACGTTCAGCTCAGCTACAAGGACATGAACCACACCAACAGCTACGGTCTGATCCGTGGTCTGCAGTTCTCTGGCTTCGTGTTCCAGTACTATGGTCTGATGATCGATCTGTTGCTTCTCGGCCTGCAGCGAGCCAGTGAGATGGCTGGACCTCCCCAGAGCCCCAATGACTTCTTGCAATTCCGTGACAAGGCTACTGAGACTCGCCACCCCATTCGTCTCTACACTCGTTACGTCGACAAGATCTGGGTCTTCTTCCGTTTCCAGGCGGATGAGTCGCGCGATCTGATTCAGCGATTCTTGACTGAAAACCCCGATCCCAACTTTGAGAACGTCATTGGATACAAGAACAAGAAATGCTGGCCTCGTGATTGTCGTATGCGCCTGATGCGTCACGATGTCAACCTCGGCCGTGCTGTCTTCTGGGACATGAAGAACCGTCTTCCTCGGTCCATCACCACCATTGACTGGGATGATACCTTTGCCAGTGTATACAGCAAGGACAACCCCAACTTGCTCTTCTCTATGAGCGGATTTGAAGTTCGTATTCTTCCCAAGATTCGCAACCAGAATGAAGAGTTTTCGGTCAAGGACAGTGTTTGGTCTCTGGTTGACAGCTCCACCAAGGAGCGAACTGCCCATGCATTCCTCCAGGTCACTGAGGAGGACGTCCAGAAGTTTAACAACCGTATTCGTCAAATTCTCATGTCCTCCGGATCGACAACCTTCACCAAGATTGCCAACAAGTGGAACACAGCACTCATTGCTCTCTTCACTTACTACCGTGAGGCTGCCGTGTCGACCGTCAACCTTCTCGACACCATCGTGAAATGTGAGACCAAGATCCAGACTCGTGTCAAGATCGGTCTGAACTCCAAGATGCCTTCCCGTTTCCCTCCTGCTGTCTTCTACACGCCCAAGGAGCTGGGAGGTCTGGGTATGATCTCTGGTTCCCACATCCTCATCCCCACCAGCGACAAGCGCTGGTCCAAGCAGACCGACACTGGCATTACTCACTTCCGCGCGGGTATGTCACATGACGAGGAAACCTTGATCCCCAACATCTTCCGATACATCATTCCCTGGGAGGCTGAGTTCATCGACTCCCAGCGTGTGTGGATGGAGTACTCGCAGAAGCGCATGGAGGCTCAGCAGCAGAACCGCCGTTTGACTCTTGAGGATCTCGAGGACAGCTGGGACCGTGGTCTTCCTCGCATCAACACTCTGTTCCAGAAGGACCGCAGCACCCTCAGCTTCGACAAGGGTTTCCGTCTCCGTGCTGAGTTCAAGCAGTACCAGTTGATGAAGAGCAATCCTTTCTGGTGGACCAGTCAGCGACATGACGGTAAACTCTGGAACCTGAACGCCTACAGAACCGATGTTATCCAAGCCCTGGGTGGTGTGGAAACTATTCTTGAGCACACACTCTTCAAGGCGACGGCATTCCCGTCCTGGGAGGGCCTATTCTGGGAGAGAGCTTGTCTTGCAAAGGGTACACGTTTGCTACGCTACGATGGCTCGGAGGTCAACGTTGAGGATGTTAAGGAGGGTGACCAGCTTCTGGGTCCGGACGGCCAGCCTCGCACTGCGTTCAATATCGTGAGTGGCGAGGAGCGTTTGTATCGCATCAAGCTTGGCGCCTCGAAGGAAGACCTTGTCGTCACACCAAACCACATTCTGGTGCTGCACCGCGAGAAGCGCGCACGGAATGTCTACGCTGGCCCCTCAATTCACGCGCATGCCGACCGATTCAGCGAGCAGTTTAGGGAACTGCCCGTTCCAAGCTCCAGCCCCGCGGCAGCCGATCGTCCCAACAACCTGGTCAAGCCGCGCGACAATCTTCTCGCAGCTCTGAAAAGCGCGATCGCGTGGGCGCTCCGCGCTGAGCGGAGTGCGGTTGGCGCAGCTGCCATCCGCAACGTGCTTAATGGTACCGTTGGCCTGAACACTCACGAAGAATGCTTCCAGGTCATCGGACCCTCTGAGCCGGGTGCCCCCAAGGTGAAGCCCGGCAAGAAGCCCTTTTTCACCTTTGCGTGGGGTAATGCGCAGCGCACCAACATCAAAGGTCACGAAGCGCATCCGCCTGTCTTTTTCGCCACTAGAGACGAAGCCTTCGCTGCAGCGGTTGCCAAATCGCGCGAGCTTCGCGCCCGATGCGACGTGACGCTTGCTAACCTCGGCGAGCGATTCCGCGCCAAGCTCGCGGAGCGCGACGGAAAGGGTGGAGAGATTCGTGTAGATGCAAACCTGCCGAATATCTTCTTGTTGTGGAACAAGGGTGGTGCGGCTCCGCGGATTCGCGTGTATTGCTCGCGTAACTACAAGAAATACGGACGACAGTACACCTTTGGTTCCATGCCGAGCGATGAGCATGAGCTTGGCGCGCAAGACTCGCAGCTTGGCGCGCAAAACGCAGAGTTTGTCACTGAGCTTCCCGAGGTCAACGCTGCGGAGCGGTACGATACTGTCGAGATGACGGCCGAAGAGTTCGCCGCGCTTTCTCCCGAGGAGCGTGGATGGTACCGTGTCTTCCGCTCACCCGGGTTTGAGTATCCCGAGCAGGAAGTCCCGGTGCACCCTTACTTCCTCGGTCTCTGGCTTGGCGATGGAAACCGCCGAAACACCGTCATCTACAGCAACCACGAGCAAGCTGTCCGCGAATTCCTCGTACAGCACGCCGCGGAGCTGGATCTCTACCTTGTGCACCACGGTGGGCTGTCCTACGCAACAGTCGCACGGCACAAGGGCCGCAGCGGTGTGTCGCAGGACGTTTCGCTCCCAGTTGCGCTGAAGGACGAAACAATCCGCCCGCCAGTCCGCCAAGCTCGCCAGACCATCCGCAAGCAACGCATGGAAGAAGCTCTGCATCACGCAAGCCCCTCGCCACCTCCCGCGCACGAGAAGCGTGGGCTACCTTCGAGCGTCGAGTCTACCCCGCGCCACAAGCGCCAAGTTCTCTCTGAGATACCGGAGACTCCGCCAGCCTGGCCTGAGACGCTTGATGACGCCGACGCGCCTCCCTCAGCGCAGCCCGCGCACAATGCTTCTGGTGCGCTTGGTTCGCTGCCTCCCGCGCTTGGCTCGCTACTCTCCGCATTCCGCCTTCCAACTTGCGCCCCAAGCGCATTGCCCGCAACGCAACTCGCTCATGCTGCACCCGGTGCATCAAGCTTGCTGCCTGAGTCCTCGAAGAAGCCCTTGTCCCGCTCCGTTTCGGCGCTCTCTGCTCGTTCTGCGTCGATAGCGCCAAGCTCATTGTCGCGCGCACCAAGCTCGCTGTCGCGCGAGGTCTTCGCCACTGATGCCGATCTGTTCGAAATCCCTGAATCTACAACTGATCAGCGCGGCGAAGTTGACGAGGATGAAGCTTGGGACTTCGAGTTCCCCACCGCGGCTGACGCAGATTGGACCGAGGCTGTCTCTCAGCTGGCTTCTGACTCCGAGATCATCGAGCTTGCCGAGCAGTCCGAGCAGCGGCTGCGCGGTGAAAGCATGGTGAAGGACGAGGAAGAAGAAGAGAAGCTAGATTTTGATCTGCTTCTCACAGATAGCGAGGACGAACAAAGTGAGGATGCGGAGTTTGCGCATGCGGAGATCGCGGATATCGGCGACCTCAAAGCTCGCCGGCGCAACCACCGCCTCCAAACTGGTCAGAGCGCGTACGGCGATCTTTCGCCCGACGAGCAGCACACACTGCTCCGCGAGGTAGTCACGCAAGCTGGTGGGGCATCATCGAACAGCTTGATGAAGGCACTGCGCAGCTTGGGGGTTGTCGCGCCAAGCCACGCCACGGGTCCAGAAGTTGACACCAAGCATATCCCGCAATCTTATCTGAAGAACTCGCGCGCTGTTCGTCTTGCGGTGCTCGCAGGTCTTATAGATAGCGATGGCTGGTATGTCTACCCAGAAAATATGCTGGGCTTCGCGCAAAGTGAAAAGTGGCACAAGAGGCTTTTCTGGGATGTGGTAGCACTTGCGCGGTCGCTTGGCCTTAGCGTATGGACCAAGCAGATAGAACAGTGGAACCCCCAGCGCACCAAGCGCACGCCGCAGCTTGTTGCGCAGATTTTCGGTAATGTCGCGGAAGTGCCTTGTCTCCTCGCGCGCAAAAGGGGCTGCGAGCGGTACATTCCGCAAATGCATAGCTTCATGATCAAGGACATCAGCTTGGAGCCCCATGAAACACAATGGGCTGGGTTCCGCGTGGATAAAGACCAACTGTATCTGCGTCACGACTACCTTGTTCTGCATAATTCCGGATTTGAAGAGGTCAGTATGCCCCGTCTTTTCCTTTTATTCTTCCTTTCCCCCTGTTTTTGTGTCGTCCTAGTGAAGCTTCTTTGAGTCTTCCTTTTGAAGCTTCTTTGATGCCTCTTTCTAGACATGTCACATGACCACTGAGATTACATAAGCTAACATCTTCTACCTTCCAGAGCATGAAATTCAAGAAACTCACCAACGCCCAGAGATCTGGTTTGAACCAGATCCCTAACCGTCGGTTCACCTTGTGGTGGTCCCCTACCATCAACCGCGCCAACGTCTATGTCGGTTTCCAGGTTCAGCTCGACTTGACCGGTATTTTCTTGCACGGCAAGATCCCCACTCTCAAGATCTCTCTGATCCAGATCTTCCGTGCCCATTTGTGGCAGAAGATTCACGAGTCCGTGGTCATGGATTTGTGTCAGGTGTTTGATCAGGAGTTGGAGCAGCTTGGCATTGAGGCTGTCCAGAAGGAGACAATCCACCCTCGTAAGTCTTACAAGATGAACAGCTCCTGCGCCGATATTCTGCTCTTCGCAACAAACAAGTGGAACGTCACGCGACCTTCGCTGTGCTTTGATACCAAGGACGTTTATGAGCCCACCACGACGAACAAGTTCTGGGTTGATGTGCAGCTGAGATACGGTGATTATGACTCTCACGACATCGAGCGTTATGTCCGTGCCAAGTATCTCGACTATACTACCGACAGCATGAGTATCTACCCATCGGCTACTGGTTTGATGATCGGTATTGACCTTGCCTACAACCTTTACTCTGCTTACGGTCAGTACTTCCCCGGTCTGAAGACCCTGATTCAGCAGGCCATGGCCAAGATCATGAAGGCCAACCCTGCCTTGTACGTTCTTCGTGAGCGTATTCGCAAGGGTCTCCAATTGTACGCCTCGGAGAGCAACCAGGAGTTCCTCAACTCCCAGAACTACTCCGAGCTTTTCAGTCCCCAGATTCAGCTATTCATTGATGACACCAATGTCTACCGTGTCACCATTCACAAGACCTTTGAGGGTAACTTGACCACCAAGCCCATCAACGGTGCTATCTTCATTTTCAACCCCCGCACTGGACAACTGTTCTTGAAGATCATCCACACTAGTGTCTGGGCTGGTCAGAAGCGTCTGGGTCAGCTTGCCAAGTGGAAGACAGCCGAAGAAGTTGCCGCTCTCATCCGATCTCTCCCTGTGGAAGAGCAACCGAAGCAGCTCATCGTTACACGTAAGGGTCTACTTGATCCTCTCGAGGTTCACCTACTCGACTTTCCCAACATCTCTATCCGTGCCTCGGAGCTTCAGCTACCTTTCCAGGCCGCCATGAAGGTCGAGAAGCTTGCTGATATGATTCTTCGGGCCACTGAGCCTCAGATGGTTCTGTTCAACCTCTACGATGAATGGCTCAAGTCCATTTCTCCGTACACTGCTTTCTCCCGTTTGATCTTGATCCTTCGTGCCCTTCATGTCAACATCGACAAGGCCAAGATCATCCTTCGACCCGACAAGAGTGTTATCACTCAAGAACACCACATCTGGCCCTCACTCTCCGACGAGGACTGGATCAAGGTCGAAGTCCAGCTTCGTGATCTTATCCTGAATGACTATGGCAAGAAGAACAATGTCAACGTGCAGAGTTTGACTAGCTCTGAAGTTCGGGATATTATCCTGGGTATGGAGATCAGTGCTCCTTCGCTGCAGCGTCAGCAGGCAGCCGAGATCGAGAAGCAGCAGGAAGAGGCCAAGCAATTGACTGCGGTCACAACCAAGACTCAGAACGTGCGCGGCGAGGACATCATCGTCACGACAACCTCGCAGTACGAACAGCAGTCCTTTGCCTCAAAGACCGAATGGCGTACTCGTGCCATCGCGACTTCGAACTTGCGGACCAGGTCCAACAACATCTATGTCTCTTCGGACGACATCCGTGATGATGGCTACACCTACATCATGCCGAAGAACATTCTCAAGCGGTTCATCACCATCGCTGATCTTCGTGTCCAGGTTACCGGCTACATCTACGGTAGCTCACCCCCTGACAACGATCAGGTCAAGGAGGTCCGCACGATTGTCATGGTCCCTCAAGTTGGAAACACCCGGGATGTTCAACTGCCGAACCAGTTGCCTCAGCATGACTACCTGAACGGTCTGGAGCCGCTGGGTGTCATTCACACTGTCTCGGGCAACGAGCCACCCTACATGTCGGCGGCAGATGTAACGCAGCACGCTCGTCTGATGAACTCCCACCCTTCGTGGGATAAGAAGACTGTGACCATGACCGTGTCCTTCACTCCTGGCTCCGTCTCGCTTTCCGCCTGGGGTCTGACTCCTGATGGCTACAAGTGGGGTGCTGAGAACAAGGACATGAGCTCGGACCAGCCGCAAGGCTTCTCAACCAGCATGGGTGAAAAGTGCCAGCTGTTGCTGAGTGACCGTATCCGTGGTTACTTCCTGGTTCCCGAAGACAACCTGTGGAACTACAGCTTCATGGGAAGTTCGTTCGGCAGTGTCGAGAAGCGACCTATCTACGTCAAGATCGATACTCCGCTCCGCTTCTACGATGACCAGCACCGCCCTCTACACTTCCAGAACTTTGCTGAGTTGGAGGATATCTGGGTTGATCGGACGGACAACTTTGAGTAAGGGATGCCTCTCATCCATCATGGTTTTCACGGGTCTAGGTGGGCGTTTTAAAAAGCCATGCTTCACATTCAAGTTTCCGGGCGTCTCTCTCTTTGTATTATTTATGTATCTTGCCAACCTGTTTTGTGTATGATGACTATCATAATTTATGTATTTCAAGCGAAGTTTTAACTCAACAAGCAATGAATGCCCCTTGTATTCAAATTCACATGTTCTTAACGGCGATTCAAAGGTAATGGAAGTATATGAAACCTGATAGGCTCCATTTAAAGACACCTAAATGTAGGTCCCGTTGAAATTGAAAAGGTGTTCCGGCCTCATCGCCCGTAGGGTCATAGGCTCGGAAGAGGCAAATGTCTGCCCATTCCACCCAAGTATTGTCACTCTCCATTGGGATTTAACGTTCATAGCCTTCACTATTGAAGATTAACCCTAGAGACACGTAGTGCTACTCATGATCTCAAGCTAGGGCGGATCATTTCCATGGATAAGCCTTCTACTAGAGATAGTTGGTCACTCGACAGTCTTCCTAATGGGCACTAAGCCTCACGAAATTCTTCCGCACGCCCTGCACATAAGTAGCCCTTGTCTTAGCTAGCTTGATATAGGAGGTCCGAGAGACTATGGCCTCTCACGTTAATCAACCTGGTCACACTCCACGAGTCGAAACCTTGACCAAACCTCAACACCATGTCACCAGCCACGAGTTCAAGATAGACCAGGAGACGATCTATGTGCCATCACGAAAGACAAGTTAGAATACATTTAGAGGGACCTTTCAAAAGAGAAGAGTCGAAGTTTCTCAGGTCAGACTCTTGAACTACTACTAATGTACCAGGCTGTGCACGCGGGTAGACTAGGCGTAGACGGCCATTTAAGGATATGGCTTGCAACAAGCTCATTGGCCCAAGAAGGTATAGAATCCAAAAAAGACTTGCAAAAATGGATCCACGCAAACATGAGCTTGATAGCAAGGTGTCCAAGCACAGTGTCCCGGTTACATTTTCCTCTTGCATCCAGTCCAACCCACTTCGGCAAGAGAAGCCCACAGTCCATAACTTATTATGTGCCAGGTTAGTCATCTTCTATTTTGATAATAAAAATTCGCTGATTGACGGAAGACTTATACGAGAGGTGGGTATGAGGCTGGTCAAAAGACGGTTGACATTGAAATGCAGAATTTTGATCACAGGGCAACTACCCGACAGCGCGGTTCGTGTCTCTTCATCCTTCGCACCACCACTCAACGCCAACACCTCAAATGAGGGTTCCATGATCTCCGACGATCATACTATGAGGTGATTGCGCGCTTAAGGCCACAAAGAAAGCGGGTCATCGGGTTTTACGCCACCAGCATCCTCGGCCGGTTGCCTAACCCTGGCTCTCATGCGTGAGCTGGCGTTGACAATCACAAAAGGGTGATATCCCGGCAGACCCAAGAGGGCGTTCCTCTCATGCACGAAGCAAATCCCCAGCACGTCAACGCATTGTCACCCCCATGCTACGCGAGGCCACCGAGACTATTGAGCAGGGGTCTGCTCCAATGGCCTATGAAGGCGCATGGGAAAGGCAACCCTCCAACATGGCCAATACTACGAAAGAAACGAGACAAGGGCCAAGATATGGGCCGCATACTTACTCCATTCGCACCTTCAGAGCACATCGGTCACATCCCGGATCTTCCCTCTGCCTGTGGGGGGCTCCGCTCACCTATTTCAGGTGAAAAATGCGATTTGATAGTTACTTTCGACGGTCCTTGCCAATCAAGCATGGTCATGACTCATGAGTCCATTGTTCCCGACTCGCCTTGACGATGGTTATCGTTGGGTGTTTCGGATAGGGGCTCTTCAAGTGTTCTGCCCCGCTGCTGACCAACACTGTTGTCAAAAGAACACACACCCGAAAAGAAAGCAAGACAAAGACCAGACTGACCAAGAGAATTGACGGGGCTGCCAGATTCATTGTTTCACCCCCTGTCGCATCCTCTTCGGCTTTCTATGGGGCTGCTGTGATTGACCCTCGCAGGCTCGCATCCCCTTGGCGCTCCTGGACAGGCCCGCTCAAGGGCGTATAGTTCCACCAGCTTGCTTCTTTGGCTAATCCCAGGCAGTAGCTATTGGCCGAGCCCTGTCAAATCCCACACATGCTACGCCCTCCTCAACACGGAGAACTAGCAGGGGTCTATCACCCGGCGAATGGAACCCCTGTCGGGGACGGTCCGCTTGCCCCCCGAAGTCAATCTGACGGGCGTTCCCTCGCCCTTCGGCTCTTGTCGGGTTGTTGGTAATCCGGTTGACCATGTCCTCCTTGATCCTGGTGCAGCGGTTTACACCAGAACATTCCCTATTCCGTCAGCCCAACAACCCGTCTCCTTCTCGTTTATTCCCGTGGGGGACCAGTGGTCATAACAGGCGAGAGACCCCTATCTATAGTATAACGGTCTTTTAGGGAGGCCCTGGATAAGAGGGGATTACATTTATTGGTAGAAACAAAAAAGCCGCGCGCTTTGAACCATCTTTGATATTGATTCCAATCAAGTCGTCCCTGCTGGCGACATACATCTTGTTTCCATTCCTTTCAATTGGAAGACTGGCCAATTCAACCCTGGTCACGCACGACCCTGCTGATGAACTTTGCTTGCGCTGGATCTTCTCATCCAGCCCGCCATGCAAAACCTCCCCGAGGCCAGACGTGTCCTCGGTGAAGACATTATATATGCGACTTCATCCGCAGGCTGCATTTCCCATTCTTCCCTAATCCAGATGTCGCAAACTTGCCTCTTTGTTCTCCCCCAGTATGCTTTTTCAGTCCATTGGGCTTCGAGTCCTTCTATCCCACTGATATTGGGAAATACTGGATCCACGGCCCCTTTTCAATCGGATTTATCCCTATCTGGCCTTTGAGGACCGACTATACCCTTCTTCTTTTCTCCACCTATCTTCATTACTCGCTTCTTATGTGAGAGCCTGGGACGCTTAGCCGTCCCTCGTCCCTTTCCGGGAGCGACAATTAGCTGATTTTGGGCCGTCACCTCTAACAAGAAGAGTCACCAGCCGGGGTTCCTCCTGGCAAGGTCGATGCATGTCTGTATCACTAGCGGACCCGTATCGAGGCTTTGCGATCAACTTTCCTCATGCTGACAAGCCTGATGATCATGATCTGATTGCCTACGATGCTCGAAACAAGTTGGACGGGCTTTCTTTCCACTCCGACAGCTCTCATCCTCCCTATGGCCCACGCCATCATGCGGTGGCACCCCTGCTGCCTCATCCTGCGCCACAGACCAACGGCTATCATGACCCGCAGTCAAGCTATGTCCACTCACATCAAATGCTCCCACCTCCATCGCACTACGGTTACGAACTCACGCCTCCCCATGATACTGGGAAGCGAAAGCGCTCTGGATCTAACGGCGAAGCAGACGATAATCGACACATGGACCACACTTATGAATCTCGAGAGCCCCTCCCAGCGCTGTCTATTGATGGCTCGACTGTTACCGATCAATCAGATAGTGGATTGTTCACCAGCCACTCCGACCCTTCTACATCGCTCCCGGCCTCGGCACATGGATACGCACCTCCAATTTCTCTTCCAGTTCCACATCAGCATCACCACCACCGACTTCCCGCCCAGCTACTGAGTGCTCATGATACGTCGCCTACAGCATCCGGTGGTCCTCCAAGTGTAGTAGGCCAGCCGGGGATGCCCGAACCTGCACCTAGACCCCGAGGTCCTAAGCTCAAATTCACGCCTGAGGAGGATGCGTTACTGGTGGATTTGAAAGAGGAAAAGAATCTGACATGGAAGCAAATTGCGGACTTCTTCCCGGGTCGAACAAGTGGGACATTGCAAGTGAGGTATTGCACGAAATTGAAGGCTAAGGATGTGGTCTGGACCGATGAGATGGTGAGCACTCTCCTCCTGACTGGTTATCTCACGGAATACAACTCGCTAACTTCACCAGCTATCACGACTTCAACGCGCAATGAGCGACTACGAGCATGACAAGTGGCGGATTATTGCTGGGAAGGTCGGAAATGGGTTTACACCAGCGGCATGTCGTGAGCGAGCTGCACATCTCCAGCCGTATGAGTCAGTGGAGGGGTTGAGGCAGGGCCACGATATTCATAGGGCTCGGGATTCTCAGGATGTCGATGCCCACGCGTCGATTCATAGTGATGATACTCTATGATTTTGGTGTTCGAAGGAGGCTGTGAAATAGATTTCCTTTACCATACTATAGTATTATTCCGCTTCGTATACCGGGGGGGGGAAGAAGTACAGTGATTCTACTTTATCAAGTCTCAAAATGGAAAAACGAAGTACAGGGCGGTAGGAATACCTCTGTCATTCCAAAGAGTCAGAGTATTACCGAGTAATAATTAGCTTTCTATCACCGCATACGCCGCTTTCTTCTCCCATCATCGTCTGTTTTCTCTTAAGATGGCCCTGTAGAAAGGCCGACCTACAGCCCCAAGGATGATAATTAGCTCAAACCCCCCAGAATATAGGAAGCAACATTTCAAGCATACCTTTGTTCAGAGAAAGCAGCTTCTTCTCATGAGGACCCAATACCTCCTCCAGCAAAATCACCTGCGGAGGCGTCTCCTCTACAGGTCCATCGTACACCCATCCCCACCGAGACTCCTCCTTCTGCTGAATAACGTCCTCTTCATCCCCATAAGCATCCCGATCGCGTACCTCACGGCGTGTCCTAACCCGCACTTTCTCAAGTAGCCACGGTCCTTTCCGCAAAAGAGCACGGCATTTGTACAGTCCCACGTCATCGTAATTCAACCCCTCGAGGGCGAGTCGAACCCGTACAGACCGGTGAATACGCTCATGTGTGTTCTCCAGAAAGTCCCTTGTAGGAAGTGCAGTGTCGGGATCGATGCGATGGTACATGCCAGGCGTGCGAGTTGTTTTCCCGGCTAATTTGTAGAAGCCAACCTCAGGTTGAACGATCTCGCCCAGTCCCCACGGCCGTACGGGCTTGTGCTCCTCGTAGATGGATTCAAGCGCCCATTTCTTCCATCGATTTTGTTTGGGGCTGTCGTTCGTTTGTCTCCCGTCTTGCTCTTGGTCGTAATAGTAGCAGACGCTTTCTTGGAAAATTCGATCGATTGTATTCTCCTCAAAGGCGACGCCAAGATCGGCCAGTTGATCCATCATCCAGGCCATGGAGACGTTGGCGAGCTCTTGGTCGGGGAGACCACCGCCAACATTGGAGTGCGCGCCGCAGAACCAGACTTGTCGGAGATCGGTATGGACACCGCGAGGTCGTTCCCAGACGGCCGGAGCAAATGATGTGCGGACTTCATCGAGAGCGAGTGCTTGGAAGGCATGCTCTATTGTGTTTGAGAGAGCTGTGTCGTACCATTTGCATGTATTGGATGGTCAGTTTTTTTTTGGCTGTAGATAAACTGGGTAGAGGGAATACTTATTCTTTTGTGGAGCGAGGGATTTTGAGCTTGTTGGATAGGTTCGTGTCCGGAATGCCTAGACTTCCCACTGTGTCAAAGACTGCGACGCAGCGTACTTTGATGCGATACCCGTCGGGATCATAGAGGCGAGTGAGGCCCTCCTATCTTTGTGTCAGCGAATGCAACAATGAATGAAGGCGGGAGTGCTACATACATCTTCAAGGCGCAGCTTGTACTCTCTTTGATCGAGGGGCTTGTGCGGAAATGGTATCGTGGGAAATTTGTCCTTGTAATCGGGATTTCTGAAGTTTTCAGTATCCTTGAAAATCGGATAGAGATATTCCATTCCTTTGGAAGTGAGAAGGCCGATTTCAGTGATCAGTCCCTAGATCAATCATTAGCCAGGTGATAAGATTCCTTAGAACCATAATCAGAGATTCTTACAGCCACGCTACGAGCAGTAAATGCACCGCGGGAGAATCCGAGAAGAATGATCTCATCACCGGCTTCGTAATTTGTCGCGATGAAGCTGTACGCTTCTCTAATATTCTACCACCATCGTCAGATCGCTTCACAGACATGATAAAATATATCAGCACTCACCTCGCTAACACCAGAGCCAAAGACTCCTCCAGCGATTTCATCCGAGACAGACCCAGTGGAACCGACACCCGGATGGTAGTAAACAACTTGGCTCATTCCATCTAGACCCTTCTTTCGTAGAGCCCGATAGAGCCGTGTCACATTGGAAGGCACTTGGAGCGTATAATTTGGATCATGAATAGTGGGGCGATTATATCCCTGATCGCTGTTGACCCATGTGCCATCGAGACATACCACGAGGCGTTTCCCCTTGGACGGCATGGCGTGCGACTCGAACTGGTTGTTAACCCGATCCAGCGGGGCCAATCAGTGTACCTGCGTCAAGGTCCGCGCACAGGGAGTGCGGAAGATCGAGAAATGAGGTGGCAAAGATTGTTGTGTCCCCAAATAAGTCGATATTGCGACGGGCTAATATTAAACGAGTCTGGAAGCAATCCATACATGCAGGATCGATCGGTGCATTCCAGGGATGTGGATATTAAACATCAGGTATTACGCGGACTTCAAGAAAAGTTACAAGTTACCCCGCCTCAGCCTCACTTCACCCGTGACCTCACTTCTTAAGCTGGAGACCCCGTGACGACCATCTTGGGTGAGATGTGTTGCTTAAAAGATTTGATATTCCATCTATAATTCATCAAACTATACTATTGACCTGGAAAGATGACACGAACCCTTTGTGAAACGGTAAACACGAGATGTCAATTTAGCCAGCCCTTCCCCGCTATACCAAAACGCCGGTTATAACCCTTACTTATCCCTGATCCAATCAGTGTACCATGCACCGTATAGAACGCCATTTCATCTCAACATGTTTCTTCATATAATCAGCCTGACAGCCTGTCTTGGAATCAATACTAATGGCCTGTCCACCAGATTCGTTGCAAGATTTGTCAGACACTGTACAAACACCCCCGGTCAACGACCACGAAACAAGTGTCTCCACCGGGGCAGAGGCACATGAAGTCGAGTTGAATCCACCATCGGTGAAGTACTTGCAGTAGACACCTGCTAGATCGCCGAACTTGGCTTTATAATCTCCGGGAAGATCGATGCATTTGGAGTCCTGATCTTTGTGACCGGTCACCAGATAATAATCTTCATCACACGTTGTGCCTGTATAGGCGACGAGCGTCCACGCTGGACCTTCGCTCGTGGTAGTCGAGGTAGCCTTGACTTTGATAGTAGTCGTAGTAGTCTTTGCCAAGGTGGTGGTCTGTACTTCGGAGATGGTTGTCGTCTTCGACTGACAGTTGGACATACATGTGTTGTCTTGGGGAGTGCACCAGTGATCCCCAGAAGCTTCACAAATGCCGAAACTTGTACACTAAGAGAAGATTCTTTTCAGCTCAAACAGACTTCAACAATTATCAAGGGTTACTTACGCATTTGTTTGAGGGACACGGATTCAACGAAGCAAGGTCAGCCCAATTGGCAGGCCTGAGAGTTCCAGGGACCAAGGGACCGCATTTCGCATCGTAACGAGCTGTTGGTATCGGAGGCGATCCGGGACCAACGCAAATGGTGGACCCTTGTGGCATGCTCATGCAGTCAAACCTCCATGAGCGAAAGTTGTACATTTGAAGATCCATCATGGTGATCTCATTAGCCTGCGCAATACTCTTGCAGGTATCCTGAGCCTAGGTGACGTATGTCTTGCAGACAGCGGCAGTGCCTCGCTCAACTATAGATGCTTCATCATGATCAGGAGCGGGTGCTCGTCCGACAATCCGAGATTGAGGCTGGTTGGGTTTCAGCATGGCAGCCACAGTGGTCATCAAGAATAGCCCGCATATGGCGAGAAGATAGAATTTGATCTGATGTGAGAGACCCATTTTGATTTTGTCTGCAAATTATGATGATCAATGGTCCGTTGGATAGTCCAGCTTCTTCATCTATATATACATTTTCATTCAAGTATCTCCTTATGATCAACTGATTCATGGATCAGTCTCATCAACACCCTCTAGCATAGCTTGAAACTCGGTGCATTATTAATAACATGTCTTTCATTATCTGCATAATCCTGAAACTATCGGAAGATACGATCTACTCAAAGACTTTCATAAATGATTGGCTGTGGGGATCAGTAAATCAACAAAGAGCACAAGGGCGATGATCGAGAGCTGCATCGACAATCATCCCTGGGAAGATTGTTTTGCATCGCCACCGATTAAAATCTTTCACACAGCCTGCAGGTAGGGTCATCTGGTGACCTGTTTTCATGCCAGTAGTCAGAGAAATTGCAGATCCTAGTCAACTGCTATCTATGGCAATGCTCTTTTCTTTGTCTATACTTTCATCCTCCGTTCAGCCCTAAGCCCTATATTTCCTAATCCGGCCTGTGCACTTTTGGTCTCTCTCGCCCGCTGTGACATCAGCCAATCGGATGCTGAGTCATCAGCATTACTCGCGGCTCATTGGCGAACAGAATATAGCCAATCAGAGGCGATGACGGGTCGAAGCGGCTTCAAACCTCGCCCAAACCTCGACACCTCCAAACTCTCGCTCATCCCCAAACTCCCCTCCTCCACCCCCCCCATTCATCCAGCGAACGCGATGTTCATTCAACGCACCGCCTCCGCCATTGCCAGGCGCTCGCCTGCCCGCGCTTTCACTCTTGCTCAGCGCCCGTTCTCTTCCTCGATCGTGCGCCGTACGTGATCCTCAATCCCCGGTGGCCTGATCCGACCTCCCCCGACCTTCGCCGTTTTTCCTACCCCCTCCAAGTCAATTGGGTCACGGTACACCAATTTAGGAAACGACAATTGAGAAACACCGTGGATGACTGTCGGCTAACGCGAAACGTCTCTCGATAGGCAACGAGAAGAAGTGGGCAGTTGAGAAGGAGGGCAAGATCCTTTCCTTCGACGGTTAGTACCTTCCCGACCATGCGACAACCAATTGCTCCGATGATGCCCCCAAAACCGATGAGGGGTCCAGTCTGTCTGTTGTACCTGCTTTTGTGAAGCAATTGAGCTCCTTACGCTGCACGGGATGCCGCAAACCTGGGCCGAGGTCCCCTCCGGTTCAGGTCATATATTGGACGCAGCTTGCTTGCTCGGAAACCTCGCCCTGAAGAACAAAGCGCTAATCTGATCTCCTTATCGGACTACAGAGATCAAGAACGAGGATGACCTGATCGCTCCTGGTGCCAAGCCCGGTACCATCCCTACCGACTACATCCAGGCTACCGGTCTCGAGCGTCTCGAGCTCATCGGTAAGATGCAGGGCGTCGACATCTTCGACATGCGTCCTCTGGATGCCTCCCGCAAAGGTATGTTACAACTTTTCTGCTTTTCGGCCTGATATCGCGCATTAGTTCGTTTGCGATATCGGCACTTTATCTTTGCGCAGCATGCGAGGAGAAAACCCGCTGACCGAAGCTCCGCCTCGAATAGGAACACTCGAGAACCCCATCATCGTCAACGGTGCCGGTGATGAGCAGTACGCCGGTTGCACTGGCTTCCCCGCCGACTCCCACCAGGTCAACTGGTTGACCGTACGTCGAACCCAAATACAGTTTCGACAGCTATAAAAGATATCAAAATCTAACCCTCGCCTCCACAGGTCTCCCGCGAGCGCCCCATCGAGCGCTGCAACGAGTGCGGCAACGTCGTCAAGTTGAACTACATTGGACCCGAGGAGGACCCCCACGCCCACCACGACCACGGCCACGGCCACCCCGCCCCCGAGGAGCCCAAGACCTTCGCCGACTACGTCAAGCCCGACTACTGGTACCGGTAAATCCGGGGCTCGATCCAGCGTACCCTAGCGTTATGAAACCCCTTTGATACTGATACAGTGTGAATGGCAGCATCCTCTTTTGTCCGGGAGGCGGCTGTCAAGCAAGTCTGTCTGTCTATTCCTGTATCTGTTCCTGTCTGCGTGGCTTTGGCTTGCCGTTTCTCAATCTCTTTTGTAGAATAGTTCTCTTAGTGGATGAAAATGAGAGTTGTCCTGGGGATGTACTTTGATTAATATTTTTTTCCGTCTCTTTTCTTGGGATATTATGTCCTTACTCTACTCTACCACTCTGTCACCAAAAAGGTCCCTGACTTTGAAGTCATACTTCGTTCTTGAGCTTTACGGATACCGGGAGAAATCAATGTACTTTTCTGGGTCAGTGGTCTTTTCTGGGAGCATGCTGCTGGTGGTAGGATGTGATTCATAACAGGGGCAAACACGATCTTCTTCGAAGTCTAGAAGGGGAATTTGTTCGAGTCGTTTCATAAGAGATAAGAATCTTCCTCGTACAACATGTGACGGTTATATTCGGGCAAATAACTTTTAATATAGTCCTCCCACCAAACCGAAATACAAATTAGATCTTTGATGTTATCCCTGTGCGAGGATAATGTGTTGAACGACATCGTACCACCATCACACCATACCAGCCCGAAGCAAACACAAAAAGAGGCCGTGATCGGCAAAAGACGAACAAGGTTGAACTGATCTCACCAGACAAAGTCCTATACCACACCGTGCAATGTCCAGCAGCATTACCATTACCATTCATTACCATCAACGTAAACATTCAACGGCCAATAAAGCGCAGCTCCAAAAGCCGGAGAGGCGGGTACACAAGCGCAGCCCACGAGAAACCGACATAATTGCCCATATCGGCACCATACTCACCGACAAGTTTAGCCAGAGGTCCGATATACCATACCTGCGCCATACACAGGACGGCACCGACCCAACCAACGACGAAAGCGACCAAGGCCGCAATACCGATAGGCAACTTGGACGGATCGCGCCACGCAGCCCAGTTATATCCCGTGTGCCAGCGGAAGACAAATTCCTCGATTAAAATGGCAAACCAGATAGCAACCCAGTAACCCATGAGAGCGAGGAAATTGGTGAAAATCTCCGAGAGATGAGTGCGTCCTGCCAGTGCGCAGACGGTGAAGATGATCACGCCGACGGTGTTCCAGATCACCCGGGGCACTTTTTCGGCGTACCGGCCGAGGATTTGGAAATCGACGCCGGCGGAGTAGGTTGGGGCGACGGTGTTGGCGATGAGGCCTAGGGCGATGATTACGGAGCAGAATTTGCCAAAGCCGTGGAGGGGTCCGAAGCCTTCTACGATGAGGGCGCCTTGGCCGAGGGTATAGGCTGCTTCGTATTCGGGGTTGGCGCTGATTCCGGAGGCGAGACCGATGCCGCAGACGAGGGCCATGGTGAAGGAGAAGACGAGGCCGGCTAGTGTTAGGGAGAAGATTGTGAGGCGGGAGGTGTTTTCGGGGTAGTAGACGAAGAAGTCTGCGGCGAGAGGGGCGTAGGTGATTGCTGCGCTAAGACAGATAGAGAAGAACGATAGCCTGATAGTTGGAATTTGTTAATTGGGGATGTGAAGTGTGGTAAGAGGTTGATTGTATACTGACCTGTTACCGGCCACCGTTCGGGGATCGCCTTGAGAGACTGTGGAAAGGTCGAACTTGGAAGATGAGACTCCAAAGAGAATGCATACAACAATCAATTGGGGCAGGAATGCAAATCTAATCATCGATAGTCAGCAGCGAGCATGAGTAGATGAGTGATAAAGACTGACCGTTCATAGTAGTGGAACACTTGAATACCAAATGTAGCCACCACCCAACTGATGATTGCAATAATGACAATGCCTAATCCACGTAGAGTCAACCAGGCTGTCCGTATGAAGTGCATGAGCTTGCACACGAAATATCACATACCCACGGCAACTGAAAGACCTCCCGGCGAGACAGCAGATAAGATCTGCCCTCCCACCACACAGTCAATCAGACAATATCCGATCATTTGGACCAAGTTCAGCAAAACAATAATCTTGCTCGGCCACCATCCCATCGAGTAGCGGCCAAACGCCATGGTCCGAATACCCGACAACGGGCCCCAAGTAGCCACCCACGCAGAGACTAGCGAGCCGGCAATTGCGCCAAACACCGCACACAAGGCCGAGTCTGTGAAGCTCAGTCCATACACCGCCGGGCCCAGCATTCCCAAGGTGATATTGTTCGCTGCCAGGTTGATCGACACCCACAGCAGGAACGTCTGCAGGTACGATACCCATGACAGGCGCTTCATGCGCTCATCAGGCGCAACCCGCTCAATGCCACGTGCCTCCAGGTTATACTCAACCAGCTGCTGCTCGAATGCTCTCAACAGGGAGCCGAGGCGCGAGCCGGTAGGGTTAGGACGATTCGCATTCTCCGGGGGAAAGATCGAATCCTTTTTATTCTCGTAATCGATCGGTTGTTCGGTCGAACGAACAGTCTTTATATCATCGTCTCGTTCATCGCGCACCGCTACGGTGGCGATTTCATGTTCCGGGGCCATACTGAAGATGAATTGTTAGTATACACGCACTTTCCAGATAGGAAATCCGGGAGAAGCAGAAAAGCGCATGAGTCCTTTCGCTGGAATTATCCAGATCAAGTTCAACCGTATGATCTCAGAACGGCCGCGGACAAAAGACCGATCAGGAACAAATGTTAGGTCGGTCCTTTGCCCGCGGACCGAACACCGGTCTTCATGCACGTTCTCGAAAGGGTACCTTGATCAGACAATCCCAGACTACTCGTCTTCATGATAGCCGTCACCGGGATAGAGCCAATGCAGGATTCGGGATCTGTACTCGAGGCTTGCAACTTTGTTAGGAGAACAGAGTGCTGTCTGTGACAAGGTTGCAATGTGGATGAGTCACTATGAAGCAATGGAGTGTTAGCGAGGGTGCCGTTTGAGGAAAACATGTTTAGCATTCTCAGCGGGGTGGAGCGCATTCACTTGGCAGGGATATTTACCAATATAGACGAAACGCAAGTCCGCAATTGACGAGAGAGCGCGACACCAAGGCCAGTAGTTGCAAAAGAGAAGGGGTTGTGACTGTGGGGGAGGAGGAAAAGGTGGCCGCGGGGAAAGAAAATCTAGATCGCCCGCACTTATCGGCGGTTTTCCGCTTCCGCGCTGAAAGTCCGAGAGGTACGCCGAATGGACAAGCCCGCCGCTTGTTAGGTTTATTGTTCCTGGGCTAATTGGTGTAGCTACTGAAATTACTGGGCGGGGAATCATCCACATAGTATTGTTCATGTAGGAAAAGAAAAGAAAAAAACACAGAGATAGGAGTAAATAGGAAGGTGACGAGATCAAAAAGACAGCCCGCATGGCGCCAGACAGGGCAAACGCCTGAGCAGTTGTTTAGAAAGATAGAAAACAGACATTCCAGGCAACATGGGAAACATAGATCAGAAACTCAAGAGGTAGTCGAATCAACCAAATAAAAGGAGACAAAAAGAGACCAGATCACCAACTCCATCAGCCTTGTATTATCAGTGGCCCCCGTCAGCCATTGATGACAATTGCATCGCTATGGAATTGCAGAATCCGGGGGTTGAGAATGCCAAATTCGTTAGATGCATCAAAAGAAATCCAGAAACAGAAATCAAACAAGTTAAATCATCACTTCATCAGTGGGGTCAGGAGAGAGGGGGCATTAGGTGCAGAAGCTCAAAGATTCTTGAAATGTTCTTTGGCATATTGTTCGCAAGCCTGTGGATAGAGGGAAGAGAGATCGAATTAGAATGCAAAAGTCAATGGGACCCATGTGGATGCGGGTGCAACCTTACCTTAGCAGGCTTGCCGACTTTCTGTCCGATGACCTTCCACTTGTTTGCCTCGTACTCCTTGATTGCGTCACGGAGTTTTATGGACTGCGCAAAGTTAGTGAGGAAACTCGAGGAATGCGCAATCTCTTCTCATAACCGCAAAGGTGTCATACCTCATCTTCGGCAAATTCAGCGTAATGCATATCCTGGATTAAAATGTCAGCGCCACTGTAATTATCGCGCAAAGTCGGAAAGTCGGTTGGGGTCTGATATTTTCATACCTTGTACCAGTGCTTCTTCACACTGCCCTCAGTCCGCGTAGGGAAAGTCTGCGACACGTCAGAAAAAAGGCTTGCGGAACAGTCAATTCAAGGCCATATTCAAAAAGGCGCACCTTGGCGATTTCGCTCCAACTTCGACCGGCGTCGCGCATGGTCTTGAGTCGTTGTTCCTCCTCGGCGGTCCACGGGGTATTGGTGCGACCCTTCTTCTTGGGAGCGGGCTCTGGGGCGGGTGGAATAGCGGTTGGGTCACCCTCGATCGCACCGCCCGTAGAGCCCATGGGTGCGGCCATCATCGTGGAAGAGCCCGTAATTGGAGATTGAGGACGCTTGCGTGAGGAGGCTTGCTGCTGTTGCTGTTGGTGTTGTTGTTGCTGCACCTGCTGCTGTTGTTGCTGCTGATGATGTTGCTGCGGTGGCTGCTGTTGTTGATGGGGAAGAGGTGCCGTAGGAATGGGGATGCCTTCAAAGGTCGGGACCCGGTGGAATGGATGGATCTGCTGTTGAGCGAGGAGATGTGGCGGGGCGCTAGTTGTGGCCGAAGTCTTGATCCGTTTGGATGTTGGAGGGGACCTGATTCGTGTCGCGTTAGCTAGGTAGCTCCCGGAACCGCACGAGTAGTAGCAAATGCGCGACGTGAACGTTAAGAGTGGTAGTAAACAGCGAAAGACAGGTGGAATGCGAATCATAAGGCTCTTTATCTCCTTTTCTCTCTCCTGCATGTCTGGGATGTCTGATCTGGCAGGCTGCCCTCGCAGAAAAGTCTCCCTCCCGCAGCACAGGAGCCGAATGGAGATCACAGACGAGGGACTTACGACATGGTGAAAGATTTCAATCACACGCCGATTCATCTGCACACGCGATGACGCGCGTAGGGGGTTAGCAGAACTGCTACAGGGGCGCCTTGGGTCAACTTCTAGGAAAGTGGGCTTCGTTACACTAACGACGATGACACAGGCGCATCCCAGGCAGAACCAGATCAGAGAGGGGAAGGACGCGACAACAAGAGGGTAGTAATGGCAGAATTGCATGATGAGAGAACGATAGAGAGATAGCAGATAGTCGGATATTGAGGGCCTGAGGACTTGCAGGGGGGTGTCCATTAAACCCGACCGCGGTGGAGAGAGCGCCTCAGCTCTCCCCGTTTGTTTTGGGGAGAGTCGAGTTGGCGGCGGCGGGGGACAAGAGGAGAGAGATAGAGTAGTAATGAAGGGAAGGGAGGAAGCTCACAGCTCAAAATCGCATGGTCGAAGAGTCGAATCGGGCACCTCGAATTCTTCCGAATACGGGGAGAACATGAGGCTGGAAGGAGGAGTAATGGTTGATGGAGTGGTGAGTGAGAGGGAGGAGGAGGGGATAAAAGGCAAGGAGGACGAGAAGAGGGGAAGTTGTCGAGTGGAGGAGGATGGGTAAAGGAAGAGAGGAATAAGAGGATGAGGAGGATCAAAGGATAGAAAGGAACGATAAGGATGGAGAGAGTAAGATCGCAAGAAACGGAGAGGGCGAGAGGGAAGGGGAAGAAGAGGAGAAGGAAGAGGAGGAGAGCAGCAACGGAAGAAGCGGGGAGTCACCTCATATCACGCTGGTAATAATAATGAGAGAGAGAGAGAGTCGGGCCAAAGTTCCAGTTGATAGAGTCGATTCAAATGAATTTTCTAGATGCTATCGAGGATTCTATAGAATCTAGAATTGCATTCACAATCAACGATGATTGATTTACCTCGAGATGTTCTTAATTTCCCCCCTCGAAATCCCGGCGACTGTTAAGTGGAGGGGTTCGGGCTGGTTCTAGGCCCTTTGGGACAGACGGCAAGTCCCCACCGAAGCTATACACAAAAAACACAAAACAATCCACAGACGCAAGCCATCTCCTACCTAAACATCTGCTATGACTTTCTTCAACTAGAAGAACCCACCCTAATACCCTGATTCCCCCATATTTTGATCCTATTTCTTGAAAGTCCATGTCTCTAAGACCTCATTCCATCGTCCTCTCCGGTGCATTCCACCCCACCGTTCGTCTAAGAACCCGATGGCCGGGGGCCCTGTCACAAATCGCTCGTGCTGCACGCCAATTCGGCCTGCCACAATGTCGCTGCAGAGGCAGGATAGGCCACGTCCGACCTCTTCCATGAAACATTTGGCCCATCGATGCCCGCGAGTGGCCTGCTCCAGAATCCGGGGACCCGACGAGCTGTCACAGTGCGAGGATGACAACGACTGGCAGTAACGGGGAGCATGTTGATCCTGTCCAGGGCTGCCCACAAATAGCGCTTTCTTTTCCTTGATGGCTTTGATTTTACCGGTCCAGAAGGGAAAAGCCCCTGCCGGTCGGCATGTCTACTCGAGCCGCATGCATACATATCGCCCTGATTATTCGATGTCCTTCCTGTCCATGAAGAAAAGGACTGGGGCAGTCGCCCTCAGTAGTAGTCGTAGTAGCAGGCCGCTTAAATACATTACTCTTAACTACTATCACGATCGGGCTTGGCTAGGTTAAGCCACGCGAGAGTTTCGCAGACAGCTACGATACCCCTCCTCTCCTCTCTATCAGCCGTGCCAGTCAAGTATGCTCTTATATAAAACGGGACCAACATTCAAAACTATCTGTAGCCAGATATCCTCTCGAGATTCTAGGATCTACGAGCTAAGATACCTCATGGGAACCATCTATTCCACCCATCCCCCGTAATCCCCCATTTATCAGCGAATCGAGTCTGTCTTATGCAAGCAACCAAATCAGCACCGCGAGCGTTAATCAAGGAAAGTCAACGCGGGGCGCAAGCGAGTAATTCATCGTCAACACTCCAATTGGAACCGCGCAAGGCCAGCGCCATCCTGCATTCATTGGGGATGGCACCGGCAGGGATCGTGCATTGAATTCCCTCTCGAAACAATGTGGCTGCCATCTGCAGCTCCATTTGAGGGGTCCAGGGTCCGTGTGTACTTTCACCATTCATCGACGCCATGGCATGCCTTTTTCAAGAGTGTTGTGCGGGTTGTCGTGGTTGACACAGCGATTGCTATGAGGAGAGCATTGATGTTTTGGTTGGTGGCATCTCTGTCGCGAATGATTCAGATCGGTCCTATGGGATCAGGCCCGTTTTGTAATGTCTGTTGTCAGGGTCAGGTCTGTTTACTCGGTGGTTCCATCAGACTGTCTAATCATTTGAATCATCTAATTAACTGAGCGTGGAAGTGACCGCGCTGTCTAGATGAATGACGTGTCTTAGCTATGTGGGCAATTAAGAACCATTTGATCTCGAAGCAGTCATCTGGAGCCTATAGGGCACAAGAAATATTTGAAGTATCCATTTGGTTTCATATTACTCAGATTCTTCAGTAAATGGAGTATCCTAGAAACAGTGTAAGCCTGTCTTGTCTAGCAAGCTTCCTACCCTATTCGTTGGAACTCAGGTAGCGAGCAGAGTGAAGGTCATTTGGAGGTAACGATTCAATCTTAATGTGTTGTCAACATAGGTAATGTAATGAAGGGCTTTTTTTTCTCTTTCAATTCTGTTTTTCTCACCCCTTAATGCCATGTGAGGAGCCATTTTATGATCTCTTCCACATGCTAGCCGTTCCGATATAAAATGGTTCCATCGTGTTAAAGACTAGGACGAAGACCGTGAGAGGTGCTTAGATGATCGACACAGCTTAGCCATACCAAAGAAAAACGTGAACTGGAGTGACTGTTCCTTGTTTGGTCTCGTTGCGAGCAATAATAATTAATCGTGGAACGAAATCATTTGCCTAGAAAAAGGCTTTGCTCTACAATGGCTCCCTCGAGCCAGCGGGACATTTTGTGATGTGCATAACGGACCCCACAAGAACACATTGTGCGAAAGACTGAACCAAGTCCCGAATATAAATACAGACTTGGCCAACTCCATTTCAATGGATTCAAGGCCCCGCCGTGAACACACCTCAATGCAGCGAGGCACACAGGGTATAAATCGGTGGCCCCAAAACACTCGGTGATCACGACCGAAACACCGAGGCGACCTATCTATAGGCTAAGGCTAATGAGGCTAACGTCATCGCTCACGTGAGGGATGGCCCAAGCTCAGATTGCTGATAACGAGAGGCCGGGGAGAGCTCCCCTTCGAGGCTCTGCCGCCAGGCAACACACTCGATTCAACTTGCCACACCCGACACTCTGCGCAACTTGCGAACTCACCTCCCGGAAGAATTCTGAGTATTATTTGCCTTGATCTATATTGATTGAACCGGTTTCAATCCTATTCCCGCCAATTAACTCTGTCGCCCTGCCACCGCTCACCCCGCAACTGAGCGCACCTAACAACATCCTCCCAACCTCCCGTTCCCTCTGCCCGCCATGGCGTGGAACGTGTTTCGCGTGTTGGCGGATCTTTCCCATCTTGGCTCGATCTGTCTACTGATTTGGGCTATTCATAAGAACAAAAGTGCTGAAGGTAAGGTGTCTTTCTCACAAGGGATCCGGAGATCAGACCGAACCTGCGAATCGAAGATAGAGATTGAAGCTAACACATTTCCTTACGGTACAGGTGTATCGCTTCTTACACAGCTTCTCTATGCTGTAGTATTTGTGACGCGGTATCTCGATCTATTAAATCCGGAAACGTGGTCAGTACGGACGTACGGCAAGGCGGTGATTTGGAATGTCTCGTTCAAGCTGTTCTTCATTACCTCCGCCTTTTACACTATCTTCATTATGATGAAGGTCTTCCCGCGCACAAGGGAGCGCGAGCGAGCTTGGAAGCTCGGAACCTACTCCGTGCTTATCTCCATTGTGCTGTCGCCGATTGCAATCCTCATCTTTGAACGAAAGTTCCCACCTCACTGGTTCTTGGAGGTAAGTAGTGGGACAAATACCAGCCCTATCAACTGCGGATATCCACATCTGCCTAGATAGAGTGACTTGCTAACAAGGAAACTTTGAGTACTAGCTCCTCTGGGCCTTCTCCATCATCCTCGAGTCCGTCTGTGTTCTCCCGCAGCTTCTCCTCCTCCGACAAACTACAGTCCCAACTGTGATTGACTCATACTACCTCGCCGCACTGGGCTCCTACCGCGCCTTCTACATCCTCAACTGGCTCGTGCGCGGCTTCGGGAAAGAGCACTTCTGGGATCTGATCGCGTTCGTCTTCGGCATCGTGCAAACTGCATTCTACGTCGACTTCGCGTGGGTGTACTACTCGCGACAGCGGGTGAAGCTGCGCAACGGCGGTGTCGTGGACTCGGAGGACTTTAGCAAGAGCTGGCTGGTGAACCGGGTGATGAACTTCCGCACGAGTCGCGCATCAACGGACGAGGAGCAGCATCTAAATGAGGACGAGGAGGGTGGCGATGGCCGGGCCAATAGTAACCGGTGGGGAGCGCGGGGAATCTCGATTGCGGCGGATGATACCTTAGAGAATCAAGGTCGGTATGGGGGTCATGATGAGGATGAGAATGGTATTGAGGGTGTGTTGGCGGATGATTATCTGGACGATCGTGATCATGCTCCGCGCACTCGCATCACTGGTTAATTTGGCTCCCGCGGGGTTGATTTCCAGAAAGGAATCATGGTTGGAGTGACAGCGGAGCGGAGCGGGGCGGAGCTGCTCCGGGGGTGGAGTCGGGCTGGTTTTGAGTATATTTAGCTGTTTTGTTCCGTTATCCACTTTTTTCTTTTTCTTTTGGGTACAGAGTGCCTGATGCTGATGACATCACGGTTGCATTTATGGAACGAGCAATGCTTGTTAGATGATTGTCCATGCTTCTACCCTTGCAAAGTAGACAATTTATAGATTCATGCCTGAAGGGTCAGGCAGAAGATTGTCCTAAGTTAACGTTATGATCCATAGCTACATCAAAATTGAGGCTAATCGCACGACATCAACTTTTTCCTTAACTTACCTTGTCATCTTGAGGTATATTCTATAAAACACCTGGAACAGCCTTCGAGATACCAGCAATGCGGTCTGCGAGAGCATGAATACTGCCACCACCCAAGACATCTGCAGATTCACCAAGATCCACGTTCGAATCTCCACAGCAAGAAGAGAGTCAATACCGTAGCTGTGCAAGGGCTGACTGGCATCAATATTCTCGACCGCTGTCTGTCACTCCCGAGCAAGTCGCTGCTTCAGGCATTCAACAATAACATCGGTGGCCTCACGTTTGGAATGAACTTTACCCAGCTGCGACACCAGCGCCGCAATACTGCCTCCTTGTTGTCCACCAATAGCCGTCATTTATTTTGTCTGGTCGAGGTCTTTCTTCTTCAAGTACGCAAAACGCGGGTCATCAAAGTAGAACGGCCACTCCAGACCCTCGGATTCAAGAATCCCTCCCGTGGGGAGACCTGAAATGAGCTGCGTGGGCACCGGCGAGCCACCCCAAGTCCCGTCATAGCCGCTGTCAAGAGGGCGTGGAACTCTGCCTCACGGATACCCACTGCCTCCCATTTCTTCAGTTTGGTTGCACCACCGCGCTCAGCAATGAGACCGATACCCAACATCAGGCCGAGATCGATACTAACAGCCGGCAGACCCCGACTACGGCGGTAGTGGGCCAGGGCATCTTGGAACGTATTGCCAGCCGCGTAGTTGGCTTGACTGCGGTTACCCACCACGCCAGCGATTGAGCTGAGCATGACGAAGAATCGCAGGTCGTGCTGTAGCAGGAGTCGATGGAGGATCATTGAGCTGTGCATCTTGGGCCGGGTGGCAGTTCGCCATTGCACATGCGTCATATTATGGTAGATGGAGTCTTCGAGCACGGCAGCACACTGCAAGACACCACGAATGGGTGGCATCTCGTTGGTGCATTCATCTATCACCTGCTGCATGGCTGTCTCATCCGATATATCGGCTGCGTAGAACTTGACTTATACGCCCTTCGCCGTCAAGTCTTGAAAGACTGACTCGGCACTTGCAGTGGATGAGCCCGATCGAGATATGATAGCAAGGTTTTTGGCACCCTTGCGGGCGAGGAATCTCGCTAGATTGGCTCCTCGTCCGCCTGTGCCACCGGCTAGGAGGTATGTGGCATCTCCGTCGAGGGCCAGTGGGTTTGCAAGCCCAGGCGTGACAGGGACGCGGTCATCGGAGTGGAAGGTGATAATGCCGTTGACGTGCTGGGCGGGTTTCTGCGCCCACTGGATGGCCTCGATGGACCGAGGTGCTGACCAGACTTGTTTAAGGGATGGCCGTCGGATGCTTTGGTCGAGCTGAAGGGTGGAGACCTGCTTCAGAATATAGAACAGGCGAGAGGGGTCGTCGTGAAAAGGAACCAACTCGGATATACTTGAGGCTCAATTTGGATGACTGATTTCTCTTCCGAAAGCTCCTTATTTTCTAAAAAGGAATCCTGATTCTTTAGGCTCGCTACGTCGTCGCCTAGCACAACATGAACTTGATTTTTTCGATGCCCAAAATGCCTGCGCTCCCGCCCCGGGGATATCGGGCGTATATCCGCCGCCGTATTTGTGCTGGTACCAAAACGGCCATCCCGAAGAAGTCTCGATCGCGCTAGACGAGCTGCGTGCTGTACTTGAGGAAGATGGACCATATGATGGCTTGATTGGATTCTCAGAAGGTGCTGCACTGATAGCCAGCCTTTTGCTATGCGATGAACTGGCCGGGCGTCGTCCTCGCGTCCAATTGGCTGTACTGTTTAACAGCGTTGTACCGCTCATCACCCAACCTATAAACGTGCAGCATGCATCATCACCTCTTAGCGAGCTCGTGCGGGGGCACCACGATCACTATTTGGCCCTTCTCCAGACTGATGAACAGGTAAATGCCCCTCTTGCCCAGGCGTGGGGTTTCCGCCCAGATGGAACACTCAAAATTGCGATTTCAACTGTCCATATCATTGGGGATCAGGATCCGTTTGCCCCATCCTCACAGCTAGTGGTCGACATGTGTCGGCCTGAGCGGGCACAGGTGCTCCGGAATGGGGGCAGTCATGCACTACCGCAAGCTGGAGATGTGCTTGACCGTTGCGCATAACTCATTGAGACTGGCATTATGCTGTCTTCCTTGGATATTCAGACTGATATACAACTCTAAAGGGATTATCTTAGGATAAAGTATTAGTTCAACTCTATGATGATCAGAGTACATAGATGGAAATGACCGATTCTAATTCAAAGAACAAGAGGTATTCTATGATCGGCGTTTGAATTGAACATAGAGCTCGCATAAACCCCCTCGCGTAGAGTCGTTCATAAAAAGTATTGTCCACAACACCACCCAATCAGCCACAGGGAGAAGATTCGTGACAACGACTGACTGGATCCGTTTATAATTCCCCGAAAGCTAAAATGCGGAGTGATAACAAATGTGCATGACTCCAGTCAGCCGCCACAGGCTGGAAAAAGAAGGTCCAGACTGACTGTCATTGATTGTATGCCGAAACTCGGCGCTGCAAAGTGCTGCAAATAGTTTCCATCAATCAACTTGAGCAATTCCCGATCAAATACACCTAAGCCATAACTGAACTAGCAGATTCTGGCTGCGTGCTACGGTGCTCTATGCTGAGACAAGCTTATTTTGTATACAATTTTTCATTATATAGATGTTTTGTTCCCTATGGAAGTTTCTCACACATCATTGTCCCTGTATACTCACTATCGTCCCAAAGACCGCCCCACCGATATAAGTTTGTCTCTATCTCTATTGTTTCTATTGATAAGCGAGCTTTCAAAATGTCTCAGCTGCTTCCAATACCTACAATGCTTGATCGCCGAGCAGAAGCCCACCCAGACCGCGTGTGGGTTAGACATCCCGTCGGTACTTCGTATACCAAAGGCTTTCAAGCAGCAACTTACGGCCAGATGCGCACCGCTGTTAATCGCGTGGCCCGTCTTTTGAAAGATAAGCTTGGAGAGAGCCAATCATTCGAGACGTTGGCCTATGTTGGCCCCAACGATCTACGGTATCATATTGTCCTTGTGGCTGTCATTAAACTGGGATATAAGGTGCTTATGGAGACGTAAACTTGAGATCTTGGACTTCAGCTAATCTAGGAGCAGATGTTCTTCCCCTCTCCACGCAATAGCATTGTGGCCCAAAAAGAGCTTATAGCGCGCACCAAGTGCAGGATTCTATTAACGCCCGACCCTGAACCACCCCTGGTGACCGGTTTCGTACGCGAGAACACTACGAGCACGATACAGATTCCATCACTCAAAGAATTGTTCAAGCATGATGACACAATCATCCCTTATGTCTATGTTTACGAGCAAAAACCCCTTGATGTTATTCGCGATCAGCCTGTCCTGATCCTACACACCTCAGGCTCAACAGGTAGGCATTTTGCACGTATGGTTGTATTGCATAAGCTCCTACTCAAGTCAGGAATTCCAAAGCCCATAATTTATACACATGAATTCTTTTGGCGCATCGTCAGAGCCAACACCCTGCCCGCTCCTGAAGGAACTATGCGGATTAATGACCTCATCTTGCGTGGCGAGTTCTTTTCATTGCTACCGGCTTTTCATGTGAGTGGATTACTGGGTCGCATACTTCGTTCAGGCGTTGACTCCCTGAACAGATTGCAGGCATTGGGTGGGGCCTCCTTCTCCCATTATTCAAAGACAGCATCCCCGTGCTTCCTCTGCCCGGCCGACCGCCGTCGACTGCTGGCTTCTTGAAGCGGTGCGATACGGACACTTTGACTGGGCCTTCATGCTACCCACCGGGTGGTGCTCTTCCCCCGAGTGCCGGAGAGTGTGCTGTCGCTTCAGGAATCTCAGTCTACTCAGGCTTGGGATCAAGTGAGTGTGGAGCCTTGCCTCAGCTCCAGAGTGCTGACGGAGATCTACATCCACCATCCGAGACCTTGCGGTACCTGCGGTTTCATCCGGCGATGCAAGCAGAGTTTCGGCATCGCATGGATGACTTGAAGGGCTGGTAGTACGTCGATCGTCGGATTTTCCTGACGCGCAGTCTGTTTTTGCCCTCTCGCCCGATCTGGAAGAGTTTGAGACGCGTGATCTGTTCAGCCCACATCCAGAGCTGCCAGACCTGTGGATGCACCGTGGTCGTCGAGATGATCTCATCGTCCTGCTCAATCGCGAGAAGACTAATCCAATCTCATTCGAGGCTGAGATCACCGCGCATCCCGACGTGCGTGGTGCCTTGGTGGCTGGCAACAAACGTGTCGAGGCTTGTCTCATCGCGGAGTCCATCCCAGAAGCGCTTCAACAGGTGGCAGAGGATACTTCAGCCAAGGAGAATTTTGCCCACAAGATCTGGCTACTGTTGAGGAAGCTAATCGCCATTGTCCAGCTCATGCCCGGATCGCCCGTTCCAAGATCCTTGTACTTGATCCAGACATGCCCATGCTGCGTGCCGCCAAGGGCACTATACAACGCGCGGGAACTCTTCAACTATATGCCGATCAGATTGAGGCACTCTATAATGAGAGTGAATCAGTATTGCCGTCTGATACGCCACTTAGTCGGGAGTATGTCACGTCTGCCCTGCGCTCGATGATGAGAGACGTTATGGAATCGTCTGATCTTAACGACGAACTTGATTTCTTCAATCAGGGTATGGACTCGCTTCAGCTACCGCGGCTGAGTGCGGCCATCCGATCACGCCTTGGTGCTTCTATCTCTCCTTCGGTCATTTATCGCAACCCCTCAATCACCTTGTTGACCACCCAGATCTGCCAAGATACAACGGCAGATGCCGGACAGGATCAAACGGTTGTATTTCAAGAGATGCTACAGCACTATGAGGAACAGATTGACCATCTCGCTTTGGAGCCTGCAGAGCCATCACCTGAGTCTAATCAGACATCCAAAAAGACTGTCATTCTCACTGGCTCTACTGGAACAGTGGGATCCTTTGTGCTAGCACAGTTGTTGGATAACCTTGAAGTCGCCCACATCTCCTGCCTCAACGGTCAGCGAACTCTGAATCTTTACAGAGAACTCGGAATCTCCAGCGGGGAATACATACCACGCTTGATCCAGACCGGGTCACTTTCCTAACAGCCGATCTGACACAGCCATACTATGGACTGGAAATCGCAACTTCCAGGCTCTATTACGCGAAGCAACGCAAATCATTCACGGTGCCTGGCCAGTCGACTTCAATCAACCACTGCCTTTCTTCCAGCCCAGTCTACAAGCACTGGTAAATCTGGTCGCGTTCGCTCGCCAGGCAAAACATAACCCAGCGCTCCTTCCCTCTCATCAATAAAAGCGCCGTCAGCTCCGCTACCGGAATCATCTCGGAGGATATCCTCCCAGAACTGACCTCCCCGGCTCCCATGGGCTATGGGCAAAGCAAATATCTCGCAGAACGCATTCTCGCTCACGCAGCAACCACTCTGCCACATATACGCCTAGTCGTAGCGCGCATCGGCCAAGTCCCAGGCCGAGCTCAGGGTCCGGAAGGAGCTTGGGCGCGGACTGAGTGGCTACCTAGTCTGGTTATCAGCTCGTACCATCTCGGTGTCCTGCCAGATTCTCTAGGCGGTGGCCGGATGGAAATGGTCGACTGGGTGCCTGTTGATGAATTGGCAGTAATTCTGGTCGAGCTCTCCAAAGCTTTGAGTATAGGAACGGGTGCGTTGTCTGTCTTTCATTGTGTCAATCCGGAAATTGTTGCATGGCAAGATCTAGTTCCTGCGACTGTGGAGGAATTGTCAACGCTGGGGAAGAAGGTAGTGGCCGTTCCGTTCGAGGAGTGGCTGACGAGGCTGCAAAAAAGTGCAGGTGAACTTAATCAGGACGGAGTGAATATGGACGCGTTCTTTTCCCAGAATCCTGCGGTGAGGTTGCTGGAATTCTATCATCAGCTCCTCGTCACCGGTTGGGAGAAAGGATCCTACGGCAGACTGGCAATTGATAAAAGTGTATGCGAGAGTCAAACGCTGGCTGGCCTGCGTCCAATCCAGCCGGAGTGGATGCGCAGGTGGATTGGTGAATGGATCAGCAATTGAGACAGGAGGTCGATGTAGCAAGTTGATCAGACAACATTCATTGTACTTCACATGCTAGAAGCCTGGACAATAATTTGGCAATTTATGAAGAACACAGAAGAAGATGTACGTACATGATGTGCACGAGAAGGGGGAGATAAAGAAGGTAACACAAAACTGAAGCCTAGGGCACCAAGGCCTCAACATTTAGTCGGAAATACTGCTTAGTAATCATACCGCGCACCAATTGGATATCAACCAGTCTGAATTGCTATAAAGCCCCTAGTTGGCAATTTATGTGGGCATAATAATGACTAATCTACGGAGTAATTAGGGGTGACGATGAAAAGACCACGATTGTGCGTGGCTTTTGGAGGGAGAATCGTGGTCTTTTCACCTAGCGTCTCGGACACCACGGCGGTAGCCAAATTAGGCTTAGCGTAGTTTCCATAAATATGTGTACATACTCAAGTACCCAGTGCGTAAAATCATAGGGCAAAAGGTATAAATAAGCCTGAATGATCAGTTAAGGTCATAGTCATATCTAATTTTCTCCAAGAGAGCGAAGAGAGATACTGTTGTTATACCTAACAGAAGTGTAATCGTTCACGATGCCCAAAAAAACTCGAGCTAAGCGTACTGAAATCGACTGGAACTTATTCGTTCACCAACCAGATACGCAAGTCAACAGTGACCATGCCGAAGCTACAAAACAAAATCTGAAGCACATAGAACGCAATTTTCGCAAGTTGGTCGATCTATCCTCTCACTTTCTCTTTCCAGGTCACTTACAAATAATGCCAGGTTTACCCAAAGACTGGACCCACCCGATGCTCAAACATGGCTCAAGAATATCACATTACGGGTAGTTGAAGGATTTCTTCGATGGTATCTCGACAACCACAATGTTGAATATCAGTCCACATTCCTTGTTTTCGCAAGATATTTCAGAATGTATTGGTGTGAAGAAATGCGCCGCGAATTTTCTTACGATCTTCGTCGAAAGATGACTATGGTAAGTACTATCTTAAACCTTCTCAACGATAAATACTTACTATTGAAGCTCGTATGCACCACACTTACCGACGAGTACGAGCTTGATCTGGGTGGTAAAACGCAGCCATCAGTCAACATTGACGATCTCTTGTACTCAACCTATCACCTCCTTGCCGTGTGTGATATTGCATTCCCTACGTTTCGCTGCCAAGGCCAATTAAGCACGTTGCGGAAAATGATGACTTCTACATCAGCTCGACCTGGAACACTGGTTGAGTCTTCCGGCTATATGAGGAGTAACGATGCCTTGAAATGGAAGGATATTGAATTGTATATGGTGAAAAATCCCGACAATCCGACGTGCCAGGTGCTCCTCATGAGAGTCACACATAGGCTTAACAAAGGCAAGAGGAACAAAGGCGTACCGTAAGAAGCACAATCTATGAGAGACACGCACAATCCTGACAAAAGCAGACCTGTTTTCACCTACACAGAACGGAACGATAACCTGGGCCTTTGTGTTATTCAGGATATTCTTGAATATGCCTTTCTCGATAATGCTTTTGCTAGCGAGCGCATTAAATGTCCGCGAGATATTTGGAACCTCACAGAGGTCCCGGAGCACCGGCTTAGTACCCCTATTCACTTCAAAGAGGCTGTCAAAGAAATCCCAATCTTTAGAAGAGCTGTGAAGAATGAAGGGGGTCTTTGGATCACCGATCCACGACGCGCACTCAATTTTGGCACGGCGCTAGAATATGAAAAGTCTACAAGCATTTCAGCTGGGTCCAAACAAAAAGGAACTTTTTACAAATATCGGAAAGGGGCTGCTGCCAATTTAAGTACGAACAGATTCAACACGAATTTTCTCACTTTTCTCTGACCGTTATGCACTAACATTGCCACTGTAGGGCATCTGGATGAACATTCACGGAACGTCATAATGGGACATCAGCGGAGCGGTACATTTGCCTACTATGTCTCTGTCAGAGATGATACTCAATCTGCCTTCATGGAGACCCCTGCTAGAGATGCCCTACTCAAGCTTGCTTGCAACTCAAGCCTAACACGGGATGCATCCGCACCTCAGCATCTCACAGAGCCACAGAGGAGGTCCCTTGAAAACGACAAGGAGCTCGATCAATTGAAACGAGAGTGTCAAGCACTTCGGAACGACCTTATTGCTGAATTCCATCAACTAAATAAAGCAAAATGTGCTGATGCTGGACGATATAACGCATTTCTCATCCTTCAAAGGAGAGTCAAGGCTCGAAGGAAGAAAATTCATGACGAGGCGAAGGAAAGAGTCCGCAACGAGTTTTTTGAGAACATTGGGAACCACATTATCGACCAAAACTACCAGGGAACATCTGTGAAATTCCAACCGGACACGTCACATATACAGCCGGAAAGAAAAGAGCTCGCAGAACTTGAATTCAAGAACAGAGATGTTGACAACATCGATGATGCTGAGTTGATTGAAGACCGGATCCGGTCACTAGAGCTACGACTACGACTTCACGGACTCCATGTACCGAAGTCCCTACGAAAGCGAGTAAATTTTGAGTCCATGCCGGCTATCAAGACTGAACCGCAACCATTCCCAATGAAGAGCGTCACCGGCCTTGAATGTCCAGTGTGCTTAGGGGTCACCGATATACATCCCACGGCAAAGCAATTTCGATATTCCCGGAAGAACGGGCTGCAAAAGCATTTTAGAACCCATAAGCTTCCACAAATCTTTCCGAATGGTCGCCAGTGCGATATTCCTGGCTGTTCGGAAGTGCTGTTTAGACTTCCAGAGTACATGCTGCACCAAGCGGAGTGCCACCAAATCATTCTTTAGCGGATTGGCGCAGCTCTCGTTGTGTTCTATAGTCATTGAACTGAGGCTAGAGTGAACACTGCCAGAGCATAATAATGACCTATTGTCCATTGAATATTCCATAAATGTGATTTGTCTTTGCGTTATGAACATCAGCTACCTTCAGGATTACCGGCCCTATAATCAAGCCGTGCACTTGAAGTGTGGGGCCAAAAAGCAGATAAAAGATTCCAACAGTGGTCGAGTAAAGCGACCCTTCTTCATAATATTAATACTCACTTGGACTTATTGAAATCTTCGACTGAGATTTCCTATCCGCACCCTTGCTGCAAGAAAGAGCGTATCCAGATGTGTCTCATCTGCGACACCATTTCTATGATACGCACTCGATCGAAGAGCCGCGTATAAATTGTGTTAAGCGAAAAAGCCGCTGGATCAGTAAGGATGGTCCTGAAATGATAAATTAAACAATCTAGATACCATAGGTCGCATACAAAATTTTGTATACCTATCGGGCTCTTGCTTACTCCTTACTTTTATATATTTCCAGCATCAATCTCAAAGTATTGTTAGAGTCCATTGCATCCATCATTAACTCCACAATTCTCAACCCCTTTCCTGTCTTCAACTCATCCCTCACTATAATACCATCAGGCTCGGCCCACGTGCTCGCTCTCGCAGTAAAGACAAGATACGACGTATCTGATGTTTTCACACCAGTAAATGCAACCAAGCCAAATTCCAATATGTCTAAGACGGAAACAGAGGCGACCCATTGAGCTGATTTTGATAAAGCATCGCAGAGCTGACCGTCGCATTACGCAGGTCGAGAAGCTTATGCTAGGGAGATTGGCATAACTAGTCTACCTACTGCAAGAGTACTCCGCACCAATCAATTTTTCCTGACCTGATTATTCTAGATGACATAACCTCGCCAAAGGTCCCTGAATGATCTCCAATCCCCATGAATAAAAGTAAATATCATAATTCTGCTATCTTCAACAATGTTAATGGCGTGCATTGTATAAGTTAGCAGCTTCCTGGGCGTGCTGGATTGCCTCCTGCACATCCTCCATTTTTGCCGTTCGATCATATTGGTGATCGCTGTCTGCTCCATAGTGATCGCTGTCTGCTCCATAGTGATCGCTGTCTGCTCCATAGTGACCGCTGCCTGCTCCATAGTGACCGCTGTCTGCTCCATAGTGACCGCTGCCTGCTCCATAGTGACCGCTGTCTGCTCCATAGTGATCACTGTTTGCTCCATAGTGACCGCTGTCTGCTCCATAGTGATCACTGTCTGCTCCATAGTGATCGCTGTTTGCTCCATAGTGATCGCTGTTTGCTCCATAGTGATCGCCGTTTGCTCCATATTGGTGGTCGCCGTATGCTCCATATTGGTGGTCGCCGTATGCTCCATATTGGTCATAACCTTGGTCGTGGTAGTGGTTATGCTCGCTGATGGGCAATGGGACACTGTTGCCATTTCCTATTTCCTTGCCCTTGCCCTCGCCATTGCCATTACCATTGCCGCTGCCGACGTCGCCGCCGACGCCGCCATTGCCGATGCCGCCGCCGCCGTTGCCGACGCCGCCGCCACCGTTGTGGTTGCCGATGCCGCCGCTGATGCCGCCGCCGTTGCCAATGCCGCCGCCTAAAATGGGACCTATGGGACCTATGATAGGCAGTGTAATGATTGGCCCTGTCGCCGTAGTGGTCGACGTGGTAGTGGTAGTGGTAGATAGGGCAGTGGTCGATGTGGAAGTGGTCGATGTGGAAGTGGTCGATGTGATGATGGCACAATTCGGAAGAGTGATTGTATTGCTGTCCAGACTCACTTGCGCATTACGTGCAAGAAGACGTCCTTGAATTACCGCGTTTGTTTGAGCCGAGATAGATGAGAGTGCCATGAGGGTCCCAACGAAAGTGCTTGTTGTCCCGAGGGTAGCAGAACTTCCCACTTGCCAGAAGACATTGCAAGGTTGGGCACCATTGATCAGCAGCACTCGGGAGCCGCTGTAAGTAATGAGGGAGGAGTCGGTTTGAAAGATCCAAACCGCATTCGGGTCTCCTTGAGCGTCAAGCGTGAGAGTGCGACCGACTGTAATGGTCATTGGACCTCTACCTGGGACAGACTGATATACACCGGAAGTAAGGGTTAGACCACCAAGGTCTGTCGGTTCCAGCGTGGCAGATGGCCGACCAGCTGCATCATTATATGCAGTCACCAGATCCAACTGTGCTTGAGCTGCGCTGGCATCGGCAATGTGGATTACTCCTGGGGGAACTACTACTCCAGGAGGGAAGTTGGTGACAGACGTTCCCGGAGAGACTCCAAGATTGCCACCACTGTCAACAATCGTTGGGCCTGTGTTTGTCACTGCTTGGCCACCAAGAACCAGATAGGCCGCAGCCGTGCCCAGGCCAACTGGTGCCAGTGCATTGCTGAAGGTAGAGAAGAGGAGAGCGGAAGTGAGGAGCTTTAGGAACATGATTTTCGGTTTCCACAAATTCAATGCAATAAGTAAACTGGAGTAGTGATGTACATCGCAGTATGCCCCTTAAATACTTCCAGATTCTATTTTCAAGGAGGTCCTTGAATACCATGATTTTCCACATTCTATCAATGTAAATACAGTAATTCCCAAGGGCCCGGTCTTTTGCAATGCCAAGGCTAGGCTGAGATATGGCGCCTTATTTCGACCAAGGAGAATACTATAGAGTGAAATATGCCACTCTGCAAGGAGCAGGCATACTTAATCCCTCTTAAAGTACCTCGTTGGAGAGCTATAAGTTCATTCCAGGAAGTGGTACGCTATACGTGTACGCACACGCATACAGATAGTTGCAGTAGCCTGTAAATTGCTTCGGCAGTCACTTATAAATTACCTTACACGAGACTGAGTACATATTCGTGTTTTAGTCTAGTGGTAAAATCAACTTCGGCGAGGGGTCGGGTAAATGAATCCACAAATACAGAAACTATATGCAAAGAAATGAGCATCACTCTTGTTGGGCGCGTACTTTCAATATATATTTAAGGCCAATTAACCTTTTGATATTGACTGTTCATGTAAATTTTATTTGGCTGTAGAGAAGATATACAATTGAATTAACAATATTAGAAATTTGCTGGTATAAGAATAAAGAGAATAGAATACAAGCGATCAGGATTTGAGAGCATGAAGAAATGTCACTGCCCAAGAATGAGAGCAATAGGAGGCTGAAGCACGCGTTAGTCGAGCAAACACCCCTTCTAACAGTATTCTAGCTATAGCTACCAACCCTTGTCAGCTTGTTTTGCAGAATTTGAGTCGTGTCCAATGGAGGTCTCTTCGTACTTTTGTGATCCGACTGAAATCTCAGGAATGGGCAGAAGACACCTCTTCAAACAGTATTCTAGTTATAGCTACAAACCCTTGTCAGCTTGTTTTGCAGAATGCTGAGTCGTGTCCAATGGAGGTCGCTTCGTACTTTTGTGATGCGAGTGAAATCTCAGGAATGGGCAGAAGACACCCCTTTAACAGCACAATTGAATACTGTGATGTTCAGTGGCAAAAACCGAATTCTGATTTTTTGGGAAGAAGCCACAAAGAAGAACAATAATGGTTAGTAAGGCATTTCCGCATTCTGCGAGGCCGAGGACACCTTACTGAGTATGTGTTGTCAAGCTGGCCCTAGGTTGCTCAAGGTATGACAGCTGTCAAGATCACGTGCCGTGGGACGGGACGGAATTCGTGCGATTTAAGTAGTAGATATGCAATATTTCCAACGGTCAGAATGTAAATGCATTCCCAGACTGGTATGACCATTGTCGTCGGAGCTGGAGAGCCTTCCCCCAATCTTCGACGACAGCAGCCGGGGCCTTCCCCACCTTTTACTAAACACGGAATGCAGCTAAATTCATTCTGCCGGTACAAGTCGCCGAGAAACAGGATATCTCGCCAGTGTTTGCATTGACTGGTGATGGTTCGGGACCGTAAAGGATAATGGCGTTTTCTTGGAATGCGTTTGATAAGTGGTTGGTTAAAACCTCCACCAGGCGGCCGGTATCTCGAGTTCCTCAATTTCTTTACCCTACTACATCTAAAATCGCCCGTCCACGAAATCCCCGATCCCTTTCCCATTACTGTCGTCACAATAATGCTCCCACCGCGATGATTAACTCATATCTCCCGCAGCATTCAACACCGCTCAAAGAAGGCCGATCCCACCCACCATGTCCAAGGTTCAAAGGCAAAACAAGACGGAAATGCATGGTTTTGCGGACCATTCACCTCATTTTTGCAGCAGCGGGGTGCTTAATAATATCATACTTTGTCTTTTGGACTGGTTCTTCGGCTCCGGATGCAATGAGTACGCGGACGACTTTTAGCATGGCCAAGGACAGACTCTGGCGGATTCGACCCGCAATTGTAAGATCTGCGGAGGTATGGTGGCAGGGTTCAACATCGCAAAATACGTTTGAAGAAGAATTCATCGTAACGTCGCCAGTGGAACCGCAGGCCTATGTTGAGTCTGCACTGATAAAAGATAAGGATTCACAGCAATCTCTCCTGAAGACCTCTGAATATACCAAGAATACGGAGTCGAGGCATCCATTCCCGGACGACTTCGACACCGCCCTCGACTACCTCTTCTCTATAATTCCCAACGAAATGTACCTCCGAGAGCTCCTGCGGCCCGTGATAGGCACGGGTGTGGAGAAGCTGCGTGAGCTCGGTCTACGCACGCGCGCATACAGACAATTTTTCGAAGCCTGGGAGAAACTCCACCTCGTCATTGAAGACAATGATAATACCTACGTTCGGGACAATCTCGTCCCTTATATGCGTGCTAAATTCAGCGAGCAAACCTTTCCTGAGGCGCTCCACAAATACGAATCCTATCGTCACTTCCTCGCCAAATTCTCCGCGCTGTTATTTCCGTGGACGAGCCCATACTTCGGAGATCATATGAGCCTGCACATATCCTCACACCGTGGAGGTCGCGGCATCGTGTTTACGGCGGGCGACAACCACGCGCCCTTCCTCCTCGTTGCTATCCCTTCTCTCCGCACCCTTGGTTGCGAGCTGCCCGTCGAAATCATGTATCTCGGCGACAGCGACTTGAGCGAAGACTTCCGAGCCGAGCTCGAAGCTCTCCCTGGCGTGGTGACGCGTGACCTCTCCGCTATGGTCAGCGATGAGGGCTGGCGGCTCACCGGATGGGCCGGTAAGCCGTTCTCCATCCTCTTCTCGTCTTTCCGCGAAGTCATCTTCATCGACGCAGACTCACTGTTTTTCGTCAATCCCGAGGTGCTCTTCAATGACGAGGACTACATGCGCACGGGCGCCCTGTTTTTTAAAGATAGGATGATCATGCCCGAGAGCAAAAAAAGGTGGCTACAGCTGATCTTGCCAAAGCCGATTTCGAAACTGGTACGGCAGAGCAGGTTGTGGACTGGGGAAAGTGGGCATATGCAAGAGTCCGGTGTTGTAGTTGTGGATAAGTGGACACACTTTGTTGCCTTATTACTAGTAAGCAGAATGAATGGGCCCGATAGGGATGGGAATAAGATGGCGGGGATTGTGGGAACCTATGATATGGTCTATGGTTTGTCTCTCGTCCCCATTTTAGCTCATCCCGTCTATCTTACTAATACCAATGAAAACCTAGGCGACAAGGAGACCTTCTGGATCGGTTGGGAGCTCGCCGGCGACACCTCCTATGCTTTCCACCCTGGTGCAACCGGCATAATGGGCGTCGTTCAGGATCCCAGAAACTTCAACCCACCCAACAACCTAACCGCCTCGGACCTCGACCAGGGCTTTAACCAGGGCTTTACGGCTACCGCCACGAAACGATACCGCAAAATGGCACCTGGTCATGAAGCTGACCTCACCATCTGCGGCCCCCAACTCCTCCATCTGGACCGCGACAAGCGCCCTTTGTGGTTCAATGGGTGGCTGTACAAGAATAAGTATGCGGGAACTAAACAGGAGATCGGTCAGTTCGAGGTGTTTATGGAAGAGCCGAATGAAGTGTTGGAACCAGGAGCATGGCAGTTAGAGGAGAACAATGTGTGCTGCTTGTCAAATGCGGCGACACTGGATTTTACAGATAAGGAGACGGAGTGGCTGGGGAAACTGGTTAAAATGGCAATGATATGATAATATCGGCTATTTCATTTTTCCTTTCTCTTTTTGCTGCATGTCGATTGATCAGAGATAGTCAAAGTAGACGGTCCTTGCATGCAGCGTTTGCAATGAACTATTTGCGGAAGTCATGCTTTCAACTTCGTGCCGTTGAATTTCATTCGACTGTGATGGGTTTGAACTGAACGACGATGCTGGTGATTGGAAATTATTCCCGTTAGGCCATAACCCAACGCGAGCGATGAATGACAATGCGGAACACTCGCTTGATCCAGATCCGAAAAAGACTGAGGCGAAGCTGAGTATGACGCAAACTAATTTTGTCTTTCTGCAGGTATGGTCATCATCACCCTATCGTTGAATACATAGACATGCTTTCGAAAACAATGGGGGTGGTGGTGCGGGAAAAGGACGTGGGATGCGAGATGCGAGGATAAAACACTTACGAGGACGTCGGTGGATTAAATGAAAACGAGGGGATTAGAATTCCCACTAAGACAGCCATTTTTCGAACATCTTCTGCCAAGCAGCTGGGCGCGTCGAGCCGTGCCTTAATCTAAATCGTTGCCAATCGTGAACCCGGCTGACAGACTGATCCACCCCGCCCCATTCATGCAACCAATCACAGAGGCTTATTACCCGCTAACTTCAGTACTTCAGTATCGTGCCTTGTGCGAAGGCGATAGAGTTGGTTGAGTGAAGCACTCAACCTCTTGCATCTGCACTCCACACATTGAGAGTCGCAGGCCTCCTGTTCACAGAAATGGCGATATCTAAGTCACTTACGCCATGTCCTTACGTTTACCGAGTAAGCGCCCTGCCATAGCTGGGGTCAGCTTGGTTGTTGATTTTGTATTTGCTATTCCTTCAGTCACGTAAAGCGCGGTGATGGGAACTTGCATAAAGTTGAGATCCTTTGGGGCCAGAGTCCCTTGAACATTTATAGAATCATATTTATCAATGATAATTCCGCAGAAGCTATACCAGTGCTGCCGTCGATGTCAGATTTGCTATATTATTCAATATATAGAGCGCGACAATAAAACGCCTCGCGAGTGTCGCAACGCTTCGGAAATATACAAGAGAAACAAACAAAATTTTTCCCAAATCAGCTGCCAATGATTTTTTTGAAGGCGCTCTTACGAGTGATATACTAGCCTATTCTGGGGCTCCGAGACAGAAAATAAGGCAAATTATGGATATGTGTGCTGATGGCAACCCTCAGTTGATATTTCTTTACGTGCAATGGTTGGTAGGGTATCTTTATTATCAGACCCGTTTAATCCCTACTGCCGTACGCCAAGAGTGGTTTCATAGCCGTTCAGCTTGGGACTGGAATTTCCTTTTCACTAGACTACGATCGTTACCGTTACTAAAATCTACTTCTCTTTGGGCATTCCGCATTCCCTATCTGATAGAGCGTCAATCGCGTGGCATTTACTAATCCCAGGTTTTAAAGTAGCAATCATTATGTCAAAGTAGCAAAAAGTGGGCAGTAAGCAGGAAGAAGAACAACTTTTCACTTGAAAGCTGTCTTGAGAGATCATTGGCTTCAGAGCTGGCAATATTTGGGTCGCATTCATTTTCGGCGTGGGCTGAGAAGCAGGCCGAAGTTTGCCGTGCTGGAGGGATCGGCACAGTTGTTGGTTTCGTTGCTGTTGCATAGCCGTCATTAATGTCAAGCGAGGTGATAGGCACTTGCATCCAATTAAGGTCTTTTGGGGCTAGGGTCCCTTGAACATTGATGGTACCATATTTTGCGTGACAGAATGCGTAGGTTGTTCCTTCGATATTGCATGAGACGGATGCTGTTCTATCGCACTTATGTTAGGCCACGATATCTCTCGGCAAGAAGAATAGACAAGAAGTAGAGACCTACCGTCCATGGCTATCAATATTAGCTAATTGAGCGGAACTAATGGCGCTTACAGCGGTGAGTTTGTTTCCTGGTATTCCGCAGGACGCCTGGTCTACACTTGGAGGGCAGGTAACGAGGTATGTTTTCGACCCGTCGTTCTGGGAGTTGTGAGCTGCAGAAACAGAAGTAACCACACATGATGAGTACCTCTTTGATCAGCCCTGCTTGGAGAACATGACCTTGGAACCCCGGCAACAATAAATTGACGTCGCGATTAACCGTAGGTGAGATGGTCGGACGCAGGAAACAAAGATAGACAGCAAATGCTGCAGGTAAGATCAAAAAATTCATAACTGAAGAATTACAGTCTAGTAGCCAGGATACGTATAGAACTAGAGAGTAGAAAGGTAAATTGATAGGGTAAATTGATTTGGAGAAAGGCAATGGGGGCCAGGTGCTTTTATAGGGTGAGCCGTCCCCCAGTCGGTTTGCTATTAATGAAGGAAAGAGTACATCTTCTTGCAAACCATATCAATTCAGGACAGTAATAGAGGTCAAATGCTTTTTGGTTCCTCAATTACCCACAGAAATGAGAAGGAAAAATCGTGGTCTTTTCAACAGGCGCTAGATAGATCAAAGCTTTAGCCAAATTAGGATTAGCGTTATCCACATCAATCTACATGTGCCGATCATAAATGGTGCACCCACCATGGCCCGTTCAGAGAGGGTAGGAGTCTATAGCTAGCGGGAATGCGCCCGCTGTGGTATCCCTGACTGCTCTAGCAGCCACTACAAGTCTATGTAGCCATAACGGAGCGGATTTCCATTCCATAGAATAGACTATCTTACACACTCTGACTTAGCTTATGCTTTTGGTGCTTTTGGCTGTTTATGTTCTACGGGACGCAACTGGTGGTGTGGCACTGGATGCTGTTAGCGGCACACAAAATATAGTCTATCGGTGAACTTGTGGCTGCCCAGATTGAATTTCAAGGCTCAATGAACAGATCATACTTGGATAGGCCGATCATGTAGGCATTGTATTAGATGAATAAATCTATGAAGACTGTAGAGACCATAAATTGGTGTGAGGATTGAAGCACGGCAACGAAATCTTCTTGTCTGTGACATCTGGAGACAATTGAGATTTAAAGCCGCTTCCTTCGGTCCTCCCGTAGAAAAAGAAACAAGGTTCACGTTGACACATAGCAAAAACATCCTTCAGAGGAAAAGTTTTGAGCGAGAGTGTGTCATTAACAACTTTAGCATACCATCGAAGATCGAGATCATTGATCACATCTGGTAATTTATCCGCAGTTTCTGGCCGAAGAAACAAAGCCTCGCGCGTTGCTACTTCGAAAAACACAACGCCATTATACCGAGGTAGCTTTATAAATGACGCATAGAAATCGTCAGGAGACATATTGACGGTACATTTGCAGGCAGTTGGTGACATTTGCAATATTTGAACAGCGTCATGGGAGTTTGCTAGACCTGAGTCAGGGAGTTGTATAACGGCCTGCGCTTGGATCATTCCCTCTGTGGGAAGGATCGTAGCTTGTGGAGTAATTGGTAAATTGCTGTGGTGAATAGCAACTTGATGGTCTTCTTCCATGCTGGTATCTTCAATATCTTGTTGAGGCACTACTGGTGTGTCATGGTTGCTATTATATGCTGTAACTTGGTTCCTTTCTGATTCAATATCAGTATCACTCATGTCAGGGAAAAAATGATTGGAAAATGTCCCGTTTGACTGCAAATGAGGTCATGTTCTCTTGAGCTGGGTGGTCTGCCGAGTATATATACTCCAAGAACAAATACTTCTGATCCAGAAAATATGTTTCTGTGTCTGTCATTCCACAGCGGCGCTCAAGGCTCCAGGTTTCAGGTTTGTCCCAGCTTTGAGTAGGAGATGGGCCTGCAGCGACTTGTGGTGTCATTGAACAAAGGAACGATGCGACTTTAGCGCTCCACTCGGAAATATTATTTTCTTCGTGCGCAAAGAGCTCAGGGGGTCGGAGACGGGTGAGGAGTGTTCGAATAGCAATGAACTCTATCGAGTTTGTTGCGTGACTCTTTCTAGATCCAGGGAAGACGAATCCAATCTTGCCAAGGAGGATTCTAAGGCGTTGCCATAGCTCTGATCTATCGGCGCATCGGGACCTTGAAATTTGACTGAATCCGAGAGGTTGCGAGTCAGTCATTCCACAGAAGTGACGCATGGCAAACAGAAATATCTGGCGATATGCAGACCAGAAGCCAAAATCACTAGTGCGCTTTCTTTGAACGAACTCGTTTTCTAGCAACTGCACCTGGAATTGGAAGTCCTTGGGACCGATGTAATAACGAAGCATGGTCTGGCGGATGGTGCCTTTGATTCTCATCGGAAGCACCTTTTTGATAACATCGGTCATTGCTTTGAGATATTTTGCGTTTTCCAAGAAGGTTCTGAGAGAGGGGATGATTTTTCTGTAATTCAAGGCAGCATGCAACAACTGCGATCGCACAGCCGGGTCGCAGGCCATCGGAAATGCCAAGCCGTCTTGAAAAATCTGGTTGATATATCGGCGGTCAGCCATTGATAGTCGAGGGCAGCGTCCCTCTAGCATTTCAAGAGTCGCTGTGTCAAGAAACTGAGGGTTATGGCAGGTGAGAGATTGCCAAGCACAGTTGACCTCTGCTAAGGAATCTGCGAGCTCCTATTGATGTTAAATGTGAACAGACTCTCATAGCGTGACTTCCTTACCTCTGGACATTTAAGACTTCCTAGATGGGTCCCCATATACCACGAGGTCCATAAAGCAGGAAAACGAAGAAGCGCATCCAGCCTCCTTCCGAGGCAACGGAATTCGTCCTGGGTACTCTTTGGATCGTAAATCCGGTTAAATTCCTTGCATTTGGTTGGTGACCATCTTGCAAGCCATTCTTTAGCAGCATCTATCTCTCCCCTCTGTTGGTAATGGCGAATGTTCCGGAATATTTCCCCGTCGCTGAACGTATGCGACCTCGAGTCACATTCCCGCAGTCTCCTACGGCAGTCATCGTTCAGCTTTTCGGCGTCGTAAAGGTTGAAAATCCACCAAATGTCATTTGGTTCTAACCATTCGCGAGCAGCAGCAATGCGATGTTTTCCTTGGAAGCAATGCAGGTTCCAGCCGTCTGGCAAGGTTATTTCTTTTGGATCGCTGTCACTCAAGTCTCCGGCCACCAGCGGCTGGAGATCCGAGAGTTTTATTTCACAAGGAATCCAAGTTAGTGGATCCAGTCGCCGGCAGCCTTCGTAGTCAAATCGATGTAGAAGGCTATCGACATTGGATTGTCTGAAGCCTCGAGAACCGAAAATATCGATGTCATCGAAGAGGAGCTGATTAAGCTGGTGGAGTTTGACAGAACCAATTTCGGCTGCCGACAATTGGCGAGCAATTATCAAGTCGTTAGATGCCATGGAAACAGGAATGTTCTAAAGTGAACCACACAGTAATTGTAACCTTTCAGTCGACGGTGAACGTCTTTGCAGAAAAGTGAAGGGAGGAGAATCCTTGTCACGTTGGATTTGAAGATTCGATAGCATGTCGAAGGTAAGTAGCACCGAGCTGTGCTAGAGCGGCTTGCATTTTCGAGGACTAATTAGAAGTGTGAATTACAATGGAAAAAATGTCTACTCCACTTCCAGAAGATGGAGTTTCCTTCTGACCACGATTTCCCTTCTGACCACGATTTCCCTTTTGACCACGATTTTCACCCCCTAGTTCTCGATCAGCCGTAGGGCCGACCACGCTTTCCCCTATCAAGCTACCACAACCAACTTCTCTCGATCGGCCAGATCGTAGGGCAGACCACGCTTTCTCCCCTCTCTACGCTACCACAGGTAAAGCTAGTTCTCTCGATCGGCCAGGTCATAGGGCCGACCACGCTTTCCCCCTTTCTCTAAGCGACCACAGGCAAAGCTAGTTCTCTCGATCGGCTAGGTCGTAGGGCCGACCACGCTTTCCCCCTTTCTCTAAGCGACCACAGGCAAAGCTAGTTCTCTCGATCGGCTAGGTCGTAGGGCCGACCACGCTTTCCCCCTTTCTCTAAGCGACCACAGGCAAAGCTAGTTCTCTCGATCGGCTAGGTCGTAGGGCCGACCACGCTTTCTCCCCTCTCTAAGCTACCACAGGCAAAGCTAGTTCTCTCGATCGGCTAGGTCGTAGGGCCGACCACGCTTTCTCCCCTCTCTAAGCTACCACAGGCAAAGCTAGTTCTCTCGATCGGCCAGGTCGTAGGGCAGACCACGCTTTCTCCCCTCTCTAAGCTACCACAGGCAAAGCTAGTTCTCTCGATCGTCCTGATCGTAGGGCAAACCACGATTTTCCCCCCTCCACTAAGCAACATGCTTCCTCCATCTTCAAGCCTACCACAAGCGAAGCTCCTTCTCTCAATTAGCCCGGCAAAACACTCTTCTCCGTGCAGGGCTGCTTTCGATTAAGCCTGTCGTAGTGTGGACCCTGATCTTCCCTCATTTCATGCGACGTTGTGACCTAGAGGGCACAATCTGGATTGAATGTATGGGATTAAAATTGCGGATCTAGATACATTGGATGGAAGGCCATCACCCTGAAGAAAATCATGAGAATTTATCAGACAGCGTGTGCTTTTCCAGCCCACAATGTTCCCTTAACTTGGCTCATTGTTCCCATGACTTGATTGGTCCCCCCTCTGGTGCCCAGAATCCTCCCTGTGCCGGGGCAGGTTGAAATTCCGTTTCAAAGAAATCAATCTTTTTCTTTTGCTTCAAAGCGAGATACCGACACATGTCTCGTGTTTGTGGGTCAGCGGAAACTGAAACATCAGATCAGTCTTTCACAAAGGATTTACGAAATAGAGTATTGATCCTTACCGACGAGGAGAAGTTTTCTTGGGCACAATTCAACTTCATTTTTGAGAATGTCTTTCAGATCTGGCTTTCCGTAGAACTCAAGACCACGTCTTCCGCTTTCGGTTATAAAATCCCCGTTGCCTTTCGTAGAATAGCCTGTTGGAGGGCTTGAGTTAACAAATAAAGCCCAACGGAGAACCTTATCTAGATCAGTATAGACTCCATAGCAGGTGCAGGGGGCTGGGCCTCACCAACTCCGGTTTGTCCAAGTCGAGCAATTGATTCATATAGTCACAAATCCATTCATCATGGGCTATTTATTGGTTAATTTCAATGACTTTAAGCTATACCATGGTATCATACCTTGTTGGTCGACTTGCCAAACCAGGCAAACTCTTCTCAAGCGATAACCACGATCCTTTCGCATAATCAGCTCCTTTAGATAAGCAAGCTGTGCTGAGATTCCAATGCCAGTAGCGATAAAGACAAAGTTGTCATAGTGAACTGTATCTTTCGGTTTGCCGTATGGACCATCGAGAAGAATTCGCAAAGAATTATATGGACAAGACTCTAGTCGCCTAGTGAAACCTGATTCAACCTTAGCAAGCACTGTTATGCGACTAGCTTTCTCGTCTGTGTTGTTTTCCTCCCACCAAAGAATATTCAGTGGATGTGACTCTGCGAATGAAAGAAGGCGAACAGCAGGGATCCTCAGATAGATATATTGGCCTGCACGGACCTTCCAAGGACGAGTGGGAGTGAATGATAACAGTACAGCCCCTTCCAGTTTCTCTTTTTCGGCGACAGCCAGACCCCGCCCGTTACGGTAGACCTGATATACGACCTGTATGAGCGTAGTTAGACCAAGGAGCCCAAGGCTCCCAATCAGGAGATATCCGTCAAGATCAAAACGATTCTTCAAGTGAATCCAGAGAGTCACGATGGTAAAAAGACCTAAAACGATGTGCAAGTTGATACAAAACTCATATGCTTGCCGACGAATCCACGGCAACATCAGCAGCCACACAACCCCCGCAGAGATAATTGCCTAGAAATTAGAACATAGTAGCCATTGTGGGTGTTTCTCAAGTACTCACAGTCAAGCCGAAACGCTGGAGAGCTACCCGCAGGTCGAACGACGTGACCTGGAGAGCTAAAATGACATGAAGCAGGCTCTGAAGGACTCCCATGATGCCCACACTGACGTGCAGTCGACGATGAGTTTGTAAAGTCACATTAAGAAAAGCGGCTCCGAAGCTTAGTCGAGGAAATACCGCTAAGGAGGCCATATGCAGCGTAGCAAGTGACCCTGCCCGGGACCTGGCTGCAGTTAAGTCATGTACACCTATGATATTGCATGCTATGGTGCCGGCGAAATGTATGACGTGGAGAATTGCCCAAAGTCTGGTCATCGGTTCCCATAATCTTCGTCTTCGAAAAAGATGCGGCAGCAAGATGTGCTTCGAGATGAAATTGTGGACACGTCCAGATGGATACAGAAGAAACTTCAAAGTCATCACCAGATATCTCTTGAGACCGAGTAAAGTGGCCAAAGCGGCCACGATATATAGATAAAGAATGAAAACATCCATATTGGACAGGCACCGTTTAAAAAAAAATTACAACAAAGACCCGTAGATAAGAACCGCGGTTGTTGGTATTTAAAGTTTCTCGTTGGGGGCAGGGCTGTTGACCACGGTTTTCCCGTTCAGGTTTCCGTGGTCAACTTCAATCCTTAAAAAGTACACCTCCTTTGATCCAAATGTTGTTAATCACATCCATGGAAAATGACGAGCAATCTTGATCGAAATAACCGCGTATCCAGGTTCCCAGGAACCAAGGACGGCGAATACCCTGCAAAAAGGCCATTGGCATTGGTGGATCTTGAATCAGCAGCAGTTGAAGGAACCCAAGAAAGTGTACAGAGGCTTCACAAGCGGCCAGCACTTTTAAAACAACTCGCAAAATCTGTCACCAATCCTCAAGAGCGATACCGAAAAAGCTTCAGGATCAACCAGGCCGGATGGGGTTACGTTGTTCACTCAAATGACTCGACCTTCCGGGAGGGTATCCTGAAGTCAGTGAAGTCGTCACGAAGCGAGCTCTCTAAGATTATAAACAATCCCCACCGCAATATTGTACATTTGCAAGAAGCCTTCTCTCATGACGGCCAGGTATACTTCATATATGAGGTCATGGATATTTCTTTGGCTCAGATCTTTAGCTCTCCGCTTGGACGGCTTCAACTCTTTGAAGTAGCAGCCTTTTCAAAGGAATTACTCACGGGGGTTCAACATATTCATGACTCTCTGAAAATCACCCACGGGGACCTGAATTCAAACAACGCCCTTTTATCAGTGACTGGCGAGGTCAAGATAGGTATGTACATTAATGGAATAGTGCGTGGCATGAGCTGATAGTTACCAGCCAATATAGGTACCTCGATGCTGGACAACAGAGACAGAACAGATTCGCAGAGCGATGTCAAAGCTGTTGGCCAAATTGTTCTGGAATGCCTCGAGCCGAGTACGTTTTTACGGAACGGAATCTCCTTGGTGAACACATGGCCAAGTAAGGCTTCGGAATTTGTTGAGTCGACAAAGTCAGATTCCGCAAAAAGGCTATTAAAGGTACGGTCTTCATCATCATGAAAGTTACATGCCTAATTCTTATTTAGCATGACTTTCTTCAATTATCACCGGGGCCATCCTGTCTTAAGCCCTATATACGCTTCGGTCGAGAGGTAGCGGCGAAGGAAGTGGAAGTTTTAGAATGTTGAAATATTTAAGGGACGGTGATTCTAGTGCCCCGTGTTATTGAGATATTATGCTCCTCAGAAAGCTGGAATATCAAATTTGCAGGAACCTAAAACTACAGCCTCGATATGCTCTATTTTAAAATCGCCAAAGCGCGGTATGCCCTAAGGTATTCCTACTGGTATGAATGCGTGTCTCGCTGCCTGAGCTGCAACAACGAATGATACAAGTGAGACTGACATGTAAATACGAACACAATATTCGATACAAGATTAATCTGTGATCACCCGGCTTTACTCAGGTTTTGGATGAAGATGACTAAAGATGTATTTATCAAATCTCGCGCTTGCTGCTATAATGTCCGTTCAACCTCGGATCTACAGGCCCAACAAAATGCCAATCAAACTCAGAATAGTCCCCGTTCCCTTCAGTTCTTGAATTGAGTTTTATCCACGGATGCGTATGCAGGAGGGTAGGCGGGAGGACATTCATTCTCATTCGGCATGGGCTAGAGGCTGGTTAGCTCACTGATAAATGATCTGGTGTAAAGCCTGTTTTATTACATTATAGTAGTTGCGTGGCTGTGGGAATGTGGTCTGATAATATCGTGTCTTGCCGCGAGAGTGACGAACAAGCGTTATCTGAAACATGACCAGCCCCATCGATTCGGCAAACCCACTGATCTTGGTGGCAAGCGTAGATAGGATTCTCATTTTGGAACCTTTGTAATTTGCAAGTGTAAGGGATTCTTATATACTGGATATGAAGAAAGGCTGTTGGCGGGTTGAGGGGCTGGTCTTAAGACACTTTAAGGGATTTCAGCGGATGACGTGCTTTGTAATGAGAGGACATTACTTTCCCCAAAGGACCACGATATTCCGCTATGGACACGATTTTTCCAAAATGACCACGGTCATCAAAGCGCACAAGATTCGCAAACTCGAGAAAGCAATTGCTGGTCTGATTAAATACGATAGTTTCCTGTGTCCTATTCGAACGAACGATCCCAATTTCATATCGCACATTTGCTTTGCCATGCTGAGCATTATTTCTAGAATTGCCAGAGGGTTCGGCTTGCTTGCTGTCCACCTCACTATAGTCCGTCAACATGAGGGCGCAATGCGCATTTTTGAGTCTTCCTTCCCACGAGATACCATCGTTGATGTATGCTCATATCACATCATCTTCGGCCGCGCAAGCTAACCACAAACCACAGGTTGATGTCCACTTGTCCATTCCATACGAAAATCGATCTCCTAGTGAATTTCAGGCATACATGGATGTTGTTTGAGGCATTGAAGGATTTGTATATTTGATATGCACTCATTCATTATCCATAGCCATTTTGGCTTCCAGATAAAATATGTGTACAAAGATGTCTATCGTTAGTTTTCCATTACAGTGATATTTTTTTATGTTCAGCGTTTGCACTGTTAGCGCTCATGACAATCATGTAGGTAGTATCCAGCACCCATTGACCTCGTTTCTTACCCTTGTCGGTTATGGCACCTATTTGAAGCCGATCCAGTAGAATTATAACACAATTGCGATTTAAGAGTGGTGAAAAGCCGATCGATATGACGCAGGAATGCCGTTAGAGCCTACACCTAGGGCTACCAGTGAAAACAAACATGATTCCAGTTGTGCGAGAGATGTCTGAAGATTGTGATAGCTAATGAAAGCTGGACTAGATTATGTCACCAAACAATAGTCTTGAACAGGAGCCAATCAGCAGTCGTCATTTAATCCTCCATTCAGCCCCACCGCTCATGTTCCTTAACAATCTGCCCCACCCACCACTGACGACCAGCATCAGGACCGATCGAACACTTTGATATCGAACTCGCCGTCTGTTGCAGAAGCTGGAGGTTCTTCCAGCATACATCCCAGATTTTTCAACGTCTCCGTAACATGCTCAATCCATGGGTTGAGAGACTCAATGTGGTACTTTCTGATTGTCTCGAGAGTCCTTGAAGTAATTAGTTGTGAAGTGATTTTGTATGCGTTAGTGTACTCACGTTCTCAATGCTTCGACTCTGAGAGGTATTAGCATATGTAAAGTCCAAGTAGACAAGGGACCTACTCAAGATTCAGCTTTTCCTGCTGCACCCTCTGTTGTTCGAGAAGACGCTCAACCCAAAGCATAGTTAGTGCTTGGTCATTCTCTGGCGCCGAGCTTGCGATCGAAGAGGCGTATCCATCCTCCTCAAGAGGTGGAACGTCTGATATTGGTGGTACTTCTTCTTCCTCGATAGGCGGAAGAGGAGGAAAGCAAAGGAAACTTCCATCTTCGCCATTCCCAGGAAGTAAGGTTGGATCAAAGAAAGTGTCGAACAGTCCGGGCCCACTGCTCTGCTCTATGTCGTTAAGAAGGCGTTGGAATTGCTCGTCTGTGATATTCTCCATAGTTGAATTTGACAAGGCTAATGGAAAAAGCTGAGAGCATTAACGTACTTGCACCTCTTTTATGTCTCAAAGTGTTTTGTTAAAAAACGGTGAAAACCGTGGTCTCTTGGGGATGAATCGTGGTCCATAACGGAAGCGATGGCTTCCTGGCGGCACGCTCATGAAATTATCACGCAGCCATCATGAGTCTGTCACACAGCCATCATGAGTCTGTCACGCAGCCATCATGAGTCTGTCACGCAGCCATCATGAGTCTGTCACGCAGCCATCATGAGTCTGTCACACAGCCATCATGAGTCTATCACGCAGCCACATGTGTCCGGTACACATATATCATACAGTGGCGCGCAACGGCTATCAATTTATAGGAATGCTCCACGGAGCTTTAGAGGCCATTTCAATTTCCTATTATATCGATTTTGTCCAAGAAGCAGGTTGTGTTTAGAAGCAGATTACCCTTAGGCCTAACGGTAATCATTTTCCAGACCTGAGTGGGACAAATTACTAACATATAGAAAGAGCAAAATTCTCGCTAGAATGGATCCTACGAAATTAGTGGAAGATCTAATGCGCCTACAAAAGGCACACGTGGAGGATGAGCGATTGATTGATGAATTGAAAAGGCAAAACCAACACCTAAAGAAGATTCTGGAGGAGTACAACGCAGCCCTATCACGATGCATTGCTATCCTCAACCAGAATAGAAAATGAGGTCATATGTCAATATACTTCCTTTTTTTGGACTTTCCTGATTCCGGGCCTTCGCAGGCAGGACACCCAGGTCTTGGATACACCCTGTGATTTGGCGACCCGAAATTCCCGTCGATTCCTTGTTGATCAATGAACCACTGCATGTTGTTTGGAAACCCACTGAGATGACGCTGTTTTCCACCAAATTGAATAGATATTCCAATATTCTCGTTCAAGTCTCTAACGATAAAGCGCACCCGTCTGCAGTATCGGTTGCAAGAATAACAGATATCATCTGGGGTCAGATGTAGCCCTAAGTTCATATTATCCTTGTAGAAATCCTTTCGTGATGAGTCAAAGCCATCTATCCAGTTGATTGCATATTGTGCAGGAGCCCGACAGCGTATCGTACCGACACACTGTAAGAAACCCGAATAAAATTGAGGTCTGGAATCCAGTTGAAAAAAGAAGGATGTGGCGAGCAAAGATGTGATTGCTTCCAGATGTTTCTGTTGCCCGGACGGGTTTGAATGCACCAACTTCGACAACTGATCCATGCAGTCTGTATTGTCCATGCTGGGTAGGCCACTGGGAACTGACAAGTCAAATCTGAAGTAATCATCTCGAGATTTATCATCTAATAAGCCGAGAACCTCCCTCCAGCCGCATTGACCTTCAAATGACGACGAAAACGAACGATAGATTCGCGGCACCCATCCATCAACGAAGATGTTGCGGAACCGGGAAACTGTTTTTGGGGCGTCGGCTGCGGCCGACCCCGTGCCAAGTGAAATAAAGACGTCTGGATTTGGAGAGTTTGGCCAAAGATGTTTCGCTTCTGAGAGTGCTAGGTTTATGGGGTTATTATGTCTTCTTATTCCGCCGTCTTGGAATGTGCCGAGACCCGGAATGTCAATGGTTGGAAACAGACTGTCAAGATTAGCAAATAGCCACTTGAGAAATCAATATTCAAATACATACGATGGAGCCGCTGATGTGGCGCGAGCCCTGGAATCAGTTAGATGAGAATTCCAAAGGACTTGGAGCATAGGAAACTCACACTTGCCATACAAATGGCTCGGTCTCGTTATCGGGCCGTAGTCTTCCATATGCTTGAACTTTATTAGCCTCTCTGCCGATATTTTTGCATTAAATTGCTTACCTGGTTCTGCTCTATGAGGTGCCGCCCCATTATAGTTAGTAAATATGAAGGGCGCTCCTTCTTTGATTTCGCTCGCAATAATTGCCACTTTGTTTGACGATATACACGCTTGAGGTGTATCGAACATCCGCCGTGTGGGAGTGTAGTGTTCCTTGAGAGCATCCTCCAGAGTCATAACATCGTATAGGCCATCCGATAGCCAAGAGCGAAGGAGTGGCTTCTTTCGGGCTAGAACCTTTTTCGCTAGTGCTCGGAAAAGTGCCTTGCAAGATTGGATGTCCATTCTGAGCATGAATCTTGATAGAGCAATCAATCCGCCAGAGCTACATCCAACGGCCAAATCGATCATATCCGAGAGTGGAAGCTCGGGTCCAAGATAATTCTGCAAAATCTCGAGATTTTCGAGTGGAATGATTCCTCGTGGCCCACCACCGTCAATACTAAGAACGCGGGATGCAGCCGTCGGTGGCTTCAGTCGAACTGTCAACGGTTTCGAAGCCCCACAGAGAGGACAGTGGGAAACGATGTGCTCTTCCTCCCTGAGTAACGATAATTCTCCAAATATCTGAACGCATATGTCACATATTGCGTGACCACAGGGCAAACTGTGCTCCGGGCTTCGCCTAACACATACTAGACACGTTCGATTTGATCGAAGCGCTCCCCAGTAATTGCTTTGGTCTTGAAGGTTCTCCAGGTGAACCTGGGCAGATGAGTGGGAACCTAGCGTCATATGCTCAAACAAAGCATCAATGCGGTTTTCAATTCGATCACACTGAACTTGTGTAAGTTCAACTGTGCTGTATTCTTTGCGGTGTACCTTGTAGCAGATATCGTAATAAAGACTGCGGAAAACTTTGCGAGGGCAAAATACTGGTCCTGTTAGCATGAGTATTACCTATGAAAAGAAGATAAACTTACGATGCATTCCAGGTGGATATGCGTCCATTAGAATAGCAGATGCAATGTGGGATGAAACACCTTCATATGGAATTCTGCTCTTTCCAGCTAACTTGAGAAACTCAGCAAGGTGTGAGCTAAATGACCCATTAAGTGGATTCTGTTGTCTTGTAGCTCTAATGAAGTCAAACTGAGACAAGGGAGACATGCAGACGTTCTCCGTTGCTAATTTGAATAAATCGCCGAGATGAGTAGCTGAAAATAACACTTGCTTCTGTATGCGAGCGAAGCGTGCGTCATGGAGTTGTCGCGATATGTCCGCCCTCAAAGAGAGAAACTGTGCACTAGACGATAGTTCATCTGAAGGTAGACGACAAAAGCGGATTTCCGTAAAAGACTCATATAGTGAAGGCTCTTTTGTCTGAAGGTCAAACAAGAAGTCCTGCTCGTCGAGGACATCCTGAGTCACACTCTGGGCTTGCTGACTGACTACCACAATAACCCTGGGGCGGACAGCATATGGCAATGAAGATCCGGATCCAATATGTGCCCAGGTTAAAAGCATATCTTGCACAGCATTTAAGCCTCCAATATCCTCTTCGAATATGCAGACCACGTCCACAAACATGAAGAGGAGACGGCTGAAAATGAGATCATGGATATTAAAGGGGAATGGTAGAGACTGGAGCGGATGCACGTGGTCTTCATGACACGCTCGAGGTGAACAAGCTTCTTGTACAATCTTTGATGTCGGATCACAGTCAGCGAAGAATCTGGGATGCAATGCACGTAAAGAACGGTTGTCGGCGCGAATGTTTATAGCATTCTTGCGCCTAAGTCCTTTGTATTTGCTATCGCAAAGCGTTCTTAGCGCTTTTTCCTTCAGACGACGACCCAAAAAAGGGTTATCTGAGGGTATTGTTCTGACGGACTAGGGCAGTCTTGAATGATCTGGGGCAGTCGCCAGCCATGACTCAGCAAAGGCCCTGCCTCGCCTTCCCAAAGCTCGAGCCATGCGGAATGGTCACACTTCGCCATTATCCTTGAAAAAAGTAAGCGAGATGGTTGGGATGGCTGAACTGTTAGGGAGTTTTTTCAGTTATATCTTACAGGAACCAGTTTGACCACGGTTCCAGATCTCAAACTGTGGTCTCTCCAAAAACCATGGTCTCTCTAGAAAGCGTGGTCATTGAAGAACTATAGCCATCAGAGAAGCCACGGCGATCATGGAGGCAGAGGTAAGGCGAGGATCTACCGGGTGACTGGATAACCTCACCTTTCCCTCAAGGGACTATCAACGTTCGGCGCTTAGGGCCGCCATAGTAGTAAGGTCTTGAGGACATATCTCTTGGAACACAGGTCTGAAATCTGTGACCGTGGAGGAATTCCATTTCCGGTCATCTCCGGTGGCGCAGGTTTTGTACCAGTCTTTGTGAGTGAGGGAGTGTGATACGCAATTTACAGGGGCTGTGCAAACAGCAGGCCTGTTGGTTGTTGTTACCCAGAGAACAAAAGGTGATAAACAGTTAAAAAAGGCCTAAAATTTTCAATTTCGTGATAGGCCCTCCAGCGTGGGACTTTTGACAGGCCCTAGCATACTCCCGCGATCTGGTCTACGATACTACTCTATAGCATCCGAAAGCAGTTTAGCATTGAGAACCTGTTGGTTTTCGGAAGTGCATCTGAGCCGTTAGCAGCGCAAAGCTAGTCCGAGAGAATAAGCGCAAGACTGTGCAGCGCCAACAGCCAATCCCAAATGACGGCGGTTTATTGTTATACGGACACATATGATATATGTTAATGCCGAACTCGTTCAGCTCGAACAGGATCTACAAGGCTTAACGCCAGCGGTTAGCTGGGAGCGAAGATCCGAACCGTTAAAAGAGCCCCAAATCCCAGCATAACTCCGAGGTGTCCATCCGGAATATTAGAACTAGAGTTCAGCATTACACATATTCTATGCCTGTCTTCAGGAACGCGCGCCAATTTTAAATGTCCCATAGCAGGGCCGTCTGCATACTCGGATAATCGTGTGGCCCGTCGAGGGTAATGAAGGCTTTCCATCAAACTTTTCAAGGCTTCCATTTCGTCCCTCGTGCAGGTCACATGATTGTCTGATGATGCAGGTACCCCTGTCCTGAGTCACATTACTAGGCGGTTGTGATATTGTAAGACATGCATAAGCCTAAATGGGGCCATTTCACCAGGATATTGAGGCTGATTTCACGTGATTGGCCGATGTGGAAGCACTCCTGCCCTCAGGGCAAACCTATGATTCCACGAGGGCCTCCGCAAGAGACCAGAAGACCCACGCGTGACCCCTTCAAATATGATCATATTCATGTAGTTGCGCATGATGTGCTTTGGGCCCAACTATTACATCGCCACCATATTTTTCATTTGCCGGGAACCTCCAATTTGCCTCAGTGGCCGACATTTTTGAACGGGGTCGCCGACCCAAGGCTTCGGTTGTCTTACGTACTGGTATGGCTACAGTTACCCCGATTTTTCGACGACGCACAATTGCGACTGTGGACTAGCCAACGTTCATTGAAGGCGCCTTAAGAGCGTGATAAGGAATGTGAGGAACAATAGTGGTCTATAGGCTCGAGTATGTTTTTCCACCAACGAAGGATATACGTTCGGTATGACTCCTAAATTTTCTGTCTGATGTGTGAAAATACAAGTTAAGAGGTCGGGTGTAACGTCCCTTGACATCTACACGGCAACCCGTTGATTGATGGTGATTGTCAGGTTCAGCTTCGCAGTCCAGTTCTCGACCGGGGGCAACCATTAGCCTCGGATTGGAGAATTGCTTCAACCGGGAATAATTTTGACTGTGCTCCTACTAGCGTGAGCGGCTGGTATTCAAAACTAAGTATCCAAGAATCATTTTGACTGTGCTCCGGTTAGCTGAGCGGGTAGTGTCCAATCTAAGTCCAGGTGGGAAGTCAAATTCTTGGTGAACTCTTTAACGGAGACATTGTAATGTTGATGATTGGCCAACAAAGTGTACTCAAAAGTGATCTGCGACGGTCTGGGCAGCGGATGCGTGGTAACGGGCGAGACTCGACCCACAGGGTGATAACGAAGTCATGCAGATCGTTTTCTTATCAGAACTCTCGCACGCGCTAATCTAGCGGAACCAAACTTCCGAGATCCTATCGGGCCAAAATGGAGTTCGGTACTTTGTCTTCCAAGGCGCATCAAGTCTGGTGGCGGCACAGGGCTCGTTCTGACGAATAAGATAACGGCCAACAGACGACCGTGCGACCGGCGACAGCCGATCTCAGAACCGCATCTCTATGAATGTACTCCGTAACTCCGTACTACTAGGGTAGATAGGCCAGCGAATCACCCTTCAAAAGAAGTTGACCATGGAATTTTGGAAGCGTTGGCCGACTAGTCTGTATCGACGGAGTGATTACTTAGGCAACAGGAGGAACTACATGTTGCGCACAGTATTAGCCGAAGTGGGCCTAGCGTTGTAATATAATTTTTGAAATCCTCAATAATTATATAGGTGACGTGAGTGGCTTTTACGGTTGTTTGGAGAGACAGTCTTGTGCTTTCCATCAAAAATAGCTTGGAGTTGGTATGACTTTACAACGCGCAGGGGTAGTGCGAAGATCTGTAACAACATTGAGGCGACTTTTCCTACCGCCTACCTAATCAAGGTATACCGCTAACTGGATGTCGCGTCTAAATGGTCCAACTGCTAATTGCTGGCATTGTATATAGCGCAATGCGCTGAATTGTTTCGGGCTCTTGTACTGCCACTAACTTACCAACACGTTCTTTACAATCCAACCAGAGACCAGATCAGGCTGTGTACCCCAGGATTATTACCCCTCAGCTAGGCGTACTCCAGTATTATTTCAAATCCCAGTAGGGCATAAATATAATCCTTTGCCACTTCATCCGACGGATACATGCTAGAACCGCGTCAACTTCCCTTTCATTTACACCTCACCACCAGAGAAAATGCCTGGTCATACATGGTCTGACGAAGAGCAATGTCTCATTATATGGTTCGCATCGATCGGAGTTGCGCAAGCCACGATCGTCCTTCTCCTGGCAGAAAGAGGATTTTCACGCACACTGGGCGGCGTTCAAAATAAAATCTCAGATATTCGCAAGAAGTTTTCTCTTGGAAATTCTTCTGATCAATTGGTTGAAACTAAAGTTGATCGCTGGATTGACGGCTTCTCTATTCGGATTGATACGGACAAATTGCTCGAGCCCACGCTACGGGATCAGTATATCCTTGATAAGGTAATTCTTTCTTGATATCAATAATAATACGAAATCGAACTTGCATGAATTGACAAACTCTGGCTAGTACTGTACAAGAGTTGATTTGGAATTGATGTACGTCTCTCGACGCTCTCGACGCTCTCGACTCCTAAGCGACATTTGACCAGAATCGTGCAATATTCAAATAAAGCAGCCAGTATATTCCGAGGCGAACTCAAAGGTTGAGTAGGGGTGCACGTGGTATGATGAGCGCCACGGCCTTTTGAATCTTGCGGTAACTAGAAGGCCTATCGATCCCAAGACCTTTTGCTTTTTCTGTACAACTCTTTCCTTTCCGTGACTCCCTAAAGTCGGATGGGTCCCACGGATCGGTCCGAGGCCAATGATTAGACTGCATATGAAATTTCAGAGACCATTCTTTTTTCGAACATATTCGCTTCTTCTATATACAGAGGACACTTACCACTTCTTCGTTTGACTCCTTAAAGTTGGATGGGCCCCACTTATTGGTCCGAGGCCAATGATTAGACTGCATATGAAATTTCAGAGACCATTCTTTTTTCGAACAGATCCGCTTCTTCTATATACAGAGGACACTTACCACTTCTTCGTTTGTCGGCACCCACTCTTTGTCTGGATGAGAGTTAAATGTCGAGTAGTGAACTCCAGACTTCCTTTTTTCCATAATGAGAACATAAGTGCGGCGATCGAGACCTGTCTCCAAGGCATCGACAACAATCTCGTTGGCTTTTTTGAATGTGGCTTCTTTCTGCCTGAGGAAACGTTGTCTATTTGTCTTTGATACCCTCCTTTTGTTCGTATTGGACTGCGTTTGGAGCTGTCTCTTTTCTCTCCAAGAGGTGGTTTTCAGGTTTTTCCGTGGCATCTTCAATAGGTGAGAAATTGGATGGTGGTCTAGCTAGGCCAGAAGGCTGATTCTTATAGATTCTTAGCTGCCTACACTACCGATTTCCAAGAATCTAATTTTGGCTTGGGCGTAACGATCATGAGTCTATCACACCCAAGGCGACGAATAAAAGCGGCAGGGAGAAACCCGCGCGGCAATTGCGACAAACTTAGCGGGGATTCTTTGGAATTTTAGAAACGTCCAAGACACAGAAGCGCTCTCAAGCGTAATAAGTATGAGTTCACTGTTTCATGGTGAGACCTGCGCGGCCAAGACAAGGCTGTGCTACGGAAAACCGTGGTCCTTTCATGTTTTATATGAATCGTTCAAATCTTGGAAATCTTCCGTCCATAAAACGGTAATTCAAAATCTGCTCATGTCAGAATGTCCACCCCTGCAGACGCTATTGGCCCATTCATCGTGGAACGTTGGCTGCATCCAAAGTCGACTGGCATTGGTAAGCGACCTCGTCTTTCCTGTCCTGGGTGTTCTAGTTGTGCTCATAAGTAAAAGGCTACCATATTGAAACCCTCGAAACAGTTTCCATAAAAACAGAGAGGGCCAGTTCTGACTTGGCCTTGGAAGCATCCGCCCTGCAAGCCCTTTCTGGCGGTATTGGATTCCCGACTCTTTACTGGTTTGGAACGGCCTTTGGCAAACAGGTTATGATTACTGAAGAGGCCGGCGAGTCCCTTGAAGTAATTTTCAATCAGTGTGACCGACACTTCGACATGCAAATTCTGCTTGGATTTGCATGCCAATTGATTTTCCGTCTAGAATGGATGCACTCTCATCACATATCACATGGAAACCTCAGCCCGTCCTCTTTCACGGTCGGTCCTTCACCGTGGCAAACCCTACAAATAACGGTCAGTAGTTTTGAAAATGCCGATTTATCGCATTTCTCGGCCCGAAAAGACCTAGAGGCCGTGGGGAATGTTCTCCTCTACTTTGCTACGGGGTCTGTGTCCTGGGACGAGTTCAAGGCTTCTGAGCAAAATGCCACAGATTTCCTACCCATGCTGAATGGTTATTATGCAGCAATTTCATCGGGTGTATTGAACCCCGCTGATTATGGTCTGCTTCGGTGCCATTTTCTTGCCGCGTGCCAAAGTCTTCCAAAGGGATCGCTCCTTGGCGGACTTTCTCCCCTGAAGAAAAATTTGAGCTTGAAGGAGCTGTCGGGTAAAACTACCGGCGATTTGTTTGACAGCCTCGGAGAGAAGATGTCAGTCGTCGGGCAAAGAGCCGGCGATGTGACCTCCTCATGGACACAAGAACAGGAGACCTATATTATAGGGGCCTTGGACGAGATCATGGCAATTTTCATGATCCTTCTGATGCGAGATAGACCATCACACTCGCGCCAACAGCATTTAATGGGCGCCTATCATCTTCCAAACCGGCTTTGGAGAGACATTCGTTGGTACCTGCGTATGGCAAGCTGTGGCTCCGTTTCATTCCAGCGTCTCATTACGCTTCGCATTTATAAATTCATGGGAGTTTTGCTCGAAGTGATTCCTCTCTACAACAGGTACTGGACCATGTATCTATCGGAGCTTGCATATGCACAGACAGCCCTTGACCTGGAGTCCTCCTCTACATGGAGGCAAGCTTGGATATACTGGAAAGATCGTGCCAACTTCTTGAATAAACGCAAATGGAATGACGCTGCGCATGGCATTTTAGGATAGGTTGGATTAATCGCATTGTATTTCCCCTCATGGCTTGCAATATATTTTGGCAGTATCGATACCTAGGCATCAAAAAACCTTGTGGCCCATGGCGAGTATTATTGGCTACATCATTGTCCAGTCTCTCAGGGTCTTGACTAAGCTCTAATTGTAGACAGTGGCAGAGATGTCCTAGAGTTGTCTCGCTATTGTGGAGCGAAGAATGTTCAGCGATGAGATAAAGAAACTTTTCGTGCAAAAGAGTTGAACTAGTACGTAACCACGGTTCCGTGGTCCAAAGATTGGGATCAAAATAGCGTCTGAACCCCATCGTCTTAAGGGAGGAAAATCTGGTAGGTCATAGTTGGGGAAACTGTGGCCATCAGGAAAATTGTAGTCATCAGGAAACTATGGTCATCAGGAAAACTGTGATCATCGGAAAAACCGTGGTCAAATTGAACTCGCGGGTACATTATTTAAGTGAATTCAAATCTCATCTGAGAGAACACAGACTCTATTGGTTATTCTTGCATTACCTACTCTTGTCACTTTACCCAACTTGCTCGGAATTATCGACTGCTTCTTGCAAATCTTCGAAGCTTGAATCACGAAACGTAGTCCTTGGGACAACAGAAAAAGAAAAAGACTGATACAACAACAAAAAGAAGAGGGTGAATGAAGAGAACAAACTCGTTTGCAAATATGCCTGCCCAGACTCCCGCTCCGCGTCAGGATCCAGCAACGGCTCTGGTCGCACAGGCTCCTCCTACACAGACTCCCTCCCCGCATCAGGATCCAGCAACGGCTCTGATCGCACAGGATCCTCCTACCCAGACTGCCGCCCCATCTCAAAGTGCAGCCACGGCCCAGGTCATGCAGTCTCTTGCCCAGACTTCTGCCGCTCCTGAGCCCCAATCTCATGGGCAATCAGAGCTAAAAGACTCCGACATGGATGGCAAGGATGATGATGATGATGATGATGATGATGATGATCCTAACAGTCTGGGTCATAATGAGAGATTAGCTCTCATCAGGGCAATCTTGAACGCCCCCGAGGGGGAGCATTTTCAAAAAACATTTGAACGTTCGCTTCCGTTCCCCATCGACTTCAAAATTCTGCAGGCCCTTATCCATCCCGACAAATACCAAGATAAGGATGAAAAGGATCAGGCAAAGGTAGCTTTCCAAAGTATGTGCCCCGTCTAACCTCGCACAGAAAAGGGACAATTCATTAACAATAATCTAGAGCTGTTAGCATGGCGCGAAAAGTCCGGGAAATTGATGCCAGGTGAAGCCGACAGACATACCAATTTCTATCACGGGAATGATACAAACCACCCGGAACAACACGTTGAAGGAGAGCTATCTTCCGGCCATAAACATTTACATCACCTAGCAACCCCACATCTCAAGGTTCTCTACTTTGCTTTAGCAAAGAACCCAAGGCTGAATCCCTACAATGTGGGCGAGCTGGATACAGATACTGATGCCGCTGTCAAACACCTTAATAACATAAACGCCGGAATCAATGCAGAAAACCAAAAGCAGAATAAGGACTCCGAGCTCGGGACCATCCGATACGTTGACTTGTTTGGATTGTGGAGGCCCATGTTTCTGCAACCTGAACTGAAGGCTTCACAAATCACGGCAGTACGTGACTGGTGCCGGAAGTTTGACTATCCAACCGAATGGGCGGCATTTGACACCCAAACATCCTCTGCCAATTTGCAGCCTCATCCTAGTGGAGATACGTCAGGAAACAGCATTCAACTTTGGAATTCTGCGGGTGGCAAAACACGTACTATCGCTATTGCGCCTAGGAAGACGACGCGCTCTGTCAACCCAGGCTATACATCGAGCGGTGAGAAAATCCGTATGATTCAAAATCTTGGATTATACAGTGCCCGCTTCGTGGTGGAGGATGCCCAGGGTAGATTGTGTCTTAGGTCAAGCGCCGCCGCTGGGGGAAAACCAGCATTAGACGGAGCCAAAATGAGTGGGGTTCCTTGTACGATTCAAAAAGATGAAGAAATCGCGAACCTCCGCAACAAAGTCAGAGCGGGTGGTCAATATGGCCTCGATTGGGTGGCCGTCGGCGAATGGGACTCCACAAAGAAAGCCCTTCCATTCATCGTTGTTGGTTTTTGGCACCAAGGAGTCAATGGTCTGCTGCAAGAGGCCGGCCTTTCTCGGGCTGCTCTCAGAAAGATTCTCGCCCCTCGCGAGGCGGAGAGACTAATTGCCGAGAGCATGATTAGCGATCCCGACCTTTCTTTGAAGGAGGCGCTTTATGTCATTTGCCCTGATACCAAACCGACAGCACCCTTGGCGCTTCCTGGTGCGAACAATATAGGCTATCCTTGGTTCCAACCCATGACTCAGCAACTTCCTCCTGCTTTGAATGGGACACAAGGGCTTCCGTTTCAACAGCCGGCGACTCTTCCCCAATCCCAGTGGCCATTACATCCATTCGCACTTCAGGCCCAGCAGGCAGTTCAGGCCCAGCAGGCAGTTCAGGCCCAGCAGGCAGTTCAGGCCCAGCAGGCAGTTCAGGCCCAGCAGGCAGTTCAGGCCCAGCAGGCAGTTCAGGCCCAGCAGGCACTTCAGGCCCAGCAGGCACTTCAGGCCCAGCAGGCACTTCAGGCCCAGCAGGCACTTCAGGCCCAGCAGGCACTTCAGGCCCAGCAGGTGCACTATCCCCATTTAGGCTTCCAGCCTACATACCCTCATCATCCGGAGACTTTCGCAGCTCCTCCTCAGCCTTTGTTTAATTTTGCGAAACAGGTTCCCGCTATGGCAACTCAAATGCCACAGCCGGAAGAGGAACTATGAGCTGTCAGAATTGGCGTCTGGAAAGAAGAGCCGGCAGTGCTCTTGACCGTATAACTCTTTTGACCGTATGACTTTGCTACAACCAGAATGTATTTCCACTAGTTAGCAAATAGATAGTTAATAACACTTCTACAAATGACTTTCAGAAGTAACCTAACCGATCTCCAGTCCGGTGTTACTGGATAATATTTCCGCCCCCACCCAGTTGTGATCACTACCGGAGTTGTCCGAATCACCAACGGCGCCTTCAAGCCCTCCAATCACTTATTGTTCTAAGCCAGCTTAGCTGGTACGCCCAATCAATTTGCCTCAGTCCAAATTCGCTAACCCAATAAGGCGGTGATCCGCCAGGATCTACCGCCCCATTCGTGCTCGGAATGTGCGTCAGCACCCAGAGCTAACTAACTAACTAGTCGACAAGTGGGGCAAACAGTAAAGTACTGTATGTTACTCTGGAATTTGGAGGGTCAACAAAATCCGGAATAGCTAGCCCTGGGTACTACCATCCAATCAGCTTGTTCCCTACTTGCTCAGGGGGTCTCTATCTCTTATCCATCGGTTTAAATTGTGCGCTATTTGCTCCCTCTCTTCTCTAACTTGCATTTGGCTTTGTCCCACGCTCCCGCAAATATGTCCCAATATTCCGCAAGGATTAAACCTTTCCTGCCTGTCGACTTTTTCGGCCATCAAGTACCCCGTCCGCTGCAGCGGATTGAGTCATTGCGTGATGATTTGCAGCCGATTCTGAAGCTGTTAAAGTCGTACATGGAAATACTTGGTCAAAAGGGGAGTGTCGCAAAGCATCTCCACATGCCTCTTTTTAGTAGCAGGATCGAAGACAGGATAAATGGTTTGTTCAGCAGCTCTCGACCACAGGTCGTGAATTTGGCCATCGACAATATCCATTGTGGGGTTCATCCTAGTTGGGTTGATTTAATCCAGGAATCAATCTCGAAAGATCAATTTGAGTTATGCGATGAGCACAGGTACCGCTGTTTTTTTCGAGGTATCGCCATGGAAATGAGCAAATCTGATTGTGATGCACTTTCATCCGACGTGCTTCGAAAGTTGCTAGAGGCACCACCCGAGCCCGGCGATATGCAAACAGAGCGAGAGGCCAGAGCTCAGTTGATTCAAGACTTGACAAACTTGGAAGAAGACATCTCAGAAAGTGAGGGAGATACACAGCCCCCGCGAGACAACCTACATATGTTAACGACTACTAGTGAATGGAAGGGTTCAGACAATTCTCAAAACTATGCAGGAGCAAGATCCTCACTGTGAACGAGATTCTCCAAGGCTACAATCCTCAGAGCCACCCATGGAAACCAATATGGGTGATGTGGATACAAACACAGATCTCGCAATTCACACTGAAACTAGAACCGCGGCAGAACCAAGCCTTGAACCTAGTTTGGACGGAGAGACAAGCAATAGTATTCCGAGGCTGAGCATATCTGGAGAGAATAGTCACACACCACCAGTAAGGGTAGTGTCCGGATGGAGCCCTTCGGAAAAAAGACAGTTACGCACTTTTTTAAAAACGCGGGGGCATCTGAGTTGGTCCCGAATAGCACAGGAATATGAGGAGATATTTCATAAAGGAAGAAGCATCTCATCTATCCGTGGTCAAGCTCGCTGTCTAGGTCTCTCCGTTGGACGCCAGTCAAGGAAAAAGCCTGGACGGCCAAAACGGCGTGATCCGTTGGTGTTGAGAGTTCGTTTTCCATCAGATTCAACTGAACAGACTACATCCACCGAGTCCGCCCCAACAAGAGCTCGTGTTGGCGAGGATATTTCTCTAGAGACCTCTGAGCACGGCTACCAAATGCAAGAAGCGACAAGGTCGCCTGAGGAGGGTCTTCCAGTCAGTTCTTATGTTGGGCCCAGTCTTCCTCCGATGGGGCAATTCAGCCCAAATGAGAATTCTGCAGAATTTCGACAACCAAATCATCAACCACCAGGGTCCTTTGGCTTGATATTGAATTGAATATCAAAGAACATCTCGATGACCAAGGGCGCGCTCATTTTTGAATGGAGGAAAATCAATACGCTGTATTTTAAAAATCCACAGGATTTGAAATCCGGATCTGTAAAGTGTGGAATTAGGCGTGTACCTTATACAGGAATGACGGCTTGCTTTAGCGACTACAGGATTTGGTGGATGGTTGGTTGATTGGTCTCACACGCTGGTCCCTCGCATTTACACAATTTGCAACTAACTCATATTCAAGATAACTAATTCATAACTTCATTCTCCCGGGCCTTCCGAGCGAAAAGAAAATGTCTTTTTTCACTACCCTCATTAAATGTATTCTTCCTTGGACCGTTCTGGGTGTCTAGGGAAGCATGGTGATGCTGTATGCCCACGATTCGCTTGGAGAATTCGTGGTCAATCTCGGAAGCCTGTAGTGTGTGGCAAATCATGGTCTTTTCCCTCGGCACAGAATATCTGTCCGGAGAAACCGTGGTCTTTTTCGGAAATCGTGGACCACCAAACCTTTAAATTCCCGACTTTGCCGAAGTTTTTCAAGAAATGTAAGATCAACAGATAAGGGCTGTGTTGAAATATAAACTCCATTGATCGTCCTCTTCTTTTTCAAACGCCGCCTAAAGCAATCCACATATCCGGCCCATCATACGTTTTACGCCATTTGGTACACCGTCAGAGATGTCTTACCCCTTTGCTACACGCTTGGATGACTACTCAGTGGCGCAGTCCAGGAGCAGTTCTCTTTGCCCTCTCTGCGGGAGTTTATATACGTATAACTCTCCAGAGTCGGCATCTTTATTCCCGCCAGTCTCTCCCTTCGGCAAGCCCGCACACACGAACGGTAACGGATGCTCTACTTATCCTTATCCCAGTCCATTTGTTCCCCCGCCTGCCGATTATTCTTCGTCATCGGCATCTACGTGCCCACCTGTTTCTCCCTTTGGCAATATAGCAGCGACTCTTGCAGCGACAAAGGTTGACGGAAGCTCTGCTTATCTTCATCCCAATCTATTCGGGCCCCCGCCCGCCAATAACCATCCGGAAACAGTATCTACGTGCCAAACAGTTTCGCCCTTTGGCAATATCGCAGCCACTCCAGCAACAAGCTCTACTTATCCGACTCTGTTTGGATTCTCGCCCGCCAATAACTATATGGAATCAGCATCTACGGGCCAAATGGTGTCTTCTCTTGGCAATGTCGCAGCGACTCTCCCGGCAGCAAATGCTAACGGAGGCGCTACTCGTCCGTATCCCTCTGAATTTCCGTCTGCCGATGACCCCTCGGCATCAGCACTTCGCAAGGCGCACGAGACCGCGAAGCGTCGAGAAGGCCACGAGACAGATGACCCAGAAGGCCAGAGAGGTACAGAGCTACTTCCATATCATCACGAGGCTCATGAAGAAGCGACACAGTACCTTCGAACGCTCTATTTGGAGATAGAAAAAGATCCAACGGCTGCTCTTTACAACTACAACAAATTTAACGCACCGTCCCCGGCAGCAAGAGAGGCCATGGACAAGATTGATAAGATAAACGGTCGCTTGATGACGATAAATTGTAGCAGCAACCGGCAAATAGAGGTGGGCCAGATTATGCGGGACCGCTTTGTTCGAACGTGGAGGTTGTTTATTTACGCACCAGAAGAGCGGAAAGGTAGACACAGGTCTACACTGGCAGACATGTGCAAAGAACTCCATTATCCCAGCGAGTGGGCGAATGTTCCCCCTGGCGACTTTGAAGAGCCTCATTGATCTGTAACGTGGTTTGCTCACTATGCTAAATGGCTCGCTCTTTTGATAATCCTGTCTCGAAAAAGGTGCTCGATGAGTGACATTCTCAACTTAAAGTCTGATTCCTCTGTTGAGCTGGTCCATATTGCGGATATGAATCATCGATCTCGGTCTACAAGGACCTCTGAACATCTTTGCTGATAGACAGTGAATGTCCGTTGTTTCGGGGCTGATGGATGCAGCACGGCGTCTTTGAGTACCTTCTTTGTACTAGCCTGTCTTGTCTCTTGGTTTCTAGGGCCACTTTCTACGTATTTCTACAGTTTGACTTACTATCTTTGCTTTGTACCCTGCTCCTCCCACCGTTCCTTTACTACGACGAGCATTTTCATTTTACCACTTATGTCCCCTTGGGTTTCGTTCTTTCTTTGCTTCGTCCGTATATAAGCCTCGTTATTAGTCAATTGGGGGTGAAGATATCTACCTAGCTAAGTTACACAAACACCCTGCAAAAGAGGAACTCAACCATCGAATTCTCGTAGGTAGCCTATGCTTGGACTCTGGCCTACACCAGCCGTTTAAATCGTTTGAGACGTTGGTCGTTGTCAGCTAAGCGTTCATCTCCAAACGTGATCATTCTTCTGATCCACGCAACAGCTTTCATAACGGATCTGACGCCATGTTTGGGCTGATATTCGTGATACCATAAGGCGGTGGCCCCATTCTTTTGCGCCTGCTTCCAAAAGGCTTGCTGGTTGGAGAGAGGTAGTTTGTTTTCCTTCCGAGAAGTCTGTGTCCAACGGACGAAATCGCACTCGTATATAAGAAGATTGGCTTCTCTCCCATCTTGTGACTTGATCAAAGCCGCACCCCAAGTGTAAGTCCCCTGGGGTACGGAACAAATAACCATACGAACGGATGCACGGTTTTTCTTCGCTAGCCAGAATTGGCTATATGTCCGGTAACTTTCGTTGACGTGACCATTTCGGCGCTTTGCTTCCTTGGAGGAAAAATAAAGCAGACGTTGGTGAATGTAAGGGAAATCGTGATCCTTTCGGATGCCGCGAACAAATTGTCGGAATTGGCGATCAAGCTCACTGATACTAGGGAGGCATGCCTTACTACCGTCATTCGTGTGGGGATCAGTGATCTCAAGGAAAGTCGCCGACGGAGAGGAAGCCTGGTTCTGAGCTCCACATGGGAGAGTCTGGCACGGCATATAAAGGAGGCTGTCGAAATTGATAATTGAGGAAGCCTTATCGACATAGGACTGGGAAGAATCTGCACCAGGGTTGGGATGCAGACTTCGAGAGGTTGCCGCATCATCGAATGGGGATTCTCTGGTGCAAAGTGGATGCAGGAGTTCGTTGCCGATGACCTTCCAACTGAATTCTACTTGGCCTTGTTGATTAATGGTAGAATGTAGCATGATAGTTACCGAGAAAATAGAGATGGGGAAGAAAGCAAGGGAAGAACAGCTCTTTTATTGTCGAGGTAAACCTATGACACATGATTCAAGGCTTTTTCCGAGGTGGACAGACCCCAATCTCAGGCTGCCAAACCTCCAGCAGGATCACATTCAGGCGAGGCCTGCCAGCCAATCGTCCCCATGTTCGATGCACAAAGCAGGGGTCTAATGCGCAAATGACTACCCTGCTCACCGATCTGATCCAATAAACATCCCACAAAACTATGTTGCTATTCTGGATGATGGAACATCGACGTATTCTCTGCGCCCAGTGAGTTTGTTGAGCTCTGCTTTCCAACCGTTCCATACTCAAAGAAAGCGAACGAAACGCTCCCTCCTTATCTCCAATTCGCATGATGCAACTACTGCAGATCGTGAAACACGCTCTCATCCGTTCAACTTCACATCTATAACAATCGATCATGAAGCCGACGAGGGGCGAGGCAAAAAGTTGCACTTGGCGGCCATTTTCGGATTCCTAGCACTGGTCATATCAAGTTCTTCTCCTTTCGCGTCGTGTCAGACTTTTTGACGCCCCAATGTGGAAGCGGAGGGGGTGGCTTTGGCCGGATTCCACTTTTGCCTGATTCCTGATATGAAGTAATGTGATAAGGAAAAGGACGGTGCTGCAAGGCTCCTGTAGATGGATCACTTTGTCTCGCGGCATTTCCTCTTGGGCTACGTATAGACATATGCGATTCCGTCGGTAGACTGCTTGGTTGTGGCTGTGGAAGGGATGTGGCGTGGTGCCCGTCTTGCCCGCCAACTGGAACGCAAAGGCTCTGCCCATGGTGATCGACAGAATACGATCGACCACAATTATTAGGGTTATTTGTGTATGTCGTAAAAGGTTGTAGGTGTTGAGACGATGATGAGCTCGGATAAACTGGCGTAATGAACTGGCCCTGTCGTAGAAATGGGTCCGATCGAAACCTCCGATTCACTAGACTTCGCGGAGGCTGGAGCTGGTGTTGGCTATCCCCGAATTCTGGTTGACTATCCGGATGCTTTCGGGGCAGCTGCGATGATAGCAAAAAGTCGAAAGAGAAAATAAAATCATCATACAGGACCTGTTGACGAATTTGATCCTGATACCTGACATGAATTGTTTCCAACACCTTCTTATCGTTCGGGCTCCGGAGGAATGCGAGGAGCTCTGGGGAAGGTTCGCGAGACGAGGCATCAAAATGCCAAACTATAAGGGATAGCTTAAGACGAGTGGCATAACTGAGACTTAGCACGATTTCCCTCGAATAACTGTCCACAAGCATGGTGTAGAGATCAAGAGCGTAATGTTCCAGCTCGGTGCAGCTCGGTGGCTGCTGCAGCCTGCTCTGTAACTCCTGGCACTTGTCGATAATCAATCTAGCATCTTGACTGAGAGGATTCTGGCTATGGATAGCAAGAGTTCGAAGATCGTCCCTCAGATACAACAACGCTTTGACAGCTATCATTGCAGGCAGCTGTAGAGTCTCATCAGGTAGAGGAGCAGCCTTGCTATATTAGAACGTAGTTACAATTCAAGAGGCTTTCACTCACTGTACGAGATCTTGGTGCAATGGACATTTGGCCTGGAATGATATCTGCTCAATGACACGAAATACGTGGCAGCGATGTCCACGCAATGCTCCTTTGTCAGCCGATCCGAAGCTTCTGGACTTTTTTTGCGATTGATAACGTCTTGGACTTGCGAGGACGAAAGTTATTGCTATCAAACTGATGTTGTATCCACGAAATATCATCACAAGGGGGAAGGGGGCGCCATTTAATTGAGAGCTCGGGTTATGGTTTGCCAGTTCCCGAAGTGGCATAGCTCAAAATGCATACCCTACAGCATGAAATTGTATTGACCACACGTCCCGACCTCTTACATTAGTTCTCTGGGTCTGACCGAATCAGTAACATGCTTCTACCATATTTCCAATGTGAACGTGAGCACGGTCAGGCCAGAATTGATTGCTTCCGAAGACAGATGTGTATCTCAGGAAGGTGACCAAATAACCCCTCCAGTGCCCACCTAGATTATTCCAAATCCCTTGACCTTCAGATCCTCTCATGCTCTTAAGATACCATCCGCCTGGCCCAACGGCTAGACCAAATAGATGAAGTTTGGTGTGACGCCTGATCGTCAGCTGCATTAGCGGTAATGTAGCGGCTTGGGACTGATCCTTGACATACGAATAGCCATTTCTCAAAGGAGCTTAGCTCAAAATGCATACCCTACAGTAAGAAATAGCCACGGCCACAAGCCCTGACGCCGTGCGTTATTTGTCACTACATTCCGGTATCCTCGACCCTACCAAATCAATAACGTGCTTCTACCATACTGGTTTCTCAAACCTGTTTTTTTATCGCTCGTTTCAAGATCTGGTTTTGCAGGGAGTGTATGGTATAACAATGCCACTAACAGAAAGAAGGCTTGAATGCTGTAATCGCGTCGAAACTTCCAGTGACTCTTTCAATGTCCTGAGCTTTAACCCACTTTTTCTTCCTTTTCCCATGACACTCTATCTCGACACAGAGTTCTGCCGTTCTTATCCCGTTATTCGGATAGTGAATTACCAACACTTTGTTTACCCGCATATGATCTTCATCGACGTAGCCTGTCTCTTTTGTGTCTTTCCGAGCGGACATCCCATCATTTGGGTGACGGTACAAAGTTGTTTCCCGGCTGAAGGAGCGGTCAGGACAAAGTTCCATATCTTTTGCATGCGCTGCGAGAGGCGGATCGAGGTCCTCGTTGGGAGTCTTAGATTTAAATTTTAGTTTTGTCCTGCTAGAAGGAGTTTGAGTTTGAGCGTACCTCTGAGCGCCCGATGCAGGCGGAAAGTAGCCCCAACAGATTAGAAACTGCTGTTGACCCGATCACAAAAGCGTTGGTCATGGTCGATGGGACAATGGTTGAACGTGAATCTTGAGAGATGGATTCAGGAGATGGATAGAAACCCGGCTTATATAGTCACACTCTCCCACAAGAGCATAAGTTCAGGGGCATTTATCTGCTATGCCTGAAATAAGGTCATTGGGAACGCATTCTATTCTATACTCTTTTGGGCAACTTCCCAGTTTCTGAGTCAGCGACACGTTGTCTTGGGCCACATAAGGGGTTCGACCTTCCATTTCACATATCAATAATGCCTGCTCGTCAGAATCCTCTTATCACAGCAGAGAGTCTATTTCATGACCTCTCGACTCAACTAGAGCGATATCTAAGATTTCTCGAAATCGACCTCACTCCAGTCATCTTGCAGAGCAAGCTGGACTGTGACGACCCCAGTGCAGTGGATTTGATTTCTCACGGGGTGAGCTCACGCTTATGGATACTACGACTGCAATCCATATTTGAATGGACGAACCTGACTTCTCAGGAAGAGGCATGGCTTCAGTCGCAAGGGCTAGAGCTAGCCCTCCCCGGTAGTCATGTCCGCGGTGTCTGGTCAATACCGACTTTTCTCCGCAACGAAGGGCGGTCGAAGGATCACAATGCCTCGAGTAATCTGCGGCAAGGCAGGAAAATACGAAGGTTTGAGAAGGAACTCGGTGCGGGCATTGCGCTTCTGTTGGCTATAGTCCTGCCCAGTTTCCGACGTTTACCTCTTAGTGAGGAAGCCAAAACCATACAGCTTCTAAGAACCAACTATGCCAATATCATCCAAAGCCTCTTGGCCTTAAGGCTAAGGTATCAAGCGGTATATATGCATTGGTGGGCAATCTCTGCTTTATTGTGCTTCTCATGACTAACGCGCCCAGTACTAGCTCTCACGTCCGAAGCCTCTGATGCAGGCCTTCCCGGTCCGGGCGCTATATCCTCATGAACGGAAAAACCTCAGGGCCGAGCATGTCAGAGCCCATCGGCTCACCACAGTTCCCCTGCCAGACGAAAGAGCCTCTTGCAGGCATCTCTATCTCCATCCTGACTGAACCTTTCACGAAGAGAATATTATTTGGCAGCAGTTTCCGCACCACCGGCTGTGTCCCTAGCGCTGCTAGTTCCTCTTTGGATAAATCGTGGGAAGAGGGGTAGAGCTTGAACGACACTCTAGTATTACCATCGTTTGAAAGGTCGCGAAAAACAGAGACGCCATCACGAGATGGATGCGCAAGTCCGGAGCCCCAGCAATGGCTTTCTCTGGAGAGAACGACAACAGGTCCTTGACGAAGAGGTCTCGGAGGAAACAAAATGCCGACATTACCAATGGCCTCTTTAATTTTCTCCGAGAACTTCGGCTTGGTCAGCTTTGTTCAAAATGCCAGATCAGCGGACCTACCGTATCTTCAGCCCCGCAACGCAAAAACCGTTCACAGGCTTCCAGATTTCCCCTCCCATACAGAAGTGGGCCTCGTTCTATTCTTGGATTCGAATTCAGAGACTGTTTCACTTCGGTGATGGCATTGCTAAGGGAGAAAGAAGAAGAAGCCGAAAACACGACATAGCCGGTGATCTCCATTGCTCGCGACCGCTGGTATTCCTCGCATGTTGGAGGTCCGCCCTGCGCTGTTGTCATATTTGCGGTACTGTACTTTGCCCAAGTAGTCTAGCTTGATTAAGCAAAGTCACGTATTGGAAGGCCTAGGAGAGGGGAAGAGATGCGGAGCTTCTTATACCCAATCGTGATTGTTAATCCAGCCAACTCATCTATAGCTGACCTGTATTATTGACAAAATTCGCTTCCGTAAAAGGCATTGTCTGGAGAGCATATCTAGAAAATATGCTCTCACTGAACCATACTTCAATTCAGCCTGATGAAATAGCCCAACCGAGCCAAGCAAGGTCCTTGTCGGTATATCCTAAGACAGCACTAGGGGATTGTTCTAGGTTTTGACTGGACCCCGTTACAGAGTTCATGGTTTACCGGCAACTTAACTGCCCCTGCACCAATAGGAAGCTGCGTCGAAGGCACAGCTGGTAATAACAATCTTATAGAAATTCTTGAACAATATACGGACATTCCACGCTGCCTTTCGGGCCCTTCACGCACATTGAAATAGTACACTGGTTTTTGCTATCATTACAACTTCCAACGTAGACAATTCCTTTTCCTTCTTCTATCGGCTTATATTTTTCCCTATCTAGCAATTGTCAATCAACAGTCTCTAAGTGGTTTCAGTTGAACTTACTACCTTGGCTATTTGCAGGGAGTTCAAGTCTTGTCGCCTTGAGATCGGAGTAATTATGCAGCTCTCGGGGCCAATTCTTGCCTCCTTGAAAATATAGATTGGTATTTTGTTTCCGCTCCTGAAGCATATCCTGCCGGATACTTCCTTCACAGGAATATTTGTCTTCTTCTGCAATCATAGTTCGACGAACTACAGATGGAGAGTTGTCGAACGTTTGGCCTTTTTCTTTGGATTGTAAAAGCGACAAAGTGAGGAGTGACTTTGGGTGTGATGGCGAATCGGGCGCTTTACGTTCAAAAAGTGTTGTAATAACTTCAGGATCAGACTTCGGGTCGATGCCTTCCTCCTCCTCAGTTTCCCAATCCGCAATTGCTGGATCCCCAATGCTCTGTTGCTCGGTGTTGGAGAATGGGGCATCTCGAGAGGCCAATATACCATTCATAATTCAAGGTCGTTGTCAATTTGCCGGTGCGCAGAATAGGAAACACGGGGAGGGAAATTGCTGCTATATAATTCGTATGGACTGAGACTAGTGGTTCGCAGTCGTATATTCTAGGGAGAAGACGAAAGTCACCTGGTAAATACTAAAGAAATGTGATAATTAGTAGCTTCTAAGGATCTTTGGTTTATTTAAATATTCAGCTCATAACATGCAGCACTCTAGTTTCCTCTTCACAGTCCTAGCACCCGGTTCCGATACATCCATCAATTCCTGGTCAGAACAATTAGTCAATGCTTTATTTTTACTAAAGTCGTATCGGGATCAAACCTATGACTTATTCTTTAGAATATCATCAATCGCGTTAACTTGCTGAGTGAGACTTTTGGAATGATCGGCCCTGTCATGCATTGCAGCGGCGTGATAGGGGGCGAGGCTTAGGGGTGTAAAAAAAAACCGGTGGATGCTGTACGATTTTGTTACTGGGATGGATTTTAGGTTTTCATTTGTAAGACTGCTCTTGCTGGCGTTTGTGACGGGAGTCTCTCTAGGCATGGTGGATGGCAGAGTTGAAGAGAAATGACAAAACCGACGAAATAAACAAAAAAATATGCCGTCAGTAGCACACTGGGTTATGACATCGAGACTTTATAGCTAACAGATGGAAGGAAAATTGAACCATTTGAAAATTTCATACTATCAGCTCCTACGGGGCAGGAGACGCCACATCTCACCCGGGTAATCTACTCAAGTTCTACCGGTTGGAAGATCTTTTCTGTTCTCAGAATAGGATACTCTACTCGCCATTTCAGACACATTGGGCATACCGCAGTGGAATGGGGTATTTGAACATCACTCATATCTACCACGTTAGCAGATATAGCATGATGCAACATTGTTTGGTGATCATCCCAGGGCCTGACCGGACCCGTTTACTGACGGATTATTGTCAACTTGATAGCCCCTGCATCAGTAGGAAGCTGCGTCACACGGCAAAGTGTTTAGGCGAACCCAGAGAGTATGGTCTGTAATAGAAATAGTTGTGATAAAAATACAATATGGTCAAAGAATCTATCAGTCTGTTCCGAATCTGAATCTATACTCGTATCAGGACTATTGTGCCCATCAAGGGCCCGGCAGAATTTCCTCGGTGGGTTCAAGGTGGAACTACCACTACGCGTATAGAATTACTCCTTTCTGATATGGTGAGTATATGTTGGGAAGAGTAAGACAGATGACACTCACCAATAAATCCCTCTCTATGAGGTCGCCCAAGTCGTTTGCATTTGGCTTATATTGCAGTAGGAATTCTTTGGTGATAGCTGAGGCTCAAAGTTTGAGTGCGTGCTGAGACCATTGCTTGCGGAGATGGCTGTCGGCATGGACAACTGGGACTGCAGACTAAGTACACAGCGGTTTGTTGTCGAGATAGAAGGCGTTTGGTGTCCTATAGAAGTTTCTCTGTGGGTTTGTGGCGGGGTCTGCGGTTGGAATTGAGGGGATTGTGGGTACTGCTGTTCCGGATATTGCAGTGGGGTATAGGGTATGGATGCAACGTCGCTACATTGAAGTTAGGGGAAAAAAACAAGAACAAGAAAATGTGAACACGAACATTATTCTTGTCAAAATAGGAACAGCCTTGCTGCAGAAAATGCTGCGCACCGAGAGTGTTGCGAAAATTCCACGCCCTTTAATGACAACTTCCTTGGTTCTGTCGAACTCTGACGCACTATCTGAGTGGTGCAATAGAACAGATAAGACAATAAGGGCATGAAAAGCGTAGAAACTGCCTAATCCACTGGTCCACCACATATGTGGGATGAACTGGGGATCCCCAACAAGGTCGAAGAAGATGGAAAGAGCTGTGTTCGCTGAAGCGATGCACTTCTCACGGGCTGCGTATGTCTCTGGGTTTTTTTCGCCACATAGAAAGCGAATGAGAGTTGGTCGATGTAATAGTAGAAGTTGTTGTTGAATCTGGGCTTGAAGGGTTTTTTTATTGGCGTGGTGGTGAACGGGGAGGTATTCTTGGGTGTAGCGGGCATCGCAGTGATCACGGACAGCTTCAAGTTCGGCCTCAAGGGTAGCGAGACAGTACCTCGAGCGCATGCTGGAGAATACAAACTCGCAGATACGATCAGACATACGGTTTAGATGGCAGGCGAGGAAAAGATAGGTCATCTGAGTCAGGGGGGCGTTGCAGGGCGAGAAAAATCCATCAGAGGACAGAGGGATACTTGTGGTCGTGAACAGGTCGGCATCGTCCATATCAGCTGGCAAAATCATGTCCTTCGTGCAGTTTTGTGGAGTTAAGATACCAAACAAATTGTTCTGGACGGTTTTGACTATCATAAGCCCAGCCCAAACGCGGCGGCGCTCTTCACATTCGATAGGGCTGAGGAGAAACCTCTCTGGATGGATGTGACAGCCCATAGAAATAGCAACATGATAAGTGAGCCCAGTTAGTGCCGAGCAGAAGAGGCCGCGATGTAAGCAGGCGAAATTGATGAGAACTAGCGCTTGAAGGGAGTTGACGGTGTGACGGGTCATTATTCGGTCCATAGCGAGACACCGAAGGGCGGCGGAACGGTAACGTGCAAAAAGCACCTTTTTATTACGGCTCACAGTGCTTTCGCGGCCCAGATCAGAGAGAAGAGTGTCGGCATCATCCATAGCGCTGAGGGATGTTGCTAGTATAGCAAAGAGTAAAGCTAGCCAAGACGGTGACGCGGTCTGGTGGTCAGATGAAAACAGCTGATATTCGGCATTGAAGGTCATCTCATGAAGAATATGAAACGTCTAAGATTGATCAGTATGATGGAGAAACCTTCCAATCCAGCTTTTATGGAGAACGAATATAGGCGGCTGTTGAGGGGACTTACTGGTGAGATTACCCGGAAGTATAGGTCTTTGAGAGTATCGCAGTACAACACCGGAGGGAGTAGGCCCAGGAGCTCCGAGCGCGGGGCTTCTCCGTTCCATATCAAGGAAAGTGGTGGATCATCCTCGACATCAATATCCAGAATGAAGCTTTGCAAATGCTCTGTGGCAGGACTGTTCGCAACGATCGACTCCCACGCGGTCAGCGAAATATAGCGTACATAGCCAGATTGTGCCGTATGCAGTGCTCCGGCACTGTTTCGCGTTGAAAGAAAGTTTCTTTCAGGAATAAGAAAAGACGAGGCTGCGGAGGATTCAGGTGCTATTGGAGGGAATATGGCACTGTTAAGAACGGAGCTTGCGTGGGAGTCTGCCTGTTCCTGGAGTTGGGTCTCCAAATCTTGGATGCGAGAGAGGAGCTTCATCTGAAAGACATGACTGGGAGAGGGTGATTGTTTTGGTGCAAGCCGTGGCTGTGCAAGATAAATGCAGTCTTCTGCACCGAGGCCACGGTGTTTGCATGCCTGACAAGGACGACCGTCTCGGGAGCAGCGTATCTTTCTAACTCGGCATGGTTGACAATTGATGGGGCGACGTCTCATCTCTGTCGAACAGATTGAGGAACTCATGAAAGGTTGAAGGAATCGAAGTATAGGTGTTGACAGAACTGGCGTGCCTTTAGGGAACTCCAATGCACTCACAGACCATGGAACATCGGCAGCTACCAGAGGAGTGATTGCACTAACACTATCAATATAAATTAACGATGAGCCCGGTGGTCTTATAGCTTTAATAAGTTTATCTCTCCGCGGTTCTTGCATGGATCAGAGACAGTGAAAACTAAAACCAAATCCACTGCTGCGGCAGTTGGTCGATGAAGACTTTATAGTTCATTGGCCAGGCTTCACTGGATTAGGTACCGTGCTTGCCAGCCGTTCAATCGCTTGGGCGAAAAAAATCCGGGAAAACCACTAGGAAAAGACTAAAACGCACTACCACACACCACCCAACCCCTCCTCCTCCCGGAGCCACACGATGCCTCTAGAACTTAGCCCCCTTACCAATCAATCGTGGATGAACGTGGGCTAATGCGGCAAGGCGCGCCCACCCGTAGCGTCACCAACCTTTTTCGGCTCCCTCGCGTTCTCGATGTCGATTGTTATATATATTTACAGCGAGGGATTTACTGTAAGGAGTTCATTTCCCACAAAGTGATTTTACTTTTCGGATTTCATAAGCCTAACACTGTCGGACGGGACAGGAATCATAGTGCACTCGCTGATTGTTGATATACATCTGTTTTGACACCCTTGGCCATATGGACTCTCCACATTCAATAAGCCTTAGCATAATTTGAGATAATCCATCCCCATGGGGGCGTAATTCGCAAAGTTCTCAGTTCGCTACTAGTTCAGCTCTGGAGGTGAGTGAGGCTCTTCGTAGCGAATACTCTGCGTAAGCTCAGTCACACTGCCTCGCACGCATACAACTTCCGGACCCGGAAAGCGAACTTTAATCTCCCAAGTGCCAGGAACAACACTCTCAAGGTCCACTAAACGGCCTCCATCTTTCACGCTTGAATAGGGTTGTTGAACTCCTAAGAGTGAGATATTTCGGGAAAATGCAATAGCGAGCCGGATAAAGCGGCCCTCATCAGTATCAAAGACGCCAAATGAGCAAAGTCTTGTCTGCATGATGCGTAAGAGAAAGTCAAGCTCTTCTGAGCGGATGACAATAGCGGTTGATATCTTGTGAATCACGATGAAAACCTGCTCGGGTGCAAATCCAGATTTCTCTGAACCAAAAAGGGCTTGGCATTGCGAAAGGACATGGTTTTGGGGATAAACGACATATTTATTTTGGTCTTCCTGCAGCCTGAATACACGCACACTCAATTCACCCACTAAGACTATCAGCAGAAGCAAGTAATAACTAAAATGATATGCATACCTTGGAGAGGTATTCCCTCGCGCCTATTCTTTCGGAATTGTCGCGACGCTATGGCATTAGCCTGGCGTCGCTTGGCTTCACTTGAGGAACCAGATTTGCAGTCGATTTCGTATGGAATCAATATCTTTTCAGTCGGTGATAGCCGCTGTGTTGGAGACGGTGCAGCTGGATGAGAGGGGTGAAGTAAGCTTTGGATGTTCATGGCTGTTTAGCACCGTGGCGAATGATTTGAGTGATACAGTAGATTAAGCCCAAAAGCTGGCGTAATAGGGGACCGGCTGGTTAAATATTCGAGTCACTCGAGCTCTTCAATCCAATCCTAAGCTTGGAAGATTTTCTCGCTCGAGTTTCATATTCGAGCTGGGTTTTGCTTGGTCAGTGGCCGCAACTCCTGGTGTTGAATTCCATAAATTGAAGAAAATCAAGAATATCTGTTGCATCTTCCTAAAATCCTCTCCACTATTCAGCCTTGGCTGACAATTGCTATTACGTCGATCTCTTACGAAAGAGGAATCCAAATATCTCATTGTTTTCACAATGGTTGTGCCTCATAGGGCTACTACTCACTGGGACATGATCCCTCCTACACTGCACATACTCTTACTGGCTACTACCTCTTAGCTTCATTCAATTGCATCCGAGCACGATATCTACACAATATCTAACTTAGATTAATATCACGCCTTAGAACCAAATATTCGTCTCTTTCAATGCCGTATTTCCGCCGTAAATTGTGCCACTCTTCGTCTCCTAGAAGATTTTTTGCACGCCAAATCTTGGTGTGAAGTCTCAGCAGGTGGGGTTCTGATGACGCTTTTCCATGAATAAAAGGACCGCCATACACGTAGCCTTCTGTGCCACTGCTGTATTTGACATAGAACCTGATGAGGACGGTTCGGGGATCCCAGATTGGGACTACATGATCATATATCTTGAATTCATCGATTTCGCTGAGAACGTCCACGCTCAAGACTGTTCTCTGCGGCTGAGCCATTGGTCTGCATTGGTCAGCGCTTCCATAAATCCACATTGAATTACCATACATTACTTACAAGGTCCAATTCTCCAAAGATTAATTCCTTCACTAGGTCCTGTGAGATTGGGATAGCCAATTGGCTCGCGCTGGATTTGCAATTCACTTATACGTGGCCTGGTGAATATACTTGGTTGGAGCTCAAGTAAAATTGGGGGAGAAAATAATTCTGGAAGGTCCATCACTCATCGAAAATCGAGCCGATTATGAGGAAGCAGTCTGGCTTATATTCTCTGAAGAAAAACGCGCTTAGCATATACCAGCACATCCGAAAGGTGTATTTCAGACAGTTGATACTACCGTGGACTAATAGAGAAGTAGAACGAGGAATCCCTCTACTCAGGGGCCGCAGAAAATTTGATGATGCTGAAGAATTCTTTGAGTCCGGGACGATCATTGGGTTTGTTAATTTATTTTTCACAATCTCAGCACGTGTGAGCGTTTCTATTTGTCGCTTTCATCTCGTCCCAACCGGATGGAGAATGGCGTGTTAAAGGGGGTAATAATGACCGGGCTCATTTTGGAAGTATTTATCGGAGCGAGGTAGTAGGGAAAGAACCCATGGGGGGCTTTACACGATTTGTTTTGGAATTATGCGAGGATACAATGGAGCTGATATTCAGCAACGTCCTGAATTCAGCGAGTGCCCATATTGTGAACTAGTTGAAAAAACCGTTCGGAACAGTCTCTGCCAGTTTTCTTTGACTATGGGGAAGTTTAAGATGGCAATAAGAATGCGTCCTACAAAAAATACCCGGTGAAACCTCAGGAGCAGGTCACCTTATCTACATAGGAGATGCTCGAGGAGGAGTATGCGAATACTTACACCAATCGATGATTACGCTCTCGAACTCAGCGATGTCCTCGAGACGTTCCGTCTCTAATTCTGCGATTGTTCTCTGTTCCTGGGCCATTGGTCTGTATTGTCAGCGCTTCCGCAAATCCACCCCGAATCACCTGGCATTTCCTTACAAAGTTCAATCCTCCAAATATTGTTTCCTTTACTGGGTCCTGTACGATTGGAATAGCCAATTTTTAGCGACCTGGGATTAATTGGACTTTGAATTCAGACGAGAATGAAATGGTGCTGACCAGAATTGATTGCAAAAAACTCCAGGGAAGTTAGGACACAACTTATAATATCACATTTTCTCTCCGAGCTAGGATCTGATTACAGACAATTCTCTTTTCGTTGCTAAATATAGATAACTGAGAGAGAGATGCATGTTGATTACTTAGGGGCGATGCATTCCAACTTCAATGGGATATGTGTGCCCAGGCATACATATCCCATCCCTGAATCTTTACTGATGTAGACCACGTGGAAATTATCTTTTTTCGCTCTCGACGACAATATAGGAATCAAATCATGTCCTTATAATCTAATTTTATTTTTATGGAAGAACCGGGCAATGCATATCTTACTGTTGCACATGTAATAACTAGTTGGATCATCAAATTAGCTCATGACGGGCATATTGAGTAGGTAACTTAACCAGTGGAGCGTTATAGTCGATGACTAATATCACATGACTTCGCTTGTGTCGGGCGGGGCTTGACTTGCAGTTGGGCACCAAAGGCTTGATGGAGACTTCGACAAGCCCCGCGATAGCCCCTCCGTCAGACACGACGAGCGACGTTGGAGAGTCGGTCTCCTTACTGACTGTAACAATAGTTTTGTTATAGTCAGAGATCTAGGCATCAAGAAAGCAAGCAGCTTACTTCCAAGTCGAATTATACCACCAGCTTTCCCCCGTCCTTCCCCTCCATGGGATGATGACGACGAACCAACCTCCCCCTGCGCCGGTCGTTGCTGTCGCATCCGAAAATGTTGAAAAGAGCGCGAAGTTGGCTTGGGAGCAAGCCTACCGTCTTGCCGACGGTGTGTCTGAACCGACAATTGGGAGGGCATCAGGGTTCCTACCTACTGAGCTTTGTTATAAGGCCATGAATTCGGCTATGGAAGAATATCCAGAGAAGGTAAAGAGAATGCTACGTGATTGCATTAGATTTGTCTAATTAGGGACTGTAGGCCTCTTATTCTACCCCACCTCGGAAGATATCAAGAAGCAGGAAGGGAGGAGTGGTGTACTTTCCTGGTCAACCAAGGATTGCGGAAACCTTCACCATAATGATACCGATCTCAATTCAAGGAAATGTGCAAATAAATGGGATGGAGGTCACTATGGGAAATTACTATCATATTCTGCAAGAATGCACCCTAAACATTCCTGAGCGCGGCAGATTGGTGGCGTTGATAATCGATAACATTGTGCTGTGAACGAGGATTTATCCGAGGATAGTCGTGCATTTGTAATAAGTGTATTTATAGTCCACCTGTTTCCGTCTTTCCAGTTTATGTCCCCCCAGAAAGACCTATTCGGGAGTGTACCCAGCAGTTGACCACTAATCCCTAACCGTTGGCCGGAGGAAGATGGCCTTCGTGCGAAATTTGGGGGGCGAATGCCGACATTGCAATACTTGTATCATTGAAGTACGAGGACATTGAGTTGGTCTCATCCTGTGGAATGATCCCGAGGAGGGCGGCACTGGTGTCATTTGGCCCCCAGATATCTGCTTCCCGCGTACTGGATTGGACAGCAGAAGCATTACCGCAAATGGTTCTTATTCCGCCCATGCCTTCCACTTCCGATGCAAACCACTGCATTGCGACGCTCGTATCATTGCATTGTGGTGTGTGTACGAAAGCAGAAGCTTCTTGCAATATACGGTCCATTGCGAAGCTCGTATCGTTGAAGCTGTGGAGATCATGTGATTGACTTCCTCTGGAAAATTGGTCATGTCGGCTACCAAACTGCGGGTGCAACGCTGTAGGGTCAGAACCATTGTAAGACGAGTCTTCCGGGCGCGGAACTGGCAGATATAGAAGAGAGCTGTGCAGTGGAGTTTCGGATATAGTCCTTGTTTCCGGCCTTACTTCCGAGGCAGCTGGGTTACTCGCGCGATGTAACATGCAAGAGGACGGTCTCGGGTCAGAGCACAATCGACTTTCTGAAGGGGCGGGTATGTCGGATAAAGTGGTGGCATAAATCGGTGAACCCTCGTGAGGATGTTGTAGCTGCTCTTCATCTTGGATGCATGAGGCTGCGGTCGTGGTTGAAAAAGCCGGAGTTGTTTGTTCGTCACCTGGAGAGAGCTGACTTCGGTTTCGATTGGACGGCTGTAGTCTTGCGTCTCGGTCCAATCCGTTTGGGGAGTGATTTGATCTACCTCCGATGTCAAAGAAATCTGAAGCAGATGACGCAAGAGACGAAGTTTGACTGCAGCCTGTGAACGGATTTCTTTAGCAGTATTTGTGGCGAGAGGATGCAATTGGACTGACAGTTCGGTGGAAATGCAGACTCAAGTGCTGAGAAAGAAGTGGTATCCTCGATTACGGGTAATCGATTACCCTTTTGCGGTATGTTATGGTAGTAAGATGTTAGAGACCTCATAGCTCTCTCTAGATGTGATCGGATACGGAATTGGGGTAGCGTCTTCATGAACTCGTTAACTGCTTCCAGTTCTACTGAGCTCCACGAATGCCTCTCAAAACTACCAATATTAGCAACAGGCCAAGAACAAAGGGCGGCAGGTTGATTAATGCACCTTTTTGCAGCCGAGTCAGGTAGAGAAAGAATCATTTCCACTGGGCTTATCTGCTGCCATTTCCACCCAAAGCGAGAATACAGCGATATCATCTTTTTAACTCTCTTCTGTTTTGCGACATCGATATCTGGCCAGGTCTTGCGCATGATGGAACGTAGGGATGTGGGAAGAAGCACCCTCTTGCGACAGACTTGCCTTGTATCGGCTTCCACGAGCTTAGACCTTGATCTCTGCCTTTTGCCGTCGGTGCGCATTTGTTTCTGTTCTTGCTGCACACGCTCTGATAATATCACTAATAGGATTTTCCTGCGTAGTGGATCGATCTCTCTTATCCGTTCCAAGTCCTCGAAACATCGTCGAAAAATGTCTCCGTTGGGCGGATTGCCATTCCAGAAGAGTGCTGGACAACTATACCAGAGCAACGCACACGATAAGAGAGTGTTGACCCTTTCTTCCGGAAATGCCCAGTTTTTTGTAATGGCTGTAAGTTTATTAACCTGGTCCTCCTCTAACCTGTGTCCCTGCTGTGTCGAAAAGCTTTGGAACCATACTTGACGGTCGGAGGAAGCTGCATCGTCTCTTCTTGGACGCCTTAGATTTGATGCGAATGTCTGATGGAGCGCTGCAATTTGAGCGGGTGACGCGAGAATACACCTCACCGTATTTGCAGTTTCCTTGCCAGGTCAGTTATGGAACACTAATTCATATTGGAGGAACAGACAATATCACCGGCGTCAAGAAGTAGTATCTCTAGATGCGATAGGGTTGCCCGTACCGCTCGCTCTATCTGTTCCTGATCAGCGGATGCCTTTTTTTTGAATATGCTCACTTACTTGGAGCCGCATCTCGAGGATGGTAGGCACATAAATGAAAAGAGAGACGAGCTCCGTCACTTAGGAGGTAGAAGTTACGACGCTCATGTGACGGGCTCCTTTGAGCTTACCACTTATGGAAAGATGTGATTTGCCAAGGCACTAATGCAGCAAGGATGGGATATACGTGCCCAGACACACATATCCCCATGTTTTACTTGCGCGGCATTGGGTGGAACCATTGGACGATATGGTCTAGGAATAGCAAGGATGGATTCGCATCCTCATCCAATAATTCACATGTAGCCTTTCACCTCTAATGAATGGTAAATGCGACTGCGGGTAACTGATAGGACAAAGCAAAAGTGCCAGCCTAACTTGGTGTATCCATCACCTAGTACCCCTCGACTGCGCTGATACTATTTTTGGGATCGTCTGCATTCTTACAGGGCAGAAATGAGAACACTCCGATGGGGCATCACATTATTCCAATACAGCTCTGATTGACTCGAGTGGCGCGTCGTATCAGCCTCGCCCTAGACCTTTCCTACAGGCCGTGGTTGGCGGGGATGGATTCAGGATAAGTCTCTCATCCAATCATATGGAAACTTGATTTTATCACTGGACAGACATCGGGAAGGTAGGATGAGTGGCCCCAAAGACAGGCTCAAACGCAAGCCTAGCGGGGTTCAGAGAGCTCAAAGTTATGGAATATTCTTCTTTGGGGAGAAAAGAAAAGAAAAATGAAGTGAATAGAAGATTCCTGAAACTCTTTCTTAGACCTGCCCTGACATTGGTCATCTACACATATATAAACCGGTTCGCAGTGCTCTCTTTGGGTTCACTTTGATTCACTACCCCTTCTCAATCCGGCAGCACACGGACACGAAAGGGTCGGTCTCAGTCACCTTTTCTCCTGCTAAAACCTGCCCGCTTCTCATACGAGCTGTGAAGATTTACTCTAAAGCACCTGCAAGGTAAACCAGTCCCCACTGCTTAGCTAGTTATTGGTTAAGGCTCACTTATTGCACAGATGACGGTTCAGCAGCCGTCTGAAATTACAAACTCCTGCCACTGGTCCTCGGTGTCTGATGGTACACCCAAGAAATCATGGGATTGCATGCAATCAGATTGCGAAGACTCAATTGCATACAAGCCACCCAAATAGGGCCCAAGATGACGGATGACAGTTTTTGCCAGTATGAGGGAGAAGTGGGGAGGGGTTCAAGGTGATGAAAAGCGTATCAGAATAGTCTTCGACAGATCATATCAAGATCCGTGGTGGCATGATGCACAGGGCACCTGAGTTTGCGGTTGACTTTGGACGGTCTTGTCAGTGATTTGCATGTACTGCTTTCTTCTGTTGCCGCTTGGACTTATAACACCGAGTCTCATGACTATCTCATGGGCACCTCAGGGGTATTCAACCCCCCTGATTCCATTCTTTTGATCTTTCTCGTTGCGGGATCCGAATCAATCCCACTTTTGATGTTGTCGCTCTAATTAGTCAATTCACATGCCCATATCTCGTAGCCGATATTTGTCACCTTGGGGCGTCTTGTTAGTTGAGCACTTCCGGAATTATATATATTCTTGGGCATTTTTGTAGGAAGGTCTTTCTCGGGTCAACTAAACCCAACGATGAGTATCACGTAGATCTATTCAGACCACCTAGAGTCAAATACCATCATAACGTGACTAAAAAGATTACATATCACAAATCCAGATTATGAATCTCGCCCCCTGCCAGCCACTCGACCTTAGACAGCTTGTCGGTGTAGAGTGGCGCAGTGAAAAAACATGGATCTTGGATTTTACCAAGTTGTAGTTGGTTGATTCGTGCAACTGCCTCCTGCATCCAAGCATCAACCAGCACCGAGAACCAATCAATCCCGAGGACGGAGTGACGTGAAAAGTCACGTGCACCTACAACGGAGAGATTTAAAACCGCCCGACGTCTTCCTAAACTCTTGTCTATTACCAAATCAACCAAATCCATCTATTATCACAATTCCCCAGTGGGTATTCACCACATATTATGGAAATTATACAAAAAAATGAAGCTTTCAAGAGGATTGATGGTAAAATGAGATTTTCCTACGTCCAGATCTTTGCCCGGCGGGATGGCGTATTATATTCAGGGAAATGGTCAAACCGACATGAATCTCCGAATACGCTCGAGGAACTTCAAGAACTTAAGCAAATCCCGACCGAGGACAGGGGCCCGGAGATTAAAACAGTCTGGTCTGCGGTGTTTGTGAAAACGCCAAATCTTCTCGCATATGTCGATGGAAATCTCGAAAAGCGAATCTCTCGCGAAGTTGAAGCCTGCGAAATCCTTCGGAAGAAACCCCATCCGAACATTGCGACTTATTACGGCTACAATGAAAGTCACGGTCGAGTCTCTGGCTTATGCTTCAAGCGATATACGTCCACCTTGCTTGAAGCGGTCAATCCTCAACGCCTTAACAAGGCCGCCTTTCTTTCAAGCCGCCGCGAACTAGTGACGGATTGTATGAAAAGCGGCCTTCAAGGGCTCCTGGATGCTATCAAACATCTTCACTCGCTTGGGCTTGTCCATAATGACATCAATCCTGCCAACATTATGCTCGACGAAGAGGGCACACTCATTCTCATCGACTTCGATAGCTGCCGATACATTGGGGAGTCCCTACGCAGCACGGAAACAAAAAGGACTCAACACTGGCACGACCCTACTGTGGAAATATCCATCGAAAAGAATGATTTTGACGCTTTCAAAGATCTGCAAACCTGGCTGACTGGATCAACTGCTGAAGACTTCATTTTTCTATAAAATGCTCGCATATAGATGCCAACACGACAGGATTCGTCTGCTGAGCTAAAATAATGTCGTTCGCAAAATTGAATACCTTTATTTTTTTATTCATCAAACAACATTTCTTTCATAGCGTGTTTTCTGTCCTTCTCCGCTTCTGTCTACCACTTGATTTCGTCTTTAAACAGATTTCGTAGTTAGACAGGAACGGGTGGGATAAGCTCTGCTTGGATATATGAAGAGGTCTTTCTTGGCGTTCAATATTGGCGAATTGGAGCAAAAGCTCTAAGACTATGCTAAGCCGACTCCTGCATGTTATGGACGGACCTCGGAACCCGGGGAACCTGTCCAGCCGAAATCATGGGCCTTGCTTCCTATCCTCTCGTGTCAGCCTTGTCCTAAGTCTTTCGTGGCTCCCAGGAGTTGGTTAATTAGGAGACACAGCTGGAGCTGCGCCCCGAGAAAGCGGGGTAGATGCCTTGTAGTTTTGTAGAGAGATAAGAAGGGAATAATCAAGCAAAACACCTTCAGAAGCTGGCCTTGATGGCCCTGACCTGGGGGAACCAGCTTAGCCTGGCGTCTGACCCATGCATCCCTTTACAAGCTAGGAATACACAGGCTTGAACTATTACTGCGAATGGGAAGGTGCCTCAGCCTGGGGAGGCGTAATTATTCATCCTCGATTCGCCAGGATCAAAATGTCTGTGTATTGTGACTTCTGCTGAGGTGCCGCAGCCTACATTCAGCGCATGCAGCCCAGGTTCACTGCTGACTTGTTCATTCCCCTAGCGGCAAATCATTGGATGGGAAGCACTCTTTGCACAACGCCAGCAGCCAACCCAGCTTTCACAGGGCGCAAATACCTGAGAGCTCGCCCCTACTGTCCTATCATTTACCGCCGAGCAAATGGCGTTAGGCCAGAGATGGTCTAAAGTATTGAACTGAAGCTAAATGAATATCCCTGCATTACCAGAAGGCTGGTTTCGCTACCCGTTTTCATTTTTTCAATTTACTTGTCTATTCAAACTAACAACTGGAAACCAGAATTTCCCTCGGGCGGCAAACAACAGGATAGGAAGAATCCTACTCCATGTAAGACTAGCCCCAAATGCTTGCATAAAGAATACCATCACCATGCCAGTAATCTAAGTTAAATAATGATTTCGTTTAGAACGTGTTTCCTTCACTTCCCCACCTGTATTGCAGCAAGTACGACGAGAACGGCATTGTATCTACACATTCAAAACTCGCTCTTCGAGTCCTCCGAAGAGGAGCTGGGACGGTAGTCGCTACTTCGACGTCCACGTTTGCTGTCCCTTTTTCTTTCGACAGATCCTTCGTCCTCTGAGCTTATCTGTTCTGGCGGGGTCTGTGGTCGAGGACGTTTCAAAACGCCCGGTCGAACTCGATTGATTGAGCCTTGGAGTTGCGTCTGGGACTGTTGCCTAGCTTCGGCACTGGAGAGGAAATCACAGAGCTGCTCCGATGTAATATGAATTTGTCGGTCGAGCCCAGGCCTCCCACTACACAGGTCTTCTGTCCCGAAGTCCCTGAGCGACAGCTGTATCAAAACACCATCAACTGGAAATCCAGAGTCCGTCCGAAATAGCTACTCATCTGTCAGCATCTAACCGTCGGGAATGGTGGATTTGAAGTAGCCGTACTTGCGCCTCGACCACAGCGGTGGCCCGGAACTCCTCCACACCATCGACTGTTACATATTCCGGTCGCCATATAGTAACGGTCGCTCTCTTGGAGCCTTTGTAGTCAATATCAAAGGCGATGACGGCGTTCACACTTCCATCAGTATTCAAAATATACTCATCAGCCAGGTGTGAGACCCGCTGCCTCTTTTGTGAATAGCACACTTCCACGATTACACCGGGGTAGTGTGCCTGGCGGTGGCCAAAGGATGCGTCGGGTTCCCGCCTGGAATAAGACTGTCTTCCATCTCCCGTATCTTCAGGTATTAAGATTCGCGAAGTGGCAAAATGCTCGACCTCCTTGGAGAAATCAGCAACGGGCCCATCGATTTGCTGAAATTGCCTCAGTTGCCTTAATATTTCATCGACAATCTTTGCACAGAATATATCATGGAGAGGACTTGGCATTCGGATTGCCAGGCAATGACGGCAAGGATCGTAGTCGTACCTATGACCAACTATCTCAGTACGCCTGTATCAATGAGGCACGACCTAAGGATACTCACCGTATTTTGTCCTCCACGTAATTCCGAAGAGGTTCGTCAGCATCCAACACACGCAAGACTTGTGTATAGTGGTCCGGTTTGAGTCGACGCTCCCACCAAGGTTGTGGCCGATGACCTGCTAGGTGGAGCTGCAAAAACTTCACGACGCTTTGAGCACTCCTTGACAATGGTTTTTCTTCGGTGGGTGGTGGCGTGAGGGGAGACTCGAGGACACTCCCTGGTGGAGTAATTCCAGCTGCCATGGGAGGCGCGAGAGGTCAGGATAGATTCAGAGTGCGCTTTGTTTATGCCGGGAGGGGATCGGGAGCTGAAAAATCACGTGGTAACGATAAGCTGCGAGCAGAGCACTGAGTGGGTGCCAGTGAATAGCAGAATTAAGCTGCTCTCGGGTTGTTTGCTGACAGGCATAGTTAAGCCAGAGCACACGACCTAGTATGGACTAGTGCTCCAGCATAAGCTGGTCAAACATGCTAACACACTTATTGCCACGTGATATGGATTTGTCACCCCATTGGTGCCTGAGGTGTGAGACACCTGTCAGAACACAGCAGGTAGATGAATCCGGAAGAGGGAGATACTATCTCCCGCAAAGATTAGTCATGTGTTTTGAGCCCATCCAAATTGCCAGTCAGGGGCTTTATAGCAATTCAGACCGGTTGATATCCTATTGGTGCACCAGTATGGCCCACTGAACAATATTTGGAAACACTAGGCTGTTCCTCAGTTCATACCATTCGCATAGCGCCACACGAACTCTTCCTAGGCTTGTAAAAATGAAAAGCTTCCATGCTGGGAAGGTCCCTTGCTACCCTATCTGTCGATCAAACGCTTATCCTTGGGGTATGTGTATTAACCTCGGCGGTGAATCCGATTGTTTAAACTGAGCAATTGCTCTCCCATATAATTTATTGATTTAACCAATGGAAACAGTGAAGGCCTAGATCCCTTCAACTTCACTCGTCTGCCGTATTGTACAAGAAATTCGGACTATCACACTCTCCTTCCGAGTATCATCCTACCCTGCTGCGTTTCGACATTTTACTAGGCCCGAGGGCATGCCAATGCTGAAATTCGGGAATAATTTTAGTGCCCGTACTTGCTATCATTGGATTGAAAGAATGAATACATAAGGAAGAGCACGTGGGTCGCAAAAATGGATATACACTGTAACGGTTGCCATCAAGTTCGAACTCTTTTGGTCAGCCGCCCCGATCGCCCGAGCCCAGGACGGACAAACACATACAAGCAAACAACGAAGCTTGAAATAATACATGAAAACAGCAAAATGATTTATCAACATGATAGCGTGGCTGCGTTCTATCCTGCAAATGGGTAGCACCGGAGAAAACCATTGACAGGTGCCCTACAGAGGGGACATCTCTTTGGCGCCTCAGGATTCTCTGCACATGACAGGCAAAACATGTGTCCACATGCAAGCGTCGCCCAACGATCTGGGTGATCGGAGCAGATCTTGCACCGTAGCTTTTCCCTTAGTTGTATGAATACCTCTTTGCCTTTTTGGAGCTTGTTCCTCTTCAGGCGAACTTCGTGCTGGAGGATTCGGTTTCTCTCTCGTAACATCGCAATTTCGCTTTTAAATGTAGTTCGAAGCTTTTTGAAAGCGTCATCCTAGAGCTTTATTAGCCATGGAAGAAGGAAGTGCTGCGACGAGCTCATACCAAAGTAGGCCGCTCCTTCATTTCTATTCTTCTTCGCTTCCGTGATGATGTCAAGCCAGATCTGTAATTCCGACGAGGGCCTCTTCCAGGCCGTGAAATACGTAACTCGGGGCCTGGTATTTCATCGTTATCGATAATAACGACCGGGTTCGGCATGGTGCCGCTAGTCGCCTTACTGGGGGAGAAAATCGTATCACCTCGCAAGGTGGGAAGTAAATGGAGAACTAGAAGCTGGTGCCAGCCGGGGGAAAGGGGCCCTTTATATATGTGACCCAGCATCGACTGAGTCAGCTCCAGGAAATAGCAATAGTCCATGCGGCATTGCACGATTGGACGTCAGCCCGTGATGGAATAAGAGCAGGCTATAGCGTTTCATGCGCCACCCCGACAAGATGACAGTGCATACCCATATTTAGCTCGATACCACTCGTCTGACCGAGTATGCCTTGCTCAACAAGCAGTCCGACACGGGTACGCACGGAGAAGTCTTAATATCGGACAGCAAAAGCCCTGACACGATCGCAGCCAGGCGATATCGGTCAACCAATCGTGCCCATGTTGGTAGGCAGTGCAGAGGACTACCGCAGAAATGATATGACTACCCTGCCCGTCCGTATGCTATTTTAAGTCTGCACTGTGTTATGGCTAGTGGGTTGATTGAGCCTTGCTTGACAGTCGTTCGAAGGCCCAGGGGAGAAGGCGAATCTTGCAGGGCGGATTAACGTAGGGGTAATAGCCCGACAGGACCGCCAGGTCTGGGTGGAACGGTATAGATACGCAGAGTATGAACTGCAGCACTGGATTTGACGTAGGTCGAGGAGAAATCGAATGTTTGTACGCGATAAGACGGTGTCGCGTTGCGCCTTTCAGATTCGGAGGCCATCCGAGGAATTGGACGTTAGCCCGCGATTGAGTGGCATGAATGACTAGCTCACTTGTCCACTTCATCTAGTAGCCACGCCGCAGAGCACGGTTGCTATATTGGGAGGCCGCATGACTGTAGATCGTCTGCGCCCAGTGTTCACCAGCGGGTCAATAGAGCTCTGCTTACCAATTATTCTATCGTCAAAGGGAGCGTATGAAACAATCACTCCCTTCTCATCTACGATCCGCAAAACAGGAGTAGAACATTGTTTCTTATCCGTTCCAACTTATCCTCTACGCCTATCGATCAGGAAGCCAACAGAGCATAGGACAACAAGACGCACTTGGTAGGAGAGGAGAGGCGACCCAGATATCAGGAATGCGGATGGCTCTCAAAAAAGAAGGGTGACTATCTCGGCCGCAGTGCTCATCCGAGAAAGATCCGAATAGCCCCATCGCTCTTGTTGTTTCTCGAAACTCTTGGAAGAGTTTGCAAGATCAGCGGTTTCCGTCAAGTCCGGTCTAACCGCATTCAAGTTTTGGTCCTGACCTCAAACGGAGTTCGGTATACTAATTCGAGTTGTCAGTTGCTGCACAAGCCCTACGAAGGGGACCCATGTGTCCAGCAATGCTCTTAGTTTAAAAGGGTGCAGCAAGTGCGTCATCTCAGCCAAGTGGGTTAAGGGGCTAGGAGATGGAGGACGAGGTGGAGGGCTTCTAGGAGCGAGCCCAAACTCAATTTATACCAAAGCTAAGGCGGCGACAGCCATCATAGAAAACTATACCATTTTCGGAGGCACTGGACCCAGAGTGGACGACCACCACCTAAGTTACTGGCGTACTGAAACTCCGAGTGTAGCGCCACAGCCCAGTGGCTGAATTGTGCCCTGAAATCCCTTATAGGATTTGTTTCTACGCGCTTTTGTGTCTCTCACTGTAAACCTAACTTATTTACTCCCTGACTTTTACAGTATGCCTCAACTCATTTTCTCACAATTTAAACCAGATGGTCTCATTTTAGGAGAAGCTACAAGTGTATGGACTAGTATGAATAACAAATCTTATATCAAACAGGGTCAATTCAAATGAAATCATTGATTGTTTGAATAATGCTGAAGTACCAAGGAATGAATACATGAAGAAGGGCAACCATCACAATCAAGTTCGAGCTCTCCTGGCCAGTCTCTTCGATCGTCTGAGTTCAGATTGAATACCATCGTGAGATAATTGGCGTTTTAGTGACCGCGAGTGAGAGTTGAGCGGCAAGTTCTTCCCAACAGAAGTATCAGCTTGATCTACTGTCTCCCGAGAAAAAGTCTCGGTAGTCATTGACGGTTCACACACGACGTTACCCGCAGGCGAATGAGGCTTGCGATCGGCTGAAGATAGTCCAGAAGAGAAGGTGACGAAGCATTTTGGGTCTACCCCATCCGAGTGGATGATCAGAGCAATACTTCCAAAGAAGACTTCTCGTTCCTCATAATCTGAGGCTAAAGGGGGCCATCTTTTATAAATTTCAACAGAAACTTGGCCAGTGAAGCCGTATCGCCAATTGGCTCCCTTTTCCCGTTCTGGCACGACCGATTCGAGTATCACAATCCCATCTGCCCTTTTTCGAGATGCACGGACATTAGTACCGTGATCGTCCTGGCGAGCTTTAGGGGAGAAGGTGAGAAAGCATTTTGGGTCCTTCCCTTCCATAGGGACAACCACAGCACCTCGCCCGAAAAGAATATCGTCTTGCTTGAAAATCTCTAGACTGCAAGGTATATCCGGCGAAAAGGCTGTTCGGATGATCACTTGGTTGACTAAAAGGTTTGTTGGCCAAGTAGCCCCCTTCTGGAAGTCAGGGGCATAGAATCGCATGGTCACTCGGCCTTCTTCGCTTTGTCCTTGTAGCTGTTTGGACCTGTTTGAGTTGCTTGGTAGCGTGTTTTCTGTAAGATCATAGTGTTAGCGACTGTATTGAATAAGTACAGCACGGAGTTACTCACGAGGGGACTGAATCCCATCAAAAAAAGCCTTAGCTTGTTGACAATCGGCATTCCGACAGTGCTCCATATGATCGTGGATCGCCGCAAGTTCATCGCCAATGGCAGCAGATATGGAAGAATCCCAAGTCGAGGCTGTTTTGCCTAAGCACTTGATTTGTGGCACAGCGATGCGGGTCATTGAAGAAATATCAGGCACATTGCGATCCTCCTTGAGTTCCTCTGTCTTAGAAGCTTGGTCTTGCTCAGTGCTTTGCTCGCTTCCTAATACTATTTAGCATAATAGTCTTAAATAGCCGTCGGCCAAGCTTACCTCTGTGATCACTCGCAACGTTCTCCCGCCTTGTAGCCCCAAAACCGGGGCATTCCCGCAACGCGTCAAATGAATGCTTAGTGATTTTCAATGCTTTCTCCGACTGAAAACCGTTGGGACTAGACCGCCCGAACGGCTGAAAGCCTTCTGGGTCCTCACAGACTAGCGACCTGGTTGGCACGCGGACAGACGAGGAATCGAGAGCTACATCATCCTTCACCGGAACGGCCAAGTGTCCAGCCGTCAACGTCCCCCAGAATTCCGGTGTAGCCATGATCTCAGTGTCGGCATCAGAGCCAAGTTGATCTGGCTCATCTTGGCACCAACCCTCGTCAACCTGGATCACGATGGGATTGGAAGCCGAGCCCAACGGAGCAAGATCATCTCCGATCACTATGGGATTGGCGTACGTGCCTAACCCTGGGGCAACCATAGAGTCGCACACGACCACTTCTGGCCATTCACACGGCCAAGTCGGTACTGAAGCTTCGGCACATTAGATTAGTGTAATCAATCAGGCTTATAGACTATCTCTTACTGAATATTTCGTGTTCATTCTCTGTAAAACAGGTCATATTGTCTGTGACCGGTACTAGAGAATAAATCAAATAGGTAAAGAGTAATGTAGAGAAAACTGAGTACTTCGATCAAATCGAAAGACGAAGTTGGATTCTTGACTGGTCTTTCACTAAGTCGGCGGGCGAAATACATGGCTTTATACCTCTCGTCAGACCAATTCCGCGCCTGATCCAGCCTGCAAGTTGGGCACGCCAGGATCGATTTCAAGCTCAGAGAGCAAAAGCTTCGTCAAGATGGTATCCAGACGAGAACTGTCTACGCCAATCGATTCTGTGGTTGATGCACCATGCAGCGTACTAACGCACGAAGGACTCGCCATCTCATCCAATTGATCCAATAGCCACATTGTATAGCGCTGTTGCTATTTCTGGAGAACCACAGATCTGCGCATCAGCTGCGTCCGGCTGTCACCACCAGGTCGATTGGGCTCTGTGTGCCAGTCATTCCATGGCACGAGACCGACGACAAAACGCGCTGGACGCGCCGACACGAAGAAAATAGCTTCATCGTCCGCAGTCCGCATGACGCCCGTGCTGCAGGACCAGACCCTTGTTCACCCCATCCGTCCGTCTCATCATCTCCGCCAATCGATCATGATGTCAACGGGTCTTCGGCAACAAGGCACACTCGGTGGCAGGGGCTGGAGTGGACTCCGAATGCGGACGAAGGCAGGAGAAACTGTGTATGTCGACAGAAATTGACGTTTGCTAACGGTCGTACGAGGTCGCCTGATGCGCCTTCAGAGGTCGTTCCGGAGTCTCAACATGGCCGCCGTAAAACCTAGCAATCATCGTGTAGAACAGATTGGCACTGTTATCATCTCGCCAACTCTCGCTGACTTCGCAATCACCGGCTGACCCGTGTAGAGACAGTTTGGACGTTCACGTACGCTGACCAGTTCGATCCCGGTCTTCCTCGGTTCCGAAAGGATACGGACGGTATCAGGGAAGGCTGCCAACACTGTTACCCTCGATTTGCGCCCCCAAGGCAAACTTGAAGCCCCGCTGGACACGGGCGATTTTCCGGAATGAGGGAAGGGCGAATACGCCTGGACTTCGCGGAAGTTGGATGACCGACCGATCGATTGACATGTCAGGGGCCAGAACTGCAGGTCGGCGCGACGGACCAAAGGCAAAAATGCCTCAACTCGAGCGTAATGGTGAGACCTGAGCGGAAAGTCCACGCCAGGGCGAAGGAAAAAGCACCGCAGACTGCGCTGGAGGACTCAAAGGGCCGCAGAGGACCGGCCGGTCGCGCTGGCAAGATAGGGGGGGTAGCGGAGCTCGGTGATCCGGATCAATGGCAAAAATGCCTCACTCGCAAGGCGCACACGAGAAACGGAGGGACAGGAGGAGCAGAAGGGCGAAAAGCAGATCGAAGTTGAAGCGGCGATGATGGGGACTTTATAGAAACACGCACGGCGATAGTAACGCGCAGAGAGGCGCTAAACCCGAACAGGCACGCTAAACCCCTTTGCGTAATTCACCGTCACCGGATTATACGGAGTAAATAACTAAGTTAACTAGATAACTAGTTAGTTAACTGCCTAGTTAGTTACTCCGTAGTTCACTCAGTATCTCCGTTATCCGGTCTCCACTGCTGCTATTGTTCCGACACATTTACATCCTTGGGGCGCTCATTAGGCATCACAGAGCTGCCACGTGTGTGTTAGGTGGGCAAATAGTTGACATTGAGCCCAGACCCAAATACATAGTGAGCTCCATCACTCTGTCTTTGAGCGGCATACAAGCGGTGGCAGCCGATTTGATAAGAGAGTACCAAGCAGATGGATTATGGTATGGAGGGTGACCGAGGTTCTGGGTACACCGCTCCCATGGTTCACTCCCATCCGTAGATTCCTCGAATACTTCTTGAAGTTCTGACTGCATAATAATTATTTGACCACATGAACATAAACGACTCCTCACAGTTCCGGCTGATCAACACAGCTGCAGTACATCATATATGATCAGTCTGGACCACGGATAGGACATGCCCGTATACGTAGTATGCTGGACTCGTCGGGCAGACTGTGGGTAGTATTCGGGTTGTATGTCCTCAGACAGGTTTTGAGGGATTTGGGGGGCGCTTAAAATGCGACTAGTCTATCGGAAGCTTCCACGTAGGTCATGGCTCGTTGAAGGTGTGGGGATATACGAAGAGGGGGGTACGTGGAAGTTAGACGGGTGGAAAGCCGGCCAGAAAAAAGTAGATTTGGCCCCCGTCTAGCTACATCAATACTGTCGCGACTTGTACCTTCCACCTTCCACTACTTGGCGAAGCAGTTCACAACATCAGTCCTGCTTTGCCGGTTAGTGGCAGGTGCGAAGGATTCCATGGCCCCGCAGAAGCAAAAGAAGAAACAAAAAGGCAAGCCCCAGGAATGACCGAGTCTATCTAGATTTTCCTTTTCTTTGTTAGCAAAGTGCTGAGAATGGTCTTAGCCTCTTAGGGGGCCTGGGCGGGGGCCCCGTCCACCCCTCAGCGCTTAACTACCGGCTGTGAATTCTCCGGAAGAAAAAAGCCACGAGCGGCGCGCGGTTAGCCTTTCAGCCTCAGCAGCCTCAGCAGCCTCAGCAGCCCCCACCGGTCCCTTGCCGGCCTCGCTGGGGGCCTCTCGTCCAGTCAAGAGCCGCCGCCCGTCAAGTATCCTGCAGGTGGGAGGGTAGGCCAGGTGGGAATTGCTTACACCCCTGTTCGGCCATGTCTTTCAATCTGGTTTGGCTTGTTTACTTTTACCATGGAGGCCGGCCCCATAGCCGGTGGAGACCGAGGGAAGACAGAGATCCTAGATCTTGTCAGGATGATTAGCCATATGCCAGTTTGCGAGGACTATGAAAGATGCCAATATCGGACGCATAGTCTCCTATCGGTATGACAAGGTCAATAATCTAAATAAATGATCTCTCTGTTGAAAAGCAGTGGAATGTCTATGCAAGATTTACATGTCTATGCAATATGACGATGGGGACACTAACCATTTAAATCCAGAATGTAGTTCGATCATCCCGCCCGATCATCCGAATCTATGCCTGTGCACTGCCTGCTTGGCTAGCAACTAGCATGGATGCCACACCATTTATTCAAATTATTCTCCATCAGCGCTAATCAGAAGCTGGCATTTGGGGGTCATTTTGGCCCTCTTGGCCCTATTTGGCCCATTTTCATCCCCTCTATTTCCTCAATCATGATTCACCAGGTTTTCCACTCCACACTGCCGGTTTTCTAGAACGGGTATAGCCACGCTCCGAGAAGAGCGACGGATGGGAAAAACATTGAATGTCCCCCACCAAATAAATATTTTTTTAAATTGAAAAATGAAAAAGCCCATCACTTTTTTTCTCACTCACATTTGGTTACCTTGCATTTCCATCGGATGCACAGCAAGTCTGTGCTCGCCGAGTCTATCTACCTAGCATAACCATCTTGGGGTGGGTGGGTGGAAGGCAGAGCGAGAACATGGGGGCCGGGAACCACAAGGATATCAAGACCACAATTCGCACTATTGAATCTGCTGGCGCTTAAATATAGGCCCTCGTCGAGTCTACACTTCTGCCCCCGAGCGCTCCAATGCAGCACGGCGGTCGTCGGCGGTACTATTCTTCATTTCTGGTGCACTCTGAGCCTATAGTTGAGAAACCGACGCTGCTTGTTCGTCCTGCCTCGCGAGGCATTCCGGTCGTGGGCTGTGATATCTCTCAAATTGAGTCTAGAGAGTGTGCCTGCGGGCATTTTCTGCTATATCTTGTTGCTTTTGACCCCTCTCTCTTCCGGGGCTGGGTTCATCTATAAGAATCTGGAGGTTCACCTGGCGCATTCCGAGCATCTTTCATTACGATCCAAAAAGCACTTCGATTCTTACATTTTCCAGTTGGTTTGGCCTTTATTTTTATTATTCTCGAGTCATCCATTTAACTTACTCGCGTACCTGTTTAACGCCGTGCTCGGCAAACCATTTTTCTCTCCCAACCGCCGCCTCCTACTGCTGTTCCTGCACGGAGCTGTCTGACTGTGTTTCATCTTCTGCCACCTTTGGCGCCTGTTCCAATCAAGTGCTCACTGGACCGCGATCCCTACTACGTGCTGGTTATTTTTGGTCTACATCTCTAGTGAAGATCATGTCGCGCCGATCAGGGATTCCTCACTCGAGAGAAGAATTGCAGGGCTACTATGAGCCCGTCAACGCTACTTGGACGGGTGTTGAAACAGTAAGGCCCACTATCCAGCCCTAGCCTCGTTGGCCCCCGACGGTGTCGACGAACAACTTCAATATTCAGATGGGCTAATTATAGTTACAATTTGTTTAATGTTTTTTAGCCGGCATACCAAACCTCCTTCATGGGAGTACCTCCATCTCCTTATTGCACTGAGCCTATTGTCCCGCATCCAGCCATCCTCACGCCCATCTCCCTCCCAGATAGTTCGTTCCGTCCGAGCCCAGCACTCAGTCACCACTCCCAAGAATATGCAACCCAAGATTATCAGTATAACATCAACGATCAAATTCAACCACAGGGCTTGGGCATCACGGCACAATTCCCTAGCGAATATCCCCGGACAACGGCTCCGGTCGCTAACTATGCCTACGCTCCAACTGACATACCTTATGGCATGGGCTATACGCCCAATATGTCGCCTTTGGCTCCAGCACCGAAGCGCATGAAGCGCACTTCATCAGATATGAGAACTCCATCCCGCGACACTCGCACTCCCCTTAGCATCCTACCCGACCCGGAAGGCGTGGAGCGCCTAGAGCGCGAGCGTAGCCAAAGCACGCCCGCTCCAGCACCAATGCCGCCGAAGCCTCGTGCACCAGGTCGTGGCCGCCGAGACCCTAATGCAGAAGAAGAAGATGCTTTTGTTGAGGACTTGCGCGAGCAGAATGTGTCATGGAAGAGAGTGCGACAGATGTTCTTCGAGCGGTTTAATCAAGATGCCAGCGAGGCGCGCCTGCAAATGCGATTAAATCGTCGGCTCAAGCTTAAGCAACATGCGCGCTGGGATGAGAAGGATGTGAGTATGTGGCCTCCTTATTTATTTTGAGGTTGGAGGGGTTTTGCATCATTTTTGAGTCTCAGAGGCTAATTGATCATTGATTTACTTTAGGTTCAACTGCTGCTCTCCGCTTCCGATATGTGGGAGATCGAGAGGTCCCAGTTCATCGCTGAAAAAGTGAGTCTAATAACTTCCTGGCGATAGATGGTCTCCAGGAAACACCTTAAAGTTGAATACAAAAACTAATTCCTCCAAAGATGAAAGAACTGGGCTCAACAAAAGGATACACGCCCGATCAATGCAAAGCTAAACTACGACACCTCGAGGCTAAACAACGACACGCAACCTCGGGCAGCACATCTCCTTCAGAAATATCCGATCGAGGCGAATCACCCCTTAATCCTCCACCAACATCACGGAAGCGAGCCCGCCAGGAATTTGAAGATTGATTCCGAACCGAAGTGCTGAGTCTCCATTGTACTGTTCGCATCTAAACTTCTTTCGATGTGGCGGGCCTTTTCCACCACAAATACTTACCTATACACTATGTTACGATTCTTCATGAACAGCTCTGGTGTTGGACGGATGGAGTTTTGGATATTCTTGATGATTTGCATTACTTTTCTTAGGACTGTATTTGAAATCACATCTTCAAATAGCTATCAAATGAGTTATAGAACCATCAAACTTGGAGCGCACATTCGTAAACAATGCCAAGCGAAGTGAGAACTATACTGTAAGCTTGCAAGCAATACTCCTCGTAGTTAGATCAGTAAGCTCGACGGTCACACGACCCCAACTAGTCTCTGATACAAGACAAGAGGAAACTGCATAAAATCTGCCACAAGTCTGCTACAAGCTAGGCAAAGCAACATACTCAAAATAAACACTGCGCCATAATTTACCTCTTCAACCTTAGCATCTGCAGTCTCCCAGCCCCAATATAATATCAAACAACTACCTTTTCTATTCCAAGGAGCCCCAAAATAGCATAATTTGCGGGCTGGAGGGAATGTAATCCTGCCCCCAAAGCGCCACGACGACATGCATTATTGCACGCCTGTCACAGCCTCGTTGACACTGACAGGTTCCGCAGCTAGCCTCGGCAATCTTCGGGGGCTAACCATGCAATATTCTCCCCGTTCATGTACTCTGGAGACATTTACTAATTAAGCAGTGTCTGCGCCACCTGCAGGGTCACATAAGTTCGGCCCCCAGTGTTTCATCGCGTGGAACGTAAGGCACATCACCTAAAATAAACCAGGGACCCATGGTGCAGATCTAGGTGGGTCGATGGGGGGTTTCTGTTTAAAGATTTCAAACTAGTTGTTTAGTGAAACACCCGTCGAGGCTGATTTCTGGGGTACAGGTTTATAGCGCGAGTTGCCTTGATGTCACTCTGGAAGGTGAGGTTCAATATGATGCCGGTCGGAGTTCAGATTGCGAAGAGAAACTTGGGGCCAAGAGCTTCCGAAAAGGCTCTGGGTTAGAGGAGTGAGAGGGATAAACTGCATCGGGGAATGTCCAAAAGCTTTTTTCTGGAATTGATGCTCTGCGCCAAGGGATTTCTATCTATGGTTCCGTGATGGCATGGGATGCTCCGTATCAAAAGCTCGCTTCTATTCATGCATCGTTTATCTCGTAATGCCGCGCCAATGTCTACTCAATCAGCATGGGCCGAATCGTCCGAATCGTCCTCCGAATCCAAATCTTCCTCGACAACAGGGAACGTCAAAAGCGCCGCAATACCTCCAAGTCCCTCGAGGCGCTTTCCGCTCTCGTGGTCCGAGCTAAGAACCCGTACCTCGCCGCCCTCAACATCCCGAACGCGGTCTACCAAAGAGACCCATCGCTTACGCTCGGCGACGTCTTGCGACCGGAATAGTCTGTTTGACATGATCAAAACACCGCCACCACGGCCGACGGCTCCTTGGTCGACGGCTGATTCCACCTCACGAGGACCGTAGGTAGCCTTGTTCGTCTCCTTGCGTAGTTGGTCCAGGAAGTCGTCCATGAGTTTCGTTTCCCGCGCGTATTTGGTATCTGCGAGGAGAGTCTTGACAGCGGGCGATTGCAGGACCTCTGATAATGAGTTGAGATAGCCTGAAGCCGAGTGCACGACCACGATGCTAGGCAGTAGCCGCTTGAGACCAGGTGTTGTCGTAGATGCTTCAGACTGAATGTACTTGTGGAATCCCGTGGCAACAAACCCAGGAGATGCAAGTAGAACGGGCCTCACAACTTCATTGTTTGCACCGGACGTAAGGCTGGTGTTGAAGTCCATCTGACGCAAAAGTGTCTCCAGCGTTACACGGAAGAACTTGCCCATACCCTGTAATTGATCGATGAATTAGTTCTCATTTAATATCTAATGTCAGCCCAATGTACTCACCTTATCATGATCTCCACCACCCTGCCTCTTCCTCGGCACGGACATCTCCACTTTCTGCTTCAATATCGTCTGGAATTGCCCGATAAAGCAAATATGTGCCAGCCCCTCCTGCATCACAACAGCCACGGCCTCCGCACGCCGTTTCCCGCCCTCATCGACTGCATCCTTTAGCTGCTCCACCGCAACACTATCCCACCCAACGCCCTCCCCATCAGCGCCGACCTCCTTCTCTAGCGTGAAGTTACGGTTCATTTCTAGGTCGAGAGTGTGGAATTGTCCAATTTTAGTATGCGCAGTCTCGTTTGTGATCTGACCGGATACGTGCAGCTGCGAGCTTTGCGGGTCGAAGTCGAGGCTTTTGACTTTGATCAATAGTGTCAAATGTACTCGGGCAGAGGATGTAGAGCCAGTATCTTGGACTGTTGTGACGCGTCGGATTGCGCTGGCGCGGAGCAGATCACCGGGGCGGATCAGGTTATATGCGTGCCACTAGAGGAGGTCATTGTGTGAGATTGGAGGACAAATACTTTGTGACAAAAAGAGTCGGTGTTAAGTACCATATCTTCAGGCTCTTCGGGGCATAGAGTGACTGTTCCTGAGCCATTGTGCTCGATCGTATTCTTGATCAGGCGCATTCTGGGAGCTGGGGTTAGCCGAGACGACTTGGAGTCGGCAGCAGCAATTGATTTTGGGAGTTGAGTGAGTTCTGAAAGAAATGGGATCTCCTCAGATGCCCTGGTGTACTTTTGACGAAAGCAAGGCCTCGGAAGTCCTCACTGGTGACTGATGGAAGTAAAAATAGATTAAATCGAGTCTTGACCTGCCCGCCGCGCCCTGACGCCCCGCACTATACTGCCGCCAGAGACCGCCCTTGTCTGTACCAGCCTGCAGATTGCTGTACAGCATCAATATATGGCTGGCCGTATAATACCGGATTATGCTGACTTGGTGGTACATCTGAAGTACAGAAGACTATGCTGGTCTTTGGTCCCTGCTTTTATGTTTTCTCAACTCGAAACAAAGATCAGAGTTTTAAACATCCTTACGTCCTCCATTGAAGTTTTGTTGGAATCCCTGACGCCAAGCAAAAACAAGTATAGAACTTGCATGAGGTCGTCGAGGTCATTTTTTGTTTAGATATACTTTAATTGCCCTAATCATTACCTGAGAGCCAACAAATATAGCAATCGATCTAACGAATCGCCCTCAAATTTGATTTGTCCTTAGCCTAGGGGGACAGGACTGTATACTGCCAGGGTTAACCGAACTTCGGGTTTTGGGCAATTCGTCCGCAATTCTGCGTTATGGTAAACTCAACCGGAATTCAAAGTGGGCGAGTTTTTGGGGTATTCACTCCTTATCCGCTATATTTGTTGATGATGTCTGATAAATCCACGGGGATGAAGTGAGTAATCACTAAATCTGGTGTTTTCGGCCGGGCTTCCGCCGATACTTGCTCTAAGCTGGGTATTTATATCGAAACGATATTGGAACTTTCAAGCCTCAAAAGACCGCAAAATCAAATTTGATTATCCTGGGAAATAGAATGGAACCGACCAAGAACAAGATGGCAGCCGCTCTACCTTCACTCTCCTCCCACGAGGCTATTGCCGATGCCCTTTACCGTGCCGTACTCGCGTTTGATACAGTCGACTCAACACTTCTCATATCCGCCCTTGCGCCTGGTCCCTTTTAGATCGATGGCTACGTTATGAGTGGCCTGGAGGACATTTGCTGTCGATCCTACGAGAAAATCGCGAAATTAGACACCACTCACTTTGTCAACAATGTCCGGATCAACATCACAGAGGGCGCAGCTGCTGCATCTATGACGGCTTCTGTGCTTTTACAGCACTATCGGACACGTACTGGGAAGATAACTGGAGCGGAATATTACATGGCTGGCTCCCTATAATCTATAGATGTCGCAAGGGATGACACAGAGTTATTGTGGAAGATCAAGCGTTGGAACGTGAAGGTCTTCTGGACGATGGGAGATGCCAGTGTGATCGACTGATCAACCTGGTATGGTATACGGATTTCAATTTTTCTCAAAACATTTCTTGCGCAACATACTGCATCCTGTATCTAGACCGAGATATTTTCGTTCTCATTGATATCTGCTTAGTGAACGATCAGTCATGTCATCTGATTTATTCCGTTTAGAACTTGGATACCTCATCTTATATATGAAAACCCTTTTGCACAAACAATCAGATCAGTTTAGAAGAACATGTCAGAAAGCGCCCGTCTCCGCAAGGTTACAGTACTGCGATCTTTTAATCCAGCGGCTAACATATTCCGCGGTATCTCAACAACCTATCTTCTTAATCTACACTATCCTTATAGCAAGCCGTTGATGTGGCGATAGATTGATACAAGTTCGTTCAATATCTATATGCTGTATATCTTGTCTTACAGATGCATACTTTAGAACCCTCATGCTTTGTCTGCCTTAACCCAGATGCCGGTTTCCTGCCCCCCTGTTTCTTACCTTGGTTATCTAAGCCGTTCACTACCTATCATTCAATGCTGGAGTAAACGCCTGGTAATCGTTATATACGATCAATCAATGCTTTGGACAGACTGCCGACTAGGGTAAAATCGCCTAAAAGCTATTATAAACCTGGCTACGACCTGTATCAGTACAAGGCGCCCATTACCAGTGAAATACGGTACCAGGATAGTGTTAGCCAGCAGCCCACTGTATCAGTTTGTTTGGGTTCGGATTCCAAATTTCTTCGCAATACTCTAGGTGATCAATAATCTCCGGTATCTCCGCGGTCGCGTTCGGTATTCGGCTTTCCTCGCGGGTCGGAGAATTGCAATATACCTCGTGAGAACCAGCCTTGGAACAGGCCAACAGGTGAAGTGGAGGTGCGCCGTTGTGAGCAGATTCGGGGTAGGATCGGGATAGGATCGGGGTTATTCGGTAATTAGTTTCCACGGTGCATTTCCATATAGATGCCCACTTGTGTTGTAATAACTGTATCTTCCCTTTAAGGAGCCTACTCTGACTCTTCAAACCACAAAGCTGAGTAAATCACTGCTCTAACCTTATTGGAATGTCTTCCACTATGTTTCCGCACCCCAGACGTATCGTCACTGGCCATAATTCACAAGGTGCAGCCATCGTAGTGGACGACGATGTGATTCCTTGCCTCCCGACATCGATCAAGTGCAACTTTGCAGTGCTCTACGAGACGCATCAATTTCCCGTATCCAACGATGAATGGGTTGATCCGGCTAAAGCCCGAACCACAGATCTGTCAAACAAGACAGGCACAGTGCTCCGAGTGGTCGATTTTCCGCCCAACACGGAAACAGTGAGTTTGGCAACCGAGTACTTATACTAGGCTAATGCTTTTCACTTTTCACTTTTCAGCTGTTCCATCGGACGGAATCTCTGGATTTTGGTATTCTACATAGTGGTGAGATCACGTGGTATGTTTATGCATTTCTAATCGCGTGAACTACGATTTCTAAGCCTATTCCTCCTAAAGTCACCTCGATGAAGGAGCTCGGGTGGACATGAAAGCCGGCGATGTTTGCGTCCAGCGAGGCACGATTCACGGATGGACCAACTATTCCAATGAGCCTGCAAGAATGTATTTTATACTCTCTGGTATGAGGTCTCTCACGCACGGATTTCAACCGGCACAATCTAACTTTTACTTTATAGCCGCTCATCCAGTCACAGTCGGAGGGAAGGTTCTGAAAGCGACAGGGTACTCCAAGGACGATGTCACCTCTGGTGGAATATCTAAGTAGAACTTGAGACGGGTTTGGCTGAATACGTTGAACAGTCACTTTGTAGATCCTTCTCCAATCATGATGCTATTTCAAAGGCTTCTTTACATCCATTTTGGTTTAGACTGGCAAATCGTATGATCTGATCCTTACATGCCGTAGATTCGATCCAGTCGCCACAAGAAAACTTCTCGCGGGAAGAATATTCGAGGAGTATAAGTTTGTAGCCATCAGAGGTTGACTCCGCTGATGGGCGAAACTAATTTCCATGACCTAATAGAAAAGAACCATCCCCCTACTTAACAAACAAGCCATGATATTCCAAATGTGCACTAGGCCTAGATAACTGCATCCACAGGTAACACAAAGCTTGTACTTATTGTGCTCCCTGTTGTTGTAGCAGACCTTCTTGCCTCAGCAGATCCAAAATACAGTCTTCAATATGTCCAAACTGGTCCATGCCAAGTCCTATTATAGGTTCAACAACACTGCCGTCCAGAACACAAGAGCCGATGGGATCCGAAAGTATAAAGGGGTTCATCGGGATAGGTAGCTGGGTTCCCGTAGTGCCAACTTCAGGCGATATTTGTGAAATAAATCCAGAAATATTCGCTTCTGCCGACACAGGTCCTTGAAAGCCTGCATCCTCAAGACCAAGGTCCCCAATATCGTCCGCAGCCTGCGCGGTCGAACCTTGCTCACTAATAATGATGGAATTGTGCGTCAGAATAGATAGTCGCGCTCTTGAATTAGCTGGTTTGAATTCTCTTAGGGCTTCGGGCGCCATGCTTTTTGGCTCATCTGTTAGTGGAAACGGGGCACTCGCATGCACCTTGTACAGGCCACAGGCAAAACTCCCCTGCGGACAATCTATTAGTATAGCTCATATAGCTCACACAAGATGTAGAACAAAGCATAAATTCGGCGAAATAGCAAGGATAAACGCACCAGAACTTCTAAAAAGGCCCAGTACCTTCCCAGGATTTGTAGAGTTTTCAGGTTGGCCAAAATACTGGATACGGCGCGCTGTCTGACATTTGGCTGCGAGCACCACAGGAACGGAGTCAAGATAGCGCATGAAGAGTAGGCAGCGTACCCGATGAAGCTAGGCAATCTGCGACAATCCAAGTCCAGCTCCAAGGCTGCATCTAGAAGCGCCGACATAGAGTTCGCGTGCTCAAAAGCTGTTTGTGCAGACAATTGCTGCGCGTATCCGAAGACGCCCTCGCAAGGACTCCAGGAGAAGAGTGGCACTATAGACGAATGCAGGGAGCAGAGGCATTGATGATAAATAAAGTGCAACAGGAGTAATTTCGGCAGATCATGGGAAGGTACTGCAGCCATCCGCGCGCAATCTAGGTGAAAACACGGGTTTAGCTTTGACCAGGCCTCATGGATGCGTCCATCCAGGGTCTGAATCTCGGCCATACGACTTGCCAGGCTTGGTCTCGTCTGCTTGATGAGGAGAACGACTGATAACCACAGGGCCATGGCCCTTATTAGCTCGGCGTAAATGCTCTTTGTGCTCTCTGCATCATTCAAAGTAATACTCGATTGAGGAGTCCCCAGTTGAAACTCAGACTCGCTGCAGGGAAGTCTAGTAATCAGCATACCCTCAGTGGGCACCTTTGGGAAGAGGGAGTCGGCCTGGAACGAGCACTGCAGATAGCAGGCCCAGAATCGTCTCCGTCGCATCTCGGAGTCTAGAATGTTCTCACTACCCTGCTCGTCATGAGGCACTCCAAGGACCCAAGCGGTGTTCGACGCACAGCCTAATAGCGAATAAAGTTGCATGAACATGTGTTGTATGTTGTGGGGCTGGTTTGTGTGCAAGACATACCCGTAAGCATGTTCGACCGCCGGAACTGGCCATGGCTATACCAGAAGAGAGCCAGGTTGAGGAATACAACAATATTGTCGCCCTTAGGTGATTCCACCTTTCGAAACGCTATCCGACCCGCTGCTTCGGCCCATTCGCGATCAAACTGACTTTCGACCAGGGTTGCAGAGCCTTTCGAGTCTGTATAGAATCTGGCAACTAGAGGTTAGGGAAGAAGGAGATTACCAGGCCAGGAAACGTAGGTTGCTCACCGGGAAGCCACGGCGCAAATGCTGAGTAGCACATCAATACGGATTGTATCTGACTCGATAGCTCGATTCAACGAAGGTCTGTGCAAAAGGAGCGCGGCATTGTACAGGTGAGTATAGTATAGGTTTACCAGCGTTGGGAGCAATGCGATTGGAACTCCAAAGTAACGCTTTTCAGGTATATGAAGGCGCAACAGTGAAGACTCAGACAAGTCAGATAACGGAGAGGAATGGCCTGTACCGCTAGTGGTGATTGGGCCTGGTGCTACTGCTGCTGCTGCAGCAGTTATTGCAGTTGTTGCTGTCGTCGTAATCGTCCTCCTCCTCAGCCGATAGATGCAGGGCCGGCCAAGTCGCCTGCATCTCTGGCAAATGGGCTTCTGGCCACAGCATCGCAGCTGAGCGATGCATTGACGTCAGACACTCCACGCCGGCAAGGTCGGCTTTCGGGCAACAAGACTCACTTTCTGGCTGCTGCAGGCGTCACACGATCGTCTGGGTCTCCCGGACATGAAACAGAATCAGGAGACCAAATGTCGCTGGTCGTGAGTGACGTTCGGGGAGTTACGAGTGGGGTAACCAAACGGTTCGGGAAATGTACCTCCAGGTTCGGCAAATGTATTAGGCACGTGCATTTCGGTGAGAATCGACGTTGGAGTATATGATGTTCCGCTAAACGCTAAACCGTGGTCCACTGGTTCGCCGATAAGTCACCAAACGTGTATTGTCATTTTGCCAAATGGATGTGTACCCAAGATTAATAGTAGTAGTTATATATGTAGTCGAGGGCCTTCTCGGTCATAGCTGCCGCTAGTATCAGACTATGACTAGCAAAGTAAAGATAGAAGTCATGACCCCATTTACCATCGATAATCTCCCGTATGGGATCATCTCCACTGACGACAACAGGAGCAAACGCTGCGCGGTCGCTTTCCAGGAGTTCGCTATAGACCTGGATCTGCTCTACCGCCACGGCTTCTTTGCATCCATACCAGATCTCAATTTCAACGTCTTTGCCAACGTGAGTCTCTTCAGACCTCCCTTCTTGGATACATCGACCGGGGAGCGAGGCTTAACGCGATGCAGGATAATTGGAATGATTTTGCGGTTCTGCCCATAGGCCTCCAAGCGACAGTCAGAGCCCGGATTCGTTCTGGTATCCTGGACAAGATCGTCGACAAGGCGTTGGTTCCGCTATCCATTGTTCAAAACCACCTGCCAATGCATACCCGTAACTTCTCCGACTTTTACTGCTCTCTCGAGCATGCCAAAAATGTTTGTCACTTCCGCCGTTGGAATATTTCCGTTTTCTTCCTCCTATGGCTGGCTAACGCTTTCAAGTGCACCGAGGTCATGAAGTTAAAGGTGTCGTCCAACTGGTTCTCTATTCCATCCGTCTATAACGGTCGCACCTCGAGCCTTGCGGTCTCAGGCACTCCCATCACCCGGCCATGCGGTATGTATCCTGATCCTCAGACCGGAGCCATCTCTTTCCAACCCGAATCAAAGCTCGACTTTGAGTTGGAAATTGGCGTGTGGCTTTCTACTCCTGTGCTACGAGGTCAGCGACTTGACATCGCCAAGGCCAAGGAGCACATCTTTGGCTTCACACTCCTCAACGATTGGTCGTCAAGACAGATCCAGAGCTTCGAGATGCCCCCCCTTGGCTGCTTCCATTCAAAGGGCTCCCTTACGTCCGTTAGTCCCTGGATCGTGCCAATTGAGGTCCTGGAGTCGGTGAAGTGCGGTAGGACGACACAACAGGATCCTCTGCCAGTGGCACATCTGATGCCTCAGGATGATGCGGCCCTGACCTACGACATTGATCTGTCAGTGACTTTGCTCCGTACGTGACCAACTTGTTTTTACTATTTTCCCAGAGAAGCAGCTAAATAACCGTTCCGTGTACAGGAGACGAGAAGTCGTACACACTTTGTGAAAGCAATCTCAATACGCTGTACTGGACGCCCATCCAGCAACTGACGCATTTGGCATCGGCTGGAGAGTGGCTCTCAACAGGAGATGTCTTTGGAACTGGAACCATATCTACAAGTGTAATGTCAATATTTATCCTTATACCTGGTGCATGATCTGATATGTCGATACAGGCTACCAACTCGGATGGTGAGAAAATAGGCCTTGGCTGCCTCCTTGAGAGGAGTCTTCCTCGTACGGTGCTCAAGTCTGCGCCCCCTGACCTGCATGAGACATTTCTGAAGGATGGTGACGAGGTCATCTTGGAAGGGTGGTGTCGAAACAAGACGACCGGACAGGTGGTATTTGGATTTGGACAATGCAGAGGAAAAGTATTACCTGCTATTCCGTAAGGTGTTATGTTGTGACAAAGATGACTTACAAACTTGACAACTACCCCAACGCCTTGTATTGTCATGGAGCTAGTCCAACCCAGTCTTCCAACCTATATCGATATGCAATATTCCTGAAATCTTTGCTGAAGTGTAGAAGTATGCTAGAGATTCCGAATCTATAGTATGACCAAGTTGCTATGTCTTTGATGAACATGAGGTTTTGATTTTTTATTCTACATTTAACGTATCAAACCGCAGTTTTAGTAAAAATACGTGACGGTGGTCTGGTCAATCAACATCCTGTACCGTGATGTTACCACTAGTGTCTTTGGCCTCAAGCAATCGATCGACTAAATCTCCAAATCCATCCAATTATGATAAAAGGACCCCGGCTACCAGAACGCCAAATTGACAATCTCGTCTTTACATAATTATAATCTAATTACGGGGAGGAAGAGGGGAGGAGCGTCGAAATCAGCGCCTACTGCATGACCCCATAACGCGAGCAGCGTTTGCTGAAGACTCGGAGATAGGCAGATAGGCGCGAGATTAAACTCCGAAAGACCGAATATCCGAACGCCGAACGCCGTTTGGTAAATAGTTGACCGTATATACGGTAAATTGTCTGATTCGCTACGATTTGCTTTGTCCTGAAGAATATGGGTTCACCTCAGAAATACGGGTACAGGACTATTGGGAGTGATTTATCAATGTCGCTCTATACATAAGTTGACCTCAGCAGCGGAAGAGATACTCAGCACCACGAAGATCCCAAGTGACCAGCCCAACGACCGCAACGTTTGAAATCAAAATAGCAGTTCCAACAAACGAAGTGTCTGCAGTTCGATATGTCGCCATACCCATACTTGTTCGAAAAGAACGTCTCCGTTCCCCTTAAAAACGGCAGTTTCATCCGCTGCAATGTCTACCGACCAAAAACGTCGGGACCTGATGGAAAGCACCCAGTCCTGGCCACTTATGGTCCATATGGGAAGGACGTACATTATCAGTAGTAAGTCCAAGAAGCGGAATATCGTGTTCAGTCTGGCTAACAAGGGCCTGTAGCTTCAACGGTCCGAGTTACGCAGATGTTAACCCAGATCACAAAACGGAACACTCTTCTTGGGAGACGCCAAATCCGAGCTACTGGACCAAGCACGGCTATGTTGTCGTCAGGGCTGACGAGACCGGCACGGGTCAATCCCCTGGTTTCCTCAACTCCCTCTCAGCAGCCACGATTGATGGCTTTTGTGAGCTGATAGAGTGGGCCTCCAAGCAAAATTGGAGCAACGGCAAAGTCGGTCTCCTGGGAATTAGCTATTTTGGTGCCACCCAATGGCAAGTCGCAGCGCGGAGGCCTAAGGGTCTGGCTGCCATCGTCCCGTGGGAAGGCTTTTCTGACTTCTACCGTGATGCTACCCGACACGGTGGGATTCTTTCTAACGCAGGTATCGACACGATATGGAAGAGACAGATCGGTTCGAACCAGTATGGGCTCCCGGGACGAGCCGCACGAAATTGGGGTGATGACACCATTGAGGGATCGTTATCCGAGGCTGAATTGGCCATGAATCGGGTCACTCCCATAGAGGGGGCGCGAAAGGACCGATTCCGAGATGGTGCTCGCTTCGCCTCTGTGAATTTCAATCTTGAAGACATTCAGGTGCCTTTGCTTAGTGTTGCCAACTGGGGAGGGCTCTTGCTCCACCTTCGCGGCAACGTGCAGGGTTATATCCATGCCGGCTCGGATTTCAAGTATCTGCGTTTCATTGTTGGACGACATGACCTCCCCTTCTATTATGCGGAAGAAGTTGAAGTTCAGCGGAGCTTCTTAGACGCATTCCTACTAGGCCATGACCGTGTAGGATGGTCTAAAAGGGGGGCTATCCCACCAGTCGATCTGATTCTGCGGAAAGGGAACGTAGGGTACAATGATCCCAAAGCTGAGAGCCAGTTTTTGAGGAGAACGGAGAACGAGTGGCCTATTGCCAGGACGCAGTATACGCCGTTGTTTCTTCACCCTGATGGGGGCCTCTCTTGGAGCAAGCCGGTGACTGACCACATGACGCCACGCAAGGTGGAGTACCAAGCATTTGGAGACGGCGACGATTCTCGTGCGTTTGTCTCCTTTACATCAGCCCAGTTTGAGTCAGAAACAGAGATCACCGGCCACATTGTGGTTCGGCTCAACGTCTCCGTGAGTCGCCGTCGCTGGCAGTCCACCACACCTTCCGACATAGATTTGTTCCTGTCTCTCCGTCACATATCATCGTCTGGCGATGAAGTATTTTATACGGGGACCACTGGAGAACCAGCACCTGTTACGAAGGGCTTCTTGCGGGTAAGTTTGCGAAGAACGAATCCTCAGCACCCTCGGCATCGCCCTTGGCTACCTCATCGCGATTATCTCTCTACCGACGCTCTTTCTGTGGTTCCTAATGAGGTGTACACTGTGGACGTGGAACTTTGGCCTACAAACGTTATATTGCAGAGAGGTGAGCACCTAGTACTTGATGTTGGCGCATCCGATCTGGCTGGTAGCGGTATCTTCCAGCATAATGATCCATATGACAGGTAAGCCTTTGACAGCAAACATCCTTATTATGACAACCTAACTGACAACTGAAAAATCATCAACAGGCCAGAAAGTGTCTACAAAGGTAATAACCATGTGCACTTCGGGGCAAATTACGACAACTGGATCAGCCTCCCCGTCATTCCCAAGAGCAATTGATCCAGGTACCGCCACAACCTCTTCGTTTCTCACTGTTCCTACGGCTTTCTCTAAATTTTGACTATAAAGCTGGCGGTCAATCTTTTTTTCAGGTATATCTAACATGTCCGCTCACCTTACACGCATGTCTCCATATCTGTTTAGTCAATCCAATCCGATCTGGTTTCCTCTTGAAATATTCCCATATATGTAATGCGCATTATATTGTAGCACTCGATTTTCGCATACTCGAAACGCTAGCGTTAGAGGGTCTATCTTTGTATTAATGGTATTAAATAGCCAACGCTTTGCTTTCATCTCTCCCTTACATTTGATTCTAACTGACCCACTGAATGCATTTCAACTTTGCGGTAGTGAAATATAAGAATACTGGATTTCCCCAATAAGCGTGTACATCGAAAGTTTGTATCAACGCCTTCGTAACAGAAACATTATGACCATGATTATCATGATCTTTTCGATCTAATAGCCCCCGTTCTACTTACTTCAAGCTTTTACCACCGTAGCAAGTTACGATGGAGTTTGACTTTCCGTATGATGGCTCAAGCCCCACATCGTATGGATCGATGAGCCAGTGAAACCGGTCCTGGCCGCTCCAACACCCCACCGAATGGCGTCAACTTGATCAAACGAGGACTCCGACGGCAACGAAATAAAAGGAAACCACGGGCCCGGGGTGGTCTGTGAATTTATTATCAATCAAGTCTGAAGGGAAGTGGGCCCGGCTTGCCTACAGTACATGTACAGAAGGAAATCTCCAACGACCTAACATTATCTCTTTTCCCTCCCGCACACTCCCCCCCGCATTTAAACTTCGGATTTCGAAACCACCTTTGCCACAATTGCAAAATGGCTGGACTTACACTTCAGTCGACTTATAAGTTGGTGTCTGGGTTTGAGATTCCTGTTGTTGGGTTTGGTGTAAGTGATGATACCTGCGACATTGCCAGTTCAAGACCTAACATTCATCCGTCTCTCTAGGTTTACCAGACGTGAGTTGAAATCGTCATGCTTCCTCCAGGTAAAGCAGCTCACTGACCATTTGCCTATAGACCTGCCGATGTCACCGAGAGAGTTACTTTGAAGGCTCTGGAGGTGGGATATCGCCACGTGAGCTACACCTAAAGAACCAAGCTGTTCCTAGCTGCACAGACTAACAATCCCCGTCTAGGTTGACTGCGCCAAGGTCTACCAGAATGAGGTCGAGAGTGCCGCGGCGATTCGCCAGTCTGGCCTTGCTCGCTCCCAGGTCTTCTACACCAGCAAGGTCCCCCGATCCTGCATGGGCTACGAAAAGGCTAAGCAGGCCATTGAGGAGAGCATTGCTGCTGCCAACCTCGAGTACATTGACCTGTATGCACTACTAGCCTTGTGATGCACCATCTTCAAAATGTATAGGACTGACAATTGTACCAGGATGCTAATCCACGCCCCCTATGGCGGCAAGGAAGCCCGCCTGGGCACCTGGCGCGCCCTGGTGGAAGCTCAGAAGGCGGGCAAGGTCCGCTCCTTGGGAGTGTCCAACTTTGCCATCCAGCACCTCGAGGAGCTGGAAGAATACATCAAGAGCGGAGCCGGCGGCGAGATTAGCGTCGGACAATACGAAATTCACCCCTGGTGCCCGCGCGAGGATATTGCCGAGTGGCTCAAGAAGCGCAATGTCATTGTTGAGGCATACTCGCCCCTCGTGCAGGCAACTCGCATGAAGGAGCCCGTTCTGACCAAGCTGGCTGAGAAGCACGGCAAGACCCCGGCTCAGATTCTGATCCGCTGGAGCTTGCAGAAGGTATGTGCATTCCCGTTGTTTTTAGCTGTTATGACATTGAAAGGCTTATGTTGTTTTTGTAGGGATATGTGCCCCTGCCCAAGTCGGTGACTGACTCTCGTATCTTGGATAACTCCAAGGTCTTTGACTTTAACCTGTCGGAGGAAGATATGGCCACGCTGAAGCTGGATGAGTATGCGCCCGTGTGCTGGGACCCGGTTCGGGACTGCAAGATCTAAGTAAATGAGGGAGTTTGCCAGAGTAGGAATGAACCAAAATGTAAAGAATAAGCAGCCATGAAATGAATCACATACGTCACAACAAAGAACATACAGAAATGACGGAGTAATCGGAGAAGGAGCCAAGCACCTTCGTCGCCCAATCAGGCAGTTTGTTGACGGCCGGCACAACGTATCGCCGCCAACGAGAGCGGGAGCAAACATCACCCCAAGACTCCAACCATCTCGTGCCTCTCATATCCAACCCACCAATGACCCTCACAAGGTCCCTTGATCCATGAGCGGAAAATCGGCAGGCAGTCGCCGTGACGGCCTACAATATGCCAGACGAGCCGCGGCGCATCATCATCGAAAAATCCAGCACGGTCCGACGCCGGTACCAGCGCAGCAACAAGCGATTCAAATTCACCGCCTCGCAGTTACGACGGATTGAACGCGAAGAGGAACTCGAGCGTCGGGCCAAAGCTATCAAGGAAAAGGGGGAGAAGCGTCGAGCGAACAAGAAACGAAAGGCGGAGAAGGAGGCCAAGGACCGCGAGGAGCGGAAGAGGCTTGGATTGCCAGATCCTAATGCGCCCAAGATCCCGGCTAGTCAGCCCTTGCTCTCTGCGTTTTTGGGTGTGAAGCCTAAGCAGCCTGTTGAAGAACAGCCCGTCACTGCGAATGCCGATTCTACAACTACGGAGAATGAGGACGGAGGGGATACGGAAGTTGACAGTGCGGGCGGCGACACTGAGGCAGAGTCGGATATATTTGACGACTTGGACGAGGACATAATTGAGCAAGGGTTTGCATGTCTCCAGGATGCGGGCATCCCAAAGGAAGCTGGGATCCCTAAGGTCTCTGATGTTCTTGAAAACCGGAACCCCATTATTGGCAACAATGTCAGTGCAGAGAGCCTGTGCTCTCTGAAAGATGACCACTGCGATGATGATGAATTTTCCGATTGTTCCGTATTTGACGACGCCGATATCATTAGAGAAGCAGACGCTATTGCAGCATCGCGACCCTCGCAACCACCGCATACAACGATCCCTCTTCCTACGATGTCACTCGCTCCTCCAGTATCGACAATGGGCCAGCCGCGATCGAGCCAGCACCCCAAATCTTTGACCCCTTCTATCCCCTCACTTGGAGACTCTTTCCGTGACGATACAGCCGACTACCTTGAAGATGTCTTCTCGCGCGGCTGCGGCGACTCATTTGGCGAGTTAGTCCAGCTCGGGTCGGCGTCTCGATAGCTTCAGACTATCGAACCTTTTTTGCATATCTGATGAATGAACGAATTCGACGAACATACGGTAATCAGGATTGGAAATGATACCACACTTGTTGATGGACAGCTTTGGAGATAAAAAGGCTTGGCACTCCAGACATGATCGGCTGCGGTCCGACGGTCGGCAGATCACATCCGCGCAGCCTTCGGATGCCGTAGGGTCTTTGCCCCTCATTCGGATTATGGAAAGATCCATCGGGGTCGAACAAGCTTAGCTGTATTGGTTAATTCCGACGGATGAAATAGCGGGGAGATTCTCTCTGGTTTGCAGGGGCAGCACAAATTGGCGAGTGCTGCTTTTCTTATCGGGAATGACGACACGCGCAGGCCGGTTACACCTGGAACTTATAGATCGAATTGCGCCGACGGCGACTTTGCACAGGTCTACCGCTACTAGCACTCTTTACCCAATTCAATTCTTGACATATTCTCCTTTCGTTGCCATTTCCTTCTAAACACGTTTTCAAAATGCCTTTCGTACAAGCAGGCTCCCACAGCCTCCACTACACAGACTCCCATCCAACCGGTGCTCCAACACCCTCCGGCCAAACCATCATTTTCGTCCACGGCTTAGGCTCCTCGCAAAATTACTATTTTCCCGTTATCCCCTATCTGACGCAAAACCACCGCTGCATCACCATCGACACCTACGGCGCTGCCCGCTCCCCGTACACCAATGACACAGTCTCAATCCCGAATATCGCGGAGGATGTCATCGGCGTACTGGACGCGCTGAACGTGGCCAAGGCCGTGGTCGTCGGTCACTCGATGGGCGGGTTAGTCGTTATTGAGCTGGGAGCGAGATTTCCGGATCGTGTGCAGGGCGTTGTACCCATTGGCCCAACTCATCCATCGGAAATGTTGGTGTCGGTTATGGGGAAGAGGGCGGAGACGGTGCTGGAAGGTATGTATACCGCTCTAAAAACACTCTTTTCAAGCAGTGATTGTACTGTACACGCGATGCTAAATCTCAATGCTTTCTTGTAGCTGGAATGGAACCAATGGCCAACACCATCCCCTCCGCCGCCGTCGGTTCCCGCAGCACCCCGCTCCAACGGGCCTTCATCCGCGAACTTCTTCTCGGTCAGGATCCCAAGGGATATGCGGCTCTCTGCCGTGCCATCGCTAGTGCCCAGGTCCCGGATTATGCGGCTGTTCGGGCGCCGTTCTTGCTTATTGCTGGTGAAGAGGATAAGTCGGCTACTATGGAGGGGTGTAAGTTTATTTTTGAGCATGTGGGGAGTCAGAGTCAGGATATGGAGGTTTTGGAGGGGGTTGGACATTGGCATTGTATTGAGTCTCCTGATGAGGTTGGGAGATTGATTGCGCAGTTTGTTGGGGGGATTAGCGCTTAGTCTTGGGTTAGGAAGATTATGGAATAGAGAATAATTGCATTATGACTTGATTCCTGAAGTGTACCATTGAATAAACAGACTTGGCTTGTTTGAAGAAGGATCATGAAATGGATTGGATATTCAGCAGTCCCAAGTTGGTTTTAAATAAAAATGGAAAATGAAAATCAAAAACAAAACGCTATCGTCACAAGAACATACCCAAGCCCAAAAATATATGCAACGAATGTCATGCTACAGCTTCAACGCCGCTCTACTTGGTATCGGCCACCAGCTTAACATTATACTCGAGTTCAAGAGCCGCCTTAGGGTCATCTTTCCTGGGGACAAAGTCCACAATGAGAGAGTCCTTAACGGCGAAGACAGAGTCGTTGTCCAGGTACTTGTCCTCGCGGTCGAAGATCTGGGTAGTCAGAGGGCGGTAACCTTCCTTGGTAGCCTGTGCAGAGATATTAGCTTGAGAACAACTTTCAAGATGCAGAGGTCAAAACTGACAATGATGTGAATGTGAGCAGGGCGGAAGGGGTGGCGGTCCATGAGACTCAGCAGCTTGCCAGCGGGGCCTGCACCAAATATCAGTATTAGTATCAATCTCCAACGTATATCACCAGGCGGAAGTAGGGCATTCTCACCATCATCAGGAACGGGATACGGCGTCGGCCGCAGGCAGTAGAAGTTATATCTCCCCTCAGAATCCGTCTTGAACTTTCCACGCAGATTAAACTCAACCTGCTCAGGATCCTGCTGCTCATACAAACCATTCGTCGACGCCTGCCAGACCTCAACGTCGGCGCCAACAAGAGGCTTTTTCGTCTCAAAATCAATGACCCGGCCGTGCATAAAGGCCATCTCACCGCCGTCCTTGGGCTTAGTGACGACAATATCGGCACCGTTCTCGCGGTAGGGAGTATCAGCGCGGAAGAAGGGGCCCAGAATGGCGGTGGCAGTGGGTGCGTCCTTGGCTTCTTCGGCGAGAGTGAAGGTGATTTCGTCAACGAGGCTGTGCGATCCAAATTAGTTGTGGAGTCATGATATACATCCATACATAGTTTTTTATGTTATGCATGTTGGCAGTGTTGGTATGAACTTACGATTCCAGGCCGATCACATCGCAGACTAGTTGGCCCTCGTTCCGCTTATCATCGCTCATCTGTCCAGCCCAATTGAGCATCTTCACTCCGGCCATCCACTCGTCCACTGTGAGCTCATTCTCGCGCGCAAAGTCGTGCACATGGCGAATCAGACCGGTCATGAGCTGGCGCATGCGCGGAGAGGTCTTGGGTCCCATCGCGTTGATAACATTGTCGGTGAATTTGGGGTCGAATCTGTGAGTGGCCATTTTGAAGGTAAATTATGCGACTGTGTGACACAATCAATGACGATTATTAAGGGGAGAAAGTTGAGAGGGAGTAAGTAATAAATTCGAGGCGCGGGCAAGAGAAACCGAACTATGCGACCAGGACGTGGATAGCTACCCACGGATGGTTATATATCTCCCTCCGTTCCGACGGGACTTATTTTTGCTGCTCGAGCGGCAATCAGCGGGTCTCTATCTACAGGTCTTTCCCACTTAGTTCTTAATTAACCAGAACTGAGTTGACCAACGCGTGGATGCTTATTCGAGGACAACCCCGCAAAAAGCGTGGCGTTTGGTGGGCTGATTGGGTCGGGTGCGGGTTGTCGGAAGTGCACCTTGAGGATTGTCGGATCGGTTTGCAATCTGGGCACTTCCGATTCCCCGCAATTGTCGGATCCAAGCGGACTGGAGGTGGGAGTTGGTTGCAGTATGCGGGACTTAGTAAGGATTCGTTGAGTGGGTCAGTTAACTAGATCAATATGCCTGTCAAAGTCACGTGATTTCCACATGTAGGGATCTGCCATTCCTGCAGTCTGCGAAGGAGATCCTCGCATATCAATCATGAAGAAGTGCGTCCCCTTTTAGGCTATGGAGGGAGCTATCGTAGCATAATTAGGCAGATCCAGGTACGAAAGACCTTGTTCCTCAATTGATCTGAGTATGGCGCACAAAGCACGAGTTATGACGTGCTTGCCAAGGCGAGTGAAATTAAATGACTTCTACTACTCCGTACAGTAGGTAGCAATTGTTCAGTTAAAATACTGCAAACAGGACAGATCAATCAATTGGCATAGTAGACTACGAGTTTTTCCATGCCATTTCACTATGATTTCAAATGGATGGAATGTTTCGGCACGCGAGGCTGGTCTCCATATTTGGAAGATTCTTCAGGTCAACTGGCATCTCGGGTTCACTGCATTTGGCGGGCCTCCGGTTCACTTCAAGATCGTAAGTAACGTGTCCAGCACTTAAATTGAGCTAGTCGGCGCTGATAGCACGGTAGTTCTATGACAAGTTTGTGTTGAAGCTTGAATGGGTTGACGAGCAGTTGGTATGTCCTCAAACACAGCGTCGTTTGGACCTCCAAAAATACTAAGTGGGTTGCTATCTTAGTATCAGGAGCTCTTCAGTATCTCGCAAGCTCTGTCTGGCCCTGCTAGCACAAAGATGCTTTACTGCGTAAACCTTATCCACGATGGTTTGCTTGGAGCTGTCCTTGGATTCATTACTTGGAGGTATGGTTACAAGATCAGCATGCTTTTTATGTCACTATCGAGGAACCGAGAGTTGATTCTGATCTCACAATTAGTCTCCCTGGTGCTCTAGGCATGTTTGGCCTTTCTATTGGTATTTCCAATATCGACGAGAGTTTGCCTCGTGCAGTTTATGCTGTACTCTCAGGACTCAACGCGGCCACAGTCGGTATAATTGCCCTAGCGGCAGTCGAGCTCTCAGATAAAGCAGTCACGGACCAGCTCACTCGGATCATAGTCTTTCTCGCTGCTACCGCTGGAATGCTATACAATGCGCTGTGGTACTTTCCAGCTCTTATGTTTGCAGCGGGTTGTAGTACGGTCATATACGATTACCGCTGGTTTCATCGACCTATCCGAGCTTTATTCAAGCTCATTAGGAAAATGAGAACTGGATTGGGAGGAGCGAACAGAGGTGAGAGCGATTCTGCTCACGAATCCAATAACCTTAGCGAAAGGTTCGACGATCAGAACCGGTACTCTGCTCAGGATTCTGAGCCACGCACTATACCATCTGGCCGTCGTTTGGATTTCTCTTGGAAGTCTGGTGCAGCAATAATTGCAACATTCTCCCTTTCATTCGTTATTATCATGGTCCTTCGAGGGATCTTACCTCAACCTCCACTCCTGTACAAACTCTTCGCCAACCTTTATCTTGCTGGAACTATCATTTTCGGTGGCGGCCCAGTAGTGATTCCACTACTCAGAGAGTACATTGTGGCTGAGGGATGGGTCAGCCCACGCGATTTCCTCATCGGCCTCGCTGTTATACAAGCATGTCCTGGACCAAACTTCAACTTCGCCGTGTTTTTGGGTAGCTTGACCGCTATTCATGGCGGATACCCCGCTATCACTGGAGCCATTCTTGCCTTTGTCGGGATTTTCGCCCCTGGTCTTATTCTCGTTCACGGGACAATGGGTGTTTGGGGGGTGTTGCGAAGTCGACGTTGGGTGAAATCTCTGGTGAGAGGCATTAACGCCGGGGCAGTTGGTTTAATATACACAGCGGTATATCGGATATGGCAGATTGGCTATATAGATGAAGGTTTCCAATCAGGCAAGAGTCTGGGAGATGATCCATGGTGGGTGGTCGTGACCGCTACTAGCTATGTGGGCGGGCGATACTTTGGCATTGCAGCACCGCTGGCTATTCTTCTCGGAGCTGTGTTAGGATTGATTAGATATGGAGTGGTTTAATTGGGTATGGATATTTTCCTCTGCCTTAGAAAAGTTTACATTTTGTTGCGGTGGCAGATTCATCTAGTCTGATTTAGCTTAGCATAATCGGAGAAGGGTGTTAGGAAAGAAAGGACTATTTTCGAAGTCCTCTATAAAAAGGGACCTGGTCAAGAAAATGTGGTAGGTCAAGATCGTGTGGCGCACCTATTCGCTTCGCATAGTTGCGCTGGAAGGCACGGATAATGATTGTCTATTTAGATCTATCTTCCCCATCCACAAAGAGATCTCACGGTTTATCACCGCCGATTCTTAGGCGTCCCCTTCTTAATCGCATACTCCGGAAGCTCCTTCACCACCTCCCCACGCTCCCAGATCTTCCCAAGACCAATCTTGCGCTCAACAACAACATCGAAGAAATCGATCGAGACCACCTTCACCGGATTCCCATCCGCATCAGTCTTCCCATCCGAAACAGGCAATCCCTCACTGAGAATAACCCCATTCTCGCTCCGCCAGAATGGACACCCAGCTGCGAGCGCCTTCTTGATATCCAGGTAAATCAGGATTTGAGCATCCCGCCGCATACCCGAAATGACCTGTGTTTCCGGCTTGGCATTTGCTTTCTCTTGTGACGTCGTCTCTGAAGAGGCCATTGCAGATTCGAGTGAAGGGCCCGTCGCAAAGTGTACGTGGTGTCGACCCATTGCCCGGAGTCCACCGGACTGTTGAATCAGAGGCCATGCGCCGTGGAATGTGCCGTGGACGACAGTATCGGGGAGCTTGGACTCGTCGGCTAGCGTGAGTGGTTCGAGGAAGGATGCTGCATCGACCGTTTTGATGGTGTGACCTTGGGTTGCGCGAATCATGTAATTTGATGGCTCGGTATCTGTCGAAGCCAGAGCTTGCTGTGTCGCGTTGGCCTGGTCCTCGTTGCTGGAGGGTGCCTCGAGCACCGACGTGGCTGGTTGATCACCGCCCGCTGAGATTTCTCCATCTGTTTGTTCCTCGGACCCCGGGATAGTTGTGGGTATCGTAGTTGCCTTCGTTGTAGATTTGGTTGGTTGTGCGGAGGGAATGTGAAGGAGAGCGAAGCGCTTCTTGTCGGAGGAGTCGACGGCGTGCTTGATTTCATCAAAGGTAGCTTTGATGGACTTGAGCTTTCGCCATTCAAGCTATGACACGATAAATGGTTAGTGGACGTTATTTTTGGGACCTCTTCAAGAGGATCCGAAGCTTGTGGAGACATACCACGTCTGCTACATTCGCGTAGCCTTGGGCGTTCATCTTCACGCCTTCCTTTTCGGCAGCATGTCGCAATAGCAAGCTCAGGGCTTTGGAAACCTGTACATCGCGAGATTGTCCTTGGCCGCGACCACCACCACCACGCCTATCTCTTCCCTGTTGTCCCATGGTAAAGGCTTGTGGAGGTTGAGGATATTTTTTGTAGCAAAGCTGTGCTCTGCGACGCGTAAAGTGGGGGATCGTCAGAAGCCCGCGGAGCTTTAAAATGTTCGGGCGGGGCAGTACTAGAGTTGTGTGTCAGATTCGGGGTCCGTTTTAAGCAAGTGACCCAGTGAGGCTCAGAGTGACTCACGAAAATGATACGAGACTCTAAATGACTAGAAGATATTATTGAAGAAAAGGAATGAGCAATACGAAGGAGAAATCTGAATCTTGCAGGAAGTCCGCGATAACCACGATAAGAAGTGGGGGAATTTAGTCTACAGTAGAAGTTGGAAGAGTTGACATCATCGCCAAACTACTGGAAGTTTTCGGAATCAAATACATTCCTGAGATATCAACCGATGGGTATATTGTACAGAAAGACAAACAAGAACAAAGCGCCGCTCTTAATATCTACCTGGGTCATTATGCAGGCCGTAACACCCGACTCCCAAATGCAAATGTCCAGAGAACGCTAAGAAAGAATTGGCCCATTACCGATCGCAGATGCAGTTGCACTCGGCCACTGGGCACACCTTGTGGCGCGCGAACCAGTCATGAGCGTGGTGCGCATGGAAGCCATGGTTGCAATTGATGCAAAAGACCACAAATCGCTTCATGACCTCGTCCCGAGCGGCTTTGCGTGGATCAGCCGCCGCGTCGGCAGCACTTCCCCCTCTCGACATTGGGTCGGGGGTACCTAGCCACATAGTGCAAACACCGCAGCGAGGCATATGCCGTCCACAACGGGGGCAAACGGTTCCCGACATGGTCGCTCCCAGAGGGTTGCCCACGGTCGGGTGCACTGTTTCCACAGTCGCCGAGGGAGAGATTTGAGAGGACGCGTCGTGTTGGGTAAGTGGACGGGTACAGTAGTTGCAAGTCAGACTGACTTGCTGCGGTGGAGGAGGAATGAGCTTGCGCCCATCCACGGTCACCGCGAAGCGGCGAGATTCGACATCAAACCGCGCACGTTGAAGCTGGAGCTTCCAGGAGTTCATCTGCCGGCGATAAGTCTCGCGCCAGGCTTCGAATTGCGCCACGTAGGGTGGATGACAGATGATGCGTGGGACGGTGTAGCTCATGGCCAGAACTGGAGTCTGGACATCATTGAACTTTTCAATATAGGACTGGAACAGGCCGATGGCGAGATGTCCCAGGCCTGTGAGGACCACGCCCTCAATGTCTCCTTCCCGTATGGCCTCGGAGGTGGCCTCGCTCAGATAGTCGGTCAATTCGTCATCAGGAAGCCATCGGAGTGCGACCTCAACACGGTACTTCAATGGAAGTGTAGTCTCTTGGATGACAGCGTTCCAGTCACCCTTGCTCACGAGGGCTAGGATTGCTCGAGCATAGGGATCCGTGAGTTCTTTGGAGATCTCAGCGCAGGTCTCCTCCCAGTCAGTGCTATTGTCGCCTTTTGCGGCGCCAGCAATGGCCATTGCAAGTAGTTTATGAGCCTGAGCCGGTTCGTTGCTCCGAAGAGCGAGGTATGCCAACTTGGCCTCATCGTGGAAGACCGCCAGAGCGGCAGCTTTGGTGTGCTGGTTCTCAGAAGAGAGGTTCTTCACGGTCTCTTCAAGCTCTTTGTACGTCTGTGTTGCGCCGCATATCCGGAGACAGAGACGTCGGTGTTCGGGGTATGCTGTTTCGCAGCCTTTGGTTTCTGGCAGGTTCAACTGCTCGTCGAGGTGGGCGATCGCCTCAGCGACGCTCTTCGGGTCGTCATCCTTTGTGCTAATGCGGCGCTGCTCAAAGTCATGGCCTATGATGACTGTCAGTTTCAATCATTTCCAAGGCCACACTGGGGGAAACAAACCCATGTCATTGGTCCAGACATTGCTGATGCCGATGTAATTCATGTCCAGGCCATTGACAACCATTGCCACTCCCGTGGAGTCGGACCGTGCACCTGGATAGTGATTAGGTTTGATTGAATACAGATATTCGTGCTGCTCACACTTACGTTGAATCCAGGTCCACAGATCCTGGAGAGCCGGATCATCCGATACGATTGACCGATTTCGAGCCTCATTAAAGAGGTATCCCTCTCTGCATCTCCACTGGGCAATGGTAGACAAAGTCAATGCCTCTTTAGCGGTGAGGAGTTCACCCAAAGTTCCGACTGACATCGCACGTTCCCGAAGTTCTCGGCTTGAGATGGGATCAGAATTCAATACTCGGGACACAGACGATTTCTGGCCCGAGTCCGTTGACGGGTGCTTTGAGCTCGAAAGCACTCGGTTCCGGATATTTTCGGCGAGCCCAGAGATAGGCGAGATACGTTCGGAAAGAGGGTGGATAGACGTAAAGTCGGGGTCGCCGGAGGTAACTCCGTAGGCCAGCACTCCTTGTGACGACAGGCTCACTGGCGGGCAGGGTGGCCGCGCACTGACGAACCGCGGCTGCCCGTGGCCATCAAGAGTGATAGCGCTAGGTTGGTTTGACATGCTCAAGTTCAAGAAATCAAACGTCACCACACGGTCCTTCTCCTCGCACCCGCGCGTTGGATGATCGAAAGGCAGGCACACATCCCGCACATGTCTCGTATAGACAGGCTCCGGGTAGGTTTTGAAAGATCCTTGTCCGAAGGTCTCGTCAATCGAGGCGCGATATTCCTCAGACTGGTAGTCTTTGGCGATATCATAGGTCTTGAAGTGGCCGGTGCTGGACAGCGCTCCCAGGTAGCCTCGCTTGGTCTTGGAGAAGCGCAAGCTCCAGATCGAGGAATCTGAATTGAATACATTCTTGAGTTGAAGTGCGGCGGTAGATTGATTGGAGTCTGGGCTGCTAGCCGAAGAGCCAACGGATGGCGATACAAGTCGGGCTCCTACGCGTCGGTCCCAGAGGCAGATGGTACTTTCTTTGGTGGGCAGGCAAGACGCAATGTAGTTTTCATCGAGCCAGTCAATAGCTAGATTGTGGACACACCGGGTTTGGAATTGCAAAGAAGGGTTTCCTGGGCCCTCTGCAGTCAAATAGGAGCGTTAGTGATACGGGAGAACGCAGATATACAGTTGGATAAACATACCTCGAAGATCATAGATGCGAACGAATTGGCCCTTGACACCCGTCACCAGCGTGTCAGGCTGATCCCTGAAGAACTTGATACTGGTAATTGGTTCTGAACTCGCGAGCTTTCGCAAGGGTTCCGGAAATCCTTTGGTTCCACCGGCGGGGCTGAGTCGCTGATTGACATCCCAGATATTCAAGCAAAAGTCGTTGCGCACGCGATCAAGACCAGATGCCACGAGGCCATGTGTGCTGAATGCGACGGCGTTGCAGTATCGCTGGTTTCGAACGGGAAAGGAGAGCGACTCCTTCGCGCTGGCATCTAGTCGCAGTATTGTGGCCTCGCCAGATGACTGGCCAACGGCGATAAGGTTCTCGTTGGAGGTGGACCAGTCGAAAGCGCGAAAGGAGGGAACATCGATAAGTGTGGAGAGTACTTCATGGCGCAGGGTCTTGTCGGATGCACTGTACCCGGTCACCTTGCAGAGACGAAACGCTTTACCTGTGACGTCGACGGAGAGGAAGCGTTGCTCGGCAGTAGTGGAGCTCGGGGACCAGCGAATCGCAGACTCCATGATGCTGAGTCCCTCCTCGAGGAGGGGTGTGAGCTGTGTTTGAGGCCACAGCCTCTCTTGAGGAGAAATGGACAGATGAACAAGCTGTTGGTGTGGGAGGATTGGTGGGAGAAATGAGGCACGCGGCATTGACGATGCGATCGGCTGGCCGCTCATTGGCTCCGCTGATCTGGGGTCGGCCCGATGATGCCCCGACCACATTTCTTTTTTCTTGCGCGCAGCCCGCGCAGACAACGCAGCTTCCAACATTTTGTCTTCAGCAACACAATGTCAGACTCACACCGTGATCGCAGCTCGAAGCGAAGGGCCAGAGATGGCTCTGAAGATGTTTTGCCTCGAAAAAAGCAGCACCGACAAGCTGTGGCTCGCCCAGATGACAGTCAATCCGAGGATAATGGCAGCGATGGTGACCGCGTCTCGTCCAAGGCAGTGAGAAGCTCAAAGAACCAGTCTGCGCCCAGGAATGAGAAGGAATACCCGTCAATCAACGAGCTGAAAGGACGTATTCGTGGTGTCAAGCGCCTTCTCAACAAAGATTTGCCAGCAGATGCACGGATCGTACAGGAGCGAGCGCTTGCAGGCTATGAGCAGGATCTTGTGGAGGAAACAGCTCGTCGAGAGCGATCAAATATGATCAAGAAATACCACTTTGTTCGTTTCTTGGGTAAGTAATACGAGAGGGTTTACGACGATATCATATCAAACGCTGATCAACGCCCCAAATAGACCGCAAGACGGCGACTAAGCAATTGAATCGCCTGCAACGCCGCGAAAAAGAGAAAGATCTCGACACTAAGCAGAATTCTGAACTCTCTCAAAAGATTCACGATGCGCGGGTCAACCTCAACTATACGATCTACTACCCTCTCACGGAGAAATATATCTCCCTCTACCCCAAGCAGAACAACCCTTCCGGCGAGACCGACGAGAAGTCCGGATCTGGGACTGAATCCAAAGAACAAAACATTGCTGAAGCGTCTCGTCCACCTTTGTGGGCTGTTGTTGAGAAATGCATGGAAGATGGCACTCTTGATGACCTACGAGAGGGCAAGCTGAATATTGGCCCTGATGGAAAGCAGAGCTCAGCACCTGCTAAGAAGCCTGCTGCGCGTGAAAGCGAGAAGAGGTCTAAGAAAGAGAAGACGCACAAGGATTCCAAGCAAGCATCTCAGAAGGAGAATCTTGCGCAAGAAGATGCCTTGGACAGGCTTAACCGGAGAGAGCGGCGCAAGGAGCAACAAAAGGCACGCGAATTGGCTGCTCAACAGGCTGCTGAAGGTGACAGTGATGGTGGATTCTTTGAAATGTAAATGCATACATGAGCATGGAAAACCTGGTGTTTGGTGTCTTTTTGTTTCTCTTCTTGTATCTCTAGCTGATATCCAATGTGCATTATGTGAGAAGTGTTGCTATCAAAGATGATGATCATGATACTGTCGAATTTCGGGGATTTTGGATATGAATCAAAGTCTTAGGTCATGATTTAGACATACGTTGAATTGATCGTGGACAGGAGATTCAGTTCATTTCTTGGCATCTACTAGATAGAGCCCTAAATCATGCGGAATTCACTAGCCGCAACCTTATCTCACTTCGCTCTATGTGTGTCCTGTTGCTCTTTATAAATCTCTTATCGGGATGCCTCCAAACACAAGGTTGTTCTTTATGGATTATATCGTAATGCTCATTCATACTTGATCACATCCCGGCAGGATTTCAAGTCTTCTCGTAGATTCTTCCGAGAATGGTTTCCGGAAAGCTCTTGATCTTCTAAATTTAGCAAAGCCCTTCAAATTCGGCATGATGCTTCAAAAGCTTTATATTGTATTTCGAAGGACCAGTAGGTCTCTATTACTATTAGCAGGCCTGATGAGGCCTACAAGTTCCCATCACTGCCCGTACAATATCTCGGTCCCGGACTGAGGGGTTAGTAGTGTTTGGATCAGGATGGTCGTGAGGAACCTGCACCTATACAGACGAATATTGATACAAATATAGAGTGATGAATATCCCCAAGAGGACCTCCAACTGGAGATTCCAATAGGAATAGTAAAAGATCAGATTCTCCGTGGTCGTTTAGTCATATAGGAGTGGTGGCATTCGACTAAATGGACAGCCAAAAGAGTCATATTGCGATAATCTACGTCTCCAGCGCCGTCCGACAAAAAGCATCATATGCCCTGATTCGAAGGTCCAGTTTCTCTTCAAAAGTCCTCGAAGTATAAAACGATTTTGACCGTCCTCTTCCTTCTTCTCCTTTTCATCACTCTTCCATATCTCGTCTTCCAGGATTCACATTCTCGGAACCCAAGCAAGACCTGCTACGTGAGTATTCCTGACCCCTCTCTATTCGGTGCCAAAACATCCTTCCTGATCGTGCTCTCTTCATCCTCCCCATCGCGCACATACACAATTTCACCTTCGATACACAAAAGGCGTGTCCATTTTGATCCGCCTCAAGCATATCGTTTGACCTCGTCACCCTCGACCTCTTCCAGCCGTCATTAACGCGACGCTTAGGCGTCACATCTCGCCCATCTCCCACGGCTAACCACCATCTCACAGACTCTCACGGGTTTTCATCAACATTTTCACCAACTCTACCTACCCACAGTTCGTCTACTTCTCTCGGACTTGAACTCTCACCTCCATCCTTCATCCTTCATCCTTTATCTTGGGTTTGCAGACCTGTCATATCTGCAAACCTCCGAGATATCCTCTCGCCGCACACCTTCACCATCACTCAGTCCCATCTCTCACATCTCGTCCTTTCATCCACAATATCCACCGCGTTCCACCCATCCATACTTACCTCATCGTTTCCCTCAGACCTCAATTCTCTTCTCTCCCCGAACCAACACCACAAACAACATCTCTCTACCTCTTTTCCATCCTCGTACCATCCACATCATCAACAAGTCACACCGCATCCATCACAATGGGCCAACTCAAAGAAGGACCGATGGCCTGCGGCAAAGCCAACACCATCAACTTCACCAACGAGCTCATCCAACGCAAGAACGACTGCGCCAACCGCCTGACAGAGCACAATCTCCAAACCCCCGACGTGATCTGGAAGCCCCAGGACGGAGAGGGCCACGCTCCCTTCTCCGAGGGCGACAAGGCCAAATTCAAACTCGTCACCACAATCACCTACGAGAACGGCAACCCCAACAACAAGATCATCTGGCCTCCAAAATTCACGCGTCTAAGCGATGAACTCGTTTACCTGGCCACCAAGTTCCTGAAGGCGAGTGAACGGGCGGCGAAATATCCCTACGATTTCAATGACCGCGGTGATATCCGTGAGCAGCGGGTTTCGTCAGGTGTGTCGCCAATTGTCTGGGCTCATGGTCTGCCCTTCTTGCCGGTTTTCAAGGGATACTACATCCTCTGTGGGCGTGAACATGCCCGATGGGTCGGATGGCTTCTTAACAAGAAGGAGCATCGCATCACAGTGGCATATCCAATGTGGACGATTGGCCCTGTCGTGGCGCCTGGTTCGGCTGTGAATCTGTCTCGCACTGTCACCCGCCAGATGCACCTGCATGTGCCCAAGAGTGCGAAGGATGTGGAGAAAAGGTGGGAGAAGGTCTATACCGCGCGTGACGTGGTCTCGACCGCTCACTATCTGCCGTCCGTCGTGCCCAAGACTCCGTCCAAGGGATTCATTCTTGCTCCCATCTATCAGGTTGAGGGGTACCATGTGCGTTGTGGACCGAATACAATTACCGGTGGCAAGGGTCTTGAAATTGGACGACGCACTTTGTCGAATCACAGCGTGTCCGATTTCGACTATGATGCGTCGTTGAAGAGACCCTATGCCAATGAAGAGAATCCCGCGGCTATCCACTCTGATGAAAGTGATGAGCCTAGCGAGGAGGAGGACTCGGAGTCTACCGACCCGATGAGTGGCATTGAGCAAGATGAAGATGACCGTGGAGATGAATTCCTGCCTTCGGAGGAGAGTGTCGAAGTTGACGATATCGTCGAGGACGAGGAGCCTCCAAAGAAGAAGCTCAAGAAGGACGCCGCTACCTCTGACAAGACTGAGACACAGCCTCGAGACTCTGGCGACACTTTCAAGTCTTTCAAGAATTTCAGTAAAGCTGGGGCTGTAAACCGTCTCTCTGCACTCACGACTTGGGCTAGCGATGAGGAGGCTCCTGGACCCTCTGCTTCCCGGCTAGCTATCAAGCGTCGCAGCGAGGTCGCAACCATCATCAACGTCAAGCACGCTGCAGAGCGAGAGAACACCCATACCGGTGCCTCTGCTGAGACTCTCTACGAGGACACAGCCATCCAAACCACAGCCGCAGTCTCAAGCAGCGAGGTCATTACCAGCACTGGCGATATCAAGCCCGCTCTTCCCAGCCAGCCTAACAACCACGGCACCGAGGACACCATCACCCACGCACCAGGCACAGTCCCTCCCACCAACACTCCATCTTCATCGACCACCAAGCCCGTCGACGAAAACACAACCCACTGCACCGAACCCATCCACATCAACAGCGAGCTCAAGTCCGTGACCGTCACCGAAGACGAAGATGAATACGAGACCGTTGATCCCAGGGAAGTCCCCCACCAAATCGAGACAGACATACTCCAGGGCTGAACGAACCTCACAGAGCACTCTCGCGAACACGCCACGCGGAATGGTCCCTGCACCTAATCTTTCTCGTGTCTTTTGCGACCTGTCTCTCGGTTTTGATTTTGATTCTTTCGTCTTCGCGTCTTCACATATCCGTTTAACACCCTGATTTCTATTTGTGATTTGTTTTGATTTTGATTGTGGATGACTTTGATGGCCCTATCGTCAAATTCTAAGCTCTGATTGGGCTATCAAAGTGTATCTACAATCCATACCCTTTGCGTTTGTGGTCTCCCGTCGATCTTTAGTCAGTTATTCAAAGGATATTACCAAAAAAATATATAAAAAATAATGTTTGAGTTATGAGAATTCCTGATTCTGATTCTGATTCAACCTTGTAAAAAAAATCCCGATGATGGAAAGGAAACCAGAGAGGAGGCGGAAGGCCTAAAAAGACTCCATGATCCAAAACTGAGACCTGCATGTAAGGAAATAGCCAGTAAAGCAAGAGCAAGGCCGTAAACATGAAAACAACACAATAGGGCAGATTCAACTCCGGTATCCCCCATTCTACATATGCTAAGGCTGATGAGCAGGGCAAATTGGCAGATAGAAAAGAAAAACAGAAGAAAAGTGTAGTAAAATCAAATTTGCATCCGTGGGAATGCAGGTCGGTCTTGTCTTGACGCCTGAGATGGGTGTTTCAACGAGGATGTAAGGAAAATTGAAGGAATGCGCTTGCATAGTTGGTGACCGGTGAGAAGTAGGGAAGGAAGATCGTGAGTCGTAGAAGAGGAGGAACAAGCTCTAGGGCTGTTCTCAAGAGTCTCATATAGTTTCAGAGAATCGTGTAGTGCAAGTCAGGTCTCATAGCAAGTTGAAATCGGGGGGCAGGTCCATTGCTTGTCGGCGATCCAGCGCTGACAGGTGTTGGTGTTCCCAGAACACGATGAAGGAAAGAGAGAAACAAAAAATAGCCAGACCCAGCCACTGAAATAGTCGAAGAGACTCTCTCAAAGAACCACTCACATCACCGTGCAACCGCCACTTTGAGCACGACGGCGTCTACCGCCAAGCGCAGAGACTCCACCCACGCCGTAACTATCATCTTCGTCTTCATCGGCATTGTACAGTCTCTCTGCCTCGCGGGCACGACGTCGCCGACGTCGCGCGCCAGCACCGGCGGCACCAGCTTCTTCAGTGGCCATCATATAGTCCGCCCATTTACGATCCAGACGACTCGCAGCGTTGAGATCACCACGCAAGACGCGCTTCGTATGTTCATCGACGGTCATCTGCCAGCCATAGAAACACTTGAGCTGGATAATCTCGGCAGGAAAAGTGGGCGAAGGCGACGGGGTCGACGTTGGCGTGACAAAGGCGGTACTCGTCGCAGAGTCACTGTCCAAGCTTGTCTGGGTGACGCTCACGATTGGATTGGCAGAGGACTTGCGAGTGCGAGGGATGTAGGCGTTGCTTGAGAGAACTTCTTTGATACCGGCCCAGGTGACGTTGGCACAGTCAAAGACAACCAGGCGTAGGCCAATTTTGGGCATGTCCTCGCCGTATCCTCGCTTGCGGACTCGGAAGCTAGCTTCCATCAGAGTCAAGTCGGAGACGCGGGTGTTGTCCATTTCGACGGAGCGCAGCTTCGGGCAGTGTTTCATGATTTGTAGCATGCCCGTGTCACCAAGGTTTTCGCAGTAGCTGATGTTCAGATGCTCCAGAGACTGAGCACAGGGAGACCGGGAGAGCTCAACGAGGACGTTGTTCGTCATGCTCTCTAGGTCCTCCAGTTCCAAGTGGGACAGCTTGGGTGTGGTGCGGACAACGTCGATAATCGAGTCGTCAGTCAACTCCGAACATTGAGAGACTTGAAGGCCCTCCAAATCAGGAACATTGAAAGCCAGGCTCTTCAAGCCAGCGTCGGTGATTTCCGAGCAATGGTGCAGATCCAAGTGCTTGAAGCGGCGAGGACGGACGACGGGGCGATCGGTGAGGAGGTCGATGGTAGGGTCAATCCCGTGCATCAACACTTTCAGAGTCTCGTCGGTCACATCAGTCCGACTCATGATTAGCCGCTCCAAGGTATTGCGCTCGAACAAAGCCCGGGCAAAGTCTTTGTTGTCGAATCCACGGATCTCGCTGGCGCGGAGATCCCTCAACCGCTCACAAAACTGAATGACACGAGAGAGTCCACTCGTGTTGACATTGTTGCACCAGGAGACATTGAGAGTCTGCAGCTGGGGGCAGGATTGTGAAATAACCTTCATGGCAGAGTTGGTCACGCTCTTGAGACCCGAGACATTGATGTACTCCAATCGCGGGTTTCGCATCAGGAAGCAGTGCATAGAAGCCTTGTCAATAACGCATCCTTCTAGCGACAAGTTAATCAAGTTCCGGCACATGTCTGAAATGCGCTCTCCATCGGAAGACCATTTGCTCTTCATCTGCATACAGCCTCGCAAGTTCAAATCGCGAATAAATGGTCCACCGGATGTAATGAGTCTAATCAGAACATCACCCGGAATCTTCGAGTAGTATTCCGCAGCGTCCAGTCTGCACCACAATTGTCCGTCGTAGCACATATCATGCCACGTCTTCGACACAGCCGAGCAGCGCACGATCTCGCGTGGCGTCAGATATCGAAAGATCTCCACATGCAACTCCCGTGGCATATCACCCCAGAAATCAATTGTACGGGCTGGTTTCGCATCCGGCAGGATCAGCTCTGTGGATAGCACATCGCCCTCAAATGGCGTCCCGCTTCGCGGAGAGACCGGCCGCAAGTCAAAGGGCAATGGGATAGTTCGCGATGTATTGGGTGTCTCGGTTCCCACGAGGCGGATGCGAGCATTTTTGTCATCCGAACCCTCCAATGGGCCCGACGGCCCTGGTGTCGCCGGTCGGGGATTTAGGTCCCCATAGAGTTGTGAGGAACTCCCATTGCCCAGACAAGGTGAATATGCGGCGGACGATAACGAAACACACGATAAGGACGCCTTGTGGTCCCGCCGATAACCCGTCGACGCCGATCGTCCGCGGCGGGTTAGCGTCGGGCTGGACGACATGCGCTGGAGATTCTGCAACAACTTCTGGCGACCCTTGAGTTTTGGGAGTTGTTCGAGGGGGATTTGACCGGTTGAGGAGGTTGGACTGGCCGGCGAGGCCTCAGACGAGGGGAGGATCTCGTCGGTCACGGAGGCGGCCATGGTGATGCGGGGGAGGGACAGTAGGGAGGGTGATTATCGGTCGGGACGGGAGATCGGGATAATCGGTGGGAAATTGTATAAGACTCGGGATCTGGTCGAACCCGGACAGAAAAGAAGAGAAAACGAGAGGCGGTCGATCCTGCGCACCCTAGACGAGCATGAAGAGCATGATGAATTGCCTGATTCTTGAAACCTGTCAGATTCGGCGAGGGGAGTTGTGTGTGAGTCTGCCCATAGACTTCGACCGGGAGGAGGGAGGTGTAAAGAGAAGAGGCCCGAGACCGGTGGTCGTGGTTGTGGTGGGGAGGTTGGCAGGTTGACCGTTTGGCTTTTGGTGTATCCGTTGATTATTCGTTTATTTTGTTCGGGGGCCCACGGCGAGCGAACCGTGGCACTCGCCGACTTGGACCGACGGGACTCGCGAAGCCAAAGTGACGTGCGCAAGTACCGAGAGGAGCCGACGAGAGGATGGAAACAGGAGGGAGATGAGAGAGGAGGGCGAAAGGTGTGGTAGAGAGAAGGTCAGGCGGAGGGTTGGATAGAAGATCAAGACAGAGAAAAAGCAAAAAAAAGTAATGCGAGAGGGGAGGAGGGTCGAAGGCGATAAGAACGGAATGGATGAGGAATGCGAGAATGGGAAGTAGAGACAAGTTGATACTTCTGGTCCGTAACACTTTGCTAATATTGACGAAGTATTGGTGAAGTACAGTTCAAGTACCCACCCTATTCTGTAGATTTGCGTCTACTCTTTTCCTCCTTCTCAGCTTATCAGCCCAAATGTCTTCTGTGTGGCACACAGACCATGCTACAGTACTACTGTAGTCCCCAGTCGTCCGCAATAGTGACCATCCCCACGCGACTCATCGGCTGACGACGCCCGAGCGAGTTATCACTAACCAACGAGATGGACTCTACAAACCCTCGATCGAGTCAGGTTCTTGCACTTCTCTAGCTGGTTCCTGAAAATAACACGAAAAGCATTCAGTGTTCAGAAACCTGTCATTTCGTCTTTTCCCGTGGGTCTCGCCTCTTGTTCTCTTGCCTGTTGGACTGTCTTGAGTCTGAGCGGGGCCTCCTGCGGGGTCCTGGTAAGTCGAAGTGGATCCGTGGATTAAACCCCGCGGACAAGCGCAAGTCACTATAGTAGACATCGAATACTTCGGTAATCATCCATGTCCATGCAAGGGAGACACGAGGGATTCCTACAGTAGTTCTATGTTAATATACAGTAGACAGAATACTACTACCATCTACAAGTCATGATCCCGGCTACCCATAATGATTGGCAATGGAATATCACATGTGCCCATCTCTTACCCTAGTATCGCCACCATCAACCCTCAAACTGAACCCTCAACCCACACAACGAATAAATTACAACCCTCAACAAACAGACAAAACACTCCAAGACACTTCCACGCACAACACAGACATACAGACAGTACGGAACTCCTTCCTCCCCATTCCCCATTGCCCGATTGCCCCCCCCCCACACACAACTAAACCCTTGGGACACCGCCGACGCCGGCACTGTTCTGAACTCCCTCCAGAGCACCAGATCTAAAGGCCCCAGAACCCCACTAGTAAACAGTCCCTATGGAATAAATCTGATTCGTGCATCCCTCGGTCCGGTAGGATCTAAAATCCAACGCCCGTTGAGGCTAGACCGATTTGGCCAAGGACGGAGCCGCTAGACTAGTACACTAGACAGTAGACACCCCCACTTAATTCGCCGAGGGCAAAGAATGCGGAGAAACACTGGAGACGATTAGTGATTTGAATTGATGATTTAATACTTGGGAGACTCAGGGTGCAGTTTGGAATCAGCAAGAGAGAAAACAGTACAAGTCTTATGTGGACTTCCATCTGCTATGCGTATCTTGCTTCTAAGTACATTGTCGCCAAGGGGAATGGAGAAAATAATCAAATAAGCGAGATACATGTATGTGATGCAAAGAGGTATCCGTCAGTTACCAAGATATGAGGATATGCCTGATGATTTGAGTAACAAAGGAAAATAGAAAAAAAAATAAAAATAAAACCCCTGTGTCATTTCTCATCCTATCAGAACACTGAAAGGACCAGCAAATTAACCAGTGATGAAGAAACGAAAAGAAAAGAAGAAAAAGCCCATCATCCCCGGAAAGATTCTTCCCGAATCCGCAGCTCACATCACTCATCAAGCAAAGGCAATCAAAACGTCGTGGGGTATCGTATTTTTCTTTTTCCGGTCATCATGAAAGGGGGAGGGGGAGTGGGGGACATAGAGAGGAGAACGTGTATGTTGTCGGTGTCATGGAAGGGAGGGAAGAGATGGTGTCTTTACATGGGAGACAGCAATGTTGTTCTATCTCGTTCAATCGTTCTCGACCATCCATGGATGCTCGAGCACCTCGGTAATGGTCAGACGGTTGTCGACATCGCGGTCCAGCATCTTCCGAACCAGATCAACGCAGGCTTCCGAGAAGGGAAGGAAGGGAATGCGGAGCGGGTGGTCGAGGATCTCGTCGACGTTGTAGAATGGATTCTCCTTGTAGACGATGGTGTACAGCAGGATGCCCAGAGCCCAGATATCCTGTTCCTTGCCGCGGTACGATTTACCCTGAAGGACCTCGGGGGCAGCGTAGTCTATACATAAAAGGTTAGTATCTGTCTTTCAAACAGCATCGGCAGTTACCAAAGCAGAGTCTCACCGATTGTTCCCACAAACACATCAAATGGCCCATTCTTGATGTAGGCCGCACTGCCAAAGTCAATCAACTTGATCCGGCCGTCTCCATCCAGCACCACGTTCTCGTCCTTGATATCACGATGCACAACCAACGCCTTGGTATGCAAATGATGAATAGCGCTGACAACCTGCTTGAAGATGTTCCGACACTCCGACTCGTCCATGTTGGCTTTGAGTTCAATGTAGTCGAACAAGTCCATGCCAGGCAGCCCATGCGGAATCATCTCAATGTAGTAATTGATGTCGTCCTCAAAGAAACCGTCCATCTCCACAATGTTGGGGTGCTTGTATCCATCGCGGCGGAGGAAGTCGAGAACATGAATCTCCAAAGGCACGGTACCTAGTCGTCGGTCCCGAGTCCATGTATCCACCAAAATCCGCTTCTTGGTGACAAACTTCAGCACCATCTTCTTGTTGGGCTGCTTCTTCAGACGTGCAAGCTTGACTTGTCCGTAAGCACCTTGTCCCATCTCTTCCAGAATCACGTAGTCATTAATCGTGCGTTTCTGGGGAACTTCCTTTTGGCGACAGCCGCATTCACTTCGGCAACTGGTTGCACGGGCCGATCGGTCAGAGGCTCGGAGGCGGCTTCACTCAGCTGTTGGCTAAGGGTGGAGCTTGGCTTCTGAATCTCCACGGAGCTCTTGCTGACATCGGGGGGTTCCCTGCTGGTGGCAGCCGCAGAGAGATTTTCAGAGGCGGGTATTGCTTGCGACGAGGGAGAGGTAGGAATCGAGGTGGGGAGTGTAGAAGGTGACAGGTTAGCTGCAGGTCCAGCGGCATGAATTTGTCGGGAGTATGTGATCCACAAAGCATAGACAAGCTCGGTCACTGCGATAGTATCGTCACTATCCTCAGAGTCGCTCGAGCGCTCCTCAAGCTTCTCCACTTGTTCCTTGGAGAAGAACGTGCCGCTCTTGACCACGCGCAACTGAACATCGACAACAATGGTGGAGCCGTCACGATGTTTGGCCAACAAGCCGCTGGGCTCAGTAAAGACAGAGGCGGCATTTGCCTTGCCATCCCGAAGAATGGACAAGGTTCGCGCCCGGCGGAAACTGTGTTCAGGAATAACAATACCATCAACCAATGGCACATTGTCCTCCTCGGTTAACACATCCAGAAGATCGTCAAATCCTGGCACCAATTCCGTGATGTGGCGGCCTTCGGGGCGTTCTTGGCCGAACAGGGCTGAAGAGAACACGGAGTTTGAGCTAATCACGTTCAACGTGGAGGATGATAGCACCATCATGCCTGCAACGTGGGGGAAGCTCGACACCTGCAGGGTTCGACCTTCGTCCCCCCTCCCAATAGTCACTGGAATGCATACCCCAGCAGCAGTGCGAGCGGCAAAATGCTTCAACGCGACAATTCGGTCTAGTCCCTTCTCGGGAGAAGTCTCGAGGGATTCGGACGGCAAACAAGGTAAAAGTTCGGTTATGGGCTGACCCGTGCGAACTACCTGCGAACCCCAGATCTTGTCGAGGTCACCCTTTGCCTCAACCAGCTTCCACGCATCGTCACAGCGAACAGAGGCAATATTCTCTGTGATCTCTTCCAACACCCAGATCAGACCACCGCGCTTCTCCATCACCCAGATGCTGGCGGATCCTTTAGCACCATTCCGCTTTTGAATAGGGACGACATCACCACATAGCAGAACGCCGCGCGACTTGTTGGCTGGGTGGTTTGGGTTGCGATTGTTCCTCGTGCTGGAGCCATACCCATCATCGGTCTGGGCTCTCCGAGACTTCTCGCGGGAGGAAGGTTTACTGAGCAACTTGGCCGTCACTCCATTCCCCAGGCCTCGGAACTTGGGATTCACCGCACGAATATTGGGTCGCTCTGGCTTCAGTGGTGTGCGGGCGGCTGCATCGGTGCTAGGGTCCCGAAGCTTCGCTTCGAGCCACTGTCTGTGCTCTGGCTGTACAACCTCTAGAATACTCAGTCGTCGGACCTCAGATTGGGCGACCCCGAAGATCAGACATGAGAGATCGTTGGCGGCAAGAATGGTCCATGGTGCCTTGGCTTCGGTTCGGAAAACGGCCTGTGAGACAGGGGTCCATTTGCTGCTATGGGTATGTAGGGCCGAAGGGATCGAAAGGCCCAATCCAGTGGTAGAGGACGCCAAAGAGGCGAAGGGATCTGTGGAGGCGTAGGGTTGCGCTAGAGTGTCCATCAGCTTGCTTTTGAGAGTGGCGGAAGTGAGGTCCGTGTATGTACGTTTTAAGCTTACGCGCCGGGATGAGGGTGCTGAGTAGAGATCCTTGCGGGATTGCGGGATACGTTCACTGGGCACCGGACTCAATAGCTGGGAGCCTTCGGAAGTTGCCTGGGATCCTTGGGAGAGGAATTGTTCCTGGGGCGCATCTCGGGTGCTAATGGGGGACCCACGATCCGAAAAGGCCTTGTCGAAGATGTTGTCGCCGTTCACATCCGCAGGCCCTGTTGTTGGTCCTCGCGCGTTTGCCGCGTTTTCCTGGTCCAGAACGTGAGCCCGAGTCAAAAGATCCATCATACCCTGGAGGTCGGCATCACCACTCATGTTGGCTTGTGCATTCACGATGGCTGGGTTGCTGGCCGCCCATCCCATGCGGTCACGCATGAAATCGATCGACCTTTTCAGAATGTTTTGTCGACTGTGCAGCAGTTCCTCGGACTGCTGGGCGAAAGAAAAGGAATGCAATGATTCCAACGGAAATCGGTGAAGGTCCTCCAGCTCGCCGAAATCCTGGCTCATGGACATGTGGCCGGTGTGTGCTCGAGAGGAAGAGCTCGAACGAGTTGAGGAAGTGGGACGGGTTGAGGTGGTAGCCATGGGAGCTAAGGACGAGGAAGACAGGTTTGGAAGGGTCAGAACGCGCGATGGTTGCTGGCGAATGCGGTCCAGCCCAGATAGACCGAGTCCATGATCACTCTCGAATAATGGGGATCTGCTGAAATGGATGAACCCGTCAGTTTATTGACAAGACCAAGACCTGGTGGTGAAGTGAGAGAAAGAGCAGTGATGGCGGACCTTGGAAGAGGGTCATAACCCGAGGAAAGACTATCCACCGAACCTCTCAAGGGTTGATCAGCGTGCAAGGAAAGCTTTTGAAAGCTGGACGACTCGGACTCGGGAGATTCGGAGAGGGGCCCCAAGGGAGACGACAGAGGACTCGGATCGCCTACAGGTTCCTTGAGATCAGCCTTCTGCACCGTTTGCCCATTTCTGTTGAACTCAATCGGCGCGTGTCTGGATTTCCATTCCACGGGCCCTGTAGAAAATGTGATCGTCTCAAGTGATGGCGGGAAGGGGGAGGAGGGGCCGTTGATCTTCGTCAGATGCATCCTCTCGAAAACGTGCTGGAAGGGCTCGTTGAGGTGGTGACTGGTGAGATCTTCTGCAGACTCGTGAAGATATCAGGTGTAGTCCGGTCTTCCGCTACCCGAGATGTTTGCTCTGCCATCATGACCCCAATTTGTCGATTCTGATTTGGGGCTGGCCGACACCGGGATGGGCCAGGCGCATCTGTTCTTTCCCTTTCTCGGTACTCCTCCCCAAACTTACCATCACTTTTTGGGACGATGTGGCCCGTGGCATGTGAAACCAGAACACAGACGGGGTTGGGAAAAAAGCATGTGCGGGTGACTTACCATCGGGGTTGTATGCTGACCCCATTCTTCGGTGCGTGGGGGGAGGGAGGGAGGTGATTTTTTCTCTCTCTTTTTCTGTCCTCCCTAGTCCTCACGACTAATGACCGGGATGGTCGGATGAAAAGGGAAAAAAGGAATGAGGCTTAAAGGGAGTGTCGAGTCGAATGCGACATGGAATGAATGAAAGGCGGAACGGTCATTCGCTCGAGTCAGCGGGCAGCGACCGGGAGGAGGAGAGGGCAGCTGCCTCGTAACTCGCCCGGCATATGTGGCGTCGCGGGCAAAGCACGCGGGATTGTTGGAGTTGTAGTTCAGAAAAAGGAGAAGAGGAAGAAGAAGAAGAGAAAAGAAAAAGGCCCAGCGGGGTTTGGTGGGGAGGAGAGGCGTAGTCGCTGAAAGGGGGGGCGGGCGCGGGTGATGTAATAGGCGTGCGCTGTTGGTCTCGCTGGTTGGAGAGTTGGAGAGTGAAGATGGTTTGATGATGGATTTAGTGTGGTGGGTGAGAAGTTAGTCCTTAGTCTGTCACATCTGATAGTTATGTTTTTCCTCCTTTTCCTCCGTGCTCTTTCTAGACAACCAAGTTAGTGACCCAATTGTAGACGTAGGAATAAGAAGAATGACGGGAATTCAGATCGACCGATCGGCACGGTAGTTGGGCCACCATGTGGAATATGCTTCCTGTGTGTTTTTCTTCCCTGGGATATCACATACTATTAAGGAAGTATAAAGTATAGGACAGATAAGTAGTATTCTGGCCGACTGTACTCCGGACAAGTATCAAACTCTCGCTTCAAGGTTTTCCGAGGAGGGGAAGCTATGGAGAATTCCAACTCATAATTCGACGTGAGAGAACCACTCAGGGCACTCGATCGAGGATGCTGCAGATTAATTCTTCGGGGCTAAAGTAACCATACAATGCACATTCCTCTTCCCCACTCTCATGTCCACTTGGCTCTCACGAATAATTTCCTCAAAATTAGTATCCGTGCCATCAAGAAAGATGAATTGAGAGAGCCGCTTTCAATATGTGTATTGAAACATGTCCGGTCATTCTATTTCTCTAGTTTCTAGCCTCGGGATTTTGACTACCACAATGACATCCAAATTGAACGGTAGTACTATCATTACCATACCAAAGTAAAATAAGGGTTGTATAAACAGGAAAGCAATCGTGTATCGTTGCTTTAGCGATTCCCTCTCGTTCCACTTCGTTCCACTCCTGGGGCTTAAACATATATATACTGGACGATATCTAGCAATTCTTGGCTCTCGTCATGCTCTCGCTGCTTTTGCTCACTAACTTGAGCTAAGCAGCCCTCGAAGCGGCCTGAGCTACATATGGAACCCAGTGATCACTCCACAATTAAGCCTGCTTACACTTCGTCATGACAAACGCCGACAGGAGGTCTTTACACATTCTGCGTGGAGTCCGATCACAAGAAGGGTTTTAGACAGGGAACAGCTGCGTTAGATCGACTGTGCATCTTGTGTTCAGGGCTCATAAAGCACTTCTTAAGTATCTTTGATCGGTCTATGAAGCAGCTGTGAAGGGAGCGTGTTTCACGAAAGGAGTAAAAGCTTGAGGATCTTGAAGCTAGCTGATCAAGAATCGTGCCTTACAACTCGTAGACAGATTATGCTCGAGGATACATCTTGGCTGAGGCTACTCGCACGCCAACTTGTGCTTTCGCATGACAGACTATTTCCTCTATGTCCGGATATTGTGGATAACAGGTACTTCGAGTGTACGTAGATACCCTCCAGGGCTCATAATACCTACTAAACCTTAAATTTAGCTACTGAAAAGATAGTTCAAAGGATGTCTAGAAAGATCTTCCATAAAATGTAAATTTAAAGTACATATGTTTACATTGTGAATGTGTTTCTCCAGTCTAGATATCAAGAAGGATCAAGTGTACGTATTCTTCACTATATCTGAAAATGGAACCATCCGTCGTGCGAAAGCACAAGTTGGCGTGTGAGTAGCTTCAGCCTTTATTTATAGCGCTTAAATCCAATTGAAAAGCTTGTGAAGGGGATATGGCCCGTCCGAGGCCATTTGTTGACGTTGGGGAATGCCCCACTGCCCAATTAAAAGGTGGTGGACTTAAACCCCCCCCCCCCCCCCCCCCCCAACCCCCAATTTTCTCTCCCTCCTTCAACTCCCTCTCCAAGGATATGGATGGTGCTAAGCGACTACGGGCTAGCGCCTGTAAAAACTGCCGGTAGGATACCCTGCCCCTTGTAAGTAAGCTCTGGCTGAAATCACAGCCTGCGAAAACGACGATGCATCCCAAATCCACCACCCGCAGGGTGCCAATTGTGCCAATCACTAGGGATTCCCTGTACCCTCAGTCCTTCTGCGGCCCGTCCGGTGTTTTCCCAACTGAGTCATATCCCAACCGGACAAGATGTCGACCCAAGCTGCGTGGACGAGAGACTCCATCTCTTTGTGTGTACAGAACTAGCGGTGCTGTATTTTCGCTTCATTCATAATGTGATGAACACCATCTTCCATTCGACCAGCTTCATGCGGCGACTCAGTGAGGGATCTGCGTCCAAGATTGTCGTCTATGCAATCTGCGCCCTCTCCGCGCGGTGAGTCTCCTGTCAACCCCGATGGGCTTTGTGACGATCGGTACGGCGCTCATCCGTACAGATACTCGCACCACCAAACCCTGAAAGCCACTCCGCCCTCGGAGCGAGGGAAGATATATGCCGACGAAGCCTTCCGCCTTTTACGTCCTAAGCTTGTCATTCCCAGTCTAGAAACAGTCCAGGCGTGTCTCCTTTTGGGCCAGTTTTTGGGAGGCGAAGGTGAGTACCGCACCAAACATATCTACGTGGGCATTGCCCGTCTGCATGCCGAAGTAATCCGGCTGTGGGAAATCCCCGACGACCTCCCTGTCGTGGATCGCGAAGAGCGCCGTCGTACCTGGCTCACCGTCCGCATATCCTATCAGTGGAGTGCGACGGATATGGGCACGGGGCCGATCGCCGTGCCCTGCAGCCAGCTCAGTTTACCCTGCGTTGACGACCTTTCTTTCCATACTGGCCCCGCAGCCGGCCTGCAAGAAGGCAGTAGTGCCGTCGGACCACAATACGGACTGTGGTGCCAAATGGCCGGCACATTGGAGATATTCGACAAGGTCGCTAGCCTGCTTCGACGGCTCAGTCAGAGTGACGGTATCTCATTTACCACCTACTGCAGTGAAGCTCCGCTATTAGCCCAGCAGCTCAGGCAGTGGGCCAATGACCTCCCAGAGAATCTGCAGTACTCGATATTCAATTTACAAAGCCTCTCGGAATTAGGCCTAGGAAGAACATTCCTAGCCATGCACATCGGATACCACCATTTCTACCAGATGTTATACTTCCCATTTCTACATATTTCCGTGGCACCGGGTTCGGAACACCTCGCTCTGGGGAGTAATTTCTTCCGCGACTGCGCCCTAGAGTGCAAAAACAGCGCGAACACCGTTTCCGAAATTGTCCAAACTGCGTCCACTAAGAAGGACTGCGAGCTACTTTGCCATCTCTATGCACATATTACCGTGGTTAGCTCCTGCGTCCATCTGCATACGCTCCTGCTCAGCGAAGATGCAAAAGAACTGGAAATGGCCCGAGAGCGTCTGCTCTTGAATTTCCGCTATCTGACGATTCTAAAAGCGTACTGGCCAGCTGTGGACCGTTCTGTGAGTACTGTGGCCTGTTGTCTACCTCTGCTCTTCTGTACTAATACACATTAATCCTGCAGGCCCATCGATTACGGGTCTTCCAAAACCTTTGCATGGATTCGATCTCCAATCCGTTTGCTTTGGATAATTGGATGGCGCGGTTTCTGACAGAGCCGACCTCTATAATCGCTGAGCGAGAGGATATGATGTTTGCCATTCCGTCCATGGGCCAGCCGGAGATTTCTACGCTCTTACAGTCTACCCAGGATACAAGCGGGGTAGCTATAACCACTGACACTACCGACCCCTTAGGCGAGTGGTCCTTGAGCACGGTACCGGGGTTCGATTCCGACTCGAGCATGTTTTCCTCCCTACTCAATGATCGCGACTTAACTACCGAGGACCTGGTGAAGAATTCTCTTGAATGGTTACTAGAATAAAGGAACATCTAGATACAGAGTTTCTAGATTTCCAATAGTCACGAGGACCAGGCTTGAAGCCTGGTACACTGCTGTGCTTCACACCACTCTTTCCACATGGACAGGCTGCACAGCTTTCTCATCTCCCTCCATCTGATCGAGGCGTGCAGTGGCCAAAGTATCGCCGAAGAGCTCCGCAATTTCCTCGAGCGATTTACCACCGGTCTCGGGCAAGAAGAAATAGTACACCAACGCTGCGGCGAAATTGGTCGCAATGAAGAGCGCGTAGTACCTCCATCCGACATTTTCGAGAGCCACGGGGGTGATCTGGGACAAGATGATAGCCGCCACTGACTTGGTGAAGACGCATAGGCCCATTCCCGCCGACCGGAGAATGAACGGGAAGAGTTCTGAAGGAATTACCCAAACCATGGCATTGAAGAAAACGGCATACCCTGCGGAATATATGAAAATCATGGCGATGGCGCCGCGGGCGCCGTTAACGTTGGTCGTACCCGATCCATAAATGGCCGATAACGCCATGCAGATGGCGACCATGGCGGATAGGAAGATCGATCCTACCCACAACGTACGGACTCGAGGCCACCTGTCAGCAGCGATGAAAAGGTAGATCACCTGGCCTATCACGCCCATGATGCCGTATACGCCACTGATAAGTAGGGATGTTTTGCCGGTGAAGCCGACGGCCTTGTAAAATATGCTTTGGTAGTTCTGGATGACGGAGGAGCCGCTGAACTGGCTCATGACGAGTATGAAGCAGGCTAGCGTGGTGCGGCGGATATGGCGTCTTGAAAGTAGCTGCCGCAGGGCGGAGTAGAAGCTTGTGCCGGCCAATGCTTCCAGTTGGATTTGTTCTCGTATCTGGAATAACTCCTGGTCGACAAGAGTTTCATTGTCTTTGCCATGTAAGGCGACTAGAACCGCACGAGCTTCTTCATGCCGTTCTTGTTGGACCACTGTTCTCCGCAATTAGCTCTCTTCAAAGGAACAAAATCGGTCAACGGGGAGAAGGTACATACACCACCGAGGACTATAGGGAATGAAGCAGCACCCAATCACCAGCAGAAGAGGACCCGGAATCTGCATTGCCAGCGGGATACGCCACTGCGCGTTACCCTTTGCATATGCACCGCCATATCCAATCCAGTTGGCTGCGAAAAATCCGATAGCGATCATCATCCCCTGCAGACCAACGATCATACCACGATTTTGTGGAGGCGACGCCTCGGCGATGTAGATCGGAACGACTGTCAGGAGAATTCCACAGCCAGCACCAGCGAAGAAGCGTCCAGCAATCATCATACCAGCATTGATCGATGCGGTTTGTAATACCGCGCCGATTATCGCTACCTGGATGTTAGAACCAGATCCCCATGTGCGTCGTCATGCAGGACGCATGAGTAAGGGGAAAAGGGGGAATCTCACCTATGATAGCACTCCCACAGATTGTCCATCGCCTACTAAATTTGTTGGCCGAGTACCCTGCCGCAAAGGTGCCAATGGCCTGGCCGACATTGTACAAGGACACGATAGCGCCTGGTTCAAGATATCTGGATTAGTCCATCGGAATCTCTATCCAGGCAAGGCCGACATACCAGTCAGTGGAGCATTGATGCCCGTGGGACCAAGCATGTAGTACTTGAAGCTGTCATGGCCAAGTGTTGTAGCGATAATCCCTGATCCCATTGTCAGCCGGAGTGAAGCGTGTTGATAGATCCTGCCATCACTCACCCGAATCGACACCATACACGAACCCGCCAAGTGCCACCACCAGCGAAATAAAAACTAAAAACCCTGAAATCATTGGTGATAAAGGATGAAGCTGTCAAGAAAAGAATCTGTTGAGGCTTTCCAGACTGTGCGAAAAACGAGCAAAGAACGATCCTTCATATACTTGACGGACGAACGCACTAACCCCAGAGAAAACGTAACCCCGGACGATCATACCCCCGAGGATTTCCTGCGCCTTCACCACTCAATCTGCGGGGAAGGGAGGCTATTGAGAAGAATCCGGGGACGGAAGCCAGCCGTCAGTATAGACGAGCACATCGTCGACCGACAGGATGGAAATATGAGGTTCGAAGCTTGAACCATCAAGGCGGCAACGCACCAATCAGAGGCCAGAAGCTCCGCCGCTAGCGGCGCCTCCCATTCAGCGGCATCCTGGAATGAGACCCATCCAAGCAGCTTGGCACAGAGACGATGCGTTTTCGCAATGGTGATGGTTCTCGGAACTCGTGGTAATGTGTCGCGAGGGTCCTGTTGGGCCCTCACGGCTCTAGTCCGACTGATGAGTACTTAAGTGGCGTTCCCCGTCACGGCGGATTATGGGGTTAGGAAGACGCTTCTAGAGACTTGTCGCCATGCCCGACCTTTTGAGACTCAGCGCTCCCTCTTTCGAGCACCATCCTACCGGACTGGGACTCGCCGTGGCCACTCCTCGCGTGTCGTGGCGCTTCTTGTGCACCGATGGCGGTCCGAAAGGATGGGAACAGGAGACCTATGAGATTGAGATCTCTCAATCACCTGAGATCCCAGGCGAAACATACCGCGTGTCTAGCAACGAGTCGGTTCTTGTACCCTGGCCGAGTACCCCACTGCGGTCTCGCGAACAGAGGTCTGTCCGCGTGCGAGTCTATGGCTCCCTGGAAGGGCAGTCGAGCAACGTCCCCAGTGCATGGTCACCCTGGACCAGAGTTGAATGCGCTCTTCTCGAACGTAGTGACTGGCAAGCGCGCGCGATTGGCAACTCCATCAACCCCTCGACAGACAGTCCGTTGCGACCGATCCGCTTTCGACGCACGTTCTCCCTGCCGTTCGACCCAACTTCCGGCGGACGAGCCCGGTTGTACATCACCAGCCAGGGCGTGTATCGTGCCTTCATCAACGGCAAACAAGTGGGTGACCATTGCATGGCACCCGGGTGGACGAGCTACAAGCACCACTTAAACTACCAGATTTTCGATGTCACACCTCTTCTGAAGCCCGCCAGCGATAATGTCATCGCCGTCGAGGTGGGAGAAGGCTGGTATGCTACTTTGCTGGGATTCCGGCCTGGGAAGCGTTGTTTGTACGGCGATGAGCTGGGTGTTGTGGCTCAGTTGGAAGTAGAGTCCAGCAAAGGGGAGGTATTCCGTCTGACCTCAGACTCTGCCTGGTCTTGCCAGCCAAGTGCGATCTTGCGAAGCGAAATATACAATGGAGAACTATATGATGCCCGAGAAGAAACGCCGGGGTGGGAAGGGTCCGCTGATATAGACCCTTCCGGTTGGAATCCCGTTCGGGAGCTGTCCTTTCCCGCGGCTGAGCTGATTGCTACCGAAGCACCCCCTGTTCGTGCCACGGAGGAGGTTGCCCCTATCGATATTATCACCACGCCATCAGGGAAGACAGTGGTCGATTTTGGGCAAAACCTTGTGGGAAAACTGCGCGTCCGCAGTATCAACAAGCCGTTGGGCCACCGCGTGATTTTCACCCATGCCGAAGTCTTGGAGAATGGCGAGTTGGGCACACGACCTCTTCGAACGGCCAAGTGCGCCGACGAGGTGGTTTCAGCAGGCAGTGCGCTCAGCAACTGGTCCCCGCAGTTCACCTTCCATGGCTTCCGCTACGTTCAGGTCGATGGCTGGACACCCGACGATGAAGATCCGCTTTCGCTGAACCAGCTGACGGCCTTGGTTCTGCATACCGATATGCCTCGTACTGGATGGTTTTCCTGTTCCCACCCGATGATTAATCAACTTCACAATAACGCTTTGTGGAGTACTCGTGGAAACTTCGTCTCAATACCGACAGACTGTCCACAGAGAAACGAGCGTCTTGGCTGGACTGGGGACATTCAAATATATTGTCCGTCCGCTAGCTTTCTATACCACACGGCGGGTATGCTCAGTGGATGGCTGAAGGATCTGGCAGCTGAGCAACTGCTGGATACTGACGATGGTATACCTCCATTTGTTGTGCCTGATGTCCTTCAGAATGTCTGGCCTCATGCGCCTCAGGCGGTTTGGGACGATGTGACCGTGCTAACACCCTGGTCGCTCTACTGCTCGTATGGCGACGCCAACATCCTTCGGAGGCAATATCCTAGCATGATTGCATGGCTGGACCGAGGCGTTCGACGTGGTTCCGATGGTCTGTGGGAACCACAGCTCTGGCAGCTTGGCGACTGGCTTGATCCTACCGCGCCCCCAGTTGAACCAGGAGATGCTCGCACCCATGGAGTCCTGGTGGGCGATGCATATCTCGTTCATGTCACCAACGTAATGTCACGTATCAGTAAAATCCTTGGCATGACCTCGGATGCTCGACGCTTTCATGCCGATGCATTGCGATTAAAGGCAGCCTTCCAGCACAAATACATTGCACCGTCGGGCCTGATTGTCGGCGACTCCCAGACGGCTCTAAGCTTGGCGATCGAGTTTGATTTGTTCTCTACCTCTGAGCAACGCGACACTGCTTCCGAGCGCTTAGCGCACCTGGTGAGGATGGCGAAATTTCGTGTTGCAACCGGTTTCGCTGGCACGCCCATCATTACCCACGCTCTGACCAAAGCCGGCCACCATCAAATCGCCTACCGCATGCTTCAGGAGAAGAGCTGTCCCTCCTGGATGTATCCCATCACCATGGGAGCGACGACAATCTGGGAGCGGTGGGACAGTATGTTGCCGGACGGTACTATCAATCCGGGCGAAATGACTAGCTTCAATCACTACGCCCTCGGTTCAATCATCAACTGGCTACACTCTACCGTGGCAGGAGTCAGTCCCATTGAGCCAGGTTGGAAGACAATTCGCGTGGCCCCTTTACCCGGAGGTACCCTCACCTCTGCCGAAGCACAATACGAGACGCCATATGGTCGGCTCGAGTGCCGCTGGGCTATCAAGGACGGTGACCATTTCCACCTGGATCTGCTAGTCCCCGCCAACAGCAAGGCATTTGTCACTCTGCCAGATAATCGGAATATCAGTGCCGAAGCCAGCGACGATGAGCGAGGGGAATGGGTCGGCTCGGGCTTCCATCAGTTCTCCTCGAGTTGGGATAATTTGGCTCATTGGCCACCTGAGTCAATCATTCCTATTATGCGAAAAAAGCAACCGGAGGACATTGCGTGAACACAACGCTTTTAGTAACTGATCACCTCAGCTGTTCAATGAATATGGCATGGCATTCCCTGTAAGGAATGGCTTTCTAGTCAGCTAGAACAGATTAAATAGAACAGTTACTGTATCCACAAATTTAGATGATTTCCTTGCTAATGTAGCGATAACCATAAGACATTTGAAAACAAAAGTCCATACGAACCCAATACACCATAACCGGATATCAGAAGTGTATTGTTAGACGGTGATTTCGAAGCTGCCAACCTGTTAGTCGGGATACCAGCAGCTGTCTCGTGGATTCATGTGGGTGGCCGATACCAAAAAGCTATGAGTTGTCTAAACAGCCCTGTAACCTGATAATTCCTGCCCATGCTGCAAGCTATGAGTCCTCCAGTGGACTGTTGGACCTCGCTTTTCCACTCTCCCCTCACTGCTATCACACCGACCATGACCACAGCAAATGACGGGCCCCATTAAGTAAGAGGAGTTCATTCAACCAAGATCCTACATCTTGCAGTACGCCTATCTCCGCCTACACAATGCGATCTGGGCTGAGGTTATACTGCCCACCCTCCACCCCTTACAGCGGCCCTCGAGCACCAGACAGACTGTGCAGTGCTAGTTCATCGTGCTTAGCTTCATCTGCCCTGGGTTTCTCATCTCCGTGGTTGCCGAAAAGAGGACTGCCACCTTTGCTGCGAGGCGGTTCCGGATGTCGTGTCTGCTCCGGGGGCACCGAGGCCGGACTAACAAAAGTCGAAAGACCTCGATTGCCTCCCAACATCCAGGAGAAGCCTGAATCCGATAGTGATGGTCGCACTGCCGCCCGCGGGCCTTCCCGCCCAAAATCCGTATGCCCGTCGGTGGTCGTCGCACTGGTTGTGGTCACGCTGGCAGCCTTTGCGGTTGCACTATTCATGCTCGATTTGGGGGCATCCACCGGAAGAGGTGGTCGTGCATCTTGCTGATCCTGCTTCTCAGCCACATCTGGAGTTTCGATGTGGCTGGCTGGTTCTGATACTGATGGTGCTGTTTCAGGTAATACCTGATCTACAGCAGTGGCATGCGAAGTACTTCGGACTGGAAGGGGGAGCATGGAGTCCTCGAGGCAGCTCTGCACTGACTGGACTCGATCGAGAGCGTATTTGACGGTATCGTTGGCAGTTTTATCCGTGTCCTTCACCGTGTCTAGCTGCATACGGAGATCCTTCAAGGCCTCATTCAAGATAGTTGCTAATTCATGGTTCCTTTCTTCAAGTCGATCGATCTTTGTTTGTAACCCAAGCTCGGTAGGCGTCGGTCTTTGCGACACGCCTTTGACGGCCATGGTAGAGACAGGCTTTGTACGTGCGACATTATACCGAGGACCTGGTTCATAATGCATGGTCTGCATGTTCTTCCGAGCTTCTGTAACGGCCCCTCGGACTGCTTTAGCTACGCCCCAAGATTCGGTACGGCGTTGAATTCCTTGGGAAACATCTTGAAACAGTGCCTCCAAACTCTTAGGACTATTCCTTGCGGGCGAGGAACCTGGGGAATTGCTTTCGCTGCGGCCCTTGAAATCCTCCCAGAGCTGGGCCCTCATGGCTGGCCGGATACCGGAGCGGCTGCGACGCTTGGATGACTCGGGGGACCTGCCCGAGTACTTTGAGATAAGGAAACTGCCCCGCTCCGCTGTCGGGTTTTGTTCAAGGTAGAGTGCATCATGCACAAAGGCTTGGGGTGAGTGTGGCTCAGAAGGAGGATAGCGGAGTAACATTGACAATGCACTAGAGTAATCTGCCGCGAGTACTGTATGAAGCTGGTCAGCCGGGCTCATTCAAATGTAGATGTTCTTCATCGCGGTGTAGACACCTACATTGCCAGCGAATGCGAAGCAGCATTGCAATGCATGTGAAATCGACAAGATCAGATCGTAGCCCATGTGCAAACAGTAGATCCCACATCTCAAGGACATCATCGAAAGGGAATTCTCTTCCAAACAGCAGGCGCATCCACCGACTATGCATGGAGTTAGCACAGCCGATTTGATAAGTCGAGCGCTTCGATAAACTCACGTCAAGAATATCTGTGGAAGCACCTCCACTGTGTGAAGGTGGTCTGCCAATTCATGATCGATTATTGTCAGAGCCTCTTGATGGAGGTATTGGCACCTGGTGACAATCGGAATGACATCCGCCTGGCCATTTGCAGACTTTCTCTCGCCGTGCTCGTAGTATATGCGAGCTGTCTGCATGACGCAGAGAAACAGCGTAAAGGAGTCATGCTCTACGAAGCTGGTATCCAGGAGATCCAGCATCAGGCCGTCTTCTTGAGCACTAGAGCTTGATGTACCTTGAGCTGGACGCTCGACCGAGTCCCGATCAATGACCCACAGAATGGGAGCCAACAGTTCGTGCATACCTTGCCTGTAGCCGACGTCCGGATTTAGTTTGGAGTAAACAAACAAGACATCAGTCAATTTCTGTTTCGTCGAGGGCTCTTGGAAAAAGAAATTCTCCTGCAAGCAACGGTCGACATCCTGTACAATTTCGGCTCGTAGCTTTTCATCATTCCGGAGGGTTTGCCAGGGAGACTAGTGATTGGGCAAAAGGCTAGGTCAGACCGGTCATTCCATGAGCGTCGCCTGCCCAATGTCAACATCAAAAGAAAGACTGGCATACCTCCTCATCGTCCGCCAGCGGATCGACTGTTGACTCCAAATCATCGGGGTGCTCGACATATTTCAGAAAATGGGCACGCAAGGCGCTGTACGCATCGCGCGACTCGGCTAGCTTCTGGGACCATTGTTCGCGCTCGACGCTATCGAATAGCAGAAAGACCTGCAGGCGGGATGAGTGTTGAACTTGAATCTAGTGTCGATATTTCCACGGACCTTCCAGCAGATCGACCTCAGCCCGTCGGTGCACAGCTTTCCTCCTTGCTCCGCACGCAATGCCGCCCGCAGGTCGGAGGGGGTGTCATGGCCAAGGAACAGTGTCTCCCATCTCTTCCTGCAGAGGTGAATAAGTCAGCTCCTGTCGAAATCTAGTATGTTCGTCCTGTTCATCCTGGATAGGGAAATACCTTGTCTCCTCAATGGTCCTCATTTCACGGGTTGGTGGTTTGGGGAGAAAGATGGAGGGGGAAGTAGGGTGAGCAGAGCAGCGATAATGGATAATGTAATCCCGCGGCACGAGCTCTTATCGCCCTGTTGTCACTCGTTCGGAGCATCGCAACATCCCCGACCCCCACGATTCCAGTGATACACGAGAAACGGGGTACATAATTTTGTGCTACGATAGCGCCCTCTTCACGAACTTATGCCATTCCACATTGGTTCATAATCTTGGACTCCCAATGTCCGCAGATTTGTTGGCGGAGTTCGGCCAGGGTTCTGGTCATGCCCAAGGCTCCCAACGCCCAACTCAGACAGCACGACCATCAACGAACTCCCTAATCGACGGATTTGACCAATCAGATGATGTTTTCTTCGGTGATGCCTCAGAGAACTCACAGAGTCGACTGCAAGGTCCTCAGGTAATATCACAACAAAGTCACTATGCGCCCGCAGCCGCAGCTCCCCGCCAGCCTGCTGCCTATCAAGCATTTGATCTTCCTCGGCCGCATGACAGTGATGTGCTATTCGATGCAGCAGAGGATACGCCTGCCAGCGAGGCTGATGATGATGACTGGGGTGACTTTGAAGGTCCAGATGCCACTCAGCAGAGCCAGTCCCAGCAATCAGCAGTTACACCACAAAGTGTGCAGACAACGGCGCCAAGACCAGCACCAGCAGCACAAGCTTCCTACAATTCAGGCCTCGCTGGAACCGTCGACTTACTCGGTGGACTTTCAATAGCTGAAACCACCCCGGACCTCGTTCAACAAATTCAACATCCAACTGGTAATCCTTTATCTCAACCAGGATGGGACGACGACTCGTTTGGGGATTGGGGCGAGTTCACCGAAGCTCAATCCGCAAAGCCAGTTCCACCCAAGTCTTCTCAGCCGCCAGTCCAAAGGAATACACTGTCCAAGTCATTACTCGAGGATGACTCCTTTGGAGATTGGGGTGACTTTGCAGATGGACCATCCGCCAACCCATCACCACCAAAGCCCTCTGCGGAGAAGCGGACATCTATAAAAACCGCCACCCAAAAGAAAACCAGTATATCAACCAAGGCTACACCCTCTATAAAGCCAAGGGCTCCTATTCAAACCAAACCTTCCACCAGACCCAAGCCTGAACAACCAGCCTGGGAAGACGACGCCTTCGACGACTGGGCCGACTTCACCGATGGCCCAGCACCATCTATCCCCAAACAAGCCTCATCCCTCCCCTCGCCATCACCATCAACAACCACAAAACCAACCCCCTCCCCACAAAGCTTCACAACAAGCACACCAACCATACCCATAACAGTCCGACCAACCAACATCCCACCCCCCTCCATCCTCCTCGAACACCTCCTAACGACAACCCTCCCAACCCTCCAAAAGTCCGCCCAAACTGCCCAAACCCTCCCCAACACCCCCCAAAAACACACCACAGCCACGCAAATAACCAACACTCTCCACACAACAGCCCGCATAATCGCCGGCCGCACCCACCGCTGGAAACGCGACACCCTCCTCGCCCAAAGCATGCGCATCGGACCCGCCCGCGCCGGCAAAACAGGCGGCATGAAACTCAGCGCCGTAAACAAACACGAAGACGTTAAAGAAGAGCAAGATGCCGTCGACGTACTAAGCTTATGGCGCGAGCGGGCCGCGCTATTCAACGCAGTCGTACAGGCTGCGGGGCTGAAACCTATTCCGGTGGTTTCGGGCCCGGCGGTGTTGAAGGTTGTTGTTGTCAGGGCGGAGCAAGGGGGGATTAAGGCGGGTCATGCGTGTGCGCTTTGTGCTTTGAGGAGGGATGAGAGGATTGTTCGGGTTGATGAGGAGGTTGTGCAGGATAGTTTTGGGGAGTGGTGGACGGAGCATTGGGGGCATACGGGGTGTAAGGTGTTTTGGGAGGAGAATCGGGGGTTGTTGATGCAGCGATGATGGGGAGGTACAGTAGTGAGTTGATATGTTATCAGTAGGATGTGCTTTGAAGTTTGTATACAAGTGTATAGGGATCTGTGCGGGGTTGATTGATTAGTTTAGGCAGGTCGTCTCTAGAATTGCGATACTTGGCAAATGGCGAAAGCGAGCTTGATGCTCTGCAGTCTACAGATACAAGCCTATCTACACTGATACAACCATCTACTGTCTACATATAAAATGGACCAAAGTATTGTAAGACACTTGAATTGTTCAAGCAAAGCAGCTAAAAAATCAATGCAAGACTAGCGCCACCGGATAACAACTTAGATTGGATAAGGATAACCGACCCCCTCCAAACACCAATTTCTAAGAGAATAGAGAAAAGAGAGTAGATACATAAAGGCAGAGGAAATCGGCCAGACGCGGGAAGAGTAGAGCTACCCAGCGATATCGGGGCCGCGTTCATGTCTGTACCTGATCAGCGGCATACATGCCCAAAGGCACGAGCCTAACGAGCGGGGTGAAGGCAAGGCCTTGGCCCAGAAGAATAGCAACCCCAGGCCTGCTTTCCTCTGCATGTCTGGTCATAAATGGGATCCGCCTGCGCGTGGAATAGAGTCTGGGCCGTTTCGGCATGAATCGAACCAGGTTATCGGAGGGTGGCCACGATTTGGCACGACAGACATTTGACACGACTAATCTTGTGGGTCAGAAAAAGACATAAAAGTCTGGAGAGGACCCTCGATGGAGAAAAATCCTGGCAGATCCCAGCGTAAGTTATTTCAGTCTTCAGCCACACTCCAGCAACGAAGCTGCAACCATCCGGCTGATGAGGGGGGTAGGTGAAGATCGGGTTTCAATTTCTGTCGGGTTCTGCAGATGGGTGTGCGCCAAGGGCGAGGGTAGCATATATCGGATCCCGAGATCGGGACTCGTAGGTTGTCGATCATCCAAACTAGAAACTCTGAGCGGAGGGCAGTGCCGGCTAAAATAGGGAGCGTAATGCGTCAGTTATTGAACGAAGTACCAACGCAAATGAAAATGGGACTCTCGGCATCCTTCTACCACGCCATGGGACTCGCGAACGACAAAGCGAGGAAATGCAAGGGAGGGTTGGGCATCTTACAGGACTGCTCAGCATGCTGTTTCGCTTATTGCGGCCCTTCTTGATGTGATTCTTCAAGGCGGTCGAATCCAAAGGCTTCAAGAGCTCGAAACTGCAGAGGAGCTCGCCAGAGACTGACATGATAGCACCCCAATTGTCGAACTCGCCGCAGTACTGCAAAAAATCCAAATATCAGCAATTGCTCCATGAAGGATCGAGGAACCCTTGTTGCCAAGCACAAGAAAAGAGGGGTTGAAACTACTTACGTTGGGCGCTGAAAAGACGGTCACCAGGATCCGATCCTGATAAAACTCATACCCATCCTCGACCACCATGTGGGCACGACACACCAAATCAAAATCATGGCGTTGCAAAAAGTTCATGATCACCTTTTTGCCGAAGCAATAACTAACACCACGTTCGTTCGGCTCCCAATCTTCCTCCATATCCGCCGGATCACTCCACAGGAGATCATTCAGTAGACCATAATCAGGAACATCGGTCGGCCGGGCAATACCCCTAATATCGTCCATATGCGACAGACTGGGTGACAATCCACCGTGCACACAGAAGATCTTACCGGCCACAATGGCGGCAATGGGAAGACAGTTGAAGGTATCGATAAAGCCCTTCCAGATCTTGATATTGCAACGTCGCTTACACTCGTCATAGAAACCATACACCCGCGTGACGTTAGCACACTCATGGTTGCCGCGGAGCAAGAAGAAGTTCTCCGGGTACTTGAGCTTATAACACATCAGCAGGAGGATCGTCTCCAGACTCTGCTTGCCCCGGTCGACGTAATCGCCCAGGAAGAGGTAGTTTGACGCCGGTGGGAAACCGCACATCTCAAAGAGGCGAATCAGATCGGTATACTGACCGTGGACATCACCAACGATCTTGACCGGAGCAGACAGCTCCAAAAGGGCCGGCTGGGAAAGGAAGAGCTCCCGAGCGGCAGAGCAAATGGCAGTAATCTCAGCATTCTTGAGACAAACGGTCTTGGTGACCTTGGCGGAATAACCAGCATCCAACAGTCTCGAGATCATGTCATCCAAGTCGATCGACTTCAATGCGCCCATGCCCATGCCGGGAGACCCGGAAGTCTCGAGCGGGGCGTTGAGAATGAAATCCAAGATAGGGTTGAGTTGATTTTCTCGCTTGATCAAGATCGATTCACCCGCCTTCAACGCAGTTCCAACAGGTGGACCGCCAGACGGAGGACCGTCGGACACATGGTCCACCTCGCCACTCTGCTGCATCGCATTCACATCCTTATGGCCGCGCTTGAGGCTGGAGGACAGCGACGGCGATGGTGGAGGCTCCGGCGTGCCAGTGCGCGAGACATTCTCAGAGCCTGGAGACGAGAGGCCAGCGACGGAGCCAGGTCGACTGCTGGCAGATCTAACTGACCCCGCGTCGGACTTGTCACCTTGACTTTCGGTTCGGGAGAGGGCAGTTGTTGAGCCACGAGGGCTGTCGGTGCTGCGGGCACCGGGGATTTTCGAGCGAATGGAGCCGCGGAACGAGCGAAGGGATTCTTTGGTGTCAGATTTCGAAAAGGACGGGTACGACTGCAACGGGTCGCCGGAGCTGGCGTTGCCCTTGGAATGCGATTGACCCATCACTGCAAGGCTAGGATAATTGCCAAGCTAGGAACGAGGGGGCGCAGAGTGATCGCACGAACAACAGAGGTTGCAAGCGTGACGCCGAGAAAAGGTGCCCCTGGGCGTTGGAATGTCTTGGCTTCCTAGCGCCGGGGAGAGCGCAAATTTCCAATCACCAGTATATCAACCTTGCAGATACCCGACAACCGCGTGGGCAATGTGAATTCGAGGGCTTTTCTGCAGCTGGTTCACCACAGGATGCGGCGGCTTTGAGTCGTGAGATCTCGCCAAGAACGGGCAGGCAGGCGAGAAAAGTTAAAAGGGAAGGATGAGCCGGGGGAGGCAAGGGTAGTAGGTAGGGCGATGAAGCGACCGGACACTGTCAAGCAGAGAGATAGCAGAGGAGATTTCAGTCAAGGCGAGACTACGAAGGATCGGAAAGGGAGGTCCGGAGTAAGCTGCGCAAAGCTGGGTCGGGAGGAGGGAAGAGATGAGAGGCGTAGCTCCGAGGCTGCACGGACAGGAAGCTCCTGCACGCGAGATTAGTCTCTGCCCAACGGGAGCGATCCAGTCAGGCGGCGAAGGGAGATGGATAATCGACAGGGCTGATTTCCACTGGACCTTGAATTTCAATCAACGGAGTATGTGGAGGTTGAAGAGGAAAAGCAAGGGAGGAGTGAGGGAAGTTGAAGTGGTGTGGGTTATGGAGGATAAGCGGGTAGAGAGGAATGCGTCATTATGTATGAGGATCGTGGGCCTGATGTATCCCGCTTGAAGTGGAGAGTCGGAGGAGGGGGGGAATGAAAGAAAAAAAAGACCAGAGAAACTCACAATACTTGGGGATATTGAAGATTGAAGATTATTGAATATATTGAGATTGATTTTTAAAAAAGGGAAGGGAAAAGAAAGAGGGGAAGGGGAAGTGGTTTAGATGTAGGGTGCAGGTACTCCGCCACCGCTAAATTATGTGGAAGGTACCTTCGCAGTACCGGAGAAGGCGGACTGAGCCAGTTACTGTGGTGTAAGGAGTACTTCTGTACTTTTGGTGTTGCGTATGTTTGACTTGTCCGTATGAGACTCTGAGACTCTTGGGAATCTCCGGTTCTGGCCACTTCACTTACTTAAGCATTACCGCCGGATCATCTCCGGCCCGTGGACCAAGAGTCTGGGCCCCCGATATTTTTAGTCGCCGTGTCTTTGATGCGTTCATGACTCCTACCCACTACGATTAACAAGCCAGGTTTAATTATGGTGTGTTAGAGAGATTGGAGAGACAGCTAAAGTATTCTTGGTTTAAAAATAGGAAATAGAAAGAAAACTACAGTTGTATGAAGGCATCATGGTAGAAAGAAAGTGAGATCCTATCTACAGCTCCGTCGATCCAGACCCTGGCTCGCCTCTTGATAAGCACAATCTATGGGATCGTTTGAATCATACGCGCCCTCGATTTGAATTCGGTCCGATAAAAGAAGGACAGTGCGAATGATACTGCAGATAAAGTCTTTTTCCTGAGTCCCGACTGACTATTGGAGGCCACTCTAGCCAGTAACATCTAAGTGTTCATGGAGCTTAGACCTCCTCCGCCGCCCCTCTTATCACAAACGGCGGGGAAACGGGCTGAGGTATCCCTCCACCGGGCCAGCCACCATAACCATCGTGCATAGATTACATTCAAAACACAGTTCATGGGTCTTCGCGACCCTCACGTGGTATATGCAGCCTAAAAGAGTTCGGGGTCCCGGTGCCATGAACCACTAGCCATCAAAACGGCTTCCGAGAGACAAAGGTAGATCCAGCTCCATTGAGACGGGTGGCTTGACCTGGCTACAGATTGGACGGACTGAGAGCCGCAGAGCGTCTCGGTCCTGCACAACAGCCACTGCACGAATGCCAAGGTATCCCCGTGGCGGAGACACCGCCATTTCCTCCTCAATCCATTGCCCCCTTTCCGCAAAGACCTGCAAAAGCAATTCCCTAAATGGACATTTCGTGACAGCGGACCTGCTGGCCAAGCCTCCATAATCCTGCGAGAAAGCTGCTGTGTTCCCCGGGCCACGTTGATGGAGCAGCAGCAAGCATCACATCTGCCAGGACAACCGGTCCTTGGCGGCCCCACCTTCAACCCTCGTGCCCGCGGAGAGGCGGACTAGGTGGTAGTTGTTGTGGCATAGGGCAAAGGCAGGTCGGGATTTGGATTGGTATGTATCACATAGGCTTGGCTCCGCCAAACTTCTCGTAATCCCGGGTTTCCCCAGTTCCTGGGTTGCGTCTCATTGGAAGGGTAACAAGCTGAACGTCTGGTGACCATGGGTGCTGCCCGAGTTCAGCCGACTATTCCAGCTCAATTTTTGTGATATGGCGGCCTGGGATCACGATGAGGCCAATGAGTCGACTGCTCATGTTGACTTTGACGGTGGCAGCTTTGGGTTCGGTCTTGTCCCACGACTCGGTCTCCTTTGCAGCAGCTTCATGGATGGCGGAGGTAGTAGGGAGGCGGTACTCGAATGAATTGGCGAGAATGATGTTTCGCTCCTGTAGTATGACAATATCCAGAATCAGCTCCGCATGTAAATATCCCAGAGCGTAATCTTTCATATGTACTCTCGCTCTTCGATCACGATCACGAAAAGGTTGCTTACCGCGTCAGTGCACTTGAAGAGGCCGACAAACATACGACCATCAGTGGCATGAATACGCAAGGTCCGACCTATCAGGCCATTCAGATACTCGACTGCCTTTTCGCTCTCCATTGTCGCTGTAGATGTCTCAGTCGATAGGGTGAGTTCAGGGATCGGCGCAAGCAAGATCGATTTAGTGCGGGGTTGAGTGTTTGCAAGTTTCGATGGTGACCCGAGGGGCAGGTTTCGAAATTGATGGGTTAGATGTAAGCGCAGGGTGTTTGATCATCCAAAGTCGAGCAGCTGTGGTCTCATCACAAATCGCTCGCCGGTGGTTTGGAAGTGAAGGTAGTCACCCTCGTTTGGAAGCCAACACCTCGGGAAGGAGCTCTGAGTGCCTGAGGCCATCAATCGGTGGCCCACATCAGCCATTCCCTTCAACCTCGTCTGTAACGATGTATATTCGAAACGAGCCTCTTTCGCTCAAAGAAAGACAAAAAGGCTTAATTAATCTGCCAATGTTATACATCGATTCTACACATCTCAAATCTACAGGATTTACAAGGCCATTGCCTTTCTGTGTCACTATCTACACGACCTGCTCTATCTGATCAGATTGGACTGCGAGTTAACCCCGGCCAACGTAGTAAAACGTTCAGTTACTGTTGACAAACTAGAAGAATCTAATTTCCCATTCTCTTAAGTAAACGGACGGATGTACCCACATATGACTTTGTCTTTGATTGTCACTGGACTGCTGTATCAAGCGTCGCGTATATGCCTAAAGGTTCATTGGGTACCAAGTCTTCAGAGCTTGAAAGTTGCCCCCAGCTTTATTCCCATTGTCTCCTCCTGCTTTACGCTCTCCTCAACCTTCTTCCCGACAGCAAAGCTCAGTGATACTAACACACAGGCTACACCTCTGGTTCTTGTTCAAGGACCGACATGTCAAATTCCATTTCTCGGGTGTCTGTGGACGCAGCTAAGCACTCTACAGGATTCTCGACACATTGATACTTTAAATACTAGATGTGACCAAGTGGGTTCATTCAAGTATTACACCCTTCACAGCTATACCCCTAATACCTTCTTCCAGCAACCCAATCAAGATGAACATTCCAACGCCAATTCCGTACAACAACCGGTCCTCCCCTGAGAACCGATGTGAACCAGAGATAAAAACAGCCATAACCTCAAACGCCTTCCCAAGAAAACCAACATATGCAAAAGGTATAATGAGAAGAAACCAACGGCCTCTCCCCTCTAAGCGACCAGCGCTCAAATCACGCAGAACCTCAACAGCTCTGCAGCTTCCCCATGCAGAAGCATCAAGCACCTCCATTCCAGAATCCCCACTTGGCAACGGGATTCGAGCTATCGCTACTTTCCCCACCATCCATGTCCATGTCCACGTCCGTCTCGGTCTGGAAGAAGCCCGGGCTCGTGGTCTCACTTCCGCTCGTGCTTCCCGCCATGTTCATCTGCGAGAATGCCTGGTGGCGCATGATCTCTTCTTTATCCAGGGCTGTTTCATTGGCACGAGCCGCGAGCGCTTCACGGGAGGGTCGGAAGGGCGACATGGCTTCTGCTCGGGGCTGGAAGAATCGCAGCAAGGTCTGCTGGCGCGGGTCGACGGTTTCGGGGAAGGGAATAGAGGGATCTGCGTCCATCATGGCGTCGTCTGCGGTGTCCATGGGAGTAATAGGTTGTTGTTGCTGCTGCTGTTGCGCGGAGAAGATCCAGCGGAGGGTTTTCTCTGCTCTCGTCAGCAGTTGTTTCGCTGTCTGTCCAGGACAAAATGCGCTAAGGTCTATACTGGAGACATCTCTACCAGATGAAGGTCACGTACCATATACCACGTCGTCATCTGGACGACCGTTTCGGAAACGCTTTCGGGTCCGGCTGGGAAGGTCCTTTGAGCTATCGGACATGCCCCATCCGCTAGGCGTGGAAATGGCCAAGCTAGAAGGGAGGCCGGGGAAGGAAGCTTTGCGCTTGAGGGACATTCCAGCGGTGATATTATAGGACGGGGTTCCAGAGAGGCAAATGGAGAACCCTGAGGGGAGCATTTGCAGATTTAAAGCCCAGAGTGGTGGTGTAAGAGGCAGAGTTGCATCTGGACGAGAGGAAAAGGCTGGAGCAAAGGGCGCATGCTGATTGGCTGGGCGCGTCTTTGGTCGGCGGATTCGCGTTGACCGGGACACGCTAGTCCGGAATGGGCAACATTGCACACAGCACGCTGGCCAGCGCGGAGTGATGATGCTGAGGTTGGAATACGAGGCTGTCATGAGTAGAATACCACAGACTGGACGTATTATTTGAGGTATTAGCTAGGTTTATTGCTTTTAAATACAAATATGTATGGTTGGCTGTTGGGAATCTCATAATCTGAGCGTGCAGGGACCACTGCTGGAATGATCCAAATCAGATCGCTTTAATCTGATCAATCACTGTAGATATTGATACCATATGAGGGCTATCTTGGATCGGTAATTCCATTCGAGCTCGGCGTTGAAGGGCCACAGAGTATGTTGCGCTGCAATACCTTTAGAGAAGTTGGTTAGCTACAGACTAGCCTTCTTATAGTTCCATCCCTTGACGACGTCATTATATGTTGATGATTGGACAGCCAGGAAAAACCAATTCCTATAGTCGATTTTCCCACCAGTAAACATTCATAAGGTCTAAGTCGGATATAAAAAGATCCTCTACAGCTCAAAAACCTACCATCCTTTCAAAAAAAACCCGGGATACATATTCCAGACCGTCCGGCATCCCGCATTGTGCTCCACTTGACGACAGTTGCTTCCCCCGCTTCTCCTCACCCGGAGCTTCCCCAACCTAAAACCTCCAACCTTTACACCTCACTCAGAACCCCAACCAGGACAGAAATACCATACATCATGGCTTCCAGAGAGGCCACTCATGCCAACTCCTGGTACTCTGGCAGTGCTCGAACCCTGACTCGTGAGCTGGACGCCTGGCTGGCTCAAGTGCCAGAGTCCTTGGATAAGGTTGGATCGCTGCCAGTGCCTGGAGCTCGAGTGATTATTGCTCCGTATGTATATTAACAAGCCAAGACCATACTTGTTGAAAAAGTAGAATGACTGATGAAACAGACATGCGGGGTATTCCTACTCAGGACCATGTGCAGCCTTCGCATACAAGGCCCTTGATCTATCCAAGGCGTGAGTTTACCTGCTGCGCTTTCTACTCTACCAGAGCGCAATGTATCTCATACAGGAGCTTGAAATCTAGAAAGCGCATTTTCATCTTGGGCCCATCGCACCATTACCCACTGTCAACGCTGGCACTGCCTCAAGTCACCTCTTACGAGACCCCGCTCTCGAACGACCCGCTGCCACTTGATACCGAGCTTATCAGTAAGCTCCTAATTACACAGGCAACCAAAGCAGATGGATCGAAAATGCGATTCAAAACCATGAGCCAGTCTGTCGATGAGGATGAGCATAGTATTGAGATGCACTTACCATACATCCATCGCCTGCTACAGCTACAGTTCCCAAACACTCCGACGGCAGAGTACCCACCCCTGGTCCCCATCATGGTGGGAAGTACCTCTGCCGCGACAGAGCAGGCATTTGGCACACTGCTAGCCCCGTACCTAGCAGACTCAACCAATGCCTTTGTGATTAGCTCGGACTTTTGCCACTGGGGTCTGCGCTTCCGCTATACATACTACGTGCCACAGGCTCCTAAGCCAGGACCAGTACTTCCACTGTCTAGTGAGGAGCTACCACAGCCCGGACAAGATCCTGACGATGTCTTGAAGAGTATCGATTCGGTCTGCGCGGGCCATAACTTGCAGCGACGTGACCGGGTCTCGGGGACAGCACCCGCTATTCACGAGAGTATCTCTGCATTTGATATTGCGACTATGACGGCTATCACCACTGGATCGGCCCGCACGTTCCTCGACACTATTGAGCGCACTGGGAATACAGTCTGTGGTCGACATCCGATTGGAGTGATTATGGCCGCACTTGAAGTTGTGACGGCGAGCCAACCCGAGAGCGGGAAGGGTCTCTTCCATTTCATTCGGTACGAGCGTAGCTCAGATGCGGTGGATGTGCAGGACAGTTCTGTTAGCTACGTCTCTGCTGTGGCAATTCTCTAAGCTAGTGACTGTCTCTAGACTCTATTCTTATGATGCAATGAATAATGGCCTTTTCACTTTCTCATTATTCAGCCGTAGTGTGCGACACCGAGGGATGAGCGGCATGCCCGACTAAGAAGGGTACATACAAGTGGTTTCCACTAAATCATTTACATATTGACTGATTGGCCTGAGTTAATTATGGCAGCTTCAGCCAAGAGGCGATGGGGCAACAGGGTCCTTACATGTGAAGTAAGGGTTTGACCCTTCACTAACGGCCAAGTGGTATAAGGTTATTCACAATCCTGAATAACTCTATCTCTGACTGTAGGCCAATCAAGTCATCGATTAGGGGAGTGCTTTACCTGTAGTCAAGTGTAGAAATACAGTCATTCAAATATCCGAACATTCGTAAACCAACATAATAGCTTTTCCCGTGATCACCGACGTTGGATCTGCACCGGATACGCGCGGAAGGCACCGAGACATGAAAAATCCACGGCGATAGCAAGTTTTCAACAAACTCTCCTCCGTACAATCGCGATGAATAAACAGCCCATTCCTCGTACCTCGGCACTCCATCTATTTCCCAAATCACATTATTATTACTGTACATATAACTTTTCCTCGCCGAACGGGGAATCCGTACGAGAACTACGAACACGACTCGGAGTCCGGCCGTGCCAAGTACCGAAGACCGACCTTTCCATTCGCCGTCCTCCGTAGAGTAGTGGAGCAGACCAATGGATCCATCTCGGGAGAATCTTCGGTGCACTATTGGGGGGTCTGATTATTGGCAGGTTTTATGCATCTTTTACATTTGCGCTCATTCGTCGCAATCCTTTCTTAAACAAGGAACTTTTGGGACACAGGGATCATGTAAGCGGAGAAAAAGGACCTACTTGACCGGACGGGACCTATAGTAGGGAATGTGGATATGCATGGTATGGCTCCTGACACTGGGTCGAAATGGGAAACTGGGCATGAGGGCTTAACCGGGTCAAAGTTTCAGATGCATAACTTGGACAAGTCTTGGACGCCGCACCCGTCATGGGCCAGCCAGAGCCAGACTTCGGTGCTTCGCTGGTTCGGAGCTTGCTAGTGTGCAGGATCTGATCAGATTATTGAACGCTGACGCGGTGTGGTCCCATTCAGGGCGTTGAATTGCAGCGCTGTGGCTGCTGTCTACATCAGCTACTGTGGCTATGCAGGATGCATTCCAGAGTGAGTGACTAGTAGACTACTCCTTCGTATTCCGTACTGGATATTTCGAGGGAGTTCCCTGAATAACAGGCCCAGTCGCTGCGTTTTTCTTGTTTCTTTCTGGACTGGTCTAAATGGGGACATGATTGCGCCAAGAGGGGAAGTTGTCTGGTACTGGAGACCAATAAATTCGATTAGGAGAGGGTGACGATGTGGGGCGCCTGCAAAAATTGCAGGGATTGAGAATCAAATCAAAATCCGATCCAGGGTGATGATAGTTGTCAGTCATTTACTCGCGATAGTTATCATCACCAAATAATCTATCTGTATAATCTCCTTCGTACGGCCGTAGAGAAAGGTGGTTTGTATTATCTCCGGGCAGTGATGGATCGACACAGCCTTATCGGGTTCGGATAACTAACGAGCCAGTTGATCCGTCCTCCGTACTCCAGTCCATAGCTAACCATACTCCCAGGTCTAAATACGAATACGGGTGGGCGAACATCCGAACGCCTGGCGTACGCGGAAGCAAGCGCCTCCCCATCTCCGGGCCACGCCGTATACGTAATTGCTCACCAACCATGCCCGATTTCGAACAAAAACTGAGCCTTCTAGTGTTTGTTCTCCCCCTTATCAACGGTACTTCAAACCAAACTCAGTCTCATTAGCCACCCCAACTCCATAGTTAAGTAGTTCCAGCGGTCAATCCCCGCCAACTATGGAGTTCGATGCCAAGGAACGCCCAATCGCATCGAGCACACGACTCCAAGCCCGATCGGTCAAATAATGAGACCGTCCCATGCAGCAAATAAAATGATTATAGACCGGTGATTGGGTATTCGAGAGGGGCTACACATCATTTTAGTTATGTAGAGCACATTTATTACTACATTCAGCTGTCCGTACGCCGTCTCTCTCTTTCTGGACCGAGCCACCCCTGGGCCAAGACACGCGGCCGACTACTCCGACTGTCCCAATTCCAAGTCCCTCGTTCCAGAGAGCTGAAAAGGTTGTGTCCCTCCCCCATATCTTTAACCCTGTTTTTGTCCCCCTCAAAAACCCTAGGGGCTCCCCTGCTCCTTGAATATTTCGTCGATCCTTTTATATAATCATAAACATTTGACCTTGCTCGTGGTGGTCGATTTTCCGCCCTCCGCTTTCCGCTCTCTCTCCTGGTCTTTTCTTTTCTCATCCCTTGCTCTCGCCACCTTATTTATTTACTATTATTTGTCAACCGCCCTTGTTTAGGTATTTCTGTTTGAACAGATCCTTAATTTATTCACTGGAGAGACTGCTTCGGAAATTCATCTTTTACCAAAATGTCGGCGACCACGCCGGACATGGGGAAACCCCAGTTCTCCTCCCACTCATGGCTGGAACCATTGGTAAGTACCTAAGCTCCTTGACTCGGTCCCTCAATCCTCGTGGCACAGATCTAATCAACATGGCTTGATGATAGGTGGTCGTGAGCATCATGATTGGCTCTCTCGTGCTCAATCGGCGCAAAAACTACAGCATATTCGGCAATAGATTCACAGACGAGCGCAATCCCCGCGGGTATTTTGACTCACCAGATGAAGTTCGCGGACAGTCGCCCAACCCGATCAAAGCAGAGCGCGTGTGTGGCATTCCTATCACCACGCCAGACTCCTCGCGTTGGGCCAACCATATCCACAGCCGCATCTTGTACAAATTTCCCTTCTTGGTGGAGATGTTCTATTGGGCTGTCAACTATCTGTTCTATTCTGTTACCAAGGCGACGGCACAATGGTTGGTACCGGCCCAGGTGGGTGTGGTCGAAGTTGCCCAGCGACATGGTGAGGATATTCTTTGGTTTGAACATGAGTCTATCTTTAGATGGATGTTCCCGATCTTGGAATCGGACTTTCAGGGTTATTTCCTGGGTAGTCACCCGGGGATCATGACCTTTTTCAATCGCATCTACTCGCTCGTGCATATCCCAGGAACTGTACTGTGAGTGATTTCCGCCATGAATCAGACCTTCAACATACAGAACAAAGCAGGACTAACTTCTGGAAAGGTTCATCTCCTGGTATTATCACGAAGCTCCCAACGCCAACACTTTCGCCCTCGTCCGCCGAACCATGACCCTCGGCAACTTCTTCGCTTTCGCGACCTTCTGCGTTTACCCATGCATGCCACCCCGTCTCCTCCCTGAATCCTACCACTTCTTCGATACCGTCCGCCAAGAGCACGCCGAGAGCGTCTGGGTGGACAGCAAGTCCGTGAACCAATTCGCCGCCATGCCCAGTTTACACTTCACCTACGCCTTCGTGATCAGCAGCACATTCCTTTACCACTCAGAAATCTTCCGCCGACTCCGCGGCAAGCCCGTCCGCAAATCCACATTCACCCAAATCATCTATACCGTGCTCGCGTTCGCATACTCGCTGCTGGTTCTCAGCGTTATCGTCGCGACTGCAAACCACTACTGGCTGGACGCCGTCATGGCCATGATTTCGGTGACCGTGTGCTTCATGATCAACCGTGTGTTCTTGCTACTACTGCCAGTCGAATACTGTCTCTGCTGGGTGTTGCGACTGGCCAAGCCACCTCCCCACGTTGGTGGAAACAAGTCGGACGATCTGAGCGGTACCGAATCCCCCAGATACCGGTCTGTGCCGGACTACGATGTCGTGTGATCTATATCTTCTTTCCTAATATTTCCGTCATGTCGGGTTTACTGTCCCCGCCATATACTGCATACAACGCTTTGCATTTGCACTTGCATTGTTTTTTTCTCTCTTCTAAATTCAACTACTTACACAAGCCGATGTGTTGATTTTACCTAGCCTTGTTGGGAGAAAGTTTTGGCCCCCGCACGCCACCACCTCGTGATCTACATTTTAGCGTCAAGCTCAATCTCGGTTCGGATGGAGCCGAAAAGATCTTCTTTTCGGTGGACTTGAAAATAATACCCGATGATGTGTGATGATCCTTTTTTTCTCGGCGTACTTGATTTTTTTTCATCGATGTGATCTAGTGTTGCATACAGATATAGCAGGTCATGGTCATGGTCATAGACCTGGATACCTCCGTGCCCGAGGGGCTTCTGAATTGAGAAGGCTGCAGTTACTGCGAACCTGCGCTACTACATAACCTCATCTTGTGATGCTTATTGCCCGGTTAGGATTCCTGCGGTAGTGCATGAAACTGTTCCCCAGGTTGCTTCTCCGGTTGTTGCTGGTCAGCAGACATTTCCCCAGATTTTAATTTTCCTTTTGACCACCCACCTGATCCTATACATATGTCCCTATTCCCTGCTTAGAGATGGCCCATGGGGTATTGACATGTGCCTTGAGCAAAATATAAGCCTAATGCCCGCAACCCGCATAAGAAAGTAACATCCCTTCGGCCGTTGATATCTAGCAGCATCTCCCATCACACGATCAGCATCAAATCATCCCTTCTACAAATTAGGTTGTACGGGTCGGGAAAATGGATGCGTCATGCACCTGACATATATATCGAAATACTCCTTTTTCTTTGTTGAAAGCTCCGCGGGATAACCTTGACGGGATTACCCCCGGACAAAGCAAGCAAGAAATCAAGAAAAAATGTACACATATGGTGAAACCGATCGCTAATAAAATTTAAACATCCATCCTCGGGTCATTTTCTTTTTCGCAAGTGCTGGTCTCACCTTTGATCACCCTTCAAGAAGGTTGTACACTGTCCTGAACACCCAAACCTTGATTCTATTATCCCGCCTGTCCTATGCAGGGTTCTAGTCTGAGGCCGGATGACAATGTGAAGCAAACTTAGTAGAAATTTCAAAAAAGCCACCAGAGATAAAGAAATCAATACTAGCATTGTAGGAAGTACACCCTACCTAATACGAGCGTGCCATATTACTCCATCGTCATTGGTACGCTCTTCCATTATCTACCCCTGGACCCCTAAGCCTAAGCCTTACCGAACCCTGATCCAGGGGTGCCTGGACTTTGTCGCAACAGCCGAGAACTTGTGACAGCCACCAAGATCCAGGGTCGAATCGGCATTCATCATTCGTCGATCCTTTAATTTAGAATAATCGTGGGCGCGGGGCTAAAAGGTGGACGTTGATAAACGCATCGACCACCTATCGCATCTGTTGGTAAGGTTGTCTAAACGGTCAGCCCTGTGCCTTGAAACGCTGTCTATTTCCACATTCTATAGTAAATCGTATAGATCCCTTTCGTAGATAAATTCTCCTTAAAAGCCTAAAAACTGCAATTCAAAGTTCAAACCCTTTGTCCTCTCCAGGTTTACCCCACTCACAGGCATTGTGGATCGCAATCGCACGCGACGCGCCGGTGGCGTCCATCGCGCGCGCCAATTGATTCTCGGGGGTTTTATCGCCGAACATTTTGTCTGACAGGGTGATACTGTAGCAATGAAAGGAGACAATCGGCAAATTTCCCATGATCACTTGCTTCCCCTACCCCCAAATTCCAATAGACTTGTGCTGCTAATTCGTCATAGACCCTGATGACTGACTAGTTTTGAGGTAGGGTCGCCGTCAGCAACGCAGACGTCGGATTGGTCCCTGGCTGTCCTCCGAGTGATACTGCTATCCCGAAGGATCTCGTGAAGGAATTAGAGATAACTCCTGGAGGAAAAGTTCCTTCGCCCTTTCATTATATCACTCCTTCTTTTCCCTGGATAGGCTCTTTTTACTTCGATTGTTCTTTGCATTTGCAAGGTTGTTTTACCTACCGGTGCTGGCTGCTGGGCATTCCTTTGTTGACGACTTACTTCTTCAAGTACCATTCTGAATTGCAATTGCTCCCTCGAGGTTGAAGCACTGCACTTGCATTTTTATTCACTCTTTTGATCATTCCTACTGTACGTTTTTATTACCACCAACCTTATCCACCCAGCATGCTCCGAGAGCTGCTCACACTAGCCCTAGTCGGGCTCATGATGCCTCTCTCTTGGGCATGTCCGACGCCCACGTCCTCCGCTACGAGTGTGCCATCCTCGACGCCTACGTCTGCCCAAGGAACGGATAGACTGGTCTTTTGTCACTTTATGGTAAGATAGGTCACTCATGTAGACACCACCTATTCCACAAACCACAATCTAATCATCACCACCACTTCTAGATCGGAATCACCAGTAATCGCAATAGCGCCAACGACTACGACGATGATATGCAACGCGCCAAAGAAGCAGGCATAGACGCCTTTGCCCTCAACATCGGCACAGACCCCTACACCGACACCCAGCTGAACTTCGCCTACGAATCCGCCGCCAGAAACGGAATGCAAGTCTTCATCTCCTTCGACTTTAACTGGTGGAACGTCGGCCAGGGCTGGGCCGTCGGCGACAAGGTCAGACAGTATGCGGGCCGACCTGCGCAACTCAAGGTCGATGGCAAGGTGTTTGTATCCTCGTTTGCTGGTGATAACGTCGATGTGAACGCTATGAGGTCGGCTGCTGGTCAGGATCTTTTCTTCGCGCCGAACTTCCATCCCGGTCAGGGCAATTTTGATGCGATTCAGGGCGCGTTGAATTGGATGGCGTGGCCGAATAATGGGAATAATAAGGCACCGACGCCGGGGCAGAATGTTTCTGTTGCGCAGGGGGATGAGGCTTATAATAAGGCTTTGAACGGGAAGCCTTATGTTGCGCGTGAGTCAATAGCTGTGGAATGTTTGATTTTGTTATCGTGGCTAATGGGAGGGTATAGCTGTTTCGCCGTGGTTCTCAACTCATTTTGGAAGTGAAGTGCCGTATAGCAAGAATTGGGTCTTTCCTTCGGACTTGCTGTGGTATGATCGCTGGCGAGAGATTCTGGCTCTTGGTCCTCGCTTCGTGGAGATTGTCACTTGGAATGACTATGGCGAGTCACATTACGTTGGACCGCTGTCGTCTCCGCATACAGATGACGGAGCATCGAAGTGGGTGATGGACATGTAAGTGCTTCTCAGACAGGAATCCTCGTGATATCGACTGACAACTCCGTGTCTTGTTCAGGCCACACAACGGCTGGCTAGAAATGGCCAAACCCTTCATCGCCGCCTATAAAGCCGGCGTCACCGTCGCCCTCCCCTACATCCAAGAAGAAAAACTAGTCTACTGGTACCGCCCCACGAAAAAAGACCTCAACTGCGACGCCACCGACACCACAATGGAAGGCAACCCCAACAACAGCAGCGGCAACTTCTTCGCGGGCCGACCAAACGGATACGAAACCATGAGCGACGAAGTCTTCGTAGTCTCCCTCCTCAAATCCCCTGCTCGCGTGACCGTCCATTCAGGCGATCAATCCGCAACCTTCGACGCACCGGCCGGCATCAGTGCGCACCGGGCCCCAATGGGCGTGGGCAAGCAGCAGTTCGCCGTCTCCCGAAATGGGCAGGATATCCTGTCCGGAACCAGTTTGAAGGATATCGTGGACTCGTGCATCTGCGGGATCTACAATTTTAATGCGTATGTGGGGACGCTCCCGGCGCCAGCCACGATTGACCGGCTCCAGCCGGCGGGGCGGGCGATGTTGTACCAGGGATTGAGGGCGTCGTGTCCGACGAATACGTTGGGTGTGGGGATGAGTAGTGCGACTGGTGCTGCTAGGGTGTAGGAGATCACTGTCGTGATACAGGAACGGAGGGAGGAGCATGGGAGAGCGAAAAAGGAGCTCGTCCCAGGTCAATACGCCGCTTCCATTATCGCCGGAAATAGGAGGTGAGATTGATGAGATTGATATGAGGGAGGGCGAGTAAGAAAGGGTAATATGGAATGAAAATCGCGCAGGTCTATGCGGTCTGTACTGAGTATTGTACACTACAAGCGCCGGTCGTTACAATAGTTGAACAAAGTATCAGTATCCCTGAAGTACATGATATTTCTCCATCCATGATGTTATCCAGGACTAAACCACTCCGTACGGAGTAATGTGGACCAACTCCGCAAATCCTTCGTTATCAGTAACTTGCTCTAATCTTGTGCCTAGTCAACTAGACTCTCTCCAATTCGACCAAGGGGGTTCCGCAATCCCAATCCTTTATCGCGTCCTCGCTCACCGACTCTCATCCCGAAGTCGGACAAGAAACGAACTGAACTACTCCTGCATGTGTTTTTTTGTACTTTCCCATCTTCCTCTTAGCTTAAGCCCTCCTCACCCCCTTTTCTTACATTTACATCGAATATTGTATTTTATATTTTTATAGTTCCCCGGGTTATAGCCACCCGCTCGGATTGCATGGAACTATTCTTTTCAGACCCCGGCTAAGAACCAGGGACGAATTCAATCCGGGATTGCATGCGCGCTCAGAACCGGGATGTATAAGACGAGATTGGAGGCCCGCCTAGATAGACACGAGCTAGTCTTTCCACTTCCTTCTTAGTAACAATTTCTCATTTCCTCCTTCCACTACGAAGGACTTAATTCTCTTTCCCATCACGTTACTCTCCACTCAATGGCCCGCATTAAAAAGGGTGTCTTCTCGTGGGAGGATGTACTGGCCCATCGATACCAGAGTGAGTCACCTCGATAGTTCTCGTCCTTCGAATTCATTATGCCATTCACAACAAAGCGATACTGAATATGGACCTGCATCTATCTATACTCACTCTTCGATATACACACGCGTCCAAAAGCTAACAGGCTCAAAATCCCCACCAGACAACAAACCCCCTCCTCTCCCCTATCCCCGCCACTCATCTTCCCCTCATACCCCACAATCCCAACCCAAATGCGCCATCCTCACCCGCCTCTCCCCCGAACTCCGCCTCATAATCTGGGAAATGGTCCTGGGCGGCCACAGACTACACATCATTCAACGAAGCGGTCAACGACTCGGCCACATCATTTGTCCACTATGCCCTGAAGGGGGAGCTAGAATTCGATCTCGCTCTAGTCCCGGGCCGAGGTCGAGGTTGGACTTTTCTAACAAGATTACTATTGCGCGAGGCGTGGGGGACAGGGACAGGGACACATTTTGCGAGATTTGTCAGGGGGCAGGTATTGCGCAGCCTGTTAAGGAGGGGGATTCGTGGGGTTTTGGTGTTGCTGGTCGCAATAGGAATGGGTTGTTGGGGCTTGTGTTGACGTGTCGGCAAATGTATGGGTGAATTGGATGATGACTTGGACTTTTTCCTTCTCAATTCTCTTGTGCTGTTGGACTCTCAAATACAATTGCAATTGCAATTGTAATTATCGAGAGAAAGACACTCAAGAACAGAGTGGAAAGAGTTCCCCATGATCTATCCCATTCTCTTATTCCCTCCCCGAACCCTCTCAACCACCAACTAACCTCTGCTACCAGATCAACCGAATCCCTCCACCTCCTCTACACCAAAAACACCTTTGAATTCAGCAACCCCTGGTCCCTCCCCTACCTCCAACCCACAATCCCACCCGAATACTGGTCCTGCATTCGAGCCGTGGAACTCCGCTGGTCCTTCCCAGGCCACTGGTTACCAACGAAAGATCCCGTTCGCGCGATATACGTTTCCGCCGGCCGGGCACAGTGGTTAGAGACGTGTGACGCTGTAAAAGAATTGCCCGCGCTGAGATCTTTTACACTTGTGCTCGGGAGTAGTTGGTTTAGTGAACCTGTGGAGAGGTTGGCGGTGTTTTTGGAGCCGTTGGGGGGGTTGAGAGTTGCCCAGGGAAGAGGGAGGGGGGGGATATAAGGTAGAAGAGCAGGAGGAAGGGGATTTGATGGAGTGGAGGAGAAGGAGTAGGGAGAGTACTTTGGATGAGGAGATGAGTTTGAGTTTGGGTGAGTCGAGGGATAGTTTTGAGTCGAGTTCTGGATCGTCTCGGTTGATGGGGAGTTCGACGTCGAGTTTGAGGTCTGAGGTGTTAGGGTCGTCTTGTTCTTCTCTTGAGTCTGGAGGAGGGATGGGGTTGATGGGTGTGGGCAAGGGTGATGCTGATGCTGATATCGAGGTTGATGGTGCCTTGGCTACGTGGGAGCTTCGATTGCAGGGTCAGTCGTATTATGACCATGAGGTGGGTCAGATTGGGAATGATTTGTGGCGGAAAGGGATTGATTGTTGGATCTCGACGGTGTGAGATGATCCCATTGAAGCATGTGTGCTGGGGAACCCGATTTTCCTCCATACTCTTACCCTCCCCTGCCTTCTGCATATCTATACGTACAGCAAGATGCGTATCCGGTGTGATATGATTGACCGCAAAAGGCAGAATATCGCATATCCTGCATTGTCTTATCTTGTACTACACTGAAGTCAGCGATCCCTAGATATCAAGAAAAAAAGCAACAATCTACATAGCAAGGTAATTAATAACAATCCATGCACCTTCCAAGTTGATCCACAACTCGGGACTTCATTATATCATAACATCATAATAATAATCTTCAAGACAGTTGCAATTGTAGATTCTCCTTTACATCATCGTTATGCTCCGCCTCACTTCACTGCATAACGAGACTGATAAGATATGCAGATAAAGATAAGATAAGATAGGCGATAAGTGATACCTAATTCTCAGGCGCATCAGCAGAGATATTATTGAGTATCGAGAAGTCACATTACTATGTCAAGCAAGTTACTGCTACGAGTTCATCTTGATTTCAGTAGTTCCTCGTTTCACTGTATCTTCTCTTACCTCTCAAACGGACCCCCGACCAGCCCTAGCCCCGAGACCAACACCATCTCCACCAGGACCCTGGACCCACCGCCCACCCACGGCTCCTAAAAATATCTTCAGGCCCCTGCAGGGAGGCAGGGCTGATACATACTGTAACACCAATATTTTCAGGCCGTCGTTTCAAGATGAAATAGGCACCAGCTAAGCCGGCTGTGAGGCAAATTCACCATACATTCAAGGCCACGATATACAAGCGCATTCGGCTCTTTTTCTGGTGTTAGGTGTTCTGTGTTGAGGGGGGCTCCACGGCTGAACTATCGTCGGGCCCACTGGCAGGGGTGGGCAGGCGCTAAGGGAATCATCGCGGGGGATGAGCGCACATCATAATCAAACAGGTAATTTTGGCTTGTATGTATCGTGGCTGGTTAGGCAGAGATTTTTGCTTCTCGGTTTGTTAATTTGTGGAGTCTTACGCGAGTCAGGGTTGAATTACGAATGCAAATATAGGAGGGTAGTATGATGGAGTGAGTCAAAAAGTATTAATAATTGGTAGTCAATAGGTAGTGAGAAGTATCAAGATGATAGTATAGATAGCCAGGTAGGAAAGAGTAGATTATACTCTGTAGAGAGAAATGAGAAAAGTGAGTCCCTGAAAACGGGAAAGAGAACGCGGTCGCTCCCCAGTCCAGGGGGAGGTGGGTTGCGATGGATACATGAAATCACAAAAGAATGAAATGGCTGCAACGTGTCTCGTACAACATATGCCGTCAGGCAAGAATTCCCAAATGAAAGAAGGGAGAAAATCAGATAATCGTCACCAAGCGCCGTGCAAAAACAGAGGCCACATGCCACGATGCAAATAGAATGATAGATCAGGGAAATACCCATGGGTAGAGAGTCTGAAGACTCTGAAGGAGAGAATTAATATTGTCTTGCTGTAGACAGTGACGTCTCAACGACGAGGAAGGAAATGAGATGGCTCGTGTTCAGGATGTCGGTCATCTATAGTATGAGGCATGGTTGTTTCAATCATTCAGAAGGAATGAGCGGTGGCTGCCGAGCTTCAGCGATCCACCAGTCCAAACTGGTGTGCTCGATAGACAAGGGAAGCCAAAAGGGGTTTGATTTCGAATCACGGTCGTGCTGGTATTCCACTAGCAGTGACTTTGAGAAGCCTGCGCTATAGGGCGCGAGCCGGCGCGGCCGTCGTGAATCCGAATCGGTAGGGGATGTCCACATTGTCAGTGTGGGAAGTCGGGCGCCCGGTCCTCTTTCACCGGCTCATTGAGCTGGAGAGGATCATCGAGTCGCCCAAACAATCGATAAGATCAAGAAACGTAGGAAAAATGATCTGAAGAACCCTCACAAAGTGAGAATAGTGATAAGAGGAAGTCGAAAGGGCCGTGCAAGATTATGGCCCGCCGTTAGAACGATCCGGTCCAGAGTGACCGTGGCCACGGGCGCTGAGCCACTCAGAGGCAGCTTCCTCGCGATCATCGGCGTGTTTCTGGTCATCGGGACGTCCAACCAGGCTGCGTGGAAGAATTTTCTGAATCTCAGCTGCAAGAGCAGAGGCTGTGTACCCACGAAGCTCACGCTCCTCACGCTCATCCTCCTTGATGAGCCGGCGCTGGTCGGTCTTGGACATGTTCTCACGACGCTTTCGGCGAATCTCGTGGATGGACCAAAGGACGACCTCCTCCGAGGTACGGTTGCGAGGGCTGCCGTGCTTGGAGAAGTTGCGGACGTAGCGACGGGTTACGTCGGTTGCACCATCGATGGAGAATGCAACGCAGTAAGAGATCTTGCGGCGCCATCCCTCAGTGTAGAGACGGGGCTGATCCCACGCTCCCTCACATGCATCTACATGGACCCAACGACGCTGGTGTTCAGAATACACCTCAGTCCAGACGTAGTCTTCCGAGTTCCATACCCAACGGACACGGGCGCCAACGGCGCGGCAGAGCATACTAAAGCAATTGGCCCATTCTCCCACACGGCCCCGGCGTGTTTGCAGCAATTGCCAGACATCGGAGTAACGGGGGAATCGCTCATAGGCACCACAGTTGGGCTCGGAGCAGCGGTACAGCTCGACACGGGTGGCGCCACGGGCGGTCTCGTCGGGACTGGGGGGCGTCATGCCCTGAGCGATCGTGGGCATGCAGCACTTGGAGCATGGGGGGTTGTTGACGAATTGAAAGAAAGAGTTCTTGAACCACCTGCAGAACAAGGGATGTTAGTATGGACGGAGGAAAACGGATCCATGCCAAATGAGGGTATGTGGCGGGTCTCGAACGTACTTCAACAATGCCCGAATTACACAATCCTGATATCCCCATTCCGGCTTTCCTCCCACGCTGGCCGCCTGGGCTTGCATGATCTGAGATTCCTCTTCAGCCTCGGGATAGAGGCGGTCCAGAGGAAGAGTGCACAGAGCCTCGTCGAGGAGACCGGGGTTTTCGTACTTGGTCGGCGTAACCGACAGTCCCTTTAGTAGATTAAAAAACTTGAGTCCGGCCGCATCCTGGGGAGGAGATGGCATGATCGGGAGGCCACGAAGGGCTGGTGTGGAAGATTGTGGTTGCGAGGCCGGTCGCATTTCGGTGCCAAGGGAGGGAGGAGGTGGCGGCGCTCGTGAAGGCGGCGGGATCGAGTGACTGGCGTGCGAAGGCGCAGGCGACTGAGATCCAGCTCGCGACCGGGATGAATCGTGAAGTTGATTGAATCGCTTTGTACGCATCAACTGTTCGAACTCATGGCTGAGAGAGTTGGCATCGTATGCGGTGTTGGTCAAGTTCGAGGAAGGCTGGGCGGCCTGATGATGGGGTCTGCCGTCCGCCATAGTCGGATTAGGTGGGAGTCACCGGCGGGCGACGTCGATAAAGTTACTCCAGGGTGATGGTGATGGCGACAGTGACGAGGTTGCCGAAGGGGAAATATCCAGCTGGGCGGAAGGACAGGGAAGATTGAGAGCGGGTTAAAGGGAAGAGGGGAGTAAGAGAGAGAGGGAGGTGAGAGTAGTAAGAGTAAAGAGAGTGGCCCTGGGGAAGCGGAAAAGGGTAAAGGTGGGCCAGGCCTTGAGAGAAGAAGAGCGTAACTTTGGTCAGTCCAGTCAGTCCAGCACAACCAAAAGACTGCAGTATTAAGAGCGTCGTCAGCCTCTCGCCCCAATCACGGGCCCCGCGCCCAAGCCGCGTATACACCCAGACAGGCCAAGAGAAAAGACCCTTTTTTTCCCTTTCCTTTAATTCCTCGTATACTTGCACACGTAACCAGATCACCCAACGAGAGGATCCATGCATAGACATACAATTTACATAGAATATTAGAGATCGAGTTCAATGACTATCCTATGCTTCTATTCATTTTGTATAGATAGTAAATGTCACTGGATTTTAGTCCTTCTGTCTGTCCTCTCTAGGGGTCTTCTCGTAAGGCTCGTATTGTATTTACCAAGTCTTGGCATGCCCACGTCCCATGACCGAGAAAGGCTTGTACAACTTCTTTTTGAAAGAAAGTCGTCTTACGCACTCCTCTTCACATCCGTACCTGAAATTTGATGGATCCTTAATGCTTTGGCATCCAGGCTTATTATTTTGCTTAATTCTACTCCTCTCTATCTTCCCCGCTCCCCCCCTTTCTCAATTTCTCCTCTATAGCCCTATGTCGACCAACAACAACTATCCCTGCACCCGTTTCAGGGTCTTCGACCGCATCGTGTCGTCAAGATGAAAGCGAAAACGGACTGGAGTGAAGATCTCGAACGATCGTCCCGTGTCTCGACTCGTCCCAGAAAACGCCAGCGTCGGGACAGAGCGCACGCCAGCCTACGCGTTCGAAGCCTCTTCAATTTCCTTGTCGCAGGGCTTGGATGGGGCAGCAGAAGCCGCGGTGGCGGAGACGCGCAAGCGTCCGTCTTGGCAGCCAGTACGATCGGGCTAGAGCCTCGTTGGGCTCCACTGCTTGTCCTCTTTCTGTGTCCTCTCCGTCGGCCCGCTAAACTACATCGGGCCATGCTGACATCCTCGCTGTCGTGGTCTTTCGCTGAGCTCATCACTGCGCTGCTCGTTAATGGCTGGATCCGAGTGGAGAGTGAACCCCTTTTGGACTCCGTTTGCTCCCAGGGGGCTTGGCACTCTAGGAATCATAATGCTTCGGTCGCACTCCAGAATATCCTGCCTGGCATGGCCTTGGTATGGCTCAATGTTCCTGTCGATCGGGATGCAACCAAACGGGAGATCTTGATATAGTTGTCTCTGGGAGAGGTGTACGACTGGTCGGTAATTCAATGATAATTGATCTTTGTCATACAAGTCCACGCGGTCCAACGACACCGGTCCGTACAGAATTGCAGTTGGACTGTCTATCAAATACTCTTCTGGTCCGGTTTTGTTGGTTGACGCAACCCCCAGTCCAACTTGATCGCCAATCACCGTCCGTGGAAATCCTCCGAACGGTCAAAAGACCCTGAAAAGATGAGGGTCAATCGGGTTTCAGGGTCACCCCATCGTCCTCTGGTGCTAGTCGCGCGATACGCAAGCTATCGCTTCGTTCCGACGCCCTCATCCACCGAAACGTCGCCCACTGCCTGTTTGTAGTATGTATCCTGGTGATGACCCTCTTTTTCTTGTGTATCACACAGGATGGAGTACGCAGGATACACGGTACAATGGAGACGAACTTGCAAGCTCTCCCCCGTTTCTAATCCAGGCAGACTCACCGGATAGTACAGACGGGTAGACGTTTGTAGGGTTTCTATTTTTGGTTTGAATTGATCTTCCGTTTGATCATTCAAGAAGCAGATGTCAAAGGCAACGCAAGTCGATATCCAGCAGTTCAACAGTAACCCGACTATCGACTCGGTCGCAAACCCGCCGATCCGTCAGATAACCCCATCCTTCCCCGAACTGACTCCGAAGACGCGTACTGTAACTTATCCATGACTCGCTAACTACCTGTTTAGCGATAGATTCTGTCACTACAGTGATACTGTCAACCCACACTCAGGCAGCCCGAGAATTGGCCGGCGTTTCAAGCTTAATCCGCAACCTCAGCCTCAGCCTCAGCCTCACGGTGGCTATGCAGCGCTGTTGGCCTATTTTCATACAATTGCCGTTGCTCGGGGTCATTCGGGTTGCCCATAGCTCTCATAGATATAACGCATACTATATATGCACTGCCATGCGCACATCATCGAATAATAATTTTTCTGACATCGAATCTTGTCATTACCCGAGTCTCTGGTCGGAATAGCCGATGATCGCTGGATCACGTCTAGCTTAGATGGCGCAAGCTCCCAGTAATTTCACGTCAAACACCCGGTAGTTTCTGCAACTGGGGGCCAACCGCCAAACTTCAGCGTCGGTGGCTCATCCCCACGATGCCCGAACCATGAAGGAGTCACAGGGTACGCAGTCGATGTTACAACATGATTAAAGCGAATGTGTATTTGTGATTATACATGCCTACGAAACCAATGATGCTGACCTGCGGAGGGGTTGGTCTACCACGCACACCCAGGAACCACGGCAGCCTTGACGCCTCTTGCTGCCCACGTCGCGTCCTCGGCGTGAGGAGAGACGACAAAGCCAAGCAGAATTATCGATGATCATACATCGGGATAAATTCTATCCCGCTGGTTAGTTTGGACAGCTGCCAGACAAGGTATGCTCTCCCCACGCCAAGCAGCCAAGAGCCGTCATCGTCGTCACTTGAGCATGGACCATATCGGATATCCCTTGCAACACGCGACGGCGCTGCTCATCCAGCGCCTTGGCTGTGTGACGTACGCTTCAAGCTATAATCTCATCAACACAGTCACCTTTCTTTCAAGCAGATACTTCTCAAGCTCATCGACTCCGCTCTTTGTCCCATGGAAGTTAAAGCTCACGACATACCCTTGGCACCATGCTAGCCAAAAAAGCTATCCTAAGCATCAAGCCTGGGCATTGCGACGCTTTTGCTGTACAACCTATCGCTTGCTCTCCCCTCCCACCTTCCACCAGCCAAGTACACTGACACGCAACCCGGCGGAGATGATATGTAACATCCATCGCATCGCTGCGAATCTAATCCTCGGCCGCGTCAGGACGGGGGTTTCGTCGGCGATCAACGACTCGTCAACGTCGTCGCTTCGGCCCGACACTCCATGAACCTCTCGTGACGTATGGAACAGACGGGGAAAAGAAAGGAGTGATTTTACTTTTGGCCCTTGAGGGCTACATACTAACAATCAAACATAATCGACACTAACGGAAAAATTCTTGTCGTTGGTCCACCAGCTCACGCGCTACCGCGCCTTAGCTCTGCGCTTCCACGTCACCCACCCTAGCACTTTGGGAGTCCGCTGGCCGACGGTGAATTACGTTGCGTCGGATTTGATATAATATTTTTAATCAGGTTGATTTCCAACCAACTAACTACGGTTGTTTCTTGAAGCGTGTCCATACGATACCTTACCGGATTGAGCACCGTTGCTGTCATGCGTCGAGGGCATTAGTTACGCGTCTGCGTACATAGCTCCCTTGCGGGGCTGATAGCCCTACAGAGTACAAGCAAAGCTACAGTAGCAGATTTCTGGTTGTGACTGCGTCCTAATTAGGAGATGGTTCGTGCCGTTATTCTGCCGAATCCGTGCCAGTCTGGCTTCGGGGTTCATGAACGTGTTCGGAAGAGGCTTCATCAGCAATCCACTTGTCTGGTCGGTGCTAGCTTGAGCACAGACGGGAACTTTTTCCAAAGCGATAGCCATGGATAAAAGCTATTTCATTCATTCTACATATTTCTTGGGAAAGGTTCGCGTGTCTTCCAACCATGACTAGCCTTGATCATGGAATTGGTACGTAAGTAGCAGATTGTGCTGCTATGATCACTTTTCGTGCCTTTAGGGATTGAACTTGATCTTTGACCGTAAGATCTGCACATAATGCAGTATCCGTCGCGCTATTACGTCGCGGTAAGGCCGGCCTGTTTGTTTGGCGCCAGCGCCGGCGTTGACTCGTCATCGTCTCTTGTCGTTATACAATGTTGCATTCCCTTTTAGGCGATATACTAACGTAGATGGAAAGCTTGAAGTATTGATTCTTCTGCGCCACTGTTGCATCGGCGCCGCGATTGATCTGATATGCGATGCGATGTACAGCGATAGCATACGTGGCTGTGGCCACATGCGTGATGGGATTTTTCAGCAGTGTTGCATCAATGTCGATGATGACAGTTCGTTGGGTTTACAGTAGGAGCACATCCCCCCTCATTGTACATGAACTATTTTACCAAGCAATTCGGAGTGAGTTTCGTTCTCATCCATCAGATAAAGTAACATGGTACCTAAATGCGATTAGTTCATTATCCAACTCCCTCTCTTTCAGGGAGAGAGTGAACTCAGTCTCTATCTCTATGTTTTGCGCGAGAATCCGTTCAACGACTCATTGCAATTTATTTCGAGAATTGCGTATATGTCTAGGTGATTGAGCATTTTTCTGTTGGTGGATTGTATCGTTCTTTGTGGTTTGACCAGGGAATGGCCTGCAAGTACGGAGTAGTATATTCTGATACAAGATTTTTACATGGACATGGGGACTACCTTATTCTACTCAACAGCTACTCGTTTATTTATATGCTTGCGAACACTAGGGACTAATACAAGAACTTATTAGGCCCAGACACCAACTGCCAGCATCTGATCCCGATCGTGAATTGAGCTGTCCTCGAAGATCTCGACTGCCGGACTAGTTACTAGCTACGACTACTAGCTAGGGATGTCAGTGTCCGTATGCAACATGCGCACAGGCCACATTCAATAGTTCCCCAGTCTATTCAAAAAGGCCCAGCTTCCTTGTTTAAATTGGTCCAGTTCGTCGAGGATTCGTTGGTCATATTCAGTGGTCACCTAGCTGCAACTTCAGCACCCGCATGGATGGCCACGAAATATACTTGAATAGACGGAATCATCCCATCTCTGGAGCCACGGAGCCTGAGATGAGTCAAGAAATGCCGCATACCAAGGTAGAGTGTACAAGGGTATAATAGACTGATATATAGCAGACCGAGGTATTAATCTCACAATAGCCATTGGGCAGCCAAGCAGTACCTGGTTCCATGTTGGTTGGTGGTTTGAAGTATAACCGCCTCGCCAAAATCATTCAAGCTGCGAGACAACCACCCTCCGTTCGAATTACAACCCCCTCACCCGAGAATTCACACCTCGCCTCCTCTTCTCCTTCATCGCTCATTCATCCCAAAGATGCTTGCGCGTCGCCAAACATAACATTTTCGTCTGCGAGAATTCTGTCAGCGTCAGCTCCGCGCGATGACCGTCTTTATCGCTTCCCTGTAAGTCTGGATCCATTTCCGCGGAGCTTAATCCCTCAACCGTCACATTCTCAAATTCATTCCTCAGATTTCTCCCCTACACAATTGACTTCAGCACAACTGGCACGAAGCCTCGTCGTCGCAGGTCTTCGCCCAGTCATGGAGCTGTCGACGGGTCCAACTCCGGCCCCATTGTCGGTCGCCTACCTCGCCTCCGGTCTGGCAGTATAGCGCTGACCCCGGGGGCGACAACTGAAGATGAGAAAATCTTCAGGGCTTACGCATCACGGTTCGCCGGTGAGATTTCTATCGCCGATGACCCCAAAGCACCTGGTCACAGTGAACCTCGTGCAGTGCCCTGGGGTCGCAGCAATAAGTTCAACCAGCCCCGTTCCAAGGCAACTATACACCCAGAGCCATCTATCCTAAATCGACCTACGGCACGGCCGGAGGGGAGGGATAGTTTGTCGGACGATGCACCCGGTCGGCTAGTTACGGACCAGGTAGAGAGACCTCGTGCACTGCTTTCCGCCGTGGACTGGGCTGTCAAGGCCGCAGAGCAAGGTCATGGCGGCCTGCAGAACGCCATACATGCTGCGGAAGAAGCGGGGGTTCTGCAAAGCAAGATTTGGGTGGGTACGCTGGGCATGCCGACCGACTCATTAATGGAGACGATTCGAAATGTCATTGATGAGACTCTCAAGGATGACTACGACTCCTTGACGGTCTTTGTGAGTGACAGCGAGTTCGAAGGGCATTATGCGCATTTCTGCCGTTCAGTCCTTTGGCCGGCGTTCCACTACCAGATGCAAGAAACACCCCGGCATACCGATTACGATGACTACTCGTGGAAGCAGTATCTCAAAGTGAATGAGGCGTTCGCCGATGCAATTGTCGGTCGCTGGAAACCCGGAGACCAGATCTGGGTGCATGACTACCATCTCCTATGCTTGCCTGCGCTACTGAGGGCCAAACTACCTCATGTGGAGATTGGATTCTTCCTACACACGCCATTCCCATCATCTGAAATCTTCCGCTGCTTGAATGCAAGGGAAGCCTTGTTGGACGGCCTTCTTGGTGCAGACTTGATTGGGTTCCAAACTGAAGAATACTGTAGCCATTTTCTGCACTCTTGCAGTCGAATCCGAGGACTGGAGGTCTCAGTCAATGGTGTTCAGGTCAACAATCGGTTTGTTCGTGTTAAGAAGTGTCCCTTGGGGATCGACTACAAATCACTCAACCTGCTCCGGCAATCCGTGGAAGTCAAAGACTGGATCACAAGCATCACCAATCGGTACAGAGGGAAGCACTTGATTGTCGCTCGAGACCGACTGGACGCTCCTGGAGGAATCAAGCAGAAGCTCCTGGCATACGAGCTCTTCCTAAAAACATATCCCAAGTGGCAGGAAAATGTAAGCATATAGAGTTTTATCTCATGGTCATACTGGTTAAGCACCTGGCAAGGCTGACATCTATGAAAAAGGTCGTTCTGGTCCAAGTTGCCTCGTCAGCCTCTGAGATTCCAGCGCTGGAAGCGCAGGTGTCCAAACTTGCAATGCGCATCAACTCGGTTTATTCCACCCTCACTCATCAACCTCTAGTCCTCCTACAGCAAGATATCAGTTACTCGCAGTTCCTTGCACTCCTCAGTGTGGCTGACATTTTCATGGCCACCAATCTCCGCGAAGGCATGAACCTCACAAGTCACGACTTTATTCATTGTCAAGACGGCGAGCTAGCTTCTCAGAAGCATGGATCCCTCATCTTGAGTGAATTCACCGGCAGCGCGTCCATCTTCTATGGACATGAACTCCTCGTCAACCCATGGGACTATAAGCAATGCGCCGACGCTATCAACAAGGCACTGGAGATGTCGCCCGAGCAGAAACAGCGCAACTGGCAGTATCTCCTCGACCGTAAATCGCCCTATACTGCGCTGGCCTGGTATTCAAATCTGCAGTCCACCCTCACAGAATCTCACAAGTTGCACCGGTCTCGTCATACACAAGCCGTCTCCCCACTCCAAGTAGACACCCTCCTCACATCCTACAATGCAGCTCAATCTCGCCTTTTCTTCCTCGAAGACGACGCCATCCTCTCCCCACATAACCCAAACACAGCCACTCTCTCCTCCGAAGCAATTGATATCCTACAAAAATTAGCCCTCGACCCGAAGAACACCATCTACCTAACCAGCAACCACAGCCCCGAACAACTCGACAATACAGCCAAATCCCTTCCAGATCAGATTGGCCTCATTGCCGAAAGCGGCTGCTTCGCCAAACTTCCCAACACAACCGATTGGAAAGTCCTTTTCGACATTGATCGCATCCGCAACTGGCGCGCCGGTATCAGAAAGGTAATCGAGTATTTCCACGAACGCACCGAAGGCAGCACCATCGAAGAAACCCAGTGCTCACTGACTTTCCACTATGAGAACGCGATCGAACAGGAACTAGCAGCCCACCAGGCATCCGAACTAGCGGATCAAATCAACAGTTCGCGAGGCAGCGACGCTATCCGCGTTGTTTGCGATGCTGGTGCCGTCAGTGTGCAACCAGTCCATGTATCTAAAGCTGCTGCCGCCTCCATGATCCTAGATCAGAGATCTACACAACCCTTCGCGGACTTTGTATTTGTGGCTGGTGGTGCGAGAGGTGACGAAGCTTTGTTCCGATGGGCTAATCGCTTGACGCTTCCCTCGTCGAGTTTGTCCGTTCCACGTACTATCACAGTGACCACTTTAGCAACTGGTACGCGCGGTACTGAAGCAAGAGCTGTTTTGCCGGCTGGCTGGTCCCTTCCGGATGTGTTACAGTCATTGTCGCACCCTGATCAGATGACGGATGGTGAGGATGAGGGCTCTTATGTTATGGTTGATGACTAGGTTACAGGTTACAGGTTGCAGATTTTTGTTGTTTCTTGTTCTTTACTCCGATTCTTCTGATTGTACTTTCAACGGATGGTATGTTTTATGTGGGGTATGACTTTTTTCTAATGAGACTGGCGATTTAGGGAGGATTAGTTATTATATTATTGCGATGCCATGAACGAGATACACGATTTTATGTCTAGCTGGAGGTCCTAGACCATATACACATTGACCTCGGTGATTCAAGAACATTATCTCAATGTTTTGAGTGGTTTTTTATTCAATTTCTCAACTAGTTTCACTATCCCATTCAATGAAGAATTCGATGAAAGCTCAGATAGCAAGCGCGAGAACCGTCAAATGGATGAGAACACAACACCGAGGGTGAATGGTCCACTCTTGGATAATGGGGATTAACGAATACATGGTGATCGCAAGAAAGAGCAAAGAACAATAGCTAATAAGGCAACTCCAGCGATGAAAGACAGTGATTTAAAAAAAGTCGACGAGACGCCGCGTCCGAGTGTGAATGGAAATGGGGGAATAGAACATGAAGAAGCAAAAACTCTTGGACTTGTAACCCAATAAACAAGATCCCAATGACCATGAAATCACGGAATTGAACATGGGGTGAAGCAGTAAACGCGAAGTCAAGTGGGTATGAAGGATCCACCTGACACGAAAACACCTTGAAAAATCCACGAGAACTGAAGTGAAACGATGTATTTGCGACCACTGGATTCCGAAACGACAACACCAGACCGTTGAGCTTGGGGGAACGTGAATCGTGAGGAGTCAGGCTTTGGCGAATGTAGTGCTCCTGTACTGCCGTCTAGCCGGACCTGCGTGGAACAGCATAAGGAGAAGCAGGAGCCAGCCACTCCTGATAATTAATGGTAATGAAATGAGACCAGTTGCAAAGCGACATGGTCAAAGTTCAGCTTCCGGCATTAGGATTCTCGGATTGGTCTTTGGATGACGCTGAATCAGTACCGGCAGAGATTAGGGTCGGGGCAATCCGGCGCTTCTTTGGCTGCTGTGTCGCCGCCGCCGATTCAGAGCCCTTGCTGTCCTCCTTTTCAGATTCGCTGGTGGCGGGTGCGTCGCGCTTGCCAAGAACACTGCCAATGGATGGTATCACGGTATTTGGCAGGGGAGTGTGCGGGGGCGTCGTGAGGGGAAGGGCAGAGGGCTGCGCCGAGTTCGTTGCTGTCACCGAAGGCACAGAGCCAAGGGTCGGGGTCGGGTTGTTGATCACAGCTGCGGACTGCTGTGTTGAAGATTGGGTTGCGACTGAGCCCGCCGAGTTAGACCGTGCAGGGCTGGCTGGAGGCACTTGGCCGTTGTTAGCCGTCGCAAAGCCTCCACTGCTTGCCGGTGCATGGGCCGCTTTTATTGGTGACGGAACATGTGTTGGAGTTGGTAGAGGTGTGATATTGGTCGAAGGGGGATTTGAGCTGACTGGATTTGAGCTGACTGGATTTGAACCAGTCGAGGTCGGACCCGTGTAGACTTGGCCCAGCTCTCCGGGGGCAAATGAAAGAGTAGAACAGAACCCATCAGAAGAGCTCATAATCAACGTCAATCCATCATTGGACCTATGGCTTGTTAGATTCTTGCAAACAATATCAGAGAAGTAAACTTACCAACTCAAGTCTGTAAAGGTAGCAAAGTGAAGGTTGCTTACAACAGACAAGGGAGTCTGTTGTTGTGTGTCATATACCAGAACGGCGTCTTGTGTAGCAATGGCATAGATTATGCGATACGGAAGGGCAAAAACTGGCGCCATTCCTGCATCATTGCCATCAGAGGTCTTGGGTGAAGGCTGAGGCTTTGATGCATCACCACCTGCGGGGTTAGAAGATGGTGGATCCATGGAAGGCTTGCTGGTAGAGGATGTATTCGAGGCCACGACAGAGTCTGGCAGAGGAGGGAACATCGCCTCTCCTCCTGCTGATGTGTCGACCGTCATGTTCTTGACCGGCTGTACGCCTTGCTTCAGGGTGTAATAGATAGGCGAGCACTTGACCGCTACGGAAGGCTTCTTGTGGCCAGGTAGATGAGAGATAGGCGGCTTGTTGAAACCAGCCCGTGTGTAGACGTAGACGGTGTTGATAATCTCGTCGGTTGTTTTCGAGGGATCGTTGGCCGAGACATTAGAAGTCTTATACTGGCCAGCCGGTGTAAACAAAAGGCTCCCGTCCGGAGTAAATGTTAGTCGCCGGAAGAATGACGTGAAAGTTTCATTTGCATAGATGCTGGCGTTCTTCACACCAAGACCGCCAAGAAGACTCGGGGATGAGACCTCTAGGGGCTTCACGGCAGGTAGTGGTAGGGATGGAGCAGGAGAAGCGGACCGCCGAATCGATGGGGACGAACCAAACGAGGAACGGCGACTGTGAGAAACCGGAGGAGGATCCATGGGTAGATTCGAGGTCATGGGTGTTCCCGGTGTTGATGGAGCAGGGGATGCGATAGCAATGGAGTTGGTCGTGCTTTGTGAAGGCCTGCTAGATGGCTCCGGGGCAGGACTGCTGGATGAGATACGCTTGGCCGGCAGATCCATCTTCATAATCTTGCCGTGGGGGTCAGAGTAAACTGGCCATCCTTTGTTTTCAAGCTATAGATGTGGACCGATCGGTCGGATGACTGAGTCGCGACGAATTCATTGAGGGGATCCCACGCGACACCCTGCACATAATGGGAATGCTCCGCAATCTGGCGTACCATTTGCCCTGTAGAAGTAAAGTGTCAGCATTCTAGACCCGGATGACAATCCATTAAGCCTCCTGGTATCGGCGAGACCAACCATTTTGAGCGTTGTAGATTCGAGCAATGTTATCCATGCTGCCCGTGATAATAAAGACTCCATCCGGCGACCAGGCCAGGTCGTAGATCTCGGCCCCAGAGGAACGACACATGTGCTTCACCCGCCAGGTCTCCTTGTCGTCCGACCGGTCCTCGCCAAGTCCAGGCTGTGTTTGTACCTCTGAGGGAACCCATAACAAAACATTGCCATCGTCTCCAGCAGATGCCAACATCTCACCTATTACTCTCGTCAGATTTAGAGCGCCTTATAGGATTTTGTATTCCCCGGGATCCGAAGGAGTTCATACCCTTCGGACAAAATCGGACCACATTCACTGCTTGTGTATGCTTCACCAGTGTACTCAAATACGACACTTTGCGTTCTTCTCCGGTACATTCGAGTCGCCAAAGCTGAAGGAGAGTTGTGTCAGACAGGGCTTCGGAGGAGGATTATGGTAGTAGGGATACGGGGGAAGGCGAAAACGTACTCGAACATTGTTATCACTGGACAATCATAATTAGTTTCAATTGTTTCTTTCCTGTGAAGAGCGAGAGCACTTACTTTCCAGCCGTTGCTAGTCGGCTCTTGCCATTGGGATCAAAGTGTACAGAATAGATGGGGGCATTGTCGTTGTGCCACGAGATCAGCAGTGGAGAGGCCTTCATAGTGCCGACTGCAGCTCAGCGAGCTTTGCTGAACCCGCAACTGATCTCAGGAACGAAGACGGTGCTCGACGGGATTTCAACGGTGGGTTTGAGAGGATGGAACGAGGTCTGGCCAGTCTCGGCCGGTTGACGAGATGGTCTTTGTAGCCTTGTGGAGGGGAGAGAGCGAGAAGCAAAACCACAAATTAGATCGAGGGGGAAATGAGGTAGGAGAGGTGGAGAAAGAAAGAACAGAGCGGAAGAGAGACTGGGAAAGGTTGTGGAAGGGTGTTCAGTGATGATGCTTCGAGTTGTTTGACGCGGGAACGCGACCGGCGATTAGATACGCCCGCCAGTGAAAGGCACCCGATTTTACACCACCAGCCACGATTGGTGAGAAGAGACGCTTTCTTTCAACAGAGAGGGTCTACTAATTGAAACAATTATTCACACGTGGTGGCTGTCAATCTAGAGTAAGCTTTGGACTTAATCGCCGTTGTGCTCGATCCAATAATTGAAGGAGATGGTGGCGTAAAAAAGGAATAATGGCAGTATGTTAGATAACCAGATCAACTCAGTAACGCCCCAGATTGCCAGTTTCCATGCGAATAGTGATAAGTAGGTAGTTACAAGGTTTGCATCAAAGCTAGAAGTACAAGTTCATCTCACGCTTCTTCTCCTATTATGAAAGCCACTTCCCAAGTGTCTCTCCAAACCAGCTAACGGCCTTCTCCTGTCTCTTCGTCCGGGCATCTGCCTGGCTCTTAATGAATGGAGTGGCCTCTTCGACATACATCTTCTGCTGCTCCAGTTGAGCATTGTGGGTTCGAATCTCCAGCTCACGTTCATGAGGTGTGAGCTTGATCAGGGGCTTGGATGGCTTGAAACCAGCTGGAACGGCCTCACCACCAGGGATCTCAACCTTTGTGCCAGCCACCCCTTCGACGCGAGGAGGCTTGTCGGGATTGAAGAGCGAGGTGAGCGGAGGCGGTTCAATTCCCGCTGCCTTGGCCTCCGCTACTTTCTTTTCATAGTCAAGCATTTGGTGGTACAGCGTGTCGGCGTGCATTTGAATCCGCTCTTCCCTTTCGGGATCGTAATCGAAGGCCGCAGCATAGCCCAGCGCTTGAAGGAATTTCTATACAGAGATCAGCATGTGCTGGGACTATATATATGACGACAAAGTCGACATGGAGGAGTACTTACGGTCTGTGTTTGGAAGCATCGGGAGAAAGTGGCATTCTCCGCCGAGCACATCGTCAACCGGGATTCAATCTGCTTCTTCCAGTTTCCAGTCTGGAAGCAAAAGGCCAAGGCCTCATTTTCCAGAGCACAATTCTCCATCGCTGCTCGCTGCACAGTATCCCCGTGCTCCTTGTACTGTTCAATCACTCGCTCCGCCCCGCGCACTCCCGGAGTGCTGTCGACATTGCTCGGGGGGTTGTAGGTCTTCCACAGATCGGCATAGCGGCCATCCTGGTAGAGAGATGCAGCGGGGACTTTGGGTTTCGATGACTCGCCGGCTTCCTGTGGTTCGGAGGAGTGCGCGGGCGAGGGTGTAGGTGCTGGTTGCTTCAAATCGGGCGCAGGCACATATTGATCAGGCGTCTCCTGCTCGAGGAACTCTCGGAGGCCTGGGTCAAGCTTCTTGACGGGGTCGCTCTTATTGTCACCCCAAAACCAACCCATTGAGAATGTAATATGCGACGACAGAGCGAAAGGCGAAAGGCGTAGGAAGGTGACTTGTTCAGTGGTGCGGAGAAATCGGGACAAAAATGGATCGGCCTCGATGGACCTTCTTGGGGCCGACCGCCGCGGCCATCTTTACTTCTCCAACATCAACACGACGCGTCTATCTCGACGCCGTTCCTCCACAATGGCTTCCAGTATGTGCAAATGAACCCTGAATCTTGATAGATTGGTCTAATAGCTTATTTACAGCGCGAGAGGAGCGGCTGCAAATGCGACAGCGCGGAGCTGGGTACGCGCTTTTACCCCGCGAAATCATAACATAGGAACGTGCAAGCTGATCCGCAGAATAGGACGCATAAGACTAAAGCAATTGATTTCGGCTTTTCTTTCGGAGGCGCTGCAACGGGACCTTCAAATTCAACTGCGCTACCTCTTTTCCCCGAGCCGGTACAACCATCGCAAACCGAGACTGCGCCGCCCGCGACGACGACGACATCACCAGGTTCGCAAACCGATGGCAGGATACGGCGCACACCTGGAAGCGCGCGTAATAGACTACCAGCGCGCCCTTCACCATACGATATACCGGCCGATGATGAGCCTACTCAGCCCCGCAGCAACAAAAGGAGGAAGCTCAGTACGTTGTGACCGATGAAGCTCGAGAGAGACCTTTCTACTAACGCCATCGCGGTAGGCCCACGAAGCCAGAAGTCCAATAACCCTTCGCAACCTCTCATCACCGCCTCAGGAAACATATTCTCAACACTCACGGCCCAGAATGGCAATACAGACGCTCCCTCCAGCAAGAGCGTCGAAGCTCCTGCAACGGAAACCCTCGTGCCGGCAACTCAACCAGAAACAAGTCCTCGGCCAGAGACCTCGATCGATGAGAATAACCGGACGGAAGGGAAGCAGGGCACCAACGGAGTGGAGGTAAACCCAGAGGCTATTTCGGAACCTCCACATGATAGCGAGACAATCCCTGCCGGATCCCGGCCATCCAAGGTGCCACCACGTGAGAAGCGAACTGTTGTCGATCAAGACCAACCCCCCAAGAATACCCAGCAGAAGCGCCGAAAGAGTCGATCACCGCAGCAGGATGAAGTTGCGCCGAAAGAGAACGAGGCACGACTGGCTAAGAGACCGTCAAGGAAGTCGAGTTCGCCAGCTGCACAGAGAGAAAAACATACGAGATCCAAAGACGTACAGAGACGTGGTGATTCCGATGCCACGGAAGCTAGTCAATCCTCGACAGCCGATGCAAGTGCGAATGCAGGCCGGCAAGAGACACAGATTACAAGCCCTAGCACTACGGATGTGGGAATCAGTGCCCAAACAGATTCAAGACCATCGTCTCGAGATGCGGATCTGCCAAAGTCTAAGCGTGTCCGGACTCGCAACGCCAAGAGTAAGAGCTCGCAGTCTGCAGAGAATGTGACTACACAAACGGCAGGTCAAGACCCTGAGGTTGAGACCCGTGACGAGCCGGTGGATGCCACTTCTCAAACAACCTCAAAAAAAGAAACGCACCCGTAGGAGACCTTCTCCTGCCCAGACGTCGCCAGATACAAATGCAGAGGAGCCAACGCCAGAGGCTGAAGCTGAAGAGCCGGATGGTACTGAAACTGCTCAGGCTGATGCTCAACCAAAAAGAAAACGGGTTCGACGCAAACCGTCGCCTACTGGTGACACGGCCAAGGCGAAAGAAGTCAAAGCTCGTCCAGAGGGCCTGTCAGGATCTACTGCGCCTGCAGGCGAGGCATCTACAGCAGCCAAACGCTCACGCCGAGGCAAGAAAAGCGACGCGCAGCCGCAGCCGGAATCGGTTGAACCCGAGCCAGAGCCAGAGGCTGATGTACGTACCGAGACAGAAGCTGGTCCTTCACAATCTCGGCGCGGCAAGTCAAACAAAGGCAAGGGCAAGCAAGCTGCAGAACCGGAGCGGGCACCCTCAGAAGAGCAACCCGACCAGGAACCACAAGAGCCGCGACGGAAGATGAGAGAGCCTCGGGGCGAGACTGTACCTGTCACCGTTCATCGTCTTGCCAATGTTTCTGCCCTTGGTGCAATGTATGCTTCTGCGGAGGGATCTGGTAATGAAAACGAGGAGTCTCCCGATGGCCTCCTATCTCGCCTGAATACCAAACTCCCTAATCGCGGCGGCGTCAATCCGGCCGACGTGTTGGGACAGATTTGTCGCGAGACGTTGGAGAAGACGCTCGAGAAACTCAAGACAGGGATTGAGAACGAAACCAATGCTCAAAAACGTGCTGAATGGTCTCGCAAGCGCAAGGCCGTCGAGGCGTTTGGCTTAGAATTGGATAGTCGTCTCATGGACATGAGCGAGATCCTCGACAACAACTTTGTGCTGGGGATGCAGCTCAGAAAGGCGAAGCGTGATATGATGGATCTGCGGAGTCATCTGTACAAGGTGCGGAAAGAGCGAGAGAGTATAGCTATACAAATGGATGCGGTGCGCGCCAAGCACATCGAGGAGGAGAATGCAAAGACGGTGAGTGTTCTTATCGTCCGATCAATTTAAGGAACTATGCGAAGCTACGTGACAGGACTGACAACAATTGCAGGCTCGCAATACCATCAACAATTCGCTGCACAGTCTCGAAATGGCGCTCGATCGCAGCCAACACCGTGCTGAACCCAGCAGCGAGGTCTCCCCGTAGACCTTGAATTCATGCTTCGCACGGTGGCTGATGATGTGAGTTGTCGGGCCCCTGGTGCACAGGGAGGGCTATTGAACCAGATCCGTGCTTTCAACCACCAACTTGAAGCGACAGCACGGCTCCTGGAGCGGTCGTGATTTGTAATTTGTGAGAGGTTTACTACTGTCTGGAGTCATTTTCGTGATTCGTGATACCGTGATACCAGTTTGAAGCGAGTTAGCGACGGAGCATGGCGTTTTTTTTCTGTTGTACACACGAGTCGGGTACTACGTGTTGGATAATCCGTTTGAAGGTGTTAATGTTGTTGTTGTTGTTACCTATTATTACATTTTGAAGGCTGAGAAATCAATCGACGAGCATCAAAGGCCGAAGTCCGAGTGTGTTTGTACCTAGCTTCTGATATGTCCGTAGGTGATTGGTTCCACCGTATGTAACCTTAATCAGTAACTTAGTTATTCAATTATTAATCCTCAGGGACGATCATCTCTTCTCATTGGATGATTTCGGCCGGGAATACGGCTGGAGGTGATTGTGGATAGCAGCCACATTCAAGATGGAAAGAAGTGGAAGAAAAAATCCAGTCGGCGTTGTACTTGCCGATTCGGAGACTTTCCACGCGTGTTTTATCCACGTTATTCTACGTATCTGAAGCTTCTGATTGCTTGGTACGGCCCAATGCTAACTTTTATGCAGAATCGCCTCATTATAAATCATCGTCGTGGGGCTACTCCGAATAAACCCACGTGTACTAACAGATACCCTTAGACTCCTATATAATAGCGTCAGTCGTCGTTCTCTTCGATAGTATTATTTACTCATTCAATTCAAACATTGGACTTCAATTGGGCTTCTATCGACTCTCCAATCCTATAATTATTATCTCGCAAACCCCACACGAACTATACAAATCCCATCCTCTACAGCAACCACCACCTCCTTCACAATGACCAAGCTTCTCACTCCCCTCCGCGTCGGGCGCATGGAGCTCTCCAACCGCATCGCCATGGCCCCAATGACCCGCTTCCGCGTTAGCGATGACCATGTCCCTCTTCCCCTCGTCAAGGAGCACTACGCCCAGCGCGCCTCCACACCAGGAACCCTCCTCATCACCGAAGCAACCATCATCGCCCCCCAAGCCGGCATGTACCCCAACATCCCCGGTATCTGGAACGACGCCCAAATCGCCGCCTGGAAGGAAGTCACCGACGCTGTCCACGCCAAGGGCTCCTACATCTACATGCAGCTGTGGGCGCTGGGCCGCGTCGCAAGTGCAGACCTCCTCAAGGCTTCCGGATTCGACCTCGTCTCTGCCAGTGATGTCCCCGCATCAAGCGAAGCGCCTGTCCCGCGCCCGCTGACTGAGGAGGAAATCCAGGCTTATATCCAGGACTATGCGCAGGCTGCGCGTAATGCTGTCGCCGCGGGCTTCGACGGTGTCGAGATCCACGGTGCCAATGGATATCTGATTGATCAGTTCATTCAGGATGTTAGCAATAAGCGCACTGATCGTTGGGGTGGTAGCGTTGAGAACCGCGCTCGCTTCGCGATTGAGGTCACCCGCGCTGTCGTTGATGCTATTGGCGCAGACCGAACTGCCATCCGCTTCAGTCCCTTCAGTTCCTTCCAGGGTATGAGGATGCAGGAGCCACAGCCCCAGTTCGCTTATCTGGCGCGTGAGCTGGCTCCACTGAAGCTTGCATATACGCACTTGGTTGAGGGCCGCGTTGATGGTAACGCAGATGTCGAGTCTACCGATGATTTGCAGTTCTTCCTAGATGCTTACAAGGGTGCCGGTCCCCTTGTGATTGCGGGTGGCTATCAGCCAGAGTCGGCTAAGGAGGCGGTTGATCACAAGTATAAGGATCATGATGTCGTTATTGGCTTCGGTCGGCCGTTTACCTCGAACCCGGATCTGCCTTTCCGTATCAAGGAGAATGTGCCTCTTGTGCCGCATAAGCGCGACGTGCTGTATGTTCCTAAGGACCCCAAGGGTTATAATGATTGGGAGTTCAGTGTTGAGTATAAGAAGGCTGTGGAGGCTGCAGCTTGATTTATTAGCGGATTGTCTTGTCGTTTATAGTAATGATTGCATAGCGTTGCGTTTGTTGATAGAATAGATCAAGAATATATGTGTATAGACTTATTCATACTGGAATGCTTTCGAATATGTACATGGATGCCCTCTCCCCAGTAAGCTCTTTCTTGTATACCGCGTTCGTCACTTCGTTGAACATGACGACCTACAACTTGTACTAAAGCGGTAGTTAGCAGGCCATCCATCATCAAACTTATAAATTCATGATTCACTCACCCGGAACTCTCGATTCTCCCGATCCGTCAAATCCAAAAACTCCGAGTTCTGCACATGCATCTCACCCTCATGACACCGATCCCTTCTCCGATTCTCCCAACCATAGTAAACACGCAAAAGCAACACAAACACAATCGCCACCGAGATAGTAGCAACGAGCGCAATCTTCGCAGGGATATAATCAGGCTCATCCTGTGTGCGAAAGGTAAGCGGGCCCAGGATATTACCCAGGCAGAAAGACATGAGCAAGATCGCATTCATGGTGATTTTTTTCGTGTGCCCGGCGACATTGGCACCAGTAATGGAGTACATGAGTGGCAGAGCAGATCCGGTCATTTGTGTGAGGTAATTCCCAGCTAGCTGGGCGGCTTTCATGTCCTTGGGTGAGAATGCGAGGAGACAGCTCCCTAGTAAGCCGCCCATCAGTGCGAGGACTACGGAGAGGCAGCGCTGGTCGTAGCGAGATGCGATATGTGTGACTGTCAGAATGCTGATAATGCTGACGACTCCGTTGGGGACGTTCAAAAGCTCGGTTTCTTTGGTGGTGAAACCGATGTTCTTGATGATTAGCGAGGTAAAGCTGCTGACGGCGGCGTTGGGTACGTCCATGGCCGTCACGACGATAGCGATCAAATAAGTCTGCGGATCTTTGAAAACCTCGATGGATTGGCGCCACTTGAAATGCTTGTTCTCGATACCGGTGCGGTTCTCGCGCAGCCGCTCAATTGCAAGAACTTTCTCGGCGTGTGTCAATTGCGAGGTCATCGGATTGTCGGGAAGGAAGATGAAGATGCAGATACCCACGGCGATTGTGATAAGTCCAAAGATTAGGAACATGATCTGCCATGACTTGAAATGATCGCTCGTATAGAAGAGGAGGCCGTATGCAACTAGGGCGCCCATGATGGACGCCGTACCGGTGCCGAGATACCAAATTCCCATTCGCCGTGGTTGTTCGTTCCTTTTATACCACATGGAAGTGATCAGAATTAAAGCCGGCGCAATGGCGCTCTCAAAGCACCCAAGTAGTACTCGCAGCGTCATTAGCCCGCCAAAGTTCTTTGCCGAGCAGTTGAGAGTTGTCATCAGACCCCATAGCATGACGTTGAAGCCCAGGTACTTCGCAGTAGGCAGTCGCTGCATGAGATAACCAGTCGGTAGCTCGAAGAAGAGATATGTCACGTAGAAAGCTAGGGTGAGATTGGAGAATTGGTTCGTCCGCATGTTGGTGTCGCTGAGTAGGCCCATGACGGACGCATAGTTGATGAGCACCTTGTCGAGGTATTGCAGGTTATACGCTGCCCACATCAACGGCATGATCATCCAATCGATCTTGCGAACAAGCGCCTTCTCGTTAATTTCGACTGCGATACCGGTGTCTTCATCGCGTAGGAACTCGAGGGCTGCATCTGCCTTGCCTTCTGGTAGTGTGCCATTCTTGATGTCCATATCGACCGAGTGTGTGTGGTCTTCCTCGGGGTATCCCATCTTCCAGTTTTCTCATATGATATCCTGAGACTCGCAGATCAAACTTCAAGGTGTCGCCTGCCAAAGTGCCCGGGAATCTTAGTGAAGAAATAGAACTCCCAGCACAAGTCTGGCCCATTTCGACCCCCGGACAACAACCCCCGCACTGAACATATCGAGATAGCGAAGCATTTGAAATGATCATCTGCCGAGCAATACCAATCATTGTAACTGATAACAAAGCCACGATGCCTCATGAAGAAGCTGGATCCTTGCGGTATCATTGATGTGAGGAGTTGCGGGCTGTTCCGCCATGATAGGGAGGTGCACAGACAAGCCGGCCGATCGCTGGCTTCATGGTGGGCTGTGCGTTTGTGCTCGGCAGCAGGAGAGGAGTATCCTGAACAACAAGATAGCAGATCAATTTGATCTGCATGGAATATGACAGGCTCGTCGGCTATGCGGTTAAACCTGATTGGGAAGGTGACGAGGATAGGGGAGATAACTGTGCTGCAGACCCCGCATCCTTGATCAAGATTTGGAGTAAGGGATGGGAAGCTCCAAGATAGGAGGCTCGACATGCTGCGATGCAGGATGGAGAAAGAGGTATATCGGAAAGTTAACCGTCCAACTCGGAGTTTTGCCCGGTGGAAAATGCACATTGTGCTGGCTCCCCGATTAGGCAATAACAGGGGTTGTCTATGTCTTTAAGATCAAACAATCACTCCCCCCCCCCGTCCGATGGCCTAGTTGGTATCCACCATAAATTGGTGAACCGTTGGTGTGCCCTGGAGGATTGGGCAAACAAAAAGAAGAAAACAAAATACAGGGCCAGTGTTGACGCTTCAAGCTCCACGGACGGCCGGGCACACCCCTAGGCGGGGGGAGTTCAATGCTTTTTTTGGAGCTTTTTTTAGCATCACTATTTTTCTAATAAAGATAATTATACTAGACCTTTATAATATATTAGTCTAATTCTTAAATGGCTTTTTTTATCGTGTTCGAGGGTGAAGATGGGGTGTAGTGCGGCACTGGGATGGGATGGCGATGCAGTAACAGGGCGAAGTATATAGGGAAGAAGAAGGTTGGGGCTTCGATTCATGGAAGTGTCGAGTTTATTAGTTTGAAAAAATTGGCGAGGAAACTGCGCGTGGGCGATGTGATGTGGCATTTGGCTCTTGCCATTCTTACGTCGTCGGCAGTGAAGCTTCACTACCCACTGATTGATAAGAGCAAGAGTGGGCAAGTTTACGACTCGAAACATCCACTATCAATGGATAACCAGTTAGTCAATGTACAGTACACCGAAAGATTGGGGTCAAAGAATGAGATTCATACAATGGAAACTCTCGCTCGAGAGGAAGGCATTTTCTATCTTGGACTAGAGCTATTTCCTCAACGTATTGAAAGTACTCAATTTTGGGATGCTTCACCGCATCGCAGTCGTCGCCATTGCTCCACTAGACCGCATCAATGATCACCGTAGGATCCAATCCGGCGGAACACAGATTGGGGTAACAAGGTGATAACATCGTACTGGCTCTAGTGGGGATTGATCAACAGAGATTACTAGTATGGGGCTCACTCCATTTGAATTACCGCACTCTCTAGAACCGAGGTTCGACGCCGGTTATTGGCAGATGGATAGGGCTCGGAAGAGTGTTTGAGACTATAGTCAATTTTCAACGTGTAAATGATGCCAAAATAGAAGGCTAATTGGCGTTAGTTCAGTCTGCAAGTCGTATGTAGCTAGCAAAGAGACGCGAATTCAGGTGGTCGGACTCTGCATTTGTCTGCTTTGACTGGCCAGGATCAGTTTAAGGCACTGCTATTTTGGTCTTGATATGCACCTATCTTCACTTTACATTTGCGGGGAATTTGCATGGATTAATTCGCATATACAATTCCACCGAATGGCAATACTATGTTTACTCTTCCACTCATCCTCTAACAATACACAATATACAGCTTTTAACTCCCCTTCCCCATCTCATTCCTCCTCTTCCCCTCAAACGATCTACTCAATCCCCCCTATTTACACCCTAGTCCTCCAAAGCCGGAGGTCATTTCCATACCTCCAAACGCGGAAATTCTGGGGTTTCCCCGACCCCGACGGATGCGGGCGGGGACCAAGAACCAAGGACCAGACTTGAGCCTTCCAGATGGCAAAGTGGACCCCGAACAACATCATACCCGAACTCTCTTCCGCTCCGCCGAGCCGAAAGCAGCGAGATGGGCTCACCTGGGGGATACGGGGAGCTGAGGCCTTGGCAGTCGGACATTCTAACACCGAAGGAAGCCATTTCGAAGCGTCCCGCGTTCCAAGGGTCGTGGCGGGTGGGTTAGTCTCCAGAATTTCGACTTTGGGGGCGCTGTACGGGGGCGCGTGGGGCTTGGGACTTGGGAATTATTGGCATCATACAATACATAAAGTCTGTGACTAGAGGAGGCCTCCTTCCCCGGAGCCGAGAGAATCCGGTCCCACTGATACTGCTATACGCGGCCAGTCTGTCGCGCTAGCGATGCTGACGTCGACCTAGTACCCTCAGGATTCCAGCGCGAAGGGCAAAAACTTGGGAGTATCGGTGCTTGTAGATTTCGTTGCGTCGTGTCGTTGGTGGGCTCATCCCCCGCACGATCAAGGGTCAGATGAGCAGACTGTGGGGGAGGGTATGTAGTTAGTGGCTTTGAACGTCAGACTGGATGGATCCGATTAGCTTCAAGGAGGGCCAGCATCCACGGTGATTTGTGTCTGGGTAGTAGTCGACCTTCGCTAGTGAGTTCATCTGCCGAAATAGATCAATCATGGCACGATGTATTTGCCCATCATAGCCTCATTGGTGCATCTGCGTGGTCGGGATCGTCTCGGCACAGGGCTGAGGGGGCTTTCCCCGCACAAAATGTTCTTCTTTTTGGGGGGGGGGGGTGAGCTGCAGTGACGGGGGAAGCGGAGTATGTGATCATCGTTGGATATTGGATGTGGTTGGGAAGACTGGTTCACATTCCTGGTTCGTGGAAGCTTGGCCAGTGCGGATTTGCGGATTCGCGCTCTGTGGAGATGGGTCCAAAATTGTTGAATGACGGCGGCTTGCGTGAAGAACTGGTTGAACTAGTTACTCGTTTGAGTTCAATCGATCGATTTTCGAATGGGTGCAACGCTCGGTGATTCTGGTTTATTGAAGATTTGAATTTCAGATCGAAATTCAATCGGGTACCAAAATCAAGGTGTGAGTTCTGCGTTCCATTCTTGCCGCTTCGGAGGGTCGTTTCGACACGTGGAGTAGCGTCATCGAGGCCAGCCATTGTAGTCGCACCTAGAATGATCGCAATTCACTTCTTTCCCCAAGTTCTATTGCGGGGAAATGATCCTTTAGATATGCTTTGACTTCAGAACCCCTCGGTGCCTGAATAAGCGACCGGACAGTCGAGTCAACATAAGGCAAGGCTTGCATGCACTTCGCGTCCTGCAAAGTGCAATAAATCGCTTCGGAGTATTTTCGAGCGAGACGCAAGGATACCGGTCCGAGCAGCCTAAATACCGTAATAATAAGTAGGCAAGAAATTCACAAAGATGCTACAGTACTATGACTTATAGACATGATTGTCTCAAATAACCTAGACCTGCCTAAAGTACAAATGTATCCCGGACAAGGCTCTGAAACCATCCCGACACACGTCCAAAATTGCTCAACACGGTTGTCCATGCTCACAAACAGTCTAGTACAGTAAATAGCAAACTAGTAAAAACAAAGCACGGAGTACTCCGTACAAAAACTCATGCCAAGCCTCCCCCCGAAATTGATACATGCCTCGCTGGCATCTAATTTTCTGGGCAAGCCACCGGCGCTGGATGGCTGGTCTCGCCTAGACTTGTGGTGTGGTGTACATGTCTATTTCAACTGCTGACCCCCAGTCCAGCCAGTCCCGCACGCCACGAAATGCATGCATCAACTTGGTGTGGATGAAACTCCGTCAATCAGCGCGCCCAGATCGACTATACCCCGGGCCAAGGGATTAGGCAGCGTGTGGTGATTGCGCCCCAAGTGCTTGTACCGTACAGCATGTCGTGATGCGGACTGGTTCCCAGGATAATGGATAGGCCGAGGGGGTGAAGGGCTGGACTGCGTGCTGCGCGAAGGAGTCTTTCGGGGATCACTTTGTGATTGTTGTTTAGTTTTACTGACTTGTTCGTTTTGCATTCTATTATTATCGAATGTTGCAGGTGTGGCCTGCACTATTGAGAGGGCGGAATTGGATGGCTTCAAGAGGTCAGGGTCTTTCGTTCTCGTTCGAGAGAATTTTGGTGTCATTTTTCTGACTCTTCACATATTTTATAGGCTTATTTTGCCGATTTGGTTCTACCCATGATTAGGTTTCGCGCAATAATGGATAAAGTCCATCGTGCTTGCGCTTCCAACACTGCCCGTGTGGCCGAATATTTCGGACACACGGACACGGGACTCATCCCGAACGAACTCCTCTGTAAAAGGTATAAACGTACAAAAAAAAAGACCCATTGCGAGCCTCGTTCCGCCTTCGCCCCGTCAGCCCATATAAGCTTCGGAAAGAAAACAACGATGAACCCCTTAGACATGCATGGACAACCGTAAATCTGACTGTGACCGACTGAGTCGATCTGATACGCGAGCCGTCGGAGACCAAATGGGGCCTAACTTTTTAACGCGGGCCGAATCCGAAGCGTTGCTGCGACAGCAAAGTCCACCGTGTCCACCAGAGTCCACCATGTGGCTCCAGGGCGGAAGACTCTTGACTCTTGAGCTTTGAGGTTTTTTCTTTCTTGGCGTGGCTTTTGTGGAGTCAGCCGTGGCACGTCGAAGCCTTCAAAGGTCTAGTTCCCACTTTAGTGAGGATGCGCGGCTGAACCCGCATAACTAGTGAGAAATGAGAATCACTTTGTGACTTCTCCCCACAGCGAAAATTTTCAAGTGTAACATAAGAGGAGTGGAAAAAACAAACAAACATAAGCTGTGTCCCACGCTGCCTAGCCTGTACATGGCTTA